TCTTCTTGTCGAGCCAGCTTCTCCTGTCTACGAGTGAATGCGCCTCATGATGATACCCGTCAGCTGCTTCAGCAGTTCCTTTCAATCATTGGCAATATTCTCTCGTTTCTTGCGTCACCGATCGACAGAGTGACTCCCATCTTCGACTACTCGTACAGAGCTAGCCTTAAGGCTCTATCATCGGATCCTCGCACGAGTATGAAGCGACTGTATCGGCAGCATCGTCAGAAGTGCAAATTAGCCGAATTGATTGGCCGCCTGGTCGCCCGCGTGTAAGTATTCGAAAGATAGAACTGATATTTATTTGTATTTTATCGCGCCACCTCGTCGGATCGGCCGCAGCGACTCCACCCGAGAGAGGTCGGCTCGGCACCACCACAATGTCAATGTCAAACGTGAAGCTATCCCCAGGCTTCAGCGATATGTCGCTAATGCGCTCGCCCAGCAGGAAGAGCGCTCGGCTGACCAATCGGGCAGAGCACCACCTCCAGAGAGCTCGCACGCGAACCTATATCGTCAGCAAGTCCCTTGGGATGGCAGCATGGCTGCAGGCGGCCATCACGTCCAGCCTCTGGTGCACTCGCTAGCAGCGCAGCATCATCAGCTCACTTTGCCGGCTGAGCCGGGCATGGCCTCCCTTCCTGTCGGACATCAAAACAGCATCCCTGTGGAAGGAAATACTTCGTCACAACAGGCTAACGCATTTGTAGACGACACGCTGGCTAGGGCGGCTTCGTCGGGCGCTTTCTTCAGGACCGAGCTCAAGCGTCCCTTTCGTTGCGCAGAGTGCGACAAACAGTACTCGCGGTCAGCTCTGACTGTACGCCCCGCTCGACGCGCACTGATGCTATCAGCAGGCAAGAGCATCTTGACCGACATAACTTGTCGAAGCATAGAGACGATAGGCCACACGTTTGTGCGATCTGCAACAAGGGCTTCGCACGACGGTGAGCTGCTTATGATCTGCTATGCCACTCGGACTGACGCGTCTCGTCATCAGTGACATCCTCAAGCGACACGAGCACAATCACGCTCGCAAGGCCGAAGCCAGCGGTGCTTTTGAGGCACTCGCCGCCAAGATCGATCCTGACGATCGTGCACTGCTACCGCTGCAGGAGGGAACGACGGCAGACTTAAGTCAATTTGACAGTAGAAAGGTCAAAGGACGCCGAATTCTCGCTTGCGATCATTGCTCGTACAGCAAGCTCAAATGCAACGGAGAGCAGCCTTGCGATCGCTGCATCAAACCTCCTGGTCATGTCTGCACTTACGCAAGACCGTGGGCTTTGCATCGTTTGACCCACGCTCAGCAATCTCAGCCAAATACTCCTACTGCGCAATCAGTGCCTGTCGAGTCCTCTTCTGCTGCGGTTGCGCAGCTAGATCAGCCAATACAGTCTCGCTATGCTCTGAACACCAATATCGACCCTGTCATACAGGCACTCGGTCGATCCGGGGATGCCATGTCGGCCGCAGCACCCTTCTCGATATATCCGTTCTCGGAAGCTGGTCCGAACCGTCAAGCGACCAAGGTTGGCGCGCACTGGCGATTTCTTGACGATCTCTACCGTCAAGCCGATCTTCAGCCTCAGCCAGAGAACGCATCAGTAGACAGTAATCGATCATCTGCTGTGGAGGATGTAGCGACGTCTTCCGTAGCCGCTGGTAAGCGACGTCAAGAAAGCGACGAGGCGCCTCGCAATGTGCGTAAGAGACGCGACACTCGCTCGGCTTCGGCTGCAGAAGGCTTACTCGCTCTGTCTGCGCCCAAGGAAGACGACAATACCGAGATGGAAGGAGATCAAGCGATCGGTCCTTGGCCCCGCCAGCTCAGTCTCATCTCGGGCGCGGGACCTATCACGCCGCTGCCTGTCAGCCGGAGTGGTGCTGGTCAAGCGAATGTACCTGCTGTCTACCACCACGCAACGCAAGAGATCAATAGCGCGATTGACAAGATGCACGCCGAGTCGGCTTTTGCTCATCTTGCTCTTGCGCCGCCAGTCAGATCCCAACTAGATGCCTACGTGGACACTTACTTTCGGATCTTCGACAAGTTTGTACCTTTCATTCATGTGCCGACTTTCGATCGTCAGACTTGTCAGCCCGCCCTCTTGCTGGCTGTTTCTGCGTCAGTGTTTCAGCGCGATAGGTTCCTCGAGCCAGAGCTGATCTTCAACACAGGGTGGGCGCATACTTCACGCCCGAGATTGCAGGCTCGCGAGAAGCGTCCCTGACGTTGGCTGATTTAGCGCGGCGGACGTGCCATTATCAGGTCCGTCTTCTGATCGTCGACTGTCGAGATTGACTGACATTTCTGCAGGTCGAAGCCAAGAATAACAGTAACCACGAACTTTGGTTCAATCAAGTCTTCCTTTTGCTTTTGATGTATGTCGCACACGCTTGCACCTGTCTCTCTGGCTCAAGGTACACTTTCCAGCCTTGCACCCGCATGTGGCGATCGTGCCGCATTCGAGATGGCCATGTGCGTTCGCGGCATTCCTCATGCTGTATGTCCTGACTATCTCTCCTGTAATCGCGTGCTGACTGCAAGTCAGAATGGTCGTCGAGACGGCTGGGATCGCGGCATGGACGAAACGATCGGAAGCGCGCATAGATCTGTGGAAGAGCAATGGGCACGGTGGATCCAAGAAGAACAACGGACTCGCATGGCCTGGGCAGTCGTAGTAGGTGGTCCATTCAATCATGATTCCTTGTGCTGACTCGCTGAGCCTCAGATGACGGACGTTTACGATAGCGTTCTCTGGTCCGTCGAGCCGAGCGTCATCGTGACGGAAGTCATTCGGTGCCCTGTACCCAATCTGGCAGTGCTGTGGGAAGCACCGACCGCTCAAGCTTGGCACGCGCTCCTCGTCAGCGGACAAGAGCCTGTCAGGGCTACTCTGGAGCCTTATCTGCCCAAGATGGCAGCTGATCCCATGACGCCAATACCAGAGCTGGCAGATGTATTGAGCGAGACGTGCGGCCGCATGCTGCTCATCTCTGCTCTACACCTGCTTGCTTGGCGACGTCGACATTGGATTGACGTCGAACGACTTGCCTTGGGAGGAGATGCTTCACAGCAGCCGACGGATGCACTCAGTGCGCGTCTCGACAACGCATTCGAGTACGTCGAACGACATGTCCTGCCCTGTCAGGATAGCTCGCATATCCTCGTCGATCAGCGCGCCTCTGACATGGGCACGGACATGCACATTGCACTACTTTGGAATCTTGTCTGCCTCGTCAATCATCTACCGGTGTCGACGATGCAGCAATTCGCGTCTGGTGAATTTGATGCCGTCCGCCTCAGCATACAAGATTGGGCGAATGCAAAGAATGGCCAAAATGCGCGCCTGTCGCTGTACCATGCGACGCAGCTATTGACTTTGTGTCACGAAGCCGACGAGTCGAATCGGAAGGACTTACTGGTGCCGTTCGCTGTGCTCTACGGAACTCTGGCAGTCGTCATCTATATTCGCTACATTGCTCGCTACATCACTCATTCTAGACGAGCCGTCGGACGGGCGCCAGCCTATGAAGTTCATCTGACCAAGCTCAACAGTCGATTGAGGCCGAATTACGTCGATTGGATCGAAGGCAAAGCCTTTGAAGGTGCCCTTAGCGTGCTCGGGTTCGGAGACATCTCCCAGCCCACGGCGTGCAATGACGGGCTGGAGGCTTCGGCACGGATCCTCCAGAGCCTGCCCTGCGGTCGCTACGGCTTTCAGTTCAGCTTGATGCTCAGAGAGCTCGGCGCGTCATTCTCCGAGCGAGTGTGAAGATACTGGCTTGTACAACAATTGCAACATGTTGTTTAATTGACAGGCGGTCTGAGAATATCATCATCGATAGTGATGCTTTGCTCGACCTGTCGCATGATCGCCACTGACTCGTGAAGGTTATCAACGACTGCCTTGAGCTCGTCTCGCAATGCTGCATTCTCTGCTGCTTGCTTTAGCACGACATCACGCTCGAGGAGCGCTTCATCTTCGTACTGCACAGCGAGTCAGATCTGCTGCCTTTGCTTCGGTACTGCAGCGTACCGATTTGCGCTGCTGCGCGAGCAATGCGAGCTCCTCTTGCAGCACCGGCATGACGCTGAGCATGAAAGCGGCCTCGGGCTGCGTGCTCTGACTGTCGCGTCTGCTATTGAGCTCGGCCTGGTGAAAGCGAAGTTGCTCGACTTACGCTACTGAATTAAGGAGCGGTCTGTTGAGAGCTCGCTCTGCCTCTGCTTCGGATTCTAGACGGTCCCAAGCGGCGAGCAAGTTGGCTATTGTCCTCGACTCGTTGGCTTCTGCTGCTTCTGCGGTCTCGAAAGGATATGCGAGCAGTCGTTGCCACTGCTCCTGACTGCCCCGGGTGATATCATCGATAAGCGCTTGATTCAGATGTGCCACGACTTCGGGATTCTGCTGCACTCGGTCGGGATAGACGGTAGCGACACCTCCATTTCTGCGAGAATGCATCAGTCCGTAAGGCAGCACGATCAAGCTGAGCGTACCTGACGGTCTCAACGAGGCCAGCAGCGATGCGGTCATATCCTCGTCGGGTAAGAGCGAGTCGACGAGTCTCCGTCATTGGCTCCGCTCGGCGTCGCAGCAAGCGAAGGGAGGACGCGTCGATCCTGCTTTGTAAGAATATTTGAACGCGTTTTTGCTGACTGTCGACGCGCTAATTAGAGGAGTCGCTTCACTCGATTCGGTCAGCGTCTTTCGCTTCGAGAAGTTTCGTGCAGCAGGTGAGCGATAGCTGAACGTACACGCTCTCAACGACGCTGACCCACAGGCGCGATCGGTGTGCAGACGCGTCAATCTGCGCCAGTCGTCTCCTCTTGCCATCTTTGGTTCTTCGAGGCGTCTTAAGGCGGCAGAAAGCTTCCAGAGCACGTACGCTGGCGCTCATAAGTAGTCTGCATCCTACAGAAGCTGAAACAGGGCTACCGATTGGCAGCTAGACGCTCCATAAGGTCTTGAGACAGTCCAGGGATCTCTTCGCGCTCTCTTCATTTACTGCAACGAGCTTCTCTCGACTTGTCATCTGCACCTTGCACACAGCTCTCGACGAGGTGCGCGAGATCTGCTGTATTGCTCACGCGCGATCGAGACTGACTTGCGCATTACCATCCAGTCGCGTCTCCCCTCACTCGGATATTAAGCAGCCAGTCGCAGCCATGTCGTCCATGGTCGTGTTCAAGCGAGACGGTCGTCGTGAGCAAGTCGCTTTTGATAAGATCACTGCGCGTATCAATAAGGCAAGCACCCCATCATCCTTCATTGAGGTGATCCTCGTGACTCACGCGCCACATGCAGCTCTGCTATGGCCTCGATACCAACTTTGTCGAGCCCATCGAAATAACCAAGAAGGTCATCTCGGGCGTCTATCAAGGCGTCACAACTGTCGAGCTCGACAACCTGGCCGCGGAGGTGACTGTCGCGTTTCTCATCCTTGCGACTGCTAATATGTGCCAATGACGTTCAGACCGCCGCATATATGACCACGCGTCACCCGGATTATGCTATTCTGGCCGCTCGTATCGCCATCTCGAATTTGCACAAGGAGACGAAGAAGACTTTCTCGAGCGTCGTCGAAGATCTCTATCGATGGGGTCCGTCAATTCCTCTGCACAATTGGCTTGCACTGATTTGGGCTGTCACTCTCAAGTGAACCCGAAGAACAACAAGGCTTCGCCCATGATCTCGGATGAGACCTATAAAGCAGTCATGGAGAATGCGGACGTTCTAAACTCGGCTGTCATCTATGATCGCGACTTCAACTACAACTACTTTGGCTTCAAGACGCTCGAGCGATCTTATCTGCTTCGGATCAATGGCAAAGTCGCAGAACGTCCTCAGCATATGCTGATGCGTGTCGCCGTCGGCATACACGGTAGCAATATCGAAAAAGTCGTCGAATCATACAACCTTGCAAGTCAGACCCACACACACGTGTACAGGCGTGCTAATATGACGAGCAGATGTCCGAGCGATACTTTACGCACGCTTCGCCAACGCTTTTCAATGCAGGCACGCCTCACCCGCAGCTGTCGTCGTGCTTCCTGGTCTGCATGAAGGACGACTCGATTGACGGGATCTACGACACGCTCAAGACGTGCGCGATGATCAGCAAAACCGCCGGCGGAATCGGTCTCAATATCCACAACATCCGTGCAACGGGCTCTTACATTGCTGGCACGAACGGATATTCCAATGGCATCGTACCAATGCTGCGTGTGTTCAACAATACTGCGCGCTACGTCGACCAGGGCGGCAACAAGCGCCCCGGTGCGTTCGCCATCTACATCGAGCCATGGCACGCGGATGTGTTCGACTTCCTCGACCTCCGCAAGAATCACGGCAAGGAAGAAGTCCGCGCGCGTGATCTCTTCTACGCGCTCTGGATTCCAGACATGTTCATGCGCCGCGTCGAGCAGAACGGCGATTGGCCGCTCTTCTGCCCTGCTGAAGCTCCTGGGCTTGCCGAAGTTTACGGCAAGGAGTTTGATGCCCTCTTCGAAAAGTACGAAAAAGAAGGTCGGGCCAAGAAGACAATCAAGGCTCAGAAGCTATGGTATGCCATCCTCGAATCACAAGTCGAGACCGGCAATCCCTTTATGCTTTACAAGGATGCTGCGAACTGCGAGTCTCTGCTTGCCCTCTAGTGACCTGCGAGCTGACTTCCGCCTGCAGCCAAATCGAACCAGAAGAACCTTGGCACGATCAAATCGTCAAATCTGTGCACAGAGATCATCGAGTACTCTGCGCCAGACGAGGTGGCCGTCTGCAATTTGGCCTCCATCGCTCTGCCTACATTTGTGACGGGCAAAGGCACTTACGATTTCCAGAAGCTGCACGATGTTACCAAGGTCGTGACGCGCAACCTTAACCGCATCATCGATGTCAACTACTACCCTGTTATTGAGGCTCGCAACTCCAACATGCGTCACCGCCCCATCGGTATTGGAGTGCAAGGCCTGGCTGACGCCTTCATGGCGCTTCGTCTGCCTTTCGACAGCCCGGCTGCAAAGAAACTGAATATTCAAATCTTCGAGACGATCTATCACGCTTCTCTTGAGGCTTCGTCCGATATTGCGGCCGTTGATGGACCCTACTCGACCTACGAAGGCTCACCAATCAGCAAAGGCGAGCTGCAGTTTGACATGTGGGGCAAGACGCCTACCGATCTATGGGACTGGGACTCGCTTCGCGAGAAGATTGCCAAGACAGGCACGCGCAACTCGCTACTGATGGCGCCTATGCCGACTGCAAGCACGTCACAGATCTTGGGCTTCAACGAATGCTTCGAGCCCTATACGAGCAACATTTACTCGCGACGCGTGCTAGCTGGCGAATTCCAGATCGTCAATCCTTGGCTGCTGCGAGACCTCGTCGAGCTTGGCCTCTGGGACGACGAACTGAAGAATCGCATCATTGCTCACAACGGATCGATTGCAAATATCAATGGCATACCGCAAGATCTCAAGGCAATCTATAGAACAGTCTGGGAAATCAGCCAAAAGTCGATTATCGACATGTCGGCTGATCGAGGCGCATACATCGATCAGTCGCAATCGCTCAACATCCATCTGCAGAGCCCAACATTTGCACAGCTGACAAGCATGAACTTCTATGGCTGGAAGAAAGGACTCAAGACGGGCATGTACTACCTTCGCACAAAGGCAGCCGCCTCTGCTATTCAGTTTACGGTCAGCCAAGCTCTGCAAGACGAGGTCAAGGCGACAAATAAGAAGAGCGCAGCGGGCAAGAAGCCACTGGCTACGGTCACCAACGCGCCTACCGTTGCAGCGGTGACAAACGGGGTCGGCAAGATGGCAGTGAGCCTAGTCGGCGCCGGCGTTGACAAGAACCCAACGGAGACCTACATCAAGCCCGATATCAAGGCTGAAGTGAAGGAGGAGGCTGCCGTGAAGCCGGTCGATGCTCAGCCCACGGAGGAAGGCGAGCTGACCTACGAAGAAGCTGTCAAGCGGCGCGAGCTCAAAGAGCTCGAGCAAGCTAAGCTTCTCTGTTCGCTGGAGAACAAGGAAGCCTGCGTACGTCCCACAACACATCATTGTGAACGTTCAGCTAACCTACTGCGGGCAGGTCATGTGCTCAGGCTAGACTTTTCATTCGTTTCTCCTGTAGCATTAAGCAGTCCCTCATGTCACAATAGATACCCGGCTTGTGCTCTGCATGTCGTGTTCACACGCGGTCATTCGTGTTGCTAGACTTGCAATGACATTAGATACTGAGAATGGTGACAACGACAGGAAGAAGTGCTATTAGCGTGCGTGCGTGGTGGGCGAGTGTATCGGCAGAACCAGTGTAACCATTTGCGAATGCAGTCGAATTGCCAATGTACTGTCTAAAGAAGGTCGTCACGTCGGGCTGACCGACGGCTCTAAAGTCTGCAAGGGTGTTGTTCGTGCTCTCCTTGAAATAATTGAACCAGCTGATTGCGGTCAGGTTTGGGTACTTGCGGACGACAGCGGGAGCTGTCATTTGTTCAAACCAAGCCATCTTCATATCGAGCTCGCTCGCGCTGTTCGGCTCGGCTGTAAGCGTCGTCGTATTCGGGAGAGGACCAGAGATGTCTGTGTCTGGGCCGGAGCTATCGAAGTCTGCGGGAAGCAAGTAGTTGAATGGTGCTGATGTTTCGGAAATGACGATAGGATGGATTGCGCCATAGAGCTTGTAAAAGGAAGCGAAACCGTCGACAAAGGCAGTATCGTCCGGCACGTCATTTGCAACGCGATCTCGTGAGACTGCATAGTATGATATGCCTGCAATGTCGACGTAGTCGTCTCCAGGATAATACTGAGTGTAGCCTTGCAGATCGTCAGGATCTGATGTGTAGACATTGGGTGACCAGAGGAGGAAAGTGTTGTTGCAAGACGGATTGGCTCGTATGGTGTCGTGCACATTGCGCCAAGCTGCTACAAAGGCAGCCGGCTGTAGACCGTATTGCATCCAGTAGCCGTTCATCTCATAAGCGAATCGTATCCACACAGTCTGTCCTTTTGCATTGAAGCGGGCTGCCATGGAGGCCAAGCCATCCGAGAGGTCTTGCGTCCATCCCGTGCTCGAATTGAATGCAAATCCGGGCAGAATGGCAGGAGCATAGACAGAAGAGGCAGCGTAGGGTACGATCGCGCTGTAGTGATATTGCGCTTGGCTGTAAGAGGCATCGCCTTGAGCGACATACAAGTAGTCACCGATGATCTGCATAGGTTTGCCGAGCTGCTGGTTCAGCGCACGAGGGTTCTCTCGAGTCCAATCGGGCAGAAAGCCGATATGGACACCGTTGATGGTCATCGCATCGCTTGCATTTGACAGACCGAAGAGCTGATTGCTTGCGGCTCGGCAACCTGCAATGCAAGTCACGACCGATAGCGCGAGCAATTGCATGCTTGTCGGTCGACACAGCCGAACCGGCCATAACTGCATTCGCCCGCCAAGAGAATGACTGACTGGGCTCAGCTGACGCGCAAATTTGCCACTCGTCAATTTGCGCTGCGTGCGGTGATCGAAACAGCGTGGCAGCTGGCGGTGACGTGACACAGCGCAGACCGCGACGTGTCTGAAAGGCGAACGAACAATTTTGGGGTTCTGCGAGGTCAGACAGCAATCTCTTCGCTGTCTGGTACTCGCAAAAGAGATACAGAGTGCAGACGCATCCGCAAAGATAGAGACACGGAACTCGACAGGAAGAGCAAAGACTTCCGCTTTTGTGTTACGACTGCTCGCGTGCCTGCGCAATCTCTCTTTGGCCGCTTCTCCTGCCCAAGCTGCCAGCTCGGACCTTGCGGGCACGGACGTTCGCCAAGGCATTCCGAAGCCGTTTCGAAGCTTGCTTGCCGTCAAGCTGTGATCGGCAACCCGACTAAGCCGAGTCGAGGGATAGACCAACAGGTGATCCCGAGCAGACTTGATAGCCCACGATGGCGACAGGCAACGACGCTGTCAATGCCGTGCTTGGAGACTACGAATCCAAGCTCACTGCTGTTGCGCCAAAGGCAGTGGGCATCCAGTTGGGGCTTTTCCTTGCCCTCAGCTTGGCATGCCTCGTCGGCTTCATGTTGCTGCGTACCAACAATTCTGTCATCTACGCACCTAGAGTCAGCCTACTTCCAGTCGATCGTGCTCGAGACACTTGCTGATCGTGTCTGCGCAGTACAAATTCATAGATCCAGCGTCGCCCAAACGCCCGCCAAAGATACAACCGACCGCTTTCGGATGGCTGAAACCGCTCGTGTCTGTTCACGAGAAGGAGATGCTTGTCATCGTCGGCCTCGATTCGGTCTGCTTCTTGCGCTTCTTGAGGATGTGCCGGTGGATGTTCGTTCAGTCTGAATCCACTTTGCGTCTCGTGTGCTGACTGTCGGGGGCAGGTTTGGCATCGTAGCGCTGCTCTCTTGCGGTGTCCTCATCCCCGTCAATCTCGTCTACAACCTCAAGAATGTTGAATCCGACTCACGCAATCCGCTCTCATCGATCGCAATCACAAATGTCAAAGGCAACATTCTCTATACACACGTTGCCGTGCTCTACTTGATCACCTTGATCGTCGCCTTTTTCCTCTGGAGGAACTTCGCTGCCATGTGCGAGCTCAGATGGGAGTACTTTCGAGGCGAAGAGTACCAGCACAGCGTGAATTCTCGCAGCGTCATGATCACACAGATACCCAAGAAACTTCAAAGCGATGCCGGCGTGCGCGACATCATCACCGAAAGGTGCAACATAGAGTATCCCACGACGGACATTGCGATCGGCCGCAGGGTCGGCCATTTGCCAGAATTGATCAGGCGACACAACAATGCCGTCAAAGCGCTCGAAGAAGCTTTTGCACGCTACAGTAAAAACTTTCCCAAAGTACCGGCTCAGCGGCCTCGCACAAAGGTTGGCTCCCGGCTCGGCATGGGCGGCAACACCGTCGATACTTTCGAATTCTTGCTGCAAAAGGTCGAGATGTACAAGCAGAAGATAGAGCTCGAGCGCGCCAATATCCGAACCAAGAAAGCAGAAAACTATGGCTTTGCGAGCTTTCAATCGCCGCCGTATGCTCACATTGTAGCCGAACGACTCGAAGGACACAAGGCACAAGGTGCTGAGATCGAATTGGCACCTTTGCCGGAAGATATCATCTGGGAGAATGTCGTCAAGGGTAACGCCAATCGCGGCTTTGCGAAGTTCTGGATCGGTCTTGGCCTAGCACTTGTCATGGTCGTCTACACGATTCCTTTGGTGGCTGTCTCCTTCCTGGCCAACTTGACATCTGTCGCGCAATACGTCAATTTTCTCGAGCGTTGGTCAACATCCTCGCCCGCTTCGTTCGCTGCCGTCACAGGTCAGTCTAGCTATCGCAAGACATGACCTCGTCTGACGAGAATGGGACTGCAGGTATCTTGCCACCTGTACTGTCACTGCTACTCCAAGCATTCCTGCCATCGATCATCCGCGTCTTTGCGCGCAAGCAAGGGGCTCTAACGCATACACAGCTCGATCGCGATGTGCTTGGCTGGTACTTCGGCTTCACTTTTGCAACCAACGTTATCATCTTCTCCTTGATCGGCGTAGCTTTCAGTGCGTTTCTCTTTTGCGCGACCAGCCCGTGTCTGACCCTTGCGCAGCCTTCATCACGGAGGTCGTCATCGAAGTCGGCAAATCGGGTGGTCTGCGCGCTATTTTGGGCGAGCTCAGTCGGCTGCCGGATCGCGTGCAGAATACCTACGTATCGCAGTCAAAGTATGTCGCACTTCTAGCGCGCTCGAGCTCTGCTGAGATCAGGAGTACAGCTACTGGCTGACATGGTTCCCGGTGCGAACATTCGCCGCCTTCTTCGATCTCGCTCAGGTCGTCAACATTGGTTGGATCTGGCTGCGCACCCGTCTATTTGGCCGTACGCCACGAGATATCAAAGATTGGACGAAGCCGAGAGAGTTCGATACGCCAGTCTACACAGGCGACGTGAGCTTTCCGCCCTTCTCCGGATCCTGAGCTGACACTAGCACAGTACCTGCTCATGGTGGCAGTGGCGCTTGTCTATGCCCCTTTGGCGCCGCTTGTCACTCTGTTCGCTGCCGTTTCATTCTTCTTGAGCACATTCGTCTACAAGTATCAGATGCTCTACGTCAGTGAAACGGAAAGCGAATCTGGTGGTCGACTGTGGCGTGTACTGTCGAACAGGTCAGGGCTGCTTTGCTCCGCACTCCATATGTCTGACTTCTTGTGACAGAATCATTTTCTGCACGGCTTTCATGCAAGCAATCATGACGCTTACGATCGGTCTACAACGAGGCTGGATCTACTGCACGACCTGCGTACCTGCTCTCGCCTTTTTGCTGATCTTCGGCATCGTTCTTAATCGCCACTTCGACCAGCGCTTCAGGTGGTACATTCCGGATAGGGAAGAGATTATCGAGAGTACCGCTGGCGTCAACGTCAGCAAGCGTCAGCTCGACAAGAAGTTCGGACACCCTTCGTTGCATATTGAGCTTTTCTATCCCGTCATCGACAGAAGGAAGATGGGACTTTGGGACGAAGTCACGGGCGGCCAGAATCAAACGCACCTCAAGGCAGAGGGCGTTGACGAGAAGCAGCTCGAGAACGTCTCTGCAGTCGGCGTTCCCCTCGGTGTTCGGCGTGCATCAGACTTCAATGCGCTCATGGGCCAGTCCCGACCGATGGGTCGGACAAACGGTTCACAAGACAAGCTGCTCAATTATGCCGATTCTGTCGTTGATCCGCGAGAGTATGCCTATGGCCGAGACGATGCCGCTTCTTACAAAGAGGCCTACGACCATAGCTTCAACCCTTCTGTCGAGTCGCTCGACATGGGCAACATGGGTCCATATGGGCAACGACTACCACATGGCTACTACCAGACGCCAATCTCACAACCGGGCTCCGTCCCTGGATCACCACGGTCTAGCTACGACGTGCCTCGACGAGGTGGCGGCCTACCGCCGGGTGCGACGGGTGCGAGTCCTCAAATGAGGTCATCTCCTCAAATGCCACGGTATATGCCTAGGCAGCAGCAGCCTTACGACCAATATCAATACCCTCCGCATGGCAATTTCTAGCTGCTGGCGGCTATGCTCGATGGACACTGTGCATGCGACGATATGTTTTGTAATTGAGCAAGCTAGACGAAATAGAAATGCAACACGCCAGACTACAGATTTGAGTCTAAGGGGAGCTCGAGCTCTTCTTTGCCTTCTTCTTGGGCGGCTCATCGGAAGACTTTTTCTTCTTCTTCGTTGGCTTGTCTTCTTGCATCGCGTCCGAATCTGGACTTGTGTAGTTCTCGTCATACTCCTCGGGCAGATCGTCATCTGAATTAGAGCCTGCTTGGAAGTCTTCATCCTCAGACTCTGAGTCGCCCGAGCCAGCCGCGCGCTTAACCCCGTCGCCGTCTTCGCTTGCGATCATATCGTCATCGTCATCATCGTCTTCGCTAAGCATAGCCGCAACGGTGGCAGAAGTCTCCTCGGCAATCTCGTTCTTGACCCTAACGCCCTTATCTTTGAGATGACTGTCGATGACTTGTAGCTCTTCTTTGCTGACGGAAGAGAAGACATGATCTGGGCCGCCACGAGTTGCGACGCGCAGGTCAAACGTCCGTGAGGACAGCATGGCCCCTCCGACCCTGCAGGAAACAGACGGTCATCAGCTATATATGAACGGACTAGCACAGCTTCGTCACCTTTCGAATCGAACGAGCGATGTGTCGGCATAGGGCATAAAGATGGGCTTCTTGGAAACGAAGAGCATGCTGCGCTCGAGAAAGTAGATATAGCCTTCGTCTGCCTTGACATTGCACTTGACGCCATTGTGACCTTCGTGGCTGTTTCGACATAGGATCAGCGACGGTCAGCGACGACCAAAAGGGCGACAAACCTTTGGAAGCCACCTGGCCTGATGACTTTCTTATTCGCCAAGCCATGGATGATGTTGGACACGACTTCGTATGCAGGCGCCTCATATGACTTTTGTAGCTTTCCGTTGTATGCCGCAAGTTCCTCGCTGCAAGTCAGTCCGATATCAGCGCATGATAGCTTTGCGGCCCCGGTCAGACTGACTCGCTCAGCTTGATCTCCGCCATCATCTCCTCGTCTCGAGAGAATTGGAAGATGAGGTATGGGTATCTCGTCTGGCCCTGCCGCAGAGGTGGATCGACATTGATCTGCACATGCTGGTAAGCAGGCAGCGGTAGATCAAAAGAATCGAGCACCCACGACTAGCTGGACATGGATCTCATCCGGCCGAGGCAACAGAAAGATGCGAGCAATAGACTCGTAAGGCAATTTGTAATCGTAGGTCTTGCCTCGAAGCCGCAAGAACGAGCCATAAAGGTCGATATCGAATTTACCTCTGCGTGACTGCAGATCAGCGATGCTTGGCTCAGCGTAGGGCCCTCAGCGTGCCTTGGTGTGGTACATAGGATTTCTGGAAAGGTGAGCAGGCCATCGCCAACGACTTGGCCGATATCGGCCTTGTCTTTGATGAGGTCATGGAAAGCTTGTGCTGCAGCAAGCTCATCTTCCAAGTCCTCATCTTCCTCTTCATCCTCCTCTTCCTCCTCCTCTTCCGCACCGTTCTCCCCCGTCTCGGCCTGCTTGTCCTTCTTCGCTTTGCGCGCAGCAGACTTTGCCGATCCTGGAATATACAGGCGCATCTCAACCATCTCGTCCGGTAAAGCGCGACGCCGCCTCTTTGCTTCCTTTGAGGCTTCTTTGGGATCATCCATCTTGACCTTGTTGGGATCGTCTTCATCTTCGAGTGTCCGGGAGAACTCGAGGGTGACTTCGTTCTTTTGCACGGAGCTGTTCGATACCGTCGAGAGAGGCACCGCGAATGCCGGCTTTCCCGCGACGATGAAGGCCAATTCGTTGCCTGAAGACACGAGTAAGACTTGCAGGCGGGTCTGTCCTGTGGCGACTCACTCTGTACGTCCGCCCGACCCCAGTTCCAGCCACGAACGGATAGATCCCTCGGTTCGAGTGTGAGGCTGTAGTGCTGCATGATCGTATTCTTTAGTCGCTCAAAGTCCTGTGAGGCAGTGATGACAGATCAGATCGGCGACGGTGCGATATCCAAAGCTAGTCTGACCTCCTTTGCAAAGCCTTGAAAGACCATCTTGGGCTGCTCAGATTTGACCTGTCCAATCCGGAGTGCGTAGCCTCTCGCGTGCCTGCCGATGTGACCCTGTCAGCAACAAGGACAGCGGGCAAGACGGACGTCGCTCGCCTTAGCCATTCGGTCCATTTGATCTCGCTCGCTTGGAGCGTGACGAGCTTGTCCTGACCGTCTTTGCTCGCTTTCCAGCCGATGCCTGAGCCGGCTAGACGAAGCCGGCCCTTGAGCGAGCTCGGCTGGTAGTAGATATCGTCGAACTGGGTCGGCGCAGATGACATGGCTACCGGGCAGGGTGAGCGAGCTGCTCTGAGCGATGTGCTCCACGCGCCAACGCGACTCGCGAATATTGCGAACAAGAATGATTATTAGATGATTTATTATTGCCGCGAATAGGTCCATTGAATACAAGAGACCGCTACTGAAGGCGCTACTAGGTGCTTGATATTCTGTGCACAGTCAGCAAAGCGATTTTGCCGTCGATGGCAATATCGTGATTGATTTCCTTTTTGCCAATGGGCAAAAGTCCCTCGAGCGATCTAGCTGTCGTTTTGTGCCTTCCCTCGTGCAATTTCGTTGCGTTACCTGTGCAGGTTGATCAACAAGCCAGAGATAGAAGCGTCTGAGTCTACTTACCGACGATATAGTCTCGGCCAAGATTATAGCCATTCGGCGAGATCTGCCCTGTGACATCAGCGAAAGATCGCCAGAGACAGTCTGCGGACTTGCAGTATGTTCGTGAGCAAGATCTTCTTCGACACTGTCCGTGCGATGAAGTCAGGCCTCGCCAAAGCTGAATTATGAACAGCCTGCCTGGCTGCAATGTAGATAGCGCCTGGCTTGCCATCTGGCTGGGTCTGATTCCACCAACGGAGATGATTACCTCCGTTGACAGTCTCTTGACAAGTTCCGAAAGCAGGGTCACCGAAATTGTATCTCAAGATGCCATCCTGCGAGCGAGGTCCTCGTCCTGCGTTGTCATGTCGGCCACTCCACTACTGCAACTCATGCTCATTGAATGAGGAGCTCACCGTCGCCCAAGTCAGCGATAAGATCGTTGCCGAGATGCTTTCCAAGGCATTCGCCCGAGAAGTTGAGTTTTGCAAAGTAACGTTCGAGGCCGTCGTTGGTCAAGATACCGGGACTGGAATCCGAGCTGATGATGATATTGATGGGTTCACCGAGCGGCTTCGTATCGGGAAAGTAAGCAATGAAGCTGCCCTTGCCTAAGGCTTGCTGATTAGTGGCTGCGAGATATCGAGAGGCGCGGTAACCTGCCTTGGAAAGGGTTAATATAGCCACCGATGTCAGGCGATGCATCTGATGTTTGGAGCACATCGCGCCCAGAAAGAGGCTGTGTGGCGATCTGTTCAACGGCGGCCGCAGAAGCGCAAAAGCATGCAAGAGCGACACTTCGAGCGAGCATGTTCTCCAAACTGGGCCTTTACGGGGTGTAGAGGACACCATGGTGCAGCATAGCATCGTCGCAAGGAGACGGAGGGGGTCTGTGTGACGACTGTTCGAAACTGTCGAAATGTTCAATTTAAACAATGGACGCGTTTCCGCGAGGTCTGGTAAAACTGCCCCCGTTGCAAGCAATTGCCGGCCGTCGACTGATCCTTCTGCGACGTCGCCATGTCGTCCCTGCAAGAGTCTCGCGCTCTTGGCAAGCTCGAGAAGCAGCGCGAGCGTCTGCTAGAGGACATCCAACGTCAGAAAGATGCGCTCGCAAGGGAAGCCAATAAGGATCATCTCGATGCGACTCGCTTCGTTGGCAAGACCGACAGCATGGAGGACTCGCTCAAGATGTCCACTGTTGGCTTGCAACGGCTGTCCGACTTTCAGCTCAAGCGGCAGGAGCTGGAGGAGCAGAAGATGCGAGAGGCGGCAAAGACGTCCGACTTGCAGTCAGTTCCTGTAGGCCCAAGTAAGTATGTTGCTGACTTGATCTTGCACGCACCACAGAATCGAAGACCTGAGGCGGAAGAAGAAGAAGAAGGATAAGAAGGCGGCTGCTACACTCTCCTTTGCCGCAGAGGACGAAGCAGAGCAAGATGAGCCAGTGGCGAAGAAGCCAAAGCTGGGAAAGAACCCGACGGTGGACACTTCCTTCCTGCCGGACAGAGTACGCGAGGAAGCGGAGCGGAAAGTGCGCGAGGAGCTCCGTCAAGAGTGGCTCAGGAAGCAAGAGATGGTCAAAGAGGAAGAGATTGTCATCATCTACAGCTATTGGGACGGCAGTGGCCATCGCAAGGATGTCACCGTGAGCAACCTAACGCTGTCATTCGTAGATGCTGATGTTCACAAGAGCAGATGAAGAAAGGAGACACGATTGCACAATTTCTTGCTGAATGCCGCAAGCAAGTGCCCGAGCTGAGAGCCACTAGCGTCGACAATCTCATGTCAGTGTCGCGCCTGAGGATTTACATGTGTCGCTTACCCATCACGAGCAGGTACATCAAGGAAGACCTCATCATACCACATCACTACCGCTTCTACGACTTCATCATGAACAAAGCCCGAGGGAAATCGGGCCCACTCTTCTCCTTTGATGTGCATGACGACGTTCGCCTGGTGGCGGATGCGACGATTGAAAAGGAAGAAGTGAGTCCTTGCCGCTCAAGCGCGGACTACGAGACTGACAGGATCGTTAGACTCACGCAGGCAAGGTCGTCGAGCGAGCTTGGTACAATCGCAATCGACATGTGTTCCCGCAGAACAGATGGGAGACCTACGAGCCGGACAAAGACTATGGTGCATACCGCATCAAGGATGCCAAACTCAGCTAGATGTTCTCAAGTGTAATGTTGTACAACTTTTGCAACTTAGGTGGTAGGTTGACGCGAGACCAGCTCACGTAAAGACCGAGTGAACGCTCGCCAGAGCGATTCGACTTCTGCCTTCTTCTCTTCTAAATCGTTGCGCGAGCCGGACGAGATCTCATCGGGCGAGCGAGGTACGAATGTGCCCATACCATCACGCTTCCTGCGCTCTAGCTCTGCACGTATGAGCGGCGCCGTCTTTGTGAAGCACGCCGCAAGCTCATACTTGAGCATGACAAGAGGGCGACGAGCACTGAAAGGCGCAAGAGCGTTGTACCGCCTCAGGATGGAATTGATCTGCGTGATGGACGCATCATGGTAAGCTCTCTCACGTGCTTCCCAGTCTGTATCTCTAAAGTCGCCTATACGGTCAAAGTCGAGTGCTTGTAGAGGCAAGAGTGACAGCATACGCAAAGCACGCCTCGTCCAGCTATCCTGCAGCAGAGTACGAAAAGCTTGCAGCTCGCCTTCTAGCTCTTGCTGTAGCGTCACAAAGGGCGGCGCGGCGCTCTGTCTCTGCATGATGCGGTTCATGAGAAAGTCTGTGTTGTCGATAAACGGATTCGACTGGTTAATGTCTTGCTGCAGTGGCTTGCCTCTGTACTTGTTCGCTTTGAACAGCCCATCCCTTCGGCCTGTGCTTATCTTCTCTTCTATGAAATTGGTGAACGCTTTGGGATCGATAGGAATGACAGAGCCGCTCGTTCTATTGACAGGCGCAGCGGCAGCTTTCGCCTTCGCAGTCGCGTACTCGCCAAGTGAGTAATCCGCGACGGCATCTTTCAAGCGAGTGAAACGTGCGGATCGGGATCGCTCGGCCTTTGGAGGTATGATCGTCTTGTGGATCGGTCGCACGGGCGCTTCTTGCCAAGATGAAGCAGCCTTGAACTCGTAATCCCATGGGTTCTTGGGTTTCACAGGTTCCGCCGGCTCGACTGTGCTCGATGTCCGTATGAGACGACCCTCCTCAAGATCTTCGTCTAGCACGCGAGGCGTAGGCTGTTGCACTTCTTTCTTGTGATCCTTGTCTCGCAAGGGTGGATATTTGTCGATGAGCATGCGCAAGACAGCATCTCGCGTTGACTCGTCGCCCGTCCATGGTTTCTCGCTAGCATTGGCTACGAGCGTGTGCAATCGAGCTGCTGCCGAGTTCTGCGAAGGATCCGAAGCTGCTTGCCGTTCCTCTTCCTCCGCTAACCGAAAGAGTGCATCTGAGGCTCGTCCTGTCGTCGATTTGTCTTGCCCGTCTGGCCTGCGATCTTCGCGAGTCGCATACGCTCTAGACAGGCGCACCTCGCGCGGCGCAAGTCCAGCTGTGCGCCGAGCGTATGGCCGTACTGCCGACATGCTGAGCGGCACTTGCGATTTGCCACCTCTATCGATTATCGCGTCGTCGTCTGCGTCGCAATGATCGACGACCCCCGTTTCGATGCCGTCGAGGGCGGTCAAGCTGGAGACAGATGCTGTTGAGCCAAGCGGGGCCTTCGCTGCCCATCTGAGTCGATATACACTTGGCCAAGGCACACGACAGTCGCCTCGCCGACTCAAGACAAAGCTCGAACCGACAGACAGTCTCCTTCTCCCTGCGACAGACGAACAAGCTTCCGTCGACCTCAAAGCATCACAGAGTCCCGCATTCGTTCCAACAAAGCTTGCAGAGGTAGCAAGCCCGCGACCTTCACCGGGAAAGAGGCGAAGAAGCGCGAAAGAGCTCGAAGAGATCGCGTTGCTCGAGCCTGTTCCGGACCGTCTTGCTCCGGGCATTCAGCTCTGCTTCTGCGGCATTAATCCCGGTCGGATCTCTTCACTCGTAGGCTTCCACTACGGCAACACTGCACGCAACTCCTTCTACAACTGCCTGCATTTCTCCGGTCTGACGGAACGGCTCCTTGTACCGAGCGAGAGCGTCGATCTGCCTACAGAGTATGGCTACGGCATCACTGATCTCTGCCCACGGCCCTCGCCGGGTATGGATGATGTCGCGACAAGCGAATTCTCTGAAGGCGTGCCGGTCCTGCTTCAAAAGCTGGCTACTTATCGCCCTAAGCTGCTCTTCTTTGTTGGTGTCGGCATTGCTGCCATCTTCTTCAAGGGACTCAATATAGGTGCCCCACAGCGTATCGCCGCAGCCAAGGCATGGAAAGGCTGGTCACAATGGCCCGACCAGACCGCTCGACCTGCCCTGACAGGCCTGCAGCCTTTTTCGCTGCAATTTGACGACGGCAGTCTCTGCTATGTCTACGTGGCCGTCAGCACAAGTCATCGAGCAGCGGGCATACGCGAGCCTGCAAAGACAGCCATGTTCAATGAGGCTAGAATTATCCTCGCGCATCTCAAAGGAGATCAGCCTGATGATATGGTCGAGGCAGCACTAGCAAACACCACGCCGGTATCGATAGCGGCGAAGCCACAAGCAAAGCCAGAGCAAAGATGAGCGTGTTCCATGGCGCAGTCGGGCTGGCAATTCCAACTCGAGGTAGCAAGAACACGAGCTCAGCCCTCCGGCCTGTCGCTGCGATCAGCCCTCAACAGACAGGCTTGCGAGACGCATGAGCTCGCACCCAGCCAGCGCGCCGTCTCAAACTTGAGGAAGGCACCGATGCCCGCCCGTCAGCATTAGAGAATCGGCGTGATGGCCTGGTGGCCGGCTGTACGGTCGACGAGACTGCGTCGCTCTCAGGTCAACGATCGTGTCAGTCAGGCAGCACAGGGTGAAGCATCCTGTCTCGGTACAGACAGATCGAAGTTGCTACAGATGTTCCGAACGCATAACACTGTCACGCGTGCGAGCTGTCGGCCACAGTCCGGATGCTGCAGCAGCCCGCATAGAGAGGAGCGTTTAATAGATGCAGAAGGTGCTTGACGGCCTGTGACTTCGTTGAGCAATGCCCGATCGGGCGCGCGTCAAGGTGGACTGTCACGATGCAGAAATCAACCCTGTAGGGTGAACTCAGGCCTTCAGCTGATGCAATATCTCTTCAGAGCACTATTGCCCAACACCCCTTCCATATGCATACATCGTGTACAACAAATGACCTGCTTAAGCTTGCGCTTCGTTTTCCTGCGCCATACTCTGCAAAACAGCGGCAAATTGCTGCGAGACTGGCCAGACCTTGAACTTGCTGAGGATCTCATAGCCTTGCATGAGCGCTTGAGTAGCAGCGTTCCTTTTGAGCATATCCTCAACGCCAGTGAGTACTACTGTGGCATGAGGCATTCTACCGTCGATCCACTGAGAGATCTGTTCGGCGTCCAAAAGCTGTGACATGTCGACGAGCGCGCCGGGAACTGCGTTGGCAGGAGCCGGCTGATGCACAATCTGGATGTAGACAAAGACGGCAAGCGTACTGTAAAATACCATAAACGGGTCCATCGGATTTGTGCCGGTGAGCATATCTGTGGCGAAAGAATGCAGAAGTTGGGAGGCATGGAATAGTGTTTCCCGTGCGATCCGGCCACTGTCTTGGCTTGCCCAGGTGACCAGCCCGGTCTTGACGTCTGACATCGAATGCGCAGCCTCGCCTTGAGCCAGATCTTGGAGGGCATGGATGGACATGCAATCGTTGAAGCGGAGAAAGTGCCATAGACATGTAAGACCGAGCTGTCCATCGGCTTCGGGTCGGCCACTTTCGATGTTCGCCGTGAGCTCAGCAGCAGGCGGCAAGAACAGCCTTGCAAACTGAACTCGAAGGCGGTCAGAATGAGAGCCCAGTCGAGAGATCCAGCTCGCATCGGAAGGCTGCAACCTGCCAAGGGCAGGTGCTTCAATATTTTGCCATTCAAAGAGTTGCCATTGCTTGCTGTGGATGAGCACGAGAACGAGTCTGACGACAGTAAAGTCGTGCTTGTCTATGCCCAAGAGACTTTGCTCTGGCTCGCTCGACCTCGAGATTTCGTCGAGCCGGCGCAATACGTCTGATACGACTGGTGACGAGGCCGGAACGCCATTATCAGGCAGCAGAGACACCCATTCTTCCGCCGTCTGAGCCTGCCAAAGTCTCTGTGGACAAGGCAGGCGAACCTCTTCCACCATCTGTGAGACATCGTCGCCGCTTGTACCCCAGCACATTGTACAGATTTGTGAGAATGCCTGCCGTCCAGAAGATGAGCCTGGATCTGCTGCCGTAAACATGGAGCCTACCATTGCGGCCCAGCCGATCCGCTGGCGCTCCTCACGCAGCTTCCACAGCTCCCAGCGCTGCTGTGCCGACAAGACTCGCTCTGTCCTCCAATCGACATCCGGCGTGACCAGCAGGCCCTCGCGCAGTGCAATATGCGAAGATAGCGGTTCCATTTGTAACATGCGATCGACCATCTCGCGCTGACCGCAGCTGACGTGATGCAGAGCCATCAATACGGAGGCAATGTTATGGTCCATGGGTCGCAAGACAGTGTCGACACGGTCGCCGTAGTATGCATGCGCTCGATAGGCCATGACGGTCAGTGCATCTGCGTGTCTCTGATTTTCTGCCACTACATCTCCCGCATAGCGTGCCCCGATGGACGCCATTGTCAAAAGCACGAGCGCGGAGGTGTCCTCGACCTTGAAGGAGGGCTTGTGGACCACTGCGCACCAGTTGCCGTAGCACTTGAAGTAAGAGTCGATGAATGCTTTGAAAAGCTCCGGCGTAAGTCGGTAAGCCGGGTCCGCTTCTGCGTAGGGTGAGGTGCTCCACACTTCTTGCAGAGCGTTCTTCAGATGTTCGTACCCGTCTTCTCGCTCGTTCAACAGATGCGCGGACTGATGCCGCAGATCGATTCTCTGAGATGGTGACTGTGCAGTGTCTTGTGGAATACCGTTGAGAGCTGTCTCAGCAGCTTCGAGCTTGAGAAGGGCATTCATGAAATCTTGTCTGACGACCACAGCGCTCTTGTGTTGAGGTGCGGCAGGGGGCGGTGGCAGATCAGCGAGGAGGTCTCGAGTGCCTGGCTTACGCACGACACTGTAGCGAGCGACATAGGGCTGTGCAGGATCGTTGCGAGCATACACCGCTCTAGCATAGGGTCGGTCATAGGTACAGGCGCGACCAAGTCTCGAGCATCTCTCGCAGGGCGAGGTTCCGGAGCAGCGGGTGCGGCCAGCCGAACATGCATCGCAGGAAAGCGAGGTACGGAGAACGTCCGCTGGGTCTCGTCCCGTGAACTGGCGAGAAGCGACTGCCGCAGCGGCTATGGCGCTTGTGGACGAGCTTGTATCGTAGGCTGCCGACGACGAGCCGGGCGTGACGGGCACATCTGCTTGCAGCCTATCGAGCTGAGGATCGAGCTGATCTTGCATGTTATATTGAGCAGTCATGTGGCTCTGCTCATGCCGTTTGAGGATGTCTCTACACAGTGGATTGTCAATATTCGCTGGCCTGTCAGCGAGTCTGGCCTCACTTTCGCGCGAACGATTGATTACAGCTGCCGCATTGGTGTGGCCGCTCGTCGGTATGCCTGCTGGTGATGTGTCTGTCGAGATGCTCTATTGACTGACGGCGTCAGTTGACTATCCGGCCAGACGCTATCGCCGAACCTTTGCGGGTATAGCTCTGTTCCTGACCTGGCGCACAGTGCGGACACACGAAAGTACGCTCTACTGCAGGATCTGTCTGGTCTTCAGAGTCCATGTCACTTGGCTGAGATTGTTACATTGCGTGACGCGACTGGTGACGAACGCTCCCTGCCTAGCGCAGACACCAATGACAAATCAAGACATATCAGAATCAACAAATGCATCTTGCGAATGTCGAAAGTCTATGCAAAGGCAAAGCCAGTCTGGAATGGTCGTGTCAGCGATGGACCTCGAACTTGCGATGGGCAACGCACTTGTCCTTCAGTAATCGCGATGAGGAGGTATTTTCTGAGATCTTCATACGAACTGTACTCCGGCAGGTCAATTTGATCTACATGACCAAAGCTCAGCACACGCGTAGCGACTGTGTGACGCGGACGCACTGAAGCAGGTATGCGCCGAAGGAAGCGAATCGTGGGTATGAGCAGCGACAATCGTGACTGCAAAGACACATGTGTAAGCCAGTGCAACGTGCGTAGATGGCAGCAACTTGCACTTTGTCACACCACTGACGCCTTGGAGAGCCCCAAATCCTTCGAGAGGAACTCGACTGGAGCCCGTGACGAATTGAAGCAGCTTCGCGCGTTCTTCCTGATCGAGCGAGCGAACAGCTCTGCACATGGTAACGTCAGCTAAAGGCTGCAGACGTCATATGATCGCTGCTTACCTCCAGAACCATGTAACAGTTGTCGAGTTGGCCGGTAGATTGTGATAAACCGTGTTTGCTCGCCACTCGTCCACATCAATGTCGGGCAGGCCACTGATGAGTAATTCGAGCTCGTTGTCAGAGAAGATCTGGATGAGGTCCTTTGGTATGATTTCCCAGAGACCAGCAAGGAAGCTGTCAATTTGCGCTTGGACAGACTTGGTCAGACGCTGCTCTGTCACTAGCCTGACATATTCGTGCTTGTTCTCTTGCGTCACGTTGATATTGGCTCCATTGGGCTTAAGCTCCACGATCTTCATCTCGCCGAAAACATCTTCTTCAATGCTAAAGGTGTAGTCGTCCATGACACCCGTGATGTCGTTCTGTAGCATCCACGTCAAGCTCTTGTAGTATCTGTAAACATTTTTCGTGTCAGCGTCGGCTGCTTGAGACGAGAACACGACTTACTCTGGGTCTATAGACTCGAGATCGCTTGGAGAGACTGGCTTGCCGATCATCTGCTTATACAGAGAGCGCGTAAAGTATGCGTCAAGCAGACGACCGTCGAAGACGGCTTTGCCAATGATGCGACCGACGAATTTGAAGAAGGCTAGGTGATCAGTGACAACACTTGAAGTTCGACGAGGATGGTAGGTCAGACGATCGCCAAGACAGGGCTCGAAGAGAGCATAACCTGGGTTGAACATTTGCCGAGCAAGCACATGGAACCATTCTCGAGTGACGCCGCCGACATCGACACCCTCTTCGTCGTAAAAGCGCACACTGAGTTTGCCATGCTTGATTTCTTCCCCTGTCTTGCGCTGTAGCTGAGAGAACGAGTCTTCAAAGACGTATGGGCGGCGGACATTGATTTGCAAAGTATGATGGTGCTCACGGTTGGTGCGCTTGTGAAGCTTCTGATTGAAGTAGTTGCGCTTGTTGTCAAAGCTGCAATCCGTCTAGTCAGCTCACGTTACCATAACCTCGATAGACACACTCTAAAACCTTTGAGTTGTGAACCAAGATTGCGAAAGAGCCCGCCATGAGTGATGGGTTATTCCTGACCATCGTATTGAGCGTCTTGCGATGCCTACGCGTGAAATCGATAAAGGCTCGATCGTTGCCGTCGCTCGAACCGGGCGTATCTACCTTGGGCGACATTACCGTCATTACTCCAAGAGGTTGAGTTGCGTCTGTCAAAATGTAGCGAGAGACGACCATGAGCGCCTCGACAGATGGCAGCAAAACGGTCGTGACGTGCGCAAGCTCAGCTCTGTCTTCGATAGCTGACAGACATTCGCCAACACGCTGCCACAAAGCTTCGAAGCGAATGCCCCGATGGACAGAATCGATCGTCAGCTGCTCGGATTCGCTGACAGCATTGCGATTAATGGCCTTGGCCCCCACCGCAAGACCGCCAGTCGTATCAGCTGTTGATTCGGCTGCGCCCAGGATGACGGTGAGCGTGTAATCAATCGTCTTGAGGATGCGAAGGAGCTTGGCTTGCGTCGACGAAGCGGGCGAAAACTTTGCCAAAGTAGCGGTGCGCGCTGTCGAGGACGGGTCGCGCAAGGCCAAACTGAACTCGCCAAGTTCATTCCAGAGCAGCCCCTCATAGTGCTGTGCGCGGCTAGCAAGCTCGGAAAGAATGACTTCCCGAGCGCCAGGCAAATGCGAAAGGTGCTGGATTAGCGTGAGCGTATGTTGAAACGTCTTGCTAGAGCACTCGCTCGCATCGAGGACGTTCACTACGAGCTTTAACGTATGCGGCGGAATCACTGGAGGAGTGTCATTCAGTGATCTTTCCGCTTTATGTGCGCCATCTGAGCTGTCAGGTTCTGTTGCCGTAGATGTAGACGCAGCTCCTTCCGCTGCATTGGACGTTGTGGAGGTCTGCGCAACTGATGCTGGGGTATTAGTAGCTTCATGAGGTGCATCCGCTGCTGCGCGGCCAGACTGCTCGATTGCTGTTTTGACATTGGGTTTGATACTCGTGAGCGGCTTCGTAACTTGAGCCAACAGAGGAAGCAAACGGTCCATCGCTGATGCCAATCTCAACATTTGAGGCTTGCTGAGCAATGCGAGTAGTATCGTCAATGGGTAGATTGAAGCGGGTGCTTTCTCTTTGCCCTTAAGCTTCTTCATACTTCTTTTGCCAAAGAGCGATGCCTCCTGAGCCGTGAGGAAAAAATATTGAGAATCTTCGGCCGTCTTCGACACAAGGGCAAGAGCATCGAGGCATTGCGCAGCCACAATTCGAGCAGAAGGAGCTTGCGCTTGCTGTAATTGCAGTGGTATTGGCGCATCACCAGTTGCCCGTCGCTTCGATGGAGGTCTCAAATTCGCTTGCTTGCCCGATCTAATGGACATCTGCGAGAAGCTTTGATCGACTGCGGTGATGTCCTGCTTGCGTATAGGAAAGGTCAGCACGACTATACTCAGCTAAGACGAAACGGCGCGCACGGTGCCATCTTGAAGAATGCCAAGTAGGAGGGCAATCAGATCCGAGCGGGTCTGCTGATGTTGACAGATATTTTGCAGCACCGCATACAAGACGTTCTTGTCGAGAGGTTGTTGCAGGAAGAGCAGTCTTGCCAGCGTAGCAAGGCCGGCGCGGTCGAGCAACTGCACCGATTGCGCCATCGAGTTCTTGCGTGTCGACTTCACGGTCGACGAGAATATTCGGCGTCTGCCGATGGGCTGTCCAGGTGGGATAGCTATTGGACGTCTCGCGCGCACGGCTTCGAGCTCGGCGCGCATCGTGGCTGGCAAAGAGGCGACAAAGTCTTGATCTGCGTCTTGAAGCTGCTCGTAGACAGCCTCGCGGAGGTGCGTATCGTTCAGGCTGGCAATGAAGCTAGCCGGGTCCATCTCGGCGGGCACGCCAGCTGGACGATTGGCGGCCCCGCGAGCAATTCGCTCACGTCGTGCGGCTTCTTGTGCCTCCTGACGCAGCACTTCCTCGCGCAGCTCCACAGGGAGAGCATCAAGGAATTCTGGACTGATCGATGAAGGGACATTTGCCGGCACGGGCGGTGGTCTAACTTCTCGGAAGTGTTGATTGAGTACTTCTTGCCGCATGTCGTCTGGTAAAGCTTCCAAAAAGGTCGGATCGATGCCAGTCTCCGTAATGTCCACAGTAGCTCCATTGATTTGTATAGTAACGCGAGGAGCTGACGACGGCTCGGCTGCTACCTCTGCAGCCTGATCGGCGTCACGCGAGGCAGGCACCGCGGCGTCTGGCGCTGAAGAAACGGTCGCGGCGGTTTCGCTCGTGGTCATGTCGGCGTCTTGCGTCGTTTCTGGAGCAGCCACCTCTGCAGATTCGGACGCAGCGAAATCGAAAGAACCCAGAGCATCAGCTAAGTTGCGAGATTGCGCGACGAGATCTTCATCGGCGCGAGTCGTCGCAGGCGATCGTTCCACTCGCTCACGAAGAGGTGCGGCCGTAATTTCGGCAGCGCTCGGATCAGCTGCAGATGATAAATCGGCCCCATCAGCGTTGCGATCGTCGACGGTGACAGACATTGCTGCCTCGTCTGCAGCCGGAACTTTGTCGTTCGCTTCCGCTTTTGCTTTTTCGCTCGCAAGAGCAGTAGCTTGAGCAGCGCGTGCCGCTGGTCGCAGTATACGCAATACTTGCTGTACAAGATTGGGCGAACCTTGAGGCGCTGGCAGACGACCGTGGAGCATGTCGGCTTCCTGATCCCATCTCATTGATGTCGAGGCTGGCACAAGCTGGGGATCTTGCGCGGCTAGATTGCGCTGTGCTGCGGCGATAGTGCTCGAGCCTCTCTCGCCGTATGGCCTGGGCGCAGACAACACTGGACGGCGACCCAAATGCAGGGGAAAGCTAGCGCCCGGGCCTAGTCGACCATCACCAGTGGTCGTGAAGTCAAGCACGATGTCGTGGGGGCCAGGTTCGCCAGTTGAGTGGGAAAGATCCGGCAGGTGAGCATGCCCACGCCCGCCGAGTAGAGTCTCCAGTATGTCCATCGGATTGACGCCGATCGCACTGCTGATAGCATCGATGGCATTGTCACCTCCAATGCGAGAATAATTCCTCGTGAGTTGACGGGCAAAATCTTGCGGGTGGTCAAGCGAGCTACGCAGATTGACGCCCGATCGTCGTTGTTCCGTATTCGCGGGTTCCACGAGCAGCGGATGTTGTCCCGCGTTAAAGGTGCCTTGACCTTGCTGAATCCGCGGTTCTGCGTGGCTATGTAAGTTTCACCAAGATGATTTGGCGAGTAGCGCACCCTGAAGACCATTTGTCATAGGTGAATTATCTCTAGGCTCGACCAGGAAGGGAAAGTTGGACCAATTAGGGGCAGGCACATGACTAGATCTGCCGACAACGGCATCGCCATCGATCTCTTCTTCGTCGTCCTCTTCGTAGCTGATCTCCGCCATGATATCGCTATCTTGGCCATGTGCATTGACCACTTCGGCGAGCAGCTCGAGTTGATCGCCATCGCGCCCTTCGCCAAGTCGCGGCTCACCGTGCTCATTGATGCGCAGATGTGTGCGCATCGTGAAACCATCTTCCTCGTCCTCCGGCCAGCCGGACTCGTCGTGACCATGCTCGCCGCCTAAGATCTGGCGCGCTGCGTTCTCCATCGATTGCAAGGCACGCTCATCACCCGCATCCATATCTGAACCCGTGGCGTAACCCTCGGGATCGAGGTCAGTATCGCCATCAGATTCGTCTCCTCCGTCGTCGTCATGCTCTGACTCTGTGTCGTGATCGTCAGAGTCGTCATCGTCATCGTCCTCGTCGTCATCATCACCGTCGTCTTCGACTTCCTCGTCAATGTCGTCAGCGTCCATCATCTCGGCATCATGCGAGGTTATGCGGTGATCATCCTCGTCATCTGAGGCATCACTGACATCGCTTGGATTGATAGCATCGTCAGCTAGGCCATAGTCGTCCATGGCCTCGTCTTCATCTTCATCATATTCCTCTTGCGACGAATGTGTCGATGGCGCGTCTTCTTGCCCGCCAGTCTCCAGTTCACCGTCAAACATGCCGAGTGCAGAGTTGCGGTAGAGGTCAGATGTCTCATCCATCGTCTGATCTTGTCCACCTTCGACATCATCGTCAGAGTCACTGTCAGGAATACCGAGTTCACGATTACGCGCCGAGCCATAGACATTTTGATGCACTCCCGATGAGTCACTGGTGGGTCTCGCAATTTTGCCTACAATTCGCGTGAGAAACTGGATGGGCCGGAGAATTCGATTGACGAGGTTTTGCACTGCTGGGAAATTTAGGTCGAGCTCTGCTAGAGTATTCGTCAAGATGGTAACAAAATCACGGTCAAGCATGAGTTTTGACATTTGGGTATGCATCTCGTCTCGACGTCGATTATGGCGGAGATCGTCAGGCCCAGGCGTGGCGAGACGATGGCAGATGTCGGCAAGAGCGCACAGCCTGGCGTAGCGAACACTCTTGGGCTCGTCTGACGCGCTTGCGTCAAGTATAGCTCTTGCGAGGCAGTCAAGCACGAGTGTACGAATAGCGCTGATTTCCTCGGACGGCTCTGCGCCCTCATCTTTAACGCTGGCATCGTAGCACAACGCAACGAGCAGGAGCGGCGCCCATTCGGAAATCTTGACGATGCCGATCGGCAGCTTGCGAAGACCCAGATCGTCGACGTTAGCTAGCACAGTCGTTATATTGTCCATTGGTATCAAGTCATGCAGAAGAAAATTGAGGAAAGACGATCTTGGTTTTGCTGGAGTGACAGGGACATCGTCAAGAGATGGCGCTGCAGCGGGAGCAGCGCCTTTACGACGTGAGAATTGAACGAAGCTGGTCTTGCAAGGCCCGTAAGAGTAGAGAAGCTCGACCAGGCATGCGATGACAAATTGCGCATGTGAGGATTGCGCGGCCTTTGCTGCATCGACTGGTCTCTCGCCCTGCAAAGGGCTGCCAGCGACAGCGTTTGGTATGGTAGATGCACTCGTTGGAGTTTGATTCGGTGCGGCTGCAGGCATATGAAGTGCTGGCAAAGCCTTGCCGTCTCCAAAGCTTGACTTGAGCTCGCTGACGATCCTGAGAAGCTCCGCCATCAATGTATGCACCACAATGTCCGTCTCTGGGGATACAGAGGGATTCGTGTTCGCCTTTGGTAGGAGCTTGCGATCGTCAGATGCCTCGTCTACGACCGCAGCGAGGTCAGGCGCGGACGCCGCTTTCCCATCGGCCAATGGAAATTCGCTGAGCCGCTCCTTAAGCATTGTCGAATGAGGCGAAGTAAGCATCAGACGATCAGCCGTGCATTGCAAGAACGCAACCGGATCGCGAAAGGCAAAGAAGCTTAGCGCTTTGACATAGGTAGTGACGTCGACCGAGCGACCCTTCTGACGAGTGATCCAGCGATCGATCTCGCCGGTGCCAATCTGCTTTAGCACTTTGGACGATTCGACCGAGTGACGCAGGATCAGAACTTCGTTAGATGCATCACGATTCAGAGTTTTCTGCTTCAGATGCAGCAGAGCGTCGAGAGCTTCGCGAGTCGCCATTTTTCCGGCGAGCGGCTCATGCCGCGTCAAGATGACAAGCAAACGAAGGACTGACGTCAGCAGATCATCCGAAAGATCCGTTCGACAGAGCAGCTTGAAGCAGACATCAAATGCGATCAGGCGTTCTTCGTCGTACGCTGGTCCGATGACGACGTCCGAGCGAATGATTGAGACATCGTCAGCGTCAGCGTCCGCTGCTTCGCTTGGCTGCTTGGCAGTCTCTGCGGTGCAGAAAAGTGTCTCAAGCAAAAGCAATGCAGGCCCGGTCCATATCGGCATTTCCTTGACGTCTGCCTTGCGTATGTACGAGACTGACATGCGCATAAAGGACGCAAGCATGCCATCGGGCAGAGCGATTGGATCGACTGCCTTTTCATGCAGTAGGAAAGCCGTCAGACGAAAGGCTGTAAACACGCGATCTGCCGAAGCGTCTGGCTCTTCCAGTCTCTTGCAGGTAAAGTCGAAGACTTTGTGAATCCAAGCCGGCGCGTCATCCGAGAAGATACCCGAGCATATCGCCTCACTAAGATCGAAGAGAATGACAGGGAACGCTTCCGCAAGGTCGCAGGTGCGCTCGATGAAGGTCTCCTTTACTCTCGTACGCTGTTCGTTTAAGCCTGGCAGGAGCCTTTGTAGCGTAGCAGTCGGCGTGTCTGGTGAAGCTGCGTCGACTGCCGTTCCATCAACGCGCATGGCGCTGCCCGCTGAGTCAAGCGCGATCGGCGGCTCGTCTAGAACGCTTCCGCCGACATCTGATATATCGCGTGCTCTGGCGACTGTCTCCGGGTTATTGAGCAGAAATTCCGTCGCGGCGATAACGTTATTGTTGAACCTGGCGAGGGCAAGCGTTGCGGCAGGTCGCGGGAAGCCCATGTCTACCACTTGCTGCAGACTATCTGGTCGACCGCCGTCGGCCCTATTCTCTTGCAGCCGGTTGCGCAGGCCAAGAGATGACCCGGTGACCGGAGTCAGTAGACTTTGAGGAGGTTCTGCTCGATCGAGGCTTTCATCCTTGGCAGCCAGAATCGTGAGCATCAATTGCGTCAACGTACGCACGTTGCTCGGACTGCTTGCGGGCCGCAGCCAGGTGGCGTTCCACATTTCGTCTGCGATAGGCAGCAAAGACGCTCGGACACTGACAATGAAGGCTTGTACTTTGCTTTGCTCGTCTTTGGCAGCAGTGCGCATCAGCGACTCGAGCGGTTTGGGTAAGGTAGCGAGCTTTGATGCAAACTCCATCGCAACAGACATTGCGCCTGCAAGCTGATATAGACGGACACTTTGCAGCGGAGAGTGATCCGCGGCCGATTTTGCAGTGATAGTCGAGACCTCATCGATATACTGCCTGAAGAGCGCTATGAGTCGCTGTACGCCGGCCTTACGCTCAAAGAGCACAGCTAGGGAACACTCGGCATATGTGACCGAGCGCTCTGTCATATTCGGGTCTGAGCATGGCCTCACTGAATGAAAGAGCGAGCTGACCTCGACTCAGCAGGCCGACTACTGATTTTGTGACCAGGATCGAGTATGGCAGCCATGGGCTGCATGAAGCGACTGTCACGAGCGGCATTAGCCCAGCATAAAGCGATCTGACGGTTCCGTACTGCTTGTACAGTTAAGATCTTCGCTGGCAATCTGCGCGAGGGTAGCTGCGAGCTCCTCTGTAGATCTGCGCTGCTGGCTGTCAAGGGCTCTTCGCGATGGTATTCGGCCTGCGACGTCTATGCAGTCGCCCTGTCAGCGTTTGCCGAGGGCGCGCAGAATATGACCTCACTTTCAAAGAACCCTTGTATGTGCGTAGCCGTGTCGATAAGCACGTGTCGCAGAAGATTACGATCAGACTTGTCTGTTGCTGCGCTGGCTGGTAGGCCTATGGCCTGAGCGTTGAGCGTGGTGCTAGCCGATGTCGCATCTGCATCTGCAATTGACCCGCTGGCTGCGACGGAATCGACCGCGGACATATTCGCAACCTGCAGATCGCTCTGCGAGCTTTCGGTTTCCGGAGCTGCGCCCGAACCGGCAGTGCGATGAGATTGCAAAGCGAAACTTTCCCAGATGGCGGCTCGACGGAACTGCCCAAAATCGGACAGAAAGGTGCCAGCAGCAAGCAAGGTTTCTGCCACTGATTGCTGGGTCGTACGAGTATCATATGTGATATGGGGCATTACACTAGAGGCAAGACCGGCCAGAGCACGCGCAGACACGAAAGGGTGAGCAGTCGAGTCGAGGCTGATCCAAGCTGGGATAGGTTCGTTCGCGCTGCTTTTGTATTGGGGCTCTTCTGCTCTGTCCGTGGTCCAGAAAGTCCTGAGCGCGGCCAAAACAGTCTGGAGAGCGTCAACAAGCGCGGACAGCGCCTGTGATGCACAAAGCTCGCAAAGGAGTTTCATAAGCGCTAGAAGTGCAGCCGAAGCAGATCCGCTGGCTTGCCCAGTTGTCATGCCGAGCGAAAGCGGCAGTTTGGGGTGTCGGTAGAGCTTCAGGATCGTGTGAATCGCGCCAGCAGCAGTGAGCGTGGCAGCGAATTTCGAAGTCTGACACAGAGACTCAAGGAACTGCAAAGGCCATGTGAGCGAGGAAGCGGAAGACTTGCTAAGCGCGACATACCCGCGCGACCGCGTCAACAGAAGCGAACCATCTGTCGCAATCTGCCTCGACGACCTGATCGCCATATCCGCCAAAAGCGTCGGCGAGATCTTGCACGTTCTCGCGGCCACATAGTAGACGTAGCTTCTCCAGATACGCATCTTTTGTTTGAGCAGTAAGTGCGTCTAGGATCTGAACGATGCAAGTGATGACCTTTGGCTGGAGCGAAGGATGGTGGCGGACGAGCTCATCAATAGTCGCGCCAAACATGGAAGCATTGTCACGCTCGTTGAGCACTTTGACGTGCTCGCTCCGGAGGAAAACTCGGAAGATGACGGGGAGTAGGCCGCGTTGCTCAAAGTCGGAAAGCCCAGCTTCGTTGAGACAGAGAGCTCCGATGGCACTGGGAACCGCCGCCATCACGTCACTAGATGCCTCGAGACCACTGTCGATGGCATCGTAGAAGGCAAGTGGCAGCTTGTTCTCCTGCAGGATGGCTAAAGAAGTAGGCTCGTTGTGTACGAATGTTGCCATAAGGTTGATGGCGACAGAGTAGATGGCCGGTCCGAAAGTACGACGTTGCTCGAGGATCTTTCGTATCGACTGCAACAAGGACGAGTCGATGAGATTGCGAAGACCCTCGGCTGCTCCCACAGTCTGCATCATTCGTAGTATCGAGCGACAGATGGTCTTGAGCAAGGTAAAGGTCGGAAGAGGTAGCTTGCCAAACGTGAGGTCGGCCAAAGGCGACTCGCCATCGGTAGACATATTGGCCTGAACGGCCTGATCGACCATTTCGGCCACTCGGTCGACGAGTACAGTGACACCTTGGGCAGCAAAGAAAGCTGTCGTTGCTGAAGGATAGCTGTAAGTCGCGCCATCGAGCATGATGACCGCTTTGACCGCGACGTCGGAGCTCGACTCTGTCCGATTCCTGAGTAGCTCCACGAGAAGTCCGATGAGGCCGGCAGCTACGAGCGCGTTGCCTGCTGCAGTGAGGCATTGCAGATCCGACATGAAGTTGAAGAGGGCTTCGATGAATTCGCGCGATGATTGCGGACTGTCAGAGGCCAGATCGGCAACAGTCGATCGTAAGACGTTCATAAGAAGCCCATGATTGACAGTGACATTGACAGAACTGGTGACTTCATTCTGTCTGGCACGAATGCGGAGGCAAGCGTCAAGCGCATGGAGCGCGGCGGCACGGATCTCGATGTCGATGTCTTGATCAGGCAGGAGCAGTTCAGCTGTCTGGCGAACGAGCTCTGGATCGCTGACAAAGAGACTCGTCTGACTCGTTGCATCATCAAAGGTCTGCGCAGCAAGAGCGATGCAGAGCAGCCGTAGGATAATAATGCGCTGGCGATCTCCAGAGCTCTGGAATGCTCTTGCAAGCCGTACGCGCTGAAGTAGGTCGAGCTTGTGCTCGGGCGATAGCTTATGTTCGTCTGCGCAATCGGCCACAACGTCGACGTCACTCTTTGAGGCGTCAGTCAGCCGATCGCGATCGATTGAGATGGTAAGTAAGCCTTCCCAATTGGCGGCATGATGGTCAGATCTATTCGGGGTCTCGCCCTGCCCCTTGGAGCCAGACGCTGGCGTGGCTTTGCTCTTCACCTTGGAGCTGATCGGCGTAGCCAAAGCTGCATCGGTGGCCTTTCTGGGGGTCATCGTGGAAACAAAGCTAGGCTGAACGACAGCAAGAGCGTGCTCTGTTACCTCACTGCGCTTGTAGAATTCGAAAGCGAGAGACTGAAGGTGGAGCATGCAAGTCTCGCCCGATTCCGACTTGTGTGCCGCGCTCAGATAATCGATCATGGACCAGGACTTTTCGTCTTCGGCCAGCGGAGCGTCACTGGCCTCGCCAGAGACCTGCATCGTCACCTCATCCGTTTCTAGCACGAGCGCTCCGTTCCAGGATTGGGCTAACGCGAGCAGGCGACTGACGGTTAGGCCATGAGAGCGTGGCGAAAGCGAGCTCGCTGGAGAGTTGTTAGAAGTCTGAGCAGCCTTGAGCGCCAGGCGAAGCGTGAGCTCGAGCACTGATAAGTCAGAGGTATGGAAGAGGTCATCAAGTCTGTCCCATGATGCAAAGAGTTTGCGGTTGGTGGCATGCTCCAGCAAGAGACGCTCAAAGGAGAGGATGCCTTGGACGAGGGCGAGGGTCTTTGGGGTGAATTCGTTGAGCTGAACGTCCGAGTGGAGGCTGTAGTCCTTGATGATGGTCTCGAGCAGGCCATCGAAGCGGTTGAGCGGATTGACCCAGCATTGCAAGTCTGTCCGTGGCCAAGTCCACTCCTTGACAGCCGACAGGACGGCGGCGAGCTCATGATCGGGAGCAGAAGTGAGCTTCTCGATGAGATCAGTGACTGGCTGCGGCTGGCAGGCCAGGCAAGGAAGATGTCAGCAAATGAGGTTGAGAGCACCGAGAGGCAGCGCTCACAGCGACAGAGGAGCGCTTCTGCGGCTTCTTGATCTTTCCCATGGCTCACGAGGGTCGCCTATGCGACTGCGACCATCAGTGGCGTACTCTCAAGGATACTCGAGCCGGTCAACAGCCGGTCAAGCCTTGCTCTTGCTCCTTCTCCTGATGCGACACGCAACGCACGCAAGCGCGTTCGACGTTCACCTCGGCCTCAAACCGCTACAGCGAGCTCGGCTGCGGTCCAGCAGTCTACAAGCCTCCCGACGAGCATCAATCTCCGCGCCAGCTTCTCTGAGCAGCAGTCTCAACGGGCCATTGGCCACCACTAGACTGCTCGCAAAAGCACACGACACGCTCAGCCGACGTCTCGGTCTTGAAGAGGAAACCTCGTCTTTCGACCTTCTGACCGGACGCTCTTACGGTTCGCTTCCATCTGCTGTACACCTATACGACCATGGCGGACGCGGTCGGGCCTATCTCCAATAACGCGAGCTTGCTCGAGGACAAGTCAGTCTAGCTGCACTGTCGTGTCTCACGAGACATGGGAAACTGACGCGACGGGCCTGCGCTCGGCCAACAGGTACATTGGCTTGGGACTTGCAATCTCGAGCTCATTAGCCATCGGCTCGTCCTTCATCATCACAAAAAAGGTCGGCACGACTGGTTACACATGGTCAGGAGAACCGCGTTGACGTTGTGGCGACGCGTTGTAGGGCTTGATAGATGCTGCTGATCGATCAGCTGGCTACAACTCTTCAGAGTCATACTCCTACCTTCACAACCCGATCTGGTGGGCGGGTATGGTGACAAGTGAGTCCTCATATGCGCTGCAGTGGCAACGCTGGGTGCATCAAGTGAGCAGAATTAAAATCAGCGGCTCGCAGTGGTCGTCGGCGAGATAGCCAACTTTGCAGCATACACGTTCGCACCTCCGATATTAGTGACGCCTCTGGGGGCTCTGTCCGTGCTGATAGGCGCCATACTCGCGTCCATATTTCTCAAAGAGCAACTAGGCAAAATCGGTCGCGTCGGCTGCTCGCTGTGCCTAGTCGGATCGATCATCATCGTCCTACATGCGCCAGAGGACAAGGAGATCAAGACTGTCGATGAGATATTGGGCTACGCCGTTCAGCCAGGTATATCCCTTCCGTCAGAGCGAAGCGGGGGCGCTTACGTAAGATCGCGGCAGGCTTCATGTTTTACTGCGCTTTCGTGCTCGGCTTCTCGCTTTATATGATCTACAAAGTCGCGCCACAGCATGGCAGCAGGAATCCGCTAATCTACTTATCGATATGCTCGCTCGTCGGTTCAGTCTCCGTCATGTCCATCAAAGGCTTCGGCATCGCACTCAAGCTGACCTTTGCGGGCAACAACCAACTCACTCATGCGAGTACTTATGTCTTCGCGGTCGTCGTGGTCGTCTGCATTGCCGTGCAAATGAATTATTTCAACAAGGCCCTCGACCTGTTCTCAACGAATGTGTAAGTGTCTCGTCCATTTCTCTGCGTTGTGGCTCATGGGCGCTGCAGAGTCAACCCGATCTACTACGTCTGCTTCTCAACGGCGACAATCGTGGCCTCCCTCATTCTATTTCGCGGATTCAATACATCTGGCGGTGTAAACACAGTATCGCTGCTATGCGGCTTCCTCGTCATCTTCAGTGGCGTGTACCTGTGAGATCGCTTTTCCCTTGCCCTATCTGCAGAAGCTGATAGCCCTTCAGACTCAATCTGTCTCGTTCTGACCCGGACGGCACAGCAAACGGACGGCAGATACCCAACGGGCCACGGCATTCGCTGCTCGAGAATGGCGTAATGCCTAGGATGAGTCTGTCCGGCCGGCAGCTCTCTTCGGATGGCAGCATGCCACTCCAGCATGCTTCTCGCAACCAACGTGGCTCGATTACAGAATCAAGATCATCACTCGCAGATGCACTATCGCCATCAGGGCGGCCGACAGCGATCAAAAGAGGCAGCTGGTCTTTCTATCAACAGCCGAAAGCACAAGCCTCAGTGGTCTTTGATGCGCTGTCCGAAGAGCAGCAGTCCCTCACCGCACGAGCGGATGGAGATTATAGTCGACATAACGGCCTCGCGGGTAACGGCCACGGGCCTGTCTTCGGTCTTGAAGACGAGGATGACGATCAAGAAACACCAAGATCGGCGGATCAGTACAATGGGCGGAGGTGATCTTGATCGCGCGCGAAGTGACGTTGTAGAACATCAGGCACACGTAGCAGTAGAAGTCGGGCGCATATATGTACTACAAGCATTACTTTATCGTCTCTTGTCACCTCGCAACAAAAGTGAAATGATCTGATGATGTTCACCACTCTTGATGGCGCGCAGCTTGGCACGACTGCTGTCCCTTCGACATCAACGCGTCAGTTGTGACGAGACATCCATGCAGGCAGGACAGCAGGCGATTGAATCGTTGGGGAGGCTACTCTAGCGACAGGCTCGCGACTCGGATCAGACAGATTGCGAAACGATGCATCTACCGTCCATCAACTCTTTGCGTTCTCTCCTGGTTGTGCTCTCGGGTCGAACGGTGCCAGAGCAGTAGTGACGAGCTTTTCCGCGTGCGTCCTTACGCCTTCGCGTTCCTGCAATTCGTTTGCAATCTTGCGCAGCCTCTCGTCCTTCAGCGTGACCTCGGCTTGCTTGTCGCCGACTGCATAGACACGCATCACCTGTCGTACTCAGATCTGTTAGCTGTTGCTTCATCAAGTGAAGGTAAGCTTACCTTGCGCCTTGTTGGCTCGTCACGGAGGATGGCAGCAGTGAGCAGGTCATTAGCTGCTATCCGCAAGGCGGTCTCGTCTGCCATCTGACGGCTCCTGAGCAGCACGGGCGCGATAGACGTTGCGAAGCTCTCGCGCGATACAGGACGCGCCGCCGGCAGGAAACGAGCCAAGAGCACCAGTAACGCAAAGTACAGATGACGAGTGATGTGAGCCCCGCGCTGTAGATTGCGCAAATGCATATCCTCTGTCGAGTTGTTCGCGAGTGCGCCTGTCTGAGCAATCACAGCCAGCAAGAGCAAGATGCCAAAGAGTGGTCGCCATCGCGTCCGCCCCGTCGAAGCAGTGAGCAGACCGATGACAGTGGCCACGACAGCGAAGGATCTGGCGTGCCAAGGCAAGGCAAAGAGGATGTAGTCCTCCTTGACGCCTGGCCTGCACCAGTCGCAGAACCGCAAAGGTTCGTCGCCAATGAGGACGTAGATCAAGCGGGCTTCGTAGCTCGTCAGTCTGCTCAGCAGGTCCTGGATGTCATCTTCCAGAGTATGCAGTGCTAGGTCTTTCGATTCTGCTTTGCCTTGCTCTTGCAGATTGTACAGATTTCTCGCCATGAAGTACATCCTCACGTTCTCGTCTGGCGTGTCGAGCGGGATGGGGTGGTCTCTGAAGATATGACTGGGCGCTCTCGCTGCTGCATAGACATAGAGGGCTACGAATGTGCAGCACAGCATCATGCGCCATCTTGCAGACTTTGGCCGAGCAGCTGTGGGTGATTCGAAACTGCTCTTTGACGATCGTGTGACGAGCCGGCTGACTAAGCCAAGAGCTCGTGGAAGCAGTAGCGGGAAGCCGATGGCAATCCCGATCTGGAGCAGATCTCGTCCGCTAAGCGAGATATGCAGACCGGTAACACTCCAATGCATCGTTGCTTGACGTTGACAAAGACGCGCTATTGCTTCGCGTAACAATACAACAGCGGCGAGAGCGTCTTTTCAATGGGCCAATGATTCAGCAAAGCACGCATTTCGTGCCTGCGCGGCGACGACAAGAACCTGCGAGCCGCTTCTAAAGCCGGCGCACGATCAAAGGGCCGCATTCGTAGGCCAGTGAAGCCACTGATCGTCTCCGTAAGAGCAAAATTGCCCAGTCTGCCACTGTCTGTTGGTGACTGCTCGACGATGAGATAGTCAAATGCTCCGTAATCATCCGGCGTCGTGAAGGTCTCTGTCTTGTCATACTGCCAGGTGGGCTCGAATTCGTGTAGGAAGAGCGACGCGCCCGTCATTGCTGTTAGTGTGTCGAAATGGACTTTGCCGGTCACGTCTGCTCACACATGAGACCCGTTTCGATGGCCATCTGGTCTGCTTACTGGCCTGATCCGCACGGGCAGCATGTAATTGCCGTAGAGCGACCCCACCAGGGTAGTTGTCGTACGAGGCGACAGCCGTTATGCACGTCACCGCAATGGTTGAGACGATCAGGACGCCAAAAATCAACCTTGCCAGGGCGCGGCTCTTTTTGTATCTGTTCACACTATTAATCATTGTCTAATCGATACGAAATAGGACTAACATATGCCCAATGAAAGCGACAGCAGCGAAGTTCCAAAGCGGCACAACGTAGACAATGAAGCGCCATTCTTTGTGACCGAGCAGGCTGACCAGCGCTATGAAAGCAAATGTCGGCGCGAGCGTGTTGCGCACACTGCCTAGAGTAAGACAGCCAAAGAGCGCCAATGTGTACGAGAGGGTCAGCATCTTGGGCATGAGTGTGGTGAAGTAAGCCAGCGGTGGCGAGACCCCCCAGTCCTGGCTCTTATTTTCGACGACATTGAAGAGCACAGAGGCAGCTTCCGGCCAGACTGTCCGTTGCCAAAAATACGTATCGATTGCAAAGGTTGCAGCTGTATAATCGCTTAAGCACACTTGAGTACAAATCGCGCAAGACGTGCTTACCCACGCTCAAGATTGCGGCGACCTGCCCAGTGAAGAAAACATGCCAGAAGTCAAAGTGCTGTCGTACGATGCCGGCGATCAAGACGGGCCCGAGCAAGGCTAGGAGTTCAAATCGCAGCGCGAAAGCAGCAAAGGTGAGCATAAGAATCCCAACAGCCGAGTCGAGCCGTCTCGCATCAGGTGAACATGATCTCGGCAAAGGGAAAAGCAGTCGTCCGAGTGCATTCTGAGCTGCACCGAACGCGTCAGAACGGTTCACATGGTAATCTGACGAACGCACTGAGACCGAATGCGAACATATTCGGCAATGTACGAGTCATATAGAAGCACAGATGGAATTGACATGCGCAGAGAATGAGCATGCCAAGCTGTACGGGTCTACCATGTCGTGCGCCTATTCGTCGCGCGAGATAGCCGAGCTGGCTGATGTTGTACAGACCGATGACAGAACGCACTGCGGCAGCTTCAGTCGAGCTACAGAGAGCCGAAACATCACTGACAGATGATCTGTTCCCTCATGCCCGGCCTGCTCAGGTCAAGCGTTGGATCTGCAATTGCTGACAAGTGATTGAAGAGTTTCGTGAGCATGCTGGCGCATAGAGGCCCGATGAAGCTCCTTGGTACTGGCCCAGGATTGATTACATGATCATACTGGTCTCTCGAGCTATCAGCGCAGCGTCAGGAGCCATATCGTGCTGCTCTCGCCTGATAGAGAGCCTCTCGCGCCGTGCCGTATTTGAGCATGTCATAGCTAGCATGTAGGCTAAAGCTCTCTTCTACTTTGGTATAGGGCGCCAGCCAGAGATGTAGCGCTGCTGGTAAGACAAGCAGAGCCTCCATGGCGACCGCTGCAGACGCTACGCAGGTCGAAGTGTGGACGTCACCTTGGAAGTAAATTAAACCGAATCTGACCGATCTGACCACGCGTTTCCAAAAGTCACGCGCTCGCGAAGATATTGGCGCCCGCTCGAATTGCAATCTACAAGCAAACGAGGGGATACAAGAGGCTGCCATGCTGCAGAACCACGCATGTACTTATCATAACGACACGACGCCCGTGCGACTCTTGATGCCATCAAAGATGCACGTCCCTATAAGGGGAACGTACTGTCGCGTGACGAGCTTGATGGCTTCCTGCGAAACGATTCCTCCTAGTATGGCTGCAATTTGCGGCATATCTGAGTTGCCCGCACGGCATCTATTCATACTGTCAGCCCCGGTGCTCGATTGTAGATGATGACAGGATCACTGACACTTCAATGAGCGCATTGCGTAATGATTCCGTCATCGCACCGGCTTCGAGCGTATCGAGAATTTTGAGCGCATGCTTCTCCATCGCTTCGATGTCCAACAGACCGTCTGCATCTGCTGCACTTGTACCCGGCCATCGGAGCTTTTGGAGATGGAAGAGATCTGCCGCACGCAGAGCGATACACCATGCCAAGAGCGAGTCCTCTTGTGCAAGCTCAGAAGCTATGTCGAGGTGTCAGTACCCTTGCGCGACTATGGTAGAGACGAATGGACGGACCAAGTTGGTCGCCTTTCAAGAGCGGACGCTCCCAGTCATCTCGCATCGAACGACCTCTGAGTACTTTGAGATACGCAGCGTGCTTGACGAACGAGCTGATCTGGTCTTCTGGTATCGAGTTGGTATCACGGTCGAGCAACTGCATGATCTTGTGTAGCTCGACAGTGACGGCTTCAAGATCGTGCTGGGCTTTTCGTTTGTAGATGCGTTGCAGAGCGACATAGCCTGCTGAAGTCGCTTTCATGTCCGGCAGTGTCCCCGTCAGAGGTAATAGACCCTGTGAACCACTGCTATCCGATCTGACAAAGTTACGGACTGCCCGTAGCAATAGCCAGAAAGACGTCGACTGGCTTGCGGGTCAGCTACGTTGTGATGACTTGACATTCAGACCGACCTCTGAACTGAGGTGCTCGCATTGTGAATCACTGAAAAGGGCTTCGATCTCGCTCGGAACCTGTATCGAATCATTCAGCATTGCAAGAGAGCCAAAGCGGATAGACAGACTTTGGAGGTATTGAAGAGCTTCGTGACCAGACCTAGCGCTTCGTCAAAGTTCTCCTCGTCAGCTGTCCGCTTGAGCGCGAGAATGTTCTTCTTTATCTCATTGCGCTCTGCCGACGTCTTTGGCAAGCGACCCTCTCTCTGAGCTCGCCACTCTTCAAGCACTTTGATCAGGATGACGACAGAGGGAATGTGACCATGTTCGAGGCTGTCGAGCGTTTCGAATTGGACGCTGTTGACGTGCTCGAGTAGCGCAGGAAAGGGCGCGTCGAGTCGCAAGTCTACCGTGTTTGCGGGATGCGTCTCTACGACTACGTTCTCCATGAGGATCAATCGGAGTGTCACATGAGCAGCCGGGCAACTCACTCTGCATCTCTTCCACTTGCGTGCGGATAGAACCGATGAAGCCGCACGATTTGACGGAGATGAGCGGTATTCTGAGTTCCCAGCATCGATCGGCCAAGGCGAGCGTTTCAGAGGGATGGGTGTTGACACAGACCGCAAGGGAGTACGGCGCAAGGACGTCTGGATCGGAAGCGAGATATGCTGCTAGACTCTGCAAATCAATGCGCACTCGTCAGCTCGTCGTCAGGAGCTGATGGCGTGGGACGACTTGCGCTTGTGACTGAACTGCCTTTGACTGCCTCGTTCATTTCGCAGAGCAGCGGTACGACCTCTTCTGCCCTTCTGCGACCAACCGCATCTCTCGTCAAGAAGAAATTGTGACCGATGTCTTCAGGCTTGACTCTGACTTCGTCCAGTACGGTGAAGGCGCCGATACCTATCGCGTTCATTAGCTTGCCTGCGTCCAACAGTGGCACAAATGGATGTACCGGGCAGGACGAGGTTCTTGAGAGTCTGAGTCGCCGTCGCTGTACCACTGACGACGAGGATGTTGGCATTCTCGAGCGCAGCTTGACCTGCAGTCGCCCATAATCTGTCGTAAAGTGTCATCAATTCGTACATAGGTGGTGCTTTTCCGGCCGAACCTGAGCTGTCTGTCGTAGCGCGCTGTCTTGGCGTCTGGTCTGAGAGACTGCCCGCGGTCAGAGGGCACCGTCTTGCTGGTGACCTCCTCCATCTTGGCGGCAAAAGGGGTAGGACTGAGCTGCAGGCCCAGGATGCGCGCGCGATGCGATCGATGTAGATCTAATCTAAGACAATGAATGCATAGGAGCAGTACAACAACAGCTCGAGCTTGAGCATGCGGGCGGGGAAAACAATGAACAGCTCTCTAGTCGATGAAGAGATTGATGAACGCGCTCACGGCGACGATGGCGAGCGTGCCGATGGCGATACGTCTGAATAACGGGTTCCGCGCCAGAGGTAGCTCGAGCGCATCGCCCTGTGGTCGTGCTGTTCCCGGATCAGCTGGCAATTGCAAGCATCAGCGTCCGAGCGAGAGGCGACGCATCGTGGGCAGACGAACCGACCTCCTTGCGCTTCTGAGGCGGCAGATGCAGGTGTGGGAGGCATAGCCGCCACGTTGGGTCCTCTGTCCGCTTCTCCCATGTTGGGTAGTTCGCGTATATGCGGCTCTGCGTATTCTGGAAAGATGGTACGGAATTTGAGGTTGGCACGGTTGAAGTCGTGCGATGCTCGCGCTTTCTCGCGCTTCTCTGCATCTGTACTCCTCACAGAGCCTGTCGTGATCTCATCCGCTGTCGGAGAGTGTCAGCGCGCGATCAGTGAGCAGAGAGGGAGACGCACAAAGCATAAAGGACAGCAAGCCCGTCAGGATGCTCGCGATCGACCAGGCCGGGTTCCACGAGCCGGGATGAAAGTCTGAGAAAGATGTGCAGAGCTGCAAAAGGAGTGCTAGCGCGTAAACATCTGCTAGGCGCAAGAAGAGAGATGTACCTGCCTTGGTGTTCGGACTGAACCGCCCAGAGGGCGTGATCATCTTGATACCAGGCGGCTTGAAAGGATAGTCTGACGGAAAGCTGAGCACGCCAAAGTATTCCCCGCCATGATACGGCGAATCAGGAGGGCCTGCTCGTCATCGTCGTCGTGAGCGCTTCAGCGCAACGAGCCTGAGGGGCAGTCGAGGCTGCTCTCACCTCGCATGATGAAGAAGCAGTCCAATAGGTTGCTCTCATCTGCACGAGCTATGCTGAACGGCGGAGGCGCCTTTGCAAGATTGGCATACTCCTTTTGCAGCCGCTTGTTGGCTTGCTTGCTCATGACGAGCCGGGCTGAGCGTCCAGTCTGTTATCAACGGCTCGCTGTGTCGCGCTTCCGGCAAGTCGCGACTGTCTGCCATTCGAAGGCCCCTCGACAAGGCCGACAAGATGGCTTTGCCGAATCTTCGCGCGATCGTCAGACTCTGACCTACTCCCCCTTGTATCGCTGACCGGAGATAGCGACAGTTTGCAAGCTATCGATCCCCTCTCGAAGAACGGCAAGCCTCCAACGCGGCATTCTACAAGTTCCTCGGCTGGACGCTCTGCTGCGTCGTCATCTCACTCGCAGCATCGCGCGGCCGTCGTGCAGCACTTCTGCCCAACCCAACACGCTGAAGTGTAAGTGCATCCGACTTTGCGCGCGATCCGAACAAAAGTCCTATGATGAATTGCTCCTCTTCAATTTGTCAATATGACGATGCGAGAGACAGCACACCAGATCGGTTACGGAGCTACCCTTTTGGAGCATGCGCAACCGTTCCTTGCTCGCTCTGCAAGCGCTCAGGTTGCAATGCAGCTCGTGCAATGACGACCGAAAAGGCCAAATCTGAGGCCGCGCCTCCTTTTAACCCACGCGCGCACGTAGATAGCTAAGCTGACATCTGCACAGACAATGTCAAGTGCATATTGACATCTGCTGTTTCATCTCAAGAAAGTGATCTTGCAAGACTGTTCCAATGCTTTTCAGCCTGTGACCAGCATTAGCGCCCTACGATACGAGATCATGTCGGCGCTTCGTGACGTGAACGCCGAACCCAGACGAGGTATCAAGCTGACCTGCCAGACCCATCATGCCGCAGTGACGGGTAGCACATTCAGATCAGAGAAGACAAGCTTGCATGTCCGTCAAGGGTTGCAAGATGGAGTGCAATCGGGCACCCGTCTGCGCTGAGTAGTCTTGCAATGTTGTACAACATATCATCTCGTCATCGCTGGGCTGGCTCGCCTGACTGAGGTGGGGGAGGACTGAACGCACTGAGCATGCCCAGGACACTAGATCGCATTCTAGATCGCACATCAGCAGAGGCAAGGCAAGCAGGAAGGCTATCGAGCTCACTCTCGCGTCTGCTTGTCGATATCTTCCTGCATCATCTTCTTGATGCTCTCTTCGTTATCCTTCCAGTACTTCTGTTCGTCCAGGTAGATCGCTTGCGCTCTCTCGCGATCAATCTCGATGGGCAGACGAGGCGGTGCGGAGGAGCGTGGCGCACTACTCAGACCGAAAAAGGAAGCCAGATTCCACCCTCGGTGTTGGGATTTGATAGCCTCTTGCTCTTTCTCCCATTGTTCGACGACCTGTTTCTTCATTGCCGCTTCCTTCTGAGCATACAGAGTGGGGATATGTTGCCCCTCGTAAGCTTCGAAGATGGGTCGGACATCGCGAGGCATGTTGATGCCCACGGCTTCGAGGAAGGGGATCCAAGCGATCAGTTCCTTGTCGTCTCTCTCGCCGTGCCATGGTTTGAGTGCAGCTCCGTTGTTGGGATGAAGCGGGAAATTGTCCTTGTTTGTATCGAGGATGATGACTTTTGCGAGATCTCGGCCTAGATAATTCAAGTCCTACATGATATGTCAGCCTGTCTGCACTTGTTGAGCGGCACACAGCTTGCCTTGATATACTGTCGATCTTTGTATCGTGTGCAGTCACGGAACAGCTTGTACAGGATATTGCAATTGAGCGGATCAAGTTTCTCAATGATAGGCAGAGCGGTCTGCAAACGGGTGCTCAGAGTTGAGCGTGCCATGGAATATGATAGACGTACATAGGCAGGCTGGTTCGTAAAGACGACGATCTCGAAGAATTGGTTGAGATAGGCCAAGAAGTAATCGACGCCAGGCCGCTTTGCCGTTCGCCATCCATGCTCGCGCTAGGATCGACAAGTCAGGCAAGTCTCATGTGTGAGTGACAGGCAAGACTTGCAGACCATTCTGAATGCACGAGCAGATCGTCCAGATCAAGTATAAGTGTGTATGGTTTCTGATGGGTCGCTGGTAATTCTGGCGGTAACAGAGGTGTCCAAGCGGGTTTGTTGAAGTACTGAATGAATAGTCAGCATCGGACTACATATGAAAAAGAGTCTGGCCGACATCGGTGAGATCGACGAGACGCGCTTTGGCGCGATAGTACCTGATGGGCAGAGCACCATCTGTCGGGACCTGCAAAGATATCAGCTACGTTGCGCCAGTCATCTGTGAGTCTGACTTCAGATCCTAGGATGAGTCGCTCCGCATCATCGTCCCAGTCACGCCCCATGTGCCACAAAAGAACGCCCGCTCCGGCAGTCATCAAGCCGAGCAAGGACCTCGTCAGAGTCTGCCGCTTCTTCTCGATAGAGGACATGCTCCGTCTCCCCTTGGCTGTGCTCTTTGCGCCCGTCCTCGGCTCATCGCCGAGCACTTCCGTTGCATCCAGATAGGAAGAGGCCAGAGTCTCATTGGATCGCGTGAGACTTTGTCCGGCGGCCGTCGAAGGCGTTCGAGCGGCTGTTGTACTCTCCTGTATCGCCTGACTCGATTCTGCTTGATCGGGAGGAGCAGAAGAAGGTACGGCTTGGGTATCGAGTGGGTTCTGTGTCTGCTGGCCCAGTCGGGTATCGAGCACAGCTGGATCGCTCGACGTTGCGCCTTCCGTCACAACATGCTCCGGAAAAGCTGCATCCTTGTAGTGTTGCTCCTTCTCTACCGCATCGGCCGAGGCAGATGGAGCAGACGACTCGTCTGTCCGTCTTGTCGTCGATCGAGAGTAAGGCGTATACTTGAGCGCACGAGGTGGCTTGGGCGGCGTGGTATAGCTCTGCCTTGGCGCAAGAGCAGTCTGTCTGGCAGTCTGGCGAGACTGTGTGGCTGCTCTGAGCAGCTGTCGACTCAGCATCGTCCTCCGAGCAAGTCGGCCTGCGCGAGTCGGAGCACTCTCAAAATTTTGGCCGACCCTCCAGCCAAGGATCATGTCGACAGACAGCGACGCAGCAGACAAAGCGGCACGTAGAGCGGCACGCAAAGCAGCCAAGAAGCTCGCCAAGGACGCACTGCCGTCAGCTCCGGTGAATGGCACTGCTGAGCCCGAGAAAAGCTCAAAGAAACGCAAGTTGGACGATGAGGGAGCAATTGCAAGCATAGACGACAGTGAAAAGGCTGCAAAGGCCCAGCGCAAGCTAGAGAAGAAGCAACGCAAGGCTGCCAAAGCAGCTGCAGCTTCCGCAGCTTCTTCTGCTGCGTCTGCGAGCGAGCCCAGTGCGCCAATTGCATCAACGTCCACAGCAGAACAAGCGGCATTCTTGACAGAACACTCGATCAGCCATGAGCCCGACTCTGCAGCTACAGAGTACCCTCCTGTACTCAGCTTTGACGCTCTGCCGCTCACCAGCAATCTGCACGCCAGTCTGGCTACATTTGATTTCAAGTCGCCGACACCCATCCAGTCTGCTTCCTGGGGCGTCCTCTTCAAGGCCAAGGATTGTGTAGCCATAGCAGAGACTGGGTCCGGCAAGACCATGGCTTTTGGCTTACCTGGCCTGCACTATATCATGTCTCAGGAAAGTACGAAGAAAGCAAAGTCAGTGGCCATGCTCGTGGTCGCGCCGACGCGCGAGCTTGCCATGCAAACCCACGTCACGCTCGAAGCGCTTGGCCGACCTATTGGACTGGGCGCAGTGTGCATCTACGGCGGTGTATCCAAGGACGAACAGAAGCGACTCTTACGAGCTAATCCGCGTATCGTCGTCGGCACGCCCGGCCGTCTGCTCGATCTCGCCCGCGAGGAATGCTGCGATCTCAGTCATGTCAGTTGCCTCGTACTGGACGAAGCAGACAGAATGCTTGACAAAGGCTTCGAGAACGATATCCGGACGATCATCGGCATGTGCAAGACGAAAGAGCAGGGGAGACGGACGAGCATGTTTTCTGCTACTTGGCCCACCTCGGTCAGACGTCTGGCCGCAGATTTCATGTCTGACCCCATCCGTATCACCGTTGGCTCGGATGAGCTCACTGCCTCTACCTCGGTAAGATGATGCTGCCTGACTCGTTGATGCAGCTGGCTTACACTGCGCACAGGTGGAGCAAACCGTCAAAGTCCTTGCAGACAGTCGCATGAAGGACGACGAACTCCTCAGGACGCTATCCAAGGCAGGCTTCAAGCCAGGCAAGGCTTCTAAAGCGCAAGGCAGCGGGGCCTCTCGCGAGAAATGTCTCGTCTTTGCGCTGTACAAGAAAGAGGCAGTCCGAGTGGAAAACTACCTCTCGCGCAATGGCTACGAAGTATGCTGCATCCAGGGTGATCTCAGCCAGGACAAGCGAACGAAGGCGCTAGACGATTTCAAGACGGGAAAAGCTGGCTTGATGGTAGCTACCGATGTCGCTGCTCGTGGTCTCGACATACCCAAAGTCGAGCTCGTTATCAATGTTAGTATCTTGCCAGCCCGTGACGGCACAACGAGCAATGAGCTGACGCTTTGCGCCTGCAGTATACATTTCCCCTGACGATAGAAGATTATATTCACCGTATAGGCCGAACAGGAAGAGCCGGTCGCAAGGGAAAGGTACGCCGTTTCTTTCTTCGCATGCCGATAGACAGACCTGATGAGAGACATCAGAGCATCACCTTCTTCGTTGGCGACCACGACAAGGCGCACGCGGGCGAGTTGACACGTGTGCTCAAAGACGCCAAGCAAGAGGTGCCCGAGGCGCTGACGGCCTTTGGCGGCACGATCAAGAAGAAAGAGCATTCTGCTTACGGTGCTCATTTCAGAGATGACATCAAGGGTACAGCGAAGAAGATCATCTTTGACTGAGCCTTGGTGAGATCATGCATGCTTGTCAAAAGTTTTGTGAGAGAAAGTAGGGAACGCTAAAGCTCGCCGAGCGTCATTTGGGGTGTCACCAATCTCGCAACACGGCCTGGTCGAGAGCTCGTGTGAGCACCTGCGCTGTGATAGTAGACGGCCTAGACCGATCGCGGTAGAGAACGGCGTTGTCCTAGACGAACGAGCACTCTCGCCCCGCCTCCGCTGCACCGCGACATCATCACAAGCTCGACAGCGGATCAGCGCCCCATACACCCTTGCAGACCGGCGCATAGCATAGAATACTAGCACAGGTAAGGTCTTGTCTTCTGACTGACCCTCACTACGGCTAAAAAGCAGGTATTTTGCAGCTCGCGCACTCGAAGCGGACGTGCGCCATTATGTCTGGCTTTCTCGGTAAGGTCACCGGGCGGGACAAAGCTGGCTCGCCCGCGCAAGAAGGCAAAGCTCCAGAAGGTGCCAATCCCGTTCGTCCCTTCCCCCTTCGTTCGCTATCTCAACGGAATTTGAGCATACTTGTTCTTGCCATGTAGGACGATACCGAAGTTCTCGATGAGGGCGACAAGAGCATTCTCATGGGCATCATCAGTCAACTCCGTCCCGGTGTCGACCTCAGTAGGCAAGTCCATGGCTCGTAACGCGTCTGGTCGACGCTTATCGCTCGAGCTTGGCCGCGCAGAATCACGTTACCCGTCTTTGTGCTCGAACCCCGCTCGATGCTCGAGAGAGTCACCGACTTTCTCAGCAGTCCGGATCTTATCTTCGGGCAAGTCAGGTCACTCTTTCGGCCCGCGCGGGAGCTCACGCGCGCTGTGTCCGCTGCAGAACTGGATCGAATCCCGACTCGAAGGAGCGCTTCATCCAAGTGCTCAGATACTTTCTTGCGGGCTGGCATATCAAGCCAAAGGGCGTGAAGAAACCGTGAGTTTCAGCTCATCTAGAAGTTCGCAAGCTCACTTGCGCGATGTCAAGGTACAACCCCATATTGGGCGAGTTCTTCAGATGCAGATACGACTACAATGACGGCACAGTAGGCTACTACATCGCCGAACAGGTCTCGCATCACCCACCCATCTCTGCTTACTACTTCGTCTCGCCCGAGAACAGCCTCGTCATCTATGGCGAACTCCGACCGAAGAGCAAGTTCTTGGGCAACTCTGCTGCGACAATCATGGAAGGGACATCAAAGGTCAAGTTCCTCGATAAGCCAGAGGACGGCGAATACATCATCTCCATGCCGAACATGTATGCTCGCGGTATTCTGTGGGGCAAGGCAAGTCAGACTCGCTCTTGGCTGCTGGCTTCATGCTGACACGCATACACAGATGGTGCTCGAGATTGGCGATGTCAGTCACGTCGAGAATGCTGCGAACGACATGACGTGCGACATCGAATTCAAGAGCAAGCCTTTCTTCGGCGGCACCTACAACTCTTTGCACGGTCATGCGAAGGAAGGCAAGAAATCTGAATTCGCGGAGATCAGTGGCAAGTGGAGCGAAGTCATGGAGATCAAGCGTGACGGCGAGAAGAAGGTCCTGTTCGATGCCGGCAAAGCGGACGTGACGCCAAAGAGTGTATCTGATGAAGCTGACCAACTCGATCACGAGTCCCGAAAGCTATGGAGCAAGGTCACTGCCGCGATCAAGAAGAACGATCTCGATGCTGCCACCGATGCAAAGACGGCGATCGAAGATGCGCAGCGGGATCGCGCAAAGGATCGCGACCACAAGAGCGAGACTCATGAGCCGAAGTACTTTGTGCTCAAAGGCGACGAATGGGCGCCCAAGTTTGAGTACGTTCTCTATCTCTTGCGTTCTCGTGGTAGCTCAACGAAAGTGTCAGTCTGCCTTCTGACCCGAAAGAGGCCAGCAAAGCGGTAGCAGAATGGATTTACGGCAGCGACAAGCAGCCGCCATCACGCGCATCATGAGCGCAATCTACTCGTCGCATTGTCTCGCTTCACTTGTCTGCATGCTCTCAGCTTTCGCCCGCAATCTCGTCTGTCTTTCGGGCAACAGAAGACAGAATTGCACGATACACACGCGCGCACGATCAGACGAAATCCTTGCCGATGCATCGTTCAGAGTGATTCGAATTCGCAGCTCCTCTATCGCCAGACCTTTGTGACCTTTAGATCTCGAGACATAGTGTAAGCATAATGGAACTCCGTTTCGCATCACAGTGTCGCGTCGCAGGTATCGCCTGTTGCATCTGTTGGCTGACCTTCATCGCACTCTACTCAATCCGACTCTACTCAACTGCTCAAACTCAAGATGTTGTTCAAGCTTGCTATCGTTGTCTTTGCCTTTGCCATGCTCGTCAACAGCTCGCCTATGCCTGACGAGTAAGTTCTCTTCGTGATCACTTGCAAAGCTGACCCCCTGATCCGACCAAAGCGGCACTCCAGCCGCTTCGGACGACAAGCCAGATGGATGCCAAGTCTCGACCGGTCAGTGTTTATCCGCCACATCACACGCATCAAACTCATTGAGCGAGACAGCGCAAAGTTACGTCAATTGCAACCAAAGCGACAAGCAGTAATAATGTTTGCCACCTCGGCTGTGAGTTGTTTGGCGTGGATGGCCTGCTCAAGCTGACGAGCTTCTCGAAACAGCCCAAAATAGCCACGCTGGATGACGAGCCGGCCAATACTCAATGTTGGGAGACCTAGTGCACACCCATGTCTGCTGTGATAGCGCCAGGCTGCAGTGCGAGCTGCATCGCGGCGGATCAGCGACGGTACGCGGACTGGAGGGCAAGGCGCACACATGACATGCGCGCGAGAGAGACGAGTGGCTGTGGTCGCGCTTGCCCATCTCTATGTTGCTTCTTGTCCTTCTTGTCGTCGAGTCGTTGGTCTGATCTGATAGAGTTGATGGCGAGAGTCACACTCTTGTCCGACGAGCAGATGCGCCTCCCGATGATGTGCATGAGCTTTGTCGGCATCACAGCAGATCACCCGTCTTTGGCTGACATCCGGTCGCTGCAATCGCACGGCATAGAAGCAGCCATCCCTATCAGTCTGCAAGTTCTGCGTTCAGGGCTCCTATCGGGTTTGCAAGATTCGAGAGTGACTTGTCGTTCTTCTTGCCGACCGCGTTCTCATCCTTATCGACCAAGTGCGCCTCCGACATGACAAGCCCGTATGCAGTAGAGCATTCCAAGCGTCATGGGCAGCACAAGTTCGCCTCATCACCATGGGACAGATGGTTCCCCTCATTCGATAGTCAGCCAGGCTACCGTCTGGGTCTGTGCAGATCGGCATTTCTGAGCGGACTCGAACGCAGCTGTCGTCTTCTTGTCGAGCCAACTTCTCCTCTCTGCGAGCGAGTGTGCCTACATGGGATGGCCGTGAGCTGCTCCTGCTGTTCCGTCCACGTCACTGGCAACACTCCTTCGTTCGCTGCATCACCGCTCGACAGAGATGCTCCCATCATCGACTGCTCATACGAAGTTAGTCTCAAGGCTCCACTGACGGATCCTCGCTCGAGTATGAAGCGACTATATCGGCAGCATCGCCAGAAGTGCAGGTTGTCGTCGAGTTGAGTGAGTCGCGCAATTCGCGGCCGGATTTTGTGCGGGAAAGCTACACGCCGCCTTGTTTTCGAATAATATCATTTGGATCGCACAGGGCGCCTCCTTCTCAGCGCGTACGTGACCGTTTGGCCGCGACGACGCGTGACATTAGACAGTCCTAACCAAGCGTCATTCGCTCGGAGTCAGTCAACCCGCTCGTTGCAAAAGGTGAGCATAAAGTCATATTTGTATATCGCAGCGGCAATCATCATCATCAGCTCTGCTACCTCCTCGACGACATGCATAGGCCGCTGGCAGATCTGCTGGCCTCAGCACTCACTGTACCGTGACCGGGATAGCTACAATCAGCGATTTCGATGCGCGCAGACACTCAAAGTCGAGATGAACAGAGAAGAAAGCAAAGCATTGCATTGCATTGCATTGCGTAGTCGTAGCTGTCGAATCGAGAATGAGCGCATTGGCAGCAACCACTGCTGGATGAAATGCTCTTGCGAGTGCGTCAGCAGTGACATGGGCGAAAGAAGAGAAGGACTCATAAAAGACACGCGTGAGAGAGACGAGTGGCTGGTATCGCGCTTGCCCGTCTCTCTCTTGCTTATGACCCCCGCTGTCGCCATCCTGAGTTTGCGCTTGCAGAGTCGCAGAGTCGTTGTGGTTTGATAGAGTCAATGGCGAGAGTCACACTCTTGTCCGACGAGCAGATGCGCCTCCCGATGATGTGCATGAGCTTTGTCGGCATCACAGCAGATCACCCGTCTTTGGCTGACATCCGGTCGCTGCAATCGCACGGCATAGAAGCAGCCATCCCTATCAGTCTGCAAGTTCTGCGTTCAGGGCTCCTATCGGGTTTGCAAGATTCGAGAGTGACTTGTCGTTCTTCTTGCCGACCGCGTTCTCATCCTTATCGACCAAGTGCGCCTCCGACATGACAAGCCCGTATGCAGTAGAGCATGTCAAGCGTCATGGGCAGCACAAGTTCGCTTCATCACCTTTACACAGAGGGTCCCCCTCATTCGATAGTCAGCCAGGCTACCGTCTGGGTCTGTGCACATCGGCTTTTGTGAACGGACTCGAACGCGGCTGTNGTCTTCTTGTCGAGCCAGCTTCTCCTGTCTACGAGTGAATGCGCCTCATGATGATACCCGTCAGCTGCTTCAGCAGTTCCTTTCAATCATTGGCAACATTCTCTCGTTTCTTGCGTCACCGATCGACAAAGTGACTCCCATCTTCGACTACTCGTACAGAGCTAGTCTCAAGGCTCTGCCATAGGATCCTTGCATGAGTATGAAGTGGCTGTATCGGCAGCGTCGAGTCGAATCGAGTTCAGTCGAGTCGAGTCGAGTCGAGTTGCGCGAACGCGAAGTCGGGAATCGGAGCAAGTGCAAAAATACTGGAAGATATTTCATCTGATGCGATAGACTGCTGCCCCGTGTCATCGCCCGCACGACGCTCTGTCGCGCGTTTGCCTCTGACTCTGGCAACCATGATCCCGGCTCTAAGCGCATCTCAGTCAGACTGACCACCAGACCAAGCAATGTCTAAGATCGCTACTGCCATCTGCATTGCTTTCGCCTGCCTTGCCATGGCTTCGCCGACAGCACAATCGTCAGCCTACTGTACGAAGATCAGCGAAAGCTAACACTAGTCTCTGCCAGGCAAGCCATTGGCGCAGATAACAGCAGTGGCGAGGGAGGCTGTACACGCATGTGTAAGTCTCCAATGTGTGCTTTCCAGTCTCCTACTGACGAGTAATGCAGCGAATGGCGGCTGGCGATGCGTGCCGTCCAAATAGGCATTGCGCGCATCAAGGTCCGCGGCAGTGCCAATCGATCGGAGAATGAAACGACAGGCGTAGTTGCAAGTCCGTGTTGATGATGGACGAGTCTTGCCGTTGGTTGGCTCGTGTGAGGTCATGTGCGTGTTTCAACTCTGAATGAAGCACGACTGAGGCTGTGAAGAGTCAGAGTTTGGAGCAAAGTGTCTTAATGCACGTTCGACGCTGATCACGTTGAGCACTCTGTCTCTCTCGCCGTGCACAGAATTGTAAAGTAGAGACGAGCAAACAATGTCGAAAATCACCATTGTCATCTGTCTTGCTTTCGCCTGCTTGGCAATGGCTTCGCCCGTCAATGTGCCGTAAGAGCTCGCCTTTGCTTGTTCTGATCGAACCAAAGCTGACGCACGGTCGGATCCCCAGCAGAGCAGCCGAAGCTAAGCTGAGCGATGCCGAGGCCGGCTGTAGAAAGATGCGCAAGTAGTTCGTGCTGAATGCGTGCTCTGACTGACGTTTACAAGAGCAGCGGATGGGACTTGGCAATGCGTGCCCACGCTCCCTCGCAAGTGAGATCGCTGACAGCCCGTCCTCTGTAATGCGATGCGAAGAGAGGTCGATCAGCGGTAGTGGTACTTCGCAGCTTCATAGCCTGTCGGGAGACCCTAATGTAGACTTTTGCACCCATGGCGAGTGCACTTGTGGCTGAAGAGTCCTGCATGAGACTCTTTCCTCGTTGAGATGTGCCGATGACTCGGTCGTGAGCTCTATCGAAGCGATGATGTACCAGTCGCAAGGTGGCAAGACCGCATCAGTCAGGCCAACGAAACACGCAGCAGGTTGAAAGAGAAAGATCTGCATTAATACATGTACAGAAGTCTTACACTGCCAGTCGATATGAAGCGTACCGCCCTGCCGTTTCTGCGAGACTTTGCACCCGTGAGCATGAAACGGACATGAAGATGCAATTCCTTGCCTGAAGGACGAGTAATCTTGACAACCTGGCCTCTCTTGAGGCCGTAGTACCGCGCAACAGGGTCGCTGAGCAGTATACGCGGCAGCTGCGTATCTTTCAAGCGACTATAGACGTGCATCAGTTCCTGTTTGGCACAGAAAATGACAAGTCTGACTATTTCTTGAGTAGCTCTGCTTTGTCCATTGGCGAAAGGACTTCATGCTTGGGCACGAGCGTGTGCTGTGTGATGTTGACGAGCAGTTCGCTCTCAGAGAGGGCCTCTGCTGTCGTATGCTGACCTGCTTGCGCCAATGCCTGCAGAAAGCGCCAGGCTCAGTCTTGCCCGCATAGACTGAAGACAGGGCTCGGCTTGCCCTCAGCGCAGGCGGCGTGATGCTCTGTTTGTAGATCAAGATGCCGCTATGTAGGTTGCGATCGAGCAAGACCGTCAGGAATCTGTCACGTTGTCAGCTCTGGCATGGTCAAGACAGAGCAGGCAAGACTGACTCCCTGACGGGTTTGATGCCGAGCGATCTCTCTTCGGCGAAAAAGACGTAGATCTGTTGCACTTCTGTCTCTTCCCTGCCAGCTACCGGAACATGTCTCGACGCATGAAAGTTGAGCGCTGTGCGGCTGTCGATCCGACGGTCAGACCATTAGCATTGCTTGACGCTACGAGACTTGCTCGAGGTGTCCGTTCATGGTGTATGACTCTGTGAACTTTTGCAAGGACATGTTGATCTCCTGCTCGGACATGGTGTAGCCCTGCAAAGCTCGTCTGAGCTCTGGGCAGCTCGAACAGGCGTCGGTGCTGACCCTATCTCTGCAGAGCTCGCGGACGGTCCTGTTGACTCGCCATACTCGAGCGATATCTCGCTCCGTGTCATCATCCTGCCAATCAGTACCCGTTGAGCACGATCCAAGCGTGCCAGGGTGGCCCGACTGACCATCGTTCTTCGCCGGCGTGCTGCACTCCCTTTGGACGTACAAAATTCGCGACTCGGCGGCTCGACGTGGTCTCGTCGTGCTGTCACGGCTGACCGGCGATGATCTTCTGCCCGACCTGCGCAAACTTGCTCATCGTGCAGACCTCCGAGCAATCGACCAACTGCTTCGGCTGCCCAACATGTCCCTATCTCTACCCGATTAAGCGCAAGGTCACTTTCAACCTCTTGCAGGTCCTACTGGCACTCAATGGGGCTCCCTACGACAGTACTACGACCCGAAACCGCAAAAGAGGAAGCAAGTCGATGATGTGCTCGGTGGAGAAGATGCTTGGAAGAATGTGGACTCCATGGCAGGTTCGTCAGACTAGACTGTGCCGTCTATCGGAGCTCAAGGGGCTTGTGATGGACAGTACCTTGCACGAAGAAAGACTGCAATGGGACACGAGCATATTATATGCAGATCCAGGTGCGGTCTTCTCGTCCAATGCGCTTACTTGAGGCTTAGAGGCGAAATACGTGCACAGACGCGTAGTGCAGACGAGCCAATGACGACTTTCTACAGGTACGCACCTTCCCTGATATGACATGTGCATGCTGAGCATAGACTCGCAGGTGTACACTCTGCGCGCACAATTGGAAAGAATGACTGCTTGCATGCCCGCCTATTTGTACACGCTGTTGTTGCGATTCTAAAGCCATTCTCTGTCATCGCTCGCCCATGAGCCAGTGATCTGAGCCAAGCACGAAAGACTGACATTGTTCCAGGAGGCTTGGAAGTGATATCGTACGTCACCCTGTTGACGCCGGCGACCTCGTTGGTGATTCTGGATGAGATCTTCCGCAAGACGTCTGCAGGAAAAGGGAACCAATCTGCCGTCATGAAATCTTGCGACTCTACCGCTCTGAGCACGATGACCTGATCGTATGTACGCCTATCGCCCTGGACTCCTACAGCTTGGACAGGCAACAGTGCAGCGAATGCCTGAGAGATCTTGTCGTAGAGTCCTGCTCTGCGGATCTCTTCAATGTAGATCGAATCGGCGTGCTGAGCAATCTTGACTTGTTCTCTCGTCACTTCGCCAAGGATGCGGATAGCTAGACCGGGGCCTGGAAAGGGATGTCGCCCGACGAGATGGGCAGGGATATCAAGCAGTCTGCCAAGCGATCGCACCTCGTCTGTGTTGACCAGTGAATCTCAGTCAGAGCATCTGACTCAAAGCACGGTAATGCACCTTTGAAGAGCTCGCGGAGGGGCTCGATCAACTTCAACTTCATGTTCGCCAGTAAGCCGCCAACGTTGTGATGCGTCTTGATCGTTGCACTGGGACCCTTGAAACTGATCGATTCAATCACATCGGGGTATAATGTCCCTTGCAGCAACCATTCTATCTTGCCCTTCGCCTCGCCTCCTTGCACCGCTAGCTCCTTCTCCGCTTCCGCTTCAATCTCTGCTGCTTTCGCTTCAAAGACCTCGATGAACGTATTGCCGATGACTTTGCGTTTCTTCTCAGGGTCGGTGACGCCTTTGAGCTTGGTGAGGAAGAGATCGCTCGCATCTACTACCGTCAAGTTGACGCCAAGATCTTCGTTGAGCATCTTGTGGACTTGTGCGGCTTCGTTCATTCGTAGTACGCCATTGTCCACCATGATTGCATGAAACCTGAATCTCATCGCTCAGTAGCTTGTCATGCGCAAGCGAAAGAACAGGACGCACCGATCGCCAATGGCTTCGTGCATCAGCTTTGCAGCAACAGAAGAATCGACGCCACCAGAGACTGCACCGATCACTTGGCCTTTGGGACCCACGAGCTCTCGTATCCTTGCAATCTCCTTGTCGATGAAAGTCTCCATCTTCCACGAAGCCTCACAGCCGCAGATGAGCTCGGCAAACCTGGCGATGACTTCTTTGCCTCGAGGCGAATGAGTCACTTCCGGATGAAACTGCTCTTGCATAAGCTTGTGATATGTGTAGGACTGATGAGCTTGCTTGTATGCCATAGATGGGTTTGGTCTCGTGCACGAGCGCAGCAAAGGGAGCATTTGGCGTTGTGGCGACCACAACGAAATCATCTGGCTTGTTCTGCAGTCTATCAGAATGTGACATCCAGACCTGCAAAAGCTGTCAGCTGGACAAATCTGTACCCGCTTCTCCGAGGACAGCCACGCACGGGCATCTCGCCACTGATCCCCTCGAAGAGCTTATCGACATGAGAGATTCCATCGTTGCCGTGCTTGATGATGCTAATAATCGCTTCGCCGTATTCGCGGTGTTCACACGACTCCACCCTCGCTCCAAAATGATGCGCCGTCTCTTGCAAGCCGTAGCAAACGCCCAGTACGGGCAGACCACACGTGTAGACTTCTGGGTCGACACGTGGCGCGTCGTGGTCGTAGACCGAGTAGGGCGAACCAGATAGGATGATGCCTTTGGGTTTCCAGGGGAGCTCTGATAGTTTTTGTGTGCATGGCAGCATCTCGCCGTAGATGCCGAGCTCGCGAAGGCGCCGGACGATGAGATGCGAGTACTGTGATCCAAAATCGAGCACCAGGCTGTATGTGCGTCATCGTATAGCACGAGGAGCAAGAGAATATGGCCAGTAGACAGGAGTAGCGCGAAAAAGAGCAGAGAGAACGAGCCAAGGTCAGCGCCAGCCAAGATCTAGTCTGGTGCCAGTATAGGCTCACATCGTGTCATACGCATCTGCGATATGGCCCGTCGTCGCCATCTTGCGGGTGACTCGGCGGCAGAGAGCAAGCGCTCGAGCTTGAGCAGTCGCGACGCGGTCGTCGTCACAAACGTACAAACTGGCAACAAGCCGGACAAAGATGACGGCGTCTTCTCCTCTAGCTGGCTGCATGTACTCGTGATACAATGTTGGACTGTCAGGAGAAGCTGGACGATCCGGCCAAGTCGGGTCAGTCCTGGCATTTTCGGCGCACGGTACACAGCACTAATGCGGTGTTGACATGATCAGAGAAGCCCGCAAAGGCTCAGCCGAAGCTCATCGGGTTCACAAAGCAGCTCGAAGCACGCCAAGATGCTCAACGACCAGATTCAATCGTCGCGCGCAAGATGGCCGTCTTGATCGTCATCGGCTTGATCACCTATGTCGGCTACGCCTTCATCTGGCGTGTCTGCGTGCCCATGATCCACCAGAACGCCAAGCGAAGAGGGTCAAGAACGCAAGGCATCGTCCTGCTGGTCTTCTTCGTCATACTCTGGCTCATGTTCTGCTGGTCTTATCTCGTCATCATCACTACGCCGCCGGGCTATGTCAAAGATCACGTCCAAGTCTCTGCCGAGCCGCGTTGGAATGCGCAGGAGGGCCGCTTCGATGACAATCCGGGGACGTCACAATCATCACTGATCGCAGGTCCTGCTTATCCTACGCCTGCAAGACCAGAACACGCTCATTTACAAAACACCCATGCGCCCGATCTCCAAGCGGGCCCACAGAGTTTTGCTGCCGGACTGCCAGCTACACTTGAGGGAGCTCTAGGCAGCATCGCTCCTCCGTCTTCGGCTGCTACACCTGAAGAGAAACCCGCTCGTACCGGACCACAGCGAAAGATACCCGAGCATGCTGTTTTGAGTCCACCAGCACGCTATTGCTACAAATGTCAACGCATCAAACCGTACAGAGCTCATCATTGCCGTCACTGTGGTCAATGCGTGCTCGGCATGGATCACCACTGTCCTTGGATAGGCCAATGTGCAGGCGCAAGGAACAAGAAATACTTTATGAACTTTCTCCAGTGGGCTGCTATCTTCACAACCTATACTTTTCTGGCCAGTCTCTTGGCTGCAGTCCCGCCGCATAGACCAGCAGGCGCCTCTCATACTGCCGACCCGCAGCAATTCGTGCTCATCGGGATAGCAGGATTCTTTATGATCTTTACCGTCGGTATGGCCGGCGCACACACTCGCTTACAACTTTTCAATATCACTACTATCGAAGAGATAGGCATCACTCGCATGCGCAGAAGAGAGAGGGCAGCTACAACGCTCGAGTATGGTCTCTGCTCTTTCGGCAAAAAGGCAAAGCTTGTCGACGAATGGGATCACGAGTGGGGTCGATTAGACAAAGAAGGTAACATATGGTGGATGGGCTCGGCAAGAGCGAATTGGGAAGCTATCATGGGTACCAGCAAGCTCGGATGGTTTTTGCCGATCAAGCCGACAAACCGCCCAGATGGCCTCTCTTACCCTGTCAATCCTCGCTTCACGCCCGATGGGCGATGGCAACGCCGTGCAGACTGGCCGCAGCAACTCCAGTGATCACCGCAGTATCTGTCACGCTATGTTGTTGTACGATCAAGCATACAAGAGGCCCCTGTCCGATCATTTTCCTCGCTCATTCCTGAGATTGTGAAGCAGATCGCAGGATGCTGGCCTCGTCAGAACGCACGCAGTACGCAAGCTAGATCACAAGGATGGACTACATTGATGGTACAAGCTGGAGGACTTGCAGACCACTCAAAAGTTGATCGCTTTGCCATAGCTTGCCATTGCGGCTTCCTTGAAAGCCTCGCTGAGCGTCGGGTGAGCGTGACTTGTCCGTGCGATATCTTCTGCACTGGCGCTGTACTCGAGAGCAAGCACGGCTGAAGCGATCATCTCGCCCGCATTGGGTCCGATGATGTGCACTCTGCTCGTTTGCTTAGTTATGCGCAGAATTTTCAAGAGTGATGTGGCTCACCCGAGAATCTTGTCAGTCTCCTTCTCGACAAGGAACTTGACAAAGCCGTCAGTGTCGTCTGCTGTTTTTGCTCGCGAGTTGGCCAGGAAAGGATACGAGCCGGTCTTGTAGTCGATGCCCTCTGCTTTGAGCTCCTCTTCGTTCTTGCCCACCCATGCAACTTCGGGATGAGTGTAGACGACTGAAGGAATGGCACCATAGTTGACATGACCATGACCAGAGTGGATATACTCGACACAGGCAATGCCTTCTTCTTCTGCCTTGTGGGCGAGCATAGGACCGAAAGTGCAATCGCCGATGCACTTGATGTTCGTTACACTCGTGTCGTACTTGTTGTTGACGACAATTCTGCCCTTGTCATCGAGCTCGACACCGATCTTGTCTAGGTTGAGTCCAGTGGTATATGGCCGTCTGCCGATTGCTACGAGGACGACATCAGCGTCGAGTTGCTCCTTCTTGCCACCCTTTGCAGCTTCGACATTGAGCGTGAGCTTGTCGTCTGTCTTCTCTATCCCAAGCACTTTGGTATTGAGCTTGTACTTCAAACCCTGCTTGCCGAGGATCTTCTGGAACGCCTTTGCAGTAGCACCGTCGAGACCCTGTCCGCCAATGTTGCCTTGAAATTCGACGACGGTCACTTCGGAGCCCAGTCGATTCCAAACACTGCCTAGCTCGAGTCCGATGATACCGCCGCCGATGACGAGCATCTTCTTTGGTACTTCTTGCAGATCGAGTGCACCGGTAGACGAGACGACGCGCTTCTCGTCGACCTCGATACCCGGAAAGGGTGTGACTTCTGATCCGGTGGCGATGATGACGTTCTTTGCAGAGATGCGCGTCTCGCCTCCATCGTTGAGACTGACATCGAGCTCTGTGGGCGAATGGAAAGAGGCAGTGCCTTTGATGTAGTCTACCTTGTTCTTCTTGAACAAGCCCTCTACACCGCCTGTCAACGCTTTGACGGATCCATCCTTTGCCTTGAGCATCTGCCCCAGATTGAGCTTAACGTCGCCGACTGCAGAGTTGCCTGTATAAGCTTGCCGGGATAAAGCGAGTGGGGAATGACTTGCCATCAATGCCGCGCTTTTTGAGATCGTGCATCGTCTGATGGTAGATATGCGAGTTATTCAACATCGATTTCTGCAGCGCGCCATATAGGGTCAGCATACATCATGTATACCAACACCTGAGACGTACCGATGGGATGCAGCCTACGTTGAGGCAGGTTCCGCCTAACGCGCCTCGCTTTTCTATGCAAGCGGTCTGCGATGACTCGTCAGCGCGGTAGCATGCGACTACGTGCAAGGCGTACCTTGAGACCTAGTTGGCCTGCCTTGATCGCGGCGACGTAGCCACCAGGACCTGCAAAGCGTCGAGAATGAGCAAGAGCGTCGAGAGGGACGAGATCGATGGACGTACCGCCCCCAATGACGACGACATCATAGGGATCTTGCTGTGTCGCGAATCCCCTAGACTGGATGAGCGCATAGCGACCCGCTACTGTGAGGGTGATCGAGGGCCGGGTGGACCGTCCCCATCGCTGTGACTGTAACGATCGTAGGTGGCGAGCGAAAGACCGTACAGAAAGAAGCAGAGAGAAGCCCAAGGGTCAGTGAACAGGCCAACGATTCTCGATGATCAGCGCTAACCTGCCGCAGACTCAGACGAGCTGCCATTGCGAGATGGACGAAGGTTCTGTCGCAACGTCCAAGGCCCAACAAGTTCGAATGGATGAATCAGCTGAATTATCGATATTCAGCAACTGCCCCGAAGCATCGCGCCTTCTGGCAGGCTCCAGCGTTGACTCAGCGCTCGGCTCGTACGATGATCTCTCCTGACGATGACGATGGTTTGAGCAGGAGGTTGACCGTGCTGTACGGCAGCCAGACGGGAAACGCAGAGGATGTGGCCAACAGGATCGCAAGAGAAGCAAGACGGCGACACTGGATCGCACGCTCTCTCGCGATGGACGACTATGACAAGGTCCGCTGCCGAGCTCTCAGATCTGAAGCGTCTGACGGGTGGCTTGCCGTCCTCGGCAGAGCGAAGTGCTCGAGGAGCAGTGGATCATCTTCGTAGCAGCAACGAGCGGGCAAGGGCAAGAGCCAAGCAATATGAGATCATTCTGGCAATTCCTCTTGCGATCCGATCTGCCCGCTCAGCTACTCGACCAGCTTCGGTTCACAGTGTTTGGCTTGGGAGATAGCAGCTATTCCAAGTACAATTGGCCTGCCAGAAAGCTCTGGAACAGGTTGCTCATGCTCGGCGCTGTCCCTTTTCACGAGAAGGGCGAAGCGGACGATCAGCACTATGCAGGGTCAGCAGAGCGATTGTGAACACGCTTTTCAGAAACTCAGCTTGTTGCGTCGACAGGATAGAAGGCACGCTCGATCCTTGGCTTGAGGATTTGTGGCGAACATTGGACGCGCTCATGCCTATGCCGGCTCATCTCAATCTCATCCCATCGACAGCCATGCCTTCCGCGCGAGTGTCACTCTCGTCAGCCAAACAGAGCACCCTTTCCGATGTTGTCAGCTCGTCTCAAGACCTCGTCTGGGCGACTGTCTCTCGCAACGAACGAGCAACTGCGCCAGACCATTTCCAAGACACGCGTTATTTTGATCTCACGCTGGACGATGCTACGCAATGGAGAGCGGGTGATGTGCTCGAGTTGAAGCCCAAGAACATCCAGAAGGATGTAGACATGTTCCTCAAGCATGTCAGATGGGCAGACCAAGCGGATCAACCGCTCAGAATAGAATCTGCATCGCAAGGCTAGCTTCTCTGCTCTAACAGGAGTACACTTCTGAATGCTCGAGAACTAGCAGATCAACCTTTACCGCCCTATTGGCCTGCGATCGCGACCGTGCGGCAGATTTGCAGGGAGCTATTGGACATCTTTGCCGTTCCTCGAAGGAGTTTCTTCGAGATGCTCGCCTACTTTGCAAAGAGCGACCTCGAAGCCGAGCGCCTGCGCGAGTTTTGCATGCCCGCCAATCAGGTCGGTGCTAGCAGATGGCCAAACGCAGCCAAGGTAGGCTGACCTCTACCTGCGATGACAGGACGAGCTGTGGGATTACTCCACCCGACCAAGGCGGACGATCACAGAGGTGCTGTCCGAGTTCAAATCTGTCGAGATACCACTGGCGTACATCTTTGATGTCTTTCCCGAGATCAAGCCTCGGCAGTTCTCCATCGCTTCGTCATCGCTCGTCGATCCAAAGCGCGTGCAATTACTCGTTGCAATTGTGGACTACAAGACGATCTTACATCTGCCAAGGCGAGGCGTGTGCACACACTGGCTCAAGACCCTACAGCCAGGTCGGCCCTGTCTCTTTTGGTACAGCCATTGGTTCTGACGTGGTGCGCAAACAGGCACGAGGCTGCAAGTCAAGATCATGCCTGGCTCGCTCGAGACGCCAAAAGAGATCAACACGCCTATCATCTGCGTCGGTCCCGGTACCGGCATCGCACCCTTTCGTGCATTAGCACAAGAGCGAGCAGCTCAGACCGAGCAAACAGGTAGGGTGACTCAGCGCATCTCGCTCACAGCGCTCATTGAATCTACCGCAGATCTGACGATCTTCTTTGGCTGTCGATCGCTCGAGAAGGACTTCTACCATGCTCAAGAATGGCAAAAGGCGCACGATGCTGGCCGCCTGAAGTTTATCGTAGCAGCTTCCCGCGACACGGTACGCTCGTTCGCTAACTCCAGCTGGGGCATGCTGATGATACCGACAGCCGGACAAAGTATATGTCCAGCACAAGCTTCGAGAGGAAGCAGTCTGGCTGTGGCAACTTCTTCGGCAAGGGGCACATGTATATATATCGGGTTCTGCGGGTCAGATGCCCAAATCAGTTCGCAAAGCGCTCATCGAGATCATCGAGACGCAAAGTCACGTTAGCAGGATGGAAGCGCAAGCGTATCTGGACACGATGGAAGCAGATGGTAGATTGCAAGAGGAGACCTGGTCGTAATAATGTCGTTGTACAACACTATGCAAAGATACGATCTAGAAATTCGCCTACGCCGCCGGCATCGTTAGACGTGGTCACATGATCGGAATACTGCTGCACTGTCGGCATCGAATTTGCCATTGCTACTCCGCAGCCAGCTAACCTAAGCATACCCTCGTCGTTCTCACCATCACCAAACGCAATCACCTGCGCTGGCGAGATGCCTAATTCATCACAAAGCGTCTGAAGTGCTCTAGCTTTGTTGATTTTGGCGGGCACACATTCGAGTATGAAGGAAATAGCTCGAGTGACGGTCACTTGCTCTTGCGGGAAGCGAGACTGTATCGCGTCGATTGCTTTCTGGATGAGGTGCTGCTCGTCGCTGCAGCATCCCGTCACTTTGACGACTTGTATCTTTCCCGACTCGATAGACGCTAGATAGGCCGACACGTCCACCTCGACGATATTCTTGTCATATTTACGCCCTATCTCTACCCAATCCGTCTTGCCGCCTTGCTCTCGATTGACAACGGCCACTTCATCGTGCGTGAAAGCAAAGGCGGTCAGATTGAGTTCTTGTAGCTTGGCTATGAGACCGAGTGCAAGCTCAGGCGCAAGTGCGAACGTATTCAGTAATTTGCCCGTGTCGTCGTAGATCAACGAGCCATGGCAATGGATGGCAGGACATCCGTCCAGGTGGAGTTGCTTTCGTATGCTCTCACAGCTGACGAATTGCTTGCCGCTCGCAAGCACAACGGGGATGTCGGGCCTCATACGCCGTATGCGATGGATAGCGTCGACCGTTCTGGGGTGTACGGTGTGCTGGCTTGTGAGAAGTGTACCGTCGACATCTGCGTGGGCGCATTAGCGGATGCAGCTCGGCGTGGCGATCTTGCTTGCCAGAGATGATCAGCTGGACATCTTCTGCTGCTATCAGAGCTGTCATGATCGACCGGACGAAGAGTAGACGATCGACCGGTCAAGGAAATAGCACGTCAGCACGTCAGTCACCGCCACGCACCCTGCATCTGACACGTAGCTGACGCGCTAACGCGTTGACGCGTCGCGACACTTTCTACGTCGGTGACTGTGCTCGGATCTAGTGCCGCTTGTCTTGCCCAGGCTATGGCTCCTAGGGCCCCAAAAAGCTCGTGCAGTAAGCCTGCAGCATCTGAAGAAGTATCTGTTAGCTCTATCGCGCCGCGCAAGAAGCGCCGCACTGGCTACACTCGCCGGCGCCGCTACCCATCCATATCGCCTCCTCCAGACTATTCCAGCATAAGGGAGGAGCTCGCCGCAAAATTTGGCCCACGGAATCCAGCAACAGATATCCCACCATGGCAAGAGAACGTTCAGCCACGGTGGATGGAAGATCGACCGAGGCGTCATCGTTACCGCTCTGTTGGAGAAGACGAATCGTTCATGGAGCTATGCCGCCTGCGCCGTTCCATGATGGGTCCAATACCTAGAGCAAGCGACCTTGCTGCATCTTGCACTCCGACTACCATCAGCGATCTGGCAGCAAGGAGCAGTGAGCCAGCCGAGAGGCCGGGCCAGGATCCGCTCCATCCGGTTGACAGCTCGATCGGACACGGGCAGCAACCCGCTGTCGCTCCACGCGCCGACGCTCGGTCGGCTGACGTACGACATGCCGGTCTCGATGGCGCATCCCGTCGGATTAGTCCTGGCGAAGTCGAAACGCAACAGTATCCTGCCGTCACGCAAGATGCTTCATCTCAACCTGCAGACGATAGATCTGCCTCAGCCACGACGAGTTGGCGAGACTCGATAGTTGCGGATCTGCAAAGTCGCAAACAGGTGTGCGACAAAGTGCTGTCCAGCGTCGAGGGCCACCGACAGCAGAAGCAGATCCTTATAGATACTTACGAGTCCTCCCACCCAGGGAAGATCAGCGCCAACTGCAAAAGAGCCAGCACTCTCGAGTATACCGATAATGAAGGGCGAAAGCATGCGATGCCTCTTCACACAGGTCAGTATGACACAGAGCGCGTTTTCACTGTACTGACCCGTCTTCATCTCTGAACAGCATCTTGGGAGGACACGCTCGTCAAACATACCGAGCCAAAGCTGGGCAGCTCGATTCCTCACCAGACGTATGACCAGTTGCGCAAGCCTGCGTCCGAGTATGCAAAGGTCTTTAATGACTTCAGACACAATGCCATGCGAAAGGTGCTTGGCTTTCCTGCCATTGGCGTTGCAATTCGCTGACGGTTACTGTTCAGACAATCCGTGATTTTGCCGACTGTCCAGAGCAAGTATATCTTACTGTTGGCCTCCGCACGGACACAAGCATAGCCTCTGGCGACGGAGACAGCATCGCTGACCCGAGAGTAGCTTGGGTGGAAGCCTCTGCCGGCCTGGTGGATAATGAAGAGCTTCTTCAGCCTGCCCTTGACTTCCTGGAAGCATACTTCACAAAAGGCAAGCAACTACGAGCGTCTTACACTCGCGACACTACCACACCAGGCGGCACCATCTCCGTTCTTGAACACAAGCGGAAGATGCACGAACTAGAGCAACGATATCAGGAATCCGAGCAACGACTTCGGGAACTTCAGCACCAGCTGGCGGAAAGCAGCCGTACAGGTGCTAGCAGTGCGCCCGTTGATGATTAGACTGCATCGTCTCGGCAGGTGCCAGCATAGACACAGGAGGTAGCGCGTCTCGAGGAAATCGCGGAAGAGCAGTGCGAAACCACAAAAGTGCAGCGCGAAACCATAGGAGAGCAGCGCGAAACTATGAAAGAGCTGGACAAGGAGATACGGGCGTACGAAGAACTCTTAGAGAGAAGAAGAGTAGCTCGCCACTCAGGCAGAGATCATGCATGTTGATAGGGTTGGACAATGACGTTGTAGACGGAACATAATGATCAGGTTGTGTGCGCTGCTCCGCAGGTCTGATTCCTCCACAAACACCAGAGCATAGATAGGCCGAGCCTTGGGCGTGCTTCATGCCTCTCTCCGCATACTGGATTTTTCGCGGTGCGAATGCGTTCACGGTCTTGCTCGAAGACACGTCGCGTCGACAGAATGTCGTCACAGTGACCGACGATAGCGGCTTCTCAGGAGCTCCCACAGGCTAAGATGGATCGATTAGTCTGTGTCCAAAGACTCTCCGCGCATGACTCTGGCTGACATGTTGATTGGCAGCATCCCGAGCAGATAGACGGTACGCCTCTCACTCTCCGCTCATTCACGAGGCTAAATATCAGCGCTGTAGAGCTTCGAATCGCTTTTGAGACCTTTGCGAAAACACCAGAAGGCGTACAAGATGCATCGCAAGGAAGCATATCAGCAAACGATTTGCGGACCGTCATGCTCTCGCTTGGTCAATCGCGACCCGACACCGAGTTCTCTCGACTGTTGCAGCGATGTAGGCCATGCGCCCTCGCAGACGGCGAAGGCTGAACAGGAGTAGATGATCCATCTGGTGCAGGATCGATAGGACAGCGGCAGTTCATGGAGCTCATGGCCGATGTGGTCGTCGAAGAAGGCGGTGAAGCAGAGATAATAGAAGCATTCCAGACGTTTGACAAGGACGGCGATGGCTATCTCACTCGGCAGGAGTTCACGATTGCCATGTGCAACTTTGGCGATAGACTAAGCCAACGGGATGTCGACGAGTGAGCTTGGTGGGACTCGTGTTCTCTGGCGAAAGCTGACACGCGTCGGCAGGATGCTAGCTGTTCTGCCGCCAGATTCACGAGGTGTCAACTACACAGCATGGGTCAAAGCGATGAATCAATGATGCTCATTTGGGTTGTACAACAACTTGTTGTCAGATGCGTGCGCCTCTCGCGCTTTTTGTCCTTTGCGTTGGGTATCCTGCAATGCGAATCTGCTGCCCGCACACTGATCAAGCGATTTGCAAAGCCGCCTTGATCTCATCGGCCAAATCTCCGTCGGCATGATCCCCACTGGCTTGATGTGTCTCGCCATTGATGGGCGGCTCAAAGCCTGTCGGCTGGGCAACCTTGATGCCATTCTCACGGCGATCTTCCATCTCGGCAACACAGCGCTCGCACCAGCATTCGAACAGGTAGTGGTTGTACAGGTACTCCCGTCGTTGTTCGAGCGATAGGTGGGGAGAGCAGTATGTCAGCGTGATCTCTTCGCCTGCTTTGATGGGTCTGCGCGTGATGATGTAGACTTTGGAAGGCTTGGCGTCGTTCGTGCTGCCTCGGAGCGCTACTCTTCTGACTGATGCGTTCGGATGGCTGCTCACACATCAGTCGCAACGCGAACGTCTCGCTGATTGACTCACCAGGAATGGTTGAGACTTGAATGGAGCGCGTAGACACCGCCGTCGTCTTCGCGGTTGAGGTTGACCTTGCCCGTGTATAGCAGGAAAGAGTCGAATGACAGCAGCTGGAGCACACTGGCGGGAAACTTTGTCTTCCAGTGAATCTCGTCCGGCTTGATCTCTGCCTCGGATGCCTGACTTTCCACCGAAAAGTGCAGAGCTCGAACGGTGAGGACGTGGCTTTCTTTCAACATGGGTATGAGATGGTCTTCCGTTGCCTTCCGGCCCGATTGACGCTCGCAAAGGACTCGCTGAGAGATGCCTGCAAACGCTTCGACGCGCTTGGCCTCGTCTCTGCCCTCTTGCTCGGAGCGTTGGTAGGCCACGAATGTCTTTGCAAGCAGCTTGAAGACGGCCAACGGAACGGATGTCTGTCGACTGTCGCTGTATGCCAGCAAGGTGCGGTAGTTGTCGTTCAACGCAGGACAGATGAGCTGGCCAAACTCATGTCGGCTTTTCGAAGAGCAGACTCGATCACAGTAGCGCAACTTGCAAGCTTCAAAGGTGACGGCCTTGGAGGACTTACCGTACGTTGGATGCTCTTGACAGCTTACGGCCAGACGAGCGAGAGCATCGACGAGCTTGCCACAGAAAGCGCAAGCTTGACCGCGTTGGACTTTCTGTGCAATGGCTGCACCGGCTGCAAAGACATAAGCCGTATCGTGAAGAAGCTGTGTCTCGTCGGGTAAGTCCCTTGCAGCGACGATGCCCTTGCCCTTGATGGGATCGATCTGACGGATCTTGATGGCATCAAACACACTGCTCGACGCAACGACTTTGGGGTCAATTTTGGAGACAGGCACAGCACTGGTATCGATAGTTCGCTTGCTCGAGCTCGCATGACCATTCGCCGGACTCTCCTCGGCTTCCCTGTTTGACTTTGCAGCTAGCTTTCGAAATCGTTTGTCGCTGAGTTGCCATTGAGGGTGATTGGCCTTGACTCGCTCGTAGAGCTTTGTGACGCCAGTGCCGGGTGCAGAGAGCGAGCGCGCATGCTCCAATGCGTCTAGGATGGCTCCGTCGTCTGGCTTATCAGTCATGCTGCCCTGTGGCTTTGAACGAACTCTCCCAACTCTCGAGAGCGCGTTGCGGTCACGTCGTCCATCATTGCGTCATCTGCCAGGCCCCCATGGATGAACATGCCGCACTCATCCAACGCATCCACAAGCGGCGAAATGCTCGACGACGGACGCAGCTCGAGCCTCCGACAGAGCCCAAGTCGAAAACAGTCGAGCGTTCGCGCAGAGATGACTTGCCCAAAGATGCCGTCAAGCGAGCCAAATGCATTGCCTATGGCCCAAATTATGTACGTCAATTTCAGACTGCAGATGCGGCTCGGCTGAGCGCAGTAGATCAGTCACCCGAGGAGGAATCGATACGCAGCTCTTATGCTCAGCAATACGTCAATACCGCGCGACGACCGCAGAACTTCATCCGCAATGCTGAGCTTGGCGAACGCTTCCAAGAGTCAGTCCATGACGATCGATCTTGCGCGAGCTTATGCAACGTATCGGCAGGCATCCGAAACTACAGCGCCTGCTCGAGATGCACCATGCCGTCCTCGAGCGCGAATCTCATCCCGCGATGCATCTCCGGGCTGACCTGCGCTCCTTCGACTTTGACACCCTGGTCCCCTTCAGATTTGACACCATCCTCATCGATGCTCCTCTGGCAGAGTACGGGCAAGCGGACAATTGGTCATGGGACGAGCTAGCCGCATTACCGATCCCACGACTGGCTGCTCAGCCTTCATTTATTTGGATCTGGGTAGGCTCAGGTTCAGGACCGAGTCAAGGTCTCGAAAGAGGTAGAGATCTCCTTGCTCGATGGGGTTATAGACGCTGTGAAGACATCGTCTGGCTCAAGAGCAATACTCGCGCGCCTGCAATCGAGGATGAGCCGGTGACAGATACACTGCTGACGCATACAAAGGAGCACTGCCTCATGGGAATCAAAGGGACTGTCAGGCGAAGCACAGATGGCGCATTTGCGAGATGCAATATAGATACAGATGTCATCGTGTGGGAAGGCGACCCAGACAATCCACTCGCCAAACCGCCGGAACTCCACGCGCTGATCGAAAACTTTTGCTTGGGCTCAAGGCGGCTCGAACTCTTCGGTTCTCGTGCACGACGAGGTTGGCTCACGCTCGGTCCTGCCGACATAGACAGCGCAGAGCAGTTTGAGCAGGCAAAGTACGCGGAGTGGTTCGCTCAGAATGGCGCACTCTTCACCACGACGCAAGAGATCGACGACTTGCGGCCGAAGTCACCACCGCCCAGAACTGCTCGCGGCGGTAACCCGACGGGCGGCATAGGCAGGGGACGCGGTCGTCGAGAATCTCCAGCACCACCTCCTGTGCCTGCTCAGCAGATGCAGATGAATGCACAAGCGCAAGCCTTCATTCCCATGCCGTTCAATCCTATGCTTGCATTTTATGGGATGCCGCAGTACCAGTCATGATGTTGTTGTATACTGCAAAGCATGTCTGTGTCAGTAAAGTGGTCTGGATTTCGCAAAGAGAACTGCTCATAAATGAGTTGTTACACTTGTTTTGTCAGCTCGCAGAGGACCTCGTGGATCTCGTCAGACAGGGATAATGTTATGAAATCATAGCAGCGCAGATAAAAGGCAAGCAAGCGACTTACCCTGGGTCAATCTCGGCCAACAGTCTGGCCGACGCAAACGAGCAAAAGACCACACCACATGTTTTCAAGAACGGTTTCAAATAGAAGTGACGTAGGCGACAGCAGCCTCGGAATAGTCGTATACTAATGACAATGCGCCTCACAAGCACAAGAGCACTGCAGAATCTGCGCACTGTCGCGCCAGCTCGCGCATTCAGCGTCTCCGCAAGGTCTCAAGCGTGAGTACGATTTCGTTCATTGTTGACGAACGATCTGACCATCGATCTCATTTCTCACTGCTTCTTTGCCGCCGTCGACGCTTCGCTCCTCATCCGCATGATAGTCACAAGGACCCGGAGGAGCAGCAGCAAGCCAAAGACACCTCGAAGGAGGGCAAGGATCACTCGAGCCAGCACACACATAGCGAGGCCGCCATCAAAAGTCATCAGCATGACCAGTCACCGCAGGATCTAGCGAAACAGGGTCAAGCCAAGGCCCAGAAGGAGCATCCAGAGGCGAAGTGATCCTCCGTGACTAGACCGCACTGCATTGCAAGCCTTGCATCATATTTGAGGATGTTGCCTGCGATCTGAACATACTTTTAGCGTTCGCGTATCGCGGCTTGCAGTCTGAGCGGCGTTCTCAGTTTAGAATGGGAGATCTTGCAGCGGCCCATCCGGAGATCGTGACCTCTAGCTAGCCGTAGCAGGGCTCTGCGCCCGTTTGCGGACTCGGAATTCCTGTAGACCATATCTGCAGGAATGCGCATCTTCACGATGAATTGAAGACCAAGGTACGCTGAGCAGTCCCGTGTGGGAAGTGACATCGCAGCTATCAGCCATGTCCGAGACGCCGACAAGGTAGTCGGAAAACTCGTTTAGCGCTTGAACTTGGCTGTCGCGTAGCTTGTGATTAGCCTTCGAGGAAAGCGTGACACGCGATTTGCCACGGGAACAGTCGACAATGTGCCTCGACTTCGATCGAGTATATGCGCATTGCAACTTTGGTGCGGGATTTGAGCTGAGCCTTTGCTAGCTGAGCTAGGCTTAGCGAGATAGCACATCATGCTGCAGCAGTCACACTCGAGCCAGTGCTGAGACCTCATACCTATCGAGCGGGGCTCATCTGGCATACAACGAGCTCCCGAGAAGCTTTGAACGAGGCAGCTGCCCTTTATCGCCACGGACAGCATCCCGGTCTCGTTGCTGAGAAGTGGCGGCGCTGCATCGTCTGCACCCTTCCTTCGGCCTGCCGAGCATCGCGCAGTGCAGCTGTCAGCATACGTAGCTCGAGCATCAGCCAGCGACAGTCGAGGGCAGTCGTAAAGATAAGGCTGCTGCGGCTCATAGTCACATCGCAACGCGCGTGTCGTAAAGTCGCAGAACGAGGTCAGTGCGCAGAGGGGATCGTGCACATCTGATGCATCATAGCTGACACAGCCAACTGTTTGCGCGTCGACAGAAGCAGGACTTCACTCGTTCATCAGTCCGAAGACGCGTTCACCCTCGAGGCTGAGTTTGCAGGGGCCTCGCCGACGACGGCCGTTCGTGTCAAGCGCAACTCTAGGCTCAAACGCCACAAGGATCTCCTGTCGAGCTTCACCAACGCAACAAGCCTTTCGTCGCTTCGACCTTGCCTGATAGCAGTCATCAGTCTCGCCTGCTCGCATTTGCATTGATCTGGTCTGCTGTGCAAGCCAGCATCATCGCAAGCATCATTCGTCACGATCCCTGCCTTGTCCTGTCAAAGACACAGCGCAGATATACGACGCACGACAAGCACGAACTGACCTGCTCGCTTGGCTATCCTCGAGCGTCTGTCTGACCCTGCTCTCCTTGCAGCCAAGGTTAGTTTTCGTCGTCTGACGTGAGCACTTCAGACGCTCATCGAGCATATTTGGCAGAACCAAGTGATATCAGTCAAACGACGAGCATGACATCGGCTTCTGCTGTGCCTGCGCCCTATCTGCACCCCGTTGCATTAAGATCTGGCGCCTCAAGCTCCCCTACTGCAGTCGCCAAAGCGCAATATGATAACAACCATCTGCGCACGTCTGTCCCTGTCGATTCAGATGCGGGCAGAGATGCACTTGCGCAGCAACCCGGCGCACAAGATGCGTCGGTATGCGGCCGTATGAGCCCCGACGACGAGCATTCGCGGCCCTCCTCGCCGCCTCAGTCGTCATCGTCGTCAAAGTCGTTCTTCAGGAGCAGACTGCATCTGTCTGGCAGCAAGGATCGCGCGTCTGCCTCTCCACCTCGGTTGGTTTCGCCTACCTCGTCTCAAGAGGGCAAGAAGCGAGCTCATCAAAGCATCTCGCATGGCAATTCTTCAGATGTAGACGAGGCTAACGACGCAGCTGATGTCCGTCCGTCGACCGCCACCGGCCAACCGATTCGCGATGTCTCTATGGATATAGAGCCCGCATGGTATGGTCTCAATCCACTACCGCTCTCGGAGACACCGCTGCATCCGGCCTGCGCACCTCGCTCGGTCCGGGAGCTGGCGCCGGAGGCCAAGTTCAATCAGAGCCGAGCCTCGATTTCGACTACACCAACGATGCGTCGTGCGCCGCAGGACGCAAATGATGCTACCGAGAGATTTGAAACGCAAGACGACGAAGATGCCGAAACTTTCTCGTCGGCGCCTACTTCGCCGCCGACAGGCGCGCACGCAACGCTCTGGAATCCGCGTCATGTGTCGACGCTGTCGAACGACTCTATCATCTCCAGCGCTTCGACTGCTACACTTGATTCCGGTTATTCCGGCCGTACTCGCGAATCTCGTTCGACCTCTGCTTCCTCGTCGTTCTCAGCCTCGCTCTCGTCTCATTCAAGCGCGCCTACATCCGCCCCTCCTGCGATCCCGAACTGCTTTGCGCCGATCTATACGCTCACTGCGAAGCAATATGCTTACTTGGCCAGTCAGGCACCTTGTCTGGAAACCCCAGAGCATGTCGTCTTTGACTGGCTACATGGCGCCGACCAGGCAGGCACACAGCAGGCTGCTTATTTCGGCTATACAGGCAACAAGCGCGCGCCAGTGCCGAGGTGAGTTCCATGCGCCTGAATCCTTCTGAGCTAAGCCGCGACCTCCGTTCAGATTTCGCGGTCTCACCACGATTTGTGCCGGTTCTGATGTCGTCAGACGACCGAGAGCGAACACAAGCGTGTCTTACAACTCGATCGCATCGTCTTTTGCGTCTTCATCAGCTTCTTCGTCTTCGTACAGCCTTTCGCTCTCGGAGTCAGACACAGGCCGCTCGATCAATGACGCAGAAATGCCGAATTATGGTCCCGAGCCTCGCCCAGCATTGCTCGTTTCGAGTCTCTTCCCAGAGGAGCTGCTCATCAACGAGTCTGACTGGCAGACGTCAGTCTTTGCAAAACCTCAACTGCCGCCCACAGTCAATCTGCGCAATTTCAAGATCCAAGCGATCAAATATGCGACCGTCTCAGACATAGTCGTCTATTCCGAGCGTGGTGCTCTGAACGACGGCGGCGAAGCGCTCAATGTTGCTCGCCGATTTGCAGATGCTCAGCTGGCAATGGCACACGAACGTCATTGGATGGGCGAGAGTGATGTGCTCGAATATCGCGTCTACGTCATAACGGATCCTTTCTCGGCATTCGAAAGCACGCCAGAACTTGCCGAGCTTGTAGCCGTCGACTCACTCGGCTGGCCGACGCAGCGTCGCATCAACTTTTTCGAACGTGAGCGAGAGGAAATGCGCGCTCTCACGCAAGCCAGCGAGATTGCCACCAATGTCTGGGTATGCTCTGTCTCGACGATGTTCTTCAGACACTGATGATATTCTCACAGCTCGGTAACACCCAGGATGTGCCCATCTCGCAAGAAGTACTAGAGGCACATCGCAATAGTGCGCAATACTCCAGTTCCGACTCGGCATCTTCGCTCTCGATGCTTGATGACGGCAATCCCCATCATTTCTCGATCTGCGTCGAAGCTCATGACTCGTGCGGCCTTATCAATAAGCGAGATTTAGCGGTCTTCGATCACGATCTGCTCAATCTCGAGAAGGCTGCTTTGCAGGAGCTGCAAGATAGCTATCATCTTACGCCAAGTGGCTTGCCCGGTACTACCTCGGTCGATTGCGACACCAACGTTCTCAAGACCAACGCTGCCAACATTGTGCATCTCGAATGCCAGTCTGGCGCCTGGATCTGGGGCAGACCAAGCGGTCTCATCGATCTCGTGCTCTGGCTCTATCAGCAAGCCAATCCAATGACTGGCTCAGAGCGTCTCGCCAAGCGCGTGCTTATACACTGCTCGGATGGCTACGTCGATTCGTCGATCCTCGCTCTGGCTTACATCATGTACGCGCAAGGCTGCACGCTGCCCGAGGCATACCTGCATCTGCAGAATGAACGTGATCGCTCGTTTTATGTGTCCGGCAAGGATGTTCAGCACCTGCTCAAGGTACACGAGCAGCTCGAGCCACTATATAGAGCGAGACAGCGCGACGAGCAAGCTCGATCTGCGCAAGCAGCTCACCAGAAGATGCTCGAAGCCCAGCCTAAGATTGAGCCTGTGCCCAAGCGTTCCTTCTTCAGCGTGCATTCGCATAGACAGGCAACTCCGACGACGACGTCGCCGCCTGCCCTCTCGCCCAAAGCGAGCTCCTCGTCGCTTTTCAGTACGCCTCAGGCAGCTGCTCCTTGGTTCTTTGACGAACGCTTTGACGGCCATTTCCCATCTCGGATCCTGCCATACCTGTACCTTGGCAATCTCAACCATGCCTCCAATGCGCTCATGCTCAAAGAGCTTGGCATCAATCATGTCGTCTCGATCGGCGAGTCTGCCCTCGTGCCGCCCCAGCATCATTCCATGATGCCTTTCAGCTTCGGACAGCCAAAGGTCCGCACAGATGGTCGTACGCCTATTAATTCGCTTTGGCACGAACAGCGCCAAGGCAATATTGCCGTATTGGATATCAAGGGATGTTCGGACGACGGTATCGATGACATCGGCGCCCATTTTGCCACTGCCATTGACTTTATCGACAAGGCGCGTCGCGAAGGCGGCAAGGTGCTTGTGCACTGCCGTGTTGGTGTCTCACGTTCCGCTACGCTGGTCATCGCACACATTATGGAGCACCTCGAGCTCGATCTCGCATCAGCTTATTTGCTCGTACGATCTCGACGTCTCAATATTCTCATTCAGCCAACGCTACTCTTTATGTGGTCCTTACAGCGCTTCGAAGCCGACCTTGAGCGCCGACGTCAAGAGCAAGCTACGACAAGCCCAGGGCTTGCGTTGCAGCTCTCGCCTCGACAGGCAAGCGCAGAAGCAGAAGAAATGCGCTCTTTTGTCGAGGCGCGACGATCGGGTCCGCTTTCATGGCCATATTTCTGCCGCGAGGTGTCCAATCTCAACGCACGATATCTTTCATGAGGCGCAATGACTGACGACGTGCCCAACGAAAGGACGAAATTATGACGACAACTCCTCAGGGAATGAATTGTAAGAGCGACGGTCAGATCAAGTCACTGTACTTCTACTCATTGTCAACGTCATCATCCTGTTGTTCTGGCGAATAGAATCCGTTATGACTGTGCAATGACTTGACGGGCATGCTTATGAGCTAATCATTCGGTCTTAAGACTTCCTGAGCTGGGTCGATGAGCGCAGCCTGACCCGAGCCTGCCCAGCCAGCATGGCTTATGCAGGCTGACGCTTGTCGGTACACCGCCTCGATAGGCGGCTCTTTGCACATACCCTGTGAGAGCAAGATGGCAGAATTGGTCTCCTTCGCGAGCGCAAGACGAGCTTCTGAGCCGACAAGCTGTGTGAGGTGTTCGGGCAAACTATCGAATGAGTTGTAAGCGATCAGGCTGAAAGCTTCTTGCAGGGTTGAGATGGTCTCGATTCGTGTATCGCTGCCATAGTCGGCCTGCAAAGTGCGTCCTTGTGCTAGTGCGCTGTCGAGGAGCTTAGCTGGAGTTTCTGGACTGGTAGCACGCTGCTTTTGCTGCTGACGTGCCGACTTGGCAGGCGCTGTGACCAGCTTTGCCGTATTCTGCGAGCCGCCAGATTCTGATGCGTCATCTGACAGCATGTCTTCATCCGCGGTGGGTGACTCTGACAGATTCGCGCGAATGATAGTCTCGATGAATTGTCTGACTCGAAGCTTGAACAGGATGCCTGGTCCTGTTGACTCGTCGAGGAAGATGACCGGATACTCCGCCTGGATGAGAGACAGTGCAGCCTCGATGTCGCCTTGTAGAATCGCAGTCCTCACGTCTTTGCGCTTTTGCGCGTCGCCCAAGATGTCTGTCGATATTGGCAGCGCGCTGCCACTCTCTACAGAAGCCGGCGGACCGGATATTGTACCGAAGCTGCGCAAATGAGCGCGCTGTTCATGAAAGGATCGCAAAGTGTCAAGATGGCCTTGATGCGCCAGGTGAGCAGCGATGAGATCCTCAATGACCTCTCGATCAGTCTTTGGCTTGGTCTTCGTAGCATCCGGCAGACTCGACAAAGTGTAAGCTAGGACGCTGCTGTTGACCTGGGACTTGCTCTTGCGGATATAGCTTTCGATATCGAATACAAAGGGCATCTGACCGAAGTTGGCCCTGACGACTTCGCCGGGCGTTCGCATGCCGACCGAGGGGTAGAGTTGATGGCCGTCAAGGCCTGGAAAAGCGTAGCCGATGAAGACGCCGTTCTTGGTATAGAAGGCTGTGTCCAAAGCCCAATCGATGCCGCAACCGATTACGTCGCCAGTAGTAAATTGAGGACCAAATTTCTTGCCCGAGCCATGCGAGCAGAACGCTACAACGGTTTCGTATGAGTCCAGCGCGATGACCAAGCCGCTGGAGACACACCGTTGCCGTCATCTCCATGATAGCCGTAAGAATCTGCTTCCCAGCCCGGCAGGCGCGACAGGGAAACGGTCAGCGTCGAGAAGCCAACGCCAATGTAACTGTCGGAGCGCGAGTGAGCGATGGATCTGCATAGACATCAATGACATACCCAGAGAGGCCTTTGCTGACAATTTGTGCTTCCCAAAAGAACACGCCACACTGAGGCGGGATCGGGCGATTGGCTCTTATCGCAGCAGCATCTCGGTCGCCGTTCTTGCCAGAGCCTGTGCTTCTGTCAGCAGCCGGTCTGCTGAGTAGCTGTGAGTGACTGTACCCTCAAAGCTAACGGTGAGACAATCGCGTGAGACAGAGATGAGACCGCTCTTGTCTTCGGTATCCCAACAAGTCGGTAGATTGATTGTCCAGTCAGAGCTCGCACCTTCTGCCAGATTGGCGAGGTAATTGGCCAGCAACGCTTTCTTCATCTTATTCGATTGGCGGTTGTTAGGATAGCGCGTCAACCGCTCCAGATTGACTGCAGACCGACGTGAGCCGAGACTTGATGACTCTGGCGTCGGCATGTTCTCTTCTGGCGAATCTGGCCTCCGTGGCGTGGTGCTCGATGGGGCCACGGTGGTCATCTGTGAGTAAAACTGCGATTGCTTGAGATATTTGGGCACGCTGAACCGCACGCTTGCATGGCTAGTCGGAGGCGAGGCTGGCGGCTTTCCGAGCGATCTGATGACAGCAGATAGCTCAGCCGTGCTCGGCATCGCCTCAAATGAGACGGGCGCCCTCGAATTGGACTCGCTGTCGGACCGGGGAGACGCGCTGCTAGTATTGCTTCCTGGCCGTGGAGCAGTCGTTGTGACGCCTGCGATGCTCATCGAGACGCGCCTCTGCTCCTCGCCAGTGACGATCGGACGCCAAGTTCTGCTCGGAGACGTGAACAGATTGTGCCGATCTGCCGAGGTGGGTGCTCTAGGTTCAGAACCTAGCGTCTCCGTCCGACTTGGCCGTCTCCATGGGATGGCAGACTCTGTCTGAAGCTCACTGGATGACTCTTCTGCACCACCGAGAGGCTGGACAGTCTCTGCTGCCGTTGGTCTGACCTCGGGTGGCACGACATTGTGCATCCTGCTCGAGAATGCAGCTTGTGCTGCCCAGAGCTGGCGTCGTTGCTCGGCTCCTTGCAAGAAGAGCGCTTCATAGTCGCTAGAGGGTCTCGGACGCACTGAAGCGAGAGGGATGTGTTCCTGCGACACATCGAGCAAGGTCTGACGAACAAGTGCATCGGTACCGCTTGTCTCGGCTCTCGTGCGGGCCTCTTCCTCCATGATAGCCTGTTGTGCTGCTAGTCTCTCGGCGCCCCAGTCGAGCGGGCGCAGAGAGTCTTCGTCTGGCTGGTCCGACATGGCGCTCGTTGGCCCGGAAGCTCTCGAAGCTCAGTGGGAAACGCGCGTGTCCGCGTGTCCTCGCCTCACTGCATACTGCACCCGATAACAGACGACGCATCTCTCGCAGAGTCCTGACCCGGCCGACACATCGATTGGATGTACAAACATACTGCTACAACATCATCATGACTTTTGCGGGCTGCCTGTTATCGTTGTCTATCGAATCTGTCCAGCCCTCATACGCTGTGCGCATTGTCCTTAATGAGCATCGTACCTAGCATCAGTGATGACAATGCTTGCCTGATACCAAGTGTACAGAACGTCGCTACCGTGCCCATGCCTGCCATGAGGCTAACGACCGCTGCTATGAGGAGCTCCTTGGCAGGCACTGTCGTCTTTGGCAGACTGAACATTGTACGACCCGTGAGGTCAGTATGCGATCAGCGTCTTGTGCGGATGATGCTCACGTCGTGAAGTAGAAGGTCAAGGCAAAGCTGACGGCGAGCAGTGAGAAGCCTATACCGGGCAATAACGTGGTAGGCACGGGTGGTCTGAACACGTCGCCTGACGACCAGTCATCCTGTACAGCCGCCAATCTTGAGCATGCACGATCAAGAACATCTCGAGAAGGGCGTACGAGAGCGGCTGCATAATCTGCGCTGGACATGACGAATCTTGCACTTCTGCCTTTCGGGCTCAGGGAAGTCGTGACACGAGGCGGGTCGCCGAGCGTGAGAAATATTGGTTTGATATCTCGCAAAAGCCAAAACCAAAGTCAACTCAGAAAATCAACGAGCCAGCTCGGGTCTGAGGTGCAAGGGCGTGCTCCGCAGTCAGGGCAGACCACTTTCGAGCGTACCGAGGAAGCTGTCCGAACGTCATGGCGCACTCGGTCGGGATGGAAGATCTCGACTTGTCGTTTGGCGATCCCGCTACGGCATTGCGGTCCATCACTCCCTCGACCGAGTCTGCCCCGACCCCTTCGGCTCCCTCCTTCGAGTTTGGAGCGATATCGTCCAGCAGGGCGAACCAGATACCGCATTTGGCACACTCGACATTCGACTCACCGTTGACGACGACGACGACGACGTTGAATGGCGCACGTCCTCGACCTGATCTCAAAGATGTGGCCGCGAGTCTCATCAATGGCCTTGATGACGAAAGCGCTACTACACCGAAGAGGCAGGTCACAACGCCAGACATGACGAAAACGCCCAGGAACAACCACCATGCCACCCCGGCAGCTGTAGCCGCCGCGGCGGACAGTCCTAATGGCCTGCCTTCTAATGTCTTGCTCAGCCCGGGCATGTCCATCGGATTACTGACATCGATGCTCAATCGATCACCGACCAAGTCGCCCTTGGCACACGGAAGAGGCGTAAGCGATAGTCCCGCGCAGAACGGCTCGGTAGGATCGCAAGAGTACTCGAGAGCGATGAGAGAAGCATTCGCCTTTTCGACAGCCCTGGTCAATGACGATGCCGTACAGGACCAGACACTGCTGCCGGATGAGCGCATACTCTCGCAAGACGGCCTGACGACGTATAAAGATATGATCGAAGAGACGGCGGCTGTCGAGCCTCTGAAAGAAGCTGGACTGAAACTTGTGACCCACCTCATCGCTTCTGGAGAGCGATCCGAAGCGCAAGCCACTCAGGTGGGTCAATGGCTTCTCCCTCAAGCAATCGCACTAACGACAAAACAGTTGCGGGAGAAAGATCAACGGATACGCATGCTCGCCACACAGCTCGTCTCGCTTCATTCTGTCTTTCAAGCTCAGGCGACTGCAGAGAAAGAGCGTTGGCTGGTGGAGACTGAGCTGCTCAAGAGAGAAGCAAGGGCGTTAGCGCGCAAGCTAGCAGCACAGCACCAGCAAACCGCCAACGCATTCGCCCAGGCCAACGCCAAAGTGCTCAAAGCTATGCCGTCGTATACGCATCCGGATGGCGAAGCGCGTGCAGGTCTAGGCCACACTGGCGAAGAAGCATCTGTCTTTGTACCGCTACCAGAGAGCGAGGCAGCCGAGCAAAAGGGTTTATATTCCGCCGGCTGGGGAACATCGCAGCATAGCGCCCCTACCGTTGGTCAGGTGGTAAGTACATTCAGGCTCTAAAGAAGTCGAGCTGATGTCTCTGCAGCTCGAAACGGAAAAGCAAAAGAAGCTGCTACAAGCGGATAAGGTGTACCTCAAGAAACGCGTAAGTCTACAACAGCCCGCCGCAGCATTTTCTGACCCTCGAGCACGTAGCTACACGAGCAAGAAGCGCTCACACATCGACTCGAAGCGGAGATCAGAGCATTGAGACCGAAGCTCATCAATGGCGCGCCTATCGTCATCGAACAAGCAGAAGCCCGTCCTCTCGCACCGGGTGAACGTGTCGACGCTGCCAATACGTTTTCGGAAGATTGGCGCAAAGTTCGAGCGCCCGTCATGGGGGACGCAGAAGCAGAGCATCTCATTCTTGCTGGCAAACGGATGGCACAGGTCAAGCGCAACATCCGACTCGTCCAGCAGGCACCCCCAGACCTGCGAAGCACGCCGACTGCACGTGGACGTGGGCCAAGGCTGGCAAGCGAATCGGACCTCGATGAAGACGAACAGGTGTACCAGCGCACGCCCGTAAGGGCCCGACAAAAGTCATTCGGAACGCCTAAGAGTCAGAGAGCGTTTGGACATCGTCCGAGTGTCAGTCAGGCCAGCATACCATCCGGCATGACCGATCTCATTCAGGCTGCGACTGCGCTGGAGCACGAGGATCGGGAAGCAAAGCGAAGACGACTTGCTCCTTCGCAAGGTGTCAGCTTCGAAAGAGGCACAGACTCGATACAGTGGTCTCCGGGTCAGCGTCCTCGCGAACTCGGTCAGCCTGCTGTATCGCCACCGCGCAGCCAGAGCGCACAGCTGGACGCGTCACCACAACGCCATCAGCGTGTCTTCAGCGCGCTAGACGTCCTCGCAGACCAAGCCGCTGCGAGTCAACAGTCTGATCATATGCTTATGCAGCCGGACCAGCACAACGCAATGACTGAATCGCCTGTTCGCAGTCAGCCCACTGCGAGCCTCGACTTCTCACGCTTCCGTGAAGAACCACACAGCATGTTCTCACAGGCTCCTAGCGGCAATAATTTGCTGGGCGATCAGTTTCCACAGCGACAAGCGCTCAAGATGCCTCAGCAGACCATGAACGCGACCCGACAGCACTTTCAATTTCCACCCGCACCACTTCCGACGAGTACGTCAGGTCCTACACGTCCACCCAATCAGATCTATCAGACGATGCCCGCCCCCAATGCGTGGCCGGGCACTGCAGCGAATGGCGGGATGCTCTACCAGGGGTTCCCCATGCAGCCTACGCCAATGCAGACTGCGCCAAAGCTCTCCTTTAACCCTGTTCCGCCCCGCCCTTCTAGTGGACCCAGCGCGAGCGCGAGCACAAGCGCCGTTCCCACACCGCCTGTTGCAGTCGCGCGCGCTCAAGCAAAAGCATCAGAACCAGGCGCAAAGCGACAGAGATCACCCTATGTCAAGTGGAACCTGGCTGAGGATGAGTTGCTAGCCAAGGCGGTAGCACAGCATGGTCAGCGTTGGGACGCAGTGAGCAAATGCGTGCCCAGTCGAAGCTATCATCAATGCCGACAGCGCTGGCTCAGAGGACTCAAATGTAAGCGTTCTGTTTTCACTGGGTCCAGTGATGCTGATTCGAGCCATGCAGCTGGAGAGAACTTGCCTGTTGAGCTGGCCCCGTGGTATCCCATCATCAAGGAATCCGTCGCGCGCTACCAGATGCAACGCATGTCCAAAGCCGATCGTTACACGCCGGCCACTCAGATGGATGAGGAGGAAGGTGACGAAGAGGAGGAGGAAGAGGAAGAGTAAACGTCCATGTCATTGCATTGCAATCCAGTCCGTATCGAATGTTGTCGCGTCGTTCGCGTAAGCTTTCGTACGCTTTCGCACAAACGACGATGGTGAGTGCTGCTCTCGACCATGTACCGGGCATGATCCTGATCTCGTCTTCAGTCGGTCACGCTGTATACTACGCTCGGCGAACTTAAGGTCGGCAGGAGGCTGTCAGCTCTCTCGCTGCCGCTAAAGTGCTTGCCGGCTCCAGATTGAAGTCTTTTGCGAAAGCGTGCCCAAGGCGGCAGAGAACTTTCTGGCTCTATGCGCCAGTGGAGCGTATGACGGAGTCATATGGCACCGGTCCGTTACTCTTGTCTCATGAGCGCTATTGCTTAGCTGAGCCGATATGACAGGAATATGAAAGGCTTCATGATTCAGACTGGCGACCCTACAGGCACGGGTAAAGGCGGCAAGTCAATATGGGGAGGCACATTCGCCGACGAGATCCGTTCGACGCTCAAGGTATGCTGGCGTCCATCATCTGATGCGTGGGCTGAGCAATGTCGCAGTTCAATGCTCGAGGCATCGTCGCAATGGCCAATAAGGGACCTGACACGAACAAAGCACAATTCTTCATCACCTATGCCAAGCAGAGCCATCTTGATGGGAAATACACGATCATTGGCAAAGTCATTGATGGTCTGGACACAACGCTGGACGCTATGGAAAAAGTCACCGTCAACGAAAAGTTCAGACCGATCCATGAGATTCGACTAACTAGGGTTGAGATCCATGCGAACCCTCTGGCAGATCAAGCGGCTGCGAGGTGACTGAATCTGCTCAGGCGCTGGGATATTTCGCTCGAGCAGGACGCGATTGCACGCATTGCAACATGCGATGCGATTGATGGCACAACAAGAGCTAGACATGCTTGTGCTGGTCGATCAGGTCTTTCGCAGGAGACCGACAAGCTCGCCTTGTAGGTCGGCACGACGCTTGCCTTCTGCCAGTCCTTGGATCGATCGAATGTCATTGCAGATATTGGCAGACTTTTGAAAGTAGACCTCCTGCGGGGGCTCAATGTGAGTTGAGCAAATATTGCATGAATGCGACGCGGACCTGAAGTAGATTGCGCATCTTTGCCTCCATGTCTTCGATGATCCGGCCAAGACAGACGACATGTGGTTGAGGCAGAGAGGAATCTCGCGTGACTTCTTGCTCGAGCTGCAATCGTGTATCCCAATCAGCAGCCTTTCCGGGCTCGAATAGAGAGTAAATCACCTGGCGCGTCATGCTTCCACCCAGCTCTAGCTCACCCACAGACGGATCATGCCTTACCAAATGCAGCAGGACCGTGCTGGTGAGCTTGACAGTAGACGAGCGTCCCTTGTCTGTCATCTCAAAGACGTGTATGGAGTCCCAAGTGCTCCTGAGCAGGTTGTCTGGCTTCTCGCTTGGCACATAGGCTGTCAGGTCGCGTGAGATTGATCCCTTCATGAAAGTCATTTGGCATACCTTTCTGCAGCAGAACAACGCCAGCGAAGCCGTCGTCGGTGTCCCATAGATAGACAGATGATAGACCGCCGCCATAGTACCTATCAGAGCCCATGAGACAATCGCACTGGCAGACGAGAGCATTGACGTACATGTCGCGATAGACATCGAAAGCGTCATTGGCGGCCTCTTCGACTTTGCGTAGCCTGTCCGACGGCATTGCTCCATCGCTGAGCGGTGGGTCGTACTCGTTCGTCCACGGTGACCTGCAAAATGTACTACCAATGAGGACACAAGCCTCATTGAGCCTGCAAAGCTTGCCTCCAGCTGTCGCCGTCGCGGTTATAGTCGCAGCAGAGGTACTGACGACCGGCACGATCCGTTCGGATGACGAGAGGCTGGTCGACCGAGCTCAGGAGATCTTCTGCCAAGTCGGGGCACAGCTCGAGCAACTTGCTGAGGTTCTCAGTCGTCCGCTGGGGCGGCAGCCGTCGCATGAGGTCCTGGGGAGTGCCCAGCTGAGCCGACTTGGCATACTGAGAGCTAAGCTTGGCTCACCAGACATTCTTCCAGCATGCCGCCGGTGCGCTCGTTTGTCGTGACGTAGACAGATTATTAGGCGCGTCGGTCGAGCTCGAGACGAGTCAAGGTCTCGAGTTTGAAGGACATGGACTAGCGACAACAACAGTCTTTAAGCGTCTTTCCTATGGTCGTAAGGCAGCGACAGCCCGGAGACCTCGCTCGATGTCAGCTTTGAGATCTTCGGGGGATTCTAAGCCGACGCTAAGTCTGACGAGCGAATCATCTATGCCTGCCTTTGCTCTATCTTCCGGACTGATAGCAGCGTGGGTCATCGCTGCAGGCAAGCATGCCAGACTCTCTACACCCCCTAGACTCTCAGCCTGCTGCACGCGTCAGCCTCGAAAATCAGTTTGAGATGGGCAGCTTACGAGAACGGCGATGCGCAAAGACGAGAGAAAGGCGTCGCTTGCTGTGATCGCTTGGATGCCTTCGGGAATGGCCAGGTAGAAGGAGAGAATGCCGCTAGAGGGTATATGTGTATCGCTGCTATAGCCTTGCGAACGCGCAAAGGCTTGTGAGTCGGGCGTCATCTGATTCCACACTACTTCTCGCAGCGGACGATCGATCATGCCGGGATAATTGACCCTTTGGACTTGCTTGCTCTGCGAGAGGAACTGCGCGAGGTAGAGCGCTGTCGATGCAGAACGCTGCATGCGTATCTCGAGCGTCTTTGCGCCCCTCTGAGCAAGCCAGCAGTCGAACGGCGAAGGCACACCGCCCGATGCATTCTGATGGAACCTCAAAGCAGGCATGAGGTGTTCATGACGGGTGATGATGGCTCCAGCCACAACATCCGAATGACCGTTGATGAACTTTGTGATCGAATGCGTCACAACGTCTGCGCCCAGCGTGAGAGGCTGACAGAAGTAGGGACTGCTGAACGTATTGTCGACGACGAGGAGAGCCTGATGTCGATGAGCTACAGCGGCGAGTGAGGCGATGTCTGCTATCGTCATCGTAGGATTGCAGGGTGTCTCTATCCAGACGAGCTTGGTCTTGCCTGGTCTGATCGCAGTCTCGAGTCTATCTGCTGCGGCTCTGATGGGATCTGATTCTTTGGCGTTGAGAGAGAGCGCAACAAAGTCTGCATCGATGCGTTGGACGGGTCCAGCTACGCGTTTGATGTAGCGATAGGTTCCACCGTAGCAAGTATCGATACAGATCATGTGGTCGCCAGGTGTCAGCAGAGCCTGAATGACCGTCGCGGTTGCATTGCTACCCGACGAGAAGCATAACGCCAACGGTCCATGAGCTCCTGTCGTCTGCGTAGGGTGTGGCAGCTCGAGTGAGGCGAGCAGGGTCTCAAAGCCGAGTCTGTTGGGGTTGCCAGCACGAGAATACTCGAAACCTTTGTGATGGCCGACTCGCTCTTGCTGATAAGTCGTGCTGAGCGATAGGCTCGGTATGACCGCGCTCGTCGAAGCATCCGGAGCGGAGCCTGCATGGATCAAGCGTGTGCCAAAACCGGCCACTTCGTCAGCATGCTCGACGTGTCCGTTCATGGCTCAACCTATTGATCTCATAGCGAACGACGACGCGGGCGATCGCCGAACTGTCCGCTGTTTCATTTAATTTAGGGAAAAAAGAAAAGAAAAGCCAGGGGGCGTGAAAACGATCATTGCTGAGCGCGCCCGCACTCGAGAAGTTCGCATCCCGGCTCATTCCGCTGATTGGCCTGAATCGAGAATAGACATGCAGCTTAGACGAGCGCCTACTCCCAAAGCATAGAGAGCAAGTCAGGCACTAGATCACTAGACACACCATGGCAGCGCTCAGCTTTACGCCCGCGGGCAAAGATGGGCCAGCTTGCTTCAATGTACCCCATCTGGCCTCGACAACAGGCTACCCACCTCCCGGAAGATCGCTCAAGAATCGTACCATCTCTGCTGACGATCTGCGACAACAGCGAAAGACCGCTGCCGACACTTTGACGGCCAAGGAAATCAAGCCAACGCCCAAGGACTTTGTTGCCCCAAGGCACGCCTCGAGCCATCTACTCCATTCTATCCCGACGAGAGGCAACACCTGTCGGCAAAATATAATAGACTATCTCATGTGAGTCTTCGAGCTCCGCTTGGCTATCCCTCTGGCTGATCGGAGCGGGTAGACATCTCAATCTCGAGGCGCGGTTCGCGACGATTGACGACAGTACTTCGCTTGTGAGAAGAGCCGAGCAGGCGCATCGCGAACCGGAGAACCGCAAGCACGCTCAACACGATGACCTCGTCATCCCACCGCTTGATAGTGAAAGGGCAGATGGACTCGAGAAACTCGTCGATGGAATGCTGTCCGGCGGGCGACACCACATCTTGGCTAGCATAGAAGCCAGGCTACCGCCTGCGCCAGCCAGTCTGCTCAACTTGGGAGAGCAGACAGAGATGCCGACGCAGCGGAGCAGCGCCTTACATGGCGCGAAGCGAGGAGGACTCGTCTCTGCTACATCAGATCAAGGCATCCTCGAATTGGGAAAGCATATCGAGACCCGTTGGAGACTGGTCAAGATACTCAATGAGGTCTTCTCACCTACGACTGAAGTCGATCAGGTCGTCAGCACCAGCGACACTGCACTGCCAGGATCTGACGACAAGCTCGTGCGGCCGACTTCGTCTGTATCTGCAAATTCGATAGAGGTACAGACAGATAGGAGTGCAAGGCTGCCATCTTACAAGCCAATCGACATATTGCCCCTATCGGTACAAGCGCTCGTGCCTGTCTCGTCTCCTGAGCAACCACACTCTGAGCTCAGAGGCAGCAAGGTCTCTCAGGCTTTGCTCAAACGCAAGTTCTCTCAAGTCGGCAGTGGCTCAACCCGACCGGCGCACGTTTCCCCGCCAAGTCAGATCGTTGCTCTGCCTGCAGACAAACTGATTGCACCGCACATTGACTATCGCATCAACCATAAGCAAGCCATCCGAGCACGCGCCGCTGAGATCTTCTCGGCTTCTGTACCAAAAGGCGTCTGGTGTCGCAATCATCGCATGAGGGACTGTACTGTCTGCCCCGCAGTTCAACGCAGTCGGATCCATTCCACTCAAAAGACGCGCAAAGATGCTGCAACGGGTCAAGTTCTGCTCGCTTCTCGTGCGCCCGGTGCTGGTCTTGGCAGTGCCGCCGCTTCGGAGACCCATGCGCCAGGTACACAACGACTGCTCCTTGCAGAAATCATTCCCGAGTTTATCATAGTCTCAGAGGCGCTATTCGGCGAACTAGCCGAGATGATGTCGCCGCCTACGCAACATGCCGCAGAGGAAGGCACCAAACCAGAATGGGAGCTCGATCTCGAAGCTGGCGAGGACAGAGACGCAATCAGAGACCGACAGCAAGAGAGCGCAAAAGCCAGCGCCTCACAGCTGCCGAAAGAGCCGCCATCGCGGTCAGGACCAGCAGATCGTGCATACCATGTCTATACTGCATGGTACGATCTCTTTGCCAACTTGTCGACTCAGGCAATGCTGCAAGGCTTCGTCATGGAGTCATGGAAAGGTTATGAGGCAGGAGAACTCTTGCTGGGCGTCGGCTGTGGCGGCTGGCACGGCAGAGGCTGGGGTACAGCGTATCGTGCTAGGGAGCCTCAACCTGCATCGGAGTTGCTTGACTTGTCCGAAGAAGAGCAAGAGGACCTTGACGAGGGCAGCAAGCGAAGGCTGAAGAAAGAGGTCTACACTCAACGGGTCGTCACTGCTGCCAAGCTTCTGTTCGGCGTCCGCAATAATGCGCTCGCCCGATACGAAACGAAGATGCATGACAGGACGCAAGAGGTGAGCACCTGTTGATGATGCGCAGAGCAGAGAGCTGACTCGCTCATAGTTCTTGACGGTCAAGGAGGGCTCAACATTGGAAGAGCATCTGGATCAGCTTTGCGAGCAATACTCGTACGCAGACTGCTTGGACGAACTCTCGCTCTTTTTGCAAAGCGCACAAGCAATGATGGGCAAGCCCGAGCTCGCAAAGTACGAAGCTTTGCATAAGCTGAGAACCAAGGGCCATGTCACACAAGTCATGCCAGGCGTGACGACGTCACCCATAACTCAGACAGTCTCTCTGTCTTCGAATGGTCAGTCCTGCATACGACCGTCGCTTCGCGAGCTGACGTTGAAAAATCAAGCAGATGCGCTATCAGATGATCGCGACATCGAGCCACTCTTGCGCTATGCGGGCTTGCAAGTGGAAGAGGAAGACCGCAAATGAACACATGCACTCGTCTGAGCACTCCACAAGATTGTAGACCCAAGCCTTTTGTTCTGTTGTTGTCAACTATGCAATGTGCTATCAGCTTTTTCAAGCGGGGCTATGTACAACAAGGAATGAAATGGCTGCCACGAATACGTATTGCGACTGAGGCGAGTATGGCTATGTGCGCGAGTATGGTTTTTTTTGCTGGTGTGCTTTCATTGAGGCGATGCAGTGATCGAGTGATGCTGACGCTCCCGAGAGTGCGCCCTCGGTTTGCCAGAGCGCGTGACGCGGCCGGATGCGAGGACTTGTTTGGCTTTGCGCAACGGTGACATGCTTGCACCGTGATACCACCAAGCATTCGTCGTTGCGCGAACAGATGTGCTCCTGCCTCGCATATCGCCCTCGGTATCCTCGCGGTCGTCGGTCGGGCTTACAGGCGCGCCGTCTGAGCACGTACTGAGGACAGTATGCAGTGGTGCTTGGTGACTGTCTGCGGCCGGGTTACTGAGTACAGAGTGAATGGACTGCTGACGAGGGTCTATCGTCATTGTCTCGAGGTCCGAGGGCATGACATAGCGCTTTGAAGTTCTGGTCGGCGTACTCGCGCCGCTCTTGATGCTCGTCTTGCGCTCTCGCTGTGATCTGACGGTAGGCGAGCCCCGCCTTCGACCAAAGTGAACATGTGGCTCTGTCCAGCTCAGAATCTCGCAAGAGAGCGTCGGAGATGGGCTGGCTTCGAGATCGGCAGAGTAACTGTCCGCTTTACCATTTGCATCGGCTAGGAGCTCGTCTGGCACTGACTCGGGCTGGCACGAGCTGGCGGTCGATTGGGAGCTTGCATCGCTCATGGCTGGACCCGCACGGTATGATCAGCATCGAGGCACCGTGCGGGACTCGACAAAGAGACTCACTGAGCTCCGGCAAGTCATCGAGTGTGAGGACTGCCATGTCTGGCACATCTGACCGCTTCTGCCTCTGCACCATCTTCGTGCGAGCGCAGAAACAGTCGCCGTCTTACGCTAGAAAAGTATGGTGCGGTCGCTTGCGCCATAGCCACGTGCGCGATCGCGGTCAGAGGTGCGTCAATACATATCTCCTGACGCCACTCGAATCATCGATGACGCTGTCAGAGACAACAAACCAGTTTGGTTCTTGGGCCTGGAATTTTTACAGAGGAAGAAAGACTGAGCCTTTCGTACACAGCCTACAGCAAAGATGGGAGCAGAAGACCATGTCAAGGTGAGCGAGCAATGCCATGCGAGCCGCTCGAGCTAGCCCTCCGGCGTTCGCTCGACACCGCATTTTGTCCTTTTCGCGAGCGTGCGCTGACGGCCTGCTTTCTCCCTCCTTCACTGCCTCTGCTGTGACCTCACACTCGACTCGTGCGCTCTTCGCGACCCTCGACGATGCTCTCATCGCGCTCTCATCGCCTCGATGACGCCCTGGACGCTCATCCAATTCGCTGCCCGTGACTTTCTACGGATATATATTTCCAGAGAGGGCACCCTATCTACTTTGGCGTCATCATCTTCTTCACCTTTGTCGAGCTCGTCCAGACTGGCGTCCTCGTTGGTTCTTACAACAGAAACAATGATTACCCGAGCAGCCTGATCGAAGGCTCCACCCGATTCTTGCTCTTCACCGCGCTCTGGTCGATTCTCTTCTCGATCGCCTACCTCGTCGGATTCATCATCATGACCGCCTCGCCCATCTTTGGCGCACTATCTCACGCAGCTTTCCGTGAGGCTTGCGCGTCCCGCAGAGATCCTCCCAGCTAATGCGAGCGCGGCAGTGTTCTTGACGTGGCTCTTCTGGCTCGCTGGCTCAGCTGCCCTGACCAATGGCATTGGGTATGCAGCTCTTGCGATATCTCATGTATCCAGGCTGATGGCTTTCTATCCCACAGAGGAAGCATCAGCTGCGGCACTGCCAATATCGCTCACTGCCACCAGCTACAAAGCGCAGTCGCGTTTGGCTGGATCAATTTCTTGCTCTTCACAGGCGCCTTTGTGCTCTCCATTTTCGTATGTTACCCCGTATGCGCAGATCGTCTCACTGCTGATGTTCAAGCCTCGCAGCTCGGTATGCGCAACGGCTTCACGGGCTCGCTCGTCTAGAGTGTCAAAGGAGGGCGAGCGGCTCAGAGTGCAGAGTCAGATCATTGTCAGTATCGTAAAAATACACACGCCATCTTGCCGACCTCTACTGTAACGTCAGCTCTCTTTGCACACGCAGATACCCACGAAAGGAAGATCCAGCATGGACAGGAAGCCCCGACTAATTTGTATATCGCTCACATAATCGCATCAGTCTATCCATTTGCGTTGATGTTACACCTTGCCTGGCCCGTAAACCTGCCTGACGCGCTCTATGAATGCGGTGAGCGTCTTTGTGCTGAGTCGCTCAAAGACGGCTCCTGCTGCTGCTTCGTGAAGCGGGTTCGCGAAGCGCCAGGCCAGATCGAGGCTGACCATTGTCGGACCAGGACCGTGTGCGGCTGGATTGGGATCGCCAGAAGCTGTTGGATGCGGCGAAGCGGATGCAGCAGGCGAAAGAGTCCAAGACGTCTTGAGGGTCTCAAACAGTCTGTGCTGGTTCGCAGTCGCCTGCACAGAATTCCACTTGACGCACTCGACAGTCGATACATAAGCCTCTTCGAAGCCCATGTAGCCTATCGTCAGCTCTGCTTGCAGCTGATGGTGTTCGCCCTCTGTCCTGCCGAGAAGCCATGGTCTGCGACCGGCAATGCTAGGCGTTGCGAGCACTTTGGAGCCAACGCAATAAGGTACAAATTTGCTGTAGTTGTCTATGTCTGCTACGATCGAATACAGTTGCTGACGAGTATAACTGCAATCGCCTCTCAGCTGACTATGGATGAACGGCGGACGCCTGAGCTCACGGCAAGATCTTGCGCTCGTGAAATGTCGTCACATTGCCTTGCTTTTGCGCTTTGCTGCGTTGATTCGCGGCGCCGAAGCCGAAGAGATGCCGTCTGGAGAGGTACGCTGCCGTATCGACCGCATGCTGAGCTTGTCTGCGGCCAGCACAGGTAGCTCGCCGCATCGATCGACGCAAACTGCAAGGCGACGCGCGTCATTTGCATTGACATATCAAGCGTATGTGAGTCTGGACATCCATGCAATGCTCAGACAATAGCGTCACGTGTGCTCGTCGCTACGATCACAGAGCCATGCTTCGACCAGCTTGAGCCCGTCCCCATCGACAGTGAGCATCTCGCCATGCTTGGCACCCTTTTCAACGTGCACATTGCCACCTTGGTCGAGCATCTTGAGACCGCGCTCCAGAAAGTAGTCACGTATGAGTGTAGACGATAGGATCGAGTCTGCTTCCGCCAGACAGATCAACGTGTGATGGCGCGAGGTCGGGTCGGGTATATCCTCGAAAAAGGTGATATTGGAGCTCCAGTCAAAGTACCTCGACAGCGTGATGGCGACGCCTAGCTCGCGAGCGACAAAGTAGCGCATGAGCTTGTCCATGCCTGTCTTGGGCGTTGCACGCAGAAAATTGAGTGGCACGTCGGGCTGCCATAGACAGAAGGTCACTGGGTCCGTGAAGCAAGATCGCTTTACGAGATCTGGGAACGATTTGAGCAGCCCTGCAAATGCCTGTGTCAGAACAGCGATAGGTGAGAGAAGGACATGACTGACAGCCATGGACGATGGTGCCGTTCGAATGACTCAGGACGGCGAGTCCTTTCTCGAAGCCATGCCGTGCAATCATCGCCCGAGCGCCGGCCTCGAAGCGAGCTCGTGTGGGCGGTCGCGTGTGTGCCTTACGGAAGAGCTCCATCGATATGTGATGTTGCAGGACGATGACGATGGGACGATTCTTGAGCTCGTCCTTGCTGGCCAAATAGCGAATGAGCTCAATGTACTGCATCAAGCCGCATCCCAGTCCATGCAGAACGAGGATCGGCAAGGATGAATGCGAATCGGTAGGTTGCCAGTCTGGTGGCATCCGAAGCAGGTACTCGTACTGATGCGTTCTATCGTGTATGCGAACAAAGCCTGCTGATCTTTCCAAGCCTCTAGAGATTGCGATATTAGTGCAGTGAAGTCCTGCGTACAGCCAGAAAGGCCGCTTCTCGACCTGTACTGGATCTAAGTGTAGTCGGATACATTTTACAGTGGGATTGTAGCCCGGCGTGATCTCACAGCCGGCACGAGCTTCAATTAATGTCATACACCAGTCGAGGAAAGCCAGTTTGTCGCCCGAGCAAGGATCAGACGTATCGTCTGGATGGATCTTGTGTTTCTTGCCTGATGCATGCTCGTATCGGATGTCGGTGAGCTGCTGAGTGTACATGCTCCAAGCGAGCCACTCCAGAAAGTTGTCACGCTTGATGGCACTCCAAGGGGCACCAAGAAACCACTTGCTCTGTGACTGCCTGAAAGCCAACGCACGAGGATCTTCGAATGCCAAAGGCGTCTTCATGAAACTGAGGTGTCGCGCCGGGTCGCCTTGATTGGAATGAGCGACTTGCATCTCGACAGATTCACGTCTCCTCGCATTTGGCGCGTCAATCTGCTGACCCATGCCGTTTTCGAGAGCTCGAGCGTAGACTTTGCGAATGAATTGCCGAGAGAACGTTGGCACGACACCGTCGATCTGCCTTTGAGCTTTGAACGTCATGAAGTCTTGCACAAAAAAGAAAAGGATCTCTACTGCTTGGTAGATGTACAGCGGCAGGAGCCAGAGGGACACCGGGGCAGAAGGTATGCTCGCCGGTAGCCTGTTGGTATATGTGGCCCATGACCAAAGTGCGCCGAGCATACAAACATATGGCGTCGACTTCATCGTATAGATGATCGTCAGGATGGGCACCTGCGAGCTCTGGAAGAGCTGGCCATGATGGATGCCCATCTCCAGGCAGACTTGAGCGTACGCCGAGTGCGGAGTCGGCGGCGGCCAGGGTGACAGCCGAGTCGCCGAGCGAGCGTGCCTGCCCCGGCAAAATCTCCCAGAGTCAGCAGCCAGTCAGCGAGCGTTCAGAGATGGATGCGGGACTCTCTATGAGCAATTTCTCGCTGGACGATGCCCGACTGCCGTCCAGGAGCGCAGCCAACACCAGCGTGCTCGTCGACATTGAAGGAGCCGAGATTGTCGACGAGGATCCTGCGCGAGAGACGAGGGATATCTACCTGCCCAGGCACACTGAATTCATCAGTCACATCGCTCTGGATGTGCGCTCTTGCTTCTCCGACAGATCAGAGCGAGCCTTGCTGACAGCAAGTGTCCACAGATTGGCGGCTCACTTGCTAAAGTCGTCTACTTCACTCGAGTGCCCCACAAGAAGCTACAGGGCACGAAGCTCGAGTACGACTGTCCAGGCCCAGCGGAGCAGTCGGCAAGCACGTCTGCTACTTCGGGCAGCAAAGGGCTCGTCAATGGCAAGAGCATCGCGTCTTTGGGATCCGCCATTGAAGATGAGCCACCGCGACCTCCTTCCCCATTCAAACCCAACGGGATCTTGGGACCAAAAGCATTACAAAAGCAAGCAGAGCAAGCGATGCCAGCAAGAGGACACTTTGCTTCTCCCACAAGTCGCGTCAAGCCGGGCATGATGAAGCGCAGGGCGAGCGTGACCGAACTACCGGGTGGTCGGCTCAACTTCATCAAGTTTGAGACTGATAAGCTGGACGACTGTATTAAGTTCATCAAAGACCTCATCGAGTCATCTTCACGATCTCACGGCGTTGCGCTCGACGAGATGAAGAAAGGCGTCAAGATCATGGCAACAGGTGGCGGATCATATCTCTTCTACGAGCGTTTACGGGCCGAGCTAGGCGTCGACGTGACGAAGGAAGAGGAGATGGACTGCCTCATCACTGGCCTGACCTTCATCACAGAGATACCAAATGAAGTCTTTTGGTATAGCGACGAGCTATTGCCCCAGTCAGCCGATACAGATGAGGAGCCCAAGCAAGCCCAAGAAGTGCGAAGAAAGCTTTCGGATCCGATACCTTCACCCGAAGCGAGTGTCCCTCTAGACAGCGAGATGCGACCCGATCCATTACCCATAGAGGCTTTGCCGCGTCCGTCTGCAAACCCGCCCATGTACTCGCTTCTTTTCGACTCTCATCCGACCCCTCACTTCCCCTGCATGCTCGTTAACATCGGCAGTGGAGTCAGCATCATCAAAGTAGACGACTATGGCAAATTCGAACGAATCAGTGGTACCAGCTTAGGCGGTGGCACACTCTGGGGTCTGCTGAGTATCATCACCGGCGCAGAGAGCTTTGACGGCGCGTTCACTGTTTCTGTTTGCGTCACCTACTAGGCTAATGATCTGGCTTGCAGAGATGCTGGCCATGTCAGAAAAAGGTGACAACGCATATGTAGACATGCTAGTCGGCGACATCTGTAAGTGCATTAGCTACCAGCCGGATCTCGCTGATGTGCCAGCAGATGGCTCTGACTACTCAAAAATCGGGCTCAAGTCGACAACGATCGCTTCGAGCTTCGGCAAAGTCTTCAGAAAAGGCAGACAGAAGCAGGACTTCAAGCCTGAAGACATCTCGCGTAGCTTGCTCTATGCGATCAGTAACAATATTGGTCAGATTGCGTAAGCCTTATCATTGGCACGCCGGGACAAGATGCTGATCTACCGACAGCTACATGAATGCGGAAAAGCACGGACTCGATCGAATCTATTTTGGCGGCTGCTTCATTCGGGGTACGCGCGTGCACTTGCATAGTGCGCACAGACTCACTCCTTGGCGCGCCAGGCCATGCTGCTACCATTTCCACGCTTTCCTATGCCATACGGTTCTGGTCGAAAGGCACAAAAAAGGCCCTCTTCCTTCGTCACGAAGGCTATCTGGGTTCCATCGGCGCCTGGCTCAAGAATATCGAGCAAGAGACCGGCTCGACGCTTGATCGCAGTACTTGAAGCAGCTCACATCAGAGCACATAGGTAGCTGCTAGTACAGCACACTGACAGTCATGCTCGTCTTTGTCAGCCTTTTGGCTCTTGCGTCCAGCGCCAGCGTGTACGCAGCTTCGCCCGCACTCCCGATTGGGTTCAGCATCAGCAGGCGCTCGCAGCCCATGATCCCATTCGATCGCGCTCTCGTACGGGATGTGCCAGACGCATTGACGATCGACATGCCTATCAACCATTTTCCAGGCGATCCAAAGTACCAGCCGACCAACGAGACCTTCAAGCTTCGCTATTTCGTCAACGCGGACCATTACAAGCCCGGAGGCGCCGTACTGATATGGAACGCCGGAGAAGGAAGCGCTGATGATCAGACTGCTGCCATCTTCAGCAATCGCACCTTCATCTACAACCTCACGCAATCCACGAACAGCGTTGGTATCGTTCTCGAACATCGCTACTACGGCAAGAGTATTCCCATGCCGAGCTTCAGCACGGACGATCTGCAGTACTTGACCGTTGAGCAAGCTCTCGCTGACTGGGAATATTTTGCAAAGAATGCCGAGCTGCCGACACTGCCTCAGCTGATCACACAAAACAAGGCGCCTCTGATCTACCTCGGCGCGAGCTATTCTGGCGCCTTAGCAGCATGGTCAGTCGTCTCATCGCATCTCTTGGAATGCAAAACTGAACACAGAATTGAGCAGGCAAAGCGTGGTCTATCCTACGACCTTTTGGGGCTACATCGCAAGCTCGGCAGTCACAGTTTCAATCCTAGACTTTGCAGCCTATGTCAATCCGGTGCGCGACTTCGCTCCGAGAGATTGCGTCGCCAATCTATCAGCTGCCCTCGATCTGATCGATACGACTTCAGAGTCAATGCGCAAGCCTCTTCAAAGTATCTTCGGTTTGCCTCAGGATCAACTCGAGTTCGTCGATTTTGTCAATGTTCTTGCAGAGGGTCCTCTGGAATGGCAAAGCAGCAGCGGAAACCAGCGCGAGTTTTCGGCGTTCTGTGACGCCATCAGTACAGGCGATGGAGTACAAGCTAGCGATACCTTGCTCGAGGAATCGGGGCTAGCGGCAGCTAGCGAGCCCGCGCGATCTGCCGTCCTGCGCTACGCAAGCTACATCACCAATCGCACTCTTACTGACTGCGAAGATGGTAACCTCAACAAGTGCTTCGGCACAAACAACGCAACTGATCTACAACTTGCCGACCTTGATCAGGATTGGCGTCTGTGGGCATGGCAGACTTGCTCACAGATGGCGTTCTTCATGACGGGCAACGTGCCGACCGGTGAGGCGGCTATCATGTCGAAGCACATCGACCTGGCGTACTACAAGCGCGTCTGTCAGACTACATTCCCGCCGGGCACATTCAACAAGTTACCAGAAGTGCCGGACATGGCGAGCGTGCTCAAGTATGGCGGCTATGGCATCAGACATCCACGTCTTGCCTTCGTCGATGGCACAGAAGATCCCTGGCGCCCTTGTACACCTCATGCAGATGCCGCGCCGCCCAGAATCAGTACGACAGATGAGCCCTATTTGCTCGTTCAAGGAGGCGTGCATGGCGCCGACTTTGGAGGACGCTACGGCCCAAATCAGACGGCAACCAATAACGAAGCTCGTGCGACGGAGCTGAGCATCTTGCAGAGTTGGATTGCGGATTGGCAGCGCTTGCATCAGTAGTCGCAACGTTGTGTCTTTATATGCATGGGGCCGATGAAATATTTGTAATGAAGATCTGATACGAGATCTCCTCGCTCGTCGAGAGGAGTCTGTGGACAGCCGGCATGCAGCCGCTTTTGCCAGCGCAGACCGACAGCTCGGGCCCGGCGGCTAAGGCGAAGAGACAGTGGACCATCATACCTCGACCAGCGCCCGGCCGTAAGCCTGCAGGCAAGAAGCCGATCGAGCATGAAGAGCCCGAAGAAGAGGCAAGATCTTATCGATCAGCTATCCGACCAAGATCTGACCTTGCTGGACGTCGCTCAGATGCGAGCGAGCAAGCGAGAGCGTCGACAAGCCCACCTTTCGACGTTACTGAAGCGAATCGAGGACTTGGAGTCAAGCGAGAGAAATCTACGGCAAGAGGTACGCCAGTGTGCCTTCGAGGAGGAAGTCATCGAATGTCGAGCGCAGAATGAACGACTAAGGAGCGAGCTGCTCTGCGCAAGACGTTCACTTGAGACGCGGACAGAGGACGTTGTGCCCAGCTTGTCAAAGCCATCCTCAATCAAGCTCCGGCCAGGCAGGCCGAATGCGCCGTCTCAAGAAGCAAAGCAGCCCATCTGGGCATTTCACGAGCTCAAGCTCGACGATAAAGTCGCCGGACCTGTCTGCAATGGCGATCCGAAAACATGCGCAGCCTGCGCAGATGATCCGCTCGGCCAAGCCTTTTGCAACGCGCTGAGCAAGACTGTCTGCTCTACCGCGCCTTGCGCAGGCTGTCCCAATCGAAAGCGCACGCTTGGGATCATGCTCGACGAAGAGGTCGACATGACAGAGTACACGAATGACCTCTGCTGCGGAACGCCAAGCCTTTGTGGCTCAAAGACCTGCGGCGAGGGATCGCTCTCTTCTTCCAGCGATTTCGCCTCCCTTCGATCTGTCAGTTCGCGAGCGGGCTCCTCTGCCGAGATGCCGGCCAATGAAGCCTGGCGACAGCTGAGAGCGCATCCGAATATTGGCTTTGCAGATCTGCAGATGTTGGCTGATGTCGTCGCTCAGAGCAGCAAATGCTCTGGTCCCCGGATCCCTTCGCCAGTGCCAATGCCTGCAATGGGATTGAAACGATCTGCACTCGCTGCATCTACTGAGCTCGATCGACGGCCCGTCTCGCCGAGACTGACAGTGGACGAAGAAGGCGTGCGGGCAGCCTTAGCTTTACTCAGTGGCAGGAGAGAATCACTCAAGGAAGTTTCATAGCTCACATTTGCAATGTTCTGTTGTCAACATTTACACTAACTTTTTCAAGCTCTCTAGACTACGCATTTGATCCGCGTCCTTTCTTCGTGCTGCCTTGCGACGCTGGACAAGGATGATTCGATTCTGATCCGCAATGTCGAGTGTTTGCGTCCAGTAGACGAGCTCCTGCTCGCGCCTCACGTTACCCCAATCTCGCTCGGCAGCCTCTCGGCTTCGCCTCCATTGCGATAGCGCAATCGCATCTGAAGCCTTGAATTGTCGAAAGAGCACTTCGTTCGATTGCGCCTCGTGTTTGAGCAAGAATGTCTCGAGCAGCTGTTGCGCTTCTAGATGTTTGCCAGCAGACGCAAGCGCATTGAAGCGAACAGACGTTGCAACAGTGTCTGAATCGACATCGCGCTGTGTTGAGGGTTGCGCGTATCGCTGACGAGATGAGGTCTCTGACAAATCCTTGAACGGCACCAGCAAAGCCTCGACACGAGCGATATCGCCTGTGCGGGCCCATGCAGCTGCCAGCGTCAGGACAGCGATGGCGTCTGGCGCGATGCCCGAGTCCACCATCCTTTCAAAGATGTTATACGATTGAGTTGTATCGCTCCGACGAGCGTAAGCCTTGATTAAGATCGTATAGCAGATCACATTGGGACGTATGCCTCTCACTCCATGGTAAGTCCTGAGCAGCTCACCGAGTATTTGTCCAGGCGAACCCAAGGAAGTCTTCAGATCATCGAGCTTCCTAACGGCAGTCGCAGTCTCAAAGACTTTGACAGCCTCGTCGGGCTGGCCAAGCGCAATGAAGTAGGACATGATGGCACTGAGGTGGTACGGCGAAGGTGTCGCCCCACGACTGATGACTCCCTCGTTGAGCAGACGAGTGAGCATGCCAGTATTGATCGGCGCAGATTCGTGTCGGCGTGAGATCCTATCGCGCTCATGGGCTCGAGCGAGGCTCAGGATGAGGTGCGAGACCGAATGCGTATCGGCTACATTGCTGCTTGAACCACCAATGGCAGTGAGAGATGTGCCGGTCAGCTCCTCAATTTGCTGCGCAATGACCCTGGCCGCACCCGCTGCGCCGAGCGCGCTCTTTCTACCATGGCGATGCAACACGCCGCTCAGTGCATTTCGTAACCGCTGCTGGAAGTCCGGTGAATTCGGCTTGCCGAGCAGATCGGAGAATGTTTGCCAGATGCGATGCTGAGAGACCCCCGGCAAGATATCGAGATGTTGGAGGACAACAAGGAAGAGCTCTCTGTCGATTGCAAGACCATCGCACGCCCACTCGTGCATCAGGTCGGTGGCGCCTTTGAGGCCTTCCTCGCGGAGCTTGTGGTCGAGTCTGAACCGACAGAATGCTCGTGAAGTCGCAACGTCGGCTTCGAAGACCTCGCCACTGGGCGTGTCAATGAGCGGCAATACGAGATCCTTGGGTAGACTGCGACTTCCAGAGGTGATAGTGTCCATCAGAAGTCTGGCCGCAGTGTCGTCGGTCAAGCGCGAGGTTGTGCGGATGAGGAGGATTGCGAGCTTGGCATCGAGCAAGTGCTCTGCTGTCATCATTGCACCAAAGCAGCGTAGTGCCGATTCGTACTGTTCGGCTTTGGTCAGGGCGCTGATCAGATGCTTGTACGTTGCAGCGGTTGGCGCGGATGACTCGATGCCGCCGCTAAAGCTGAACAGATCTGATCGACTCGTCAGCTCGGAGCTGTTTGTGAACGTGCTCAGCAAGGGCGCGTGGCCCCAATCAAACGTTTGCAGGAGCGAGATGCAGGTCTCCAGATCGTCAGAGGCGCTAGCCGTGGCTAGAAGACCATCGAGGAGATCGCGATCCAAAGGCACCCCATGAGACGAAATTTGCCTCAGGAGCTGCTGGCAGAGTACTCGCGAGCCCATGCGACTCTCAGCACATCGAGCGAGAAAAGCAGCAAAGTACTGTCTGTCGAGTTGTGTGCCGTTCTTGAGCAAAAAGGGCGCAATGCCCATTGCCAGCTTGGCTTGCTTTGCTCTCAATAGGTGACGCGCCAATCGGCGACATTCGTCTAGCGAGGGCGCGAGACCATCCTCAGCATAGTCTGATAAGATCCGCTTTAGACCATCGACATCTTGCCTGGCAAAGTCCGCCCTGAGTCGCCAGCCGAGCAGCTCAGTCGTGAATTTGCCAGATTGACTCTTTGCGAGTTGAACGAAGCGCAAGACATTAGGCCAGTCTTTGAGCTTCGCTAGTTGAGCGACCGCTTCATCCAGCAGCTCTGGATGTTCTCGCTTGAGCGTTGGATCTAGCTCGCGCTCATAGTGCTCAAAGGCCTCTTGAACCCTACCTGCCGACACAAGACGGGCTAGATGACCGCTTCGCTCGGTCCATGCCGGCGGACTGGGCTCATCAGGCGTCTCGATGATAAAGGGCGAGCTGGGCTGAGGCCGCCGCCGCCCAGGGCGTGGTCTAGCAGTGCCAGGACTCGAGGCAATGGACTCATGTGACGGTGTTGGCACAATCCATCGCTCGGGCGCATCGTGCGATCTGACCCGTGCTCGTCTGGCGAAAGGAAGCGACAATGCGGCGTCTATAGTGCTCGTAGATGGGCCGGCATAGCATCGTCGCATGACGGCCGCTGCCTGCCAGCTGAGATTTGGCTGTCGCCAGACGGCGGCGCACTCGCAGCATCCTACGAGCATGGCTGCGAGCAAGTGTTGTGCTCAGCTCTCGCGAGAGCACCAGAGCGAAAGCAGAGCCTACCTCGTTGTACGCTAGCGCTGGGGACTGGCACTGAAGATCTTCATCGTGCTGGCTTGGGCTCATTCCATCGCTCGCATCTCCATTCGCGCCGACACCTCTTCGGCCCAAACCTCCACTCGATCGACCGATGGAGACTTTGTCAAGGCGAGAGGTATGCGCAGTCTGGCATGGCGGATGCCCTTCTGATTGCTCGATGTCTCAGGAGGAGGTGCTGCGCAAGTCACTCAAGTCAGATGCTCTCAAAACCTGCGACCCCGTCGTCAGAGGCATGTCGCCTCTTTTCGACAGTCATGTCCGCACTGACGGCGATGATCCTCTCCAGACTTTGCACAATGTACAGAAGGCAGAACAGTGTCGATCGTGTGGACTTGCCGCAAGCCATTGAGAGCGATGCAAGATTGCTTGAGGATACACATGTCTCAAGATGTCGTCGATCAGGCCAAAGTGGACTTTCTCGCTCGTCGCAAAGCCAGTGCTCAAGGTGCTCAGCCCGTCATCAGTCAAGCACAGATGCCATCAGCATAGCATGAGCAATCGATCTGGTCAGACAGGCAGACGCGTCTAGAGGCGAGCAGCGATCGAGCGTTCGACCGAAGCTGCCATGTGGCGAGCTCGTTCGGCCGTGACCAGACCTGCAGTGATAATATTAACACAAGTTGTACGATGTTGTGTAAACCGTTGCAGACTCACCAGCAAGGATTGTGTCCGCGGTGAGCTTGGGTGTGATCTGGACCATCAGATGGGCCGATTCGATGCGCGAGACGACAGCCGCTGGAATCTGAAGGGACAGCTCCCTGATCGTGCTCTCGAAAAGCAAAGATCCCGTCTTGGGGATCACGATATGCGTCGACAGGCTCGTCGGAATCAACGAAAGCCGCTTCCACACTTCCCGTGCGCCATCGCCCCAGTTGCGATCTCCAAAGACGATGGCTTCTGATGGGTAGAGTGTCTTCAGTCCGAGCGTACCATCTAAATTGCAAGCTGTGAGCAGACTCCGAAGCACAGAAGATCTACGTACCCTGCTTGTGCCAGAGACCAAGATCGCACCAACGTGTAAAGACTTCGTCCGTCCACGCGCCATAGAAGTCCTTGTTGAGCTTGCCCGATGACCAGGCCTCATCTCGATTGGGCCAGTTGTCCCTGCGCGTCAGTGCGAGGCCCATGAGGGGCTTCAGCTCCTGTACAGATCGCACATCAGCGGTCGTCATTTACTGCCATCAAAAGACTGACCTGACGCTCAAAGCCAGGAGGGAAGGCGACAGGGTCGAGACCGACAACTTGAGCAAAGATGGAAGGCAGGCATGATGCTGCGCCGAGAACAGCGGCAGAACCTTGCGAATGGCCAACGCTGCAGATGTAACGACCACGGAAAGGCTTTGCGCTTGCAAAGTTCTTTGTATCGACTCTGATTGAGCCAGTCAGACCGTCGAGCTCGAGCAGCGCAGGATCAACGTCGGCCTGAGCCGGCAAGAGTCTGATCGTCTTCTGATCCTTTCCGGCCGGCTCAGATTGCAGGTTCGTGTAGTCCTGGTCTTTCTTCGGTAGGTACTTGAGTACGAATTGCAGGACATCGCGCGACATATCGGCCCAATTGTACTCTTCCATTGAGAAGCGACCACGGTTGACGAGTGCAGAATCGCCAAAATGCGAATGATCGAGCGACCAGATCTCGTCGATCCTCTGGCCATCTTTGTTGTCGCCATCGATGAGATGCGCTAGTGCCGGCTCCCAGATTTCCTTGTGATGACCGTTGGTATGATTGAGGATCATAGTCGTTCCTGGTTGGGTCTTGCTCGACGACATTCGACCATTGATCCGGGAGTAACGATTGACGACGATGTACATCTGCTTCTGTTTGGACCAGACATCTTTGTTCTCTACGGTAGTCGTCACAGCCGCATTCTGCCTCTCAACGATACCGTTCATAGTCTGGAGCAAGAGCAGCATGTCAGATGACTTGACAGGTGAAGGCGCATCGCCAGCGACAACTTCGCCGAGTTTGACGGCGGAGCCAAGCGTTGATCGCGGCCATGCCGCGGGAAAGGCAAACGTCTCGACCTTCCATCCGAGCTCAGGCGTGACATCTCCAAACGGATCCTTGAGATGAGCTGGCCGAGCTGGCACAACGAGATGGCTCTCGAGCTGCTGGCCACTCTCGTACAGTGGGAAGAGAGGCGCGATCGGCATATCGGCTTGAGCATTAGCCATTTCGGATGTCTGCTGTTCGTCAATCGCGGTTTGACGAGCGAGCTTTCTTGTAGGGCGCTCAGGACTAGATCTAGGCAAAGGGCGAGTGTGTGCTATCACGATGCGAAGGTCCGTGCGTGCGAGTTTCGGGCCGTAATGCGCATGAGAAGATCCGTGCGCATGACTTTGTTAAATGAGTCTGTCCAGCCGTTCTCTAGAATTGCGGAGCCTGAGAGCGGTACGGCGTCAAACCGCATGACGAAGTCTGCGACGACAAGAGTAAGGACAGCCGTCGCCATGTTCTGAGCAATGCATGCGCGTGGGGTGCGCCCGAAGGGTTGATAACAAGCACAGCTAGCCGTATCGAGCTTGAGCCATCTGTAGGCATCAAATCGCTCCGGATCAGGTCCATAAGTGGTCTTATCGCGGTGTAGCACGTAGCCAGAGCAGCCAAGTCGATAGCCAGCCGGTATGGTCACTGTGGCTTTTGAGCCATCGGGCAGTTTTATTGGGGTACTCCATGGTTCAGCAAGCTCTTTCTCCAGCAAGTGAGGATTGCTATCGGCAATCCGCAATATCTCGCGCACAGTCGCAACAAGCAAAGGAACCGACTCAAGCGCATCAAGTCGCGGTCTGTCACTGATGAATACAGGCTCGAGATCGTTGCGAAGGGCTTCGACCTGCTGTGGCTGACCGTAGAGCGCATACAAGCCTAGGCCGAGAGTAGCTGTGAGCGTGTCTGTGCCTGCGAATACAAAGTCTTCTAGCTGAGCGATAGTCTCTTCGCGCGTCATTGCCTCGTCGCCATCCAGCAGCTTTGCTACCAGTCCAGCATCGCTGTTCATGCGCTCATCGACTGCAGTCTGACAGAAGGATGCATAGCCGTCGAGCGACTGCAGCGCGTCCGTCGAATAGGATGAACGGAATCGCTGGTACAACTTCGACTCGTACAGCCACGGCAAGCGATATGCGAGATTGAAATCGAGGTTGAGCGCAGTCAATCCAGGACCGAGATTGCGTTCTGGCCCGACGAAATCGAGTCGGCCATCTTGCAGACTAAGCGCGTCCAAGGCGCCATACGGCTTGTCAACGAGCCAGAGACATGTGATGTCCGATGCCATAGCTCGCAAGGCCGGCATCAGATCAAGTGAGTCTGATGACTGGGACGCCTTGTCTATCAGGTCGAGCGTTGTCGCGAGAGGGCCATTGAAAAGCTCTTGGCGCGCTCTCGTCTCATTGGGACGGAAGAGCGGGCTTAATTTGCGATGCCCGTGCTTCCAATCTGTCATAGAGCGAGCTGTGAAGACGGTCTGATAGTGCTTGCCATCGATGGACGGATCAAAGATGCCATAAGTGCGCGAACTCTTGGGTAACCTCGATATCGACTTGAAGAGCTCAAGGTCGAACGCAGCATCGCCCGAGCCTGAAAAGCTGATGTCTGACCAGCCGACTCTCAGGACCGGCGACTGATATCGTTCGTGTAGCTCGCGTAGCAGCGGCGCTTGACCTCTTGCTAAAGGAAAAGGTAACAAATCTGCTAGCGCATAACGGAGCTGGTCGAGCAGAGAGACGCTTGTGATGCCTTGCAGAGCCCGTAGCTGCTTCGTCCGCCATACATAAGCGGCCAGACAGATCAGCAGTAGCTGCGGGATCATAGCGAACGCAGCTTCGGTGCTGGACAGAGCGCGATAACGCGATAGCAAAGCCTCGCGCTTATCGAGAATATAGGGCAATAGCAACAACAGGATGACCACAGCGTGAACCGAGTATTCTATACGTTTGGCTGTGCAGTCGCCTCTGCAAGAGCGCCGGCGGTGACGCCAAACTTTTGAGAGAGCAAGCGGAGCATTGCGCGACCGGATTCGCCAGTCAGGCCAGAGATGCCGTGCTTCTCTAGTTCTTGCCGTAACCCTTCCTCAGTCTGTATGCCCTCAGGTTGACTGTGGGAAGAGCTCGTATGTGACTGTGGAGAGCGTGCAGCGCTGGAATGTTGCGCCTGGTCAAGCTGACCGAGGCGATTTTCGTAGATGCCATTGATGACCTCGAGCTCAGCGACGCGAGTCCGCAAGGCGTCTATCTCATCGGAATGCGAGACGGAGCTCGATTCATGACTACCGTGTCGAAGATCATACCCCACAGATGAAGGGTCGGACAGGGGAGCGTAAGGAACCGGCAGAGCTCGATGATGAGCTGTTTGCTGCGAGATCATGTAGCGATCCTGGGAACGATCCATGACAGTATGCTCTGCCATCATCGCTAGACTCGGGTCTTGCCGCCGAGTGGCCGATCGTCCGCGGGAGTCCCGGCCATCTGGAGAAGCAAGTCGTGGTAAGCCAGCTTGTTGAGTAGGTGACGCGTGCATATGCAGATCGCCCCCCATGACGGCAGGTCGCCTTTTGTGCGGATGTCCCGGCAAGTCATCATCCGAGTCAACAGGCGATGTGCTTCGTGGTCGCGTCAGCTCGGTGCTGAGATGACTAGCACGACTGAGTGATCGCCCAGATGTATCGGATCGACCACGAGAGCCGCTATGGGAACGCGAATTGCTGCCTCTGGATGAACGACTTTCGAAGCGGTTATGCGCCACTTGCTCAGCCATCGCGCGCTGGTGATTCGCATGGACTTGATGGTAATAATGCTCTTGCTGCATTGCCTGTGCTTGCGCCTGATTCGATGACAGGGGCTGAACGAGATCAGCTTGCTGTGTCGGGGACGGATCCGAGCCGGAGCCAGAGCCAGAGGAGACGGTCTGGAAGCCTGGCAAACGCTCGCGTTGCCTGCCACGGTCGTCATCAGTCGATACATGGTGCCGCACCGCGCTATCGCCCTGCCGTGCTCGAATAGGCGGCAAGACGTTGTTCTCCGGTTGACGGCGGTGGCTGTCGACCGAAGCCGGCAAGCGTACTTGCGACGTTGCAGCTTGCTGAGGCGCACGATACATCGAAGGCATGCCTACGACCTGACCATCCATGTAATAAGGCGTATAAGGTCGATAATTATATGCGGATGCCGGCGAGTTATTCATAATTGCAGGCGGTAAGGAGACGGGTCTCTTTGCACCAGGTGGTGAGGACATCCCTCCGGCCGGCCATGCCCTCGCCTGGTCTCGCGACGGGATGCCGTAGATCGTGCTTGGTGGACCATTACGGTCATCTGCATGCTCCCCTCTCACTCTACTGCGAGATGCATCTCGGGATTGCGCGCGAGCCGTCATCGAAGAAGGGTATGGCTCTGCACGGCGAGAGATCGAGCTGTGGTTGGAATGCAAGCCGGGCGGAGAGTGACCTCGTCCACGCGAGTACATAACAGGCGGTGACACACGCGGCTCTGACCCAAGATCGTCTTCGCCATAGTCGTAGTCGTCATCGTCATCATCATTGCGCATGACCACATCATTATCGTAGGGCCTTTCTGCGCCAGGCGGACGTTGGTACGGACGAGAATCGCTGACAGGCTGACGCTGAAGCGAGTGACTGCGCGAAGACTTCATGTCTGCCGCTGCACCGTCGCTTGCACGTCCTCTGCGAGATTTTGATCGGCTCTTCTTGACTGGCCCAACTTGGCTGTCAGCACGCTCCAGCGAGGTCGCTTCGCTCTTGGCTGCCTTCTTGCTCGCGGCGTTCTTTTCGGACGCGGTGGACTTTGAGACACGGTTGCGATGCTTGATGACGTCGGTCTTGAGATAAGTGGGTCGAGGCGCGCCTTTCATCTTTTGGTAGAGGGAGCAAGCATTGCAGAGCACGTTACCGGCTTCGTCTCTTCGCCATAGCGGCGTTGTCTGCGGTCGCGATCAGTACTGGATGCGCTTTGTTATCGAGGTACACACCTGAGTTTTGCAGTTCATGCATGTTGGCGCGCCTGCGACTACTGTCTTATCGCTCGAGGAAGCCACTGTCTGCCCGGATGCTCGGCGCTCCATAGGCTTGGAAAGACTGCTGCTGCCCGACGAGCTGGCCTGAGATCCGGGCGAACCTATCTGGCCGGCAGGAGGCGAAGGAGAATTAAGTGCGTCTTGCTGCGTGGCAGACAGCTTGCGGCGAGCCTTGACTCTTGCAGAGCCCGATGAGAGACCCTCATGAGAAGCCGTTGAGGAGGCCGGCGAGCCTTTGACGCGCATGCCTACCATGCCCTTCCTGTGCTCGAGTGATAATTTAGCGATGATAAGAGGTGAATCGAGCGCGACGCACGAAACTGACTGCTCCTGTCGGGCACTTCTATTCATCTGACCAAGTGCCGGCGTCAGATCGTCAGCTCGGGCAGATGTCTCTGTGCTAGCAGGGGCAGCTCTGCCCGTCTGCTCCGGAGGATCGTGTGCTATCGAGGTACGGTCCGGCAGATCTTCGTCTCGGTCGGCTTCGTGAAAAGTTTGGAGCGCACGTTGGCCATGAGCTTGGACTATCGGTTGACGTGCGAGCTTTTGCTCCGACTGATAGTCGGTAGGGTCTCGCAATGTCTGTGCCAGCTCGACTGTCGCCGAGTCGGTCGTCAGACTCTGCAACGCGCCATTGCGCCTCGACAAGCCATTCTGACTGATATCGAGCTGACTGGTAGCGCCTACAAGCGCGCTGTCGTCCGCTACGGCCATCACAATGTGCTCGAGCTACACGTCATAACCTCTATCGAGATCTTCGCCTTATCTTACGTGCTTGTCCTAGCAGCCTGTGTCAGATCGGTTTCGGTACTGGTCGTGATCGGTCCGAGGCAGCGGCAGATCACCAGCTTATCGCATGACTATTTCCCGCTAGCTTTTCGCTATCTCTTCGGCGTCGTGCGGTTTTCTAAAAAGCGTCAAAAGCTTATCGACCGAGCTCGAGCCCCGCTCGTGGCAGCGGGACCTTTTGGTGTCGCGACCGCCCGTCCGCTGCCTGCCTGCCACGACAGCATGACGACCCTGCTCGAGGCAGCGCTCGGCAGCCGTACAGGCCCACTGTTGCTCGATGGTGGCATGTCCACTACGCTCGAAGACGAGCTAGGCGCGAGCACCGATCACCCTCTCTGGTCGTCTCATTTGCTTTCTGATGCCAAAGGGCGCCAGCAGATCCAGAAAGTCCATCAGATGTTTCACGATGCCGGTTCAGACATCATACAGACCAATACATACCAGATGGACGAGTCGTTGTGCGAGGCAAATGGGCTGAGCGCGACAGAGCTCGTCTCGAATGCCATTGCACTTGCACGCTCCGTGAAGGGCTCGCCTCTCGTTGCGCTCTCACTCGGTCCATACGGTGCATTGACGAGCCCCGGCAGCGAGTACAGTGGTCACTATACTGGCCCCTATGGCCCCTTCGAGTCGTCTCTCCCGGACAGTAGAGTCGATCCGAGCTCAACGCTTCCACCAGCTTCAGATGCAGAGTGCTACGAAGATGCATTGACTGATTTTCACACCAAGCGCTTGCGCACCTTCTTGGCGAGCGAAAAGCCGGATCTGCTTGCCTTTGAGACAGTGCCCCTGCTAACAGAAGTTCGAGCTATCCGACGCGCCGTCAGGCTTTGCCAGACTGAATTGCCTTACTGGATCTCATTCGTTCTGCCGGACGGTATCTGTCCGCAATCTACACATCCCACTATTGATGCCAAACGCTGCACACTCGAAGCTCTGACGCTTGCCGCCTTGCAAGGTGAACAGCCGCCTGTCGCGATTGGCATCAATTGCACCCATCCAAGCCTCATCGCATCCAATGTCATACGTATGGCTCGTACAGTCTCGTCGCATAAGCTGAGCATACCTTGGCTTGTCTTGTATCCTGATGGCGGCTTGACGTATGATACTGTGACCAAGAGCTGGCACGCGAGAGAAGCTCAGCAAAGTGACAGGAGTTGGGCAGACGCACTCCTTGACGCTGCTTCCACAGGCGATCGTGCATTTGCTGGCTACATTCTGGGTGGCTGCTGCAAATCGACACCTAGCTACATAGCCGCGCTCAGAAGCATCTCTGGCTAGTGACATCATTCCACGTCGCACACGAGCGGTACTGCGCTGCAAATTCCTGATTTGCTCGTGTCAGATCGGTATGCTGTCGAAGGCGTACTCCGGGCGGAGCGAACCCAAGCAATCGGCAAGCGTCAATCGATGCTCAAGCTGGACTCAGCGGCGTGCAGGCTGCTGTAACCCAGGCAAGCACCTCTGGTACGCAAGGAGTACAAGATTGCATCATATGGCTACAGGGCAGGTCTTTGATAGGCGTGCATGCACGTCTCTAAGGCTTGTAGTTCGCGTTGACGCCGAAGCCAATACGCGAATGAGCCGAATCCAGGTGAAGCGTAAAGTATTCCAGCAAACTTGTGCCCAGCAAGAAGCCGCCCGTCTGATCCACACTTCCGTCAAAGATAGCAAGCGCGTATTTGCTCGGATCCCTTATCCACGCGCCATCAGCTCTGCAGTCGTCCCCGGAAGGACAGGTGCTTACCCACTCTGAGCCACGTTCACGGCGTCCGGAAGCAGTTGAGCAGACACTGGCAAGGAGAGACTGGCACCGGTAGACAGTCTGAGCTCGAGTGGCTTCATGTGCTTGATGCTTTCATTGGGAATCACAATGAACCCGGCTTGCAGGTTTGCGCCTGGGATGCTGGCAATATCTGCCCGGACTTGCATCAAATTCTGCTGAGCTCCCGGTGACTGCGCTCACAGTTGTTATAGACCGTTGCTGGAAGACTGGTCAGATAGAGCTCTGTATCGATGACCGCCAAATTATCAGAGACAGAAGAATCAGATAAACCAAGAGCGGGTATGTTGATCCTCGTCGCCCAGTAGGACAGATTGCCAAAGACCAGCTCGGTAGGTGCATACTTGAATTCGCCGTTGATGAGGGATGTATCAGCAGCTCCAAATGAAAGCACGCCGGTGTCTCTCTGTGTAGTGAGCGTCTTGCGTCTGTTGATCTGTAGCGTCACGCCCGCATTGCGCTTCGAAACGAGTCCTTGAGAAGCCATTGCCTCTGCGATAGGCTCGATGGTCTGCGAGGCGGGTGCGCCATTAATATCGCCTTTGGACATGGCTCTGAGTGCCAGACCGAGCATGCCATCGGGCGTGACGGCAGCGTTGGTGTAGTCGATACCAAAATCGACGCTCGTAGCTGCGAGCATACCCAACTTGAAATCTTTGAGGACAGGACCGTTTGGCGGCGCCAATGTTACTTGCGAATTGAGCAGCTGACCCTAGATGAGTGCAGCGACGTTTGTATGCGGTGAGACCTACGATACCAGCATAGATCACTCCGGTGATCCCGTGCTTGTCCGCCCAATGCATACTTGTCTGAGACCCATACTGAGGCTTATAGTCGATCGTCGCAGCACTGGCACCAATGAAGGTGATCGGGACAACCTGCACACGATATCAGCATGGTAGTGATCGTCGTCTGGGCAACGCGCAAGATCGATGAGCAATTTCATTGGCACGCCGCCCACTGCAATCTCGACGTAATCGAAAGTCGACGCATCGCCGAACGCCGTGACGGGAGTCTTGCGGTGTTTGTGTCTTCTGGCAGCATCCGAGTCGCTGTATAGGTCACCTGATTTGGACGACGCAGCTTTAGTGGAGGTATGCAGGGACAGCCTGAGATTAGGGCTGGCAGGCTCCGGCCTGGCATTCGCAAGCAGTGCGCAGCACAGGAAAGCTGCGGTGACTTTGTTGATGGACAGCATTGCAATTGCCGAAGAATGTGGAGAGGGAAGTAATCATCTGCGCTATCTTTGTCAGGAGCGTCGCAGCGTAATCTGGCAATCTAGGTCGCGCGTCGCGGTGTAGCTACATATTGCCGTAACCGGGGAGATGAGTTGCCAGCTGCGATAAGGCACATACACAGCCGAATCAATACAAGACAATTTGCATTGGTACTTGAGAAGGGAAGACGAAGAGGGGGATGTAGCCCAAGTATACTGGTGCTCACTCGGATTCAGAGAAACGCGAGAGCTAGAACAGGGTGATCTTTACTCCAGCCTGAGCATCCCTTGTCTCGGGCTGCAGTGACGTCGACCGCAATTGGCGATCGGACTGTCGCTCGTTCTGTGCTAGGGCCATTGCGCCGCAATGCAGACTGGGGTACTTTGACTCGCGCAGCCGCTATTACCGATCGAAACAGTCCCCGACGTGAACGTGCTCTTGCGAGCTGCGTCTAGACTGATCGTCGCCAGCACGATGGTTCATGCATATCCACCGTCGTCGAGCCCATGATCAAGCCATGCCATCGTAGCGCGGTGGCGTAAAACTTATGCATATCGTAGGCGGCCTGCAAGGAGTAAGAATTCTTGTGTCGGTCTGCTTGCTGCTTGACCAGCCGCTTCTTGCTCCACTCGCTGCCCGAGATCCTCGCCACCTGTATCAATCCAGCCTAGTGGCCCGAGATCGCAATCTGCGCAGATGAGATATTTCGTCGTGCTGCCGGGCGCTGTCTTTGAGAAGCCAATGTTCTCGAACGTGAGCGCGCTGGGAACGAGCCAGACTTGCTCTGCATCATTACTGACCGCTACATCAGCGGGCAGTGGCGGGATCTGCTCGCTCTTTGAGTGAGTATCGAATGCAGCGTGACGAGCGCACCTCGTGAGCTCGTCTGGCCGATCGAGCTTCTGATGGCCTCAGAATGAGACATCGGCATTGCGGACGGGGACAAAACAGTGATAGCGCATTCTTCCCAGCCGCGGTGAGCTCATCGGGGGACAAGCTTGAGAGTAAAACGCCCTCGCTCCTGTCGCGCTTTTTGCCGGCTGTCGATTGTAGAGCAGCCATGACGCCCGACAAATCTTGTTGCTGCGGCATCTCAAACGTATGAGTCATTTCGAACCATGGCCGGCTGCCGTGTACGACTGCGCTCGGTCCCTTGAGGATGAAGCCCGCTTGGGCATACAGCGGGATCAACTCGTCATGGGTGATCAACAGAGCAGCCTTTGCCTTCCCTGCGCTTTCTACTCGTTGCAGCAATTCCTTCAGTAGCCCGACAGCTATGCCTTGACGCCTGTGAGTCTTGCGCACGACGACGCTGTGAATAGCGACAAAGGGAGCCCCTGAGTCGTGTTGGCTCATAGAGTCGTGCGTGAGCGTCTCTGAGGAGGTCAGTGTACAGCAGACGAAGCCGGAGAGTGTATGTGCGTCATCGTATGCGCCTATGAAGAGCTCTGGGGCAAGCGCTTGGCGCTGTTTCAGTTTGTCGAGCGTTGCTGCTTCATCTGGCGGAAAACCTGCGAGTCGTTGCTTCAGAGCTGCTCGGCACCACTCCATGAGGAGCAAGCACCTTCGTGCTCGATAGCCAACGCAGCCTCGACATCGCTGGCTTTGACGAGGTCGAACCGCATCGTGGCTCGCTCGAACGCACAAAATCACGATGACATCAGTTGCATCGACGCACAATCCAGGTCTGGCAGCCCTCCTCAATCAACCATCGCTCAGAAACTGAAGTTGTGAGACAGACCATGTCCGGCACATGAGATTGGCGCTCGATGAGGCCCGCAAATGCACGCCTGTAGCCAAGGCGTTCTGCGTTGGCGCCGTCATCGTAAAGGATGGCGCAGTCATCTCTACGGGCTACTCTAGGGAGCTAGAAGGCAACAACACGCACGCAGAGCAATGCGCCATCGATAAGCTGGTCCGAGCCGGTCGGGTCCACGAGACAAAGGACAGTGCTATATACACAACCATGGAGCCTTGTTCGACACGTGCTTCTGATCCTGTCTCCTGCACGACAAGATGTCTGCAGGCAGGCTTCTCTCATGTGTACTTAGCAGTCCACGAGCCGAGCGATTTCGTCGAGTGTCAGGGCACAGACTTGCTTGTCCAAGAGGGCGTCACAGTGACTGTCGTCGAGGGACTTGCAGATGAGGCCCTGCGGATAGCAAGAGGAAATGCATAAAGGAGCCCGTCAGTCTATGTTATGATCAGCCAACATGCTGTACCAAGATGGCAGGTGAATCAAAGCGTGAATCGCGATAGCCTGCTTCGCGCATGGAAGAAGCTGCTGTCGTCGGGCTGAAAGCAGCATCGCGCTCTTCTCTGCCCGCCCGGTCTTGCAGCAGCCTCTGACGCTGCGCCGACCTTGAGCCTGCTCGCCGCCTTTTGTACAGGGCGGCCATGATGAGCAGTAACGCAAGCCTGTGATGCGTTCAGCTTGCATCGTGGGAACGCATGAGGAACTGACAATGCTGCTGCGCCGAGAGCGATACCAACGATTGCGCTCGTGGCTACGTGCGCGTGGCTTGCACTGCTGTTTGCTTCGTCCGATGACGTCTTGCTTGTGCTCGCGGGCGTACTCGTGGGACGAGTAGACGTCGTGAACGAAGCTGCCGAAGTAGCAGCTTGGATGCTCGTGCTGGCAACTTGGGTGCTGCTGATCAAACCGTCCGCGATGGGTTCTGTTGTTGTAGCCGAGGTATCATTGATGCTGTTCTGATAGAATGGCAAGCCGAAGAGACTCGATATTGGTCGAGTCTGCCAGCCTGCTGACTTCATCTGGGGATAAGCATCGATGAAACCCGTGACGCTTTTGTTGGAGAGCTCGTGCTCAAGCATGATCAAGCCTGGCGATTTTGGCAGAGCGATCCAGGTAGTGAGCTCTGTCGCTAACTCTGATGCAGAGACGGCCGAACTCCAGTCGTCCGTGTCGTGATTCCAGATGACTGTCGTCAGATTGAAGACATGCCTAGCGATCGCTCGCACGCGATTGTCTGTGTCGCCGTACGGCGGTCGAAAGAGAGCAGGCAATCGACCCGTCATATCAAATATGAGCTGACTTGTCCAACCCAATTCGCCGAGCAGCTGCATATCGGTCATCGAAGTGCAGTAGGGATGTGACCACGTATGGCTGGCGATCTCGTCCCCGTTAGCCACAGCTGTCTGGAACAGTGCGCTGTTGTCTATAATTCGAGATCCGATCATGAAGTGTGTCGCTTTCTGCGATTGCGCCGCGAGAAAGGTATAGAGCGCAGATGACGGCGGCTGAGGTCCATCGTCAAAAGCGATACCTATCATACCATCTGGCGCATCGACAATGTCGTCCGCGGCCAAGCAGCCATTCTGAGTCCATGAACAGACGGCCGTTGTTGACCCTGAGCCATCTGCATAAACGGGTGCACCGTTCTCGAGCGTAGTAGGCTCGATATCTGCTGGAATCAAGCCCGAAGCTTTGACGGTATTGTAGACATCTATCCAGGCTTGCAAGGGCGTAGGGCCGGATACGTCTGGTGTTGGGTAAGAAGAGGTCGCGCGTCGGAACATGTGCGAGGCGGACATAGCCCCACTCGCTTTGTGTCCGTAGAGAGTCGACGGACACTAGACGAGTATGGCGAAGATGAGAAAGCAATAGAAGCAAGCTTGATATGAGATGGGAAAATCTCTTGGGTCTGTGCGCGTATTCCGTCACAGCGAGCGCAGCCGATGAAGGATAAGCCGACGTGGGCACGATAGAAGTCGCTGCGGCAAGAGGAAGAGGTCATAGTGTACTTCAGAAGGCAGCACCGGCCAAGCCGCAGCAGATTCTACATCGCCTGTATGTCAAGAGAGTCTGGCTGCGGCGGGGTGGTGCGGTTGTCGATGCCTACCGCATAGGCGCCTGTCACACGGCTCGCTAGATTGCAGAGAATGTTTGCGGACATGTTGTCGAAGGTCTGAGAGGGAGTGAGAGACTGGAGTGGGTCTGTTGCGCCAATGTAGCGGGCCACAGCTTTAGCCGGGTGTGCGAAGTGCCATGCATGTGCCATCGCGTCGTCGTATCGTCGTCCACCGAAACGGCCGGAACAGTGACGACTCGCTCGTCGCTCAGCGTCGCCATGGAGCATCCACCGCTCAGCTCCGACTGGGAGCTGCTGGGCGAAGCCTACTATCGCAGATCAGAGGTGTATAGCCTGCAATGGCCCATCAAAGATCTCTCCGACTACATTGTTGCTGGAGCTGCTGCTGGTGGTCCGATAGGCAAGCTCACCCCGTCAGTATGTCCGCAAGCACTGACGAATAGGTGCAGCCATCATGCGAGATGAGAGCAAGCCCATGCTGCTCGGCAAACATGCGACTGGCAAGCCCAAGATCTCTATCTATAGCTCATCTGGCGGCTCGATAGAGACTATCATCGTGAGTGGCCCGAGTCTCGGCTTAGCAGGCAGCTGGAACCACTTGATCACCGCAGTGGGAACATACAAGCAAGCCAATCAAGTTTGGCTTCAACAGAGCAGAGGATCTCGTCGTCATCACCCAAGAGGGACAGTACCGCGTCTACCCCCTGACTTCATCGTCTGCCAGCAGCTCGCTCGGCTATGCGTCCTACTCGCTTGGAGCAGAAGCATCAGAGACGGGCGTGCTTGATGCACGCATTGCCGAGGACGCTTGCGTCGTACTGCTCGGTAGTCTCAACTTTATCGAAGTCAAAGACGAGTCTGGTCGCAGCGCGTCGTCAACGAGCGAGGGTAGCCCAATATCAGTCTCACGACTTGCAGAATCAGGCTCGTCGGTTCTTCTTATCAGATGTAGCGCATCTGATCAAGACATCCGAAAGCAGGCCTGTCGGAAGGACCGCAAGCCTGGACGACTATCCCAGCAGACGTCAGTCCAAGACGCCAACTCGAGGTCGTCTTTGCTACGACAGCAGGCGTCAAGATCTTGGATAGCTTAGACTGTCAAGATCAGGTGGGTTGCACGCCATCATGACGAGCTATGTTGACCAAAGTGATCAGTCTATGAGGCTAGGCTCTGTACAGGCGATGGCAGCCTCGCCAAACGGCAGCTTCATCGCGCTGGTGGCTTCATCGCCAGACTTGCCCGGCCGGATCGTGCTCTCGGTACTCTCATCCGACTTCTCGCGCAGCTTGTCAGAGTGCGATCTGGCCACGCAAGGCGTAGCAGGCGAGCCAGATCAGGTAGCTTGGTGCGGCAGCAACAGCGTTCTGCTCGCATACGGGGAGCTAGTGATCATGGTTGGTCCGTTTGGGGAATCACTCAAGTATGTCTGACCTTCGCCAAATGCAGTCAGCAACTAATGGAATCTTCAGGTTCTCGTTTGATAGATCGCCAGTTCTGATCAGCGAACTTGACGGCACGCGCGTCATATCGGCCACGACCTGCGACTTCATCAGCAAAATCTCAGGTGGCTGTCCACGGTGCAGATCAGTAAAACTTGCTGATGCCTCGACACCCGCGCAGACACGACTCTTCAGACCTTTCGACCCGGCTCAGCTGCGCCGTCTGCAATCTTGGTAGATGCCTCCGAGCAATTCGAGAGGAAGAGCCCGCGCTCAGACGAGATTATCCGTTCGATACGATCAGATCTGACTAGCGCAGTCGACACTTGTATCGATGCTGCCGGTCGGGAGCTCGATGTCTACTGGCAACGTAAGCTACTCCGCGCTGCGTCTTATGGCAAGACATATCTCGATCTGTACGATTCGAGCGATTTCGTCGATATGGCTCAGCACCTTCGCGTGCTCAATGCCGTGCGATATTACGAAATCGGTATACCCATCACTTATGAACAGTTCAAGCGAAGCGACCCCGCACATCTCGTCGCTCGTCTCACCGCACGCTCACATCATCTACTCGCCATGCGCATCGCCACATTCTTGTCTCTATCAACAGCACCCGTGCTACAACACTGGGCGTCTTCAAAAGTTGCAGCAGCAAAAGGCCGAAACGAAGACGACGAAGTCACTGGTCTCATCGTCGATCGTCTGAAAGGGCAAAGCGAGCTGAGTTGTGCCGACGTTGCTCTTACGGCCTGGAAGTCTGGTCAGACGAAGCTAGCAGCCAAATTACTCGAGCACGAAGTCCGAGCATCGAAACAGGTGCCCCTGCTAATGAGTATGAGAGAAGATGACCTCGCACTCGTCAAGGCCATCGCAAGTGGTGACACCGACCTAGGTGCGTACAAGAACTGCAACCCAGCATCTTGCTGAGCGGTCGTTGGGGGTTACAGTCTTCGTAGTCTTTGCGCATCTCAAGAAAGCACACTCGCTTGGACAGTTCTTCCGAATCATCGAGAAGAAGCCCGCTGCTGCTGCTCTGCTCCGAGCATGGTGCAAGGACGAAGATATTGAGCTGCTGCGAGACTATTACTATCAAGACGATCGTCGCGTTGACGCGGCTTGCCTTGCGTTGCACGAATCAACTCGCATTACCGTGAGTGCCCGTCTCGGTATCAGAGCGCTCTTCTGATTCCATGTGCTGGTTCCCACAGGATTTTGCAGAAAAGATGGCAAAGGTCAGAAGCGGTTCCAAGTCGTTTGCGGAAGACAAGGAGCGCTCGTTCGAGACGAGGGTAATTTGCCCACTCTTGTTTGGATCAAGTCTGACAAGCTTGCAGATGACGGAAGATTACTTGCGATTGCTGGCATATCAACAAGCGCTGGAAAAGGAAGCCGATGACAGAAAGACGTTTCAGGGGCTCAGCATAGATGGCACCATTCGAGCCTGCATACTGTGTAGCTGGCCAAAGAAAGCTGACAAGATCAAGTCAGAATTTGAAGTGCCTGATATCAGGTACGTTCGAAGCATCTGAGCTTATCTCGAGCTCACTTTGGGACAGGTTCTGGTTTATCAAGATCAAGGCTTTGATCGAAGCGAGAGACTGGGACAGCCTCGAAGCCTTCTCTCGCAGTAAGCGCAGCCCGATTGGCTACGAGGTCAGCCACACGCTTTTACCAAACAGAACGACATCTGACTGTGCTGCAGCCCTTTGTCGAGCTCCTCGTCGCGAGCGGTCACAAACGTCAGGCAGTCACTTTCGTCCAAAGATGCGAGATGAGGAATCGGATCGAACTCTACGTGCGCTGCGACGAGTGGTTACGGGCAGGACAAGAATGCAAGGACAGATCGGATCGTGGCCGACTCATGTAAGCATGCCTCATACCAAGTCTCCTCCCGGCTGACGTGCGTGCGCAGGGATCTGAGGCAAAGGGCGCCCAATGCTACGATTGCGGCTCAGCTGGAGAAGATGCTAGATGAACTCAACAGCTGATACAATGATACATGCACACCCCCCATTATCGTCTGCTTACTTCTTACTCCGCGTGTACGCTGGGAAAACAAGGGTCAGAGAACAGGCGCTCTTAATTGCGCGTAGCCTACGATTGTAATGTAGCAACCTGCAGCCGGATGCATGCTTTAGACAGTCTGTATGTCTGAATGCTGAGCACTCACTTCTCGATGAGGTCGACATGCGTCAGAACCATCCGTCGGCAGCAGTACCTCCTCAGTCCGAGCGTACTCAACGCCTCACTGTCGTCTCTGATGAGCCCTCCTTCGCACAAAGAGCAGTTCATCGGATGACTTGCTTTTCGGTTGCTCCGCCCTCGAGCAACGCCAGGTAGGCAATGTGCTTGTCGCCCGTCTGTGCAGCTCGGGTCAGCAAGAATGTGAGCTGAGACGAGATCGACTGACGACTTTGCCGCAGGTGAAGCAGCGCACGGGGATGATCTGCGAGAGCCGGCTTCAGTTCCCGGACTGACTCTACAGGCAGTCCTGAGCTCACCATGCCGCTCGGCGAGAGTAGGCTTCGTCTGGCGCTGGCGCTGGGCTTTTTCAAAATTCGCGCCTGTTGCCCAAGGCTAGAGCCATTGGGCGGCTTATACACCAGCTCAGTGCCTATATAGACCATGCCCCGATAGCCTAGATCGTAAGCTCATCATCACTTCTAGCGAGGCTGTCAGTCTCACAGTGTCACAGCAGAAAATGGCGAAGGAAAGAGCTGCAAGGCTCTTGCGACAGGCCTATGCAGACTTTGCGACCGTCTGCCCTGCCTGCACTTGCAAAGAGCTGCATGCTCGACGTCTGTCGCTTATACAATCAAGACAAACGCTTGCCGCATCAGACCGACGACCGTTCTTGGTGGACAAGAGGAGGATGGCATATAGCACGCAGCCAAGCATATCGCCCTATCTAGCTACAGACATCTTTGAAGAGCACACAAGCGAGTACGGAAGCAGGGAGCATGTTGCAGCAGATAGTACAGACCTGGCAGAGGCAGCCCGATCGCGTCTTATACAGTCAATACTCAACCAGCCTTACGAGACTGCCAACGAGACCCGGCGCAAAACGCTTGCTTCCGGTCAGTCGATCTCACCAGACGAGATCTTTGAGAGGACAGCCATGCAACGACTCGAGCTTGGCGACTTGCATGGGTTCCTCAATTGGTTCGAGCACGCGCCGCCGTTTGCAGATACGGTGCCTGGCCCAGACGATCCTGCTGAGCTTGTCACTATTGCTCTCATGCGCGACAGTATCACTGTGCGAAAGCATACACGTGCTGCAAAATTCTTGGCGGCAGCTCAGCGGTTCGTGACTGCAGCAACGAGCGAGCGGAAGCCCACCGAGCAAGCAGCTACTTTGTCGCGCGCCTTGGTGATAGCCTTTGGCACATTGGCAGCTCGCAAAGGATTTGTCACGACGACGGGGCACCTCGTGCTAGACTGGTGCAGTCGTCAACGAGCAACGCCGGAGCTCGCACAGCTCCCTGTCGACATGGTTCACGAAGCCCAGCTAACGGTCGCACAATCAGACGCGAGCCTGCGCAGACAGACCGATGAGTTTCTGCACAAAGCCGTCAATCTCTATTTACGGCGAAGATCCTCGGCGGGCTTCGAAGAGGGACTCGAGACTCTGCATCGAGCGCGCAAAGTACCAGACTTCTCGCCCAAGGGTTTACCCAATATCACCTTTGGCACTTACTCGCACATGCTCCTTGTGCTCAAAGACCAGAATGCTATCGCTCAGTGCAGATCTCTGATGCTCCTCGATCATCCTCAAGAAGCAAGTGACTCTGCACGCCAGGCAAGGATAGCCACGCGAGCGAAGCACGACGAGTGGTCAGCACGGCGACAGGCGGAGACCGCTACTGAGCTCGCCTCAGCGCTCGCCTCACATTCTGCGTCAAGAGCTTGCAAGGCTCTAGCAGCCTGCTTACATTTTGCAGTCAAAACTATTCCAGCTTCAAGAGTGGCGGCTGTTCATCAGCTCGTTGATCAACTCAGGAAGACAAAAGGCAACGAGGCAGCAGAAGAGGCATTGAAGCCTCTCGTGCGGGATCTCCGCGCTGCACAGCATCTGCGCAAGCTCGACTTGCATTGGGCGGGCTTGATGTATCACTACATCCAGTCGAACCAACCTGAGCTAGCTCTCCTTCTCTTCGAACGCAAGTTTGTACCCGGCGACTTGCCGCAAGGGACGCTCAACCAGCTACTTGACCCCGTGAGGCCCCAAGCAGAGGCGGCTGCCTCGAGCCTTTCGCTTTTCTTCGATCCGTCGACCAAGATCTTTGCGAGCCGACAGACGATGACCGTCTTGTCCCAGGCGATGCTCATGCTGACTGACTCGCTCAGCGACTTGCGAGAAGCATATGCAGCGTTTCTTGTTACGAGCTATGGCGTTGGAGGCAGTCCTGCTTCGACGATGCCAGTCAGCAAACCAACGGCTCCATCCTACCTTGTCTATCTGCGTCACTTTGCAAGGCTCAGCGCTCAGCCGGAAGAGCTGCTCGGCATACTTGATGATATGCGGCAGCACCAAACGCAGCCGACGACCGAGATCTTCAACGTCCTTGTGGGCTATTTCGCTCGCGAGGGCGATAGTCATAGCGTGTCTCTGATACTACATGCGATGGAGTTGGCTGAAGCCAAAATACTTCGACTCGGTAAACCTGTCGAAGCCTTACGATTGCCGGAAGCCATCGAATTCAACTACACTCGTCGACTACAGAGTCTTCTCTCGGATGGCTACTTTGTGCCTGCCGTCGACGATGCGACCTACACCACGATCCTTCGTGGTCTGGCAGGTGCGGCGAACACGGTATGGTTCCCTGCATGGCGGCTCGAGGCGGCCAAATTGGTCATCGCCCGACTTCAGGTAAGGCAGCCGGACCAAGTGTCACGCGATCCTCCACGGAGTGGGCGAGATTTCACAGCTTCGCGGCTGGCGCACGCGATGAAGCTCACGGCCTATATGGCTAAGAGGCTAGAGCGACGTAATAACCCAAGCATGAGATCGACCTTTGCTCTTCAGGACGGCACTGCACTCTCCGTGACTTAACCAATGCACCTGGTTTCTGGCTCTGGCTGTGTATATGAAGTGGCGTTCGTCTGCTCAGCTCCAAAAAAGAAGGTTCAGTGTTTCATCGCGAAAAGCGGTGGACAGATACGCGTGGTGGTGGAACTGAAAACAAGAAGAGGCAAATGGGCGAGGGGATATAGGGGACAGGCCAGACATAACAAGAAGATCGTCTGTCACTCATACACCTGGTCAGCCGGCGAGCGACCAGTCCGGAGGGCCTCTGACTGCGGGCATAGGCAAGAGAGCGGACTGACAAGACGCCTTTGTGCTATCAGGCGAAAACATCTACCCGCGCTATCGCAATGGCGTCAAGGAGCCTAGTCTTTGTCCTGTGCGCCCTTTCGACTGCGCTACCGGCTGTTGTCGCCCACGCACATGCTGCCAATGGCTTGCCCAGGCTTGCCGCGAGGAGCGCAGAGCAAGTCGAAAAGATCGAGCGTCTCTTCCGTAGACAATCTGCCGCGGGTACTCCCTCGACGATTGTGGGACTGCAGAGCGACTATCCGCCCATGGACGTCTTCGGACCTGCGCCTCAGCAAGCCTGGATCGACGCATACAATGTCGCAAAGGCGGCAGGACTGATTCCCGACATTCCGCCTACCACTAACAATCAAGGCACCATCACATACCCTGCCAGCGTGGCGAACCCACAGAGCGATGTCATTTGCAGCTGGACACAGAACAAATGCTTTGCGCACGACGATATACACAACGCGCCCGATGGCATGGTCGGCATCAGCTTTGATGATGGCCCACAGCTCCCCTCGCCGACGCTATACAATTTCTTGTCCCAGCAAGGCCAGAAGGCCACACATTTCTACATCGGTAGCAGAATCATTGAGAACCCGTACGTCGACCAAGCTTGACTTTCAAACGGCCAGGCTGACTCGTGTCCGTCCAGCACTATCTTTACACAAGCACTCAATAATGGCGACGAGATTGCAGTACACACTTGGGCTCATCCAGCCCTCACGTCCATGACGGACATGCAATTGCTAGGCGAGTTCGGTTGGTGCATGCAGGCCATCTACGATATGTCTGGCAAGATCCCTCGTCTATCGAGACCCCCTTATGGCGTAAGCTCCGCGGGACTACGCCCACAGAAGTCGTGCTGACTCGTGCGCCTTAGGACATCGACAATCGCGTGCGTGCGATCGCGAATCAGGTCTTTGGCCTGACGAATGTCATCTGGAATCAAGACACCCTTGACTGGACGCTTACAGACGCCAGCGCACCCGGCACCGCAACGCCCGGACGAGGACCTCAGACTGATGCGGGACTCGTCGGCGAGCTCAGCGGGTTTTACGCCGGTGCCAAATCGCCGGGACTGATCATACTCGAGCATGAATTGAGCACGCGCACGGTCGCCGGCTTCATCAACACGTATCCTCAGCTTAAGGCTGCTGGCTGGGATCCACGTTCAATCTCGGATCTCTTCGGAACGCCTTGGTATCAGAATGCCAACAATGACGAAGATGTTGCCATGTCGATGCCTATCGCCGTCGGCGGTAATCATCTGGCCTACAATGCAACGACATCAGTGGCCGCGCCATCGACTACTTCAAGCAGCTCAGTGTCTACCACGAGCGCACCTTCGACAACAATGGCTGCTCCATTGACGACCTCAATCAACTCTGCAGCCTCTGCGGCAGCCGAGTCTTCGGCAGTAGCTGTCGCTGCCGGCGGAAGCTTATCTCACTCGGATACCTCTACGACAAAGAAGAGCGCCATGTCGCTCAGCACAGGTGCCATCATTGGCATTGCTATCGGCGGTGCCGTCTTGTGCGTACACTTTCTCACTTGTAAAAGCCCGCGCTGACAGTTGCGCAGATTCATCTTGCTTTGCTCGTGCTGCTGGTTCTGCTGCTGCCATACACGCAAGCCAACCCAGGCCCGATATCGCGAAGCTTGGCAGCCCACTCAGGAGATCTCACAGCTGCCAGTCAATACTGCGCCGTACCGCGCACGCGCTCAGAATCCGAGGACGCAGCAGCATGTCACAAGAGGGGCTTACGTGCCAGCAGCTACAGGCAGACCTTCCCGAGAGATGGCACCTTCACGCTCGCCCCAGAAGCCAAGCCGAACGCGGGCGACGGGCGATCTTGGCGTTTCACACCCTTCGCGCGCTTACGAAGCGTCTACTGACGATTACCCGGCTCAACCACTTTACCCTTCGTATCATTATCAATATGATCCGCGCGGATCTTACACATCAGACACGGATCTGTCTTTCCAGGCCGATTCGCGTGATGCCTCGACACACGATCTCTTGAGCACATCACGATATCACAGACGCAACAACTCGTAATATAAGGCTCATGGACATTTCACAATAGGGGAGCATATTGTAGCATCTAATTGCGCATACAACATCTTGCAATAGGGTTCTGCTGAGTGCTAGTCATCGTCGCTAGTCCTCGTCTTCCTCGATGGCATCTAACTCGTCGTCATCCTCGCCATCGCTGGCGTTGTCATCGCCTTCGCCGGCGAGAGCAGCAAAGCTAGACGAATTGCCAAAGAACGCCGCAAAGTCGTACGGCTGGTCTGAGACCGCTTCGACAACAGAAGGAGCAGGCTCGTCTTGATCGACATCTTGCATCGAAGAACGCGCAGCCTTCTCTTTGCGCTTCTTTGCCTTCTTTTGAGCTTGCCGGGCTTCTTTGTTGAGCTGAACAGGCGCGGCATCGTCTGCAAAGACTTTCTTGACGATCGACTTGCCGCTGTCAAAGGTTACCTTCTTCTTCGGTGCCATCGAGACGATACGAGACTCCGGCTCTTCCTCAGGCTCATCGTCAACAGCCATCGACTCCTCCGCTTCCTCTTCTTCGCCCATGAGCTTGATCGTGCCAGAGACCTCGCCTGCAGGCTCGTACGTCATTCTTACGGTCTGCTTGAGCTCTTTGGCGGGCTTGACATCCGCCAAGATGCCCGTATCTGCGCGAGCAAACAGACTATCCAGGTCGAATTCGGGCGCTAGTGAAGTGAAGATGGCTGCTGAGCCTGTCTCGCCACTTGGCGCAGCCATGGGTGTGTCGCGATTGGTCTGCTCTGTCGCTGAAGGCACAGGCGGCGGCGTAGTATAGTAAGGAATCCGCCCAGAATTCCAATCTCGCAGTACAGATCTCGCCGTGCCATGTAGATCAGGAATACCACCCTGCGCTCGATAAGCTCAGTGTAGATGATCAGGTCACAAGCCTACCTTTTTCAGCCGGCCCAGTGTTCGCGCACATCCGATGAGGAAATCATTGACAGTGGAAAAGGATGGCAAGTTGTAGAGCATCATCAGATGCTCTTTTTTGCATCGACTGAGAATGAGCTCGACCGGCGAGACCGGATCCTTCAGCTTCTCCACCGGCAGAGCATTCCTGAGCACTTTCTCTGGTCCTTCATCGCCGCCTTCATAGACGACGCCGGGGCAGTCGAGTATTCGCAGTGAGCCGTCAAGTACGACCTCTTGTATCTCTTTCGTATAACCTGGCGTGGGAGCGACGCCGCAAGCTTTCGAGCGCTTGAGCGTGTTGATCAGGCTGGACTTGCCGACATTTGGCAATCCTATCAGGCCGATGGTGAGGGACGTCTTGCTCTTGACAGTGTGGCCCGTGGTGGAGTCAGTGTGTCGCGAGTAGTTCTTGAGTAGAGTCAACAAAGGATCCGTCGATGAGCCTGCGTTGGACGAGGAACTGAAGTCTGGACGCGAAGACGATAGGTTTTTGCGTTGACTTTGGGTAGATGATTTGAAGGGCAGCGTGGGAAACGATCGTCTGAGATGTTTGAGCCATGCTTCCGCATTCTCGCGAGGTATCAAATCTATGCACTCGCAATCAGCAGGAAGCCGAGTTGATCAGCCGTTCACCGCACCTATTTTATTGAGGACGAGGACGAGCTTTTTGCCGCGTTCGATGATGACTTCACGTTCGATAGCTCGGCTGCGACTGCCTTCAGGGTCACGCGCGTCTAGGACTTCGATGATGACGTCCGAGCGCGCAAGTACAGCCTTCAATGAGCGTGCATGCGTCCTCAGACTCTGTGAAGTCTTGCTGATCCTTTTGCCAGATTCGTCCACTTCGTCCAAGTCATCCGAGTCATTCTCCTCGAGATCCTCAAACTCCTCGTCTTCGGCAGCTGCAGTCGTGGCGAGAGTCGTCATGGCATCGCTTGTTGTAGCAGCCGAGCCCAAGCCGAGCTTCTGGGCTTCTTTCTTTGCTCTTTTCTCCTCTTCACGCTGCGTTTTCGCTGCTTGCGCCTCTGCTATCACTTCATCCCTGTACGGAAACTGCGACGGAATGCCGGGATCTTTCTCCTTCTCTGCAGGCAAGCGCAGGCTCAGCTCGGGTGAGACATGAAAGCTAGGCGGACTGACTGGACTTCCACGTGATATCTTTCTTGCCCTGCTTGCGGCGCTTCTTGTGCGTCTCGGATACCTTGCGCTTGATCTTCTCACGCTGATGTGTTGTCGTCCGGCGAGACGTCTTCTTCCTTATCTTCACCATCCTGCCCAGCCAGCTGCCCTCGTCGTCGTCGTCGTCCGACTTGCCTTCAAAATTTATTTGACTTCAACTTTTGCCATTCGCGCGTGTCGTCACTGCCAGCAGCGCCAAGCGCCTGACCCTCTTGACCGCTCGCAGGCGGCAATGAACAGCGTCAATGCTGCCTTTGATCAGCTGGCCGAGCTGGCCAGTGCGCCGGCAAGTCATGCATCCTGCTTCATAGGGCTCTGCCGCGTCTGACGGCGACTTTGCGCGCAGAGAGACCACCTGAAGCTCATCTCGCTCCTCCTGCTCTCAACGCCCCTGTCGCTGCTCTTTCCTCTCATGCCGGCCTCATCACCAGTGCAACATCTCTTCGCCTTTGTCGTCGCAGCCATCTATCTGGCTGTCGTCCTCGAAATGCCACGGGGATTTTTGGAGCTACTCATTAGCACACTGGTCACTTGGGCATCTGTCCGCTACTTTGTCGCGGCAGATAGAACGGCTTCACTCTCTGCGAACCAACGCGATGCGAATGGACACGCAGTGGACAAGGAGACACGGTCAGATCACATGGGTGGCAAGGGAAAAGCGGGCACATGGCCTTGGTACATCTTTGCTATCCTGATGGGCCAGCTCACGCTCAACCATATCCACCGCTACTTCTCCAACACATCACTAGACGTCATAGAGATCACTGGCTCTCAGATGGTGCTCGTCATGAAGCTCAGTCATTATGCTTGGAATGCCTACGATGGAACGCGTCCATTGGAGGAGCTGGACGATCGTCAAAAAGGCGACCGCATCACCGAGCTACCGGGTTTGCTCGAGTTTCTCGGCTTCAGGTGGCTCGCATCGTGCTCCGAGCTTGTGGACGACATGCTGACCCGTCGCATAGCTTCTTCTTTCCGTCCATCCTTGTGGGGCCGTCTTTCACCTTTGCAAGCTACCGGGCCTTCACTTCGCGATCTCTCTTTGCGTCCGTTGAGGGCAAAGAGAAAGCCACTGCTCTCGCACGCCAACGTCTGCCCAAAGGCCGCACAAAACGAGCCCTGCGGCAATACTGTATTGGCGCGCTCTACCTTGCGCTCTACTCGCTCTTTGCTGCAAAGTATAGCTATGCTACCGTCGTCTCGCCCAGTATGCGTCATGCTGGCTGGTTCAAAACTGTCTTGTGGATGAATGCTGCCGGCTTCTTTGCGAGGACAAAGTACTATGCCGTCTGGACTTTTGCGTACGTGTCTCGCAACTCCAAACTGAGCATCACTCAGTCACACGAGCTGGGCAGAGAGGCAGCCTGTATTGCCAGTGGGATAGCATGGAACCCTCGGAGCGGAAAGTATGATGGCTCACGCAACGTCAAGATCCGATCCATCGAATTCGCCGAGAACTTCAAGATCTTGCTGGACAGCTGTGAGTCGCTTCGCCTCGAGGCCAAGACCAGCAGTGCTCAGACGACCGGTACAGGGAATATGAACACGAATGTCTGGCTGCGCGAGTGCGTCTATAAGCGGACAGCGCGAAAAGGCAGGAAACCAGGCTTCAAGAGCACGATGGCTACTTTCGCAACGAGCGCGCTGTGGCATGGCATCAACATCAATTACTTCTTTACCTTCCTCATGGTATGTCGCTTGAGTCCTTCCATAACGAGCGCTGATACGAGCCCGTCGGCTCGACAGGGCGGCTTTCTGCAAGCCCTCGGCAGACAGATTCGCACGACGATCAGGCCGTTCCTTTTACCTGCAGGCATCACAGCCGTCACACCTGCGACAAGTCCAGAGATAGGCACAAATGGCTTCGATTTCAAGAAGCCACCTCTGCGCCTGCCTGCACCATCACTAGCAAAGCGGACCTACGATGTGCTCTCCATCGTCGCCACACAAGCAGCACTCAACTACATCGTAGCGCCTTTTATGCTGCTCGAATTGAGACCCACGCTCGTTTGCTGGCAAAGAGTAGGCTGGTACGGTCACATCATCACCTTTGTGCCTTTGACGTTCTACTGGCTCGGCGGGGGCGCGTTCCTCAAGGGTCAACTGAAGGCAAGGGAAAAGCATGCAGCTAGACAGAAAGGGCAGAGCGATAGAGCAGACAAGCGGATAGAGACGACGATCGAGCGGACGCACGAAAAGGCGCGACAGCCCAGTGTGCGGGATGCTTCGCACATTCCATCGCTGTAGATCGCATGCATCTTGCTGAACACAGCCTTTGCCGAGTGGAAAGGTTGCTGAATCCAAAGTCTGGCGAGCGTGCGAGCACACCACGAGAGGTGTGCGAATCTCGACAAGTACGCGCGCGGGAGAAGTTTTGAGCCGTTCCACGCTACAGCCAATGTGACAGAGCAAGAAGAATGCGGAACCCAAAGGAAGAATTTGATCATCGGAGTCACGTGACAACATCATATCGCGAGCGTGATGAGTTTGACGGTCGTGTACTCTGCGAGGCCATACTTGCTTCCTTCTCTTCCGAAGCCGGACTCCTTGATTCCTCCGAACGGTATGCAAGATTGAGACAGCATGCCTGTGTTCACACCGACCTGCGCCACGGGTCATTATGGCCAACGCAACATGCGCTCAGTGCTTACCATGCCGACTTCGAGGGCTTCCGCAACCCGGAAGATCCGGCCCACGTCCTTTGAGTAGAAGTAGCCAGAAAGTCCAACGTCTGTATCGTTAGCAAGCTTGAGGACATCCTCTTCTGTCTCGAACTTGAATAGCGCAGCGACAGGTCCTGCGAGCATGAGATCAGCTCTTGGCTCAGCTCTGCTCTATCATCCGCACCGAATGTCTCGTCCTGAGCAATCATGATGTCGTTGGGCACGTCAGTGATGACGGTAGGCTCGAAAAAGTTGCCCTTGATGCGCTTCCCGCCCACGATGACTTGACCACCTCGCTTCTTTGCATCTTCGACGTGCTTCTCGACCTTCTCCATAGCCCGTGCATGAATGAGTGGACCGTGTGTCGTTCCTTCCTCGAACCCGTTGCCTACTTTGAACTTGTCCACTTTCTCGGCCAGTCTTGATGCAAACTCGGCGTAAACGCCAGATTGAACGTATAGACGATTCGCGCAGACGCAAGTCTGACCCGAGGATCTGAACTTGCAAGCGATGGCGCCCGCTACCGCTGCATCGATATCGGCATCATCAAAGACGATGAAAGGCGCATTGCCACCGAGCTCGAAAGAGCATTTCTTGAGTGTAGACGAGGCTTGTGACATGAGCAATTTGCCGACGCCCGTCGAGCCTGTGAACGTAATCTTCTTGACAGTCTTGTTCTCGCAAAGCTCCTTGCCGACGTCCTTCATGTGCTTATCGGTCGTGACGATATTGATGAGTCCATCCGGAATGCCAGCTTCCTGGGCCAGATGGACCAAAGCTAAGCAGGTAAAAGGCGTCTCGGCCGGTGCTTTGACGACGACACTGCAGCCTGCAGCCAGTGCTGCACCCATCTTTCGCGTGATCATGGCGAGCGGAAAGTTCCATGGGCAGATTGCAGCGCAGACGCCGACGCCTTGCTTGATGACGAGATTCCTCTGGCCGGCAACGGGCGAGGGAATGATGTCGCCATAATCGCGTACTGCTTCTTCTGCGAACCACTCGATGAAGCTTGCGCCGTATGTTGCTTCTCCCTTTGCATCTGCCAGAGGCTTGCCGTTCTCCAGTGTGATAATGGTCGCAATGTCGTCAGAGTTGGCCACGAGGAGATCATAGAACTTCTTCATGATATCGTGTCGCTGTCGTCCTGTCGTCTTTGACCAGGACTGGTAGGCTTTGTAAGCATGTTGGATAGCCTCTTGCGTCTCTTTGACGCCTTGATCGGGAACATGGCCAATCACTTCTTCTGTCGCAGGATCAGTGACGGCAAAAGTTCCCCCGCTCGTCGCCTGAGTGATGAATTTGCCATTGATGAAGGCTGCTTCGTGGAAGAGCTCGGGCTTGTTGAGTCGCTTGGCTGATTTGGAGCCTTCTGATGAGGCCATCCTTCGTAGAGTGGCAGTGGTCTGCTTCGGTAGACGGGGACGGTTCGGAGATGGAGCCAATCGCAGGCTACTATGACAGCGGTGGGATAGTGCGCGAGTCTGGCGGCTCAGAGTGCTACAGACAAGTGGTGAAAGCTTGCTAGTGGTGGGTAAAAGTGCGCTCGCTCGTCCAAGCATCCGCCGCTCTGCTCACACAACTGACGGCGTTACGTCATGGCGAAACGCGTCAAGGCGAGAGCGTCGACCGTCACGCACACTCGCGACAGCCAGCCTCACGATGCTACCGGCATGCACTTGCTCTGCCCGAGTGTCTCATCGTGCAATACAGCGTGCAGCATCAACCCGGCTGACCGATGGCCCTTTGACACGATTGCAAGTCAGGCGAACATCGAGCAAAGATACTCCGAGAGTTGTCCCCCAGACTGTTCGTCAGCTGCACGCAAGCGCGCGTTCGCAATCTACGTATGACGAGTATGTTGGGCTTTACATCGTGGTGGCAGTTGGACCTGATGAGCTTGCAGTTTTGTGAACGTACTCTCCGATGCGCCGCGGCCTGCGATCATCGTCGAAACAGCATCAGAGGAGAAAGGCTTCATGCTGTCGGATGGTCTCACGCTACCCCAGGCATGCATCTTCCTCAACGGCTCGACGTTTCTATGGGATGTGCCTGAAGCGCCCCAAGACTTCACTTGGCAAGACTGGTCCATTGATCACTTCAAGATATTCGAAGTCGTTTCCCCTCGTCCAGGCTCGTGTGCTCTCTCGCGTCATCCACACAGCTCCCTGACTATGGAGACGTCCTGAGCAGAGATACTCTTTCTGGGTACAGGCGCAAAGACGGCTCCTTCACCGCCATGGCTGAGGAAATACATGACACACCTTGGCATTCAGTTGGATGTGCTCGATTCGGCGAGTGCTCTGTCTCTGCCAGCCAGTATCCACGGCTGACTACGGATGGAAACGAGCAGAGCAATGCTTGTGCGACGTTCAATCTACTTGCCGAAGAGGGCAGACGCGTTGCGGGCGCTGTGCTGCCTCTCCGACCGATGCCATCACGACCGACTTCATAGCTAGATGCGCATCACAGACTTGTACGACCTCATGACATGTTTGCACGGTTGTCATGTCAAATAATGCGAATTTCGAGGGTGGGCGGCACCTGATCCCGATCCTGAGTGGGCGTCAATTTCAATTTGAGTTTGACCATTGTCGACAGCTGTCTGGACCATTGAGGCACCTTGCTCCACACAAGACGTGCCCTCAGCCCGACCAGGCCGCACCCTCTTACAGTCAACGCCTCACAGGAGCAGTTCAGCTTGCAAGCAGGTAGTGACCAGATGGCCGTCACCAATCAGAATAGTCATACGCCCAAGGCCGTATTGGCAACCGCGCCCTTTGATAGCATACGGCCTGATTCTGCCACCCATCCCCAGGTGGGCAGACTGCCGTTCGAAGGACAGCCTTTCAGCAATCTCCAGCCCAAAGTTCTGCCTGCTAGCTCGCTGCCCGGACTGAGCCAGTCTGCTCTCTCGGCTCGTCCGAGTACTTCAGCTGCCGGTACACCGGATGCGACGGCTGCCTTACCCCCACCTATCGCTCCACAAAGTACTTCTTCGGGTAGGTTCACTCGCCCAGACTGGAGTCACGCATCACTGATACATCACCTGATTGCAGGACTGCGTTCAAGTCAACAGAGCCAGGAAAAGGCAAGCGACGCGGGTCACTCGTCTGGCTACCACCACCAGCGTACCTCTCCTGTCGCTCCGGCTCCCTCGAAGACCAAGCCGACGCGCAAAGTTTTGCTTTGCATCCCTCTGCCGCAGTGGAGGCGCAAGTCCAAGGGCGACCGGCTGGCCTCGGACCCGCCCCAAGTATCCGAAAAGAGTTTATACGCTCAAGCTGACAATGCGGCACCTCAATCTGCTCCGAGTGCGCCGAAACCCAGAATGAGCAAGAAGACAAGCATGTCCATCGTTCCAAAGAATTGGAAAGAGTACAACGCGCTCTACTCTCGAAGAGCTATCGACGTTGAGGATCCTCCCCTGCCCCCTGCGCGAGCACTGCTGCAGACGTCCACACCCTCAGCAGCACCAGCAAGCGAGGAGTCCGATCCATACGACATGGGCTACTATTCTGCGCCAGTACCCGAGGATGAAGCCGATAGACAGAGAGCAGTCGAGCGTCTCGATCTCTTCACCCAGCACGACAAGCTCATCGATCCACTCGTTAAGCCCGCGAGCGCTGTAGAGTCGAGCGGAGATGCAGAAGCGGATCTCGCTGCTTCGGGTGCAGCTGCAAAGGCAGCACTCGAGTCGGGAGGTCAATCGTTTGAGACTCACCCGGCCTTCCGCAATATCGTCCAAGAGGCCAGAGAGATGTTTGGCACAAAGGTCTCGCTCCTCACTGTGCTCTCGGACGACAAGCAGCTGTTCCTGGCAGAGACTGGTCTCGGGGGCATGCGTGAGACTCCGCGAGGTAAGTCTGTGAGCCACGAGTCAAGAGATTCTACTGACGTGCTGGCTGTACAGACGCAAGCTTCTGCTCTCACACGATCCTCAGCAACCAGAATCAGGGCTTCGTGCTGTCAGTGCCTCGAAAATGCGTCTCGAGCTTGACTAATCCGCTCGATGCAGACTGGATACGCAGAATGACTGGCGATTCACCAATGCGCCTTATGTCAAGATGGCCGGTGCTCGCTTCTATGCGGGTGTGCCTCTGATGGCACCCGATATCGTCAATGCTCGTCAGGCAGGCAGTGGTCAGCCAATAGGAACCCTCTGTGTCATCGACGACAAGCCGCGCACCCAGTTCACACAGGAAGAGCGCAGGAAGCTAGTCAAGCTGGCAGACATGGCCCGCAGGGAGATCGATAACTGGCATCGCAAAGCGCTCGAAGCTAAAGCTGCCCGAATGCAAACGACGCTCGAAAGGTGGCAAGCCGAACGACAGTCTCTTGCATCAATCGGAGAAGAACCTGCCTCGCCCAACAGTGAGAAGCATCCAGGCAATGCCAGCTCTGTAGCTGGCGATGGCTCGACGACGAATAGCAAGGAAGTCTCGAAGTTCTCGCTGCCAGCGAGGCATGTGACTGTGCGAGAAGAACGCGCTGGATTGCAGCGCGTTTTCGATGTTGCTTGCTCAGCCATCGGCAAAGAGCTCCGCCTAGATCTCGTTTATCTAGCAGCGATGAAGGTAGACGAAGGCAGGTACGGTACAGCACCGACCGCTCACTCGCTATCTGTTCTGGGGGCTTATGGCATGCCGGATCCGGCACCTTCATTCGATGGCGCACTGCATCTCAAAGCTGCGCGCTCACCGGAAAGAGGATTGCTCTACCAGAATGCGAAGTCGACAGCTGGTCTGTATGCTTCCGGCCTTCTCGTGCCGGTCGAGGAATTCAAAGCCGAAGGGAAAGCGTATGTGCTTGGCGCGTTCACTGAAGATCCCAAATTTGTCTTTGGCATGGAGGTATGTCGCTTTCCGCTTCTCATGAGCCCTTCCTGACGTTGATGCAGCATCTCGAGTTTGTCCGCTCCTTCTCCTCCGAGCTGGTCTACTATGTCTCCAAGCATGTCAAAGTCTACTAAAGTACCGTTCTTGCTTCTTCGTATGTCGAGGGTTGTTGTTTGCTATAGTCAATTGCACTCGTAGGACAACATCAGACAGTTACATCTTCATCCCGCTCGGTAGGCTGCGGGGGAAATACAGGCGATCTGCTGGGCGTTTCTGTGCCCTCTGCGCGCCGTCGTCGAGGATAGTATGTCCTGTAAGCAGGACTAGCCTCTTGCTCGTCTTCGTCGTCTGTCTCGTCCACGTCGTTGGCGCCGCGGCTTGAAGCAGCAGAAGACTCGGCAAGCGCACTTTCTCGCCAGGCTCTAGTGGCGTCATCGACAGGTGTGGCGCTTCTCGCTGATTGCGTATCACGGCCGCCCACGAGGCTCGTCGTACCGCGCTTGACAGCTGACCACTTTTGCTTGAGATCAATGACGATGCTCTCACTCCTCGTCAACTGGAATTCGGGCTGATCAGGCTCGTCTGCGCAAGGCAACCAAGGCGCTGGAAGCTGTCCAGTAAGCGCAGGATGGCCATATCGCCGTCTGCCTGTGTTGAGCACGCCAGTGAAGACGTCTGACATGGGCGGTTGCGAGTAGTCCGTGCGATGGTCCTGACCAACGATATAGAGTGACTCGTCACGATGCGCATAGCGCGCTCGGTTGAGTGTCGTTTGGCCTTGTGTCACAGGATGACCTTTGTGAAGCCTCTCGACATCGCTCGCACTACCCGCTTGCATCTCACTCGCTTGCGATAGATTTGTGTACTTGGTCAGTGGGCCGTAGAGCGTGTGGATCTTGCGCGTCGTCCAGAGCGTGAAGAGAATGAGTGGTGCCATGGCTACCGAGAATTCGAAGGCTTCTCGTGTAGTGAATAAACCCGTCATGAAGAGTTGGAAGATGATCAGGCCTAGGCTGAGACGACCAAAGGCGATTGGCCACGCTTGACCTCGAGACTCATATGGTTTATAGTAAACTGCAAAGGCTTTGTCAGCCTCAAGCGAGCATGAGACAATATGAGATGCGCACCGAAGAGGAAATTGTATTTGTAGACGAGATACGCCATGCCAAAATAGCAGGTGCCAAAGAGGAGCACAAGAGGCGCAATGATGGAGTAATTGAGGCAGATGATGAAGATCAGAATCGCTTGGGGATAGACTTGACCGAGATTGAGGATGGGTGGCGCATTGAGCTCTGCATGATCGCGAGGTGTACGCGTCAAGAAGATGCGACAGAACCAGCGAGGCACAACGGTTGAAAGTTGGACAAGCTGAAGAGGCATGATCGCCAACCCTTGCAACTGTGACAGCTCGTCAGCGTGGGTACCACTGATATACTGAACTACGAACCATGACATAAGAGATGAAGAAGTTACGACCGCCTGGCAATGAGGTGGCCAGCTTTTCCAGGATCTTTGTGGGCTTATCAGCAAGCTCGACGAGCAGACTGAGCGTCTGTACGGCCAAGAAGATGAAGAAGACAGTGAAGAGCAAGAACATGAAGTAGACTTTCATGAGCGAGTACTCGATCCATGATTTTGCTCTGAGGCCTTTGAAGGTGCATAGCGCGCTGATGATGTAGGGAAGCGTCTGGTTGAAGATGACGATGGCCAGAGTGGGCAAGGTGTTGCTGACAAAGGCCTGAACTGTGACATTCTTGGCGAGCGCCTTTGCTAGCCAGGGTGCATACTTTTCGACAGTCTTGATATTGAGCAAGCTTGCCAAGAGACCGACTGGAATGAACCAGAACAGCAGCAATAGCAAGGTTGTGACATTGACAATGATGGCCCTGACGGTGATGCTGTTGTCAGATAGCGCCATATTGCCCCAATGGATGTCGCGCGGCTCAGGAGCAAGTGTTGCCCTGAGGATCTCCGGTTGGGGATAGTGGACGACCTGTGAAGCTACTTGAGCATCCGATAGCTTCTCGAAGGTGACAAAGGCTATGTCGGTAGGGTAGAAACGACCTGCTCGTCGATCTCGCACGGCTTCGTCTGCATCCCGGAACAGCTGGGCATAGTAGTTGAGCGCATCAACTTTCGATCGAAACCAGCCAGGCCGAACAGTGGGCCTCTTCTTGCCGGGAATCATGAACATGGGCGGAGGCATGCGCAATTGCGCTTCTTCATCGTCGACCTTGCTGCTCGATCGCGCTATACTTGCTGACTCATGCTCGCCGGAGAGAGCATCGCCGTCTTGAGTTGTGGGGATCAGATCGTCTACTTTTGCATCTGTCGATGGCAGCAGTGGCTGTCTTTGGGCGTCCGGGATGGTTTCGTCGTGCACGTGAGGCTCGCCATTCGCGCCTCGTGCATCGAACGGTGCGACGGGAGCTAGATAGCCTGCCCGGTCGTCTGGCGGCTTGCTTGTTGTGGGCTGCGATTCAGTGTCGAGTATTTTATCGACTTCTGCATCGCGGTCGTAGCCTAAGAAAGGCCGCACAGGATTGCCAGCGTACTGTGCCCAAGCGCTCTCCAGCTTGAGCAGTGCGTGCGTGCGTATGTGGATGAGATCTGCCAGTGTGCCTACTTCTCTTCCCACAGAGACAGACTCGACCGCGAGACCCATGTTCTCCCAATACTCTGCCAACTTGACTTCGGCTCTCAAATGTCGAGGTAGCTTGCTCAATAAGACCGTACGAGCAGGTATGGAGTGCGCATGATCGAGCGAAAAGAGCTGTCTGAGATGCACGAATGATCTGTAGTGTCGATGGAGCATGTAGAGCAACATGAGCGTGAAGAGGTAGGTGTAGGCGAGATGGGTGGACAGGTAGAGCGCCGAGGGTGGAGGCGGTTTTGCAGGCTCGTGCTTGCTACCCGACTCATCACCCTTGTCGCGGCCATCCTTGTCTACTGGAACGCCGTCGATGATGCCGTTCTCTCTGAAATTGATGGGTGCGAGGATGGAGAAAGCCAGGATGGTGGCCAAGAGGAAAAAGTAGAAAGCCATCTTGAAGAAGCCGAGCAGGACTGCCGCATCGAGTCCGACGAGCTGCAGCACGCTCAACTCGCTCACCCTGAGCGTCGGTAGAATCCAACCCAGGAAACTCGTCGGCGAAAGAGCTGCCAGCGTCGAGGGATCGGTCGAGAGCGATTTGTCGTGTACCTCATGAGGTGTGAAGCCCCGGAGGAGCGTTCGAGGCGCATAGAGTACCTTGAACTTGTTCCGAAGAAGGCAAAAGGTGCCGAAGCAGGTGACAAAGACAAAGGCGCAGAGGACGAGCTGCGTGCTCAGCCATGCACCTGTCAGTTGTCCTGCTCTATCGCGCGGATTGCCTGCCGTGTTGCACGAGATGAGCATGGCTGCCGTGATGTCATGTCAAGCTTCACTGACCTGGCACATCGCCGTCGCCTGGATCCAAGTCCATCGCCCCGGCCTGTCCTCACTTTGTTGCGTCGATGATGCAAAACACGCGCGGTCGCCGACAGCAGCAGCAGCAGCCAGTCAGTGACTCGAGCTCTCGCCGGTTCACCGGACACTGCCACCCTCGTCCCGAGCAGCATCGACAAGACTGTAGAGGCAGACTCGAGCGATGGCGGCAAGGAAGAGCAGCACGCGGGGACAGCTCGAGGCCTATATCGGTCAGTACCTCGCGATAGGCGCCCAGAGCCTCACTGACACCCTCACGCCTTCTCCCATCGCCTCGTCGCGCCTTCTGCGATGGACTTCTCACGAGTACAGAGCGCGCATGCGATCCCTACAGGCCTCAGCCCGACATGGCCCTCAATCTCGAAGTAGCCGACTTGATCAACTCGAAGAAGGCCAACACGTCAGCACAGATCATCTCGGCGCTGCTCAGGCACTGATGTCGCATTGACTATCGCAGTCCCCGCGAAGCAGCGATGGAAGTGGTGAAATATGTCAATGATCGCAGGCAACACGTCGCCATGCTCGCGCTTCATGTGTGTCCGCTCTTCCTCAATCAGTCTGCACTGACTGAGCATGAGACAACACACAGCTACTCGATACGCTGGTCAAGAACTGCGGCTATCCGTTCCACCTGCAAGTCGCGACAAAAGACTTCCTCAACGAACTCGTCAGGCGGTTTCCGGAACGGCCGCCTATGTACCCTCCGCCGCCGATGAGCAAGATCCTCAGCCTCGTCAACGAATGGAAGAATACCATCTGTGTTCACTCGCGAGGGAAAGAAGATCTTGTCCATGTACGGGATATGTGGCGCTTGCTCAGCTACAAGGGTTCGTGCCCTTTGCCGAGTGTTGCCCTGTTTTGGTCACTTAGCCACTGGGAGCGAGCAGGCTACAGGTTCCCTGACTTTGACAAACGTGCGGCGCAAGTGCTCAACCCCATACATGTCAGTCGCGCGTAAAGCATAGATAAGTAGTCTGATGCTCTATTTCGCCTCTTAGAGTCTCAAGTCGCCCGAAGAACTAGAAGAGGAGGACAGAGCCGCACAAGCAGCAGTCAGTCGAATCGCACGCTCTGACGACAATGCTGATCGTCACTGCAGAAACTGCAAGAGTTGATCAGACGAGGAAGCCCGAAAGATCTAGCGGCGGCCCAGGAGCTCATGAAGATTATGTCTGGCGCGGTCGGTCATATCTGTCCAGTTGTCGTCTGAACGCTGACTGGGCATGTTACGACAGGAGCCGGACAAGCGGCCAGACTATGCAGAACAATCGCAGAAAGAGCTCAACGCGATACAGTCGCGCGTGTTGACGCTTAACGAGATGCTCAATAATGCTCAGCCCGGCGAACGATTCGTCGAGGGCGATGCCTACGATGTACGTTCGTGACTCACGTACCCATACAGTCACTGATGATGATGGCGCAGCAAATCGCAACGCGGTGTCGGAACGTGCAGCCCAAGATACAGAAATGGATCACGGAAGCGGCCGAGAGCAATCCGGATCAGATGGGTGCGTATGACCTCAATGAGACGACCCTGCTCTAGCTGATGACATTGCAGACAAATTGCTGATGATGAATGACCTGCTGAACAACGTCTTGACGAGGTACGAGGCATTCAAGAAAGGCGACAGGACAGCTACAGCCGAGATCGATCCTGCTTTTGCATCTGCAGCTGCGCAGACGCAAGCACGGAAGAGTCTATCCAATGGTCGACCGGCTGCCAATGGCAAAGCCAAAGCTGCTCCGCTCAACCTCATCGATTTTGACGACTTTGTCTCCGCCGAACCGGAAGATGCCGCGAGTGGCCTCGCGGGCCTCAGCCTGACGGGCGATCCAGCGCCTGCTCCGACGGATGCTTCTGGCTTGCCGCTGGACCTTTTCAGCTCGAACGGCACAGCATCGAGTGCTACGCCCTACGCACGAGCTCAGCAGCAACAACAGCAGCAAAAGAGCAACGCCGATATCATGTCTTTCTTCGCTTCGAGCCAGCCGAACGCATCGGCTGCGTGGGGCAGCACAGTCTCTGCGCCAGTGTCTGTCAATACGGGCACAGACACGCCTACCGGTGGGCAGTATGCTTTTGGCTCGATCCAGCTCGGCGCACCGAGTACATCTAGACAGGCTTCAGGTAGCACGCCAAACTACACATCACCTGTGCCTGCTGCAGCTCAGCCGCAGCCAAAGCACGATCCTTTTGGCGATCTGCTGTCTTGATGGCAAAGGGTCTAACGAGCGTATACATTTGTTGTAACAATGCTGCACAACGGCGTCTGTCGAGCGTCTACAGGGTGTTTCGCCCGCTCTCGGGCAGCGGCAAGAAGTACAAAGGTCAAGGGTGAAAGATGAATGAGAGTGTCTATCGCATCTGGAGCGAAGAGGGTATCGAAGCCTTTGGCTTTTGCACGATGCGTGGACGGCTTGGCGTCTTTGCGGGTGTTGGCAGCATGCCGCCAGGTCCGCAAGGGCCAAAGACATCAAATTCTGGTTTGGCAGGAGAATGTAATGGCGAGGCGAAGAGGAGCTTGGCGGGTTGTGCCTTGCGAGGAAACAGCAGACGAGGAATTGGTCGGTCATCTTCCTCTTCGGGCTCCAGCGCAGCATAAGGCAGGGCAAAGTCAATCTTCTTGCCTCGGCTGCAAGATGGACAGGGAGTGAGCAAAGGCTTGCGCATCTACGATGCGGACTCACAAGACGTAGCTGATCTTGTCTGACCCAGCAGGACGATCATTAGCGAGTCCTTTGCCGATTCTCACGTATTCGCCGGGCTTCTCAAGAAAGGGATTAGGTGTCTCTGGCGCTTTGACCTGGTGTCGCTTTGCTCGCGGCGTCGTGTAGGCATTGCGAGGCGGAGTCCGATGGGTATAGCTGTCCTGTGAAACGCGCAAATCGTCACTGGTGAGCTTGAAAGGTTGACCGAGCTGAGCTTGAGCGCGACTGTGCGCCGCACCGAACAAACGGCTCGTGCGTCGATTTTGCGTACTGCTCACGACCGCAAAGGGTTCGTCATCATCGCACTCGTCTGTAGCAGGCAGAGAGCCAGGCGCAGGCGCGTCGACAAAGGAGATCCAGTCTGCATTGCGTCGCCGTGCCTCGCCCGGGTAGTGTCGCGCTCGCTCATGTGCAGTGTGCGTGGGCGATTGCACTTCTTCCTCTTCTTCGTCAGTCGAGAGCGCGTCGTCGTCATCAGCAAGAGCGGCAGACGAAGTAGCAGGTCTGCTTTGCAAAGCGAGAGCAGACGCGAGCCGCTGCCGTTTGTTCGATGGGCCGGCTTGAGAGCTGGCAAAGTCGAGCAGAGTGCCCTGAGAGAATTTCTCGAATCGTTTGCGTTTCTTCTCGATCTCGTCTGAGCTCAGGTGACGCTCGACGGACGAAGGGGGTGAGGGCAAGAAAGTAGGCGCAGAGCTGCCTTTGCCGAAGCCTTGCACCGGTTGCAAGTTCAACGATGCTTGGTACGACGAGGGCGCGTAGGCAGAGAGCGTGATGCCGGCTCGCTGGCTGTCATGACGGCCGTCTAAGGAGGCGACTGGCCCGTCAAGTCGCAGAGGTTGCGAGTGAATCACCATCTGGCGCTACTTCTGTTGAGACTCGTGTGCTAGTCTCCAGCGTGTGCCTGGCACGTGTGTGACCTCAGGTACGAAGCTGTGAGAGTCCCAATCGAGGTCGTTCACTTTGCGCGTGCTTGTCGCGAGGGGCAGACGCGTCGCGCTGATCACGATCTTGCGTCATAGGCCGGCTTCATTCGATCTTCTAGAGGCATGCATGGTACAATCTACAAAAGGCGCTCATTGCTGCTGCTGTAGCGCAGACGAGATTGCGAGGTGGTCTGACATGGGCAGCGATGGGTCCTGGTCCTTCAAGAGATGACCACCCAGTAACACTTGGCCGTTTGCCGCTCTGAACTGAGCGATACGCTCGAGCATCTCTGGTCGGAAGGACTTGATGAGCGACTGTACCGGCCAAGCGGCAGCATCGCCAAGCGCGCAAATCGAGTGGCCCTCGATCTGCTTACTGTGGTGCATGGTCGCATCAGCTCGCTGTCGGCGACGGAGCAGTAGACACTTACGTCAATTCCTGTAGTTGATCGATCTCACGTTCGTGAGCTTGACCGCGCACGAAGCGCTCCATCATCTTGTCCATCCATGTCGTGCCCTCCTGTAAGGCTTACGAGATGAGCATGGTCTGTGGCATCTTGATCGGCTAGACTTACTCGGCAGGGTGTGCACTGCCCGCACGACTCGTGCTTGTAGAATTTGGCGTACCGAGCGATAGCCTCGATGATGTCGGTCGACTTGTTCATGACGATAACGGCACCTGTACCGAGGCCGGACTGAAGATCGCGCAGCGAGTCAAAGTCCATCCTATTCGTGCGGTGCTCAGCAAAAGCCGGTCTGCAGCAACGAAGCAACCTACAGAGCCTTCTCGGAATCGTCCCGGCGCAAGACCGGTACTGAGCTGCCGCCCGGTGTGATGCCGAGCAGATTGTCCCATCCGCCGATGACACCGCCGCAATGCTTCTCGATCAGTTCTCTGAGCGGGATCGACATCTCCTCTTCGACGACGCAGGGCTTGTTGACATGACCTGAAATGCAGAAAAGCTTCGTGCCGGAATTGCGCTCGCGGCCGAACGAGTTGAACCAGGCAGCTCCTCGCCGGATGATGGTTGGCGCTACTGCGACAGTCTCGACATTTGCTACAGTCGTTGGGCAACCGAAGAGACCGACATCGGCAGGGAAAGGTGGCTTCAGCCTGGGCTTGCCTTGCTTGCCCTCGAGTGATTCGATCAATGCAGTCTCTTCGCCACAGATCTGTTGCGCTGCATCAGTACGTGTATCGCGAGGATCTGCGTTCCACATACGTATGCGCCGGCGCCGCGATGCAGGTAGACGTCAAAGTCATAGCCCGATCCGCAGGCATTCTTGCCGATCAAGCCATCCTTGTAGGCCTCCTGGATCGCTTGCTGGAGATGGGCCGCTTCGAGGTAGAACTCGCCTCTGATGTAGATATACGCTGCAGTAGTGTTCATAGCACGACCAGCGACGAGACACCCCTCGACGAGCTTGTGAGGATCGCCACGCATGATCTCACGATCCTTGCTGTCAATGCTGTAAATCAGCCAAAGGGCGCGATAACGTGCGCATTACGGACCAGGTGCCGGGCTCGCCCTCATCGGCGTTGACGACAAGGTAGCGGGGCCGGCCTTGACCGGCTTCCTTCCATCCTGGCTTGTTCATGAAGCTCCATTTGAGCCCGGATGGGAAACCAGCGCCACCGCGTCCTCGAAGCCCAGAGTCCTTGATCTGCTGAATGAGCCATGAATCGCCCTTCAATATGATCTCCTTCGTCTTGTGCCAGTCACCTCTTGACTGCAGGGACAAAGGCTGCATTAGCTTCGGGTGGCATCGGTATATTGTTGAAGGGACGTGCCTTTGCGGCCTTCAAGCCATGATCGCCGGACATGTAGGCGTTCGTGAAGATACGATCCTGATCTTTCAGGCCACCGTGACTACTCTTACGAGGTGGCGGTGTGGATTGCTGGCTAGGTGGGTTCTGGACAGTCGCCAGCCCTCGTCTCTGAGTGCTCGATGGTCGCGCTTGAGCACCTCTGCTCGTCGATGCAACCGACAGCGATCGAATCGGCTGATTCACCCGCCCGATCGCTGCTGACCTCGACATCTTGTTGGCTATCGCGCTCGTACTCATGTTACAAGTCTTGAGGCGATTCAGGCCTTTCAGGGCGAATTCGCCGAACCTGACTGGCTCACGCGAACTTGAATCTGACCACGTATTCAAGCGAGCTTCCAGCGTTACCCCGCATTTTTTTGCGCGATCGTGCCAGCGCGCGCGGAGGCATCCGCGCATCTGCGTGGTCCGTCTTTCTTCATCGACGCAAGCGACAGACACCATGACGAGCCTCGTGCAGCAGTACTTCACATCGCCTGCAGTCTCGCAGCCTCGCGCGATCGCGCACCTAGCGCTCTTGCTAGGCGGGCTCTACATTGCCTCGCGCACCCTTCGCGCTGCTGCCCACGCTCTGTTCCCCAGCAAATTCCCAGGTCAAGCCGAGACTGAGCTACTCGCTACACCCGTCGTCTTCTCACAGGCCGATGTTGGCGCAAAGGAACTCTCTGGCGTCAAAGCGTATGATTATATCATTGCCGGAGGTGTGCCGGCTCTTTACCTGTTGCTACCCGAATGAAGCTGATGGGGCTTGGTGATCAGGTGGTACTGCAGGCATAGTCCTCGCGGCTCGATTGTCGGAAGATCCAAAGGTCTCTGTCCTTGTCATCGAAGCCGGCTACTCGGATCTCAAGCAGCTCTACTCGCGTATCCCGGCTGGTTTCGCCAAGCTCTTTACCGGTGCCAACGATTGGAACTACAGCACCACGCCCCAGTCGAATGCAAACGGTCGCAAGTTCTACTGGCCGAGAGGAAAGGCTCTCGGAGGATGCTCGTCGATCAATGCTATGATTTACAATGTCGGCTCACCTGCAGACTATGACGAATGGGAGCAAAAGTGTGGCATGAAGGGATGGGGCTACAGCTCTATGGCACACCTCGTCAAGAGAGCCACTACGTTCACCCCACGACCTGGATTCGATGTCAAGAACAGCAACCTTGGCAAAGATGGTCCTTGGCAAATCTCGTATTCGTACACGTCGAAGCTCTGCAAGCCGTTCATCAAGGCCTGTGATGCTGTCGGCATACCAGAAGTCGCCTGCGTCAACACTGAAAAGGGCATTGCCGGCGCATCGACTATGCAGACTTTCATCGATCAGAAGGGCCAGCGCTCGAGCACGGCTACGGCTTACCTCGATCACGCAACAGCTTCTCGATCCAATTTGCACATTGCTGTCGGCCAGACGGTCACCCGCGTCATCTTCGATCGCACTGTCACGCCGCCTCGCGCCATCGGTGTCGAGATGGCTGCGTCCAAGCATGCACCACTCTCGTACCGCGCTCGTGCTCGCAAGGAAGTCATTGTCTGCGGTGGCGCCATCGCGAGCCCTACCCTGCTCATGTGCAGCGGTGTCGGACCAGCCGAGCATCTACGCTCCAAGAACATTGATGTCGTCGCCGATGTCCCAGGAGTGGGTCAAAATTTGCACGATCATCTCTTCATTCCCGCCATCGCTCGCGTACACAAGGGCATGTCGCTTCAATTCTTGGCAAACGACATCAAGTCGATTCCCGCACTCGTCGAATGGATTCGCAAAGGCACCGGACCTCTCACGTCCAATGTTGCCGAAGCATGTTCCTTCCTGAGCGCCACGGAGCGTGAGGACTGCCCCAAGAACATCAAGAATCTCGTATGTTGCCTGCAGATCAGTGAGCCGTGCTCATGTTTGTGCAGATGAGCGGTCCTGGCTCAGCTGATCTCGAGCTGCTATCTGGCCCTGTTTGTTATGTCGATCATGGTCGGTCTGTGCCGACAGACTACAGCGACTATGCTGCTGTCGGTGCAATCCATCTTCGACCAGAAGGACGTGGCAGTATTCGCCTCGACACACGCAACATTTTTGATGCCCCTCTCATTGATCCTGCCTAGTAAGTCGCTCACACAGCCCAGTAGAGTCGTGCTGACGCTGGCGATAGTCTGTCCACGGAGAGCGACCGCGCCATGATGCTGTACGGCCTCAAGCTCTGCCGAAAGGTCATCGAGAACGAACAATACGGCGCCTTCAAGTCATGGTACCGTCCCAGCTTTGAAGAGTCGACCGACGAGCAGCTGGAGGAGTACATCCGTAACGAGAGTGAGACGATTTACCACCCCGCAGGCACTTGCCAAGCTGGCGATTTCTCGGCAAATCCCAATGCCGTCGTCGATCATGAGCTCAAGGTCCGCAACGTCACCGGACTGCGCGTCTGCGATGTCTCAATCCAGCCACATCTGATTGCTGGCCATCCTTGCGCATCCGCCGTCCTGACAGGCGAAAAGCTCGCCGAGATTATCAAACAATCGCCAAAGTGATCCTGTGCGGAGATGAAGCTGTTCGAAGTTGTCTTGCAAGTCATGAAGTCATCACAATCACGCACGCGCATATCGCACGTATGATATCTATGTAGTCAGTCGATGCAGTATGGGTTGACGAGGGTCTTTGCGATTGCCTGAGCTTGAGCCAAGATCGCACGCGCCCTACGCGTCCTGCAAGCTCGTTGCAATTGCGTCATACCCTTGAGACCTCTCCAACATACAACGATGGGACTGAAGCAAGAGAGCGCTAATAAGACCTTTGGAGGCACCTTGACCAAGTATGAGCTCACAGCCGACAAGCTAGGCCAGCTCACGACCAAAATCAACGTCTTTGTACCTGGCGGCTCTGGGAAATTCCCCGTGCTGCTCTATCTCGCCGGTCTGACCTGCACAGAGGACAACGGCGCACAGCAAGTCATTTCGGCTCATTCGCAAGCTTGTCTGATGTCTTGTGCCATAGGAAAGGTGGCTTCTTCCAATCTGCAGCGGAGCACAAGATAGCACTCGTCTTTCCGGACACGAGCCCGAGAGGAGCAAAGATCGAGTCCGAGGATGACAGCTTTGACTTTGGGAGTGGAGCGGGCTTCTATCTCGATGCTACGAAGGAACCGTGGTCAAAGCATTACAACATGTCGAGCTATTTGACCGAAGAGCTGCCGGCATTGCTCAAAGAGGCCGATCTGCCTCTTGACTTGAGCAGAACGTCTCTGATGGGTCACTCCATGGGTGCGTGGAATGCAAGCTTCACTTTGAACGGACTGAAGCCCTGCCGTCTTTTGGCACAGGCGGCCACGGTGCCATCTCGCTCTACCTGAGGCATCCTCAGCTATACAAATCTGCCTCTGGCTTCTCCCCGATTGCAAATCCGACGCAATGCGGCTGGGGCGAGAAGGCCTTCAAAGGTTACCTGAAGGGTGGCGTCGAGGAAGGCAAGAAGTATGACTCGACAGAGCTCATTGCAGGCTTCAGGGGCAAAGACGTTCATATTCTCATTGACCAGGTACGTCGCGCGTCCTCCGACTCAAGATCTCTATGCTGATGTGGCTGAATGCAGGGAACCGGCGATGACTGGTACAAGAAGGGTCAGCTATTGACGGAGAACTTCCAAAAGGCGGCGGGTCAAGCGGGTCTGAATGAGGAGAGCGTCAAGATCAGGATGCAAGACGGATACGACCACTCGTACTTCTTTATCTCTACTTTTGCTAGTGATCACGTCGCATTTCACGCAAAGTACTTGCATGCATGAACTGACACGGTGTCGCTAGTTGGACCAATTCTTGCTCCATCGATGAAGGTGCTCTGGCAGCGATGCGCCCGTTGCTCTGAGCGCAGCGTCGATCTCTTCCGGCCAGACAACCAGCCGACACATTCTAAAACGACCTCGTGTCGATGTGATCGAGCAAGCCATGGCTTCGTTCGTCTTGATGTTCTTGCGCGAAGTGGCACTGGCATCCATGATGACCTCTCGATCGTATAGACTCTCGAAGGCTTTGCCGAATATCTGGAATGAGTAGGGTCTGTCCCTATCGGCTGCTCTACGCATGTGATCGAGGTATTGCTCGTAGGCGATTGCGAGGTTGAAGGTGTCTGTGAGCTCTGACGAAAGATGCTTGCAAGCGACCAATACGGCCAGCTCCGTCACAGTGCAATACGAGACCGCCGTGACTGTACTTTGCTTGTTGATCTGATCCGATAGAGCAGCTTGTAGTGTGGCAACGACGAAGCTCGGTGTGCAGTTTGTCGAGTCTGCAAGTAGTGCGACAGCTCGGACCAATGCATGGCGCATGATATTAATCAATCGCTGAGTCGCCTGCGGCTTTCGGAAGAGCTCAGCCAGATGTGCGGAGCGCTTCTTGTCGTGAAGAAAGGCAGGCAGAGCTGTCTGCCAGTCGTCCAATATAGCTGCCACAGCTGAGTCATCGGGCGGATGGATCGCGTCGTAGCCTAAATAAGTCGTCACGAGAGCATCGATATGCTCTTTCGCCTTGATTGGCTTGACGTATAGCACGCGCGACTGACAGCGAGATTTCACACGCTTCTCTAGCTTGTTCAGACAATCCTGCATACACCATCAGTGCGAGTGTGCGTGAAGCGCCTCGAGACGCACGACACGCGAAGACAGGCCGAGGACGAGCATGCCACCGCCACGCCGGTTGCTCTGAACGATATCGAGCAGGCAATAGAGGAAGCTCTGCCGCCCGACTTGGGTAGCAAAGAGATCGAATTCGTCCAGTACGAGAACGAGGGGTCTGCTTTGCTGGCTCGTCACGGCTTTCTGGCCGGGTTCGAGCAAGCCGAGGATCGAGCTGAGTATAGCTTCATTAGAAGCGGTGATATCTTCTAGCCCTTCGGCATGTGTGCAAAGCTGGGAAGCCATCTCTTGGTGCGCTAGTCTATCATTGGCCTGCACCAGGCCACTCAATCTGACGGTGATGAACGCCTCTTCGCCATGCTCTTCTTGCATGAGCTGCAACGATCGCTCGACAACCTGCGCGTACGTCAGTCGACTGTGTACACTGGACTGAAAAGGAGCACACAGTCGATTTGCCGGCGCCACGCTCGCCAAGTAAGAGTAAGCAGTTGCCTTCTCCTAGCGTGATGGTGCTCTTGAGCGCTTGACGGATTTGCGTCTCGATGGCCCCGATGACGGGCAAGCCAGGCGCATCGATGGCCGAAGAAGTGCTGGCAAAAGCTCGCTCGACCTGCGAGATGCTCGACATGCGATCTTGTAGGTATTGCATCGCTTGAACTGCGGGATTGGCTGAAGGATCTACCATCCTCGGTCGGCGACTTGGCGCAACAGGCTTGACAGCTGGCGGCGCATCGTCTTGGGACTGTCTGGGCCGTTGCGATGCTATTGTTGGCACTGGCAGATTCGGCGGTGGATCGACTTGCATGACGCTGCTCGGCGGGGCATCAGGCGCAGCAGAGCTCTGCGTCGTGCTAATGTGCGTTCTCGCGCTACTGCTTGCTTCCGTCTCTGTGACAGATTCCTGCTGTGCAGACGTTGATGCTTCAGGCACATGCGAGGGTTTGCGCTGCCGCCTGCCTCTGCCAAGTGGCGGCGAGGGCGGTACGAGCTCGACAGACTCCTCCTGAGTCTCCGTCTCATCTGTACTAGCTCGCTGCTTCCCACGGGCTTTCGCGCTCGTCGCTCGCGTGGCTGGTAACTTCTCCGTCACGAGTGGCTTCTTGGGACTCTTTGCGCTGCCTTTCCTGACTGGTCGAGTGGGCGTGGCAACCTTTGGGGATCGTGCTGGCGTTTTGCTCTTTGACGGAGTTGCAGGTTGGTCTAGCCTTGACCGCTTGGCTGACTCGGGCTGAGACTCCGGCTCTGGGGATTCGACGATCTTGCGTTTGGCAGTCCTCTTCGATCGGGATGCTAGCCGAGGTGCGGGCAAGTCTGAAGGCGCCTGTACAGGCTCGGGCGACTTTCGCGTCTGTGCGGCTTTCTGCCTGCGTAGTCGCTCCTTCATCTCCTTTTTGAAGCGGTAGATGACCGAGTCGGGCGGGAGGATGGTTCTGGAGATGATCTTACCTGCCTCGAGGAGCATCTTGTCACATACCTCTCGCTCTCAGCGGCAAGTCTCGTCCTGCTTTGTTCGCGACAAGACGCGACTGACATCTCCGCCAGTCTCCGCCAGGCCCAGCGATGGATCTGACCAAGCTCAAAGGCTTCAAGCCGCTGTCTGCGACCGTAACGGATAAGCTCGGTGGCTCGTCGAGCACGGGTGATCCGGCATCGGTCAATGAGGGCAATCTTCCTCGTCCAAGACCTCGTCCAGTCTTTCGACCCTCTCAGCCTGCTCCAACTGCCCCTCCGCATCTTCCTGCCCCAGCACAGAGCCCTCTACCTCGTTCCGCGGCAGGTCAGACGCCTCAGAACGTCATGCAGCAGGCGTACACGCCCATCAAAGCAAGCGAGCAGCCTGCACTTGCCATGATCGATGAAGACGATGATCCTTTGGGCATTGAAGCGCTCCTCAAGGAGAACATGCCTTCCAACAGCCCGCCCGTTCGCAAACGCAGTCTCTCGCCCTTCCTACTCGCCCCGCCAAGTGAGCCAAGTGCTCGCAACGGCCGGACAGATCTCTTCGACCAGCCTCTGAAGCGCCCTCGAGTCCCATCAGAAGAGCTATATAGATCCACTCCTGTTCCGCCTTCATCTGCGGGTACGTCAAGCGCACATTTCGCCCGAGACATCCTGAAAAGCGACGATCAGGCGCAAGACAAGAGAGTCGCAAGCTTTACTACGATCAAGCTTGCCAGACCGACCTCGCCGAGCAGCACAGTGACCGCGAAGCCCAGCAACGGGAGCAACGTGAAGCCCAGATGAAGCATTGGGCCAGCGTATCACACGAAGAGTGGCTCAAAGGTGGTCAGGCCCTTCTCGATCGTTTCTCGAGCCTTTCGGATGCTCTGGTCGCTCTCGTCGCGTGCGTGATCTTACCCTCATCCGCAGCTTGCGCTCATCTCTCCGTTATCCTCACAGCGACAAGCAAGCGGCTGCGATGAACATCGGCAGAACGCTCGACGACCACAAGATTGTCCTCGCGCATCGGGCAAGAGAACTCGAAGAGACTGTCAAGGTCGCACAACAATGGCGTACCGGCTTTGCGCCCCTTCATCCAGCGAATGCATCGTCATCGTCATAAAATACACCAATGCATTCGTTTCGCGAAGATGCGCACGGACTGTGCGCGAAACTGCCTCTTTGACGCATACTGAGGTTCAGCGGCTTCCTGACTTGCTTGCTCTTTACTCGCGCAGCGTATACTGAAGGAAGATGTCGACGGAAACACCGGCGCGCAAACAGTGGCAACGACATGCCGTCGCGTTCTTGGGCGAATTCGCAGGCTCGTTCATCTTCGAATTCTTATCTGTACGTACGGCACAATGACAGTGACAGCTAAGTTGCTCACCGCTGCCGAGCAGATCAGCAGTATCAAATCTCTCCAGGGCGCACCTGTGCTCATGAAGCAGTCATCGATGCCCAATCTGACTTATCGCGAGCTCTTCGAACTATCAGTGGCGCAAGGCATCAGTCTACTCGTCGCACTCCTCATTACAGTAGGCATCCCTCATCGACTGTGTCCGAATGTCGATACTGATGCGCCCAATCTAGGTGCGAATGTGTCAGGCGCTCTTCAATCCGACCATCTCGCTCGCGCTATGTTTCTGCGGCGTCATCAAGCCTACGCGCGCTGTCATCTTGTCCACTGCCCAATTTGTGGCTGTGCGTAGACAGCCCTACTCGGTGATCTGGCTGAATCGCTGTAGGCCATCGCCGGTGCTGCACTTGTGGCCGGCCTGACCGCCTCGAGCGGGGTCGACTCGGTCGTTGCGCGGAGTCACGAAGCGATCGGATTGGCGCAGGCCGTGTTTATCGAGTCAACACTCACAACCATCTTCGTCCTCGCAGTGTTATTCCAAAGTGAGTACACCAAATGGTCCCAATCATCCTACTGACACCGTACAGCTGCCGAACCTGTCTCAAGCCATCGCACTGCAACAAGTGTTGCCCTGGCCTACACAGGCTGCCTCCTGCCTGCCATATATGTAAGCAGTCCCGTTAGAAGCTGCAACGAGCCCTGACATACGAGAGGCAGTGGACTGCGACCTCACTCAACCCAGCTCGCACGCTCGCGACTGCACTGATCTCAAATGACTGGCCAATCGAAACCTGGACATACATACTCGGCGACGTCATAGGCGTCATCGTAGCCTGTGTCCTACGCCGGGCGTTAGTCGCCGTATCGCCCTACACCTCACTCTTACTTGTCGAGCGTGTACCAGCAGAGCAGATCAGTAAAACCAGAGCGCAGATGCGCTCAACACGATTGACACACTTGCAACGGACCGCTTTGCTTGCCGCTGGCACGACGGTCGATCTTCTCGATCAAGCAGAACGTGCTCTGACCGAAGCCACCCTGTCGTCACCTCTGCACGACGAGGCACGCGACTCGACAGGAGCAACACGGGAATCGGCCCCTTCTCCACCGATCACTGGAGCACCAACGGAACAGGTGAAGCTCCTACCTGCGCCAGACATTGACATGCAGCAGCCCATCAGCTCGCCAGCTCGTCAAGGGCTGACTGAGGTCATGCCGACCGATGTCGAACGGGATCGACTGAGCATAGAGCTTCGGTCGGACGTACTGTCTACCATCTCAGAAAAGACGGCCGAGCAGGTTTAGCATCACGCATCATGTATATTGAGCGTGCATATCGGTTCAACAACATGATGCACATGGATCTACCGCAATGCGTTCGGGCCTGAGCGTGAGCCCGGCCGGCTGATCGTGAGCGCAGACTCGGCTGCGATACCCCGAGGTGATAGAGGTGTTGGCGAAGTCGGTCGGCGTTCGAAAGTGAGGCCTGCCTCGGTACGCGGAGACGCTGCAGCAGAAGGAGAATACGAGAAGGACAGCGGCGATTTGCGCGAGGCTCGGTTAGGACTCAGATCGAGCATAGTCGATGTTGCTGTCTGCGGCGAGGGCGGTGTATTGAGCAGATCGGTAAAGCTAGGCGGTGGCACCAGAGCCTCTGCAGCACGGACACCGTTTGGATCACTCGTGGCGTCATCGGCAACGTAGGGGTTGCTAATGAGTGGTGAGTCTCGCACGGAGAGCTCTGCTATACTTGGACGGCGCTCGCGTACCGCGCGTCTCAAGGTTTGCCATTCATCGCAAGGCCCGCTATAGGTGGAATACTTGAGACTCGGCGAAGAACCATCAGTTTTATTGATGGTTGCGCTCGCTGGCCCATCGTAGACTGTCCGCAACTTCTCTATCGAGTCGTCCAGTGCGCGAGAGGCAAACACGATACGAATGTGCTTGTGAAGATATATTCTCGCTGCCTTTCGTACTGGTGGCTGCACATCGCCTTCGAGGTCCTCGATAGACTCTGATCGCTGTCGGCTGCGCTCAAGAGGCGGTGAAGCGAATTGCAGATGCACAGCATATCGCAATGGGTCTGAAGTCCGTGGACTATCTTGTGGCTGCTCATTAGCGACTGTATAGCTCTTCTGACGTATGAACGTCTTGCTGCCAGCCGGCATGTCTGAGAGATCATAAGGTACGAGGAACACTTTGACGGCGGTGTTGTTCGCGTTCTTGATGATGATCTGTATCTGTCCTTGCGTAGGTATCCTATAGCCCGGAAAACGTTGCCGGTCTACCTCGCCTGATGTCTCTTCGTCATCTAGAAACACAGCATTGTTCGCAGACTCGGCTAGCTGCTGGGTATAGTGGTGCTCGAGATCAACGGTACCGACGTAAGGCGTGCCTACTCCGCTGCCGGTGTCGTAGTATGACGCGCCGAACTCCAAGTTGAGATGGGGCGGGCATCTTAGACTCTTTGGTACTTTGCTACCATGCCCGATGACGCCAATCTCGGCTAGGAATGGCAATGGCTTGGACGGCAATGTTGACATGCGGCCTGAGAGAAGCGAATTCTCATATGACCCTATGAGCGATGCAAATGGCGAGGGCGATAATGACGGGGAGTTGCCAAGCAGTTGGCCAGAGGATCGTCTCCGCGCCTTCCTTATTGCGGCAATCTCACCCGCAGTATCTAGCGAGGTGGGTGATGCAGGCGATACGCTCGCTGATGGCGGAGTGAGAAAGCGCGACCAAGCTGACATGGATCGTCTCGGCGTGCGCCTCGCTTGCAATTCAGAGTCACGCGACAGATTGGCCGATAAGCTCGAGGGCGGAGACGGCGCAGTGTCTGAAGATCGAGACAACGAGAGACGCGATGGTGTATGTTGCATGGGTACTTGCGCATGCACAGGCGCTTCGTAGATCAAGCTCGTGCCTGTGCTCGAGCTGGTAGAAGCTGTTGAGTCACTCTGGCCGGCCAGTACGCGATCTTGCCTTTGTCCGAGCTGCTCGTTCGAGCCGGCAATGCTGATCGGTTCGACTGTAGTAGAAGTGGACGATACGTCGCTGCCCGAGCCTGAGGGACTCTTGACCATCTTGATCGCCTTCGGATCAACTGGGTGCCGGACCGTCAGTGCGTGACCAACGTGATCCATCCGAGCGTACCTCTGCTTTGATGCGATCGATTGAACTGGGACCAGTCCTGATAGCCTGACGAAGCTGCCTTGGCCTTTCGTTGCCAGGCGGGAAGTGCCGGGGTGTTGTCCGCTTTGACCATGGTGACCCAAGTGCTATGCTTTCCTTGGCGTCGTTGGCCGTTCGCGAGCTTCTGCTTGCCTCAGCTAGCTCGCGAGATCACACCGGCGTCATGCTGTCTAGCACGTCTTGACTGCTCCTGACACTTGGCTGGCTCGGCTGTGCGCACATCCGATGTGGTGATGACTCGGCTCGGCGACGACAGTGATCATCATGACAGCGACAATTCCCGTTTCGCCTCGTGGCGACTGCCGGGCCTCGCCTGCCTCAGCACCTCAGCTGTAGAGATTCAACCGGCTTGCGGCCTACAAATGGCAGCACCGAGTGCGCCTAGAGTCACAACGTCTCGTGTGAGCTATCGGCCGGCTCCGTCTCCCTCTACAGGCACTTCACGCTGGTCTAAAGCTCGCTTGTACGATTCAGAGGCGGCAAATGAAGTACTCAGACCGTTGTCTGGCTCTATTGGCGCACATGCCAGTGGTCCACCTCGCAAGCGGAGACGTCTGCAGTTCGGCGCTGCTGATGAAGGCGCCAATGAGCGGATGAATGACATCAAGGAGCTAGCGGAGCGAACACACGCCTCGACCCATCTTGCCCAGAGATCAGACAGGCGCAAAGCCTCACAAGTCCAGAGCTTGGTAGATCTGTCGTTGGACAAGCTAGGCAGGTCACTGCGAAAGGTGTTGAGGGCATGCGCAGATGAAGAGAACGATGACCTTGCAAAGAGCGTACTGCGCGCCATCGCCGACTTGCCCAACAACTTTTCCGAACGATTGCTGCAGATCACGCTGGAGCATGATCCAAGCTGCCTGTCTGCTGGCGTGCTGGGCAAGCTCTTCTTGCGCGTGCATACAGAACGGGTCGATCTGCTGGGGACCCGCGTCGGTGTCACACATGAGATCTTGAACAGGCTAGCTCAATGCTCACAGCTGCGACAGCTTTCGCTCGCAGACCAGACTGAGCTTACCGACTTTACTTTGGCGCCATTACTGAAGGCGCTTCGGAAGCTCGAACGGCTGGATTTGAGGCGATGTGCCAAAGTGGGCGACAAGTCTATCATACAAGCCGCGCAAAGTTCTGGCCAGTCACTCGTCTATCTGAACTTGAATCATACTGCCATCACCATCAAAAGCCTTGTTAGCATCATATCACGGGGTGCGAAGCTCGAAACGCTCAAGCTCGAAAGTATGTCGGGCTTCACGGACAGGAACATCAGCGCGATGATGACGAAAGCGACCGAGCATGCAGCTGCTTTTCGCCATGCGCCTCCATCCAACCTCAAGAACCTCAAAGTCAAGGGCACGGCTATTGGCGACGTCGGCTTGGGGCATCTGCTGTCATTCTGTCCTTTGCTCGAGTCACTGGACATCTCCAATACGTCTATCAGCGCACTTGATCTGCTTTATCGGGCCCTTACCGCAGGCAGTCACGGCTGGCAATTGAGATCTCTGAGTATGTCGGTCATACCAGTATCGTCGAATCTGCTGCGCGACTTCGCCAAGAAGCTGTCCATTCTGTCAGAGCCAGCGCGGTCAAACCTCAGCAAGCTCAAAATGGATCGCCTGCTTGAGACGAGCCGGATCGTGTCCACGAATGTCGAAACAGGCGCTTTCGAAGCTAGTATGGCTGCCATCACTTCGCTCGCACCGCTCGACAAACTCGGCTTCGCGCATCAGACGGTGCTCTTCAATGACTCGACCAAGCCAAGCCAGCTTCTGAGCGCTTGTAAAGACGCGCAGCCGCAATACCTGGACTTGTCGGGCTTGCCTCTGCCTGCGCATGCCTTCGAAAGCTGGCAGTCTGACGATGGCTCGCCTACCATGCCTCGTCTGGAGCATCTTCACCTGGACAATTGCCATATCGACGATGAAGTCCTTATCATCCTTGCCGCCAATTGTCCGAATCTGCGATCTCTGCACATGGACTCTGCGCGCATCACGGGTGAGGTCTTTGCTCGCATGCCGATGGCAACGCTGATGCTTACTGGCAGAGTCTTGCTTGCGACAGGTGGTGGCCGAGATGCCTTATATCGATACGCTGAATCTCAAAGGTTGCCGGAGCATCACGCCTGCCATCCTGAGACGCACGTTCTTTGCCACATGATGCATATGCATGTCTGTTCTACCAGGAATGAGGTCATCTAGACAGCGCCCCTGAGCATGAGCGTCAATGCAAAAGGTTCCGATGAGCCGATGACGCGCGCTCGCAAATGCGAGCCTAACCAGTTCGACGGACATGAAGCCAAGGTGGACAAGCTGAGCAGACGACATGACGGGCTTCAAGGCGCTTCTCATTGTCTATGTCGTCGGCGGCTTGACGTTTGTGCCGCTGCTGGTCATCAGTCTTGTCGCATTGATCTTGTACACTTCGCCAGTCGTGGCGCCAGATGACGACCCCGAGCTGCGCAAGGTTCCTGCAGATGAAGCCGTCAAGACAGCCAACAAGATCAAGACAGATGCGACAGCAGCTCGCAAGAAGGATGCAAGCACGAGTGCGGTGGCATCGAGTAGCGAGGACGAGGACGAGCCTGGCTTGCCCACGCCGCCTACCCTGTACAAGGCAGGCTGGCTCACCGTCAGGCGAACTTTTGAACCAACAGTCGTCACCGATGGAACCTATATGGGCATGATGGGCTCAGCGTATCGCTCTTTCATGGACAACAGATCGAAGGACCCGAGGCGGAATAAGCCAAAGGACAGGTTCTACGCTGCTCTGAAGCAGAATGTCCTATTTCTGTACGACACAGAGCAGCAAGTTGATGTCTGGGCTGCGATAGAGGTCACACTACACACTGTGTCCATCTATCCAGAAGTCGTACTCGATGGCGAGTTGTTCATGAAGCGTAACGCGGTCTGTCTGCGGCCAAAGTCAAGTCAAGCCTTGGCGGAACACGTTACCGACAGCAACACATCCGAGAGCCAGTCGGCTAGTCCAGGCAAGCCAATGCCATGGTTTCTCTTTCCGAGTTCGAATATCGACAAGGAGGACTGGTATCATGCCCTCGTGCAAGCGACAAAGCTATCAGATGACGAGCCGGACACAACTTTCATACGAGACCGATCACTTTTTGATCCACATGACATGTCACGCCTGATTGAAGGCATCGACGATCAGCCAGACCCCATACCCATGCGATGGCTCAACGCCATGCTCGGACGCATCTTCTTCTCTGTCTACCGCACCGCATCCCTTGAGAACTACATCATCAATCGCATCATACGCAAATTGAATAGAGTCAACAAGCCCAGCTTCTTGTCTGACATCGTCGTCCGAGAGGTCAACGTGGGATCCTCGGTACCTTACTTCAGCAAGCCCATGCTCAAAGATCTCACTGTCGACGGCGACGCGAGTATGGACGTTCACGTCAGCTACAAGGGAAACTTTCGCGTCACGATCAGTACAGTAGCTACCATCAATCTAGGACAGCGCTTCAAGCCCTATACCGTCAGGCTCGTCCTTGCCGTCGTCTTGAAAGAGCTCGAAGGCAATCTGCTGGTCAGAGTGAAGAAGCCGCCAAGCAACCGTCTATGGTTTGGCTTCTCGACCTCGCCTACGCTCGTGCTCAGCGTCGAGCCGGTCGTGTCTACTCGTCAGATCAAGTGGTCGATGATTCTCAAACCCATCGAGTCGCGACTACGTGAGATTGTAAGCCCATGCGTTTTGTCACATTGGGTCCGCTCAAAGGGACGATAGGTGCTCGAATCAGTCGTGCTACCTCACATGGACGACATCTCGTTCTTCGACACGAGGTCATACACGCATCGGGGCGGTATCTGGGGCGATGCTGCGCGCAAGGCAGACGATCCTCTCTCACCGGGTCTTGATGCGCATCCTGTGGGCGAAGAGGGCGATCACGACGTGCCAGAAGCGGAGCTCGACACTGCATCCGAGCCAAGGCAGGATACATTGACGGCAGATAGCACGAGACAGCGCAAAGGCAAGCGGAATGCAGAAACAAGTCCCGATGGTCGTCCTGCTTCTGTTGCTTCTGCGCCGCCCATGACAGAGACCAAGAGCGAAGGGATTCCGTCCTCCGCGTCGACGCTCAGTCTGCCTACTTGGGCAGCGAAGACGGAAGACAAAGATACCTCAAGGCGGAAGTCCTGGTTCGTGGGCTCTAAGCCAACCCCATCGTCTTCCGTCCCGCGCAGTCGAGCTTCCTCTGTGAGCGACGGTCCGGAAAAGCCAACAGTCATAGCGGATGAGGGCGCAGATGCGGCTGCAAAGTTGCGGGAAGCACTCTCTGCTTCTAGAGGACGATCTGTTGAGCCTACCGCTACTGTCAACTCCGATACAAAAGCAGAGCCAGCTCGAAGCGATAGCCCAGGGTCCACAAAACGCGATAAAGCCTATGAGCAGTTGCTGGACGCTGCCGTTCGATCCGATTCGCCAGAGACAGCGTCGCAAGTCGATCCTGCAGAAACGAAGCTGGACGAAGCTCCTGCGTATCCGCCTGCGACGAGCGTAGCTGCGCCTGGGCCGACGCACAAGATGTCTGATGTGGTCGTCGAAGCAGCTGCGAAGAAGGAGGGCTTCCTGCCTCCACCTCGTCGATCTGCCGCGGCAGACGCGTCATTGCAGAAGCCGACGTCATCTCTGCTGTCTTCCTGGCGAGCGAAAGCATCGGATAAGGAAGCCTTGGCGACAAGCGTCAATCAAGCCCGAGATGCTGCGAAGAAGTGGGCAGCCAATTGGCGAAAGCCGGTCGTGCAAGAGCCCGGCGAAGCTGCGAGTCCGAATGGAACGATCGAGGGAGCGTCGGATGTGCCTGGACTCGAACTCAGTAAGCCTTCGCCTGGCAAGCCAAAAGCGCGTCCAGTCTCACGCAAGAGCTCGCCAGATCGTGCGATGACTTACAAGGACTACTTGGCCGCGAAGAACAGAGACAGTGCGGAGAGCGATGCTGCTGCAGATGCAGCGGTCATGTCGAGCTCGCCTGAGAAGCACGAGCGAGCGCACCGTCCTTCGATCTCATCTTCGCCTAGTGGGCATTTCAGACCAGCAGCGAGTAAACCGACAACGAGCGTTACTTCGTCGCCCCAAACTGGGCCGCGCAAGGTGCCTCCGGGACCTGCAGAGAACACGCTATCAACTTCGCCATCGCAGCATGCGCGGAGGACATCCAACACAAATCTGGGCTACCGGCCGACAGCAAAGATGACCGTGCCGGGTATGGCGCCCGGTCGGCAGTTTGGTATTGGCTCGACCAATGCGCCTACTTCTGTCAGCCCTTCTCTGTCACCTCTGACTGCGGCAGCGGTCGCAAAGCCAGAACTATCGACAGAGCCTTTCGAGCCGCTTGCATTGCCTACGTCTGCTAGTCAAGCTAGCTCTGCTCTTGCTGTCGCTACCAGTAGCGCACCCGTACATACGCCCACGCCGCTCTCTGAGCTGAGCCAGCCTGCGGTGGAGATACCTGCAGAGGCGGCAGGCAGAACGGCTGTCGATCTACCGCCGACGACTTCGACCGCTACGCAAGATGTGGGCGCCGCAAAGGAGATTGACGAGAGGCCCGAGGATGAGGAGCTCGCGTGGGGTTTGGATGAGATCAACGATGATGCAGCTGTAACAACTTGATGTGATGCGTGTCAATGTACATACAACACTGTGTTGCTACTGCTGCTCCGCTACTCCGTCGCTTTCATCTTTAGCTTTTTGGATTTCTTCTTCTTTGGCATTGGGTCAGCTGGCTTCGCCTCGGCTGCCTTACTCTCGTAGCCTTCGAAGGGGTCCATGGCGGGCCTCTTCTTCTTTGATGGCGGCTGAGAGAGCTGCTCGACGACGGCTACGTCTTCTGAGGTAGTCGCTTGTGGCGCGTCTGGCCGTGCCAAGCTCGAGAATCGTGAATGCTTGCCATGCGATCGATCGGCTTCGATTTGCTCTGCGGTCTTTGCTGACTTGACGGCACTGCTGATGAACCTGTTGGCCGCTGCTCTGTCTAATCGCTGCGTGGCTGCAGTGGGGCCTGTGTTAGCAGCGCTCATAGCTGATAGGGAGCTCGACGCACGCTTTGCCTTGCCGAGTTCGGCCTCTTTGATCTTTTCGAAATAGCCCTGTACTCGTTTCTGTGACATCTCCCTCCCATCAGAGGCTGGGGGGGGGGCAGTTTGTCATGAGGAGCTGACCAGTTGCGCCATGACGGGGTGATTCGCAGCATCGTGGCCTTGCACTTTCAGAAACACTGTCGAACGATGGCCCCCATCTCAGACGGCACTCAGAGTCGTCTGAGGACAGATCCACGGACTCCATACGAGGTCGTTGATGATGTAGCTGAGCATGACGTTGGCTTTTGCCTTTTGCAGAGGCGTCAGGTTGACCAGCGTGTCGGGCAATGACTTGGCGAGCAAGGGGGCCAGTGTCTCGTCTAGCGTATCGAAGGAGGTCAGAAAGGTCTCCATTGAGGCCTCTGCTGCTGCAATGTCCATCGCAGCGGGTGGCTCTGCTCGCTCGACACGATCGCGACATGTCGATCACGCGCACTGTCGTCGACGGTGTGGGTTGCATGCTCAGCCGGTCTAGGGTACGCATTCGTACGCTCAATCGTGCCTGCTTGGCTGCTGCTTGTATACGCTTGCCATCCCGCCAGCCGCAGCTGCCTCGAGCCGACTTGATCTCACGCACGAGCTTGTCAAAGGCGACCTTTGCTACCGTCAGCTCACAGCCCATTCTCGCATACAACATGACCGCAGGCGACTTTCCCAGGCCACCCGTCGCTGCATCACGATGGGACTTCACTGCAGAAGAGATCACGAAGCTAACAAAGGAAAGCATCGATCGCAGTCGCAAGACACAAGACCAAGTTGCCGCGCTGCCTCATGACAGGTGCACTTTCGATAGCGTCATCTCCGCCTTGGCCCACGATGAGGCTTCCATGGCTCACGATACCGGCGTGCTCGAGTTCCTGCAGAACGTCTCGACGGATGAAAGCGTGCGAAAGGCATCTGTGGCAGCCGATCAAGCATTGGCTGATTTCGGTATCGAGTCCTCCATGCGACTGGATGTCTTCAACGCTGTCCAAGCAGCAGACAAGGCCACAGATCGCTCAAAGCTAGACGCAGAGTCAACACGCTTGCTTGATCGCATGCTGCGCGATGGCAAACGGGCCGGATTGACCTTATCCGAATCAGATCGAGAGAAGTTGAAGGCGCTCAAGAATGAGATCTCGCAGCTTTCGATCGAGTTCCAGAACAACTGCAATCAGGACAAAGAGTTTATCGACTTTACCGCTGATGAACTCAAGGGCGTTCCCGAAGATGTCATTGCTGGCTTCAGCAAGTCAAAGGATGATTCGTCGAAGCTGCGCATGACCTTCAAGACGCCCGATTATCTGCCTGTCATCAAGTATGCTCAGAAACCAACAGCGCGCAGAAGAGCTTTCGTAGGCTACGAGTCTCGTCTGCCGATGAATGTACCCATCATGGAAAAGACGATGAAATTACGAGCACAAGCAGCTCAACTCCTCGGCTATGCAAACTGGGCAGAGTACGTGCTCGAGGTCAAGATGGCCAAGGATGTCAAGACTGTCAATGCTTTCCTTGACGATCTGTATAAGAAGCTCAAGCCGATCGGCCTCAAGGAACGCGATGTCTTGCTCAAGCTCAAAGAGAAGGAGTGCAAAGAGCTCAACATCCCTTATGATGGCAAGTTCTACGTATGGGACTACAGATACTACGATAGACTACACATTGAGCAAACGCTCGCATTCGACGAAGAAGAGGCAAAACAGTATCTGCCCGTCGCCGTCGTTGTGCCAAAAGTGCTCGAACTCTACAAGCGCTTGCTCGGCGTCGAGCTCGTGCCAATCGATTCGCCAACATGGTATGAGGACGTACAAGCCTTCGCAACGTACGATCTCCGGGCAGCCGATAATGAGAACCCTTTCCTGGGATTCATGTACACCGATCTCTTCCCTCGCGACAATGTAAGAGCTCGGCATACCAGCAACGCCTGCCGTTGCTGACCCGTGACGGAACCTTGCAGAAGTACGGTCACGCAGCAGTTTGGGGTCTCATCCCTGGCTTCACGAAGGAAGACGGCAATCGGTCGTACCCGACCGCGGCAATGGTTGCCAATCTGGCAAAACCGAGCGGCAACAAAGTGACGCTAATCTCACACGATCAGAGCGTCACGCTCTGTCACGAATTCGGTCATGCCTATCACCAGCTGCTCTCAAAGACCCGATACTCTCGCTTTCACGGCACCAACGTAGCCCGCGACTTTGTGCGTCCATTGTTTCATTTACGAAGCTCGTCTGACCCGCTGCGTACAGGTGGAGGCGCCAAGTCAGCTGTCAGAGAACTTCATCTGGCTCAAGAAAGAACTTATCGAACTTTCTGCGCATTACAAGACAAAGAAGCCAATGCCAGACGAGCTCATCGAGAAGCTCATCTCTTCCCGCTTTGTCAACTCTGGCCTGTTCAATCTGCGCCAGCTCTTCTTCGGTCTCATCGATATGAAGCTTCACACAAGGACGCCAGATGATGCTGATCTGGATTATACGAAGCTGTGGTGTGAGATGAGACAGGAGATCTCGCTTGTCGAATTCGATGGAGAGTATGCGCCGGGTGAGGGCAGCTTTGCGCACATCATGTCTGGCTACGCTGCTGGATACTACGGCTACCTCTACTCCCTTTCGTCAGTCATGCCCTGATGCTTCAGCTGCGATGGCTGACAAGGCGTTGCAGGTTCTCGGCTGATATGTTCAGTCAATGGGGAGACGAGCCGATCGACAAGGCTGGCAAGCGCTATAGAAAGTCGATCCTGCAGCCTGGCGGATCTCGAGACGAGCTGGACTCGCTCAAAGAGTTCCTAGGCCGCGAGCCGAGCAATAAGGCTTTCATGGACATGTTACTTGGCCATCAATGAAAAGTGCGCAGATGTAATGCAACAACATGTGTATGAACTCAGTCTCGTTCGACTCTGATACCCTGACGGCCGTGCATAGACTGAGCAAGCGATTGTCCGCCGTAGACGATCTTTTGCTGGTCGCGAATGAATGCAGGACCAACGCCTCCGTCGCCTTTGCCTTGCTTGCCCAAAGCTGCTTTGCGGCGCAGTGCTTCTTCTCGCTCGAGCATAGCTTTGTCGATCTTCTCCGTCTCGGCCAGTCGAGTCGAGCGGGAAGCCGCGATAGAGTGTGCAGAAGATTGCATGGCTGCCAGCCGTCTCGCTGCATCCTCCTTTGCTCGAGCAGCGGCTTCATCTCGCTCTGCAGCTGACATTGCAGGCGTACGCGGTTCAGACTTGAAGGTGCGACGCTCTTCGCGTGGCTCAGACTTGATTTGACGGTCTTGGTACTCGCTCGAACGCGTGCTGTCTCTTTCTCTTTCGGGCGAGGGTGAACGACGGGGTCGGCGCGGAGAGGGCGAGCGCGATCTGGGTCTGTACGAGCCACGAGGTCGAGAGTATCTGTCTTCTCGTTCGCGCTCACGTTCGCGAGATCGATCGTCATCGTAGCGTCTGTCGTCTGACCGTCGACGGTCGTACTCGTCCCGATGACGATGGGACGAGCTATGCCTTTCCTCCTTGCGTGCACGCTTCTCCGCTCGTCTGGCTTCCTTCTCCTCTCTCGTCTCATGACCGTGCTTCTTCGATGACTTTTCACCGCCTTGAGCTTCCCTAATTGCACGTAGTCTGGCAGGATCTTTGAGCAGCTCCTGATAGGCTGCTTGTTCTTGCTTCTTGATGGCCAGCAGGGGATCCTCCCTGATCTTTGCAGCCATGTCTCGCTGACTGTTGGCGGTCGAGTTGACAGCTTGGAAGGAAGCAGGGCCCGATCCAGCAGCTTTCATCGCCTCCAACTGTCATTGATTTCATCAGACCAAACCTCGCAAGTGGTACGACGATTAGGCGTACCTTTTTCTGATCTTGCGCTTTGAAGAGATCGACGACGTTCTTCTTTCCGAGCAAGTAGGCCTCCAGCTCTTCCTTGTTGCCTCCCTCGCCTGTGCTAGGCGTAGCATAAAGCCATTCGACCCTTTCCTCCCTCTTGCCGTTCAGCTGTTGTAGTTCGGCCAGAGCTCGTTCTTCGGCACGCTCTTTGGCAAGCTGAGAGAGCATCTTGCGCTCCTCGAGCGCTTTCTTCTCCTCCTTCCATACTCGCTCTTGGTTGACTTGTAAGAGCGGATGCCAACTCTGCAAGGGACGAGCTGGTCAGCTACTCCGGAGAAGCTGAGGATGAGCGACTCGCCTTCTTCATGTTGAGATCTCCCCCTCCCATCTTGGCTGATTGTTGTTGGTCAGACGAAGAAAGGCTGGCAAGGTGGTCGGTTGACTGGCGTCCCTCGTTGCCGCCGCCGAGCTGGCCACGCAAGATCTGCCCGACAGACTTGAAAAGCCTTCTTGAAAAGATATTCGCCAGCGCGAGCCAAAACCCGCCGTGCCTAGCTTGTGAGACACGCAAGACGCAAGCGCTCGTCACTCGGTCAGAGGGCGAACAGAGACTGTCTGCCGACCTCGACAAGTGACAGTTGAGGCGCTCCCCGCCCTCGACCGCGCGCGCAAAAAGTGAAAGAGAGCTCTTGACTGAGTCACCCTTCCACACTCCTTCTCGTCGCCCTGTCTGCTTGCTCTGCCATACCTGAAGCAAGATGGTGGGTGCAGATCAGATCAAGATCGACGATGACGACGAGTCTGTCGCCAAAGCGTACCTCCGTGACACGGCAGGCTCGACGCAGGCCAATGGCATCGACGTCGACTCGCCCTTTTCAGAGTCAGACGACAAGCCAGCGGACGGGCGGACGGGCGCATACGTTGAGGGGACCCGGCGGATCTACTTTGATCGGGACAATGTGCCCATTGCAGACCCAGAAGACGACGGTCCCTTGCCAATGTATTGGCATGTTGACGATCCCTGGACGATGACAGACAACTACTTCTCCAGTGGGCCAAAGAAACAGATCAAGTCTCTCGTGTCCCAGCAGATCGACTCCTTCAACGATTTCCTCAACAACAGTATGCAGGAAATCGTCGACGAGAACTCAAAGCTCGTACTCGATCAAGAGCTGCAGTTCCAAGGCACCGCAGAGAAGCTGAGGAGATATGAGATCAACTTTGGCCAGGTCTATCTGTCGCAACCCACTCAGACCGAAGCAGACGGATCTGTCGCCGCTCTCTTCCCCCAAGAGGCTCGACTCAGGAACCTCACTTATTCGTCACCCCTCTATGTCGACGTCAGTATGACCGTCAAAGTACCCCATCCCGATGGCGAGCTCGATGAGAACGGTGAGATCGAATGGATCACAGAGGAGGACGAGGCGGGCATGCAACAGATCTCCCAGCACCGAGAATATCTCGGCAAGGTGAGTTGAAATCTGACAGCCTTGCCTTGCAAGGTGACAAAGCTTGTACCGCAGGTTCCGATGATGATCAAGTCCAGATTCTGTCATCTGCTCAAGATGGAAGAGGACGCACTTTTCAATGCTGACGAGTGCCCGCTTGACAAGGGAGGTTACTTTATCATCAACGGCTCCGAAAAGGTCCTCATTGCGCAAGAGAGAATGGCGGGCAACACCGTTTACGTCTTTGGCAAAGCTCCTCCGTCGCCCATTGCCTACCTAGCAGAGATCCGCAGTGTCGTCGAGTCGGGCAGTCAGACACCCTCCAGCTTGACCGTCAAGATGATGCGGGCCGGCAATCCCGACAAAGTTGGTGGCGCGACAGGCTCAGTCATCCGTGTTACTCTGCCTTATATTCGTGCCGATATACCGATCCTAGTCGTCTTCCGTGCGCTGGGCATCATACCCGACAAGGACATTCTCCAGCACATCTGTTACGATCCCAACGACACCGACATGTACGAGCTGCTCAAGCCTTCCCTAGAAGAGGCCTTCCCCGTGCAAGATCAGAACGTCGCTCTCGACTTTATTGGGCGACGTGGTACTGCTGCCGGACTCACTCGCGACAAGCGTATCCAGTACGCTCGCGATGTCTTGCAAAAGGAGGTCTTGCCGCACGTCTCGACATCTGCAGGCTCACATCAAAAGAAGGCCTACTTCTTCGGCTACATGATCCACCGACTGCTCATGGCGGCCATGCAAAGAAGAGACCTAGACGATCGTGATCACTTTGGCAAGAAGAGACTCGATCTGGCAGGCCCACTTGTTGCCAGTCTTTTCCGAACGCTCTTCAAGAAGATGATCAAAGACGTCTACCGGTACCTGCAAAAGTGCGTCGACACGCAGAAGGAGTTCAAGATGAACAATGCCATACGAGCCTCAACGATCACGAACGGACTCAAGTATTCTCTCGCTACAGGCAATTGGGGCGAACAGAAGAAAGCAGCCGCAGCTCGCGCGGGTGTCTCGCAAGTGCTCAACCGTTATACGTTTGCGTCGACCCTATCGCATTTGCGAAGGACGAATACACCAATTGGTCGTGATGGCAAGATCGCGAAACCTCGTCAGTTGCATAACACACATTGGGGTATGGTCTGTCCTGCCGAGACGCCTGAAGGTCAAGCGTGCGGTCTGGTCAAAAACTTGGCTCTGATGTCCTACATCACCGTCGGCACGGCGATAAGACCGATCATCGACTTTTTGCAAGATTGGGGGTCAGTCTCGCTCGAAGAAGTGACGGATCTGCGCAAAGGTGCCAAAGTCTTTGTCAACGGTTTCTGGCAAGGCGTGCATCCCAACCCAGATGTACTCATGAAGGTCTTGCTCAGATTGCGACGAACCGGTACTCTCAACAAGTCTGTCAGTATCGTCCGAGATATTCGCGAGCGCGAGATCCGGATCTTCGCCGACCCTGGTCGTGTCTGTCGACCGCTCCTCATTGTGCAAGACCAGCAGCTACGTCTAAGACGCTGTCATCTTGACTTGCTCATGCGCGATCCGGCTTCCGACTACGCTGCAGGCTTTGACGACATGACAAACTGGGGTATCGTCGAGTTTCTCGATGCTGAAGAGGAAGAGATGGCCATGATCTGCATGACCTATGAGGACCTCGAAGCTGCTTACTATGCTCATGATAAGGATCACGCAAAACAAGGAGTTGATCCCACTGCTCGGTTGCGCTCTGCCATTACGGCCAGTCAAGCTCAGCGATGGACCCATTGCGAGATCCATCCAGCTATGATCTTGGGTATCTGTGCTTCCATCATTCCTTTCCCTGATCACAATCAGTCACCTCGTAACACATATCAGTCTGCGATGGGCAAGCAAGCCATGGGCGTCTACCTGACCAATTATCAAGTCCGTCTCGATACAATGGCAAACATTCTGTTCTACCCGCAAAAGCCGCTGGCCACTACGCGATCGATGGACTATCTGCACTTCAGACAATTACCTGCCGGTCAAAATGCTATCGTTGCCATTTTATGCTATTCGGGCTATAACCAAGAAGATTCGGTCATCATGAACCAAAGCGCTATCGATCGCGGTCTCTTCAGAAGTTTCTACTACCGTACTTATATGGATACCGAGAAACGGCAAGGTGCGCTACAGATGGAGAGCTTCGAGAAGCCAAGTCGACTTGATACGCTCCGTCTCAAGCGAGGTACGTACGACAAGCTAGGCGATGATGGCTTTGTGCGCGTGGGCGAGCAAGTCAGAGGTGGTGATATTATCATTGGTAAGACTGCTCCGATTGCGCCAGACTCTGAAGAGCTCGGTCAGCGAACGAAAGATCACGTCAAGCGAGATGTGTCGACGCCTCTCAAGAGCACCGAAGAGGGCTACATCGATCGTGTCATGATCACAACGAACGCAGACGGACTCAAGTTTGCAAAAGTACGAGTTCGCTCTACTCGCATACCTCAGACGGGCGACAAGTTTGCCTCGCGTCATGGTCAGAAGGGTACGATCGGTATCACCTACCAGCAGAACGATATGCCTTTCACGTCAGAAGGCATCGTACCGGATCTCATCATCAATCCACACGCTATCCCTTCGCGAATGACGATTGGCCATTTGGTCGAATGTCTGCTCAGCAAAGTTTCCGCTCTGACGGGCCAAGAAGGCGATGCTACGCCCTTTTCCGATGTCACTGTTGATTCGGTTTCGTCTGTACTTAAAGCTCAAGGGTTCCAAGATCGTGGTCTGGAGATCATGTCGAATGGTCATACGGGTCGCAAGCTGGCTGCGCAGGTCTATCTCGGTCCGACATACTATCAGCGTCTGAAGCATATGGTCGATGACAAGATCCATTCTCGGGCTCGTGGCCCGGTGCAGATCCTGACGCGTCAGCCTGTCGAAGGTCGTAGTCGAGATGGCGGTCTCCGATTTGGAGAAATGGAGCGAGATTGGTCAGTGCCGGGGTCATTCAAGCTGGCATACGCTTACTTTGTGTCTGCACGCGGACAGCATGATCGCACATGGCGTCGCAGGATTCCTCAAGGAACGTATGTTCGAGGCGAGCGACGCTTTCCGCATTCATGTCTGCGATATGTGCGTCCACTGACTGCTGCCTTTCTGTACTATGCTGACATCCATCCCAGTTGCGGCATGACTGCGATTGCCAACCTGATGAAGCAAACCTTCGAGTGCCGAGCATGCAAGAACAAGACGGCCATCTCGCAAGTCCTCGTGCCCTACAGCGCCAAGCTGCTCTTCTCCGTAGGTCTCCGAGATGCGTTCAAAGCCTTGTTTTGAAACGACTTGCCCGTCCACAGGAACTCCAAGCGATGAATATAGCGACGCGCATTGTATTCACAAAGGGTGCTGGCGCACGACAGAACGAAAATCCGGGCCAACAGGCAATGGTCAACGGTCACGGGGCAGACTCGCCCTCCAGCCGGGCCAGCTCTTCACCTAGCAGCAATGGCTTCGCAGGCACGCCGCCGCCTATGTAGATCGGCACTACTTCGGCCGTCTCACAGATTGTTGTACTACTCGCTCAGGTCAATGCACTTCGAGCGAATGAAAAAAAGGGTGCATTGCTATTGAGGTAGCTTTGTATTCGCAAATGTCTTGCCTGCGCGCTCAATCGGCTCGCTGTCAGCGTATGATCTGTTGATGCGCCGAAGCCTGGCCCACCTCTCGCTGGAGCACGCCGTAACAAGCGGACGAGCATGACTGCGGTGATGGCCTGCTTGCTTGGTGAGGCTGGATCTTCCACAGACGAGCCTCTGACGTACCGATAATGCATACCAGGTGACTGCGTACGTTGCGTGCATGTTGCGCAGCTCAATCGTTGCAGATCGACCGACTGGGATGCCTCGCTGTAGCTGCGCAGCAGACTCGCCTGCATGTCCTTCTGTTCGCCCAGAGCAACGTCAGAGCCAAGGCAACTGGGAGCAACCTCTGTGACGAACCAAAGATATCGTCAACGAGCACGGGTGAGGCTCCGCAGTAGTGGGCCATGGCGTCGATGTCTGCAAAATTCCACTGGCCTCGTTCGGGGGAGTTGGGCGGTGTGAACATGTTCTTGCGGTCTTGCGTACGCAACATGCCCACCATGCGAAACAGACCTGCTGTCTGTGCGGTTCAGGCAGCTTCAGGCTGTGCAACACCCCTGAAAGGCAGCGAGACGCACGAGAGACTCTGGCCGGGTGGATTGATCCATCTTCTCCCGGGGGACGAAGCCGCGATTGACGAGGATGGTCTCGCCTCCTTCGCGTCGAAGAGGGGTGATGAGGAAGTAGCCCAGCACGTTGTCCTTTGTCCTTGGCCCGAGCAAGATCTCCTTTGAGTGGTCAAACTCGCCTTCGACGTATACCTTGCGCCAGGCAAACTCAGGTATCGCTTCGGGGCTGCTCGCATTGTGAGCGTTGCACACACCGCAGTGGGGCGAGCCTACTTGACTTTGCGCGGCAGCCTGAGTGTGTCCCGCTGTAGCTTCTCCTCTAGCTCGTCGATGAGGGCTACTTTCCACCTGAGCCGTTTGATCTGCCATGATCCGAGTGCAAATGCAACGAGAGGCTGCAGACGTGCATCAGACAGTATCTTGCCAGATGAGGGTGAGTCGTGGGCCTACAATGCATGCTAGTACGATCGTTGCACCTGACAGTCGGGAGAGTGCAGAGGGAGGTGGCGCACGAGTGGCTTCGTCATAGTCGTAAGATGAGTTATGCCTCGGTTGCGATGAGCTCGGCCATTTCGTCTGTGCAGGTCGACTCCTCGCGGCGATCGAATGGAGCTGCACTTGTCGGAGTGCTCTACTTGGTGGTATCAAGGGCTTCGCTAGGGTTGCCGTGCCCAGCAGAGTCTGTGCAAGGCTCCTGTTCATGGCTGCAGTGATCGGTGATGTCAACGACCGACGCGATAGCAAAATGTCAAGCACGTCAAGAGGGAAACGATGCAATCTCTAAGTAGCTATACATGAGATGCGAGCAATGCAATGCAGAGTATGCCAGACGTCAGTTGCGAGATGCGAGATGCAGTCGTAGGTAGCAATAAGCAGATGGCAGGAGATGATGCGACGGATGCAAACGAGTGGGTAATGCGAGCTACGAAACAGCCGTCGACAGAGATTGCGAGAATGCGTTAGTGCGAATAGTTGGGCGTCGAACAGATGAGATGCGAGTGTGAGGATGTATATGTGCAGATGCGAGGTATAGATGCGAATGACAGAATGCGAAATAAGTATCAAGCGAGCCTGAAGAGGCAAATGCTAGGCGGCGATGGGCGAGCCAAGCGAGTTAAAGGCATTTAAAGGCATTGCCAGGTATGGTAAAGTCAAATTGATCGCCAAGATGGGGCAGCTCAGCAAACTGATGAGCCGGTGAGTAGTCCATCGCAGGTAAAGCGACGACACGATCCCAGTAAGCTGCCATCTCAGACTCGAGCTCGTCGTATGACGACTCTTGCTTGAGCGATTGACGCAGGGCATCGAGGGGATAGGGCGCCAGAGTGAGTTCGCCGGCGTTGGCTTTGATGAACGGTCCTTCCGCTACCTGAGTGTGAGCAGCGTTGAAGTCCCATTCCTGCAGGCAGATGGCTTCGTCGATAGTGCTGATGGCCTGATCAATACATTCCGACGCAACGGACGATTCGCGAGACCAAGCGACAGAGGTATAGCCAAGTGCGCCAGAATCGTTCGCAATTTTATACTCGCCTTGTACAGCTTCATTGCTGGGACTTTCCGCTTTGACGTGATTAGGAGCAGGCGTCTCTTGCTCGGGCGAAGCTTCGTCTTCCTCCTCCATAGCTTCCCAATCCGCATCCGCCTCGTCATCGGTGGCGTCGTCAGAACAAGTCGACTTGTATTTTGCAGGCTTATAGGCGCTTTTCTGCGGTTGTTTCGCGCTGCCCGCCCTCTTACGACGCTGGCGAGCATTGGCAAACTGTTTGCAGCCATGAGCTTTTTGTGTTTTTGCAAAGTAGACAAAGGCGCGCTCACCCAGACGGAGACTTGACGCGATTTGAGGCCTGTTGCTGCTGCGAGGCACTCCTTTTCGGCTGGTGTGAGCTTATTGGACTGTTGCCATGCTGCTTCTAGTAGGGCAGCCACGCGTGGGTTGAAGGTCCCGGTAGAATCTATTGCAGGCGTCGGGCGCGCATATGCTGCTTTGACGATTTTGAGGCCTTCGCGCGAGAACAGGTTTACGGCTCTGTGCATTTCAGCCTGCGCACGATCTTCGAGAGCTGTGCATAATCGATGTGCGAGCTTGCTCAGATCACTGTCATGGCTTGTGTCTGCAATAGCTATTATTTTGGCAGCACTGACTTGGGCGTCCGATCTGATATCTCGAACGGCATCATCATAGCAGTCAGACAAGGCTTTACTGAGTGATGTGACAGTATTGTGGTCGCCAATAAGTCTGAAACTTCGCTGCTCGAATTCTTGCCAGCACACTGGCTGGCAAACAGGGATGAAAGACTTGTAGGCGACCGAAACATGGGCCGTAGACGACAGGACTGGAAGCTGAGACACTTGCTGGGCGAGATGCGTGGATAACTGAGCCCAGTCTATTGCCGTGCTTTGCGCCATGAGTCGGTGCCTGCCTGAATATAGGAGACACACGTGGGTACACGAACGCTCTGGACGAGCGCGTGTGGCCATGCATATCTCCGCCGCGCTCCGCAACGTGATCTGTCTCCTGGCGCGCCAGACCGTCGTGTCACAACGAGACTATGCAGGCATGGAAGGCATTATAGATCATCTCGGTATCCTTCTCATCGAGGCTTCGGCCTTCGACGATGCTGCGGCCAGGCAGGCGCTGCGAGAGAGCATCTCGTTACAGTCTCGCACTGATCAAGAGCTAGCCGAGCTGCCCTCGGAAGCAGTCACAAAGCTATGCATGCTAGCCCTTTTTGCGAATACGCATTGCGAGTATGGTCGACTTGTAAGCAAAACAGTCACTGTCAGCCTAATGCAAACCTCGGACCTGCTCTCATCGCATAATTCAACGAAGGCACCCACGCATCACTCCCTCATCAGCTCGCCCAAGTCATCGCAAACGGGAGCAGACCTCATAGACTATACACCATGGCGTCAGTGGATTCTCGACCACCTCGCTTGGCCATTCCCAAAGCCAGAAAGTAAGCATCTTAGCCCAAACAAAGGCATCGCGAGCTGACGCCTTTGTTCAGACAAGCATGCGATGGTATGCCTCATCAATGGCCACACAACCGTCAAGCGTCTTCAGACCTGGCTCGTCAATGCTCGTCGTCGTTCGGGCTGGAATACGTTCTACAAGACGCATGCAAAGAGCAAGCAGGAGCTCATGAAGGCACTTGTCAAGGCAATCGAATCTGACAAGTCGGGCGTCAAACCTCAAGCACGCAAGGACTACTTTGCCGTCAAGCAGTTCTTCGCTTCGGGCGGTCGTGATACTGTGGCACCTTGGCTCGAGAACCTCATTGCCGAATCGCAAGTGGCTAGTGCCCGCCCGATGATCATGTCGCGCGCATCGCAAGACTCGTCAGATTCGGGTCGCTTCACAGAGCTCACCAATGCGCCCATTACGCCTACCTTCAGCATCGATACCTGGCCCAGTCCTTCGCACGCCTCCCAGGGTGTCACACCTTCGCCCGTCGACGCTCGGCCTTTCGAAAGCGACTGGCTAGACGTACCTGAACGTCGCGCTCCGTCTGGTCGAACTGCTCGTGTAGACTATAGCACGCTCGATCGTTCGCCGTCGCCTCTGTCGGATCTGTCTGATGCGGCCAGCGAATACGAAGAGGAGCGCGTTGTTTGCGCTTCTACCTGGCTGCGCGAGAACGAGATCCGCACACCTATGCTGACTAACTACGACCGCAAGAATCTCACCCCTATGTATACCTCAAACGCTGGTCGTCACTGAGCTATCCTTCACGCGCTGTCGCCCTCGCAACCTCACATTCGCACTACATATCGCATCCTCGCATCCTCGCAAATCACTCGCAGCCTATCGTTGTACAATCTATTGCATGCATTCTCAGTTCTATCACTCCTACAGAGTGATCAGATCAGGCATGAGTGTGAGCAGACCAGCTCGAGTCCAGCAGCTATGCCATTGCTTCACATCGTGGAGCGTTAGCGAAGCAGCCGATCTGAGTTCGCTCGACTCTTCGAGCGTCTTTGTCTGCCGGAGCGTCAGGGCGCCGGTCGAAAGAGCCATGCCAGTGTAAAAGTCCAGCAGCTTCAGTGCAGGATTAGCATGAGCTGCGTCGGCCGCGCCGTTCGTCTGACCAGACTTGCGAAGTCTCTCGAGCCAAGTGGGATAGTCCACGAGCTTCGCGCCCAGAAGCTGGGAGAAGCGTTCGAAGATATCGTGCCAAGCCAAACGCTCATGATGGATAAGATGACGGTAGGCGACGCCTTGCCGCGATTGTAGAGCGAATTCGGCAGTCGACCGACCTGCCACATCGATCGGGAGCCAATCGACTTGCTGAGCCATATCGGGCAGCTCGCCCAGCATCTCGCCGCTCTTGACAATCGCAGGCACCCAGTCACTCGAAGCCCAGTATCCGCTCGACGTTGCACCGCAAAGCTGGCCAATGCGGAGGATCGTCACGGGCAAGCCGTGCAGCTCAGATGCGGCAAATAGGACTTCCTCGCCCACTCGCTTCGATTCGCCATAGCCATTTCCGAGCGAGACTGCAAGATCGGGCAGGCGTTCTTCCGGGACGGATTTGCTAGAGCGATACGACATCAGCGTGCCGATGGACGAGGTAAAGACAAAGTGAGGCGGCTGAGGCCGTGGTGAAGCGAGCGCAAAATCGACAAGCCGACGCACGCTACATACGAGAGGTTCGAAGGAAGCAAGCGAGAGGCTGAAGTTGAGTTGCCAAGAATTATGGATGATGGTCGTCAGCGAGCATCGGATCTGTGTCACCGTATCAGAATGGAGATCGCTCTATGCCAACAAGGCGCACCTCATCATAGACATCATCGGCCAGACCGAGTGAGACCTCGGAGAGATCGCCTGCAAGTAAGGCGAGCTTGGGCGAGGACAGGAGAGCAGCATCGATGCCAACGTCTAGGAATGCAGTTCGCTGTCGCTCTTGTACCGTCTTTCGCGTCGAGCGACGATTGAGAGCATAGACGCGGCAGACGGCAGGATCGTTCAGCAAGCGAGCCAGCGCGAAAGCACCGAGGCCACCTGTCGATCCGGTGAGCAGTACTACTGCGCCCGTCGTCGCAATGACATTGTCTGGATTGACGACATGATTTGCGAATGACTGAGTGTACTTGTCGACCATCTCTGTCATTGCTTCGAGCTTGGTAGCAGCATACGAGTCCTCGCCGCCGCCAGAAATCAGACGAGTCAGCTCGCCGGACAGACGAGCGATCGTGGGAAAGCGAAAGACGATGTTGCTTGACATTCGATCAGCGATCCGAGGCAACAGTAAGCGCAGCGAGGAGAAGATCCGCATTGCAAAGAGCGAGTCGCAGCCCAGGTTGAAGATGTCGTCGTTGTCGTCCGCACGTACACTGAGCACTGGCTTGAGCTTTGTATTGACGAGGTCTCGTACGAAGGTGAGGATAGAGGCTGGGGTCAGATCCGCTGGCGCGGCAACATCGTCATGACTAGCAGAAGAGGCGAGCGCGTCGATTTCGGTCTCATAGGCCTTGATGAGAGCGACCTTCTTGACGCTGCCCTTCTGGGTGAGGTAGTCGCTGATGGGCTTGCTAGTATGCACAAAGACAATGGACTCGATGAATAACCTGGCATGAGCAGGCGCGATCTTATTTGCCTTGTCGAGATCGGGTCGCAACTCTCGTTTGAGCGTTTCATGAGCTTCCATGTCATCTGGCGCAATCGGTCTGGCAGGATCGATGAGGACACCAGCAGACTCCCGACCGCGGCCAAAGATGATGGCGGTACTGATCAAAGGCGAAGCATTGAGCACGTCTTCAATGGGTGCAGGAGCAATCTTCTCGCCGGTAGAGAGCATGATCTGATCGTCCGCTCGTCCGACAATGGCAAATCGAAGCGGGTCTGTCGCGTGCTGCTCCATGAGATCTTTTGTGGGGTATGCACGATGCACCCTGCCATCGAACGGGCTCTTGAACTCTGATCCAGTAACGGAGAGAGGGTGATAGCGCTCGTGCTCGAGCACAAACAGTTCGTAAATCCCTGAGCCGGCAGCAGTCTCTTCCAATCGAGGCAAACGTTGGGGTGAAAAGGCATTGTATCGCCATTCGCCTGGGCCCCCATCCGTGGCAGGCGTGATAGACTGCAGGAAGCCAGTCTCGGTAGCTCCGAACTGCTCGTCCGTCAGTGTGACCCTGCAGATCCGAGAAAGGACGTACAGCATTGATGACGACGATGCCTTGAGTATTGAGGTAGTCGCCGATCTCGGTAGACAGAGGCCCGCCGCCCGAGAAGACGGCCTTGAAGCCTTTCAGACGAGCCAGCAAGGCAGGATCCTTCGCCATGCCCTCTACAATCGACGGCGTGAGAGTGGGCAGACGAACATTCGTTGCCTCAAACACATCGAGCAGATTGGACGGATCGGGTACGATGGGATCTTCACCGAGCTTAGCAGGCTCAAAGACGGCGAGCACACCGCCCGTAGCTGCAGTGGCGCACATGCCGACAGCAACGCCATAGGTATGCTGAACTGGCAGTCCTGCCGAGCCGTATCGCACGCCTGCTTCTGGATCACGTAGACGCCAGTGGCTGAGCCAGTCTGCTAAGACGCGGTAGGTGAGACGAACGACTTTGGGCACGCTCGTGGTACCGGATGAATGAAGCAAGAGGGGGCTATGATTGAGCCAGAGATTGCTCGTCTTTGTAATAGGCGAGAGGTGAGAGGGTGTCTCATCAGCGTCGAAGAGCAGCTCTCGATGAGGTGCATGAACAGCAACGATGGCATGATCTTGTGCTTGGAGAGATGCAATGACGCCTGCAGCGAGACGATCTAGGTTGGTTTTGATCGAATCAGGCTCAGTAGGCTCGTACTCGACGAGGACGATGCGGCAGTTGACTGTCTTGAGCAGATGTTCCTGTGCATGGGCAGAATTGCGCGGCGAGAGCGGAAAGACGGTGTAGCCAGCTCTCATGATGCCGTACATGAGCGCGTACGTGACGATGGAGTCGCCGCGGGTCATGATGCAGATCGTCTCTGTTGGCCCATCGTAGCCGTCGAGCACAGGCGGCAATGGACTGTCGAGCTTGGCTACAGCATCGCTTACGAGATGAGCCGCTCTCAGTGCAGCCTGAGCGAACTCGCGCCAAGTGACCTCTTGCGTTCCTGAGCCATCTCGCAGGGGAAAGACGGCGTAGAGGTGATCGGGCGATTTCTCGAGGTGGTGATCGATCATCTCTGGACACCACTGCCCGTTCTTGCCATCCTCATGGGCCAGCTGAGGCGCGGTGAAGTCTCCTTTGACATTGGACGGCACGATCTTCTGAGCTTGTTTGTCTGGGTCGTTAGGCCAGAGGATGCGCCGTCCGTCTGATGTGTATTCGATGAGCATGGTGCGTCTTCAGAGTGCTAGAAGCAGGTGCAGCAGCGAGACAAGGGAGCAGTGCGGCCGAGGTGAAATCTCAGGTTGCCACGAGGTCAAAGCTCCATTGCCGTGCGTGCCGGCTAGGTCGCTTCGAGGGTCTGCCGTTTCGTCTCAGAGGTCCCGACGCATCAGCACATGAGGCGAATCGTCTTCCATGAATTGCTCGCCGATGAGCCTGTAGCCCAGCCTGTGGATCTGTCAGCCTCAAGCTCGAGCAGATGAAGCATAGCCTGACTTTTGATAGAAGCCTCGAGCCTGGAGCTGAGCGTGCAGACTGATCTCTGTCGCTAGCTGGTGATCCCTGACATAGTGCTCCATGGCGAGACAGATGATCCTTCCTGCGCCCTTGCCCCTCGCTTCCTTGAGCAATGCCAAGCGACCGAGTTTCGTCTTTGGCCGCATGACGAAGCGGACTGTGCCTATAGCCAGCGGTGGCTGAACTTGCGTATCGAACAGGACAAAGTGTACACAATCGTCATCTTTACCATCTAGCTCTAGCTCTAGTGTGAAGCCTTGCTCCTCTACAAAGACGACCGTCCGAATGTGCAGGTAGTATCTCGATAAGACTTGGCCCGGCGCAGCGAGGACTGCCATGCCTTCCGGTATGAAGTCATAGTGCAGCCTCTCGCCGAGGCTGCTCAATGTGTCTATCGTCATTGCAGTCTATGAGTCGTCAGGAAGATCGCAGGCAGGATGGACCTCAAGCGACGCGACCTAGGTCACCCCCTCGTATCACACGTAGCCTGCGCATGATAAATCCGTGCAATGCAATGACGTTCAATGGAGTGTTCGCAAGAAGCCCTTGTTCGGCACAATGACATGTCTGCCGCCATCTTGACCAGCGATGGGTGGTGCGGGCGCCTCGTCTGCCTTGCATTGCTTATGAATCCGACCGTTGATGAGGATATAATTCAGCTTGTCGTGATCTTGCAGCAGACGTACATCGTCGAGCGGGTTGCCATCGACGAGTAGCAAGTCTGCATAGTAGCCCGGCAAGACTTTGCCGAGCTCGTGAGGCCGCATGAAGATATCGCCACCGAGAGCAGTCGCGGCGAGGATGGCTTCCATGGGTGTGTGGTCGAACAGCTCGACGAACCACTGCAGGTCTCTGGCATACGTGCCATGAGGTGTCCCTGCGACTCGCTCTCAGTACGGTCACGAACGTAGATGAGAAGCGACGTACAAGCAAAGCCGTAGTCGCCACCTGGCAAGATCTTGACACCACGCTTCTTGAACTCCTTCATGGAGCGAATGCAAGCTGCCAGCTCCTTCTTATAGCCGACCGCTTCTGCCTTCTCTGGCGGGTAGCCGAATGCAGCTGCATCGTTCAGTGTTGCGACGATCCAGTTGACGCCGGGCGCGACCCAGATGTGATCTTTGTGCTTCTCAGCGAGATCCCATTCTTCCTTCTCGGCGAAAGAGGCATGATAGATGATATCGACACCGTTCTCGATGCCCACTTTGACAGACTCGCCCGAGCGTGCATGAGCACAGACACGCTTGCCTGCGGCATGTGCGACGTCGCAAGCTGCCTTGGTTTCCTCTACAGAGAAGTAATTGTCCTACGTGTGTCCGTATTGTCAGGATGATCTCTGTGCGAGAGTACGGCTCATACCTCGGCATGCATGCTCTCTGTGATTTCTTCGCCAGACATGCTGAGCTTGATCTGATCTGCACCGAGATCGACATTGGCCTGAGCGACCTGTGCCATCTCCTGCGGGCCATCTGCAAACGCGGTGATGCTCGCAATCAGACAGCCATCACGCTTTGCAATCTCCTTTGCATTGGCGAGGTACCGCGGGCCTGCAATGTCGCCTGCGTTGATCGCATCGCGACAGACGACGTCGAGACGATCTTTTGCGCTCGCTGCACCGAGACAACTGCCGGCGTATGTCAGCGAGCATCAAGCGAGATGGGAGAAGGCTGACCTGGTGAAGCCACTGTCCAGATAGGTTCGAGCAGCGCGAATAGCAAAGAGGAGATGTTCCTCCACTGGCAATTCGCCCAGTGCATCGAGATTACCGCCGTTATTCCATGTAAAGTGTGTGTGTGCATCGCACAGACCGGGCATGAGAGTTCGACCGTTGCCTTCGATGACTCTTGCGCGTTCCTTGTACTGAGCTGGCAGGGTGGCATTGGGCCCAGTGGCAACGATGCGCTGTCCCTTGATGAGGCAGTTGCCCTGGTAGGGTTCTTTGCCGGTACAGTCGAGGATCTTGACGTTGTTGAAGAAGATCACAGACTCTGGGTCAGTCCCAGCGATTCTGCGTGCGCGTGGTCAGCGCCTCGTACTGTTGCGCAACCGTCAGTGCACGCACTCGTGGTTGACAGGCAGCAGAGGATGCTTCGCATAGGGATTCTGGTTGAGTACCTCGCCATGATCGTCGAGGCCTAGCCGTCCGAGTACATCGTTGACCGAATTGTTGCTTGCGACGGGTGCCATGGTTGCAAGGTGAGCGAGATGTTCGAGGAAGTCTGGCCTTATGTCGAGAGGCTAGCCCGGACTTGTACGGCGCAAGACCATCATTGCTTGCTCCGATGGATCAGCTGGCCTCGTCCACGGACAGCAGTGCGCAAAGGAATGCTCCGTTCTTGCTCGAACGCGGGGTAACATCGGACTTGGTCGTTCGGGCTGCGGTACAAGTCCGATATTGCGGAACAAGTCCGATGTCAAGCACTGATCGACTCGCTGACTTGTACCGGCTATGTAGAGTCAGCAGCAGTCTGATAGCAGAGGGTCCTTGCTGCTCGACGCAAGTGCAAAGCAAGCTCAGCTCGACATGTCAACCCGCCTTGTCTCCTACCTCTCCAAGACTTCGGGTCGGATCGCTGTCGGTCGACTGTCCAGCGATGGCAACAGCGTCTGCCCCGTCACTGATTCGTGCGGCAAGCACTACTCCGACTTTTATCAGCTCATCGACGAATGGAACACCAAGCTCGTGCAAGGCAAGGCGCTCGGTGAAGGCACGCCTGTCGAGCAGGTGAATGACATCAAAGTACTCGCACCTTTGCGCGACAGAGACGTGCTAGCCGTCGGCAAGAACTACAAAGCACACGCTGCAGAGTTTCAGAAGTCTGGCTATGACTCGAGCGACAGGAACGAACAGCCCAGCCATCCTGTCATTTTCACCAAGCGCGCTTCCTCTATCATAGCCAATGGCGAGCCCATCTATCCTCACACAGAGTTGTCTGCCACGCTCGACTTTGAGGGCGAGCTCGGTGTCATCGTGGGGCAAGGCGGTCGAGACATAGCTCGAGCAGACGCGCTCAAGCATGTCTTTGGCTATGTCATCATCAACGACATGACCCACAGAGACATGCAACGAGATCACAAGCAGTTCTTCCTGGGCAAGTCCCTCGATACGTTCTGTCCAATGGGTCCCTTCGTCGTACCTGCCACCGAAATCGATGCCACAAAGCTGACACTGACGACTTATATCAATGGCGAAAAGCGTCAGGATCAGCTCACTGGCGAGCTCATCTTCGACATTCCGACGCTCATCGAATCTTGCTCCAAAGGCCTCACATTGCAGAGTGGCGACATCATCGCGAGTGGTACACCGGCCGGCGTTGGCATCGGTCGCTCGCCGCCCGTCTTCCTCAAGCCCGGCGACATGATCGATGTCAGCATCACCGGTTTAGGCACGCTGTCCAATAGAGTCGGCGAGGCTTCTATGGCGCCCCCTCGCATCGATACACTCGCTACCAGTCTTAAGCTCACTTCATCGCCGTGCGTCCTGAGTCATTGCTCTCATATGAGCTAACATCAGAAGCAGGCCCGATAATAATGTAATCGCGCTTGCATCAGGCAAATCGCTACATGTCGAGACGACGGGCTCAGGACCTGCTCTGCTGTTCCTGCACGGCTTAGGTGGCTCCTCACACTTCTGGACAACCGTCATCGACCAGAGTGCGCTATCGTCCTCGCACACGATTATCACATATGACTTCGATGGTCACGGTCAGAGTCCTTTCTCAGGCAATACGCTCTCCGTCACAGAGCTCGCGCAAGATGCCATGGAAGTTCTCGCCGCTCTCAAGATCAGCACAGCGACTATCATCGGGCATTCCCTAGGAGGCGTGAGTTCCTCTGGCGCCAAAGGCTGATCGCTCTGATGGGCATGCAGCTGGTGGCTACGACATTTGCTTCGACATACCCAAAAGCGGTCAACAAGCTCATCCTTGTCGGCGCGGTCAAAGCTATCCCGGAGGCTGCCGCTGCCAACACGATGAACCGTGCTCGCACAGTCAACAACGCCGGTATGTCTGACGTCGCAGCAGCAGTAGCAGAGGCTGCCACCTCGAAGAAGACGAAGAATGGCGGTCGCTTGGCATACAATTACATCAAGACTCTCGTGGCATCGACTAATGCGCCGGCTTATGCTTCTGCTTGTGTAGCACTGGCGACTGCTCAAGATCCCAATTACGCCCAGATTCAGGCAGATACACTCATACTTTCTGGCGCAGAGGATCCAATCTCGCCCAAAGCGACAACCGACTTCCTTGCCAACGCGATCAAGAACTCGCATGTCGTCGTGCTGCCAGATGTCGCACATTGGCATGCTCTAGAAGATTCTGCAGGGACGGCCTCACACATTGCGGATTTTGTGCAATAGAGCTCGAGATCGACTGGACGCTTGCATCTACCCCTACATACAAGCCCACAGGCATTACAACTTCGTGATCATCTGAGCTGAGGTGTGGACCAGAACAGCATGCTTTGGGTGATCGGATCGAGCTCGTGCCAAGTCTGCTGATCCTTGAGATGGTCTGGGAGAAAGCCATCGAGTAGAGAGGCGGCCTCTGCGCCTTCTAGTACCGACATGGGGTCGTACGCTGCGCTTGGCGTGCCAACGCCAAGGAATGAGTCCGGCGGTGCCAGATAGCCGTTGCCCGCGGCTAGTGAGTCCCGACTAGGTGGCAACGATTCATCTGCAGCGGTCATCGTGACGCTGCCATTGCCGTTATGGAGCGCAGGACTTGCGCGACTGGATGGGTCATAAGAAGACTCGCTGATGCGCGGTGCTGGCTCGCCAAGCAGTTGGCATGCCCGTGTCTTGAGCTCGTGCAGTATAGGAAGCGTGCGCTGGACTATCCGGCTCTCAGTGGGCATGTTGGCAAATATGTCGTAGGACAGCTTGAAATCGATCCAGCATTCTGGCTGCATCAGACTACACGTAGCCTTAATGACGACCAGACTCTGTATCACGGCTGCCGTAGCTGCGTGGAAGGCGAAGAACCACCAGTGGAATGCGCTTGCAGGACAAGTCTGGAGAGCTGTCTGCATGATGAGCGTGTGCTGCCTCGCTGATTTGATGCAGGCGACAAAGCTTGCTGCTCGAGGTGACGACAATGGCTCATTCGAGTGTAGCAGCGCTTCGGCGAAGAAGGGTCGATGGATGAATAGCAAAGCTTTGTGGACGAGCAGCTCCAGCATGAGTCGCTGTGGTGCTAGATGGCAGTGCTCGCCGGCCAGACTGGGTGCGCCAAAGCGAAGATAGCTAGGGCTGTTCGATAGAAAGCTGCGTGCTTGCCGGTCCATTTGCAGAATTGTCTTGCTGTCCGGCACATTGCCGCCCGAGAATGCGTCGGACACCTGAGCAAAGAAGCTCGACATTGCATCTAGAGCAAAGGTCAGCTCGTCTCTCGTATGCGAACCCAGATGTACATTTTATGTGATGAAAAGCAACAATGCTTTGTCCCTCGATTCCGCTTGGTTCTTCCGGGAGCTGTGGTGGATCGGCCTCGACTTGCTCATCCGATATCATGTGCGGACGGCCAAAGTTGAGAGATTGCAACCGATCATACGTGATGGACTCTGCAAGGATCCGCTCTCGTCGTGCTACTTGATCGAGCGGCAGTTGCCAGTCTCGGCTGTTCTTGTGCAGACCAGTCGCTTGAGCAATACGTAACGATAGTCCGAGTAGGGGCCATGCTGCCCGGGAGCTCTCCATGTCGCCTCGATTGAATAGAAAAGTGACTACGAGATGAAGCGCTTCGCAAGATGCCGGACTGTGACGGTATAGGAAGTGCTGACCAGACAATGTCAAGCAGTCAAGAGCTGCACAGTACAGGGCAGGAGAACGCTCGTTGGCCATTTGCGTCTCGTTGAGCGGTGCAAAGAGCTCGCCGAGCGCCAAGACCATAAAGACAACCGCGATGCGATGCGCTGGCAGCTTCGCATGGCCAACACTCGTCAGGGTTTGTAAGTCGTCACGTACATCCGGCAGCTCGATGATGCGGTACATCCAGTGCACATGCATCTCGTATCGCTCGAGCGCCCTCGTCACACTCGCCACGTCTCGTAACAGGAACATGTCGGCTTGCAGCTGAGCCGGATCAGTCTCGGCGAAAGGAAAGCCCAAAGAGCCTCTCGGCCTCGCCATTGAAGCAGAAGGAAACGCCGGTCTCATTGCTGGCGGTGGCGATTGGGCTTCGGAGAGCGTGTACAGCGGCGCGCCGGCCTGTCCGACGTATTCGCCCGTTCCATCGGCGTGCAAGGCTATGAAGCCAGATCGAGAGCTCGATGCAGCTGCTGTTGCATAGTCGGGGGAGCCCGCTTGCGTGCTGCCCGTCCGGCTGCTGTCGTGCGATAAATCTCGGATCGTGCTCTGGACAGGCGAGAAGACGTTTGGTAAAGAAGGTCGTCCACGAGTCACTGAATCGCGAGCAGAAGACGTCTGTGATCGTTGTTGATTGGGAGCATGCAGCGAGTCCAATCGGGGACTCGTCTGGCTCGAATGCCGCCTCTGCAGCGGGCTCTTCGGCACATCAGGCCTGTCCTCTGTCAGGCTAGACCTGCGGTGGTGCTTGCCCGTCTCGAGCTTATCGTCTGGACACAGATGGGCAGTCTTTCGACGCAGACAGTTCTCGCAGGGCCATATTCGGTTACATTTCAGCTTGAGGCGGCGACACTCCTCGCACGACTCGACTTTGCGCGAGACGCCCTTCCGACCGGCTCTGTAGGGCCCACTGGATGGGTTCATCGCTGTTGTATAGTTGTATAGGGTGCTGCATGGGTCTCAGCGGCAGTCGACTGAGATGGTGTCCCTGCCGCAGGACTTTACGGGCGTTGCTTTTTTCAGACGATCGCGACGACGAAGCGTACAAACGCGGGGTAATGTCAATATCAACGCGGCCTAGCTCATGCGGTTCATTCGTCATTCCGCCGCGTGCAACCCATGCAATTTTGCTAGACAATATACGTGTACTCAGACGACCGATGGTGCCAGACTGCCTGGCGGTACCCGGATGAAGGCGAATGTCGTTTCCTTCGTGTAAAAGCCAGCGCAAGCCGCAGCATAGGCACAGATTGATGCGCAGATGCCGAACGCACCGCCCGCAGTGAGCGCATGTTGGCTGTCGAGATTCAGAGATGCAGCCAAGGAAGCGAACGCGAGAGCTGTGAAGACAAGCGTCGAAAGAACGACGACTGACGTTCGCAGCGCGCCGATGACGAACAGCGTCGTGACGATAAACCAGCACCAAAGGTCTGTGCATGCATAAGCGAAGCATTTCGACCATGCACGGGACACTGACAGATGCCTACTGCCTGATTGAACTCTTCAGACGGCAATCCAGTCGCAGGATCAGTGTAAGCGGCCGCGATGCCGAGCGCTGCTAGAGCTGTCAGCAACAGAGATGTGCACGAGCCAACGCGCTCACCTGGCAAGTACAGTGCGCCATAGCTCAGATTGAAAGCTCCACTGTCAAAGTAGACGGGTCAGACAGAGAAGCAGCAGAGAACGCAGAGGCTGACAATGAGCCAAAAACGGTTCCTGCAAACGTGTTTGCGTTGCAGATCAACTCGATCAAGCCGACAAGACTCTGGAAGATGCCACCGCTGCAGCATGCGAGTCAATCTGAGCAGGGAAAGGAATGCGATAGACGCACTAGAAAATGAAGAAGGCTACGCCGACATTCGGCGTTGTGATGCCACGAGTATGCAGCGTGAATAGCGATGAGCAGAGGAAGCCGGTGCCGAAGGAGAACAGTCCGAGTGGTGTTGGATTGCCAAACTTTCTGCTCTGGCCGCATCAGTTTGCCGCACACGCAGATAGCAGCAGAGCATGCCTGTGATATTGTGCTTGGTTGAAGCCAGGCTGCACATGACCGCATGAGCTGTACGAGCGCGACTTAGGAGAAGCGACTGACCTGCTCATTGTCAATGGGATTACCGCCCGGTGTCACTGCTCTCGCGTTGTGCGAGAGATGATCGTAGTGGCCGTCGTTGATCTTGTCATTAGATCCGGAGGACTCTTGCGTGTTGAGATGCTCTTGCGTATGCGACATAGTGCAAGTGAGTTGCTGAGAGGACAAGAAGGCTGGGACTATAAGGACTACAATCCGGGGTCGTGTCCTTGCAAGTCCGACGCCCATCGGACTTGGCACATGACTGACATCCGATCCTGCTTTCTCGACTGCGATCGCCTTTATTGCATTCCACAAGACTGCGTGGGGATGCAGGGATACAATATGGCGCAGACCGGCCGTGACACTCTCGACTGGGCGTGACCGGAGGTGAAGGTCGCTGCGTAGCAGATGGGCTGGCGGCGAGAAGGAGAGAGAGCACGAGAGGTGTGGGATAGCACGACTCGCAGCTATGTATCACGACCGGATGATGAGGAGGTAGTGCAGAGCATGCCAGGCGCATGGACGGTCGCCATTGCGGTGTGCGGCATCTACTCGGCGCAGAACGCGTCCTTCGCAACAGCTCAGAAATCAGCGACACGTAGCAAAACCGAAACAGCAGTCACGGAGCCTAAGCGAGCAAATTTCGATCTATTGAGCAAGTCCGATTGGGATCACATACAGCCAAGCGAGATCGCCAAACACAACGAGCCAGACGACTGCTGTAAGTGATACTGCACTTGCGCGTAGTGACCAAGGTTGATTTGAGTACGGATGTAGGGCTGGTGATCAACGACTTTGTCTATGATGCCAGCGAATACATGCATGATCATCCTGGGGGACCCGAGATCATCAGATACTTTGGCGGCACCGAGTGCAGTTGGCAGTTCTGGAAGTTCCACGCGCCTTTGCATTTGCGAAAGCAGGATAAACTGATTATTGGCTGGACGGACGGCCGCAAGGTGCACAACCCCCACAAGCCGCCTCGAGATACTCTTGCCAAGCTGCTATGATGGCAATGAGGTCGGCATAGGTCCACGTGTACTGCGCTCTAGGCTGCGCCGTAGGGTCATTTGGCCCATTTGACGCCGAGGATGCAACGAGCGACATTGGCTTGTCGCGATCCCTTGCTCGGCCAGACGACGTGGTACGATCCAGCGGTGCTGTCGATCTGAGCGCAGAAATCGTGCATGCCTCCGCCCACGCCAAAGTAGATTCTCTTGCAAGCCACCAGCGCGCGCCCGCTATCGATGAGAGACGACCGCAAGAGCGAAGTCAGCACGGGCAGCGTGTCGAGATTGTAGATCGTCTCTGACGTGAGGACGAGATCGTGACCCTCGGGCGCGATGGCTGCACTCTGAAATTGTGACCAGTCGCCCGAGAAGAAGCGTAATTCAATATTGTGCGTCTGTAAGAATGTGCGAAAGCCTGCTTTAAAGGCATCATCGAGCTCCAGAGCATTCTCTCGGTTGAGGGTTTCCTCAGGCTCGCCATCTTCGAGGAAGTCTTCATCGTCGCTGTCACTGCTGTCAGAAGTAGTCGGACTGATTGGCCGTACGTCCATATCTGACTGTTGCGCTGGCGGGGCCGAGGTCGCTCGGGCATACGCCAGCAGTAGGTTGGGCAATGTCATGAGGCGCAAGACGTGGTCATTGTAGTCTTGCAGATGTAGGCGGTGGCCTCGAGCCTGGGATCCGGATGCGAGCTGACGGCAGAGCGATTGGAAGACGTAGCAAGCCGGCAGAGCTGTGCCTGCGCCTAGCTCGAGCACGCTGCGAGGTTGCTCGGTGAGGGTCGACAAGTAGCTGACGAGATCGAGCGAGCACTCCCATGTCTTCAGTCCGCCTTCGTAGACGCCAGGTATGAGATCAGTGGGAGCTTCTACGGCTTCGCCTAGCCAAGCGTCGCTCTGTTGTTGGTCTGACAGCATCTGGAAGCGAGCATCATAGAGATCTCGACGGTCGAGCTCAATTTGACCGTTTGGCGAGTCGATGCGTGCTGTATTGAAGGAGATGACATCTGGAAGATCTGCAAGCTTCTCTCCTTCATCAGCCTCGGAGTCATCAGTGCATTGACAAACTCACAAGGTCGTCGAGAGAGTGCTCTTTGAAAGATTTGCTCGCTGTCGTGGTTTTAAGTGCGTCTATGGCTGGCGTGACGCTCGGAGTCTCTGCTTCATCGCTCGGCAAATCCTAGGAGAAAGACGATGAGCTTGTGCCCGTCAGCGTGATGGAGAGACTGACAAAGTCAAATTTGAACATGTCATGTCGCTGCAACTGACATTGGCGCGACTCGCGACTATGCTCAGGCCTCAGGTGGCGCGATGCATAGAGCCATACAACTTGCGCAGGGCACATGAGCATCTATAGCGTGCGGTCAGTCTGCGCGGCTCTGCGCCTGAGAGCATACGCCAGTGTACCTTGATCGCACATGTCGCGCAAATGAATACGGGCTGGCCAGGCTCTTATTCGCGGTACTGCATGCGGCAGACGAGCTGAAGCGCTTGTGCTGAAGCAGCATGATTTGAGTTCGTCTGGTGGACACTTGACAGAGCTGTCCGTGGGTTGCGTCGTGCCTGTGCCTGGAAAGGTTGTGCGCCACTCGTGTCGGGCAAACTGTGATCAGCCTATAGGCTCGCGGTGCATGAGCGGGATAGGCTCGAGGTCGGTGTCGATGCTGCGAAGGCGTTCGAAGCCTGGACACCGACTGAAGAATGCAGACAGCGTCCTCCTTCTGACGACGCTCTCGACTGGTCAAGAGGCAAAGTGACGCGTCAGTACGGCAGGTGGCAATAGGTGGGCAAGCGATCGTACTCTGCAGCTCGTTGTGTACTTGCTGTCGCTTGACTTCGTCGCTGTAGAGACTGGCTCTGACGGTCTTGTCGCCGTCCAGACGTGCATCGCTCTCACTGCCGAGCAGCCGACGTTTCTCCTCTGCGCGCGCATCGAGCTGGCCGACGCAGTACCGGATGGCAGTCTCTCGTCCTTTCCAGGTCTCTACATGTCGGTCCAGTCTGAGCCGCAGAGCGACTGAGATCGAAAAGGAGACGTGCCCATGAGATCAGTCCAAAAGGATTGGCACTCGTCTGCTTGCGCTCGATCGCGATAGGTCGTCTCATGATCTTGTCTGTACAACGCCTGAGCTCTGTTGAGCCGGGTCATGATGGCATCATCGATAGACCGGTACTGTCTGATCAAAGCTGAAAATCGCCGTGAGCGAACGACTATGCTCCGTGTGATCGAGCAAGCGCACATTTGAACTGGGACATGTTCGTGCATAGCGCCGGCGAGAGATCTTCGACACCGTGCGGTGTGCTCGGTGCCACGTTCCGCAGCCATTCTGATCCGAGAGAGGGAGTCGGCCTCGTCATCACCGTCGATGAGGTTGGAGCCACGTCGATGGCGATATCGACGACGACGACGCGCCGTGCCTGCCAAACCGAGCTGGCCCAGGTCGAAGCGGATCGGCTACCACTGCGCGCTCCTGCTTGGCTCTCATGAGCTGAAGGATGCTACTCATCCATGCAGTGTCCTACGTCGGCACAGCCTTTGCACTCGTCTTTGTCACGCTCAGCTTGGGCAAGTCGTGCTCAGCTGCTCAGCGTACCCCGCTGACCTCCTGACACCGGTGCCACAGCGAGCGGCTTGCTGTACGTGTCCGAGTACATAGAAGAGAACTCGAAGCTGGCCAAGATATGGGGACAGCGGCTCGTGTTTGCAAGTCTCTCGCGAGCTGTCGTGCTCACCCTCGCTGATACTCAGCTGAGCTCGCAGGGCGTCATCGGCGCTCACCTTCTGTTCTGCGTCTTCGACAAGCTGCCCCTCCATCTCACCGTTCTGGGCATACTCTGTCAGGTCGTGTACCTGCAGAACATCGGACGCAACTGGCCTGTCATACCCGTCACTTCAGCTAAATTCTTGCTCTCCGTCATCCTCGTCTTTGTCGACCACTTTGCTTGGTTCTTCTACTTCCAAGACCGCGCGAGGGAGATACAACGACAGGTCGTCCCCCATGGCAGACGCAACCACTGGAAGGCACCCCACCTCACGCCTCGACTTGAGCCCATGACGTTCAAGGATGTCGCCACTTTCTTTGGCATCTGCGTCTGGCTCGTGCCCTTCTTCATCTTTCTCAGCCTGAGCGCGAACGAGAATGTCCTGCCGCAAGGTGAGCTACTACTGACCTCGCCAGCATGGCAGAGCTCATACTGTGTGCAGACTTTGCACTCAAATCACCCGCGCCCGGTAGCACAGCAGAGAACGGGCCGCCCGTGACACCCAAGCGAGTGGGACCGCGTGTCCCTCTCCTCAAGCAGATCCTCGTGCCCATTCTCGAGATGATCCCGTCCAAGAAGAAGACTTCGCGTTCACAGATGGATGGACTCATCGCTTCGCCCAGTCGCACACGACCCAGCTCACCCCTCGGCTGGAACTCTCCCCAGCTCTCGCCTGCCGTTGGATCGACTCACCCATCGCCGTACTTCCCACCCACGCCGACAGGCCAAGGACTGGGAATCGCGACCAATATGGCGAGCCCGAGAGCGTCTCATGGTTCTCCGACGTCTTTCTATTCGCCCAGCTTGGGCTCGCCCATGAGAACCAAGCCGAATCACAAGAGAAGCTTCACGAGTCCTTCTGTACAGCTCAAGAAGGCCTCTAGTTCGCTCAACTTGCTCTCGTCGCCTATCAGCAGCATGGACAAGCCCGCCAGAGGCGACAGCAACGATCAGCTCGAGCTAGGCGATCCTCTCGCTCCGGACGCAGGCGACGAGGGTCCACAAGAGCTATCGCATGACTTTCCGTTGGCAGGTAGAGACGTCTTGCTAGACAGTCCGAGTTCGAACATCAGTATGAGGCGAAGACAGTAAACTGTTATATTCATTGTCAAAAGATGCACTCTTGCACAACACGTATAGCCGACGAGCACGACAGGATCTCATTGCCTGGCAAAGGTGACCTTGATCTTGCTCTCTTCGTACTTTTGATTGTGCAGTGCTTCTCTGGCCACGCCCGAACTCGTCTCGTCGGTGAACTCGACAAAGGCGATACCCTTGCGCCCTGGAATCATGCGCACTTCTGACAGGTTCGGGAATCTGCGCATCGCTCCAGCTGAGCATGCTGAGCATAGCAAAGGATCCGGGATGACCCACTGTGTGAAGAGCGTCTCGAGGGCATCCTTGTTGACGGAATCGGGCAGATTCTGTACAAAGAGAATCTTGTTGGGCGGCAGATACTCGTCTGGCATCTGGACAATTCGCCTCTGTGCGGCCGCAGGTGCAGCCGCTTTGCCGTCCACGGGTGCATTCTCGGCCGCTGAACGCAAGAGCAGGTGAATAAGCACCTGTGATCAACGAGCTCGTTCAGCCTACCTGTTCGAGCAGCTCTCCGCGCTTCGAGTGCCTTCTGTCGTATCGGATTGTCTCTGCGGCTGACCTCTGTGGACCTCGTCTCCTCAGCTCAGCCGAAGAGAATAGAGCGGATTGGCGCACTCTTTCTGACTTTGCGCTCTGCCAGATGCTCGTCGAGCTTCTCCGGCAGCTTGCGCTTGACGAGTGCGTCCGCCTGAGTCTTTGCATATGCCAATTGCTGCTCCCTCAGGGTCAGTCGGTAGCCTGAACCACACGCGCGAGTGGTCGCACCATGGGCTTGCCATAGAGTGGAAAGTCCTTGACTTCGTTGACGGCTCTCCAGGCAGACTTCTTGTGCTCGAACGCAACAAAGGCCTGGCCCCGCATGCGCAGGTTGCGGTGAACGACGACATCGAGCACGGTGCCAAAGTTTCTGAAGAGGTTCCTCAAGGTCTGCTTCATGTTCTTGATCGTCACCGTCTCGTTGAGGTTGTTGATGTAGATCGTCTCTGATGCTCCTGCTATCTCTGCCTTCTGTCTGACTTGCTTCTCCTCTGCTGTCTCCTCTTTCTCGGCCGGCACACTCTCTGGCTTGGTCTCCTCTTTCTTGCTCTCGACCCCCGTCACCTCGGTAGCTGATGCTGCAGCTGCTGGATCCAGCGTTGCCTCGATAGCCTCCTTCATCTCCACATCCTCCTGCTTCACTGCCTCGCTCATCCTCGGTCGTTCACTGCCTCGAAGCAAGCAGGCAAGGCGAGAGCGGCGCGACAAAACGGTCGGTTCCTCGCCCGCTCGTTGTCTCGATGGATGGCGAAAGAGTGCCAGCTCGGCTAAGACATGCATGTATAGCAACAACAGATGCAGTGCACGGCGATCAGTCATCAAACTCGAGTATCTCGTCATCTTCCAGGTCAAGTGCAGGTTGCTCGACGATCTGCTGAGCAACGATAGGCTCGATCAGATCCTCATCGTCGCTTGCCATGTCACGCTCGTCCAGCGTCGTCTCGTGATCTGTGGCGGTCGTGAAGGTCGTGAGAGCATGGAGAGCGTTTGTCTGGGCATTGCTTGTGCCGCCGATTTTGGCCATGTAGGGCAGCGTGATAGAAGCAAGCGTCTTGAGATCCTGATGAGCTGCTAGACCGTTTCAGCTCAGCGTGCAGTAAGAGCAGGTCACTCACCCGAAGCTCGCAAAGGGTCGCGAGTGGCCGCTTCGCGCATGACTCGTACGGACAGATCGATCATCGCTTCGCCGTTCTCTCGTGCTTCCTTCTGCACCTCCCAGATCTTTGCTTTGTAGAGCTTCTGGCCCCGTCGTGGGACAGGGCAAGGCAGCGAGATGGCCATGCCGCGAATGCCGACTTGGAACGTATACGCGCTGATGAGAGGGTGCCGCAGCGCCTGCAGTCTCAGCGTGAGTCGGAGTGAGCGCTCATCAGCGCACTCGCACCTTGTCTGCTTCGTGCCGCAAGAGAGCGTCAGCTTGGCTAGCCCAGTCCATCGCACTTGCGCTCTCTTCGATCTCGTTCATGAACGGCGGATAGTTCTGGTGAAGATATGCCATGAACATATCGCTGTCAACAGGCATATCGCTCAACATGGCCTGTGTCCACTTCGATGAGCTTATGCGCCCAGACTGCGGAGACCACCTCACATCGACATTGGTCCTCAAAGGCTCTCTCTTCATGTGTATCAGGTGCTTAGGTAGCTTGAATGGATCCTTCGGACGAATCTGGTCGCCTTTGGCATCATCCTTTGCGTTCTCGCCCCATCGCTTCGAGTAGAGTATCTTGCCCAGCGCATGAAAGATGAACAGGGGCGATTCGCGCAAGTGGATCACGTCGCCGAGATCACGCGAGCTCTTTCCTCGCTTTCGCTTAGAGCTGAGCTTGAGCTTGCTCGCGCGTTGCTCGAGATCGCGTAGAGCTGCACCGGAAGCAAACTGCAAGTTCATGAGCGCCCCTCGAATATCGCCTCCCGAGAGCTTCGTCGCTAGATCGATCGCTGCTGCAGTCGGCCGTTCGATAGACTCCGACAGGTGTCTGTTGGCAGCAAAGAGCGATTCTATCATCCTGGCCAGAGCTTTCTTCATGATCGTCGGCGCAATCGCGTTGAACTTGATCTCGAGACAGCGCGCATCACCCAGCGCGTCCGGTGGCACGACTGATCGCACTGATAGCTGACTGCCCGTCGAGGGTCCGGACTGCCAGCCTGCTGAGCCGCTGACGCTCCCGAGAATGCCCTGCTCTTCGTCCGTCGAGCTACGGATCTGAGCTTCTGAGATGATCAGAACAAGGGGTATGCCCGCTCTGATCCGGCGAGAAGCAACGAAGTTGAGGATTGCAGCTCGGAATGTCTCGCGAGTGACCTGAGAGGAGAAGATGTTGGGCAAGTCTTCTACGAGAATGATCTTCCTTCTCTCTTCGCGACTTTGCGGCGTCGCAATGCGGATGGGTTCCTTGGGCGAGTCAATCGAGACAAATGACAACTGCGGCAGCTGAGCGACCCGAGCAAGGAAGCTTGGCAGTGCTCGACTGAGACTGTCTGCTCCGTCCTCCTCGCCTGTCTTGAACTCGACAAGGTCTGCTCCCAGCTCTTTGGCCAGAACGCGTATGACGGCTGTCTTGCCCGAGCCTGTGGGACCGGACAGGACGAGCAGCCGCCTGTACTTTGCAAGCTTGCCAGGCTCTAATGCCTCTCTGAGCCAGCGTCGGACGTCTTCGATCTTGCGAGGATGGACAGCCAGCTCATCCTACACGCGCGTCAGTGTACCTTGAGCGGATCGACGAGTGGCCTACAGCTGTCTCGGGCGTGCATAAATCCGTCCATAGCACTGAATGAGCGCCGGTGGGATGACGGGTACCCTTTGGGGCACTGCCACGGCTGGTGCTTGCGGCACTAGATGAGGTGGAAGCCCGATGCGTTGGACCAGATGCGGTCAGTCTTTGCTTAGACGTGCGCGCGGGAGCTTCGTTCTCGCTTGAGCTGGACAGTACCGTGACCTCATTGTCTTCTGAGTCTGATGAGGACGAGAGATGGATGATGTCGCTCGAATGGGCTCTGACAGGCGAGCTGCTGGTCACTCGAAGCTTTGTTGAGCTTGTCCGAGCCGATGACGGCTTGAGACTGCCTGCAGCCCACCCAGTCTTGCGTTCCGATGACGCAACATCCGAACGAGGTGTCGGTGCGGTTGGTCTGAAGCTGTTCTCTTGCTTATGCTTGCCGTCAGTACTAAATCTCTCCTGTAGTCACCGGTTGAGCTCGTGTACTCGTGTCGACGGTCGAGCTCACAACGAAGCTCGAGATGCTCAGTCGAGGGCGTTTGGCATCTCTGGATAGTGCAGGCTTAGCTCTCGCCTTGCCAGGCTTCACCATGGGTTCATGAGACAGCTGCGCTGCTAGTCGTCGCGTCGTTCGTCGGCCAAGCCGTCGAGGTGATCCACCTGTGCTCACCTTGCAACCCTTCTCCACACATCAAAGCACGCACTCCGTCTTCAGAGTGCTCTCAGGTCCCGACACATGGCGACTTGCCCGTTCACTAAACATCGTATCGTCTCTAACGATCATAGAGACCGAATAGTGGCTCTCGGGATGTTACTCGGCAATTGCCACCTCATCGTACTCAGCAGGAGGGCCAGTGGGAAGACAGACTCGCCTTCACTCTATGATGGCGTCGCGAGCTTGTCAACCAAGGTCAAGCCAGAGGCCCTGTTCTTGAAGACCGACTGACCGCCAGAGCGATTTTGGTGCACACACTCTGGCCTCAGCATGCCATGCGCCGACAGCGATCCTGGGCGGAAGGACGCATATGAGTCGCTTTGACTGCGGCTGTCATGTCAGGCTTCCATGCGACCGAAAGATGCACGAGACAGTCGGTCGCATGACACATATACATGCGACCACGCATTTGTGCTTGCCAGGATGCGATGCATCGCTTGAGACGCCTGTTACGAGCTGCAGCGTGCGCTACAATGCCATTGATCAGTCGATACAGAACTTCAATGTCTCTCAAACACCGCTTGCTTGCCTTCAATAACAAAATATGCTCTTGTCCATCAACAACAGTCTTAGTCTAGTGTCCTTGAGTGTCGATACAGATGCGTCAGGTGTTGCTGATGAGATTGCGTCGGGTGTTGCTAATGAGACTGCGATTCGATCGACAAACCTGCGATTCGATTGACGGAGGGAATGATGACGGAGTCTTTATGGCCGCCGCGTACTGCTGTGCGATGAGTGCATTGATCCATCCGAAGCTTGCCAAGAGGCCGTGTTTGGCAACATACTCGTGGTGGTCCTGCCATACACCGTGAGCTGGACTTGCGAGTACCTGGCAACGACCAACCTTTTCCATGATGACATAGGCCTTGTATACGGCGAAATTGGTGTCGGCGCGAGCGAGTGTTTCCGTGATTGTGCGAGTGGCGCGAATCACCACTGAGTGAGCATGCAGACGTCCGACGTAGGTCCTTGTTCCGCTGCCCGAGTAGCGGTATAGGTTCTGTTTGATGCTGACTTGTCCCGTGGTGGCTCGCCGCTGCGAAGCGTACAGATCGGTCCGCAGATCCGACAAACGGTTGAAGTCGCGTTGTATCTGCTCCTGGATCAGGCCGATGAGTCGCAACTGTCCGTCGTGGCTGGGGCGCAGGCCGTTGTTGTCGTGATTGATGATGATGTTTCGACCATGATCTCCGCAAAAGATCTTGTGGGGGTACAGCGTGTTGAGGTCGATGTGCAAGGCCACGTTGCCGACGGTGATGAGAGATTTAGGCAAGGCCTCCCAATGATATGCCATGACTTCGACCAAATCTTCGAACGGCTCGGCAGTCATCTTGATCGCCTCACTGCGCAATGGTTGTCAGTCTCGTCGAACCAGTGAAAGGTGACAAAGGATCTACAAGAGTGCTTTGATCTGTTTGGGCTCATCGCAGAGAGTCAAGTCATCGAAAGGAGCGCGTGCACCGCCGTGTGTCCCGTTGAAGAAGCCGTGCTGGGCGTCAACAATCGTTCGATGATTCTTTAGAAGCAGACCGGCGTCAATGAGGACGACGGCCAAAAGCAGAGAGAAGATAAGGCCGAGGTATTTGTGAAGGGCAAAGTCTTTGATGCCGTACGCGTTTGGCTTGTGTTCGCCACGGGCTACCGGGTAGGGTGGTCCGAGACGCTTGGAAGGGGAAGATTCGCGTGCAAGACTGAAGTTGGCATCGTCGAGATCCATGTTGGCGATGGCACGCGAGAGGTGGTCGATGGACTGATCTTCTAGCCAATTGCTAGCGGTACACAACGCGAGACGACCCTTTGCCTGTTCGTCGCGCAGATTCTGGAATGGATTACGCTCGATAGCACGATTTGACAGGGTTATGCCAGAAGCATCGTCACCGGGCCACTGGCCTTCGCGTTCTGCAGGAGTCTGCTTTGATGCAGCGAACGGTCCGACCTCGCCATCATCTTCAGGCGTCGCTACATGTCTCGAAGAACCGGCAGCAAATCTGACGCGTCCGGGCGAATGCTCGTCTGGCTGAGCATCGTTGCCTCCGTCGTGCACATCGTCGCTGTGCATTCCCGAGAGCGGTACATGTGTGAGCGATGTGAGCACGCTTGCCATGGCGACGACCTTTACTGAGTGAAGTACGGTTCGCCTTGGACGATAAGTATTGTACAGGGCAAAGCTCGTTGTGCGTGCGTGTTTCGTCTGATTGCGAGAAAGACTCTCGTTGCGAGCTTCTGCTCTGTTCTGTAGGCAGGTGATCGTCAGCAGCAGCACTTCATGTCCACGCAACCCGTCAGGGACATCCAAAGAAAGCCGATTCAGATAAGGCATAGCGCGAGCAGGGCAGCTGGCGCAGCTGATGAGGGCAGGTTTGGGTGGTCCAAGACTGCAGCCGAGCTCGGTGACAGAGAGCGTCCAGCAATGTCTGGCCATTTTGGGATCGCATGTCATAGTGCGCTTGTTCTGCAAATTTGTGATGCACGAGTCAGATGCATGCTGGCGTCGCTAGCATCGCTGACAGACCTGACACCGGCTGATATGAAAGTCTTGCATCGGCGCCCTGACTTATTACAAGCCATGCAGCGTGCTCGAAAGCAGCGCCACAGATAGACTCGGCAGATCTGCCAACGGCCTATGCATGTCGTTGAGGAGGGAAGCAGGACTGATGATGATTGCCGTTGTGATGAATGAATATGACCTTATGCTCACCTTGTGCAACGAGCGGGTTGACTGACTCCGAGCGAACGACGCTTGGTTAGGACTGTCTGATGTCACGCGTCGTCGCGGCCAAACGGTCACGTACGCGCTGAGAAGGAGGCGCCCTATGCGATCCAGATGATATTATTCGAAAACAAGGCGGCGTGTAGCTTTCCCGCACAAAACCCGGTCGCGAATTGCGCGACTCACTCAACTCGACTAGAACCTGCACTTCTGACGATGCTGCCGATATAGTCGCTTCATACTCGTGTGAGGATCCGTCAGTGGAGCCTTGAGACTAGCTTCATATGAGCAGTCGATGATGGGAGCATCTCTGTCGAGCGGTGATGCAGCGAACGAAGGAGTGTTGCCAGTGACGTGGACGGAACAGCAGGAGCAGCTCACGGCCATCCCATGTAGGCACACTCGCTCGNAGAGAGGAGAAGTTGGCTCGACAAGAAGACGACAGCTGCGTTCGAGTCCGCTCAGAAATGCCGATCTGCACAGACCCAGACGGTAGCCTGGCTGACTATCGAATGAGGGGAACCATCTGTCCCATGGTGATGAGGCGAACTTGTGCTGCCCATGACGCTTGGAATGCTCTACTGCATACGGGCTTNTCATGTCGGAGGCGCACTTGNTCGATAAGGANGAGAACGCGGTCGGCAAGAAGAACGACAAGTCACTCTCGAATCTTGCAAACCCGATAGGAGCCCTGAACGCAGAACTTGCAGACTGATAGGGATGGCTGCTTCTATGCCGTGCGATTGCAGCGACCGGATGTCAGCCAAAGACGGGTGATCTGCTGTGATGCCGACAAAGCTCATGCACATCATCGGGAGGCGCATCTGCTCGTCGGACAAGAGTATGACTCTCGCCATCGACTCTATCAAACCATAACGACTCTGCGACTGTACAAGCGCAAAGTCAGGATGGCGACAGCGGGGGTCATAAGCAAGAGAGAGACGGGCAAGCGCGATACCAGCCACTCGTCTCTCTCACGCGTATCTTTGATGAGTCTTTCTCTTCTTGCGCTCATGTCAGTGCTGACACACTCGCAAGAGCATTTCATCCAGCAGTGATTGCTGCCAATGCGCTCATTCTCAGTTCGACAGCTACGACTGCGCAATGCAATGCAATGCTTTGCTTTCTTCTCTCTTCATCTCGACTCTGAGTGTCTGCGCGCATCAAAGTCGCTGATTGTAGCTATCCCGGTCACGGTACAGTGAGTGCTGAGGTATATGAGGATGAAGTGGCATTTGAGTCATCAGCGCCAGCGAACCTCGCCTCGCCCGAGTCGCGCGTCACGTGGCTGACCCCGTCCACTCACACTTCTGCCACGGCAGCTGATGCTCAATGAGCCTGCTACACTCCGCGAGCAAGTACAAGATGAGCTCGAAGCACTGATTGCCATCTACGGCGGTGATAAGGTCAAGCCTGAGCCAGCACATCGTCGCTGCACGGTACTCGTCGATCTCGCTTCGGATGACGAGCCTCTGCCTGCCGAACTTCTGCTGAGCCTGCCAGAAGGCTATCCGGATCATACTGCACCTCGTATACAGCTACTCAGTCGGTACATAGGCCCCTTTGCTGTCGAGCCTGCCCTGTTCGGTCAGATCCTTCGAATCTACTTTGCACCCGTCCGAGCGGATGAAGATGAGCCTGAGCTGCCGTCACTGTGGCAAGCTGGACAGGTGGCCTTGTTCGAAGGCATCGAAGCAGCCAAGGAGATTCTCGCGCAGTACTATCGTGATCACCTCGTCAAGGCTCAGGCGGCAGACTACGAACGGCAGGCAGACCGCGACAAACGAGCGCCGCCTGCGGTAGCTGAAGCGTCCATCATGCCAACGCCCAGTACAGCACAATCACAAACGCTACCCTGTCATCTCAAGATCGTCTCTTGCGACCCAATTGTGGACCGCAAGTCCGTCTTTGTCGGCCATGCCTGTCGTTTGAAGTCTCGCGACGATGTTAGTAGCGTGCTCTCGTATCTCCTTTCAGATCGCAAGATTGCCCGAGCTGCACACAATATCTCTGCATGGCGTTGGCGAGCACCCGATACGGGCATCGTTCATCACGATTGCGACGATGACGGCGAGACCGCAGCGGGAGGCCGCTTAGCTCATCTGCTCGAGCTTTGTCATGCGACTGATGTGGTGGTTGTCGTCTCACGATGGTTCGGCGGGGTTCATCTGGGTCCTGATCGTTTCAAGCACATCAATGCTGCAGCGCGTGCAGCTCTGCTCCTGTCCGGTGCAATCGAATGATAGCTACACGGCCTCGATGGATTCTGGATAGGTCAAGCCGGTCTGCCCGCGGATCTCATCGAATATCTGCTTAGCTGGTCAACGAAAAGTATGATCGTATCACCGACGAGACATGCCTTCATCTGGAGAATAGTCTCGCGGTGCGGCATCCGACTGTGCTCAATCTCACCAGCTCTGATAGCTCTTGCGCAACAGTCGGCTTCGAAGCCAAAGCCATGTATTCCGCCAGGCAACTCGAATGTGTGCTCCTCCTGGTGCTCGGCTGTCGCGCCGTATGTCATGCTCGACGGACTGGCCCACGAGCGAAGCTTGTAAGCTGTCGGCCGGCATGGGGTGCTGTTGCTGCGTCAGCCTGGCCAGGATGCAAAGTTCGAGAAGCTCACGATGAGATACTGATGGTGCCGCGGGTCCCTTGGATCTGTACGACACGCTGGGGATCGCCTTCTCGTCGGAAGGAAGTACTGATGACCGTCTCGACTTCGTCTGCTCCTTCGCCGGCGTGTGCGGATGGCCAAGTCAATATAGCGGTCGTAGCTTCGTCAATTGGACCTCCGACGCGATCTGCTAGCTTCTTGGAGCCGAACACGCTCGAGGCGGCAATCTTGGGCAGTGGGATCGGCTCTTGGCTGTCCTGTTTGCCTTGTGAAGCCAGCAGCGGGTGCAGTTGCGCGAGAAGAACGTGCAGTAGCGGATAGGGACCCATATCGAGCAGTGAACCTCCGGCAAGCTTGGGATCGATCAGTCGCTCCGTGTCTGCCAGACTGTCGACACTAGCGTTCATGGCGAACTCGGCGTGGACGTGCGTCACATCGCCAATATCGCCAGCACGTATTCTTGCCTGGATCTCGTACATGATGGGAAAGAAGCGGGTCCACACTGCCTCCATGAAGAACAATTTCTTCTCTCGCGCTAGTCGTACGAGCTCTTCGGCCTGGGCGGCGTTGACTGTGAGCGGCTTCTCGCAAAGGACGTGCTTGCCGGCATTCAGACAGAGCTTAGCATGCTCAAAATGGTGGGAGTGTGGTGAGCCGATGTAGACGATCTGCACCTCATCACATGCAACCAGCTCTTCGTAAGAGCCAAAGGCCTGCGTCGATACGCCAGCTTGCTGAGCGTCGATCGTCTTGCAATAGGTGTCTACGAATTCTTGTGCTTTTGCCTTTGAACGTGAAGCGGCTGCTACGACGTGATGAGTGATATCTTGCACCTCTCTCGTTTTGGGACTGATGAGGATGTCCTTGGTGAAGCTTTGGGAGATGCCACCTGTGGCGAGTATGCCCCACTTGAGGTCGATAGGCTTGCCAGTGCGTCTGTCCGGCGTGGGCCCGTCTGGTGCCGTGTTGATCTTGCCGTCGTGATCGTCCGGATGGAAAGCAGAGGGAAGCGTGCCGACCATGACTGATTGATCGACCGTGCTGGAGCAGGAAAGAGCCACTTCGTCGCGTAGGCGTGGACGTTGACGTCACGCGAAGGAGCGCTCGTCCCACACCATTCGATAGTCGCTCGACATGCCCCCAAAGAAGACCGCAAAGAGTGCCAGCTCGGCTGGCACTCGATCATCGAGCCGCAACAAGTCGAGCGGAGAGTCAAAAGCAGCGCCTGCCAGCAAGGATACATCCTCATCCTCCTCGAAAACGAGCGCGAGCAAGCCGGCCAGTAAGCCCAAATCGGAGTCCAAAGGGAAGCCGGCAAGCAAGAGCAAGAAGCCGGCGAGCAAGGCAGACGATACGGCTGACAAGGAAGCTGGCGCGAACAAGGGAAAGCCGGCTTCGAAGCGCAAGGCATCGTCGGGTGATGACAAGCACGATGGCTCGAAGAAGTTCAAGGACGAGAAGACCGAAGTGCCCAGTCAAGGACAAGAATTCCACCCACCTGATCCGCAGCAGTCCTTTACGATCAGTGCGTGCATTGCGCCGTGATGCGTCGCGAGCTTACAAACAGAGCAGCTGCACCTCCGCCTAAGCGCGATCCCAAGTCGAAAGAATTTACATTCCACGAGAGCGAACATGCCGAGCGTTTGCTGTTCCATCCTAATCTGAGTCCTGAAGAGGTCCTCCGTCGCGGAGCTTTCGGCGGGTGCGTCCCACACGTGTCAGCTTGTGGCGAGCTGACTCGCGTGTATAGATCCTACTTTAGACCGATCGAGGTAGGCTCACAACGAGGCTACGCGTCCTTGCTGAATGCCGCTCGCGCAGAGCAAGAAGCTTGGGAAAGAGTTTCACGATGACTGGTCGGATCTGCCGCGCTCTTGGTTCGAGGGTCTCGAGCACCAGAAATACCTCACCAACCCAGAGTACGATGTCGAAGTGTGCTGCTTCAAGAGCAAGGTCGGTCAGACTTACGAGGCCTGGGAAGATCAAGGGTGGATCAAATACGAACACGATGTGCGAGGCTGGTTCCAGTGGTACTGCCGCTTCTTCCTCGGCCGACGGTGTGAGGATGACGAGCGCCAAATGTCGCGCTGGAAAGGCATCGCCTCAAAGTCTGGACGATTTGTCAGTGCCTGGCGTTCGTCCCGTGTGCACAAGCTGATGTCAGAAGTAGCGCAATACGTTATTGAACAAGTATGTCAATCAGGGTTACAACGACATTGATCCTGAGCACGAGGTAGGTCTACCACACCACCACCCAGAGCGAGCTGATCGCAATGACTGCAGCCTATCTCGCCGGGCATTCGCCAGACGCTTCTTCACTGGGCATTTGATCTTACGACGGCTCATCTTGACATGCACAAGAAGGCCAAAGGTCTCAAGGTCCCTGACCATGGCGACGGCGAAGAGGGAGACTTTAATGAAGAGGATGACTCGTAATCATACACTACAAAAGCTACATGCATTACCTCCATACACCTGCTTTCTTGTAGTCACGCCAGCTTATCGGTGGCTCGTTGATCCCCAGATCTGCCTTGATGTCTGCCAACGGAGTCGACCACAGTCTTTCCCAGTAGACATTGATGAGCGGCTTTGCTGTACTGCCACACCTGAGCGCCCAAGGCACGTAGGTGGAGAACAATCTTCTCCTCGCCACACTGCTCAATCTTGCAGGCCCAAAGACGGCAGAGAGCGCAGCGACGGGCAAGCCCATGTTGGCGAGCTCGAACCATTTGACGACAATCTCTGCCGGTACGGAGACCGGAAAGCCTGTGATGACGTGGTAGAAGTCATGACATTCTCGATAGCGCTGCATGACGTAGGCCAGCTCTGGATCGTCTATGAATCGTACCTGTCCGCAGGGGCTCAGTGAGCGCGTACGGTCGATGATGCAGTCATGCTTGCCGGTGCGCGTGTGTCCGGCGTGACTTTGCACCACTCTAGCCAGTCGCAGTAGGCTTTGCCGAGGGTGCCCGAAGGTAGCTGAGCTAGTTCGGGCAGGTTCGCGCTCGTCGAAGTGATCCTGGGACGCTCTTTGAGCAGTTGACGTCCGGATGGCGATTCGAGCATTTGCAGTCTCAGTCGCTCGAGAAAGGGACCCCCCGTCGTTTCCGACAGGACTGCGATCATGTCTGGGCTCGCGGGTCAGTCAGCGCAGGCCTTGACTACTGCGTCAGCTCGACTTGCCGCCTCTATGCGGGTTGTTGAGAGACGCGAGCGCCGAGCCGACTGCGAGCAAGCCATTCTCGAAGAGATTGAGAGGCACATGGCCGGCATAGGCTACTGAAGCTCTGTGCCGACGCTGAGCGGCCAGACTTGGCCTCGCTGTCCGCACGCCAGCCTGCATCTTGCGGTGTCGCAGTGAGGGTGATCGAGAGCAAAGCGCGACGTACGTCACTCGCCAGCAAGCAAGCAAGGCAGATTGGCTCTTTGCTGGGGCCATCGCTGCACTTGACAAGATGAAGATCCTGTCCAAGGAGCAGGAAGATGCTCACTACAATGCCGTCGTGCGTCGACACCCGTTCACGTCGGCTAGCAGACTCATCAAAGATTGGCCCGATGACAGGTGCGAGGAGGCCTCACAAGGGGTGCCTTGGTCGGCGCAGTCCTAGCAGTCGCACTCGTTGGCGCGCAGAGAGCCAAGCTACGGGTGGCCACAGAACTCACGATCCCACTCAAGGCCTTCCTCGTCAGCCGTACTGGTTCAGCAAGGCAACGGTTTTGATTGACATGACTGCCGCAGATCTCTGCGGGCACCACGGCAGGCGTCGTGCTCGGTGGCGATTCTGCATCTCGTCAGTTCGACGTCCGGTCACGGGAAAAGACTGGACAAGGGCAGAGCGAATCCAATCTCGAGCGCAAGCTCGGTATAGACCAAAGAGTCACGACGCTCAGCGAGGACGCGGACCGGACGACACGACTGACTGCATGGGGCAAAGAGCATCGATATGGCATCATCTTTGGCTCTTGGGGTCTGTCGATGATTGGCTCATTCGCCTATGTCGCCTCGCAGGTTCGTTTGACCACTCACTCGCTTTTGGCGCTGACTGACGTGACCGCTGGCGCGACAGCCTATGACGACTGCGCAAAAGATTGTGCAAGCGCGAATGGTCGCACAAGGCCTGACGCTGGCCGTCTTGATCGCCTCGGCTGGTCTGGCCGCCATGCCCAACGAGGATGGCGAAAGCGAGGATGACATCAAGCGGTGAGCCCGATCTCGGCACGCTGAGACGTGTGACTGACCCCGGCAGCACAGACGAGAGCGAGAGAACAGCATGTACCGCTTCAAGGCAGACTCGCCTCACGAGAAACACCTGCGCGAGGAACGGGAGAAGAAAGAGAGACACGACAAGGAAGCGGCTGCCGAGGAGAGCAAGAGCAAGACCAAGCAGACCGACGTGAAACAGTAGCCGTGCAGAATGTGTAGATAGGCCGTGCATGATCTGTCGCAGGCTTGGCTTGGTCGTCCAGTGGCACCTAACTTTTGATTTTGATTATCGCCAAAAAGCGCGTTCAGCACCAACACGGCGTCGCGTCGCGACCGGTCTCGCTCCTGCTCCCAAGCTTTCCGTCGAGCTCCTGTCGACGAGGAGCAGGCAATGATAGCAGCCGGATCTCCGCCATGCCCGTTGATGGCAGGCCGTGGTTGTCAACGTCCAACGTGCTCTTCATGAGTACATTGTTCGTCGTCAGCTGCCTGTACCTGATCTGGGTACCACTCCGACGCTTGTTCGTCCACCTCCGGCGATCACTCGCTCACAACCGTGCCAATCGCGCAGCCGCTCACCTCGCTACCGTCATGGCAGCAGAGAAGAGCACAGCCCAGCTCAAGAAAGCGAGCAAACTATCTCAGCACACCGCTCCTCCGCGGCGAAAGTCGACCCCTTCGACCTCGCCCGCGCTGATCCCGCCTGGCAGCTTCTCAGGGCCGGCCATGCAGTCGATCCATCAGGACATGCCCAGAGTATGTACTTGCGGAGCGCCCGTCTTGGGCCCAAGCGGTCAGATAGCTGTTGCCAAGCCTGCGCCCAAACGAGCCACCGCCAGTGCTGCCAACACGCCCGTGCCCGCCAGTCTCGCTCAGCTGGACGTAGTAGCACACGAAAGTCCGAGCAATGACAAGTACCTAGCCAACCTACCTGATGACCGATCCACGAGAATCACCAAGGATGCTGCCACTCAGGTCGAGCGCGACGAACCGTACGGCTCGCCCTCCTTGACGCCCGTAAGGCCTGCCGTAGGACGCTCGTCAAGCTCTACATCGAGCAACAGCTCCGCTGCGCGCTCGTTCAGCTTGTCAGACTCGCTTCACTCGGCTGCCGCATCGACCTCAGGGACATCCGCACGTTCGGCCCATGGCAACTCGCCGCTCGACACCGTAGAGGGAGCGCAAGCCAACGATGACACTTTTGATGCATCCCTCTCGCCGATCTATGCACACATGAGTCAGACGTCAAAGCACGTCCAGCGCACGGGCGCCGATAGTCGCGTCATGGATCGATCGCCTTCCGAAAGCTCATGGCAAAGCGATGCAAGCTACGATCGTGGTGTCATGACCCCTCCAGACAGCGTCGAGAGGAGCATCAACACGCGCAAGGCGTCAATAAGCCACGTTGCTGCAAGGACGAGCATTCGCCAGCACGCGGCGGCACGCTCGGCCAAAGCAGACAGCGCATCAGATCGCCTCTTTGGTTCACGAGATCGTAGGGAGTCAGAACGCTCGGACCACTTGTCTCCAGTGCAGTCCAATCGGGCAGCCGCAAGGCCAACATCCCAGCAGCAGCAAGCACAAGCAACATCGCAGAAGCCAAGATTGAGCCAGCAGGTGCCTTGGCAAGCTACGCTTTCTGGCAGCGTGCCTCAGCGTCAGGCTTACAACGCACCCTCCAGCCCTTCGCCGGGCATGCTGTCTCCGACTGCTTATCGTCAGCCTGCCCAACCTACACGAGCTCAGATGGACGCCTACAACGCGCGAGACGTGCATCCTGCGCAAGCCAATGTCCATCCGATCACTCAGAACCCTTATTTTGCTACCACTACGCCGCCCGTCTCGCCGGGGGCGCTGACGATGCTCGCGGCACAGCAGCAGATCATGCACATCAGTCAACAGCTCGGTCTGATGCCCACATTTTCGCCCATGCCGCGCGCTGCCCCGACGCTCCAGGGCTACGCAGCTGTTGCAGCTTCATCTCTTCCCGCATCGCCTGTGCCTGCCAATCGCCACAATCAGTCGCGAGGCCAGGCATACCCAGCAGGACAGTACCAGCAAGCGGGCCAACACATCACATCCGCCCGGAGACCGCCCAATGGGTACGCATCTTCAGAGCTGTCTAGCCCACACGGATCAGCAGCGCAGGCCCAGCGTCGTCCTGCTTCTGCGTCCGATTCGAGCGCTTCTGGACCGGCGCACGGCGCGCCTTTCCTCGCATTGTCGCGACAAGTCGACGAGATGATGGTCGACCTCCAAGGTGCTCAGCAAGCATTGCTGGAAGCAGAGATCCAGAAGGAGCGTCTCATCAAAGATGTCGAAGTCGCCAATTGGCGCGCAGAGTGTATACACGAGGACTGGCTCATAATAGGCAGAGAGGTGCGAACCACTGATCATCGCCCTGGGAGACTGCTCACGCTTGCTCATAGACCCGCAATCTTGTGCAACAGCTCACAGATGCCCTGCGAATCGCCCAAGTGCGATCGCGCAGAAACTCGGCGGTCGATGACGTGACCCGACTCAGTCCTGCTTCAGCGCAAGTCAACCCGAACAAAGGTATACCAGAAGTATCGGTCGCAAGTGCAGACTCGAGCAGACCAACCGGCCTGACCATAGTCGTAAGTGATCTCGGCTTCTGTCATCGAGGCAAGGCTCAGAGGCGTCTTGTATAGACTCAGGATGCGCTCCTGTCCTCGACTTCCTCGCCTCGTGCCGACCTGCTGCACAATAGCCTCATCGATCGTGCAGAGTACGTAGCGGATGATCTCGAGAGGCAGCTGCAGCGTGACATTGCAACGATGTGTGCTTCATCGGCTTACAAGGCCCAGGACATGCAGCCGAATCGGGGGCCGACTCGGCGCCGTTCCGCCCGCCGCCGACGCAGTCCAGCTGGCAGTGTACCTACTTCGCCTCTGCCTTTCGACGCCGAGGGTAACGAAGTCGAGATGACGCTCTTTTCACCGGAATACCGACGCTCGTCCGCCGGTCAGACATTGCTCATGCCTAGCGGCCACATGCAGCGCAGCACATCCCACGAGAGTGGATCGCGCTCGCCGGTGCTTAATGGCAAGCTGGCACCGGATGGTGCAGCCGTCGGCCTGGGTCTCCATCTCCGTGAGCACAGCTCGGGCAAAGCCAGCACGACAGCGAGCACAGATGGAGATGACGATGACGTTTCGCTTGTGGGCGATGATGCCTTTGTAGGCTATCTGCCTCGGATGAGCAAGACCGAAGCCCGCACAGCAGAGCCTGGCCCGGTTGAGGCTGTGCGAGCACGCACGAGGAGTGCTTCCAACCAATTTTGACGAAAGGGCGTCCTCATAATTGTAGAAGGACGACTGTTGTTTGTGAAGCAATTGTACAGATTCGCAGAACTAGCTCCATTGAAGTACAACGAGGAGTGGGCTAGGATCGCGCGCTGTCCCGGCGGTCTTGGACGAGCGTAAGACGAGCGGCAATGTCGAGCTGGATCTGAACGACATTGCTTAGATAGTTGAGCATGAGCACGTCTGCCAGATGCGCGTTGAACTCCTCTTCCAAGCCTTCCTGGCCTTCAGCGTCAGCATCGTGACCAGCAGCGAGGGTAGCGTCATTCGGGTTGCCATGCGAGAGTGTCTGCCCTCTGCCGGCTTGGGGCACTGCGGCAACAGTCTCTAGCAAGTGACGACCTATTCTGGCGTCGCCTTGGGTCGCGCCTGCGTTGACAGAGGCGACATAGGCAAGAGCGGCATCGAGCATGACAGAGACCTGTCGGAGCAGCTGCCTGAGTGAGCTCAATGGCGAAGGTGGCAGGACGATGCCGCCCGCATAGGCTGTCGCAGCATTGACTTTGGTAGTGGTTGCGCTCGTATAGGCTGGTTGTGTCCATACGTCGACTGCTCGCGACGTCAGTCGGGTCAACGGGGAGGGAATGGCTCGGCTGACCTGCGGTACGTTCGCTCTCATCCACTCTGAGCTCATTGGCGACAGGCAGAAAGGCGAGATTCTGGAGCTTCTTCTGTACGCCGAGCTGTGCGCCGACATAGGTCTTGAATTGCAGCGTCTCGGGGTCGAGCGTAAGGTGGATTGCAGGGAAGGGCGCCGTCTTGGAGGCGTACTTGTCGTGGATGAGCGGCGTAAAGGTGAAGAGCTTGGGCGCAGTGGTGTACCAGCCGAGTATATGGTCCTGCTGAGAGGCTGCACTCCTCGATGTCGAGGCCTTGTTGAGCAAATTGAGGAAATCGTCGTTGTCGTGCGAGTCGTCAATGAGCAGATCGTCCTCCCGAGTTTGCGGATTGTTGATCATCGAGTAGGGCACGCCGAAGGACGACCTGATCTCAATCTCTCCATTCTGCGCATGCTGCAGTGCTCAGCAGGCAAGCAAGGCAGGCCAGATCACCCAGTCTCACCTCACGTCTGACGCCCAAGAGCGTGCCGAGCACTCGGTCTTGCTTCTCCGGCCGTCTCAGGTGATGGTCGAGGATGCTTGCAAGCGGTACGGGCCCTATGAGCACCTTTGTGACCGAGCCCGAGGCCGAAAGTGCGCTGGCGGCAGCGGCAGAACTTGACGGTGCCACGCCGCCTGTACTGCCCACAGTCGAGGCGATTGTCAACCCGGACCCATAGCCGGCTGCACCTGCTAGCGGCCCAGCGCCGGCATGACCCAGTCTGAGCGTCAGTGGTGCGACGGTCGCCATTTGCCGTCGCTTGTCCGTCGCTCGTCCTCTACGTCGCGAACTTTTTCTGACGTGTGGCTGTCGAGTGACAGCAGGCCGGCAAGCATGGCGGGAGTGACGAGCTCAGGCGAGCGTATCACCTCTGCCGCAGCGCTCTTTGCGCCTCAAGCACCCGCCCTCCCGACTGGGCCCATCCCTTCGACGACGCCTTCATCAGCCTCGAAAGTTTTCTCTAGCCAATTCACGACAGCGAGCGGCAGCTTGGCGACAGTCTCTATCGACACATTCGCTGAGCAGGCGAGTACCTAGCTGAGTCTGTAGCCTGTCGTGCTCATCCGCTATGTGGGAACGCGCAGATTGCAGACTTGCTCGATGCCCTCAGCCGAACGCTACCTGCCAATGACAGGCTGTCGTTCGGCGAGCAACTCAACACGCAAGCCAGCGAAGCGGGCGAGGATGAGGTCATGCAAGCAGAGGTACTCACTGGCGCCCTGAAAGAGATGACGCATCGCGGTCTGGCAGGCCAAGTGGACGCGGCAGGTCAATCGGAGCGCTGCCTGCTTGCAAGACTGCGCTGACGAGGCTGATGCAGATCTCGAGGGTTTCACGACGCTCGTCATCATGCTCGTCAATCGACACTACAAGCCAGTTTCGCAGGAATACGTCAGTGCGCTCGACTCGCTTGCCAACGTCATCCTCGGCGCAGGCGCGACTGCAGGCACAGGCAGATATACTTCGTCCGTTTGATTTTGCAGCGGATGGTGACGATACTGATAGAACCTCACAGTCTCACTGCTCTCTTCAACGCGCTACCGGCTAGCTTCCCGGCGACAGCAAGACTTGAGCATATCACCAGACTGATCGAGTTGGCAGCTAGCTCATCTGCCGCAGCTTCTTCTTCTGCGGACCTCGAGATTGTCCTGCCTGCTATTGCTCTTTTGCCCACATGGCTGCGAGAATGGCAGCTACTCGACTCCGCCGAGGCGCTCGCCGCCGTCACAAAGATCGTCGGCTACCTGTCAGCACCCGCACTCTCGCATAGATACGAGAGTGAAGCACAGAGCCTCATCTATTCCTACCTCGCACTCGTGCCAGACAGCTCTACATTGGATGCCTCTCAACTTGCAGAACAGCTCGTGGTCCTCTCGCTCGGTCTGCCGAATTTCTACGACATCGAGAAACTGACCGGGCTCGCGCGCGTCAATAAGCTACAATCCTCCCGGCCAGATCTCGTCGGCCTACTTGAAACCCTCCTCGCAGGGACCGTCAAGGCGCTCGTCTCGTTGCTTGACACGAGCAAGGGTGCTGCCCTTCTGTCGAGCCACAAGCTTGACAAGGCTAGTCTGATCAAGAAAGGCCGCCTCATGATCCTCGCCGATCTGTGTAGTGCGAGGATAGGCCAGACGCTGGGCTACGATCAGCTGGAGGCTGCCCTATCACTCGAAGCAGATGGTTCGGCTCCCAGCGATCTCGACTCCGATGAGCGTGCCATGCTCACAGAGACGTGGGTCATCGAGAGTAAGTGGCGCGACAAATCTTGCATAGCACACGCTCATTCGTGTTCATGAATCACAGCTATTCGATCAGGACTACTGAATGCTCGCATCCATCAGCCGACGCTGACCATCTCCATCGTTCGCGCATCGTCTCGCATATTTGGTGCATCTCATTGGAAGGCGCTGGAGGAGCATCTCTCGTCCTGGAGAACCCAGCTGGACAACGTCATCAGCGTCGTCGACCAGGCGGCAGGCGGCAGCAAGACGCTCAACCGACCCGCGCCATCACTTCAGACAGACGACCTCGAAGACGAATCTCTGATACCTGAGAACCCGGCGGCAGCGATTGCAGTGAGCTAGTGATGGTGTACGACAAACAGAATTGTACAATCACTGCAACTCGCCCTGCTATATCTATATCATAGATCGCGATCCTTTAAGCTCTGGATACGTCCTGCCATTTGCCAATCTTCGAGCAGTAGCTGGAGTGTCGTGACAGTCGCCTTGCTCTTCTCGTTGAAGCCAGCCCTGTTCGCTTTGATACCGTCTTGCACTAATGAGCCCAAAAAGTTGATGAACACGCGACCGTATGCTTCCGACAGCGTCTTGCCTGCCACTTCAAGTACGACGTGAAGCATTTGTGGAATTGGTTCGAGACCGACGAGAGGTGTCTTGAGCACGAGGACGAGCCAGCGCCATGCCGCGGCCGGTCTGAGCTCCTTGGGAACAAGTGCGAGCTGCTCTGTAGATCGCGCGGGTCCTGGCGGCTGCTCCATAGGTGAGGTCTGTACGATGGCCGCCCAGAGCGTGAGGATGCCGGCTTGTCTACTTGCATACTGTATGCTCGATTCGCCCGCACTAGCTGGTCGGTAGCCGAGTAACTTTTGATGCTCTTCCTCCGTCATTGCCTATGCTGGCTGCTCAGATTGAATATTTGAACGGAACAGAGGCACGTACCGATGCCTTTGGCGGGAAAGCAGCAGTGATCCAGAAGCACTTTTTGACAAGACGTGCCATCAGGACGCTTCCGAAGCGATCGTGGCCCGCTAGTATCAAGCCGAGTACGATCCGCGCCAGTGGAAAGGCAACTTCTCGTCGGCTGGTGATCTCCGTCTCGGCTTGCGCTATCAGCGATTTGCTGAGGTGATTGCACAACCAATCGTAACAAGCTGGTGTGGCTTGCGCGCGCTGCAAAGTCGCCCCCAAATCTTGCGTCTGCATATGGCATTAGCATCTCACGTCTCGTTGGCAAAGCCGTACGATTTGTATGATGTCGCGTGCCGAATTGGTGACCTGCCCTATGCGCTTTGTGATCTGGCGTTTCTCTGCGAAGCAGGTCGCTTTCCAAGTCGGATTGGCCTTGACGAGAGGCAGAATCTGTGTCTTTATATGCTATCGTTTCAAGCAGGACGTTAGCTCAGGAGCGAGGTTGCAAAGGCAGGACGGACCACCATGAGATCTCGGTGACGCTGCCATTCTTCGAGAGGCGACAGCCAGCCTCCGACGCCCGCCTGGGTGGTCGTCTGTGCGGCAGCTTTTGCGGCGTCATCCTTTGCCTTTTGTTCTGCTGCCAGTTTTTGGCGCTCCTCGGCTGCTTTCGTCGCAGCCTGTGCAGCTTCCTTCTCTCGACCTGCCTTGGCCTCCGCTTCTGCTTTCGCTTGCGCTTGTTTCGCGGCTGCTTCCTGCTGTTCCTTCTGCTCGCGCGCTGCCTCTTCGCGTGCGACAGATGCTTTGTGTTCGGCTATTCTGATGGCCTCGTCGATCCCCTGGCCGAGGTGATATGATGAGCATTATGCGATCCGAGATTCTGGCGACCGGCTCACCCTCCAAAGTATCGAATTACGCGCTTCAAAGGCTTTGACCGTGCGATCCTCGTCCTGGCGTCGGGCGATCTCGGTCTGTTCGAGAGCGGTGGTGATGGCGTCTATCTCTCTGCGAGTGCTGGCTTTGTCATGCTCTCGGCGAGCCTGGCGCCCGGCGAGATCGGCAAGCGTGCGCTGGCCCTGTCGTTGGTGTTGTGTCTGTCGCGCCTGTAGCTGTTTGCGCAGTCACGAAGGATGAGACACAATGCACGTCATCGGAAGGGCTTGGACTGACCCAGGACTGTCGCTGGGCATCGGCATTCCACTGATCCCATGGGTCAGATTGGCCTGCATCGCGCAGTGCAGCATGACTGATCTCGCGTGAGCAGTCGACGTGAAAGAACGAAAGCAGCGCACCGAGAGATCTCATCGAGCTGTGAAGGGGCATAAGAGTCCTTCGAGGACAAGAATCCGTCGGAGTCGCCGGCCTCATCCTCGTCTGAGGAGTCGGAGAGCTCGACGACGCGAAACATTGTGCCTGGTATGCGACTTGCGCTTGGCCCAAAAGACTGTGACCGTAGTCGATTGGCGAGTGAGAGGGAGGGAGGCAGGACGAGCGTTGGCCCTGTCTGCTGTGCGTCTTGTCTGTGCGCCGAGCTAGCATTGTCTCTGTGCGCGTCATGGGCGTACGAGCTCAGGCAGTGCGCCTCAGAGCGGCTGTCGGACAATGTGGACGATCGCGCTACGTTCTGTGATCTATGAGACTTGCTGTCGGTCGAGGAAGCAGACGGAGGGGCAGGTCGAGTCGGCGCAGTGAAGCGGCTGTGACTGATCGACTTGAGCGGCGTATCCATGACGGCTGGGGCGTCTGAATCGCTCTCACTGTCGTCAGAGTACTCGTGGCCATCGTCGTCGTCATCTGCATGCCCTTGGGGCACCCCGAACTTCATCAAAGGCCCAGAGCGGGTGCCACTTCAGGCGAGGCAGCAGACGATGTCGACGACACGCGCGCGTACTTTTATGACCGGCAGCGTTGCGCCCTGCCGCCGGTCACCGGGCCAGGCTCATCCAAGGGTGACGACATGGCAAGTCAGCTCAGCGATCGAGTGGACGAGCTCAGAGCGATCGTTGACGCCGACCGACTGCCCGAGATCGACGAGCTCAGACGGTTCAAGCATCAGATCATTGGCAATGTCGACAGAAAGGCACGCTTTGTCGAACTGGATGGTGCAGAGCTCCTCTGCAAGGTCATCGACCTGGCTGTTGAGATCCCGCAATGGTCAGACTGCGACGACACGCTTCACATCGAGTTAGCGACAGAGGCCATGGTCATCTTGACAAGTCTCTGCCAGCCTCGAGTGGACAGCTTGCTCAAACTGGTCGGCATCGTGCCTGCTTGTGTTCTCGGTACCGTCAGCAAGATAGTGCACTCGTTCAAGACCTTCGCGCTCATCGAGAGCTCGCTCAAATGCATCAGGAACCTCTACATCTCACTCAAAATGGTCTCGAGCAGCGCCATCGTCTTCAACCCCGCCCCCTTGCCCTGCTGCGCTCCCTTGTCCTCGAAGCAGCTCAGAGAGTTGTCATCAGAGGGCGCATCTTTCCAGATCGCCATCGACGCTGCCTGGGATGCCTACTTTGACCAAGAAAACATCTTTCTGATGCTCAGCCTCTTGTGTACCTTCACTTTCGGCCGGATCAGTGCTGCCACAGGCTCTTGGTCTCGCCTTGCAAGACAGCAGTCCGAATCTGCTGCGGGCACGATCTGTCAGACCATCGCGGAAATGTCTCGTGGTGGTGACGACATGGTCTCTGTAGCCAGTGTCGGTCGCCGGATTTGCAAAGAACACGACTGTATGCTCCTGTACATGCTCATGACGATGACGCTCGCTCGCAGTCCCCAGGTGAGGCGCAGATATCTGTACATCAGCGCAACTGGGCTGATAAGCCCGTCAGGTATTACGCTCGGCTTACCAGTTGATTGGCGCCATCGCCCCGCATGCAGAGCCTGACATCATGGCGCTCCTATGTACGTCTGAGCTGTCTGCACCTTCACCTTGCTGACTCGCAGCAGCCAAATCTGCGGCTGATATTCGCGACCAAGAGCCCTCTGTCCAGATTGCCATGGCATACTGGTAAGCCGAGCCGCCAACCCAGCTGACGATGATCTTACCTCTCCTCTGTAGTCACGTCAACTATTCCGTGATGATGCCGGACTGGGACAAGCGAGGGTATGCCGCGGAAGATCGAAACGATGTGCTTCCTCTGCTTCTCTCATTATTCGACAAGGAGCCTCAGATAGCTCTATCGGCCTGCGCCTTGTTGACAACCCTCGTCACGGACTGTGAGTCTGCGCAAGAGCTCGCATGCAAATTGGACGCGTTCTCTCAGCTGGACCGTCTGCTGGAGACTACCCAGCTCCCCGGAGGCTACTCAGATTCGGCGGAACGGCGACAAATGCGGGCACAGCTACGTCAAGTGTGCCGTCTCGCTGTCCTCTGCTGCCCGCTCCTGACATGGTACAACAGCACGGGTTACTGGCAGTCGCTGCCCTGTGCCTGACGCGAGATGACCTGCGTCGGCAGATGGTCGAAACGAAGATCTTGCCAAAGATTGTTGCTTCTCTCAAGCACGAGCATGCGCCCGTGCGTGCAGCTGCTTGCCAGTGTGCCAGAGCCATCAGTCGTAGTGTCAGCTTGCTACGAACGTGTCTCCTGCAAGCTGGCGCCGCGCTGCCCCTTGTCGATTTGCTCCGAAACGAGGATGAGGATGAGCCGGTCAAGATTGCTGCGACGGCCGCGATATGCAATCTCCTGCCCGACTTCTCTCCCATGAAAGAGGTATGTCGCTTGCCGTTTCTCCCTTCGAGACGATCTGACTTTTTTGTGTGTGGTCAGCTACTCATCGCCAATGACATCCTACCCAAGCTCGTCGTCTTTGTGGATTCGCCAAATGTTCTGCTCAGGCAGTATGCGTTGGCTGCACTCAAGAATGGCGTCTACTGGGCCGAACACGATCTCAAGAAGCTTGTCAGCACAACCTTGGGCTGGCAACGCCTGCTAGAGTACTTCGCGTATTTTTCAATCATCAGACTGGCTGATATAGTTTTGCAGGTTGTTTGACGACTGCGAAACGACCATTCAGGTGCACGCGCTTAGCTTGCTGAGGAACATCGCCTGTACCCGGGTCGAAGATGTCGAGATGGCATTGCAAGGCATGGGCCCAGAGTATGCCTCCTTTTCCGCGGCACTGCAGAGTCTGACGTAGGCGCAGGGCTTGCTTCGATATGCTAAATCGAAAGCTATGCTCGAAGCAAAGCGAAGTCACGCTGCAGGCGGTCTATGTCTTGCTTAACATCGCAACGGGCGATGTGCGGCACAAGCAAGAGATCATGGATCGACCAGATCTGCTCAAGTCTCTCCTGGCAACACTTGTGAGGCTACAATGGCTTCCCGCATGCGTATGGGTTGACTGGCATTGCAGTGGCACGAGTCGCCCGATATTCGCATTGCCGCACTCTGGTGCATCATCAATCTCACGCCCTCCGAGCGGAGTGAGCACGATAGCCATTCCAACGCCCATGCGCTCATCTTGGTATACAGAGGGCGCATACGAGGTCGCACGCAAATTCGCAGCGCAAGGGGTAGGCAGCCGGCTCGAGAAGCTCAAGGAAGATTCATGTTACGACGTGAGCGAGCGGGCTGCCGACATCCTCGATACGTTTCAGTGGGCGGGCTTTGCGCAATGAGCACAGCTAGATGCAGTGAGCGTCCTGTTGTACAACATATACAGTGATCATCGATGAGGTACTTCGTCGTCCGCCGCCTTTCAGGCGAAGCGATGGCGCCGAGACGAGTATTAGGCACCTTTGCAGGCAACGATCTTGACCTTGCCTACGGGACCCATGACTTCGCTACCTTCCAGCTTGAGCGTCGCATCGGTGAGGATGAACGTCCAAACTTCATCACACAGCCTATACGTCTTGAGATGGCCTTTGACGGTGCACTTTGTCTTGAGACTGCTTGCAAGCACAAGTGCGGCTGCCTTGTCAAACTGTCGATGGCCGGCATTCATGAGCATCTCACACCCTGCCAGCTGCAATGACTGACCTTTGCAAGGACTTTGAGAGCTAGCTGGGGATTGATGTGACCCGACTGTATCAGCTCGTCTAGGGCGTCAGTCAGCGATAGCCCGAGGCTGCAAGGTCTTTGTCAGAGGAAGAACATAGCACACGGGGCTATACAAGCACCTTGATCGCCGGTAAAGCTCATAGAAGTTCTGCTGGCTCGCCATACGGCTTTGCCTCGGTCACTTTGAGAGAGAGCGCGAAGCGCGTTGGCTCGATATCAATCTACCTATCATCTCAACAGGAGTGCATTTACAAGTTGGCTTGGACAAAATGCGAGACTGATTGGCCAGGCTGGAGCTTCTTCAGCTCTGCCTTGATGTTTTCATAATCTAATGCTGCCTTCGGATTGCTTCGATGGCCTTCACCTGCGATAAAAGCAGCGGTATTGTCTACGAAGAGACCCATGACCGCGGTAGGATCTGCTGAGCTTCGCTTGCCTGTGGAACCAGACTTGCGTCCCGGTGCGAGCCAAGCGACATCGCTGAATGTGGTATGCGTGATGCCTTGAACAGTGACAAGGGCGGATGATGGGTGATCTCTAACAGCGGGTCGGAAAATCTTTACTAGCTCGTCAAAGTGACCTGACAGCTCGTTGCGATCAGCGGTGCTACAACCATCAAGGCACTGCCTCACCTCTCCAGAGTGTGAAATTCGGCGAATTGATGGCGAGCAAGGGTATCCGTGAATCTGGTCTAGTTGTCTTCGAAAGTGGCTCCAGCCACGGATCAAGCAGCGTGGCCGAACGAATGCCTCTTGCTGCAAAAGTAGAATCTGCGAGTGCGGCCAGCACGGTGGTACCGCCGAACGAATGTGATGAGAGATGCACGTTGTCGTAATCGACGCGCTGCCAGGCTTGCGTATCGATGTCTGCCACTTCGCCCGATGCACGGCCGGAAGTGAAGCCAGTAGCACCAGAGACGCGCAAATTGTCCTGTATGCTCTTCTGCGGATCACGACCGAAGCGTCTCAATGCATCGACGGCGGCGACGAGCTCGGCGGTGCGCATCGCTAGCTGTGCATGTCGCAGACCCATCAGCTCTGCAGGCCGAGTCGAACGACTGCATGTCGATCAGCTCCAGGAGCACCGAGAGCGGCAGGGTACGTACGGCATATCGTCATACTTGAGGTAGCGTACGATGCGAGGTGCCTTGCCGTTGACAGCAGATGCCGGTCCCGAGCCATCGCGATGTTCGAGGGCTGCGACGACAAAGCCTCGCGCGGCGAGCGTGCCGCAGTACTGACTGTACATCTGGCGACTGCCTGCCATGCCGTGCGAGAAGACGACAAGGGGATGTTTCGCAGCGGAGGCAGGCTCGGCCAACGGTGCATTGACGAAAGCTGGCACGCGTATGAGCGCCGCAGCAGTCATGAGGATGGGAATTGCCAAAGCGCGTTTGTAGCCCGTCAAGCTCGCATAGTCTGCATATCCCCCGGCTGTGGCGGAGAGGGGTCTGTTCATCCATGGCAGTCGCTCGTAGGATCTGCCCCTCTCCAGTCGAGCGGGGTAATAGAGCGTCATGAGGATCGTGTCGAGTTTGAGCGCCGGTGAGCCATCTGGCAGGGTGACAGAGTCCGAGGCAAATGTCTGCTGATCGCATGGCAGCTCAAGCTCGAGTGTGCCGACTGCATGAGGTGCCGATGGAAAGCTCTTTGAGACATAGTCCGTATAGCCTCGCCTCGCGTGTCTGCTCGCCCAGTTCTTGCCTTCTGAGGCCTCTGGGTTGACAAAGGCCGACTCTCTGAGCGCTTCTGTCGGCGTCTTGACGTCTGGCTGTGACATGGCTGCGATATGAGGCGGAGCAGGCAGCCGAAGCACACTGAAGAGGGTGGCGACGGTGTGACGCGCGCTTTTGACTTTGACATGTGGACGACATCGACGGCATCGAGATGACGACATTGAGCGTACGCCAGCCATGAAGCAGGTCGACGAGCCTTTGCCAGACGCAGAGCCAGACGAACGTACGCCGCTTCTGGCTCGGCGAGATGCAGGGGAAGCGGGCCAGCAGGTCGCGGCAAGCAGAACGCCGCTGCCTGTCTTTCAGGTCTTCATTCTGTGCAGCCTACGCTTCTGCGAGCCAGTCGGCATGGCACTCATCTTCCCCTTCGTCAACCAGCAGCTTGTAGAGCTGGGCATTGCAGACGAAGACAACGTAGGCTACCTCAGCGGCGTCATAGAATCACTCTTCAGCTTGGCCCAATTCGCGACGATCCTACAGATAGGCAGGCTCTCGGACCGGATAGGCAGGAAGCCAGTCATCCTCGGAGGCCTAGCAGGTGTCACGCTCTCTGCTACTGCCTTTGGCCTCTCGCAGAGCTTTGCCGCCATGGCGATCAGTCGTGCGCTGGCGGGCGGCTTGAACGGAAACGCCGCCGTCATCAAGTCTATGCTCGCCGAGCTGACGGATGAGACAAATCAAGGTCTCGCTTTCTCGTTTCTGCCGCTCTCGTGGGCATTGGGAACCGTCGTCGCCCCGCTCATTGGCGGCTTGCTGCCTCATCCGGTCGAACGCTACCCACGTGTCTTTGGCCGCTCGACTTTCCTGAAAGCATACCCATAGTCAGTCCTTCGCCTCTGTTGGCTTGCGTGTCTGACACCACACAGCAGCTTTCTGCCGTGCTTTGTCGGAGCGCTCTTCCCGCTTTTTGGCGTCATTGTAGGCTCATTCTTTCTGAAAGAGGTTTGTCGGATCTACATCGTGCTTCGGGCGGGCTTCTGACAACCCATGCAGACACTGCCGTCTCGAGTGAACCGAGAACTAGACAAGGGGCTAGGAGGAGAAGGCCAGCAAGAGATAGACGCACACGATGGGCTGCCGCCTCCGCCGCCTGTCGAGCTGGTCTCGGACGAGCGTCCCACAGTGCTATCACTGCTTCGCGATCAGCAGATCGTCGCCATACTTGTAGCTTACTCCTTCCTAGCGCTTCAGACCATCTCGCTGGCTGCGCTGGTCCCACTGTTCGGTTACACGCCCATAAGACTCGGCGGACTATCGCTATCCGAGCCCGATTTAGGAGCAGCATTGAGCTTCCAAGGCTTTGCTGTGCTCTTCTTCCAGGTCATCGTTTTTCCGATTGCGCAACGACGCATGGGCACACTACCGCTCTACCGTTCAGCGATGGCAATGTATCCTTTCGTGTTTGTACTATTACCAGTCACACATCTCCTCGCAAAACAACAGAGCGATCGCACAGGCTTGTGGATCTTCCTCCTCTTCACTCTGCTCGTCTCCTCGATCGGCAACATGGTCTTCGGCTGCAATATGATCATCGTCAACGGTGCAGCACCGAGTCAGGCGGCGCTGGGCACTCTGAACGGTCTGGCACAATCGTGCGCCGCTCTTGTACGAGCCATCGGGCCGGCAGCGTCGACGGCCTTGTTTGCTTTCGGCATCGATCATCACATCCTGGGCGGTCTGCTCATATGGGTGCTCCTCTTCGCTGTCTCGCTATGCGCCTTTGCATCCACCTTTGCACTGAAAGACAACAAAGCGGCGTGGCGACAAGCCGAGCCGCGTAGTCAGACGCCATCCCGGACGCCGCGGCAGTTGAGCGAAGAGAGCAGCGAAGCGGGTCGATAGAGGCAGTCTTGTAATTTCAACTTGCCCGGCGGTAGAGAGACGAACAGTCTATGTTGTAAATTCGCGCACTTCGATCGCAGGCCCTTGCGCTGTTTTGAGAAAGACATGAGCTATCGGCTTTGGCTTCTTGCCTCGGCTTGTCGAGAGCAGCTCCTCATCTTCATCGCCTCTGGCGACGGTCGCAACCGCGGACACAAGATCGTTGATGTTGGTGGTCAGTTGCTCGGAGGTCAGCGACATCTGCTCGAGCTAGACGAGTCAGCCGCCGAACACGGAGCGGGGTATCCATCATACGCACCCTCCCGATGGCTGCCCGAACGACACCTTGCGAGTCTGCCCTCCAATCGAGTCCGCCGCGTGCATCTTGAACGGCTGTCTTGATGTCGTTGGTGACGGTGCCTCTCTTAGCGTTGGGCATTAGGCCCTTTGGACCGAGCAATCGTGCCAAGCCTTGCGTCCGACCGATGACAGGCATGAGGGCAGGCGTAGAGATGACCTTTGTCGGATTGATGCGACCCTGCAGGATTTCCTCGCCCAACTCGCCTCCGCCTACGATGTCTGCACCGGCCTGGCGAGCCGCCTCGGCTTCCGCGCCTTCCGCAAAGACAAGCACGGTCTCACGCTTCTTCGGGTTGGCAGCTTGGTGAGGCAGAAAGAGCCGGCCTCTGAGCGCGTTGACATTTTGGGTGTGGGCGAGGCGAGTGTGTATCCTGATCTCGTAAGACGTCGAACGATCGCCTCGGGCCTCGGCCTGCTTGCTCGTATGAGCTCGAGACACCGACAGAAGCTGAAAGCGTACCTTAAGACTGGCGATGACCTGTGGCAGCGAGAGAGCATTGACATCAATATTGGCCGCTTTGCCTTTGCCCTTTGAGGAGGCCTTGAATGACTGCAGGGTCGATGCGACTGCGCCGGGTTGAAGGGAAGTACTTGCTTGTGTGGCCAGGGTCCGTACGCCGAATCGAGCTGCCATCTCTGTCTTTGTCTCTGTCGAGGGTCGTCGGCAAAGCTGGCAAAGGCGCGCGCGCGGCTGCCGCCCTGGCTGTCGTCACGACTTTGCCGCTGAACCCACATCGTCATCATGGATGAGGCGAGCTCGCTTGGATGGCTCGGCAGCGTTGGCTGATGGCAAGCATCCTGTTGACAGACGTACGACTACATCATCCTCGGCACGGGTCTCAAGGAATGCCTTCTATCTGGTTTGCTGTCCGTCGACGGCAAAAAGGTGCTTCACATGGACCGCAACGACTACTACGGCGGTGAGAGTGCCAGCCTGAACCTCACCCAGGCAAGTCTGAACCCACACGCTCGTGTGCGAACGCGCGCTGACGCCGACGGGCAGCTGTACAAGCAGTTCAAGAATGGCGCCGAACCGCCCAAGGAACTCGGCCGTGACAGGGACTACGCGGTCGACCTGATCCCAAAGTTCATGATGGCCAACGGAGAGCTCACCAAGATCCTCGTGCACACCGACGTCACGCGCTATCTCGAGTTTAAGCAGATCGCAGGCTCGTACGTCTACCGCGACGGGCGAATCTCCAAGGTGCCTGCGACAGAGATGGAAGCCGTCCGCTCGCCGCTCGTCGGCCTCTTTGAGAAGCGACGACTCAAGAACTTTCTGACCTGGGTCGCAAACTACAATCCATCCAATCCTGCCACACATCAAGGTGGGTCGACCCCTCTCGACCCACGCGAAGACAAGTTCTCATGCATGCGCAGGCATCAATCTCGACCAGACATCCATGAAAGAGGTCTACACCAAGTTTGGCCTCGAACTAGGCACGCAAGACTTTGTTGGACACGCACTTGCGCTTCATCAGGATGACATGTCGGTGATCCATAAACCTGTTCACCCGTGCTAGCTCAAGGCCGTCGTCCAGGTATCTCAACCAGCCTGTTCGAGACACGTACGAACGCATCATTCTCTATACGACCTCGATGGCCCGGTACGGCAAGTCGCCGTATATCTACCCACTGTATGGTCTAGGCGAGCTCCCCCAAGGCTTCGCTCGTCTCTCGGCTATCTATGGCGGCACGTATATGCTCGATAAGAAGATCGACAAGATCGAATACGACGACAAGGGCAAGTTCATCGGTGTCACCTCAGAGGGCGAGACCGTCAAAGCGGCCAAGCTGATCGCTGACCCGACCTACTTCTTGCCCGAGCCGGGCGCCAAAGAAGAGTCCAAGATCTTCGAAGAAGGCAAGGTCGTGCGCGCCATCTGCATCCTCAAGCACCCCATACCGAGCACAGACGACAGCGACAGTCTGCAGCTCATCATTCCGCAGAAGCAAGTTGGACGCAAGAATGACATCTACATCACCGCTCTGTCTGTCGTGCACTCCGTCTGTGCCAAGGATATCTACATTGCCATGGTCTCTACGATTGTCGAGACTAGCACGCCCGAGCGCGAGCTCGAAGCAGGGCTCAAGTTGCTCGGACCCATCTACGAAAAGTAGGTCGGCCTTTTGCGCAGTAAATACAGTGACTGACGACAGCGTGACAGGTTCGTGTCGATCGTGCCGCTGTATATGCCTGCTTCATCCGGTAACCACGACGGTGTCTACATCTCGCGGTCGTACGACGCTACCAGCCACTTCGAGACTGTCACGGACGATGTCAAGAATATCTACCTTCGCGTGACGGGCAACGAGCTGACACTGAAGAAGCGAGACAACGCGGAGGATGACGGCATCCAGGGCTCGGCCTAGCCCCGCATGATGAGGATTGTCAAGTGTTGTCTCTGCAAGCATCGTGATCATCTGTCCTGACTGCCTTTGCCGGTACTGATCGTATCGGTTTGCTCGGTGACCATTTGAGGTCATTGGGCGTGAGCTCAGAGATGTGCCAAGGCAGCCTTCGGTCGACGACGCGAGTAATCTGACCAGCAGAGTCGATGAGAGGTATCTCTGCGAGAAGTTCGATTGCTCGTCGGCGGACATAGCGCGGCGTGATGTCGTGTGGGCCTTTGAGCTTGCCACTGTGGGTGCGATAGGGCGGCAATTTGCGAGTCGGCCGTGTCAGAGACCGGCCCGCTATCGCGTTGGCGGCTGCTGACGGGATCGCATCCCGCTTGCGTCCACGAGCGCTATGTCGGGGAACGCTGCGTGAGCCAGAGCGAGTCATTTCGATCAGGCTCGTGACGGCAGACGCGCCCATGGGCAGGGGCGGATTGAGCCTGCCCACTTTGTTGGCCCAAAACCGCCAATGGATGTTGGCTTGACGACGCAGCGAGAGCGGACCTACGATCTGGGCCTCTGGACTGTTTGGGTCGACGGTGGCCGGCATGGTAGGCGGCATGGCAAAGTGTGCGTTGGAGACTTGCTTGTCGATCGTGAGGTTGCTCTTCATCAGACGGCGCAGCTCGGGGGAGTAGGACGGCAGCGCCGAGCGAGGGTTGCCCGGTATGAGTCGCTCGAGCTTGTCTCTGCGTGAGGGGAGCACATAGGGCTACCGTCCGGGTCATCAGCAGAGGCATAATAAGGCTGGTGCGCGCTGCTGACTTGCCTGCAGCAGGAGGTGTCTCAGCGGCCCTCGTCTGCCGTAAGCGGTGCGCAGGATGCGCTGGTAGGCATGCACATGGCCGTCGTTCGCCCACTGGAACGAGTTGAGGATGTCTCGAGCTTTGCGTGGCAGTCGCTCTTTTGCTTCGGCGTACGTTGCCGCTCGGTAGGTCGACCGGAGCCTGTCCTTCCAGAATGCGACCGAGTGAGCATCAGGGAAGGCCCTGATCTCCCGCCAGATGTGACGGTACAGCCCTCGCAGGGAGGCGGCATGCATCGGAGCCGGAGCGGCTCGCTGGCTCTTTTCTTCTGGGGGCAGCGACTCGCCAAACCCCCCGGCTTGTCCCTCGATCGTTGGACTGGATGACGGCGACGACGACGTCTTGCGCTTGAGGACGGACAGCAAGATGCGCAGGATCCTGTCGTACGCAGAGGACCACACGCCCGGCCAGCCTTCGACGTTCCAGAAGAGACATCACTATGCGTTCACTGACGTCGGCCTCGGTCAGGGCGGGTTTGGCGTGGTGATGAAGGCGACCCAGATCAAGGACGATACGCCCGTGGCGATCAAGAAGGTCCCCAAGAGCGTCGTCAAGGACAAGGTGGCCTACCGCCGGATTGTGTCCTTCATGATCGACTCGTCCCATCCCAACATTGTCAGATTCCTCGAGGCATTCGAGTCCAAGCACCATTTCTACACGGTCTACGAGCTCGTCGAGTCCAAGCAGGACCTCTTCGATCGCTTGCTCGACGTCAAACACTTCACCGAGAACGACGCCAAGGCTGCGATGCGGTCTGCTCTGTCGGCGACGGCCTACCTGCACGACCGTCAGGTCATCCATCGCGATCTCAAGCTCGAGAACTTCATGATGCGCTCCACCCACTCCGGTCCTGGCGATCTCGTCCTCATCGACTTTGGTACCAGCCTTGTCCTGCAGGATGGCCAGGCCGGCGGATTGACAGAGGTCACTGGCACGCCGGGCTACATGGCGCCCGAGATCTACAAGAAAAAGGGTTATTCCTACCTGGCCGACATATGGTCACTCGGCACGGTCTGTTGGATGCTCCTCTCTGGCCGGTCTCTCTATTCCACCTCGACAGATTATCCGGTCATCATGAGGGAAACTCTCGCGTTAGACGAGGCGCCCTTCCCGGAGCAAGTCTTTCACGACATCACAGACGACGCAAAGGCTTTCATAAGGCATCTCCTGGATCCATCACCCAGCACGCGGGCGTCCGCCCGTGATGCACTGGACCACAAGGTCAGCCATCTGCCTTGCCTCTCGCGAGTTGAGCCTGACGTGCGCGCCGTCGGTACAGTGGCTGAGCAGGCAGGCAATGACGCCCAAGTTTGACACGTCCCATAGGACGCCTGCCAGCATGGAAAGCGATGCTCATGGCTTGTTGCCAGAAAAGGGTCAACCGAAGCTCGAGGACGGAGCGACAGTCAACGATGCAGAGGGGTCACGCTTTGCGGGCACGGCGACGATGCCCCACGAGCTTCTCGATCCTCACTCGGCTCCCGACTCGGGTACCAACACGCCCAAGCCGACAGATATGGCCAAGGCGCGAGAGAAACATACTGGCGAGGAACTGATGATCTCCAGCGCCTTGTTGGAAAGGGTGAGAACGAGGCAATGATGATGTCTGTAGGATTGCGAATATTACACTTGCATTGTATACACTGCTCACTGTCAATCCTACCGTCGTCTGGGCGGGCTCCGACTCCTTCGCGAGCTAGACTGTGATCTTGAGTCGCGATAGTTTCTCCTATCCCGGTCATCGCGTCCGCGCCGGTCATGGCTAGGTTCATTCCTGCGCTTGCTCGGGCGGTCATCAAAGTCAAAAACCATGTCGTTTCTTGTCCGACCGGAGGCATGGTTGGACGAGGTGATACTCCGTGAGCGAGACTTCTGCGTTAATTGCTTGGGGCCAGTCCGGCCCTGTAGCCACTGGCCGTGCAGACCAGATACACCTGTTGGGCACGATTAGCTCGCGCTGATGCTGGCTCTCGAGGGCGCACTTTGTGAAAAATCAACGTGTATCCGGCGGTCGTCAACGAGAACATTGTCCATCTTGAAGTAAGCTCGCTCTGCCTCTTCCTGCTTGTCAAACTCGATGAAAGCGTACTGCAGAGAGTCGCCCGTCTTCTTGTCCTTTATGACTTCGCAGCTCAGAATGGTGCCAAATCGCGAGAAGATGAGCTCGAGATCCTCGGAGCGGGTAACGGCGTTGAGCTTGCAGACAAAGAGGATATTTTCTGGCGGTCTGACGTCTGCAAAGGGCAGATCGCCCACGATTTCGAGTGTGAGTGCTTGCGCCTGTGCCTCTCGTTTCCGTCGGGCTTCTTCCTTTGCCTCTGTCTCCTCGTCATCGCTCAGCACCTCTTCGTCACCGACACGGAGAGAAGCCAGCTGGGCTGCTGTCGGGACGGGCGATGCAGGCGGTACGACGAGGCCCTCCGGATCGTCAAATGGATCGTCTGCCGCTCGTCCGACATGTCAGCCGGTTCAGACCACGCTGCGTCTCTCGACCGCCTACCTAGCACGATGACGTGGCGAATCCGGATATCACGCAGAGGACGGCCTTTCTGATCAAGGAGGGCCTGGTTGATCTTGTCGAGTGTATCGAAACCTTCGACGGTGTGACCAAAGACAGCTTGTTTGCCATCCAGGTAGCTCAGATTGTCGGCGAGAGTGAAGAAGAATTGAGATGCGCAGCCTTTGCTGTCACCTTGCCCGGCAACAGCCATAGAGAGTGTGCCCTTGGCGACATGTCGCAGAGCGGGCGCACGTATCTCTGGGGTGAAGTACCGGGACGAGTGCTGAGGGGATCCTCTGGGCAAGAGTGCAAAGACAGAGCTACCGCCTGTTCCTAGATCCGTCGGATCGCCCGTCTGAGCGATGAAGTCTTGTTGCACTGTACGACGAGGGGATCAGAATGGGCCAGTCGAGCATGCAGGCAAGGCTGACCGTTGAAGAACGAGTTGAAGTTGTAGTAGTACATCTTGCAGAGCTTGAGAAAGTTGAGGCATGTCTTCGGGCACTGTTCTGCCTCTAGGTCGACCACGATATCGCCCAGAGATGTCTCGAAGAGGACGGACATGGCCAAGGCGTGGCGGCAGCTGGTGCCCGTGTTAGGCGCTTGCTTGCTCGTGTTAGGGCGGGGCACCGCAGCTGAGAGACCTCGAGACCAACATCGTCGCGCTTCGCGTCTGGCGGCGACAAGCGATGATGCTGCGAAAGCGCGCAAGATCTGCCGAATCTGTCGTCGACGAGGTCATAGGCAAGGAGAATGTCTCGCCGAGTCAACGCAGCGCTTTCCGGGGGACGCCGAGGCGGTGCGAATCGGCAAGACCCGATGTGCTGTCTTTGCGTATCTCACCATCAACACGGCCACCACATGCGAAGCCGTTGACCCCTACCCGACCTAAGAAAAGGATTGCGATGACGCAGGGCGAGATGGATGCGCTGTGCGGTGCGCTGGCGGGCAATGATTCGACAGACGACCTCCAGGATGATGTGCTCACCACGCCGCTTACTTCGCCACAATTTCCTGGCCCCCCCACGAGATCAATGAGAGTACCGCTAGCGCAGCAGTACCTCCGACTGCGCGTGCTCTCTGTCTCGGTCAGCTCTGGGACCCGTAAACAAAGACCAATAAAAGTCAATTTCTGCCCGCTGAAGCCCGTCGCAAACTGATCAGGAGGGCAGATCCTCGAGCTCTCGCCTGATTTGCGCAAAGACGCATGTCCTTCAAGACTACAAGTGTACCTGGAAGACGATTGGATGGAGACCCAGGTCTACGCTGGTCAGTACGGCGAACGCATGCTCGCTTCCGCTGACCTCAATGCGCAGACGATGTCGTCAATGTCGTTGGCAATTTTGAAGAGCTCCCGTCGAGCGAAGATGATGGCGATCGATCCGACGCTACACTCGTTTGCAGGATCACACGCTCCCAAAACTATCTGATCCTCCATCCAGACGTGCTGGTGACCTGCACACGCGTGGCAGAGACGCTCTTCTGCCCGCGCAAAGCGATCCTGCAAGAACGATTGAGGGCCACATCAGAGATCACAGAGGCACTTGTCTACGGCAACTTGCTTCACGAAGTCATGCAACGCTGCCTCGTCGCCGGCAGATTCGACTTGGCTGCTCGAACACAAGCGATTGAGGGATTGCTTGCCAACACGCGCTGCTTGGAGCGACTCTGGGCGCTGTCGCTGGATCGCGCTGCCGTACAGTCTGAGCTCTTATCGCGATCAGCCGGCCTGCCTACCTGGGCCGAGCGCTACTGCAACAGCGAGGAACCAAAAGCGGAAGCCAAGCTGGTCGATCCTCGTTCCGTCGACAAGACAGCCGAGACTCTGAGCTTGCGCAAGATACTCGATATCGAAGAAGACATCTGGAGCCCACGACTTGGTCTGAAAGGCAAGATCGACGCCTCGGTCGAGGTACAAGTGCATGATGAGACGTCACGCAGCGATGTCGTTGCGATCTCGCCGCTCGAAATCAAAACGGGTCGGATGCTGTCGAATATGATCCACCGTGCTCAGACGATGCTTTATACGCTGCTCATGAGCGAGAGATATGATGCGCCCATCGCGCTCGGCTTGCTCGTGTATAGTCAGCAGGAGCATGCTTACAAGGTAGACGCTCTTCGCAACGAGCTACGAGGCCTCCTGATCAGTCGCAATACAATGGTCAACTACCTTGCGACTGCGCCAGCGCGGCGCGAGCCAATCAGCCCGGCGCTCACGCCTTCACAGACCAGCGACTCAACGGGCCAGCTAGTCTCGCCGCGACTCACTGCCTTGGCGTCTTCGCAAGCTTACTGGTCCGACGCCTCGACCTTCAGCCCTCCTCTGGCGTTTTCAAACAGCTCACAATTCGCTCGCGAGCTGGATGACATTGAAGACAATCTTTTAGCGACAGATCGACCGGAATTGGTGCTGCCCGATGGTCTTGACAATGCTGCAGCATGCTCGAGATGCTTCGTGCGACCAGGATGCATGCTCTATCGCAAGGTAAGTAAGGCATCTCACGTGCATTGTCGTCAAGCTGACTTGGACGACGACAGACGTTGGAAGGCCACGACTTTATTGCTGCAGATGGCGATGAGCTTCAGAAGATCTTCGCGAGCGATACCGACCATCTTGAGGAGCACCATGTAGCCTTCTTTCGCAAATGGGAACGCTTACTCTCAATGGAGGACAAGGACCAGATTTGCTACAAGAGAGAGATATGGACAATGTCCGCGCCTGAAAGAGAGCAACAGGGTCGCTGCCTCGCAGACATGCGAGTCAGGAGCCTCGTCCGGGTAGAAGCTCTGGAGCAGTCCGACAAGATACATCGGTACACCTGTGTCATGTCACGCGGCGAGAGCATCCTGCCGACTGGTCTGCTGACTTGCCGGTTGTCGCCTGGCGATCCTGTAGTGGTTTCTGTGCAAGATGGCGCGACCGCAGTGGCGCGCGGCTTCATACTTGACGTCACACCGACTGAACTGAAGCTTGGCCTGGACCATGACCCCGGCAGCTCATTGCGCGGATCGAAAGCAGTCAAATACAGAGTGGACCTCGAAGAGCTACTGGCTGGCACGGGGCGACTACGCGACAATCTTGCGCAGCTATTATACGCGCATGGAGACGTTCGGCTGCGCGCAAAGGTGATCGACCTCATGCCCCCTCGCTTTTGCAGTCGCCATTCGCAAGACAGTATCACCACGGGCACCGGTCTCAATATGGATCAGCATCATGCTCTTGTCATGGCGTTGACGGCCGACGACTATGCACTCGTTCACGGTATGCCGGGTACAGGCAAGACGACGTTGATAGCAGAAATGGTCAAGACATTCGTCGCTCGTGGTCAGACCGTCCTCTTGGCTGCACATACGCATTCGGCAGTCGATACGCTCGTCAGCAAAATCTGCTCGTCCGTACATGTCCTACGTCTAGGTAATATCGATAAGGTCCGTGAAGACCTTCGCCACCTCACGCTCGCCGACAGTGATATGCAAAGTCTTGCCGATGTCGAGCGTATGCTTATGGCGCCGCCTGTAGTCGCGACGACCTGTCTGGGTATCAATCAGTAGGCCTAGCTGCCATCTTGGATAGGTGTTCGCTGACAGAGCAATAGCATCGTCTTCTCCCGGCGACGCTTCGACGTGTGCATTCTTGACGAGGCCTCTCAAGTGCTGCTACCGGTCGCGCTCGGCCCACTCCGGTACGCGGACCGCTTCGTACTCGTCGGTGACCATCATCAGCTGCCTCCCGTCGTTCGCTCGCGACAGGCGCGCAAAGAGGGCTACGATGAGAGCTTATTCAGTCTGCTGTCGACAGCCCGGCCGGAAAGTGTAGCCCATCTCACCATACAATATCGCATGACCGAGCCTATCATGCGACTGGCGAGTCATGCGTTCTACAATGATAAATTGGTCTGTGGCAGCGCAGACACTGCCACGCAGCAACTCCAACTCCCATTGACATTGCCTTTCGCGAATGACTGGTGTTCCGTTCTTTTCAATCCAGCGTAGGCAGTCACAATACGAGTTGCAGGTCGATTGCTGACTTTTTCCGCAGCTGCTGCGTCGGATTTGTCGATACCGATGATCTACCAGCACGAGACAGCTGGCAGAGCGGCTCCTGGAATGACTTCGAATGCACGGTCGTCGTCAAGCTCATCAACGACTTGCTGGCTCGAGGTATTACTCAGCAGCAGATTGGCGTCATCACGCCGTACCGGGAACAGGTCAGACTGCTCAAATCAATGCTGGATAGTCTGCGCGGCATCGAGGTTCTGACGGCAGACAAGAGCCAAGGACGAGACAAGGACTGTGTTATCATCTCACTCGTGCGTAGCAATGAGGAGGGTAGCACAGGTGAGTTGCTCAAGGACTGGCGACGTCTCAATGTATCGATCACACGAGCGCGACGCAAGATGATACTCATCGGCTCGCGGTCCACTGTCTCGAGGATTCCATTTATCGACAAGCTCATCCGCCGTATTGAGCAGCTAGGTCAGGTCGTCAGACCGTCGCGGCTCTAGAGGGCATCTCGCCGACTCGGCTATAGCGGCGCGCGTGCTGGGTCGCCAAGCGATGAGCGGCATCACGTCGATCAGAAGCACTAGATCGCAGCCGGCGTGCGAGCTGAGCATCCCTGCTCGAAGACACGCATCGCGGACTGCTGCCGCTGTCATCTCGTCTAGCGAGAGTCGCAAGAAGCCGCGCAAAGCAGCAAGCAAGGCGGATATGAGAGGGACTGCCGGGAGGTCCGCCGTACGTGATTGACTTGACTGGTCAAGCAGTAGAGTCACTTTGCGCAGCAAGATTGCTCTCTCTGCAGGCTCAGCATGGCTGGATAGACTGATGATGTCGTGCACCCAGCCGGTTGCGCGAGAAGATCTAGCTCGCGCGCCGTCAACCAGATTGCAAGCGAGCTGAAGCTTCAGGTCGAGATCCTCGTCAGGATGACGCAGCAGCCAGGCTGTGATGGTTCTGCGTTGTATGAGTTCGAGAGCGACGCGCTTTGAGTGGCTAGCGTGCAAGACAAGCTGTACAGTCTTCCGTCGAGAGTCGGGCGAAGCAATACTGCCAAAGGATGCAAGCAGATCAAAGCCTGAACGCCTTTGCAGCGCGTGCCAATCCTGCATGTCGCAAGACTAGTCAGGATCAGCAGCTGACAAAACAAGGCGGTGCTTACTGGGTACGAGTGCAAGCCCTCTGTCAAAAAGTCCTGTAGCCATGCCGCGTCTCGATCTGGCTTCTCGCTTGTCGAGAATAAGAGCGGATAAAATAATGGCACATCATCAGCAGACAGTATCGCTCGCTGCAGCAAGAAGCGCATCATTGCTGGGTAGAGGAAAGAACCTGGAGATGCTATGACAGTAACTGCCTTCGCGAGGAAGAGAGCGAGCAGTCCGGGAGGCCGAGGAGTGTCGGAGAGATGACTCGCGTGCTCGAACACGAGCAGCAATTCTGGCTGTTCTCGGAATTCTGCTTCTTGAAGGCGCAAACGGCATCTTGCAAGGAATCGATCTCCCAACATTCTGTCTGGCTTTCGCGGGCTAGCGAGTGCGCAGATAGCAAGACCGAAAAGGCATGTGCTGGCGAGGCCAATCCAATCGCGGGCGCTTAGCTCTGAATCCTCTAGGGCTGCGACTGCAAAAGCCAGGATGAAGACAGGCTCATAAGCAGTCGGGTCCATGCTCTGCTTGCCGCCCAAAGTCTGCGTGAACGCTGCACGCATGCCTTTTCTATCCAGCCCCAGCAGACTCTGTAAAGATGACGAGCTAGTCATGCCCACATCCGGAGTCCACATCAAGAGCGCAGGGCGAAGGCTGAGCATGCGATTTCTTTCTGTGAGGCGAAGCACTTCTAGGATGGCACGGCCAGCTGGGGAGATCCGGGCATCGTAAAGGCTGACGAGCACGCTAGCGACTTCGGCGTCGTCAAGCGTTGCTGGATGAGCTGATACAAGAGCACATAGCAAAGCAATCAGTGAGCCTCGCGTTGGTTGCTCTGGTCGACAGGCGGCCTTGAATGTCGGTTGCGAAACGGCAGTCTTGAACACATTGAGAGCGTCGCTGGCCTACGCATCAAATTAGTGGGTCTGCACGGCCATATCGGAAGATCACCGACTGTGATCTGCGCACGTCGAGCGATACACGTAGCTAGCGCTACGGGTGCGGATGATGCGATCCGATGGCTTGCAACGGCCAAGAGAAGCGGCAAACAGCTCGGTCCGCTAAACAAGTAATGGTCTGGCAGCTGATCGAGCTCGCGCAGCAGACTGACGGTGAGTTTCGACGTTGCCGAGGAGTCCTCTGCTGTCTCGACGTACTGACGAGTGAGCCACTGGCTCGCGCGATGAAGATACGCTGTCAGTAGGGATCCGACCTGCGAAGGGACGTTGTGCGCAAGTGAGCCGAGCACGATGGCCAGCGGCTCAGCTGCTGTTGCAATGTCACATGATGCGATCGCGTCGACTAGCTTTGTGCACACATCCGCCGACAGAATCGGGAATTCGCGCCAGAATGCCAAGCAAAAGGTGAGTGCATCGGCTGACGAACCGTCACACACACCGTCGATGGCCGAGTAAATAGCAGAGCGCAACAGAGGAGAATCCTGGCTGAGCCGCTGCTGGGTCTTGTGGCGGAGCCAAGGACGCTGTGCGAGCAGCGCGCGCGCTAGAGGCAGCATCTCGCTGCCACCTTCACTTTGATTGAGCATCGATGCAGTGACAAGCTCTGTCGCGGGCTGACTGACGCCGATTAAGGCTGCAAGTGCTAGTCTCGTACTCGCCCGAGGGGCCTGGAGCAGCAGATGTTCGGTCCATCGTTTGGCGAGATCTGCTTGTGCTTGTCGCTCGTGCGATGCGAGCCTCGTAGGTAATGAGAAAGCAAGGGATTGACAAGCCGCAAGTAGTATTGTCTCTACGGCGATCGACGAGTGTGCGGTCTTTGAGGCGCTGACCAGCTGAAACCAGTCTTGTAGGAACGATCGCACCGCAGGCACCTCGACTGATGCGGCCAGCGCTTCGAGAGTGCCTGCAGAGAGCAGCTGGTCAGCAGATTCACAGCTGGTGATGTAGCCAATCAGTGCGTCTGATGCAATCATGGGCAAGAGTTGAGGGACCTGCCAACATCTTTAGCTCGATCTGTTGCGACTCGCAAGAATGCAGACCTCGTGGCCGAGCATGTGACACTGTTGCCAGTATACAGTGGCGACAGCACGGTCAGCGTCGCAAGTCTTGTCCAGCTGCTGTGCTACCGTATGGCACAGGGCAAGAATGTCCGTAGCCTGCATGGTCGGAAGCATCAAGAGCATGCCCGTCTGTCCAAATATTTGCAGTCTTGCGGTCGCATCTAGCGTAATATCAGGGTGCAGCAAGGCTGCCAAGCATTTGATTGCGTCTTTGACATGCTTACTTTTGACTGGCATGGTACAGCTTAGTTGTATCGCAAGCAAAGCGCGAGTCTCTGCCGGCAGAGTAGACCAATCTCGTTGGATACCCATTCCATGATGAACGCCGTTGATCGTCCAAGCGAAGCTACCGAGAGCGCTTGTTATGCAGACGAAGGGCTCGCTGGGTTCAGAGGACCGGCTGAAAAGTACGTTTGCCAGCTTGCTCAGGTCAGCCACTGGTCCAGAAGCCGGCGCCAAGTCGTCGAGGAGCTTCAGGACCGGTCGCAAAGCTCTGTTGCCGTACACGAGCCGACGATAGCCGAACAGGACTTCTGAGAGATATTTGACGAGTGCATGGGGGCAGTCCAGGTGGTAGCGGAGCTGCTCGACGCAAGTGCCTAGTAAAGGGCAGACACTGGTGGTCGCAGATGCTGCTGGGGGTATATCGTCCTCTCCAGTCTGCTGCATCTTGGTCAAGTATTTGAGGTGATCACGACTACAACGCAATATGCAACCGTCGAGAAAGCAGATGACGGCTCGTCGGCTGGTATCGCCGTCCTTGCTTATGCTAGACAGTGCCGCGAGCCATATGCGTACTTCGTCGAGTGAACTGGAGAAGGCATCGCTACGTCCTAGGACAAGATGTAGCAGTCGCAATGCGCTTGTCTGCATGGGTGAAGAAGCTTCAGCAGCCGCAAGCTCGGCAAGTTGGCTGAAAGGACTGCTTCGAGTGGCAGTCGCGCCATAAAGGCTGACCAGTGCTGGCGACGACTGTGCCATGTATGTCATAGCGTGTTGCGAACTCAGGGCTGAGAGTGGGCTCGATGCAGTGTCAAGCAGCTTGGCCGAATCGAAGCGCAATCCGCGTAAAAGCTCATGGGGATAGGTACAGAGGCAGCGCAAGATGGCATTAGCGAGCAGCGACTCGTCTTCGCTGCTGGTCGTCTGGCGTACAGGGTCTGATTGACGATACTTTGAGAGCATACCGAGCAAGACCTGGGGATCGGGCAAACGCTGGCCGAGTTCGAGGCTGAATTGCTGGCGCGCTGACGCGTCGAGCGAAGACAGTCTGCGCTGACAGGCCTGTGCGCACGCGAGCAGTAGCTGGGCACTCAAGAGTTTGACAATGCCACTGGGATGCTGAAAACTTTTTGCGAAGTACGCTCGCCCAAGTTGCGGCGGAATAGTAGCGTCCAAAATAACGGTTTGCGGTCCGCTGCCTCCGTCTTTGAGAGCAAGTGGTAACATCAGTATGCGCAGTGCGAAGCCTACGTTGATGATCCAGCGAGACGAGGGCCTTGGCTCGAGGCCAGGTGCAAGGCGAGACCAATAGCCAGCTCGAAGCGCATCAGAGTCCTGCAGCGCAGCTGTGATGATACTCTCGGCGCGATCATCGCCAAGGCGATTCTTTGACAGGGCTTGCGCAAGCATGCTGAGCGTCTTGCGTACTGCACCCGCAGAAGGGCCATGCCCAATTTTTGCTGGCCTTTGCGAAGCGAGCCAGGCAACATTCGCTAGCAGGAAGCGTTCAACCGATTCTGCCGGAACAATATCAATACCTCCGACGACTCGCTCTGGCTGGTCTCGCGCCAAAAGTGCTGCGCAGCTTTCTCTACTATCCTGGATGACGCCCAACTTGGTATCGTATCTCACGGCCGGGTCTAGTATGACGGTCTCAAACATTGTGGCCAGAACTTTGCCGACGATAGCAACATGATCGTCTGGCAGAAATTTGAAGACGTTCGAAGAGAGACCCTTCAGCGATAGGATTTCTGTCTTTAAGCCTGGGCTAGATCTTGCGAGCACTCGCAGCAAGAACGCCAGAGTGAGCATTCGTAGGTCGGGATTGGCCAAGGGATCTTTGTGAGGGGTCTTGCGCCTAGTGCTGAGCAATAAAGCAAGTCTCTTGCTATCCAAAGCCATAGTACTCCACAGCTTGCGGACAGATACTCCAGCGCAATTGACGAGCGCATGACAGAGCTCTGTGCAGACTATGTTGAGGTCGAGCCGGCCTGTAGATAAGCTCCTGCTGAGTTTGGTGAGATGCGATTGCATGAACGAGGCTACGACGGGGCCCATTGGATCCTCATCGACTGCCAAACGGCGTTTGTTCTCGACTTTGACAACGATGCAGAGACAGCGCATCGCAAGCAGGGTGACTTGAGTATGGGATGCATGCAGGCCGCTCTGCCACAGACCGAACAGTGTGGAGAAGTCGCTGCTTGCAAGCTGGTGCCAAAGCGTAGCAACATCTTCGGAGCCGAACTTTGCTTTCTCTTTGCCCTTGATGCTGATTCGGCAAGCTAGACATAGCTCGACAGACTTCAATGCAGCTGCGCATATGCTCAGATCATTGCTTTCTAGCTGTCGCAAGATGGCCCATGCATCACTGGACATGTCTTGCCAAAGACACGCCGAAAGATGTCGGCGCAAAAATGCAGATACTCAAATCGCGCGCGCGTCAAATATTGATGGAGCGCACTCGACCGAAGCCCAGCTTCGCAAAGGAGCGCAGCGTGTCTTGATTATGATCTCAAGCTCGATGGCCCAGTCTGATCACTTTTTGTTGCCTCCTGCTCATATACTGTGTTGTCTCGCTGCGCACGCAGCCAATGGCAAACTTCAGGCTTCATACAGTAGGCGTCTGTGACCAATGGCAGCATATAGCAAGACACGCAATAATTGGGAGGGGGCAGCAGACGATACCTCCTGAGACGAGGCTGACTTGCAGATTCAGGGGTGATCCCCATGCGGGTATCATGCAAGCTTCCAAGGTGTCGGTTCGCGGGACTTGCGTTGCGAAGCTACGATCGCATGGATGGTGACATAGTGATGCGAGCATGTGTGCATGTCGGGTAAATGATCTGACTCACGACTCGTACAAACTTGCAAAGAGTCGATATGCTGTCTGCAAAGCTACCAAAAGTTTGACAGCTCATGTTCAGCGATTGATCACTGTCTGAACACACCCTGAGTCGGTGCATTGCGAGTGTGACAGCGCTGTCCGTTTGCAACGGATGAACTGCCTGAATGAGAGATTCGCGCTAAGTCTGAGCGCGAGGAGTCACGTGTTTCGAACACGTGGCTCTGGTCTTGACGCGATCATGTGACCTGCCATTGCGTAGGCACGAAACGCTCTGATAGCTCGTGTGTGATTATGGCTACCTCATTTGAAGCTCTGGACGAGGTTTCAGATCGATTATACGACATTTGCGAGAAAGCTGCCAGGCTTCCGCAAAGGCTATCACATGCTCATCAGCTCGATTCGGAAGCTTTTTGCCGGAAATTTGCTTCCTCGGAAGGTTACTGGCTACTCATATATCTGTGAGAAATTGTCACTTCGGTGACTCTAAACGCCACCGAGCGAGTGTCAAGTGATCACGTGACGTTAACCTTTGACACGTGTCAATCAAACACTTTGACACGTGTCAATCTGTATGTCAGTAGGCCTTGAGGCCTTGACCGAAGACCGCTCCGCCTTCGACCGCCGAACAAACCCTTTCTCTTCTCTTTGCTTGTGATCGGTTCAAATTGATCGATGCACTGTGATGCGATCAGTAGCAGTAGTGGCCGATGACGACCAGCAGATCGAAACTTCACACGAGCATTGCACGATCAATATCCCAAGATCTGCATACTCACCAAGCAGGCTCGCGCACGCTGTGTCAGCGGACTGTGACATCCATCATCGATCGTGAGCTCAGGCGCATACGCTGTCGCTTACTTGTCTCGAAAAGTCCCGGCATGCATTGCTCGCTACTTATCGAGCCTGGAGGAGACCTACGCAATCTTCGCAGAAGCGGGTGGGGTCGTCGAGTCCATGGCGAGGCAAGGCATAACGTACGTCTCAAGACAGCGGGGCAGCATTTGGGCGGAACGCTCAGCGAGATATGAGCTCCTCAAATCGACTCGCGCGAAAACACTCAGTTGCAGTAATCGCGAGACACTCCTCGCCGCTTTGACTTCTTTCTGCGTGCATCAATTCCAAGACAATCTCTTGGAGAATTCCGCATCGGGTGTGCCGTCCGATTCTGCCCCGCGCGTTATACCAACCTCGCTAAGCTATCGTGTTCACGTTCGTGGCGTTGTCCGATTCATTTGCCGGATGTGAGGTTCGTATACAAACAATGCAACGGTGCCTTTGTACATCATGCTCTGCTCAGCACAATCTGCTCTGACAGTCAAATGGACTCGTCTGTGACTGGCGCCGCTTGCTCTAATGGATGCTGTGCGCACTGGAATGATGATGACGATCTCCAGCGTCGCTTGCAAGACCAGCTCGAATCGAGACTTTCTTCCCGTCACACGAACCGCCAGACGTCAGTGGAGTGACCTTTATGGGCTCCGAGCTGTCGTTGCCCTCGGGATCCATGCAGAACTGATCGCCGTTTTCGGGGCCGCCTGCATGCCGTGGGTGAATTTGGCAGCAGAGCAAGTGTGAATGGCTACCTTTCAGGGTGCCAGCGTCGGTGGCATAGAAATCTGTATGATGACTGCAGGGCTGAAGCAGTCCGAGAGCACCTAAAAGGCATTTAGCAACATGCTGGACTATTTGGCCATAACTGACCAGCTTGCGTACAAGACAAGACTGCCCAGCCCTCCTTCAGTAGGACCGTACGCGTGTCGGCAAGTGCTCCAGAAATGAGCGTCCAAAGCGCGAAGAGAGCTATCGTGTAGTGCATGTTGCCCACGGGACGCAGCTGCAAACGGCGATATAAGTACAGACAGAATGTCGTCAGCGACATGACACGTCTTCGCCGCAAGGTTTCATCTTGATCCGCAGAACGACGGATCAACTGAGACTCGGCGATGGGCACTCCTGTCACATACGGGAAAAGAGACCTCAGGCATCAATCATGCAGGGTATATTGGCCACGCTGTCCGCGACAGCCTGGTTGGTCTAGCTGGTTCGGCAGGAGGGTTTGAATCCGTCAAGGAGCTCAGGACGGGGCTGAAGGGCTGCGCATGTCAGTTGCATGACCAGCGCTCGACCAAGGCATACGAAAGACTCTTCGTGGCGTGCATCGATGTGCCTGCATCTTGAGCCGATACAAACCTGAATAACCGCAGACTTGGACATGTCGATTGATTCGATCCGCTCGGCTTAGGAGCTGTCGCAGACAGGCAACAGATGATGAGACCTTCTTGACACTAGCGGCGGCCTGCGTGAGTTGGGAATGTGAGAGAGCTGATGCGCTCATGGGCTGGCTTCTCGCGCTTCTCAGTCGCGTCGATCAGTCACTTCTGCGTCAGTGCCACTACCCAGCACCAGCTGGCCATCTGAGCTAATGTCGAGCGCCGAAGCCGAGTCTGAGCCGAGAACGTCTGAGCAGCCAGAAGGATCCACGGACCCAGCCGCGCAGCTTGCGAACGTCTACAGCATTCCTTCTAAGCCAGACCGGACACTGTTCTTTGAAAAGCGCAAGCAATACAAGGAACTCCAGAGTCAATGGCAGAGTGTGACAATGGTACAGACCCACTGACAAGTGACAGTCAGGTCTCATTAGCTGATCAGACAGCGTGCGCAGACGACAGAATTGCTCAGACTAGAATATCTCGACTTGGAGGCCAGGGAGGATGTCTTGCGGGACGAGCTCAAGTGCCTAGCGCTCGTCATTATTCTGTCCGTGATGCTGATGCATTCAGCAGTCTTCTGATCAGTCAATTCCAGGCGGGTGACCACGAAGTCGCCGTCGCGCTCGACAGAGTACAAGAGACACCTCAAGATGTCGAGCGACTCGTGCTCATCTCAACTTTACCGCAAGCGACGCAACCGTCTTCTCAGCCAGCTCGAGCTCGCACGGAGTCTTCAATCGCGCCGTCTCATGCTCATGTTACTCCACAGCAAGCCAAGGACGTCGAGATGCGCATCGCCTGAAGCTCAGGCGTCAAGCTGATGTACATGTTGTTTTCACTACTGCACATACGTTCGACAATACGCACGACGTGTGCAACCGTGCGGTACAAACAACAGAATGTGCGGTCTACAAATACCGGTTTGGTCTTCGCGCTTCCGTCGCGGCGGCGAGTTTGGGCGGACTGTTGACGACGCGCAATGCGCCCTTGCCACGATCTACGGCAGGCGCACTCGCTGCCAACGGCCATGATGGCACCCAATCTGGCATGACGAATGTCTTCGCTGTGCCAGTCGTACTCTCAGACGTCTCCGATGTCGTGCGCTCCATGCCAATACGAATCTTCGGAATCGCCAGGTTGTTCATTGACTTGGACAAGCCTTCCCGCCGTGTTCCCATCGGTGCAGACACAGCGCGATCTTGCTGGGGAGGCGCGTAGCCCAGAATGCTTTCGAACCAGCCCCGAGGTGCGTAGGATACTGGCGAGCCACCGACTGGCTCTTCTCGCAGCGATACCTCATGCATCAGTCCTGCTCGAGCGGCGCTTGTCCCAGATGGAGTGCGCCGTAGACCGCCAAAGCTACTGATTCGCTTATCCGGCGGCGATCGAATGGCTACAGACCCGAGATAGGGATATGAATCGACAGACTCGCCACGCGTCGAAGTGCTATCGTTCAGCTTCTGCTCTCCCACATGCCATGGCTGGTCTGACCCTCGCCGCAGCTGACTGGCAAAGTTAAAGGCGCCACCCATGGTCTTTGGGCTGACCGCCGTGTCCGGATGGTCTGCGGACATGCTCTTTTGGACCGATAAACCGCTGTCCGACGATAGATCTCTTCGAGCAGACGGACGAGTGAATTGTAGCGTCGAGACCGGCGGACGATCGCGGTCATCAGGAGCAGACACCGACTGGCCGAATGCAAAAGGACTCGTGCTCAGTCGACGGGCAAGCCTCTGACCATAGTGTCGCCTGGTCGCAAAGACGAGGGCGCCAATGAGAAGGCCTGCCATGGCCAGGCCGCCGACGGTGCCTGCAATCACCTTACTGGACGTCGTCGTCGTCGTACCAGCTGCAACTACCGGTGCGGAGCTTATCGTCGCAGTCGCCACTGTATCTGTATCCGTCGCAGTCACTAAGACGTTGCCGGGCGCACTTGAAGGTCCCTCGTCGGCAGCGGTAGATAGTACGGCAGGTGGCGTGGTAGGCAAGACCGAAACGATGCTTGTCGCGCTACTCGTCATGTGATGTGGCACTCTCGCTTTGGTGGTCAGCGCTTTGTGCGAGACGTGCGTCGCAGTCGAAGCATGAGCTGTCGCTTCGGCCGTTGATCTGCGCTCAGGCGAGATTTGACCAGGCACAAAAGTCGATCCGTACGACCATCCCTGTTCTGCGTTACCGGAGAGGAACACGATTTGACTGACGGAGGCCTCTGCAGACTTCAACTCGAGCCTTTGCACGTCGGCAGTATCTACGCCGTACGCGAACACAATCTGATGCAGACCTTGCGCATTCGTCGCATTCGATACCAGGGTAGCCGTATGCCAGGCAAGCGCAGGAAATGTGTCGTTGAGCGTCTGATTAATGGTCAGAGGCATCCAGGCCCAAGCGGAAGGGTTGGACATGTTGAGCAGATGAAAGTCTCCCATCGTGATCTCATCCGAGCCGAGTCCACCGTGCACAAGCACAGTCTTGTCAGGCAGCGCGACAGCGACATGGCCCATTCTTGGCTCTGGCGCTTGACCCGACACAGGCTACGGGATCACTTCAGCATGGCATGCTGGTAAAGAGCAGGTGCGGGCTCACCATAAGTGTCCAATCACGCGAAGAGGCATTGAAGACGAGGAGATGCTGCAACGACTCGAGCGTACCGTCGACGGCTTGACCGCCAATGAAGACGACAGCATCTTGTGCCGGCGTCGAAACGGCGGCATAGTCTGAAATTGCAGGCTTATATTGCGCCTGACTGTTGGCAAGCGTGTTGGCCTGTACGATCTCCTGAAACTTCTTCAAGTTCGGCTCTGTCTTGGCCTTGCTTGCCTTGAGCAAGACCGGCAATACCGATGGTGTCTTCAGGGCCGCTGCTCTTATGGTGACGCTGCTTGTCGCTGCTTCTGTCGCTGACGCCTGCAAACCGGTGCGATCTTTGATTATCGAGGCATCGCGAGACTGATCGACAAGGACGCTCTGTGGCAGCGCGGTTGACGACATCGTCGCGTGGGTGACTGACGTTGCACCATCGCCAGAGCTTGCAGACGCAGAACTGACCACATTCGGCGCTGACAGCAGTTCAAACGGTATGCTCTCGATCGTGCCGTTGTCGGCGTGATAGATATCGATGCCGAGATAGCCAACACGATCAAGCGAACACGTGTAAGGCTCAGCAATACCGCCGTAGACGTAGACCGTTTTGCCCCCGTCGAGCGCGACGGCCTGGTTTTGTCGTCGCCTAGGCGGTATATATGTTGTATTACTGACGATCGATGCTTGCCACTGCGGAGCGAATGATGCAGCGGTGTGCGAGCTGCTGGCATTGCTCGTGTCAAGGGAATATATGAGCGCGTCATTATTGCAATCTTGCGTGAGACCGCCGACGATATAGATTCTCTCGTCCTCTCCCAGCGCTATAGCTGCGAAGGCGTGTGGCGTCAAGCCTTCTTCCCAGCCTCGTGTGCTCTCATTCGCCATTGTCAAAGGGCTGAACGGCAGCGTTGCGGACGCATTGGCTGCACTTGCATACGATTTCGAGAGATCCAGCAGGGTGACCTCGTTGGTAATAAGGCCCTGCTCATCCTCACCGCCGATGAGAAGCAGAGATTGACGACTCGGTAGGTACACTGCAGAATGACCATAACGGGATTTGGCCGTTGTCGCGGTAAGGGGCCGATCATGTTGGACATGCGACGCATTCGCTGTCATAGGCCACGAGTCTACCATTGCTGCGCTACCGAGGGCATCCTGCAGTACGCTCGAAGCTGATACATTATTTGCGGGCGTCTGAGTGTCATTGATGCGATGAGGCTCGACAAAGTCAGCGGTATCGACCGCCGTCGCATTTAGCGCATGAGATGTGGCGCCGTTGTGCGTCGAGGCTAATCTCACCGCCAGAGGCTGAGCTGTGCGAATCTTGGCCTTTGGATTGCTAGCTGCCAGTACATGTCCGTTTGCTTTGAAGGCGATCTGCGTCGAGGCAGCGTTCGATGTCGGCAAAGCACACAAGCTGACCACAAGTCCGCTGATAAGCTGGCGACTTCGCTTGCGCATGCCTGACACCTGAGCTCGCAGGGAGGGGCACCGCTTGTCCGAAGAGTACCGGCTAGGCTGCGGCGCTGCAGTTGCGTAGAAAATCAACTCACGCGTCACGCGAAATTAGACTCGTGACTCGTGTCGCGTGACGAGGCTGCTGTGAGTAACGATAGGACCAGGCAGGCTACATGGCTGTCGAAGAATCAGACGAAGAGCTTCTGGTCGTAGCATCGCCGAGTGAGCAGCTTCCGATGCGTCTGGCAGCTGGACAAGCTGAATCCTAACGAATGCAGAGAAACAGAAAGCAGCACCTCAGCATGCCTTGGTCTATGCGTCAACGGCACGGAGGGCGCCAGGAGCACATCACACTGATGTTGCCTTGCCGCGAATAGCCCAGAGCCGGTCTTCAGAGCTTGCACGAGCGCTCGCAGCCGAGCGAAAGCCTCGCGACCTCACGGACCGACGTGACAAGCGTGCGTCACTTGCCCTGTTCTGCTCCTTGCAGTGTGCTCAACGCGATCCAAAGCAGCTGCATCATCCTTCTTGGCTGCATCTACAAAGGTGCATACTTTACTAAAGCATCAGGAATTCCGACGCAATGCATCTCGCGCGACGTCCTTTGGTGAACCAGCTGCAAGGAGGCACCGGCGTATATTCCAGGCAGACGAGCAGCCTCACGCAAGCACGTCGCGTGCCACGCAAGCTGACCGTCTTCCGTCTCAGCCATGCTCACCCGACCCAGCGCGTCAGCGTGGTGACGATCTCACACTCGTCGAAGATCTCGAGCCGTGTCCCCTTCCTCATAGGCAGCGTCCAGACGATCCAGACTATCAGCAGATCGAGCCTTATTCGGGGATCAGATTGCGGGACCGCATACTCGCCCATGCAGAGCTCGAGGAGCATCTCGAAGATCGGTTCTACCTCTCACCACGGCGGATCTACTCGATGGTGCGCGAAGTGCCTGGCCGTGCCGGCCATCTCGATCTGCCTATCGAACGCGACTGGATCGTCATCGGCATACTGTGCGAAAAGAGTCCAATCAGGATGACAAGTCAGATCGGCGATATAAATCAGCCCGCACAGGATGAACCTGCCGACGAAGAGCTCGACGAAGTATTGGGCTCTGCTGCTGGCAAGGGACGCAGAGGCAATGCATTGCAAGCAAAGCAGCGGACGAAAAAGTCCAGGCGATACATCAGCTTCAAGTTCGTTGACCTCGGTTCACTCAATGCGGGCGGTGGAGAAGGCGTGATGAATGTGCAACTCTTCGAGGCCGAGCATGAGCTCGAGCATCGATCAGGACACTCGTCGGACGAAGAGCAAATTACCGCCAAAAGATACCGCATCCGAAAAGAGACGTACTCCCGCGATGGCCAAGGCAGGAAAGGTCAGATCCAGAAACGGCATTATACTGGCGGCAGTGGCGGAGCATACGAGGCTTTCTGGAAGGCGCAAAACGGCACCGTCGTCGCAATTCTCAATCCGAACCTTAGGCGACAGCGTCCGGTGAGCTCTTCTCTCGCATCAGTCTTCGGGCGCTGATAGAAGCGCAGCTACCGGGCAGGCCAGATACAAAGATGATCATGCTCTCGCCAGAGAATGCTACATCTGTGCTGCTCATTGGTCACGCCAGAGACCTCGGCGAGTGCGAAGCGACTAGACGAGACGGCCAGCCTTGTACCGCCTGGTGTGATCGAAGAGCCCACCCGGTCTGCGACTTCCACCTCGAGAGCAATCTTGCGAAGCAAAGAGCAAGACGGCCAGAGTTCTCTACGGGTAATTCAGGAATGTCCACAGGCCTCACACGTGGCAAAGCTGCTCGAAAGGGCGCCGTCAAAGGCGGCGGCAAGCTTGGCTTTGGGCCAGCACGCGAAGACGACAAGCCCGACTATGCGAATAAGACTGGCTTGCTGCCTCGCAATAACAAAACCGTCATCGAGGGGGTGACGACCTTTGTCATGGCCAGCTCGCTCACGGAGATGCCCAAGCGACGCCGCTTTGGCGAGTCGACCTACTCTGAGCCTTTAGACCCAAGCTCGAAAGAAGCGAAGAAACGTCGCCACGACCAATCAGAGAAGGAGATTCGTCTTAAAGAGGGATTCGCAGAGATGCTCAAAAATGACCGCGGTTCGATTGGCGCTCAGTACTTGCGAGAGGTCCAAGCGAACAAAACCGCTCGGTCTGAGGGCGCTGCGCCGACCACTGCAGCTCAGGAAGATCAAGCGCAACTAGCAATGCAGCGAGAGCTCAAGCAGCGAGTCTACGATCCTACGAAGCTCCGCATGATGGGCTTTGATCCCGTCGCCGACAAACACACAACCAGAAGTTTCGTCGATCCAGAGTCTCAACAAGCTCAGGTTAGTGCAGATGAGGATCGAAGATTGATTTGTCTCATCGTGTGCCCGTGCAGAGCAAAGCAATGGCAGCGCTTGAAGCCAAGCGAGCCAAATCCAGGATCAACCCTAAGCTCAATGCGCCGCCCACGAGGGTCTCAAATGTGCGTGCACCACTAAGCCCGGTCACTCCTGCCGAGCTGCTTGTTGAGCTGTAATGCAATGCTCAGCACATTGCCAGGGTCGCCAAGCGAGATCAGCCGTCCGCTGTCCGACAGCTGTGCTGCGAAGCCACAATGGCGCTCTCGCTCGCGTCATGTCTCGCAAGCGTTGCAGCATGTGCAGCACTTGTGAAATCTTGCCATGCAGGGCGACTGACGAGACGGTCTCATGCGAAATGTATCCCGTGCCTGTGGAAGTCTGCGAGCAAGCTGAGAAAGTCTTCGACGCCCATCTTGGCTCCTCTGGTCTGCGCGAAGCCACTCTCGCTGAGGATCGTCTCTAATAGCTCCGCGATGTCAAAGTCATTTGGCAAGCGCTGTTGACTCGAAGCTGCAAGGTCAGCGCATCGACGGAGACGCGCAATGCATGCGGCTTGCCTTGTTCTGTTGGCTGTACCAGGCTTTGTGGTTCGACTCGAGCATCTCCTTGACGCCGCTAGCTTGAAAGGTGGCTCTGACGATCTTGTTGCGTCTCGCGAAGATGATCCTCGTCAAGCCGTCGAACTCCTCAAACCGTATCGGCGGGGGAGGATCGATGGGCACAATACGGACGACGGATGACTCGACTTTGGGCGGCGGTCGGAAGTTGTTCTTGCCGACTTTCATGATATGGTCCACCTTTGCAAAGAGCTGTACATTTGCGGAGAGCCGGTTCCAGAGATCGTCGCCAGGCTTTGCGACGAGGCGCATGGCAAACTCACGCTGGAACATGAGGATGGCCACGCGAAAGAGGGGTCGTTGAGCGAGTAGCTTGAAGACTAGGGGCGACGAGATCTGCCTTGCGATGGTTACGCGACCCTAGGAGTGAGGTCTCGAAGAACGATGACTGACCTGATAGGGCGTATTGCTTATGCAGACGTCAAAATAAGGCAGCTCAGTTTTGACAAAGTCGCCGACAAGGATGTCAAGCTTGCGCTGTTCCGGTCTGCTTGCACGGTCATCGGACACCCCCAGGGCTATGACGGACGCGGGAGAGGCTTACTTTCCCTGGACTCGCTTTGTGAGCTCTGCCGCCATGCGTGGGTCCATTTCGACAGCGAGACAGTGCTTGCAGACTTGGAGTATCCTCACTGTCAAGTTGCCCGTGCCGGGCCCCACCTCGAGCACGCTGTCCGTACTGCGCAGAGAAGCTTTATCGACGATACCTTGCGCCACCAAAGGGTTCTTGAGGATGTGCTGGCCAAACTGAGCGGTGTTGAAGAGAGGGTTCTTGTTAGCGTTGGCATGACCATCGTCTCGCGCCTTGCCTTTACCCTTGCTGGCCGACACGGGCTGGATGCTCGCCGCTGCTGTGTTGAACTTTGAGCTGATCGCTCTCGGCATGTCTGTCGGCGAGGACTGGATGAGCCGGCCGTCGAGAGAAAGCTGCCTGCAACAGTGCCTGCAGCAAATCAATAAAATCAGTCGCGACTGGCGACACGAGCAGATCGAAGAATGCCGTCGGGTGTGCAGTAATGTACAACATAGGGCGCTGCGCCTATACGACTGGCCTGCCCTGGCATGCAGCTCACTTAGCCAGACCTAGTGCTCTGGCTCGATCGGGATCTGTGAGAGGCTCTTCAGACTGACGCAGAGGCAATGCAAGGCGAACAGAGAGAGACGTACGCATGCCCACGCCTGAGCCAGGTGTTGTCTCGGAGGGTAAGCCATTCGCAGGCGGCAGCATTGTCGGAGCCAAATTGACAGACGACAGGGCCGGACCGGCATTGAAGCTGAGGGGAGGGGCACCGTAGCCTGCAGGGGGACCGCCGCCGGCCATGGGTGCGCCATAGCCGGCAGGAGGTCCGCTGCTGCCGAAGCCGTTCATGCCCATGGGTGGTCGCATACTCGGCGGGGGAGCCATGAGACCTGGCATGCCCATCATACCTGGCGGCGGGGGTGGTCTGCCTGGGATGGGCTGGCCTCTTTCGATGGCGTGGAGGATCTTGTCGATCATCGTCTGGATATCATCTGTACCCAATGCTGTCGAGATCGTCCACAGATCAGCGCGAGCAGCACGACAGGGAGCAGGAGGGACGCGGACAGGCATAGTAGTCTTTGACGTTGGTGAGATGATTCCTGCCCGAGTTGTGAGCATGCCGCACTGTTTGAACGGCGTCGGAATCAGTCGATGCACGCTGTGGCTAAAACCTCGTGAGCACCAACCTGATCGACTGTCTGTCGAGCACAGAGCAGCGTGTCAGCATGGACGGCGTGACAAGCACGAGGCGAGACTTGCCATGGGTAAGAAAGATGTCGCAGTAGTCGCAGTAATGCTGTCGGCGGTAGCAAGTCAGCAAGCTGTACGACTAGCGCAGAGGATGGGAGCCGACTGACCCTCGGCATGTCTGTCGGATGCAACGGCCACCGACGCTTGCTTTGCTCGTCACCGCTGCCTCGTCGCGGCCCAAATAAATTCAGAGAGAGGGTCGGCTCCGGCGTGTGACAAGACTTGTGTGGCCGTGCAATGGCAGATGGGCTCGCAGATGCAGGCGTGCAAGAGCCGGTGAGTAGCTCTTCTGCCGGAGCCGCGTTCCGAGGCTCATCAAACGGCCCTACGCTGCGCAGTTTGACCTGATCAGGCTCAGTCTGAGCGAGAGAGTCTTCATCAAGCTACGCGGCGACAGAGAGATCAGAGGGGTACTGCATGTCTGTCTATCTGCCACAGCGGCCTCGCTCGAGAACTGACACGCGCAGTCAGGCATACGACCAGCACATGAACATGATCCTCGGCGAGGTCGAGGAGACTCAGACGATCGTCGACTTGGACGAAAGCGCGGCTCAGCCGGTCGGCACGCTGCGGGCAAGCTTTCTCGCTCTCGCTTGCCTGGCGTGCAAGGGCTCATCGTAGTGCGCACGCAGCAAGTGAAGAGACAGATCGATTGCCTATTCGTTCGTGGAGACTCTGTCGTCCTCGTAAGTCATTCCTTCCTCGGGCGTAGAGCTCCCCGCTGCGCCAACGTCGAGCGCCTTCATGTGACTCGTCACTAACTCTAGCTTGCCACTCGGCGCTCTCTTCCAGGTCTCTCCCCCGGCGCGGTGATCTGTACTGCTGCTCCCTCGCCGTTCGGGCGTCACACTCTGCGAATGCATGGGCAATGCCCGCAATCGATCGACAGATGAGACTCCGTGAAGCTTGCTCCCTTCTACCGGCCTGCCTGGCTCGCTAGCCGGGATGAGCCACTCGGGATCAATCGTGCCGTCGAGCAGCCAGGATCGATAGTATACTGCAGTCTGCGCCTGTATGAGCCTCGCTCGCGGCTCGTGCGTGAAGCACACACGAGCAACGGAAGCGGCAGAGGCACCCTGACACTCTTGCCCGTCTTGAACTGAGCCACAATCGTCGCTACAGCCTCATTCGCGCGCTCGTATTCTGCCGTGCCTTTGGCCGCTTCGAGCAGTCTCGCGAGCTCGGCAAGGTCCTGCGCTCCCCTGGCCTTTCTGGCGGCAGCGTCATCCTGAGCCCCCTTGAGCGGAATCGTGGCCGCCTCAGTCAGTCCTCACAAGCCCCTTACCGCTCGACCGCACTCTGCCACACTCTCAGAGCGCGACTTGCCTTGCCCGTCCTCGCACTCAAATTTTTGTCGACTGCTCGGCGTACGATCAGGCCTGAGCCTACCATGTCTCGGCCAGACGAGTATGCTCGTCAGAGCGCCCATGCAGCAGAGCCGCACGCAGGGTCAGCAAGCGAGGACGGTCAAGCTGTAGCGCTCGCCTTACCTAGGCGGTCAAAGCCAACTCATTCAGCCGTCTGGTCCCTCTCCGCTGCCCCTGCTTCACCAGCGCCTGCTCCTTCTGATGGTCAGACGACTACGCCCGTACCGGTGACAGTCTGCGACAAACACAATCGGCCTGATCGCGTGTGCTGTCGCGAGCTGAAGGGAGACGACGAACGTACCTTAGTCGACCCCGCCGTCGTCAGAGACGTCATCATCGGTCTGTCAGATGGACTGACAGTCCCCTTTGCTCTCACTGCCGGCCTTGCCTCCTTGGGATCCTCAAAACTTGTCGTCGTCGGCGGACTGGCGGAGATCATCTCGGGCAGCATCTCAATGGGAATCGGCGGATTCTTGGCTTCTGAGGCAGAAAGAGACCACTTTCGCTACCTGCGCAAGACAACACAGGAACGTGTCAAGCGGTCTTGTGCCGGCGAGATGGAGAGAGAAGTCCACGAGGGTTCGTCGCAAACCTCTCTGCCCGTTTAAGACGGAAGCCCCCGCTCACACGACGCTGCAGTGCTGGGGCCAGTCGGCATAGATCAGAGCCTATCTCGGAGAGTAGCCTCTGCGCTCGCCAAAGTAGAGACCCAGTTCGATTCGTCTGCATCTGAGGAGGATTCTCAACACACCGCAGTCAACGCCGAGCCGTCCATGTGGCGACATATCATGAAGACCCTCTCGCGGTCCCCAAAGTCAGCTTTGGGTGACACCGAGTCTGCAAACGGCAATGCGAAGCTCAGATTCGAGGAAGACGTCGGCCTTACTGCCTTTCTGCTCAAGGTAGACATAGTAGCTACCTGCGAGATCCGCACCTGCTGATGCTTGCCGCAGTTCGGCGAGGGTCTCGAGGACGTGCCAGACTCCCGATTGTACATCTCTGCCCTCACCATCGGCGCGGGCTATGCAGTCGGCGGTCTGATTCCCATGGTGCGCTCGCTCGCGTCTGTAGACGACATTGACTGATTTGTCCCCAGATACCTTACTTCTTCGAAGCGAATGCCAAGATTGCGCTCATCTATTCGATCGTGAGTACTACAGCACGTCCAGATGGGTTCCAGCTGACACTGTCCGCCGCGGTAGATCGTGACAGCCATCATCCTGCTCGTTTTTGGCGCTTTCAAGGCATACTATACCGGCGCAAAGATTGGCTTCTTTGGCTACCTACGAGCATCCGTATCAACCTTCCTCGTCGGCGGCCTGGCAGCTGCGGCCTCTTTCGGCATCGTGCGTGCGCTAGAAGGCGGAGAGGGTTCTGACGAGCCTACTCGACCTCACTCGTCTGTGCTGCTCAGGTCTGCTGGCCTATAGACAGCGTCACAACTCATGTGTACATCCCCGCTTGTCGCACGCTGTACTCGCATCTATGCAAAGACGTCCTCGTGAGCAGATGTATGTCGATACAGGCAGATTACATGGCGGGACGGACGCTATAGTCTCGCAGATGCGTGCGGCGAATCGGAGCTCTCATCGTCCGTGTCCTCGCCGAGATCGATGACCGAAGCGTGCAGAGAGTCGATCTGCCCAGGCGCGAATTCGCGTCGTCGTGAGCTTGTATCGCTCTCGTTCGAGCCGACCTCGAAGACTTCGCTCTCGTCCAGCGGTAGCCAGGATCCGTCGCTACTTATCCCATCTGACCCTTGCGACGAAGAAGTCCTGGCAGGCTGGAGAGGTGGCCATGCTTCGGACACGAGCGAGCCTGCTGATGAACGTGACGCCGACGTGACTGAACGGAAGAGAGGCGATGATGAGCGTGATCGATCCGGCTCGTTCGTTGCTAGCAGGTCTTCCTCCGGCGTTGCATGCTGTCGCGTGCATCAGCCCGAGGGGTGCAGCACAGCAGGTCAGGTTGCCTACATCCTGAGTATCACGACGGCGCAAGTCGCCCATCTCGTGAGCCTCGACCCAATCAACGCCAGATGCAGTCCCTCTTGGCTGACCGGCGACCTCGCTCGCGTCCTCGTGCTGCTTATCGCTCGATGGCTGCCTTGCCTGCTGAAGATCATGCCATACCGCGGCGTGATAGGCAGCTTCGGCTCGCTTGCGGTCGATATACTCTCGCACGGGATCTTTGAGCAGGAGGGCTGCTATCCCCAGTGTAGCTGCTCCGCCGATGATGTAGACAGCGATGGGTACCGGCATCTGAGCTCGTGGCTCGTCCACTGGTGAGGCCCTGCTCGCCGCCCAGCCAGCCAAGCGCGGTGGCGATGACGACGATAATCGTCGGCAATGCGCACAATCCTCTTTGCCGCCGCACTACCGACGATCAGCTTGCTCCAGCCTGTCCGTCTCGTAGCCGCATCTGCCCGCTTCCATCAAGCTCACTTTGCAAGCATGTCAGCCTCACCTCAGTCGAGTCCCAAGCCGGCGAGCTTCTACGATTGTGTCGTGAAGATGCCTGGGGGTAAAGAGCTCAGCATGGCAGACTACAGAGGCAAGGTCGTCCTCGTTGTCAATACCGCAAGCGCATGTGGCTTCACGCCCCAGTACACCGCTCTGCAGCATCTCTACTCAAAGTACAAAGATCAGGGTCTCGTCATCATCGGCCAACCCTCGAACGAGTTCGGCGGCCAGAATCCAGAGGTAAGCCGCTTGTCGTACTCATCCGACGTGAAATGACAACGACGATCACAGGGAGACGACGGAGAGAAGGGCACCGCAGCGCTCTGTCAGCGCAACTACGGCGTCGACTTTCCCATCGCAGCCAAGGGCACCGTCAACGGATCGGGCGCAGTCCCGCTCTTCGCTTTCCTCAAGTCACAAAAGAAGAGCCTCGCGCTCGAGCGAATCAAATGGAACTTTGAGAAGTTTCTCATCCGCAAGGACGGCGAAGTAGCAGCGCGTTATACCAGCATCACAAAGCCCGAGTCACTCGAGCCAGAGATCATCAAGCTTCTCGCAGAATGAGCATGCGCATCCCACGCAATCGTCAGTGTTGTACAAGCGAGCAGTCAGCATGATCAAGGATGTATCACAGTGCCGCATGCAGTGTCTACAAGATAGAGTATCGGCCCGTAGCCTGACCGGGACCACGCTGCTCTGCTTCCATAGACGCAGTCGAGGCTTCGATGAGGATTCGCTTGATCTCGTTGATAGCCGCACGGACTTTGGACTCGTCGTTGGACTCGACGAGCAGGTGAAGCTTTGGCTGATCGAGCGGCCCGGGTTCCTTGCCTTTGTCGTAGAATACGCCCTTGTTTGTGATCGATGCCCCCGTTTCCTCGATGAGCTGTACCATTGTCTCCTTGTTTGTGACCTTCCAGCGAGTCTTCTGGCTGTAGTCATTGATAGGAATAGACGCGTGAAAGTCGGTTGCATCCGGATCTCGTCGTCGGATATCATCACTTCTGGCGCCGCCGTGCAGTTCGGTCTTTCTGTCCTTGAGGAAGCGGTTGAAGTTGGCAGCGATGAGCTGAGCGCGCTCGAGAGCAGTAGCCCCTTTGTTCGAGCTCGCGACCCTCTCGGCAGCAGCCATTGCTTCCGCTTGGTCTACCACTCGCGGCGCAACAGGATCTGGTGCGGGTCCACGCTTGATCTCGACCTCAATGTCCGGCACGACGACGGTAGCTTCGCCAGCCGGCTTGGCGGCACCGTCCTCAGCAGGCTCGCCGTACGCATTCCTTTCTGCGCGATTCTTGGCATCGCGTTCAAGCTCGAATCTGTCGAGTCCTTTGCCGCCGAAGCCCGAGCTTGCAGTCGTTGCATTGCCATCCTTGACCTTTTGCAGAAAGTCAGCTGCCATCTTCCTGAGATCGGCAGGCACGGGCGCGTTGCTGTTCTCAAGCGCCTTGACGAGATCCATCGAGTATCGATCTTGGTCCTTGGTGATGAACGTCACGCAAGTGCCCTTGTTGCCGGCTCGGCCAGTACGACCTGCACGATGCACATAGTCCTCGAGATGATTGGGACAGTCGAAATTGACGACGAGCTTGAGGCCTTTGACATCCAGTCCACGGGCAGCGACCGACGTAGCGACGACGACTTGGAAGATGCCTTGCTTGAACTGAGCAATGACATCGTCCCGATCGACCTGGTCTTTGCCGCCATGAAGTGACGCTGTGAGATACAGTCGTTTCGAGAGTCGCTGAAGCAGATCGTCTGCTGCTTCTTGTCGATCGACAAAGACGAGCGTCTGTGCATCTTTGTCGTCATTGGTCAGTCGTCCGAGCAGAGCAAGCAGTCGCTCAAACTTGGCATCGTCTTCGACAACTTCGATGATCTGTTCGATCTCTGCAGCGACGACGGATCGACCACCGACGGTAATCTCGAGCGGTTTTTTGAGCACCTTGCGCGCAAGCGCTTCCATCTGGCGAGGAAAGGTAGCAGAGAACAGAACTGTCTGACGGTCCGGCCGCACTTGACTGATGATTTTCATGACCTGAGGCTCGAAGCCCATGTCGAACATGCGATCTGCTTCGTCAAGCACGAGATAGGTGATTCGACGCAGGTTGACTAGTCTGCCGGAGTTCGTGCCAAGCAGCTCGATCATGCGGCCTGGCGTGCACACAATGACCTCTGCACCCTTTTTGAGATCGTTGATATTGTCCTTGAGTGGAGAGCCGCCATATGAACATATTGCCTGCATTCAGATGAGCCGAGTACGCTTAGCCAAGCGGACATGACGCACCCTGAGATTGAGAGCCTTGAGGAATGGCTTGCATTCGCGATAGATCTGATTGGCGAGCTCGCGTGTGGGCGTCATGATCATCGCGATCGGTCCCTCCATCATCTCAAGCGGTCTTTGATCTTTGATGTGTCTGAACATGGGCAGCAAAAAGGCAATCGTCTTACCACTGCCGGTCTTTGCAACTCCGATCATATCGCGGCCCGACATGATGCTCGGTATCGCTTGCGCCTGGATCGGCGTCGGACTGGCGTAATCGAGCTGGCGGATGACATCAAGGCAGATAGCAGGCAGACCGCAGTGACTCCACTTAGTGATAGGCTTGGGATAGTCGGCGCCTCGTATTTTGATCGCATCTAGCTCGCCTCGGAGCACAGTCGCTTCCTCCTCGGTCATTGCTGCGATCTCTGGCGGCGGATGGTAAAATGCCTTGCGGAAGGACTCGTACTTTATACGTGAGTGATCGACAGGCGCGAGATCTTTCTTCTTGAGCTTCTTTGCCGCCAAGCTGCGATGGAAGGGTCAGCTCAGTGTCTACGAGTGCAAGCATGTTACGCACGCCAGGATGTCCTCGGGTCGCAAGCCGGCCTTTTCATACTCGTCGGGCTCTCCATCATCGTCGCCAGCATCCTCGTCGAGGTTCATGACGGTCTCTTCCTTGGGCGGAGGTGCACCGCCAAGACTACGAGCGATGTCGGAAGCGTTGACTTGCTTGACCTGCTCGGTGACGCCGGTCATGAACGCGTCAAGAGGATCGATCTCGTCGTCCTCTTCAGGCTCGGTCACGGACACTGTGGGAGCGCTTTTGGTCTCCACAGGCGTGACCTCCTTCGTCGGCAGGTCGATTGACATTGCCGATTCTTCTTGCGGGACGTCACGGGCGGTGTCGACATTGTCCAGGCCAGACGCGAGCGCTTCTTCGGCTTGGCGACGAGCTCGGGCGCCGGCTGCGGCCATGCGCTCCTCCTCCGTCTCACCAGACTCGCCTACTTCGTCATCGTCGTCCTCGTCTATACCTGCTCCAGTATCTTCGCCAGCCGCGCTGTGATCCATAGCAGGCAGGCTTTCGGTAGCGTCGAGGTCAGGTTTGTACATGGTCGAGCGACGCCGCTCAAGCTCTTCGTCATCTTCGTCCTCCATGCCAATGGCCGTCTTGCGCGCCTTTGCTGATGAGCTCTTGAAGCCGATGGGCTGACTCATCTTGGGCGCAGCGCCATTCGTGACTTTTTTTGGGGCGGCTGGAGGAGGCAAGGGTTTGGGAGTAGCTGGCGGGGCCCCGGCAGACGTGGCCGGTGTGGGCTTGCTCGACAGGGGAGCTGGCGATGCAGCCTTTGCAGGCGGCGTGTCTGTGCCTTGTGAGGTCGGTGTGCCGACGACGTTGGCTTTGGCGGCAGCCTGCTTGAGCTTCCATGCCTGTAGCTTCTCGAGCCGCTGTCGCTGACGCTTCTCTTCCTCTGTTTCCGTGCTGGGTGCAGCGGAAGGGGCAGGCGGGGATCGTCTCGCTCTATCGTCGACGACCCTTGCAGAAGGAGCGACAGGCGAGCGTGACCGGCGTGATGAGCGGTGGCTGTCGTGCCTCGAGCGATCGTCATCAGCCGCACGGTCTCTGTCTCTCTCTCTGTCGGGATAGTCATCGTCTCGGTGTCGCTTCCTCCTACGCTCGTCTGCAGCATCCCGTTCTCTGGCGGTAGGTTCAGGCGACCGAGCGTGGCGTGAGCTTCTCGAGCTGCTGGCATGTCTGTCGTCTCTCAAGCGACGATCATCGCTGTCTCGGGGAGGACCATCATAGTCTTCGTCGTAGCGCGACCTACGTAAGTGAGGATCTCTGTCTGCCGAGCTGCGACTGCCGGATGCCTCACTGCGGCGATGCTCTCGCCTGCCACCGTCGTTCCCTGTGCGCGTATGCCCAGAGGGTGACGTGCGCCGTCTGCTACGCTTGTAGGAGTCCTCTGACGGGTCGGGTGAGCGATCATAGGCCATGCCGGGTCGACCCAAAGTTCTGCCCGCCGCTGGTCGTCGCGCTCTCTTTGCTTCCACGTGGCAGCGCCGTCATCAGGTCGTTCGGTATACCCATCACCTTGCTCACCGTCGACGAGATGCTCGACCGTCTGCGGGGCTACTTCTATGACAGGAGGAGGGGGTTCGCCATCGCCTCGGCCAGCCTGGGCGGAGTCTACCTGCTGGCACAGTATGGCTTCAACAAGCTCTCTGAGATGCAGGACAAGATCATGACCGACCGTGCCCAGCGTGAGAAGTACGTCTTGACAGCATTGACAGCACAGGTCTCCTTTCGTGGGGATTGGCTGACCACTGATCACGCAGTCTACGCCGACGGTTTCAGCAGAATCAGGAGGACTGCTCGTTCACCGTGCTTGCGCTCTTGCCGACGCTAGGCAATCAAATTCTCGAGAGCATGGACGTCGAGTCGCTCACTCACACCCTCGCCCTCAAGACACAACGTGAGAAGCAGCGCCAGGCTGAATCTAGCCAGAACAGGGTGCCCTCTGATAGCACAGTGCTCGTCGAGCAAGATCCTCCCAAATCTGCGCCGAACGGTCTGCCACAACCCGAGCCAGCCTCAGCGGAACCTGCTGGGAGCACGAGCGATAGCGTCAAGCCAGAGATTCCGCTCAACTCGCTCATGCCGACCTCGGTCTTTGCTGAGAGCGCTCACGGTCTCGTGCCGCCCGCGCAGACCATCGGCCTCGGCGACTCGATGGCTTCACTCGACGCAGAGGCACACCGTCAGAGCGCAGCCTTGACCGAGCAGCCTACCCCTGCGCCGACGACAACAGACGCAAAGCTAGTCGACGCCCCCGAAGAAGAATCCGAGCCAGAACCCATCGAGGACCCGCGGAGCAAACTCGAGCTCTGGAATGCTATCAAACTGCTCGCATTCGCAAGATCGATCAGCTCGCTCTATGCGGTCTGCTTGCTCGCTCTGCAAACCCATATCCAGCTCAACCTGCTAGGGCGGTACAACTACGTCTCCTCAGTACTTGAACAGGCAGGCTCCGGCACGCTTGATGACAGCCAGAAGAGCTTTCAGGGTCTCTCGACGCTCTTCAGCTCCGATTCGTCTGCGCGCAAGCCTATCGGCATCAGCGCGATGACCGAACAGCGATATCTGACGTTCAGCTGGTGGCTGCTCCACCGCGGCTGGCCACAGATCACCGAGCGCGTCCAGTCTGTAGTCGATGGCGTTGTCGCAAGGTGAGAAGCAGCAGCCGGAGAGCAGCTGCACTAGATCTAACGTTGTGTGCAGCATACCACTGAAGAGGCAGATCTCGTTTGGAGAGACTGACCAACTACTCAAGCAGATACGACGAGCAATAGAATATGAAGATGACGACGACACGCCGCACACGTTCCTTAGTGCACTCTTTCCTGACAATGAATCTGACGAATTAGAAGTCTTGCGGCAAGGCGGTCTGCCCGAGACAGAGACCTTCATCGACGACGAACTGAGAAGCCTGCTAGACGAGACGCAAGACTTTGTCGAGTCGCCCGACTTTGTCTACGTACGGCGGCAATGCCTCGATCTGCTCTTCTCTACCTTTCTCAACTCACTCTCTGGTTCCTTCGCGACGACAAAGCCAAGCGCACACAAGCAGGCCGACGCGCCTGCGGGCAATGGCGCGTTTGCGCATCCCCTTCAGACACAGCATGAGGCAGATGGCGCTCAAATCACAGACATCACAGACAAGACAGCGCGACTTGCCAGCCTCCTACCCGTCATCGCGCGCCAATCCCATATGATCCTCAACAGCAATCCCAACGAATATGCTGAATCCATCTCGGATGTCAAGGAGCTCAGCGAGCTATCTGCCATCGTCTACACCTCGTTCGAGCGTAGCGTGTTGTCACAATGACTGCAGCAGGATGCCGCATGCCCTGGCATGATCGTGCACCAAGATCAATCGACGCGTGACCCGAGACGCGTCGCGTTGAATGATCGAAATCAACTTTGTCAACCTCGGCCCAGGCATTTTCACGGTACCAGAGCATTGCTTAGAGGGCGCAGGGCAGCCTAAACACGACTGCAGAGCATTTGAAGAGGAGCCAGGCACCTTTGACAGGACTTGGACACCTCCCACGAGCTCGCAGAGTGCATCGGGGGTCAGACTGACTCGCCGTTTGCTCCTTCATGCTGATCCCTGCGAGTCTGCAGAATGCACGCTTAATCGAAGTAACACTACTTGTTCGGACTACAAGACATCGACATTGGCCAGCTGGCCTGCCACTTTCATTACGACACCACGCACTATCTTGGCTCATTCGGCCCACCCAACTGTTACCGCTACCACCGCAGCACGCCGCACGCATACACCGCGGTATATCATCCATCACACACACGCATACGCACAGCAAACACAGCATAGGCAAGCGCCTCGTACATTAAACTGCGATTGGCTCACGAAGCGGCAAGAATAGATGCCCACCTCGCTTGGCAAATTGGCGCTGGTCGTCAGTCTCGTGCTAGAATCAGCATGGCTGGCCAGTCCAGTCATAGCACAAGCACCGACAATCGTCTATGGTCTGCAGAATCAAAGACCGCCGGTCGCGCGCCCCGGACTGCCATGGTCATTCACGCTATTGCCAGGCACTTTCGGACAGTCCAACGTCTCGCTCACCAGCTTCGGGTGTCCGTCCTGGGCCAGCTTCGACGAGGCAACCGCTACGTTCTCTGGCAATGTGCCTGCAGATACAAGCAACAGCACGTACCAACGATCACGAGTGACTGTTACTGCGACGTCTATGGACGGATCGCAAGATCAGGTACAAGACGACTACGAGCTCCTCGTCGCCTCCGGTGTCGATGCAACCGTCCAGCTGTCCATCTCGGCACAGCTACCCAATGCTTCACGACTGGGAGATGGCTCGATCATGACGTACGACGGCCAGATCCGCGTTCCGCCGCAGTGGTCATTCAGCTTAGGCTTCCAACAGTATACTTTTGCGGTGCCGTCGCAAGCACAGATCTACTATACTTCATATATACAAGGACAGACGTCTCTACCAGACTGGCTCGTCTTTGACAACACAACGGTCACGTTTGACGGCGTTGCGCCGCTCTCCGGCCAGTTCCCAATCATCATCTATGGCAGTGATCAATTTGGGTATGGCGATGTGGTACAGCTGTTCAACATCACCATATCTGAACATGACTTTGAGCTAAGTCAGCCGCTGCCTGCGATCAACACGACCCGCGGGGACACGATCAGCTACACGGTACCGCTGGACGGCTTGCGTATCGATGGCACGGTAGCGACAGCAAGCAACGTCACTGTCGACGTTGGCCTGCAAGGCTTTCCTTACTTGAGCTATAACAATGCCACGCGCGTGATCAGCGGCAGCCTTCCTGCTAATGCCTCAACACGCGCAGATCTGTCCATCCCGATCGACTTTGTCTCGAGCTATGGTGACCGGATAAATGACGCAATCGATCTGCATGTCGTTCCGGATCTCTTCACCGCGATGGTCTTGCCAGTCTTGGCAGTCGATCCCGGCAAGAACTTCTCGGACAATATCGAAAGCTATCTGACTTCGAGCGAGGCACTGTATTCGGCGACGATTTTGCCAGCGACGGCGGCTTCTTGGGTCAATTTTGATACAGGCTCGCGCGTGCTGTCTGGCGAGGCGCCGAACCCAGAGCCGAAAGACTATCAGAATGTCACTGTGACTTTCACTGGTCGCGACAATTCGACTGGCGTCCAGCAAAGCGCGAATATGACCGTCGCCTACCGTGCCAACTTGCCGCAAGCGACTAATGGTTCTAATACAGGGACCGCTCTGCAGCATCACCACGGCCTTTCAGACAAAGCAAAGATCGCGATTGCTGTCATCTTTGGCCTGATCGCTTTGGTGGCACTTGTCTCCTTGTTGCTCTTCTGCTGCATCCGCAAAGCGAAAAGTTGGGACCGGGAAAACAGTCAGGCTGGTACAGGCTTCATCTTGGCGAAGGAGAAAGGCTCGAAAGGCAGCTCGCGAGCCTCAACGCCGCTCAAGAGCAGCATTCGAAAAGGTCGGCCGAGCGAAGCGAGCGACAATGTCAATCTGCCGCCACCTGTGCTATATCATGACGCGCCCTTGCCATTGCCGCCGCCGCCGGCAGCTCAGCGTTCTGACAGCAGGCCAAGGCGCATGGACGTCATGAACCTCTTTGGCAATCGCAACCCTACTCAAGAGACGCCTGTAGGCGAATCGCCCGTCAATCTGAGCGGGCTTGGCATCTTTGCGACGCAGACAACGCCGACGTATGCTCAACCCAGAGCAAAATCTCACGATAGCTGGTCCAGCAGCCAAGGTAGCTCCTCGCTCTTCTACTCGGACGCAGAGCGATCCGACTCTGCTTCGCGCGACCCCAACCGAGGGCCAAGGCCGAGCAGTATGTCAAGCACACCCCGCAGCATACCGCGACAGCGACAAGGCTTTGGCTATCGACCGCCGCTGCCAGTCAACCTGGATCGGCCGGGCTCGCTTGCCACATCGCGCAGCACGGATTCGCCGACGCCATCAGATGAGCAGCCAGGCGCAATAAGGCTGATCACGCGTGAGCCGTCTGACGAGCTCGTGCAAGCTCAGCAGCATTCGGAATATATCTCGGGTGCCATATCGTCGAAGCCGCGGTTGATCAACTTTAGTAATCGGGGCTCGCCACGTCAAGTGCGACAGTCTGCTCATGAGGACGCTATCGAGAACGTCAGGCAGAGCACGCGGTCATCCGTCTACACGCCACCAGAAGACGCAGCTGTGCAGGCGCCAATATTCTATGATACGCCACAGCTGCTGTCGGAGCCTGTTCATCACGGGAACCAATATGACGGCATAAGACTCGTCGGCGGCCCCATGCCGAGCCCGAGCGCGTCACCCCAGATTGCTCAGAAGGCTCGTCCGCGAACTCTGACCCAAGAAGCGGCGATTGATCAGTACCGCATGACGCTTTCGAGCGACGAGTCATTCCATTTTGCGATACCGATACCATCGCATATTGTTCCTCTCAGCTCGCTACAGAGCACTTATACCGCTCTGACCGACTATCCAGAGCGGGGCGAGCTAGATAGACGGCCTTTACCAGAGTAAGCTCTCCTCCGCTATGGATACCGCTGTGCTGATCAGAAAAGTAGGTGGATCAATGTCAACGTTGATGGGGCACAGATGCAATTCTGGGGCGTTGCTCAAGGCGAGATGACGGTGCCCATTCAGATCGTCGAGAAGCGACAAAGTGCGGAAGGCGATTCACCTCGTCGGCCCTACTTCGCTGCAGATGGCAGATCACCCTCGACGATAGGAGCTTCGACACTCGTCGACGAATACGAGCACATTGTCGCTCGCTGTCTGCTTCACTTTTCGCACCTGGGCAGAGAAGCACACGATGGCGCGGGAGAAGCACCGCGCATGTCGACTCAGCAGAGTGTCGTGACTGTACGCTACTGATCTGCAAGGGCATTCGTTGGAGTTCCTGCTGAGACACGATCGTTTGCATTTCGTGAGACAATTTTTAGCCTAGCCGGCTGATGACCGTCTGAGCATATTCGGACGTGGAGGCCTTTCCTCCCAGATCTCTTGTGATATGCTTGCCTTCTGCGATGGTCTGACAGAAAGCGAGCGGTCAGCCTCAGTCGCACGATGAGAGGCAACGAACTGACATCCATGACGGCCTTCTCAATCTTTGTAGCGTGATCAAAGAGACCCATATGCCGCAGCATCATGATCGAGCTCAGCAAGAGCGCAGTCGGGTTAGCGAAGCCTTTGCCTGCAATATCAGGTGCGGCTTTGGGCGAGGAGAGCCTGTCAGCGGTGTCCGGCGCGAGGGGCCACGATTGAGCTCACATCCGTGGACAGCCTCGAAGATGCTCGCGTCGCGGCCAATGTTGCCCGAGGGAGTGAGACCCAGACCACCGATCAGGCCAGCCCCGAGATCGCTGTGCAGAGGACCGTACTTGAGCCTTGTCGCGAGAGAAAGAATGAACCACTGACCTGAGGATGTCGCCGTAAAGATTGGGCATGACCATGACACGGTCCGCAAAGGGAGCTGGGTTCTGTACGATTCGCAAGCAGACACGATCTAGCAGGTCCTCGTCGTAGCTGATCTTTGGGAACTCTTTCGCTACTTGCCGGCAAGCGGTGAGGAACATGCCGTCCGACATTTTCCTGTACCAGCATGGTCAGGCTTCACTGCTCGCTCAGGCAGCCATGCAGGCTCACATGATGGGCGCTTTGTGGACTGCGGTGACGTGGGGACGTCCGTTAAGCTCGGCATACTGGAAAGCGTAACGAGCGACGCGCTCGGAGGCTTCCATGGTGATGAGCTTGATGGACTGCACGACGCCATCGACGACCTCGTGCTCGATGCCAGAGTACTCGCCCTCTGTGTTCTCGCGGATGAGGACGCTGTTGACGTCGTCATAAGGCGTCTTGTAGCCGACGATGGAGCGACACGGTCTAACGTTTGCAAAGAGGTTGAACGTTCTTCGGAGGGTCAGGTTGAGGGAGACGTGGCCCTTGCCGATGGGCGTCGCGAGGGGACCTTTGAGGGCGACGGTGTTGGCTTTGATGTTGTCGATTGCGTCTTGGGGTATAGTCGACTTGCCGTCGACGATGAGGGGCGCGACAGAGACTTCCTCCCAGTCGATAGGCACCTGCGCGGGGTCAGGTTCATGCAGATCAGCGGTCGGGCAGGTACGGCGCAGCTCGTCGACGTGCCTTTGCAGCCTTGTAGATGTCCTTGACGGCGACAGAGATCTCTGGACCTATGCCGTCGCCAGGAATGAGAGTGACCCGAAAGTTGCCGTTGGCGTTTTTGCGGCCCTTGAAGACCTCATTGGGCGAGCTTGCCGACGGCTGAGCGTAACTCCGACTCTGCTGCGCTCATCTGAGTCCTGCCAAGGCAGCAACAAGGGGGAAAGTCAGCGGGACTGACACTTGTTGCCGTCAAGGGAGTGCGAGCAGCGCGGACACCTGCCGTCCTCAGCAGGGAGCTCGCCATCTGGATCTACCTGTGCTCGCTGTCAGTCGCTGTCGACGCCCAGTGAGCTCACCGCCACGCACGGGCTGAGAGAAGGAGTGGCTCTCTCCTTTCGGCAGCTGGCAGGCAGAGAGAGAGGCGATAATCTATCGACGCCACTTCCGTACTTCTCCTCTCTCCCCTCGTCGCCGTTCGTCCCTCCAGCGTTGTCCCTCGATAGACCGCACCTCGCAGATGGCGACAGGGCAAGCGGCAAGGAGCGTGCTCGCTTCCTCGAGGAGTGCTCGACCTGTAGCTCTCAGCCAAGTCCGTCCAGCGCATGCTCAGAGACGAGCGCAAACGCTGAGATAGGAGCGATTGCAGACGGGCAGCATCAGACATGCCACCTCCCTCGGCATCAACGTCCCCAAGATCACAGCGAGGGTCAGTAGATGGACCGCTCGCATCCCGCACAGCTGAAAGTCGGCTCGGTCGGACAGGCCCCGACAAAATATGGAGGTGTCTACACGGTGACGCTCATTCCTGGCGACGGAGTCGGCAAAGAGATCACGAGCTCGGTCAAGGAGATCTTCGAGCACGCCAACGTGCCCGTCGAGTTTGAGGAGTTCAAGATCTCCGGCGAGACCTCGGCAGACCAGGCAGAGTTCAAAAAGAGTATGGACTCGCTCAAGCGCAACAAGGTCGGCCTCAAAGGTGAAGCCCTCCCTCTTGCACGTCCCACGTGTGGGGTCACTGACATGTCATGCTCCGCAGGCGTGCTATATACGCCCGTCGAACGATCGGGGCACACCTCCTGGAACGTCGCCATGCGCCAACAACTCGACATCTACGCCTCTGTCTCGCTCTGCAAGTCTGTCCCAGGATACCCGACCCGACACAAGGACGTCGACTTTGCCATCATCCGCGAGAACACAGAGGGCGAATATGCTGGCCTGGAACACTCTGTAGGTCTCGAGCTCTACTCGCCGCGGCCGATCTGACCAACGCGACTGTCACGATAGGCCTATCCCGGCGTTGTCGAGTCGCTCAAGATCATGACACGAGCGAAATCTGAGCGCATCGCCAAGTTTGCCTTCGACTTTGCGCTCAAGAACGGCCGCAAGCATGTCACTTGCGTCCACAAGGCCAACATCATGAAGCTCGGCGACGGCCTCTTCCTCAATACCTGCCGCAAGGTCGCCGAAGAGTACAAGGAATCTGGCATCACCTTTAACGATATGATCGTGGACAATACGTGAGGCGCGCTCTGATGATGCTCCCTTGATGTACTGACGTGATCAACGGCGCTCAGCTCCATGCAGCTCGTCGCGCGGCCTCAACAATTCGATGTCATGGTCATGCCGAACTTGTACGGGTCCATCATCTCCAACATTGGCGCAGGTCTCGTGGGCGGACCGGGCATCGTGCCAGGCGCCAACATTGGGAGAGTGAGATCAGCCAATCTACCTTGTCGTTCCAGCTGATCATGCTTGGCAGGAATTTGCTCTCTTCGAGCCCGGCTGCCGTCACGTTGCGAAGGATATCATGGTCAGCCGAGAGTGCTTCTGACAGCTCAGGCTGACGGTCCTGACTGGACTGACAGGGTAAGGACTCTGCCAATCCAGTGGCGATGATCCTGTCGGCCTCGATGATGCTCCGTCATCTCGGCTTAGACCACCACGCCAATCAGATTGCCAACTCGGTCTACAAGGTGTGTCTGCTCTCACCGCTGTCGATAGGTATTGATGCCGACCCCCCCTTAGGTCATCTCGGACGGGCGAACGAGAACGCCGGACATGGGCGGCAAGAACTCGACGTCTGATCTCACGTTTGCTGTCATCAAGCAGCTATAGAGAGACGCATGATGATGGATGCATCTATGCAAGCGCAGCAGTACAGTCGCCGAGGCTGATCGCCGCGTCAGACAACATGGATTGATGCATTTGAGTCTCATAGACCTCGTTGCCGTTCCATGGCGGTGTGCTGATCGAGTACGACAGCAGCAGAGTCCGAAGCGACCTGTGAGACGTTTGCCATGCTTGCAAGCTCGTCCATCCCTCTCAGCACATCGAGGTGTAGCTGGCTCAGGCTCTTGCCCATTCCGGGAAAATGAGGATTCTGCCACACCCGTCTGATCAGCTGCGAACGGTCCCGAGCGGCGCACCAGCTCACTTGAGAAGCGAGGTCTCGCTCCATCATCTGTCTGACCGGAGCATGAAGGCCGTAGAGGTTGCGTTGGAGGGTCATCTTGAGCGCATCCTGCGTGTCATCGTACTGCACAAGGAAGGCTGGCGTCAGCACGGCGAGACCGACGAGGCCATGCCCTCTCACATTGTCGAGATGACGCTCGAGAGGGTGAGAAGACTCGGCTTGCGCTGCAAGACTGCGTTGACCGAACCTGAGATCGTCATGCAAGCCGTAGCCATTCAGCGTCGATGGCGTCTTCTTGTTCGTGCTCGTCGAGGGCCCTGGCACGATCGCATAGGAAGCCTGCTTCGTGCGGTCAGCTCTCGCCCTGTCATGAGCGCCCGTCGACCTGCCATCTTGTAAAGCCTTGACCTCTCCCCCCGCTCAGCTCGACGTCGAACGCGTACGCGGCGGCGATTTGCGCCAACAGTCTCGCTGTGGCCACGCCCTACCAGCTCATCACGCACTCAGTCCAACGGTCACGGCTCGATCACAAAGCAAGAGAACATCCTTCGACAGCGTCTCCTCGTCAGCCATGTCAAGCGAGGTCTTGCGCGAGCTCAAGCGGATCCAGGCGATGCAAGATGAGATCTTTGAGGAACACGTCAGGCTCGACCGAGACGCCCAGAAGGACGGCATGCTCGAAGACAAAGGGGATGACCAGCTCCGTGCCGACTTTCACGAGCGCAAGGTCCGCCTCGAAGCACTGATGGACAAGGTGTGCCTGGCTGACACGCGCTTTTCTGGTCCCTGGCTGATGCGCACTCCAGCTTGGCGACCTATCTGCTGCTGCCGAACGCTTTCACGAGCTACCCGCGACGACTGCCGGTCTGCCGGTCGACGAGCTCCTGGCTGACAAGGTTGATATCAAGACATACACGTGATGCGCGACCATCTACAACAGTACAAGCCAGACAGAAAGCGACACAAGACCCGTTTGCTTCTTGGCAAAGTCAATCTCTTTCAGACCAAACCTGACCTCTGTTGACTCGCCAGCGACAAGGTTGGCAGCGTACGACGGGATGAACCAGACGTAGCCAAGCGATAGCACGTCAGAGAAGTGAATCAGCTTTGTGGATCGCTCCGAACTCATCACTAGCTTGACTTGCACCGGCCGGTCCGCGTCGATGTCAACTGCCCTCTTGGGCACGAGCAGCTTGTCGTGGTCGCTCATTGGCTGCTCGACAAAGTCGGCCGCGACAGATTGTAGCATAGTCATCTCGTCTGGCCAGTCGTCGTGTCTCTTGCCCGGCTCGGCGGCCGCATATGACGCATAATCGAATGCAGCATCTGTCCATGTCTGCAGTGTGACCGACAGATGCTTTCTGCCAAGTTCTGCCAGCTTGCCAGCGTCACTTTTGAAGTTCAGGACCACGCTCTCCATCTTGACACGACGATGCGACATGACAGGCTCTTTGGCTTCGTTGCTGATGCATAAACGGGCCCAATAGCGCAAGAAGCGCTGCTGAGAGGGAATGGAAACACCCAATGCTTTCGCGTCAGCTCTCATCCTCCTTGAGGTGTGATAGTCCAGGATAGACTGCACGCTCTGCTCCGCAGCGTCGTGTAGCTTGGGCGGTATGCTCTCGCATGCCGATCCCGGCTTGAGCAACTCGCGCAAAATGAGAAAGGCGCATGCCATGCTGCCGCTACGTCCCTTGCCCGCTTTGCAGTGTATCACCACGAAGCCTTGTGGCTGCTCTGCATAGAAATCGCGCATGCGCTCTGTGACGAGCTTGTATTGACTGAGCAACGGTGGATGATGATCTGGAAACGGACAGCGAAGGATCTACTTGGCATAGACGTCATCGACCACCTCTGCCGCATACTCAGCCTGAACTGACCTGTCCTGGCTCGAATGCATCCGAAGGGTATGCATTCTCGCATCGTGGACACAGATTGATGACGAGGAACGGCCGCTGCTTCTCTAGCAGCCAGCGCTTGACTTGCGTGCGATCATTACGGTACAGTGATTCAGAGCCGGTCGCAGGGTAGCCCATGATGAACAGATTGGGCTCGAGCTGACACAGATCCAGATCATAGCCATCTTGCACGAGTCGAGCCTTCTGACCCGACACGAGCGTGCGTAGCCGGTTCAATGACATTGTATCTCGCGAGCAAGAGAGACGCGTGCAATCATCAGATGACGATGAGGTCACCCGTACAATGTACGCCGCACCAGATGACGTCGTCCACAGGCTGCATCGCAGCTCCGTGCGTATGCTTGACCGTACGTGGATCTTCTAGTCTGCTCTGCAGCATAGTCAAGCTCTGCCGCCGTTGATGTCGCGTAGAGGCAGAGATCTTCGCCGCTCGGTCAAGTGCAGAGTCGTGCAGCAGGCGTTCTCGCGTTGAGGTCTGCGCATCTCTCAGGGATGGCATGGCCGAAGCCGAACGTCGATGCGAGCCCCCGTTGACGCGCGCTAGCGGCGAATCTGAGGACAGATCCTGCGAGACCGCGCTGGCAGACGGACTTGCAAATCCTCGACTTCGCCCCAGTGCTGGCGGCGATCCAGCAGGCGTGCTCTGGAGCAGATTTGCCAGTGCTGCGATGCGATCACGCAGCTCAATGTTCTGGCGCTCCATGCGGTTACGCAGATCGCTCTCGCGATGAAGCTCTTGCTCGAGCTCCTCAACACGTTGATCGACAGAAGTCGAGCTGGCATCGCCATTCGACTCTTGCGCCGTCTTGGCAGCCTGAGAAGCCAAGGACTGCTCTCTGAGAAGCTTGATCTCCTCTCGGGCTGCCTCAAGCTCACGCTGACGCTCTTGCGATGCTGCAGACGTTTCCTGCAGGCTGCTTGCTAGCTGTTTACTCTGTACTTCTTGCTCCTCCATCTGGGCGCGAAGTTCTGCTAGCGTCTGCTCCGAGGTAGTCTGCTTGTTCTCTGCCGCGTCTAGCGCTACACGCATGCTGTCGATCGAAGCAACGAGAGCCTCGCTTTCTGCAAGCCGCTGCCTAAAGCTAGTGAGCTCTCGCTCGGTCGAGTCTTGTTGAGCCATGGCCTTGGCAGCTGCTTCCGTAGCCGTGATCATAGAGCTTTGCAAGGTCTGCAACTCTGTTCGCGCTTTGGCTAGCTCTGCTTCGGCTGCCTCGGTAGCCTGCATACGCTCCAGCGCGGCGTTCAGAGCAATCTCCTTTTCTGCCGAACGCGCTTGGGCTTGCGCTAGATCTGCTCTGGCCTCGGCAAGCTCGGCTGTGGCGGTATCGAGTCGCGACTGCAGAGACTGCTGTGTCGCGCTCGTCGCCGCTCGAGCTGTAGCTAGCTCTGTACGAGAGGCTTCCAAGTCCTGCAGCAGCGTTGCCTCTCGTTGCCGTAGCTCTGCATGCGCCGCATCTCTTGTGCTGGCCTGCGCCAATTGCTGTGTCAGCCCAGCGAGCTCACTCGCTTGAGCCTCGGCTTTGCTTATTACTTCTTCTAAGCTCGCTTGCAGCGCTGTAGCTCGCTGTTCTACGGCTTTCAGACGCTCTTGGGACGCTGTGTTCTGCTCTTCGTACTCTTGCGATAAACGAGCTTTGTGAACTTCGAGAGTCTTTGCTCGTTCGTCAGCTGCTGCATGGTCACTTTGCGCCTTGGCCAGTCGATCGCGATGGCTCGAAAGGTCGGTCTCGAGCTCTGTGACACGAGCCGAAGCAGAGCCATGGGCTATGTTCAGCTGCTGCTCAAGCTCATGGACTTTCTGCAATGCAGCACGATGTTGCTTCTGGGTATCTTCAGTCGCATACTGAGCTTTGCGAGCCTTGTCTGCTTCCTGTTCGCGTAGAGATTGGACTTCCTGCAGCTGCCTCCGTTGTTGATCACCCTCTGCATCGGACTTTGCCTGGCTCGCTACCAGCTCTTGCAGACGCGATTCGGATTTTCGTAGATCCTGTCGCAGAGCGGTCAGAGCAGTCCGCTCCGATGAAAGCTGCTGCTCTAGCTCGCTCGAGTTCTCGCTATGGCCGGTGAGCTGCAGCTGCAGATCGGCGTACCGAGCCAGATGCAGCTCGTGAGTCTTACGCAGTTGTGCGAGCTCGCGCATGTGTTGATCTCTCTGAAGGACCTACGCACGCACGCAAAGGTCAGCTGATAGCGACAGCAGCACCCGGTGGACGTACAGTGGCTTGCAGCTCATCCGCTGCGCCAGTGAGCTGGCTTTCGACGTCCGCTATCCAGGACTTCGCTCGAGCAAGCTCTTCCCTGACTGAAGCAAGCTCCTTCAGCAGCTCACCAGAGCGGGTTCTGGCATCTGCTAGCTGCTCAGTTGTCCTCGCTTGCTGCTCGTTGAGCCGGGCGAGCGCATCTTCCTTGGCCTTGAGCTCGGACACCTGCGCCAGTAGACTTGATTGCTCCTGGCCGAGCGAGGAGAGCGTCTGTCGTGAGCTTTCGAGCATCGTCTGCACCTCTGTATCAAACTTTGCGCGCTCTTCGAGTCCTGCTGTGCTGGTGCTTGCGTGGTGACGGTGCATGGGCGCTCTCGAGGCGGCATTGCGCGAAGAGCGAGATGGCGAAGCGGCGAGAGGCGAGCTGATCAGCGATGCGACTGATGCTTGTCGTGCAATCGGCTGCGCAAGCGGAGGTGTCCTGGGTGGTGCGCTCGCTGAAGGTTCTATGGCTTGACTATGTACAGGCGAGGCGGGCGGCAAGCCGGACTGGCCGCTATGTACAGGCGCGACGATATCGTGCTCTTCGTAGACAGGCTGCGTCGGCGAGCCAAACAGAGCAGAGGCTGATCTAATTGGCGTTTGCGGTCGGACTGGCAGTAAGCTGTGAGAGGTTGCCGAGCCAACGGGCGACACCAATGGGGGACTGTCGAGTGTCAAACAGTCAGCTCGGCGTAAGAGCGCGCAGATTGGAGCGCACCTCTGGGCTAATGCAAGTTCTGAGCCTCTTGACGAGATGGAATGCCTGACTAGGCCGTCGAGGTCAAGCTGCGCGGGAATTGTGCTCTTTCGCTGAGGCGGCGACAGCGAGGCGCCGAGCTGGCGTGAAGGCGTAGGCGATCGTGGCCCGGTACTCGACGATCTGTTGACGTTGGGTGCATGCTCGCGCAGGCTTGAAGAGGAGGACGGTCTCTGTAAGGCACCGCCTAGACTGCTCAAAGTGGTTGGCGCGTTGTCAGAGAGAGGCGAGCTAGGCAGACGAGGACTGGAGGTCGCGCTACTTGGAGCATGAGCACTGACAGTAGATGCTCCGGAGTTTTCGGGAGCACCACCACTGGAGACACCTGCGCCGAGCTGCTTCTTTTGGAATTGCTTGAGCTGTCCATTGTCACGTTACATCAGCTGCCGCGCTTGGATATGACGAGCGCTTCGAGCTCAGACTGACCCGCTCCCGTGCTCGAGCTGCCTTTTGCGCTCTGTCGTCCATGTGCTGTACACGCTGTCGCTGGCTGATGAGTCGCTGAGCCGATGAGGTTGCCTTTGAGAGTGCGCGCGACACTCGCGACGAACAAAGTCGACAGCCAACGTCAAAAGAGTGACCCTTCCCCAGCTGCCGGCAGCAAGCATGGACGAGCCAGACGGCGAGCAGCAGCGTATGGCGTGGAGTATCGTCCAGTGGCTGTCTAGCGCCATCGTCTGGCTCCTCCATCTGGCGACCATCAGGCTGCCGAGAACGATCTTTGCGACTGTCCATTGGGGCACGGTGGTCACTCTCGAGTTCGACTTTGCCAAGCTTGTCATGCTCATCTTCTTGTCATTGACTCTGCTGTCCTTCTACGTCAAGTACAAGTACCTCAACCGCTACACCAAGCTCAGAGAGGCTCCCTTGACCCGAGATGACGGCTTCGACTTGCATCCAGATGTCGCAACCGAGCAAGCCGAGAGTGGCTTCAAGAACTACCTCGACGAGTTTCTCTCGGCCATTCGCATCTTTGGCTTCCTGGAGAAGCCTGTCTTCCATGAGCTGGCGAGACATCTCCAAACGCGCAGGCTCGTTGCGGGCGACACGCTCTCGCTTGATTCCGACAAGAGTTTCTACATTGTCATCGACGGTGTCATGCAGGTCTATGCTCAGACCGACCCATGTCAGTCTGTCCAACGCTGACTGACCACTCAAGCTGATCCTACGCGGACCGTGCTACAGCTGCTCGATATCGCGCGCACGACGCGTATGACGATGAGGACGACAATGGCTTTCAGCTTCTCAACGAGGTCGAGAACGGTGGCACACTCAGCAGCCTCTTTACGATTCTCAGTTTGTTCACAGAGGATGTTCAGCTGCGATATGAGGAGGATGACATGCTCTCGCCCGGTAACGGGATTCCGCCTCCTTCGAACAGGCGGAGCAAGAGCACTTCGAGGGACGCAGACGTGTCAAGTCTCAGACTTGACGAGTCCCCAGGTTCGAGTCGGCATCATCGCAGGAGCTCAAGCGCTCATCGTCGAGCCAGTCGATTACGCTCATCATCGCAAGCTAGCGAATCCTCAGCCATTGCGGATGAGAGCGACACCGCAGACGACGACGACGATAACGAAGGACCTGGCAGTGGGCGCCCGCCAAGGTCCGGCGTTACAATCAAGGACATCCCGCCCTCGCCTCTGCTTGATCAGCCGACTCTACCAGACACACCTGGGATACGCACCCCGCCGCGAGAGTCTACTATAGCGCGAGCCAAAGTAGACACAACGCTCGCAGTGATACCTGCAGATGCTTTCAAGAAGCTCACGAAGCGATTCCCTAACGCTTCTGCCCACATTGTTCAAGTGATCCTCACTCGACTTCAGCGTGTCACTTTTCTCACTTCGCACAAGTATCTCGGCTTAACTTCAGAAGTCGTCAGGACCGAGAAGGCCATCAATGCGCTGGCCTGCTACCCTTTACCGCGAGCATTCTACGAATCTGGCGGCCTGCAGCATCTGCGGCAGCGCTTTTTACCAGACACCGAAGATATAGACCTCGGTCAGCCCGAACAGCAACTAGATTACTTTGCGCTCGGTCTGCCAACGCCAAGCGCTGGTCCTCGCATGGACTACATGCTCGGATCGCCACCTGGGGAGCAGCCCAGCGAGGGTGTCAAGCTGACCTATCGCAAGCCTTCGTTTCCCTCGAGTGGGGGTCTCAGCTACTCACGCGTGAAGAAAGCGGGCGATATACTCAGCATGGCCAACATTACTGACGAGCCAGAATCATTCACGACTAATGAGAATGGGCCACTACCAAGTCGACATCGAAGGACATCAAGCTCATCTACAAAGATGCCTCCACCTCAAGCCAGTCGCTCCTTTTCTTTCAATCTGGGTGCAGCCCAAGAGTTTGATCTGCGGAAGGCGGTCATGGATTCGATATCAAAGTCGATTGGCCTGGTGCAGTCATCCGCTAGTGTGGCACCTTCTGTTGAAGCCTCGCCCATGGTTGGCCCTCACGAGGCGCCTTTTCAAAGAGCAGTGTTCAACTCTTCATTTGGATCCTTGGGAATGCTCGGACAGCACGGCCGCGACGATGAATCGACAATGACCGCCTCGAGCTACAGCACGCCTAACCTGCCAGATCTCGAGAACGAAGTCGAGATTCTGTTTTTCCCACAGGATAGCACGCTCGTCAAAGCCGGGGACAAGAATGCAGGGCTGTACTACGTGATTGACGGGATCCTAGATGTCTCGATGCCCGCCGAATCAGACGAAATGGCAGCTCATAGCCCGGGCCTGAACTTCAGCAGCACGCCGCGCTCAACTGGCGAGGCTATGCTGAAAAGCGAAGAGAAGCTGCGAACATTGTTCACAGTCAAGCCTGGTGGTATCGCTGGCTATCTCTCATCCCTGTCTGGCTTTCCGTCCTATGTGGACATCAAAGCAAAGACAGACGCATACGTCGGATTCTTACCTGTCAAAGCGCTCGAGCGGATCATGGACCGGAGGCCAATCGTCCTCTTAACGCTCGCCAAGCGTCTGAGCGGCTTGCTATCTCCGCTCGTGCTACATATCGATAGCGCGCTCGAATGGATGCAAGTGGATGCCGGACAAGTCATCTACCGTCAACACGATCGATCTGATTCATTCTTCATTGTCATCCAAGGCCGATTGCGGTCAATCGCAGAAAAGGCTGCAGGAGGCGTGGAGATCCTCGGAGAGTACGGGCAGGGGGAGAGCGTTGGTGAAATCGACTGCATCACTGGCTCTCGCCGACCATCTACATTACACGCCATCCGGGACACGGAGCTTGCACGCATGCCCATGACACTGTTCAATGCCATCTCTGTACGGCATCCTTCCACCACAATCAAAATCACGCGCACGATTGCTGCTCGCGTCAGGCGCGAAGTAGACGAAAAGTCACGTAGCATCAAGTCGCCTGGCTTGGGCAAAAATAACCTAAATTTGAAGACTGTTGCCATCATACCCGTCACCCAGCATGTGCCCGTTACGGAATTTGCTGCCAAGCTACGCGCAGCTCTGGGTGATATTGGCGCACCAACTTCTTACCTCAATCAAGCTACCATCACTGCAGCAATGGGCAGGCACGCGTTCAGTCGGATGGGCAAACTCAAGCTAGCCGGCTGGCTAGCAGATACCGAGCAACGATATCGCATCGTCATGTATGTCGCTGACACAGTCGTCAGCTCGCCATGGACGCAGACGTGCATCCGTCAGGTGCGTGAACGCGTCTCAGCGACTGAATGTGCTGACTCACAGACTGCCTTGCATAGGCTGACTGCATCCTTCTGATTGCTAACGGGGCCTCAGATCCATCAATCGGCGAATACGAGCGCCTGCTTATCGGCATGAAGACCACCGCTCGAAAAGAGCTCATCATTTTACATCCAGAGCGCAGTGTCCTGCCTGGCTCGACGCGGCCATGGCTCAAGGCGAGGCCATGGATCCATGCGCATCACCACATCGAAATGCATGGCTTGCCTATAGCACCGTCAGGGCCTGGTCACGATGCTAAGCCCGTGCTTGCCCTGCGCAATTTCAAAGCCCGTGTGCAACACCGCTTCGAGAAGTATCGTGGCCGGGACGATCGCAATGCACCGACTCGTATGGCGTCTCTCAACGACTTCGGCAGGTTAGCGAGACGTCTCTGTGGGCGTTCAGTCGGTGTCGTGCTCGGCGGTGGAGGTGCTAGAGGCATCTCCCACCTAGGCGTTCTAAAGGCACTGCTAGAGCGCGATATCCCTATTGATGCTATTGGTGGTACGAGCATAGGCTCCCTCATAGGCGGCCTCTACGCTCGCAACGGCGATCTCGTGTCGACATTTGGTCGGACTAAGCGTTTCTCGGGCCGCATGTCCACCCTATGGCGGATACTCACAGATGTCACGTATCCCCTTGTGGCCTACACGACGGGTCAGTAGATTCTCGAGCCCGAGAGGTACTTGCTGAATTCCTTCCCAGGCCACGAGTTCAATCGAGGCGTATATAAAGAGTTGCTTGACTATCACATCGAAGTGCGTCCCATTCGCTGATTATGTGATCTGTGCTCATGTGTGACGCAGGACCTATGGATCAACTTCTTCTGCAGTAAGCTCTACTCTGACCGTTATCTCTCGCGCTTATCAGTCTCTACAGACACGACGAATATCACGCATAGTAGAATGGACGTGCACACGACAGGCTACGCATGGCGGTATATTCGAGCCTCAATGTCACTCGCAGGTCTCTTGCCACCGCTCTGCGACGAAGGCAACATGCTCGTCGACGGAGGCTATTGCGACAATTTACCAGTCCGTACATATGGCACGCGAGCCTACCTCTACTTATCTCTAGCTCAGGTATCTGTGATGCTGTCGATGGGTGTGGACAAGGTGTTTGCAAGCGACGTTGGATCAATTGACGACACTTCGCCGCGCAACTTTGGCGAGTCAGTCTCTGGCTGGTGGGTCCTGCTCAATCGGTGGAACCCATGGAGTGCGACTCGGGATATTCCGAGCATCACAGAGATCCAGAGTCGTCTGACATAGTATGTCGAAGATGCTCTGTTGCCGTCACCCGACTGACTTGTGAATGCAGCGTGTCAAGTGTCAAAACCCTGGAAGAAGCCAAAACGACGCCTGGCGTGTTCTACATGCGTATGCCCGTGGAAGGCTATGGTACGATGCAGTTCGGCCGTTTCAATGAGATCTATCAGGCCGGCTCGGTAGCAGCCGAGGCGATGCTACACAAGTGGGCGCAGCAAGGTCGCCTGCCCAATGGACTAGAGGCGTCTCCCACGACCAAGGCCGAGACGGCACGTCGTGGCCGAGGCTTGCGACGTAATTCTGTGTAACGTTTGCTGAATTGCACAACATGCAAAGCTCTACAGTATGCGCGAGCACAACCCGATCAGACTGAGATTGTCTTGATGACATTGAAGCCGTCCAGTGCGGTCGAGATGAGTGTGCCAGGTATCTGAGGATGCCAATGGACCTCTTTGATCTCCTTCTGACCTTGATGCACGAACAGGAGCTGGTCCGGCACCTTGCGTGTCGAATCGATAGGCTGCCCAATTGCCATTTCGTCGACATCATGCTCGACCGACAGATCCCACAGGGTGACAGAGTCGTCGGCACAAGATGCAGCGAAACAAGAGTCTTCTGTAGGGTGCCATTCGATCGAAGTGATTGGCTTCTGATGCCAATCAAACGCGGCCACGGGCGAAGGCTTGCTATCCCTGGCACTGCGCCAAGTGTCAGTCAGAACGAGACACAACGAATGACAGACTGACCCTTTCATGTGACGCAGATCCCAGACTTTGAGGCCACCCTCATCACCACCCGTTGCGATGAGGTAGGTTGTGCCTCGATTCCAGCTCATGACATTGACGTCGGCGTCATGCGCACCGTCGACAGTGAGCACGGATCGCCGGTTCTTCACCCGGATGTCCCATATCCTCACTGAGCGATCTGCTGAGCAGGAGGCGAAGACAGTCGGCTCAGATGGCGACCATTGCAGATCTTCGATAGAGGACGTATGTGAGCTGAAAGGCTGCGGAGATACGCTGAAGCCAGAAGGCGACAGCGTCGTGAGGAAGATCTTTGCGTTGATGTCGCCTGATAAGAGTCGCTGAGAGGTAGCCGAAGCGCCGATGGGATTACCCCAATCAAGGGCAAAGCCCTCTGCCCGGCCATGCGCAGAGAGGGTGAACTGGGGCACTTTGCTCAGGCTTGTGCCATCAATGGAAGCAGGCGAGACGAGCGACTGGAGATGAGGCGCAACGTCAAAGATGTGGACTTTGCCCGTGTCTGAGCAAGTCGCGACATGGTAAGGCTCCGGATACTCGGGCGGAGGCGTCGAGTAGGGCAGCCTGAGCGGTGTTGCACGTATCCTGTTGACACCGCCAGTATGTGGTATACTCTTGAAGGTCAAGGTGGCCTCCTCATCCGCTCCGTCGCGGTCCTCATCATCGTCAGAGTCGTCGCTCTCATCTTCGTCAGAATCCTCGAGTTCACGATCAGACTTTTTCACTCTGACCATGTTATCCCATCGCATGAGGACGACTTCGTTGGCTTGGGCTTCGGTGGAAGCAGCCTGAGTGCCAGCGACAAGACAAGCTGAATATGGACTTTTCCGTCGTTCCGCGCCGTCTCCCTGCAATCAAAGTCAGCCGGCGAGAGCCTGGGAGGGCATGGCGGGACGTACATCTCGCAGTACGTCGAAGGACAAGCATGGCCAGTAGAGGCTAGCACGTTGCAGGAGCACATAGGACGAAAGATCTGGCACGAGCTCTTCATCGTCTGCCAAGGCGACTTGCCCGATATACGCCTCGAGCTCGTCTGTGCCATCTTGCGCAGCAGTCGGCGCTACATCAGACTTGACGACATCGTCCGTCGCCTGTCCATTCTCAGCCTCGTCTGGGCCTTCAAACTCGTCAGACGACACGACATCCTCTTCCTCGTACTCATCCTCCCAGGCATCTTCGAATTCCCCTGGACCGTCTTCACCCTGTCCGTTGACCTTGTCGGTCTTGAGGGGCGCCTTCCCCCGACTGGAATCGTCAGGCGACGCTGCCCGCTTGCGTCCCATTGGCTGTTCTGACGAAATTTGAAGCGACGAGGAAGGTTACTTGAAATGACGATCATTCAAATAGACCGTGCAAGAGCAAGCATTTTTGCCGGCAGCAAGCCAAGTCTGCTGGCTCGCAGGTCGCAATGAACGGCCATGGCGTGGCTAGTACGTCAGGAACGACGACCATGTCAAATTTGAACGGCACAGACTCGCCAGTCGACGCAGAATCCACGAAACACGACCAGCCAAAAGAGGCCCGTCCAAGAGAGAGCGAGCAGGGGAGGGAGGAGCCCGGTATACCGCCCATGACGTCTGAGCAGATCAACCTGCTCATCCTCACCTACCTCTCCGAAGCTGGCTTCAAGCATTCCTCGTTCGCCTTTCTACACGAGAGCCGTCTGAGCGACTCAAAGATGCTCGACCTCGAAGTACCGCCTGCCCGGCTGATCAGGCTGCTTCACAAGGCTCTGCTCTACTTGGAAGCAGAAGCGAGGTTCAGGGGCGACGACACGAGCCGGAACCCGCCTAGACTGGTGCAGTACGACATTCCTGACGCTCTCCCACTGCCCAGCCTGCTCAAGACGCAGCAAGCCATCAACGGCACCTCTCAGACCGACACACGGCTCAGGAGAGACGTCGAAGTCCAGACGACAGCGTCTGATCTCACCCAGCAGCCTGTGAAAGCCGACTTGCCTCACTCGACGGCTGCTCAGGTGACCGGCGACCCCTCGGCGCCAATGGCTCTCGACGAGAGCTCACCAAGGCCGGCGACTGCTGACCTCGTTCCTGCTGAAGAACCCAACGAGTCTAGTCTCCCTGTCGGCATGCCCGCGGAAACGACATCAGACACATCGGCTGACGTCCAAAGGACGCTCAAACGAAAGAACACGTCGGACGGCGACGCTGATATGAGCACTGCGCCGCACGATATTGTGCAGCCAGGCGAAGTACCACAGCAGAACGAGGATGATGCAGCGTCGGCTGCTAAGCGAGTTCGGATGGACGAAGAGCCTGTCATCCAACTAGGCAATGCTATAGTCGATGGGAGCACGAATGCTCACGACCCATCGCCGGGTGCTGCAGATCCGGTCGCCCCCATCAGCGCACACAAAGATGGACTACTCCGAGAGCAAGTAGCGACAGAGGAGCCTGCGCTTCCCACCCCACCTCTGTTGGAAACGCCAATAGAAGCGACAGCTATACCCAGGAAGCGGTCCAAATCACCGGCCATCTCCATGAATGCGCTGACCTCAAAAGATCCACCGCCGCCAGTTCCAAAAGTGCGCGCGCTATCGCCTGTCGTGCGGACAGTCACCACTACTACCACTACGACCACGAAAGTCAGGCCAGGCAAGACCGCGAAAGCGGCAAAGGCGATACCGCCGCCTCCGCGAAGGAAACCTGAAGCGAATGACGAGGCCAAGCCAGCCGTGAAGCCAATCTCAGACGTAGAGCCACAATCAGCGATCAAGACTGAACCTGCGCCGACCACGCTCCCTGCGCCTGCTCTCGCGGCGGCGCCACGAGATGAGCGGCCAGCGCCATTACTGAAGACGATCGCACATCAAGACGTCATGAAGCTCAAAGGCCACAGCAACTCCGTTCAGGCATGCTCTTGGAACCCGAAAGTCTCTTCGATGCTCGCGACGGGGTCACACGACTCCACAGCGCGGATATGGGATGTCCCACTCACTGCACCAACACCCAATGCAACCCTTGAAGACTCTGTACTCTGCAAGCACGCCTCTGCGCAACGGAAAGCCGACGTACCTACCTGTCGATGGAATGTGAGCCCGTCCTGCCTGCGCCTGGCACAGTGGCTGACCGGCCTGTACAGCCTGACGGCACGCTCTTTGCAACAGGATCTGAAGACGGCATAGCGCGCGTATGGACGTATGTGTTCGCATCCTCGAGCCAATTCTGTCACTGATGCGATTGCATAGACCGTCGGGCGATCTGCACCTCGTACTATCGATGCATCAGCAAACGATCTATAGCCTGCGCTGGAACTCGACGGGCACAATGCTACTGACCGGCAGCCTCGATCATTCAGTCTGCCTGTGGGAGCTCGGTTCTGGGCGAGTGAAACAACAATGGGAGAGTCATGCGGATTCGGTGCTCGATGTCGACTGGCTAGACGATACCGTCATGGCCTCTGGCTCGATGGACAAGACTATTCACAGCGCGTCCTCTCCCTCTAAGCTTGACAGGCACTTCTGATTAGGCTATTGCAATAGTACTGAAGATTGGGCGGTCGTCGCCAGTACATCGATTCAAAGGTCATCAAGACGAGGTCAACACAATATCATTCGATCCGGGAAGAACAATGCTAGCGAGCGGATCAGACGACCAGTCTGTGCGCGTCTGGTCAATGCGCGGGATAGGCGGTAATGCGACGGACGAGCTAGACGACAGCGAAGAGCACAACGTCATCAATAGGCGAGATGGGTGTCTCATTCTCGAGGGCCACGAGCGAGAAGTGCACACGCTCGCATGGCATCCTGGCACCCGGCCAGGCGCGACACGAATATTAGCATCGTACGTCGTCAACCGCAGCATATCTCTGCAAGCGCTAATGTCATTTGCAGCGGGTCTTTCGACGGCGACACGCGGCTGTGGGATGTCGACAAAGGCACTTGCATCTTCAGGCTATCGCGACACACGGATTTTGTCTATTCGCTCGCGTTTCTGCCCTTCCACGGCACGTATTTGGCGACAGCTTCAAACGACGGCCTGATGTCTATCTGGCGCGTAGCAGTAGGTTGTTGCTCGTCTGCTACTTCATTTCACTGACTGTTGCGGCTCTGTAGGATGGCAAGCTGCTGATGGACTTTCAGCACGAGGGACCGATCTATGAGATCGCATGGCATCCGGCGCGGCCCCAGATCGCAGTGGGTGGCCTGGCAGGCCTGGCAGTAGTAGGCACAAGCGATCTCGACGCTTGAACAATGCATCATCGCTTGTGTTGCTGCTGCAATTGCCTCTGCCGCTTGCGGTACCGCTCGAGGACTTCTTCATCCGTTGCAGCAAGCGGACGATTGCTCTGTTTGCCCAGTTCGAGAGGCGGCAGGCCTTCTGCCTCACGATGCGCGGCGACGAGTGCTTGTTCGTCGGCTCGTTGGGCAGAGACCCGGAAGAATCTCTCTCGTGCATAGTTGAAATCTTCCTCCTCCTTGGGTGGCCGCGGCGCGTTCTGTAGCTCCCGCAGACGCTGCTTTGCTTTTTCGGTCTCTTCGATATTGCGTAAACGTGCGCTGCATGGCCTCAGAAGTCAGCTCGCGCAGATGAACGATGGAGAGACGACCGACTCGATGCCCAGATCGACTTCTTGGACGGCTGTCAGCATGGCACTCGACGTTGTCTCGTTGCCTTCGCGTACGCTGCGAGTCCAATGTCAGTACTGCGCAGGGGAGGGTACTCGCGCTAACGTACGGCATCTTCGCGACCCTATATCGCTCCGCGACCTGGTACAGCTCGTCGTGTGGGTCGAGCTTGCCCAGTTCTTCTTCGACATCGAGCTGTCCCGGGTTCTTCTGCGTGCGTTTGCGTAGCTCTGCTTCGATGTAGGCCATCCTGTGGCATTCATCAGCGCTGGTGGTGAGAGCAGAGTCGAGCCGAGTACATGTGCTTGTCCACGTCGAGCGTATTGGTCTGCTGAGTGAAATTGTTAGACTTGACGAGTCTCCGCGTCTTGAGGTCCTCGTCGTCGAGCAGACTGTCGAGCATGACTTGAGCTGTGCCTCGCATAGAGAACGACGAGGGTTAACCGACTAGTCATCATCTTCTTTGTCCTTGACCCTGTCCTTGCTTTGCAGGCCATACTCATTCGTATCTCCCTCTGTCCTCTTCGCCCTCTTGCGCCTCTGAGCTTCACCGCTGTTGAGTCGTTCGAGGTCGATGCCCTCCTTACGTGTAGCTTGTCGGAGCTTCCTGAGCGTCAAGAGGTCCTCCAAATTGTCGGTTGGCTCATGAGCTTGCTCGTCCGCGATCGGGCCGTCATGATTCCCATCAGACTGCGAAGGTCTCTTGATCGTCTGGGCCGGTCGTGAGCGCTTCTTGAAAGCTATCTGAGCGACAGCTTCGGTCATGCTGCTAGATAAAACTGCTGGCGTGTCCTGCCTGTGATCCTGTGACGCGATGATGACGCGATGGCGAAGTCAAGGTCAAAGTCAACGTTGCGCCCGCTCCCTTGTTCACTCATGCTCCTGCGGTGTCGCCGCATGCCGCACACTACACGTCTGTCTCGACCTTCCTAGGATGTCTGTCCGCGTCAGCTGCCGCGACGGAGCGCGCAGTCGTGTCCCCGGACAAAGCGTCACCCTGCAGCCTGCCAGCGAAGCTCAGCGGCAAATCAGCTTGGGCGTTCTTCGGCAGCGTCTGGTGCACACTTCCATGTCCTTTCTCATCTGGCTCTCAGCATGATAGTCCTGCGGGCATCTACATCGACAGGAAGCCTCAATACCTTCAATTCTACTAGCGAATGCGCAACGCTGCCTCTTGCTTTTACCGCAGACCGACGTGTTCTTGATCGGAGCACTGAGCGCAGCCAAGAGCAAGTGCTCTAGAATCGTATCGGCTGCACAAAGGACATGAATGTGCTCGAATTGGATCATGCAGCATGTCACATCTGCATTGGTGCTCGTGAGCGATGGTACAGTCCCAGCGCAGTCAGGCGTCGCTGACTTGCCGCCAGCATAGCAATCGCAGGCACCTTGCTCGAGATATGCGTCGGCGGTCGACTGCTCAACATTGACTTGCACCTATGGCATGAAAGATTGCGCGCAGAGCATCACTCCCTGCATCACATAGCACTGTGTAACCACGTCTGATCATATCATTATTGGTAAATTCATGCATTGTGTGATAGACTGTGTAGAAGAGGGAGTGTAGGCTAGGGAGAGACAGAGGCATGGCACGCCACTCGTCGAGCGCAAGGCCGAAGTCAGACGCGACCGTGATAAAGTGTCGTGACAGTTTCTGCACTCGCTTCATCTGGCTCACCACACCTGTCAGTATGCCTTCAAGCGGTCAAGATGCAGAGGATAAGGCCCCCGCTTCGACACTGTCGAACGGATGGCCGGAGCCAATCGTGCCTATCACAAGGCCTACACCGCATACGACCGGATCAAGCCCCTTCAAAAAGCAGTAGAAACTGCGCAAGATGAGAAGCTGGAGAAGCTGGAGAAGCTGGAAGCTCGTGGTGCGCAGTTTCTACTGCTTTTTGAAGGGGCTTGATCCGGTCGTATGCGGTGTAGGCCTTGTGATAGGCACGATTGGCTTCGGCCATCTGTTCGACAGTGTCGAAGCGTGGGGCCTCCGCCTCTGGATCTTGACCGCTTGAAGGCATGCTGACAGGTGGGGTGAGCCAGATGAAGCGAGCGAGTGCAGAAACTGTCACGACACTTTATCACGGTCGCGTCTGACTTCGGCCTTGCGCTCGACGAGTGGCGTGCCAGTCCTCTGTCTCTCCCTAGCCTACACTCCCTCTTCTACACAGTGTACGACGTGCACGCTCTCTCCCGTGACGTCTGAAGAGTAGCGACGACATGCGCAGTCCTACAGCTCTCCTTTCGCTGCTTTGGATCGAACGAACGACCAAACAAGACTCTCCACCGATAAGGGCTGTCCATGCTATATTTGCAAACATGCGAGCAGCGACAAAATCACCCTATGCGCCAACAAGCGCTGGGTCTATACGACAAGCGGCCTGCACAGAGCTTGTTGGCGCCGCTTGTCATACAGACAGCGCTTGTTGGCGCATACGATGATGATGCCGCTGCTCGTATCGCAAGCGATCGCTGTGAAGGCAGGATGCGGAAGAGGGTTTCTCGGTTCGTAGGGGTTGCGTTCATGTGAGATGTACGAGCGTGCTGATGCCGGTGTGATGTAGGTATACTTTGCGTGCGCATGCGCCATCTTGAGCGCAGACCAGGCCAGCTCGGATGCACGAGTGATCCAGCCTGGCGTTCAACTAGCAGAGGTCGAGACCACTCGCAGGCTTTCTGAGCGGATATCGGGGCTAGCTCTTGACCGAGAGTTCACAGGCAGGTACGCAATCAATCGGTCATCGCGTACGTATGTATATCAATCTCTCTCTTGCCAGGCCTATCGAGCTTTGCAAACTGGACCCGACTGCCATAGGTCGCGGAACAGTACGCCAGCTGTCAACGATCTTCGAGACGAAGTGCTGGCTATGCGGTGGCGCGGCGCAGACACAGGCCCGCACCTACATCGCTGGCGCAAGGCGCTTAGCGGAAAAAATCCTCATCGAGCAAGATGTCGTGCCTGCGGCGCTGAAAGGGTCAGCATGCTCGTTGACGATGAGCGAACCGAACCTTCTCGCACTTCTTTCAGGTTGCATACTAGCGCCTGCTCCACTGACCTGTCAAGTCAAGCAAGTCAGCGGCAGAGCTTGCCCGGTCACAAGGTTGCTATCTACTAGCGCACACAGGCATCACGCCTGTACCAAGTCTCTCTGGAGCTCAGGCAAGCCCTCAGTCTACAGACAGAATCTCCCGGCAGGCACCTGTCAGACGCTGCAGCGACGCCTTTCGCCCGGTGAGAATCTTACAATGCGAAACACGCTGCTGATGTCCAGAAAGGCTCGCTGCCCTCATCTATCAGCTCGCATCATCACTTTCTCCACTCTCAAGACCGGAATCAGCTGGAGACTGGACTTGGAATCGTTGCACCGGGCGTATCTGACACATTTGTATCTGTCGAGCCAGCCTTTGACGCTGCGATCCTCCGAGTGCTCGTACGGGTGTGCTTCTGTCGTCCGTAGCTGAACGCAATGAGGACGCGTCGTTGACCGTTGAAAGGGCCGTGTTGGCTGCCCTGAGTCCGACAAGTCTGTTGAGCGCATTGGCTGGCGCGGCGCGAGGCTAACAAGGAGACGCGACGCGCCACGAAGGGCAAGCTGGCGAGCGCTCGTGAGCTCAGCGAATAAGGAGACCTCAGCAGAAGTCCCACGCGCAGGTCGCTCGTCACTTCTTCTCCAATGTCGACTCAGCAGATCATTCTTGTCACTGGTGGCACGGGACTGGTCGGCCAAGCAATCAAATATGTGGTCGAACACGAACCGGTAGGATCGCGCTTCGGCAAACAGTCAGCAGACGAGAAGTGGATCTTTCTCAGCAGCAAAGATGGTGACCTGAGGTAGGACAGCGATATCGTCTCGAGGGCAACATGACTCATATCGATTGCTCCGTCAGAGACTTCGCCGCGACAAAGGCCATCTTCGAAAAGTACAAGCCGACTCATGTCATTCATCTGGCCGCGCTCGTCGGTGGCCTCTACAAGAACATGGCCTATAAGCTCACCTTCCTGCGCGACAATCTGTTGATCAACGACAATGTGCTGCATTGCGCGTACGAGGCCAAGGCAAGCAGCATCAGCGTACGATAGTCAGCGCGCGTGGCTCATTGGCTACATTGCATACAGGCGGCAAAAGTCGTTTCCTGTCTATCGACCTGCGTCTTCCCGGACAAGGTGACGTATCCTATCGATGAGACCATGGTTCACAACGGCCCGCCACATGAAAGCAATTTCGGATATGCGCACGGCAAGCGCCTCGTCGACGTACAGAATCAGTAAATCTCACGCTTGATGAGCTTGCGCACACACGCTAATCCGTCCAGCTAGTGCATACAATGAAGAGTTTGGCTGTCGGGTCAGCATCCCTGCCATGCTGCTGTGGACCAAGCTGAAAGCTATGACTGACTGTCAGTTCACTTCGGTCATCCCCACCAATATCTTCGGACCCTATGACAATTATGACCTCGAAGACAGGTACGTACTTCAGCAGCATCGCAAGCTTCCTTCAGACTCATAAGATGCAGTCATGTCATCCCGGGACTCGTGCACAAATGTCTGCTTGCCAAGAGTAATTTGATCACGCTTGCTCGAACTTGAGCCATGCTGACATGGCGACACAGAGAATAAGACGCCTTTCGTCGTAGCGGGCACCGGCAAGCCTCTGCGACAGTTCATCTTCTCGCGCGATCTCGCAAAGCTCTTCGTCTGGGTTCTGCGCGAATACGATTCGATTGATCCCATCATCCTTTCCGGTGAATTGCACGACGCGAAAAATAGCTGTGTGCTCATCTCTTCTGCAGTCGGGGAGGCAGAGGAAGTCTCGATCAAGGAAGTGGCGGATTCGATCGTCGAGGCTGTGGACTTCAAAGGCGACTATTCGGTCAGTGAATGCAGCATGTCTGAACAATCTGCTGAGTCCCTTGCTGCAGTTTGACACCTCCCGAGCTGACGGGCAGTTCAAAAAGACGGCCAGCAACGCCAAGCTGATGACAGCCTTGCCTGACTTCACATTTACGCCTTTCAGACAGGCTCTCAAAGAGAGCGTGTCCTGGTTTGTTGAGAACTATGACACGGCTAGGACGGGCAAGCATTAGAGCATCCTTCGTATTGCATTGCAATCATCTGTCTCTATCCATAGTCTCCAGATTATATAGCAAACAAGCAACAACTCGGTTGTACTACAATACTCCAAATTCATACCTGTCACGCGCGCAGAACGGGATCGCGGCTGCCTGTATGGCTGATGCCATCGTCGAATGTATCTAGCTGAAACATGGATTCGTCCCCGCCTTGCCATCGACTTTCCATCGAGTCTGCACATTGATCTTCGATGTCCGACTGACCCGCAGTAGACGTGTCGAAGACATGCGCCGTCTTGCCATGAACCTCTGTAGATGTTATTCCAGCGCCTGGTAGAGATGTCGAATGGATCGCCGACTTGGGTAGCGCCACTTCCTGACCGCCAGTCGTCCAGAAGGTCACTGATTTGATCGGCCCAGCATAATGCGAATTGCCGTAGACGATCCAGGTTAGCGTAGCGAGAATCAGCACTGAACCGGTCACTATAGGTGCATAAGATAACGAGACTGTCCGCAAGGGTTAGGGAATTCCATGTGAAGACCGTCTAAGCGGCTTACTCGACGTAACAGGTAGGCTTGTCGGGAAGCACATGACGATCAGTATCAATGTTACGAACAGCACAGAGACGATCGCCATTGGCTTGCGAAAGCCGCGCAGCGTCCAGATCTTGTATCGGCCGGACTCCAGGACACCAGCTGGGGAGATAAGGAGTATCGCAATCGGCGCAGCGTAGGCGAGGAACGTGCTTGAACCGGCGCCACGTATGAACAGAGAAGTGACTATGTCGCTATTGATCATGATGAGCGTCAGTGCCATCAGATTCACTGTAGCGACCACCAGAATAGCTCGTCGAGGCAAGCGATGGTGCGAGCTGACATGTCTCAGATGAGAGCTGAATGGGAGCGCAGAATCTCTTGCAAGCGCCCATGTGAATCGAGAAGTGCCAAGCATCTGAGCAGCGCCTTGACACAGCATGGCAACGAGCACCATAACGAGGATGGCAAGGGCCAGAGGCCGACGAAGCTGTGCGCGCCTGTAAGCTGTCTGCTCGCCGATGACGTATAGACTGACATTTTCGAAGAGTATCTCAGCGGGCGCAAAATATGGCCTTGGCTCTGATTTCAGGCCAGCAGAAGATCTCCTCGCGCTCTGTCGAAAGCGCGAATCAGTCAAGCGATAAACGCGGCGCGAAGAGACGCACGCTCAACACCACCAAGGTGAGCTGCCATGCAGATCTCAGTGTTTTGGCATGCACTGATGGACGCGGAGCTCACCAGTGATCCTAGAACGTATGAGATGACGGTTGACCAAAAGACAGCGCGTGGGATCGTTCTGGCAGGCACTTTCGTCTCTTCTGACATGTGAGGCGCAGTCTCAAAGCCAGTGGTGATGCAAGTCAAGACCCAGCCGAGAAGATATACGACGCCAGCCGACTTGTAACCCGTATTGTTGCTGTACGAAAAGAAAACTTCAGACGCCGACCTATGGACAGGCTCAGGCTGTGTTTGCGATTGCGAAAGTGAATGCTTACTGCTTCGGACTGGTGTAGATAAGCAAAGAAATGACGGCAAGGAAGCAAGTAGCAAGTATTTGGAGTCCTATTATCGTGGTTTAGATGCATCCCAGCGGCCTTGCGGGCAAACTGACCGACGACCTTCCAGAACCAAGCAGAACGAGAGACTGGGAGATTAATGAATGCGCAGATGACCATAGTTTGTGCCTGTTTATCGTGCGGGTCAATATGGCATGAGCCAATGAATGCCCCAGCACGCACATAAGCGATGAGGAGGGCGTGGAAGTCGCGGGGACTATAGCTAGTATAAATAATACTGACGCATCCCTGCATTGCGACGGCAAATTGCCAGCTGAGCAAGACTTGCGTCAAGATGTGACCACAAAGCAAGAAGCTGCCGGTGACCCAAGAGATATATCGAGCTGAGCCGCGAAGGGGTGGGCAAGCACGACAGAGGAGAAAGGTCCAGCTGTACATTGCCCCTGCGACAGGATAGGTCCCGGCGAGTTCGGCTACAACGGCAGCCATTATAATCATGAAGATGCCAGTGATAGGGAAGCCAAATGCCAGGGCGCTAGAGCCGCCGTAGTCCTCGGTTGTCAGGATACCAAAGAATGCGCCAGAGACAAAGCCCATGTTAGAGACCGTCATGCTGAGCGCTGCCCAGAGATCAAGATTCCGTGAGAGCTCCTCGGTGTAGCCCAAGCGGGCCAGTCGCTGGCTCTCAGCTGTGGGATCGAGGTGCTGAGCACTCCGTTTGGCAGCAAAGCTCGAGATGGTCTCTATGACAGGTGGCTCAGAGGCTGCTTCGCTGTCATGCATCGATTTGCTGCCCATACCGTCTAGCGAGCTTTCTTGGGTGGACGTAGACGATGGCGTAAGGGGAAAGACTGCATATTGACTTGCAGCCGAGGAGCCGAGTTCGGGCAAGTGAGGGATCTCATTGATAGATGCATGCTCGGGTGACTTGCTGCTATCCGTGTCTGAAGGCGTCTGAGGGTAGTCATAGGTCGTGCGATTGCGGACGATGCCGTAGCTGCCACTTGGCTGCTCAGACGGCCTAAAGGCGTCGACAAAGGGTTGCTTATCGTCTGGCGCCGGAGCGGTACTTATGGGCGTCGACTGAGAGCTAGAGCCGGACGAGCTCATCATCGAAGCTGCTGATGGCATGGGCGAGCGCTCTTCCGCCGCATGGGTGTAGCTGAAGCTCACTGATTGACGGTACTCGGCGCTAGCCTGACTAGCCGACGTGCGGGAACCGTCATCTCGCGTTCTTGAAAGCAGCCGCCGAAGTGATGTCGACGTATCATTGTGTCTGACCATGATGTGTTGTGTATGGTTGAAGCAGCTAGTCTGCTGGCTGCGTGGCCCGTTCGCCCATCCTTCGTCAATCACAGAAAGAGCCGAGTCTTATATTGCATGTGGCTGTTTGCGTCCTGCCGTCATGTGCGTGCTGTATGTCGAGCTCGATTGAACACTCAGGCGATGACCAGGGTGAGCATGTTGCTTGACACGGCAGCTGGCAGACCAGACAGGACAGACCGCTCGCGATATCAGCCTGGCCCGAGCGCGAGCCGATCGAAGTCGGGAAGGGGCCTAGCCAGACAGCCAGCGGGCCAAATCGTTGAAACGCGAGAGGCCGGACAGATGCACATCGATGCATCAGGCGGACACAACAGATGAAGCCATCTAAGGCGCATGCAAGGAAGCGACGAACTCTTTGCTCGCGATCAGATGATCGCCTTGTTCTTGCTTCTTTGTCTTCTTGTTGGCGGTCGCTTCTGTTGCTGCCTTGCGAACGACAGCAGCATAAGGATTCAGTCGGGCCATGACGCCACGGTTCTTAAGCGGATTCTTGTGCTGCGTGAATGGACGTCTCGTCTTGGCAGGACCGGCAGGTCGTAGGACGCTCTGGATCTCTGTCGAGTTGATGATCGATGCAACGTCAGAGTTGCTGATCTTGGGCTGCGGCAGGTGATAGTCCTTCTTGAGGGTAGCAGTCTTGTCGTATGTGCCAAAGACCTCGTCAAGCACGGCGAACGCGCCTTCTGTCCAGATGATGAAGCGACCCAAATGACCACCAGGCGCGAGCTGAAGCAAATTCAGGCGGCGCACGTTAACGACTTCGACGCCGGGCACATTGCCAAAGGCGCGAGAGATGCCGTTGTCTTCGTTGTAGACGATGAGAGGTCCGCGACGTTGAGTGTGACGACGGTTGCGAGACTTGCCCCGGCCGGCACGAAGCTTGCGAGAGTTTGACACTTTTTCGACGTCGTCATGGGCATTGAGCGCCTTGAGAGCGGCAACAGCGGCCTTGGTCTTGGTGATCGATTCGAGCGCATCGGGTACCACGAGAGGAACCTCCTCAATCTCCTCAATACGATGACCACGAGCAAGAACGAGCGATGGCAAAGCAGAGGCGGCAAGTGCGGATACGGTCGCGAACCGCTTCTGATTGAGATTGGTCTTGACGTGCCACTGTCACCGCGCGATTCAGCACTGAATGAACTCTGCGTGCGTCTTGCACACCTTGCGCCAGATCTTGGTGGGTGCGTACATGCGACCGCCACGGCACATCTAGAGGAGAGAGAGCATTAGCTTGGGTTGCGTGGTCAAGCGTGTTAGGCGCACGTTACCAAAGGCAGCCTGACCGCTGCGGCTCGTACCACCACCACCGACACGCGGGATACGGGCGACAGCACGACCGGTACCTGCTCGTGCGTGTCAGACAAGTTCACATTCGGCAATGTGACGGAGCAGCGCACCCCAAGACTCGGCAGAGGTTTGTGCGCCGGCATTCTTTGCTACGCTGTACGGTTGACGCTTGTTCTTGGCCACAGACTTGTAGATGTCATGAACGACATCATTTCGGATGGGTGCCGTGAAGACAGCAGCTGAGGCATCTCATCAGTCAATGGTCGAGCTGAGCTGTAGCTAGACCTACGCAGCGGTAGAGTGCTGCTCGAGGCAGAGCCTTCGATGGATTGGATTGATACGACTGCTCGGCTCGTCATTGTACTGCTCAGTCTTCTTTTCTCGTCCTTGCTGGCGGTAGCGACGGAGGCTGACTGGCAGTAATGATCGGAAACTTGACATATCTTGTGACGCGTTATCGATATATTATAATGTGCGCGCTCCAGGATTCGAATCGAGTTGAAGTGTCCATATGAGCTCTTCGGGCGACGATCAAATGTCAGCCGAATCATACACATACTGCACAACATGCTGAGCTCCATCTCTGCAGACGATGGCACGAAGAGCCCGACCTACGCTCGCTGCTGCACGCGCCTCGACAAGCCTTGCTCACTACTCTCGACTTCAAGCTCAGCGGACTCGATGGACGAATCACTGGATACAAGCTCGTACGTACGTTCTCTTCCTGGCAATTCAATGCTGAACGTGCGGTAGAGGACTCTGGCAAGCAATCCTGAAGGCTCTATATCCTCGTCCCTTCAGCGAGCGCCAGCAGATCACAGCCAATTCATTCGCGGCAAGTCAGCTTACTTCCCCTTTGCGCCAGGAGGAATCGATGCTGTTCGGTCCATCGAGCCTGTCTCGGTCGATCAGCTGCTGAAGAATGCTGAGCAACGCTTCTCTCTGGACTCGGGCGGTATCAGAACAATTCCACCAGGATTCGAACGAGGTGTCCATTTTGACGATGAGACGGCGGCCGAGGACGCGCAGGCCAGCATCAGTATTGCTCCTGCTCACATCGAGCCGCATCGTCAGCTCGGTCATCCGCACGTCAACGGCGATGCGCATGTTCCCATGACAGAATTGGATGATGACATTGCTCAGCTTTTGCCTCCAGAGGTATGAATGCGCTTCCTCCCAGTATGACAGGCTGATCCGGTGATATAGACCTCACTCGAAATACCAGTACAGCCGAACAGTCAGAAGAAGAGGCCCGCGATCGCAAAGAAGGATTGGGCTCATGTGGTCGACATCAATCGCCCGCTTCTCAATTTTCGCGACCTTGTGCCAGACATGGCCAAAGAAGTGCTGCTCTTTCTTCACGATTTCAATCCGCTCTGACATACATTCGTAGTACCCATTTGAACTAGACACATTCCAAAAGGAAGCAGTCTATCATCTAGAGCAAGGCGACAGTGTCTTCTGTGAGCCAAGACGCCTCTCGCAAATACACGTCTGACAGACTTGCAGGTGCTGCACACACGTCTGCTGGCAAGACAGTGCTCGCAGAATACGCAATCGCGCTTGCCCAGCAACACATGACCAGGTCAGATTTGCGCGCTCTTACATTCGCGTACGACTTATCGGTGTCATCTCACAGAGCTATATATACCTCACCAATCAAAGCACTATCCAATCAGAAGTTCCGTGACTTCAAGCAAGTCTTCGGCGCAGAGAACGTCGGTATTCTCACGGGCGATGTGCAAGTCAATCCAGAAGCGTCCTGTCTCATCATGACCGTGCGTGCCATCAATGCCCATTGCGCAGTGGCTGATATGGTTGTAGACTGAGATCCTGCGAAGTATGCTGTACAAAGGCGCGGATTTGATTCGCGATGTCGAATGGGTCATCTTCGACGAGGTGCATTACGTCAACGATCTCGAGCGTGGAGTAGTCTGGGAGGAAGTCATAATCATGCTGCCTGATCATATCGGCGTCATTTTACTATCCGCGACCGTGCCAAACACGAAAGAATTCGCTGGCTGGGTCGGACGCACGAAGCGCAAGGACATTTATGTGATTTCCACACTCAAGCGACCTGTACCGCTCGAACACTTCCTTTACGCCGGTCGTGACCTTTTCAAGATTGTTGACAGCACAGGCACATTCAATGGACAAGGATGGAAGGACGCGCAGCAGGCACTCAAAAGGAAACAGGAGAAAGAGCGTGAAGCCGCTGGACTGCCTGCACCGGGTGCGCGAGGACGCGGGGCTCGTGGCGGAACTCGAGGGGTCGGCATAGTGCAACGCGGCCAAGCGCTAGGTGGTGCGAGCTCAGCGCGGCCTGCGGCTCTAGCACCTCGCCCTATACGGCCGGGCCCTGGCGCGGATCGTAACCTTTGGGTTCATCTTGTCGGATCGCTTCGTCAGCGCGACCTTCTGCCTGCAGTCATTTTTACATTTTCCAAGAAGCGATGCGAAGAGAACGCGTTATCTATGCCAAATACCGATCTATGTACGGCTACCGAAAAGAGCGAGATTCACTTAGTTGTCGAACGAAGTCTAGGCAGACTACAAGGTCGATTAACATAAGTCTTGTTGAGCGCAAGTCTCACAGAAATGCAGAAATCGACCGGACGCTGCCTCAGATCCTCAAGGTCCGCTCGCTGCTCAGCAAAGGTATCGGCGTACATCACGGCGGTCTGCTGCCGATTGTCAAGGAGGTCCGCCTCAGACTTGCTTACAAGCGATCGGCTCACAGCTCCTACAGATTGTCGAAATTCTCTTCGCCCGCGGACTCGTGAAGATTCTCTTTGCGACAGAAACGTTTGCAATGGTCAGTGCTTGCAGTCATGCATCGTGAGCTGCTGATGCCGCCGTGCAGGGTGTCAACATGCCTGCCCGGTGCGTCGTCTTTGCGAGTACGCGAAAGCATGATGGACGAACCTTTCGAGATCTCCTGGCGGGCGAATATACCCAGATGGCTGGCAGAGCTGGTAGAAGAGGACTGGACGCGACGGGCTGTGTGATCATCGTCTGCAATGAGGCGGAGCCTCCAGAGGCGGGTTCACCTTTTGAGAAGCTGTACGTGCGGCTAATGCTTCTAAATGTGCAGACGTCCGACTTGCACAAGATGATCCTTGGACAACCCAGCAAACTCACGTCGCAATTTCGTCTGACATACAGTATGATACTCAACTTGCTCCGCGTCGAGACTCTGCGCGTAGAAGAGATGATCAAGCGCAGCTTTTCTGAGAATGCGTCCCAGAAGCTGTTGCCAGAGCAAGAGCGCAAGATCATCGAGGGCGAGAAGCAGCTTAGTGCTCTTCAATCTATTGGCGTAGCTATAGACGACCGGCTTTATCTCTACCATGATCTGGTGATGCAGATACGACGACGCAACCAGGAACTTCTTCGGCTAGCAACTCAGTCGTCATCTTTTGGTGCATTGGCCGCAGGGCGCGTCGTTCTCCTCGATGATGCTAGCTTTGATACTGTGCCAGCAATCATTCTCGGTGCAAGCGCTCGGTTCGTACGCGACGATGGTAGCATCGATCCAGAGCCAGCGTTCAATGTCATGGCTTTGGACGATGGCTCATCTAATGGTGCCGTATCGGTACCACGCTGGCCTCTGCTGGCCAAGACAAGCAGCGGACACACTACATATCGACCGCTGGCCATACAGCTGTCTAGTATCGGCATCGTCACCCGCTTCAGACTGACGTTACCGCCAGGAGCGGCCAGCGACAGACCAGCTCGGCGCATACTCGACGATCTGGCGCGCGATGTTCAACCTACCATAGCGAAGCTTTCGCAGCCGGGGGCCGACGTTGAGTTTGATTGGGCAAAGTTGCGAAGCTTCGAGCTACGAGATACGCTGGATCATCGCAGGGCATCTGAACACAAGCTGGCGTCTCTCGGGGTAAACATTGACGAAGGCACAGCAGCCCAACTGTTGCGAATCAACGAACGCGAAACGCTTAGGATGAGCTTGACGAACCTTCGATTGGCTCTTTCTGACCAGAACCTGGAACTTCTGCCGGAATACGAAGGTCGAATATCTGTCCTCAAACGACTTGGCTTCATTGATCTGCAAGCGACCGTCTTGCTCAAAGGTCGAGTAGCCTGCGAGATCAACTCTGGCAATGCTCTGGTCTTGACAGAGCTTCTGCTGGACAACACTCTTGCCGTGTACGAACCTGCAGAAGTACTTGCAATGCTGTCAGCCTTTGTCTTCCAGGAAAAGACTGACATCGAGCCAATCCTGACGGAAACTCTGCAAGAGGTGCGCCCGGCTTTCGGGTCCACATTCAACTCACTGACCGTCTCACAGGCCAAAGCGACCATCCTGGCGATCAGCGAGCGAATCGCATCGGTCGAGTCCTCAGAGCGTGCAGAGTATTCCGCGGATGAATTTGGCAATAAGCTCTACTTTGGCCTCGTCGAGGTTGTCCACCAATGGGCGCTCGGCATGGTATGTCTCCTCGGCCGTCGTATGCGCATGCTGATTTGCTCTGCGCAGCCCTTTGAGCAGATCATGCTTCTGACTGACGTTCAAGAGGGCACGATCGTCCGGGCGATCACTCGTTTAGATGAATGCTGTCGTGAGGTGCGCGACGCAGCGCGAGTCATCGGAGATGCAGAGCTCGGTCGCAAGATGGACGTATGCCGGACTTTGTTGCGTAGAGATGTGGTGTTCTCAGTGTCGTTGTACATATGATGAAATGCAGGCTGCAATGCATGTACAACTGATTATTGCGCTGTCGGCATACAAATCGTGCGGCCTTTCTTTCACGCATGGAAAGCCTGGATGCCGGTGAGTGCTTTGCCAAGGATCAGGCCATGGATGTCTTCGGTGCCTTCGTATGTGTTCTGTACGTGCACCGTAAGCGAACATCTGATCATGAGGCAAGTAGAGGCATACCACGACATATAAGTTCGAAGCAATTCGCATGACGCCGTACTCCTCTACGATAGCATTGCCGCCGAATATCTCCATGACCTTGCGAGTATGCTTGAGCGCCTTTGAGCAATTGTTGCGCTTGAGCAGTGAGATCATCTCAGCTATATGATGCGTATCAGCAAATACGGGACCAGCGGGGATGCGTCGACTTACGAGCCCAGGCACCGCTATCCTTTAGCCTACCGAGCTGTATGGATGCAAGCAGACCCAGAGTAGCTTCTGTATGCGCATCCGCAAGCTTCTTCTGTACGAGCTGGAACGACGCCAGCGGTACCTTAAATTGCGTTCTGATTCCGATATATTAGACAGATATGAGCAAGCCATAAGTGATCTTGCCTCTCGAGCGCATACTGCCTCGCTCGTGCTAGCGCGTCTTCCAATGCGCCGATCGCGCCAAAGCTGATGCCGAAGCGAGCATTACTGCGTTAGCACACGATCAGCTCCGCGAATCGTGCACGCATTGTGGGTTACCTACTTAAGACAGCCGAATGGTCCTTTCAGGCCGGACACGCCTTCAAGCAGTGCATCGCTTCCGACCTCGACTTCGTCCATGTAAATCGAGCCGGTGATCGAGGCCCGTAGCGCGAGCTTGTTGGCGATCTTGGGCGCAGTGAGACCTTTCATACCCTTCTCGAGGATGAAGCCTCTGATCTTGCCATCCCATTTGCACTTGGCCCAGATGATGAAGACATCCGCAATGGGACCTGCGTATGCGTGTCAGTCCTTTGAAGCGTGGATAGACGGCTTTCGTCGCTGACTATTGGAAATCCACGTCTTGCTCTAAGAGTCACAGAGAGCGTAAGCACTGGCTTCTGTGTGCGAAACGCAGACGCACTCCAGAGATGATAAAGCCGCCTCCTGGCTTCTCCTGAGCTTCGGTTACCATGCCAGACGGGTCACTACCGTGGCCAGGCTCTGTAAGACCGAAACAGCCGATGAGCTCGCCTTTTGCCAGGCGTGGCAGCCACTTTTGCTTCTGCTGCTCATTGCCGAATGCGTAGATGGGATGCATGACTAGCGAGCTCTGAACGCTCATGGCTGATCTATATCCGCTGTCGACGCGCTCGACTTCGCGAGCGATGAGACCGTACGCCACTGACGATACGCCAGCACAGTCGTAGCCTTTGATCGTGGCACCCAGCAAGCCCAGCTCACCCTGCAGGCGCTCACGGCGTCAGTGCAGCTACAATGTCCACCCGGCTGACATGAGACTGACCATCTCTGACATCATCGACTTATCGAAATTCTCATTGCGGTAGCCTTCAATGACGCGAGGCACGAGCTTCTCTTGGCAGTAGTCTCTCGCGACATCCTTGATCGACACTTCCTCTTCAGTCAAGAGCGTGTTTTCGATTCCCAGTGGATCCTCCCAATTATACTTTACAAAGCCAGCAGACTTGGGCGGCGGCGCTTCGGCTGTGTTGAACTGGGAGCTCGTCGAGAATGACTGTGCAGGGTGACGAGGAAGATTCTTAGCGAGTGTGCGGGCTAGTGCGCGTGACATCCCCAGCGAGTCAAGAGAGTTGATGTGTCGATGCGCGATTCTGAGAACTCTGCATTGTCTGGGGTAGCCGGATGCTTACCGAGCTTCTTTTGACGTGCTTAGCCTTCCTCGAGTGACGCGTGTCGGGACTATGTGGGGAAGTGGGAATTTGGGGGTCTACCGGGGGTTCAAGAAGCCCCCCCCAGACTTCGCTACGCCCGCGCTCCGCTCGACTCCGACCAATTCGACATCGACTCTGGGCGAGCTGGGCGACAGCCTCGACACCTGATCATCTGCAGAAGACCAGCAAGCTACTGCGACTGATACGTGCCAATGATGGGGAAGCGGACAAGCGTCTCGGCGCTAGCTGCGCTTGAGGTTCCTGGGCCATTCCGAACGGAGGTACTTCAGTCCGACGAGAAGATCGGTAGTAAGGCAATCGTATGCGTGATACAGACACTGCCATGCTTGAGACTATGGTAGCTCCATTGGTCACCGACGGCTGGTTATTCTGCAGTCTACGAGCGTTATCAAGACCGGTAAACTTCTGCAGAGATCACTGGCGACACCGTATTTGGACACCTCTGGAATCTTCTCGTTCTGAGCGATTGGCAGCACAACGTCCTCCTGATCACACAGTCAGATCTGCTTCAGACTTTACGATGGATCGCATTGTGACGAGTGATCAGCCTGCACACTTGCAATTTACATTGCACGCCACAAGTGCATTGCTTTCTAACCTCAGATCGTTGTGATATCCGCGCTTTCGAGTGAGCGGGCGAGTCTTGAGAGGATCACAGCTTCGTGACTTGTGCCATCATTACAGCGCGAAGGAGATGCAGTGTGTCACTTTGCAGGATCCGTTTCGCCCAAGTAGATCTTCTTGTCCGTACTTGACGAAGCGATGACAGGCGCATTCGGTAACCAATCGACTGAAGTGACCGTGCCGGCATGTCCAGGCAATTTGTATGCCACTTCGCCCGAAGCAACCTGCACAGCGGGTGAGTATGCAGTTGGCTAGCTACCACAGCGTCCTACATTCCAGATGACGACAGTACGGTCTGCCGCGCCGATTGCGCAGCGCTTGCCGGTTGAGTCCCAGCAGGGCTTGCGCAAGTACTGGTCGTGGCCGGCAGGTGCACCGTAGAGCGTCCTTGTCAATCTCGGGTTCTGTGATGGATCGTCTACATTGGTGATGGGCGCAAAGGGCCTGACGTCCCAGACCTTGCAAGTATTGTCAAAAGAGCTAGACAGCAAATGAGAGCCTTGGGGAGATAGAGACAGGCCGGAGATGGTGTCCGAATGGTCTCTGAGGGTGAACGCAATCTCCGACTTTCTCAAGTCGTACACATGGATGTCGTTGTCGATGCCGCCAATGTAGATCTGTTGGCTATCTTGTGACCAGCGAACAGCTGTAATAGGATAGCCCATATCGATTTCTTCTATGCTCTCTTTTGTCTCTACGAGCCACACTCGCACGAAGCCATCGTCGCCGCCTGATACAATACGTTCCAGGCCAGTGCCGCGAGTGATATCGATAGCATTGACGACGCCAGTATGAGCTCGATGCCGCTTCAAGCGCTCTCCGCTGACGGCATCGAACGAGTTGAGAGTCCCATCTGCACAAGAGCAGACAATGAGATGAGAGCTCGGGTTGGGCGACCATTCTATCGTGACTGCGGCAGACTTGAGTCGAAAGACGCCGTACTGCTCACAGATGGATCAGCGCGCATGCCCGCCGACTGAGAGCTGACTTACGTTCTCGCAGTCGCCATAGACGTTCCATAAGTCTGCTTCGCCATCAGGTTGCACACATCCAGAGCACGAAGGGACGCACTGATGGTGCGGTCAGCCGACACGCTCGCTAATTTCTCGCCAGTCGGGTTGAACTTGACATCAAGCACTTCCGCCTGTGCGCGTACCTCAAGCACATCAGCTGCGGCTTTACTGAGCAGACGAGTAGACGCACAGCATGTCCCTCGAGACACATGATGGGTGCCTTGAGAGCTGACGTTCGTTGAACGGTGCGGATCAGTTGCTGCGACTTTGTGCCTGATCTGCCATCGGAGGCGACGATCATGGACTGAGCATTGCTGGCATCTTCATCTTCTACTCGGGCTCGCTTGGTCACTTGCTGGGATGAGCTTGCGCTCGCTCGCTTGTCCGCCATCCTCAACGCTTCCGGCCTGAGGATGCAGCTCTTTTTCGCCAAGTCAATTCATGGCGAAAGTCAAGATGAGAGAAAGACAGAAAATAAGCTCGTGCTGGTTGCCAAAAATTATTTGGCAAGGCGAGTCGAGACGAACAAGAGCTCTTTGAGTGCGGTGATCAGCAGCTCGGGCCAAGCGCAGAGGGCCTTCAGCAGTCGGACAGCTCCTGCTACAGCTTCCCACTCGGAAGGACGATCAGAACAGAGAGCATTGGTCTCGAGGGGTTTCTCAAGCTTTCCCGCGTGCCTTGACGACCTCGTGCTCCAATCACCGTTAGCGAGCTCGCAAGTGCCCTCCAGGCCTGCACTCGCCTCTCATTCGACGAGCAGTCAGGTCACACAGCTTCTGCGTAAGTCAACGAGCGTCTATGCATGACGTGCCGAGCTCAGGCAGGATGGATGAACAGACTCAGAAAGAGCTCAATGAAGAGCTGCAGCCAACCAATCAGACCGAGCTCCATGCATCGCAACCGACACCACCACTTCATCATACGTAGCAACTCACACGAGCTGCTGCTAATCTAGGCCTCTGCGCCTTTTCTTCAAACCCCTTTCAGCTCTCCAACCTCGGTCGGCGCGCAGGGCCTGAACGTGCTCAGCCCGCGCAAGACGAGGATCCTCTGAGCTCTCTCTTCGTCTGCCTGCTACGACGCAGCAGCTGACTCCAGCAACATGCCGCGCAAAGCTACTGCTACTGCGCAGCCCCCTCTGCAACAACAAAATGGGAGACCTAGTCAGTTGACTCGCTCTTCGAGCGCTTACACGTACTGATGTCACAGTCGGTTACACAGCTCGCGCTCATGCAGCAGCTACAGCGACAGCAGCTGCACCCGCTACTCCTGCCTCAAAGCGCGAGTCGTCACCTCGCATTCGACAGTCACCCGCTGCCAAGCTAGAGAAGCAGCAACAAGAGACAGGACAGACCAAACATGAGCCCAGAGTCCCTTCAGATCCATTTCTGAACCATGACGATGCCCCCAAACGGCAAAAGGGCTTACGGTCTCAGCATGAACTGCCAGTCGAGAATGTACCAAACGGCCATACGCTACCCGAAAGACGATCCACTCGGCAACGCGCTCAGAAAGCACCATCTCATCGACGCGCGCGACGAGGCCACTCTGAGCATACCCGCGCAGCCATCGAAGAGGCAAACGAGATTGCCATTGATACGGATGCCACAGTCGAGGACGATGGTGCAGACATGTCAGATCTCGATCTCGCAGAGGCAGATGACGACGACGAAGGTCCGGCTGACATTGGCGATGATGACGACGATCTAGAGCTCGAGGAAGAACAAATGATCATCGCAGAAGTAGAAGAAAGGCAACAAAGGCACTCCCGTCGCTCATCTCGCAAGCTGTCACCCTCCCACTCAGACTCAAAGCACTCTGCTTCGAGCTCCAAAGTGAGTCGAGCCAAGCCAGATCTCCATGCACAGCCCGAGCAGGACGAAGACGATGAGATCATTATCGAAGTCGCCGAGTTCCCTATTGAAGCTGTCAGAAGTCCGGTGACTTGGTCCGACAGTGGGGATGATGACATCGATATAGAAGAGCTCGAGGAGCTCTTTGCGCTCGCCGACGGCGAGAAAGAAGCCGAATTTCTTGACGGCATGTGGTATGCCGACATGAGCGATGCGGACGATGACGAGGACGATAGTGATAGTCAAGAAGCCGATTCGGACGGCAGCAGCAGCCTCGTCGACGAGCAAGATATCTGGGACGCTCGTCATTGGAACGCTGGCGTGTCAGAAGGAACCTTATCGGATGGCGACTTTGGATCCGATGACATAGACATTGACGACGAAGACGATGGAGGCAACACGACAGACTCTCTCGACGATTCAGACCATGTCGGTCTGGTACGCTTTGGCATAGAAGTAGACGAAGACGAGCTGGATGCCATCAAGGCGTTTGCATCGCTTGCTGACGTACAAGCGCCTACCTCTGCAGAGGTCACCGCTGGCCTTCATCGCAAAGGCTTTCGCGTGGCGATGTCAAAAGACGCAGATACGACGTTTGCTGTCGTCGACGAGCGTACTGCTGCCAAACTCATGCGGGGCCTGCCCGTAACCATCGCAGTGCCCAATACGAACAGTCGCAAGAGTAGGCGGAAAAGCCAGCGACAAGCAGGCATGCGTACTCCAAGAGCAAACGGAAGAGCAAGCGTACCTTCGCATCTTATTACTTCCTCTTCGTCTGCTTCGCCTGAGCTCGTGCCGCAATCTTCGCCTCGTGCGCCCGAGATGGGCAACTTCGAGGCGCCGCCAGCAGACGGCAGTAGGACTGTTGCCATCATCGACAACTCATCCAAGCTTGTCCCTTCGCCTTTTTCGCGCAAGGGAAGAACGCGCAAGCGCGTCTCTCGCGTCAATTCGGTGTGTCACAATAGTATGGGCGCTGAATTCGTGCTGATACCAATGTGCTCGCACAGGGCGAAAGCGCGAGTAAGACAGAGACGGACACACCTTCAAAGATCGTCAGCCCAGACGAGGCCTCGCGCATGTCGCCGCCGCCCATCAGAATCAGTGAGGAGATCGAACAGATGGATCTCGACGACGTGCTCGACATGACGGGCTTGCAAGAGGATGACAGCGATTATGAGATATCTGACGATGCGTCGGAAATCGCACAACAGTCTTCCGTTGGAGGTGGAGGTCGAGGGAGATCTCAGTCAATAGGCAGCACAGCTACCACCTCACACACACTTGGCGATCTACACCGGTGGAATCGCATACCTATCGGCTCATACAGGCGCAACATGCTCGATGCACTTGCACCCAGCGAAGCTCAGACCTTCGTCAAAGGATCAAATCAAGCTTCCGCTCGGAGCTTGTTCCTGCCGGTTGGTTCTGGCACATTGACGGTACAGCAGAAGGGCGGCAAGAACACTCGGGCACCGAGCTCGATACTGCTGTCTCCCGTGCTCAACGCGACCGATCATGCACAGGCAAGATCGGCGCGTAAAATCAAAAGGAGCAAGGCGCGGACGAGATCCAAGTCACACTCCAACATGGCACCCCCGTCGATCGAGGAGACGCCAGCCAAGAAGCAGAGACGCGAGTCCATTGCTTCCGGCCAGTCAAGACCGCACCCTGTCACACCCTTGCCAGGCACTCGGGCCAGCAATGGTGTCACGGGTCCACCAGCAGGCGGCGTGAGCGACCTGATGAGCTCATTGCCCTCACATGGCTGCCCGCCACTCAGCTCGCCGCTCTTCTCGAGCATGGGCCAGGTCCAGTCGACCCCGAACCATGCGATACCTCATCTCAGCTTGTCAAGCGACGATGTGGCAGGCATGATTTGAGGACGGGTTGGAAGATTGCCGCTAGATATCTCTTTGCTAGTCTGAATCTGTAATGACATGCTCCTGTCCTGATATTGTACTGCACTGCGAAATTGCACGCCGTCATAGCGCTTTACATACAACACAGTCTTGCCTGATCTAGCTTCGTGCGTGTTCTCAGTCGTCTCCTCGTGGCACTTCTTCCTGTATGAGTTTGACCAGCTGAACACGCATCTCTGTTGTGTCGTCGCCCCGAAGCGTATCCGACACGAACCTCGCCGTGACTTGATACTGGAGCTACCCAAGCGCATCAGCACGTCGCGCGATGTGAATGCTCCGAGGCGGCGTACCATCTCGAGCGCGCCGCGTATGACGCCGCAGAGCACATTGGAGAACCACAAGCCCTCACTTGCAGGCGTGCCATCTGTCTCCGAAGCAGGCGTGCCGTACGCATCGTCTGGCAACTCGACAAATTCCGCTAACGGGTTCTCGTCGAAAGTGAGGGCAAACTCGCGCAGGTCTGGATTCGGGTTATGCGATATGTTGGGCACAATATTGAGGAACGCCTTGAAGCCGACCTGTTGATTACATCAGCCCGTGCATGATCGTCCCAGCGAGCTTGTACCTTAGCGAGCGTCTCGCCTACTTCTCGAAAGTCTTGACAGCGTCCAATGGCCGTCCGAGCGAGAAAGTCCTCGACGAGTCTCGTGCCCATGTTGTAGCCCCTGCGAGCAACATGAGCGCAAAGTGAGGCTTGCGAGATGGGCGTACATCTTGTCGAGCTGTTCGTTGACTGCGCCGTAGTCCTCATAGTCCTTGACGAGTTGAACGACCAGGGAGCCATAGGTCATCGCGAAGAGCTCTGCATTCTGATGGCACAGATGACTCATCAGCCCAGCAAGGTCACAGAGGACGTCTGCGCTGACAATCTTGTCTGTCCGCTTCCATATGTCTTCGCCCAGTGCTTTGGTCTTGGCCGCCATGGAGACGATGCTGATGCGACGTGGCAGCACAAGCGCGAGCGCGTAGAAATGACAGCGACTTGCTCGAGCTTGCAGGCAGCGTCATGCCCAAGATCAAGGCGAGTGCCAGCTCGACTGGTGCCGCAAATCACTGCTGACATGCTCTACTTGGCTAGACCTCACGCACGAGGGCGCCGCCGGAAGGCTTTGAAGAGATTGAGAGCGTGCTGGACGAGTATGCACGACGGATGAGAGACGTCGAGAGCGAGTCACACGAGGGCAAACGGAAGGCAGAGTCGACATGGCCCATCATGCGTATCAACCACACTCGGTCGAGGTACATCTACGACCTCTACTACAAACGCGAAGCGATCAGCAAGGAGCTCTACGACTGGCTCCTCAAGGAAAAGTACGCAGACGCAACGTCAGTCTCCCGCCGCCCCTCGTTACGACTCTCAGGTACTGACAGAGATCATGGCAGATTGATCGCAAAGTGGAAGAGGTCGGGCTACGAGAACCTGTGCTGCGCGAGATGCGTGCAGAGTAGAGATATGAACTATGCCGGTTCGACGTGTATCTGTCGAGTGCCCAAGGCAGCACTCAAGGAGGGCACAGTAGTAGAATGCAACTTTTGCGGTACGTCCCGTCACACTATGTCCAGACCGCCGAGCTGACGCAGCAAGACAGGCTGTCGAGGATGCGCATCAGGCGATTAGGCCTAGGACGCGCAAAAGAGCAAGCACAGCACATGTTGTATGTATTACAGCCCGTTACAACACCTATGCAAGAGCTACAGGCTCAGAAGCGGACGCCAAGATCTTCAGTACACCTTGCCCAGCCTCTTCCTTTGCTGCCAGAATCTCTATGATTCGGTCTTGCAAAGCAGATTCGTTTGTCTTCTTGATCGTCTCGACGTCTTTGATCAGATTGGCATGCCTGCTCACTGCATGAGGTATGCTACTGAATGCAAGCTGCACAACGTACTCGTTCTCGAGCGTTTGAAGCTTCTGTTCGAGCGCAAGCTTGCCGGTGGCAATGTGATGCTTCAGATTATTGACCTGCCACTGCACGCTCTCGATAGCTTGTAGCGTCTTTGTCATCTCGCTGGTCGTAGACTGTCCACACAGTCATTACCAACAGCGCTTGAGCTGTCAAAATCCCGGCGCACCTCTTTGACGTCTTGAAGATCCCGCTGCAGCAACTCATACTCGGCATCTGCGCGGTAATTCAGATCTGCCAGCTGATCGAGCTGTTCCGAGATGGCCGTCGTCTTTGGCTCGAGTGCAGCCGTTTGTGTAGTGAACGACAATCTCTGGTCAATCGTGTCTTGACGGAGTTTCGTTAACACGGGCCGAATGACAGTCGTACAGTTTGGCACAATCTCGTTTGCATCGCTCGCCGATCCGTTGAGCTCCTGACGGAAGTCGATATGGGCGAGGTGCTCAGGCGGAATGGGCAAAAGACTGAGATGAGTCAATTTGGAGGTGTAATCCTGAATCAGCTTCTCTGCTCGAACGAAGAGCTTCGTTTGCGCGAGCTCGGCCTCATAGGCATCTTGAGAAGCTTTGGCGTGACGCTGCTCGGTCTGCCTTTTGTCTTCCGCCAGCTTCTCTTGCTCCGAGAAGATGTCAAGCGCCTCTTGCTCCGAGATGCCTTGACTGGCTACTTGTCGTGCCAATTCCTCTCTTTCCTCGCGTGACCGCCGTTCTCCTTCCTCTGACGATGGGTAGGGGAGTTCAGCGTACGCAGCTGAGACCGCATCACCACCGACCTGCTGCTGCGCGCGCTGCTTCCTTGTCCACAATCTCTGTTGCAAATTTATCGACTTTGCGACTCAGATCATCGCGATATTGCTTCATCTTCTCGAGATCCTTCTTCAGTTGCTGACTTTCCAGCTGCAGCTTGTCCACTTTGGGCTGCTCGCATCCGTCAGCACGGCACCACAGTCCGGTCGCAGACTTACTGCTGCGGCTAGCTCAGAGGCTTCACTCGTTTGCAGCCTCTCGATCGACTCTGTCAAGACTGCGATACTTTCTCTGCCCTGCTCCATGTACGCCTCTGTGGACCTGGCTAGCATCAGCTCTGCTGTGAGCATACGCCACAGAAACAGACCAAAGCGCGATTCGAGCTGCTGCTTGTAGGGCTCGAGATCGTACTGGTCGCTTGCCAGGAAGAGAGGGTATGCTCTCTGCAGATACTCGTGCCAGAATTCAAGCTTGGCTTGCGGCCGATCGAGTAGTACAAAATGCTGGGATCTGTCCTCTCCGCCTGCAAGATTGGATGTATCACCCGAAGACTGTCTTGCTTCGGCTATGAGGTCATCGACATGAGCCGGATTGATGACAAGCTCGGGATAGCCTCCAAAAGCGGCTTCTCTCCCCTGTGGCCTTGCGTCAGTCGTGCACTTGCACGAAGACAGCAGACTGACTCGGATAGTCTTGATAATCCAATCGAGAAGACCGAGCATCATCGGCCAGACATGCATAGCAGCGGGAGCTTGCAGATGGCTCTTGCTAAAAGGCTCTGCAAATGGATAGCCTGATCCTTTGATGATGTAGACTGCCTCGTCCTCCCATTTGACACCGTTTGCGGAGCCAGTCTTCATACCCTTGTGCCATTCATGAGTCGTATGAAAGTGTGCTGCAGGAGTGGAGGGTAGCGTCGATGGGTCGTAGATCGACCAGATGAAGCGAAAGATATCCCAGAAATCTCTGGAAGTCGGGCCAGTGAGCATCTTGAGCGAGACCTTGTTCATATGCTCGTAGTTGCGTTCTTGCAGAAAGTTGTACACGTCACTCTCGATGCGTCTCCTGGCTTGCACGGAACGCAGGTCTCGCGTATCTCTTGCCGGCTTGCCGCTATTGAGGAAAGCTTGCAAGCCGCCAGGATGACCCATCAGCCCGAGCGGCAATCCGTTCGGTCCGAGCGCGCCTGCTACACTAGCATGGTACGGTGATGCTGCACCTGACATCGAAGCACGGCCATAGCCCTCAGGAGCGATAGATGATCTGCGCATCTTGCCTCCGCTCGGTTGATGAAACGGCTGCGAAGGGGCGAGTGACTGTCTGTGTGCGCTTGCGTTCGGCATCGAGCCACTCGCCGCCATGGACTGTCGCCGTACGCTGCATTGCGCGTCAGCAGAGTGCTTGCAAAGAGCGTGCGCCAACGGGAGTACCTCGGGGGTGCATAAGCGCCATAAGAGCTCGATGAAGCGTGTTGAGGCGCTGAAGGAGGCGCCATTGAGCTCATACGCTGCTTCTTCTGCGTCGGATCCCCAGGAGGGGCCATACTGGGCCTCGACATGGCGTGTAGCTGCCCGCGGCGGAGGCCTTCGTTGGCTCAAGGCCGACGCGTCGATCTCCCAAGAGTGGCGGCACGTGTCGAATATCAACACGAGCGGAGCGTGTGAAAGAGTTCGGGGCGTCTTTCGTCCGACTGACTGGGTCGACAGAGACGATTGAGTGTTTGTCGTGGACAGTCTCGATCATCAAGAGCGAGCCAAGCGCTCGTCATCGACTACGCCCGAGCGACAGGACACACCCCTGAATGCGCGCTCGCTAGAGCTCGAGCTGGATCTGTTTTCAAGCTTGGGCTCGACCTGCGAGCGTTTGACGCCGGACACAGCCAGCATGCAGGCCACGACCGATGGCGGTGATGCACCGGAGCAAAGCGATACCTTCACACGGCCACACGTCGCGCTTGCTCGCCCTCGACCGCCAAGACGAACGACGACGAACAGTACTCTTCGAGCTGATGCACGTCCTTCTACGCCTCTCATGGCCCGACAAGATCGAGAGGGGGCAAGGGAGCGTAGTCTGGACTCACCGATGATTGTCACTAGCGAGCGAGACCAAGTCAGGCACGACCTTGGTCTAGACACGGCAACCGTCGAGCTCATCAATGCTGCGTGAGTGCTTCTGCAACTCTGTACCTCATAGCAGGCTGATGATCCTTGCCATTCGCTTGCTTCTGCCCGTGTTTCTTGCATGCCGTTGTGTCGCATGACAAAGCTCCGTCGCGCTCGAGCCTTCACCCACTCATCACGACTCAGACCCAGTCACACCAAGGGCAGACACGTCTCGCGCACTACACGCAGGCGCAAGTGGTCACTCAGATCCAACGCAAGACGATCCGCCCGTCATGCAGGACTGGATAGGCGGCAAGACGCGAGAAGAGCTTGAGGGGTTACTCCTCGAAGCCGACAGAGTCATACGCATGCGAGAACAAGGCAGGCCACCTTCCATCTCAAGCGTGTGCGAGTGTCTGATCCGGCAAGCTGCACAGAGCTCATCATATCTGCATCGATCGGCAAGTCTTTGCTTGACAATAATGCAGATCTCAAAGCAAAACACGATGCATTGCTCAATAAGATCACATCAGCTCCTTCGAGCCAGGCAGGCACACTCAGCGGTCGCTCGACATCGCTCTCACATACCACAGAGACCGGCCTGACCTCTCCCTCGAAGCGACAATTCGGCACGGAAATCGATACAAACGTCATCGTCAATGCCTTTACCCACTCACAACCATCCGCAAAGTCCGAGCGGGATCCCCAGGAAGACCCACTTGCCACGCCACTCTCACGTACCAGTCAAAGCCGTTACGTCTCACGCAAGCCTAGCCACATCAGTCTACGGTCAAATGCGTCCGATCCGTACGGTGTACCCATTTCGCCTTCATCATCATCCACACCCGGTCATATCAGGATACTACCCACTTCACCTTCTGCGCTCAACAAGCTGTCTGAGGACAACGACGAGCTGGCGCACAAGTTGGAGGAGCTCGAAGCAGAGACTCATAAAGCCGATCTGATGGGACGCAAGAAGCTCCGTCGACTTGACAAGGAACTTGCAAATCTGAAGCGCGAGCTCGAAGAAGCGCTCGAGAAGAACGATGAACTCGAAACTCAGCTGCACAAGAAGCAGACCACCTCGACGCAGCCACTCAAAGCGCTGTCAAAGGCAGTCTCGACAGAATCACTTGGATCGGCCACTTCCGCCCATTCACTCGCGCGTCATTTTGAGCTCAAGATGTCAGAAGCGCAACCCGATCATACCAAAGCTCGTTCTATCGATGCTGGCGCCCGTGCTCTGGCCACGACGCCTGACCGACAATCGCCTGTTTCATGGCAAGCAACAGCATCAGGGCGGGCGATGTTAGCCGAGGCTGCCGCTGCCGCTTCTCCTCTTCGCCAGCCGAGCTTCAGTCATATTATCAAGACGCCAAGGAGCAGAGCAACATCGAGCGCATCTGTTCGTCCGTCGGAAGCAGCCACCAATCCAGAGGAACAAGCGATCGTCAAGCAGCTTATGGCAAAAATCGCAGAACTGCAAGACACCAACAAGGAGATTGCATCTCAGCGACTCGATCTTGACGAGCGACTACAAAGGGCGCAAGTCGAAATGGAAGGCGCGCGTGCACGCTACGACGAGCTAGAGGATGAGCTGCGCAGGGCAGATCAGCAGCGTCAGATCGAGCCGGTTCGACATTTGCCGCTCGCTCTGTCATACAGTCAGGTGTGTGGACTGCACAAATATGACACGTAAGCTGATGGCCCAAATGTGATCGTTAGCCTGGCACGCCTGTTGCGAACCTGACTGAGCTGCCACAACGCCGCGCGCTCGGCAACCTCGCTATGCTTCAACGCACAAAGCTGCCCTATCTTCGCAATGGCCAAGACATCCGCTCGACGCCTGTCACGCCCAACGACGTGGCCGAAGTCGACGGCGAGTCACACAAGAGCTTCTTTCGACGTGGATCCTGGGATACTGCAGCAGAACACGAGGATGTGATGGACGTCATCGAACGGCAAGAAAAGGCAGCCTCTGCTCGCGATGCAGCGGTCCATCTACGTCAGACAAGCCATGGCAGTACTTCTGCGATTCAGTATGACTCAGACAATGATGAAGACGCTCGAGTTCCGCCAATATCGCAGAACCTTGCTCTCGAGCTCGGCTGGGAGGATGGCAAGCTGGTCATCACACGAACGAGCTCAGAGGTCTCCAGCCTGCACGAAATCGCTAGTCGCCATCGTCCAGAGACTCGTCTCGCCAACTGGAACGATCTGGACGATGGCAGGCTGTGTGCTCCTGACGATCTCATTCCACATGGCGGCCTTCGCGATTCCTCTTGTCCTGACGAGAATGCCTACGCTGCCATTGAAAAGGCCAGCTCGAGTGTGCCGATCGTCTGGCATGATGATCGCGGCTTCGGTGGAGCAGATGTGCACGATCAACGGCAGTTCAGTAACATCGGACGAAGCGCTTCCGGTCAGTCGTGGATTTATGAGGACGAAGAAGCGACAGAAGGTCCGGATCCGTGGGAAGGCTCTGACTATCCTGGACTCGAAAGTGCCGATGCCGTCAAGGAGCGCCGGGAAATGGAAGCACGCGAGCGACATCGAAAGCGACGACTGAGGCAGATAGCTGCAGAGAGCTCGAGCAGTGCTTTCTCAGGCTCTGACGATGGCCTGGACAATGCGACGACGCCATCGACCTCTATTCACAGCCATCTGGTGGACGAAGAGATGAAGCAGACGAACGGCAGCCGTAGACGTCAAGCTCTCCGACGACTCGGACTGAATGTCCCTGCAGGCAAAGGTTCTGTGCAACGTCAGCTCGTGGCGTATGCCGGCCGACTGCTGAATGATGGCGAAGACGACGAAGAGCCGTTTGATCACATCCGCGCGGACGAGCATGACAATGTCCAGGCTGGCCAGCGCGGAGCAGATTACTACCCTGTTTCGTTCCTTGCTCGCTATCACCCTCGCACGGTCGCAGCACGTGTCAAGTATACGACGACGAGTTACGTTCATTTCTGTCTCGACTGGATGAAGCTCTTCATCATCCTCGGCATCGCCATCTTCGTGACCGTTTATCGAGGGCCAGCTAAAGTGCTCGCTATCCCAGAGCGACGAGCGTATCGACGCAGAACAAACCGAAAGCGCATCCAATAGAAATGATACCCTCATACATGTACCATGTCAGATCCGTGTTCGACTAGACTGACACCAGCACATCATTCATCCGACAACATGCATAGAGGTTACTGTGGGAACATGATCTCTCATACACTCGCAAAGTCGAGTCGCTTGTGTGAGTCTGTAGGGTCCGCGAACGGGTCGTCTTCGTCGTCGTCATCTTCCTGTACTTGGTCTTGGTCGTCGTGATCTTCGAGTAGGCTGTTCCCACGCTGTCCTTCGTATGCTTCGTACGCCCGATGACTTGAGCTTGCTTGCGGCGCGTCATCTTGAGAGTGAACGCTGCCTTCTGACGAGTCGTAGTCCGAGTAATCCGAGAGCGAACCTTGGCCGTAGCTCGATTCGGGGCCCGTCTTGCTGGGTCGCATGGGGTCTTGTAAGCCAGCTGCGTCACCATCGTCGAATACGAGATCCTCGAGGTCAGGATGAGCTCGTCTCAGTCGGTTTGCGCGCTCGATCTCGAAGCGTTGACGTTCCTGAATCTTGTCGACTTCCGTGTCAACCGTCAAAGCTGAGAAGGACCTCAAGAGATCGGGTCGCGTGGCGGCAATATTTGGGCCAGCACTTCTTATCCGATTCGCTGCATCTTGGACGTCTTCATCGTCTGAATCGAGATCGACTGGCTTGTTCATCCGATCGTACAGCTGAAGTGCAGCGATGATCTGCTCGTTCGTCTTGAGCAGCATGCCCACGTACTCTCCTTCGACTGCAGCAGACGATGATGAGTTGACAGATCAGGCAGAGGCAGTGAACCAACCATCGGTTTCGATCAGTTGAGTATATCGTACGATCGCCTTTCGACTTGTCTTTGCCTTTTCCAGATACGTCTGTACTTTGGCATTGGCGCTGAGTGTCTCGCGTTCTCTATTGACGTGTTGCAAAGCGTTGACGAGACTGCTTTTCAGATAAGCGCTACATTCCACACAAGGGCCGTGACTTGCTTGTTGCTTGCTTGTGATGCCTGGGCGACTGCCTGCATGATATTTGGCTTCTCCTGTACTCCCGTATGTGCGTAAGCAGCGCATGCTGCTCATCGAACCTGGACGTGCCTTTTCAAAGTCGAACATGATGCGTTTGCCCTTTGTGTTCCTCAGCTTGAGCCTGTCCTTCTGTTCCTTTGCCCTCAGCTTCGCTTGCTCTTTGTCGCTCCTCTCGCTCGCTTTCAGCTGTTGCCGGAGCCGGGCTTCTTCCTCAGCGCGCGCCTGTTGCTCCGCATAGGCTTTCGAGGCCGCATTGCGTTTCGCGGCTTGGTTTCCACCGCAAGCTTCCCATAGGCCGGCGACGAGATGCATGGAAGGATCGCCCTTGAATGATCGATGCCAAGACGCGAGGACGGACATGAGCTTGCGCTTGACGGTGTCGTCCGTCATGGGATCGCCGACCATGACCTTTAGACGGTCAACAAGCCTCTCATTGGCAAATGTTGCTAAGCAGTAGAGTAGGATGTCAGCTCGGGAGCAAGCCGAAGGTCCTCAGAGCTGACTCTGAAAGCGGGTGCCGCAGTTTTCTACGAGGGCCTTGAGGATGGTCAGGGATCTCAGCTGACGGTGGACATTGCCATACTTGAGCTTCTTGCGTATCGCTCTGGATGCCTCCGTAGGACCAGTCGACTGCAGATTGATCGACTCCACGAGCTCGGGTATGCCATCGTACTCCTCTATCTCGTATCTCTCGCTGCAGAGCCGCTCTATCCAGTCGCTCACCGCAGAGAAAGGTTTCTCGCCTGACAGCGCCTTTGTCGCTGATGCGTACAGCTGCACTAGCTGTGAGCTTTGTTCAATCAGTCGTCCACACTTGAACGCACCTTTGCAGCCGCCATTGCTGTCATCAGGGAGCAAGATGTATGGAGCAGCTAAGCGCTAATCAATTGGACGCGCTTTCGTGTTACGTCACATGCACAAAGGCCGCAACTTGCATTTCCGCGGCTCAGAGACTACAATCCAGCCGGAGCACTCTCCTGCAGAGGAGCAGCTTGCTTGCCAACCGGCTGCCCGCTGAACTTACTCCGTAGCTGGGCGTAGCGTTTGCGCTGAGCGACTGACACGCTCGGCGAGACCTTGTCGAGCGCCTCGTCAAGATGAGCTGCCCGTACAAGGACTTGTAGGTCCGTCTGAGAAGCGAGCGGCAGCTTGAGAACCTCGCGTAGTGCAAGACTGCATGCCTCCCGAACGAGTGCGCTGAGGTCCGCGCCCGAGAAGCCGTCGCAGCGCGCATCGACAGCGACGGCTGCAAGATCAACGTCACTGGCAAAGGGCGTCTTGGTCGACTGAGCTCGGATGATGTCCTCGCGTTCGGCAGGCGTAGGCAGATCAACATAGAGCAATTTGTCCAGCCGGCCGGGTCTGACCATGGCGGGATCGATCATGTCTGGACGATTGGTCGCGCCAACGACAAAGACTTGCTTTCGTGGCTCGAGGCCGTCTAGTTCGGTGAGGAGGGTATTGACCACCCGCGCAGATGATTCAGACTATGCGAAGGGAGCCAAAGTCAGACATATTCGACCGACTGAGTGAGTGCCATGCGCACCAGATTGTCATCCCGTCGAGGCACTAACGCATCGAGCTCATCAAAAAAAACGACGCAAGGCGAAGACGCGCGCGCTCTTGCAAAAACTTGCCTAACCGCTCGCTCGCTCTCGCCTACATACTACAGCATACTTGCCTGTCAGCACTCAGGATCACTCAGTGACAATACGCGCACCTTGTTGAGCAGCTCTGGTCCTCTGACGGAAATAAAGTTTGCAGCGGACTCGTTGGCAACAGCTTTGGCCAGCAGAGTCTTGCCGCACCCGGGAGGACCCCACAGAAGGACACCGCAAGGCGTGGCGATACCTAAGGAGGCAAAGAGCTCCGGCCGCTTGATGGGTTGAACAATTGCCATCTTGAGCTCCTCACGTATCTCGCTGAGCGCGCCGACATCAGACCAGGAAACATCCGGGACAGTCGTGAATCCTTCACGCTTTGACGATGGCTGGACTTGTAGCAGCGCCTGCTGAAAGTCCGCATGGGAGATATGAAGTGGCTCAAGCTGACTGTCAGTGAGCGGCTCTGGATGCGCTTGCAGAAAGGCAGAAATGGCGAGAAGCTGCAGAGACGGCGGCATGGACGTGAATGGCCCAGTGATGATCTCCGTAGCATCACCAGAGGAGGTCTGTGCGTCTACGAGCATGCTGTCGCCATTGACATGTCCACTCGTAGCCTTAAGATCCTCGAATATGCGCTTGACTGCGATAATACCAGCAGCGCCTGCCAGAGCTTCGAGATCTGCTCCGACATAGCCCGGCGTAGACTTGGCCAGCGCGCGAAAGTCAAAGTCGCCAGCCAGTCTGAGCTTGGAAGAGACGACGCGCAGGATCTGCTTTCGCGCATTCTCATCTGGCACGCCCATGACGATCTCATGGTCGAATCGTCCTGCTCTACGCAAAGCAGTATCGAGGCTATCAGGTCTGTTTGTAGCGCCTATGATGAGAACGGGCTTGTTGTCCGTCTTTTCCCAGGATAGGTCATCCATGCAAGTCAGTAGCTGAGCAACGATGCGCCGTTCCATCTCTCGCGCTGCATTCTCTCTCTTTGGTGTGATGGCGTCAATCTCGTCTATGAAGAGTATGCAGGGCGCGAGACTGGCAGCTTCTTCGAACGTATCTCTGATCGCGCGCTCCGATTCGCCGGACATGCCGGACACGACCGACGGCGCAGAGATATTGAGGAAAGGTACGCCTAGCTCCTGTGATCGCCTTCCTCTTGAGCGCCACTCGAGCGCTGAACGACAAAGCAACCCACCCCTGCGATGGCACCTGCCAGCATTGTCTTGCCGCACCCAGGTGGTCCACAGAGCAGGACACCTGTGGGCGGCCTGACGCCAGTATGTAAGTAAATCTCTGGATGACACAGCGGCATGGCAACAAGCTCGAGTATCTGTTCTATCGCTGTCGTGACTCCGCCGAGATCTCTGAGTCGTGTGGCAGGCGGATCATGAGCTTTCTGCTTTCCATTCGTCGTTGCTTTGTACGCTCTCACTCTCTTGCGCTCGGCTGCTGGCGAGTCTTGACCAGCAGGCTTCGCTGCGTCCGTCTGACGCAGTTTGCGCTTGGAAGTCGACGCATCTGATCGGATGACAGGCTCTTGAGGCGATGCCAAAAGCTGAGCAGTTTGAGCAGAATCCGAATTTGGCGTGCTTGCGCCGGTGTCAGTCTTAAGGTCCGCGACCATGTCTGGCGTCAGTGTACTGTTTAGATTGAAGGCTTTGCGTCGCATTGAGCCAGAGATCTGCTGGTTCAGCAGATTAGCAGCCATCACTGCATCACTAGCGGGCGAATGTCAGAAAAAAAGGAGACAGCCCAAATTGCAGAGACGCGCTCGATTGAAGCAAAGAGCATTCGCACTACAAGAGATCTAAAGACGGAGTTGCATACAGAAAGCACAATCAGATTGTTCGGGACGTCGACATGTATCGTCTCTCTAGGTTCTTGGCTGGAGAATGACGCGATTTTGAGAGAGATTGGCACTCTGGGGTGGCAGGTCAAGGAAAATATCCTGCAGGCACGCATCAGTACTCGCACGACGAATAGACGTCGGGGGAACGCACATCTGCCGGGTGTCTGTATAGACCTGCTTTGAGTCTGCGCTGATCGAGGTGATGTCCGATGAAGCCGATCGAGCGACCAAGCACGAAGAGTCCGTTGAGCGTCTCCATTTCGAGATACTCTTGAGCTTCTTGCGGAGTGAACGAGCCACTGTCACGCAAGAGATCGGCAAAGCAGACCGCAATACAGCCATCGACATTGAGAATGAGCGTGTCCTTTTTGGCGCTCGTAACTTCTTCGACAGCCAGTGCATAGTCGAGCAGCTTGTGCTCCGGGAAAGTCTTGATGACAAATTCCTTGACGAGCTCGACGCGAGCGTCTGGGTTCGTCTTGCTCTTGATCTTGTGTCCGATACCGGGAATGAGCTTGTTCGCGCGGCGCATGGAGTCGACAAACTCGCGGGGGCTAAGACCTTGATCGTACGCGCCGGTCATTGCAGTTGCGCAATCGCTCAGAGCACCGCCGAAGCGAGAACCAATCGTCAGCAGACCCGAGACGAGCGACGAGACGAGATCCTTGCCAGCGCGGGTGGTGATGACGGTGTTCATGGCGCCACTGACGGCCGGACCGTGATCGGCAACGAGACAGAGACACATCTCGATGAATTTGCACAGATGTGCAGGCAGTCTTCGCTTGAACCAGAGCAATGCGAGCACACCACCAATACCAATGTCCTCCTTGAAGACGTCTGAGATGCGCATGCCAGCATAGAGCAACTCTTGACCGCGCTCATCAGAGATGGTCGAGATGAACGCGGCTGGCTTTCGAACCATGCCAAGTTCTTGCGCCCATTTGTAGTCGATAGGGATCGAAGGCGGGTCTCGCTCTGGCTTCGGGGAAATCTCGCCGTTGGCAACAAGCTGCTCGTAGACCTTGGTGAGTGCGACGGGCAGATCTTCGAAAGTGTCTGGCACGATGAAGCCGGCTGCTCGCATCGAGCGATTCTTGGCTGCAGCCGTCTCGAGGTCAGAGTTGGCCATCGATCCAGCGTGGCCGAATTGGACTTCTGTAGCAAACATGGAAGCACAAGTGCCGATTGCCCATGCGACGATAGGCTTCTTGATCTGTCCTGACTTGACAGCTTCGATGACGCGGTATTCTTCGACACCACCGACTTCGCCCAGCAAGACGAGCAGCTTGACATCAGGATCGGCTTCGTATCTGAGCAAGTGGTCGATGAAGCTTGTGCCAGGATATCGATCACCGCCGATGGCAATACCCTCGTAGGTACCGTTGGTTGTGAGCGAGAGGATGTTGTTGAGCTCGTTGGACATGCCACCGGATTTAGAGACGTAGGCGACCGAGCCTGCTCGGTACAGCTTCGATGCGAGGATGTTGTCCATCATACCGCCCGTATTGCCAATTCTGAAGCAGCCTGGCTTGATGCCACCGACAGTCGCGGGGCCGATGATGATGACGCCCTTTGCAATGGCAGCATGCAGGATCTCTCTGGCGTGTCGCTCTGGCACGCCTTCTGCAATGAGTGCGACAGCCTTGATCTGAGGGAACTGCAAGACTTCAAGCGTCGACTGATAGACTGAACGGCTCGATGCAAAGTTGACGAGCACGTCTGCATCGGGGTGGTTCTTGACTGCTTCGCCGATGGATGTATAGACTGGCAAGAGAGTCTCTCGCGTGCCCCAGTAGAACTTTTGGACATGATGACCTCCGAAAGGGTAGATCATAGCAGCGACGGAGGGCGTCTTGCGGCCGCAAGCATAATCAAAGTCGAGCATGCCTTGGATAGCACGAGGCTGAAGACCGTAGACGAGCGAGCGAGTGTCTGCATCGAAAGGCTTGAACGCAGGTCGCTGATGAGTCTTACCATGGCCAAAGCTGACGATGTTTCCGTTCTGATGACCAGCAAGAGGATCGCCCATTGACTCGACGGAAGGCGAAGGGGGTGCCGGCGTCATCGTGCCTGACATCGTACCGCCCTGCTTCGAGGGAGTCGTCAGGAGACCATTGAGCTGAGGCGCTGCAGAAGGCTTGTTGACGCCAAGTGCAAGAGGCACAATCTCTGTGATGAAAGTATCTGGGCCAAAGACTTGGATCTCAACACCGAGTGTCTCGCCGAGCAGTCTCATTGCCTTGAGACCCTCTTGATAGTTGGGACCTCCACGTCGAACAAAGATTCTGACTTTGTGAGCCTGCAGACCGGATTGAAACTGTTTGAGTGCTCGAATGATGCCCTTAAAGGTCGAAGCGACGTTGGTGAAGTTGGCGATACCACCTCCGATAATGAGTACCTTGCCATCTGAGCGGACCTTGCCGCGTGTAATGAGATCGAGGATCGTCTTTGCGTACTCGTACGTCTGATTCTCGGTAGGCGCGCCAGAATATTCGCCATAGTTGGCAAGCTCATTCGCAAAGCCATGAGCAGCAATAGCGTCTGAGTAGACGACTGAAGCACCACCGCCTGCGACCATCGTCCAGACGCGACCATTCGGGTTGAGCACAGTGAGCTTGAGGGAAGCGCCCGTAGAGCCATCGAGTTTCTGGATCCACGCCTCCTCCTTGGTCAGGTCGCGGCCAAAGGGTGCAGGAAAGACGATGGGAGGGCCCCGGTCTGCAGAGATCTTGGTCGAAGTACCATTGGTGAGTGGCGCAGCGGCTGAAGGGTTGTAGAGCTTTGGGTCGCGTGCGATGGACCATTTGGGACCGCAAATAAAGTCGGCGGTCTGGTCGAGCTTAGCGGCCATGTCGAGATAGTGAATGGCAGGCGGTGCATCCGCGGTTGCATCGAGGCAGATCAAGGGGTTGATCTCTGCCGGCTTCGGATGAGCTCATGTCGCTTGCAGATGCATGTGCAACGTACCAAGGTAAGCAAAGTGCAGGTCCGCATAGACGGAGTAGAGGCGGATGAGGAAGTCGACCAGGACTTCCTTCTTGTCCTCAGGCACGTGAGTGAGCAGCGTCGAGCTAATCGTCTCGCGAGATGGCAAGGATCCGTCTACGGGGATGAGCAGCTTGAGCGCCTTTGCGTCGACGTCTCCGACTTCTATACCGCCTTCGTGGGTGAATAGGATGATGTCGCCTTCTCTGACAGAGTTGATGCAGACGTAGTACTCGGTATGGGACGGGTGTGGCAGGAAGGGCTCGACGATAAAAGTGTTGATTGTACCCGTTGTCGACTCGACCTGCAGCAGCATATCCGTTGTTAGCAAATTGCCTTTGCAAAGAGGGAACAAAGCCTGCCTGGACGGCCTTGCCAGCGCGCTCTTGTATCCACTTCTTTGCGTCTTTCCAGTCGGCGTTGAGCAAGAGGAGACCACTCTTGCCCCGACGCTTGATCAATTGATCTCTGCACACGTAGGCGCCGCATTAGCTTTGACACAGATAGTACTTTGCTGGCGTACGGCTTGACGACGAGCTTGGTAGAATGGACCCATGCGGGCAAAGCATCGTCAGGCGTGATCGTGTCGGTTGCGCTGTCCCACGCGACCTGTGCAACGCGAGGGGTGGGCACAGCGAAGCCTTTGCGTGCGGTGACGGTGCTCGACACATCCGGTGCTCGCGTAAGCCAGTAGGCCAGCAGGAGCTTGGCGTCAAACTCTCGAATGGCTACGCGTCACATGTCAGCGTTGAGCTCAACTGACATGCGAGCACGAGGAGCATTGACGTACCTTTGGCTGACATGTTGACCTGTTCGAGTGTCTGGTGGTGCGAGAAGTATCTGTACAAAGGAAAGGATCAGCAAAGCTCAACAGACCGACAGGGTGGGGTGCCCCAGTTGGGATCTGCGAGGAGCGGGTGGAGGTCTGTGCGCAGGGTCGCTCTATGAGAAGCTCTGTGCAGCGTCATGGTCGGTATGAACGGTGCATGAGCCAGAGGACGACATGTCATGGCCTCAGGACGCCAAAAGGGATCGTTGGGACATTGCAGGAACAGAGGAGCTCATTTGAGTGTCGAAGCTTACTCGAGCTTGTAGCAGCGTTCGGCAGCAGGTGGTCAGCGTCACTGAGCTTCCACCAATCGGTCCTGATGGCCACAGAGCGGATGTATCGTCAGCCAACGAGTTCAGCAAGAATGATTGGGGTGCTCACCCTTTGTTCGTACGTGATCAACTACAGCCTCTTTCTCGTGCCGTTTCCGATGCAGCACTGGTTGACAGCAGCTGAAACAAGCTAGCCAGCGTGCATCAGTGATTTGTTGATGCTTGTTCGACGCTCGTACAGACCTTTTGCTCGTTTGACAATCTGTCGAGTTCGCTGCTGTTGGCGACGCGGCACGCGTTGGGCGGAAGACTGTCCCGTCTCGGTCGATTTTGGCTTGATGTGGCGAAAGAATCTCCTTGCCACGCAGCCTGACTCAGCCGACGATTACTCTGGCGTATTCTGGCGAATAGTCAACCGGGACCGCTCTGTCATCTACGCTGACGACCTACCAGGTCAGAAGAGGGGCAAGTCGAGTCGTCAGGGCAAGCTTTTCTGCATCTGCACAGTCGCACCTCCTCGGCAATCACTTTCCGAGCGGCCGACAGACCCGTCAGGTCTCCCACAGCAGCACAAGACCGGATCGTCGGCTAGCCTGGGCAGGAAGAGCAGCAACACTCGTCACAGTCGCCTCTGTTGCCACTTATACCTTTGATCCTACTTCGGCCCGACAGATCCACAGCGATATGGCACCTACGACAACGCGACAGCCATCAGAGGATGCGCACAAGTCCAATGGCACCAATGGCACCAACGGCACTGTTGATCATGCTGCCATCACTGCCGATCAGAAATCTCATTCCAAAGTGGTCCGTGTGGATTGCCTTTTGGCTTGCTTGTTTGTGTGCCTGATGATGGTTATGGGGGACAGGTCATCATCGGCAGTGGCCCGGCAGGTCATACAGCAGCTATCTACCTCGCTCGTGCGAACCTCGAGCCCGTCATGTTCGAGGGCATGCTCGCCAACGGATTCGCTCCAGGCGGTCAACTCACCACTACAACCGACGTCGAGAACTTCCCGGGCTTTCCAGAGGGCATAAGAGGACCAGAGATGATGGACCTCTTCAGGGAACAGTCCCTCCGATTCGGTACAACGATCCACACAGAGACCATTTCAAAGATTGATCTCAAGTCGCGACCCTTCAAATATTGGCGAGAGGGTGCCGAGCAATTAGAGCCAGAGACCGCAGACACTGTCATCATCGCCACGGGAGCTTCTGCACGTCGGCTCAACCTCAAAGGCGAAGAGACTTATTGGCAGTCGGGCATTTCGGCCTGCGCAGTCTGTGATGGTCAGCTTATGAGTAGTCGAATAACTGTGCGATAGCTGATCATGTCATAACAGGCGCTGTACCAATCTTCAGGAACAAGCCACTGGCTGTCATTGGTGGTGGCGATTCTGCCTGCGAGGAAGCCATCTATCTCACAAAGGTTCGCCGATCTGCTTCTCGACTTGCTCACCTGGCTCATCCTGCGTTTGTCTTTGACAGTACGGTTCGCACGTCTACGTCATCGTAAGGCGAGACCAGCTGCGAGCATCCAAAGTCATGGCGAAACGTCTGACCACACATCCCAAAGTGACGGTCATGTGGAACTCCGAGCCGCTCGAAGCCAAAGGCGACGGCGATCTTCTGCAAGCCATCACTGTCAAGAACAAGAAATCCGGTGAGACAAAGGACCTGCCCGTCAACGGTCTCTTCTATGCCATCGGTCATGACCCAGCGACCAATCTCGTCCGAGATCAACTCGACGTAGACGCGGACGGCTACATCATCACCAAGCCAGGCACGGCAGAAACGAGCATCAAGGGCGTCTTTGCTGCTGGCGATGTGCAAGACAAGCAGTTCAGGCAGGCTATCACAAGTGCTGGCACGGGCTGCATTGCTGCTCTGCAAGCCGAGCGATACTTGAGCGAGCACGAAGTACCAGACTCGACGGGCGAACCTCATGTGCCTTCCAATCACTACCTCGGCGGCGACAAGGTGTAGCTAGCATGATTCGTTGTACCTAGATGAAGCCACCTTACGCTAGAGAATTGATTTGTGAAGGCGTTATAGCTGTGAGTTGCGTCGCGTGCCAAGAATGAGGTCAATCTGCCAGGCGTAACATGCTCACTGACTTCAAAACCCCCGAGCCCTCTCCCGAGACGCCTCAGCCACCATGTTGAGGCTACACTGGAGCATACTGATAGCTTTCTGCGTTCCTGCACTTGCGCATTTCACCTTAGATTACCCAACAGCACGAGGATTTGACGAGGACATGTCAGCCATGGTTTCTTGCCCATCACTGACGCGCACTGATCCCGACTTGCCAGTGAGCCCCAATTCTGCGGAGGGTTCGCTAATGTCGGCTCGCCTTCGACGACACCAGGCGAACGCCAGCCTTTCTCGCTCGGTGAGATGCGCCAGCATCTCTGTTGTCGTGAGCTGACTTGCGAGCAGGCCAATCCGTGCTCAACATCGACAGTCACCACAACACTGCTCAGGTTGCATTGACGCTATCGTATGCGCAGGCTCCCACAGCCTTTTCAGACTGTACGTGCATCGAATCTCATATGAAACGCGACAGCGATTGACTGGATCAGCTTACAGTCAACGTCAGCATCTCGCCCTCATTCACCCTACAAGGACAGGGCAATTGGTCCTTCCCCGTAGATCTCGGCACACTCAGTCCCGCGCCCGTCAATGGCACGAACGCGACCATTCAGATCTTCTTCAATGGTGGCGATGGCGCATTGTGAGTCGCGCGAAGTCCACCCAAGTGCCAGACTGACTCGTTTAACGAAGATACCAGTGTTCGGACGTCGTTCTGCTGAGCGGCTTCACGACGCCGAGCGATGTTTCGACTACCAACTCGACACAGACGGGCACTTCAGATGCGCCCGCGTCTTCATCGAGCTCGACACCGAGCAGCGGTGCATCTTTACTTATGACAGGCTCGTTGATGACCTTTACCGCGGTCGGCGCGTCTGTCCTGCTGTTGGCCTAGCCAGAGACCGAATGTGCTAGCTGCAGTTCAGATCGTACAAACAATGCATCAACAGAATCCATCTAGATCTAGTGTTGCTTCATGTCGAGCCTTGACCGGTGCCCACTTGCGATCCTCTATGTCTCAGACAGTCCGATTGCTGATCAAGACGCTTGAATGAGATAGTCCCGGATCTCCTCGCAAGACCGCCGAACGATGTCCGCCATAGAGTACTGCGACGCTTCTAGAACGAGCAAATCGGCGTTTGGAGCCGCGTGCCCATTGACTGTGCTGTCGCTCTTGATGGCCCGACCATGCTCGACGTCGCCGGCTCGGAAGAGATGACGATGCGCCTTTAGGTAAGCTGGCCAGACGATGTTCTGCCAGTATCCCGGCGGATCTTGCCACATTTCCCCTTCTGTCATATCGGATTGCGCTCAATGATAGGACGCGTGGGAGCAAGGAGAAGCAGATGAGGAGCGTCGATCAGCACGAGATCCAGCGAACGACAATGATCTCACCTGCTGTGTTCTATGAAGGCGCTTGTCAGCTCAGGGTCGAGTCAAGGCAGATGACACGCACGTAGCCGTTCCTCTCCTCTCTCCGCTTGCGCAGTATCGCTTCGTCCTCGCGAACAAATAGCTTGATATCGTATTGCGCGTTGGCTTGTCGATCCCAGTACATGAGAAAGCCGTCGACGATGCAAAAGGACGTTTGCCGTTCGTCTAGCTCCGCGAATACTTGTCGCCAATGCTCAATCCTGTACAAGCCCTTCAGCACCGGGAGACACGCGCCGGGTCGCCACACACAAGCCATCCGGTAGCGGCAGATCGTTTTGCTTGTTCATATGGTCATGCGAAGAGTAGAGCGGTGGAGGCGGCAGGGCTGCATGCTGCCGAATGTAGCTGAGCACTTTGTTGAAGCGCGACCACTCTAATCTGTCATTGAGGACGGATGAGCGTCGCATGAGCTCACGGTGGCGCGCAGACTGACGCTGTCTCGGGACTGTCCCAATCCTGAACGCCGTAGATGGGATGTATCGGTAATCGCTCGGCGGGCGGCGTGAGATCATCTTGGTGCAGGATAAACGTTCGTTCGGGCGGCAGGATCTGCTTGAGGAACTTGGCCAGCGTCGTCTTGCCGGAGCAGGATGCGCCGCCCAGCGCGATCATGATGACACGGTCCGTCATCGGTCTAGGGTCTACCGCTCAAGGGTCGATTCATGTTGAGGATGACTGACATGTTGCTCGGCACGCGGCGCACGCGACACAGCGACAGTCAGGCCTTTGCAACCCACCCCACATCGAGCTCTCGTGACTCGTCGGACCCGACAGTGCATTGCTCGACGATGGCAGAGTCTACGAACACCGGTTCGCCTGCGCAGAACGATGCATTGCCGCAAGACGCCGCCGCCCCGAAAGATGAGCTCACCGACCAAGAGATCATGGCCTTGACGCAGCAGATCAAGGAAGACGAGGCCAAGAAGTCACCACTCGTCGGGGAGATCATCGACTTGAGCCAGCTACAAGCCGAGTACGAGGGCGGACAGAGCGATCAGATCTTTGTGGCCAAATTCCGTTACCTCTCGACGCAGGGCTACGAGCTCTTGCGCAAGCTGCGAGGCGACGGCGATTGCTTCTATCGTGCCTTTGCGTTTGCCTGGCTCGAGGAGATTGCAACGCAGGGCGGTACATTGGCTGCTCAAGCTCTATCGCTCATCGAATTACAATTGCCCCTCCTCGAGGCAGCAGGCTACGACAGCGAAATAGTTCAAGATTTCTATGAGCCCCTGCGCACGATGCTGGAGAAACTAGCGACAAGTAAATCAGAGTCACACGAAGCCTACTTGCTTGAGAGGTTCAATGATGCAGAGACGAGCAACTCGACCGTCGTGTTCCTGCGCCTCATCGCTTCGGCTTTCCTCAGAAGCAATGCCGACGAGTTTCTCGCCTTCCTCTTTGCTTATGAGGACGATGCGCGCTTGTTGGATGAGTCGGGCATGCCGACGATGCACAACTTCTGTCAGCTCTACATCGAGCCGGTCCGTCGCACCGCCAGAGCTCACTACCTGTGCTGACTATGAATTGCGCAACAGACTCAGAAAGAAGTAGATCACTTGGGCATCGTCGCTGTCACGCGAGCACTTCGGACCTCGCTCAAGATCGCAGACCTCGATCGCTCCCTCGTCGGCGCGCAATCTGGCGATACTCAGACCGCTCAGGTCAACTTTCACGACTTCGACGGCTCAAACGGTTCAGAACAAGCAATGATCGAATTCCATACAAACACGCTACTGCTAAGACCGGGTCACTATGACCTCATTCGCAAAACGTAGGCATCATTGCGCAAAGAGTCGTTTCCGCAGAGCCGACACACTACCGTAAGCCGCATCGATATCGTCGTCGCCGGCTGTCGGCGTCAAGAGCGAAGCGTCGGGCGCAGTCTCATTGTTGGGCGGTCTGGCCTCGGCATCATCGAAAGGCGAAGCATTGGTGACTTTGGAAAGCGTGCCCCGACGTGAGCGAGGCAGAGGAGGTGGCGGCGGCCTTCTGCCCGGATGACCGATAGATGATGTAGATCCTGAGCGAGATCTGTTGCCTATGTTGGGCGCTACGAGCGTTTTGCTCAGCTCTGCTAGAGCTTGCGATCTGCCATCTGGCGAAGAGGAGCGATCGTGTCCTTCATCGGAGCCCTTATGCATGCTCGTTGTTCGTGAAGGCGCAGAGACCTCGCTGTCATAATCGTCGCTCACGGGTGAGAGTGGCTTGGTGTAATCTGGTCTTGCGTTCAGCGTGGTTAATGAATGACAAGGTAGACTGACTGGAGGGAAACATGCCATCGCGCTTTGTGCGCGCATTTTGGCCTGTCCACCATTCGGCATTGATCTCGCGAGACACGAGTAAATGGTCCCCTGCCTTGAGCGTGACTTCGTCGTCCGCACTGGCAGTGTAGTCAAAGGTCGCCACAACAGTACGCAGGGTCTGCGTAGCCGGTGGAGCGGTGTGCGTCCTTCTGAATGCAGGCGAGTGAGGCACCGCCAGCGAAGCGGTCGTGTCTAGTACCGGTGATAGATCCGCGTTGTCGTCCAGATCCTCATATCTCGCCCTGTGGCCCGGCAATCTGATCGAGCCAAGCTTGGGCATTCCGCCCACGACAGCACTGCTGACTCCTTTTGCTCTGTTCTTGAGACTTCTGTCGCTCTGGTTCGAAGCGGCAGAGACATTGGAGAGCGATCGACCACGGCCTTTGATAGCTTCAGGATCCAGCCTGGAAGCTGTGGCGGCCGTCTCGTTGTCCGATGAGGAATGGGAGACTGATCGTTGCCGGGTGTGTTTCTGAACGGGCTTCGTACGTGACTTGATGGTCGACGAACGCTGATGTAGACCGGCCGAAGGCGTTCCAGGCTGATCGTCGGGCCATTCGTCGAGCATTGCCTCGAGCCGGCTTTTGTAGCTCGTGACGAAGCGGAGCTCTGCTTCGACAAAGGCGGTCAGATTGGCCAGACTGTCGAGATCGCTGCCCTGAATAGCAAGCGCTCGTGCCTGGACATCGTCTTGCGTGCTCTCGAATTTACTGCTTGCGATGTGAGCAAGAACCCGTCATTCATTGTTCAAAGACGTACGCTTTCGCACTGCGGAGCTCTTCTTCCAGCGCCGCCTTTTCGGTCTTGCTCTTCTGGATCTTGCCCAACACGGAATCATACGTCAATCTCCTATCCGTGAGCTTCTTCGACTGGGCCTTGTACTCTGATATAGCGATGAGCTGCCTTTCGAGCGCATCGAGGTAGCCATTGTTGAGCGTGTCGACATATTCCGTCTGGAACGTCGCAATGTCGCTATGGGCTGCGCCGAAAGCACGTAGAGCTTGGCTATATTCGGACTCGGCAGGCATGGTCTCGGCCTGATCAGACACGACGAGTGCCAGGCTCTCAATAGGGAGCAATCCCTCGCCGCCCGCGTGGGCCGAGGGCTTCTTCTTGCCTAGCTGCCTGACATAACCAGTCGCAACATCCTGGATTTTCTCGGCTATCGATCGTTTGGCCTCGACGCTAGCCTGGAGGGTCTGTAGACTGCCAAAGCAACGGGTCTCAAATTGACTTGGATGTGAGCTCGAGGGGCCATTGCGCACCTCTGTGACGGTCCTGTCTGCGCCTGAACGGCTCCGATTCTGCACCGCAAATGAGCCTACACTCAGTGATGAGTGAAAGAGTGCATACTTTTCGTTCGCCCGCTGCCTGAATCGCTCGATCCGCTTCATGTTGCCTTTGTTGCGACTCGTTGCTCTTGCGAGTCAACCAAGCCGGACACGCTCGGACCTTCGTGTGTACGTCGATATCGACTTGTGCCGACCTTCAGGGCATCTTCTCAAGCGCCATTGTGTGGGAGGCCAGAACCGCCGAAGTGAGGAGACACGCTGCCAAGCTTTGAAACGATCGTCAACGCGACACGACACCCTCTGCTGGTCGGTGCCCCGTCCCCCATGCCGTCCATAGTCATGACAGGTGCGCCGATTGATCTTGCATGTGGGTTTTGCTGATGGCGGCATGCAGGTGGTGCGACAGGCGTTGGCGCCCGAGCCATCCGAGCGCTTGTCTCCCAAGGCATCAAGGCAAAGATCCATTTCACTTACAACCGCTCTTCGCCCGATGCCCTGCTGTTCTGCGAGACGGACGAGACCTCTTTGCATGCACATCAGCTCGACCTAGCTCAGCTCACAAGCGTGCGAAGCTGGGCGAGCGCGCTGCAACGTGACTTGGCCTCCATTGACGTACTCGTATTGAACGCCGCTATCATCAATCAGCAGCGCAAGCAAGGCATACTGGGCTATGTTGAAGAAGTGCTCGTGAGCATACATGCGCTCATGAGAGAGCCAGCCTGACGCGAATCAGGTCAATCATCTCTCGCAGCATTATCTCATTCAGCTCCTACGACCATTACTTTCTAAAGGCTCGCGCATCGTCTTTGTCGGCTCAGAGCTGCACCGAAAAGCGCTGAATCAAGGTACCGACCTTTCATGTTCGACCTTACAGCTCGCTGAGCGGAAAGTCAGATCTGAACGAGCAGGTGCGTTTTGACTCGACAGTGGCACACGACAGCACTGCGTCATACGCAACGACGAAAGCGCTCCTCATGCTATCTGCTCAATACTGGCATCGTACGCTCGCAGCCGACGGAATCCAAGTTTGCGCAGTCTCGCCGGGCTTTGTCCCATCGACCGGTCTCTCACGCAATGCTAGCTGGCCAGCAAGAGTGGCGATGAAATGGCTCATTCATTATGCACCATTCGCCAAGACGGAGGAGCAAGGCAAGGCATTACGAAAGGGCACAGAAGTATAGCTGACAGCATGCAGGTGGTGCGCTCATCGCGCGAGCAATGACCGCGCCGTTACCCGCGAGCCAGAAACTGGTCTACTTCCAGCACACGGGTACCGAGCGAGGCTTGGACGAGCGCACGGAAGACAGAGTGTTGCAGGAGAAATGGCGTCTTAGCAAAAGTGTCCTTGACGCACTTTCCTGAAGCACCGCGCCGAGAGCGTCGACAGAGCACCGGTAGACTCGACGCGCAGCTGGCAAAGTCATACGATCTCATGCTCGCTTCATGGATCATCTTCAGACTCGACTCACTGAACCGAGCAAGTTGCGCCTGCTGTACTGGACAAACCGCTTTCAACATCACACCAGTTTGACGCCCACGCTCACACAGCAGTCCGGATGGTCTCGATGGGTCCCAGCACTGTACATTTCTTGCCTGCTGGTCAGGACAACAGTCCTTCAGACTACCATGGTGGTGCCAATCCGTCCCAAGCCAAACCTTTGGCCGGTCTACTCAGCTTGCCTAACGAGCTCCTGTTCGACATTGCTCAGCGTGTCGGCCAAGACAGCGTCAGTGACGTGATCTCTCTTTCCAAGATCAACAAGAAGCTCTGCAGCATCGTCGATGAGCATCTGTGTCGGACCGTCATCGGCGAGCGCAAATCAACTGACCGTGGTAACACTGCGCTTCAGATCGCTCATCATCGTGCAAAGTATTCCTGCGTCGGATGTCACAAGCACAGCGCATGCATCAAGCACGTCGCCATCGATCCGGCTCATCCAGAAGAAGGCCGACTCCCGATCTGCTGTTGGTGCTACGACAGCGCTGTTTCGCCTCTTCGCAATCAGTGCCATCCTGTCCGGCCCAACAACGAGACCGAAAAGAGAGCAGCCGCTTGGAGGAAGCAGATGGAGCTTCGTCGCGGATATCCTCGACTCTTCGGCGCTTCGTGGCTGCCCATCGATCAGCTTCCGCCCTGGACTACCCACGAATTCATCAATATGGTCGTCGCGTTCATTCATCCAGAGTGTATGACGTACAAGACTATGCAAAGCTACGAATGCCAGTTCGCATGATTCACTCATCTTCGCGCTGCTGACAGCACTTGACAGTTGCAAAGCTATTCCTGCAGTCGTCACCGTGTTCTCTTTGATTGAATATCGCTCACGTGTGCGCACGAACACAGTCCCAGTGGCGCAAACGCGATTCTTGTTCCAGCGAATGCATTCCATTCGTTTCACAGCACTGCGCCAGGCATGTTCTCGTGAGTCGCACATCGTCATGCGAAGAAGTGTGACACCGCTGGACGATAGCTCGTCGAGCTAGGATAAACGCGGATGGGCAACGAGCATTCGACGACTTCATGTCGAGATGGCATGAGGACAGCGTGGTCAGTTTTCACGCGCTCGTCTTCGACTTGCGGTATGCGACCTGCAGATGGTCGTCGACTATGTGCGGGTGAGCCAGGGCGACTCAATGTGGGTGAAGACAGTGGCTCGAGCGAGACTTTGCGCGACAGTGTAGGCTTGTCGATCTCGCGTGACTTGAACAAGACAGGCAAGTAATCGAGATCGGGCACGCCGCGATAGACAGCATTGGTCGGCGTAGAGACTCCGATGGCCGGCATGAGGTGATGTGTGCCTGTCTTGGTGGGTAGAGGCGTCAAAGGCGTCTCCGAACCGAATGTAAAGGAGGGACTTCTCGCATGATCTGGAGCGATTCTCGCGGATCCGTTGGGCATGACAGATGGCGAGCGACCGTGCACCGGCATGCGAGACAGAGGCGTCTCGGGTAGCTTTACAGCTTCTGGTGGCAACACGAGAAAGGAAAAGCGAACGCTCCATTGAAGCTTGACGCCACTTGTAGCAAAGTCAGGCGTCTGACCGCTCGGTATAGACAAGGCTGCGGTGACTCGACCGGCATCGAGTGTGATCTCATGATGTTCCGCATGCAGTCGTCTGGTGAATTGCCGCACTTGCGCTGCAGGTTTGACCGAGATGCTCGTCTCGACCAGCTCATACGTCTCGAGGCGTGCACTAACTTTGAGCACTCTCGCATCACCATCATTGATCCGCATAGACGCCAGCACGGTCTCTCCAAGTCTATAGGCAGATTTGACCAGCGTCAGATGTGCCACCGCGTAACCATCTTTCTTGATTTCATATGACACTGCGCCAAGTCAATCAGTGCATGCCAGCCAGAGACAAAGATGAGCTGCACCTTTTGGGGAGTTGCGCGACACAAAGTCTACAGCGTTGCGGCAGCTGGTCAGCTCATCGGCCATGCTCGTCGAGTTCGAGCCGGTCGTGCGCTCTTTTGTCTCCGAGCGGGCAGCCGGCTCCCGCAGCGCAGTCTTGGCGAGCTCCCTACTAAGCTCTGCCTGTTCATCGTCGTCTACCTTTGCCTCGATCGGCTCTCGCAAAGCGGCATTAACAAGACTAGCTGCATATCGGTCAACAGCATTTCGCTGTGCCGCGCTCGAGTAATGATCTTGCGCAGTCGGCGCAAAAGGTACAGTGGGCTGCTCAAGCTTAACATCGCATTCGTCACGGTGCCAGATGACAGGATTAGTCAGATCGTAGAACGGCCTCGCGCCGACAAGGTCGACATGATTGTATAGCCTGATGGGAACGCGAAATGCGCAGTAGACTGGCTTCGACAGGCCAGGCGCATCCGGGACTTGCTTTTGAACACTGACAAGAAGCTCATATACAAACTTGATCGTCTTACCGGTGAACGTCGGCGGCAAATCGCCGGGCAATCTCAACGAGAAAGAATCTGTCGCGCAATTAGTCAGATGAAGCAGGCATTGCGCAATGACCCACACGACTTGGTCTCCCCTGGCTCTAGATGCTGATCGATAGAAAGCAAACTCGGCGGTGTATTGAAGACAGGCACAGATTTGTCAGACATACCACGCTGCCGCCGATCTTCGAGCGTGCCCGAGCTCGGCGTCGTCGGCGAAGCTACCACAGAACTCGCAGTATCCTGGCTCCACAGCCATCTGGTCCATGTGGAGCCCGTTGGCTCGGCATAGGACAGACTGCCGCCACCTATCAGGCCAGATTTGTTCATGATGCCGTTCAGCTGTGAATCACCCCCAAAGATCGATCGCTTGACGGCAAGAAACTCTGCCGGCTTGACGAGTGCCTCGTCAATCTCAAACCGACCATCAAATTGAGCAGACGCCCATTGAATTGTGAGGCCGTTCGGGGCCCTGAACTGGTTCAGCCACGGCGGCGCAGATCGCACCCGTGCGCCTCGATCGAACGAGCTGAACGACGAGACGGAAGGCCGGTGGTTTGCAAAGCTAGAGACAGACTCTTCGTCGCCGTCATTGTCGCTTACCGAGCCAGCCATTGCATCCGTCTGATCATCTCGAGACAGTGTGCCCAAAGTGCTCGTCGAACGTGAGGAGCCGCCCTTTATGCTGTCGCTTGGCGATTGAGACTTGAAGCGCTCCATTGATGGTCTGACTTTTGGTTTGGGCGTCTGCTCGGGATCGTCCTCTTCTATGGGCACGGGTATTGCTGGTATGCGCTGTCCCTTGCGCGGTGTGGATACGCCTGCTTGCTGTGACCTCGCTGAGCGCTTCACGGCAGCTGCGCGAGTCTGACCAGCATACGACTGCGCTATCTGTTGCGTGCCTAGATCGTCCAGGGCCGGATTGATACTGTACATATTCTTGCGGTGTCCACCTGGCATGCGGCGGTTCGCATAAAGCCCATTGCTCGGCCCTCGTGCTTCCTCCTCGGGCCCCGAATCAGACGAAAGCTCTTCTTGCGGCCCATTGTCACCGTACCGGAGCGAGTGCCCAACGAGATGCCGCCTGTGAGGTGACGTGCTCACGTCTTGCTTGATTGGCGCACTTCGCAAGCTGCGCTCGGACTTGATGGACGTGGTGGACAACGCTGTACCGAGAGAAGGCCTGGGAGCATGCCCGAGCTTGACGCTGTTGGACGAGACGGACCGCAAGCGAGCTGGCCGCACTGGTGCTCTCGCTTTGCCTTTCAGCCCGTTGCTTCCTGGGGTATGTTCGACCGGCGCTTGCAGATTGCACAGACTGATACGACATTGGAAGAGCTCTCCAGCAAAGTAGGCCGACTGGGCCGGTTCGACTGTGATCTGGAGGTCCTCCGCTTCGGATAGATTGAGATCTTTCGAACTTCCTTGCGCGGCTTGGTAAGATGTATAGCCGGCCATACTTGTTGACCGTCGTCCCTGAGCATGATAGCTTGTGGATGACGGCAACAGATAGCCGGCCGATCCGTTTGGATCCGGCATGCCCGCGAGCCTTCAGGCCTTCAGGCTGGTCTGAAGCTCGAGCTCAGCGCTCAGCGCGACAGGCAGACGCGACTATCGCCATAACGCTGACCCGCGACGTAATGCATTCATGGTCATTGATCACTTCTTCATTTTGGCCTTCTTCGGGGCTGGACTCGCAGACCTGCTATCAGCTCTCCGCTTGGTGACCTTTGCCTTTGACTGCTTGATGAGCTTATCCTTTGTCACGTCACCATCGTCATCTTCTTCTACGATCTCCTCTTCGTCCTCTTCAAGGTCTTCCTCGAATGCTTCTTCGTTATCTGGCTTGTCGGCTGCTGCGATCTTCTTGGTCGGCTTGCCAACTTCTGATGCTTTGTGAAACGGAATCGGATGCGATTGCTTATTGTATCTACGATGCGCGCGGCACGTCAGTACTGCACAGAGCTCATGATAACGTTGGCTTACTGCCGCGTAAACGCTGCTTTATCCTTAGATGCTATGGCCTTGAGAAGTCCGTCGCCTTTGCTGGAATCAATACCGAGCTCGAGCACGGTGTCCCATTCCTCTTTTGTCAAGAAGTATTCGTCCATCAGCCGGATGACATCCGGGATACCTTGCTGGCCATCCTTGATCAAAGGCTGTACGAGACGAGGTAAAAGTGTCGGTATGTAGACCTGTCTGATCTCTTTGCGATCACCAGATACGCTGAGTCGCATACGGATCTGCACTTCGCCTAGCAATCGTTGCAGCTTGCCCTGCGTCGAGTTCCTACCGAACCAGCCTGGGAACATTCTTGCGTTCCTTGAAGAGTCTGCATTGAATGCTGCACCACTGCCGTAGCAAAGTGCTGCTGGTCGAACACAGGAGAACATGCCATGCACTGGCATGAGTGACCATTGCTGCGTCGATCCGTGTATCATGGCATCAACCAAGTCGCCGTCCGAGATGGCTTCGGCGGCACGAGCAGTCAGCTCGGCAGCTTTGTGTTGACGTTCGGCTTCGTCGCATCGCCGCGCGATCGTGTATTCGTGCTTCAGATAGTTCTCCTGCGCTGGAGACTTCAGCTAACACTTTGGGCATAACAAGAAGCTGACCTGAACGAATAACGGCATCGCATTGAAGTCCTGAAAGTAGGCCTCTTGCTTCTCCGACAGACTGGGACTGCTCTTCGTGCCAAACGCTCCTGGCGCGAAGAGCTTGTCCATGAGAGTAAAGGGCGTCTGTAGCGCGTTCTTGACAGATCGGTTTGCCAGATCTTTGCTCTGATCAAAGTCCATCTGTTCTGCGCTGAGCTTGAACGTCGAGAGCATATTGATGATCTGCCGAATGTCAGACTGTGCGCCGCTGGCGAGCTGTTCGACGACCTCGGCCGACACCTTCAGCTTCTCCCTGCACAGCTTATTAGTACAAGCTTGCTAAGGCATGAAGGCGGCTTGCTTGTAGCAGATGGACATCATACGAGACCGCAGCTCTACTGCAGTTGGCCGCCTGAAGGGTAGCGAGTGGCACGTTGCTTGGAAAGGACGCATCTTCTGAGATTTGGCATCATTGGCAATGCAGATGATAGGGATCTTCGTCTTCTTGATAAAGTCATTCAGAGCACCAACGCCTCCCCTATCACCACCGGACATGCCGTCTACTTCGTCTAGAACTAGACACGTCTTGTCTGTGATTGCATCGCCGTTCAAGTTGAGCCTGCCTTCGCCAAAGTAGCCGTCAAGGCTGGTATTCGTTATCGTGGATTTGAAAGCAGTCTGGAGAAGCTTCTTGCTGCGGGTGTCGCTTGCGTTGAGTTCGACAACATTGTAGCCGCAGGCATTTGCCACAACGTGCGCAGCTGTTGTCTTTCCTATCCCCGGCGGTCCAGAAATCATGACAGCTCGCGAAACGCCCATGCCATCTTTGCCCGGTTTCTTGAATCCCGACTTGCGATTCGTATCGAAGGTCTCCAGCCAGGTCTTCAGCTTTTCAACATTGCCCTTGTTTCCGCAGATATCCTTGATCTGCTTGGGCGCATACTTGACTGTCCATAACTGAGCAGCCGCGGAATTACTGCATCAGGTCTTGTCAGATCATGCAGGATCTACAATGGATGAGACTGACGCATCCGCAGCCTTGCCCTTGCCCTTGTCGGTAGCGGCAGCCACGACGGGAGCCTTTGGTGCCCTATCAAACGCTTTGGCGGTCGCAATAATTTTTGCTTCTTCCTCGGCCAGCTTCTTCTTTAGTTTGTCATCAATCTGAGCTTTCTCGGTTCTGATGAGCGCATAGAACTCGGCTTCATTGATCTGGGTAATGTTGAGCTTTGCGCATTGTCTGATCTTACTCTGCCCGGGCTCATGTCCTACAACGACATACGACGTCTTGCTCGAAGCGCCCGAAGTGACTCTGCCACCGTAGCGTTTGACGAGATCCGATGCTTGATCTCGAGACAGGTTGGCAAGCTCGCCAGTGAAGACGATGGTCTTTCCTGTCAGACATCCTTCCTTGCCTTGAGGCATGACAAAGTCTGGATCCGGGTCGAGAGGAGCAGATATCTTCGGGCCTTGTTTCCACGCGTCTGGATTCGGCTTGTAGTTTGGGTCCGGCAGGACATCTTTTGATTCCAGTCCAGCCGCCACCTTCGGCTTCGGCAATGGTTTGGCTTGCAGAGGCTTCTTGACTTTCTCCTCTTTGTCTTGGGCAGGCTTCTTTGCTTTCGCAGGCGTTGCTTTCTTTGGCTTCTCGGCTACAGGCCCAGGCTTATGGTCATCATCATCATCATCGCTGGACAAGACAGTGATTGTCTCTGTCTTGACACTTTTGCCAGCCGATGGCTTGCTAGCGGATGCTTTTGATGCTGCTTTGCTCGTGCTCGCGCGCGGTGTCGTCGTCTTTGACTTGACAGCGGGCTTGTCTGTTTCCATCAAATCATCGCTCGAATCTTCGTCGTCCTGTATGCGCTTCTTTGCCGCGCGTGGTGTCGACCTGGCAAGGGTAGCGGCCTTGCCAGGCTTCGATCGAATCGTCGTCGAGGGTTCCGGCTCATAGTCATCGCTGTCCGCATCAGCTAGCTTGGCGTCGTTGGCCTCATCCTCTCCGTCTTCATCCTCGCTTGCATATTTGATGACCGGCCTCTTGCGCTTCGGCGGACTGACCATGGAGCCTGTGACTGCCTGAGCGGAGACGTGGCAGACGACTATCGTGGGCTGCGTCAAAAGTAGTCACGTCGATCTCTTGAGGTTCGACCGGGGCTGGCCGAGGATGACTAAGTAGCGTTGCCGCATTCCTGAACCCCTCGAAACGGTGCTCTTGCGCAGATCAGAGGCTGCCAGTGCGCCGCACCACCTTCCGATAGATTTGAGCAGCCCCCAGATCAATCGCAAGGGCGATTATCACATCCGCGGTGTTTAGTGACTTGCCTGACGAGTCGCTCAGCGAGCAGTCATCCAGCCCTCTTGCTTTCCGGGCCAACTCCAGCATTGCAAGAGGAGGAGAGGACGCAACAATCTCGAACGCCGACGCGTGACAACTCTGGCACTCCGCCTCTCTACCTTCTCGCGTCACGATGTCGGATTTCAGGTTCGTCGGAGCATTGGCACATTGCTCTGTGCCCTGCCATCGAGCCAGAGCTCATGGCTAAGCCCAGGTGGAACTCACTCTCCGTCTCGCCTGATGGTCACACCTTCGACAGCGCGATGATCCTCGGCGTCAACGACCCAATGAATTCGTTTGTCAACATGGACGATCAAGGCCAGTTCGCCACAGACGGCCTCGTGCAGGCCAAGTCACTCGACGACTACAGTGCTCTGCCTCCTGCGTTGCGTACCAAGTCAAGCGGCGTCGATCCGAGCGGTTTGGGATCAGTACTCGCCATGGCGGGCTATGGCTCTGCCAACGTGTCCTCTCCCGAGAACGATTCATCCGCATCTTCGACTGGCGATGCCCACCTGTCCAATGCATCCTCACCTCAGGACTATCAGGCCTTGACGCAGGAACACTACTCACTCACGCCCAATCTCGTCCAGCCCCAGCGCAAGTCATCCACTGGCCTTGCTTACACCGGCGGCCCCTCACCTGCCAGATCTAGTTCGTATTTCTCCACTTCATCCTCGGCAGATTCGCCGAACGCCCCAGTTGGCAGACCTTCGGCCTCGCCTCATTCACCCTACGACATTCCAGTTGCGCAGCCTGCACTGAATCGCAGCGCTCGCGCCTCTCTAACACAGCAAGATAAGCCAGCAAGGCCAGCTCCTCAGCACGAAAAGCGCAAAGTGTCAGATTCACTGAACGAGTCTGGGAATCTGTCTCGATCTGGCTCGGGCCGGCAAAGCGCTCGTGTCGGGGAAGCTCCTGCAAAAACGACTGCGCTCAAGGATCGCCGTTCGAGCACACGAGCTCACAGTCCTCCCCGTCACACGCACGATCAAGGCGACTCTGACGGCGAATCGCCCGCACATGATAAGAAGTCCACTTCTGAGCGCAGGAAGGAGCAGAACCGGCAGGCGCAGCGCAACTTCAGAGAGCGTCGAGAGCGTCAGGTCAAGGAACTGGAGGACAAAGTGGCTGCACTCGAAGAGTCGAAAGAAGGCACAGCGACCGAGAACCAGCAGCTGCGAGATCTCGTGAACAATTTGCGCGAAGAGAACGAACGCCTCAAGGTGTACGAGTCTGCCTTCACATTCTCGGTACCGGCCAATGCCGGCTCGGCGGCTTTGGGGTCAAGTGAATCCCCTCTTTCGCGTTCTGTTGGCGACAGCGCATCTTCGATATCGCCCTCGTTCGACCGTGCCGTGACGACTCAGCCAGCTGTCGCTCCTGTCTTCGACCTCGGCTCGGCATCGTCAGGCTCAGCAGGACCATCTCGCTCGACATCAGGCGATCCACAGCCTGACATCTTCTCGAGCGCCTATCTGCCATTTGCATCCGCAAGCAATATGTCCTTTGCATCAGTTTCTGAGAAGGTCAACGCAGGCAAGTCGAATTCGCCTTTGGCGACACCATCGATTGACGATCTTCTCAATGAATCAGTCTTGTCGCCAAACGGCACGTCCGTCAATTTCAAGTCTGGCTGGTCCCAGACTGCACAACCACCGGCATTCGACGGCGCTGCTTTCAACTCTTGGCGAGACGCGCCTGCAGACGAAGAGAACAAGCCGGCAGGCGAGCTGGATACCAACGGCAGCGCGTTCGATGACTTGCTAGCTTCGATGGGCATGCCCGCGCCTGGCGAGCCTTCGACATCTCTATCACCGCTCTCTGAAACGAGCGCTCAACAGGCTTCTGTGACCGCGTCAGATCTCGGCGCTGTGACGAATGACGATATTGACGGCCTCTGCGCTGATATGAGAGCCAAAGCGACTTGCAAAGTCTACGCGGCGATGATGCAAGCCAAAGGTGCGTCGGTTGTGATTTCTCATCGCGCAGTATTGACGGATTCTGTCGCAGGCCAAGTCTTCCCGCCCGAAGGCTGTACGCAAGAGCAAAAAGAAGCCTGGATGAGAAGCTTGCGGGACAATCCGAACGTCTGGTCTGATCTGACGGGCGGTCCGATGTGATGAATACTCGCTCGCGTTTATACATATTGCTTTACTGTACTGACAACATCATGTGATATACGTAAATTGGAATTTATCAAGGCAGTCGGTCGTCGGGCGGTCGCCAGGGTACTTTGAGGATTGCGAAGATCTCTTCTTCTGTCGCAGAGGCAATGATATGACCCTCTGTGACCTTGAGCTTCGTCTTGTGATCTCTGATCAGATCGGCATAGAGTCCTCGCTGATTGAGCGAGTAACCCATCCGGCGGGCCTTCAGACGAAGACTGCGATTGAAGATATCATTGCCCGCTGCTTGCTCGCGTTAGTTATTTCGCGAGAGAGACAGCAAGCAGCTGACTGAAGTAGATGAGGGCGGCGCCAAGCTGCTCAAAGGGTACGCCAAGAATATCGATGCGACGGTGTATGCCTCCGGGTAAGCTGCAGAGACCCATCCATTTGGCATCGAGCGCGTTAGGATCATGCGGCAGACTGAGATCGTGTCGAACGATGTTGCCTTCTTTCAACAAGGTAAGCAGACGTGGAATGACGCCGGCGTGAGTACGACCGTCGCGTGTGTCGCGCGTCACGAGAATATCGATGTCACCACAAGTGGGTTGACCGCGGCGGTAGCTGCCCATCAGGTGGACTTGCGTTCTCAAGTCGACACGTCTGCAGGTGTTCTGAATCGTCTCGTATAGCTGTGTAGCTTCTGATCTTGACATACGCTGATTGAGCTCGTCGTAGTATTGTAAGCCGAGCTGCTGTCCTTCGTTGAGCTTGATGCCGTATCTGAGAGGATTTGTTCGGAGATCATCTAGTGTCCGCACACCTGCTTTGTACCAGTTCTCGGCAATGCGAAAGCCAACGCCATAGATCTTGTTGAGCATCGCTTTTGTTTCTTGCCCCTCTCGAGCGAAGATGGTAAGCCTGCGATGATTGCCCGTACGCGCAATCTCGACTATTTTGGATGCGTTCGACTCGCCAACGCCCTTGAGCGCGAATGCTTTGTCAAATGTGTCGATACGCACAGAGCTTCTGCGCAGTGCCGATTGTGCTTTACGAATGCCCATACGCTGAAACGTGTCCTTTGGGTCGTACGCATCGTGTATGCCATCAAGCACTTGACAGATATCCTCGTTCGGCCCGCCCTCGATCGCTCGTTGGCCTTCGGGGTTCTCAAGCTCGAATCTGTATCTGCCTCTGCCGCGTGGTCGGAAAGCGGTCTGACCAGCGTGCTCGTCCTCACTCGAGATCTGAGAATCAAGATCTTTCGTATAGACGAGTTTCGAAAAGTCAAGCTCATCCTCTACTTCGTCCGGCTCACGATCAGGATCGTCTTCGCCCCGTCTAGCCGCCTCTAGCAGCGCCTCAAAATCATCGTCGACTGCGCCGATGCTGACTGATGCCTTGCAGGGCCAAGCTACGGCTTGTGCTTCCGGTGACGTCTTGAGCGCTTCTGGCGTAGGACTGACGCTGGTGACCGGGCGAGAAGGCGAGCGTTGCGATCTCGGCTCGTCTGAAGTATGATAAGCACTGATCTGACTATCGAGACTTTGCAAGGCAGCCGGAACTCTGCTGCTGCGGTTGCCCCGTCGAGGTATCTCATCAGGTATAGGCTCTGGCTCTATCTGAGGTGCATCAGGATCATCGCGTTCGATGGTATTGAAAAACTCTTGCGCTCGATTAGAATGCTCCATGCATTCGGAGAGCCATTCCTAGACGGGGTTTTAGGCATGTCTGTGGAGGCAATATGAAGCTTACCTGGTCGACTATGAAGATTTTGTTATCAGCGCGCGACTTGGGCGATCGCCCGTCCGGCCAGATAGGGCGCACCGATGACATGCCCAGTAGACGCAATACGTCCATCATAGTCAGGTGATACTTTGAATCTGTTGGCGGTCTGCGCGGGTCTGTAAGAGCGACAATGTGAGTCGTCTGAGCATCGAGGGCCCGCTGGTTGGTCCCGCCCGCTTGCACGATACGATCCATGTGTAACCTTCTCGTTCTCGTCATCTCGAGCGTACGTCCCACGAGTAGTATATGGCAGCCTTGTAGGTAATCGTTCGAGCCGGGCGTGATGGGCGAAGCGAGGGACACGACAGAATCGCGGCCTTCGGGCGTTGCGAGATATTGCGCGTAATCAGCAATGCTGGGGAACTGCCTGCGAAACTGTATATCCGTGAGCGGCTTGAGCCGTCTGGCTCGCTTGGGCTTTGGCGCTTCAGCCTCCGGTGATCGCTTACCCTTTGCGCTCGTCTCAGCCGTCAACCGAGGAACGCTGAGGGGCTTTAGCGCTGATCTCTTCGCCGATTTGGCAGAAGCAGTTTGAGCGCGATTCGCTTGTTGCGCTGCATCATCTGAGGGGTACAGTGAGCCTAATTGCGTCTTTAGCCAAGCCATCGTTGCTGGCAAATGCGTCTCGTCCGTCCAGTCTGGCATATAGCGCTTTCTTTCTTCTTGCCTGCCCTTCCATGCTGCCAACGATGCCGACAAAGCTGCGTCAGACTGATCCGGGCCTGCATAGAATGCCTCAAAGGGCATCAAAGGAGGTGCGTCAAGTCTTCGACGACGTCACGCGCAACAACGCGCGTCAGGTTTTTGCTGATCTGCTGACCTTGGCAGTACCTCTGGGCGGCTGTAAGTCTCTCCTGTTCTCGAGCAGGACCACGTGATGACTATGACTGCCCATCAGAGGTGACCGCAGGACTCGCAGGCAAGATGGTGCAAGCGCTTGGGCTCAAAATCGTCAATGTCCTCACTTGGATCTTTTTGCTCGGCTCCAACTCGTACGGTGTCTCAACGGAAGCACATGCCGGCAAGCACACCTACATCACTCCCGCTGACTTTACCGCACGTCGTCAGCCGTGTGCGACCTGCCTCTGCTGACGTGTGCGCGAGCTTTGCAGAACTATGTCTTTGTCGTGACCAATCTGCTACTGCTTGGCTTTATCATCTACCAAGTATGTGCATGCGCTCTGTCTGGTGAAGTACTGGTTGATGCTCTACGACCAGTTCTTCGAGGCCGCGCATGAGCCCGTCATCGAAGGTGTAGGCTGGCGATTCGTCATCATCGGCTTGCTCAATGCCATCTTTGTGCACTTTGAAGCCACCGGTCATCACATTGTCGCCCTCGTCTTCATCGCCCTCACAACAGCCTCGGTATCACACGTCTTCTTCGAGCTACGCACGATACCCGTCAAGGGCAGAGCGGACAAGTACTTTGTCAGGCTGCCTTTCTCTGCCTGGCATGCATACACCATCGCACTTTTTGTGCTGCAACTCTTCTCAGCATTTGGGAAGACAAAGTCTGCAGATGGCAAGCACCACGTCGTCACGCAAGTCTTTGTCTGCATTGCGCTCGCCTTTCTCGCTTCCACCAGCGTGGGCTATGCCTTCCACACTGAAGAAGGCGATATCATCGGTGCTGCAGTCATTGCTTGGGTATTGCTCGGCGTCTTCTACAATCAGCGTCACCCTGCGCTCATCCACTGGTTCGCGCTCGGTGCTTTCGTCATTTCGCTCTTCAGCATTCTCAAGGTAAGCCACTTGCAGGAGGACAGATCTCGTGCTAACACACGTTGCAGGCTGTTTTCACCACAGCGAGGGCCAGCCGATCAGACAGCGGTCTGCTGTCGGGCGACGGCGAACGCGCACCGCTCATCGGAAACGAGAATTGATACCCAATCCGCACTCACGCTCTGACGACCCTCTAGCAATTGTAGCTGCAATCAAGACCCAAGACTCATCGTGGAAATGCATCAGAGGCGATTTGCCCTTCTGATCGTCAGGCAGAAAGGCCACACACTTTCGCGAGACATTCCGAGTGAACCAAAGCTAGATAAACGTTTGCGGGCTTTCTTCAGTTTGGACATGGACGGTTTGAGCTCGGCCTCAAAGTCATGGAGAGACATCGACGAAGGCGTTTGGGGAGGTGGAGTAGGGCTTACAAACCAGTCGAAGCTCCGTTGCATGGCTGCAGCAAGCTGATCTGAGAGATGCTCCGTCGACTCGTTTCTTGAGGCAAATGCGGGCAATCTCCGCTCCGTTTCATGCTGTCGCGCGATCGTCGTGCGTTGCCAAATCACCTCGAGCAAATTCTCGTCTTCTGGCTTGAGAGAGCCTGCGAGCAAATCTTCCGCAGTCCAAGAACTCATCGACTTTGCACCTGTCAAAGCCGGTTGTGCAGCGAGCTTTCGAGGCTTGGCTGAGTTTGCAGATGCTTCTTGCGCTAATATTGGGCCATGAACGATTTCAAACGTTGCACCGCACTTGAGCGCATTCGTGATATTCTGTCCGACTGCGTTTGACGTCTTGGGATCGATGTTGAGCGGTTTGAAGAAAAGAGCATAGTCGAATGATTGCAGTTCGAGTGAGAGCTGCATGTCGTGCTCGATCCGGCCCAGACGTATCCGGCCGCTCAGCTCAGGCGGCAAATGCGAGGTGAAGAGCCATTGTTTCTCAAAGGTGATCCCTGTCAGTCCGGGTTGGAATCAAGGCCGGAAAAACCCAGGTGTGACGAACCATGAAACCGCGTCTCCTCCCAGCCTGTTCGCTGAGCCTGGTGAAGGATCCACATGGGCGACGGGTCGCCGACGACTAGCGCTTTCCTTGGTGCAGATTGCTGCGCGTGGTGATGGTCCGACACGACCACCGATAGTATGGCATGCCTGTACGAGTATCAGTGCAGCCTCCGACTTCAGGTCTTGAGGGAGTACCAATCGAACACGGCGCGAGCATGTGAGGTCCAATCGCTGGACAAACTCAACCGCTTCCGTCGGATTGGGGTGAATGCACGGGCCGACGTCGCATCGCCCTGCGCATCTCTACGACGCCGCAGAGAAGGAGACAAGCTCAGCCGATGAGCCAATCGCGATCCAGTGGCATAGATGCGCGACAGCGGCGATGACGTCCTGCTGGAGCCGGCACGTGATTCGGCGCCAAGCAACTCGGGCTGACTGAGTCTCTTTGCAGAGTCATCGCATGTACTGACTCTGAGCGCATCGAGCGATCGATAGGCTTGCGTCGAACGGTAGAACATCTTGACGGGGTCTACCCTCGCAGGCGTAGGACTGTCAAATTCCTCTCGAAAGACGGTCTGATCAATGCAAGCCGTTGCCTTGCTCGCGAGTCTCATCCTGCTCGGCCGTGCGGGCGTTGTTGGTCTCGAGGATGATCGAGCATGTGGTTCGGGTAAAAGCAAGTAGGTCTGTCGACTTGCCGACCGGAGCCGTGAGGCTGATCGGATGTATTCGCTCGGTCTCTGACTCGACAATGTAGAACCGGACCGAGATCCTTCACTTTGGCTCGTGCGAGCATCCTCGTCGAGTCGCTTTGACCACCAGACCATGAAAGCCACAGCGAGCTGCTGAGAGTTTCGGATTGTCGCCCACTCGTGGCGGACGAAAGAGACGCCTTGGATCAAAAGCAGACGCCCTCGTCTCCCTCGATCGACTGGATCCGTCAAGCGCGCAGATCAATCTTGAGTCCGATCGAAGAAAGAAGTCCCGAGCGTCATGCGAGAACATTTGTGGATAAGACGAGGGCTCTGCCGTTGCAGTGGTCGCCGCGCTTTTCCCGAGAGAATGACGTTGTCCTGCAGCGATGATGGCCACTTAGGATGATGAGACAGTCATGTCAGATGCGACCGAACGAGAAGAAGAAGGCCTGCCCGCAAGGAAGGGCAAGGCGGCATTGAAGCGTGAGCGGGGACAGCGCAGATGCTGTCAGTGCGCTGACCTCGGCGCGCAGCTATCTCGGCCTATCAGCCTCAAGAGCCCTTCATCGCCTTCCCCAGGAAAGTGTCCGCACCCAAGCGAGTGTCCAAGCATGCTATCACGCCCATCAAGACGTCCGCACGACGACGTGATGCGCCAGATCCGTCCGACTTTGCTACGCCCAAACGAAGCTCGCCGACCCGGCAGCGCACAGCTCAAGTCAGGCGCCTTCGAGCTGCTACACCGACCAGTGTCTCGCCCTTCAGACCTGTGCCTTCGACGTCCGCACTAGAACCGACGCTTGCGAGTGAGCCGCGCAAACAGCAGCGACCCCTCACTTCTCTGACAGAGTACAATGTCTCGCCAAGAGCCCAAGCAGCAGATACAAGCAGCAACTCGGGGCTCAAGAGGTCTATCAGTGCTACTGCAGCACTAGTCAGTGTTGGCAAGGATGTCAAGGAGGAAGACAAGCCATCGAAGCGCATGAGATCATTGCTCGCCACGGATCCATTCGATTCGTCGAACATTGCCGCGCCCGCACCTGCGCAAGCGCCTCTCACGCCGTCGACCTTCAAAGTTGCGAGACCCATCGTCGATATGGCAGCAAGTCTCACGCCGAGCAGTGTTGATGATCTCACCAGATCAGATGCAACGCCGCTCGAGATTGCGCTCGAAATCTGGAGCCCGCGAAAGAAGCGCAAACGCACGCAACTTTCGTCAGTCCACAACAGCCCAACGTAGGCACTGACTGACTGGCCTGTATGCAGTGGTGGACTCGGCAATTTCGCTGCACAGGCTATCGGCCGAATGAAGAGCGAGCAGACGCTTTGGCAGCACGAGCTCACGCGGCAGCGCAAGACGAGCACAAAGGCAACGTCGAATCAGTATCGATACACCATCGTCGCAATGCTCTCTCATCTGTCTGCTCCTACACAGCCGCAAGCAAGCATATTTCATCAGGGCTACGGACTGGGTGCAAGAGTTTCGGTTGCGCGATGCCGGCCCGCGGATGCCGCTGATTTCGTGACGGTCATCTTTTCACTGTCTGCGTATGCCAGTGCGTCATCGCAGCAAGAAGCTGTTGAGATCATGCAAGGCGACGAGCAGTATACTTTGATCACATCAACGCGGCAGATGCGCGACCGGCTCAAGCTAGACGCCCAAGTGATAGTCTGGGACCCAGTGCACAGGTTTCTAGAAGCGGCTGAGCCCACGCTGCTCTGCTCCCGCTTTGCCACACTGCATACAGGCGAATAGTACGACGACACTGCTGTACAGGATGAGCAGTCTGTTGTTGTTGCCAATCTAGTCTGCTACTGCTATCCATCGTCGCTCTTGATACCATCCCAGTCTTCCTCATCCTCATTCCAGCCCAAGGCTTCGGGACTACTGCGAGCATGAACACCGGGCGTGACGGACACAGGGTGCACATACTTTATACCCATGAGCAAGCACATCTTGCCTACATGCCAAGAGGGCTTCTCCTCCTCTGCAGCAGCTTTGATGCGCTTCTCATGATCCGTCGGCTCGTCGGCTTCGAGGGTGTCAAAGTCCTCAGAGCTAGGGACTTGCTGCTCGTCATCTTCATCGTTCTGCCAAACCGTCCGGGAAGCATTGAACATGGCCCGAACTTGCTCGTGTGTCATACCTGCGGATCCAGACAGTGCGAAGCAGAGTTCTGCTGCCTGTCTGTGTATAACTTAGCCGGCGACCCCCGCAAGCGCGTATCGACCTACTGCCCGGCCCGCTGCCACTTTCGCGTCAGTCTCTTCAGCGATTTTGACGAGTTCTCTATATCGAGTGATGCTGTGCCTTGCTTGTCATATGAGGCCTCGTCTGCACGGACGATCTGGAGTGCTTGTCGCATCTTCAGAGCGCGCGTCTGTAGTTGAGCAATCTGAATGGACAACCCGGCGGTTGTTTTGCCACTCATCGTGCCTGCGGCTGAGCCCGACGGGCTCTTGCGTGCAAGCGGAGAGCGAAAGGGCTTGCTCGTAGACCCGCTCTGAGCCGAGGAGCGCTTCACGGGCGTTGCGACACCCGTTGGAGTCGTTCGAGTCTTGAGCGGCGACTGGAAGCCCGCTCTTGCAGCTGGCGAGCTGCTGCTGACTTGCGAAAGCCTCTTGCGGGCTCCATCGAGGTGGGCAGAACTGGCAGTACGCTTTCGAGGCTGTCGCGAGAGCGCATGAGCTCCCTAGCATGTTGCAATCCCCTGAGCGCACTGTCTCGCTCGTGGCTGGCTCTGAGTGGATCTTGAGGAATGATCCGGACTCGTCAGCGTCTTCAGTAGGCCCCTCGCCCATGCCAGCAGCCACGCTTGCCACGCTCCACGAGGTCGTCACTTTTTATCGCGTCGTCTCTCGAAATGCAGTCAGTCAGTCAACCGGTAGCCGGCGCTCGCGTCACGCCACCCACCAAGACACTCACAGTCAGCTTGCTCAGTCTCTGCTCAGGCTACGCTCTCGAGATCAGGCAAGATGACGACAAACAACTACAGCATCCACATGCTCATTCCCACCTACTTGCTGGCACACTTCTTCAGCACCCCGCGATGGTCTGCAGCTCTCATGGGCCTCGACAACAACTGCAATCCTCGTCCCATGATCGCAGCCCAGAAGGCAGCCGGCAAGGTACACCTCTGGTTGTGTATGTGTGCTTGTCGGCTAATGCAAGAATGCAGTCCAAGATCACCCCGCAGCAGATCGCGTTCCTCGAGAGAGCCAGTGCAGCACATGAGAACCTCATCGGCCACTTTCCGCTCGTTGTCGCTGCCACCATACTCGGCAATATGGCTCACCTGCCTGCGCAGCGTCTCAACACGCTCGGGTTCGGTTACTTCGCCGTGCGATTGGCCTACATGTTTGCCTACAGATACATTGAACGCGGTCTGGCGTGAGTCTCTCGCCGCCTGTTCCGGATCGCGCTGACGTCATAGCAGTTCTTACGGCCGTTCCGTTCTCTGGTGGACTTCCAACATCCTCTGCCTCAGCATCATCTACCAGAGCGGTCGCAAGCTCCAACAGTGAGACACGTTGTACATATGAATCGACAACATCTAAAAGACTGCTGTGCTGATCGAGCGACCAAAGCCTGAGCTCGCCCGCTGTAAATTGGCGACGCCCGTGCGCATTCGACCGGGCGGTAGGATGAAGCGTCGCTGGTCTTGCGAAGCCGACCTGGGCTGCATGGTCGGTCGATCGGCTCGTATGCTGAACGCGCTCGTATTGGCAGCCGCTGCCGCCGCGAAGCTACGTCTGATCTGCTTGATCGAATCTGCCGCCTGGGTCGTTCTAGGACCAAGCGAGTTGGTGATATCGACTAGGATGGGACCCGATTTGCGCCTGAGCAGCTTGACGGCCTGGGCAATACGTAACGGCTTGGTATCACTCATGTGTACAGAGACAGGCGTCGGAACTTCGAGTGCCTTTGCTTCGTCCTTCTCTGCACTGGGCGTCGTCGCTGCGGAGACAGATGTCGATGCTGTCTGGCGAGCGCGTCGCCTGATCCCTCTGACAGAAGCAGTGAACCACCAGATGTGCAGCGGTACTGCGCCCGAGAGACACAATGCAGGTACGAGGGTCTTGATACCGGTATGTGTTCCGTGCGTCTGACCATATTGTGTCGCATAGGAAGCGATCAAAACGCCGTGGAAGAGCAGCCGAGTAGCGAAGAAGACGGCAGCGAAAGCGATGTCGTTTCGCACAGCTGGCCAGATGGTCGATGCACCGAGGATGCAAGTGGGCAGCTCCATGAAGCTGCCCAGGGCGAAGATGTGTGACCAGCCGAGCGGGGAGATATAGGCGATGAGCGCCATGTAGGCACCGTGATGGATCCACCCCGTCACGAGCGAGAAACAGGGCCGATAGAAGATCATGCCGAGTACGCAATCACTGCGACGCAGCAGTCAGCCTGAGCCCAACGAGACGAGTACAGTGCCTACGTGGTCAGATAAGCCGAGAAAAACGTGGTCAGTGTGTCACTGAGCGCAGCGCGTCGATGGACTCTAGCAACATCGAAACCACTCGCTAGCCAGTCCCTTACGTACACGAGACTGACCGCCGTCGTTATCGCCGCGGCGAGGGTAGTGATGATCCAGGAACGCTTGCGCATCTTCATCTTGCGCTCCTGTCTCGCTGCAGCAGGTGCGAAGGAGTGCTCGATCTCATAGACGTTCCAGCCGGCCAGACGAGTGCAGATGAAGTACGACGATGTGAAGAATGCACACGACGCCGAGTAGGTCGCCAGTGTTGACTGCGAGGGCAACACGGCGAGAAGTGGCGATAGCGCTGGGCTCACCATTCCTGTGTAGCTCTCGAGGTCTTCGGAGCTCTTTGTCGCGTGTCCGTTGACCGCTCCTGCTTCTCAGTCACCTCTATGAACGGTGGCGAGCTGCTGAACTCAGTGCAGCGGCGTCACAAGGGCCATCTCATTTGCTGCACGTTCTCAATTTCGCGTCAACTTTGATATCACGCTAATCAAGATCAGCAAGCTCAGCGCTCCGCTGATTCGCCGCCACCTCCGCACTCTTCGGCTTCTGACCGGCACGTCCAAACTCTTGAGCGAAATGTCTGATGGTGACAAGGCTGTCGGCTTCGAGAACTTGCCGCTACCCGTCTCATGGCATCAGAGGGACCTGGTACTCTATGCCGCGAGCATAGGCCACAAAGCGGACGAGCTTGACAAGGTTTACGAGTTGGCGAAAGGTTGGCAACCCTTTCCGACGTATCCGCTCGTTCTGTCCCTCAAGGGAGCGACTTCGAGCATCAGCAATTTCGCAAAGATCAAAGACTTCGGCAAGCCCGTCGACGGTCTGCCCGCGCTGGACCCAAACAAGGTCGTTCACGCCGAGCAAACGATTGAAGTCCTCAAGGCCATCCCTCTCGAGGCGACAGGCTGGAAGCTCAACAGGCGGACAGTAGGCTTGCACGAGAAAGGCGGAAAGGGGCTCCTGCTTCAGAACGAGGCGACGCTCGTGGATGAGTCGGGCCAAGTGTACACTCGGATGATCTCGACAAGCTACCATTTTGGCAAGTTCGATGCATTGAAGGGATATAGCAAGTCCATCGTGCCCGAAGGTACGCTCAAACCCGCCGGCAAACCGCCAACGCGCGATCCCGACTTTGTGCAATCAGATCCGACATCAGCAGAGCAGGCGATCCTGTACCGTTTGAGCGGCGACTACAATCCACTCCATATTGATCCACAGATCGGACAGCGGCTCGGCTTCGGCGGCGTGATCCTGCACGGCCTGTGCTCGTATGGCTTTGCGGCTCGCGCGCTGGTCAACCGAGTTGCAAAGGGCGACAGCACTCGCTTCAAGAAGATGGCTGCTCGGTTTACGTCGCCCGTCAAGCCTGGGGATACCCTCGAGACGCTCATCTGGACCGAGAAAGCGCAAGACGGCAGTGGCGATATCTCTGTCGGCTTCGTGCAACGCATCAAAGAGAATGGCAAGCTGTCATTGGGAGGCGGTGTCGCTCTATTCTCAGGCGCAGGCCAGAAACTGTAGTAAGTTATGAACCCATTCACGATACTCGAGTGCGTAGCGAGAGTGCCAGACTGCCAGCGAGTGCATACGTCAGCATCGGCAAGGTTGCGCGCAGGAGGATGCGATCGATTTGTCGTCGAGCTCGCCAGAGAATAGTCGAGCAGCGGGAGATGATGCCCCCTGGTAAGAATTGATGCGATTCCTCGAGCCAGAGCCAGCTGGTCTTGAGTATCTCTGCGCCGTCCAGACGATTGATAGTCAGCAAGTTGAGAAATGCCATAGATAGCGAGACACTGTTCAGCTGGCTGTTCACAGGATTCAGCATTCAATATCGCAAGGCATGTTGAACTGACCCGATGAAGTCCTCGAGAGCGCCAGGCAAAGCAGACGGAACAAGCCATCGCGCCCACGTGCGTCGCTGCAGTCGTCCGACGCGCACAGTATCGTACAAGCGCGCGCGATCGCCCTGATACAGCGTTGTCTGACGTTCGCCATCGACCGAGCTGAGATACGTGACACGCGTAAGATTGGACGATGGTGCTGCAGCAATGCAAAGCAAGGCCTCATCGTTGACGGAAACGCAGTCAGACTGCTCGAGACATCGACCGGGCGTAGTGCGATCGAGCGTAGCGACGTGCAAGTCAAGCCAGTACTGAGGCAGCATGCAGGCTTGCCTCTGATCGTCGAGTGAGTCAAGGCAGACCTCTCCGCCCGGCTGAGCGACTTGACAGCAAGTAGAGTCTGCAAGATCCCATTCACGTGCTGGGAAGCACCTTCCCATGCTCTCGTACACTGTCGGGCCATCGAGCAAGAACCTGCGCCAGTGATTTCGGCCAGAGAGATGCGATCCATGAAGCTCGAGATCATCGAGATGGGTCAGAACCGAGTCTACCGTGATGATGGAAGCAAGCGGCGTGCTCGTAGAGATGGACTGCAAGACGATGCCAGTACTGCCCGCATCTTGCCAAAAAGTATGCTCTTCCAGCCAGCCCAACGCGTCGAGACCGTGTCGGGCACTGAGCAATGCAAGTAGGAGGCACAGCAACAGATTGTGTACGATGCCAGCGCACAGTATTCTGAGCTTCGAGATTGGCGGCGCGAGCGAGAGCTGCTGTGAGGGTAAAGCGACGTAGAATGCCGGCAGCAAGCCGTAGAAGCGTACGCCGGCTTTCTCTGGGGTGATACGCTCCAGGCGAGCCGCAGTGGCGTGTCCAAGCTCATGCACGACACCGCTGATCGCCAAGCAGATCAGCAAGACCGGTAGACTCCATATGGATGCATTGACTCCTGGCAAGATGGGCTCAAGCAAAGGCGCACTGCTCGTCGCCGGTGCGCGAGGAATGCTATCTCGCTTGCCGAGGCGCGATGGCGCGGAGGGCTCTGACACGCTGTTGAGGAAATGTAGTGCAAGCCATGTGACGTTGAGAGCGGCGCCGACGACGATGCAGAAGCAGATGGGCAAAGCAACGAGACAGACTGGAACTCCAAACACGTAGACCGGTCTAAGCAGCTTTCCACGACTTGCTAGACTGTCTAGAACTGCTTGCATACGGTGTTTTGGGTCAGCTGATGATGTCTTGGAAGGTCATGGTGGCGCGTGCTTGATCATCGTCTGAGCCCTGGCTGCCGCGACATGCAGCCCCCAAAAAAAGATGAAACGCAACGTTGCGCGTACCGAGGGCGCATCAAATTGCCTTTTGAAGACATTGACCTTCCTCAAAGCGAGGTCAATGCGGGGTACATGCTCGAGCTATTTGCCTAGCCTGTCAGCTCAGGCCTCATGTCCATATTCTCGGGCAAACAATGTCCGGTCTCAGCTTTGCTCGTGCCGATCTGCACCAACAGCAAAGCGCGGCAACCTTAAGATGGTGTCAGAAGTCGTAGCCTCATCTGCTTTGTCTGCCGAGATGCATAAGAAGCCGGCCTTCCTTCTCCTCGAGCACCTTTTGCCTCTCGACCAGCCAGTGAAGACATGATGAAGACTGCAGTTCTCGCCTTTGCTGCTCTTGCCGGCCTCGCGTCTGCTGCTGCAAGTCGGAAGCACTCTCACACATGACTGCGCTGATGTTGCCTGCTGCGTACAGCCAGCACCTGCAGCATCCAAGTCACTTGCTGCGCCCAACTCAAAGAGCGGTGTCGCGGCCCTCATCGGCCAATTGAAACTCATCGACAACATCACTGTCACCATCCCGGTCGACACTGCACCAACAGACAACCTCGTCGAAGCTTCCTTCTTCGTCACGAACGGCCTCCCCAACCTTGGACTGTACGCAGAGACGATCCAATTCAACTCCCTGCGAGTTTCAGCGTCTGTAAACAAGACCGTCTATGCTAGCTTCTCCTACACTTTCAAGCCGCCCCTCCAAGTCCCAGGCGGCAAGACAGTCAGCTCCCCTACCATCCCCAACGTGCTTTTGACCCAGGGTCAGTCCCATTATCTCCCTCGAGCAACGCAGCTGACTGTTAATCTGATCAGGCTTCGATAACTCCCTTGCGCTGCTAGACGCATTCGGCGGTCCCCAGGGCTACCTCGATCTTGCTACAACGGCCAGCCTGACTGTCAAGTCTTCACTGCTGTTCGGTATCATCCAGGCACCTATTACCGTCACTCTGCCATACAACCAGAAGAACGTCACGACATTCTTCAACTTCGAGTAACGGAACCGGACTTGTACATCGTCTAAAATGGGCTTCAGAGACACGCCATGTAATATTGCACGTCTAGGTGATAATATTGATATGATCGTCATAGAATAGTAGAGCAGAGAGTGAGTAAAAGGTCTTGGAGAGCTTGGCAACGGTGTCTTGCATGATGTCCACGTCGACTAGCCACGTCATCAGATACGTGTCATTTACGTCACCAGCCTCGCTACACCCACCCGTCGACCTGCGGATCTTCGGCTTCGCTCGTGCGACACCACCGGACACGCCACCAAGCAGGACAGCGGCACAGTGCAATAGATTGCTGACACGGACCTGAAGAAGCGGAGATGGCCGACGAGCACGAGGCAGTGCCAAGCCAGCACTACTCCGACAAGCATAAGATCCCTTCTATCGCACAGTAAGCCCGGTTCGCTCGCGCGATGCAGCCGAGACTGATCATGCGCAAATAGATGGAAGGAGAAGAAGGCGCGAGATGAGGAGCAGTCCCGCCAGGAATTAGCTCAGGCTGATGCTGACCGGGCGCAAGAGGCACAAGAGCGAGCACCCGAGCGAGCTGACGAGATCAAGAAGTCGGGCGGTGGTGCAGAGGAGAAGAAGAAAATGATGGAGCAGATGCAGCCCAAACACGATAAACCCACCGACAGAGTCTCGAAGCAAGGCGAACGAACTGTCCATGATCCCGTCACAGGCGTCGATGTCATCGTCAAAGATGCAGAGTTTGAGGACTACAAAAAGGCAGCAGGAGGCAAGGCGATGGACGCGGACGCTTTGGACCCCAAGAAGACCCAAGTCGCTGGCATATCCACACTCAAGCCGCCTACGAAGGAGGAGCAAGAGGGCCAAGCAAAGACAAAGACGGCGGGCGGCACCTCGCACCCTCGTCACGTCAATCCTGCTCCCGCTTCACCTGGAAACATTCTGCTGCACGAGTTCCCGCCGCCTATCGAGGCAAAGACGACCGCGCCCATCGTCGCCTCGCTGAACCAGCTCTCAATGGGCTTGGCGGGCGCTATGGCTGTCATCTGGTTCTTCACTGCCTTTGGTCACGGCTATACTCGCTTCATGTTCAGAACCTCTCTCATCGTTGGTGTCGCCCTCGCCGGCGTTTCTGCTCTTGGGGTCGCTTCTCGAAAAATCGAGAAAGAGCTCGAGCGAGTCAGGATGGATCTTCATCGCCAACGAGGCGAGAACTTCTCCCCTCCCACGCCAGAGAGCGTGGAATGGCTTAACGGCTTCATCAAGGTCTTCTGGGGCATGATCAATCCGTCAATGTTTGCTGGTCAAGTCGACATGGTTGAAGACATTATGATGCAATCGCTGCCTGGCTTCATCTCGTCTGTCAAGATCTCAGATTATGGCCAAGGCTCGAACCCATTCAGGATCATCTCCATGCGCGCCTTGCCGGATCAGCCTGGCGACAAAGACTACCCTAAGGAAGAATGGATCGATCAAGGCGATGAAAAGGTCAGAGATCAACTCGCAAAGGATGCCAAAGAGGGCAAAATCGACGCTGATCAGACTGGCGATTATGTCAATTACGAGGTCTCCTGGTCTTATCAAGCTATGCCTGGTCAAGGGTCCGAGCTTCGTACCAAGAATATCCACCTTCAGATTGAATTTTACGTAAGCTCTAGCTTGGCAATGTAGGCAGAGCTGAGGCTATGACGCAGATCGGTGTCTATGATTGGTTCCATATCCCAATCCCAATTTGGATCCAGGTTGAAGGCCTGGTTGGAACAGCTCGCTTGCGTTTGCAATTCATTCCCGAAGCACCATATATCCGCAATCTCACGTTCACGCTCATGGGCACACCAGGCGTCGATGTCTCTGCTATCCCAATGACTCGCGCTTTGCCGAACATCCTCGATCTGCCCCTGGTCACAGGTTTCGTCAAGAGCGCAATCGCCGCTGCAACATCTGCTTATGTCGCTCCTCAGTCAATGACCATGAATATGCAGGAAATGCTGACAGGTGCTGGCGTACCGACGGACACGCACGCTATTGGCGTCTTCCTGTTGACCATACATCACGCTGAGAATCTATCCGCGCAAGACTCGAATGGCAAGAGTGACCCTTACATTGTCGCTGCTTATGCCAAATTCGGCAAACCACTTTACTCGACGCGCATCATTATGGAAGACCTTAATCCCGTTTTCGAAGAGACCTTCGCTATCCTCCTATCGAAGGACGAGCTTCAAGCCAAGGAAGACTTTTCGCTCATGCTGTGGGACTCTGATGCGCGATCTGCGGACGACCTCATCGGTCGCATTCAGATGCCTGTCGAAGAACTCATCAAGAACGAGAACAAATTTGAGATGAAGACGGAGAAGCTTAGAGGTTTCGAAGATGCAGATGACATGCCCGGCACGCTTACGTTCTCCATCGGCTACTTCACTAAGACGCCCTACGACAAGCGCTTTATGGTCATCGATGAGAAGAAGCAGAAGGAGATCAAGGCGGCGGAAGAGAAGAGCGGTAAGAAGGAGCCCGAGATCCAGCCTGATATCTTCAACTGTGGTCCTGACCCTGACCGACCCTCTGGTATCCTCTCGCTCACTGTTCATCAGATCAACAACCTCGAGAGGCAGAACCTCAAAGGAGCCAGTGGATCAGATCGCGAAGGCAAATCTGGTCAAGATACTGCAGATGCTTCCCAGCTCGAAGGCAACATTCCGTCGCCCTATGTCGAGTTTGTGGTCAATGACACGATTGTCTACAAGACTCGCGTCAAGCCTTACACGACTTTCCCATTCTTCGAAGCCGGCACCGAAATCTTCATCAAGGATTGGCAGAACACGATCGTGCGCCTCGTCACGCGCGACAGCCGTCTACGCGAGCATGATCCAATTCTGGGTATCGTCACGCTTGACTTGCGCGAAGTCTTCCAAGGCAAATCTACAGTCAATGGTCTCTTTTCGCTTCAAGAAGGCGTTGGATTTGGCAAGCTCAACTGTAGTGCTCTCTTCCGTTCGATCGAAGCTAGGCTTCCGACCGAGCTTATCGGTTGGGACACTGGTACTGTCGAGATTCTGTCCGATGTCACTTTCGAGGTCAATGACGAGTTTGCATCCGATTTCGCTGGCAAGTCACTCAGCCTCACTACCTCCGAAAGTTCCTTCAAGGTCTCTTCGCGCCACGCACATGCCAATGGCCGAGCTGTTGTGTGGGAACTCGAGAAGGCTCGTCTCCCCGTTTACAACAGGTATTCGTCCGCAGTCTCGCTCGAAGTGGGCGGTGGTGGAATTCTTCCAGGTGGCGCTGCCGCCCTTGCCGCTCTTTGGCTTCAGGATCTAGTCGATGATGATGAAAAGGACGTCAGAATACCTGTGGTAATGGGCAACAATCTCAAGAAGCTGCGACAGCATTACATGAACAATCAGCTCAAGAAGACCCATGAATACGAAATCATCGGATACGCTAAGTTCCGAGTCAAATTTGACTCTGGCTTGGATGAAGATCACGAGAAGTATGCCACGAATCCAGTTGCTCGTCACGAGCTCGAAACCTACATGCACATCGAAGGACATGCTCAGGTCGCCGAACAGAATTCTCATGGTCAGCTATCTTGCCTCGTCTCTTGCGTGTTACGTACTGACTACAATGCCCAGCAATGGACGATGGCGTGATCGACAAAGACGAAGCGAAAGCGATCAAGAAGGCCAAGGCCGATCAGCTTCACAGTCGCCAGCGCGGCAGCCATCAGTTCCAAGCTGTCCGAACAGGTCTTTGGGCGAAGGACGGCATCAAGAAGCGCACGAAGAACTTCAAGAACAAGATCACTGGTCATCAGGAGCGCCAACAAATCGTCAAGTCTGAAGCTTGATCAGCGTTCTACACATTCCTCACACACACGTCAAAGCAAACATTTGCGCTGTATGTTCCCCCTCTTTCTGTCTTTATGCCATGCATTATCCCACAACAACATTGAGAACAGCGCGTGAGGTCATGAATGGAATGATTCAGTATGCAGTGAAATGCCGCCGATTCGTCTATACGTGCTGAGCGATAGGCTGGCCACGGATTGGTGGACAGATCGTTGCAAGCTGGCGGGCCCACAGACGATGATGGCGGCGCCTCCTCGGATTAGAGGTCGTGGCGCGGCGACTGGCTTGACGCCGTCAGATCGTGGCGAGCACTTTCGCTTAGGGGGGTCATCGTTGCAGCAAGACTTTTCTGCAGGTACTTTCGGCCTCGCAGGTGAGGTGCACGCCTCTTCGTCAGCTGGACAGCACCCTCTATTGAGCGGCAAGCAATCGCATTTGCAGACGGTGCATATTGAGCATGGATTGATAGCTCTCTCAATGCTGTTCTCGATCAAGGCTGCCACATCCGGCCGTCCGCTCATCACTGAGCTCTCTGACGCGTCCGCTGTCGTGCCAGCAGTGACGTAGAAGTGAGGCACGAAATCGACCGATCCTGAAGCTTGTGCTGCAGCGGCAATCTCTTCAATGCTCTTCGAGAACCAAGCAAGATGCTCTGCTTGGCTTGTGAGAATAACCCAGATCAGCCAAAAGGGCTCGTACCTTGATGCTTAATGATCCAGAAGAGATCGATCCGTCGCGTGCGCGCATCGTTGAGACTGCGCACACGCTGACCAACGATCTCGTCGAGGCACGCCAGAACGAAAGACATACCGCTGCCGCCAGCGATGAGGACGACATGCTCCTTCGAGCTAGGCTGTGCAAAGCCCAGGCCACCATAGGGACCGTCTATGAGTGCCTTGATGACCGCAGGCTTGCGAAGGGATGCGAAAGTGTGCAGTTCACCTGTCCAGCTCTTGCTACCGTTGGAGCGAACGTACAACGGAAAGCCCCCGCTTGCTGGTGCTGAGAGAACAGAGATCTCCGGCGGGGCACACGCGATGGTAAAGGGATGAGATTCCAGTGAGCGCGTTGCACTCCGGAAGAACGTTGTGAGCTCAGTTGGCAGCGAATGTAACAGGGTGATGTTGACGTGCTGCCCAGCTCTGCAGAAAACAACGCATCAGAGAAGTCGGTGTACTTTGCAAAAGAGTGAGCATACCTCCAACCGCCCTGAAGGTCCTTTACGACCAGCCTCGTCATCGCGTGCTGTGGCGAGCGCCCCAATGCTTGCACGCTGACGCGAGAAAGCCTTGCACGAAAGGCGCGCAGAGCTAGATCGAGTCCGTAGAGGAAGACGACGCCCCAGGCTATCCAGGGTCGGCTATAAGACGTATGATAGCTAACCATAGTCACAAAGCCGACGATGCCGACAATGTGAAGCGCAAAGAAGATCTGGTGGGCTTTCTGCCTTATGACTGGCAGCGATGACAAGACGAGCAGGAGCAAGAAAGCGAGCGCGGCCAGGCCATAAGGTATCTTGGGCGTCGCCGTCATCATCTGCGACAGATTGCCAGCTTGACGGTACTGATTCAGCCAGATGCCTCCATGCGTCAAGATGAGAACGGTGACAGTTCTACCGAGCCATCGATGTATGTAGTTGACTGTTTCGTAGCTCTGGCCTAGCAGCAACGCGCAAAACGAGTTCTTGCTCGCAAAGAGGAATAGAGGCGGCAATAGTGCAAGTGCGATGAAGCCGAGCCTGTTCGGATTCTGCAGCAGCTCTTGTTGGGGTAGCAGTGTGGCGAGGACGAGTGCGGGAATGAGAGCGAGTACGCAGATCTGACCTGCAGTCAGACGCGCAAAGTAAGGCTTGGCGGGTCGATGTACCGTCTTGCCGTACAGCGCACAGAGCAGTCGCAGCCGTGCAGGTGGCTGAGGCTGTGCTGCTTCACTGACATCGCATCTGATGGGCTCATAGCTAGACGAATGCGCTGGTATTGCCAAGTCTGACCAGAGCCACGGCGGCTGCCAACGTTTGCCCATGGCAAACGAATAGCGTGGAAGATGACGAGCCAGCGTCAATGCGCTTGCTCCGAGGAAGAGCGAGAGCCATGTCCAAGTGAGGATGCGGGCAAAGTAGGGATCAGTCACGTATGAGTCGTAGATCTCGTTCTTGTAGCCGATGGGCAGTCCATCCGCGCCCAGACCGGACATCTCCTCCCGACGTCTCCTTCTTCTTCAATCAGATATCTCAAATGATGAGCGCAGGGAAAGGGAGGGGAGGGAATGGTCCGAGCCATGGTGCGAGCATTTTGTGCCTGGCCAAACTCGCGCGCGCGTCGTTCCATAGTTTTCGCGAGTCAAGTTCGGTGAAAAGCAGCCTCAGTCACTCGTGCGTGTGAGAATCTTCAACTCGACAGGATGGGTACGTTGGTGGTGATGGAAGTGTCCTATGGGCTTGGTCTACTGCTTGCTTGCTGCCACTCGACTGCTGCCACCTCCCCTGCGCCTGCCAAGCTCGCCCGGCCTCGTCAATGTTCACAATTCTCCTGCAAATGCGACGAGTTCGAGTGCAAGCAGTGACATCCACCAGTGTCGCAGCGCTGCTGATCGTCGCTGTCGACGAGCGTCGAATGAGAGCAGCAGAGCAATAGATCAGGCCCATCAGCGACACTGCCATGTCTCTCAGCAGGGGACGTACAAGGCATGCTGACCCTCCTCGCTCTCTCTGCAGGTATCGCAAGAGATTCCCGCCACAAGCGGTCGGCCACTGGCGCCAAGCGTGCACAATGTCAGTCATGACACCTTGAGGCTATCGCATGAGCTTATCGTTGCCATTGCCTTGACAGACCGAAAGAAGAGAAAGTTTGAGCTCGGCCGTCAGCCCGCAATGACGAAGCTAGGCGCCAAGCGTATTCACGACGTTCGTACTCGCGGCGGTAACCTCAAGCGACGTGCACTCCGACTCGAGTCGGGCAACTATGCCTGGGCGTCAGAGCACTGCACCAAAAAGACTCGCATCATTGGCGTCGTCTACAACGCTTCCAACAACGAGCTTGTCCGTACGAACACGCTCGTCAAGGGCTCTATCGTCCAGATCGACGCTACGCCTTTCCGCCAATGGTACGAGTCTCACTACGGTCAGCCGGCCACCAAGAAGGGCAAGGTGCGTTTCTGGTCTAAAGCATGCAGTCATGCATGCTCATGTACAGCTTGGCACGCACAGGCCGCAAAGGAAGACAAGACCGTCGAGCCTGTCAAGCAATCGGCTCAGGTCGTTCGCAAGCTCGCATCTCGTCGCCTATCGGGCAAGCTCGACCCATTGCTCGAGACCCAATTCCAGGCCGGCCGTCTCTACGCTTTCCTTTCATCACGACCCGGCCAATCCGGCCGTGCTGATGGCTACATCCTCGAAGGTGAAGAGCTCAGCTTTTACGTCCGAAAGCTTAGGGTGCGTTTGGCAAGAGCAGTCTGCTCGATCTTTGCTGACCATTGCGCTCGATCCAGGCTGGCAAGGCAAAGCATGCTGCATAAGTTCCAGAACTCGTGCACGTTTGATCTGTCTAGCAACTCCAGCTCGATTGCATTCCTTGTACTCGAGTATGCGCACGATAGTGATGATGACGTGTCGGTGACATTGAAAATCGCGATCGCGCCCAGAATTGATTGACATTCCACGCCGAAACAAACGCCGTCCCTCGCCAGCCTGCGAGCAGTTGGCAAGCGAGCGCAATGTCGCTCTCCCAAGCCGCACTGCGCAAGATCACCAAAGAGCTGCTCACGCTGCAGAACAGTCCGCTAGAAGGCATTCGAATCGTTCCAGATGACCGCGACATCCTCGCCTTTCAAGCTTGGCTAGAAGGACCAGGCGAGTCCTCTCCATCCCCGAACTATGTCGTGCATGCTGATAGTTCATTTACAGCTGGTACGCCGTACGCAGGAGGCTACTTCAAGGTCCAGTTCGAGTTCACGCCAGAGTTCCCGACATCGCCGCCTAAATGTGCGCCCTTGCTTCGACCGCACTCGTCCTGACGCTGATGTCCGCAAGCAGGCCGGTTTGCGACGAAGATATTCCATCCCAATGTTGCGCCCTTGACGGGTGAGATCTGTGTGAACACGCTCAAGAAGGACTGGCGGCGAGACTACGGTATCGGTCATGTCCTCAGTGTCGTCAAATGGTAAGCCCTTTCTTCTTCCTCGCGCTCGCCGCACAAGGCTGAAGGATCGGCCCATAGTCTGCTTATCTACCCGAACGCCGAATCTGCGCTGCATGAGGAAGCAGGCAGACTTCTACTAGAGGCTTACGAGGATTACGCAAGCCAAGCCCGCCTGATGACCTCAGTACACGCCAGTCGTATACGACCTGCCGAGTTCGATATACCCGATGCAGAGACGAAAAGGACAGCACAAGCGACCAGTGTACTCGGAAAGTCAGCTTCGCCCGTTTGCGAAACCAAGCTATCCGGCTCAGATAAGCCGCGGAAAGCTACGCCCACATCTGCGCCACTGTCTCCTTCTGTCTCTTTCCAAAACGGTCAGAGCGCAGCGACACTACCGCTACAAGCATCTGCTACGCTCAATTCGCCCGTCATGCTAACACAGCCTGACGCAGCCCTAGCAAGTAAAAAGCGGTCAGTATCTTCGGCAATGGGCGCAGGCACAACAGCGCCACCACAGACCGCCAAACCTGCGCCATCATCAGCTGCGCCCAAGAAGCGTGGTCTCAAGAGATTATAGATGGGCATGCCCCTTTGTAGCATCATTAATCATTTTTGTTACGATTACAACATTCAAGACAATCGTGCGCTCTGCTTTCGATTGTTCTTGCGGCCACGTCCTCTTCCTGCTCCTGCTCCTGCAGGATTGCTACCATTGATTCTCTGGCTTTCCGCTTCAAACCAGGCAAGAAACTCTGTCTCACGTTGCTTGTCCGCTTCCGCCGCTTTACGTTGCACGGCCTCCTCCGCTTGGATTTCTGCCAGACTGCGTGGTGCGACCAATCCCTTGAGCAATGCGCCGTGAGATTGCTGCTCTTGCGTGATGGCTGCAAACGATGAAGCAGAAGGCGAGCCAGCTGACCCAACATGACTCATCACAGGCGCCTGATACGACCATGGCACTTCTTGCACTGCACTCCTGCTTGCTGCCCGACCTTGTCCCGAAGGTCGCCGCATGGGCGTGATCAGTGGACCATTGGTAGCGACTGCCTCCGACCTCGGTGTTGTCACAGCCGCAGCGGGACCTGACTTTGGCGAAGTCACAGGCGCAGCAAAACCGGAATGACGACGAGGAGACGGCGTGTCGACGGGAGTGAGGGAGGCTCCGATGCTAAAGTCAAATGGCGTTGGCTTCACGGTCTGCGTGGCCCATGCTTTCGTCGGCGTAGACCATGCCGGCGCAGCTGGCGATGCTGTCGCTTTCGTCGGCTCGAGAAAGTCCGATATAGGCAGAACGCGCTGTTTGCCCTTTTGCGAGCTTCTTGGGGTCGTCGACATACCAGCAAGCGGCTGACTTGACTGCTTTGGTGTTGCGGCACGCTGTACCGGCTGTGCCTGACCTGCCATGATGTCGCGCAAGCTAGCAGGCGCAGGCGAGCTCGACATCTGACGCTGCCAGCTGAATGGCTTGCCTGGCGTGGCTTCGCGGCTGGTCGGCTCTTCCGAGAAGCTACGAGCCTCAGGTGGCGAGAGCGCAAGTGCAGGCACGGGCTCGAGTTCCATCTCAAAGATATCTTCGTTGCCACTGCTCGGCACGATAGCAGGCGAAGCAGCAGGTGATCTGTCAGCTGGGCGCATCGCCGGTGAAGGCGCGGGCGAATCGTATGTGGAACTCCCTGGCGAGAGCGCCATCTCGGCCGGCATGGGCGAAATTCCGGATCGCTGATCGCGTCGCCAACGTCTTGCATTGCTCGGCAACTCGCGACCGAGGTCAAGACTCGCAAGATATTCCGCATTACGTGCAACGAGCTCGTCTATCATGATCTGGCGGACAGTGCGTGACATCGGATGCCTGTCGCTCTGCGCAATGCTGCATCGCTTCGAGAGTCCGCGTAGGACGTGCGTTGACATATTGTCGAGCAAGCGCGATTCCAGCAAAGTTTCGAGATTCTTGGAAGCGTAAAGCATGCAGCTCTCGCGTAATGTGTCGGCATCGTAGATGTCCGCCTCTTCTAGTATCGAAGCCAGATTGTGTGTGTGCACTGCAAGTCCCCGTGAGCTACTATCATCGGCCAGGAACATGTGCGCATACCAAAGTGGAGCAAGACTCGACTGCACGCGCTCTTAAGGCGATCGAGCAATAGCTCGTTAGCCACAGCCATGACTATCATGACATGACCAATGTAGTCGTTCGCGTTCGATGAATCTGTCATGCGCGTCAGAATGGGCAGGCTTTGATGAGCGTGAGACCTACTCAGATCGTCGAAAATCATCGATTCGTCGTCGGTATAGATGAAGCGCAATACTCGAGAGATGGTATCAAGGCGTAGATGCGTATAGTCTATGTGTAGCTGTTGATCAGGCTCGTCCTGTGCTTCGATTCGTCGTCGAGCTGACCAGTCGGCCTCGTCGAAGAAGGTGGCAAAAAAAGGCGAGCGTGCGCGCAAGATAGCAGAATGGCAGGAAATCGAGCCGTCTTCGAGGTCGAGACAGACATCGCAAGGCCAGACACTTTCTTCGAGCAAGCGTGTCATGTCACGAGACAGCATAAGTTGCGGCCGAGGCTTCAGTGCAGGCTTCAAGCAAGCCTCTAGTTCTGATAGACCGAGCTTCCGTGCAAGCGTCTGCACGTCATTCTTGATATCGACGGGCCTGATTGCCACGTCGGGATGCAAGACTTGCTGACCAATCTTGCGCGTCACCTGCTCGAAGATGCGAGTGTCCCAAAGAGAGAGCACGTTATCCGTGTAGAGATAGTGAATAACAGTGAGGAGAGATAGAGGATGCAAGCCGACGACCGATATTGCTGAGAATCCACTCGGATCATCGCTCAAATCAAAGCCGTCAATGGTCGACGACTTTGTCAAGAGGAGGTCGCCGAGCATGGCGCACCTCGCTGCGAGCACCGAACAGTGCGCATAGAAAGTAAGGGGTCCCGCGATGAATTTGAGATCGGCGCCGGCAGCGGCGTCAAAGACGGCAGTCGACGCCGGATCAGGCAGACGTGTCATTATTTCGTTAAGCAAGAAGATGTCTGCGTCGACTGCGACAGCATCTGATTCGTTCTCGTCAGCATCGATGGAAATGCCACTACTATTGCCCATCATTTCTTGCACAGTTGAGCCCGCATTTGATGGAAAGCCCAGGTAGTGTGGTATGAGATCAAGCAGATCGACAGCGAGCGATCGACCGGCTAGCTCCACCGATGGCAGCATAGCGTCCAGTCGAACGGCGGCAAAAGCGCCATTGGGATTTGCAGCAACCTTGATGACGCGCTGTACGAACGGAACGCGAGAGAACTTGAAGAGTTTCCTGCTATTACCGGTGGAGCTCAGTAGCGAGCGCGGATCCGCGCTGCCTTTTGGCGGATCGCTCCGCCTGGATCGGTAGTAGACATGACCTGCTTTCGTACACAGTAGAACTTCTTGGCCGCTGACCGCGGCATCGATGACGGCAGAGAACTTCGTCCTGAGATCCCAGACACGCTGAGGATGCTTCATCTCGCGATCGTTGCCCGCGCTGGGACTATCGTGAGACCACCAGAAGGCGTCGCCGATCGAGGAGACTGCGACGAAAGAAGTGCCTGACCCGTTGATGCGGACTATAGCAGGCCTGGCCGCGATCTGAGGCGGGCGATAGACGCCTGCCGTCAATGCGTTGACGGCTGGGAAGCTGAGCTTTTGATAGATGTCCCGCGTGAGAACACAAACTTCGTTGTTGGCGAGCAAGAAGACTGTGGCATAGTCTCCGGCAGCGACTTGTAGTACAGGCAGCGTGACGGTGGTGACTTTGCGCGGTACAGCTTGTGTCGGCGTCGCATTGGAGGCGTAGCCCAGCTGACCATTATTCGTACCCCAAGTATACAGCGAGTCGGCTGTAAAGACGACACTGTGGAATCTGCTAGCTGCTGCACCGAGGACGTACTCCTTCTTGAGCACAGCAGTGACCTTCTTGGGCGCAATTTGTACAGGCTCAGCGGTAGCGCTAGCCTTAGGAGTGCCAGCAGACGACACATCGGGAGCGTAGCCAAGCTGCAAGTAGCGGTTCGAGCCAAAAGTCCAGCAATCCCCCGTCGAGGTTATGATGATCGTATGATCCTGAGCAGTGGCGACGCTGATGATTGTTCCTGGAATGCCGAGCAGGTTGTCGAGCGAGTATTGGGCACTATTGAGTGAACGACCCAGTCGGCCTAGTCCGCCCAATCCACACAGTCTTATATTGCTCGAGCGCTCATCTGTGACAATGGCAGTGTGATTTCTCGCCATCGAAACCTGTCGTACACCGATGGGGTCGAAGGCCGCTCGACCGGTTGGCCGTCTGCCTTCGCTATGCTTGATCTTGACCCGTTCGGGTTGGACGCGGTCATTATCGCCCGGCGTGCCAAGAACATGATTACGATTGTCGCCCCAAGTGAAGAGCTCTGTGCGAGCTCCGTCAGGTGCGCTGAGGTCTGGCGCGGTACCATCGACGGTCGTGTTATACAAGTCAAAGGCAGTCAGACCTGCGCGAATGATTTCAGCAAATGCTCAGATTCGCCATAGAGCACGCTGATATACCCTCGTTATCGCGCAGACGCAGGTCTATGTTCTCGTGAGCAATCAGAGCGCGAGCGGCGTTGAGATTGGCATGATACAGCGCTCGATGGAGAGCAGTCCAGCCAGATTCTGTGTCCTGCAGATTGACGTTGACATTCGAATTGACCAGCAAGGCCTCACAAAAGTCAAATCGCCATGACTCATCCGGTCCCGCTACGACGAGATGCAAGACGGTCCGACCCATGAGATCGCGTTGGTTGACCTGACTCGAAGGAGCTTGAGATCCGCCTGTTTCCCATCTCGGCGAACGCGACAGGCTAGCTGCCGATGCACTCGAGCCGCCCGCGTGAGGACCACGACGACCTGCAGAGAGGAAGCTCTTGAATTTGAGGAGATCTCTCGAGGCGTAGACCTCGTGAAGAGTAGGCTTGCTCATGCACTGGCGACGATCTGGCTCTGCCGCGCGTCAGGCAGCAGAGCACAGCGAGACAGACGATCGCGCACGAGCGCTGTCGCCAGTCTCTTGGCAAGAGCGCAAACTCCGTGCGCCTGCCTATGCCGCCGAAGCCGCTGGAAGAGCTCGTTTGATTCCGTCGACACGTTCGATGACCGATTTGGCGTCAATGGGCCTAGTGACTTGGTGAGCGGCTCGATCGAGAGCTGTGGCTCGATAGCGCGTGGTGGTGATGTAGAGATGACTCTGTCAGCGCATGCTGGCTGGCAAGTGAGCGATCGCTTCGGGATCCAAGGTGAGTCGCGCTCTTGGCGTCTTTCAAGTTTATTCGCCAGCCGGGCGCCAGGCAGATCGGTCGACTTGGTCGGACATCTACCGACTCATCAGGCTCATCATCGCCTCTTGCGACGCTTGCGACTCGCCCTTGAAGCATCATGTCGATGCAAGGCCAGGTCATCGGCTTGTCAGCTTCTCCCGACACGGAACAGAGACGTGTGTTGACTGTGTTGACACAGACTGAAGCGGTTCCTGCTGCCCAAAGCGAAACAATGGTACCGCAACTACAAGGCTAAGAAGGCACAGCAAGAAGGTGGTGGTGGCGGCGGCGGCGGTGGGGGCGGCTATGGCCAGCAACAGCAAGGCATACACAGTCAGCAGCAGTCGCAGGGAGGCTACGGTCAACAACAGCAGATGCAAGGCGGCTATGGTCAACAGCAGATGCAAGGCGGCTATGGCGGTCAGTCGGGACAGGGAGGCCAGCAGTGGCATCCTTCACAGGGAGCCTACAACGGCGGACAACAGCATAGCCAGCAGTTCACCCAGTCTAATTCGCATGCTGTGGGACCGCATCATCCGCAGGTTCGCAAGTCGCTCTCGCCCGCTCGGGCAGACGTTGATGAAATGTTTTCGCATGTTACTCCCTTTCGCTTCCTATCTTGCTTCACGCCTCGTCGTTTGCTCACCCTGACGTCTCCTCATGCGACTCTGCTACAACCTACCATGACGGCGGCACGCTATCGACGGCGGATATCTTACTACTACGGCACGATCGATGGGACGCTCAAATTGGATCTGCGAACCATACAGAATCAAGACATGATCAATGCGAGCAACGAGCATTATGTCTCACTGCGCAATCAGGCAATCACAGAAGGCAACCTGATGGGCGCGTGTTTCGATAAAGCTCACCGCGCGCACGATCAAGGCGATGGTGCCGGCGCAAAACGGTTTGCAGACGAAGGACATCAACATCAAGCCAATAAGACCCGTCTGAACGAACAGGCCAGCCAGTGGATATTTAACGAGAACAATAAGAATTCTCCACCCAATACGATCGACCTGCACGGACTATTTGTCCAGGAGGCTATAGAGCGAACAGAGCAATCAGTCCAACAAGCTCAAAATAGCGGCGCGCAGCAATTACGTATCATCGTCGGCAAAGGCATTCACTCCCCCGGCCATCAGGCGAAAATCAAGCCAGCAATAGAAGGCCTCATGCAAAAGTACAACCTCTCTGCTCATCTCGACCCCCACAATGCCGGCGTTCTCATCGTCATGCTACAAGGCGGCGGGCAGGGATCGAGGGATGCAGGATTTGTGGATCATCTGTCTCGTCAGCAGGATAACGACTGTGTTGTCATGTGATTTGCAGTCTTTGTTGGTACAATATCTTACAGACTACAACAGCAAGCAACAACAGATCACTGAGAAGCTCTCTGCACAATCATCACCGCTGCCTCTGCCCGCTTGGCGGCATCATGCCCGGCTCGTCCTCGTCGCTGTCCAGGACAATCGTCTGAGTTGCTAGAGGTAGAGCAGGCGTAAGCGATCTCGTCCGTTCTCTGTCCAGCTTGATGCGATCAAATTCGAGTGTGGAAGTCTTTGCAGGCCCTCTGCTTTCGAACACCGTATTAATCTTTGCCTGCGAATCTCGTTCTAGCACGCCGAACATCGACTCTGGCAACCTTCGACCAGCAGCGACAGAATCGACGATCCACTCGGGTCTGACGATATAAGTCGAGCTCTTGCGCGCGTTGAGTTCTTTGTCCGCTTTAGAACCCGACAGACCGGTCGCAGTGACGACGTGGGTGATATGTCTCTTGCCGAACGCAAAGGACCATCTGCCACCGCCTTGCTCGAGCAGGCGCTTGAGCTGTTGATTGCTAAGATCTTCACCCGTGTAGCCATTGAAGTAGACAGATACTCTTGCAAAGATATCGTTGATGCGCTCGTCGGCTTGCTGTTTGATCTTGATCGCTCTCGCCTTGTTCCAGCCGGGCACACTACCCCCACCAGGACCATTCTGCATCTGATGACCCGTCGTGCAAGAGACGATGTGGATCGTGCGAGAGTAGACATCGCTATGCGTGACCGGGTTATTGACTTTCCCTAGCGTTTTGAGCACTTCCGCCGCTTCTGCCTGAGGCGTCAACTCTCTCCTGACTAGATTTCCAAGCTCCATTTCGGATTTGAACGAGGGAGGCTCGGGTCGGTTGGGCTGTTCGACGATTTTACCAGTCGGTAGGACCATGAGGGCCTTTGTAGGATATTGCTCGACGTATTCCTGTCGTTTCTTCTCGGAAGAAGCAGGCTTGGCTACCATCTTGGGCGCTTTGACCGCTGTTGACATGCTTGTACCCGGCTTGGCAGGTTTAGGTGGATCTGGTGCTCGGTAGAACTGTGCGGGCAACAAGCCAGAACTCGACGCAGACTTTGTCTTTCTCGCTGGCGTCGACGACTTTGTGCTACCAAAGAAGTTGGTCAAAGGCTGAGCGCGAGGTGCGCCATTGCTGCCTGCCATGATCAGCTGTCTATCGCATCAGAATCGACATCGACGCCGAATCGAATGTCAATCCATCGACGCGTTTTTTCTAGTCACACGACGACAGCGACTCCTCGAGTTCCCATGGACGATCCTGCGCCATCTGAAGATATCATCAACGTCTCCCTTCTTCCCAAAGCCGGCGAACAAGCAGACGAAGATGCTGGCGAGGAAGAGATGCCAGACTGGCGCGCACTGTCAAAGATGTATAAGAGGTAACCCATTTCCTCTGGACTGCTGCAAGTGCGCTCACACAAGGCTGCAGCACGAAGAAACGTGGTATAGACGACTCGAATGAAGCTCTCATACCGTTCATTCCGAAAAGAGGCGAAAAGGACTATGAGCCGACCGCTCAGAATGCCTCGAGTCAGGCCAATCTGCTCACCGAATCCAAAGACGCTCTTTTCTCTGCGCTAGGCGCTGGCGAACGTCGTCATGCTGCCAAACAGCACAACCTTGCCATATGGCATCCTCAGCTGGGTCGCGCCAGTCTGTCAGGTCCAGGCTACGGCATTCATTTCCTCTCAATGGGTTTGTACCATGCAGAGCGGAAACGACTCGAGCTTCTGCCCGAAGAAGCACTGTATCTCATCGAGAGGGGTGCAATAGAATGCTGGAACGCAGACAAGACGACAGGGGAGCCCTCGGTACCCATGAGCGTGCAAGAAGCCTTTGCTCTCATGATTGGCTCTGACAGCCTCAGTATGCCCAAATACCAGGTCAGCCGAGTGGCTGTCTCACGTCATCGAACAGGCTGACGTTCAGCGATGGGAGCGACAGACTTACTCCTACTTGCGCAGGCTGGGATATACCGTTGCTCGAGCGAACCGTACCGAGACAGCTCTCGCGCGACAAAGAGTCGCAAGACTAGTACGGCCGAATCAGCTGTCCATCTGGCTTTCGCGAATCAGTTCTACGTTGAGACGTATCATAAGAAGGCTAGCTAAGAATTTGAGACAAGTGGCGAGAAGGGCACAGCGTGTAACGCAAACGACGCTCCTCAACTGTGTCGGACTGCGAAAATCGTTCCCTACACTGGATCGTAATGGTCTCGCCCGTCGTCGCATCGATGTACAATTATGCCCCGAGCCACTATCTTCGAATCTTGCAGCTATCACATACGGTAAGTCGAAATTCATAAGCATTCGCAATCGTCCTGACCCTCTTTGGCAGACGATCTCTTCAGCTCTATCCAGATCATTCGGAGCGGTCACCTAGACCCGCCACCAGCCCTCATAGGACCTCCTGAAGATGAATTGCGTGTATTCTACCACATCTACAAGCCAAACACTAAAACGCGCAAGACTGCCCTGCCCGAGCCAGATTATAAAGTCGTCATACTAGAGTGAGCAACACTACTGCTTGAGCAACATCGGCTCATGCACATACTGGTTACTTGCAGCGGACAAAAGTCAGTCGTGCCCAGTCTGTGGCAGCTATCGCACCTGTTCGAGTCGCTGCCCGAAGCACTGACACCGCCGCCGCGCGTGCAGAGAGGAACGCCTCGCCCACCGCGAACGCCTCGTCAGATGCCAAATCGCACCTTCCCCGAAAAAATCATCAATTGGATCCACTCACGTCTTCCCAGATGGATCACAAAGAAAGTGCCGCGTCGGCACTGGCCTTTCGTGAAGCTCAAACAAGCCCGAAAGAACGTCTTGCTCTGCGTAGTCGATCGAGGCATCACGACCTTTCTACGCTTTGGTCAAGTCGATTTTGCAGAGAGTGCGTGGTTAGGGGAAGGCAGGATGCCGGCGATGTAAGAACTTTAGAATGCATGGACGTCAGTTTTGTACAATGTAGCAAGATCTGCTCAATCGAGGGGTATGCCAGCGTGCTCGTCGAGCCCTAACGCGAGGTTGAGATTCTGCAAGCCTCGTCAGCAACATCGCGACAGAACGGAGCGTGACCGACCTGAAGACACTGAGTAGCAGCACCTTTGAGCAGGTTGTCGAGCACACCCTGCAATCATCTGGTAAGCATCGAAGCCAGAAGCAACGCAATGATGACCCACTACTGCAACGATGCGCTTGCCACCCGAATGTACTTGAAAGCCGCCCGCTTTCCAACCGTGTTTGCCGCTGATATCTTTGATCTCAGGCACGGCCGCTTGAATCGTCAAGAGCTTCTCGTTGCCGTATTTCTCTTCGTAGAGGCTCTTAAGATCACGAGCGGTCATCTCTTGCTTCAGTGGCGCAGAAACAGTCGAGATGATGCCTTGAAACCAAGGCGCAACAGAAGGGACAAAGGCGACAGTGACAGGATCAGCACTCGAGAGCTTGGAGAGCTGGTAGCCGGCTTCGCGCTCGTGAATGTGATCTGTCAAAGCGTAAGGACGTACACCGCCTCCGAGATCCTCTGCTGAGACTTTGGGCGTCGTACCCGACTTTGTGCCTGCGCCGCTGAATCCCGAGATACCAAAGACAGTGGGCTGGCCAGCGAGATAAGGCAAGATAGGAGCGAGAAGCAATTGGCTGTTCGTCGCATAACAGCCCGGGTTGGCGATTCTCTTCGAGTTGCGTACAGCTTCACGAGAATACAGCTCTGCATACAGCAATGTGCGCACTACATGAGCCCCTTGGTGTTCTTTCTTCTAGTTCAGGTTAATCGCTCACCCGGCAAACCATAAGTCCATTCCTCGTTGAAACGGTAGTCTGCTCCAAGGTCGATGACCACACTCTTGCCCTTACCCGCATCGACGGCCGCCACAAAGGGCGCACAAATGCCGTTGGGCAAAGCCATAATCCAAGCATCAACCGCGCCGCTTTCCTCTAATTGTTGAATGGTTTTTGGGTCCAGATTCTCGTAGCGAACTTCTGACTTTGTGTAACCTTCGAGCTTCTGGCCTACCATCTCGCGAGATGACACGTGAGCTAGCTCCATATTGGGGTGGCCGTTGATCAAGGATACGAGATTCGAGCCAGTGTAGCCACGAGCACCAATGAGAGCGATACGCTTTGGCTCAGCAGCGGTGGCGTAGCCTCGACGCTGACTGACAGGCGAGCTGCTGACTGTCGGGCGACCGCCCGCTCGGGTAGAGTATCGACGACTGGCTGCGCCGGATGATGGCGGCTGAGGTGCTGAGCTCGACTGGTAAGATATTGGCAAGTACGATCGCGGAATGCGGCCCTTCGCTTCCAGGTCACGAACGGCAGCCTCAACTTCTGAGATATCTTGTACGCCATAGTAGAAGAGGCTCTTGCCATTGCGCGAGAAGGAGCCATCAGAATGCTCAAAGTGCCAAGCCCGGTTCTCGTCTGCTGCCTTGACAGCCCAGAAGAGCTTCTTGTAGTCCTTCTTGATACTTGACCAGACATTGTCGAGCACTGCGTTCAGCACGCCATTCCTGCTCGTGAGGAGCTTCGTCATGACGGGAGCTTCTCCAGGTGGATGAGAAACCACTGCTACGACATCGAATGGCTCATCGCCGTAGATGGAGTAGTCTGTCTTCTTAAGGTCACTGAAGACTTCCGCTACTGACTTGTCTCCGCTTGTGATCTCGGGATCACGTTCTGCAAAGACTTGTCGTAGTCTGTCTGTGCCGACAGCCTCGATAGAATCGCGCTTGTAGAGCTTGTAACCTCTTCGAATGAGTGTACCAGCGCCCGAGTCTGTGAAAAGCTCCTTCTGTAGGTTGTCGGCCGAGATGATGGCAACCGAAGAAGAGCGGGGAAGATGCTCTAGCAACTCCTTGATCTCGCGCAGCTTAAGCTTGGTGCCATATTTGACCCAGGACTCTTTCATAAGCGCATCGTATTCCTGCAAGCCTTGTTCAGAGCTGCCTCACGGAGAACAGAAGCTGACAAGCACTTGCCTCGTCAAGATTGATTACGCTGAGCTTCTCTCCGGTGACGCCGTGGAAGAGACCGCCTTTTTCGTTCAGGAAGACGATTTTCAGCGGCTCGAGGACTTTAGCGAGTTCGCCAGCAGCGACATCGGCATTGACATTGAGGATCTGACCCGATGGCGTCTCGGCGAGTGAAGTCAAGATGGGTAATGCGCCGGCTCGGATGGCAGACTCAATAGGCTCTTTGTTGACTTTTGTGATCTTTCCGACAAAGCCATACTTGTCCTTGTCTAGGTAGTCGGCGGTAAAGACGCCGTTGGGGATTGGACGAGCGCGAGTGCCGAGCTTTTCGAGCGCTTCGACGAGCTTCAAGTTCTCCTCGAGGAACACCTTGCGGGCAACCTCGAGTGTCTTTGCGTCCGTAATGCGAATGCCCTGTCGACGTGAGCGCTATCTCAGCAGGCGCAAAAGCAGGGGGTCGGGCGTCTGACATCAATGTAATCTGGCACTACGCCAGCGTTTTCGAGGAGCTGGTTGAGCTGTGGGCCTAAGCACGAACTTTGTCAACCCTTGTCGACATTGCTCGCGTATCAGACTCACCCATGCCATGGAGGACGACAGGGTACAGGCCGACCCGGTTGAGGAAGCTGAGCGAGAGAGCGAGATCGTCCAGCTCCTGAGTGAGGATAGCTCCACCAATCTTGAGTACGGCGAATCTGCGTCACCCGCTCGTGATCAGACTGTAAATACGCTGCATAAAGCACAGTGGCTGACTTGTTGGCCGTCGAGAAGATGCGCAAGTAGCGCTCGACCTCTTTGCGCGAGGCGATGGAGTACAAGAGTCGAACAATCGTTTCCTGTGCGTGGTTGAGACTTTGATATATCCGCCTGGGCAGCACGAGCAACGCACTCTGTCGGTGTCTATGCGAGAAGCAGCTTGCGAGCTGAGCTTCCTCGAGGTGAGTGCGCCGGCATAGCGAGATCTGGGCTCGAGCGCTTTGTGCTCAGGCGTGAGGGCTTTGTGGGAGATGCGCGGCGTCGCAGTGACTGCAGAGCTCAATGCTCGCCTGGTCGCAGGCAGGCTGACTGCCACGCTCCTGAGTCGGCTCGCCATGATTGCTGACCGGAAGCCTAGAAAACTGACTTGGCGCGCAGCCGGTTCGACGAAAAGTGAGTGGCTCGTGCGGAGCGCGTGCCCTCGTCGAGTCGTGCAAGGCTCAAACCCCTTCAGTCTATGACCATCTTTCGACCGTGCATCGACATCCACAATGGCGCTGTGACTCAAATTGTCGGCGGCACGCTCGACACCACCGAGCTCAAGACCAATTTTATCGCTACGTCAGCTCCGTAAAGCTCCCAAACGAACGCAGTTGACCCGACCGCACTGCAGACGTCCGTCGACCTACTATGCCGAGCTGTACAAGCAGCATGCATTGCAGGGTGGACATGTCATCAAGCTAGGCCCCGGGAACGATATAGCAGCTCGAGCGGCGCTACAAGCCTGGCCAGGTTCGTTGTCGCGCCTGTTCGAGACCTTCAAGGAGGTCTCTGATCGTTATGTCGCGCAGATGCCCTGCAAATCGGTGGCGGCATTGACGTAACGAATGCGCAAAGCTGGCTCGAATCAGGCGCGAGTAAGGTGAGCCTCTGTGTCCGCTCAGACACTTTGAGCTGACCCACAACCTAGGTGATCGTCACCTCATATCTGTTTCCCTCCGCGCGCTTCGACGAAGAGCGACTAGCTCGTCTATCTGAGCTGATCGGTAAAGACCGGCTCGTCATCGATATTAGGCGAGTGCGCTTCCAGCCGGCACAGCTCGTGCTCATCCACATGCTTAGCTGTCGGCGACGCGAAGACAAATGGATCGTCGCTATGAACAGATGGCAACTGCTCACTGACATGGAGGTCACTCAAGAGTCTATCAATCTCGTCAGCAAGTACTGCAGGTCAGTCAGATTATCACGACGTATGCATTGTCTGATGGCGATGATAGCGAGTTGCTCGTTCATGCAGCAGATGTTGAAGGTCTTTGCAGAGGCATCGACGAGGATCTTGTACAAAGTGCGCTCGTTCATCGGCACGCACGGTGCTTTCATACTGACAGGGCCCTAGTGCTCGGCCAATGGTGCTCGATACCGGTGACTTACGCCGGCGGCGCTAAACGTCAGTGCTGCCTGTGCCCGCTTCACACATGATATGAGCTGATCGTCACAATAGATATAAGCGATCTAGATCTTGTCCATCGTCTGTCAAAAGGCAAGGTCGACCTCACCTTCGGTAGCGCGCTGGACATATTCGGAGGCGACAAAGTCAGATTCGACGAGCTCATCGCATGGCGTGCCCAAGACACGCAAGCGTAGATTGCTGTGAACTTGATACAAAGTGCATGTCATGTGTCCCACTACAGCCTTTATAGTATATGAAGATAAGACAACCCAGAAGTGACAAAGGTGGCCGCGAGCTAACGACCTCTAGAGCTCTCTTGCTTGCTGATGCTTTAGGCTCGCCTGAACCAGCAGGAGCGATGCCGGGCACTTGGTTCCAACGATGGCTGAAGCAACGTCGCCGAGCGATTTGCGCACTTCGGGTGAAGCGGCAATGCCGAGAGAAGGTACCTGACCATTGTGTTGTTCTACATGACCCTTGAGTACAGCAGACAGTTCCTCGCGGTGCGATAGACCGCCACGACGAGATCGACCTGTCACGATGAGAATGGGCGTCGAGCTTGCTTGCGCAGTCTGACGAGCCTTGACGAGCGTCGTGAAAAGCGGACGCGCAGTTTTGACGACCGAATACTGCACACGCTGAAGACCGGTGCGGAGGAACGGATCGAGATCTTGCGAGTCCGAGAAGTAGCGTGCGAGCAGGAGCTCGTCCGCCGTTTCGGACTGCAACTGATTGTGCGTCGATGCAGGGCCGTACATGGTATCTTTGACGTGACTGCTGCCCAGGGTGAATTGATCGAGCAAGACAGGCATGTCTGGTTTCCTGACCGAGTCGCCCGATGAGCCGGTCGGCGTATGCGAATGCTTGGTCTCGAGCTCGTTGTCATCTGCAGTCGCCTCGTCGGAACGAACAATGCGAACGATCGTAGCGGTGACACCAGGGTTTGCGCTGCAAAGCTGTACGATGAGCTGCAAGCAAGCGCGATCGTCGACACCGCCGTGCATGGCGAGGAACAGATGACGTTTGCCAGCAGGAGCTACGGCAGGCGCTGTGCCATAGTCGAGATACAGACCGACATCGCACGCCGTTTCGGCGAAAACGTTTCGCACAAAGTTGGCATACTGAGGTGATGCCTCTGTACCACTAAGCTGATTCTTGCCACCAAACAAGGACTCGAAAGGGTTGAAATAGCTCGACGATGTCTCTTGAACCACGACGGCTGGCGCAGCAGCATTCCAGGGAATGATGATCATGTCCGATGACCGCTCTGTAGCAAAGTCTGTGACCGTCGACGGGAAAGAATCTGAAGCTACGATGGCTGTCTTGGTCGAAAGCGGGATAGCATTGAGGCCAGCAAAAGTGGTGAAAATCTGTGAAAGCGGATCGGCCTTGACAGTCTCCTCGAGCTCTGAAGCTTTCAGAACTGCACTGGAGCGTTCTGTCAATTCCATGAGACGAAGGGCATCCACGCTGTAGCTGCTCTGGAGCTGGCCGAAGTACGAGGCATCGACGGGACTGAGCGGCTCGGCTTCGTCCTTCGCGGCAGCCATGGAGAGTGCGTTGCCTTTGCTGACTGCACGGTCGTATGTGATGGGCGGTTGAAGCAATTTGACAAAGGCCATCATCGAAGGCAGATGGTCGAGACGACTGAGAACGACAACGAAACGAGCGCGGAAGGCGCCCTTTTGAGTAACGAGCTCGTCTGGCTTGGGCTCGTGCTGCCCAGCTTTCACGGCTCTGCGCTTCTCTGTCATCTCTTGCTGATACCAGACCGGGTAGAACGCCATCGTCAGAGGGGTAGTTGCAAATGTAGTCACGAGAGCCATCACGACAAACATCGCAAAGACCTGTTTGTTGAGAATGCCAGCGTTGAGTCCGATATTGAGCACGATCAATTCGACCAATCTGTTCGACAACTAGGAATGTGAGCAATGACTGTCATGCTGACAAATTTGCGACCGACCCTTTACAGCTCATGAGACTGCCGACTGCGGCAGACTCGCGCCATTCGAAGCCGGTCATACGCGCAGCGAGTGCACAACCGAAGAATTTGCCAGAGAAAGCGACGACAATGACGGCAATCGTCCAGCCCCAGATCGAGCCGTCGCTGAGCAGTCCGAGATCTGTCTTCAAGCCGGAGAGGGCAAAGTACTGCAGCAAAACTCAGCATGATCCAGCATGCTCGCGTGGCGCTTACGAGAGGCAGAAAGAGGACGGAGACCAGATCTTCGATCTTCTCGTTGGTGCCAGACGCAAAGCCGCCTTCGTGAGGCATGATGACGCCGACAAGGAAGCCGCCGAAGATCGCATGAATCCCAATAACGTCGGTGATCCAGGCTGAAGCGAATATGAGTACGACCAGAACGGTCATGACGCCCGTCGTAGGAGCACCATTCTCCAGCGAGCCAGACTTGCGGGCGAGGATGTGAAAGAGAGGTCGAACGAGATATACGAGAGCCAGCGTCCAGCCAACACCACAAAGCAGAACATAAACAGCAGTGACACCTGAGCCTGCGTTGACGAGTGCGACGGCAAGAGCGAGCAAGATCCACCCAACGACATCGTTGCCTACGCCAGCAGCGAGAACGGTGAGGCCGACATCGGTGTTCATAAGCTTGAGCTCGGTCAAGATACGCGCTAGAACAGGAAAGGCTGTGATCGCCATGGCGACTCCGACAAAGAGCAAGAAGTGACCGAATGACACGGCACTCTGATTGATAAAGCGATCGTAGATCCCCACTGAGACTGCCGCGCCCAGTCCGAACGGCAGAATCATGCCGACGCCCGAGATTGCAAGGGATGACTTTGCGTTGCGTTTGAGCAGCTTGAAGTCGACCTCGAGGCCGACCAAGAAGAGGAAGAGGACCAGACCGATATTGGCCACGAGATTGAGATAGGGCAGCGATAGCGGCGGGAAGATATGGGCCGTGAAATGAGGTATGCGCCCGAAAACCGAGGGCCCGAGGAGGATGCCTGCGATGACATCTGCCACTACGCGAGGCTGACGGATCTTGTGCAGTCCGATGTTGAGGATCCTGGACAGTATGATGATGAACGAGGCCTGAATGACGAACAGGATGAAGGGACTGTGCGCATCAGGTCATCAGATCACGCGAATGCACGACAGTCGATGTTGAGCCTACTCTGCTGAGTTGACTGCCGTGGGATCAAAGTGAGGCGAAGCAAGGATGCTGTCATGATGCCTTATCAACGTGCGATCAACGTGTCGGCGCACGCTGCATACCTTGTCGACGGGACTTTTGTCGAGTTGGTCGCCACAGAGGCATTACTCGCCGCCATAATGCCACTCGATGCGCTCAGTGGTACTTGGTCGAGCTGTTGAGCTGATCGACAAGCGCGTACTCGTCACCCTGCCCTGCGCAGCGGCTGAGCAACTGCCAATACTGGGCACCGGAATCTGGGCCAAGCGATCGAAAGCCATCGCGAAAACGGGAAGCTCGTGACGCGCCTTCTAACTTAGCGGCCGCAACTCGGCACCCGCTGTGCGCTGAACTTGGCGACAAGTCTGTCAATTCACCTTAGCCCTGTCGTGCTTGCGCTTCGGTGCAGCGACTACGTGAGACTCTTCCCAGCGATTTGCGACGCCATGTGGAGCACGTTCAAAAGCAGCAGACGCACGAATGTACGAACGTTGGCCGACTTGCTCGTACTTTATTCACTTGTGATCACATTGCAGATGCAATTCCCCAGGCTGCTTTGCATCGTCTGAGGAGTATTTTAATTTGCGAGTGTCTCGTGAGTGGTCTTGGTAGGACTCGGTCTTTTGACTCTCAGGGTTCCTGACATGGGTGACATCGCGCGTCCACCAATTAATGTCATCATGTCAATCACTCGACATAAGCCAAAAGCGAGCAGCTGGCATCTATCCTTGCAGCAGTGAGCGAGCGATTACGAGTGTCAGGCGGTCATGCGACGCTACTCAGCTAGCTGCGAGTAGCCTACGAAAATCGCGATTGCCGCTCGACAAGATGATGCTCGTCGTACGCTCGCTCGACTTAATGTGCACAGACCTAGACTGGCAGCATGACAACCCTCATCGGAACTGAGGCTGATGTCTCGTCGACTCGATGTCATCCAGCCCGCTAGCTATACTTCGCAAGCCGCTATAGCTACTTTGGCGGTTGATTCCTTGACAAACGGTGCTGGCTCTCGAGTGGTCTTCTGCTCCGACTGCTGCTCACTTTTCCATTCGCCCGCTTATTCATGTCAAGCAGACTGACGGGTAAGCGAGATGTGTTTGATGGCATACGAGCTGATGCTTGCCGCCAGGAAGGCTCTCACGGTATCCGAGCAGTGACGAGCCCATCCGCCTCTGCAGGCCGCTACATCAGCTGGCTTACGCCTTCAGCCAATCGATGCAATGTTCGCTGTCAATGCGGATGTGCTTCGGTTAAAGCTTGTCGTCTGATGACGAGACTGCAACGAGCTCCAAGGAGCACTCGGCAGCCTGGCGACCTTTGTCTCGCAGACGGATTGAAGTCCTCTGTCCAAGCAAAGGCTGCTGCCAATACCTCGTTCCCATTGCCGCGCCACTATGGCTAAAGGCGATCACCTTCTTGCTGTCTGAGCAAGCCAAAGAGGCATGTCTAGCGTACAGCTGCATAGGCAAGCAAGCGCGAGCCACTTTGTCTGGCTGCTGCGTGGGCCGGCCAGAGCTGGACTGGTCTAGGTTGCAGCAATCCAGGCACATTGCCAGCAGTACCGAGCTGTTCATACTGCGGCAAGCTTTGTGCGCCGGCGGATGGATCATCCAGCCGGTGCAGTCTCGGCTGGCTCGACTCAAGGCTTACGGGCCACGCCTGGCCCGCGAGGACCCACTTTGCCGCCCAAGGTCGAGTCGCACGTACCCGTAGAATTATTCTGCAGCTCCAAGATATGATACATATACTGGGAGTGCTCCGGCGCTGCCCTATCGCGCAGTGCACCGCCGCCGAGAGTATGTGTCGAGTCTGGCGCCCAAGATCGAGTCGCACGTACCCGTAGACTTATTCTGCAGCTCCAACATATGATACATGTACTGGGAGTGCTCCGGCGCTGCCCTATCGCGCAGTGCACCGCCGCCGAGAGTATGTGTCGAGTCTGGCGCCCAAGATCGAGTCGCACGTACCCGTAGACTTATTCTGCAGCTCCAACATATGATACATGTACTGGGAGTGCTCCGGCGCTGCCCTATCGCGCAGTGCACCGCTGCTGAGAGTATGTGTCGAGTCTGTCGCCAAGTTCGGCGAGAAGTGAGTGTAAATCTCGCGCTCGCCTTTTGATAGGCGCGAGAAAGTGTTTTCGCGAGNGAGAGTATGTGTCGAGTCTGTCGCCAAGTTCGGCGAGAAGTGAGTGTAAATCTCGCGCTCGCCTTTTGATAGGCGCGAGAAAGTGTTTTCGCGAGATTTGCATTGCGGTTTACTTTTGACGCGTCTGCGTGCACTGCGTGCCCCGATCTGTTTGCAATCTTGAAATTGCTGTTCTCATGATCACTACCTTCCAGTGTGGCTGCGCATGACATCGCACATTGTATGTACAGCAGCAAATGCGCTCGAGCATAATCGGACCCGCAATCATGGCATCCGTTCAATACACGAATTGTTGCGCTACAGAGCACTCAAGCAACCTAGCCTGCTCTGCGCGGGTTTCCCCGAGCTGGACGAGCATGGCGTATGGCAATGCCTCAGTCTCACATGCGATCAGCTATGGCGATCAAGTGCAGCCGCTGGGCGAGCCTATGAGGCCGCCGGCCTTGCGCTGAAAGAGCAGTCGGAGACGATCGCTATTCTCTCGCCAAGTTGTGCCGACTTTCTGGTCACGCTATGTGCTCTGTGGCAGAAAGATTGTGCTGTGCTACTCATCGCGCCTCAAAACAGCCCAGAGGCTGTCGCCCACCTCTGTGCGACGACCGGTGCGACGCGTTTGATCGCTCATTCTTCACTATCGAGCTTGGCCGAAGCTGCGCTTAGGACGAGCATGTCCTGTACAACGCTTGCAATGGTCGCAAGAGCGTCGTGGCACTCTGATGCGACTTCGCACATCGTCGTACCTGCACAAGGCCTGCCAGAGCTGCCCGACAAGATCGCATTGATCATGCACACGAGCGGTTCAACTGGCATGCCAAAGCCTGTCGGCCACCCTCATAGGGTCTGGACCAGCTGTCTTTCTGATCAAGGGGAGGCGGAAGTGAATCGTCATGATCCATCGTATACAAGTCTCGCTGCATTGACGACTACGCCACTATACCATGGCGGCATCTCGGACTGGCTAAGAGCCATGGTGTCACGCGCGACCACTTACTTCTTCTCATCAACATACAGCATTACAGCAGATCATCTGATCGGCGCAGTCGCATCTTGTCGAGAGATACGCTCTTTTCTGACCGTGCCGTATATATTGCGTCTGCTGTCTGAAAGCAAACCTGGCATTGCGATGCTCAAAGCCATGGCTCTTGTCAGCACTGGCGGAGCTCCCCTTGACGAGAAGCTGGGAGACTCATTGACAAGTCAGGGCGTTTATCTCGTCAGTCGGCTAGGCTCGAGCGAAGCCGGCTTCCTGTTGACCTCGGATCGCCTGAGCCCAGAGACGGATCAGGCCTGGTCATGGCTACGAAATGATACTGAGACCGGTAGACAGATGTTACGCTTCGAGCCTGCAACTGATGAGAGGTACGAGCTCGTGGTCGACGCTGCTTGGCCGCCGCTCGTCGTTCGAAACCGCAACGATGGAAGGTACGCAACTGGCGATCTGTACGAAAAGCATGCTACGCTCGATCATGCATGGCGCTACGCCGGTCGAGTGGACGATCTACTTGTCTTGGTGCGCGCGCTCTCATTGGAAGATTGGTTGGTCGCCGTACTGATTTGCTGACCTCAGGAAAACGGCAAGAAGGTCGCTGCAGGCAGCATTGAGTCCACATTGACCAGGTCACAAGCAATCAGCACAGCCGTCGTGTTCGGCGCACATCGTTCTCAGATCGGAGTCATCGTTGAAATGACTGGCACACGAGAAGAGGTCATGAAGGTGATTGAAGCCCACAATAAGAGTAGTCCAAACTATGCCCAAATCTTGAAGTCTATGATCATCTACACGAATGGAGCAGAAATACCGAAGTCGAGCAAAGGCACAGTCCTTCGGGGACGAGCTTTGCAGGAGTACGCCAGCCAGATAGACTTAGCTTATCAGCAAAGTGCCAAAGGCTCCCTGGGCAACACTAGAGATTCCGAGCTCAGAAAGGCAATTCGAGATACAATCAGGCTTGGACTTCCACCTCAGATCATGCTGACAAGCGATGACGAAGACCTTTTCAATCTTGGCGTCAGCTCGCTACAAGCCATCCGAATTCGGAACGAGCTACAGTCTCTTCTGCCGGCAGATGCAAAGGCTTTGCCGTCAAACATCGTCTACGAGCAGCCTTCGGTGGCGCGACTTTATCATTTGATCACTGCGTTGAGGTCTGGCACGACGATCGCGGTCGACGACCCTATAGCGGAGATGAAGTCGCTAGTCAAAAAGATGCTTTTCACGTCCTCCACACCTCGAGATATTCGCAGTAGCAGACGTACAGTCTTACTCACTGGAGCTACGGGCGCCCTGGGCGCTCACATTCTCACATCGAGTCCGTGGGGATCCGATGTCGTCATTGTTGCTTTGGTGCGGGCGGACGGTGATGAGCAGGCAGCTGAACGAGTACGAACTAGCCTACAAAGACGAGGCCTCAGCATCGAGGACGAGAGATTCCCGCGGTGTTTAGCTGCGAACTACGCCAAACAATCCTTTGGGCTACCGCGCCAAGTGTATGTCGATCTCGAGAACAGCGTCACTGATATCGTTCATGCTGCATGGTCCGTCAATTTTAACGCATCTCTCTCTAGCTTTGAAGACGATCATCTCGTCGGTATACGCGAGCTACTCAAATTCAGCTCGATGACATCGCACAGCGCCCGTCTCTACTTTTGCTCAAGCACTGCCTCAGTCATACAGCAACCAAGTCCCATCCTCGAGAAGCTGGACTATCCTGCCGAGACGGCGGCACCGATCGGCTACGCACGCTCCAAATGGGTTGCAGAACAGCTCCTCTTCAGAGCGCGGTCTGATCGGATATGTGTCCTGCGCGTTGGCCAGCTTTGCGGCGATACGAAGCATGGCATATGGAACAAAAGCGAAGGCTGGCCTCTGCTTATTCTGTCGCATCAGATTACCGGCTGTCTGCCAGCGTTGGATGAAACGATCGACTGGCTGCCTGTCGATTGGGCAGCTGCGGCAATCTGGGACGTGACAGAAGCGGCAGTGGTTCCCAAGGTGGTGCATATTTGCAGTCCTGATCGATCAGTCAAATGGTCAGACATCCTTTCGCACCTTACTCGAGCGGGTCTCGAGTTTGACGTCGTCACTCCTCGAGAATGGCTCGATCGAATGGATCGTAGCAGCATGGATCTCGAGGTCAATCCAAGTCGCAAGATGCTCGATCTCTGGCACAGAGCTGTAAGTTTGTTTGCTCGTCACCATGTCAATGCACTGATTGGCACAATAGTATGGTGGCTCCCCGCCAGAAGCTACAAAGTTTGATATGGCCGTCGCACTTGCTCACAGTCGAACCTTGCGCGAGCAGGCAAAGGCGCCAAATTCCGATCTCATCAAACGCATCTTACACGCATGGGCATCGCAAGACAAATAGGACATTGCATTAATTGCATCACGGACAGCGCACGTTGTATGGCGCAATCGCACCTTTTGCATCTTCATCGAGCGCATCAAGACTCGCCATCTGAGCGTCCGAAAGTTCGAAATCGGTGACTTGGAAATTGGCCTCGATGCGTGCTGGCGTGTCTGATTTGGGTAGTGGGATGAAGTTGTGCTGATATGACCATCTAATGAGGACTTGTGCTGGCGTTCGTGAGACTTCTTTGGCGATGCGCGCAACGTCGACTTGATCGAATTTTTGACCGCGCACGATGGGACAATAGGCTTCGATGGCGATGCCCCACTGGCGGCAGTAGTCGACAACATCTCTCTGCTGACACCAGGGATGGATCTGTCATGATGGTCAGACGAGTGCGAGTGGGTCCTCAACGACTGACCTCGATCTGGTTGCTGACGGGTTTGGATAGGCCGGCTTGGCGCAATTGCTCGAGGTGTTGCACGCCACTGGGCGCACAGTGAGCCTGGTGATCACAAACGAAGCAGGCACTCACAAATTGGAGACGCCAATGAAGCGTGTGTGACCCGACTCTTGCAGCCTTTCGAGCCCTTTCCAGAGCGCGATACGATTGTCAGGCCCCATCGTCGGCGTATGGATCATGAAGAGATCGACATAGTCTGCCGTTGGACATCAGTGATGTGTACAATGGCTCGCTCACGAGCAGACCTAGTCCAAAGCGGGCGACGCCGTCTTTGAGGGCAGAATCGATGTCGCTCTTTGGCATGGACAATATCTTTGTGGCTACGAAGATCTCATGCCTCTTCAGCGAGCCTGAACTGACGATACTCTTGACTGCCGCGCCCACTTGAGGTTCGTTCTGGTAGTACATGGCAGAATCGATGTGCCTGTAGCCAGCTTTGAAAGCGGCAAGACAGCTCTTTTCGCATGTATTGCCGGGACTCTGATAGACGCCGAACCCGATGTGTGGCTTGCCATCGAATGATGTGCCTATGCTGCGCCAAGTGGAGGCTTGAGAGATGGCAGCTTGTGACATGTTGGCTGTCCTCTGCAAGAAGACGGCGCTTGACATCAACGAACGAACGACGCGATGAGGCGATGACGCAAATGTCGATCGTCGCTCGACTCGACGACGATGCCGGCGGTGACGGAGCGTGAGGACAGCTGTGCAGCAGATGTATCCATACTGATCGTATGCACATGTACAGGCAATGGCGACGGACAGCCAGGCGACACGCCCATGGACAGAATCTCATTCATCCTGCACCAGCTCTCTGGCGAGTTTAGCTCATCAGACAAGATCACAGACGAAGCGAGAACACTGCTGCGGCAAGCACGTGAGGTCGTAGATGGGCATGATGACTACATGACCGAGATGAGCTCGCCTGCACCGCCTATCGTCGAGAAGATGGTCAAAGACGGCTACGCAAAGGACTGGGCAGGGTTGCAAGAGCAAGGCAAGACGATGTACAAGCTCATACCCCAGATGACAGCCGGTGGTTACGAAGCAGTCGTACTGCAACAGCTCGCTCGGGCGACAAAGGTGCGCACCGACTGGCTCGATGCGTTGATTGTGTCTCATCAGTCTTTACGGTCAGGCAGAGCGCATACTCGAGATTGGCACCTTCACGGGCACGACGACCGTCGCACTCGCACTCGTCAGTTCAGTCAAGCATATTGTCGCGCTAGAGATCGAGCCCTACCTCAAAGAAAACAATGAGCCTTTCTTCAAAGAGGCAGGCGTGGCAGACAAGGTGGACATGAGGATAGGCGACGCGCTCAAAGCGCTCGACAAGCTAGAAGAAGAACAGCAAAGTTTTGATATGGTACGCTGCTCCAGATGAGCGCTGGTGGTTTTCCTGACAACGATGCAGATCTTCATCGATGCGGACAAGCCTGCGTATCTCAAATACTACCACAAGATCTTGTCAGGCAGCTTGTTAGCTAAGCATGGCATGATACTCGCAGACAACACAGCTTACAAGGCCTCCCCCTGGGCACCTGATCGCCACTACCTGAGTGGCTCCGCGATACATGACTTCAATCGAGCCGTTCGGTCCGTTTGTACCCTACCGAAGTCCTTCAGGACTGACATGCGGACAGTGACGATGCGCGGGTAGACGTCATCATGCTGCCTATCGAAGATGGCATCTCACTCATCCGCAGAGCGGGCGAATAGACACACTGCAACTAAAACAATGCATTATTCAACATTGCCCAGATCAGTGATGCGAGCAGTCGCAACATCGTAAATCCAAGCGCGAATGTGCAGCTTCTTGCCTCGCCGTCTTGCCTTCTGCACGATCTCTGAGCGAGCAATGTTGCGAGCCTGGATCATCGCATGCGTCCTGACAAGCAGTCTCTGTGCCTCCTCGGTATCTGAGCGATCCTCCAGCTCCAGTCCGTCGTCCTTGCGACTACCGCCGTAGATTGGCAGGTTGCGTGATTGGGCGAGTTGTTCGAGTGCGAGCGTGCGCAGAGGGGATAGCCAGTCTGCGATAGCTGCAGGGCCGACTTCGTGAGCCTTCTTGGGTCGCCTTTCGGGTATGAGTGCACTCTTTGAGCGTGCAGAGACAGGGATCATCTGCGAGCTGGACACTGCGCTTTCAAACGCTGCTGCGACTCCTCCGCACTGTCCCGACGCGTCAGCACAGGCCTCGATAACAGGTGCAAGACTGACGCCATAGTGACCTGTGACAACGATGTTCTCCACGTGAAGATAGTCAATGGCATAGGCAAGTACAGCGAGTGCAGAAGTGTCATTGGGGTGAAACGTGTTGGCGATATTGCGATGGACAAAGATCTCGCCCAAGTTGCTCTGCGTCACGATACTCTCCGGCACGCGACTGTCCGAGCAGCCGAACCAGAGCACTTTAGGCTCTTGTCCCTTTGCGTTACGCTCGAGGAGATCGCTGTCTGCGCCTTGAGCGAAAGCGCGGTTGTTCCGGAGCAGGCGAGACAGGACGTCGCTCTCGCCTATCTGACTTGTGTGTCTGGCGTGATGGTGGAGCTCAAAGCTGGATATGATTGGACGCGGTCTGCAGGACTGGCAGAGCGCAGATCGGAGGTGATATAGCCTCGGACTGCATCGCATTGGGCTGAGTACATGTGACCACAGAAGCTGCTGCTATCGAGGCCGAAGCTGAAACGGGGAAAGAGCAGAGAGCGCGCCGACTTGTCGACATCTTGGCGGCAACTCCTCCTCGACGACGACGACGATTGAGGTCGGCTCAGCAGATATGGCGACCTTTGCTGGGCCAGACGGTCGGCCAGTCTGGAGAGAGACATCATCGGAAGACGCTCACACGGTCAGGCTAGGATCAAGTGGCAGTGGCGAGAAAGCCTTGTTCGCCTTGCGCGGCCTGATTCAGCTCGTCAAGGCACCCGCCAAGACCGGTGAGGCACTCAGCAGCGCAAAGAGGAATGCCTTGTCCGGGCTTGATGGCTCCGTCAAGCGAATCAAGCTCGAACATGGCCAGAACGACAAGGCATCGCATGTTGCATCGACAAGTGCCATGCCGATGGTCAACGGCGATTCAAGTCCTGTTGCGGAAGACCGCAAGCCAGAGCAAGCTGCCTTTAGCATTCCTGTCATCAAGGACTCGATGCTTCTGCAACTTGAGACGCCCAAAGATGCTGCAGCAGACTCTTTATGCTCGGAGCTGTCAGTCGCGCTCCATTGGCCTCAGGGCTATAGCAAGTCCTTCCCAGTTGAGCTCGAGCCTCCGCCTGCAGGCGGCATCAGGATCTTCACAGACGTGCCCGAACAAGGCAGGACATTGCTTACAGAGCTCAGACTCCGTCAGGGACCGAAAATGGGAAAAGCCCGTATCCCAAGCTGGCAACTAGCAGCTGTCATCTTGCAAGCCAAAGGCGCTGTCACTGTAGATGCTACCGCTCAATTTGTTCCTTCGAGGGCCGATGCAGACAAGTCAAGGCTGCCGGCCCTCAAGCTTGATATGACCGTGTCGCTCCTGCCTAGCTTCTTCCATCCAAAGGATGAGCTCTCGCTCGAACGGAAAGCCCTCCAGGCTGCACTCTTTACCGAAGCAGACTTGCAGCTCGCCAATCTCAAAGACGTGCGAATGCGACAGCAAGTCGCATACACGGGCGAAGAAGACACTGAGTTCTTATATAATTGCTTGCCACCCGCACCTATAGACGTGATCGCCACCTACTCGCGAGCGCCCTCATCATTGCGCAAAGGGAAGGAACGGGGCGATGCTGATTCGGCCTTGGACGTGCTCGCGCCCGTTGAGCTTATTTGCAAGCTGCTACCATTCCAGTCTCGCTCTGTACGATGGCTGCTACACCGCGAAGGCAAGCAAATCGTGGGCAAAGATAGTTCGTCAATGGCAGATGTGCCCGATCATGTCCAGACTGAGCTACGACGAGCTCTCACCTGGACAAAAATAGGGAGGATAGATCTGCCAGACAAGCCTCCACTAGACGTCTGGCTTGATCAGCTTACCGGCCAGTTCTCAAGTGTCGATCCCGCCAAGCCTGAAGATCGCTCGGTCAGAGGACGAACCGTTCTTGCGGATTATATGGGATGTGGGAAGACGGTAGAAATACTGGCACTCATCCTACTCAACCAAGACCGATCTCGAAGTCACTTGCCTAGCTATCGCAATGATGATCTAGACACCGATATCGTGCCCATCAGGACCACCCTCATCATATGTCCTGCCACTATTTTGCAACAATGGGCAGACGAAATTGAAAAACACGCACCATCAGTCAGAGTACTTATCTATAAGGACGACTGTCTCGGAAAGCACACCCCACAGAGCGTCGACAAAAATTTCGATATTGTCATTTGTAGTTTCACCACGCTCAAGAGTATGATACACTATGCGCGTAAACCTCGCAGAATGCCTACCCGGCGATGCGCGGACGAAAAGACGGGTGAAGCCACCCGAAAGACTTATGATCGTCCTCTCTTTGTCGAGGCAGAATTCTTCAGAGTCATCATGGACGAAGTACAGCTGAACGGTACGGCTACAGCCAGCGCCGAGATGTGCTCCTACATTCATAGAGTCCATGCACACGCGGTCAGCGGCACACCCGTTGGCGAATCCCTTCGCGACCTTCGTAGCGTCTATGCATTTCTCAAGCTACCCTGGCTCAGCCAAGAAGCGCCATTCGAAGATTTGCTTCGTCCACGCAATGCGAGCTTGCTTGCGAGGATTACTAACAAGCTAGGCGTAAGAGTTACGCGTGCAGACGTCGCAGCCGAATTTGCTCTGCCTGCCCAACTACGTCAGATCGTGCCTGTTACGCTCAGCATGGTCGAGCAATACCATCGAGATGCGACGTACGCCCAAGCTTGCAATGAGCTCGGTCTCGATCGAGCGGAAGGACCGCAGCCCGGCTGGCGGCCTTCTCTTGCGCTCATGGGCAAATGGCTAGATACCCTACGGAGGCTCAACTGTCATCCCGAGGTATGTACAGCTACCCGCGAACGAGCAAGAGATTGATTGCCGGTGCCGCAGATGGGAGATGACAATCGTCGGGCGGTCAATCGGGGCGCGAACGTCACTGAGCTCAAGACACTCAGTCAGGTGCTTGAAGCGTTTGAAGCACAAGCAGCACAAGGCCGCTACACGGATACCATCAGATTGCACAAGCAGCGCTTCATCAGGGCACGGCTGATCAGCTACGACAATGAAGACTGCGAATGCCTCGAGAAGGCCCTCGCCCTCTATCACAGTACGATAGATGACGTGGTCGCAGAAAAGGCACTTGTGGAAGCCGACCTGGTGAAAGTTGAGTCAGAGCTCAAAGAAGTGGAGTCTCGACGTGGCTCGACTGTCGAGCGCTCGCCTGGGTAAGTCGTCTCGCAAGATCAGCACTGCGCGCTGACCTCGAGAGCCACATGCAGGCCTGAAGCCCCGGGAGCGACCACACAAGAGCGAAGACAGGCCAAGCGCGAGACGGATCTGGAACGCTCGCTTCGCAGACGCAAGACAGATCTATCGGGTCACCGCAGCAGAGTTTTCGCTCTCCTGCATCCGCTTCATCATGCCACCGCTAGCATCTACTTTATGCTCGGGAAACCAGAGCTCGAGACTGAGCATTACGACAAAGCTGCAGAATTCGAGCGCGAGATCCTCGAACCACACTTGACTGCCGTTGACGTTGCAATCAGCCAGCTGGTATCCATCAGCAAGAGCGCCGATCTCTCCATTGATGATTTCGAAGTGTTGCCGACCGGCGAGAAGCCGGGCTTGCTCACAAGCGAGCACTGGGACCTCGCCGAAACCGCTATCGACGCGGCCAACGGCTTAGCCGAGCTGATCTGGGACTGGCGCTGTCAGATTATCAAGATGGTCTCGCAGAGCGTCGAGCTGGCCGACCAGGAAGATATTGAGACCGCGTATGCGACCACAGAAAACAATCAGCATCTCATTTTGGTCAGTACACTGTTGCCAGACTAGAGACGCTACTGAAATCTGTGATAAGGTCTGGTTGGACATATTGTCAATGACCATGTTCGACTGGCGGAATACACTCGAGGTACCATCAAAAGGCGAAGCGAGCGCGGCCATCAACGTTTCAGTCGTTGGTCAAGTCAAGACGGACGCAGCGACAAAGCATATCGAAAATGAACTCTTTGCTGCCGATCGTCGCGCACAGGCTGCACGCAAGGAAGACGCAGGATCCATCATGCAGACTCCGATCGTTCGCAAGCCGTTTGTAGCCAAGAGCGACAATATCGGGGAAAAGCTGCTTGAGAAGCTGTCCCATCAGTCGTGCGAAGCTATGCCTGCCTCCGGTAAGCCCTACGACTGTGCCGAGGATGCAGGGCTGACGGATTGCCGTTAACAGTCGTGTCATTGCGCGTCATCATTAAGGATCTCAAGAGGCTGCTGGACTCTGATCCTCCTGCAGCGGAGAAGAAGATCATCGCAACTGAGCACAAGCGCCTTCGTGCGGAGGTGACAAAGAAGAACAAGCTCTATGACAAGCTCAGGGAGGAATACCGAGCCATCAATAACGTCATGCGCGCGCGTCAGCTTTACTACAAGGCTCTCGTCGATCTTTCCGATGAGACAGCTATTTTGCCAGACGAGCAGCGCAGCCCCGGGTTCATCAGCGCAAACGTGGCACTGTCGGACAAGCTTATCGTCGACCTCACTCAGAGCATCGCTGTCCATCAAGCGCGAGTACGCTACATCCACGCCATCGGCGCCGGCGAGGAAGATGACGAGCCTGACCAGTCAGTCCTTGCTACGAGGTCTCGGTGTGAATTCTAATACAATCTTATAGGTCCTGTCAAATCTGCATGGACGTACCCCAGGGTCGAGCAGTACTCACGAGCTGCGGACATGTCTACTGTGCGACGTGCTGGAAGCTATGGGCGCAGCATAGCTCAATTGTCACATGTCCATGCTGCCGTAAGACATTAGGCGCTGGAGCAACGACTCAGTTCTCGACATCACCTAAGAAAACAAAGCCGAAGACACAACTGGACGCAGCGATCGATGCTATGAAAGCGCAGCCTCTTCATGCAGCTTCAGTGGCAGATATCGACCAGACTGTTCAAGAACTTAACAGAAGCAGCAGTCTGACCGAGTTCGGCCTCAATGTCTTATCAACCGAAGAATACGCTGAACTTACCGAGATGCAAATCAATGGCGAGACACTCTCGTCGAAGCTCGATCTCGTTGTCAAGATCGCATCGTGGCACGCTGATCGGCATGAAAAAGTCGTCATCTTCTCAGCATGGAAGGTAGCGATCGACGTGCTTGCAACTGCACTGCGCGCCAATCGCATCGGCTCGATGCGCCTTGACGGACGATCCAACAAAGACAAGATCAATGCTGCTGCTGCTTTCGGTACTGACCCGCACGTCACTTGCTTCCTCTTGCATGCCAAGAGTGCAGCTGCAGGCCTCACTCTGACTGCAGCTTCGGCGGTCCTGCTGGGCAAGCAATTTCGTCGCTCTGTCTCTGTTGCGCTGACACAACGATTTTCTGCAGTCGAGCCGCTGACGAGTCCAGCGATCGAGCTACAAGCGGTATCTCGAGTCCATCGTATGGGTCAAGAGAAGGAGACTCGCTGCTATCAGCTTTTCTGCAAGGACACTGTCGACGAGCGCATCGCTGCTGTCGTGGCGCAAAAAGGTCGTTCGCTGTTTTACGTCGATGCTCCCATCACCGCAGCAGCAGAAGCCGCTAATCTCACCGATGATGTGGACGAAGATGAGCTGGCACGGATGCTGTTCGATAAGCGAGAGATTGCTGGATTGCAGAAGGCACTCCTCTCGGACGTCATGCATCAGTCGCAGGAGGAAAGCATGGATCTTGATGACATCAGCCAAGTCATGCTCAGAACCCCCACGCAAGATGCGTAGCAGTGGATATGCATGGCTTGCTTTTGGTTATCATACAACAATGTCCTTGCTTGCTGCTGCTGCCACTTGACCCACGGCAGTCACGCGCCCGCACCAATCTGTCAGTCTGACCCGTAGGCCGTCGATCTGAGCCTTGTCGAGTACGCGAGGCTGAACCCATGTGATCGTCGCTGTCTGAGACACTTGATCTATAGAGCCTTGTACGATTTTGAGTCTGGAGAGGAGATTCATTCAGCTTGAGACCGGAAGCTGATCCGCGTGTTACTTACGAGAGTGCTTTCATGACGAGATGCTCGACTTCTTGTACTGGCAAGTGTGTCTCTCGTGCAACGATGTCAAAGCTGAGTATCCTGTCGCCTGCCGGTCGTTTGAAGACTGCTTCTATCAATGCCATCAAGCAGATCTTTTGTTTGAGTACGCCATAGTTTTGCTGCAGTATCTCCTGCCAAAACCAATCGATCAGCTCGAGTGGTCACAATGTAAGCAGGACGGACCTCTTTGGCGAGATGTGGCGTCAAGGCATCAAAGCGGGCAATATTGCCTTCATTGAAAGCAAAGAGGAACTGCTTCAGCCAGACCATGTCTGGCGCATCAAGCGCAGATAAGATCTGGTGTGTCAGCTTTTTCTGCACATCAGCGACACTTCTGTTGGGCATGAGATGGGACCCACAAGCTCGCCGAAGTTGTAAATGCTGTCGCCGAGCAAGGCAGCGATAGCGAGATCGTGTGCCCGTTGCAACCGATCTGCCGCGTCGAGATCTGTCTCGACGGTGATGCAGGCCAGATAGAGCAGCGAATTCTTGTAGTAGCCCGCGTACTCTGCCTTTGCCTGTCCGCATGGCATGCATTAGCAGCTTCAGAGAGCAGCTGGTCGAGTGCGAGCGGACCTTGTGATAATCACCCGAGACGCGATAGAAGCTGGCATGTACGCCCGGGTTGACGCTGTTGAAGGTGTCCAGGATCTTCTCTGAGCTCGACATGGCTTCTTGTGTACCTTGCAGATCGCCGAGGATGAGCTTCATCTGAGCTGCCTCCATCGTCGCAAGCACGAATGCCTCTTGTGAGTCTGGCTTGTTCACGAGGCTGACGATGCCCGAGAGGAAGTCGAGGGCCTTTGCAGCATCTACCAGCAGAGAGAGAGCTCAGTCACTCCAGCAGAGCAGACCACATCGCTGCCCACCTTTGTACTGCTGAGCAATCCTGACGCAGATCTCGGCCAGCCTGAGCTGGTTGATGTGCTTCTGAAAATCCTTGATGAACGAGTTGTACAGGTCGATCTGGTACTCTGCAGAGTCTGCTCGGCCGATGAAGGCTTGTATGGCCTTTGTCAGCTGGAACCACAACCTGCAGATGGCCTTTCAGCCGAGTGCTCGTGTGCAGGAGCAGCTGGCGACCTACTTCTTGCTGTAAAGAAGGTGGAAGCGCTCATAGATCTGTGCAACCTCCGACGGCGAGGACGAGATGGTCGTGGCCAGATACTGAGCAGGATCGTTGTCAACTTCCATCTTGTATGGCTGCTAGCACTTTGCGCCAATGTCGCGATGATGCACTGACGCGACGATCACAAGGAATCCCTACAAGTCGTCACGGTCATTGCAATGTACAGCTAATGTGAGGGTATCAATAGATCGAGCACTTCAGTCATCCGCTGTGTGGAACATAGGTCAGTCATGCACTCTGACTGAACGCAAGAGTCACTGACTGCTTCGAGGTTGCTGACATTGGCGAGGAATTCGTCGTGGTCTCGCTTCGACTGCCCCGTCAGGACGACATCGGATGCAAGATCGACGCCGAACAGGTCATCGTAGCCTGGCTCGCGAGGGCGATGAGGTGCCGGTGGCAGTGCGTCGAGCTGAGAGAGCGCGACGACGTGCTGCATGTCGAGATCTGTCGTTCTGTAGATGATGCGTCCGCCTGTGCCGTTTGCAGGCATACGAGCTGATGCAGCTGCTGATGTAGCCAAGGTGGACATGCCAGTCGAAGGCGTGTAGGTATTGCTCGAGAGCCCATTGCCAAAGTCGTTGCTAGATCGGTTTGAGCGCAGGGACGCTACGGAAGATTGCTTGCCGTGCGATCGACCCATAGGCCCGCGTGGGGATGACATGGTAGTGCGACGCTGTGTGAGCATCTGCTCGACGGCGGGTGAGTTACGGCCGCCTGTCGGGCTTGCAGGCGATAAGGGACGCACGCTGTTGACAGAGCCCGATCGCTCCGCCAAATCTGAACGCCGCTTTTGCAATCGTAGAGCTGCTGCCATATTCTTCGTCAGCGGCGGCGTGCCGGTGTTTCTGACTTTTGACATCACTCGCTCGATACGCTGCTCGAGTGTCTCGTTCTGCGATGACGACGGCGAATGAAGCGCTTCTTCGAGCACATCGCCACCGCGCGAGGAGGGCGTTGTCACCCTTTCGTCCGTATGGGAATGCGCGGAACCACCAGCAGGGGCCGAAGACGAAAGCTGACTAGGTCGCGAATCAATCGAGACTGGCGTACTTCGTAGCTGAGCAACCGTAGCGTTGTCCTCTCGCTCGCTGTTGGCAGCGGGATTTGTGGCCGCGGCATCAGCAGAGGACGCGCCAGGATCAGACCGAGCGCTGAGGTAGTCATTGTCCGATACCTCGGAGCGTATGGGATCGTGCGTGCTATCAAGACCTGCCCTTGACCATTCTTTGTTGACGATCTCGCTAACGTCCATCTCTGATCCGTCTGCACCGATATAAGAGTATCGCACTTTGTCTCCAGAGATATCGCGCTGACTGCGAAGAGCACTGTTGTCCTTCAGGACTACGTCCACACCCTCGGCCGCGTTCTTGTGAGCTGCGATGACTCTGGACGCGCCGGCTGCTACCGCTCCTGCAGCCACTGCGCCTGCAGCTGCTTCGCCGAGATGCATGCTGGACGGTGGAGAGGGCAATCTGCCAGTGGGCGGCTCGCCAGCTTGCTCGCGTAGGTGGGGCGGGAGCTCGTCCGAAGGTGTGCCGTACTGCGAGATCTCAGAACGTCCACTCGCAAAACGCGCTGGCGGCGGTCTTACGCCCTGCAACGCGGCCTGTCGCTGCTGCCTGATGAGCTCAGTCTCGTCGACGGCGAGCGGTCGATTGCCAAACGTCTTTGTCAGCTGAGCGCGACGTAGTATGAAAGAAGGATCGCTCGATTGAATATCTTTGCTTGAAATTTGCGCCGATAGTGCATCAACGGAGCGCCGACGCATCTCTTTCGAGCTTCTGTCGGTCACTTTGAAAATTGGCAGCTCTTCGTAGGCATCCAGAACTTTGCTCGAAGGATTCAATCGTGATTCTGCGCGCGTGTAAGGTCAGATTCGCAAGCGGTCTGACAATGTCTGACATACCAGATTCGCCCGAACGGCTTGCAGCGAGGGTATATCTTACGCGAGGCGTACTCTTGCGCTTCGATATCTTGTCTTCGACCTCATCGCCACCATCTACTACGCCTTCTCGAATGCCGAAACGGTCTAGGGCAGTCTCGATGACTTCAAAAACGTTTGCGTTGCGAGGGAACAGTAAGATGCGCTCTCTCGGGGGTATAGGCAGACCGTCTTTGTCTGAGCTGCCAGCTTTGCTGACAACAGAATCAGTCTGAGGGTCAAACGCAAGACCGTCAGGGAGATCTTCGCTGGCAATAAGGATACGCAAAGCGAATCGTGCACCATCGGTCTCATGCGAAGGTCGCCGCGCGACAGCATCATCGATCATGAGACTGCCCTCTTTGGACCCAGAAGCGGAAAGCATCTTGCGATTGATGAAAAGCTTGACAGCCGAATCATCGCTAAAGTCGTTTCCCAACCGCGTTATAGCCGGGTGCATAGACAGATTGGAAGAGACCGATGAGATCGACCCAACTGATGAACGTTTAACCGATAGGATGTCTCGGCTGGTGCCTGCAGCGCCTGAGAGTGTCTCGATGATTTCGAGAGGTCGATCGCTATCTGCAACGTCCATCTCGTCGCCATCTGCCTCTTTAATTGTCAAGTAGTATTCAGAAAGGTACTCTGCTGGCAGGCGCAGTCGCTGTGCTGCTTGCTTGACAAGGTCTGAAGCAGTCGTAGATGTGTTGAGCAAAACAGTCTTAAATGTCGACTCGGCGATGATATTGTCACCCACAAAAACGCGCATAACATTGAGCATGGGCATGTCGACGCCATTGCTAGAGGCGCCGATCAAGCTACCTGGTCGCATCATCTTGGCTGATGATGGTTCTGGCGGGCTCAGTGTCTGCTGTTGTGTCTGCTTTACGAAGGTATTCTGAGTATCGCCCGGCTTGCGCTGCACGCCGTGTTGCGAGAGTACTTGCTGAGCTTCGAGGCGCTGCTGTCGCAGTGCTGCATCTGTGGAAAACATGTCGCCCGATGACTCGGTACTCGACGCGCTGGCGGCCATGTCGCTTCTGCTCCGTCGCTTTGGTTTGCTTTCGAGGTTCTTTGTAGGCGAGACTTTGACGGATTCTTCCGAGCCAGTGTCATCGCCCTTGCGATCTTTCTTGTCCTTCTTCTTGCCGCTGCTGAAGAGACCACCGAGGATACCCTTCTTCTTCTTATTAGCATCATCGAGGCCTTCGTCGCTCGCGCGCTTGCGGTCCTTATCCTTCCGAAGCTTGCGACCCTCCTTTGTGTCTCTGTATTCTTTGAGGCTAGCAGGCCGCTTCGAGCTGTCGTCGAGCAGACTGTTCTCGGGTGAGGAGCTTGCGAACGAACGGGTCGAGCTATCGGCAGTGTTGGACCGATCTGCCGTAAGCGAATTTTCAGGCGAGTAGCCACTGGAATCGCTATGCCTGAGCCGGGAAGACTCTCGCGAGCTTCCTCGCCCGCGTTCGGCAGGAGGCGAATTTGTGCGATTCTCGGCCGCATACGAGTTGCGGGCGATAGATGGCGTCAAGCTGACCTTGCGCGTTTCGTCTGCATCAAAGTCGGCATCGCCAAGCTGGCGGCGATTGCTTTCCGTTGAGGCAACTGCTCCTGCTGCCAGGCCGGCTGTCGCTGCCGCGGCAGCGCCTGCTAGGAGACCAGGCTGAGACACTGGCTTGGCAAGATCATGCAGTTGTTGCTCTTGCAGACGCTGGACTTGAGCTGTCCGGGGGTCTTCGCGCGAGTCTTCCTCGCTCGTCAGGGTATCATCACCATTCGCGTTTGCACTGTGCACGATGAGGGTCGAATCTGCAGATTGGCTTTGCTCGCGTGATTCATCCTCGCCCTCTGCATCCTCCTCGCCAGAATCCTCCTCCTCGCCTTCGTCCTCAAAATAGTCTTCTTCCTCGTCATCGCTGCCTTCGAGATAGCCCGAATGCTCGTGATAAGTCGGCGCGGTGAAGGCAACGCTGCGCGGTTCTGACGCTCCTTGGCCGGGTGAGGGCGTTCTTGCTGCCTTGCGACGCGACAAGGGTGAGATGATTCTCGTGCGTGCAGCTGCAGACCCAGGGCCAGTCTCGTGATCCTCCTGTCGAGCTGTTGAGATCTGATCATGCCACCAGCGCATCAGCTCGAGCATGCGCGACGCGTCCAGAGGCACTGACATCAACGTTGCGGTGTTTGTTCAGCCTTGCGAGCCGTTCAAAGGGCGTCTCGATGTTCTCTGCGGGTATATAGCCGACTGCCTGCGTCTTGAGCACTCTGACGAGCCACCAGTATGAATTGCTATCGTCGAGCAATGTGAGGTGGTCGCCCTTGACGACGCTTGCCTGGCCTTCTACAGTGGCCAGAAAGGTGTGGAGCGCATAGACGAGGTCAAAGTCGATGTTGTCATCGGGTATACTGGGCGAGGAGGAGAGCTCGTCCAGGAATTGTTCCTCGTCCTCCTCGTCAATGGGCGAGTTGTCCTCTTCCATGATGGACTGCGCCTCCTCTCTGTTCTGGTAGTACATCTCATCGTCCTGATCTCCCGCGCCCTGAGTATCTATTCCCAGGCCGTTGCGCGCAGATTGCTGAGGCTGTTGGCCTGTCGCGCGGTCAAGCGTACCGTTTTGGTGGACTGCGATCATCTCTTGATCCTTTCGTGAGCGCACAGAGCACTATGTCTGGAACTTTGCGCTCATTCAGTCGGCGCAGCAGCGTGCTTAAAGTGGTGAACACCCCTCCTGCAAGCTTGGCCTCGGGTCGTTGGACTTCCTCGTCGCGCGACGCCAACGTTACCAGCCAAAGACAACACGCGCCTTTGGGCTCTGAGCCGAAGGCCCGGACAGCTCACGTTCGATATGTACACCTGCATAGCCTCTCATGCACGGTACAACGCAGGCTCGGGCGATGGCGAGGGAGTAGGCAAGTAGGACACGCCGCTCCTGAATCTCACCTCCCTCGCTGTGCCTGCATACGCGTCTCGCGCACTCGTCGTCGTCGAACAGCCCGAACCTTTGGGCGTAGCACAGTGACGAGCGAGATCTGAATAGCTTGTAGACCGGCCAGATTGCAGAGCGCGTAGAGCAGCTTGGCGTGCCTGATCGGCTACTGCCATTCTCGACATCGCGTCCGTCATTTGCTCGTCCGAGGTCTCGTCTCTGGCTAGAGAACGCGCGCAGACAGCGGGTAGGGCAAACGAGGATCGTGCGATACGTGATAGACCGGCAGGCGAGTAGACGATATGATCCACAGAGCGAGCTTGGAGGGCTGAACCGGCAAATGTATCCGCGCCGAATGCTGGCGAACGTGGCGTTGTTGGCCAGCTAGGACCTATGTGCTCTCTCGCTTTGTCGCCTGGAGATGGGGCTCGATCATGTACGCTGCCGCAATCGGAAAATGCCGCTTTGTCTCTGTAGACAAAATGAGGCTGAAGCTGGTGCGTGCTCGCAGTCAGGATTGGCGCGTCGACTGCATTGTACACTTGAGCGATGCGATCGGCAGGCCAGCGAGCCCTAGTTGCTTGGACGTGGGTCGAGCGCGATGGATCGTGAGACCTAGCCGAAGGACCAACAGGCTCGTCGCGCGAAATTGGGCGAGCGGTCGTAGTGCCCGGGCCTAGCGAAGAGACCGCATGCAGATTGGGACAAGAGCTGGAAGCGCGCAAATGATCCGATGGGCATGGTACTGCGAGCTGACGGCTCGAGACGGAGACGGGCATCGCTTTGCTCGTTGCATCTGCTATTCGTCTGACTCGGTTTGCGCGCTGCCATTCGATGGCTGCTTTGAGGGACAATGACTGCTCTTCGGCTTCCTTCATCATACCCTTTGCCGTGATCTGTGCAAACGGAAACGAGTGGCAGGTCAGCAACAAGGCGGTGGGGGTGAGGGGACGCGTCGACGGCAGACAACAACACGGTTGCAATGCGGCACAGCGACTCGTTTTCGTCTTGTTGTCAATATTATTTGCGGTTTCTCTTGCGTCCGCTCCTGTTGTCAAGCGTTAGCGACTGGATCTGTTGAGGACTGCGAGGAGACGTGCGCTTTCAGATGGGCGCGCTCTTTGCTCATGAGGTCGAGGTCCATATTATCGGCGGGTTGGAATCCAGACGAAAAGGCTGGCGTCCCGGTTGCGATGACTTCGTGAGCAGCTGCTAGCCGTTGTGCTTCTAGCTTGTTCCACCACTCTGCCTGACCCGTTCTGTGCGTCAAGCTGCACTTGAGCCTCAGATTAGGCTCGATAGCAACTCCACGCACTCTGCCTTGCGCACAAGGTCGATCTGCTCATTGAGGGCACCCAAAGTAGCCTCAATCCGTGTTTGCCATTCTCGCAGGTTTTCGGAAAGTTCGACGACACCTTCGGGGTAGCGTACGTCGCGTCCGATGACCTCATCGACCAAAAAGCGCGAGCGAGCTTGATCCAGTCGGCCAGAGAGGACCTGAGCATAGATTGTCCTTATGATGAGATCTTCGACCTCGCTCGTGCTTGTGAGCTCGAGTGCTTTCATGAGACCACCTGCAGGCGGGCAAGGATGCTAAGCATGATGACGATCGTCCTGGAGCACGTCTGACTTGCTATAGGGTAGCACGCGATGATCGGACGCTGCAGAAAGCAGGGTGAGCTGCTTCAGCTTTATCTCTTGCGCAGGGTCGAGCTTGGGCAGATCCGGCGTCGTCGATACTGCGAGCGAGCTCACGTTCAATCTGGATCGATATGTACTCGGAGCAGACTGACCCGCTTGCCTGTAGTGCGAAAGAGTCCCATAGGCAAAGATCTCGAGCAGCTTGTGGTGCCCACTGTGTGTCTCGGAGTGGGCTAGCTCCCTGATTGATGGCATGTCGAGCAGTTCGCTGAAGAACCAGATCTCTGGGCTTGCAGTGACTTTGGCGGTAAGCTGAGCCAGGCCTGCTCCTCGTGCCGACTTGGCGAGCAACAAGTAGGGCTCCAAGACGGTGTGAGCGCTCGCGGCTGTACGTGAGACGTCGGTATTGCCTGCCGCATTGTTCGTCGTGCTCGCTCCACCCGTTGCCGCTCGACGGGCTGCTTCTGCTGCATCTGGCGCTCTGACGCTGCTGGGATCCGTTTGGAAGTCGGACAGTCTCGTTCGGGCTGCGAAGTCGTCATGAACTGCGGCCATGTTGCCGATGATGCTCTTGACAAGTCGTCGAGTCGCGACGGAGCAAAAGAGACGAGTCGACCATCAAAGTGTGACGCAATGAGTGAGCCAAGGCGGAAGAAGCAGAAGCGACAGAGTACGCAGAGCGATGTACACGCTTCTCCCTCAGCTTCAGCAGCTAGGGGGGCACTCGAAGGCTCCTCCAGCAGCGGCACAGTCACGACTTTGCATGTTCCCTCTGACGCATCAGAAAACTCGACGCTCGCCGTTCTCGGATCCTTCTCTGCGAGCAAACCTCCTAGGAAGCTCAAGTTTGACCATGTTGAGGAACAGAGAAGCTCCAAGAGTGCCGTCGTAGCGAGAGACGGAGGGATCGTCTGGGAGAGCAAAAACCACATGTCGCTCAATCGCAACAGACCGGGCTACGCTTGCAAGCGAGTCGAGCACAGCCTCCTGTACCATGTGTATGCTGACAGCGTCTGTATCTTGTCGCAGGTATCTGCTCGGCGTACGCAACAAACGCACCAATCTCGTCACGCTGTTCCCTACGCGACTGCATACCATCCATCAATCCATTCCGGCTCATTCGGCTGCTTTGCCAGATGAAGACGAGGCTCTGCCTGACCCGCTTGCACGAGACTATCGCGGAGAGCGTGCTAGTCTGGGCAACGCTTTCGGCACACGCAAAGCACAACGGGCCATTCTTGCAGCCGAACGCAACCGACTCGACATATCAGAGGAAACGCTGGCGACAAAGACGCAACCCTACCTCGCACCTGAGCTGCTCAGAGATGATGAGGATGAAGTTGCGCAAGAGGCCAAGGCCGCTCTTGTCAAGGCAGCCCAGGAAGACGCCGCCCTCATTCCACCTTTCGATCGTGAAGCGACGGAAGTAGACCAGATTTACCCCATGTCAACGCTCATGCCGGATGAAGAGTTCAAGGCGATAGACTACAGAGTGTTTGGCCAGGCTGAGAAGATCGAGGAACGTCTAGCACTCCTGCCAACGCTCAAATCCGAATTCGTCACCAGGCGGCTGCGTGCTGTCTTGCCAGAAGGTCGTCGCAACAAGCTCAGTAGTGCAGAGAAAAGGCGGATCCGTCAGGTCGTCTACTTGTCCTGCCTGCATGCTTTCCGTTCAGGCCAAAGTGTAGGCAAAGATGCAGTCGCCAACCGCTTAGGCTTGTTCGGCAATCCCATGCTCGTCGAGCGCTTCATCGAACGTTTCACAGAGAAAGGCAGATCAGGCGGGCAAGTCTTTCTTCATGCTCATTTGTATTCATCTGACTCCCGAGCAGTCCACAAATGACAAAGGCATCCCAAAAGAAGCTCAACAACTGGATCCTCGTCTGCTGCCTTGTCATCGATGACTTCGATCTCGACGTGCAGAGTATGGCCGACGATTTTGGCATCAGCGCAAAGAAGTTGGTGCGGGCAGCTTCTGAGCTAGACATATGCTCATAAATCGCTTTGTCCCAACAGGATGACACTCTCGCTCTCTGCTCTGGGCTGCAAGATCGTCAAGCCAAACGCTGCGGATATCGTCCGACTTAGAACTCGTGTCGGTACTCACGGACAGCCTTTCAACGAGTCGTCTCGTCGCGCGGTCCTCCTCGCACCCCTCACGTTCCCAGAGCTGCGGCGCGGTGGACCCATACAGCGCTAGACCTTAATGCATTTGCACTTAGGACAAATAGTCGTTGAGTGACTCGCCCAAATGAGCTTCGATCTGCGTGACGAGCTTGCGAGCTGCCTTATCGACGCCTTCTTCGGGCTCTTCGAGCGCTTCCAGCAGGAAGGGTATGGTCTCGCCTACATGAGGGAGCAGCGCTTCGCCCTGCTGTCGCCAAGTCGCCTCTAGAGCTTGCAATGCTGCAACGCGAACGAGCAGATCCTCCGAGCGAGTCTTGACCAGCATCGCCTTATTGTGAGCCGCAAAGGCTTGTTCGTAGTTCTCGAGGCGCATGCCGAGTTGCTTGATGCAAGCCAGCGCTGTATGAACTTGCTGCTTCGACAGACGAGAAGCAAGGTTGAGTTGGTCAACGATGGGCTCCGCAACCTTCCGGAGACGCGTATTTGACCAGAAGTCTGCGTCAAAGTCAGAGATATCTCGCAAATGAGTACGGGAACGCACCTGTCTGGTCATGCTGGAAAGCGCCCGTCAGAGTTTCCAGGACATTGGTCCACAGAGCCGGATGCGGCAGGTTCTTCTCGCTTGCCATGCCTTCCAGCAAACCGGTGGAATGATCAATCACAAACGCAAGCTGCGGCACAAAGATCGACTGTATGGACGATGGATCAGCACTTGGCTGCAGATATCTAACAATGACTCACCTTGAGATTCTTGACAAGCGCGCTCGTGATCTCGAAAAAGGTAGCGTTACGGTTAGTGTATGCCTTTCCAGGCTCGAGATCCACCGCAGCCCAGTCATAGAGGCGCATAAAGATGGGTCGGAACGTTGTCTCACTGAGTTTGAGCACCATCTGGACGAAGGCGCCAACTGCCGCATGTTGTTGCTCGACAAAGCTAGTCTTCTGCGACGTGACCTCAAAGACCTCAAGCATCCAGCGAAAGACAGTCTTGCCTAAATTCGCCAAATCTGCTGGCTTGATGATTCGCAAAACTCTGCGCAAAAGGCTGAGGACGACATCGAGCGTTTTGCTGGTTACATCCGACAGCGAGTGTCCAATTGAAAGGAGTGACGTGATCATCAAGCCTGCATCGAGATGCTTAGCCAGGCAGGCGGACAGTGCAGCCATGTTGTCCTCGGCTCCATCGTAGTCTGACGCATCAACAAAGATGATGGCGTTGACGAATTCCGGCAGCTGAGGCGCGACAAAGACAGGAAGAGCACGAATGATTGTCTCGAGCATGCTGACGGCGCCAGTCACGATGCGCATGTCCTGTTGCCGTCCGCAAAGCAATTCCAGACCAACCGCTACCGCGCGAGTCACGGCAGGGATCAAGCGAGTCGGCATGCGCTCAAAGCTTGACTTGAGCAATCGTAGATAGCTCAAGCAGATGGCAGAGTCTAGAGTCTTCTCAGGCAGCCGCTCGAGCATAGCGCTGGCGAGGTCTGACACGAGACCGTGATGAGTATCGCAATCGATCGTATCGACGACGACAGTAGCCGTTGAGAGCTCTGTTTTGCTCGGCTCTCCACTTGTAACAGCATTACACACGACGCGCAGCGCTTGTGCAGATGCAGCATCGAGCTGAACACGTCGAGCAGGCTTGACGGTTTGCAGCTTTTGCGCGACGACGGTGAGCGCTATGGCGATATCTGCCGAGCTCTTGGACTGCAATAAGTCGGTAGCAATCCCTGACAGAGCCTCGGGAGATAGATAGGCTGTGCTTCGGCGCAATGCTGATCCGTTGACATCTCGTGCAATGCCACGTTTGATCACACGCAGGCTCGAAATCTTGACGAGGGCCAGCGATACTGTTGTGAAGACGACATCAGACCGCTCTGAGCGTCCGGAGATGATCATCTTGCTAATAGCCACATCATCGAGCAGGCTGTTGAGGCAGATGAGTATGTTGTATAAGCTTGCCGCCTGCGCTCTGTCAACGTGTGACGGCTGCTCTTCCGAGCGAGCCTCCTCGATGGCTTGCGCAATCTCTTTCGCGCTCTCAGATAAGCGCTGAATCGTGGCAAGCGCCGGACTCAGCCCAAAGTATCTGACGAGGGTGAGAGGCAACTCGAGTTGCTCGTTGACGGTGACCATATCCGCCTTGACGAGCTTTGTGCCGAGACGGTCGATGAGGAGCAGACATGTTCTGGCCAAGAAAGTCTCCGGGCCGAGAGCTTCGACGAGATCCATGTAACACTTGTTGCGACGATGTCTGGGAATGTGAGCAGCAGCGTCAGTAAAGACGCTGAGCACGTCCGCTACGTCCGAATCCATCTGGTCTGTCTGTGCGAGCAGTGCAGGCGCCACGCTTTTGATCGTTCGCTCGACAATACGCACTGATGCGGCGTCGTCCCGGTTGAGCATGTTGGCGCCCATGAAGGTAAAGATGGGCACGATGCTGGCAGCGACCGTCTCGGGGACGAGTAGCGCCAGGCGCGAGACGACTGACAGAGCGCGACCTATAGCTTGCGGCGTCTCGAAAGCCCGAATGACGTCCAGGACAGCTTTGACTTGGGCAGATGCTGCTTCCGGCACCAGTATAGTAGTCTCTGAACGCGACAGCAGAGCATCCGCGACATTCAGTAGGGCTTGTGAGAGTCCGACCGGATCATAATCAGTGCTCGAAGCTTGCTGAAGGACCGTAGAGAGCGTTGTGAGAACACCCGAAAGAAGCCGGGAGGGCTCAGGCACTTTCGCTACGTCTAGAGCTTCCAATGCGGCCATGAGATCGTACTGCGAGAGCGATGCTTTGGCAGAGGCCACGCCCTTTGCGCGCTTAGCAGTACGTCCTTTAATCTGATGAGCGCCGTCATAAGCTGATAGGAGCTCGAGTAAAGTGTCTGTGTGCTGAACTTGCGTTCGCAATGAAGTCTGCGCCAAATCGACCAGCGCTGCCTCGACCAGCGAGCGCGCGCGAAGAGTGGCCTGCAGCAGCGTCAACCGATCTACCGTCTGTAGCTTATTAGCATACTGCGGAGCGACTGCCAAGACAGCTCCTTGAAGGGTTGAGTCGTACGGGCTGCCTGTAGCTCGTGACAATGCTTCGCGGATGAGCGGCAGCAAGTCCGGCGAACGGGCGATAGTCGTGGGGGAGCAAGATGAGACAATGGACACGAGGGAGTCGAGATAAGCGGCGAGCTCGGGAGCACCCGCATAGGCGCTCGCAGACTTGAGAAGCTTGACGTGGCTCTCTATCCTATGCTTGCCTTTGAGACCGCGCAGCATGGTGAGCAGACTAATGCGGGCAGATAGCAGCGGGATCGCGTTGATGTGCGAGTACAGAAATGGCAGAATCTGCTTTTTGACAAGCGAGCTCGTTGCTGCACTCGCCGCCAACTCCACATGAGAAGCTCCAAGCGCTGTTGCATCCGCAACAATCGCACCCGCCTGACCGATGATGGTGTCGATATACTTGCTCAGGCTGCTTTGATCTAGACGCAAAAGTGGACCTGCGAAAGCGCTGGCATGAATGATCATCTGGGCAAAGACCGATAGGCTCCTACCTGCAATGGATGTGCCATAAAAGACATCCGCTGCCAGCAGGTCCTGCGAAATTGCAGCTGACGCATGTATAGCTTGCACGAGTTGCACAGAAGCTTGTCGGAGCTGGGCATCGGCATCACAGCCCATCGACAGGCAAAGTGGTAGCAGCATTTGAAGGTCTTTTGTTACACCGGTCAGCCGTAGAGCTTCGATATAAGCCAGTGAATCTTGAACAGCTGCTAAGCGAGTCATCTTTGTGATGCTGACATCTGACCAGATTGCAGCGAAGAATGCTAGAGCATCCTCACGCAAGTGACTCAACAGGCTTGCGACCACTTCCTGACCATGTACGCGCGTACGCATATGCTGATAGAGCGAGCGGGCAAAAGAGGCGTATTGAGCAGCGTCTGAATCGATGTCGACTGCCAGCCAACACCATCTTGCCGATGATGGTGGAGTTAGATGTGCAGCAAATTGCTGCAGAGTAAGCATCTGCGCCGAAGCGACGAGATGCTTGTCTATCACGCCCGACCATATATTGCCAATTATCTGCTCTGCCGGCGCCGACGATTGTATCGTGGGATTGAGCAGGCGACCCGCATGGGAGAGCAGCGTCGGAAGACAAGCTGCCGACGCTGATTTGGAAGCCTTGGCCAGCGCCAGATTTGCCAGTACTCGTGCGCGATGCGAAGGCGATTGCAAAGCGACTACAGAGGCTTGCTGAACAAGCCTCGGTTGATGCAGCGCCTGTCCAATCGAAGCAGCGAGGACCTCGACGGAGTCAGAGGTCTTGATCTTTTTTGAGTTAACATGGGTAAGGCAAGTCTCCTTAAGGACGGCACTGTGCTTGCTTAGTAGCTGACAAACTGCCGTGACGCCAGCAGCGGAATCTTGCGAGGGGAGCAAGAGCGGCAAGACAAGTGTAGCAACTGCGAGTGAACGTTGCTCAGCTGACGAGTATCTCGTCGCAAGAGGACCGATAGCAAAGCGAGCCAGCGCCGCTGCGGCGTCCGCATTGACTGCAATATCGTCATTTGGAGTGAGCGCAGCAAGCAGATCGTCGAAGCTGAGCGCGGCGAGCAGAGGTTCTGCACGAGCGAGGAGAAGCTCGGTCACTTTGGGCTCTTGCTCTGCCAGACGGGCCATCAATGTTGTGCGCAGCTCATCGGTGGTTACCATATCAGGCTGCTCGAGGAGCTTGCCTAGGCTATCAAGTCGGTAGGCAGTATCGTGGCTATTGAGACCGACGAGAATTGCTTGACGCGGGTTGCTACTCATCGAGACGCTCTGTGCTTGTGCTAGCCTTGCCTGTGCGGAGAGAGACGGAGCAGCCGACAAGGCTGACTCGATGAGAAGAGGACTCGATTGAATGAATCTAGCCAGGAGTGCTGTCGCATTGTCGTTGTCAGATGAGCTCGCAAGCAAAGCTTGCAAAAGAGCGCTCTGCAGGCCTGCTGGAGCTTGTGGCTGAGCCATACTGGAGCAGATCGTTTCAGCACGCGCGTCTTCGGTAGACAGCACAAGCAGTCGAGGTAATATAGCCGCCATTAGGCTGCTGACATCGTGCTGCTGTGCAAGGTCATGCAGGACATCGCTCAGGCTCGGCATGCCCATGAGACCTTCTACGATCACCTCATCGAACGGGGGTGGATCCGCTTGGGCCGACAGGACAGAGACGAGCGAGACGATGATTGCTTCGTCATTCTCGCCCATTTGTGGGCGACTCGTCACGAGCAGGCGTGCAAAAGTGAGCAGGCCAGATGCTTGTAGCTGTACCTTCGCGAGCAATCGACTAGCAACGATCATGCCGGCTAGTTGGACATCCTGAGCATTCTGTGCAGCAATGGCAGCGGTCGCTTCTGGCCACAAGATGCTCATCTCGTTTTCCGTGATCTCGTCGCGCGAATCGATAAACCCGACGAGTGCCGACATCCAGAAAGTTACGAGTGCTCGATGAGCGCAACGCCGTTTTGTGTACTTTGTCAGGGCGCCCACAACCCATCGAAGGAAAAGCGCGTCTTTGCTCATGCTAGCCAGTAAAGTCGGTCGTGGAAGCGGCTGCTTGCTTGTGCGGACCGGGACGAGCTCGCTAAGCGTTCGTACTTGGTTGACATCGCATATTTGCAAGATCTGAGCAAACTGATTGGTCGTGTGGTACGGCAGAAAGGCCACCAGCAGATCCGACATATTGAGCTCATTGACTCTGCGTTGGGCCAATCGTTAGCGACTGTTGAACACGCCGAGATGTGCACGCACCGGAAGCGACGTATGAGCCATTCAATGAGATAGCCAGAGGGCTTGAGCATGAGCAAAGGGCTGATCACTCGCAAGACGGCCTGCAAAGTCTTGTCAAGCTGCTTGTTCTGATCGGCTGTCAGCAAGGCTCTGTCTGTCCGCTTTGCATTCTCGCCAAAGAGGGCTTCCTCGTATTCTTCGAGTCGACGTGCCAGCTTGAGCAAGGCAAGGAAGCCATTATGCCCCAGCTGATGGACTTCTTCCAGCGAAAGAGCAGCAGCATCTCTTGGCCGAAACAAGTAGGACGGCGTCGACTTGGCTTTTGTGGACAGCCGTGTGGCATCAAGCGACCTTGCTTGGAGCGCTTGGAGCTGGCCCGCTAGCTGTGAGGCCATGACGACGTCGGCAAAAGTTTTTGCTTGTGCCTGTCTTGGACCTGCCAGCGCGAAGTCGCGAGCCGGCCAGAGAACCGTAGGCTTGTACGCAAGACAGGCAGCACTCACTCCGCACCCATGCGCCACGGCCAAGCTCGATGCCACGCTCGCTCGCTCTGGCAAGATTGACGGCCGATCAGCCTCGTTCGGCGCTCTAGCGAAAATAGTGAGCGTTTGACATGTGGCCACTTCATTGTAGGGCAAGCTCACGCTCGCAAGCCTCGCAGTCATTTGTCACTCTGGACGAGCTCTGTGCTGGTTGAGTCAGACGAGCTCGACATGTCACAGCCAGCCAGTCCGCTGGGAATTGCGATGCCGTTCGCTGGTAGGCGATCGAGCATAGGCGGAAACGAGCCAGCGTACTATTTCAGCAATGCTGGCGAACATCGGCGCACTGGCTCTTATGGCACGAACAACCCTTACTCTGGCTCTCCACGAGCAGTCACACCCTCTAGCATGAGAGGTCTGCACTCCAAGAACGGATCTCAGCAGTCTTTGCATAGAGTCGGCAGTCTCTCTGAAGCCGGGAGCGGTCCACCGAGCCCAGGCTCGTTTCGAAGAAAGCCTGCGCCGGCCATCGATCCTGAGCTCGAGGCCGCACTCCTGGCAGCAGGCGGAACGCCCATCACCAATCCACACGAGAGTTTTGCCAGCTCCGACAGCTACGCTTTGCCGTCTGCAATCGGCTCATCAGCCGGTCGCTATACGCCCGGATCAGATCATATGGCTTCGCCCGTCTCGCCCGGTGCGAGATTCGGACATAGTCCAGGCGCGGTTTGGGGACTCGTGCCTGGAGAAAACGGCGTGAATGTCATCATGCCCGATGCGCCCGTCGACCTGCTCTCACATTCACCGCGTCATTCTCCTGTGCTACAAGGGCCGAGGAGGACATCCAGTCGATCAGGCCTGCGCAATGATGGCACCGACAACGCGCCTCCCTCTCCTTCGAGCCGGTACGCCGGCGCGCGCACCTCAACCTCGGTAGATCGACTCAGCAAGGGCTACTTTCCCTCGCCGCCCCTGTCGAGCACGAAAAAGTTCTTTGTGCCCACGCAGACGGAACCTCAGCAGCAGTACAACTCGATGGCCACTTCGCCTTTGGCGACAAGTCCCGGCGTCTTCCCCGCGGGCAGGATGTCGCCAAAGTTGGCAGCTTCAAGCGTGCCAATCATCGATAGACCGCCCGATAGATCTGCCAGTCCGTCATCGTCGATCAGTAGTAGACGCAGCGGATCGTTGCACTCGAGCTCTCAACAGGACTTGCTGAAGAACAAGCTGCCTTCGCCTATCATTGGCGCGCGCACCTCTTCCTTCGATACAAAACAACGCAAGCAAGCGTACCTGAGCCCCCATCGAACGAGCTCAATCTCTTCACTCAATTCGTCAGTTGTCAGTCGGTCACCTCAGTACTCACCCACAATGTCCAACAAAACATACGATCTTGGCCGAAAGCAGCCGCCTGCGATGGATCCCAATTCGGACGAACCTTTGCCCCCTTCTGCCTTTGCACTAGCTCATCCGCACCTGGTCGGCCAACACGGATCTTCAAGAGCATCGACAGCTAGCTTGGTCAGCGACAATTCCGATGTATGGGAAGAGGCCCCAGAATTTGGGAGCGAACTCGGTAGCCCGAGGCGCACGAGCTTGATCAGTATGGACAGCAACCCTGCGAACAGCGCTGCTGGCCAGACACTCGTCTTTCCGACTGCTCAACAAAGCGCAACATTAGACGAGTATAACGAGAAGACTCCCATGATGGCCTCTCAGTCGATGCAGACTCAGCAAAGCGAAGCGATGACATTGCTTGCTTCGGCTATGGGTAAGCAATTTCTCACCTTTTGATCCTCGTCACTGACGCCTCGGGCTGTAGGTTCGACAGCCAGCGCTTCGACAATGCCTGTCGCGCATACACAGCTTTGGAGGGACGTGCCTGAGCCTGCCCTCATTTCAGAAGAAGCCGATCCGAGACCGAGTCAGTCATCAGAGGCTACAGCCGTACCTCGTGAAGCTGCGACTGTTCCGACGGGTACGAGTGAAGCAGGCCAGGTCCTTCTCCCGCCTGGAGATGTCGACAGCACAGTCTACCGCGCCGGTAGCACTCCTCCACCGCAGCGGCTGCCTCTCGATGCACCGGACAGCGCAGTCGCCATGGGAGAGGACGACGTCAAGAAGAAGACACGCGCGTTCAGTCCTCTGCGTGCTTCTGTCGGTCGTCATTCGCTCGAGGCAGAAGAGACGGAAGCATCAGACATTGTTGCTCCTCTACCTAGACGTCGAGACGCCGCGCAGGCGCGCACATTGGTCGATCCTTCCGGCGAGCTCGATGATTCGACTTATGCCGGTCGTATCTTCGCCGGTCCTCCACGCACCAGATCGACCTCGCCTGCTGCCTCACCCGCTCTCTCGCGCTCGGGCTCGGCTGAGCCTGAGGAATCTCGCAATTGGCGCCAAGAGATCCTACAGCAGGCTGTCGGCGCATCGTTCGCAATACAGACCGACGATCTTGCCATGCGCAGTCGATCACGTTCTGCAAGTAGGCGCTCGCCCAAGGTCGTCAGCTTCGTCGAGCCTCACGACGTAGAGACATCTGTCACATCACTCAAAGGGCTACGTATTGTCTCACGATCCGAGCCGCCTTGGGATCCTTCGGAGCCCACTGGACCCGTTACCGCTGGCTCGCTACCTGGATCATCGCAGAATTCGCCCAACCGCTCTGGAATCAGGCGGATGTTTAGTCAAGATAGTCAGACGAGCAAACCGGCCAAGACGCTCGATTTCGACAGCCTCGGCAGAAGGGATGAGACGATTCGCAAGACGCTCACCTCGCCTTTGCTCAGCGAGAACGCCGACGAGTTGACGTCCCCAGAGGGCGACGAGTCGCGAGAAGACGTCGAAGTATTGCGCAATGGTAACGTCGCGCCCAGACCAGACTTCAGTACGAGCGATCCTACACGAGAAGGCAGAAACATGAATGCATCCCGGATGGCTCTGGCCAATTCCACATCTTCCCGCCCCGACTTTGACGACCTTGCGCCTGCCGTACGCGACAGCGAGGCCAACGGGGTGCGCTCGAGTCGATCTTCACTGCTCGGCATGAAGATTGGCTCTAGCTTTTCCGCTGCTCATAGGCGTACGATGTCGCAAGAGTCGCAAAGCTCGTCGATACTGCAAAATCTGGCGCCTGCTTCGTCATCATCTATCAAGACGAAAGCTCGCAGTAAACTCACGAATCCCTTTGCGTCGTCAAAGAGCTACGTCAATCCGGCGGTGACACCTAGTACTGTGCCTTATGTACCCTTTGCGCCCGAGGCTGGCGTTCGGCCCAGCGCGGCGCAAGAGTATGCGGCCCAAGCAAAAGCAGCCATGGCAGAGCCAAAGACTGCAACGTCGACCAGTCGACGCATGTCTTCATCATCTTCACAGCAGCAAGCTATCGCGCCCCCCGTCACTACCAAAAGGAGTGACGGCGTGGCCAAGCTGGCTGATCTATTCGCACAACATCAGGAAGCGGAGAAAGCACGGATCAAGTCTATCGCTGCACGGGAAACTGGTGGTATCAGTCAACAGTAGTCCTTTCATCGTCGTTGTATGACTAAAGAAGAAGATGCACTTTTGTCTCACACTTACGCGCTTTCTGGCCTTTGCTTGCACTGACTCCTTGACCGAGACAGCGGCCGACTCACTCGTGCGATCAGTCTGACAGCATCGGCGAGACTCTGCAGGATTCGTCAGCTTCCGCCAGACCCGTCTGAGCCGCCCGCTGAGCCGCATCGACGCCGAGTCACGATTAGAGCGTGAACACCGACGACAGGGCGTCGCACAGGCAGGCGCACAAGTCGCTACCTGACAGCTGCGCTTGTGACTGTGGCTACTCCTATAGTCCAGCTGAGGGCAGAAGCGGGACATTGGAGCATCGCTACCTCAGGCCAAGCCAGTCTGACATTCTGGGCGGGTCGGTTCTGAGTCGAAGACTACTTCGTGCGAGAGAGGTGCAGTCAGCTAGGAGTGTCTCGACAGCACACAATGTCAGTTCAGCCAGCTATTGACAGTCCGGTGAGGTCTCAGAACGGTACAATGCTGGGCAAGGTCGACTCATCTGGCAGTATATCACCTCAGACACTTCGCACGGCTGCATTCACGAGCACCGTTGAACATGTACGGACGAGCGATGGGCCAGCGGTGTCCATCAAGACTGAGATGATCGAGAGCTACTCTGTCGAAGAATCTGGCAGCCCTGAAGTGCAGAGGAACTCACCTGCTGAGGAAGAGAGCAAGAAAGACCCCAAGATTGAAGGCAGAGTATTGCGTGCAAGGAACGGTTCGGGTCATACTCGCAAGCCATCACTTCACATGAAACTAGAGCCCCGTCGGAGCAACAGCATCAAAACTGAGCAGGACGATATAGACGATTTATCGCCCTCCAGCTTGCCGCGCACGCCAATCGCGAGCGGGAGCGCTCTGCTCGATGATGACGCGGATGACTCGCCAGATGATTCCGTAGGCCTCTCTCGCAGGTCGCGCAAGGGCAAAATGCCTTCGGTCACCATCGAACGGCAGATCGTCTGGGACTTTCCTCTCGCAGAGGCAGAGGTACAGTCCAAAACTACCAATCTCCGGAACGACCTGAGACTCTGCGCAGGCGCTCGAGACCTTCGAGATCCTAGATGACTGTAAGTATGCGTCAAAGGCTCATGGGGCCAGCGGGTCAAACGAAGAAGAACAATCCTGCGAATGCGACTATGAGCATGGTACGCTGCTTGCGAACCAGATGTCGTGCAAGCTAACATTTTGCTCAGGTCTTGATGCGCCTAGCTCAGCATGCGGGACAAATTGCATCAACCGTCTCACTCAGGTCGAATGCGTTCCCGGATCCTGTCGATGCGGCAAATATTGCACCAATCGACGTTTCCAGCGGAAGCAGTACGCCAACATTCAGATCGTCGACACTGGCATGAAAGGCTTTGGCGTTCGCGCTGCAGAAGACATGCTCAAGTACGTCCACGCTGTCTCAGTCAGAGCCTCTGACTGACCGGAATGAGCTAGAGATGCGTTCGTATACGAATACATAGGCGAAGTCGTCGGAGCAGGACAATTACAGAAACGCATGAAAGACTACTACGAAGAAGGCATCGAGCATTTCTATTTCATGGCTTTGCAGCGAGAAGAGGTTAGCTCGCCGCTACGACTTCTCGAGTAAGCTGATCAGATCACAGTTCATCGATGCGACGAAAAAAGGCAACAAGGGTCGGTTTCTGAATCACTCTTGTTCGCCCAATTGCTATGTCTCGAAATGGGTCGTCGGCGAGAAGATGCGCATGGGCATCTTCACCAAGCGCAAGATCCAAGCAGGCGAGGAGCTGACTTTCAACTACAACGTCGATCGCTATGGGTAAGATTGACTCTTTAGCACTCGAGAGGCGCTTACGTTTCGCATCTGACAGGCATGAGGCCCAGCCCTGTTATTGTGGCGAGGCCAATTGCGTCGGCTTCATCGGAGGCAAAACACAGACAGATCTGGCCGGCATGGACCAACTTTACCTCGATGGTCAGCGTGCTCTTCTTCGCCGCATTGTCTCCCGCTGACTGGTATGCAGCTCTGGGTATCTCTGATGAAGTCGAGCATCTTGGCCTGAAGGGTTCCAAGAAGAAACGAGGCAGCAAGCTAGACGAGGACTACAAGGCGAGTCGTGCAAGTGCGCTATGTAATCGCGCTGACTCGCAGGGTCTTGCTCACAGCCCATCATTCTACCGATCCATGAGGACGAAGTGGCGAGAGTGGCTACTGCGGTCAGGCAAGCTTCGACGAATAAGAACATACTGAGCAAGATCATCAATCGCATCAAGATCACGCAAGACCAACACATACAGCGTCAAATCATGCGACTGCACGGCTTCAGTCTCATGAATGGCGTACTGAACGAGTATCACGACGATCCGAATCTCGTCAAAGAGGTTCTCGAGATTCTGACGAGATGGCCACTGCTCAAGCGCAATAAAGTCGATTCGACTAAGATTGATCAGACCGTGCAGCGCTTTGTCCATTCGGAAGATGAGACTGTGAAGATCCTGTCGACCGAGGTATGCCTCTTCATTCGAGATGCTGAGCGTATTTTGACCCCCGTCGTGTAGTTGCTGTCATCATGGGAGGAGCTCGAGGTGGCCTACCGGATACCCAAAGGCTTAGCAGAGTCCGCGGATGCTCTCATGCGTACGAGTGCCGGCGACACCGAAGTCGACCGCAAGCGAAAGAGCATCGAGCTGGACAAGATCTTTGCACAAGCTAAACGACAGAAAGTTCTGGCAGACACTGGCGGTGTGCCGGAAAGCTGGAATATGAAGATCAGAGAGCGGACACCCGAAGCAGATCGACGTCCCGTTGAGCGAGCAACGCCGTTGCGGAAAGGCTGGGAGTTCACAGTGATCGATCGAGGCGATGACAGACCGGAAAAGCGGTACTTTTACGTCAACGATCCCACGCAGAAGGAATTCTCGCAGATTCCGGCGGACGCAGCCGAATACGAGGAACATATCGAAGTCAGGTTGCGGCGAGAGCGGGTAGAGGAGCAACGGAAGCGTGAGGCTGAAGAAGCCGAAAGGCGCAATATCAGTAACATCATCTCTGCAGCGCGGACGGCTAAGCAAGCAGACGATCAGACTGCTGCTGAGATTGCTGCTGCCACATCGGCAGCTGAAGCCGCTGCAAAGCTCAAAGCAAAGCCTATCAAGATCGTCGACAAGGACACTCGTGTTCGCAAACTGCTCGGCAATTACGTCGTCGAGCTATTCAACAAGTATCGAAAGAACAAGACGCTCAAGCTGAACGATGCAGAGTTCAAAAAATATGCCAAGCACATTACCGACGCCGTCTTTGCCAAAGAGAAACGAAGCGATAAGTATGCCACGACAGAGTATACGAAACTACCACCTCACAAGGAGAAGAAAGTCAAGGAATACGTACAGTCGTGGATCAAACGAAGACACGAAGAGCAGAAAGCGCAGAAGCATCGTGCAACGGCCGCTTCCGTCTCATCCGCTTCTTCCGCCTCACAGCACGGCGGCGCTACGCTCGATGAAGCTGCCGATGCGGTGCCGGTCATCAACGATGCCGAATGCGACGGCGAACCTGTCGCCGGCTCACCTGACTCTGATCTCGACGGAGCTCAATCAACGTTACTAGGAGGGGACGTCTCGCAGCCTGCACACGCCGACGTTGACGGGGACGACCTTGATGGCTCGCCCGTTGGATCCGGCTTAGATCAGAGTCTAGCTGCCTAAAGCGCTCACTGTAGATGAAACTGCATCCCTTCATGAATCGCTCGTTACAATCTCTGAGAAAGCTCTACTAAGCGCGCGTGACAGTGGCCATGATCAAGCCAGAGGGTGATTCGACGGGCTGGAAGACCTCTGCCTCTGCTGGCTTGAGATTAGGCAGACCCATGAAGTCAAGATTGACGGCATGGTAGTGCTTGTTGGGCAGCTTGTAGGAGACGTCATAGACTTCCTTGTTGTCACTGATGATCTTCTTGCACATGTTGTAACTGGTCAAGTGTCAGCCGTGTCCTACTCTACTTGTGCAGGGCCCTCACAGCGTAGCCTGAACACTTGCACTCTGATCTGTGGCAAAGGTGTCCAATGTCGTGTTGCGCACGGAAGTGGCGATGGCGGCAAAGTCTATGCCAAGCTTGTCTAGGCGGGTCAGCGTCAGGGGCTGCGGCGGGAGCGTGATGGTGTACGAGCAATCTACAGAGGTCGACAAGATCCTGTCGCTCACATCTGCGAGATCGTTAGTGCCAATGACTGCTGAACAGAATAGTGAGGCACCTGGCAGTGTACGATATTCGTCTGTATAGAAGTTTTCGAATGCAGAGCCACTGCTCTTGAGAACGAGCATATCTGTGATGCCCGACTTGACAGTGGCAGAGATAGCGTCGGTGCCCTTTGTCGCGTCTACGATGACGCCAATGAGACGCTTGTCATCTCCGTCGCGGACGAAGGAGTGAGGATGAGCTTTGCCGGTCTCGGTGACGTTGATGCGAGTCCATTTGTGCTGGATGATGTCGATGTGGGCTTTGTGAATGTGAGCGTACTTTGTCACAAAGTGGATGCCGAGCTCGAGAGCGAACAGCTCAGGCGACAGGACGTGTGCTGACTTCTTGGCAAACACTGCAGGTCGATTGAGCTTGCTCCTGCTCTCTGACAGACTTGTGCTCACCATTGACGGTGTTCTTGCAGCTGTCTGTGGCTATCACAACAGTGTTGTCTGCCTGGGTATAGCTCACGTCGATATCCCTGTATGCGGCACAATCAGTCAGTGTGACTTTCATGCGCAGATGAGGGCCTTGTCGACTCACCCCTCGAGCGTAGCGCAGACTGTGTATTCGACCACATCGTGGTGCGTCGGACCCCTGACGATGCGGAAGACCCGAACTTTGTCCTTACCATATCTCGCGTACGTCAGTTTGACCTCTGCCATCTTGACAACAGCGAACAGTCGAATTTGAGCAAGGTCTGATAGTCGAGATAGTCGATGGGTGGGCATGCTCCTTATCGACGCCACCCTCGGGCAGATGCCCCGGGCACGCGGCATCGTCTCCAGGTGGCGTTCAGCAGTCGTCGACCTGGACGGGCCACGTCACATCAGTACATGACTCAAAAGAAACCATCGCTCGTACTCTGACCTGGCCCGCGCATCTGCGTAGTTCATGCGCTCTGCTCGAATGGTCGACAAGATCTCGATCCAGTTCTTGGGCACAAGCGCCGGCAAGGTATGACAGCCGATCGGTCAGGCGCACACACTCTCAGTGAGCAGACAGGTAGCCCTGCAAGACTCGCAATGTCTCGTCCCTCGCGCTTCGACTGGATGGAGATACGATCATCTTCGACTGCGGCGAGGCGACACAGCATCAGCTCATGAAGACGACGATCAAGCCATCGAGCATCTCTAAAATATTCCTTACCCATACGCACGGTGATCATGTCTTTGGTCTTGTGCCGCTCTTGACCTCCTTTGGCCACTCTGGTCACATCGTACCTGGAGAGCCGCCGGCCTATATTGATGTGTACGGTCCGAAGGGCATCAGAGAACTCATCCGCACAACGCTGAGGATATCTTACTCAACATTGGCAAAGCGATACCGCGTGCACGAGCTACTCTTTGCGGAAGAGCAGCCATACACAAACTCTGATATGCACTCCTCAGAAGATGAGGGTACTGATGTGCATCGCGCGCCCGATGGGACTTGGCCAGTCTGTCATACCGACGACTTTGTGGTCAAGGCTGCTCCAATAGCGCACACGGTGCCTTGCGTAGGGTACGCAATACAAGAGCGAGCACGACGGGGCAAGTTCGACATGGCTCAGATAGGTCCTAGACTGGGCGCAAATGCAAAAGCGCTCAAAGCACGCGGGATGAGCAATCCACATACCCTACTAGGCGTGATACAGCGAACGGGCGAGCCTATTACGCTCCCAGATGGTACTCGGCTGGATCCTCCATCCGATCTGCCTGGTCGCAAGATCGTCATCTTGGGCGACACATATGAGCCTTCCGAAGAAATGGCTCAACTTGCGCTTGATGCCGATCTGTTGGTGCACGAGGCGACCAACGCTTGGCTTCCGCAGCACGGGGCAAAGCCAGAGGATACCATGGAAAGTGTCCGACAGCAGGCTCGCGATCGGGGACATTCTACAGCCGAGGTGAGTTGCCCTGCTATCTGCGATCGTTAGCACACATTGATATGGCCACAGATCGCTGGCGCCTGGGCGCACAAAGTCAGAGCGCGCGAACTCGCGCTCAATCACATCTCGTCACGCTACAAAGGCCCCGTCGACGGAGAGACAGCGGAGCCGGAGACTCTGCAGATCATGGATGCTATCAGCAGGCTAGCATCAGATGCTTGGCGAAGCGGCAAGCAAGCCATCGTTGCGAGCGACATGCTGACAATCGACGTCCCGTTACCACCGCAACCTCAGGCCGGAGCCCCGGCTTATTGATTTTAGACTGCAAACGCCTTTCTTGTGTGATGCGTGCACAATCAGCGCAGTAATGTACAACAATTTTACTGAAGCGTACTGAAAGTACGGAATGCGAAGTTCTGTTTGCGATGCGTATGCGCGTGCGCTGCGAGAAGCAGATTACACTTGTGCTGCGAAGTTACACTTGTTGATTCAGACCTTGTGCTGCTTTCCAGCTCACACAAGGCTAATAAATGTCAGTAACGAAAGCCAGATTGACTTCCGTGTACCGACGGGTATCCTGGCGGGTACTGAGGAGACGGCTGTTGGAAGTGGCTGCCGTAAGCAGCCGGCAGTTCGCCTGAATGGTTTGCTGAAGATGAAGGCATGGGATAGGCTCTTGAATGAGCCCAGGCATTATCGGCACCTGCTTGGTGCGGATTCTGCTCGGGACGATCTCTGGTGATCATCCTCGGCATCTGGTAGTGCTGTCCGTATGGACCCGGGGAAGGGCGGCCCAAGAATGGCGCCGACAGTAGTGAGGATTGCGGAAGGGAGACCTCGTACTCTGCTGATTGTCCTGTAATGTCTGGACAGGGTGGTGCTGTTTGTTGTGGCGTCAAGATCGGCTGGATATGCGGCTGCTGTAGCTGCTGTGTCGCACGGTGCCAGTCCGATTGGTCGTACATGGAATAATCTGACGAAGGATACGCCGATGTTCGTATGTCACTGATGAATGGTGCATTTGCAGGTGGCAATGATGGGTTGTGCATATGCAGAGTGCTAGTCTGGAGCTCTGGCCGACCGCGAAACTGCGGCACAGGCGTCGGATGCATTGCTGGCATGGCTTCAGAAAGCTCGCTTTGTGGGGCCGCGGAGTACGAGTAAGTGCGGTATTGCATAGCGTGAGGCGGTGGCGGCGCGCTGAGTGTACCTGGTATAGGCTCAACATCCGATATACCTTGCCGATGCTGAGTAGTCGGCGGCACAGATTTCGTTGCTGCTGATTTCCGGACGGCCCCGTATGGCTCACTTGGCGAGATCTTGCGCTTAGCGTTGCTACTCTTACGTCTGACATATCTGCTGGAGAGCCTCAGAGCATGCTACGTCCTGTCGGCCGAACCTACTGATACGTTGGATTGTCTTCCTTGAATCGCTCTTTATTCTGCTTGGCTGCAACCGTGTATACCTCGCGCTCGTGCTGTCAAGTCCTTTCAGCACGAAAGCCATTGCATGTCTGTGGAACGGACTTCGCTCAAGCTGCGCCATCGTTGACTGAGATGCTTGCTAAGCTCGGCAGTCTTCACGCCAGGATACTCGCGGTTGAGCTTGGGGCGCTCATAGCGCGAGAAGAGCAAGAATGAATTCAATGGTCGTGGTGGCAGACCGTCTTGTTTATCTTTCTGCTCTGTCAAGCCTATGATTGCATCCCAGATGGGCCTTTGGCTGGGGTGAAGTAGGTCCGCGGGAAAGGAAGCCTCTTGAGCACGCTGCTTACTCGATGCTGTCGAGGCTTCCGAACGCGAACCGTCAAGCGAGGGTGTTGTGAGGCCAGTGGATCTATGTGTCATGGTCGTGTCGGTTGGAGACAGAGAAATCGAATTCCGGCCTTCAAGCATAGTTGCCGCAGAGGCTGATGACACTTCGACACCGGCCTGATCCGACAAAGCTCCGCTGACAAAGGGAAGCACAAGGCGCTCCTCATCGCTGGCAAGTTGAGCTGCTCTGGCGTTCGCCAGCGCCTGATGAGCTCGTTGCCATCTGATGTCCTCAAAGCCAGCGACGGAGGCGGACATGCCCGGCACGGCAGCCTGATGATCTGGGGCCGCGCAGCATCAGTAAGGTGTCTCGATCGACGCTCACACCGGACGAACGACTGACTCTGTCGTCCTGAGGTCCCAGCGAGCTGGCACTCTCACTGGAGCTCCCACAAAACGGCCTTCAATGGGATGATGATAGAGTGAGCAAAGACTTCTTCGATGTTGGCGCGTTTGAGCATGACGCCTCCCGACCCAGGACGTTGACAGGTCGATCGGTGTCGTTTGAAGCGCGCCGGCTGAGAATTATTCAATAGGGACCTGTCTTGCTCCGCATTGATGAAATTAGGGTACGCCTCTCGCGATTGAAGCCTTCCTCCTGACTTTGCTTATCGCCGTCCGCACAGACAGGCAGCGCACAAATGCCATCTGTCACGGGATTTGCCTGACGATCATTCGGCTTGTCCCTGACTTCAATTGGATCTGGTAGGCTCGAACACGCGAGAGTCTCGAATTGAGCTACAATGATTCATCGGCACCACTTGCCTTGAGCTACCGTTGGCTGCCTCTGGCGAGGTGAAGCTAGCCCGCATTGCTGCCTGACGATGTCTTGCTCGCGTGCCGCGCAGCCCTTAGTGCCATGTCTTGTCAAAACTCATTTACCGCCCTGGAAAGCCGTGCTGGCTCAATTGAAAGCAGTGGTATTTGCGACTACCACCAGGGCAAGAATGCGCATTCTCGAAACCCAATTCCCTACTCTCTTCGATGTCCGAGGCCGGGCGAGCGTGGAAGAAGAGGCGTTTCATTCATTTCTGACGATTCAGTTGGGCTGTCGGGCGAGATCGCCAAGGCTCTCGTTCGGGGACGTGATCAACAAGCCGCACACGATCACATGCACACTACTGTGAAGGTGCCCCACAGTGCTGTTTGAGAACGACGAGGCGTGCTCGACGGATTGAGCATGGTGTTGAGCGTTTGCATCTGAGATCCCGGCCGGCACCGTTGGCTCCACCCCGCATGGTCTGAACGAGTCACATGGCTAATGCTACGAGCCGCGTTATGCTTGCCGGAAATCGCCAGCGAAGTATGCCAGCCGTGAGACCTTTTGCATCATTCGGAGAGGACCTATCATGACGGAGGACGACCACTTTCTGGACGAAACGTCGAACAACGTACATGGGCAAGGCGCGGCCAATGCCTCGGGCATCATAGTGGGCATGACGCAGCACCGGCTGGCACACGATTATGAAGGCAGCCCGATCGACTTGTACTGCACCCATGCGCGATGATGGAATGCGCGCCGACGTGAGTGTGCATCGCACGGGAGATGGCCGCCCCATGATATGCAACAAAACATGCGACAAAAGCCTGAAGATGGCGGCTTGCAGTCACAGATTGCTCGGTTTTGCAGAGGCTTGACCACGGCGCGCTTCCTGTCGCTGATGTGAGCGTCTCTTTGCCCCTCATCACTGTGCTTGCCCCTCATCACTGTGCTCGCAAGCTTATTGGCCAAATGAATGCATTGCCGTAGCCTTGCACGTCTGATAGTAGTACAGCGACCTGCTTGACGACTCTGCGCTGGGGATTTGCGTTGATGCGTAGGCGACGCAGTCCGAGCCTTGGGTCAAAGGGTGCGCTGTAGGAGACTGCCGGCTCCTGCGAGGCTTGGGCGCAGATCAGGATGCAGCTCAGCAGCACAAGCTCCGGCGCGTTTTGCAAATTTGCCGCGGCAACAACGCTCCAGATTGTACGCTTCTGTCTGCTGTGAATGGAATCAGCCAAAGCGCTCAGCCAGTGAATGCTCTCGTCCAGAACGCCCATTGGTGCTAGACGTCGCTCTGCTGCTGTCCTCAACGCCTGGCTGAGCTCGACCGTCTCGTCGCTCGACTCTGCAGCAGACGCCTACCAACCTGTGAGACCTCGCAGCATGTCAACCTTGTCCGAGCGAGCCCGTTCTCGCGGTCGCAGCGCTCATTGAGACATACTCAGCGCAATTCTCCTCTCGTCTCAAGAGTCGCATGATCGCGGTGCCTAGGTTGCCACTTAAGGGGCAGCAGTCTCACGGCCCTTCATATAAGAGCTCGCGTGCAAGCGAGTCGGACGACGCTGAAACCCATCCTGTGCTGGGTCGCTGCGGCATCAGATTGAGCTCAGTCACTCAAGACAGGTTTCGCCTCACTCAATCGTCTCATGGTCGCAGCAGCACTCATCGCAATCGCGTTCGCAATGGTAACAATGCTCTATCCGGGAACGTGGTCATGACAGCGACTGTGAATATCCATGTTGACACTAGTATCTACTCACGGCGCAGAGAATGGCTGCCTAAACCGCTTCCGCGCGCATGGAGGTCTTAAGTATCGTAAAGGTATCAACAGGACCTCAATCGTTTTGATCTGTTGTCGTGCCATCACGAGCCTGTTTCATGACTCTCAGGAGCGTTCGCTGAGCGTTGACGAGCTTCTCTGGAATGTCTTTTACATGCATTCATGTGATGAGATAGGCATCGTATATCACCATATCCTGGCCTGAAGGCGAGATAGTACGACCGGCACTAGCAATCAAGATGGCACTGTTGAGCCAAGCGTGCTTGCACTGTCGGTCTGTTTCTGCTTTGATAGACAGCCGCATGGAGTATGCTGACGCGGGTACGCTAGCATCTGTAGATAGCGAATCGAGCACATCGATCTGTCCGGTCCGGACGCCATTTGTCTGTAGGTAGATAATGGCACCGTCGTCGGTCTCTATACCATACCGCGTATCGAGCAGGGAAGTGCGCGTTCCAGCTGCCACATCGTCAGACGAAGTGAGCCAATCTGCGCCGCCTGGCAAAAGCCGTCCTCTGTACCACGTGTGAGCTTCACAGTGAAGGCGCAACGCAGCTTGCGCACTGTATGCAAGGACCCGATAGACTTCCTTCGCGGAACGAGACCATGTAGCGCACAGCACCTTGAGCCGTCTGGCCGACCTTGCGCAGCGGATCGAGCGTGACTTCGAGGTGGAAGGCAAAGTCAAGTCTGGGCACGGGCAGCGTGTACTCTGGTCGCAGCCAAGTCATATGTGTCGGCTGCTCTGATGTCTAGCAGTCTGCGAGTGGTCGAGGATATGCCAGGAAGGATGGGGTAGGTGCGTGAGAGCAAGCGAACGAGCTTTTTCCACATCGCGACTGCACAGACGGCCGACGGTCGACCCTCGTCATAGCGCTCACATTGCGTGCTGCACCGTCCAAGATGGGCGACAAAGTGAAGCAGCTGATCGAGCTGGGCTTTGACGAGGCAAGCAGCAAGGCTGCCCTACAGGTATGCAGTCAAATTTTGGTCAGTCTCTCAAGGCTGATCATGCATGACTGGTCAGCGTTTCCCAGACTCGATAGAGCGAGCAGTCGACTGGATCTTCAACAATCCTTCAGACAACCTAGATGGGCATGCTTGGGACCCACCTGCGCCAACGCTCGAGTATGCGCCGCCTGCACCAAGTCGACGCACGTCGCAAGATTATACTGCCTTGGATCCTCAGTCTCATGCGGCCGTGCAGGCTGCTCTGCAGCAGACAGCGCTCAATCAGACCTCAGCAGCTTCATCGAGCGACTGGCAAGATTCTCCAGCCTATCACACAGAGTTTCACTCAGGAACAAGCGAGATAGCTCGCAATTTCATCGGGCCACCCAACTTGACAAGAGATCAGCCGCTCGCAATCATGCCCCCGGCCGGTCAGTCTGATGCGCGTAGCAACACATGGGCTACACCCACGGATGATGACGACGAGATGGAAGCTGCGATCAGAGCATCATTGCGTGATCAGCAGGGAATCAATGACCTCGTTGACGAAACCACAATGGCCTCCAATCTCGCTTCCTGGGGTCAGCCGAATGCGACACAGGGGCGCTTCGCTGGACCAGGAAGCGACAACTCTGATCACATCGTGCAAGCGAGCCTGCTCAATCTGCCGAGCACGCAGAGCCATACGACAGCATCTCAGCTTCGTGACGGCCAACACGCGCTCCGAACTTTGCCCAGCGAACGCTTGGTCCGGAGTGACCTTGACCGGCCCATGGTCGTGCATACATTCTCGCCACACACCGCTTTGCTCGCTCCGCTCTTGATTGGCCTGTACGAGTTGCGCTCATTCCGCCAAGCTGTCCTGTCCCTTGATTTTGGCGAGCTCGCATCAGATGACATTGACACGGACTACTGGCAAGGTGGAGCGATTAGTGAAGCCTTGAATATTCGCATGGCTGCACTGCCCGCGCAGGTCCGCGCAATCGCTTCTTTGCAACGTCTCTTTGCGTTCATGGCACTCAGTCACCGCGCAATCATCGTTCCCAACGATTTGCTGAGCACGATTTCAGACTTGCCGCCACGAGAGCGAGATCAGGCAGTATTGCCAACAGTCACCGCAGAGAACCCTGTGGTCGATATGACCAGAGTATTCGAAGCGATCGCGGACGCCTGGTCTTACACTTGCGAATACCATGCCAAGCTTGCCATTGACGCAGGCCAAGATTCGGCGCAGGTCGAGCAACTCTTGTGGAACAGTAAGAGGTCAGTCTGCCTCATACCTCGCAGAGAAGAGACTGACGCCTCGGAAAAGTATCTTATTCCATCGAGGGCAAGAAGGCAATGAGGATCATCCGCAATCGATACTCGACGCAAGTGCGCGAGCTGCTCTGGATATCTATCACGATCCCAAAGAGTCTAGCGATGTCTATATGGCGCACGCACAGTCTCGCTCTTTTGCCTGCGAAGAAGGGATGTCCCTCACTCACCCTGCCAATACCGTCGTGATGCCGATAAGAAGACCAGGCGCAAACCACACCACCTTCTCAGACATCGAGCCATTGACCATCAATCTTGAGCTTTTCTTGGATCGCTACTTGTATGGCAAAAGGCAGGCAGCTCAGCAGCTTCGCGAGCAAGCTGATCAGAAGCGCAAAGCCAAAGTAGTACTGCAGGATAAGCTCAAAGCGATAAAGGACCCAGACGGTAACGATCACATCGAGCTCATGGAGAAAACGCGCAAGTACCTGTTCATGATCTCGCAAGAATGCGATGACGATGAGCGGCAAGCTCGTCAGCAGAAGATAATTGCCAACCTTGAGATCGCGATTGCTCATGCCCACAGAGCGGCGGAATGTATGCCATCCGTGTCTTATCTGGTAATAAGCTCAGAAGCTGGTTTGCAGACTACAAGAGCGGCATCGCAACTTTGCAGACAGAGCTAGACGGACTCTATAGCGGAGAAGAGTGGTCCCAATGCGGTCCATACCAACTGCGAGCTATGCTGCTGCATACAGGCCCTTACCCAAAGCACGACGCATATCATACCTATATCTGTCGACAAGATCGATGGTGGCGCATCGTTGAGTCTGACATCAGTGCTGTCCACTCTCTCGAGTCGCAAGTTCTGAATACCAATCTGGGCGTCATGATTGGCTCGGGGCCATGCTTCCTTCTCTACGAACGCCAAAGTGCGCCTTCGCTCGACAGTGTTCGCCCGAACTTGGCCAGCATCATCGCCAAGGACAATGCGGTACTTGCTGCAGAGCATGACTTGCAGCTGCACGCGTCGTCTCTTCCGCAGCCCGCTGAGCAGGTCGACGATGTTGCGATGGCCGTAGAGGACGCGATCCTGCCAGTCAGCGTTGCCGGCGCTGCAGAAGAGGTCATGCAGCTCAGAGGAGGCTCGCTAGCGACAAAGGAGCCCAATGCCGCTCTCAGAGAGTCTGGAAGAGGAGGTGATGACGACGACGAAGATGACGAAGATGAGCAAGAGGGCCTTACGGGCGTCGAGCTCGGCTTTGCAGAGCCGATCGAAAAGTCTCTCGATCCCGTCGCCATGGTTGGCAAGCTCGGCGGCGCGCCTCTTTGGCTCAACCCTGCCTTGCCGCTGTCACCGGACATGACTCAGTGCGGCGTCTGCCGCTCGCGTGCGATGAGATTCTTGCTTCAGCTCAACGCGCCGGTAGTCGATTCGACACAAGCGCCTTATCGGGCGATCTACGTCTATACTTGTCCGAATGGCCGCTGCGTCAGCATAGATGCCTCTCGCGCGACGCGTGCCTGGCGAATACAGTTGGCAGAGGGCGGACCCTTTGGTCTCGAAAGTGGGACAGCAGGATCCGCAGATGTTCGGACGATGCGTCAGAAATGCCATGCCGTCCTTTGTGCGCACTGTCATCTGCGCGCATCACATCGTTGCAGCTTGTGCAACACTGAACGCTACTGTTCGAAAGAATGTCAAGCTGCCAGATGGCCACTGCACAAGCCGCGCTGCCAGAATCGCTCGGACCAGCAAGGAGAGCAAGATCAAGATCAGATCTCGGCGAAGCAGTGGAAAGCATTCGAGATTGTGTCCGAGAGTGAATGGATCGATCAGGAGAAAGAGTCTGGTGAGTACCATGATGACCGGCTAGCCTATGCTCACACTCGCTCGGCTACAGTCCCAAGCATGCTCGCCTCGACGCCGTCTGATCTGGCTCACATGGCTAATGTGGACGAGCCTGACACCGACACGGGCGTCGACGGAGCGTTTCTGCGCTTTCAGCATCGTCTGTCAAACGAGCCAGAACAGATCCTCCGGTATGCGAACCCATATCGATAGCTTTCAGAGCTGATCGTTGCGTAGGTACAATCGCGCTTTTGAAGGCTCAGTGGAACCGCTGTGGGTCAGTTCGACCGGCAAGCCCAAGCCGGAAGCTATCTCTACCTGTCCCATCTGTGATGGTGCTCGGACGTGCGAATTCCAAGTAAGTCCCCTGTCTGCGCATCTTATGTGCGCTGATGGCTGCGTAGATCATGTCGACCGTTCTGGGCATGATCGGCGTCGATGATACGCAGCAAGACTCGCTCGACTTTGGTACCCTGCTCGTTTATACCTGTCAAGCGGCTTGTCAGATCCCTTTGAAGACAGAACCGACTATCGAGGGCACGGCAACCTCTGGCTGGGCTCAGGAGCTGATCATTGCCCAGAACTTCACATCGCAAGGCATGAAGAGCTTGCAGCAACAGCAGCAACGAGCTTCGTGAGGCGAGAAAGACATTCAGCTTCATGCAATCGACAGCGATCAGTAGCTGGACACATCAAATCCTCCAATATGGGGGGGAGTTTGGTGCCGATCACTTGAAGAAGGGTCGCTCAGCCTGAGGTGTTAGGCGAGCGCCGTGTCGGCGAGCACCTTCAGGCAGATCCAGAAGAGCGCTGTGCGCTGTGATGCGATTGTCAAATAGGACCACAGTACCTTTGCCCAAACCGCCTCAGCCGCCCCATCTGATGCGAGTCTGAATATCGTGAGACTTGGCTAGATGATCGTAAAGGAAGTTGAGAAGCGCGTCCGATTCTTCCCGCTTATAGCCAACGATACGACGAGTGAATTGAGGCTGCACATAGATGGCACGTTGCCCGGTGACCGGATGAGTCCGGACGAGAGGGTGCACATTTTCGACAGGCTCGCGTCGAACAATACCGCCGCGCTTGCCGTCGCGACGCAAATAGTTGGCCTGCTCGTGGCCTGAATGCACGACTTGCAGGCCGTGGAGTCGCTCTCTAAATTCTGGCGACAATCTTTCGTATGCCTTTGCAGTGTTGACAAATAGAGTATCACCACCGCTTTCAGGAGAAGAGAAAAGGAAGAGGCTCGTCAAGCCAGGAGGCTGCGTCTCATACGAGACGTCTGCAATGGCGCATAAGTCTTTCTCCAAAACAACCGCCGAATATGCACCGACCAGAGTGCCAAGTGACCGAATTTGTGCGATCGCTCTTTTCGTAATTGAAGCTGCTTTTGCGATCGCGGTAGACCAAGTGGACCTCTGGGTAGCCTTCAGGGTGAGCTGAAGTGGGATGAATGTGCAACCGGCCAAAGTAACGGGCCCAATCGAGTGCATCGGGGACCGATAGCTCTTGAAAGTCTTGCTCTCGAAAGATGAGGACACCGCGGCGAGCTGCCAGGACTGAGAGCTGATCCTTCTGCGCAGGCGAGAGAGTACTGAGTTGCACACCGCTGACTTCCGTGCCGATAGCGGGTGTGATCTCGGCAGTCTGAGCATTCTTCAAGAGCTCGTCGAGCGGGTTTGTGAGGGGATCGGGCACACGCGTGCCCGGGTCAACGTGTTCGAAGTCGGTCAGAGGCTCGTAGTGTAGCGAAGGATCCGGGCGAGGAAGCCAAGCATCGAACGCATAGTCTGGCTCGCGAGCGACGCCTTGGGCGTACGTCGGGAAAAGATGCAGGTCCTTCTTGAACTTCTCGTCGATCGAGGTGTCCGCAGTTCCTGCTCGCAAGCTCAGTTTGTGAATCGTCTGCGTCGACATAGTGTGAGATTTCTGAGCGTATGGAAGGGGTAGAAGATGGCTTATGTAGGAGGCAAGCTGGGCTTTGTGGCAAGACACGTGCGTCGCGCTCACGCGTCACGCCATCGCTCGCAAACTTCGCGCAATGTCACTACTCATCAAGTATCGCATCATTATCTGTCCTGTCCACGCCATCGCTGACTCAGCTGCATGGTTTGCACCACATGTCAGCACGTCCGCTTGCGCAAGCCTTCCGTATTCCTGATGACGTGATGAGCATCTCGCTTCGAATCCATCTTGAGCGGTCCGGGTTGGCACTGCTGATACAGCGCGACTCACTATGTCTCGAAGAACAGGGTCTGATGATTTTACAGAGAACTCGGCCAGCAAGTCAGATCGAACGCTCTTTGACAGCGGCCTCTTTCCAACATTCTCATCAGACAAGGCGCGCGAATTGTCTGATCCCTCACTGGAGGCCAAAGGTGGTCAATCGGTCCTTTCGACAGAAGAAGAGACAGCGGAATGGCGGGTGCGCAACCATCGTCCGAGCGATACGTATGAGGGGCTTCATCGTTGGGATCCTAAAGCGACGTGGGCGCCCGAGGAAGAGCGGCGCATCCGACGGCGTATCGACTTGCGCATTATGACCATGCTCTGCGTCATCACATTCGCCCTTCAATTGGATCGGGGAACCATCAGCAACGCACTGAGCGACAATCTGCTGAGTGATCTTGGCCTCACCACAGCTGATTATAACAATGGCATGACAAGTGAGTGATGCGTGACATGTCAATGGCGCAGTCTGATCGCATTGTCCAGTCTTCTACTGTTCATTCTTATTCGCTGAGCTGCCATCTCAGCTGATCGGTAAGAAAGTCGGCGTCGACCGGTGGCTCCCGATTCAGATGGTTTTGTGGTCCATCGTTGCCATCTCACAATGCAGACTCACTGGCAAGACAAGCTTTTATCTCACTCGCGCATTTCTCGGCATAACAGAAGGCGGCACGATACCTGACTCGATCGTCTATGCGTCCCTATTCTACACCAACGGCGAGCTGCCCGTCCGCCTCAGCTTCTATTGGGTCACTCAGACGCTTACTCAGATCGTATGTCCTGTCTACGTCTTGAATCTGGTCGTAACGATCAGCATGGTCGCGCAGGTCTCCGCATTCATAGCATACGCGATTTTGCGACTAGGCAGAGATGGTAGCTGGCCGGGCTGGAGATGGCTCTTCCTCATCGAGGGGCTTCTCACGCTCTCGCTGGGCATCATTATGTGGTTCTACATGCCGGCTTCGCCGACGCAAACACGATCCTTTTGGTCAAAACACGGCTGGTTCTCTGAGCGCGAAGAGGTTATCATGGTCAATCGCATCCTGCGGGACGACCCTGCAAAGGGGGACCTCAGCAATCGGGAAGGCGTCACATTGGCGCACCTTCAGGCTGCCGCTCTTGATTATCTCCTGTGGCCAATCTATCTGGTAAGATACAATGCAAGCAGGCGAAGGACGCGACTGATATGACACAGGCGGGGTTGCTGGTCTTTGTTGCCTATAAGCAGACGGGTGCCTACTTGACCCTAGTACTGCGTTCATTCGGCTTCAGTACGCTAAACACTAATCTCCTCACTGTTCCCGGCCTGGTCTTTTATCTCTTCAACATGGTCTGGCTGGCCATCGTTGCGCGACGTACGAAACAGGCTGCATGGACGAGTCAGATTGCGACCGTCTGGATCATCCCGCTCTTGATCGCCTTGATCGCCCTGCCCAGTTCAGCCTCATACTGGATCCGGTATGCTCTCATAGAGCTTATACAGAGCCAACCATATGTGCATCCCATCCTCATCGGGCTCGTGTCTGCCAATAGCGGAACGGTGCAAACGCGAACAGTCTCAGCAGCGCTGTACAACATGAGTGTGCAGGCAGGCTCCATCATCGGTAGCAACATCTATCAGCCAAGCGATGAGCCGCTCTATCGCAAAGGCAACGCTGCTCTCCTCGCCATTACCGTCTTTACAGGTTTCCTGCTCATCTTCATCTCATATCTCTTTCCCTGGCTTAACAGACGTCGAGCGCGTCAGTGGGCACAATCGAGCGAGCAGGAGAAGCTAGACATTTTGCTCGGTCAGCGAGCCTCCAACAAGCGCATCGACTTTAGATTTACAGCATGAGATTATGTAAAGCCACTGCAGCGCGTGTCATTGCTTGCATCCTCGTAGCTTTTGGTCGATGATGAAGGCAACGAGTGTACTGCAAGCTTAGTGGAATAAAAGCCACCTTGTGATGCTCGTCGGCGAGGGAAAGTTATGCACTGACTGCAGTATTCGCAATTCGCGAACAAAGTCAATTTAACGGAATTCATCGGGCGTACCCCTCCTTGGTTCATTGATTGCCCCGGCAACTGCTCATCGTCTCATCCTCACTCCTGCTTCTGCACTCCGCCTGAGCTCACCGGCAACCGCATCTCCCAGCCCCGTGCTCAGCAGCCTAGGTTGGGTACAGTGTCTGCACTATAGCCTCACTGCTCTCGCAGCTATGCACGCGGCTCGGTGGGCTTGCCTGTGCCTAGCATGGCAGGTGACGGCGAAGAAACAGACGACCGAGGTGACGATGGAGGAACTCGTTGAACTTTCCGACACCGACTCAGGCTCTCACACGTTCTCCGTAGAGCATGATGGCCTGGTCATCGATACAACGGTCCACATGAAGGAAAGGCTGCTTGACGCTGCCGGCAGTACCGGCGCACCCGATGGTACTTCCAACAGGCTCGAAGAACGCTTCCCGGTCCCTGTGCGCCGAAGAGAATACAATATGACCCACAGCGTCAGAGGAAGCTGCTTCAAGACCGATCCTACCATCTATTCGACTGTTGCTGCACACGGTCAAGTCGTCCTCAAGACCAACGAACTAGGCGAAAGGTTCTATCCCGATGTCGTGCTCGTCCCCGGTGCTGGTATGCATAGTATGAAGACGCTTGAAGAGGGAGCAGGCGGCAATTCCTACAGAGTGGCCTTTGTCATGCAGCTCAAGTCCTCGCAGGCCGGTTGGAGCAGCTGCTGCACTGTCCGTCGCATAGAGATGATCCTGTCTGGCGCTCATTGCCATGCAGACATACTATACTTGGGTGGGCTGGTTCAGCTGGCGCATGAGTAGGACTACTGTCATTTTATCTCTGGCTGAAATTGACGCCATTCGCATTTTCGCAATCACAGTGGCTGTCAGCTTCGAAAAGATCAGTATGTACCAGTACTGCTTTCCACATCGTTTCTCTGGAGCGATCCGGGACAAGTGCGACGCTTTCGTCATCTTGAGCCTTGGCAATCCCTCAAGCAAGTCTATTCTGCTCAGTCCGAGCAGAAGAATAGCCAATGATGGGCATGCAGGCGTCACCAAGTGCAATATTGCGCTTTCTGAAGAGACTTGCGAGCAGTGCGATGAGAATACAGCATGGTGACAACAACAATGCCATGCAACGGTCTAGTCTTCCTTCGCCTTGTTGTCTCTTTCAGCGCAACGTTGCCGTCAAGAGCAGAATCTTTGATGATGCCCAGCACGAGCGGAACGGCTATAGGTCCAGCTAGAATGGGCATGAACTGCAGAGTTGTTATCTTGTGGGGACATTAGAGAAGGCCGAGCATTGAAGGATAACAAAACGAAACGCGCGAAAAGAGAGCTCTTTAACTTTGGCAGATCCCCTCATCGCTCCAGTGAGATCGTCAGGCCAGCTCTGCTGTACGATGATAATCGCATGCAGGGCCTCGATGACGTCGGTTTGTACGTCCCATCCGATAGGCATATTCTCAATCGTGCTCGACGATCGCTTTCGGCACATTGACACCATTGCGCGTGTTTGATGGCGTGCGCGTGAGCAACATGGATTCGACCTGTCTATCTTTCAAGACGATGCAACACTAGCTCGAGGGATGCGGTGTTTGCTGCGCTCTGACAGTCAGTGACAGTCCGGGCACCCAGCGCTTTAGAGCTCCGAGGATCCATTGGACAGTATCGGCAAAAGCTTTGCGCTGATATTCCTCAACGGTGTGACGCGCCTCGCCATCCTCCGTGTTGATATCGATCGGCTGGAATGTCAAGGGCGCAAGAATCTTGCAGTCGTGTCTCGAGTGTGAAGCTGTGCAAAGCAATGTGTTCCCTGAACATAGTCTGAATGGGCCATTTGCTGCGAGCATCCGGGTTTTGCAGCAGCAGACGATACACGAGTCTGTAAAGAGGAGTATAGCCCTCAACGCGAGCATCTTGAGCCGTCGCGTGCTCGCGCGAATGCGCAAGTACTTTGCTCGAGCATGTGGGGCTCCGGCTTGTGCCATTGTATGGCTGCGATTGCAATTGGCTTCGCGACGCGACGAGTAGCTGCTAGTCGACTGTCCGGCGGCCACTAGCGGTGCTTGAGCTTGAGACTCAACAGATAGTGAGCGCAGGCTTGAGGCTCGCATCATCAAGCAGCGTATCACCGTCATCTCAAAGAGGTCAAAAGCCGCACTAGAGCAGCTCGCAAGTCAGCAACAACAGAGCTTGCAGCTCGCGCACGCCTTCATCGACCCAACGTACTGTGCTGCTCATTGGCAACATGAACATGAATCTCAACGATCTTGCCAATAGGCTAGCGGCCGTACAAGGTCCTAGAGGGGCGCGCTTCTTCGGTGCTGCTCGCAAAGGTAGGCTTGCTCGTCTGACCGTTATGACGAGTCTGACGCTGGCAAGCAGGCGAGAACTACGAGCTCAGGACTGATCTGAATAGTCAGTATGCGGACAAGCGGAAGGAAGCCATTCAGCGAGTCATCGCCAACCTGACTGTTGGCAAGGCACGCTCCTTCACTGCCATACTCTCTTGAGCGTTGTGCGAGCTCAGAGAGCCTGCAGGATGTCAGCGGCCTCTTCCCGGACGTGCTCAAGAACATGTTGGTCAGATTGAGATATGATTGCTCCCCGGCTGACGATCGCGCGCAGGCAAACGGAGGATCTCGAGCAGAAGAAACTCGTCTATCTCTATCTGATGTCATACGCAAAGACCCAGCCGGACCTCGTCATTCTTGCTGTCAACACTTTCGTCAAGGTGAGCATGTCCCAGACCTCGATGACACGCCGCATGCTCAGTCTGCGCGGCTGCAGGACACGGAAGACCTCAATCCGCTCATTCGCGCGCTCGCGATACGGACAATGGGTTGTCTGCGCGCCGACAAGATCATCGACTATCTCTGTGATCCCCTGAGGAAATGCCTCGCCGATGATAGTCCGTATGTCCGCAAGACAGCCGCGATCTGTGTCGCAAAGCTATTCGATCTCAAGCCAAGCCTGGCTATCGAAAATGGCTTCATCGGTCAGTTGCAAGATATGGTGGCAGACAGCAACCCGAGCGTACGCTTTCGTCGGCCAGTCCGAGAGATATGCTAATTGGGCAAGCTAGGTCGTCGCCAATGCGATCACAGCGCTCTCCGAGATCGCCGACTCAGCCGAGGATCAAGGCATCTTTGTGATAGACAAGCCGACTCTCAACAAACTACTCGTAGCGCTAGGCGAGTGTACAGAATGGGGGAGGATCGCAATACTCTCTGCAGTCGCAAAGTACAGGACATCAGACGAAAAGGAAGCCGAGCACATCTGCGAGCGCGTCATTCCCCAGTTCCAGCACGCAAACGGAGCCGTCGTGTTAGCGGCCATCAAGGCATGTCCATCTCTTCGGCCTCGTGAGATGGTGTGCTGATGCTTCTGTAGGTCATCATGATCCATATCAGACACGTCACTCGCGATGACTTCCTGAGGATGATAACGCGCAAGATGGCGCCTCCACTCGTTACCCTTGTCTCGTCCGCGCCAGAAGTGCAATGGGTCGCCTTACGTAACATCAATCTCATTCTACAGAAACGACCAGACACACTGACGACCGAGATGCGAGTCTTCTTCTGCAAATACAACGATCCACCGTACGTCAAGAACGAGAAACTTGCCATCATGATCAGGTTGGCCAGCGCCACAAACATCGACACGCTCCTCAGTGAGCTCAAAGAGTAAGCTTCCTGTGGTCTCCTATGCAATGAGCTAATGTGAGGAAGCAAAGGTATGCATCCGAAGTAGACGTCGACTTTGTGCGCCGAGCCGTCAAAGCGATAGGTCAATGTGCCATCAAGATTGAAGATGCCGCAGAGCGATGCGTCCATGTCCTGCTAGAACTCATCTCGACTCGCGTCAGCTACGTCGTCCAAGAAGGCATCGTCGTCATCAAGGACATCTTCAGGAAATATCCCTATCGCTACGAAGGCATCATACCGACGCTCTGTGCCAGCTTGGAGGATCTCGACGAGCCCGAGGCGAAAGCATCACTCATCTGGATACTCGGAGAGTACGCTGAGAAGATCGCGAACGCGGACGAGCTGCTCAGCACCTTCCTAGACACCTTCACAGAAGATCCTTTCCCGGTATGCTACCCGTCAAGCATGCGCTCGAGCGCTGACGTCCTCGAAACGTCTGCAGGTGCAGCAACAAACTCTTAGCGCCATAGTGAAGCTATACATCAAACGACCAGAAAGCGCGCAAAATCTGGTACAGAAGGTTCTGCAGCTCGCGACGAAGAACTGTGATAGTCCAGATATTCGAGATCGGGCGTACATCTACTGGCGATTGCTGTCATCAGATGCGGATGCAGCGCGCAGTATCATACTTGCGCCACGGCCGCCCATCTCGATCCCGCAAAGCTCCTTGTCGCCGGCAATATTGGATGAGCTCATCAACGAAATTGGGTCTCTAGCGAGCGTCTATCATAAACCTGCCGAGTCCTTTATAGGCCGCGGGAGGATCGGCGCCAATGACGTACAGAAGAAGGCATCAGAGTGTGTCTCTTCCCTTGCTTGAGAGTCTCCTGCTTAAGAACGCGGCTTGCAGATTGCAAGAGGATCAGCTGGGCCAGAATGCGATCCAGACCGTCGTGGCTGGACAGAACGCAGAGAATCTGCTCGACTTTGATGACGATGAGCAACTCGAGAACACCGGCTTGTCGGCGACTGCACCCTCGTTCATGCCCGTTCCTTCACCTGCCGGCGTCGTGCCCAAGAACCCATTAGATGACCTGATGGGTCTGTTCGATCAGGTCGGACTCAATACGCTGCCGCCTGCTGTGCCAGTCGGTGAGCCTGCCATACAAGCCAACGCATTTGACGACATGCCAAACGGGAATGCGCACGCTATGAGACCACAAGATGACCCCTTCGATCTCATATGATCGTCAAGTACTGTAGCATGCATTTCATGACGACGCATTACTTCCGTTGACTATCGTGCCAGCCTCGCATTCGCTGAACATGCATAGCAACACTGTCGCGGAGGGCCGCTTGCTGCTTGACCTGAGCCTCATTCGCTTCTAGCATCCGGCGCCAATCTTCCAACCCGGCGTTTTGAGCATCAAGAGCGTGCGCGACATTGGCAATGTAGGACAGATCTCCAGCGAGCTGACTGGCTCCGGCTGCACTAAGCTCGCGAATGCCCGGCAGGACACCCATCGTGAGGTAATCTAGCACGGACAGTGCGAGCGACGTCAGCCACAGGGAGATGACATCTTCCGAATTGAGCGTCAAAGGCGCGTCTTCTTTCGATCGAGTGAAGTACGAAGCCGAGGGTGAAGAGGCGTGCCCATTCTCATGCCCTTCGGGTGACTGGTTCGGTCGCGCTCGCAAGATTGCGGGCGGCGAAGGCTGGTGTAGCGCTTTTGGGTCCACAAAGGGGAGGGTCTCGATCGAGAAGCCCAGCGCGCTGTCATCGGCATAGACTTCGAACAAGCGGGGGAGGTTGAAGAGACCCTCGCCCAGGCGTGAGATCGTTTCCGTGGGCGATACTGAGAAGGTGGGGATCTGTACGACCATCGCTTTGCTTTGCTGTTCGGGATGCCCTTGCTGAGTCCAGACGTGCAAATCGGCATATGATGCTAGAGCGGATAATAATGGTCCCAAGATAACATCATGCAGAAGCGCTTGACAAGCTTGAGCAAGCTCGCTCGATTTCGCTTTTGCATCCGAGCAAAGGATGTGCCCATGACCATCACGTGAGGCAGCTTCGACAGACTTGAGCAGCTCTGCGAATTCGACCGAATTGAGCGTGGACTGTCTTAGCATCATGATTGCGCTCGGCGTTGTCCCCAAAGCTGCCTCGCGAACATCCTCTCGCGCATTTGTACCCCTGTTGAGCATGCTGATGCGATTCCTGGCATTGGTCTCAAAGCTGGATGCGCGTTGGGCAAGCTGTCTGCAGCTTCCGAGCAGTCTTATACCGAGCTGGAACGTCGCCCAGTCGTCTGGCGAGTAGTCTAAACCATCGAGTTCGGGGCGCCCACCAGCTGAGCCTTGTGTCACTCGACGACGATCAGCATCTGCTCGTTTCTTTCGCTGTTGTTCCCGGCTAGCAATGACGATGCTAGCACGGTTCGTGTAGAAGTCGCTGAGCACGGAATCGACTGCTGCCACGTAGCCGACCATGGCGTAACCATGCGTAAAGTCGATGACTCGCCTGAGTCCGTCTTCTGCCATCGCAAAGGCGGATTGCCCATGCTCGATCAGCATCCTGGCAGCCCGAGCGTCTGCGATCTCCGATAAGGCAGAAAGACTGGCCTGGAAAGCGGATGCTGATGTCCGTTGGGAAAGCTCGGCAAGTAAGAACATCCGCTCGAATTCGCTGTAGTTGCTCTGAAGGTCCAAAAAGGGTTCGAGTAGAGCTGCTTCCCATCCTCTGATGACTACTGATGCAGCAGGCACGACCGCACCTGAAATATCCGATTTCGAGCTTGATCGTCGCGAAAAGGAGAGACGCTTGACCGAGGCTCGTCTGTCCCTGCGAGCAGATGCGGGATCGACATTGACGGGCTCTTCGGTCGCAGTGGCGTTGTGCGTTCCGGATTGCTTTGTCATGACCCGATCGACCTGGACGCAGAAAGCTTCGGTAGCATGGTAAGCATTGATCAGTTCGGGTAAGGCTCGAGCGGCATGATACTCGGACACGGCTGCGAGTCTCTGACCGAAAGTGGGTGATTGCGACTCGATCAAGCTCTGCAAGAAGCTCGCTAATGTATCGGCAGGATCCGGGAAGATAGCGGCAATGGTGATGCGCTCTTCCTCGAGCAATGCCAGTAAATCGGCACAGTATGACTCGAAGAAGGCAGTGAAGGCCACTGGCTGGTGGTCCTGAGTAGCTGCAGAGCTAGACTGCTCGACCAGGCTGGCAGATGACCAGGTAGCGAGGATACTGGTTCGCCTTGAAGCAAAGTAGTAGTTTCGAAACTCAACCTCGCGTTGTATCTGACTGAAGATAGCGTAGAAGTCCCGGCAGCGCTTGACATCTTTGTCGGTGATGGCAGCGATCAGGCTCGCCGACAGAGAGGCCTCTAGCTGATTCTGCAGCGAGGTCATGAGTGCATGTCGTTGCTCGTATTCTGGCGTCTCGCGAAAGACGACGAGCGACTTTGAGGCTTCTGAGAGACGTTCTGCAGCTTTGACAAACTCTGAGAGGGCGAGCAGCGAAGTGATCTCTGCCTCCAAGGTGGACCAAGACTCAGCTTCGCGGAGTACGACGCGTGTGGCTTCCATCCTCGTCTTGACGAGATCAAGCAAGGCAAGGCGCTCCATGACGGCGTGAATGTCTTCCTTGACTGGCTCGTCACGCTCTGCAGACTGTCCGACCGGCGGACGAGTGACGCCATTGGTCTGAGTCGCGCTCGCATTGGTGCTCTGGATCCTGTCGAGCGTGTAGCGCAGCAGGAGAGCATTCTCGCGCATGAGCTGTAGGTCGAATGCAAGACGTGGCGTGGCTCTCGCAATGTCTTTGATGGTGACATCCGTCTCGAGCGCAACTTCGCTCGTGGCAGTCTCCAGCTGCTGTATGAGCGTGTTGATCTTGGCCTGTAGTCCGGCCAAGTCGACTTGCTGCGCAGTCTCGCTGGCCTGGCCGGTCTGAGAAGCCGATAGCAAGTCGGAGAGCCATACCGAGCTGTTGTCGGCTTCCTCGAGGGCGGCCAAGTCGAGTGACATGGCTCGAGTACGCTGAACTTGCCCTTTGAGCGTGTTGGGCGGCAGGCAAAGGGAGTGACTGACCTCTCCGAGCTAGTGAGCTATGCTGAGCTGTCGGTGAGCTGGCTCAAGCTATCTGCAGAGGTGCCCCTGTGCCATCGTCCTGCTCACCTCGTCGGCCTTGCCAGACTTCGCGCCTCGAGTTCGAGCAAGGCGACTTTCAGCAACTCGACAGGCTGAGCAGCGCAAGACTCGAAGCGGCACCCTACCGAGCAGACGCAAGGCATCTCATGACGTACTCTGCATAGCTGGCCTGTCTCGAGTGCGGAGTAGCAGAGGGAGCTCCTGTCGAGAGCAACAGCCTGCTGCAAGCTTGCGAAAGAGCCTCAAGCCGTCATGAGCGAGGAAGCTGGCAGGACAGAAGCAGATGCGACGACCGGCTTGCGCAAGAGAGTCAAGATCGATACTACAGCCAGCCCTGAGCTCAGCAAGGCACGGCAAGAGCGACAAGAACGACTCGATGCTACAAAGCAAAAGCCGACATTGGCACGCACGCCAGATGGGACAGGTCCGCTACACACTTGCACAGGTGAGCAAGCGAGCGCTCATACAGCAGTGTGATAGTCTTTGCTGTGCCACAAACGCACGACGTTCTGTCTGGCTTGTTCGATCCAAGGATACCGAAATCGCACGTTGATCTCGTCATACTCGCCTGCTTCGGCGCTCAGCTCGCTCTGTTCTCCTGTCTGCCATTGCGCGTCAGCCGCATCTTGTTCCTCTTCGTCTTCTTCTTCTGGCGGCTCTCCTACAATGTCGGACTCGGATATCTCCTAAAAAGACAGAGCGAGACGCGCTGGATGATCAAGCAAGTCAAACTCCACGGCTGGTTCGACGAGTCCCGGAGACCCAAGACGAGATCATGGATCAAGTCTCAGCTTGTCGTCAAGATGGGCAAAGACTACGATTTCGACGTACGTTTCACGCTTGCAGTCAAGCTGTGTGCTGGAGCTAACGAACGTGCAGGCTCTCCCGCTCGAATACAACGTCTGGCTCTTCTTCAGGCACGCTGTCGATATCATCCTGCTCAACGACTTTCTCTCCTATGTTCTCTTTGCCTGGTCTTGGCTGCATTTCCCGCCGGGCCACTCTGTCGCTCTACACGCGCTCCGATGGGTCGCAGGCTGGACTCTTATCATCTTTAACATCTGGGTCAAAGTCGACGCACATCGCATAGTATGTACCAAGAGGAGGGTTCTATGATACATACTGACGCGATGGACGTGCGTAGGTCACCGATCATGCTTGGTACTGGGCAGACAACTTCTTCCGGATCCACCAAAATCTCGTCTTTGACGGCGTCTTCGATCTCTGGATGCATCCCATGTATAGCGTGTAAGCATCTGATATCCACGAAAGCAAAGTCGCTGACCGGGTTTGCAGTGGCTACGCAGGATACTATGGCCTATCACTCGTTGTCGGCAGCCAGGTCGTGCTCTTGGCTTCGCTGGCTGCTCATGCATGTCAATTCGGCTTTCTCGTCTGGTTCGAAACGCCTCGTATGCCCTCGCGAAGACCAATGCGAGCTTCGCTGACCTTTGTGGCAGACATCGAGAGAACATATGGCGAGCGCAAGGCGATCGCTGCCCGTAGGCCGCTCCCAGTCCCCCGAAGTTCCTCTCAGCCAGTCTCGCCTGCTGCACCCACTTTCGCAGAAGGCTCGAACGCCGCTCAGCATGCTCATGATTCTGACAGCTCATCGAGTACCTTTGTCGATTCTGACGCAGAAAGCGACACGAGCGGGTTGCACGAGCTTGAAAGAAGCAGTAGCAAGGAACGCCGCTTCAGCTCAAACAGCCTTGCAAGCTCATTTGTCGGCATGTCAGCCCACCCTGAGCCGCTTGCTACGACTCAGCATGACCTCGACGCCATCTATTTCAGAAAAGACCTCGTCATCCTGAAGAACTTTGATCCATTCAGAGCACGCGATCTTGGCGTTGCGCTCGTACTGCTCTACGGTACAGCAGGCATTCTCATGCCTCAGATGTCAAATGACAAACGTCTCGCGTTGGCATTCCTCAATGCGCTCGCCTGGCGACTCATCCATTCGTACGGTCTCGGTATGGCTCTGCATGCGCAGTCTCAGCACAAGTGGCTCGTTCGACATTTCCTGAAAAATTATCACTACGAGACCCGCGCAGCATCGTCGGCAACCGAAGAAGCGTTCCGTAATTGGAAGGCAATCTACAATCTCAGTCTATGCATGACTTATGCGTCCTTTGCCGCACTCACCTGGCGATGCTACAGCGTGCCGCACAACTGGACGCTCGGCTCAGAGACGCTGAGACACACAATGGGGCTCCTACTCATCGGTCTGCATGCTTGGACGGCGCAGTCGACCTATGAAGTTCTTGGCAACTTCGGCTGGTTCTATGGTGACTTCTTCATCCCAGACTATCCCACCGAGCTCTACTACCATGGCATCTATCGCCATCTGAACAATCCCGAGCGCATTATGGGCGGTGCAGCCTTTTTCGGCTTGTCGCTCATATCCGGCAGCAAGCTCGTGACTTGTAGGTGAACCCACTCGAAAATCACAAACGCTGATACTCTGGACAGCGCTGGCCGTGTTATCGGTACTCTCGCATCTATGGTTCCTGCGGCATGTCGAAAATCCTCATATGACGAAGCTCTACGGCGATGCACTCAGGAAAGACGCCGGCTTCACACGTACGCTGCGCAACCTTGCCATCCGACATGCACACCGTGCGCCGCCAGAGATCACCAAAGCTGCGCGGGAAGTGCAAGGCACGTTTGAAAAGGTCTTTGAGGAGACCGCGGAAGCCGTCGAAGATTTCCTTGGCAAATGTAAGTCTGCGCGGGACTTTGCAGGCTTGATCTGACCCGAGTACCACAGCAAAACCGAAGCTGACGGAATACATGATTGACACCAAAGTGCTCGTCCAGCAGTCGCGGGAAAGACTGGTCATCACTCGCTTGGCGAATTCGCAGGAGATGTCAGCATACGACGAGACTCAGTATTCGCTCTCACTGCCCTCATCTGTCAATGATGCGCTTCAGCTGCCGGACATGCCACAATATCGGACGAAAACACCCCCGCGATACATGCTCGGCGAAGCAATCAGAGTGCAATGGAAGGCGCCTGCAAATCACTCCAAACGTGACTGGATCGGAATCTACCGTCTTGGCGCAAATACATCGATGCGCGTGACTGCAGTCAGCAGTCAAGGCAAATGGTGTCCGACTGATATCGACGAATACGAAGATGACGAGGGTACACGCGATGGCCGAGCTGCAACGGAAGATGGCAGTCTCTCGTCAGCTTCGACCGAATCTGCGTCCGAGGGCTTCGTACGACTAGCAGGCTCGAAGTTGCCATGGACCGTGGGCGCGTACGAGCTAAGGTACCATCACGATGGCAAACACAACGTCATGTCATCCCTCGGTCCACTCGAGATCTACGTGCCCAAGCCAGTTGATCAAAGTTCATTCGAATCTGTGCACGCGACTTTGTCCAAGATCATTGTCCACTGTCTTGACAGAGACCCAGCGCTGATACCACAATCTTGTCGCCGACTCATCCATACTACGACTGACGATGAGAAGCCTTCAGCTGCAGAGGATCTGCTTCCCGATCGGACTGACGCGGACGACTTTGTCCTGTACTCTGACGAACAAGCAAAACGCATAGCATATGCCATCGAGGTCTCATGTGGCATCGAAATCGCAGCGCCGGTCGTCGTCGCAGCAGCTAACATCGCAAAGCTAGCCTATAGAATCGTCGAATCAAAGCGCTTACTGGCGTGAATGCATCTTTTGTGACAGATACTATGTTGTTCTCCGTCTCCCAGCTGGTTAGTCCCGCAGAACCGCAGTCTCCACAACAATGGTTGCAGCCAAGCGACCGCGCTCAACAGACGACATCGGTCCCAGTGATGATGCCGAGCCCTCAAAGAGCGATGCAGAAAGGCGTGAGGCTGAAGCGGCAAAGACGCTGGCCGGGCTGGGTGGGCCTCAACGATTGATCAAGGCGCCTAAACCTCCGCCGACATGCGGCTTCTGTGGTGCTGTACGTCGAAGCAGATGGTAGAACGCGCATGCGCTGAAGCGGATCGCGTCTTCAGACGTTCAAAAAGACGGAGCATAAGCAGCGCCACGAGATGACCCATACCCTCGGTCGGTTCGACGCGACGTACTCGAGGTCAAGGCTTGCTGACCAAAGCGTCAACAGAACGCCCCTTTCCGTGTAAAGTCTGCGATCGTCGCTTTGCTCGCAAGTGCGTCGCCAACACATCAATCAGAGGGCAATCCACTGCTGACTTGTATCGTCAGAGACACGCTCGACCGTCATTTCAAGTCCAAGCACGGATCTGTGCAAGAAAGCGATCCCACGAACCCGCTCATACCTGGCAACCCTCTGCCGACAGAGCAAAGCAGTAGTGCTCGTCTGTTCCGGGCCCTGCAGTCGCGTGTCGGCAGCCTGCCTCTGCCTGGCCTCGAGTCAAGCAAGTGAAAGCGTATCGATACCGTCGCATGATCTAACGTCGATTTGGCAGCCATACCTATCGACGCAAGACTTAGTGATCCGATGACCGGCAACATTGCCATGGTTCCCGCAGCGCTGCCTCATGACTTTACGTAGGTCGCTCAGACGGTGATGTCACAGCGCAAGCTGATAGCGTCTCTCAGGTATAACGGCCTCAATGTCGCAGGAGCTCACGGAGTCTTTGATTCGAGTGAGCAGCAGACTGTACCGCGTTGTGGCTCACTTACAAACGCACTTGACCAGTCACTGGACTCATTGGTCACACTCCCCTCGTTCGTATGCGCAAGATCGCCAACGAAGAAGGCATCAGGTGTAACCTTCGTATGTGCACCATATGCAAATAGCGTATCTTATTACTGACGTGTATCTGCAGTTGCAAAGTGCGAATTTTTTAATGCCGGCGGCAGCGTCAAAGATCGCATCGCGTATGTAATGCCTTGCCCAATCTGTGTAAAGCTGACTGTCCGATACACCTCCAGGAAGCGCATGATCGAGGTTGCAGAGGCGTCCGGAGAGCTTATTCCCGGTCAAAGCATTATCATTGAGCCAAGTATGCCACGCGGGCACTCACTCATCGCTGACGCTGACGCATGAACGACAGCATCGGGCAACACGGGCATCGGTCTTGCTCTCATGGCTGCGGTCAAAGGCTACCGCTGTATTATCACGCTGCCCGATAAGATGTCACTCGAGAAAGAAAACACTCTACGTGCTCTTGGTACGCCTTTGAGGCTATGCGAGGCGTATGCTGACGCCTTGCTAGGTGCCGAGATCCGGCGCACACCGACGCATGCCGCCTGGGATAGTCCGGATTCGCACATCGGTCTGGCAAAGCGTCTTGCTGCAGAGATCCCTGGGGCTGTAAGTTTTCGTCGACGTCGTCTTGTGCGTGCTTAATGTGACGATGAGCAGGTCATTGTATGTCTGTGTTATCGACTACTGTAACAGTACTGACCATATTACCTGTACGCAGCTGAATCAGTATGACAACCCTCAAAGTGAGGCCTCTGACTGAGCTCTCGGATCTGGACTCACTAGGCTGGAGCAGATCCTCAGGTCCATTACGAAACGACCGGCGGCGAGATCTTGACAGACCTTGCTCGTACAGCCCTCATCGATTTGACCACGGATCCAAATAGTCAAGTGAGCGATCAGGTGCATCTCTTCGTTGCCGGCGCAGGCACGGGCGGTACCATCAGCGGCACGGCGAGACGGCTGCGCGAACATAATGCTCTCCTCATCGTCGTTGGTGCAGACCCTATCGGTAGCGTCCTCGCACGGCCAGAGACGCTCAACACGAACGGCACAAACGGCTACAGTGTTGAAGGCATCGGCTATGATTTTGTTCCTACTGTGCTGGATCACTCGGCTGTCAACAGCTGGGTCAAGACGACGGACGAGAACTCGTTTGCTATGACCCGTCGTATCATTCGTACGGAAGGCATTCTGTGCGGTGGCAGCAGCGGCGCAGCCGTCTGGGCAGCCCTCCACTATCTCAAAGAGAGTCCAGACGGACAAGCTATCGCTGCCGATCCCAATCGCAACGTGGTCATCATCTTGCCTGATGGCATTCGCAACGTCATCAGCAAAGATTGGCTGCGCGAATGATGAGGTTAGTCGGTGCTTTGCTGCTGCTGTTGTACATGTTGTAGCTCTATGACATTGTGTGCCTGCTCGGGATCATACAACACCGTACTGCTGCCTGTAAGCTTCCATTGCCCTGAGCTGCTCGTCCATGCCGCCCTTGACGCCGAGATAGGCGATGATGTCCTTCATTGTCATCACGGCGATGACAGGTACGCCAGTCTCCTTTTCTATTGATTGCACTGCGCTCGCTTCGCCATCCTTACCCCTTTCTTGCCTATCCAGCGACTCTGTGATGCCGACGAGCTGACCTCCCTGCAGCTTGATAATCTCGACCGCCTCCCTGATGGCTGTGCCAGCGGTAATGACATCGTCAATGATGAGCACTCTCTGACCTTTCAATGGCGCGCCGACCAAGCTTCCGCCTTCGCCGTGATCTTTGGCTTCTTTGCGGTTGAAGGCGTAATTGACTGTCCGCCCGAAGGAGCGTTGCAGCTCGACACAGGTGATGGCGGCCAGAGGAATGCCCTTGTAAGCAGGACCGAACAAGACATCAAATTGTACGCCAGACTCGTGTATGGCAGCAGCAAAGGCGGACGCCAGTGCGAGCAGCTTCTCGCCAGAGTGGAGCAGGCCGGCGTTGAAGAAGTAGGGCGATGTCCTACCAGATTTCAGGGTGAAAGAGCCAAAGAGGAGCACATCACTGCCCAATGACAGAGAGATGAGCGAGGCTGCGTAGGGCTTCAGCTGAGTCGTCTGTCCAGTCACATGGCTCTTTGCCGGTAGGGTGTCGACTGGAAATGGCTTGACTTGGCTCATACTTCGGGTGCAAGCAAGTCGCTCGGTCGGGCAAGAGGCTCTCGACCGAGTCGCGTCGTTTGCTGGCGCTGCTGCATCTGATGATGACGTCGACAGAAATGTCAGGTAAGCCGAGCTATGTGCAGTCTAGCCTCACGACACTGCTGCTCGTTGCTCTATCAATGTCCCTCGCTCCAGTGACGGCATTCGTCTGCTTGCTCTGTCACGTTTGCCAGGATGTCCATCGACCGATCGAGACTGCCAAGCTATGGATCAGGCTCGTCAGGGAGACGACAGGCTCGAGGTCCTCCGATCGTACCGTTCTCATCACCGGTGGTCGCACCACAAAGTCACTCGTCCTCATTCGCGCTTTCAGCAAGGCTGGCTGGAGAGTCATCCTCGCCGAGGAGAGCCAATGGGGCAATCTGGCAGCTTCACGATGGAGCAACGCGGTCGATCGCTACTATCCTCTGCCGGACCCATCTCAGTCCTCTGCGGACAAGGCAGAGTACTTCCGCAGGCTGAAGTACATCATCGCTATCGAATGCGTGAACCTCTGGCTACCGTGCAGCTCCGCGGGCGCGTCAGTCGAGGATGCCCACCTGGCGGATCACATTCGCTCGAGTGGCTCTCACTGTCGTGTCTTCCTCCCGACGGAGACTCAGATGGAAGATTTACACTGGAAGGATCGCTTCGAGACGCTCTGTCGTTTGCTCGACATGCCTGTACCCGAGGCCCAGACAGTGACATCTATAGACCAGGCAGTCACTTTCCTGCACTCATCCACCTCCACGCATCGCTTTTTGGCAAAGTCACTCGGTCTCGACGATGTCGGACGGGGTGACATGACCCTCTTGCCGTTGCAGACGCCCCAAGAGACCCGCGCACACTTTGAGCGCTTGTCTGTCGCGCCTAGCAAGCAGACGCCCTATGTATTGCAACGATATGTCAGCGGCCATGAATACTGTACTCACGCTGCCGTCAGTGATGGTAAGATACTGAGCTTCGTTGCATGTCGCTCAAACGACATGCTCATGCGCTATGTCGATCTATCTCATCACGAGCCCAATGTCGCAACACAAGCATGGCAATGGACCGAGACATTCCTGCAGAGATGGCAGACACATCTCACAGAACGAGGCAGTCCACAAGCAAGCTTCACCGGTCATATCAGCTTCGACTTCATCCGCGAGCCCACCGAGGAGACTCTCTATGCAATCGAGTGCAATCCGGTCGGTCTTGCTTTCTTAGCATAGCATGAAACTTATGACTTGCTGATCAGAGAGTCCACACGGCGGTCACTCTGTTCGATGACAAAAGCGCGCTGGCCAGCTCGTATCTGTATGAAACGGAGATCTCTCCACCGCCTCGCGTAATGGCAAAGAGTTGGCTAGTACATTCAGTGCCGCTAGCCGCGTTCAACACATTGCCTCAATCCTTACGGACCGCTGCGTCGCGACTGCATCCTCGCCTATTCAGAGATAGAAAGTGGCACGATGTAACAGCGTCACCCATGCCAGGGATGAATGTCCTTGCGCTACTGGGTCGGCACGCCGTTGGTCTAGAGAAAGACGCAGTCTTTGATGCCTGCGATCCACTGCCATTCTTCGTGCTCGCACATGTTCAATGGCCGTGGTTCCTTCTGCGCGTTGCGTTCAGTGGCCGCGGATGGGATCGCGCCAACGTGAGCACATCGCGCATTTTCACGTGTTGATGTACTACGTCTGCAATGCATGTAACATTTGCAGGAGGATAGATCGACCTTATCGCTGCTTCGACTCGCGCTGAGTCAAGCCATTTTTGTTTTGCTACATCATTTTTGCCGTGCGTCTATTGTGGACATCTAGCTTGTGGGCTTGCCCGTGGTAATCTCGTTGTGACCGTTGATCGCGCCTGCGCCATTGTCGCCATTGGCGACATGACCGTTCATGCCCTTCACTGCGCCGGCTTTGACAGCAGCGTCAGCGGGCTTAGTGTTCTTGGCTTCTCGTCTGAGTACGTCGGGATCCATGCCAAGATCGCCATGGTCGACATAAGCTTCTTTGCCTACACCACCACCGTAACGTGCCTTGACGTGTGCCTTGTGCTTCTTGAGGACGTCAAACAATTCGTCGTATGTAACGTCATTGAGGAAGTGACACGTGCCATAGGGCTGCGGCACGGCAAAGCGCTGCTTGCCATCGCGTGTCTTGAGGATAGCTTCCGTACCAGCCTCAATCAGTTCTTCCGTGAAGAGTTCGTGATCAATGCTCAAGCCGACAGAGTGCGATAGATCGAGGTACTCGTCACGCTCGGCTTCGCTGAGCATGCCGCGATGGTGAGCGACGCTGCAGAAGTAAGCCATATCGATGCTGCCGTCATCTCGTCAAGACGAGCATTGGATGACAAGCAAGATGACTCACTTGATGGCGTGGCCGTGACGGAGGGGCACGACTGGGGCCAATTCGAGCGTCGGTGAAAGCGAATGTCCGAACTGCGCAGACATTAGCCACAGGTCACAAAGAGACCGAGAGAACCAACAGCAATGACACGATCTAGCCCAAGCTCGTGAAGGTTGGGCGACTCGAGGTCCAGCATGACTTTGATACCCTTCCAGCAGATCTCATCCGCGATCTATCAGAGCACGTCTTAGCTCTTGTGAGCAGTACGAGCATCGGCAGAGCTCTGACCTGTTTGAGTTCTTCCTTGGCACCATCTGCACGACCGAATCGGCTGTCGATGAGAGCCTCGCCGTTGTGGACGAGGAGCTCCCATATTCTCTTGTCGGCGACAGATGAGATCTTCATGAGCTCTGCAAAGCCGTTTCTGACTTGACCCTCTGGCAGCGTGCGAAGCATGTTGAAATCGAGGAACGTGACGATAGGTGCATGGTATGCACCGAGACGGTTCTTCAGCTTGCCATGGTTGAGGCCGACTTTGATGGACACGGATGCATCGATGAGTCCGATGAGCGTTGTTGGCACGCGAATGAAATTGGAGCTGCGCCTGTAAGAAGCGCAGGCGAAGCCAGTGACGTCGGTACAGAGACCACCACCGACGACGAGCACGGGCTCTTTGCGGATGAGGCCGAAGCTGCCAACCCAGAGAGCTCAGTACTCGCGCGTGGGATGGGCAGACGGAGGAGCTCACTCGTTGAACTTGTCGACGATCGAGAGCATCGTCGTCATCGTCTTGTTCTTCTCGCCGCCAGCCATGATGAAGACGGTGAGGTCGATGTTGTGGTGCTCGAAATAAGCAGTCCACTTGTCATTGTAGTGACGGTGAACGTTCTCGTCCGTGACGAGAAGGACCCTCTTCCATGGCTTATAGAGCTTAGCCAGCTGGTCCTTTTTGGGATCGAACACATCGTCGACGATTTGGAAGCCTATATCAAGTCTGGATCAGCAGGGGATTGCACAGAAAGAGCTGCATGCTACAGACCATAGTTGATGTCTTCGATGCCTCGGACTTGGAAGCCGTCCTTTGTCTGGGTGACCTTTGCGGTCAGGTCGGATGCCATAGCTCTCTGAAGGATATGCGGGCCACACGGAAAAAACGCCTACGGTCAGCTCTCAAAACTTCTTCGACTTTGGCTCGATCGGCTTGCACCGGGCCAAAAGAGCTCGATGAGCAATAGTCGTCATTCGAGTGACATTCCCCTCTGCGCGTCCCCTCTTCTCTGACACGGACCCCGATCACATGTTGATTTCTCTTGAAGTTCGCCGACGAGGCGGGCTCCGGCTAGGCGTTCGGGAAGGCAACATGGCGATCATGGATTAGGGATCGAGGATTCTGCCCCTTTGCGCGTGCCCTAGCGTTCTTCTGGAGTGATTAACAGCGTGCTCGACGATCAGTCCTTTCTCAGAGACACGAGGACGCCGCAGACCGAGAGGACAGCGCCGCCGCCCGTGTTGAATAGGTGCGAGCCAAATCTGTGGGAGAGGAACAACGGACGACAGGGCCATTCAATGGAAAGCTGAGGAGTTCATCTTCTCTTCTCCGGTCGAGAGCAAGTCAATAGGAGGACTCGGCGGAGTCTGTGCGTCAAGAGTAAGGGCGTCATTCTCGTAAGTGTCCAGCCCGCCTGCTTTTCCAAGACGCGAGCATGCTCTGCGCTCTTGTCTCCTCGGGGCTCTGCACGCCCATGCTCTCCAATATGAAGCTGACTCTGCCTTGTCTGCGCCCGCACAGAACGAGCCAGCACGCTGGCTTGAGCACAAGCGCAGTCCAGGACTCAAAACACACGCCTGAGTCTGCTTACTGTCGCACTGTGACTGGTCCCGAGACGGCTCTTCGCACGCTCACCGGCGACCAGCAGCGCACGAAAGCGTATCACTACAGCACAGGCATCCAGAGGGAGCTCAGGCGACGTGTAGACCGGCCTGGAAGCGCCGTCTGCCGTTTAGAAAAGACGGATTCCTCAATCTCCAGACAGCCTTGTAGGAGCTCTTCACTATACCCAGCCGTGTGCTAGCGAGCTCGACGGACATCGCCACGACTTTCAGTCTCGCATCCAGCATAGTTTGCAGTCGTACCGCAATAGAACGCAAGGAGAGCTCAATGAGCCCCGCGGACTCAGACGGGACGCCGATATATCAGTCGCATCAGAGACCCGAAGTCTGCAAGGCATAGTAGCACATCCGACATCCTTGTCATTGACCAGGAACGCTCCTATTGCCAGCTCGGACTGGCATTGCAAAACCCCCCACACTCACACTCAACGAACTGAGTCGCACAGACGCGGCCAGACGATCCCTCACGAGTCCCCGCCACGCAATCTACAATGGGTCATCAGACTCACACCGACGACCGCGAGCGCTACAATGCGCTCGACGGTCTCAAAGACATCCCTAAGAACGCGCCCATCCGGCCTATCACTGCTGAAGGCGGCGCGCTGGCAGCCAGTGATCGACTGATCCAAAGACGGCAGTTTCCTCAGCAGCCTATCAATACTAGCGCAAGGGGTACACCCACGGCGTATGCGTACAACGATGACAACCCCTCCGACTCACTCTCGGCTTCCCCGGTCGACAGTCTTTCACGCTCTGTTGGGTCAGAGCAATCTGCAGAAGCTCTCACTGCGCTTTGGATGGGTGATCTCGAAGAGTGGATGGACGAGAACTACATCGTCAGTCTGACTCATCGATCGTGCTGCTCGTTCGCTGACACGGACTGATCTGCAGCGACGTTGTATCTCCGCCATGCAGCTCGATCGTGACGAGAATGGCCAGCTCGGACTTCCTGTGATGATCAAGATGCAGCGGTCAAGATCAGGCGCAGACTATTGCTTGCTCTCCTTTCCGGCGCCCCATCATGCGCAGAACGCACTCAGTCTCTTCGCGTCTCGTCCGCCTACCTTTATGCCTGGCAGCGAGCGTACATTCAAACGTGCGTTCTCCGTGTGCTCGCATTTCCCTGGGTGATGATGCGTATTTCAGTGACATGGGCGCATCGAAGCAAATCGCCACCCCTTCAGCCATATCTACTTGTCAGCGATCTCAGCCGGGACATAACTGAAGCCGAGATAGTCGTGAGTCTCCTGTATAGGTCAAAGTTCTAGTCTGACATCAAGCAGGCCTTGTTCTCACCGCTGTTCACCTCCTGTCAGTCCGCGAAGATCGTCACCGACCCTTTCACGGGCGGCAGCAAAAGCTATGGCTTTCTCTACTTCAGCGACGAAGTGGAGATGGCAAAGGCACTCGCGTTCGGTCAAGCAGGCAAAGGAAACGGTCTAGCGCTACGAGGCAAGCCAATACGCATCAGTGATGCGACTGGTGCTTCGACCGCGCCACTGAATCGCTTTGGCGCCCACTCGCCAGCAGATGTTAGCAATGGCAGTTCATCCTACCAGGAAGACGGTCTACGCTCGCGGATCAGTCCGACGGTGTCCTCATTTGCGAGCAGTCCGCTACCAACGTCTACGGATTCTGAGCTTTCTAACGGGCCGTTCTCGCCTGTCTCACCGAGATCAGCGACGACGTCGAGCTCAGATGTCAATCTACTGACATCATCCTTCGCGGGTATGTCCTTACCGGCACACGCTGCTGGCCCTCCGATCACCAACAACGCGAATGATCCCAATAACACGACTGTCTTTGTCGGAGGCTTGCCTGCGTGCATCAGCGAGGAGACCCTGCGTGTACGTGGATGACATCTTCATATATTCACAAGACTGACACATCTACACAGAATTTCTTCCAGCATTTTGGCGATATTACCTACGTCAAGATCCCGCCTAACAAAGGCTGCGGCTTCGTGCAATTCGTTCGCCGACAGGATGCCGAGCTCGCCATCCTCAAGATGCACGATTTTCCCATCCACGGCAAGTCTCGCATCAGATTATCTTGGGGACGGAGTCAAGGCGACAAGCAGGTCGAGCATGTCAAGAAGCTGGCAAACGCGCTAGGCATTCCCTTCGAGTCTGTGTGGCGGATGGTGCAGGGTCAGGACAACTCGACTATCAAGCAGATTGCGAGCGCTGTCGGCAACGGCGCCAACGTATCTGCTGGCGGACGCCGTGGACCTGCTCTGCCGGCGGGCTTGACCGCACTGGACATCAATGCGTTTGCACGCAGCAACAGCACTGGATATGAAGGTGCATCACCAGCCAGCATTGGCGGCTACCGGCAGCAAGCAGCAGTCGATCCGTCCATCTATTCACGCGTATCGCCATCGACATTTACTCCCTTCAACGCTCAAAATCACCTAGCGATGCCAGGTGGTGGCACGGGCCCATACGGTCCATATCCCGCCCTCGCTGGCCAGCCTGCTCATTATAGCGCTCCAGGTCATGTCGGTCACAATAGCTATGACCGCAACGACTTTCTACGAGAGAGCAACGGATCAAGGACAACGCCGCTTGTTTCTCCCCCAGTACAGCCGCAGTACTCTGCTGCATCTGGCTTGACGACGCCCTTAAGCGCCGACGGCCTTGCCGAGACAGCTAGCGATACGCGAAACAAGACTGCCATGCATCAGAGCCGAGATAGCAATTGGAGCGCCTTCTTCACTCCTGGCGCCGACAACGCTCGCTGATCACGGTCGTGCAACCCTCAGAACAATAACAACTGACGACTCATCTTCCGATTCACTCTTCATCATGTGCAACGCTACCTCGTCTGCACCAGCAGTCGCTTCATGAATCGCTCCTTCGCTGTCAATCGCAATCTCTTTTATCAATCCTCAGTTTCGTCGATATTCGGCATGCAACTTCGGTATCAGGATAGCTTTTTCGCAAAAGTCGGACGTAAGATTGTCCAGCTGCAGACCGCAGCAGAATCTATTCGCTTCTCATTTAGACATGCTCAAGGCTCAAGACCTAAAGCTTCCGTACGCGCAATACCAAGCTCAACAACGATTGTGTGTATTGCGTAAACGTTGTATCCAGCACTTGCACTTTTGTGACTGATCCTCGTGCTTTGCGATGAATACATTCAGCTGTCAATAAGTCTGATACAAGACAAGTTGTACGGCAGCGGACAAGTTCGTGCATCACACAGCTTCGCCAAAATGGCTCTGTTGCTGCGTCCCGGTCATCGCCGGTTGATATTGCTTCTCCTGGGTTGCCATGCTGGGATGAGTGGGCTCCATCATGACCGGGAGAGTGGGCTGTGCGGAGTTGTAGCTGTCAGAGTCGCGGGCAGCACGCGCATTAGCTTCGCCAGCAGCCGACAAATATTTTTCGTCAGAGCCGTGATGCCGGGGTGAAGTCTTCCAAGAGGGATAGAGGTCCAAGATGAGCGTTGCGAAGTAGCCGGCAAGAATGAAGCTGACTGTCCATTCACATATACCGGCTGCACCAGTGATAGCGTCACAGTTGGACGCCCTGCCTGGACCGAGAGAGCCTTCTCCCCTGCATTTGCCGTATAGGGCCGCAAAGGCGATAGCGACGATGATTGCCACAGTGACGATGACGATCTTCAGGATCGCATTGCGCTTTAGATGGCGCGAGTCAGGATCGTATCTGCCGAGCAGCAGGACTTCTGCAGTTTGGAATATAGCCGACAGCGCAACGAAGATGACAAAGAGAACGGTCATCGACCAATGAACGGTACTGTAATCGAAGGCGTTGAAAATTGAAAGCATCAAGAGTGCCAAGCCTCCGATGAATCCGCATACGACGGCGAGCAGATCGAGTACAAGTTCCCTTCTGCCGTGTGTGCCCGGCAAGCGTTCGATGTGCCTTAGCCAGCGCTCGGTGACGAGCGAAGAGACGTAGAAGACAAAAACGAGTGCGCAGCCGGGGATGAAGAGAGCCTGAGACGCGTGAGCAAAGTCCTCGCATGTCTGACAGGTGTGCGGCATACCAGATGAGAGGCACCGACGTCGGACACAAAGACGACGACGTTGGATTCTGTCGATCGGTACCTGACAAAAACCCATGTCACTACTTTATCATGAAGGACTGAGATGACTATCATCACCTGCGATGGTCATCTTTCCCCAGCCAAAGTCCCAGCAAGCCCCCCAGAGTGGCGAGCCAGCATAGTGTAGCGCCCAAGGGGAACAGCCAATAGCCATGTCGAGTGAAGCGATGCAATCCAAGAGCCATGGTGCCAGATGTGTCTCTGCTTGCGGAGGTCTAGCCGGCGATAGGGCTCAGCGATGTCCTGTAAAGAGAATGGATGTTTTCTCGCGAAATGCTTTGGGTGCGAGGATGATGAGTTGAGTGACTTGACACGCAGTCGAGCTTTGCAAAGTCCGGAGTTGGATAGACACGCGCTAGCTGGTCTATTCGTCGCTGTTCGCTCTGGATGGGTGCAGTGCTATGACTGTGTGGGGCTGTGACAGACGACGAGCTGCCAGACGCTGCCGAGCTAGCCTGGTCTGTGCGTCTCGCCAAGATCTGGTTTAGCGCGGCGGTAGATCGACTGTCTGCTCTGTCCTGACTGAGAATTTCAATTTGCAAATGTCGATGACGCATATCAGATGTCACATCTCCACAGCTATCCCGCACTTGGAAGGGAGCGGATGATCAAGACACCCCTTGCGTGCCCAAACAATGCGCATTTGACCTGAATGCCCGATCCCGCCATGGACAATCTCGGTATCAGCAGCGACGGCTTGACTCTACCAGATGAGCACGTCCTGACCGTCCTACCAAGTCGGAGTATCTTCGAAGAAGACACGAATTTGGAAGGAGGTGCTGATCAACGGCTCGCTGCCGAAGGTGATCTCGAACTGCCAGGTGACGAAGACGAGACTGAGGATGCGAGCGATCAATCGTACATGGCCATCGACGAGCCGCTAGCAGGAGGCAACATCTCCTCGCTGGCAGGGGCTGCCTTGCAGGGCGAGACAGCCCACGGCATCGTCAGGCTGCTCGCGCTTGTCATACAAGAGCTTTCGGACAGCGCTGCTGTTGCCGGCAACACGGATGCACCAGCTCACTCTGCCATCTTGTGCCACGATTCCGTCCAACACATTCGCAGCCATGCTTGCGATCTCGGCTGGGGCTGTGGCTTCAGAAATGCTCAGATGCTCCTGAGCTGCATTCGAGATCTGCCACCGTATCGCGAACATCTTCTGCGGCTTCAAGAAGGCGACGAGGCAGATATGCTGGCCGGACTACGCAAGCCCGATGTTAGCGCGGACACAGAGAAAGCCTCGCCCTCTACGACGCCCTCACAACGCGCTGGCTCGACAGTGTGCGCGTCTATACCCGCCATCAAGGAATTGCAAGCTGTATCAGAGCAAGCGTGGCACGCGGGCTATGATGCCAAAGGCGCATCGCATTTCAAAAACTCGATAGAGGGCTCAAAGCGCTGGATCGGCACGACCGACGTTTATACCATGCTCACCTATATGGGCATTCGTGTCGGCATACTTGATCTTCCAAAGACGACCGCGAGACCGGGAGAGAACCGCAGGCCTTGCGAGAGGCTCGTTGCCTGGATTCAGACCTACTTTGCCGAATCGCTTGGCTTGCCGGAAGGAAGGGACGCTTTGCCGGGGACTGATAGACCTGCCGGTGCTCCGATCGTTCGAATCAGTAGTCGACCGTGCCTCTACCTCCAGCAGCAAGGGCATTCCCGTACAATCATCGGCATAGAAACCATAGGCGACAAAGTCAATCTGCTCACTTTCGATCCCAGTCGGTAAGCATCTATAGGAGCACATGGGTTACTCGCTAACATGGGTGTCAGACCGTCATCGCGCAGGTTGAAGAAGCTTAGCAAAAGTCCTGTAGAAATGCTCGCAGCCTCAGCAAAAGAAGTTACCGCAAAAGAAAGCAAGACTTTTCGCATGATCCGTCGTCTTCGTCAAAAAATTGACGTCAGTGAAAAGAAACGCATCGTAGGCATGTACCGCATCACGCTCAATTCGCTCGCATTGAAAGACCGATACCAGCTCTTGTACGTCGTGCCTGGGCCCCCGCTCACGCTCGAGGAAAGAGACGCTCGCAAAACGCCATACAGTCACATAGCATGAAGTGCCAGTGTCGTTGTACTCTTTGAAGCAATGCAGTTCGTGCAACGCAAAGATTTCAGAAAGCAGAAAGCAGTTTGTTGCATCATTGTAGCTACAGGTTGCGTTTGACAGATCCCGGAAAAGATTCAAAGCATAGCATCTAGAGCTCATCATGGGCAGCTTCTTCCTCATCATCGCTGGCTTCATCCCCGGAGCCTTCGGCTTCAAACGTCGGCAGGTCGCCCTTGGACTTGACCTGGTTGGCGCTCTTGCTCTCTGCAAACGAGATGAGATCTTCGATGCTGCGATCGCCTTCGTATTCGATCCATTCTTTCGAGCCAGCTGGCTTGAATCGAATGGTAGGGAAACCAGCGATCTTACCGCCTGCGGTAGGCGGGATGTCGTTGGCAGTTCCGTCAAGCTTGGCAACGAGGAACTTGTCCTTGTGCTCGCTGAATTGGTCTGCCAGCTGCTCCCAGATGGGCTTCAGGCGCTTGCAGTGTCCACACCAAGGCGCATAGACTGTGCGTATCATCAGCGTCTCATTCGCAGTCAGGTAGTATGGCGCGTACTCTCGAGGAAAACATCCTTGCTGTCGTCAAGTGCGACCTTTTCAAATTCTGACGTTACGAGAACGTAGACAGATTCGTCTTGAGTAGCGGGCACAGCCTCGCTCTTGATGCTAGGCTCAATCTCGCCCTTCAAGTATTTGCGAACGAATGCGCCGACGTTCTCAGGGTCGACAGTAAGAGATTGATCAAGAGGGAACTTGGTGGCCTCTTGAACATCCTGGATCGCAAAGGCGGGCCACTTGGCGTCTTCAAGGTTGAGAGACTTTGCGTGATCGCCAAACTTGAGCGCGTCAATCCAGACGAGGTTGACCTTGCCTTTGACTTCGCGAGCGAGTGGCTCGAGCGACTTGACGAGCGCCTCACGGCTCTCATCTGTTCGTTCGACAAAGACGTAGGCGAGCGGCAGGCCGGATTCTGCGTACTTGGCAAAGTTGTCGGGCGAGATCTCATCGAGCAGAGGGGTGTCGTAAGTCTTGACGAACTCAAGGAGCGAATCCTCAGTGAACGAGCTGGAAGGGAAGTCATTCCTGCCCTCATCGAACGACTTGTGCAGGACAATCTTTGCACCCGATGCACCGGCAAGCGAGCTATCGTGGGTCAAGCCAAAGACGTAGCTGTCGCGGTGGGTGTTGGCAAATTTGGTGAAGGTCTCCTTGTGCTCAGTGTCGGTTGAGTCGAGGTAGGCAATGATGACGACCTTGTCCGTCTTGCTGAACTCGTCGTGATTGCTCGAGGTGACATCAGAGACGGCCGGTAGTGCTTGCCTGAAGGTGACAAGGGTCAGCCAAACGGACGAGCGCGACAGGAGTCTCTTACTTTTTCATGTAGCTGATGATGCCAGGCGCTTCTCGAGTGCCAGCGTAGTCAGCTTCCTTGCCGTTGCGGAAGACCTTGAGTGTGCTGTCGATGCATGGTGAGCTTAGGCAGCATGCTCAGAAAGGAACACGTACGGGTAACCATTGACACCGAGCTCTGCACAAAGATCAGCTTCTTGTGTGCAGTCGATCTTGGCGAGCTTGATGTTGGACTCCTTGAGCGCAGTAGCTGCCTCCTCGTAGTGGGGAGCAAGAGCCTTGCAGTGACCACACTGAAGTCCCCAGTCAGCGTCGTCAAGCTCAAAGAGGCCTGCCACGTCAACTCACCCAGGGCGCAAAGAACTCTGCCAGGAGAAGATCTGAGCTGTCGACAGTCGACCTGAACGTGTCCTTGCCGAGTTCCAGCACGTCGCTGGCGGCTGCGACTGCCGCCAGAGCAGCAAATACCAATCCTCGCATGGCTTTAATTGCTGAACGAGCGAGCAGGCGCGCGCTCGCGACGACTGGCGTGATTTTCTCTCACGGTCGCTTTTACACGACGCATCTTTTGACGACGACTTCCCTTGGCGAGGGCAGCAAGTATACATGCATCAAGGCCTTTGTCGAGCACGGTCGGCACCGTGACACGGACGTCGTGACATCCATGCATGCGCTACAGCAAGTTACTGGCAAGGTAGTCTGCAAACATGCTCGCGATGGTCTCTGCAGAGCAATCTTTGCGACTCTGTCTGTTGAGTATCGTGAACTGTCGCTTGAGCCGATGCATCTTACTCGGCGGTACTTTGATCGAAGGCAGGTTCACTTCGAGCAAAGTCTGTTGACCATGCGATAGGTTAACGTGTAGCTTCGTCGAACCGCCCGACAGATCGATAGCTTGCGCCTCTATGATTGCCGTGATGACCGACTGTGTGACCGTCTCGAGGAGATGCAGATAGTCGCCAGACGGTACGGAAGTCTGCAGATCATGGCTCAACGAATGAGCTGGGTATAGCAAGACATCAAGGACATGGCGTACAGGCAAGACAGCTCCCGTCGGAGGTTTAAGCGTGGCGGTAGTGAGCGCAGACATGATCTTGTCGACAGGCAAGCACGCATCCTCGTCAGACACGACGATGAGAGGCGTGTCCCATCTTGTCGCGTATGATGGCTCTTCATATCGCTGCAAGAGGTTATCAAATCTGCGCAGCAGAGATCAGTTGTGGGGCGACGATCAGCAGACGCAGGCTCACGTCGCTTGTAGGTAGCCCTTGTCGCCTTTGGCTATATTCCATGCTCGACAGCGATTGATGGGCGCGACGACATTGAGCTGCGCGTCAGGTGAGTTGCAGACCGGAGTGGCGGCGAGGCCGACTGACAGTGCATGTACGGCAGCCTGCTTCCCGAGCGGCGCAGTAGTATTGATATCGCAGCGACTTGATGTAATTCATTGCGTCGCAGATCACAATGCGATCTTTCCGTAGCGCCCTGACGACAGCAGAGAGCAGCGCAGCACGCGCAGGCTTCTCTGACCTGCTCTCTAGCTCGCACCGCATGAGCATGTGCTCAGTCGACGAGACAGACACTCGCCATCGTAGGCATCGCGAGAGATGTGGATGGATTCGTCCGATATGATGACAACCTCGAGCGCTTGCTGTTCCTGTAGTATCCTGACGAGTTCTGCCACTCTTGTGCTTTTGCCGCTGCAGGGATAGCCGGATACTGTGACGAGTGCCATGGGATGGAAGGCGGCAGATAGCAATCCGAAAGATGGACAGAGCGCGACACGACGTCAGCACGGTGCTGCATGCAGAGCGATGGCAGTGACAATCCCCTGGGCAGGTTCTGACGAGAGCAGAGGCGATGCATCGGCTGACGTCGGTGCAGGCTACATACCCAGCCTGGGTCTGAACATCCTCGCGCTTGTGTTGTACGCCCTCATCGGCGCCGGTCATTTCATCAACGTCTTTACCTATCGCACCAAATGGGGGCTATGTCTGCCCATTGCCTGTTGGAGTCAGCCATCCAAGCTGTCCCTCGTCTCGATGCTCAAAGCAGGTCACAGCGGAATCGCTCGGGTTCGGTCTGCGCATCCTCTTTCGACATGATGTCACCTCTGGCGTGTTCATAGCCACAAACCTCTTCGTCGTCCTCTCACCCGCTGCTTTCCTCGCATTCAATTATATCACCTATGGTAGACTCATCCGCCAGATCAATGGCAACGTCTCCCTCATCAATCCTCGCAAAGTAACCCGGATCTTTGTCGCGAGCGTGCGTCCAAAGATCTCTGTCCTTGACCAGCCTGACGCTTTATGCAGGACATCTTTACCTTTCTTGTGCAAGGCGCAGGTGGCGGTCTGATTGCCTCTGGCTCATCGACCGGTCAGATCATCTTCTTGGTAGGCTTAGCCGGGCAAGGCGCTTCCTACGCGCTCTTTTGCGTCTTGTTCGTCTCTGCCCACATCCGCATCGTCAGAGCTAGACGACGGACAACATTCAGCAACGAGAAGGCCGGTAGCCAAGCAACACTGGCGAATCATGATGGTGATGATGCTCCGGCTGTGCAGCCGACAGCTTACGACCAACCTTTCTGGACCGTCTTCGCTTGCCTGTACGCCACGTCAGTACCCATCTTGATACGGTCGGTCTATCGCGTCATCGAGCTCGCCGTGGGCTACAACGGTGTCCTATACAATCACGAAAAGTACTTTCTCGGCCTCGATGCGCTGCCGCTTCTCGTCGCCGTCGCCATCTGGCTGCCTTTGTGGCCATCTCGTTATTTTCCGAAACATGCACGAGCATGACGTAACAGCAAGAGCAAGCACTCACTTTCGCAGAAAACACCATAGAATACATTAGTAACACACGTGTAGCGCATACAATTACATGATGTTGCACTTTGCACTGCTGCAACACCCTTTGCCGTGACTGTCATCTGCTGCTGCTGCTGCTGGCTTAGTTGCTGCTGCTGTCGTTGATGTCTTCTCTGCCTTGGGCACTTCAGCGAAGCTCGGCTGTGCCGGCGGCATGACGTTACGGCGAGGATAGATTGGAACGGGTTGTGGCTTGACGGCCTCTGCCGCAGTCGACGAGTCGACAGCAGGCCGAGCCGGATCTGACGCAACGAGAGCAGACAACCTATTGCTTGCTTTTGCTTCCATCGCGGAAGGCGATGTCGTCGGAACAGCTGCCGGTAGTGGCTCTGACTCGGGCGTGCCCTTGATCTTGCTCGCCTGGTCCAGCTCGACAGGTGTAGACTCTTCTAGTGGCGGCACAAAGTGGTCCGCGAGATTGGCATTCTGGGATTGACTGGCCTGAAGCCGCTTGGCGACGGTGGGAATCACGACATCATCCCAGGTATGCTTCTCCTGAGGAGGTGAATCCTTCTTTTGCGCAGCTAGCGCAATGCCAGCCAATGAGCCTGCCTCTGGCATGATGTCGCTTTTGTAGATCGTCGGCGCTTGTGGGACCCACTCGCTATCCGACATTGTGCTGTGATCGGCAGATGCGGATGTGAATGACTTTGCTCGCTGTCGGGTCTCTGATAGTCGAGCTACCGATTGGACGGGCTCCGTCTTGCGAGGTTTCTTAGCGATAACGCGCGTGGGCTGGCTGATCGCTCGTTGGCGCACCGTCCTCAGGTCTTCATTCGACGGTGCAGGCGCAACGACGGTACTTGATGGTTGTGCGGGCAGTGGATGTGGCTCTGGCGCACTCAAAGCTGAAGCAGGTGGTTGTTCGAGATCAGCACTGCCCTGCTGCCCTTCTTGCGTTGGCTCGGGTTGCGGTGTTCCAGACCTTAGCGCGCCTCTAGAAGGGCTAAGTTGACCCGGCGCCACACCTTTGAGCGAGTCGCGCAAGTTCATGCTCGAGCCTGATCCTGGTATAGATGAACCTGCAGCTTGCGTCGTCGAAACAGATATGACTGCAGGAGATTTGATTGGCAAATTGGCTTCTGACTGCTTGCGCTTCCGGAAGCTGCCTGTGCTGATAGAGCGCGGAGGACCAAATCTTGCCAGTGGCGAACGTGAGCTAGGCGCTTGCGTCGAAGCTTGCGTTGAGACGACGGAAGCCGCTATATCCTCTTCTGTGCCCGTGGCTCGTGGAGTTGCCTGGCCGCTGCGAGTCTGCGTCAGCATGGGATCTCACAAGCTCTTTCTCACTGACCTCATCGTGTCGGCGAAGGCAGAGAAGAGATCGTGAGAAGCAGGGCCTTGTTGCTCTTGTTGGTGCTTGTTCCAGGAAGCAAGCGTTTCTGCAGTCAGCGAAGAGTGACGGACCGGACGCGAGAGCCGATCTAAGCCTGACAAGGATTTTGTGGGTGCAGACGCGATCGAGGCAAGGCTGGCCGAACTATCGTCGCGATCTCTGTTGGAAGTTATACCGGCGAGATTGCGATAAGAGGAGCCTCGACCGGTTGGCCTCGAAAAGTTGTGCTTGACAAGGGAGGTCGCTTTCTGAGGGCTAGCCGGCTTCGATGATGATCTATTGGTAGATGCAGTTGCGAGCGGTTGCTGTCGAGCCGCGCGATCGGTGAGATCGAGTGAACCTGCCTCGGTCTCACTTGCACTGCCGTCAGACGAGGCTACGCTGCGATGAGAAGGAAACGGCTGAGTGACTGCCTGTGTAGATGAGACCGGCGCTGAGAGGTAGGCGTCTACAGCGCGACGTCTGATCCTCGCCTTGCCGCTCGACGATGTGCTTAGCCCGCGCGTTCGAGGTTGTTCTCCAACTCGCGGCGATGCAGACCAAGCTTCTTGGCTGCCCGGGCTTGCGTGACTCTGATGACTGCTCGCACTCGACTCCTCCCTGCTGATCTGCTTCTCGAGCGATTTGAGTTGATGGATGGGTGTGTCAACCGCTGTAGAATCGTCTGCTTCGTCGTCGAATGTATGGATGCCTGAAGGCGGTTCGGCCGCTCGAAAGCTTGCTTTCGACTTGGCGTGCCGAAGGTCTGGGTGGTCTGAGTCGTCGGTACGCCAGGTACGGCCAACGATGGCCTCGAGTGCGTGCTGTTTGGCTAGTTCGGCGTCACGGCGCTCCCTCTGCTTGGCTTCCTGATCAAACTGCTCAAATTCGTCGTCAAAGTTTCGCATAGTCTGTCGGACGGGCAGTCTTGACACAGATTGTGAGCGAGTGTCAAGCTGTCCTTCGTCGGCAGCCCGTCGTCCAAACGGGCGTGAAAAGTTGGGCTGCTCTTTAGAGAGGTTGTAGCGTGATCTAGCCTGCTTGGCAGGCTTGGCCTTTGTACGATCGTCGACTAGCTTTGCGATGTGCTCGAGCTCGAGGAGAACGGCACGCAAGCGAGTGTGGGTGGCTTCGACGAGCACGAAATCTGAAGCATCGAGGCAGAACTTGTTGACTGCCATGTTACCAGATGTATCAGCTCTGCGTCGCTCAGAGGCTCGTGCGCAGCCTGACTCACCCGACAAACGCTCAAGAGGTCACGAAGCCTAGCCGGCCACGCCTCTATCTGAGCTGGCTCCCTTGGCGCTCGCGGCCAATTTTGGATTCCAAGCAGACGCGCCTTCTCCTCCAAAGTCAGTCAGCCAGCAAAAGCGCGAGGGAGAAATCAGACCCAAGCAAAATTTGCATGGAGATCACACGTCAATGCGAACGTCAGAGAGAGCATGTTGGCAGGCATGCTAGCCTATGCGATCTAAGGGCTGCTCGAGCTCAGCTTATTTCTGCAGAGCAAAGGTTCAGTCAAACGGGACGAGCGATAGAAGGGGTCACGAACGGAAGCCTCCTTGTAGCCCAAGGCGAGCTCTTCGCCCATGGCACTCGTGACTGCGATGACGAGCTGTGCAGCGAGGATCAGCCTTGAATGAGAAGCGAGCGAGCAAGCGCGACTGACATCCTTGCCATCTTCGAAATCCTTCTCAATCTGCTCGCCAAGCTCTCCCTCGGGAACCTTGACATCGTTCTTCTCGGCACCGTCACCAGTCATGAGGTTGAGGAAGCCATCGTCGACTGTTTCTCTTGTCAGATTGCACAGATGCTGCACGGAGCGACATACTGTTAACGAGGGTGTATTCCATACGGTTGACATTAGGGACTGTCACATCGGTTAGCATTGACTTGGGTCTGCGGACGGTCGATTCACCATCCATATTGTGAGTCGAGGGCGAGATATCTTCGAGCTTCTTGTTGGTGAAAATGTCGATAGCGACCAAGTGGACCTTGGCGTGACCGTGCTTGCCCGTCTTTGAAGTGGACATATCGACGATCTGACGGCGCGTCTTGGCGTAAGCAAACGAGGACCCTGCGCTACCACCACGGGACCGACCTTGCAAGGGCGACCTTTGATGACGACGTGACCGTTCTTGCGCAGTGCCGAGCATTGCATGGGGTAGGTCATCGATGCGCCAGCGCCGACGCTCTCGAACGTCTCATGGTGCTCTTCCTCGGCGGGAGGAGCCATCTTGAAGCCTGGCTTTGCAAAGTCTCACGCAGGCGACCGCTCCGTCGATGTCTGGTGGGGCTCCTCGCTGTCAGTCTTGCCGATTTGGGTTAGAGCTCAGACGAACCTGTCGGAACGAAGTTTTGGTTTACAAGCGGCCTCGGGTGACTCTGAGAAGCACAAGCGAACTTGTCAGTACCGGCCGCGATACAGCTGACGCAAGCGAGAAGCGAAGGGCACTGCGGAAGGAACGCAAATGACGAGCTGGGCGGCGGAAAGGTGAGAGCAACCAATCGCAAGCCACGCAAAAGCGCCGCGCAATGTGTCTAGCTTGCAGATCTTGCGCTTCTACTGCCCGACCAGCTCGTCTTTCATCGCTTCACGCAGATTCGCTACGCCCAATGCCCTTGCGCCTCGCTTTCTTCTACTCACCTCGGCCTTGTCGTTTCTCTGTCGCACAACGTCGCTTTTTTCCGCAAACTTCTCACGCGAAGTATCAGATGATTGAGATTCAAGTTCCACAATGTCGAGGACTGTCTCTGGTCAGCGCTGGAAATAGTCCGGTTGAGCAACTTTGCGCTAACCAAACTCTAGGCCAGGCCGGCGACCCTTTTTCATTTTGAGCGACCATGCGGATCAGCGATAACGATATGCATGACTTGCCGTCCTCTCTCACTTCCATAACTCTCGCACTGAACGTCAGATGGACACCGAAAAGCGCAGCAGCTGCGAAAAGCAGGCCTCTACGGCCTCCCATGAGGGTGTCACGGCAGATCGACCAGACTCGCAGAACGAGAAGACTCTGCCAAACGAAAAGCAGGGCATGCAGAAGTCAGGCGACCCCACAAAGCAAGGCTTAGTCAAGCACACGACAGAAGATGATCTCGAGCTTCCGAGCGATGAGGAGCTCAAGACACTGCGACGCGTGCCTGATAGCCTCACGATGAGCATCTTCCTCGTCGTCATCGTCGAAGGTTGCGAGCGAGCGGCATACTATGGTCTCACGGGCATCTTCTTCGACTATCTCGCCAACCCGCTCGGTCCCTTGCCATCCGGTACGGGTGGTGTGGGTAGCGATCCTGAAGGTCTGTCAGGCGCGTTTGGACTCGGCACTGTGCCTGCGAACGGTCTCGTGCAATGTCAAAACTTTGTTTGTCTCTCGTTGTCCTCGATAGAGCTCTGCTGATGACCTCTGTGTCAGCTGACTTATCTCTTCCCTATTCTTGGGGCCTACATCGCTGATACCAAATGGGGACGCTACAAGACGATCTGCGTCTTCAGTGCGATCTACTTTGTCGGTCTGGTCATCATCACAGCTACCGCTGTGCCGTCTGCGATCCGTCATTCGTCTGCACTCGCAGGCTGGATCGTCGGCATGGTCCTCATGGTGCGTCGAGCCGCTTTCTGCTACCGCGAGCTGACGTAGTCTCCCTCATCAGAGCTGTGGCAGTGGTGGCATCAAATCCAATGTGGCACCGCTCGTAGCTGATCAGATCACTACGCCTCCTATGCGGATCAAGACACTCAAGACAGGCGAAAGGGTCATCGTCGATAGAGATGCAACGATTGCGCGGGTCTATGCCGTCTTCTACGCCAGCATCAATATCGGCGGCCTCTTGTCACTTGCGACAGCAGAAATGGAACGATACGTCGGCTTTGTCTGGGCGTACCTAGTACCCACTTTGGTATTCTTGGCTGTTCCTGTCGTGCTCTTCCTCGGTCGCAACAAGTATAGGGTCGTCGCTCCAGAAGGCTCTGTCCTTCTCGATGCGTTCAATGTGATACGCTATTCGCTGCGCAGCTTCTGGACTGCGCCTCTATCGTATTACCGGAGCATCAGACGAAAGGAAGATCCCTACGCAGTCTGTCGCCCGAGCTACTACGAAAAGCAAGGTCAAGAGAAGCCGAGCTGGCTCAAGTGGGACGATGTATTCGTTTCAGAAGTGCAGAGGACCGTCACCGCAACAAATGTGCTCTGGTTCTTTCCCATCTACTGGCTCTGTTACGGCACATTGCTCGGACCGCTCATCTCCCAAGGCAACGAAATGCAATTGGGCGGAACGCCTGCAACATTGTTACCCAACATCGACTCGATCGCTCTCATCGTTTTCATCCCGATTGTCGATATCTTCCTGTATCCGTTCCTTCGTCGACGTCAGATGATGCCAGGACCCATTGCCCGTATTACGCTGGGCTTCTTCCTGGGCTCAGCATCGATGATCTGCGCCTCGGTAACCCAATACTATATCTACAAGAGATCGCCTTGCGGTACAGACATCAGCGATACGGCTGGCTGCTATGCACCCATCAATGTTTGGCAACAATCGCTGACTTATACACTTATTGCGCTTTCTGAAATCTTTGCGAGTATCACGGGCCTCGAGTTCTGCTATCAGCGTGCGTGCTGTCTTCCTCACAGCTATCGAAACTCATAGGATTCCCGCTGAGCAGGCGCGCCCCTTCGGATGAAATCGCTCGTGCAGGCTTTCTTCCTGCTGATGACGGCGTTTGGCAACGCGCTCGCTGCTGCCTTGTCACCCGTCACAGGTGATCCCTACTTCACCTGGCTGTGAGTGAGCTGCATCTACAGCGTTCCGAGCTTGACGTCTGTGTACAGGTACGGAGGAACCGCTATTGCAGCCTTTATCACAGGCGTCATCTTCTATGTCCTCTTTCGTCATCTTGACGTCAATGACGCAGAGACCAATGCCATTGGTCTCGAGCAGGAGCGCGTCGACAAGGCGTTCATTGCTCATCCTTCGACACAGGAGGAAGAGGTCCGCATTGATGCCAGAGAAGGAGAAGCGACCGCGACAACCCTCGCACTTCTCGGCGGCCGATAGACGCTGCAATCAGGACTCGATCACGTCGTAGATAATGATATACACATGCATGGGATAATGGACATGAGCATCGATCGCTGGCCTGGCTCCGAGTGACTTGGGCTTATGCCAGCTTGACGCGCGGGTGGCGTCTGATCATCAGCAGGCGCAGTGGATTGGCGTGCGCACGCCAGTTACTAGCCCATCATGGTGAGCTTGCAATCGTTAGTGACTTCCCCAGGAGCTGAAGCGGGAGTCCCGAATGACAGTCTTCAGGTGTTGCGGTCTCCTCGGAATGCTTGGAAGCATTCCAAACGGTGAGGGAGCTGTGCTGGCTTGCTTCGCTTTGGAGCTGATGACCCCTTGCTCGTGCACAGCTCAAGCTCGGCAAGAGTCAGCATTCGGCTCATACTCACTTGATGAAAAGCTGACGCTAGTCTTCAGAGCTCAAGTACATCATCTACGGGCTCAACAAGGACAACACCGAGATTGTGGTCGTGAAGACGTCCGACTCGGCAGACTACGACGAGTTTGTAGGCGACCTGCCGCCTGCAGATTGTCGCTGGGCAGTGTACGACTTTGAATACGAGCAAGCTGGCGGAGGTGGCAAGCGAAACAAGCTCGTCTTCTACATGTGGTCCGGTCTTTCTCAGTCTGGCATGCGATGTCAAGCCTGATGAGAGAGGACCAGGTCGCCGGACGAGTCGAAGATCAAAGCCAAGATGCTGTTTGCTTCTTCCAAAGACGCTCTCAGGCGTTCACTCGTCGGCATCGCGACAGAGATCCAAGGCACAGACTTTAGCGAGATTGCGTATCAGACTGGTGCGTCATTGCGCGCTCATGTTGAACACGGCAGAATTCAGCTGGCTGACGTTGTTTGTTGCAGTTCTTGACAAGGTCAGCCGAGGAACCTCATAGAATGCGGCGTTTGCGCACCCACGCGTCCTGTCAGGAACGACAGCGACGAAATGCCATGTTACCTGCTGTCTGCTCTCCTGGTCGCGCGCGCTTCATCTGAGCTAGTGTCTCTCTATCGATGACTGGCAGCGATCAGTCCATTGCCCGCCCGAGTGTGTGTGAAGAAGAGCTCGTGATTACAACAGACATGGTGACAAAATTGATACAGCGAGACTATCTCAAAGATCAGCGGCCTTTGCTTTACCCTTGCCTTTGCCAGTGTAAGTCGGCTGCTTCTCATACGCGTTCGAAGGGGGAGGCACTACGACCTGAGTGGCGCTGCTCGATTCTGATGACTTGCTCGCCTGTGCGGAGTCGTCGTGCGAATGGTGCTTATGGTCGTGCGCGCCTTCGTCACACGAGTCATCGGATTCGTCGGACGAGACGTCAAACGGATCGTCCCATTTCCTTGGCTTGCTGTAAATGCAGCAGACTGCAGAGCGTACACACTCGCGATGAGCATGGTCTGCTGTTCACGGCGGCTGCGAGCTTACTCTTGCTCTTCTTTCGACCCAGACCTTCATTGTCGACGACTTCCTCGTCCCATTTGACCCGGGGTGACTTCTTTGTCGATAGACCTCTGAGCTTGAGCACGCCACCCGGACCGGCTTGAGGAGTGTCCGCTTGCTGATGATCAGACTCGTGTTCGGTGACAGTTTGCGAGCCTGCATTGCTGTTCCGTGGTCGCATGTTCAGCCGATGCACTGGGATGAGAGTGCAGAGCCTACGAGTCTCGAGGTCGGGTGCTTGTCCGTCGCATGATTCAGGCCAGCTCGGATTCCAAGCGCCGACGCCAGGCTTTCGGCCGAAGTGAGCGAGTCGTCATGTCACGTGGCACTTGGCACAAAGCTCGTATCGCCAGCGAGGAGGTCGACGTCTTTGCGTGCGTCAAGTGTACGCCATGGTGCAGGACCCACGCATGTCCGAGAAAGAGGCTGCAAGGCTCGTCTGTGGTGTCCTCAGCTGTGCTCGGCTGACCCTCGAGCGGGTCTCTCAGCATCAATGCAGCTGCAGCTGTAAGACGGTACGATGTCAAGCCACGCCTCGACTATCGCACCGTGTCTGCAGTCAATGGCGAGCTCGCCTCCACATTGAACTTGTCCATGATGAGCTCATCTTGTCCTTGGACCGCGCAGGGCCGCTCGTCGTGCTAGAGAACGTCAAGTTCCCGTCGTACAATGAGATCGTGCAGCTCACCTTACCCGACGGCACGAAGCGAGGCGGTCAGGTACTCGAAGTCAACGGCAACAAGGCCATCGTTCAGGTCTTTGAGGGCACTTCCGGCATCGACGTCAGAGCGACCCACGTCGAGTTCTCGGGATCGAGCATGAAGCTGCCCGTGAGCGAGGATATGCTCGGTCGCATGTTCAACGGATCGGGCAAACCCATCGACAAGGGTCCCAAAGTCTTTGCGGAAGACTATCTCGACATCAACGGTGGGTTCAGCAGCTCTTACAAGTCTTGCATGCGGACTGAACGCGTTATCATCCCGGACAGGCTCACCCATCAATCCCTACTCCCGCGTGTACCCCGAAGAGATGATCCAGGTCGGCATCTCCTCCATCGATACCATGTGTGCCGTCGCACGAGGTCAGAAGATTCCCATCTTCTCGGCTGCCGGTCTGCCTCACAATGAGGTACGGACTTTGCGCTTCATCCGTCGACGAGACTGAGAAGGAGAGACGATCGTGCAGATTGCCGCGCAAATCTGTCGACAAGCTGGTTTGGTCAACAAGAGCAAGCCCACAAAGGGCGTGCATGATGACCATGATGTAAGGATGCCCGACGGAAAGGCAGCTACAGATCTGACCGACCGACCGACCGACAGGATAATTTCTCGATCGTCTTTGCTGCCATGGGCGTCAACATGGAGACCGCTCGCTTCTTCAGGCAAGACTTTGAAGAGAACGGCTCGCTCGATCGCGTCACACTCTTCCTCAATCTCGCCAACGATCCTACGTAGGCAAAGCACAGCTAGATGGGAGTCTGCTAATTCCTAAAGGTGGTTTCCAGGATCGAGCGCATCATCACACCTCGTCTGGCACTCACAACGGCAGAGTATTATGCTTACCAGCTCGAGAAACACGTTCTCGTCATCTTGACCGACATGTCGTCCTACGCCGATGCGCTCCGAGAAGTCTCGGCCGCACGAGAAGAAGTGCCCGGTCGCCGTGGCTACCCAGGATACATGTACACGGATCTCTCGACCATCTACGAACGTGCAGGCCGTGTCGAAGGTCGCAACGGATCGATCACCCAGATTCCCATCCTCACCATGCCCAACGATGGTATACTCGATCTAGTCTGATCACGGACTGCACTGATATCGGAAGGCAGATATCACCCATCCTATTCCTGATCTGACAGGTTACATCACAGAAGGCCAGATCTTCGTCGATCGACAGCTTTACAACAAACAGATCTACCCACCCATCAACGTCTTACCTTCTCTCTCGCGATTGATGAAGAGCGCCATCGGCGAAGGTCTCACCCGAGCAGACCACGGCGATGTGTCCAACCAGATGTACAGCATGTACGCTGTCGCTCGTGATGCTGCCTCGATGAAAGCCGTCGTCGGTGAGGAGGCTCTCTCGTCCGAAGAAAAGGTGCGCCCGGCCCTACACTGCAAACAAACCCTCAGCTGATGCGTGTATGCAGCTCGCGCTAGAGTTCTTGGACAAGTTCGAGAAGACATTTGTCAACCAGGGAGCGAACGAGTCGAGGACGATCTTCGAGTCGCTCGATCTCGCCTGGACGCTTCTGCGTATCTTCCCTCGCGAACAACTCTCGCGTATCTCGCCCAAGATCCTCGACCAATACTACGTCCGTCTTTCCCTCTGATGCCCGGCGACGCTGACTTGCTCTACATAGGCACGGAGGGGCAAGGAGAGCAAGAAAGAGGAAGACAAGGACGATAAAGAGTGATTGGTTGATTGATTGCATACTGTCTCTGCAGTGATTGTCGCTTTTGTATCTCAAACTACGCGCAGCCGTCGGCCATTCGCGCCATTTTTCCGCCCGAGAACCGAGCCACATTGAAGCATGCTGAGGGCGAGAGTAGCTCGAGTAGCAGCGCAGGCGAGGCCTGTTGCACGTTTGCCGAGCAGACGCTATGCTTCCAGTGCCGAAAAGGCAACGGAGACCATCAAACATGCCGCAAGCCGAGGAGGTGACACGACCTGGATCGTCAGTCTGGTGCACTTCTACCTGACCCATGAGCTCATGCGAAAGCTGCAACAGATCGGATCTGGCTTGATCTTCATTCCGACGGTCATCTACCTCACCTCGCCCCCTCACAAGAAAGATCACGTCGAGCACTACAAGGAACGACATCAGACCCGTGAAGCTCAGCGACAGGCCACAGAGGACTACTACGAGGACCACGATGATCCTGAGGACGAGGTGGCAGATCATGTTGGTCCTGCCGGTGAGGGTAAGGATCACGGAGACGGTGACAAGCACCTCCGTAGCAAGAGCGAAGCGGATCATACCGGCCGACAGAAAGTCACCACTGAGCCCGGATACATGCGTGCTAGCGCAGACAAGATGGCGCAAGCTCAAAAGGATTCCACAAAGGTACGCTCGCCCTTGGACACGTCAGACGCGCTGAGTGTTGATGTCAAAGGGGGAACAGGGCCAGAGTGATCCAAAGGCCAGCGTGGCAGCTCACAAGACCCGCGAGATGGACAAGAAGGCGGGAAATAAGCCCAAAGATGACCCGAAAGCAAAGATCGAGGTCAGAGAAGAGAACAAGACTGACGAAGAAAAGTCAGACGAAGAGGAGGAGAAGGAGGAGGAATAGACCAGATGAGGATTCCACGTCTCATCACTTCAAGCTTGCATTTGCAATGCAACGACAACATCAAACTTCGCGCATTCGTGTGTTATACAGATCATGAGGGTGTGGGCGTGAGCAGACTCCGTAGATTGTCTGAGATCGGCGGCGGTAGAGGCTTGGCTGCTTTTGCCGCGTCTTCATCCTCGAGCTTCTTGAGACGGGCATCTTTGAAGCCGAGCGCGCCTCGTCGTCGTAGGATGTCCTCTGTACTACCGGGCGCATCCTTTGCAGCTGCCTCTGCCCGCCTGCGGTCGTTGTCCTCGACGACGAGCTGGAAAGTCTTGTAAAGTATTTCGGCTTGCGCCAGCAGTGGCTCGACTTCCATCGTCAGACTCAAGCCCTGCATATCCGCTTCAGCACCGAATAGATGCGATAGAGCAAGCATGACTGACATTGATGTAAGCGAGCACCTCATCGAAATAGACGAGATGGCGGATGATCGGATCGCGATGGGTTTGTAGGATTGCGAGCGCGAAGAAGCATTGGGGTGAGGTACCGCAGACGTCCGTCCAGAAGTTCTCCCATAGCATCGGGATTTGTGCGAAAGTGAATTCGCGCTTGAACAGAATCAGCAGTTGGCGAAAGCAGAAGAACAGGTTTAGGCTGTCTGTCTTGTCTGCAGAGGTGCAGGAAGTCAGCTGGGCTGCATGCAATGAGCAAGATCGTCCTACCAAAATGCTTGTATAGCTCTGGATCCATCAGGGCGATGAGCTCTTGCAGCTGCGATAGCTGTTGCTTCATGCCCGATTGATCCCGTAAGAAGTTGCGTTTCTGCCATTCTACATCAGCTTCTCATCGACCTCTGTGCACGATACTGACCATGCGCTCCATCAGGCCAACGAAGCACCAGAAAGTGGTGATCTTGTCGGCATCAAAAGTGACATAGAGCGGCGAGCAGAGGTCAGACATTCCTTGCACGTAGCCCAGCTCAGTCTCGAAGAAATTGTAGGTGAGCAAGATCTCCTGTAGCCTTCGGACGTGAATATTCGACGCCGGCTGACCGCCTGAGCTCGCGCGAGTGTGTAGAGAGGCGTCCAAGCCTGCTAAACTCGTCGGGCCTTGCTCCTCTTCCGCCGTCGCGGCAAACATGGGTTGTATACGATCGGTTCGGCGGCAGTCAATCTCTATGCGATGGTTCTCTTCGATGAACTCGTCTGTCGAGGTTACTTGGGTTTGACCATACCAAAGCGAGCGAAGGTCGTGATATTCGGTACTAAGCCGCATGATCAGCCTGGCCCCCGTGCGAAGCAGGAGCACAGCTCACGTCTTCGCCGCCAGAGCTGCTCGACGGTCTTCGGCGGAGGATGTCCAGTCGAACATGCCAAGTAAGAAAGGCCAAGCTTGCTTTCTCGCGGCCGGTACGAGCCCCTATGCGCTCGTCAGCTGGGCTGATGAGCTAGCGCGATCAGCTCACTCTTTGGAAGATGCGTCGCCTAGCTTCGTCTTCCGCCAGCAAGAGGACGCCGGTCGCGGGGTCGAAATATGCCGCCCATTCTGATGCTTCTATAGGCTGGTTCGTGGCCCGCGTCGTCCTCGGCCGCTGAATGCTATAGGTTGTCTGCTCAGTCTCGTCAGTCTCATCAGGTGCGATGGAGCGAAAGACATGCAGCAAGAACTTCGAAGGCGCCCAAAGCCCCTTCTTCCTCGCCCTCACAGCCTACTTCTGCGCGTCTTGCTCGCTCGCCTTCTTCCGCCACGATGCGAGACCATTTGGCTAGATAGACTCGCGCAGCGTCGTAGCCTCCCACGCCGGCTTCTTCCTCCCATTTGCTCCATTCCGGGTGGGCGGTGTAGAGATTTGCGATGGGTGGTGGCAGATGGGGTAGGATCGGTTTCGCCAAGCGATGCGAGAGGATCGGATGGGCAATACTCTGCGCAGCCGATCGAGCGTTGCGCGTGAGTTTAGAAAAGGACGACAGGAGACTGAAGGTGAGATCGTCCATTGCGGGCGATTGCGAGTGTGTCTCGCCCGTCCGTGTCGAACGAAACCGTCGATCTGGTTTCAGTGCTTCGTGCAGGATACTGCCTCGAGCGTCCTTGCGTACGTTTGTGCCTGCAGCTGCATAGGCTGTCGAGGTGGGCTTGCTCGGTATGCCGATCACATCATCATCGAAGAAGAAAGTCGAATGAGCTTCGAGGTCGGCAGTGTTTGGATTGACGAGGTAGAGCGTTGGCTCGATGTTAGACCGGATGACGTTGGCATACTGTCGCATCTTGTTGATGAGTGCTTCGCCACCCCACGAACTCGGTAGGCGCTGTAGCAAAGCCGGCGCTTTGCCTTTGCTGGTGTCTAGTAACGTCTTGCGCGCGTCTCGCGTGAAGACGGTCGAAGGCGACTCATCATCGTGAAAGTACAGCGGGGGCAGACTGATACCACCAAAGGTGTGGATGACGATGGTGCCATACCACGCCGAAAGCGTGGGCGGTCTCACTTCCAGGCTGTAGATCGATGTTATAGGCAGGCTGAAGGCATGCTCGGCAGGTTTGGAAGTCAGAGAGGAGGAGACGAGGACGCTGTCTGCATCAGGCTGGAGCCGACTGATCGGTCTGCCGTCGGCCGCAGCCTCGACGAGCACAAACTTGTCCTGCTCCTCATCATTGACGACGCGTTCTGGGATCCAGCTGAGCAGATAGGCTCCTCCCTGGAGACTAGCGCGTCAGACAGGCGTACACAGCACCCACTGTGCATGCAGTACTGACCTGTTGTACGATGGCGACATAGCCTGCAATGTTCTCCTTGCTGTGCGTCGAGGGATAGACGTATACTTTGGACTTGGAGAACACGAGCTGGCAGTAAGCATCCTCCGCCCCGCTCGCTGTCTCGTCGGCTTCCTGCTTGCGGCTTATCTCGACTAGATCTGCAGTCTACGTGGTGTTGAGCATCAGCTCGTGAGCCAGGCCGCTTAGGGCTTGCTGGCGTACGCTGTGCGTGATGAAGCTCATGGCCGAATCGTTGCTGCTGTCCGTGCTCGCCCCCTCGGACGACGTAGAGACGGCAGTCATGCTTCTACTCTCGTGTGATACATCCGATCAGACCGTCAAGTCAACCTTGTCGTCAGTCAGGCCAGTCAGGCCAACGTCAGCTTGCGCTGTGCTCGCCGCGCGCGACATCGAGCTCGAGCAGGCGTCATCCCAAGTGTCCATGGCCAGACCTGACCGACACAGGCCGACATCCGACTCATCTCACCACTCGCAGAGAGACCGGGATGAGCATGTCCAGCCGAGTCGGCGGCGGCACGATGGAGATCATCAGAGGAAGCGACGCCGACATGAGCCAGAGCAAGTCGAGGAGGATATGTGGGTAGAGAAAACTGCGCCTTCGACAGACAAAGTTCGCAGGGTGTCCTGCTAGACGCTCTCTTGCTGACAGACATGAGCAGGCGGTCTCGAATGCGCCAGATCCAGCGACACTCGGTCTCACATCCAAGGCCATACCGTCACACGAGACCGTTCAAGAGTTGCCTCTTCACGAGGACGCGGAGGCGCAGAGCAACGACCCTTGGTCAATCATTGATGCAACGTCTCACGTCAGGGAGAAGAAGCCGCGTGAGCATAAGCCAGATCCAGAAAAGGCACGCCCGACGAAGCATTCTAGGACATGCTAGCCACTGACAGGTTGACAGAACAGGCCAAGATGTCTCGCTTCGAGCGCAACACTGGCATCTATAATGACGATGGCACACGCAAGGCCGACAACGAAGCCATTGCAACGGGCACGACTCGTCCGTCAGACGCGTCGGCGAGCAAAGTCATCTTGCCAGGCTCAGCTGGATCAACCTGGCGGCTCGCAAAGCTCAGGAGAGTCCTCGAAACTGCAGACGAAGAGAAGCGACCTCTGGAAGAAGTCGCACTGGAGCGCTATGGCTCCCTACAAGAATTTGAACAGGCAATGGAAGAGAAGCGCTGGATCGAAGAGCAGCAATCCCGCCGACGCTCGACCGCAAGCGGATCGACCACACCCTCGCGCCGTGATCAGCACAACCGAACAGCTTCTTCGCCGGGTCTGCGATCTGTGTTTACAGACCCCAATGCTAGCGATCTCTCCCAATCATCCTCTCGAGCTGGTTCGTTTCGAAGACCGGGCGAGGGTGTCTCCTCCACCCCGGCACGCAATGCACCAAGTCAGAGCCCAGCATCTACGCCCGCAGACTCTAGACCGCAAACGCCCATTCCATCCGTGTTCACTCCACCAGTGCAACGGAGCAGCGCCCATAGAACCGGTTCAGCCCTAGCGGGCCCACCGGTCAATGCGACGCGCGATCAGACAGCTGCCGACGGAGCGGATGAACTAGATCCGGGCCAGCATTCGCAAGCTCCTCTCTCTACATCCTCGCTCAACCGACTGCAAGCAAAAGCACTGAAAGCCAAGCTGATGGGCGCACCCGAAGCAGAAGAACTTCAGCGAGCGTACGAGACAGCCGCGGAATCCTCGCGCGGAGGCGATCGAGGCGGAGGTTACTTTGGCACGCAGCCGGGACAGCATGCTGGGGATGGTACAGAGGTGCACGTTCTGCCGACGCTCGATGGATATGGCAGACTCTACGATATTGGTCCGGGCTCACAAACGACAGAGCCGCAAGAGCACAGACCGGGCAACAGGAAGAAGAAGCTCGATGCGCAAAAGGTCAGACCCGGCTCAAGTACGCTGTGTCGCGTCGCTGATGCTGCGTACAGTTTGAGACACGCGATCTCAAGACGGGCGAGATCCTGCGATACAATGCAGACGACGATTCTACAACGCTGCGTGAGCTTGTCAGGCAAGAGCGGTTCGGAGCAGGCTCGGCGGATCAGAAAAGCATGGACGCAGAAATGGCGAGTCGGATTGTTGGCGATGCAAAATTCGAGGATGATCTCGAGTGCGTGATTCGTGATCGCCAAAGCACTCCAAGCTGATCATGCTGCAGCTATATGGACGACAACGCTGATAAGCTTGCAAGAAAGAAGATGCGGGATGAAGCGCAGAAGCGCATGTTTGCCATCAATGGTACGCTCTAGTCCATGGCTTTGTGCAGAGCTCAATCTTTGCTCGCCAGACTATGCAAAGACGAAGAAGGCGCTGGAGAGCTGTCGGCTGTGCTACCAGGATACCGAGACGTCCAGTCGACCACCACTTGTTCCCATGATCGCTCTCGGAACGCGATGCTATCTATCGTTACCAGATAACGAAGGCCTTACCACAGGACATTGCTGGATCGTGCCACTCCAACACAATCTTAGCTGTCTGGAAGGCGATGACGACTTCTGGGACGAGGTGAAAGTACGTCCCTGTCGACCTGTGTCGCGTGACGAGCTCACAAGGATCTGCAGAACTTCATGAAGACATTGATGAAGATGTTCGCGGCTCAAGACAAGGGCGTCATCTTCTTCGAGACTGTGCTCTCGCTTCGGTCGCAACGACATAGCTACATCGAGGCTATACCTGTGCCTTTCGACATCTATGACGATGCACCGCAGTACTTCAAAGAAGCAATCCTCGCAGTCGAGTCTGAATGGTCGCAGAACAAGAAGCTCATCGACTTTGCTTCGCGTCCGGGCGGCTTTCGACGTGCGATGGTACCCAATCTGCCCTATTTTGCTGTGCAATGGGACTACAAAGGTGCGTGCGCCATGGCTCTCGCGCGCCTTTCAGCCTCTGATCACGTGAGCGTATCAGGCGAGAAAGGTTATGGGCACGTCATCGAGGGAATGGACACACAGGAAGGCGCGGGTGATGGCGCAGACGAATTCGAAGAGGCCAAGGGCGGAGGCGAGTTTACCAGGTGCGTTCATTGCCATGCCATCTCAACGTGACTGACGTTTCACGAATGTCCAGATACTTTGCGCACGAGATTATCGGGAGCTTGCTCGAGCTTGAGCCGCGTGCGTGGCGTAAACCTCGACGAGCGAAGCAGAGCGAGGAGGCGAGTCGCATACAGGCATTCAAAACGCACTACGATGCGTATGACTGGACAAAAGTGTTGTAGCTCTGCAAATGTGATAGCGAACGCATATGCAAGCTGATAGATCAGCGTCTGGTGGCGCGCGAAGGCCCAGAGAGACCAGATGGGCATCAGCGCAACGCGCGAGTCGGAAGTGGCGCTTCGAGGAAAATCTACGCGAGCTCTGTCAGTGACCTGATAGCCAGCCTCTTACAGTCAGAGCATCCATACAGGACAGTGTTGGCGTGAGATAGTCGTTGGCGAAGAGGAGACTTCTCGGTCCGAGGGACGAAGCGCTCGCTCAGAGCGATAGTCGCCCACGATGGGTCAGACACTCAGCGAGCCGGTGACGACGAAGCACTCTGACGAGGGAAGCGATGCTCGGCTGGCGTACGCAGTCAGCGAGATGCAGGGCTGGCGACTAAGTGGGTTTATTCGTTTTGCATCGACGCCCATTCTCATCTCGACCGGTATCATTGTGCCTGACGATCCCAATCTCTATCGGCCGTCTACGAGCACTTCATCTCACAACAGGGCGGACAGCCTCTCTTCGCATTCGGCATCCCCGTCTCATCGGCAACTAGCAATGTACAAGCAGCTGCTGACTCGTCATGGCAGGCATGGAAGACGCACACGCGACCATCCTGCAATTAGACGATCCAGCGCTACAGGGCTCTTCTTCCGCCTCTCTGTCTGCAGAACGGGCAAAAGCACCAGACGGCAATGGCTTCTTCGCAGTCTATGATGGTCACGGCGGTCGGTCGATCTGCTGATCAGCACTGAGAACGCATCTGAGTCTGCTTTTGTGCTTGGTAGGCGGCACGGTCGCTCGCTTTGCAGGTGATACAGTACATTATAGGTTGCGACAGACGCCGGCATATAAAGCGGGCAAGTATGAGCAGGCGCTCAAGGATGCTTTCCTCAAGACCGATGAAGATCTGCTATCGAGTACGTTCATGCACACATCAGACGAGCTCAGCTGACAAAGGCGTCCCTTTGGAAGACCCAGAATTCCAAGCGGATCCATCAGGCTGCACAGCTGTAGCGGCACTCTTCACGACCGACGGCAAGATCCTCGTCGCCAATGCGGGTGACTCACGATCTATACTCTCTTGTGGGGGCGAGGCGAAAGCCATGTCACACGACCATAAGCCTGTCAACGAAGGCGAGCAAGCCCGCATTACTGCAGCGGGCGGCTTCGTCGAGTTTGGGCGAGTGAACGGTCCGTCATTTTTGATCTCGGCGTAGCATCTGCTCATCCCTCAGCGCGAACAGGAAATCTCGCATTATCGCGCGCGCTTGGGGATTTCGAGTTCAAGCGCAGCGCGGAGCTGGACGCCGAACATCAGATCGTCACAGCCGATCCAGACATCATCACACACGACGTTACAGCAGAGGATGAGTTCCTCATCATCGCATGCGATGGTACGCAGCCCTCTCGCCCCGTCGACCCTCGATTTGCTTATGCGTGGCACAGGTATATGGGACGTGCTCACCTCGCAACAGACTGTCGACTTTGTGCGACGGACAATAGCGCAAGGCAACACGCTCAAGGAAGTCGTGGAAAAGACAATAGATCTCTGTCTGGCACCCGATTCTGACTGGGGCGGCGTTGGCTGCGACAACATGACCATGCTCGTCGTTGCTCTGCTGGGCGGTCGGACGCAAGAGGAATGGTACGCCTGGGTCACCGATCGCGTGAACAAGGGCGTCGGCTATGCAACACCGCGAGAGCTGCCGCAACCCTTCACTATCCCACCGCGCAACGATCAGGTCGGCGTGGTGGGAAGGGGTGCAGGCGGTATACCGGGCTCATTGGTCAACGTGATCCAGGGCTCGCTCGCGAACCATCCGATTGCTGCTCGCCAGGATGCCGAGAAATTATCTACAGCGCCCGAAGGCTCTGCCGAAGCTTTGAGACGCGATACAATCACTATCGGCGACGACGCGGCGATGGAGACCGACGAGCCATCCGCGCCGGAGACACAGATGAACGCAGAGACGCCCCATCCTGCCGTGCAGGCTGAGGGCCTATCGGACAAGAGTGAGGACCCGACGCTCAATACAGCAAGCGAATAGTCCGAGCTCTTAGCCCAGCGCTTTTCATGATACCCTCTTGTATATTTCGAGCATTCTATATCATGCAACATCTGTGTGAGTTGAGGAGCAGCGATCGACCGCGCGCACGCGCACTCACGTCTCCAGATCCAGAAACACAGATAACCTCCGCGCTGCTCGATAATTGACGCGTGCCCCGGCCCCGGTAATGTATGGCGGAGTCTGGCGGGACTCGGCTGACGGCTTGGGTGCACGAGTCATCGGCAAAGGCAGCAGATGTGATTGTGAGCCATTCGGCGCTCGATGGACCCGATGGCACGCTGTACCGGCTTGTCAAATTGCGAGATAATGACGACCAGACGGAGGTGCCGCACTTCCTCTTTCGCAAGTCGGCCAGCTCGCCGGGTGAGGTGTCTGCTCAGCTCGAGATCTCTCTGTCCAGCGAGATCGCAAAGCAGCTCAATCTACTGAACCGGGATGCAATCCTTGTCCAGCAACTGGAAGAGCCTCTGAACGAGGCCTACCTTGCCACTCATGTCGAGCTCTACTTCAAGGATCAGCATCTCGGACGTGCGGACATGCATCGCCTCTCGCTCGCTCTGCAAGACACCTGCGTCTGGATCGGACAGCGGATCAGCATCCCAGGCTGCAACTTACGCGCTCGCGTTGGCGAAATCTGGACGCAAGGGCAGCGCACGAATTCTGCTTATGTCACTCATGCAACGAAGACCGTCTTTCGATCCGAAAGCGCCAAGTTCTTCATCTTCATGCAGCTGTCGGAAGAGATGTGGCACTTTGACAACGATGGCTGCATGTATTACGAGAAAGCCATTGGGCTCTTTCTCCCAGAACTCTTCACGCGGTGGGAGCAAGCCAGCACTGACCACGTCGTCTCGCTCGTCCTATCGGCGCGTATCTTGTACACGAAGGAAGAGGCCTTACAGATGGCCAAAATACCCACAATGGATCCCGACGGGCGATACTATCTTGACGTCTATCGCGTCGTGGCAGATTTGGAAAGTCACAGGGCATGGTCGAGCATCTTGCGCACGCTGCAAGCCGAAGGTGTGGCATCATCATCATCATCTCGTTTTGCGAGGCATCCGCTCATCAGATGGCAGTCTTTCGATTCAAGCGCAGCGTTCTACTCGACCATTCGCCGGTAAAAGATCAAATCTGTGGCAAGCTGTCGGCAGCGCACAACGGCAACGTACTCGAATCGATCAATCTGGCCGTCAATGCCTTTGACAAAAACTATATAGACCGCGATCTGCACCGAACAGGCCTCAGCGTAGTCATCGTGACCGCTGGCACTTGTCATTTTCATGTCGACAAGCTTCTGCTGCGCATCACTACAGAACGCATGCTCGATCATGGCATAGGCATGGACTGCGTAAGCTTGGCGAAGATGCCATTGCATCAAGTGCCACTCTTCAGATACTATTCACACGAGCCTGTCGCCAAGAAAGAAGCTGATCCTCGCACGATCATCGGCAAAGGGATACCGTCGGAGGCTCGCAAGACCGCTCGCGGACGTAGGCCGCTCTACGGTCTCAGTCAGAGCAATCGTGACCCTCTGTATCACGATGCTACTCACGGTAGCGAGCCTCTACTTCCCTTTTATACCGTGCCACATTGGCTTGACTGCAGCTTCTATTCTCGCCAGCCTGACAAACCATTCAGAGCAGACAGATTCATGCCACGCTGTAGGATGCCCGAGATCGAGTCGCTCGGCGCGGCAGAGCACGAGAACAGTGCAATCAGCATCGCACTGCTACCCCGTCTGGCTATCGTCACATCGAAGGACCAGCTGAAGTGGTCAGAGGTCGACAATGCAACCATGCGACGTCTAGCTCGTGAGCGTTTCGATGCGGTAGCTTGCGGACGAATGCGCGTATCTCAGCAAAGCTTTGCTTCCACTCGCGCTTTTGATACGGGCAGCGAATCTCAAAATGCGTTCGGTATTCTCGACTCGGCGCATAGTGACAGCCAGCATTCTTTCGGAATTGACGATGAGGCTTCATTATCCTCTCCCAGCAAGCTGCCGTCTCCCGTCCTAGTCTCAGAACCACCCAGAGTAGCTACGCCGCCCGCCGCAACCACTCCACGCATACCTGCTAGTCCTCTTCCGGTAGCGCAAGATTCTCCTAATCAGGAGAGCTCCGCGCAAAGCGAAGCGACGACACGGTCACGCGTCCGTTCGTCATCGGTGTCAACCTCACGCACCTCACTATCTCTTCGCACTGCTAATGGCGACAAGCCTCGCTTCACGCCCCAGCTCATTTCGCGCATAGCCTCGCAAGCTGGCCAGGCACCTGCGCAGATTACACCTGAGAAAGGTGCCAATTGGTTCTGGCCGAGAAAGTCGAGCGCTGGCAAAAGTGAAGTCGCTGCGCCACAGATTACCTCAATCACGTCAATCACTGGCAAATTGGGAAGCCTTCGAAGTAACAACCAGGCGCAAGAGTCCGAGCCTAAGCCTGCTACCACAGACATATCCCGCAGTCATCTGACGCTACCGAAGCCCTCTCAGCCCAATGTGCTACCCGTCAGCCCTACCAAATCCGAGCAGATTTCGACCGTCGTGCAGCCAATACCGTTGCGCAAAACTGCTACGCTTAACGAGGAATCGGACCTCATTTCACGCTCGCATCGTTCGGACATCATTGGCTCATATAGGTCGGCCGGCGTTTCATTCGAAGCCGATTCGTTGGAGCAAAAACGCAAATCCTTGGCAGTGCAAGATCAGCGGCATCGACTCAATCCTTCCAATCCGAGCAAAAGCACCCAGGTGCTGCTCAGACAAAGTCAGCGATGGATCAATATCTTTCCGCGGCATGTCAATGATCAGCGCTCGGTCAAATGGAAGTCCTTGTGCAGTCCGGCTTCATTGCCGCTTTACACTACTCACTATCCGTCAGCGCGAGAGCTCAAAGAGGCTTACGTCGAAAAGGGCTATACGGTTCCGATCAATCAGCATGTATATTCCTTCATGGTAAAGCCAGCAAAGAGCATGACTGAAGCAGCAGCGGGCGTGCTGAAAGAAGCGATCGCTCAAAGGCTCTCGCAAGGCTTCCAGCTCATCGTGCCGCTGGCTGGCGCGACGTCGACGCTCGGTCTAGCAATGATCGGGAGCGCAGATATCAGTCAAGCGCTCACTGATCCTCTGCGTATGGGCGCTCGCGCTATATACCTCAGCATGAGCAGTCACATCCACCGGATACAGTACGACCAAGCGCTCAATCAACTCAAGGTCACCATATACGTGCGTCGTCAAGATTGGCTTAAGCCAGATCATGCGTATCGATGCGTTATTTGGCCTTTCAAGGACTCGATCTTTGAGCAGACTGCGATAACATTCCCTGTAAGTCCGCACCTACGCAGCACTGTGCGCCTTCTGACTCGTCATAATAGCATCCCGATCTCTCGCGCTTTGATGTGAAGCTACTGGACCGAATGATCTGCGGGCAAGAAGCTGTTGAAGAGTTCTCGGACGCTCTACGATATCGACGAATTCGCCTCGTGCTGCTGCCTGCGCCCATACGCAATCGCGAAACGATCATTTCTCAGAACAGCGATGTGCTCGACGAGTCTTCGACCGACGAGGAGATAAGGAACGATGGCATCATCAAGCTCTACGATCTCTTCCGAAAATCGGCCTGGCTGCGCGGGCCCAGCAGCGAGACCGCCAGAATTCTCAAGGTTCAGTGTGTAATGACAACGGCTGATCCGAGTATCTACGCGAGACAAGTCGCGAGCAAGCTAGACGCAGCATTGCCCACAAAGACCCATACCGACGCTCGTGACAAGCCTAGCTTGCGAGATTGCTCGTTGGCAGAGATAGCATCACATATGCTCGATCGGAGTTCTGGCTTGCAGCTCGTCAACCGCACTTGGTACATACAGCGATTCGAGAATTCTTTCATCGGCAAGGAGTTTATCGAGTGGCTCATGTCACGCTATATCGATTTGTCAACCCGCAAAGACGCCCTCGAAGCTGGCCAGCGTCTCCAGGAGCAAGGCCTTTTTGTACACGTCAGAGGAAGGCGTAAGCTTTTAGACGGCCAATACTTCTATTACCTGGCACCTGATTACGCGCCCATTCGCAAGAGCCGGTGGTTCAGCCGCTCCAATGAAGAGCAGCGCCAAAGCAGTCGACCAGCAAGCCAGTCTCGTGGCCAATTCGCTAAACGTATCGTCAGCTCTGCTGCTGCGGCCGTGGATCGCGAGGGCGCATCTGCCGTCAAAATGAGCACATCGATCGTCATCGACCATGACCCAAAGAAGCTATCAGATCGCGCAGAGACCGCCATTCTGCACATCGAGACAAGCCACAATCCTGTCAACGGGTCACATTTACAGATTCACTGGATGTGTACGTCTCGACTTGTCGACGAGCTGCTGCAGCAGTATCGTCGGCTGGTCGAGCGCTACGGCTACCGTCTAGTCGAGGAGCATGTCCACCAAATCAAAGGTGCGTGGCAGACTGTGCTCAGTCGTCACTGACTGACAGTCCGACAGACATTACGCAAGACAATCCCTTTCAAAAGATCACGCGTATCGCACTGACGGTCCAGCCACCTGATGTGCCAGATCTCGGCGCACTAGCAGATAGCATATTGCCGGACCAGTACTTTGAGATGCAGCTTCTCAGGCAACATGGCTATCTGCTTGACGTCGAGGCAGACGATCGCTTTCCGAGAGACGTCGAGGTCAGCTATAGCTATCGTCGCAACCACTATGACTTCTGCCAATTCATCCATACTTCCGGCATAGCATTTGTGCAAATCAGTAGGGATGAGGACGGCTCATCCAGCTTCCTGTTCCTGCGCAATAGAATCTATCTATCGCATGCTCCGGCGACATCCGACCGCGACGCGATATCCCCAGACGTGCTTTGCTCCGAGCTGCGCGCACTATGTAATGACTCGGCTAGATTGACAGAGTTTTGGCGTGCAGCGCGACAGCGCCTCTTGCAGGATATTGCCGAGGCGGAAGACGAAGCTGTCGCCACCGCAAACGCGAGCATATCCGCCGCCTGATGTTGTGAGATCATTGCAATCGTTGTGCAAGCGCGTCCATAGCCTGTCGAATATGCTTTGGCTGGATCGTCGGCGCCGTAAATTTTGTCGCAATGCTCTGCGCTATCTTTGGGTGCTCGCGCGCGAACGGCAGGAATACTGGCTCGATGTAGACAGACTGGACAAAGAAATGAGTGCAGGAAGTCGCTAGGCTTCTTGGCTTACGGTCATTCTGCCAGCACAAAGCCGCGCAATTGCCACAGCTAGAGCACTGCTCCACTCTTCGAATGTGAGTAGGCTTAGCATGGCAGCGAGCGATGCATCAAGCCGGGAAATCACGTCATTCTGCCGCAGAACTGACAAGCATGCGATTGCAGCTTTCAGCGCTTCGCTCGGAGAGCCGATTCGCGCAGCCGCCTCTGCAGCATTGAGCGCATCTCTGCGTACTGCAAGTATAGGGTCGAGACACTGTCCCAGGCACAATGCGAGACCGATGCCCAATTCATCAGATTCTTGCGTAAGCCATTGCGGCAACGCGATCATGGCCTGCCGACGCAAATTGGCGCCAATATCGCCTCGACGATCCTGGCTGTAGTCTCGCAAGCAAATGAGTAGCGTTTCGAGTACGCGCTGCCGCGAAGGACCGCCAAGTGTCCGTGAATGACTGCCGGCCCGTAAATTGAACGCGTGAACGCAAGCTGTACGGAGTTCGATCGGCTTGCTCGTCTGTAGTTTCGGTAAGCTCCATGATATGACACGGGAGTGGCGCCCACCTGAACAGCGCTATTGCACAGCGCTACAGCAATCGTTTCTTCTGATTCTGAAGAATCGGCGGACGCAGCGATGAGTAGTGGCAGACTCGGTGATGCAGAGCCATCCTGCGCAAGCTCGGAGAGCCACGTAAAGATCTCGCATCAAATAGAGACTCTCGACCAGACAGATGGACTCATCTGTTCCTCTGGGGTGCGAGGTCGACTCTGCCTGACAAGCTTGCAACAGCTTGAGCAGCGGCCTCGTGGGAGGCTACGCGGTCAGAACGCGCTGCGGCATCTACGAGAGACCACAGCCAGAGCGATTGGGATTCGCCGGGCTGCAGGAATCGTATCGTAGTACAAGCCGCCTTCAACAGTGGCACCGCGTGTGCACCTTTGGCGTGTTTGAGCGCGCTTTGCAGTAAGCTCGAGAGCTGCGCGTGATGTCAGCCAAGGTCATGCGGTAAGCTGACCAGGTACTTTGCTGCTTTGTGTTGTGTCCAGCTCAGACGAAGCAAGGTGCCGAATTGCAAGCAAGCAGCCATGCAGCGTGACAGCATCTCGACGGAAGTCTGCTTCTGATAATAATCGCTCGAGAATGGTGCTTTGCGATAAAGCTGCCGAGGCGACACGTCCCAGGCTTTCTGCTGACAGCTCTCGCAGGCTCGCGTCCCAATGGCTTAATCTGCGCGACAGCAGGATTTCAACAATTGCGGCATGATATGAAGCAAGACTGCTTGACACTGCGATCAACAGAAGCACATCTGTATGATGAAGAGCGCACGATGCGACGGCAGGAGCTGCTTCGATGAATGCAGCACGTCGCTGACTGATTGTCGAAAAGTCAGTCAAGGCGAGTGCCTCGAGCCCGGACGGTATTGCATTCTGCGCTTATATACATCAGCATCGAACGACCTTCGTGCGAAGATATGCCTACCGAATGGCCCACGAGCTCTTGAAAAGCTGCGCTGGCTGCTCGCCTGCAATGTACTTCTCGGTCGAAAAGAGTTGCGCAGACGAGATTCCGTGCAATCGCGTATGACTGAACCTCGATAGCTTTGATAGCGTCTGGACATCTTGCCAGAGACCAGAGCAGATAGGCAGCGGCATCTCGCACAGCATCCCCCACGCCATGATTGCCGCGCAGTACTTCGAAAGAGATTGCATTGATCGCAAAGGCGATCGTCGCATTGAAGGCTGTCTTCGGCATCGCATTTCTGCGACATAGTTCTGCGAGGAAGAGACAGACGCCGTGAGACGCGTCTTCTGGCCTGGGCGTGCTAGTGCAGGCTGCAATCTCGAGAGTGGCATCGATGATTTGCTGCGTGTAGTCTGCTGCGACAGCTTTGCCGATACGGGCAAGATACTTGGCTGCAGACCATCGTACGAGTGTGTCCTGGTCTTGCGTAAGTGACTGGTTCATCCTACATGTATGCCGGAGCGTACCTTGTGCTGCAAATAGTCGATCATATCAGCGATGACGTCTTCTGCCTTGTCCGATATATCTGAAGCGTCCATGAGTGCGAAAATTAGAGGAGAGTCTAAAGAAGGACCTTTTGGTTCTACAAGAGTGAGTAAGGCGAGTCGACCGGCAAATTTGAGCGACAGCTTGGACAGCAATATATTGCGCGAGTCCAGGCTGGCTTTTCGTATCAAATCACGCAAGCCCCAGAGAGGCATAACTAGGGCTGCAGAAGCATCGGACGGAAGCTCGGCAAGAAAGCGGCACAATGTCGTCGAGACACCGATAAGCTGCTGGACGATGAGAGGCCGTGCATAGCGCGCGGATGTGGACGCACTAGGAAGGCATCACGGCTGTCTTGCAAAACTTGTATGCACCATGCGAGATAGTCACGACGCATCATTGGTGAGGCATCCGTTCTGCAGAGCGTCAGCTCGGTTCCGAGACGTTACAAGCGCTGCACACCTTGCGTGTAAACGAGCCAAAAGAATGGCAGCACCGTCGCGTTCTTTGCCTGCTGAGCCCAAGAACTGTCTAGCGATTGCGAGGATGCGAGCATGTACATCTTTCCCCACTTTGTCGAGGGCGAAGGGCAGCATGCAGAGAAGCGAAAGCCAGATCAAGAGGGTGAAGCGCGTCTCCCATGTGATGATGACGTCCTGCGCAATGTCTCGCTCGAGGAGTAGTAGGGGAAGCGACAGGTCGGATGGACGATGGGGAAAGCATGGCATGATGGCTTTGTAGCCTCGCACTTTGATGAGCGTGTAGAGCAAACAAGCCGAGCGTCGAGCGCGTTCGGTGGCTTCTTGCGATGTGCTAGCGTCCCTGAGCATGAGGAAGAAAGGCATCTGTTGATCGAGAAGGAGCTTCGTCATGTTCTGCACGTGAGGATCAAGCAGATGGCCCTGGTCGGCGTACGAGTCGAGCATGGACTGCAGCGCGAGCAGTTGTCTCTCTTCGAGGCCATTGTCATCTGGTGCTGGCTTGATGAGGACCGGTAGGGTTGTGAACGCTCGTAGATCGGGCAAGATGTCCTCTGGCTTGCCCTGAAACGGCCAAGCATCGTCTTCAAAGTCGTCGCTCATCCGCCTGCCGAGTTTGTGCTTGTCAAGCCAACAAGAGCAGCTGCCCCCCTCCGCCCTTGCTTGTTCTGCGCCCCGGGCGAGGTGTGGGGCTATGACAGAGACACCGCCGGCTATCACTGGCTCTGGCGAAGCATCTATCCGACAACAAGTCGATGTGCAAGACCAGAGCTTGACCACGCACCAAGGGCTGCAAGATCTGTTGGAGGCATACGAGGTTGAGAGGACATGTCGGCATGTAGAAGCTCTGGACGCCCAAAGGGTAGCCTCAGACTGTCCCAGGCGTGCAACAATGCTCATACACACGACTCACGACAGATAGCGCTTCAGTTCCCGGACGAGCTCCTGCCTGACGCCGTGCCAATCTATCGCGCACTGAGGTCAAGGATACCTCTGCCCAGAGAGCTCTACGTCTTGGCAGATACCACGTTCGGCAGGTCAGCATTGCCGTTTCATCATTGGTCCCGCAAGTCAGTCACTGAGACCGCATTGACCAGTTGCTGCATTGATGAAGTCGCGGCACAGCACGTCGACGCGGACCTGGTCGTCCACTATGGCCATGCTTGTCTTAGCGTGTGCGTCCTGCCCTTCCAGCCTTGCTGAGATCATCCTCGAGCAAGCTCTCGCAGAACGCCCGGCATCAACGCGCTCTACGTCTTCCTGAAGCGGCCGCTCGATGCTCCGACGACGTATCAGAGACTCGCCAGTGCTATAGCGACTCCGAGTTGCATAGAGGGCAAGAAGGCTGTACTGCTGCTCTACGATGTGGCCTACTGCTGGGCCTACGATGACCTGGTCGGTCAGACTCGCGATCATTTCGACTTACCCGTCATTGTCGCGCGGATAGACGATGCCAAGGCGCACAAAGCATCCACATCCCAAGCAAGCGGCAGCCTCGCGAGATCGTACCATTTGCCCTCCGATATCACGCTGGCAGATTGTTTGATAGCCTACGTCGGCGAAGAAGGCCTCTCGCTCAACAACGTCCTCATAACCCACTCGAGCAATCCTGTCAGTCCATCTTCGCGGCTGGCTCCCTTTGCTGAACTGGGTAGCAGGTCTTCCATTACTGCCCCTCGAGCGGTCAGGTCGCACTGGCTTCTGGTCGCACCAACAAACTCCTCATGAAGCGATATGTCGCTGTGCAAAAGGCCAAAGACGCAGATGTTTTTGGTCTGGTCATCGGCACGCTCAGCATAGGCATGTTCCTCAGACAGCGCTCGCTAATAGGACTGAGCAGGTCATCCAGATGCTGCTCTGCCGCTCATCACTGCATTACGGCGCCTGCTCAAGCGGAAGAGGAAAAAAGTCTATACGCTCGCAGTGGGCAAGCTCAATCCCGCCAAGCTGGCCAACTTCCTCGAAGTCGACTGCTTCGTCCTGATCGCTTGCCCGGAGCACTCGCTGCTCGGAGACGCTGCAAAGGAGTACCATCGGCCCATCATCTCACCTCATGAGCTCTTTGTCGCACTCAATGTCTCGGAATGGTCAGGCGACTATATACTCGACTTCAACCGCTTGTTAGGGCTAGACATCGAGGGCAACGAGCGCACGGCGGACGATGATGATAATGATGATGATGAGTCGCCTGCATTTTCGCTCATCACTGGGCAGTACAGGACAGTCAAGCGATTTGACACCAAACCGAAAGCAGGTATGCCCTCTGTCTCTAATGACGATGATCGTGACCGACGCGCGCACAGACACGGGCGAGAGTGCTTCCCAAGCAATTGCAGTGCGCAGTAAAGACACGAGCGTTGCAGAGTCGCTAGGAAGTGCGGCGGGTATGCACCTCTCTACGCGATCCTACCGCGGCCTCGAGCCTCGGTATGGCCTCGATCCGCCTGCACAGCTCGAGTCGGGACGGTCTGGTATCGCCCGACAGTACGACCGCTAGCCATAGTGCAAGGTCATGTAGCTGCAGCTGATCAGGGGGCGCGCTTGAGCACGGCGAGCGTCAGGCGTGCGTTCTGGCTGATGTGCATCGAGGCACTGCAGCCTCATTGGGTCAGGCTGAGACGGTCGAAGAGGAGGAAGACAGACTGTTGATCCCATACAATGGCAAAGGGGGCTCTTTGGTCTGCTTTAGGCTTGAGTGCGCTTGCGAGAATGAGGGCAGGCAGGTCTGTCGAGCGGTCCATCGAGACAGTCGTCAGCCGTCCGCGAGCTGTGCCAGCGAACGTTGACGTCAGCGTCCTGGGGCTCCTGATGGCAGACAACGTCACACACTGCCGAGGCAAACACCGTTTTCGTCCAGCAGACAGACCCCGAGGACGTTTTCGCTCGCTTGACTGATGTCGTCAGCATCTCATCAGCTGCGCATGACCGCTGAGCAGATCCTCGTACTGACATTGAGTCGAGAATGTCATTGAACATGGGCAGGCACACTTGGCCCGAGCTGAGCGCAAAATCGACTTTCGGCTGAAATTCGCAAGGCCGACGACAATCCTGGCCGGCAAAGGGGCTGCTCAGAGCGCCGGTCAGACGACGGGAAGCCATGCTCGTCTCCTCCTCGGCCTACTTGTCAAGCTTCTCTGCTGGTCTGCGTGCCCTTGTACCGGCGGGCGATGCAGTAGAGACGAGTGCGAGCTCGAGCAAGACAGACACCGTCGAGCTCTCGCCTGCAGCATGGCAGCTCCTCCTCGAAGCATCAGACTGGTCTGCTCAGACCCATGCAGCCCCCACACACAGTGCTGTTACAGAGAAGGATGAGTTCTTCGCTGCGCCCCCTTCTGCTCAGCCGAGCAGACTTGGCTTGGCTCTGAGACGAACCTACCCGGAAGCTGCACAGTCACAGCTGCCCTGGAGCATAGGCAATGAACGCCCATTGCTCTGCTGGGCAGTACCGGCTTCGAGTGCCACACGCAAGAGAGTCAAGAGAGATGAAGTCCTCCTGTTTGCCTCGCCTGAACTACTTGCATTGCTCGACGGACCCTCGACGACGCTGCGAGCGAACAGAGAAACGGGCGGTCCCCGAACGGAGCTGTTGCTCTGCCCAGTCAAGCCGCTCGCCTTGACATCGATCGTCATGCTCGCAGATTCGGAATCGAGCTATGCTCGGGCGCAGGCCAACTCTGACGCACTCCAGACCGCGCTCACAAGCTCGGATCGCATTCTACGCCAAGGCCAGTCGCTCGCGATAGCCACGAGCCACGAGGACAACATAGGTCTCACTCTAGCGCTACTCGAGCCCGTCTTGCAGGGTTATGCAATCCAAGGCAAGACAGAGATGACGCTCTTGCCAAGCTTACCCGCAACGAGGCGCGTCTCACGGCGTTCGAGCAGAGCGCACTCGATGTCATCCGATCAGGACTTGCCTACAAGAGCAACGCTCGTTAATGGTAATGGGAAAGAACGCGCATTGGATGAGGTCATCGAACACAGCGAAGATGACTTATCTTCAAGCGACTCTGGCACGTCCGACTTTGCCCCAGATGAGGACGGAGACCCTTTCGAAGTTGACGAGAGCTTCCTCGCAAGTACAGTGCTCGACGTCGCCCCACAAGTTGTGCAGACCAATGGGCATGCAGAAGAATCAGCGGCCTTGACGGAGTCGACTCTTGAATGGAGACCCTTACTCAGTCCGATACCCGAAGGCTTGCTTGCTCAGTCGAATGCCGGCGACAGCCTCGGTGCAGATAGCGATGCTCGCGTGTATGTGCGCACACGCGAAATGGCTCGACTCGGGCTCTTCAGCGGCGAGTGGGCTCTTGCGGGTCCATCCGATCAGCCCACCTCGCAACGGCTCGTCAAAGTCTATGCAGCCGACGGTGTCGTCAGAGACTTGGAAGCGCGATCGAGGACAGTCCATGCATCACCTCTCTTGCTCGCCAATTGGGGCAAAACAGCTTCCTCTCGAATACTTCGAAGTCTTCACTGTCCTCAGCGTAGCATCGCCCTTCCTACCGCCGAATCAGTCGAGATTGCACGGATAGCGTCCCCGCATGCAGTAAACAGACAGTATCAGCATCTGTTTCTCGCTGCACTAAAGACGGACTTGGAGAAAACCCAGCGCCTGGTCAAAAAGGGTGACATCATCGCAGTCACCATTGATGAAGAGGACGCACGACGTGCATTCACTACTTCATCATCACATGAATCACAGGCAAATGAGAAGACGGATGATCATTCACAGGATCCCGAATTACAGTACGTCTACAATCGCTGTCGTAAGAAGGATATGCTCACAGCCTTTCTTTCAGATTGCCCCTATCTGCTTCAAACACGAGTGGTCACAGTACCGTCTATTTCGTCATCACCAACGTCATCTTTGATGCGAGTGGCCGTCCAAACAGGACAGATGCAGAGCGCATAGCTTGCGGCGAGTATGGAGCCTATCTCGATTCCGGCAAGACCAAAGTCTTGCAAGCTGGTGTCGAGCATCGGTCTGTACCCGACTGCGCGTCCTACCTCGGCATATTCGCTCCAGACTCCACTCATGCTAGCTCAGAAGCGCGCGCCAAGCTATGCGAATACCTCCAGGCTGCGTTGCGGCCATCATCAAGCGAATATGACCTCAGTCTCAGTGTGCTCGTCAAAGGCGCGAGAGGAAACGGCAAGCGGACTTGTGCACGCTCAGCGGCGAAAGAAATTGGCTACCACCTACTCGAGATTGATTGTTACGAGCTTCTGGGCGACACGGATGCAAAGACGGAAGGACTGCTGCAAGCTCGATTTGAGAAGGCACGATCTTGTGCACCTTGCGTATTGCTCCTTGCCAATGTCGAAGCCCTTGCGCGCAAGAGCCAAGCTCTCGAGACAGGTCAAGAGCCCGTGATCGCTTCTACTTTGCAGGCTTGTATCGAGTCTATCAAGGAAGGCTGGAAAAGAAGCGGCGCGCCCGTTGTGATTGTCGGTACCACCTTTGATGTTGACAAGATTCCGCTCAGTGTGCTGGGCTGCTTCAAGCAAGAAATCAGCATCGAAGTGAGTCGATCACTGAGCCATCAGAACACTGCTGACGTTGACGCAGGCTCCGTCGGAAGCTGAACGACTGGAGATACTCAAGCGCGTAACCAGCAATGATTGCGTTTCCGCAGACGTTTCTTTGCGTGCGCTTGCAGTCCAGACTGCTGCACTCGTCGCCATCGATCTCGTCGAGCTTGTAGCCAGAGCGCGCACGATAGCATCCATGCGCGTAATCGCCCAGAGGTAAGTCCATTTTTCACTCTCGAGACTTTCTTTAAGTGGTAGCGCAGCCCGAACGCTCATAATTCAGATGTTGAATTGGCGGGTATGCCTTTGATCGGCCCAGACTTCAACACAGCTCTCGACCAGGCGCGCTCAAGCTACTCAGAGTCAATCGGCGCGCCTAAAATTCCAAATGTCACTTGGGACGATGTTGGCGGCCTGGCAGCAGTCAAGAACGATATCCTCGACACGATACAATTACCGCTTGATCACCCGGAGCTCTTTGCAGACGGGCTTAAGAAGCGCTCAGGCATTTTGCTGTACGGCCCACCGGGTACGGGCAAGACGCTGCTTGCAAAAGCAGTCGCGACCTCGTGCAGTCTCAACTTTTTCTCCGTCAAGGGTCCAGAGCTCCTGAACATGTATATTGGCGAATCAGAAGCCAACGTTCGGCGGGTGTTTCAGCGAGCTAGAGATGCAAAGCCTTGTGTCATCTTTTTCGACGAGCTCGATTCCGTCGCGCCTAAGCGTGGCAACCAAGGCGATTCCGGCGGTGTCATGGACCGCATCGTCAGTCAGCTTCTTGCAGAACTTGATGGTATGGCAGACGGCAAAGGCGGATCCGACGTCTTTGTTGTCGGCGCGACGAACCGGCCAGATCTGCTCGATCCGGCCCTGCTCCGACCAGGCCGATTCGACCGGATGCTCTACCTGGGCGTGAGCGATACCCATGACGCCCAGCTGAAGATCATTCAGGCTCTCACGAGAAAGTTCAAATTGCACCCGGACACGGATCTGCAGCGCATCGCAGAGAGCTGCCCGTTCAACTATACAGGCGCAGACTTCTATGCACTCTGCTCAGATGCCATGCTGAAAGCGATGACGCGGACTGCCGAAAGCATTGATGACACTTTAAAGGGAATCAATGCAAGCCGGACGACGCCAATCATGCCTCAATACTACCTCTCGGAGATGGCAAAACCGAGCGAGATCGAGGTTCTGGTCTCTCAAGGCGACTTCGAAAATGCTCTAGCTGAGCTCGTGCCGAGCGTTTCCAAGGCAGAGATGGCTCACTACCGCACCATTCAAGGACGCTTTAGTGGCAAAGGCCCGGAACCCGAGCAGCTCAATGGCCATGCCGATCCTGCGGCGAGCCAAGCACGGCCAAAGGGCAAGGGGAAGGGCAAAGCGAAAGCGTAGATGCATCGAGCCTCTATCTCGCTAGCAGAGCCGGAGTTCTGTGGCTTTCAGATAAGCCAGAATGAAAGCTGCTCCTTGACGCGTTGGCTGACTGAATGCAAGGTCGGTGCGCGCTTGCGGGCAGTAGGGTATCGCGGTCTTGCAAGCCAAGTCAATGAGCCGTGTGACATGTCCTTTGCGACGATGATGCGACATTGCGACCATGCGCTGAATGCCGATGCGAGAGGTGGGATCTGGGCGGTCCGAAGTGATGATAATGTCTGAGCTCTCGGAGCCACTGATGCGTGCAATCTCAGAGGACTTGATCCTCGTGGTCGTGATAGCAGCGGCAAGCTCCAACGGGCCTGACTGGCGTGTCGGTATCAGATAGGCGTACATTTTGCCGTGAGACTGAGCATAGCTCGTCAGATCGCAGCGAGGTGAACCTAGCTCCATGTCGACGCGCGATAATATCGCTTCAAGCTCTTCAGTCTGTCAAGCCCACGTCAGTACGCCTTACTGCGGAGTCGATGGCTGACTTCAGCGCGTGGGAAATGACCCGTCAGATCGATCTCGACGATCTTATCGCCTACCAATGAGGACCAGAGTACAGTGCGGATGATTGACCGGCTGACGAAGAGCCTACAGCTACCTGGCGCTGGACTATGCAGATTCGATTGGCTGCAGTATCGCTGGTGCAGGGCCTTTTCTTGCGAGGATGCGCGTGCGTATAGAAGACCGCAAGAGGTACACCTGATCGTCAAGACCGTGTCTTTCGCTTGCTCATTGATAAGGTCGCCGTGCGTCGATAGTTCTCGGCCCGATTGCGTGCCGAGAGAAAGCAAGAGCTGCTGTGACGAGTCATTTGGAGGGTCCCTGCGTCTTGCAGCGTTTCTCTGCTTCATGGCACCAAGAGGACGAGTCTCCGATGGATTTGCGAGGCTGTGTTGTTGCATGACCCAGCGGTCGAGCGTATTGCACTGAGTGGCCGTGGGAGCCTTCATCGACGATCCAAAGTTCGAGGTGCCGGCAGCGCGATTGTTGAAGAGACGCGTCGCGTGCAAAGGCAAAGGCCAGCAGCGGCCAGTGCGAGTGGCGCTTCATCTTCACGAACCATAGGGACTGACACATCGCTGGCCGATCAGCGACGCCAGCTCAGCTTGCACAGACTGGACATTCAACCAACGGAGTCCGCGACGGTAACGTGCAGCGACTGTCGCGTTGCAGACCGAGCTCAGGTAGCCCGGACGACCGAGGCGGCCTGTCCATCATCACGCTGCACCGCCGTGCGTGCGCTGAGCGGGCGAGATGAGCTATCATCGGCCGACCTTTGCTCCTCTGCCGTCTTATGGCGGCTCCTCGTCGTCCAGCAGGAACACGCCGAGTCCAAACGCAGGGCGAGGTTTCATGAATGGCACCGAGCACCTATTGCCGTTGCATTCCAGCGGATCCACGCCGTCCCCTTTGGCTTCCCCTGGAGTACCCTTGTCTGCTCAGCCTATGCTAGGGAGGCGCATGGACGGCAGCAGCGATCGACGCAATGGCGGGCAGAGGCACGGTGCTCAGAGGTTACCAGACCCACCGTCTGATGAGTATGCGTACATCGATCCTTATTCACAAGGTCGGCCAAACGGCAGGCCGACTGTTCGATATCAAGACAATGACGCGCATTCAGGCCCGACAGGGTTTGGTCAGGCAAATCGTGCAGCAGGCCTGCGCGGTGATCTCAGGAACGACGGCGGCGCACAAGCCAGGAGGCGGCCGACGGTACGCGAACGGAGAGAAGGCCTACAACAAGTCATGAACAATGCTGCACCAGGCCGGACGGGCACATTATCTCGCGGTCTGACGAGGGGAAAGACGCTCATCCGGCCAGAGCGACACGTCGCGCCCACGCCGCTCATCAATCCCACCGCTGCTCTGTCTTCGCAGCTTGCCATGTCCTCCTCGACATCGAACCCATTCCGGTTCATAAGGCAGTTGTTCACGGGTGACGATGGCACGAGTCCGCTCTGGCGCGCTTACTGTTGGATCGTGACCTGCTGGGCGCCTGCCTGGCTGCTATCACTCCTTGGCAAGACCGATCCCGTGGCGCGGCAAGCTTGGCGCGAGAAGATGGGCTTGTGTAGCATAGCTGTCATCATGGGCGGCATCGTCGGCTTCGCGACCATCGGGCTCAATCGTGTCCTTTGTCCTGCTCAAGGCTCTTCGACGCCAAATACATTCATCCGCCTGGGCGAGAATCCTGGTGAGTGTCTCTCTACTGATTCAGCAGACGTGTCGCTAAGATGGGCATCCGCACAGATCTCGTAGGGATCAACGGGTGGATGTTCAATGTCACGAGCCAGGCAAAGGCAACTAACGGCGTCAATTTTGTGACGCTGTCCAAGCAAATGTCTGGCCTTGACGTTACAGACTACTTCGATAGGTCCAAGACGGCTTTTGCGAGCTGCTCCGGTGACGCAAAATACGTCACTACCTCGCTTTGCATTGGCACCGGCAGTAACACGACCTGTCCTCTTGCCGCACCCACGCCCGCCTACTTGTCCGGCCTAGGATTGCTCAACACGAGCAGGCAAGTCGGTATGGCTTGGGAGCAAGTCACTAGCGACGATAACAGCATCGTCATAGACGGTAACGTGCTCAATCTCGAGCCATACCTAAACGCAAACCCTACCGCAATAGACGGCGATCATATCGATGCCGCCATACGATACACACTCTCGCCGACGCAGTCAACGGGCGGCAAGGATGCTACGCGCCTCTTCTATCGGACGAGCGAGCTACGATCCGCCTCTGCGTGCTTAGTAGAACGCTACAAAGCCGGCCATATCGACAAGATCACACCTGGCTGCTTCGCCTCACAACTCTTCTTGTACACGTCACTTTGCGTCATCATGGGCGTCATTCTTGCGCGTTTTGCAATGGCAACAGTCTTTAGCTGGTTCCTGTCGAAGAACCTTGTCAAGCCACCCAAGAATTTGAGGCGTAAAGTCGTCTCACCCGCCGTCTTGCCGGAAGGTGCCAATATTGAAGTCAATAATCCCAACGCTACAGCGCCATGGACAATGACGCCGTCGCCTCAGAAGGGCGCTCGGGCTGCTCAAAGACGACCGACTCAGCCCAAGGGCACTCGGCAAGGGGCAGGCGTTGACGAGAAGCTCCGGCGGAAGAAGACCGTCGCAAAGCCAGTCGATGGGTCGGGCATGATCAACATGGCCGCCATCGGTGCCGAGCTCTTCTGCGTCTGCTTAGTCACTTGTTACTCGGAAGGCGAGCAGAGCATCAAGAGCACGCTCGATTCTATTGCCGCTACGCATTACTCTGACGCGCGCAAATTGCTCTTCATCGTTTGTGATGGCATGGTATCCGGCGCTGGCGAGAAGACGAGTACACCCGATATCTGCGTGTCCATGCTGGATGCAGACCCACGCTTTGGCGATCCTTTGCCGATGAAGTACACCGCAATTGGGGTGGGGGGCAAGGAGCAGAACGAGGCTATGGTCTATGCTGGACACTACACGAAAGTGTCTGGTCACCGCACGCCAACGATCATCGTCGTCAAATGCGGCACATCAGAAGAGGCACGAGATAAGAAACCGGGAAATCGAGGCAAACGCGATTCGCAGATGGTTCTGATGAACTTCTTCCAGCGAGTCACCTACAATGACCGAATGACACCGCTCGATTATGACCTCTTCCGCAAGACACAAGCGCTCATGGGCGTGACACCGGACTTCTTCGAGGTGACACTCATGGTAAGCACATTGGGCAACATGAGCGTTTTGTCTGACATACGGCGCGCAGGTCGACGCAGACACTAAGATCTGGGAGGACTCGCTCACACAGCTGGTCAACTGCATGCAACACGATAACATGATCATGGGCGTCTGTGGCGAGACGCGTATCTCCAACAAGCGCCAGTCCTGGGTCACCGCCATCCAAGTCTTCGAGTACTACATCTCGCATCATCTAGCAAAAGGTTTCGAGTCTGTCTTTGGCGGCGTGACATGTCTGCCGGGCTGCTTCTCCATGTACCGACTCAAAGCGCGCAAGATGGACGATTCTGATTGGGTGCCCATCCTGTCAAAGGCGGAGATCGTGCGGGAGTACAGCCAAAGTGTGGTGACGACGCTGCACCAGAAGAACTTGCTCCTTCTCGGCGAAGATCGCTTCTTGACAACCTCGATGATTAGGACGTTCCCCAATCGAAAGATGATCTTCTGTCCTCAAGCGCGGTGTCATACCGTCGTACCTGACGCTTTCTCGGTGTTGCTCTCGCAGCGGCGGCGATGGATCAATTCGACCGTCCACAACCTTATGGAGCTCGTGCGAGTACGTAATCTCTGCGGCACCTTCTGCTTTTCGATGCAATTCGTCGTCTCTCTCGAGCTCGTCGGTACTATTGTCCTGCCGGTGGCTATCTGCCTTACGTACAGTCTCATCATCAACTATTGCTTCAACCCGCCAACCCAATTCGCCGATGCGATTCCACTGATCTTGCTGGCCGGTGTACTTGGCTTACCTGCGGTGCTCATTGCCATCACATCTGGCAAGCTGGTCTACATTCTGTGGATGTACGCTCCGCTTCTCGCAGCTCGCGTGACATGCTGACCCACGTCTAGGCTGATCTATCTCATTGCTTTGCCGATATGGAACTTCGTCTTGCCCATCTATGCCTTCTCAAAATTCGATGACTTCAGCTGGCAAGTCTTGCGCGCGTTGTGTATGATGAAGCTGACACGGCGGTCTTCAGGGGTGAAACCCGGCGAGTGGAGGGCGAAGGCAAAGACAAGGGACATGCGACAACAGGGGGAGCAGCTTCGACGACCAAAGTGCCTCTGCGTCGGTGGGAGGCTTGGGAGCGTAGTCGCTTGCGCAAGCTCGAACGTGATGCCAAGCGAATCAGAGAGTTCGAACAGATCAATGGTCCTGGACAGATGATCGACAAGGAAGCTTTTCTCCGTGCAGATCGGCTCAGAGTCAACTCGACGACACCTTCGTATACGAGCGATGGAGAAGAGCAAGACCAATTCGGGGGGCAGATCGGGCAGTACAACGAGTATCTGCCTGGCGATCAGCCACCGCCTGTTGGTCTATATATCGCTGGATTAGACGACGACGCATTTACTGATGCAGGCACGATTGATGCCAATGAGCTCGAGATGGCTCTCGAGGGTGGCTGGGACGACGAAGATGAGGATGTCTACGAGAAAGAGCCTTCTTATTCGTCTCGGCCGAGCACTGGCCGATACGACTCTGGCGCGCAGACTCCGTTGTCGTCAGAGTCCAGCCATCAGCATGTTATGCATGCCGATCTTGGCTCTACAGCCCATCTACTGACTTCGTTGCCGAGGACACACGATACCGAAGCCCATTCGACTTCCTTCGAAGCTGCGCCTCGCGGGCATGCTCGAAATCGCTCGAAAGGATCCGGTGGCCACGCATTCTAATGCAATCTCGCAAGACCGTGCTTGTACTAGACGGTGTCTCTTGTAGTGACATCAACATGCATGCAGAAAGTATGAAGTACATTTGCTTGCGAAGCGAGACACAATGCAAGACTGATCGATCAGGCCGACTGATGTGCATGATATCACGGCGAAGGCTCGCTCGGCAAGAGGATAGGGCTGCTGATGTTGAGCATTCCACCAGAGATTAGTCTGCATTTGAGATGGGCTGTCAGCATGTAGTGTATGTCGACGCCGGGCGAGAAGGCGCTGACTTCGCGCTCGTCGATGGGTATGACGCCACTAAAGGTCTTCATTCCAGCATGTGGATCATCCGCGTCTCTACGCGCTTGACTTGCTTTGATTTTAGTAGTGGCATAATCAAATGGCTGTCCGCCTTCTGGTCTGACGATCGGTCTGACCGATGATCCTCTTCCAAGCGAGACGAGTATGGTCAGTTCAGACATGACGGATGCAAGGAGGCTGTCAGATGGCGGCTGCCCGTCCTGCGATACGAGTTTGATGCTGACAACATACTGCAGCAGCGCGCCGCGATACGTCGGTGGCGTGAAGGAGAGTGTGCCCTCGATGAAGGGCGGCGATGAGCTGTCGCTCTTGTAGGTGAGCTCTCGTTTGGCGGACTCGTGTGCGGTGTGAGACGCATAGGCAGGCGGCATGTGACTGTCATTCGTAGACGAGAAGATGGCCAAGGGAATCTCTAGCTTGAGCTTATCGTCCAGCTTGAGCATGCCGGACCGCTCGCCGCGAATGCTCAGCTTGTAGCCGATGCTAGCATGAGACCAGTCGCCGTCATCCACTCGCGCGGTGGGCGGCAAGGGCAAGGAAATGTCATTCTTGTGAGTCGCTCTCGAGTCAGCAATGTCGAAACTGAAGCCAAGCGTCGCCTGCTTGGTCTTCCCAGACGTTTTGTCCTTGCTCACTACTTGCGCATGGTCATACACCGTCTGGCTCATCTCCAAGAACGGATGGATCTCTCGTGTCTGAATGGGCATCATGCCTCCTCCCGATCCTGCACCCGCCGCGACTTGGGCTGCTTGCCATCTGTCCTTGCCATAGACCATGCCTCTGTCCTGCCATAAGCATACACATCGACCTGGCAGCTCTCGCTTGTGGAGACATCTCAAGCTGTCGAGCGTTTGCACTCACTCTGAGTAGCCTTTCAGCCGGACAGTGACGGCAGTGTATCGGGTGAGATCACTGCATACGATCTGACCTTCGACTGGTCCAAGGGTCGAGAGATAATGGCCGCCTTGAACGGCTGGCTCCACTGTCAGAGCCAAGTGAGATTGCTGGGCTTTCAGCGTCAATGCTGCCGGGGTGACGGTCGTTGGCTCGCCCCTTGATCGCCATCGGCTCATGAGAGAGCCATCCTCCTCTGCCTTGCCCATCTGATCCAGACAAGGGTGGCCAGCGTCACCCGTGCCAGCGCCGATAGCGCTATCGGTATAATTCGCGCTTGCCCTGTCGGTTGTTGCCTGTTCAGAGGGTCATCATCATGAGTGAAGAGCACAAGTCCATGGGCGAGAAGCTAAAGGAGGGCGTGCACAAGCTCGCAGTCGCAGCGGCTATCGAGCCGCCCACGGAACGGTACGCCGCCGCGCGTTTTGCGTTGGGCTGGAGCTTACGAGAGAGGAACCTGTTAGTGAGCTACAAGAAGACATCACGGACGCACGCATCAAGGGAGATGACAGCAAGGTAGCCAAGCTCAAATCACGGCTCGCGTCTTCACATCAGGACGCCTCGACGGGGCCAGAGGTCGCGGACGCTTGAGAGGAGACGTGACGTGACGTGACGTGAGATGGATGCAATATTGCGCACAGATGTCATATGTCTTGGTATAGCAACAAGGGCTCGCCCGTCTCTGTGATCTCGGGCAGTGTACACTGTCGCGTAGCTTCGTCAGAAATGCGTCTGTGGCTGGCATGATGCCTACTTTTAGATCAAAGGCTTTCGACAGCACAATCTTGAAGATCTTCTGCACGTTGATCCTGCCTTGCGTGTCAGAGCGAGACGCAAGTCTGTTAGTATATCACATACGAGTGTGAAGTCGAGCAGAAGATCAGCGGTGCCTTCATAGCCTTGGCAAACCGCTTTGCCTATTTGACCTTGTGAGACTATGCAGACCCGGTAAGAGCGATGCTCACCTGTCGGGTGACGTCCTCCTGCTCAGACTCGGCTAGCGTCGAAAAGTGATCGTACTTTGTGCCCACCAGAAACGGTATCGCAGTCTGCTTCTCGTTTAGGCGCGCTGGCCACAGCGATGCTATATATGCCTGCCTTGTTGAAGCCACGAGCTTGTCGGTACCATTCCTTGATGCTGTTGAGGGTAGATTTGCGAGAGAGATCGAACATGAACAATATCGCGACCGCATCGTTGCACACGAGCGGCAGCATATTAACGAACTCTCTCTGACCTACGCGCAGACTCGCCGGATAAGCTTCGTGATGAGGCTGTGAGTCGTGCAGCTCACCGCCCAGATCCCAAATGGAGAAAGTGATCTCTGTATTGCGGATGGAAATTGACTTTTCCTATGAGCAGTGATGACGCCTTGAGCGCGTTGCACTGTAGATCCGACTCAGCGAGGTACGCACCATGAAATTGACGCCGAGTGTCTGGATGTAGTCTTCGTCGAAGGAGCCTTCTACGTACTTGACCATCAAGCTCGTCTTGCCAATCTGTCCTGCCTCCTTGGTGACATTCACTCAAGCCTAGCGCGTAAGCTGACCTGCGAGTCGCCGACCATGCCGACCTATGTCTACCGTGTCAATGGAAGCAAAACTTGCGTTAGACCTCCACTCACTTTGATGACCACACTGCAGGGACTTGCATGAGCATAGCGTAACAGCATTCGTGAGCAACATGCCTGTTGCGGTCGTCATCTTGAGGCGCAGGCGCAGGCGCATGTTGGCTGCTGCTCTGCTGACTATGCGACGACCTGTACGACTCTTGACGTTGCCGCGACGAGCTTGAGCCTGCTCCTGTCGACGTACTCGAAGCCATCACTCGGCGACCTCGTCCCTGCTCGCGGTCTCGTGACAAAGTCAACGACGACGCGTGGCGTTTGAGCAGCTCGATCGTCAACTTTGATATTCGAGCACGCTCATCGGGCAAGGTGGCCTCGAATGTGACGCAGAGTGACGTCGAGGCAGGCTGTCGATCGTATAAGAATAAGAAGTCTCGGACATCGCTATCTACCGTCGAGCAATCCATAACTTCGCCAAAACTAAATCAGCATCATGTCTGCACTCGAAGGAGAACCTCAGATTGTCGACGACTCGATGGTCGACGGCGGTGCCGCGCCCAATGATGGTGACGAGCAAGTCAGCACAGGCTACGTCTCAAAGGGTCAGACGATCGCCATTCGATGTTTGATCGACAGGCTGATGATCTCCTCTTTGCTGCTACACAGAGGAAGCAGATGGTCTTTCGAAGGACAACATCCTGCCTGAAGGTACATCGCGCAACAAGAGCAAGCCTGCTTACCAGGATGATGATGCGCTCGACGCTGCCGTAGAGGAGGCATCGGCCGCCGATCGTGAGTCACATGCAAAAGCGCCTGGCTCAGCTGACGCACTCTGCAGCCGGTCAAGCGTGAGACTGCAGTATAGAATCGCACTGTATCTGATCTAAGAAATTCGATATACCCTTTTTATTGGCATCCGCAGAAGCCTCGCCTATCTGAGCCCGGTCGTGATCCACATACCCCAGATTACAGACAATCAATCGTCTGCTTTGATCATCTGACCTGGGCTTTCTGACGCAGTGTCCGCAACAGAGACCCTCAAAGTAGACGATTGCCCTTCGAATATGCACTCTGAGCATCGACAAACCTGTTTGCCACAAGCTTGGCGTAGCCTGCCAAGATGCGCATTCTCGTATGAAAATGTCCGAGCATATCGAAATTTCCAAATGGCCCTCGCAAAGCTGCTCGCAGAACTGTTGTCGCCACACAAAGCCGCACAGCCTGCCACCTTCCGTCCCTTTCCTTCGCTTCCCTCTCAACTACCGCGAAGCAGCCCAGCTAATCGAAACGAAATGTCTGGCCTCGAAGGTGAACCTCAGATCGTCACAGACGCCATGTCAAAAGGAGGTGCAGGACCTGCCGACGGCGATGAGCAAGTCTCTACAGGATACGTTTCCAAAGGCAAGTCCGCAGGCGGGGGCGCATCGTCCGGAGCAAGTTGACGAGGAAACGCAGAGGAAGCCAGCGTTCTGTCGAAGAAGAATATCTTGCCCGATGGCGCTTCTCGTAAGACTGCCAGCCACGACTACAAGCAGGACGAGGACGATCTCGACAACGAGGTCGCCAGTCGTACCAATGCTGAGCGTAAGTCGGTCGCGACTTGATTAGATACCCTAGCTGAGCATACATTGGTGCGAGCAGCCCAGGTCGAGTACACCCGCAGCTGAGCGCCGTCGCACCCGCGATGGATCTTTGCGCTTACATGACTTTGCTGAGCCATTGCACAATACTTCGAATCTGATCGTTCGTCGCGTGAGATTCTTTTGTGAGATCTGACGCTGAATCGTAACGGTTGCCTATCATAGCTTGACCTAAAGCCTCGACTTGAGACAGGATCGCGCTCGACAGGGTGCTTTGTTCAACGTCGAATGCGGTGATCAGAGCATGCTTTGATGTGATGCGAATCGACTGTGAGATGCAACATTGTGGGCAGGATCGAAAGAAGTGCACGGGCAAAGTGCTTACAAGTGACCCAAAGTCGAATTGGTGCGACAGGTCTATCGTAAACTCCGGTGTCTGCCCCCAAACCCACGCCCAGGACTACATATCGAATGAGCGCATGCTGTATTGCAACGTGCAGCACGTACGAGGAGCTCAGCACGATTGTCGCTGACAAACTCTTCGGCCATCATATCTTGCTCAGTTATTTCCTGTCTTTACTATTGAGCCTGTGATCTCTCAGGCGCTGGACTTTGCGTACGGTGATGGCGAGCTCGATGTCTTCAGCTTTGGCGTATCGCTCGGCGACGGCGCGTACGAAGCTCTCATGCCCAATCTCGGCGTTCCACTCTGAGAGATTACGCACGGATGAGGAGACAGATCCTACGCCCTTTGTCTTGAGGGATGGTCGCTCGGCCTTGAGTAGGCCGCGCAGCGAAGTGAGATCAGAGCGCAGGAGCATTGTGCCATGATGGTACGCGCGCGCATTGATCAGCTTGAAGGCGGAGCCTGATACGTATGGAAGCGCATGTCAGTCATCAGCCTGCTCATATAGCCCTAAGAGCTTATCTTGAAAGACTCGCAGACGATATCGTGACGCTCGTTGACGCGCGTCGGGACATCAAGGGCATTGAGCGCGCTCGAAACCAGCTCAGCCCCTTGACGTCGATCGAAAGAGGCTCTGGGCATGAAGAGACAGTAATTTGTATTGCCAAGGTCCTGCATATCATGAGGATGAGCTTGCGCGCAATGCACCCGTTGAGGGGGGCTGACATGGTATACCGTGCCGCCGCCGCTTCTTCGCCTGACGAGCGGTATCCTCAGTTGGCGTAGCCTGCTCAAATTGATCTCGTTCCACGGGTTCTGGGCGTCGCGATGAGCCTGGCAGCTGTTAACAATCGATGGGCAAGCTTGCCTGGTTTCTGCCAATGACGATGCAGGGCGCATTTCGATATAGCAACAATATATGCTGATCTGCTGGCGTCTTCCGAAAAAGCCTAGCGATATATCAGCGATTGTGCGAGTCTTAAGCATCAAGACTCGCCAGTCCTCGTACGCTAGATTCCAGTAGGGGTTTGTCGAATGCGACAAGAAGATTCTTGCTGGCGTGCCTGCGCTATGAGATCAGATAAGCAACGGAAGACATATCTGCTTTACTCGTCGCGTAGCTACGAGTCTGTGATGTGCATGAGTGCCATTGCATCGATCACTGCGAACGCCTCGGAAGCTTTACAGCAATCTAAATATCTAGAGCGTACGGCACGTGCCTCTCCAATTTTGACATGACACGCGATATCAAACTTAGGCGAAGAGACTGCATTCAACAGTCCAAATTATTCCCATTATACCCTGATGTAGACTGCTCCTCGAGTCGTGCCCTGAGTCGTGAGAGCTTCTTAATAGACTTTCTCGTCAGTTGGAGTAGTCTCTGTGGCGGCGACCTTATCGTCTTCGAAAGAGCCGTGAGACTGCATGCCCTCGGCGTTGTCCGTCAAACCCATGCCAGAGATATCGTAGCCATGCTCTGCGAGATACTCCTTGAAAAGTACGTCCTCTTGGGCAATAAAGTCAGGCGTAATCTCGACCAAGAAGAAGCCAATAACTGCAGCCAAAAGTGCAAGAGATGACGCGAGGTAGAACGGAACCGTGATGGATCTTGAGTCAGTTGCAGGGTAGTCACCGATGAGCGTTGGGATCGCCCACGTGCCACAGTAAGCTCCCACCTACTTGCTGTCAGTAGGGGTACTGCTGAGCGATCAGGGCTTACTTTGCCGAACGCGGCGGCCGTTCCGTACAAAACTCCGCGGGCCGGAGTTGGGAATGACTTTGCCGCAAGTAAGCCGATACAATTACCAGGGCCAACCTCGCCGAAGCATAGGAAGAGTCCGTATACTACTGCGAAAGCCGCAATGTGATTGGTAAGATGGTTGTAAAGGCCCGACATGATATAGCCGATCACCGCTTGAATTACGAGCGCGCCGATGAGGAGCTTTTTGGGTCCGATGAAAGGTAGCAAGAGGGCACCGCCTATGCATCCGGGCAAATAGAAGCTGTTGATCACTACACTGATGTGCAGAGGCGTTAGCGAGGTTCCAGAAAGCGATAGAAAGGTCATAGGGCGAGAAGGGACAGAAAGAAAGATGCTTTATTTTTCGTTCGCGACCAATCCGAGACCGAAAGCTTGACTTACTTCCATGCAAAGACCGTGGTTAGCTTAGTAGAGCTGCCTGTGATGACATCGATGATGGTAGAGGAGTAGAGACCGAAGGAGTAGCTGTGCAAAAAGATTAGGTCGCAACTGATGGGTCTTAATCTTGACGTACGCGCTAAAGTCGTAAATCCACCAGATCAGTGCGATTGCTGACCAACGAAGCCAGTATCGTTTGAAGATGAGGCCCCAGGGCATCTTCGCGCGAGTGATGGCAGACCGTTGGAACGCCTCTGGCTCGCTGCGGATGAAAAGTCGCAATAAGAAGATGACGGCAGGAACAACGCAGCCAACGCCGAGCGTGGTGCGCCAAGCAGCTCTGAGATGATTTTCGCCGTAGCCTAGAACGCAGAAGAGGGGAATTGCAGCGCCAGCGACGAATCCCCAACTGCATTCGGCGACGCGTCGGTCAGCCTCCATCCTCTTCGAGTACCAATAACTGACTCTATGGCACAATTCGTGAAGAGCGCAAACAGCATGTTGCCTCGATTGCTCGGAACATCACTGTTCTCGGAAGATTCGGCGCAGGCGACAGAACCGGCCGGGTATTCAGCCTAAAACCCGGTCGATATGAGCAGCTGTCGAATGGATAAAGCGACGCAATACTTACACCAATGCCGATACCGGTAAGGAAGCGGTATGCTGTCAATGCTGCAATGATCGAGCCGGGCGTTCCCCCCTTTCCGTAAGCACCAGCGCTCAGAGCTGCCATCGAAATGACTGATTAGACGTGAAGCCAGCGGTGAGGTTTGCACTGACCAGCGAATACGAAGACGATGATGTTGGCAATGTACATCGGGTTCTTGCGTCCGTAACGATCCACGATCCAACCGAAGGAAAGTTGGCCGACGACGATTCCTGAATTGTCTGTGGGTTAGAATGAATTGCCTGCTACCATCTCTAGACTTGCCGGCGAAGCCGATACCTGCCATAGGCTGATTCAGCGCGGCTGTTCTCCATGATCATGTAAGACGCACCAGCAAAGACGGTGCCACGCTGGTGATCGGCAAGGACAGCAGCTCCATAAATTCCTGCCCATCAAGAGCATCAGTGACTTGCCCCACGAAGGAAGCGCGAAGACGAACGACGCAAAAGTGTCAGCACACTGCCGATTGATCTAATATGAGGTACGTCATGAGCTCCGGCCACTGCGCATGAGCACTTTGCGCACCCATTGAGGTAGCCATCAGAGAAGAGAGCGGCGCCGCAGACGAAGACGAGGCCAGTGCCCCGAATCTCGCGGCGAGGCTTCCTGTGCACGCTAGTGTCAGCTCATTCCTCGAGAGAGCAACGCCTGCGCATGCCTTTCGACGACTTCTGCCATCGCTGCTAGCTCAGGCCTCGTATGGAGAGATTTGGGAACCGTCGCTCTATATCTCGAACTTCCCGCCCAGATTAGCCGCAGCCGCCTCTCGGCAGCACATGTACTTCTCTCCAGCACGAACGTTTCTGCGTGATCGAGTCTGGTCCCATGATCGGTAATGTGAAGAGGTCAAACCCTCACGAGGCTAGCCTGCCCAGCAACTCTATTTTAAGCAATTTGATTTCGCGCGCGAACTTTACACGCTGCCGAGTCACGAGCACGGCTTAAAATTGGAGGGACAGGCACGTTTGGCTCCGTGTCAGAGATGTCAGGGCACGATCAGTCTTTCATATTGCTATTGTCAGTCAAGCTTTCTGCTGCTGTTAATCGGCTCCAACACGTGCGCAGACTCGCAGACTCTAATCTGCCGACCGGCGGCTTCGTAGCCTCGGCTGGTCTGGAGGCGTTTGCTCACCATGGTCAACTCGGCTTGCAGATCAGCTCTCAGCAGCAGAACGTGAAGCTGACAGAGATCGTCAACTTTGTCGATCATAACCTTGCCGCGTATGCGAGAAGTTCTCTCAGCTCTCTGAGGGCTGCACATGCGCAGGTCGAGGCACTGTCAACATTGCGAGTCCCGCAGGTGTTGCAAGCTCTTGGTCAGATCGACAAGGCGTACCATGCCATCACGCTTAATCACGTCGTGCGGAGGGCCAGCACAGCTCAGGGTGTTGCTCTCTTGTCACTCTACAGTCGTGCATTCTCCTATGACTCTCCTCTAATCGATGAGCTTGTCGAGAAGTTCAGAGCTCGGATACGGTCTGGGCAGATCGAGGGACATCTGCCCGTCTGCTTTGCAATCCTCACAGCCGGACTCGGTTTGAAGCAAGGTGATAGCAAGGCGAGGGCTTGCCGCAGCGCTGACGTGCGCGCACACAGATGCATCGGTTGAGCTTCACTTGTTCCTTCATGCTCGATCCATACTATCGTCGGCGGTCAGATTGAATCTTATTGGGCCCTATCAGGCGCATCGCATCCTGCTGCAACAGATGCAGCCCCTCATCAAGCGTGCAGCCGCAGACAATCCTGCATTATACACCTTCGAGCTTATCCGGCCACCAGCGACCATCTGGCCTCTTGCCGAAATTCTTGCAGCCCGTCACGATGTCATGAACACGCGCATCTTCAACTCATAGTAGATGCTTACAGCGTCGCATGTTGGATGATGCCGGGCGAGTGGTGACAATTTGCATCATCACCGCCCCGGATACATGCTTCTTTGCATACTCTGGCGAGCAAAGTCTGCACGGTGAAAATCTGCACACTTTATTCGTTCAGCCCATATGCGGACAGACCACAATCTGATCTGTGCTCCTGTCGGTGCCACCATAGTTTTGAAATGCAATCAATAGAAGACGCGATCTTCGTCTGCATACTCGCTGAGCCTCCGGACATTGTTGGTGCAGTCTGATGTCAGCCTTGAGACTTGCAGCTGTCGCGTCAATATCAAAGCATCGTCAAGTGGCAACATTGCAATCTGATGTACATCAACCGCGGCCAGGGATTTGTGTGTGCGATTTCCGAGCTCGGCAGCGAGTATCAACGGTCAAGGTCCATAAGGCGACCCTCGTCATCTTCAAAATCATCTTCGTCGTCTGCATCCTGTTGAGCACGACCCGGCTCGTGACCCTGTGCGTGGCGCTGCTGCAGCATAGCCAGATGCGCTTGCTGTTGCGCTGTTGTACCCTGCCAGATGTCTCGACTGCTAGACGGGGCAGTATCGCGAGATAGTGTTGCATCCGGTAGATCGAGGCTGCCGCGGCCTGCTAAGTCCAGAAAGCGATATTCGGGGAAGCCTTGACTCGTCTCTCGAATACTGTTGGGTAGATATCCGGGCATCGGCTCTTGTTCGCGTAAAGGCAGGCGCTGAAAGACACGCTGGACGTTCGCAAAATGATCTCGCTGCTGCCCCTCCGTCATCACTTGTCGATTGCCGGCAGGCTCGGCATCTCTTTGCGCGGCGAGTTGGACGGGCCCGGGCATATGCAGAGGTGGACCAAGGAAGCGAAAGTCACGCGGTGCTTGAGGACCGTTTGGCGGCGCGGTTGTTGCAGCTTGAGCGACCGCTTCAGCTGCGAGTCGATGCTCTTGCAGCCTGACACGCAACAGGTCTGTCTGCGCAGGGTCGAAGCGCATCGCATCATCGGGACGTCCGCGACCATCCAGCTCGCCTCGTAGCAAGATAGTTTGGTCATCCTCCTCCATTTCTGCTCGATCGCCGTTATCGAGCTGCATCGCGCCCAGCTCTCGTCGCATCGTGAGGTCGCTCTGTGTGCGTTCCAGGTTCAGGTTGAAACGTTCGGCCTGAGCTCGTTCGGCATGTATGCGCTCTGCGAGATCGCCGTGAAAGCGCTCTACACGATCGCCCATGCGATCCATGTGTCGCTCGCGTTGACCAAAGGCGGCGAGCTGACCAACGCTGCCAGTAGTACGAGCAAGGTGATCTCGGAGCTGACGCACGCCCTCTCCAGAGTAGACACAGAAAGCCTGTCGTTGGTGGGTATTGAAGCCGTCCGGCGGCGAGCGACAGAACAGCTGAAGCTCTGGCCGACGGAAAGCAGGAACGCCGGTCAGGCTGAGATGGGTGAGACGGCGCAGCTGCTGCAGAAGCGCGTGGATCGCAGGCACGCTGATGTTCTCACAGTAGGACAGATGCACCCTCTCGAGCGAAGATCGCTGCATGAGTGCCGAGATGGCCAGATCAGTCAAATTGGTGACCTATGGAATGTCAGCGTGTGACACATCTTCGTGTAAACTGGAGCTCACCCTAACGAGGCCGATGCGCTTGAGCTTGGTCAGACCCGCGGCCATCTCTTGAACGCTCATATCCGTCAGCAAAGGACAGCAGGCGACATCGATGTAGCGAAGGCGTGTGCAGCGGCGAGTCAGCATTGTGATGGCACTATCTGTTAGTCTGCCGACATGACCCAAGTGCAGGAATTGTAGATGCTTGCCCAGCTTGCAGATGCTATAGATGCTTTCGTCAGTCAAATTGGTACATTTGCAGAGTATCAGATTGCGAATGCGGGGCATATTAGCGACGATGGATGCAATGGCGGCGTCTGTGATCTTGTTGAGACCGGTCATGTCGAGATAACGCAGATGTTCGAAGTTCTTGGAGGTAATGTGTACCATGGGCAGACCAAACGATGTCGTCGGTCTTGCGTTGCTTCGGCCGTCTCGTGCGCCCTGGGAACGGGAATGCGGAGCTGGCTGCGTTCCAGGGCTACCGCTCTGCTCTCCTCGACCTCGAAAAGACTCGACAGAGTGGTTACCAAGGGCAACCGCAGGCGGCGGCACGACAGATTGGAGCTTTGTGTACTCTGACAGGACAGCGTCTGTGACGGCCTCGACTTCTGCTTGGGGTGCTGTAGTGACAGACTCGTAAGCTCGTTCGGCTAATGGACCGATCAGGTCTAGCTGGTCTTGACGCAGGGCTTCCTCGCGGGCCAGGTAAGCTCCTGCTTCGCCGATGAACAGCCGAGATGGCGAAGGCCCGTGACGGATCGGGAAAGCAGCATCGGTGATGTTGACGCAGTAGTTGAGACTGAGCTCGCGCAGATGAGTAGAATAGCGCCAGAGCGCCCAAAGCGAAGCGTCCGATATTTGAGGGCACGACAAGGTGTCGACTTCGAGCAGGAGTGGACAATTTTGCGAGAAGAGGACAATCGGGACGCAGCTGATATTCTGCAAATGTCGCAGCTTGACCTGTAAAGGGAAGCGTCAGCACAGCATCTGTAAATACGCGGTCGGACACACCCGGCGCAGCAGTCTACAATTCAGCGCAAGCTGATTGAGAGAAATGTCTGTGAGTTCTTTGCAACCGCCCAGATTGACACCTTGCAGACGACTGAGATGACGAGCTGCGACGAGGATACTTTTGTCTGTGATGAGCTTGCAGTCTGTCAGATCAAGCGCGACAATGTTGTGACAATGTGAGAGAACAGTGGCGAGACTGTTGTCTGTTATTTCGGTGCAATTGATGAGAGTCAGTCGCTCGAGTCGCTCGCAGCATGCTATGCGAGACAGGATCTGATCCGACATGTCCGAAGCAAGGGTCGAGAAATTGAGCTTGCGGACGAAGCTCGAGTAGTGAAACGTCTGCTTCGGCCAACGAAGAATGACGAGCATCTTGAGCAAAGACGTCACGCGAGCGAACATGGGTCGATGCCAGAGCAGCTCAACGCCGCACTGGCACCAAGATTTGCAGACGAGGAGGCAAGATTGGAGATCCTTCGTCGAGGTCACCAATCGCAGGATGGCGAGCAAGATCTCATGCGGCAGCTTGGCAGGATCAGTGATCTGACCGTTGGCACCTTCGGCTCCGGCAAGGACCATGCTCATCTCGTCAAAGTCCTCTGAGCGCTTGTTCATCTCTTCCTCGCCAGGAATCGTAGTTGTTGTCGTAGACGGCGAGACAGCGGGCGATGACGTCTCTGATGTGCTCATACCGCTTGCTGCCTCGAGAGAGAGCGTTCTAGCTTCTCCCGCACGGAGGGTGTTGCGCCGACGCTGCCGAGTAGCTGCAGTAGGCCTGCTGTTTTCTTCGTCTTCGAATTCCTCATCACGCTCAAAGTCAACGCTCGTCGAATCATCACCGTCAAGCAGAGGATCTGCAACGCGCCGGCGTGAGGATCCGCCAGTGTTGGAGTGTGCTGCGCGCGTAGCTCGGTAATCGAGGACGGGGGTTGACGGTTCGCGAGACGTTTCGTCCTGAGAAGCGGCGATGATCTCCTCGTCATCGTCGTCTGCGGTGTTCGCGTTGTGTAAGATGGCACCAAAAGGCCAGGGTGTAGCCATGCTAGCAGTCGGGGTCGCAAGTGCCGGCAGTGTGATACGCTTTCGGTAATCGCCATCTTCCTCCTCGTCCTCATCTTCTTCCACCTCCACGGTCGATTCTTCGCCGCTTTCCTCTTCGGCGCTCTCACCGGCACGGCCAGCTGACGGCGGTTCTGTTGCGCTCAGAGGCGTGGAGCTGCTTCCGTGCGATTGGGAGTGCGTGTGGATTCGCCTGCTCAGACGACGGCTGATACGGTCGACCTCGACCTCTCGCGCGCTGTGTACAGTCGTGCCCGCCTGATCCTCCGATTCGTCGTCCTCGTCGTCTGTCGTCTGTGAGTTGTGCGACTGACTCTGCATCGAGGGTGAAGGCGAGGCGAGGTGACTTGAGCCTAGCTGGCCAGGCTCATGCTCTTCGGGCGTGCGCTGAGTATCGACAGCAAGCATCCCGCCCGATCTCGAACGCTGAAGCGAATTGCTTCTGCTCATGGCCTCACTCTGCGCGAGAGAGTCGTGGTAGACCGAAGCAGAGGAGGAACCAGCGCTGCCAGAGGGCGCCGGGCTGGATCTGAACTGGTCCAGTCGTTGATCCATCGGGCTGCCCGAGACCATGACGGCGACCGATCGCTATATGATTTACCGATGCAGGCTAGCAGTATATGCGGCCTTAGGGCTCCAGGTCCAGTCGTCTTGGCGTTTGGGCTCGTTTGGCACGTCAAATAGAGGTGGTGCGCTCGATGTTACGAGGGCCTATAGCTTGCCTGTCTCGCAGTATGACCCGCCACTGTCCTTATGGTCAGCTGCTCGAGCGTCAGCAATGCGAGCGGCGGGGTCACAACGGGTGAAGTCGACCTTTGCTCTGAGAGTCGTCCGAGCTACAGTCGAGCTAGCGACTAGCGAATCAAGCGGTTGTGTCGCCCGACGTCAAGCACAGATCTCCCGGTGATCTGAATGAGACGAGTCTCGTAGCACGCTGAGCCCTCAAAGCGCAGCCCAGTAGGCGTCAGGCTCGGTCTGTGATGACCAAAGCTGCTGCAGGCGCGTCACAAGCGCACAAGCGAGCGATCCAGCCAAGACAAAAAGGCTCGAGCACACGTCCGAGATTTCACGACAGATGATGCAACGGACACTGCTATGTACATCCTACAGACCTTATCCTAAAGGGCAGCGAATGCAGAGCTCAGCTCTGCCGAGTTTTGTGCGAATCTTGGAAAAACTATAGACGCCAGGGAAAGGCGCGCTTGGCAGGAAGAGCGCCCGATCGATGCCAGAAGAAGATGCGTGCAGGTAGAGAGGCAAAGGACTGAATGCTGGGAAGCGTATTGCAGCGTATCGACATTAGCCGCACAGCACGTACGTTCAAGCTTTGACTGTGGCAGGCAAGGCTGCAGCTGAGCGTGATGGCGAGATAGCTGGCTCTGCGACGGCAGATTTCTGCTCGACGACATTGGTCGCAGTCTTGCTCTCGTTGCTGCTTGACTTGACCTTCACTTTTGGCGGTTGCGCAGCCGCGGGACGAGCAGCAGCCGCAGCGAAGCTGAAAGCAAGCTTGGCAGGAGCTGCAGGAGGCGATGGCGCTGGCTGTGGGCCAGTCTCAACAGACGCTGCAGCTTCTGAAGCGTCCTGACTAGTGACAGGCGCATCGACAGGCTTCTGTGGTATATCGTGATTCGCTGCCGCGCTTTCGGCAGCGGCCTCATCAGAGGTTTCCTTAGGCTTCTCCGCAGGGAGCGGAGCAGCTTTGGGCGTCGGACTTTTCGCCTGAGGTGAGATGGCCGTTGCAGGCAAGGCGGGAAAATCTTGCTCGCCGCTCGGGACACGCTGGCTCAAGGGTGCGCGCGATCCGGATCGGGCAGTCGCTCCGCTGAAGCCATTGGACTGAGATGACGATCCGTTTGTCATCGGAGGTCGTCGTGTACCGTTCAGTGCATTGCTTTGGCGTGTCGAGTTGAGCAATCTCTCAACCTTTTCGCGAGCGACTTCATCAGGTCGATGCGACGCTCCATTGTTATACTTTGGGAAGGCCGCCGTCTGTGCAGCCGCATTCGGCGCGAAGCGGCCGTTTGCAGATCCGGCGTAGCCGCCCCGACGGGCGAAGCTCCCTCTGTCCTTCTCGCGAACGAGTAGCTCGCTCAATGTCGTGCCATCGACGCCGCAAAGGTCGCGATGGAGCTGACGAGCATCGCCTGAACCATCTGCGAGCGGATGGCCAAATGGACATTCATCGCCATTGCGACAACGGTTGTCGCCCCAGAAGGTGCAAGGGCGAGAGGATTTGAAGCTTGGGTCGGCACCTGCAAATTTGCCGGTGCGAAATGGCTTCAGTTGCGTATGAGCAGCAGCAGGGCCTGGGCCCGCCACAGTGGGAGGCATGCTGCCGAGATTGCCTGGCCGACGACTGTGGACGCCTGGAGCAGGGGCATGGAGACCGGGGCCAGATTGCTGACGAGAATGCGAAGGAACGCTGCCCGATCGCGCAGAGCCTGTGTATTGACTCTGCTGACCGTACGAGCCGTTCTGCTTATACGATTGCGCCGAATGGGAACGTTCGTGTCGCTGGGCTTCTCGGGAAGCGTCATAAGCCTCGGAAGAAGCAGGCAAGCCGTTAGCATAGTATGCTTGCGGTGGGCCGTAGCCGTATTGAACGTGGTTCATCGCGGGCGGCGCAAAGTGACCATTGGTCGTGGCAGGTGAAGTAGCAACGGTGCTGTCGCCGCCCGCCTGGCTACTCTCGGTTGTAGCCTGTGAAGCATCTGCCGTCGTCCGTTCGCCAGCATCTTTGGTCGAGGCAGTGCTGCTAGGACGAGCAGGTAGACTATGGCCATTAGGAAGAGGCGATGTAGACGTCGATCGTAGAGAGTCACTGAGGGGTGCAGCCGTTGCAGCAGGCGATGGCTGACTCGCGTTCGTCGGCACTGCGGACGGCAGGGCACTGAATTGAGCAGCGTAGTGCTGAGGTGCCATGTTGCCATTTGGATCATGGGCGTACATCTGAGGCGGCGCAAACATGGGATAACCCGGATATGCATGCTGACCTTGGCTCGAGGGAGGCGGACCGTAATAGTAGTGTGCCGGCGGAGCATAATGACTCGCATAGTAATCTTGTTGGGACGGGTGCGACGGGCCATCTTGCCCGTGATGGTTGAGCGGCGGTGAAGCGTAGTAGATCATGTTGGGATCAAAGACGGGCATGCCATTCGACGACTGGGCGCCGTTCATCATGGTCGGATGGACCGAAGCTGAAGGATTGAAGATGGGCATGGGCTGATGCTGCACCATCTGACCGTTCTGCTGTGCGCCCTGAATGACTTCGGAGGCCCGCTTGTGTGCCTCTGCCTGAGCGAGCGCTTCCTCGGTGATGACGTGCGCAAAAGCACAAGCATCGCCGTACTTGCACTTGCCGAGAGGGAAGAAGCGACAGGGTATCGTCTTTGCTACTTCGGCGGGAGGCAAGTTGGGATTGAGCGGGTCCGGATTGACTTGCTCTTTGACTGCAGCGTCATCCGTCGCCTGATGACCATTCAAGGCTGTCAGAGCGAAGAGGGCAGCATTAAATGTGTGCCTAAGATATCAAGCGGGATGTACGCACTCTCTGGAGACGACGGGGTTGGCTTGCCATTGCCCGCGGGGCTCTGTGAAGGCGCAACGACGGGGCTTGCGTGCTGGTCCTTGTTGGCCTGCTTGAGCTGCGCAACCGAGACGGTAGGACTGGCCGTCTGTGCGTCAGGTGCGGACACCATATCGGACTGACTGTTCCGACTCTGACGAGTGGTGTCGGAGGATTACGCTCTCCGGACGACAAGCTCTGCTGGGGCTCAGAGGAAAGTATACTGCGAGCGGAGAAGATGAGCAGAGCATCCTCTAGCGCGTGGGCAGGATGTTGAGTCACCTTTTGCAGCGAGTAGACCGTCAAGTCGTCGTCTGCTCAGAATTGGAGCCAGCAAAAAGTTTGTAAAGCAACGCCGAAGGACCGGACTTTGAAGCTGCCCGCTGACGAATGCTGCTCCTCTGTCTGCAACCCAAAGCTACGCGATCACTTGGTGCAAGCCAACCGGCAGACCGACAGAGACTTGGCGAGATGGCAGCACGAAATTCGTCTCGAGCTTCGACTGCAGCCACCGACCGGCGAGCGCGCGGATGTTCGGGAAAAATTCAAGCGCGGCCGAGTCTGGCTCGAGGCTCGCGAAAGGCGTACAGCTCGGCTCAATGTCGACGACAGATGCCCCCAAGCTGACCAAGAAGCAGCAAAAGGCACTCGCATTTCGATCGGGCAACAAAAAGGGCGCAAAGAAGGCAGCACAGCTCGCGCAGGACGAGGTTCCGGCTGATGATCTCGAGGAGGATGCTCCACAGGCGACAAGCAAGCCTGCCAAGAGGAAAAAAGAGGGCGAATCGGTAGCCAGCAAGGATGCGCTGTCGAAGGAAGCCAAGCCAGAGCCCGGAGAGGAGAAAGCAAAGAGCCAACCGCCGAAGAAAGTCCGCTTGATCGTCTTTGTTGGTACGTTCCCTAGCGTCAGGAGGGGACATCTACAGTGACAGACATATTGCAGGCAATCTTGCCTACGATGTCACTGCAGATCAGGTCGCTGCGCACTTTGAGCCGTGCGGTATGCGCGCCTTTGCACGTCGCGCACGCGTCGATGGCTCATGCGAGCCGCACAGGTGAGATACCGAGCGTCAGGCTAGGGACTAGTAAGGCTGCGGCAGAAGGAGCGCAGCAAGTCAAGAGCAAAGGCTATGCGTTCGTCGAGTTCAAACAAGCCAGCTCGCTGCAGAATGCGCTCAGATTGCACCATTCGCTCATTCCGCCCAGCAAGCGCAAGATCAACGTCGAGCTGACTGCAGGTGGTGGCGGAAAGGGCGAGAAGCGACAGGCAAAGATACAAGCCAACCGGAAGCGCTTGGATACCCAGCGTGAGAAACGCGCCGAGGTGGCCAAAGAATCCAAGAAAGCCAAAGGCGACGAACTCGTTCGGCACTTTCGATCCGACCAACCTACTGAGCTTGGTGATGAGGGGCAGGCGCCGAAGAAAGTCAGCAGAAAGAAAGGCGCGCTGCCAAAGAAGAAGCCCGATAAGCCCTGGCTGTCTGGTGCGAACAACATCAAGATTGGGTGAAATCGGAGTGCATTGTATACAATCTGTTGTTGTCAACATGGGTACATCATAATGCTCTAGTCATCATCTCGCGGCGGTGGTGGTCCACCTGCGTGCGAATGTCAGGAAAGCTTGAAAGGCCCATCGACGCATAAGGACGAACAGGGCTGCAGCATCCTCTGCATCGACAGCGTCAGCGCTCAGATGCAATCCAGATTGTGCCGTACGTACCTCGGTCATCTCAAACTTTGCTCTGCCAATCGACTCGCCGTCTGCCAGAGCGCTGTACTGCAGCAGAGGAGGATGGCCGACGATGGATGCGTACGTGTCTCGATGCTGATGCGTATTCCATTCGCTGCGAGTACATGAGCTCTCTCTGTCCTCGCATAGCTTCGACGTACTACTTGGTGATGTCTGCATTGCCTGTGCCTGTATAGCGGGCGTGCACTGCGGCGCACAAAGGTGATCAGCTCGCTTTTTCTGACTGCAAGCAATGCCTGCTCACGATTCTCCAGCTGTGTGTTCTTAGTATACTTGAGCTCCGAAGACTACAGCGCACTTCAATAAGCCTTCGTCAGTCAGCTCCATGCGTTCGTGACTCACCATGGTCGAAGTAACTCGAGACTGAAGGAGAGAAATCGCGCGGTCAAACTGGGGGACAATGCAATGTTCATGAACATGATTACTAGTAGTCATCATCGTCATGGGCAGACTCCTCGCCAATGTCTTCGATGTTCTCAGTCTGCTCAAAGGCGTCCAGTGGAACAGAGTAGAGCCGGATGACAGGCTAGACCCGATCAAGAGTCAGCATTCGTTTCGTCGCGCATGAGCCAAACGCTACCTTGTTCGGATCCTTGAGCAAAACATACTTGCCCTCGTTCTGCTTCAGACAGAGATCGACGACGGTACGTACGATACCCCACCCATTGGCGACGTTGACGTTGAGCTGGGCAGCAAAATCTTTGGACTTGAACCATTGGCTTCCTAAGATAACGTGACGATTCGGATCTTTTGGGTTGCCGCGAGCGACGTAACCCATCTTGATCTGCTCTGCGCCTGCGAGGATGGACTGCACAGCCCATCGAGCAAGCTTGCAGCTGTTGTTCTTCATCTCCGTCGCAATGACAGCGCCGCGTTGCGCATCAAGCTTGCTTCGCCAGTCGGGCGCACCTCCGGCGCCCTGTGCTCTGCTATCGAATTCGAACAACGTACGCGTATTGATGTATTGGTCGCCTTCTGTTCCTGACGCCTTGAGGATCGTGTCAACCTCTGTACGCACAACGAGCTGGATGTCTTCGTTCTCGGTCACGCTGAGATCGAATTTGCGGTAGCGGTAGCCACACGAAGCTAACGGTTCTGGCTCGTCTGGGTTATGGAACGGGTTGGGATGATCCATGTCGACGCGAGAAGCTTCGTCCTCCTTGACGACTTGCGATGCAAAGTTGTCGTTCAGGAAAGTCGCCTCCTGTGCTAGAGCCGCTGGGGTGTTGATGCCGCCGTCTCGCTCATTCTCCATTGGCGGATCAGACGCATTCTCGTTGACGGTGAGATAGTCTGCTCGCAGGATCAGCTCTGCAAGAGGTCGGGACTGTCTCGGAGCTCACCTAGAGGCCCTTGTTCGCGTTTGTCAAGGAAGAGCTTGTCCTCTTTGCGGACCAGAATGAGATCCCAAGGGTAGAGCGAGCGAGTGGAGCACATCAGCATCGACAAGACGGTATCGGTTGCAAAGACTTGGGCTCTGTTGCTGTTTGCAATCTCTTGCAGGACCGGATCCTCGGACGCCGATGGATTGTATCGCACCCGTACAGTCGGTTGCAAGGGACGCTCGTTCTTTGTATTGATGCGATCATACTGCTTGTCGTATTCATACACCGCGCCATAGCTCGAGCTGGTCCGTTAGTGTCAGTGCAGGTCAGATAGCAGCATGGACTAGCTCACAGCGTGTCGGCATCGCTCGTGTCGACGTCCAGCCTGAGCTTCGACAAGCGAGCAAATTCGATTTCCTCGAGGACGATCCAGTCTTGGCCGATGTGAACGGACGACTCGCGCGTGCGTTGCTGCTCCCAGCGCCCGTTGACCCATCCCCCTCGACTGCCGCCTCTCATGCCGCCTCTGAATCCTCCCCTCTGCTGATAGCCGCCTCGACCGGTCGCGTTGGCAGGATAACCCCCTCGTCCACCTACCGCAGCGCCACCTCTGTAAGGTCTATAGCCACCTCGCCCTCTGAATCCGCCACGAGCACCGCCGGCGAAAGAGTTGCCGCCTTGTTGGCCAGCGGTCGCCTTGGCTCTCGCACTCGCACCGCCGTCGACGAGTGAAAAAGATGCCTCGTCCTCGTCGTTCTGGTATTCCTTGTATGAACCCATCCCGCTCGTGTCACCATACGCTTCTCTCTGTCTGCGCGAGCCGGCATTAGATCGATCGTAGCCCCCTCCTTGGTATGCGGCAGGTGCGCTAGCTGCATTTGCCCATTCGACAATGGTGCCTACCCTGTCCGATTTTGAGTAGGACTGGAAAGGTATGTCTGCAAACTTGGTCGGTAGCGCTGAACTCGAGGGACCAAAGTGATCTGCAGAGTCTGCCAGGGGAGGCAGTACGAATCCTGGCATGACTGTCCTGGGCCTGTCGTTCGGTGGTGAGTCCCTTTTTTTTTTTTCCCGACTGCACGCGTCCGCTGCGTGTGCTCCTCGCCGCGGTGTGGTCAGATCAAGTGCTCAGACATGAGTAATTTCCCAGATGTACGTGCCCCACTTTTCAAGCTGATCGAGAGATTCATGACGGCCCGAGTAGCTGGACGAGTTTGAGTCAGGCGCAGTGCCAAGTGGCAGCGATGACCTTGCTCGCGCTCAGTCTGCCTTTCCCTCCCTAGACGATGATGACGACTTTGGCGCACCCGCAGCCGCTCCCTCCGCAACCGCATCTCGCAGGCCTGCATCCGGCTTGCAGTTCCCCGCGCTGGACGAGCTCGACAAACCGCGGCAGCCCGCTTTGGCCGACGCAGCCGACGACGATGACTTCTTGGGTACACCGACACGAGCTACGCAACAAGCCCCCGCGCCAGCTCGGCAGTATGCTCCCGATGACTTTATGAGCTCATTTGCACGCGATCCCCCGGCGGCCGCGCCTGCACCAGCAGTACACGAGGAAGACGAGGTGTCCAAATTCGCCAATCAGTTTCCTGATATCGGTCAGCCCGAGCCCGCGCCGGCGCCTGCCCCTACACAGCAGCTACAACAAGTCAGCTTACATTTCATTTCTTCACGTATCGTCTGTTGACTTGCTCGATCCAGAACGGCTACTCCACCGCGCCTCAATACGCAGCATCACAAGGTGCCTTTACACAAGCGCCCGAGCCGGAAACAGACGCCATCAAGTAGGTCAATATCGAATCAGACGATCGCAGAGGCTGATACAGGTACGGACAGAGCTTGGAGAGCGAAACAGGCCGAAGAGATCAAAGAACGCGACGCGCGGTCTGCAGAGAAGCGAGAGGAGACCATCACGAGAGCCCAAAAGGCTATTGACGACTTTTACAAGAACTATAACGAAGCAAAGGAGAAAAACATTGCGAGCAACAAGTCAGTCAAGCTGCTCTCCTCTTTGAAGAACACGCTGATCACGCTTTGCGGTAGAGAGGAGGAGTCAAAGTATTTGTCAGCGCAAACGGACGCGCTCGCAAAGGGCACGACATGGGATCGCATTGCCGAGCTCGTTGAGCTAAAAGACTCGCGATCAAAGACCAACACAAAGTCCACACGCGACCTCACCAGATTCAAGGAGCTCATCCTCAGTCTCAAGCGCGAAGGGGAGACTGCACCTGGCGCCGGGGGCTACTAGTCGCTGCTTCATACCATGTTGTGACTCTCGTGCAGACTGATAGTCGGGCTTGAACATCAGGATGAGCTCTTGCTAGCCAATGTGCGTGGCCACGCAGGCGCCAGCTCTCGCTACGAGTGCTGCGAGCTCGTCTCATACAATGAAGTACATACGGGGCAGTGAGCGAGCCTTCATGTCTTGCCCTTGCGAAAGTTGGACCATGCCGCAGTGCCGCCCTTTCTCACAAAAGGTCGCGGTTTCCTTGCAGGCATGTTCGCATCGAGCAGCGCATCGATGCTGTCCGCCTCCACTTCGGCAGCACCGCTCAACAGCGGATGCAAAGGCTCCGCATCCGGTGGCCGCCACTGATCCGCCGTGGGGAGCTCAGGCTGCGCTCGAGGCGCAACTGCAGGTATCCTTCTGAAAGCTGATGGTCGAAATGTCGGCGCTGTAGATGCTACCGCTGCGTCCGCGACCGGTTCGGCTGCCGTACTACTTGGAGTCGTTGTGATGGGCGACTTTGTATCAAGCGCCGAGACACTGCTGTCGGAATGCAACGGTGCAGTTCGAACAGGTACCGTCACTGCAATGCGTTTGAAGCCGCCGGAGCTTTTCTGCGCAGGTGCGGCGGCAGTCATCGCGTTCTCTGTAGCTATCGCGCGAATGGGTTGCACAGGCTGAGACTGCATGACGCCAGCAGCTTGCGCGAGGCGAGCGAACTCGCGCTCCTCGCGTTTGCGCTCTTTCTCCTTGCGTTTGTCGAGCTGGCCGGAGACGGCAGCAGCAGCGCGTGATTCTGCCTTGAGCTCGAGGAAGCGTTTCTTGTGGTGATGGTCATATGAGTTGAGATGCTCGTCGTATTGCCGCACGTTGACATATCTGCGTGCGATTTCAGAGGCAGATACGGATGCGTCGCGGGGGAGCTCACGCTTTGTCGCATAGCTGACAGTGGAACTTCTCGATGGCCGAGACTATTTCTGCTTTCACCGCAGCTTCGCGAGCGACCCTGGCCTGTGTACGAGCATTGAGTACGACGCAGGATCGAAGAAGCAGTGCCCACTTCTCTCGCTGCTCTTTGCTCGTCCGTCTCGCGAGCCAGCTTGATCGAATCTAGCGTGCGCTGCCTGAGGGAGGCATTGTCGAGCATGTCTCGTTCGAGCTCGACCTTGCCGAGACCCATGAGGTCGGCCTTGTAGACGACCTGGATAGGCTCAATCCGGCCTTGTCCATTGAGGCCTAACCCTTGGCCTGCTTGCCATCCCATACGCTCGAGCAGTCGCTGACCGACATTATCGGCCTTTATAGGCAATTGCTGGCCGTAGTCGGGAGTCACAGCTCGGCGCTTGCCAGCATGCGTGGAGCTATGTGCTGTCTCCGGGGACGGTGACCTCGAGACAATAGATCCATAGCCACTGCTGCTGGCTCCATCCGAGTCCTGATCATCTGGCGATTCACGCTGGGGAAAGAACAGGCAGCAGAGTCCGCTCGTCGATAGCAGCGAGCTACCTTCAGGCTTGACATCCGCGGATCGTCGTGGCTGTGGCTGCTCACTCGTCTGACAACGATTGCCGGCTTGGTGTCGCCACTGTCGCGAGCAGTCGCGCTCTCGCGTCTTACTCGATCTGGTTCGGCGTCACTCCACCACCTCGGCCCCGCCGCATGGACGACGATGAAGACGATTATGGCGATTTTGACATCCCGCTAGACGATCTCGATGCACTCGAGACCTTGTACACGACCGCAGAGGGTGCGAACGACCAGCAAGCGGGATTGAGCAAGGGCGCGAATGGACACAGGCAGGCGACACTTTGGGGCGCACGACCAGCTCAAGCGGGCTCAGGAGCACGATCTACTACGTTCGGCAACCATGTGGCACATTTGCGAACGCTAGGACCAGCTCCCAGGACCAGCAATGGTCTCGCAACGGAGACCGCGCCGGCACCCAAAGTCGTGATTGCCAAAGTATGGGACAAGACAGCGTTTGTCAAGTCTGGCTTCTCCAAGCGATCTGTTGTCAAGGAGAAGCAGAGGAAGAGAGGTAAAGGACGCGCGTACGATGGCCAGTCGACCGGTTCAGAGGCCGAAGAGGGTGAGCCCGATCCTGCCGTGCTCGAGGCCTTGTTGGCAGGCGGCCCTCTGCCGCTCACGGAGATGAAAGTCTTGCCCGATCGTCAGGCTATGAAGACTTGGATCTACCCGATCAACAAACCCCTCAGGTCATATCAATACAATGCGGCAGCCAAGGCGCTCTATACCAATGTACTCTGCTCACTACCGACGGGTTTGGGCAAGACCTTCATCGCCGCCGTTGTCATGCTCAACTTTTATCGCTGGTTCCCAAAGGGCAAGATCATCTTCATGGCGCCAACGCGGCCTCTCGTCACTCAGCAGATCGAAGCTTGTCATGGCATCGTCGGCATACCCGCATCAGATGCAATCGACATCACCGGCTCGAACACACCCGCACTTCGGGAGAAGGCCTGGCAAGATCGTCGCGTCTTCTATGCTACTCCACAAGTCGTCACCAACGATCTCATAGCAAGCAGACTGGACCCGACCGATATTGTCTGCATCATCATCGACGAGGCTCACAGAGCAAGCGGCGACTATGGTAAGCACGCTTTGCTTGACACCGGAGCCGACTGACACCGGCGATTGCAGCCTACTGCGGTGTCGTCAGGTACCTCATGAGCCGCAATCCCCACTTTCGCGTTCTTGCTCTCACCGCTACCCCTGGGAGCAAGCCAGAAGCAGTACAGAACGTTGTTGACAATCTGCATGTAGGTTGGCACCTTGTACACGTTGATCGGTCTGACGAGCAGACAGATCGGACACATCGAGGTCAGAACGGACGACTCGATCGATATACAGCAATACGTTCACAAGAAGGACATCGATCTGCAGAGGGTCCCCTTGGATTCAGATCTCAAGGAGCTGCGCGACACACTTGGCGCACTGATCGCTAAATTCAGCAAGCCAGTGCAACACCTCTTTCAGATCGGCGACCCTACATTGGTCAAAGTGTATCCCCTAGGCATGAGGGCGCGAGAGTGCTATGCCCAGAAGCAGCATGGACTCGGCGATGTGTTCAGCGCACTTGCACTACTCGCAAGAGCAATGAGCTACCTCCTCGAAGAATCCGTATCAGCCTGCATCGACGCGCTCAAGGAAAGCAAGAGCAAGGCCGTCAAGACTTCTCCGCAATACTCCGAAGTGCTTCGGCTCGGCGCGGTCTACATGCAGCGGCCGGACTACTGCGGTCATCCAAAGATGGCAAAGCTGCTCGAGATGATTCTCGAGCATTTTGAAAATGCAGCTGCGCAGGGCGAGCAGTCTACTCGCGTCATGGTCTTTTGCAGTTTCCGAGCCGTCGTCGAAGAGATCGTCCAGAGTTTGAACCGACACAAGCCAAAGATATCAGCCACTCGCTTCGTGGGTCAAAGCACAGACAAGAAAGGTGCGCGTGGCTTCACGCAGAAAGAACAACAGAAGGTGCCTTTGATCATGACGTGCCCGTGACATGCTCATTGCTGGTCCAGGTCTTGAACGACTTCAAGGCGGGCACCTTCAATACGCTCATCGCGACTTCTGTTGGCGAAGAAGGACTCGACATTGGTGAGGTCGATTTGATCGTATGCTACGAGGCAATCAGCTCGCCTATCAGGACGCTGCAGCGCATTGGACGAACGGGACGAGCACGAGACGGCGGTGTCATCGTCCTCATGGCCGAAGGACGCGAAGAAGTCAACTGGACGCGCGCCAACGAAAATTACAAGACCGTTCAGAATGCCATTCTGGCAGGAAAGGTGTTTGAGCTCTATGCAGACTGCCAGAGACTCGTCCCCGCCGACATAAATCCGACCTGCGAGAAGAAGTCCATACAGGTCGGCTCCTTCTCTCGAGAGGCCGTGGTCGGGCCCGGCGCGCTGGCAAAACGACCCGTACTCAAAGAGCGCCCGCGTGACTCAAAAAAGGTTGTACCAGAAGAAGCCAAGCTGGGCTTCATCACAGCGTCCGGCAAGGCTATCTCTCGGCCCTCCCTGGCATCGCACATCAAGGAGAGTATGGCCACTGCCAGTCAGCAGGCTTATCTCAGTAAGAAATGGCAAGGCAGAACGGCTACCGCGGTCAAGCCCTGGGACCTGGACACCTATCAGGCTGGCAAGCCACGCAAGCCTTTTGCTGTTTCTCTTTCTCGCCGTACGCGCGACCTGGCAAAGGCCGTGCAGACGGGCTATGAGCTTTCAAAAAGCGATTCGTACCTCGCGTGGGAAGCACAGTCCTACGAGCATTTCCGTCTCGAAGATGTCAATTGGTGGGATAAGACCAGGCTAGGTCAGAGCACTCGCAGCTTCGTATCCTGTCGTCGGCCAAAATCAATCCCGACGCTTGCGCTCGTGCCCGAAGGCCTTTGTCTGACACCGTGGACTGCCACACCTGCAGCTACTGAGCCGGAACCCAACGCGCCTCTCTCAGAGGCTGATGCGCAGTCCACGGAAGCGGATTATGAACGGCCCCTAGATCCTCTCGGCATACTAAGCTCAGATGCGGAAGAAGTCACAAAGCAGTTCACATACTCTGATGACGACGATGAAGAGCTGCCAGATGTGCCCATGGCGACTGTAAGCACGAGGACTGCGAATGCGGCACTGTCGCTCTCTTTTAACGACAATAGCATCATGCCGGACGATTCGCTGCTGCTCGATGCAGATGTCCTAGCAGCATTAGATCAGGTGGCTGCAGAACGACTGGGTTCTGATAACAATACGCAAGAGCTCGCGGAGGCATCGTCACTGATGCCCCCACCACCCGTGCCCGCCAGCGCCAACATACAACAAACACCAGCACGACCTCTCGAGAAGTCCCAACGAGCCCGATCAACCCCTGCACAGGACAGTCTGGATGACTCGATGCCTGTCGTGCGCCGGCGCCGTATCGTGGCCCTTGCGTCGTCACCAATTGCCGACAACAGCGCTGCTGCTGTGTCTAAGCCCCTCTCTGCAACGACCGCACCGGTAGCGCTGAAGCGCTTGCGGCGACACGACGATACGTGCGACCTGGGTGATCTGAAGCCACGCAAGAAAGCGAAGAAGGACAGTCGAGTCAAATCGCATGCCTGGGCCCACAGAACGGGACTGTTTGACCTTGATGCTGAGCGGGACGACGACGAAGCGGATTCTTTGGACGATATCTCGCCGGAGAACAGTTCCGATCGTGAATTCTACGCAGACGAGGAGGTCGCAGTCGGGCAAGCCGACATCGACATCTACCGTCAATCATTACTGTCTCAAGCACCAGCTGCGAAGCTCTTCAGGCAGCCAATCATTAAGCCAGGCGCATTTCGCATGCGTTATGTCGCGCCGCGTGCGACTGACACACCCAAGTCAGCGCCTTCCGAGTTTAGCCTAGATTCCTTCTGCGTCGACGATGACGAGAGCATTGTGTACGAAGATAGCAGTCAGACTTGAAATGTTGTTGGTATTCATATTGCAATAGACACATCTAGAGGTACAGCGAGGGGTTGAACACGACCGACTGGGGTCTCTCAAGCAGTTTGAGCGCATCGACAAATTTGGTCTCGAGCTCCGTGTTGCCAATCGCCTTTGCCGCAGATGCCATCTGTCGAATGAGCTCGCCAAGTCGGCGGAACACGCGAATGAGTGATCCTTCAAAGACGTCGGTCTGTTTAGACACATCCGAAAACTTTGCGCCTTTGACCCATTGGTATGTTGCGTCGATCAGTTCTGGCTTGAATGAAGCGACGTAGGCTTCCTCGTCGATGACCATGTGACTTTCTTTGCATACTTGCGCAATACGTTTAGCGGTCTCTTGCATGACCCGAAGTGGCCCTGCTAACTCTGTCCTCAGCTTATTGGTCGAATCGTTACTCTTTTCGTCAAAGACGAAGCAGCTGAGCAGCGCGGCAGACTGCTCCGGAGTGAGCTCGTTGAAGACGCCATGGAAGATCATTTCTGTAAGTAGAAGTTCGTCGCCAGTGCTAATCTCGCAAGCCACCCTGCCTTTCATCTCGACAACGTCTTCGGCGTTTGCAAATCCAAGTCGGCGCAGCACTCTCTTGCGATTTTTCAGCTCGTCAAGGTGAAGTACGCTATGCGCATCGGACACCTTCTTCTTTGCCGCTCTGATGCGTTGTTGTATCGCTTGTTTGGCTTCGTACTGGCCGTATAGTTGCTGCAACTGTGGTGAGTCGACGATCGAGCACTTGGCTGCCTTGCTCTCTAGCATAGCAATCCTCTTTGACGGAAGTCCACAGTCAGCTTCGTTCGACGCTGAGCGCATGTTGACTTACCTCTACAAGCGCCTGAAAGTTGGGATCCGTAATGCCCATGTTTTTGACGGGATCGAGGAGGCCGAAACCATCGGGAAAGCGACGCTCAACTTCACGCAAGCTCTGCAGGGCGACTTGGCGCTGATCTGGTGATTTGAGCGTCGTCGGCAGCTTGAGTCTGATCATACTGATCTGTTGAATAGTCGATAGCAAGACGAGGTGGAGCTCGAATCGACCTTTGTCGCCGTTGCTCGGCGGTACCGCTTCAGAGGCGCCCGTAGCGCAGCAAAGCAAGACTGTGACGACAAATTCTTCTTGCGCCGGCACGTTGAGTTCGCGGCCCTTTTCACCTCTTCGCTTGGTGAAATCGACTACGCACGCCCAGCCAAAATCGAGGTTGTTGTGCTGCACTTTGACGACTCTGCCAGGCTGCATGAAAGGCAGAGCATACGATGGATGTGTCACAACATCGTGCAGATCCTTATTGAGTAGCATGAGCTGCTGTCGCATGTCGTAGTACTCTGCGACATCTGCCTCGCGATCGATGGCGATTGCATCAAATTCGTCTTCTGCTTGTCGCAGTTCGGCCTCGTACTGCGGCACGGAGCCGGTACTCTGGAATTGGAAGAAGCATCGCTCGAGCATATACTCTGGGCTTATGCCTTCGACTCGCATCAAGTTGAGGATCATGTTGTAGCCAAGGTGGAACGCAGAATCCAAGCGATCCGCGACGCCCTTGACCATAGACTTTGCCGAGCTAGGCTCCATCTTGTCATCGCACATCAGGATGACGATGCCTCGATCATCCTTGCCTCTCCGTCCTGCTCTGCCTGACATCTGAATGTATTCTCCGCCGGAGAGATCTCGCGTGTCCGTTCCATCCCACTTGCGAACGGCAGTGAAGACGACAGTCTTGGCAGGCATGTTGAGACCGATCGAGAACGTCTCTGTCGCGAAGAGCACTTTGATGAGGCCTTCCTGGAAGAGAATCTCAATGACTTCTTTGAGGATCGGCAGTAGACCGCCGTGATGGATTCCGATGCCTCGCTTGAGCAATGGTAGGATGTGCTCGATCTGAGGGAGTGTGCGATCGTCGTCAGAGAGAGCAGCGATTGCATTGTTGAAGACGTCTGCGACCATAGCCTTTTCATCTTCGGTGTTGAACTCAAGCTTGGACATTTGTAGCGCTAATGACTCGCATTCGCGCTTGCTGAACGCAAAAACGATGACAGGATGGTAATTCTTCGTCATAATCATCTTGATGATCTTGTAGATGTCTGAAAGTCCTTTCTGTTGAGGTTTACGTGTCTTGCCTTGCTTGCCTCGCGCAAAGGGGCTCGATGGGTCATCACCCTGACCCTTGTTGAGCGAGCTCATCGCTTTTTGGAAATTGTCTTCTCTGAATGCGCCTCGTTCGTCCACGACGAGGTGGATACCTTCGCCGCCTGCGGGGAAGAGATAATGCTGGAGAGGTGTCGGCCGGAATTCGGTATAGACGACATGGCAAGGCTGTTCGTGGATCTTGCATATCCATTCTGCAAATTGGAAAGCATTCGGGATCGTAGCAGACAAGAAGACATAGTGGACTTTGTGGGGCAACAAGATGATAGTCTCCTCCCAGACGACGCCGCGCTCTTTATCGCGCATGTAGTGGATCTCGTCAAAGATGACCCATGCTACTTCGCGCATGACTTCTGAGCCCCGATAGAGCATACTTCGCAAGATCTGTGCTTCATGTTAGCCAGCGGGATCGACAGTCATGGATACATTACCTCTGTGGTCATGACAAGACAAGAAGCGGTAGGATTGATCGTGACATCGCCCGTCATCAGACCGACATCACCAAATTCGGCCGCCATCTCGCGATACTTCTGATTGCTGAGGGCTTTGATGGGCGAGGTGTAGATGACACGCTGTTTATCGCGTAGGCATTGCGCAATGGCATACTCGGCCACGACGGTCTTGCCTGCCGACGTATGCGCCGACACGAGCACCGATTCATTGCCTGTGTTAACGTCAATCCTTTTTGGCGATAGATTGGCATGAATCTACGCACGCTCTATAGAATTGATTGAGACTTGTTGGAAAGGATCAAGCACGAAGGGATACGTTCTCGCTGGTTCTTTTGACTGCACATGACTCGAGATCGGGGTGTAAGGATAGTCGGGCGGTATTGCAACCTGATGTCGGACCTGGCGCAATGTGTCCAGGTCAGCCTACGCATCGAAAGTAATCTTGCTGGGCACACCTGATGTGTCAGTGAAACGGCTGGCTCTGCTGCAGTCGGAGGAGCTCCGGCCAGTCCAGCCGAAGGAGCAACCTCTCGCGTAGACTCTGTCTGAAATGAATCTGTTGCGATGACCTTGCCGCTCACGGGCTCTTCCTCTCGTCGAGATCGCTTATTGTGCTTGGAACTCCCAGCCAAGGCGTGAGGGACTGCTTTGGTCTTTGCAGACCCGTTCGTGGCCTTGCTCGAGCTCTTGACTGAGGAAGGGCCGGCTACAGGAGCTTCTTCGCCTGATTCGGAGGACGAGCTGAGCTCGACGACATTGACGGGCGCTGCGACGGTCTTGGGCTTGTCTTGCTTCGCTCTCTTGCGGCTCGGCGGAGCATTTGCTACGGCAGGCTGATTCTGTACGGGCTGACTTTCGTCAAAGACATCGAACAGGTCATCCATCTGGCTTCAAGGTCGCACGAACGAGTTGCTACAAATTTCGAAATTCGCCCGTCACGAGTCACGCGAATGACGAACCGGTCCAGATTGGAATTGTCCTCACGTGCAACATAACAATGACTACAACAAGTGACAGAGTGGCGCAGACATGACGAACGAGTCTATCGGACGGCCCGATAGATCCCAGGCGGTCCAATGCAGTCGATCGAACAAGTCGGCATCTTTTTGAGTGTGAGAACAGGTCGACGGTAGCTGGACTGATGCTACCGAGTGTGCGTGCTTGGGCAGTGCCTCCTCTGTGCCGTGTTCGAGTGCGAGTGAGACAAAGTGATGCTGGCCTGCAATGCTGCTATCGAAGAAGTGCCAATCTTCAACGCGATCCTCGTCCAGCGTGCCGCCTGCTCCACCGATGATCGTGTACGTCGTGCCATGCTGCTGAGTGGCATCATGCGATCGTGTGGCATTCGAGTATGAGAGCGCAAACATGGACGACGCGCGATCGTCGGACAGTGTCCCTCGTGCATAAGCGTGCGAGTGGCCAGAAATGACGAGCGAGGCAGGATGGGCGACTGTTGGGCCCTGGAAATGCGGCATCAATCGATGCCTGACATGCTCACCCCTGTACCGCCCCGATCAGATCACAGCACTCACGCAAGTAGCTTCTCATGCGCGTACCAGTCGCGCTCGTCTAGCTCTGTCCAGGCATGCTGATCCCAGTATTCGAGAAAAGGCGGAATATGGACGACGACGATCCTGAAGCTCGCCTTTGTCCACGCGTCTCTCTTGACTTCGTCCCTGATCCATCGCTCTTGCTCGTCATTGGCACCTTGGTCAAAATTGGAATCGAGAATGATCCACCGCGTTCGGCCGAGGCTGAATGCTTGCCAAGTGCCAAGCCGAGCAGATGTCTGAATGCCGTCGGCCAGCGTCAAGGTGGGTAAGCCGCCCGAGTAGGTATATGCAAGTGTATCGTCAAAGTCATGATTGCCTCGTGCGTATATCATCGGTACTTGGCTGCTCAATCGGTGGTGATGGTTGAGCGCATCATAAAAGTCCGTCTGCCACTGCTGGAGATTGTCAATCTCCTGTACTGCATCTCCGACGTGGAGAAGTAGCTGTGGCATCGCGTTTGTCGTGGGTAGAGTGGGCATAGTGATTGGCCAGTGCCGATTGGCGAGTGTGCCAATCTTGCGCATGATCCGTGTGAAGACCTTTACATTGAATTGATTGTCTCCCACTGCGGCAATGAGGATGGGAGGCAGCTTTGTTGGCAGTGGGACGAGCGCATCGGCGGTGAGCCAAGCGAATGAATGACGCGCCCATATGCGCGGTGACTTGCTCGAGCCCTCTGAATAGATTTCGTACGCGAATGAGCCGGGCGTGAGTTCCAAGAGTCTCGCAGAGTAGACAAAGTGAGTCTCGTCAAGTATGGTACGTTTCACGGCTGCGTGTTGGACTGATTCGAGCCAAGCAGCGCGCGTGCCGTCCGAGTGTACAGTCGCCCAACGGAGCTTCATCGTTTCTGATCTCCGCTTGTCCATGTCGCAATTGGTCTCCCAGACCAGAGAAGCTTCGTCCGGACCGACAGTGAAGAGCGCAGGAGCTTTGCGCAATCGGCAGGAGGTGATCCATCGCTCGTCGTACAAATGATTGATCGTCTTGAAGCGCAAGAAGGTGACAAAGTCTCGAAAGACGAGCAGCACAAAGAGTGTGATGAGGAGCGAAGAAAGCGTTGCGATCAAGATGAGCCGTCTCCTTCGCGGCAGATGGAACTGCCATCGAGACTTCGTCTGGGGTACATAATAAGAGAGCGGGGTAGACGGTCTCGATTTGACGGGGCTGTCTTCTAGCTGACTGCCGGACAGGAATCTATAGTGAGCATTCGCATTGGACGATGTCGAGCGTCGATGTGGACGAGGCCTGTCGTCCTCCCTGGCCGGCAGAGTAGACCACCCGCCGTTGCTGCCCAGATTTGGAGAGGCATTGGGCGAGAGCAGGCCGATTCTCGCTTCGACAAAGGCTGGACTGCTCGGCCGTGTTCGTACATTCTCGCTCCCTGTTAGCGTGAACAGCGGCCGGCCGACCATCCCATGCCACAGCTTACCGACGAAGCGCGTCGCCGTCGTTCGTTGTTCGCTTTTCGAGCCAGACCCATCTTTTGACTCGTCATCGCCCTACACGAGCAATTCTTTTCTGCCCCACGACTTTCTGTTGCTGCAGCTTTGCGTCAGATCTGTCCAAATGCTTGGCAGATGCGTCGCCAATGCCAATGCCTCCTTGCAACGGCTCTGAAACTTTGTGCCCGGACTCCTCACGGCCTCCTTTGATCGGATCCACGCGACGGACAGTCAGATTTTTGCAGAGCTGCGAGATGATCGTTGCGCTACTTCCTCTGCTCATCGTCGCCCGTGCTGCCTTTGCGCTCGCTGCACCTCATATTGTCGATCCTCACATGTACCCTCACGCGCCCTGACGTTCCGGTTGCACGCTCACTCGCCAGCTCGACAGCCCAGGATGCCCTATCTACGACAACTCATGCGGACCTGATCTCACTGATCACAAGAAGATCTGCTGTAATGCCTGGGGCAAGTCCTTCGCCAGGCTTTGAAGCCTCTCTCTGAAGCCCTGGAGACGTTCAGGCGAGTACAAATGCTTCGAGGGGTGTGCAACTTTTGGCAAAGATTCTCAGTTCCAATGCTGCATGAACGGCAAAGGCGAGCGGAAGGTTATTTATGTCAGCATTGTAAGCTGACGGAACCACCGACTTCTCACAGCGTCCGGCCGTTGTGGCCCCTTTGGTGTGGCCGAGCGAAGCAACGAGCACGATGCTGCGTACAACCTGGATGGTTCGAGCTGCTGCTGGAAAGGCAAGGGCACGTCCACTTGCTGCGATTTCCACGGTCAGTTCTGTCGCCTATGCCGTCGCGCCTTTTGAAGAGGCCCTTGTATGCTCGCAGGCGATCGTCATTGCTTCTCAGAGACGTGCGACGTCTTCGCCAATGATTATCGCTGCTGTGCATCTTCACAAGGTAGGCATCACCCACATACACCTATCACGGGCAGACTCATGCTGTCGCGTATGCCACACAGGCTCGGCTTCGTGTGGACCTTTCGGCGTGGGTCCTTGAACAGACGAGGCAATAGTCAAACAGTGATGCATGCTCCTTGTTGCGACAGTAGTCAGTCCCTTGTTGTCCGAAGCGCGTGAGATCGGTTTCATTGGTGGCAACGCGTCATAGCCGCGAGCGGAGAGTTCGAGCAGACCATTGGGGACGAAATGAAGGCAGTCGTGGTGCCCAAGTACAATGCTCCGCTCGAGTTCACAGAGCTGCCCAAACCAACTATCAAGGCCAATGATGAGGTCCTCATCAAAGTCGCCTACGCCTCGCTCAATCCCATCGACTACAAACGAGCAGACGGGATGCTCAAGATCATCAAGAGCGACACCTTTCCCTACATCCCTGCCTACGATGTTTCCGGCACCGTCGAGAGCGTAGGCAGCGATGTCGAGCAATTCAGATCGGGCGACAAGGTCTTTGCGAGAATTGGAGACGATGCGCCGGGCACGCTGGCAGAGTTCGTCGTCACTCCTTCCCATCTCGTTGCACATGCGCCCAAGTCGATCTCGCTCGAAGAAGCCGCAGCTGTACCGCTGGCCGGTATGACAGCCCTACAAACGATCCGTCGAGCTGGCTTCTCGTCCGGTCAGAGCATGCTCGTCACTGCGGGCGCAGGAGGCGTTGGCATTTTCGCTCTCGGACTTGCCAAGAATGTGTTCAACGGGGCGGAAGTAGCCACAACAGCTTCTACCAAAAAGGTCGAGCTCGTCAGAAGCCTGGGTGCGACCAAAGTGATTGACTACACAAAGCAAGATTACACGAAAGAGCTCAAGGATGTCGATTTCGTCTTTGATACGATGGGCGATCTGAAGACTCCGCTCAAAGTCATCAGACAAGGCGGACGGTTGTCCACCATTGCTGGCATACCGCCCGCTTCGGAGCTCATCGGCAAGTTTGCCAACCAGCCCGGTATGCCCATTCGCTTCATCTTGAATACTCTCGATTGGTGGCAGGCACGGTGAGTGATGCGATGGCGACTACATCAGCCTGACTGACACACGAGAGATCATCTCAGGCCAGCAAGGTCAGCAGGGGTGACGTTCCAGAGCGTCTTCATGCAGACCAACGGCAAAGACCTCGCAGAACTTGCGGGATATATCGACGAAGGCAAGCTGAAAGTCGTGCTCGATTCGACGTATGCTCTCCAGGACGCTCAGAAAGCGTGGGACAAGCTCAAAGATGGCCATGCCACCGGTAAGATTGTTGTAGCCGTTGCATAATGCACGTCGTATTTATCTTTCGCCGTTGTCGCCCGTGTCAGTCCACCTTTGCGCGTGTCCGATTGGTTCTGAGCCAAGATAGAAAGGGTGAGTAGAATCAGCCTCTCGCTCGCATTCGTGGCGCTAGACAGAGCTGAGGGGCTAGCCTAGTCAGATTACTCTCCTCCCGATCAGGTGGACAGGTCTCGAGTACAAACTAGGCAAAACGGGAAATGGCTTCCTCCGCTTTGACGGGCATGTTCCGTTCTGCCGTGCGACCGTCGACGTCTGCACTGGCCAGACAAGCACGCTTCTCCCCTGCAGCTATCGCAAGAGGTACAGACCGAGCGCTCCTGCTCCGTCTCACGGCAGACTGATCAGCTTGATGTCGTGCAGGAGCTAGACACTACTCTGAGCATGCCGAGGAAGAAGTCGGGCTCACTCCTATCGTCTCACTGCACATACTGACCTCCCTGACGGCTCTCGACAGTCTTACGAAGCCTTCAATGCTCGCTATGCCAAGTTCTTTACCCAGGTCGAGGACGTTTTCGAGCTCCAGCGTGGCTTGAACAACTGCTTCGCCTACGATCTCGTGCCCTCCCAGGAGGTCGTCGAAGAGGCACTCAAGGCTAGCCGAAGGGTCAATGACTATGGCACTGCCGTTCGTATCTTTGAAGGGATCGCCCAAAAGGTCGAAAACACGGCGCAATATAACGAGTACCTCAAGGAGACCGAGCCACTCAGGAAGGAACTCGGTTCGTGCCGATCTCCTTTTCAGATCTGCCTGAGCAGTGCTGATAGATCTGCCCGTCAACAGGTATCCTGACCAAGGAGGAATTGTACAATCTGCCAGGCTCGCGCCCATAGAGCATCAATGCATCTGCATACCCTTGATCCTGCCGCATGCTGTCCTGCGTGATGGTGTGCATGGTCTATGTGTTTCTCAACGTGTGTTCTCGCTGGCGTGCATGAGATTCCAACCGGTCTTCATGAATCAGGAGAGACCAGCTTGTTTGCAGCCTAGCATTAAGGGCAGACAAGGTGCGGATTGACACAATGCATGCCAGTACAAGGAGCACGAGAACCACTAGATAAAGGTATCATATGGTGCAGGCCTGTCATCATCGAGATCAGTAAGGAGCTCAGCAGATAGTGCAGATTGAACTGACGCAATCGTCTCTGGCTTGTTGGCAGCAGAGACGCTGATCGTGTGGGCTTCCCTTGGTGCGGCCGGCAATCGCTTGACGGTCACACGAGTACCTTGCTCCTTTGCGAGCTTCTTCGCGGCCGCGTTGTCCTTGACTCGCTGCAGGAAATCGTCACGGCACTTTGAATGTCTCACATGCCTGTCAGACGTGACGATCAGATCCGGGCTGCCGGATCATGGTCAGGACACTCACTCGATACGCAGGTTGACACGCTTCTCAATCTTGCGGTTGCCGACGGTCTTGTAGACGATGATGCCGACTGCGCGGGGAGAGACGTTGTAGACAATGCCAGTCTTGCCGTGGTAGTACTGTCATCGACGGATGAGCACCCGTTCGCAGGACGGCAGCATGATGTAGGCCGACCTTGTGAGGCATGCCCTTTTGCTCTGCAGCGTTGGCCTTGATGTCGACGATATCTCCAATTCGGAAAGTACGGAGGTAGGTCGACATCTTGATGAGACCATGCTGCTTGAAGCCTCTCTTGAACATGTCTCGCGTGCGAGCACGCGCACCGAAGCTGTCATGGCCATCCTTGTCAGCCTTTTGCTCTCCTCACGGATCGGCTACCCTGTCAAACATCGCTCGTCTGTCCGTCCTGCTCGTCCTTTGCTCCCATTTGGTGCGACCAAAAGCCAGTGGATGACAGACGAGCGAGTTCTGACAGGGTCGTACCGGCCAGTCAACTCACGAGTGCGGCATCTTGGCAGAACTTGTTGGTTAGCTGCGAATCTGTTGCGCTGCAGGACTCGGCGTGGCGTGGCTTTTGGCGGCAATAATCTGTGACGAAGAGAAATTCGGTCAAATACAAACCTTTGACCGCGCCGTGAGAGAAAGGTGGCACGAGAAGCCACTTGCACCAGTGCTTGTTAGCAACTATCAAGAAAATGGTCGCAGGTGCGCCAAGGAAGATCAGCAAGACCGCAAAGGCAAGTACAGACACTCGTCTGAGTCGTCATCGGATCAGCAGCGCACAGCAGCCGTGGCCGCTCTTCGGAACAGATGCTCAGACTCGGTCGTATGACTATGCTGACCCGTCGACGCTCTGCAGGTCCCGAGGAGACCTTTCGAGGCACCTCGCCTGGATGCAGAACTCAAGATTGCGGGCGAGTACGGACTGAAGAACAAGCGAGAGATCTGGAGGATCGCATTGACGCTCTCAAAGATTCGACGTGCCGCTCGTGAACTGCTCAAGCTCGACGACAAGGATCCCAAGCGACTCTTCGAAGGCAATGCGCTCATCAGGCAAGCTTGGCTCCTTTCATCGCCAGTCTATGAGCTGAACATAAAGCACTCACAGACGTCTCGTACGAATTGGCGTGCTTGACGAAACCCGCATGCGTCTCGATTACGTGCTCGCCCTCAAGGTCTGCCGCCATCTCTCGCCATTGCCAAGGGCCATGCTGACTCGTGTGCGTTCAGATCGAGGACTTCATGGAGCGACGTCTGCAAACCCAGGTCTTCAAGTCTGGTCTCGCCAAATCCATCCACCACGCTCGTGTGCTCATCCGTCAACGACACATCCGCGTAGGCAAGCAGATCGTCAATGTCCCCAGCTTCGTCGTCCGTCTCGACAGCCAGAAGCACATCGACTTCAGCTTGACCTCGCCCTATGGCGGTGCTCGCGCCGGTCGCGTCAAGAGAAAGCGTGCAAAGGCTGCCGCTGCAAAGGAGGCAGGCGGTGATGGTGCTGCCGATGAGGATGACGAGTAGTCGCCCTCCTTACTGTACTTCGACGCATGCAGCTCTTGTGACTTTTCCGTCCCGTCTGTCAATCATTGACACTTGCAATATTGAACAGCGCGTTGAATCTACATCAACACATAATACAAATATAGAGCCGGCCTGTGTACATTCTCTGCAAGGTATGCAAAGCTTCTCTATGCGATCGTTCGGTCAGAGGATTTTGCCTCGGATGCGGACGCATGCATGAGCGCAGTCAGGATGGCATGCCAAGCGACGTCGAGGACGTGCCAGAGCTCGAACTCGCCATCCGGTCTGTCCTCTATGCCGAGAGCGACGATGCATGCCCACAGACGGTGACAGAGCCTGAGTCTGTCCATCATGACATTCATCGACCTCGGATCACAGACGGCTTTGCGATAACCATGCGAGGACTGGATCTGGCTTGTAGGCGGCAAGAGGGCAGCAAGCAGACTGTGATCGCAGGCCATCAGCTCGGTGGCTGCCGCGAGGATAGCGTAGACGCGCACCCTCGAGATGAGCGCGTGTAGAGATACGCATGCAGAAGGTGGAAATCTGCAGCTGATTCCGGCAAACAGAGCTTGATGAGCGGCAGATCTTGTGCAGTGTATTCCAGTCTCTGTTCCGTGTCGGTGCTAGCCTCCATGCGAAGTTGCTTTGCGTGATCTGAGTATGACGTTTGGGTAGGCAGGTTTGTACAATCGCTCAGGACTCTTCCGAGTGATGCGAACGAGTCGATCGGCGTCAGAAAAGAAGATGCGTGCTCAAAGACGATGCCATGCGCAGGCAGCAAGTAGACCCGTTGTGTAGTCGATTTGGGCGTCCAGAGCGCGAGTATGTGAGTAGGCGCCAGAGCGTGCACAGGCACAGTAACACTCATGACGTCTGGCAGGTCTTCGAGCTGCCTGTATTGGGTCGTGTCGGGCTGATTGATGTAAGACAGAGTAGTCATTCTGAGCATTTCAGGCGAGAGCTGTCGGAGTTGCTCTCTGATGTACGTCATCGGCACATCAGCCAACTCAGGATACTTGCTCGCCATATCGAAGCTGATCTTTGCGAGGTTCTGTGGTGCACGAGGCAGACGGTGAGGCAGATTGATGGAGGCGCAGTATGTGCGGAGGTCCATATGCATTTGCGGCTGATGAAGAGCTGACACCTTGCGGTCATCGTAGCTTTGTAGTGCGATCTGTCAATTTGACACTCAGACTGCAGCGAGGTAGATCGGTAATAGTACCGTACCATGTTCGAGTAGCTTGCTTGAGATGCGCGTATGAGCTCCGGGGCAACGGCAGAGCAACTCGGAAAGACGCGCTTTTTATCTTTCACGAGATGCTCACAATCGCATCAGGTCAGGTGACCTGAGCGCCGGTTGCTGCTCGAGCATCGCTCAGGCTCTTCACTGCGCGCTTTCACGTCGCAGCCGATGGTGACAGCGGTCCAAGCGACAGCCTCTTCGTAGATTGGCATTGCCTACGTCAAGAGGTTGCCAGCTCGAAGGACCAACGACGTTCTTTGCCCGACCAAACAGCGTCCTTTTGCGGCTGGTTAGGAACGTCGGTATCGATCGACCATGCTTCTCGTACATAGAAGATCGCTCTCGGTTTTGCTTCGCGTGTGATCAGGATGAGTTGCTGCAGGCGTGTGCCATAGAGCCTTTGCAGCTCTTTGCGCGTGTGCGGCAAGATCATGATGGACTGTAGCAAGCCCTCTGTGCTCTCGAAGCTTGCGGCAGAGCCCGATTTGCTGCAAGTCGCCATCAAGGTCATTCGCGACAGCACGAGAATTCGAGAAAAGACGTGCCTCAAGAGATCCCATATTCCTTCCTTCAAGTCTCGCTCCGTCTTGTTGGACTCGATGAGCTGGTCAAAGACGGGCTGTCCGCTTTTGACCTTTGGCCAAGCTGCCTCGCCGCAAGACATGCCACCGTTAGTCATCCCGCCAGCACGTTCCTCGCCGGTGAGATGCCGTTGGGCCTCGCGACCTGATCGATTGGAGACGAGCGCCAGGTCATATCGCTTCTGTGCATGATCTGAAGGGTCATCCGTGAGCTGCCCAAGGAGCAGATTGAAGCCAGGATAGTCATCTTTGGTGCGTTCGACACGAGCCAGATAATCGTCCATACTTTTGCTGCTTCGTTCCTCGAGCATGAGCCAGCCTTTGGTCAGATCTCCCCGTGAGAGCTTCGTGCCTGGCGAGGCAACTGGCTCGGCGTAATTGGTAAGGATGGCCAGTCTGCCCTGACGGTTGATGCCAAGCCATGTACCCTTTGCAAGCAGATCAAGACCGGACAGAACGGCAGATGAGCTTGAAGGCGTGTCGGCCACGTCATTGTCTTCTGGCGAGAAGTTGTGCCATGCCTCTGCTCGAGTAGGACGGGCAAGGTATTCGTCTCTGTTTGCGCAGATGACCCTATCGCGATGTGGGCACGCCTTGAGCTCGTTCGATCACCGAGAGAGAGCTGAGTGGACGCACAAGTGATACTGGGGATGATCGAGCGTCCAGAAGGTGATGCACATGCCCGGCGAGGACCGGGGCAACTGCTCGCGTGAGGAGGACGAACGCGACGGTGTTGACCGGCGTTGACCGAGTCGAAGCCGATAAAGATGACAGATCTGACGCCCTTCAGCTCGTCCGAAGACCAGCTCGAGCTGCTTCGAGCGATCGTCAAGTTTCGACCGGTCGGGACCAACAGGCACTTTGCCGTCTTGGCCATCCAGCTCTATCTGTCCGAGCAACTCAGCCGACCGATCAAGACAGCCGACGTCTGGCACTCACTCAAGCAACTCTACGACCTCGATGCTCTCAACGAGATGGTAAGCTGTCTGCTTAGACTGAGCTACGTCGCTCTGATCCTGTACGACAGGACGATGAGGGAGACTCGTCTGACGTCGAGCCAGAGGATTTCGACGACAAGATCGACATGCTCGAGGACGGCTACAGGGACGAGATGGAAAGACGGCGGCTAGGCAGCTCACCCGCACCGAGCGAGCCTCGCGAGTCAGACAGATCTCTCGCCAGTCTCTCCTTCCGCAAGAAACGCGGTGTCGCCCATACGCGCTCAGAGTCTCCTGCTGTGCTGACTGACGATGGCGAGGAAGGGACTGCCGAGACGGGAGGAACAGAGGAAGAGGATGGATCGGGTGAAGAGGAAGATGATTACGAAGAGAGCGCATCGGGCACTTCGCGCAAACGAAAGGCTCGCTCAAAGTCGGCTTCTGCCAGCGGAAGAGGAACATCGACCGGCAAGGTCAAGAAGGCTGCGAGGCCCAGAGTCAGATCGAGCAAATCTGCTCGCACACGTACATGAACGACCAACCTCGGATCCTGCTGGCTTCAAGGTCTACTGCTACTTGCACAGCTCTGGCCGCTTCCTCAGCCTCAGAGCTAGCGACGGGATGTACGGCTGCAGGGTGGTCTTACAACATCAAGAAGCGCTCTTCTTTTTGGGCGACGGCGACGCGGTACCACCACCGCCGCCACTCATGAAGGACATGAGCGTCTGTTGCTTTGCATCGAATGCTTGCCTGCTTAGCCCGCCCGGCTGTCGTCTGTGACCGTTCAGATGATCTGTCTGGTTCATTGCAAGCAATTTGACCTGCGGTCGTAACAGATCTAGTAAGCCGGACGAGGGGCTCAGGGCGGGTATGAGCTCTGGAAACTCTGTCGCTTCCGTGGCTGCGTAGGCTTCGGCGATGACGCCGGGAGGCAGATCATCGAGCACGACAGGATCGAGTACCATGTGCATCCGACCCCAGCCTGTGTTCTGCAGCCCTCCGCGCTTGACCCAAGGAGCACGTGGATCTGCTGCCCGATGAAAGGCGTGCAAAAGCTCGGAGATCATCTATGCAGATATGAGCGCAGTCAGCTCATATACCTGCGAGCAAGAGAACCAATGACGAACGATGCCATGAGCGACCAGGACAAGATGCACAGTATCATCTGGTATTTCGAGAGAACTTGGCGCCGTCAGATTCCGCCGTGTAGAGCCACGCTCGTTGGCTTCACGGAGCAGCCAGGGCAGGATGATCTGTCTGACCACCTTGTCTGCGCGCTTGCCGACGTCATGCAGCGTTTCGCCGTTGGGGAACTTGAATTCCCGCTTGCTCTCGTATGGCGCATTGGAGTAGCTGCCGGCTTGCCAGCCTTTGCCCTCTGCATCACCAAAGAATTGTTCGCGCAGGAGCGGCGTGGTCGCGATAGCTCTTCTGCCTAGATCTGAATCGCACGGCGCATTGGCAGACGTACTGTCTTGCCTGGACTGCGACGCTCGCTCTAGACGTGCAGACGAATCGGGTCCAGCCGTCTCGGCATCATTGTGAGGATGATCGATCTCTGTCGATCGCGTTCGTTTCCTCGAAGGCGACGAGGCTGTCTGTCGATCGGAAGGAGAGGGACCGGCGTTCTGCGAGTGAATCTGTTGCGCGGTCCAATGAGCTCGCTTGAGATCGGAGGCGTAGATGGCAGTGATGGGCAGATGCTTGAAGCTCGCCCCTACGCGCTTGGCTTGCTCCATGCCATACTGACTGAGAGGCGCATCCAAATGTCCAGCCCAGACGGCACGGAGGTTGTCAGTACTCTGCCTTTCTATGTCAGCCAGATCCAGGCAGGACGATGCAGGGACTTGCCTCCCCATGCCGTACGACTGTGACGAGCATCAGTAGGTGATGACGTGTGCACTTTGTCTGGCTGGCCATGTCAAAATCACGCGCGCGCGCCTCGCCCTAAAATCGGCAATTCAAAGGGAGACGGGCTCGAGCGCAAGCGGGTGCGAGCGTATGTTGCGTAGTGGAGCAACAAGTCCTCGCTCGGTGCTCAGAGCGATCCCTACACGAGCCGGTCTGGCTATCGCGACAGAAAGCTCGACTTCAGGAAAGAAAAGAGCCAGCTGGGCGGACCAGTACAAGGCCTTTTCTTCAGCCGCAAGGAGGATGTTCGCCGTCACTCCATACAAGCAGGATCAGGTCAAGACCTTTGGTAGGTCACCTCACCGCTTCTGCTGCCGCTGTCAGGCTGAGCAGAAAGGCGCGTAGCACACCAAAAGACGCTACCGAGACTGCCTGTGCCTGCGCTCGAAAGCTCCCTGAGCAAATATGTCAAGTCCCTGCGACCGCTCCTGCTCGAACAAGCAAGACAACAAGGTCACGATGAGGCTTGGGTTGAGGCAGAGATGACCAAACGCGAGGACATCGCAAAGGACTTCCTTCAGACCCGCCGACACCTTCAGCAACGCCTCATAGACATCGATAGAGCGACGCCGTCCAATTGGCTAGACGATCACTTTTGGATCAGGGTAGCCTACCACTCCTGGCGCGTTCCGCTGCCTGTCAACTCGAACTGGTGGATCTTGATGGCACACGACCAAGACGTGCCCAAAGCGATCACGGACGGACGCCCGCTCGATGGGGAGTTCACAGACTGGCAGGTCAAGCGTGCAGCAGGTCTCACTTGGCGACTGATCGATTTCAAACGCCGCCTAGACACGTATGTCGCCCGAGCTGTCAGCTTGACTTTGCTGATTGTGCGGCTGGTTCCGACAGGGAGGAGATCCTGCCAGATGGCTCTAGAGCAGGTCCGTTCGACATGCACCAATACACTCGGTACGCTGAGCTCATCGGAGATCTGTCTTGTGCGAACTGACAGGGAGGGCCTTGCGCTTTTGGATGACCCGTAGAATCTATGGCGTCAATCGCGTGCCTCGCAAACCGTTTGACTTGCTCACCCATGCACCCCATCCTCATCCTGCACGACACATCTTGCTCATCATCCGAGATCAGTTCTATCGGGTCGATGTCATTGACGAAGCAGGTCGTTACAAATCACAAGACGAAATAGAATCTGCATATTGGGGCGCTGTTGCCGATGTCAAATCTCGCTCGGGCGCGGATCTCGATGCACCCGTCGGTCTTCTGACCGGCAACGGTAGAGACACATGGACAGATTCCCGGGAACGCCTGCTGGCCGTCGCGCCCGAGAACCGTCAGGCCATGTCGCTCACGGAAGATGCGCTCATCACCGTCGCACTCGACGACTGGACACGCGTGCATGACAGTCCATACCCTTCCTCGCTATCATCCGAGCTGAAGCAGAGCACTACCGGCGATGTCATCGATCGCTCGCTCGATCTCGATTCGCACGTTCTCAACTCCTGCGCCGGTCGACAAGGGCACAATAGATGGTTCGACAAGGCCGTCGGGATCAACGTCGAGAGTAATTCGCGAGCTACAATGATGGGCGAGCACTCGCCCTGCGATGCTCTGATCCCTTCGATCGTTTGCGATTATGCGCTCGCTGAGGGCTGCGGGAAAGAGTCTGCGCCTGCAAAGCCGTCTAGCGACTTTGCGAGGATCCGATGGAAGACTGACGAAGGGACGCTAGCTGATATCAAGGCTGCGGAAGCCGTCGTCGATGGTCTGGTCAAAGATAGCGATGGACAGATGCTCTGGTTCGACGAGTATGGTGTCGACTGGATCAAGAAGTCTGCCAAGCAGTCTCCCGACGCGTATTTACAGCAAGCGCTCCAGCTTGCATGGTTCAAAGATCAAGGGAAAGCAACGGCGACGTATGAGACCGCATCCACACGACTGTTCCTGCATGGACGCACAGATGTTATTCGCAGCTTCAGTGAAGACAGCTGGCGTTGGGTGCAAGCCATGACATCTGGCAAATCAGACGTGAGCTCTAGCTCGGCTATCCGGTACTCCTTACTGAATAGTACTGCGTATCTCACAGTCAAAGACGCTGTACGATCTGCTGACCAAGGCCACTCAATACCACAATCAATTCACGCGCGAATCCTCGATGGGCAAAGGATTCGATCGACACTTGCTCGGTCTCAAGCTCGTCTTGCAGCCTGGCGAATCGCATCCGCTCTTCGAAGACGAGCTGTTCAGTCTTTCGCAAGAATGGAAGCTCAGCACGAGCGGACTGAGCGCGGGTGATCGCTTCTTCGGCACAGGGTTCGGCACCGTCTGGCCCGATGGCTATGGCATCAACTGTGCGTGCCCACTCCCCTGTCTTGACGTAAGCTCATCCGGTCGTGAGCAGATCTTGCTGGCAATAAGATCATCAAATTCGGCATTGAATCCAAGAAGAGCTGCCCCACAACGTCGACGCACAAGTTCAGAACCGCTCTGGCTGAAGCTCTGCGAGAGATGCGTGCTGTGTGCGAAGAAGCTGCGCCTGCTAGCACACCTCCCAAGCTGTGATCTTCTCATTGCAGTCGTGCTACAACACACAGTCCGTCACGGGTTCAATCTTACTGAGGCGCCTTGCCTGCTGCTCGTTCCCGTTGCTGCTCGAGGTGTGAATAAAGTATACTGCCGTGCTGCCATCAGCGACTGCGCTGAGCCATGAAGCCGAGCCAAGGACCTCCGTTCTATGCGCATACGCTGTATCGCTTTTTTCTTTTCCAGTATGGCGATCTGTATCCTAGCATTGGTCTGCCGCCTGTCTTAGCTTGGGCATGATGAGCACGAGGTGAGCTCACCTCTTCAACTTGACGGACGAGCTGGGTGAGCTGCTCTTCCTTGCGCACGTACTTGGTTTCGTCGCTCAGCGATGCAATCTGTCCACTCGAAGCCGGACGAGCCTGCACTCGGCTCTCAGCCACTGAGCGTTATACAGGGCATCGTCAGACGTACAGAGGGCGCCATACTGCTCGGCTCTGTAAAGTTCTGCGTCCAGCGTTTCGACAAGTCGCGGAGTCGACCATCCTTGCCGGCGCCTTCGATGCTCGGCGTGAGCTGTTCTCATCTCATTCTCTCCTCCTCGTCACAGCAATAGTTCAGTAGTAAGACATCCACCGACGACACGAGCCGGCACACTCTGCAACTCACTTCACGTCAGTAGATCCTCCTTCCACGCCGACAGCCGACGATCCTCGGCACACTCTTTCAGCAATGGCACGACGCCTCCTCACACTCTCGCTCATCGCACTCTCACTGTCTATGCAGCGAGCAGCAGCAGATCCCCTCATACCCAATAAAGGCAATGTGCATCCGGCAAGCGATACGGGCAGCCGACTCGGCGCGCGCAGACTCAAACGAGGGGGCTCAGCGACCGTGTATTCGACCTGTACGACCTCGGGTACCTTTGCACTCACTTACGACGACGGTCCCTATCTGTATGAAAGCAAGATCGTTTCGTACCTCAACGCGCACAACGTCAAAGCATCCTTCTTCCTGAACGGCAACAATTGTATGCTTTCACGTTGACTTGATGCTCGTCTTGATGCGCCCTGTGCGGACAGATGGATGTATTTACGATCAAGCCGATTCGATGAAGGCCGCCTTTCAGGCCGGTCATCTCATCGGAAGTCACACGTGGACACATGCAGACATTACCAAGCTTAGCGCTTCAGAAGTGAGCACCTCTCTTGCGCGCTGACTGCCACCGATGACTCGTTGCCTAGCTCAACAAGCAGCTCGATCTCGTCGAGAATGCTTTCCGCAAGATCCTTGGCATCAAGCCCAAATGGTCAGTCCATTACGCTACATGCCACATCGTACTGAACTCATGTAGGTTCCGGCCTCCGTATGGCGCATACAACCAAGCTGCTCTCGATGTCCTCGGCAATCGAGGATACTCGGGTGAGTCAAATACGCAAGATCATGCTCGGAGTCTGACTAGAAAGCAGTCGCAATGTGGTCGCTCGACTCTGGCGACTCGACCGGCGCCTCGCCAGCTTCTTCAGATGCTCAATTCGACTCGCAAGCAAATCAGTACCCTAGCCCTGGCATCGCCTTGTCTCACGAAACGCTAGCAACCACAGCAGGCGACACGACGGAACATGCAGTCACTGTGCTTCAGAAAGCGGGTTATCGACTCGTCTCCGTGCCAGAATGTCTTGGCATGAGCTCGGGCTCCTGGTATGAGGTCATTGGCGCACCGGGCACGAGAGACGTATGTTTTCTTCGCGGGCAAGGGAGACCGTGCTGATCTGCTAGCAGAACACCTGGACGTGTGAAGGCACGCCCGCCGGCTGAAGTAGATCACGCTCGCTAATCCAGCATCGCATAGTATAGCATAGTGCGCGTCAAACATGCATAGCATCGTTTCAAGTCGTCTTTGTCCGATCCGCGTTGAGATACTTGCTGCGTTGCTGACCCATGTAGGTCATCATGCGAACCAGGCCGAGAGGCCAATACATCATCAGGACGATCGAGCCCATCTGTGCTGTTTTTCCATATCGCTCTTCGATAACACTGACACGATGATCAGCTACGATGGTGATTCCCCAGAGAAGACAGACAGACGGGAGCGCTTCGTACATGAGACCCATTTCGGTCACCGCGCCCAGCGGATAGAGTACATAGAACATGCTGTATCTGAGCCACTCGAGTGCAGCGATTTTGAATCCCAAGAGTGAGGTGGCATATGTCGTATAGCGCACGACTTCGGTGATACTCCATGCGAGTACCATGCCCGTATGTGCCGGTGCCTCGACTTGGTCTTCTAATAGAGTATGACAGACGAGCCACACCATTGTTTCGCGTGAGATCACTTGCAGCATCGTCGTCGGTAGACCTGTATCTCTGATGATCCACCTTTTGCATGCAAACGTGGAGACAGACTGAACGGACCACTTCTGACCCATCCGAGGAGAATGTGTATCGGCTCCAAGATGGCGAATGTCTGGACGATCCGCACGAGATCGCCAATACTGTCATAGCTCGTCGAGGAGCGTTCGATGAGATCATATGCCCATCCAGCTGGGACGTTCCCATCAAGGATACCACCAACATGACGAGACAGCCAAGAGCCAGACGTTGGTGGTGTGGCAAGGTGCAGACCGAGCGAGAAGAGGATGTACGCCCAAGCTGCGCATGACAAGGTGTTGTAGGTGATCAGGTAAGCCTTGACGAGGCCATTCTGTGGCTTTGCCATGAGGCCTCGATGGCGAGTCGTGGGGCAGTTGCTTGCGTGTCAGCCGGCAACCAAGCGCTGAGATAGCTGTGAGCCGAGGATGGCGCGCGTCGCAAGGGTGCAAAGTCGCGGCAGAGACGAATTAGGCAGGGGCCCAGTACCAAGACTGCGAGCGATGATGAAGCCGAGGACGAGCGAGCGATGGGCCGAGGGTGTCGTCCTCGAGCGCGAAAGTCGACAAAGTCACAAGATCGACTGTTCGCGAGCAAAGAGAGCTAGTGCAACATGGCAACGGCCGTTTGTGCCGCGCCTTCAGTCCACGTAGGCACGATAGGATCACCTCGCATCGGACTCGGCTTGCCTGCGTCTCTATCTCCCCGACTGCATGCCTACTCACCGCGCAGTCCCAGCTTGCTCGCCAATGAAGTCTTCTCGGATTCGCGAGTATGGTCGGGCAGGGAGAGCAAGAGCACTTGCTCCGAGACGTCACCCTTGCTCGCAAAGGGGCTCGGCTTGGGCGCACCGTTCGACGAGCTCAATTCGACCCCGCCCACGTACAGGAGGACACACAGACGTACCCATAGCGTCAACGGCAGTCCATCCAGCCTGGCAGAATCGATTGGCAAGCGAGCCACGCGCGGTCACACAAAGGATTCTCCCGTCTTGGTCGGCGAGTTTGAGCACGTCGCCAAATATCTCGATATGGATGCCTGGTCATCTGCTGCTCGGTACACGCTCGTCGGCGCTTTCGCACTCGTTCTCATTGGCGTCATGAGGAGTTTCACCGGCAATTCGAGGTGGGTGGCCATCTTGTCGATAGCTCGGTCGGCCATCAACTGAGACAGCTCATGACAGTCTCGCGCAACTCATCCATAAGCCGGCGTTCTTCGATCATCCCGTCTGCGACCCGTTCAGCCTGCCTGGCTATCTGGCATTTGACGAGTGAGTAATCATCCAGCGCGACGATTGACACTACTGACGCCACTGTCTGCTTAAAGATCCAATCTGATGGCAACAGAATGGAGACCCTTCTCGCAGTCATGTCCACCTGCGCCAGACTACCTTCGCATGCTACGCACAGCCTACCCTACAAAGCAGACACTGGCGCGCATCCAGGAAAGCTATGATGCGTCTGGCGACCATAAGCCGGCCAACCTTTCCTTGTCCGTCTTGCGGGGGACACCCCAAGCCGCTCGAGCGTCTGCCGCTTTGCAGTTCATGCGAGGCAAGTCGGTGCTCATGATTGGCGATTCTGTCGACCGAAATGCGCTGGACGATATCGCTACGCTCATGGATAGAGAAGTACAACCGACTTCATATAGTGATCCAGAGGTGAGGGGAGCCATGGAGGGCTGGGATCCTCGCAACCAGCCCTACACGCTCCAGATACCTGAGCTAGACTTTCAGATGTTCAATTCTTTCCACTGTGAGCCTACCGTTTTTGGTGTCTTAGCCAAGCTCAATGTCCTCCGTATAGACGGGATGGATGATACCGATGAGCATTCTGGTCAGGCAGACTGGCATGCCCCCGGCAAGGTCGAAGACCGCTTAGATCAGCTCTTCGGTCCTATGATCGACATGGCCACGAACAATCACGGACCGGACCTCATCCTCTTCCACAGTGGCATGTGGGATGCAGCATACTGGGGCAGACTGGACAAGAAGCAGGATAGGTCGACTGCGACTGCACTCAGCCAGAAGAGGCTAGAGTGGTACACGAGGCGGTTCAAGTCTACCCTTCGCGAAATTCGTCATCGTTACCCTCATGCCAGGCTGGTCGTGCGCCAGATGCATCGCATCGGTCAGCAAGCTCTGTCTGCTTCGAAGGACTGGGGTCCGGGGATAGAAGGCAAATTCAAGGATGGCAAATTCTCGTCATTCTTTGCCGATGTGCGCGTCCATCAGATACGAGAGCTGACGAGTGCAATATGTCAGGAGGAGGGGCTTGAGGTGTTTGATTTCGGGAGAATGTGGGAGGGATACCAGGCGAGGCAGGATAAGGTCCATCCGATGCTGTTCCCGTCCGGTCCGATCTTTGGCGCTGCAGTCTTGCATCAGCTCTATCTGGGCAGTATCGATGGTCCCATCTCTGCTATTCGCGAGCACTTTCATCCGCATCATTCATAGCATCGCATAGTCGGATCATGTTGCTTGTACGAACCATTGTCATGATTTTACAACGAAGAAACCCCAAGCCGCAACAGATGTGCCACATGCAAGATCGTTGACCGAGCTTGCACAAGGACGTCAAACGGTGGCGCTGTAGATCAATACATCGAGCCTGCACCGTAAGGCTGATAGCAGTAAGGGTACGGATAGATCGGGTGAGGCTGAGCATAGGCCATTAATGGCGAGAGATTTGTGTTAGGTGCGGCGGTCGTGGTATTGTTGCCATAGTGGATCGAATACGGCGGCTGTGAGCAATGATAGGCAGGATGCTCGAAAGGGCCAGCAGTGTAGTCATACGTCGTGTAATTCGGACCGGCATAGTGCCAGGGGGGCGTTGGCATAGGAGATGCAAAGCTCGAGGCTGGTGAGGTGGCACTGGGTGAGGCGAGGACGGGTGCACCCGAGGCGGGATGATGATGGAGATGAGGCTGCCAAGAGATCGAAGGAGGTGTAGCATGAGGTGAGTAGCAGCTCGGGCTGCTCTTGTCTGACTGTGTCTCGACAGGTACCGAGACGACTTCCAGTTCGTCGTCGAGAAACTCGGTGGAAGTGGCAGCATCGGCTGAAGTAATGACGATGACCGGCTGAGGCTGAGCCTGCTCGACTTGCGTGGGCGCGATCGCGTTGGTCTTGCCACCGATCGAGTCTGCGAATCTGATCTGCAAGGGCAAGATGGCACTCTTGAGCACGCGACCCGAGAGCCACTGTATGGCCTGAAGGCATTGTTGGTTCGTGCCTAGTCGGGCAAAGCCGATGCCCTTTGACTCGTTCGCAGACGGCGACGAGGTGGGATAGCCTCGCTTCTTGGCGTGAAAGTCTGAACGAAGCAGACGGACAGATAGGACAGAGACGTGATGCTTTTGGGCGGCGAAAGTGTGGAGGAAGAGATTGCGGAGATCTTCTTCTTGCCACGATTTGGGCAAATTGCTCAAGTAGAGGTTCGTCTTGTCTGTGCCGGTCTTGTGATGCTTGCCCTGGCGCTTGCTACCTGCCTTGTACATCTCCTGCCGAGGCAAACTTTAGCGAGTGGCTTGCATGGTTGCAAGGGGGTAGTGAGTACCTTGGCAAAGTGAGAGGCGACACCTTGCGAGCGTAAATGCTTGATGAGTGCCGTAGCTGCCTCACTCGTAGCCATGAGGATCTGTGTCGAACCCTGATGTCAGCAGCGCACGCTGTGACGACAGTGAGCGGTGAGACGTACAAAGCCAAAGCCCTTTGACATGCTGTCACCGCCAGCGTGATCAGCAAGCACAAGCATCCGGCATGAAGCATTTGACTGACCCATTGGCATCGAGGATGACCTTGACAGAGAGCACCTCGCCAAAGTGGTCACCGAGTCTGACGAGATCAGCGTCCTTGCAGTAGGCGTCGGTATCGAGATAGACATTGGCGACCGAGGCTTCGTGGGAGATGGCGTATTTGTCGCTCGATAGAAGTGGGACTTGCTTCCTGTTTTGACTCGATGGGCGAGAGGGGGAGGAGGGGGAGGAGGAGATGTCGAGGTTGTCGACGAGGTCGTTGATAGATGGTGACATGGCTGCTCACTCGTGACCGATAAAGTGACTCTGTACCGTGCCTAAGCGAAGACGAGTCTCAAGAGGAAGTGTGTGTCAGCTGACGAGGGCGCAGAGGATGAGGAGCGAGTGCAAGGGAGGAGGACAGCGGCAGAGCGTCTGTGCCGCGATTCTCGGGATTTCCTCGAGCCTCGAGGAAGTCATCATGCCATGTGCATTCCCGGTAAGACAGCAAAGGAGGCCGGCACTACCGGTGTGTACTACCGAGGAGATGGCGTCCCATCGCAGAGCCGAGGAAGCTGCTTGACCCTGTCATGGCTGAGAGTGAAGGTGTCCCTAAGCCGAGATGGGCGACGGTAGCATAACCCCTCCGCCGCTCTGCATGATTCAACTTGCCTGTCACTTCCGGTCAGCACGTACTTTGTATATGCTAAGGAGAGAGTACACACGAGCTGTTCTGGCATTGGTGTGCGTTCTCTGACCCCTGACGGGGAGACCCATGACATGTCGCCTGCCTCTATAGTTGCCAATGTTGCGGTGATGAGCAATGTCTGCATTCACTTTCCGCCTGAGATCCGCCTCGAGGATCAGAGACCGTAGTGGATCCTCTCGTCTCGCTCTCTCGCTCGTCTGATCATCTCTTAGCTGTCCTACTTCGCTTGTGCTCGCCTGAGGCACAGATGGCGCCTGGACGGGCGTAGCGACGAGGGGATGAGTGGCGGGCGATGACAGAAGAGCCGATAGAGAGTTGAGCTGATCTTCCGATAGCTCTTCCACCTTCAGTCGATCATGAAGCAGCAGGCGAGCACAGATCAACCTGGAGGTATGATGCGATATGCCATGGAATGCCGTCAGTGCAATCTGCCGAATCCCTGTCAGTCCAACACTGTCAAAGATGACCAAAAAGCTGCCCGACCTTGACGAGCCGCCTGTCTGGTAGATTGACGCCGAGCAAGATCATTTCGAGTCGAAGCAAAAGATCGAATAGCGACTTGGCAAGTCGCGCCAAACGATCACCGGCACTTAGCCTAGACCGAGGATGAGGCTCATCGTCGTCACCGAAGAAGGCGATAATTACAGCCTGGATGTCGATGCAGAGATGGAGATTGAGAATCTCTCGGCCCTGCTCGAGGCGGAGGTGCGCTTGCGTGTACACTGAGCTTGTCACTCGTCAGCCTAAATTCGTCCTCATTTGCCACAGTCCGGCGTCAGCACAGAAGCTCAGATCCTCTATTTTGGCCAGAATGAGCTCAGATCTCCTCAAGCAACGCTCAAAGTGGGCTCCGCCTTCCCTCTCAGCCGCAAAGGGGACTGATGAGACCTCGATCTCTCCCCGTTCTTGTCGCTGCTTTCCAGTCTGTCGGTGTCAAGCAAGACGATATGATCCTCATGCGACGCAACGATAGAGCCACTGCATCCACATCAATAGCCCAACCTCCTGCAAGCTCATCGCAAGCTCCCTCATCCTCAGCTTACGCGTCCAATCCATCAAATTCATTGTCAGCGTGACTGTCCCGTCAGCTTCATGCCGGCTGACGAGCGACATCAGACCTTTCGAGCAATCGGAGATGATGCGTTTACAACTCCTTGGTGATCCTCAGCTGCTCGCCAGATTGCGCAGTGTGAGTCCCTGCGGGAGCGGCGCGTCACTTTCTTCCTGAACATGACCGCGTTTCCGCTGCTAGACCCATCCAGAGATGGCCAGTGCAGCCGAATCGCATCCGCAGAGATTCCATCAGCTGTTGCCTCAACTGGCGAACATGCGGCAACAGAGCATGATGGAGCAGCAACGCAATCAAGAGCTGTTGTAGGTTCACGACTACTTCACAGCGCATCAAGCCAATCGCATGATCTGCAGAGAATCAGATCCATTCGATATAGAAGCGCAGAGGAGGATAGAGGAGGCAATCAGGGAGGAAGCGGTCTATGAGAACCTCGAGCATGCGATGGAATACTCACCCGAGTCGTTCGGTCGGGTGGAGATGCTCTACGTCAATGTAGAAGTCAATGGCAGACCCGTCAAGGCATTTGTCGACTCTGGCGCACAAGCTACTATCAGTTGAGCATCTTGCTTCGTCCGTGATCATGTATCGTGGCTAAAGCTGCTCACAGTGAGCCCGGACTGCGCGGAAGCATGCGGTATACTCAGACTGATCGACAAGCGGTTTGCGGGAATTGCGACGGGGGTTGGTACTGCCAAGATCCTCGGCCGGGTTCATAGCGCACAAATCCGCGTCGGACGAGATCTCTTCTTGCCTTGCAGTTTCACCATCATGGAGGCAAGATACCGGAGCTTCGGCTTTGCAAAGCAACGCTAATGCTCGGCTTTCGTGCCACAGGGACGAGGCGTTGATCTACTATTCGGTCTAGACATGCTCAAACGACATCAAGCATGTATCGACCTCGCACAAGACGCACTCATCATCCAGGGCCGCAGAATTCCTTTCCTCTCAGAACATGAGGCTCCGAAGCAACACTTCGATTCTCTCGAAGCAGACGAGTCAGTCCTCCTTTGCTGGCCTCTTGCCCACTGACGCCGTGACAGGCATGGCAACGTGCAGATCCCAAAAGACCACCCATTGCAGTCGAACCCAAAAGCAGCCCTTGGCGCGGCAGCTGCTGCTAGTGCCGAAGCCACAGCGACAAGCTTTCCGGGAACGGGCAATACTCTCACTCCAGGGGCGCCGGCGAGCTCCTCAGAGCCCGCAGCACCTGGACCTGCTAGCTCACACAGTTCTCAAGCAATCGACAGTCTCATGGCTCTAGGAGTAAGCAGACAAGAAGCCATAAGACTGCTCGATGCGAGCGGGGGCAATCCAGACGTCGCAGCTAGTCTCATGTTCAGCTAGACAGATGCAGCCCCTAGGTACAGAGACTATCTGAACTCGGCTTTGAGTTGAATCTGCTGAACGCCGTCTTCGCCAGCGACGGGTTCGACAATAGCTCGGACGATCGCTGAGATCGTCTCCCTGTTTGCTGGATCCGCTGAGAGTTTGGCTCTGAATAGTCTCAGCAGCTGCTTTGCTGTCATTGGGCCGCGCGAGCGGAGAACGGCAACCACCTCTGCCTGGGTGATCGTCGTATCCGTGCCGGCAAATCCACCTGGCGTGGTAGGCGATCCTGCTCTTCCGGCCTGGGGAGAAGCAGGACGAGGCCGCTTTGCGCCCGTGGCATCGTCACGATCTGCCTTGCGTTTGCTGCTCTGCAATGGCGGGCTGGCAGATCTCTGACTGCGTCCACTCGGACTCGTCGCTCGCTTGGCAATATGTGCGGAACCGCTCGTGCTCGTGCTGAGGCCAGGAGAAGCGCCACGAGAGCCAGAAGGCGATTGCCGGCCGCTGTGCGTTCGATCGCGGTTCCTGTGCTCTGGACGTGCCGTTTTACCGCTGTGCGAGTCTGAGCGATAGAGAGGTGTGCCGGGCAGTGACGAATTGACGGATCGAGACTCGCTCGAAGTAGGTTTCGTTGCGTCAGTCGCACCATCGTCGCTGCCGCTCTCGGAAGGCGAGGATAGATAGGGATTAGACTCTTCATCATCGCTCATCGTTTGTGTCTTGGGTGCATGCTTCTTCAGAAGCTTCTTGGCCGCTTTGCCAGCCGAATTGAGATTGCGAGGAGTCAGTCCGAAGCGCTCGTTCTCCTCATTCTCGTCATCGTCTGGCAAAGCCGCTTCGCCTGTCTTGTTTGCAGCACGCAATTCGCGTTTGAGTCGTTCCTGACCACAAGTAATCAGCATTCGCTTGATGAGACCTCAGCGGGTACCGACCTCGAGCTCCTTTGCTGCTTCTTCGTCATCATCAGCTTCATCCCCGACCTTGCCAATGCCTTCCTCATCGTCCTGAAAGTCATCTTCAAAGTCGAATTCGTCGAATTCACCCTCGGCTTCATTCTTGCGTCTATGCGAAGCAGGCATATCGTCGTCGTCGTCTCCGGTCATTGCAGATCGTCCACCGCGATCCACAACGCCTTGGTCTAGTCGAGTAACGCGGCCACCCACGATAGCGTAATGATTTTCAGCCTCTTTCTTGAAACGAGAGCCCTCTTGCTTGATGACAGGCGTAGACTCCCTTTTGACGCGAGGGGGCGGGGGCGATGCGCCAGGAAGCGAGAGACGAATCTTGGTGCCTCCTTCGGCTGCAGAAGCCTGTGCGACGGTCGGGCGGGAGCGACTTGGTGACGGTTGCAGCTTTGCTTGTTCTGCTCTACGCTTGCGGAAGAAAGTCTCTGTGTCTTGACCCTTTTGCATTCGCGCATACTGCACAGAGGCACATCAGCGAGGCACGAGAGGCTTTCCTCTGCTTCAAGCTCACGAGCTCTTCTGCTTCGTCTGGATTGAGGGTCTTATAAGGCGGTTGCTGATTGAATTTGTACCATCTATGCACAGGCAAGACGCGGAGAGCTGTATCGTTTGCCTCGGCAACGAGGAGAACATAGCTGGCTGCTGAGCCGCGTTCTGACTTGATGAGATCGCCGGAGGAGCCTTCCATCCTTCCGATCCATTTGCCATGCGACGTCTCATCTTCACCGTCCTGCGAGGTCGACATCTTCATGTCATCCTTGCTGCCCTGGTGAGATGCTTCTTCGAGTACCCATGGATGGGCTTCCTCGTGCATGACACGCTTATTGCGCAGCGAGTTCTCGGTCGCATAGATCTGACGAGACTTGGGTTTCGTGGGCTTGATGGCTTCCGATACAGCATCGCCCTCGCCCGCTACGCTGCCGTATTTGGACTCGGCGAGCGTCGGGCCGACGAGACTTGCGTCTGCCTGGGTTGCACGATCCCGCTCGGCTGCGAGATCTTCGAGCATCTTCGAGCGCGCGAGCTGGGCAGGCGTCATCTTTGCTCGCTTGCGCTCGAGAGTAGCTTGCTCTGCCTCTCTGAGCAATCGCGCCTCTTCAATCTGTTGCATTGTCTCCAAGTCTTTGCGGGTGAGTTGTACAGGACGGGACCATGTCGTGGGATCGACGACGATGTCATCCTCGCCAGCAGGGAATTTCATGATATTGTGCTTCCATCGCTCGAGCTGCTCCCTCGTCGCACTACGGATCTCATACGTATTGTAGGCGCCCAAACTGGCGGGACTCTGTGCAGCGGCTGCCTGGGGCGATCTCGAGTTGCGCACGTCTCGAGGACTGGAGCCATTGGGTGTCTCTGTCTTAAGCGTGCGCTGAACATGACTGCTGCTGCCGGGCGAGGGCGCTGATGACGCTGCTCGAGATGGCCCTAGCACGCTCGAGGTCAGTTGTCCGGCCTTGTTCCTCCTGGGCTGGAAGATCGACGGCCCTCCAGCCGGGGAACTCATCTGCCCTCGACTTGGACCGAGAACCGCTGATCAAGCGCTGCGAACTTCTTCATGATCATGCCGTGCCCGCCGTGTCATGACTGAGCATTGTGACATTTACCAGAGAGGGTTGGAGTCGCGTCCAGGCACGAAACCGTCCGCCGAGGGGTTCAACGTTCAATCAAGCCAAACCAGCGCAATGGTTGCGACCCGTTCGGCCAGTCAGCCTGCCGGTGCACCGCGACAAAGACAGGTCTCCTCGCGCCTAGACGACTACAAAGTCGATTTGCCCACTCCGGAGCCTGCTGTCAAGCGCCCAGTCGGCCGACCACGCAAAGCGAGACCATCAACAGTCTCTGTCACGCCAAACGGCATTCCCGAGGCAAAGATCACGCGTACGTCAAGCGATAGTAAAGTCAAATCTCCGATGAGCGCGACACCGGGTTTTTCGAAACTCGTGAGGATGTTAGGCTCGAGCGGCAATGCGAAAGCGCGAAAAGGCGAGCATCAACCGCGCGCTTGGATCACGCTGTGGTTCTTTGTGTCCTCACTGCTTGTTATCTGGGATACCGGCTATCTCTTTGCTCGGCCTCATTCGATGCCAGGCGGCAAGTACCATTACCTTTGGTCGCCGTACTCGATATACAGCAAGGTGGATTACATATACGGATTCCCTTCGTACGACCGCAATGACGGCTTCCCGCTCGCTCAAGCATCGCTCAACATCGTCGAGACGATCTTGAACTTCGGCTACCTTGGCCTGGCCATCGAAAAGAGCCCTCTGGCCGTCATGATTGGCTTCACGAGCGTCGTCATGACGTTCTCAAAGACGTAAGCCAGTCTGAAGTTGCTGTCAGCTGCAGCTCATCAGATACTGCAGAATCCTCTACTGGGCGCAAGAGTATTTCTGCGGTGCTTGCAACATGTAAGGCCTGCGAAGCTCAGCGGAAGACTGCTCATCGCGTTTCACAGCGGCCACAATTCGTTCGACCAGCTCTTGATGTACTGGATCATCCCGAATGGTATGTCTGCACCCGTTCGGTTGCCTAACATGGCTGACCACAAAGCAGGTCTCTGGCTCGTATTCCCCTTGGGCATTCTCAGCGTATTTGGTGCCGAGATTGCGACCAGCTTGCGCTCTGCCGCCAAACAGAAGAAGATTTGACCATCTGAAAGGACTTGTTGTATCGTCTGTGGGCCACTGGGGCATGCTTTGCCTGCATTGCACGTGCTGTCAATCAAGTCGCGTCGCGATCGACAGCAATATCGAGAAAGCAAGTCTTCACAGTCTTGCTCACTCGTCACACCGGTCTTCCACGATGAACAAGCGAGCGCTTCACGATGAGACGACTCACAGTCCAGCCAAACGTCTGCGAGTCGACACAGAGCGCGAGCTACGGCAAGCACGCTATCTCCTCACGAGGGGTAAGACAGCTGCTTCTTGATCTCTGGCGTTGATCGAAAGGCGGAGCAGTCTTTGGCAAACAGGACTACCGGGGCAAGCAGGAGGAAGTGATCACTGCCGCACTTCAAGGCCATGACTGTCTCCTCATTGCGCCTACAGGCATGGGCAAGGTTGGCAGAGCTCCTGCAATTGCAATCGAGCTGACATGCAAATGCCAGAGCCTTTGCTTCCAAGTCCCGGCGGTAGCTGCACCGCACGGCTTGACCATCGTCGTAAGCCCATTGATTGCTCTCATGGACGATCAGTTGCAAGCACTCGACAAGCTGAACATCGCCGCCGGCAGCCTGTCCAGCAAGACAGACCCAGATCAAGCGCGGTTGATCTTGCGTGACATGCACAGCGGACACCCAAAGACGAGGCTGCTTTACGTCACTCCCGAGCGAATAGCGTTGATCAGTTTTCAGAGAGTGCTCAGGGTGCTTTACAATCACGGCGAGCTCTCACGCTTGGTCATCGACGAGGCGCACTGTATATCCCAATGGGGCAAAGACTTTCGACCCGATTACGCTCAGCTCGGTCTCTTCAGACAGCTTTTTCCCCGTGTACCCATCATGGCTCTCACAGCAAGCGCGACGCCCAAAGTGGCGGACGATATCATCACCTCGCTCAACCTCCACGAAAACACATTGAGACGGTTCGAGCAGTCGTTCAACCGAGCAGAGCTGTACTATGAGGTCGCATATGTCAATGCCGGTCCTGAACAGAAGCGTCAGCAGATCCTCGAGTACATCAAGAAGATGACAAAGGCCAGGCGTGATGAGCCACCGCCGATCATCTCAGGCATCATCTACTGCCGCGCCAAGCAAACCTGTGACGATCTCGCTGCCTGGCTCGACGCCCAGGGTATCGCTGCAAAGCCCTATCATAGGTGCCTTGATAACATTTGTGCTCTTTGACATGCTCACACACGAGCAGAGACGTCACTGAGAAAGAGCTGACCACGACGCAGTACCAGTGGCTCAACAACGAACAGCTCGCTAGCGAGAGCAAAACGCGCGTCGACGTCGTCGTAGCGACTGTCAAGTTCGGAATGGGCATTGACAAGGCCTCATGTCGCTATGTGATCCACTACGATCTGCCGACCTCGTTCGAAGGGTATTATCAAGAGAGCGGTCGGGCGGGTCGGGATGGCAATATCGCTCGCTGTTTGATCTTCTACGATCGTATGGATGCAGCTCGTTTGCAGCATCTCATCTCCGCCAGCATGAAGGCTCGCAACGCTCATGCTGCAAAAGTGGGCGTACCGTCAACACAGGGACTGGTGACAAGTAGCGACTCGGTCATCAATTATTGCGAGAACGTCACGACATGTCGGCATGAAGTCATTGCTCGATACTTCGGCGAGACGATAGACGAAGCGAATGTCGCGCGACTGTGCCATCAGATGTGCGATGTTTGCAAGTTCCCAGAACGAACGCGTACTCGCAAAAAGCTGCTAGATGCGAGTCCGAGCGAAGACGATGGTGCCAGTTCCGCAGCTCTCGTACCGATGATAGATCCAGCTAGTGATGCGTTCGACGCTGTCTGTGACGACTCTAGTGATATAGATGACGTCTATCCGGTCGAGCCGGTCGATGGCGAAAATGCTGATCCTCACGAATCGTTCCTCGACTCACTCGACGCAGAGACTCGGCTGCCTTCCTCTCCGCCTATAGCGAATGTGCCGGTGCCTGTGCCTGTGCATGAGATCGCAGAAGACGAAGAGCTCCCCGAGGCTCTGCCACTGAAGTCGCGGAATAACAATCTGCCAAGACCAAACATGGTAGAGCCCCCTGCCAAAGGTCAGCGTTGTTCGCTGTAGCTCGTATATGGCTGAACGGCGTCAGCAGAGGCGCCCGCTCGCAGACCAACGAAAAGCGGGACTGGCTTCAAGGTACCTTTCAGGAGTGAAGCCGAAGGCGCGATGCAAGCTGCCAAGTTGGCCGTGACGCCGGACCAGCCCGATGATATCTGGCCGTCTTTCAAGTGCAAGCTTGTGCCTTCGTCAGGCTGGGCGAAAGACATCAGCAAAGAAACGCGTGCAAGCTCTTGCAAGAGTATCTATCTCGAGCTCATCCGCGCGATGTTGGCACGAGGCGGTTTGCGCAAAGTCGAAGAGGAAGAGCGAATGTTTGATGAGCTGGACGGCGGATCAATTGATACACAACGGCTGACTTGCCTCAGTACTGTTTCGACGGAGATCGAAAGCGATTGCTTTTGGCGGTCGCTTGGCGAAGCTGGGTATGTCGAGCAAGTATCTCGCATCAAAATCGGATTGCGTATCATGCGCACGAGAAATGACTGGACAGAAGCTGTTTCGGCCAGCCATCAATTGGAGCAAGTCGAGGCAGTTCTCGTCAGTCTGAGGCGTGGCGCGCAGCTGTACGCTGCAAAGCGCGGCAAGGCATAGCTACAGCAACTACGTCAGCCCGCTTACGATGTCAGCCCGCTCCAGTCCGCCAGCAAAGACAGACCGAGGGCGCTACATGTACATTGCGGCTCATGTCAATACATATGATCCGCGTTGGGCATCCACGGATTCTCAGCGGAGCAATGCATAGTAGCACAACAACAGTCTGCAAGAGCACCTCTATATCTCCTTTAGCTTTGCTTTCTCCTGCTCTTGAACGATCTTCTTGGCTCGCGAAGCATTCCGCTTCACCTGAGCTTCGACAGCGATGCCAGCAAAGACGACGCCCACGCCGACCCATTGTCCGAAGGCGAGTTTGTGCTTGAACACGAATACGCTCAGAAGCATTGTAAAGAGCTTGCGCGTGACTGTAATGGTCACAAGCGTGAGCGAGCCAAAGTGTTCGAGCGTGTCGAAGATGAAAATTTGACCGATCGCACCGGCGAGCGAAAAGAGCAAGATATCCGTCAAGACGCCAGGGTGAGATCGTATGAATGCAAGTGCCGCGGCACCCTCAGTCGCTCCACCTCCTTGAGGGTTCAGGACTGGGATGGCGGGCAGAGGGACGACGAGGATAAAGCTGGTCAGCAGAGTCGAGAGAACATTCATACAGAACATCATCTGAGTTCCGTTGATCTTATACTTGCTGAATATCTCATCTTGCGTCGAGTTGGTGGCACCGTCGATGAGCAGATTGATGAGGAGCAGACATAAGCCGAACAAGCTCGACTGAGCAGCGCCTTTAGATTTCTTGTGCGCGTCGACAGGTTGGCAGAGCATGAAGAGGCTGATGCCCAACGTGACCATTCCGACGACAAGGTATTTGTGAACAGCGAATTTTCTGCGGTATAAGACGATGTTCATGAGCATGACGGGTACGAGCTTGCATGATTTGCCCAAGATCATCGTCGGATAGGAAATATGTCGCAGGGAGGCAAATCCAAAAGGCGACGCGAGCGAATTGAGTATCGAGCATTGCAGATAGCGCAACACGAGATGCTGTATACGCTTGTCATCGGTCTTCTTTGCACTTTGTGCGTGCCCATTTTCCTGAGGAGTACTGGTCGACAAGCCGACGAGCTCAGAAAAGCTACGTGTCGAGGCGTTGCGTCGCCAGAGTAGGTAGAGAAGCGCACTCAACGCGCTCAGTGTGCTCTGCACGGTATTCAGAAAGATGACCGAGCGGAAGTAGCGAGGTTTCCCTCCGGCAGGGTCGTTGTACGGCGTTGTCGACACTGCATCGTCATCATCAGCTCGTGCCTTTGTGCTGAGCTCTGACGGAACGCACGTCGCTCTTGCACAAGCGCCCAGCTGAGAAAAGAGACATAGATGCCCACGACAGACACGGCGAGTCGCAGGACAGTCATTGTCGAACGAGCGCCCTTTGTCGTCGGGCGACGAGACGAGGACAAAGACGACGACGCGCTTCACGCTTGGTCCACCGCATGGACCGCGACAGCTCGGCCAAGACGAGCGAGTCGGGGTCCTCCTCGCCCGATCGTAGCCCTGAGACAAGCTTCATCACAGCCAGCCACCGTCCCTTCTCTCGCTCGGCACTCCGACATGGCTCAGTCAGTCAGCTTGGCCCAATACTTCATCTGCAGCAGCGTATGGCCTCGCCCAAGCCTCTCCGGAGTCCTTTGCCCTCTCCACCTCCTGTGAAGCATCCTTGGGATCATCTCGATACTTCGGAGAGTCAGCGAATCCACGACTGCGCGGCGCAACTCGACAAGGAGCTCAGCAAAGTGGAATCTGAATGGACCGCCAACAGAGTGGACTCGGCCATGCTGGTCAGGCTCAAAGCATTCGTCAGGAGCGCTCAGGATTTTGTTGCTATCGTCCCGTCTGCTCTCCTCGACGATGAAGAGGACGACGCTGTAGATTTGACGAGTCCGATCGCGCGTCAAATGGCTCATATCGCGCTCGCTACCGCCAGTCGGCCTAGAGTACACAGCGAGATAAAGCGTTCAGCTTCTGCCTCGAAAGTTCCCCAAGCAGAGCGAGTGCAAACCAGGCGATATGTAACGCGCAATACGGGCATCAGCTTGCTCGAGAGCTGTGCCAGATTGGCCCCATCGCCCGTACCTACGCCCGGCGGCAGTCCAATCAGTCCTCTATCTTGCGGCTCGTCATCTGTCATCTTGCCGATCACAGAGGACGTTGAGCAGATCAGAGCAAGATTGAAAGATTACCTTGCATTGATCTCTGATCTGCTTGCGGACTGCAAAGCATCTGGCGACGCCCACGCCATGGACGACGCAGCGGCGCTTCAGCCCAAGATAGCTCTCGTACTCGCAGCATGGACTGACGACCAAAGTCCAGCGAGTGAGTCAGTCTGCTGTATTTTAATATCCGTCTGACGCTTGCGCCAGATCGAATCGCCACAGCACTGCGTGTCTTGCTCGCTCACCGTGCAGAGCTCCAGGCCTGCGACAACATTGCCATCTTGATCATAGCAGCGCAAGGACAGATTCTGTGTGAAGCGTTCAACACAACGCTCAGATTGAGAAAGGCGACCAACTGGGGTCATATCACGACCTGGTGGCGCATTGCAGCCGACACGCACGCCGGTTCGACTTCATACAGACGAGCCGAAAATCTGAAGATCTTCATTTCGGCCGTTCGCAGACGGTACAGACTAGAGCTTGGCGACATCGATGTGCAGAAATTGGCGAAGCAGCAAGACGACTGGCTCGCTAGCTTGCAAGATCTGCTACAAGCTTGGCTAGATGCCGCGATTATGCAATTGCAATGCTCAGCTTAGACTACAGCTCGCGTTGACCTGAGCATACGCTCGTATGCTCGTTGAATACGTGCCCCAGTTTCCACGGTCCTCCTGAGGAGGGCGACGCCGCGCGGTCGCTCATCCTCGATAAGTCTGAGTCTCAGCAGTTCTAGGTCCTCGAATGCGAGGATGGGTGGCATCTGTTGCGTGCGCTTGAATGTCTCTTCGTCAAGATACATCTTGATGAAGGTGCGAAGGCTCGAGATGGCCGCATCCAGTCTGACATCCCTTGCTTCGCTGTCTATCTTGCCGCGCCACATCTCGACGATGATAGCATTGGGTGCAGGCGAGCGACCCATAGCCAGCTCGTCAGAGCAATGCTGTTGCCATTCGTTGAAGATGCGCGTGGCCTGGTTAGCACAGAGGGCGCGGTCTCTACCTGTCCTGCACCTGGCCATGATCGTCGTATACGTCCTGTGGGTCTTCCGCACACCGAGATCGTCGAAAAGCTCATCGAATACTCGTAGCGCAGTGGTGAACCGCGAGTGATAGACATGAACAGCCAGCAGTGCATTGAGCACGCTTGCTCGGATATCGTTGTGCAGATCGTCCGCCATGCGTAGACTTGTGCTCTGTGTGGCCAGGCCTGCGCTTTCTGACGATCGCGGGCGGTCTTCGTACTTGGCTAGGGACAAGATGTGACCAAACTGCCCGAGGGTCTGCTGTACGAGTCCGTGGGCTTCTTCGATGACATCGTATGAGCTCCTGGGCAGCGGACCGGGAAAATCGAGCTCCCTCGCAATATCGACGTGAGCGCTGGGCTGGCCTCCCTTGAGACCCGGCGCGCGTCGGTCCGGCGGCCGGTAGGTAGCATAAGTCTTGAGGAGCGTGCTGAGCGTATACTGATCCGGCGTCAGACTGGTATCGCCAGCTTGTGCACCTTGCATCATACGCAAGAAGATCCACCTTGCTCTGGCCAAATCTTTGTGCTTCGTCGTGCCTTGCAGCAAGGCTTCGTATGTCAGTCGATCTGGTGCCAGGCCGAGACTGAGCATCTCGCGCATGAGACGGAGACCTTCGTAGTACCATTTCTGGGGTCCTTCTTTGACACAGGCGAGGATAGCGCAAGCGTAAGTTGCTCGTGTGGGCGCAATGGACAATTCTTGCATCTCAATGAGCAGATCGAGCGCGCGCTCAGGTTCAGACGTTTTTGTCAGCGAGCAGGCGTAGATCGCCAGATTGAAGAGTCGCGCATCTGGTACAGGGTGAGCAAGCAGTCGTGCGGTCTGAAACTCTGACTCGATCGTTGCTGCAGCACCTGCAGACGAAGGCGAGAAGAGGACGGATTGGATTGCTAGAGCATACTGACGCAGGGTCGGTGTGACTTTCTGTGCCTCGAGTGCGCGCAGCACAGCAAAAGACGACAGGCTCGCTGGAGAGTCTGCTTGGCGTGAGCCCATCAAGCTGGCGAGGAGAAAGTCGAGCGTTCTATCAGACGGGATCATTTTCTGCTTCTGGATCGCCAGGAGGGCCATGTCGTGTGCCGTTCTGAGCGTCTGCGAGTCTTTTGCGCGGCTTGGCTGACGCAGGAGAGCGTCCAGAGCAGCGTCGAGATGGCCAGGGAGGATCATGTGCCAGTCGATGTGCGAGCCCAGCATGCTGAGTAAGCGCCCTGGCTGCTTGCTTGCTCCAAGTGCCAGTTTGTAGAGACTTGCGCTCTGTTCGAGCGCCGACCCGGAAAGCTTGCCGTCTGACGAAAGCGCTACATCGTCTGCTGACGCCAATATCGCTCGCGTTGTCTCGTCTGCAGGAGTCGGTGCAGGTTCGAACTGATCCAGCGTGGGCAGTGAGAGCGGGCTGTCATCTGGCAGGAGGCCGCTGAACGGTCTGGAGCCGTGCAAGTAGCTATGAACGCCATTAAGCGTTTGCAGCTCTCGCTCGCGTTGTGAAGTCGAGCGGGCGGGCCGAGAGAGCGTCGTACGATCATTGGACGGTCCTGCTCGATTGTTGAGATGGTCGTCTGGATGGACAGACACTGCTTTGGCCCGCGCGGGGCGAGCAGCATGAACTTGACGCCGGCTCAAGGTGATGATACTGGCGGAGCGTGCAGTGTACCGTGCTAGCGTTGATGCCGGACCTGCGAACGCAGTCGTCAGATCGTAAGCCAAAGAGCAAAACCATCGATGTACATGCAAGGCCAAACACGACTCGCAAAGCTTGCAGAGCCATGCTGCACCGAGCAACCGGCCCCGGCCCAGACTCACTCTCGCGTCTGGTGAAATTCAAAGAGGAGAAGGAGATGCGGTTGTTGGCCGTCGGCTGAATGCAAGATGGGTCGAAGAAGGTCACTGCTCAATGCTCCAGATGATCGTCTGATGCAGTCATTCAAGCTATGTCAGGGCTAGGTCTATGCAGGCAGGGACTCGTCCGCGGCTCGCACAAGGGCAGAAAGCGCGCCTTGTGACGCCGGGGTCAGGTCTCAGATCTTGATGAGCGGCCTGATGCAATCCTACCGGTCGTGCTGCAGAGTGTGCGTGACAACAGTGGTGCATCATGGAGCGCTCTGGAACGCGCAATGCTGAGCGCGTACGAGTGCACTGTAGTATCGTGGCTTCTGCTGGCTCGCTACCGTTTGCTTCTTTGCTTCAGTGAGAGCACGTCGACATGCTTGACGCCTTCGATAGATCGTATCGCCTCGATGAGCGGTTCTACTTCGGGCTGCAACCCTTGAGCGGATGGAACAGGCACGCCGAATATGTTCTCATCTCTGAGCTCGCCCACGGGTCCGATGTGCTTGAGGGCGAGAAAGATAGGATCCGCATTGTCTGCAGACTGGACTCCCCGTCAGCCGGGCAGACTCGGCAAAGAGCAGATCGACGACGAGCCTCCTCTGTGGATCTTGTTGATGATCTGTGATGGCTGAAGCTCGGTCTCGACGGAGAGGTAGGTCGTGTAGTCGTAGTCCAGTCCGCCTGGTCTGTAGCCTTGGTTGATCACGATCGCCTCGTCCTCTTGGCCCATCTCTGCTGGCTGTCGATGACGCCGTGCAGAAGACGCGCGCAAAACTTTCGTCGCCTCCTCCTCCGTGCGCCAACCAATCGAGACTCGCGAAAGCGCCACAAGCTCGACAGAGAGCAGCTCGATCATTCCAAGCGACTGACATTGCCTCACGCAGAGCATCTGTGCGCGTACGAGGACGAGCAGCGAGCTTGCGAAAGAGCCAGAAACACTCGTTGGGCTTATCATGTCGCTCGCTCGAGTCGGTCTGCGTCAGCTGCCCGGTAGAGGTACACTCCTCCTAGATGTTCAGGGCCATGAACTGACTCACACGCCTGCCTAGGACACTGTCTGGCGCTCAGTCACGCCAGGCTGCTGCTCCAAAGACCAGCACGATCTAGGATAGCGCCCTTTTCGACTCTGCCGCCGCTGAGAGATGTGCGAACGACGACGAGCCCGCCCGATCCTTCTACCAAACCTGCTCCCTCTTCTGCCGGCTCGCCCTCATCGTCCAGGCCAGGCCCGGGACAAGCAGCCACGGTGGGCCGAGACGGCGCGAGAGAGTCCTCCCTGAACGATCCTGTCACTTCTGTCTATGCCGGCTCGGGTAGCCCATCCGGCACACAGCAGGCTGTCGACGCGACTGTTGCCGCTTCCGATGGCGTCACCATCGGGGGCGGTTCATCGAGCAAAGCAGACGTTTCCGGCATCCCACCTGCGCCTGCTGCGCCTGCCGCAACGGCTTCCAACGCAACCGGCGGGTCTTCTGGCGGCAAGAGGAAGGATTCTTGGTCTCGCAAATGGGTCAAGCGGTTTGCGAGAACGATCCTCTTTGTCGTCGTCACTACGTCCGGTTACATCGTCTACTGTGAGCTCCTCTGCTCTGTGAGTCGAGAGATGCAGAGTCTGATGGGCAGAGCAGCCGCATACGTAGAGAGTCATCCTCCCGACCAAGCGCCTCATGATCCTTCGAAGAAGAACCTCGTCATTCTCGGAAACGGTTGGGCCGCCACCTCTCTCCTCAAGAATCTCGACAACGAAGGCTACAACGTCACCGTCATCTCACCTCGAAATTACTTCTGCTTCACGCCTCTCCTACCTTCCGTCACAGTGGGTACTCTGGAGTCTCGTTCGATCATGGAACCGACCCGATTCATCACTCGCCACAAGGCCCGCCATGTCGAATGCTATGAAGGCGAAGCCCAAGAAGTTGATCCCGTCAACAAAACCGTCACGTTCACCGATACATCAGAGATCAAGGGCGCTACTTCCGAAACAACCTTGCCATACGATTACCTCGTCTACGCCGTCGGAGCAGAGAACAATACCTTTGGCATTCCGGGCGTGAAGGAACACGCTTGTTTCCTCAAGGAGATCTGGGATGCAGAGAAAGTTCGAAAGACCGTCATGGACTGTGTCGAGACTGCGACCTTCAAAGGGCAATCGAACGAGGAGATTGATCGATTACTCCATATGGTCGTAGTAGGAGGTGGACCAACAGGTGTCGAACTCGCCGGCGAGCTGCACGACTTCCTCGCAGAAGACCTGGCCAACTGGTACCCGGAGATTGCAGGACGAGTTCGGATCACGCTCGTCGAGGCTCTGCCCAACGTCTTGCCTATGTTCTCGAAGCAGCTCATCGAATACACAACGTCTACGTTCAAGGAGAACAAGATCGATGTGCTCACACGGACGATGGTCAAAGAAGTCCAAGACAAGGTCATCGTTGCCCAGGGTGAAGACAAGAAGCTGCATGAGATCCCGTATGGCATGCTCGTCTGGGCAACGGGCAATACTTCCCGACCGGTCACGCGCAAGCTGATGGCGAGCATCGGTGAAGCACAAGCCAACAAGCGCGGCCTACAAGTCAACGACCGACTCGAGCTTGCCGGAGCAAAGGATATATGGGCCCTAGGTGACGCGACCGCGACGGCTTATGCTCCAACTGCGCAAGCAGCCTCACAGCAAGGACAATATCTCGCGCGATGCTTCTCTCAGATGTACAAGAAGGAGAAGCTCGAAGCAGCGCTCGACTCTGCTCGCGCACACAAAGACCAAGACACAGAGTAGGCGGTCTTGTCTGCATTCACGATTGAAGCTGATGACCGATACAGGGGCATCATGAAGCAACTGCGCAGGGTGACCAACGTCAAGTCGTTCAGCTACTCTCACCAAGGTTCTCTGGCTTACATCGGCAGCGACAAAGCGATTGCCGATCTACCTTTCCTCAATGGCAACGTCGCAACCGGCGGTGTGGCAACGATGCTCTTCTGGCGTTCGGCCTACGTTTCTACGCTCTTCTCGCTGAGGAATCGTGCTCTGGTCGTGCTCGACTGGGCAAAGGTCAAGATCTTCCGCAGAGACATCTCGAGAGTATGATTCTGTACCGAGCAAACCACATAGACTGCATTCTGCTTGTGTGAATCTCGTGATATCCATATAAATCAGCTCTGAGCGATATGACGCGCTTGAGATTATCGGCAGAAGCTCTCTCTCTCGTTTCCACGTCGCATGTTTGGTCTTGCAGAGGCAGCATCTGTCTACAGGCTGTCGAGACAAGGCACAAGGCTAGGCAAGCAAGTCAGCGAAGCACTGCGCATCCTCACCGAAGCACTCGATACGTATGGGCAAGTCATCGCGCCATCGAGCCTGAATCACTCTTATTGCTCTTTTGGTGCAGGGATGATCAGATCTCACTCAGTTTCAATGGCGGCAAGGATTGTCAGTATCTTTGTGACCCGTTTCGAGATACTATGACTGACGCGGAAGGACAGGCACGGTGATCTTGCATCTTTTGGCGGCGGCAGTGTGCATGCGAGCGACAGGCGTCAGAGATCACAAATCATTCAAAGAATCCGACCGACTCAATGGTGCACATGCTGCAGCAAGACCGACGAGCATACAGTGTATGTACGTACGATGCGACTCGCCCTTTGATGAAGTCGAGAGCTTTGTCGAGACTTGTCGTGCGCGATACCAACTCAAGATCGACAAGGTCGCGGCGAGCATGAAGTCTGCTCTGGCGCAGTATCAGAGCAGTCATCCTGCTGTCAAGGCTATCATTGTCGGAACAAGGAGGGGCGATCCACACGGAGGTCAGTCGCCCTCTGCCTACATACTTTTGCGTGTGCTCACCTATCATGGCGAAACAGCGTCACTTGATTCGTTCCAGAGCACCGATCCGGATTGGCCGCAGTACATGCGCGTTCATCCGATACTAGACTGGTCTTACGCAGACGTATGGGCTTGTCTGCGGAGTACAGAGCTCGGCCCAAGCGGAATCGGGTGGTGCTCTCTCTACGACCAAGGGTGCGCCTGCCGCTGCTCCCTCTCGCCTTGTACTCACATACACTCAGCTATACATCACTCGGCTCGACGCACAACACATTCCCGAATCCTTGTCTGAAGGCAGGAGAAGGCTATCGACCTGCTTGGGAATTGCAAGATGAGTCACAAGAACGAGCCGGCAGGGGCGATCCTTCACCACGCGCATCATGATTCGTCCTTACCGGAAAAGTATTGTTGTCTATGCAGTACCAGTACATTGTACGTCTAGGCAGACAGAGCATACTTTGCACAGACTTTCTCCTCGTCCGTCAGTACACGCAAGATCTCAATGTCGCCTTTGCTCGAGATCTTCACTACCTCCTCGTCACTCGAGCTGGCAGCTTCATTGGACTTACTGTCGATCTGTACGCCCAGGAAGCTGATGCGCTCAACGACCGACGCTCGCAACGAAACTGACTTTTCGCCGATGCCGCCCGAAAAGACGATAGCATCCGGTTTGCACCTTAGCCTGACGAGATAGGCACCCAGGTAGCGCATGATGGCTTCTTCAAATACAGATACCGCCAGTTTTGCTTGCTTGTCACCCTGATCGGCTTTGGAAGTGATCTCGCCAAAATCGGAAGTACCGCAAAGACCTTGGAAGCCAGCTTGCTTGTTTAGCAATAGCTCTGCTTTGGTCACTTTCATGCCTTTCGTCTCCTCTATCTGACCAGCCTCTTCTGTGTTGCTGAAGAGATGAAAGACAAGGGAAGGATCGAGCGAGCCTGATCGTGTGCCGCCTGGTAATCCTTCGAGTGGCGTGAGACCCATTGTCGTATCGACTGATTTGCCCTTTTCTATGCAGCACATGCTCGCGCCACTACCGAGATGGCATATGATGATGTTCAAGCTAGTCTCTGATCGGTCGAGGTGACGTGCAACATTGGTCAGGATGGACGAGTACGAGAGGCCATGCATGCCATAGCGTCGGATGGGTATAGGTGCTTTGACCTGGGGGGGTGGAATAGCATACGTGTAGACTGATTCGGGTATAGACTGATGGAAGAGTGTATCGAAGCAGAGGACATTCTTTGCCGTGGGCAGATGCTTGAGACAGGCTTTGACCGTCAAGACGGCGTGATGATTATGCAGCGGTGCAAACGTGCTGAGCTCGTCCATCAACTTGAGGCCCTCCTGGTGATCTTTCGTCACGACGAGAGGCTTGTCTGAAGTGCCTCCGTGTACGATCCGGTGGGAGATGAGCGCGATATCCTCTTTATCGTCCGTTATGCGCAAGTTCTCCTCTTTCTCTCCTTGCACGAGCGCAAGGACGTCCACAAAGACGTCCTCATGACTCTCGCCTGCTATCGGATGTTCGTACTTTGCCTCCTTGCCTACCACAGCATACTTGAGCTTGGCCGAATCGGTGCCAATGCCAGACGCGGAACCAGAGGCGACGACACTGAGGTCTTTGCGCCGATAGACTTTGAATTTGAAAGATCTGCCATGATGATGAGCGCTAGCCTGATGTGGGACTACAAAGCTCACGAGCTGCCGCAATTGAGGGCGAGCAAGAGTGACATGGCTATCTGTCTGCGAGATCGATGAGGTCATCGAGAGACGCGTCTTTCCTTCGGAATCTATCAATCTACAGATAAGAGGAGCACCGCTGATTGATGGCTTGCATCAGTCGCACATGGCTGCGTTCAGCAAGCTTCTCGGGATGACCTTGCATGCATTGCGGGCAAACACGTCACATGACGCGCGCACTCTGGCTTACAGAGCGATAGCAGCTCATTTGTAAGCTCACGGCAAGATTGTCGCCACAATGCGACGACTGTGCCGGATCAGTTCAGCGCATGTCTGTGCGAGAAGACGTACGAGTGTGGCAGTCTGCGCCATTCTGCCAGATAGATCCCCTGCCAAGTCCCCAACGCGAGGGACTGTTGTCACCCTCACAGTCAGCAATAATTAGATGCTAATGTTTTCCCCGACCGACAGAGTTGGTGATCGGGATCGTGATGGAAGATCCCATGAGGCTTGCTTTGGTATGTGATGCACTATCATCCGGACCTGTGTCTACTATGAGCTAGCTGCATTCCTCGAGCTTAGGAGGTGCGCGCCTTCGTCTGTATGTCGCCACGGTAAGCTTTCTGGCACGATTGTGTCCATCGCCATTGTCATGTCTCTACGCACATCGGGATCGTACTGACATCACCATCAACCGAGTCTGGCCCGGTGATGGCTCGACGGACATTTTCATTCAGACTGAGTGATGCGCTAGTATGGAGTATGTGTAGATGGAGAATGCCAATCTGTGCACCGTGCGATAGATGAGCTGCAATAGAGAAGGTGTTCAAGGCAGTCGCACTGGCGTCTTTTGGAGGCCTTCGCGGATCTCAGACATCACTTCGCTCGTGACCAAGTGACAGCTGCTTGCGGATGATCAGGATGGAATGGAAAGCGAGCCTCTGAGCTTGCCCTAAGCTGCGCTTGCCCAGAGTGAAGGTCTTTTGCCAAGGCATCTTGATAAATTGATCCAATCGCGTTCGAACGCGCAGAAGGAGTGACAAGGCTCGAGTGACGTAGCTTCCTCCACATGGTCATCTACCAAGCGGACGAGCGGCGACGTAGCGAACGGACAAGAGAGACCCTCTCGTCAGACGAGGAGGAGGATGATGATGCGCTCCTCGACAGTCTCGAGAATGACCTGGATATGCAAGGTTTCCGCGAGAAGCGCATAGAGGAATTGCGTCAACTGTGCGTTGGCTGGATGCTCGCCTGCACAACAGCTCTGAGTCGGCATATGCAGCCAAGTGCAAGCACAGGCGCGACAATTGAGCAACAGTGGCCGCCTGACGACTGTCACAATCGAAAAAGAGCTCATCACCAGGACAGCGTATGTGGACAGCACGCCGCATGCGCAGGAACTCAGAAGAACTTGCTATCAACAGTAAAGCCCGGCTCTCGATAGTGCACTTCTTCCATGTCGACTTTCGACGGTGCAAGATCATGGACAAACACCTTACTGTCCGCTCTCACGCGCTGCCCAATGTGCAATTGCTGACCCACAAGCAGACGCTAGCAGAGCGATACCCAGACACCGTGTTCTTGCGGATAGACGTAGCCAATGCGCCGTTCCTCGTGAACAAGCTACAAGTCAAAGTCTTGCCCTGCGTCTTCTGCTTCATCGACGGCGCCAACAAAGATCAGTAAGCATCGAAAGCAGAGGGATATTGCATTGGCTGAGGTGGTCGCAGAATCGTCGGCTTCGAAGGTCTAGCGAACAAAGAGACTGATGACTTTTCCACAGCGGAGCTCGAGCTGCGACTCAAGCAGTCCGGCGTCATTTCGGCCATCAAGCAAGCTACAGTTCACTCCATCTTGGGACTGGACAAGACGAGATCGGACGACCTCGATCTAGATTGAGCAGCATTGTATGATGTTGTACAAGAGCTGCACGTTGTACATTCTAGCAAGTGATGACAACATCAGACAATCTAGTATTTGCTCAAGACCCTGCGCGCTTGACGGTCAGTCACTGCTCTCTGTAGACGATGGCGTGATACTGACAAACATCGAGAAGGATACGGTTGCGATCCTTCATGGTCTTGTATGCTTTTTCACCTGGCTCTCCCGTCGCTTCACCGAGCAGCTCCTTGAGCACCTCTTCGACTTCTCTTGCCATGTTCTTTGCGTCGCCACAGATATACACGTACCCCTTCTTGTCGACTAGTAGGCTCTTGATGTGATCCTTCTGTGCACGAATGAGCTGCTGCACATATTGCTTCGGCTGTCCTGGCTCGCGAGAGAAAGCCGTCTGGATGGTGAACTTGCCGTCGAGCTCTGCGGCGTATTCCTTCCATTCGGATTCATACAAGTAGTCCTGGTCCTTGCGTCGGCAGCCATAATAGAGTACCATGTCTGCCCAATCGGCCAGTGCACCCTCGCCATCTTTGGCTTTCGCCTTGCGAGCGAGAGCCAACCGATCTTGCAAGAAGCCACGGAAAGGCGCCACGCCTGTGCCGGGCCCGATCATCACCACGGGCACTTTCGGGCTCGTGGGCAGTCTGAAGTTGCTTCTCCTGATGTGAATGGGCATCTTGTAGCCCCCGCTATCCTGGCGTAGCTTGCCTCGAGGGCCATCGAGGCGATACGAAGGTGCATCAGATCCACGCACGCGACCCAGGCTGTCGTTCTGCATATCTAGCCTCTCGCTTTGCTCGTGCGTCTTCAACTTAGCGTTGAGGAGATAGTTGGTCGTGACACCATAGACGTAGGATCCCTTCGATGCATCTCGGCCGGCCTGATCCTTCGTGACGACGGCGGTGATGTGGACGAGATCTGCCGTGTAGCGAGGCGAAGAGCTGATGCTGTAATAGCGCGGCTGTAGTCGCGGCAGGTAAGTGATCACTCGCTCTGCCGGTATCGACCAAGGGGTATAGTGCGCTGTTGCTGGGTCTGCATGAGGGTTTCCGCCGGTGGCGACGATCAAAACCTGGGCCAGCTTATAGCAATTGTCGACGACCTCGGACTGATACGCTGCCTTGTCGCTACCGAGTCGCTCGAGATATTGCTGTGCTTCTGGTGTCGGCGCATACTTTGCGGCTGCAGCGATAGTCTGTCGACCGACGAGGGCGCAAACATCGAGGTAGTGCCTGAAGATGGCGTCGTACGTCGTCGGCGTTGGAAACGGCACCTTGGCGAGCGCCGGGTCGAGCGAAGTGATCTCGACGACTGTCTGTGCTTTCTCGACAAGCCCCAATACTTTGAGCATCCTCTCTACCTCGGGATCCGGGCTCATGGGCCACAGGCCTAGATGATCGCCGGCCTGATATCGCATACCAGTGTCCTTGATGTCAAACTCGGCAAAGATACAGTTGCGATCGCCCGCCATGAAAAGCTCTTTGCAGCTGACAAGATTGGCCAGGCATGGATTCTTAGCATCATGCACGCCCCGAGTCCCGTTGAGCGCACGAGCAGACAGCTCGCCAGCGTAGACCTTGTCATGGATATCCTGGCCTAGCTCCTTGACCTCGAAATCGGCGGTATCGCCACCCGATCCCTCTTGGTAGCCCATGACCTCTGTCACTGATTTCCACATGTCGTCCTTCCACGCCAGATAATCCTCCTCCATGCTCTTATCATCGTCGCCCTCGCCACGCTCTCCGACGCGCTTGGCGCCCAAGCTCGCTAGACGAGAGTCGAGTGTGCGCCCGACAGCGTTGAACTGCTCATATGTACGATTGCCCAGCGAAAAGACGACGTAGTGCAAGTTGTCGAGTCTGTCGGAGCCGTTTGAGAATGTGATGCTCTCATCCTTGATAAAGTCCATGAGCTGAACAGCATTATCTGTCGGTTCGCCCTCGCCGTAGGTCGCTACAGCGAATACGATGAGATGATCTTCGGGCACTGTGTCCAGCATATCGAAGTCATAGCTGCAAGCTCAGGTCAGAACGAGGACGAGGCGCATTGATCGACGAGGCTCACTCTTCGGGATCGCAGACGAGACTGGACAATCCGAAGCGACTCTTCGCTTCCTTTGCTATCCTCAACGCATAGTCTTCGGCAGTGCCTGTCTGCGAGCCGTAAAAGATACAAATCTTTTTGTTCTGTGCGAGCGCTCATGATAAGCACTTGCGATCTGACGAATTCCAAGATCGGCCTTACCGCTTTTTGCATGGCTTCGACAAAGTTGCGTGTCGGGGGATCGCCATTGAGCTTGCCATTGCCATTGTGCAGGCCATTGGTCGCTGGCGGCTTGACCACCGCGCTATTGGTAATGCCCGTACCAAAGAGGTACCAAATCGCGCCGAGGCCGACGATCGCCAGCAATATGAGATCGGACGTACTGAGCGACAACATGATGTCGAGGTTCGTGTCGTGCAATGTGAGCGGCTCTGTGCCTGAAAGGTGTTCTGATCTGCTGGGTACAGGGGGGGCAACAAAGATGGGCTTGCGTCTGAGCTCAGATCGCAATTGCCGAATGCCAGATGTGTCACTCTGCGCTATAGGACAACGATGTAGGGCTATGCCGCGATGGCCAATGTGGTGCTAGCGATCCGGCTCGATTGATTTCAGGACACGACACAAAAGTCGGTCGACGAAGCGCGCAAGCGATCGTCGCTTCCGGTGGGGATCCCCGCGAGCATCACCCTTGGCGGCACGGACGGCCCGAACATCCGCAAAGTCTCCGTCGATTCTGGTTGCAGCGACTGAAAGCGATCACGCAACTCGTTGCAAGCGCGACACTATGGCCGCAGCGAGCACTCCGTCGAGCACAGTCGCACATGCGCCTGACAGCATCGGGCCCAAGGCACAGCCTCATGATGTCAACGAGCAAACGGCGATTGACATGAAGCGCTTTCGCGCACGATGCACCTTCGACATTGCCAAGATGCACAACATGATCGATGAAGGCTCGCGCGATACGGAGATGCGCCAGAAAGTACACGATATCATCGCGAATGATGCGCTCATAACCGAAGCTAAGCGAACCAGGTCGGGTGTTCGGACACTATTAGCTCGACTTGTTGACCGGAATGCGTTGGTGACGACAGGCCATTCCTGTCCCGTGCAGACCGACTGTACACAGGGCAAGCGCTCATGAAGCGGTTGTTCGACCTTGTCGATGAGCACGATCTAGACTACATGGAATTTCTCGAATGTCTCTTTCTGGTGTAAGTCTCCGTCTCAGCCTTGAGGCCTGCGCTGACGCGCGTGATGCAGAGACGAGCAGACGTCATACTATCTGCATCATGTTGCCTTTTTGCCTGTCATCAATGCGCAAGGTTCAGACGAGCAGCAAGCCGAATGGATGGCAAAGGCTCAGAACCACGCTTGGCTCGGCTGCTACCTGCAGACAGAGGTACGAGAGATACGTCCAATCCTGCTCTTGATGGACTGAATCTGTCTTGTGTAGCTTGGCCATGGCAGTAACGTGCGCCGCTTGGAAACGACGGCGACATTTTGCAAAGACACAGATGAATTTGAGATACATTCACCCAGTCTTACAGCGACAAAGTGGTGGATTGGTGCGTGCGCGATGCTCATCACTAGCTCAATCCTGACGTGCAGGTGCAGGCGGGCTTGGCGTTGTCAGCACACACGGCGTCGTACAGGCACAGCTCATCATCGACGGCACGAATCACGGCCCTCACCTTTTCTTGGTACAATTGCGCGACATCCAGAACCACAAGCTCTTGCCCGGTATCATTGCTGGCGAGATCGGACCTAAAGCGCATGGCGGATTTGCTGCACTCGATAATGGCTATGCACGCTTCAATCACGTCCGCATCCCGCGCTTCAACATGCTTGCACGCTTCTCGCAGGTCACCAGAGAAGGCAACTTCATCAAACCGCCGAGCGACAAGCTATCCTTCGGCGGCATGGTCTTTATCAGGTGCGCTTCAGCAACGTTGTCGAGTGAATACTGACAGATTTGCGCCTACACAGAGCCCAGATGATCTCAGCAGTCTCGATGTCACTCACAAAAGCCACAACCATTGCCACGCGCTATCTGCACGTTCGCCGTCAGTTTGCAGACCCGGAAGCAAAAGGTGAACGCGCAGAAGAGGAGCTCAATGTCATTTTCTACCCGTCGGTCTACATGCGTTTGCTGCCGCTCATCGCAAAGTCATACGTCTTTGGCGCGATGGGCAAAGACATGGTCAGCCTCTCGCAATCTGCATTCACTCTGTGCTCATACTGAACAGGCCGAGCTGTATGGAACCATGGCGAGCCAGCTTGCAAGTGGCAATACCGAAATGCTGGCAGAAGTCCATGCAGTCTCGTCGGGACTGAAATCCTATGTGACAGCCGAAGTCGTCGAAGGTATCGAGATTGCTCGTCGATCACTCGGCGGGCACGGCTTTATGGAGTCTGCTGGTGTGGCACGCATATACAGCAAGGAACTGCCCTCAGTCACGTAAGTCTGTTTGCCTGAGCGCAAGCTTCCAGCTCACTATAATGCAGGTACGAGGGCGACAACTACGTCCTTGCACAACAGACCTGTCGCGGAGGCTTGAAGACTTACCGCGGCTTGCTCAAAGACGCCTCTAAGCGGAAGCTGCTCACCGCTTCGACCGACTATCTTGCTCATTTGGCCGACAAGAAACAGATCAAGCTGCCTCATTCGATCGAAGAGTGGCGCAACTTGCAGGTCCAGACGGATCTGCTAGACGCCCGCGCAGCATTCCATGTCAAAAGACTTGAGATTCTCATGCGATCCAAAGCTGAAGGCGGTCAAGGAAAGACGATGGGCCAATTGAGTTGGCAATGTCAGATGATCAGCAAAGCGATCGTCGAGTCGTTCATTGGCCGTCGTGTTGCTGCCGCTCTGGCTCCCGAAGGCTTGCTGGTCAACGGTCTCGATGACGCCGGCGTCAAAGTGATTAAGAATCTGATGAATTTCTATCTGCTCAACACTATCGATGGCGCCCTATCCGAGCTACTCGAATTTGGCGTCATTCCTGCGCACTCGACAGATAGCGGTGCCATGCAATCACCCATCGAGACATTACGACTTGCAATCGCGAACGCTGCCCAGGAAGTCTTGCCCGAGACGATCGGTCTGACGGATGCCTTTGGCTTCAGCGACTGGGATCTCAACTCTGCTCTGGGACGCTACGATGGGCGATGCTACGAAGACTTGTTGCACCGGGCAGAGTCGCAAGCAGAGCTCAATCTTGGAGGCAAGATCAAAGACATCTTTGAAAAGTCGATCAAGCCGGTCCTTGAGCGCGGCGACAGGCTTGCAAAGCTTTAGACACCTTGCACTTGTACCTTGCACTCACACATGCCAGCCCTCTTTTGTGTTCTCCTCTACCTCTGCGGATCGTGTTGGAATGATCGGCTCGCGGATATCATATGCTTTGATGGCCATCTGCATCAAAGGTCAGCTCCGTGTAAGTTGGCTGAAAAGAGCGGCGGGACCTTCCACAAATTCATATCCCACTCGAGGACGTGTTGTATCCGCGTAACACCGTCCGCACGATCTTGATCGGTTGCTTCTTCGCATTGCACTGCGGACGCCTCTGTCAGCAAGAGCAGCGAGCTTGGGCGGATGCTGGAACCTACTGATGTAGAGCTCGTTGGGCTCATCATCGTCGTAATCGAGACTGAATTTGCCATCGCGTAGTAGAAAGGAGACATAGAAGATGTTTTCGACTGTCTGATTGAACGAGGCAGGATGACAGACGAGCTCCCAGTAGGTTGTACGTAGACCTGCAGCTTGGCGTCGCATGATGAGCTGAGCAATCTATTGCGCAACTATGAGGATCAGTACCGACGCTCATGCCAGCCATGTCACTGACCAGCTCGACATTTGTGCCGGTCTCGTTCTTGGTCCTCTTGACATCACGGCTCGACAGCTAGATCATCGCAGTCAGCGCGAGAACGGTCAAGAACGAGCAGGCGTACCTCTTGAGGCTTCTGACGTTCAGATTCGTCAATCTTGGTCTCACGCGTCCTCTGCTTGACGATCCGCTTCTTGTGCTCTGTGGCGATCGCTCCCAATCTGCAAGAACGATCGAATCCAAAGCGCTCCAAGACGAGCAAAGACGCACAGAAAGTCAATGGTCGGCACACGAGATGTGTGTTGAAGTGCCATGGCTCCAATACGGTCCCATGAATCGGCAACGTCAACTTGCGACGCGACCGGATCCCCTCCGTCTGACTCGTCCGACTCGTTCTCGCTCTCGAGCCTGGCGCGTTCTCTACTCGCTCCCGCAGCAACCTTGCGTCTCTTTCGTCCGTTGCTGGTCGTAGAGGGGCCGATGAGCTGAGCTAGACAGTCGACATAGGCATCACAATCGAATGCCTCTGAGCCTATCTTCAACTCTCGCGCTTTCTGGATGGTGTACTGGCCCATGCTGTTGAGCAAGGCAGCATCCATGACGGCTTCTCCGGTCTGCTTGACGCTGCTGAAGTTGTTCTCTGCTCGGTCGAGCAAGGCCATGACGGAGCTGACTGCCGTGCCTTTGACATCTTTATTGAGCGCTGTCGATTGGTTCCAAGGATTATAAGCCCGGCGGACGAACGCGTGGGAGGGGACCGACATTTCATCTCATCTTGGATGGTTCTGTACTCCTGTCTGACCTTGCGGACGACGCCGCGGTCCTGATTAGGGTCAAAGATGGAAACATCGATATCGTCTTGCACATCCGGCGAGGGCTCTTTGTATTGCGTCAGTCGAGGCTGCTTTGCTCTGGCTTTGCCCTTGGACTTTGCGGATGCGACGATGACGACCTCTTCGTCTGACATTGCTCAGCGGATTCGCACCAGAACGCGTATATAAAGTGAACGGTGAACGCGTAAAGAGCGGCGGCGGCGGCGGCTATCGACGTATCGACTCGTGCTCGCCGGCGTCATCGGCCCGCTGACGTAGCTATGCTCTATCTGGCTCATGCCCAGCAGCCGACTGCGGTACATCGGACTCTCAAGTGTGACTTCCTGCCCGATCAGAGCAACCAGACTACCGCCAGACAGGCCACTACACCGAACGCTATCGATGGATCACCAGTCGACAGTGGATGCCGCACCGGCTCGGACAGCACAGAGCCGGCTCAGAATCTCATATTGAGGTCCGTCTGGACTATACAACAGCTCGCGCGAGCTTACTTTGAGATTGAACTGTGGCAGCAAGCTCAACAGGATCGAAGTGCACACCATCGAGCCGACAGGACTACGACTTGCGCTTGAGATCCCCCTCTTTGGCACTATCCTCGACCTGCAGCCCATCAGGTTCAAGGTGGGGCAGATCTGTCGTCAGCATGCAAGCTTTGACCTCAAGCTTGCTCGGACAGGACCGATCGACAAGCTCCTTGCTGCTTTTGACCACTTCGCTCCACTTCAGCGTGCTTACGTATGAGCCCGATTTTCTGACACCTGCATCCGGTACGCGTTCGCTCGGCTGGTCGAATGCCCGGGTACAGGACGAGGCAACGCTGTCTGTCTCCGAACGCGCCGGCAGACAATCCGAAGAAGCTCAGACGATCCTCGTCGATCCTCACAACCGATGCGTGCTCCTCCACATCTACTGTGGCCTGATACGTGTTCTGCCCATCAAATCATCTGCTGGAGCTGCAAGCAAGCCAAGTCGCAGACGATCTTCAGCCGCTGCCCCCGTCGGCGAATTGTCATCCTCTTTGAAGAAGTCATCTGGCAAAGCACGCGCCTCTGCTGCTGCCTCGGCTGAGTCGGACGGAATCGACGTGTTCCGAAGCTACAACATACGTTTGCCATATCTCAATGTCAAGCATATCGCTTTCTTGCCCCTGCCCGAATCCTCGCTGCCGACAATTGCGTTGCTCCACACGAATTTTCTAGGACAGAACGTGCTGTCGATTCATGCTATCTCCCTCAAGGATAAAGAGCTCGTCAATTCGGCCAAGCCAGACTTCGAACTCGTGCTCGACGACGAGACGGTCGATCTCTTTATTCCTCTCGAGCGAAATCTGGCGACTGGCCAGCCGCTCGGTCTATTGCTCGTGGGCAGCGGTCAGATCAATTGGCTTCCTCTTCCTCTGCTTGATACCATAGCGAGTCCTCCGATCTCACCGACAACAGCAAGAAGAGCTTCGATCTCGTCTGTTTCCACAAACGCTTCCGGTCGGCGCTCTGCACCACCATCTCCCACGAATACGCGAAAATCGAAGGGCAAAGAAAGAGCGTCCGATCGACGCGTGACGTCCAAAGTGCCTGTCGGCATATACAGAACGTAAGCCATCCCCCACCTGTACCAGTGCCGCGCCTGCTAAAGTCATGCTACGTAGATACTGCGCCATTGATCACGACCCGAGCTTGTTGCTCGTTGGCGATGAGGAAGGATATCTTGTATCTGTCCGCATCGGGCTACAGGGCGAGCGGGTGACAAGTCTAGACGTGGTCGATCTCGGCAAAGTACCAAGCCCGACAAGCTTGACCCACATTGCAGACGAATACGTCTTTGTCGGCTCGTACTACGGTGATTCGAGCCTCGTGGCAATACCAGCCCTCACGAGCGATGGCATGGAATGCGACAGTGTCTCAGTCATATCTGCCATGGCCAATCTTGCCCCGATTGTCGACTTTTGCGTCGTGACGGACGATGTAGGCCAATCTCATCTTGTCACCTGCTCGGGCGCCAAGAACAGCGGCAGCTTGCGACTCGTACGGCAGGGCGTCGGCCTCTCCATTCTAGCTACGATCGACTTGCCTGCAGTGCAGAATGCCTGGCCGCTCAAACTCGCCTCTTCGTCCATCAAGCACGATGCCATTCTGGTCTCGTTTCTCGACCGATCGCAGCTTCTCAGCCTATGCAATGGGAACCTAAGTGAGCTTGCCTCGCCTGCTCTGACAGAGCCTACCCTGTATGCAGGTACCTTGGGCGATGCCGGTGCCCAAGTGGCTATCTGCGCGACAGCCAAGGCGATATTGCGCTTGTCCATCGAAAAGCCATCGGAGCTGTGGACATCGCCTACGGGAGATCTGATCACCGCCGCCAGTAGCGATGGCTCCTCGCTTCTTCTTGCTACATCGTCAAAGGCACTGGTGCTCATGACGCTCTCGCCGAATGGCATTGCTCTGACCACGACGAAACAAACAATCTCCGAAGTATCTTGCTTGGCTGCTTGGACGACCACGACAGGCTCGCAAATAGCGGCAGTAGCTTCCTGGTCGACCAATGCCATTTTGCTCTATTCTTTACCCCACCTCGAGCCGGTCACGGGCGCCGAGCTCAGCTTCGACCACTTGCCACAGTCTATGCTCTTTCAGAAGTTTGAAGACGATGCTGTGCACCTGTTCGTCGGTCTGGGTAGCGGTGATCTGATCAGCTTCGGTATCGACGCAGCTTCAGGGGCCGTATTGCCTTTATCGAGGAAGAGTGTCACTCTGGGAAAGAAGCCGGTGCTGCTCTCACAGTGCTCTGCTGCCGGTCAACCTGCCGTCTTTGCAGTGACAGACAGGCCGACTGTCGTTAGCCGGAGTGCAGGCAGGCTGTCGTATGCCTCGGATAACCGGAGAGTACGTTTTCCCAGGCTTGGCAAGTACAGAGGAGCTGATCATCGAGCAGACGCTCGTGGCAATCAACCAGATCGATGCGCTCAGGTTCGAACAAAGCTTGATGCTCGTATCGCCGGAAGGCATACAATTCGCTCGTGCAGATGGTAACGAATCACTGCATGTAAGGAGCTTGAGCCTGGGCGAACTACAGCCGCGCAAGATCGCTCACTCGGCCGAGCTACGCGCGTATGCTGTGCTCTGTCTACAAGAGACGATAGATCGCTCTACCGGTCATTTGACTCGTGCCGGTAGTGTCCAATTCGTCGATGCGTCGGACTTTGCTTTGCTGGATTCCTTCGACTTGCAGTCGGACGAACACGGCACAGCACTAGAAACGGTCTCGCTGCATGGTGCCGCTCACTTTGCGGTTGGCACAGCTTTCAGCGATCGAACGGTTGATGCTCGTGAGCCCAAGAAGGGCAGAGTGCTCACTTTCATGCGAGATGGCGACAAGTTCGAGCAGCATGTGCATGCTGTCCTCGAAGGCGGCGTGTTTGGCCTATGCCAGCTCCCCAACAGCTTCCTGGCAGCCATTGCCAATGCGCAAGTGAAAGTTTTCCATGTCACCGAGCAAGCGCATATCGACCAGATGACGTGTTGGGCTGGCACCTTCCTGGCGCAATCCATCTCGTCGCGTGATAGCCAGATCATCGTCGGCGATCTGTATCGCTCTGTCGTCTTGCTACAGTGGGATGAGGCCAAGGATACGCTGTCGGAGGTCGCTCGAGAGCATCATGTCAATGGCATGAGCGCAGTCGAGTTCCTTGGTTTCACAGACGATAGATACATCGGCACAGAGCAAGAGCTCAATATCTTCACTCTCACCAAGACAAAGACACGCGAGCGCATCGATATACTCGAAACCGAGGGCATGTTCCATATAGGCGAATACGTCACCCGCATCCGCAAAGGTATCGTGCCTACCGCAGCGTTGCTCAGACACGTGCTGACCAGGCGTTGGTAGGCGCATTGGTGCCTGGCTATACTGATACTTCTTTCGGCGCGGCGCCACAACTTCTGTTCGGCACTTCAGATGGCAGTCTCGGGGTCATCGTCAATTGCACGCCCGAAGTTTCGCTGAAGTTGTTCGCACTCGAGCGCAATATGCGTGCAGTCATTCGTGCATTCGGAGGACTCGAACAAGTCGAGTACGTCTTTGCTGATGTTCAGATCGCGCTTGCTGAGACATAGCGCGCACAGCTGGAGAGCCTTCAGAGCGCCACACCGAGTCCACGAGCCTGTCGGCTTTGTAGATGGCGACATGATCGGCCGATTCGCGGAGCTCAACGAGACGCAAGTCAACCAGGTCCTGCAAGGCGCATCGGAGCACTCCGCTCTGACGAATACGACTGCCGAAGATCTCTATCGGCTGGTGGACGAGCTTCAGAGGATGCACTGATGATATCTGCATGCATGCACACCTACATACACACCCTTCGCGAGATCATTGAGCGCTTCATCTGACCTCGAGACCGGCCGATCTCATTTCGAGGCAGGCAAGGGCTGATTGATCGCAGACTGCGCCAGCGTCGCTTTCTGTCTCGCCTCTAGCACTCTCCGCTTGTTGAAGTAGTCTACCTGCAAGCAGATGCCTAAGGGACTGTATCAACACTCGACGAGGCACATGCTCACCCAACTCTTTGCGCATTCTTTCTCGTAGTGCTTGTTCTCTTTGGAGCAAGTCTTGCCCTCATCGCCGGGCACAATGACATCAGACTTGTCTAAGCAGCTGAAGTAGGCATCTCTGGACTCCCAGCATCGATCTCGCTGAGACCGGTTAGGCGCATTCGCCATCGTCGAGAAGGGACGACGATCAAGAAAATGGATGCGCGTACCCTCGTCGTGTGGTCGATGCGCCGACGGGTCAGACAGTCTGCAGACCCGAGCGTTGACCCTGCTACTGCTCCATATGTAGTAGCACACCCCTACGCACGCACACAGCCAGCCAAGAGCACGCAATGGCCAATCGCAGCGGTCAGTCTGCTTGTCATTGCAGCCGCCGTCTTTGCGCTCCGTCTCCTCGAACGACCAGCTTTTGTCTTTCCTCTGGAGTATGCCGTCTGCACTCGCGGAGAGCGGCTGTACACAAGCGATCCCGCTCATCCTCAGGATGAGTGTGTCGTTGTAGCGGATAGCACTATCATCGCTATCGACTCACTCGCCAATGTCAGGCGCACTTATGGCGATAAGGACACACTGGGGTCCGTCTTCGTGTCGCACGGCAAGACGAAGCGGTCCATCAAGGTTCACACCCTACCTGCTGCGTATAGCATTTTGCCAGGCTTGACTGACGCGCACGGTCATGTTCTTGACTTGGGCCACGCTGCTGCTGCCGTTACACTCAAAGACGCTTCCTCCGAAGACCATGCGGCCCGACTTGTGTCTGAATATATCAGATCGCATCCGCAGGCGCATGACGCCATCCTCGATGGATACGAATGGGATCAGACAAGGTGGACTCCTGCCGTCTTTCCCACCGCGAGAGCATTTGAGCGCTATGCAAACTTGCGAGATCTCAAAATCGTGCTCAAACGAGTCGATTTTCACGCGCTCTGGCTATCGCAAGCGGCCATCGACTCACTCGAGCCTTTGCCCGATCAGATTGACGGCGGTCTGATCGTGCGTGACGAGACCGGTCGTCCGACGGGTGTTTTTCTCGATGCTGCGATGGATTTTGTCGTCAATCGGTTGCCGTCTTGGACAGATGCACAGATGGAGCAATATCTGCATTCTGCAGCGAGTCGACTGCTTGGATTTGGCATCGTAGGCGTACACGATGCTGCCGTCACACTGCCCATTCTCGCCATGTACAAGCGTCTCGATGCCCAGAAAAGACTGCCACTAGACATCTATGCGATGGTCTTGTGTCCAGAGCTGGACCAGTACTGCGGCGATGCTGTAGAAGCGTACCAGGGACACCGGCTCACCGTGAGAAGCGTCAAGCTGTTTGTCGACGGTGCGCTAGGCAGTTATGGCGCCTACTTGCACAAACCTTACTCTGACGACAAAAGCACGAGGGGAATACTGCGCACGCCAGCACACACGCTCAAGGATCTGATTCAACGCTGGAATGCTAAAGGCTTCCAAGTCAACGTCCATGCTATTGGCGATGCGGCAAATGCGGCCGTGCTCGATGGCTTCGAGAGCTTGCTGCCGGAGGATCTGGCGGTCCGCCGTCACCGCATCGAGCATGCACAGATCATGGTCAGCTCGCGGCAGGACTTCTGACTTGGTTGCTGATTGAAGGGCAGACGGACCAAGACGTTCAGCGTGCTGCACGGCTCGGTGTCATAGCAAGCGTGCAGCCGGCTCAAGCGACATCAGATATGGGCTACGCAGAAGACCGACTTGGCCCAGAACGCATTCGGACAGCCTATGCTTGGCGCACCTTTCTCAAGTGAGTCGCGTCTCGTAGAGTTCCAGAATTGCAGCTCACGTCGTCTACAGTGCGAACGTGTCCATTGTTTTGGGCAGCGACTTCCCAGTAGAGAGCGCGAATCCGTTCCAGGGTATGCATTCGGCAATCAGTCGACTTGACCTGAACGAGCAATCGCCTCACGGGCCGCAAGGATGGTACAGCGACCAAGTACTCACACGACAGGAAGCTCTGGCTGGCTTCACGTCCGCCCCTGCGTTTGCAAGCTTCCAAGAAAAGCGGTTGGGCATGCTCAAGCCAGGCATGCGTGCTGATTTTGTGGTCATCGACCGCGATCTCCTCGCCGTGCCTGTCTCCGACATGTCGCGGACTCCCACGATGCTTACGGTCCTCGATGGTCGAGTGGTGTACGGACGACTGTGATGCATTGCGCTGAGCATGATGAGCGCGGATCTTGCGGACAATGCATAGTCATAATCAGGGTTTTGTTGTTGATCGACCGACTGAGCGCGATCGGCCGAAGCGCCGAGACGGCCTAGGCGCAGCCAGCGTCGTTGTCGTCCTTGTCGACTGGACAGGGCGCAAAGCCATGCCAAGCTCGCCTAGCAGGCCGCTGGGCTCGCCTCGATGGTCCTCCACGACGTTGGAGCGATCTGGCTCCAAGTCGTACACCTTCAGCAGCGCTAGCAGCGTCAGCAGCGGCGGGAGCTCCAGTCGTAGACAGAACTCGGTGTCAATGTCACCCACTGCCACACTCCAGGGCCTGACGGAGCAGCTCCGACGAACGAGTATCGATGGCCTGGTTCGCAAATCCAGCAGTTCGTCCACCCGCTCGAGCCGACATATCAGGCGGAAGTCTAGCACGAGCACGTCAATGAGCAGGGGACCCTCACTCAAGGATCCGATAGATCTGCGCAGGACGCCTTCGAGCTCCGCTGGCAAACGAAAGGCCTCACCTCTTACGGCTGTAGAGATCATAGACAGCCTAGCCGAGCGGAAAGCGATGCTGGAGTCACATGAGCCGCTTGTTCTGGACGTGCGCAGCATCACCGCCTTTCTTGGCGTTAGACTACAGGACTCAATGTGAGCGCGCTAAGCACAGCAGAAGCAGAGGCTGATCATGAACACTGCAGCAATGTATCAATACCCTCACTCCTCCTGAAACGACTCAAGCGAGGCATCAACCTCAGCCATTTTCAACTCGAGAACTACATCACTACAGAAGCGGGCAAGCAGACTCTTGCCCGGCTCGTCAAGCGCAAAGATGGTCGCACCAGACGACTTGTCGATCTAGACTGTTATATCGTCGGCGACGAGCAGCTCGACCGCGCTGGCACATCAAACACGCCTCGACTAGGCACCGTCTTACTCAGCGTACTCGAGGCTCTCCGCACAGATGCTAGCGCGCCCAAAGGGCGTCTTTACTACCTCGTCGACGGATTCGACAAGCTACGTGCCATCTCTGGCAGTCGTGGGATGCTCGTCGTTGGCGAAGATGCTGCGCCGAGCGCGCATTCACATGAAAGCGCGACGCCGCCTCGACCCAAATTGAGCTTGACACCGAGCCGCTCTAGTCCACATGACACGCCTTCAAGATCTCTGCGCGCAAAGTCGATGAGCTTGACCCCGAGCAGCGATAGGGAGGGCAGTCCCTCGACTGCGATGAAGCCCGGCAGTCTTCGTCGGATCAATACGGAGACGCGTAACCTCGATGGTCCGTCGTCTCAGCCGGACAAACGATCCTGGAAGACTGCTGTGTCTGTCTCTCTCCAGGCCCTTTGCGCAAGTCAAAGTCGGACGCCTTCTCGTCCGCGCTCAGCTGCCATTTCGCCCTCCGATCTTGATCATGACAAGCCAGAAGTCTTCTCGGTTGCGTCTATCCTAGCCGGACGTCTCTACCTCGGTGAGCCGTTCACCAGACCTCATACGTCATAGATCGCTGACGAGTGCACAGGCCCCGAGCCAGGAACGGAAGAGGACGTACGGGCGCTCGAGCAGCTGGGCGTCAGGCGAATACTCAATCTTGCGCTCGAGGTTGTTCCAAAGGCGGAGCTCAAAATGAACACCCGTTTCGAGCAATATCACCACATTCTCATGCGCGACTTTGTCGAAGAACAAGGCGTACACGAATTCTTATTACGAGCATGCTTCCTCATCAGCGATGCAAACATGCACGACGCACCCATCTATTGTCACTGCCGAGCAGGCAAATCTCGCAGCGTCACTGCTGTACTCGCTTATCTCATTCGGAGCCAAAAGTGGACGCTCAAGCAAGCCTACAAGCACGTCGCCGATCGACGTCCTGGCATATCGCCCAACATTGGCTTTGTCTCTTCTTTGATGCAATGGGAGAGCGAAGAACTAGGCGACAAGGCGAACCTGGCAGCAGCTGCCGATCCGCGCGAAGCTTCTTCGGACACGGAACACACTAGAACAACGAAATCGGTTCGCAGACCATCGTATCGGATGAGTAAATCGTTCAGTATCCAGTCAGCTACCGCTGCTGAGATATGAGAACATGTACCTACCATAAGTCTTGTCGTATCAGACACCTCTGTTGTACGTCTGCTTGCACTATCTCACGCTACGTACGCGTCAGACTCAGGCCGCGCTGTGCGATCCTGCCATACAAGACCGAGCAAGATCAAAGCTCAGTAGGCACTGACAGTGACCCAAGCAGGTTCGATGTTCAAACCTGCGTATCCCATCGAGCCAGAGTCGTTGAGCCAGCGTCGTTGAGCCAGAGTCATTGAGCCTCTACTGCAAGTTACCTTGACTGAGATCTTCTACTGAGCTCGTCGTCAGACGACCACTTGCAAAGTCAGCTCTGACCGTGATCTAGACAGCATCGGGCGGGTACTGTACGCATTGATGAGATGCATGCTTTGGTATTGCAAGTGACAGCTTATGGTGATCTTGAGAGTCACTGAGCTGGCTGCAAATGTTGTGCTCACGGTGATTTGGAACTTGTCCATCCCAGAACCGACGTCAGAGCCCGTGTAAGCGTCAAAGCTTGTGCCCGCGCCGATCGATCTGAAGTGAGCCGTAACTTCTGCGGGCGTCTCGTGCTCAGTTTTATCAGGATCGAAAGTCGTCTGCTGCGAGATAACCGGGCATGTTTGGTCAGCTCGAGCAATTCTTGCGCGATGGTCGAATTAACATTGGAAGCAAGAGCGCGCTCGTTGAGGGGCGAATTGCCGCATGGCGACGACGATGCGGTGGACAGAAAGATGCAAGCGATCATGCTGGCGAGCTTCACACCCTGGACGAGCAGCATCCTTTGAGTTGCGGACGCCTTAAAATGTACGGTTCTGCGGATACGAGGGAATACCGCGAATGGTGCAGAGCGCGCAGCACGCACTCCTATGTATATGCTTCCGCGCAACGATCATCAAGAGAGGGATGAGCCATGAGAAGACATTCGCAGCTGCAATCTGTGAATCAGAGTTGCGTCTGCTGTTCAGCTACCGAGCGTAACATTGAGCGTGGACGTTGTCGAGAACGACTATCATTGTTGTTTCGAGGCAGTTTCCAGCTAGTGAAAATGCATTGCCATCGTTCGTCAGGAGCAGGGCCTGGACGAAAGAAAGATCGAATCGATGACGCGCTGAGCCCGGCATCGGACACAAAGGGAAGCCGAGCTTTGCAGGCGCTACCCGAGGCCGCCACGACGACGCGCTTGTCGATCCTTTCGCCATCCCGTCGCGTGCGAAAGACCACGCCTTTGAGTGTCTACTGACGAACTCTGTCTGGACAAGACACCCTGTTCGTCCTTCGCAGAGCGAAAGTGACGTACTGCTGGAACAGAGGGCATCATTGGGGATAGACCGGCGGAACGGAAGAGGGGTACCTGGCTGGCGTGTCAACAGCCGCTCGTGACTTGGTGCAGCTACGAGGCACCGAGAGCTCGTACGGCCACACTTGCCGGCAAGGACCAGCGCAGACTTGACGCAGAGCTGCTCAGCGGAGGCAGCGCTTGGACCGCCTCGCGAGATCGGCCCAGTCGAGACAATCTGTGAACGGCGTTTTCGCAGCACAGGCCTAATCAGCAGCGGACCATTCGACCCGCCTGCAGGCGCACCCGCAGCTCTCGCGCCGTACTAGCACGGGCATTGCATCGTAGCGATAGAGAATAGACAGCTTGGCTTAGTAGTACTGCCCGACCGTTGACGTTTCAAGGCAAGAAAGGGTAGCCAAGACCACGCTCGATGACCTAGTCTCTAAGCTAGGAGACCCTGCTGACGACATCAATATCGCTCATAACTCAATCTTGTCAACCAAGCTAGTTCTACCTGCTCGTTCTGCATTGATCAGCGCATTGCGCCGTGCGCAGTCATGCTACCCCAGCCGACATCGAGCATAACCAACAAACCTGCCTCGGCTGCTTCGTCGCTGTATCAGAACTGTCTGGCAGTACGAGAATCTCTCTGTCGAGTGCCTGGCTTCGCTGCAGCTTTCCTCAATCCAGATGCGCCCTTTGCAGTGGGCGATCCAGGGCCCATCTCACCCAATGGAGCCAGCGATCCTCTCTCAGTCATACCGAACGATCCCGTCTCACAGGTCTCTCTGTGCCTCAGGCTGGGCTCCTCATTGTGCTACTTGTTCAATGTGCTTGCGGACACTCTCAACATTGACAAGCAACTCGACATCAATCCAGAAGCGACACGCAATAATCTCAAGGCATGCAAAGCCTCCGCTGCTCAGTTTATCATGGCCTGCAGCAGCACTTTCGGCTGGCACGGAGATGACCTGTTCACGATAACGAACCTGTACGAACAAGATACGAATGGCACTGTCAAGGTGAGTCGTCTCCTAAGCTCATCGAGCGTCTGCTGATCGCCTCACGACAGGTCATCAACGTCGTCACGAGGCTTCTCAGCCAATTAGATCAGAGAGGTGTGCTCATGCCACCAGTAGAGATGCCAGAAGCAGAAAAAGCGCAGCTTGGCGCGCTCGACAATCGCGCAAAAGTCGTTAACGAAATCCTTGAATCAGAACGCAAATACGTACAAGATCTCGAAGCGTTACAAGTACGACTCCTTCTGACTGTCGAGCGATCAGTGCTGACACAGCGACTGCCAGAATTATCAAAGACAGCTGCAGCAGAGCGATGTGATCAGTCAAGATACCATCCATGCCATCTTCCTGAACCTCAACACGCTTGTGGATTTTCAAAGACGCTTTCTGATTGGCGTCGAAGCGCATGCGAGTCAACCGCCAGATCAGCAACGCTTCGGCTTGCTCTTCCTGCAGATGGTCAGTACGGCTATCGGCGGGCAGCATGATGATTGACATATCAAGTCCCGCACAGGAGGATAGCTTCGCTTGCTATGAAGCATACTGCGCAAACTTTACATCAGCATCCGAAGTCGCACTGCAAGAGAATGCTGCGCTGATGGTATATTAGCCCTCACGGCAAGCGCATACGATGTGCTGACATGGGCGCAGAAAATGAGTCACGTCATGGAACCCAGCTACGAGTTGCCCTTCTTTCTGATCAAACCGATACAGCGGATATGCAAGTATCCGCTTCTTCTGCAGGCACGTCCACTATTCGATGCCAATCTGTCATGATCTGATCCCCTTTTGCAGCAATTGGTGAAAACGACAGATGGCGGCAGTCCGTACTATGGCGAGGTTAAGGAGGGTCTCGAATCGATCAAGCGTGTCACCGACAAGGTCAACGAGACAAAGCGGCAGATGGAGAATGATCTGGCGGTCGTCGAGCTGGGTCGAAGGGTAGAAGACTGGAAAGGGCACGAGATCTCCACCTTTGGCAATTTGCTGCTGGAAGATACATTCATGGTCATCAAGAACGAAGCGGAGCGGGAGTATCATGTCTATCTATTCGAGCGCATCATCCTGTGCTGTAAAGAAGCAACGACAGTGGGCAAGAAGAAAGACAAGTCGAATTCGATCCTGAAGAAGCCCCCAGCGAATAAGCGGCGGACAAGTCTGCAGCTCAAAGGTCGCATTTTCATCAACAATGTCATCAGTGCTGTGCCGATGGTCAAAGCTAGTCAGTCGCTTTGACACGCCTTTCGAAAGCCGTGCTAATGTCCGTATTCAGACCAACACTTGCTTCAAGTCACCTGGCGAGGGGACGTTGTCGACGAGCATTTTGCGATACGGTGCAGACAGGAAGAGCAGCTACGTCAATGGGCAAAATCGATCAACAAAGCCGTTGAGGACAGTCTACAACATCGTCGAAGCAGGCATGCCTCTGCGCGTCGTCTGCAATCTCCATACAGTCAGTTCCCAGGCACACCAATGTCAGAAGCGCCACTCGGTAGTGGCGGTCTGCCAGGTACGCCAGGGGAGTATCCGGGCCGTCATCCACAAAGTGCAAGTTATGCAAGCTCCCACGGCTCGACTGTGATGCCACGAGGAACGTACATGGACGGTCACAGCTCCCGCGGCGGCTTCCATGACGACACAGAGGATGACGGCTACTCGGGCGACCAGGAACCAGGCCGGATAACGCCAAGTGGTAGGCGGCAAGGGCCTGCGACACAGTCGATGCCCAATTCTCGTTCGACCGAGCGTGACAGCAAATCCCGCGCAAGAGCGATGACGGATGAATATCAACGCAGGACCACCAACGGCCTACCTTCAGGCGCTCGTACACCGTCAGGCGTTTCTCCGAGACATGAACAGCCGCCATCTAGCCGTGCCAGTGCGGCAGGCAGCGCGAGCGGCAGCACGCGCGGATCTACGCCCTATCAGATCAACGGCTATGGCAAAGCCGATTCGAAGCTTAGTGAATCTGATCTCATCGCCCGCGTTCGATCTCATGAGTCTCAGAGCTCACATAAGCCGAACGGCGTCGTCGCCCACCCTTTCAATCGCACGCGGTCCGGAAGTAACCCATTGACGCCAGAAGATGCGATACATCACAATGGCGACTATCATTATCAAATGAAGCACGCTCCATCTTTGCCGCGCTTGAATCAGGCAGGCGGCCGAGGTCTGACGAATGGACGCGAGCGACCTATAAGCTCAAGCAGTGTTGGCACAGACAGATCCTCTGGCGAATCGGGTCAGCGCAGTCAGCCGTGGACCGCAGCAACCTCGCCCGCGAGCACAGTGCCACCGCATTCAGCCAAAATGCCATCGCATGGCTATACGTCTGGTGCTTCGTCAAGCGGACGACAGTCAGGGTCGCCTCCGACAAGTCAGAGCGTTGCGCAAATCAAGTTCAAGGTCAACTTTGGCGAGGATACCTTTGCAGTGGCAGCGCTATCTACGATCGGGTACCGCGATCTTGCCGACAAAGTGCTCAAGAAGATTTTGCTGTGTGGTGATCGATCTCGTGTCGATGGCAACAACATCCGACTGAAGTACGAGGACGAGGACGAGGATCGGATCTTGCTGAGCGCAGATGAAGATGTACATATTGCTTGCGAGTGGGCGAGAGAGGCCAGTCGACAATCAGGCGAACCGCCCTCCCTGCAAGTCTTCGTCAGCACGGCATAACAACATCGACTTCATCAGAGCGCTCAATGGACATTTGCTAGCCTCTCAAACATGTGTTTGTATTACTAGGCAAATAGGTGTACAGCATGCATTGTGGCTTCCGCGCAGCTATATGACATGCCTCACTGATCTCGCGATATCGAGATCGTCGGGTCTTTGGTGTCCCAATCGAATGCTGGCGCGTAGAAGCGCGCGTCATCTGTCTGACCTTCTTCAAGTGCGAAATCCAGGCTCGCTCCGTTCTGATCAAGCGGGGCCGGCGGTCCTGTCCTGAGCATGCGAGCGAAGAAGACTGGGCTGTGAGGTGCGAGAGCATCGACAAGACTCGCAAACAGTCTTGGCTGACGCTGATGCTGCGGCGGCGCGACAGTATGAGGATGCGGAGTCACCCAGGGCGGCACGGCACTCGAAAGCGACAGCGGCAGGTCGCCAAAGGCAGGCGCGACCAGATCAGGCAGAGGCGTACCATCCGGTGCTTTACTTGCGGGTGCCTTTGGCAGCCAGCCTGTAGTTCTATAGGATTGGCGGTAGAGCGTTGGCGGTATCGAGCCTGTCAAGCTGTCTGCGAGTGGCTCTTGGATCACATTGGCGACTGCTCTCTTGCGCTTGGGGTTTGGTCTGGCGTAGACCGTGCCGACGGATGCGTCGGATGCGAGTGCAGTATACGCATCTGCAAAAGCTTTGAGTGATGAAGGAGGCGAGCGTGCGCGTTTCTTGCTCCGCACAGACGGCAATGTTGCAGGATCGCGTGAGGCCAAGCTGGAATTACGCCAGGAGATCAGACGCTGCCATGGATCGCCATGATGCTCGTTCAGCTCCACTTCACCGGCATCGTCCTCCTCTGGGCCGTCTGCACTGTCGTCTCGTTTCATCGCGCGAGATTGCGTTGCTCCGCCATCGATATTTGTTGCCTTGCTGCGCTCTCTGCCCGGGAAAGGCGGCAGAAAGTCGGGCACGAAGGCGGGCACAGCATCGGGCGAGATCCACATTGAGGCAGCTGGCTCGTCTGATGGCTCTGCTTCGTCTTGTAGCACAAAAGCAGGACTTGACGTCATCTTGACGCGTTGTGCTCGACTGCTGGCTGCTTCGCGAGAGTTGTAGGCTGAGCTGTCAGAGTCAGATTCGTCACTGGACTCATCCTGATGTATGGACGATTGCTTGATGTCCTGTTCCTCCTCGTCTGTCTCGCTCGCTTGGCCCAGCTCACGCAGCTCAGCCTCGGTAAGTGCGCCATAAGTGAGTCTTGCGAGCGGTTTCCGGTGAGGTGCGGCATAGTGCGCTGCAAACAGTGACCTGCGTCAGCGAGCTCGTCTGAATTCGGTGGCCTGCCTACCTGGCACGTAGCTCGCCAAGGCATGAAGAGCATCTTGCGTTGTCTCACAGTTGACTTGTCGGAATGATGTCCAGTAGGTTTCGAGCTCTCTCCGCTCGAGCCCATAGTCTCTCAGCGCAGATCGGACATCTCTGAAGCTGACGGAGGTCTTGCCAGCGTGCTCTGCGTAGGCTTTCGAAGAGTGCAGGACTTGTTCGAGGTACCGAGTTGCGATCTCACAGAGGACAGACACGGCCGACCTGCGCACACTTTGGAAGGGCGCTCGTGCTTCGCTAGCGACGACTTGAGACACGCATAGCTCGAAGATGTCCTTGATCAGCGCTGCATCGTCTGTCATGGATCACACGACTGCCTTGCCCGACCTAGCTACGCACTCGCGACAGTGAGTGCTGCTGAGCCGAGTGGGGCAAGGCTATAATGCGCGGGTCAGCATTGAGCATTAACATTCGCGTTGATTCCAGATCACCTGCAAAGGTCATCGACTCATCAGATTTTCAGACAGTCACTGGTCGCGCCCAATTCAAAACAAAGCTCAAGCGCTCAAGTCCCTCTCGCTGACCCCTGAGTATGACGATTCTCATCCGCAGCTCGATCAATATAGACGGTAGGGTTGAACGCTATGAATTGAGCGCTGTCATCTCATGCAGTCTCCATGGGTCCATCTTCCCTCAGAGGTCTTCGAAGTCCCTCAGTGCGTCAGCTTTCCGTCGGTCATCTTTGCTCCCGCTCACGCTCCTTTAGCATCGTCAAATCCGGCGAGACCATTGCATCGATATCATACAAGCGTCTCATAGGCGGAAAAGGCGCGAATGTGGCCGTCGCGGCGGCAGCAGCAGCAGCAGCATCTGCTTCTCCTGAGTCTGTTCGTCGGGGTCTGTAGACCAGCCACATGCGCTCATGAAGATGCCCAGTCTGCCGTAAAACTGGCAGGAAACATTGGGCACGATGGCACTTTCATCCTGCACGAGCTGCGGGAGCGAGGCGTCAATGTGGATGCCGTCAATACGGTCAATGAGCCAACGGGTCGAGCGGTCATTCAGCTTTCTTCAGAAACCAAGGACAATTCTATCGTGCTCCTTCCAGGCGCAAATCATGCAGACCATAATCTCGCTCTGTCTCTGCAAGCCCACACGAACCGTTTCCTCCTCTTGCAGAACGAGATTCCTCTGCAGCAGACACTCGATGCGCTCAATTTCGCTCATAGTCAAAACGCCACAGTCATGTGGAACCCTTCGCCTATGCCGAGCAGATCTGATCTTTTGTCGTTCCCTTTGCACAAGATCAGCTGGCTCGTTGTTAACGAGACAGAGGCCAGCGAGCTCAGTGATCATCTGGGGTTAGTAGAGCTTTCGGATCTCGCGCAGCGCCTGAGCGACGCGGGTTCATCGAGAGGCTTGGTCGTCACGAAAGGCGCAAAGGGCTGCTCGTATGTTTTGCGGGACCACACTGGCGATCTGCCGGCTGGTGTCGCTAAGCAAGCAATCGTCGACACGACAGGCGCCGGCGACTGCTTCACGGTACGCTGACGGCTCCTGGGGTGGGCACGCACTCATCATGACGTACAGGGATATCTCATTGCGCAGCTCGCATGTCACGATGGAGAAATCACAAGAGACGGCATTGTTGAGTGTCTCAAAATCGCGCTGCAAGCCGCCACGATGTGTTGCGAGCGCTACGGTGCACAATCAGTGCCTAAGCGGTCCGAAGTCGTGGAACGCCGGACTGATAAGGACGCGTAAAGGAAGCGACGACGCGCCGAGGGCGACACACGATGTGCCGAGCCGATGTACGCCTTGGATAGGGCGTATAAGTACGACCAGATCGCTTCTACCTGCTCGCACTCCAACAGCAATCGACTAGCGCGAAAATCTACTTCAGTCTGTCTTTACGAGCTATTCACGCAAGTCTAGTCACGCATACTTGATATCGAACGATCGTCTCCCGCTCGCATCCGCCTCATCGATAGCATCCTCAGGCTCGGCAAAATCTTCCTCAGCAGCATCGAGGTGACTTCGGCTCGGAACAGGCGTCATGCGATCTCAGCTTGCTTCTCTCGTTCTTCTTGCCGTCGTGATCTGTTCAGCTCAGCCTATTCGATCTGAATTAGCCTCAAGCAAGGTTCGCCCCTGACTTCATCTTGCGGCCAAGCTGATGTACCCGCAGGCAAAGAGCATCGATCACGCTTGTCAGCACGGCGGAGGCGGTGGCGGCGGCTTCCTGGGCGCTGGTGGCGGTGGTACACACCGTCAGTCCTCGGATCTGCAATCTTAGCAAACTCTGGCTGATTCGATGACTTTGCAGACAATTGCACGATGATGCCGAGCATGACGCCAAGCGCAACGGTCACTCTGCACGAAGCCGCCATTGATCCTTCTATGACTCCTGCGTCTACGTCTAAGCCCATGCACAAGCCCACGCACAAGCCTACGCCCAAGCCTGTCCATGCTGCCGTACACGCCGAGCAAGCCAAGCAGAAGCCCTGTGATACGTGAGTAAATCTGTCATGCTTGACATCGCGACGCTGATTGCGACGAGACATACGTGTAGCAAGAGCAAGATGCCCACAAAGCATATTGCTGCCGTACATCGCAAGCCTACCTCGCGTCCTCATCGCTCGCATACTGCTGCTCTCAAGATCAAGGCTATTGCTGCTTCTCGAACATCGCACTGTCCTACAGCCCGTGTCGTACATCATCATCACTACCACTCTGTGCCTCGTGCGATGGCTCACAAGCCTACACACAAGGCAAAGGTCAAGGCCGTCGAGCAGGTCCAACCGCGCCAGCCCACGCACGTCAGCAGTCCTCTTGTCACGAAGCCTCAGCAAGTCGATGCAGAGCAGGTCAAGCCCCGCGAACCTACGCAGACCAACAAGCCTACTATCAATGCTGTCGCTCCGCCAGAAGATCCTAAGAAGTGTATTGCTGGCAAACGCATTGGCGGAGGCGGCGGCGCCCCTGGCGCTGGCGGTGGCGGCGGACATGGTAAATGGTCTGCAACGACCCTGACGGTGCTTACATGTGGTATATAGACTCGTGCACAGAAGACAAGAAGATGGAGCGCGAGAATAGCCATAGGCGAGCGCGTAGGTCTCTATTCTTGTGGCTTGTGCTTTGCTGATACTTTAGCAGAGCATTCGAAGAGAGCCAGTCATGGTCTTGCAAGCGGCTTAGGCAACGCACAGCAAGGTCTACAGAATGGGCTGGCCTAGCTCTGATATGACTCTGCTTTCGACAAGTATGGACTCGCTGTTGTACACACGCGCCTTCAGCTTCCAGTAGATAGACGAGGACCCAGAGAACGTGATGAACATGGATTCTGCACCGAGTACATCCAACTCATGGCGGCGCTAGTGCTCGCCGTGCAATGGACGCTAGACCAGCTGAACGCTCTGTCTCATTATGATGAGCCAGGGGTTCTCGAACAGCGACTGAGCCTACCAGAGATGGATGTGATCCGGCAATGGGATATCGACACCGTTGACGTTGAGATAGTAGGCGTCAGAGAATTCTGGACCGACCGCCTTCAACGTGAACTGCGCCACGTTATGTCAGCTCAGATCTCGCGAAAAGACAGCGGCACGGACATTGAAGGTCGAGCCATCTTGGCGGGTAAAGCCGAGACCGATGACAGCGCTCGAATTGGCAGCAAAGAGCTGAATGCCGCCAGAGAAACCTTTGATAAAGTGCTCAAAGCCACCTGCACCAACGCCGACACGTGCAGACCCAGGCGGATCAGCAGCTCGCTAGTCCTTTGCAAAGGTGAGACTTATCAAAGTAGCCATCATGCCACGAGATACCGCCGCCGCCGCTGGCCTCCGTGCCTGCACTGAAAGCATCAGTCAAAGATGTCGTCTGGCCCGGTCAGACGGACCAAACGCTGGGATGGGGACGCCCTGGACAAGCTATGAATGAGCAGCATGCGACAGCTGAGAGGAAATGACGCACTTTGACGACAAAGTCGGCCGATCCAGAGCCATCAGGACGAATATGTTTGTCCGTCGAAATTGATGGCTCTCTGACTTGACCCAGAACGCTAGAGGCCGCAAGGACGGTGGCGAGAGCGCTTGCGATCAATCTCATATTTGGCTTCTTGTTGACCTTTGCTTGTCAAAGATACTTGCAAAGGCTAGAACAGTAGAGAGGCGATGTAGCCTCTCAACGGTAACGGCTCGACAGAGCTTGTCTGTGACATGTTTCATCGCCTCATCCGAAACGGATCGGTCCTCCGTCCCACTGCGTCGCACCATGAGGCGTAGCAACGGCTTTGTGTCTACTACTCACGATGCCTGGTTGCTGAGCATTGAAGTGGCGAGGATGGATATGAGTAGCACGGGTCTGCTCCGTCAATGCTTGCATGTTGTTCTCGCTCATCATCGCACGGGCCTCATCATGGCGCGCGCTCGTTGCTTGCCGACACTGATCGCGCAGACCGGTGATGAGCTGTGCAAGACTGTTGTAGAATTGTAGGCCTTCCGACAGATTGTGCACGATCTCTTTGTACTTGGCATGAGCCACATCGAGCCATTGCAGCGTTTCCTGCCGTGCTTGCGTAGAAGGATCTGATCGACGTGCATCGAGGAAGCGGTCATTGAGGCCAACGACGGTCTCGAGCACGCTACCCTGCTGTCGCGCACACTCTTGTAGGCGATTGTCATACGTCGCGTACTTGGCCAGTCGCGAGTCAAAGAGATCCTCGAATTGTGCTGGCTCGACAGACACCTTTGCAGAAGACAACGATTGCTGCAGAATGGCAGGTCTGATATCGTCCAGCTGAAGAGTACGTTGAGCTTCACGCAGGATAGCTTGTCGTTCCTGATTTAGATCGTCGAGTTGCTCCAACTTGGCGCGGATCTCGCGAATGACGCTCGTCTGAGCAGGCGAAGCGCGCAGATTGGAACGAGCAGATGGCACTCGACTCTCTAGCTCATCTTCGGGTCCTGCCAGAATACTGATGGGCTCCTCCCATTCCTGATACTTCTCTCGTACGACCTTGTCGCTAGCAGCAGCAGCCTTGAGCGTCTCCAAATACTTTTTTGCGGTGTCGTATAGGACTTGCTGAGCTTCTTCTGAGGTAGGTCGAGGCCAATGATCTGAGCCATATCGCGCCCTCAGCTCATCGTCCTCCGTCTTGTCGCCATCCAGAATATCTTCCGCCTATTCAGATCGACTTAGCCAAACCAAGCGGGAGACTGGACAGCTTCGTACCTCTTCCATCAGGAGGGCATTGCTCTGTGCGATGCGGCGGACATCCTGCAGCATCGATCTGAGCTTTGACGTCGCTCTTTCGGATCGGAGCTCTTGTGCCTTGCGCAGTAGCGAAGGCGGCAATCCGACTTGCGACTCGAGCGCTTCGATCGCACCGGGCAAATTGAGTGTTTGTAGACGCATACTGGCGTGTTGGTCGAGCTCGTCAATGCGAGCTGTCAGATCATGCTCGATAAGATTCCGCTTGCGATCGTCGTAGAGGCTGATCGCGAGATGCACGCCATACGGAATTAATGTCTCGAAGAGGACGCGAGCTGGCGGTGTTCGCTTGGCCTGAAGATACTCTATGGGTCGCTGTACGAAGTCGGGAACTAATGGCTTGACAAGAGACGCAGGCTCGATCTTGACCAGGGTCGAGACAGTTCTGACGGGCTCGAGATAGATGAGGTCGTTATCTTTGACAGCCCGGGTAAGATTATCTTGCACGATGTTCTGCAGCCCTTGCAAGTCGTATTGCGAGGCGCTGCCTTTCTGGACGATCGCAAGCGCTTCTTTAATTGCCGTTTGAGCGATTTGCAGACGACCGATTTCTGAGCCATATCGCGCTGCTGCCAGATCGTCGCAGCTTTGCCGATACTGTGAAGCAGCAGCAAAGTGCTGTCTCTTGACCAGTAGATGATGCTTCCATGCCTGTGATTGATCACTGCTCAGTCCTAGCTGTGGGTACTGGCCAGTTGCCGCTTACCGTAGGAATGGCGAAGCTGGACCATTGCGTGGCAGAGAGGGCTGCATTGGCTGCAGCAGAAGCTGCCAAGGCACGCGCGTAGAACTCCGACGCCTGCATTGATATCTTTGCGATTGTGCCGTCTTTCTTTCGTGCTGCATTCGACATCAGTCAAGCCTAGCCATTTTTGTAGAGAGATCGCGTACCCATGACAGCCTGCTGCCATGCACATTCTTGCGCCTGTGCCAGACACAAGGCCGAAAGCATCTCGAGCACATTGCAATCCAAGTCAGGACTGAACACATCGTTGCGGAGCTCGCGTAGATATTCAAATACGCCGGCAGCATGTTGAAAGCTTTGCGCTGCGCGTCTGATGCCGTCTAGCGTGGACCGATCTGCTTCGTATGCCAAATCTGCATATGTTACCGCGAGATTGAAGAGGACGCAAGCTTTCTCATAGGCCAAGTTGTGTGAAGTAATGGGTCTCCCTTTAGTAGGCATCGTGCCTGGCAGGAACGCGCCGGGCGCTGTCGTGTCGTTGTGACCTGTGAAGAGCGAATACCACGAGAAATCGATGGCCATGTCGTCTGGAAACTTGATGGACAGATGTTCGAGCTGCGTGTAATAGCTACTAGCTCATAAGAACCCGCAATGATGCAGAGAGCAGAGACGAACGCTGCTATTTCGTCGATAGAAGAAGCGCGTGCCACGCTGTATGTTGCAGACTCGGCCGGAGGGACGATGATAGCTTCTCTGAGCTTCGCAAGCGCTTCTGCATCATCCCGCCAGTTGTCTGGGTGCGCATCCGGGTCGGCAAACGTCGTCTCGAGAACTCGAAGCAGCTCGCTCGCGAGGTCGATCTGTGTCCTCTTGAGCGACTAGCTCGAAGACAGAGGGGCAAACGAACCATGAGCGCTGGCTTGTAGGGAATCGGAAGCATGTTTGAGCCCATGGCAGCTCGCTGGAAGTCAGGCCAAGTCGACGACAGCGACGCGCTCTTTTCCACTTTCCGGTGACATCACCACACAGATCTGCCTCGACTCTTGTCACGCAGTCATGGACAAGCTCGACTTGGCTGATCTGCCCCCGCGAGTGGTGCGAGCAGCGGCAAAGCTTGGCCACTTTGGTCAAGCGCGAACAGACAAGTACCTCGTCGACTTTCATCAGCCGTCACTCTACATTGCGCTCGCTTCAATCTTGTTTAATCCCATCTTTTGGAACATCATTGCTCGACAAGGTCAGCACAGTGCTTGGTCAGAGCTTCTATGGAGCCGCTGAACCTGCAGTGTTCTGACAGAATACAAGAACAAGGTCTTGACGAGGCTCTTTGGCGATCCTTACCGTGGCTGCTATGCCCTTGCGCTCACCATCTTCGGTCTGGGCCTCTTCCGAGATGGCTTGTCAGCTTCAGTGCTCGCTTCAGCTCTCAAAACACTGACGTTGCGAAATGATTTGCACAGGTATCAAAAAGCGCTCCTAGATCAGCCAACGAGCCTCTTACTTGCTTATGGCGAATTCAAGATCATCGCCGTCTTGCTCATGTTGTCCGGTACCGTGCTCGTCCTCACTTCCATGTACGCTCTCGGCGTGACCGGCACGTACCTTGGCGACTACTTTGGCATCCTCATGGATGTCAGTCCTTATTGCAGCGGCACGTCTTTACGCGTACTGATGCCCTTGTAGGCGCCCGTCACCGGCTTTCCCTTCAGTGTGACATCCAGCCCAATGTATACTGGCTCCAGTCTGGTCTTCCTCGGCACCGCGCTCTGGTGAGCTCGCCGAAGTGTACAACACGTGCGCTGATACTTTGACGATAGGCACGAGAGTCCAGTCGGCATCGTCCTATCTGCGATCGTCTACATAGAGTACAAAGTCGCTCTGACATACGAAGAGTGAGCCTGTTTCGCCTCGTCTTGACAGTTCTCATGCGCCAGACAGCCCGTTCACGAGCGAGATCTACGCGAAACGCGATGCAGCACCTAGACGATCACAGCGATTGCTGACAAGCTGACGAGGGCGACAGGAACAGTCATGATACCCCGAGAATTCAAACATAATGCAATACCCTTGGCATTGGATGCTTTTGTATGAGGTGATCGCCCCCGAGGGACGTCTATTTGCGTACCTGAGCTAGCCAAGCACTGGCATACATATTGACCCGATCGACCGGTTCCTGACCGCCGATGATGCGATCAGACATTCGAGTACAGACAAAGCCTTCGCGCTCAAAGACTTGTCTGTACCATGGGTCCCGTCCGGCGCTTCGCCAGTACACTTTGCCGTCCGCTTTCAGCACTCGCTTGAGCGCTTTCACGCTCGCCAGGAGCTGGCATGGTTCACGCGTGCGAGACGTCAAGCTCTGAGCGATCGTTGCGCCCATATAGACTTTGCGCTTCTCTCCCTCTGCCGCTTCGGCCGAGCCTGGAATATCTTCAAGGTTCGGGGTATACCAGTCCTACAAGACAAAAGCAGATCAGCTCATGTCTCGTAGCTACTTAGTTGCGATGACTTGCCATGTGATCCATGAGGATGCAGACAGAAAGCGAAGCCGGTTCGAGCTGCTTCAGCACGTTGATGATCGAATCGGTATGCAGCCTGAACGTATCCAGCGCTTTGGCAGAGTCTCTCTTGAGTTCCTTGAAGCCCTCTTTGCTAAGATAGAGCGGCGGATTGAGCTCGTTGTACTTTTGCATGAGACAGAGATAGTAATGATAGTTCTCAGACTTGACGTGCGTCTTGCGCGCAACGGGATCGAGCGTATCAGCCGCAAATTGGGCCGTCGTCGTCTCGCGCAAGTAGCACTGAGCTTGATTGATAGGAACACCCAAGGCGCGCCATTGGAAAACAGGGGAGTTCAGACAGGCCTTGACGATTGAATTGCCGAGTAAGGCCGGTCTGAGCTTTGTTTCCCAGATATCGCGCTGTCCGGCTAGCGTGTCGGCATTACAGAAGCGTTCGACGGAACCAGAGAGGCCACGAAGCTTGAAAGCGTATTTGCCCAGGCGCAGAGCATGGCCCGCGTAGCCTTGCATGTACAGCGACTGGTCAAAGTAGTCATTGTGCAGCCGCCAGAATTGATAAGCGTGGGAAGACAGCAGAGGAGAAAGACGCGTATCGAGCACTTCGCGGAAGTTTTCGAACTTGCCATCTCCAAACATTTGCCAGAATTCCTCATAGGACAGCGCACAGATTGCTGCCAGCTTTAGCTCGAGCAAGTGACCTACTGGCGCATGAGTGCTAGTCAGCATTCAGACGAGCGACGGACCTTGACAGGGATTCATGTCAACACAGTGGATCCGGCGAGGCTTGCCAGCAATCGCGTAGTGCAGCGCATTGTCACCCGCTGATGTCACGCACATGACGGTATCGTTGCTGTTGATGTCGAGATGCTGCATGTCGACTGCAGGATCTTCCCATGTGAAGCTGTAGCTGTACGGAGGGGATCCATAAGCGGATGCCGTGGCCCACATCCTGAGACTTACATGAAGGTCTTCAATTCATTGTGGATCGGCATGTGGAGGTAAGGCAGTCGCCAAGTCTTTGTGAGCTGGTAGTGGCATGAAGAATACGGCACGCCCGCGCCAATATCGACAATGACGGTCTGCGACGTTACCGATGCAGACCGCTTGAGAGACGACGTCGACAGCTCCATCGCAGACTGTCCAAGCGAAAAGTCTTCTCCGTCATAGTCGTTCGATCTGACTGCGATGATGACGGGCGACGAAGCAGCCGAGACGGTGTTGCCACTTTCGACTTCGAACGCTTGAATAGTGCGCGAGGTATCGCGGTTAGCTTTACAACCAAGCCAGACGTAGTACGGAATTGCGCAGAACGGAATGAACACGGGGAAGCGGTTTCGACCGTTGAGCGACTTGAGTGTGCCGAAGCGATACTCGAGATAGTCACGACGTAGCGGATTAAGATCCACGTGATCAAAGGAGAACCTGTTGCACGTTCAGTGAGGCCTCCGAGGGATCCGAAAGACGTACCAGTTGAGCCAGAAGAGACGACTGAGGAGACCGACCTGGCGGCCAGTGTCGCCAACAGCCTGCACTTGAGGACGATTCTCGTCACGCGCAGAGACGTAAAAGTCACAGACCGAGAAGAGGCCATCGGCATGCAGGAATCGTTCGACGCGGTCCAAGACAGCATAGAAATTGGGGATCATGCTGAGCGAATAAGACATGCTGACATAGTCGAGCGAGCCGATGGGGTCGTTACCGTGCGACTGCCAGTCAGGCAGTGAGAAAGCCGTCGCATCTTGACAGTGCACATGGACATTCTTCCAGCCACGTCGTTCGAAACGCTTGCGCGCGACTTCGAGCAGAGGCCTACGGCAATGTCAGCTCAAGTACGATGCGAGAAGGGCGCGACTTGCTCGCATAGATCGATGAGATGGACAGCATCAAACTCATGAATAGGCATGTACTTGTCCATTTCCTCAATGTTCCAGCCTGTACGAAGTATGAGAAGCGCTTTGGGATTGCGGTCAAGTGAAGGCCAGAGAGCGTACCTGTGCCACCGCCGATATCGACCCAGACGAGTCGCTTGCGGGGATGCTGTTTGCGCTGTTCTTTGAGCGAAGCAGCGGCGAGCTTGAGCATCGTGTGACGGCCTCGCAACAGGCCTCCACGCGTAGAATCATAGACTACCGCGCTCTTCAGCGATTCGTAGCGGTATAGCATGGCCCGGCGTACCATCAGCTTGGGATTGGTAGAACTTGTCGAGCCGTTGTTGCTGGTTTGCATGCTTGCCGAGCGGTTGCAGAAAGCAGCTCCATGCAAATCTGAAGAGCGGCTCGAGCTTCCTGCGCGTCGAAAGAGCAAGCGCAAGGACGATGGCGAGACAGACGAGCCAGCCGGAGAAGGTGCTGCTGCCTGTCAAGTTGACAGTGAGAACATGCTTGAGCTTGTTGAAGCTGAGCAAAGCCAGGAGACCGCCCGCGGGGAGCACATAAGTCAGTAGACCAGCCTGTGCAGCCGTCGAGGCAGAGGCAGTCGACGTGTCGAGGCGTGGCGTGTGCTTGCTCGCCATGGCTCTGCTCTCCTCTGCAAGAGTGGCTTGAAAGCTCGTTGCTAGCGCTCAATTCGGGCGGCTTCATTTTGGCGGGCACTAAGAGGTCAAAGAACGTGCACATCGTCGCGACGCGACCGTTGCTGGGCGCTGGGCCGGGGGCAGATGCTCCAAAGGCGAGCCATAAATGAATGCATGTACAGCGTCAGCTGCTCTGATCGGACGACTTGCTCACAGTCGAGGATGGACTGTTCGGGAAAGCCTGCTCGTAGCACGGATCACAGGCGCGCTCCTGCCTTACCACGTCCTCCCCGGGCCGCACGATACCGAACACGTTCGTGGAGCAACGACCGCAGACGACGAGGCCGCAGCTTCGACAGTGATGTCGCCGTCTGAAGAGACCGAATGGCTCGAGGCAGCGTAGGCCTGTAGAGTCAAGTTAGCCAGTCGACGTTGTTAGATGAAGAGGGCGCGTACAGTGATCCGCTTTCGAGTCTTCAAGCCAGATTGGGGGTGAGTGATGCTCCAAGATATGCAGGCGTGGCTTCTGTCGCAGGCCAAGATGGGCCATCGCGTCCGAGAGTAGCTTGTTACCGACGATATGCGTCAAGATGCCACTGCTAACGGGCGCGGCCCTTTCTGTCTTGGCGGCGCGTGCGGTCACTTTGACTTCATCTGAGACCGTCCCCGCCGAGCCGACCCGCTGTTCGGGCTTGGACAGACTTCGTCGAGACGATAGAAGCTCGTTCTGCGCTTCCCTGATTGCACTGACCCAATTGTCGCGTTCAGATGCGCTGGCCGCTTCGACCGCTACGCTCAGTGACACGCTGAAGATCTCGAAACACAGACTTGCAGTGCACGTCACGACGAGAGTGTCCAGATCGAGTGCGAATTGAAGCGTCGAGCCAGGCTGTGGATCGCCAAGAGTCGATCTGAGAGTCGCACAGATGAATACGTCGTTGAACAGATAGAACGACGACTGCGTCCGCTCACGATGTCCAAGTGCGAAGAGTGTGCCCTGCTTGACTAGCCAGCGACCAGGCGTCAAGACGCAATAGACGCCTGCGAGTGCGCGATGCAATTTGACCGCCAAGCGACTGTGTTGTGCCTGACTGACTTGCTGATCGAGGTATTGAGTCACCTCCTCAAGTTGGATGACGGCTTGGACGAGGTTACAGCATTCTGGATCGCTTGTGGGCACGCAATCGAGCAAGTCACGCAGCAGCAGCCGATACCGAGGAACGCGCTGGACGACAGCCAAGAGCATGCTGTCCAATCGAAAGTCCTTGTCGATCGCTCCACTTGCAGAATCTGCAAACGCTCGCCAAGCTTCATTGGTAGCATACTCGCTCTCGAGTCGCTCAAGACCGAGATCGAAGCCTCGCACGAACGAAGCGTAGCACTTGAAATAGGGCAATACCCGAATGATCGCTCGACCAAAGTCATTTCGCTGTGCTGTAGGTAGTGTGGATTCGTCTAGACAAGCCAAGAATGCATGCGCCAGTCCGCGTATTTCGTCGAAGCTGCTCGAGAAGATCTGAAGTAGAGCTTTACGAGGCAAAAGCTTGTCCGACTCGGGACGGGACGAGGCCAGATCGTCAAGCAAAGGCTGGTAGAAGTGCGTGTGTATCGCGTCAAGCAAGGCGCAATACCGTCGTTCGGTTGCCACAAGCTCATTGATGATGTGCATACGCTTCGTCACTCGTCTTTGCCGTGTTCGCACAGTGGCTGGCGGCTCTGCTCGAGACTGGCCCAGTGCGGCGGGTTGTGGCGACTGCTCGAGAGAATCGTCAAATTCGAAAGTCTTGGACAGCGCCCAGGAGCTCGAAAGCGGCCTCTTACACGCAGACTGATGGATGGCAGTCGAGATGGACCTATTCTCTCGCTTGAGTTGGGGCCGATGAGGCCTTCGTCGAGGCGTGCTTGGCTCATCTGTCGCGCTCGAGCTTGCACTAGCGATACTGACCCTATGACTCTGCGCTCTGGCTAGTCTGCTAGGGCTGATCAGCGCTGCCAGATGGCGAGACGAAGCGTTGCGAGAGCTGAGCAGACATTTGCCCTTGGTCGGCGTCTCCGGGAGGACGCTAGATGCAGGCGAGATGAGATCATCAAAAGCTGGGGTGAAGCTATGCATCGAGGCTGGCGTTGTCGGACTCGTCGACTCCGCTGATGACCCCACAGATGATATTGGCCGGATGAGCGCTGGCAAATGATGGCCTTTCTTCTCTCCCTGCGCTCCGTCAAGCGCCATGGCTGCTCGGATCTGTGCCATCGTCCCCTGAAGTCTTTAGCGGACCGTGTACACTTCTGAGTTGAGGCGTCGCGGCGGCAATCAAGTCAAGCAGTGGATGACCAAGCTGACGCTCATAGTGCCGTGATCCAGTCGTGTGCCGGAGAGAGGGGTGAGCGAAGAAGAGCCGAAGGCAACGACGGAAGGCGCACGGTCCCTCGGCACAAGCGGATGATGCATTGGTCTTCAATTAGCAATATATCGCCCGCTCTGGGTAGCAGTCTGTAATTCGACAAATGGGATGTGTTGACCGTCTGAAGAGGCATTGAGTGTAAGACCGCTGATGAGTCGATTGCTCATGCGCCACCGGACAGCGACAGGAGTTGGCGTGCTCTGACTGTCGACGATGAATCGCGCAAGGATCTTTTGAGTCTTTGCGTTGCTAGATAGATCAAGCTGCTCAAGATCCCACTTCATCCTCTTCTTGTCTGCTGCCCATACGCCCGAAGGCTTTGACTGCGCGCTCGATACAGCTGTCGAGGAAATGGTCACAATGAGTGAGACGTCTTCGAGCTTGTCGGCCGTATCTTCAAAGGGCGAGCTGATGAGTCTGCAGTCTGCATTGGGCTTGTAGCTGAGAATCAGAGAAGTCTGGAGCGGCTCGAGCTTCCAGAGCGGCGTGACATCGAGCGGAACATAGTCGTTCCACTCGCTTTGGTTCACTTTGAGCTGATACTTGAGCACGACGACAGGCAAGCGTGAACTACTGGCACTGCGTAGAGTATCTGTGTCGAGTACATATGCGCTGGGCGCAACTGGATTTAGATAGCTCGAGTGAGGAACGAGCTGGTCGAACGCATGCGCCGTATCGATGCGCAGCTCGACAGGCGTGATCGATTGCGAGGCATCATCTGCTAGGGCGACCTCGCCTGTCACCATAACACGCTGTATCTGACCACCCTTGAGTAAGACATTGACAGTCTCGATGATCGACGCGCGTAAGCCTGGCTCGTCACCATCGCCAAATTTGTGTAAAACAGGCGCAGCGACGCTGGCGCTTTGTACAGAGGACGTTGTCGAGAGCATGGACATGGCTCGACCGTTATTGCCTGGGCTGAGGGGTCGGGCAGTCATGCCATTGCTGCTTGGCGAAATTAAAGACGTCGCTGCAACCGCACCTGTAGCTGCTACTGCGCCTCCGCCCAAGCCCATAGTGGTAGATGCAGGAAGACCAAAGGTTGGTTCTGGACCGGGTATGGACGGCAAGCGTGATGGTGATGCGGGTTCTTCTGCAATACCGGGGCTAGCTCGACCACTCAAATCATCGGTGGCCCTTGTTTGACTAGATGTACGTGGATCCCTTCGTCGGGTAGTACGTCGATTGAGATTCGCAGGAGGAGGCCCGACGGCACCGCCGGCCAAAGTCGATTTCATCCGCTCTAGAGCGGCCAGGCGCTCGGTCTCTGCTTCTTGTGCAGGTGCAGGCGTCGGCGCTATGCTGAAGTTGGGCTTCGCAGGCTCTCTGCATCATCTACTGTCAGCACAGGCCCTACGATGAAGACGTACGACGCACACTGAACGGCTGGCAGCTGGCTCATCGTCGTCGTCCATGAGACTAGCGCCGATGGGCTCTTCTTGCCATGGTGCACGATCGAAGCCAGAGGGGGGCACGCTGAAGCCGTCTCTATCGACCTGGGCCGATGTGGGCGACTATGGACAGGATCAGTCAATGCATGCTACCGGGGCAAAAGTGACTCACGCGAGCGGAGGCAGGCGCGGATATATCTTCGCTGATAGGCGAGTGAGGTGTATAATCAGTGTCTGCCCGAGACGACTGACTGGAGCCGAGCGCGAAAGCGGATGACTTGCGCTTGCCGAAGCTCGGTATAAAGCTAGCGCGGTTTGCGCGCTTGGTCTCGCTCGACGCGCCGGGTGTGGAGTCTGTTGGCGGTGCTAGACCAGGAGAAGCTGCTTGCGCCCGCTGTGGCGTGATTGTGTCTGGACCGGCGCTCGATCCTCGCTGCATGTTGTCATATTGACTACCATGAGACAGGGATCGATTGCGCGTGAGCCCTGGCTTGAGTCTCGACGTGAGAGAGCCAAGCAAGCCGCTTGCGCCGCGATTCGACCTCAGTGATTGCGTGTCAGCATCTGAGAAGCGAGAGAGAGTCAGATGTAGCAAGCCAGCAAAGATGGTACTCACTGGATGCAGAGTCTGCGCGAAGACTGGAGGCGACGTTTGACGCGCTTGGTGTATCGTTTGGCTCTGCGATCTGTGACGGCGCTTCTGCGACATTGACAGAAGGCGTCTCGACGAGGTCGGGCACAGTCTGCAGATGCTTTGACTCTACGCGAGCGTAACGGGCCATATCGATCTCGACCTCATAGGCAAGTACCTGAACGAGACCTCGTTCTGCAGTCTCCATTCGGTCGCGGCCGTAATCATTCTGCATGGTTTCATATTTTGCCAAGGATTCCTTGATCGATTCGAGACGAGCTTGATCATACTTCTCGAACGTCTTGAAGAGCCTCGGCGACTGATTGAGCCACTGGGCCTGGGCTCTTTTGAGATCGCTGCGCGTATGGAGGATCTTTGCCTCTCTCTCCTGCCTATTCTTGGCAGTCGCAGTGCTAGCTCGTCCTGTCGCCTTGCTGACTGCACCCTCGCAGCTCTCCAGGTCTTTCGCAAGGGAGGTATAGTCTATCTCTAGTCCTTTGAGGTCCTGGTCACCGTATCTCGACCGTTCCCGCAGAGGCGCAACGATCTCGCTCCCCATCCGGTCTGCCAAGAGCTCATGCTTGGCAATAAGTTCATCCAACTCTTTCTCCAGTCTCGCCTTGATCTTGTCCAGCCCTCCTCCGAGGTCGAGCTCATAGGAATCCGGAACGATGGACTTGCGGGCGAGCTTGGTGAGTCCTTTGGCATAGGCTTGTTCTATCTGTGCCCTCTCCTCGAAGAAGTCTGCAAGCGACTGTCCGATGAGCTGAGACCGCTTCAGCCGGCTGGACAAGCTAGGCACGACAGCAGTCGGGCGCTTGGTCTGCCAATCATCTCTACGGATTTAGCTTCATGATCCACTGGAAGCATTTGCGTAGCTGCACTTGCCGACAAAGCTTGCGTGTATAGCGTGATGTTGCCATTCGCACTTGGCGCTGCAGCCAAGGATGTCATCCTGCGCAGTGGTGACCCCTGTACGTGTTGTCGTCACTCGAGAGCACAAGCGTGCATGTGCCGGGGAGGCGTTTCTCAATTCGATCGGCTACGCGCAGATCATCGACGGCTGCGGGCTAGACCAAACAAAGCGTGCATTCACTCTGATTTGACATGTGTGGGCGTCGCAGGCAGGTAGCGCGAGCGAGCGCCGGTCTGCTTGAGCAATGGCACCAAGTCGTCTGCGTTTGCCAAAGCTTCCCGAAGCTTGACGATGGCGCGTGACCGGGCGAGCAGAGCAGCTCTGATCGGGTTACCCTGAGCCGCCTGACCACTTGCTTCGGGTAGCCATACACCCGAGAGGACGACCCAGCTCGTCGTTAGTCGCTTGAAGTGCGCATAGTTGTCATCGATCATGGCAACGTGGAAATGGGCGAAAGCCCAGACGAGGCCAAAAGAGAGTACGGCGCCGACTTTGGAAGGTAGCCAGATTGACCAAATGAGGAGGAATAGGACTGGATAGCTGACGAGCAGCATGATCATACATATCAGTACCTTGTTCTGCGCGAAAGACTCTTCTTCCTTGCTGTTGATGTACTTCAGAGTAAGCTTGCCCGCTGTGTAAACCGGCAGATGGAATATTAATGGCGGGATGAAGAAGGGCAGCCTGACAAGACTGGCGAGAGTAGATCCTACGAGCTGAGTGAGTGCAGCAACTCGAGTGGGCGTATCGATAGGCCGGGTGGGATCGAGGGATGACGGTAAGCCGTAGTCCGCCAGCTGGTTGTGCGAAAGTCCCGCCTTCTTCAGTGCGGCATCGTAGTCGACGAGGATCTGCTTCAGCTCGCTTGTCTTAGCGGCTGCTTTCGGCGCAGATAGGAAATCGATGAGGGCCTGCGAAACGCGCTGATACTGCCGAAGCGGCAGATCGGCTTCTGCCGGATAGAGCAGGTATCTTGCACCTTTCGCTGCGTTCATGATATCCCTGTATAAGGATCAGCAAGAGGCATGACTCATTAACCTCGCTCACCAGTCGGGCGCATTGACGGTAAGCGAACGCAGGGAACCCTGCAGCCTGTCCGTCAGACGCTTGACTGTCGGTTTCGGATCCTTGAGAAAGTCGTCAATGTAGGGTTCGACGTCTATGGTCTCTCCGAATCTGCGTATGCGTCAGTCTGAAGCTGCGACGGGCAAAGTCGCGACGGACTGCATGATCACGCGACTGCGATATTTCGACTTGTCTGTATAGTTGATGCCGGCAACAGCAATCTTGGGATGCTTGATGCCTCCGATTGTCGTGCCATGGGAGTCCTTCGACCCTTGATCGCGCAGATTCTTGGCATATTCGAGAGCGACCTGCGCGCTGTCTGAGACTCTGCTCGACGAGCTTTCGTTCGTGAGACTTACCCAACTCGCGCCATCCTTGATCGCTCTGATCTGAGGCTCTGTATAGGATGTTCCCTCGGGAAAGATGGAGACGCATTCGTTGAGCTTGAGAACATCAAAAGTGCCCGCAAAGAGGAGCTGATTGTTCTTGTTCTTTCTGTCTACGGGTATGTTGCCGGCATCATACAGTATCGCTGCGCCCACCTTGTTCTTGAAGAGCGAGTCCTTGGCCCAGCTGCGCCCTCGTGATCAGCTAGCTGCAGGCCAGCCAAGCACGACATAGAGCGTACTAATGCATCCGGCGACCGTGCGGGAAGAGCACCGACAGGACAGCAGGGTCGACAGTCATGTTCCAGTGGTTAGTACAGACGATCAAGCCATCGTCCGTTGGCACATTCTCCTCGCCCATGGTGACGGACTCGCTGAAGAAGCTCGTGACCGACCATTGAGCGAGTTGCAAGATGATCGAGTGCGTAGGCCCGAAAGGCATCTCGTGATTGGCGAAGTGCTACAGCACTTCCCCTGGCTCAGTGCAAGTCTCTGAGCCTCGTCGCTGGCACTGGATGGGCGGCTCAAGCTCGAGTCGCCTATCGTTCCTTTTGGCGCGCGTCGGCTCGAGCTTGGCGGCTTGACGACTCCGAGTGGCTCTGACGATGTCGTCGCCCATCGTGGAGCTGTCGCGGATCGTGCAATTCAGTGCAGCGCATCGATTGTACGAGCCAGCATGGTCCAAAGAACAGAATCTGCGTCACTTTGGCGACTGCTCTCGCCTACACGGTCACAATTACAAGCTCAAAGTAATGCTTGGCGCATCCATTCTTGACAGCGCTGACGAGGCAGCGCTAGGTCACGGTGAGGGGCTGCATCCAAGCTGACGGGATGGTCATCAATCTGCGCGAGCTCAAGGAGATCCTACACGAGGAAATCACGCTCGTTTACGATCACAAGAACATTGCAAGCCTGGCCATACTGCATTCGATCGCTTGCTGAGCGCTGAGACGCAGGACGAGGACGTCGAGCAGTTCCGTGTCCGCGATTCAGTCAAGTTGCAAAGCTCGGCGGAGTGGCTAGCCGTTCAGATGTACGACGTGTTGAACGCGCGTCTCGACGAGGCCAATAAGAAGGCCGACCGGATCGATGGCCCGCCCAAAGTCGTCGAGGTCGAGCTCTATGAGACTGAAAATAATATCGCCCGCTTCACAGGCGGATAGACTCTCGCCGTGTCAGCTAACATCGATTTGACGCCAGACATGCGAGCAAAACGACTGAAAGAGCTGTCGATCGAGTCCATACTGCCAGGTGGAGCTCACGACGACGTCGTCACCTCTTTGCGCGAGCTCAAGCAGGACGCGCATGATGACAACGTCGCTCGGTTGCGCTTCGTTGCGCTCAGCTGCTCGCCGGGCTGCTCTTGTCCAACTGGGCTGCGATGCAGCAACAAGTATCGCATTGTCGCTGGATTCGACCTGAAGCGATAGTGCAAGCAAATGCTCAAGCAAAGCATCTCTGACAGTGGGCAGTTTCAGGCCGGCTCGACAGACGCGACCGACCGTATTGGGCAGCGGCAGCAGGTGCTTGCTGGCCAAATTCGCACTGCGTGCTATGGTCTAACGCTCGTTGTCCATAAGCTCCAAGACCAGTCACAAAGAGGATACGTACGTCCGGCAAACGATCGCCCTGTAGAGACCATGCGAGAAGCCAGCGCTTCGTGCGACTCTGCGTAGACTCGCATAGAGCATAGTTGTCAATCTGCCTTCAATCTCGTCAGCCCGCACAGCACTATGCAGCCGACTCACGTGATGATGTGCTAGTCTTTTCAGGAGTGGTTCCAAGCTCGACAGGCGGCCGAGCTGAGTTGTGCACCACCTATTTCGCAGCGAGTGAGCGAAGCCTCTGCCTTGACAGAGCGATCGTACCTGATTGCATTGGGCCTCGCTGCACTCTCGTCTATCATACGAGTGACAAAACCTAGCTCCCCACCGGTCGTAATCATGTCACTGTCTGCTCCAGTGCAGATCTGGACGTTGATGCCACTTGAGCAGTAGATCAGGTCGGTTGAGCAGGGGACGCACGCCAGTGGGCAGATCAGCTTTAATGCTCGCAAGTTCTTCTATCTCTGCCCTGGAAGCGTAGTATGGCGGATTGCACATGCTCGCGTCAATTTCGACATCCAGATGTGGCAGAATGTCAACAGAAAGAGACGTGTCGATGAGCGTGATGCGGTCTTGAAGAGCGTTCTGCTCGATATTGCGGCGAGCGATCTTTAGAGAAAAGGCATCAACATCTTTACTCATGCGTTAGCGTTCTGTTGCGCTACTCGTCGCACAGAGACGCACCGGTTGCGAAGATGTGCGCCTTCGGCGAACTGCGCGCAAGCAGCAGAGCGTAGATTGCGGACGCGCCCGTGCCGCTGTAAGGCTGGTGTCAACGAATCATGGCAGCATTCAGCATTGATATGCACTTGCACGTCGAGCAAGAGGAGATTCGCTTTCGGCGAGGGGGGAGAGGCTTCAAGAAGCGCGAGAAGCCATTGCACATAGTCAAGCCTGCGCGATCGTCAGGTCTGCGCGATCTGTATAGCGTCAGATACCTTCCAGGCACCTGTTTGAGAAGTGCTAGGCTGAGCTCAGACTGCGCGCAGCCCAAGAAAGACGAACAGCAGGGCACAAGCGGTCATGGGGCAAGTCGACGATCAGGCCAAAATCTCGTTTGAGTATGGCTTGACTGAGACGTCTGCAAGTTTGGCCGTTCAACGAAGCTCTGAGTCATGTCAGGGAGGCAGCAGAACCTTGAGGCCTCAGGATCTTGAAAATCAATGCTGGCTCGTCTGAGCGAATCAATGTGCAGACTGGGTGTGGTCGATCAGGTATGCATTGCGCATCGTGTAGCTTATACGGACTATGCTCGGAGCTCCGGAACGTCTCGTGCCAGTTCCCGAAAATCGATAGAGGGGTGGCCTTGCATAGCTCGCAGCTCGCGGCCTTTCGTCCGACGTGCGAGCCGCGCGAAGGCCATTCAAGTGAAAAGTGCCAAAGGCCTAGCAGCGAGCTTAGCTAGGAGCACTGTTGCACGAGCGAGCAGCATCTCGACTCAGCTGCGCATTGTCCGACCCACTCCGAATAGAGCGCCTTCACAGACTTTGGTAAGTAGCCATCCCGCCTCGGTCGACTGCCTCTCTTCCGCCAAGCTACCAAGAGCCGATTCGGTCATTCGCCTCTCTACGACACCTGCGGACGAGCTCTTGCGTGTAGTCAGCGATAGCACAGTGGCAGGGACGGGTCACAGCTGGCTTGCGATCACGCGGAGTGATGTGGTCGGGCGACATTGAGATAGGAAACGCTGCGCCCGCCAAAGATCGGCTGCCCATCCCTTGAGCCTTGATCCTCATGGCTGTGACGTCTGCGAGTACAGCAAGCAAATATGCTTATGCCTGCTTTGCTCGGCATGCAGGACGCAGCATACAGCTCGCGGCATGCCAATCCGGTCATAGCATTGAGATCCAAGATAACCTACCGCTCGACCCTCTAGCCGTCTGTGCAGCATCAAGGTTAGTGCTCGACACTCAACTTGTCCGGCCAGTGCACCTTCGGATGCGCCCGCTGGTCCTGCTCGTTCAAGGTGGTCACGCTTCGCGTTGAGCCGGAGCCTGCCACATGGCGCCCAAAGCACACGCTGACTTTGTGTTGTCGCATCGCAGCTAGCACACGATGGCGCCAAGGGGTCAGCCGCAAGCTGCTGCAGCGCCACCCAGGCCAGCTCCGCCAGAGCCAGCACCTAACAAGAAGAAGTCAAAGAAGAACAAGAAGAAGAACGCGGGCGCCAAGTCAGATGCGCTCGAGGCGAGCAACACTGCCGAGCTAGATCCTACGGAGTATGACGAATCGGCGGACTACATGACAGACGAGACTGGCGCACACATGCTCAACGGCGGCGCGAAGTCGGATCTCACGTCTGCTGCTAATCTAGCACTGCTCAACGGTCTGGGCGGCCAGCTGAACAATTTCCATAGCCAGGCAGCAACAGCTGCTGCTATGGCCGCCTCAGTGGGACAAGGCCAGCATCAACAAACCCAGGCGGAACTGCTTGCTACCGCGAATGACCTCTATCGACAGATAGAGAGCGCCGCGGCTGCTGCTTTGGCGGGACATCTCCCTCCCGGCAGCAATGCCAGTGGCAATGAGCGTGCGAGTAATGGCACTGTTACCGAGACTGACGATGCCTACTGGGTCTCTTTGCCATCCCACCTGAGATCTTTCATACGGTCAGCTTTACCCCTCGCAGCAGGCTTATCGGGCGGCCAGCAAGGTGGCAATGCTACCGCAGGCACAGGCGCAAACGGCAATCCCGGACTATCGCTGACGCCAGAGCAAATGGCTCAAGCCGCCGCTCAGCTGGCTCAGGTCGTGCAAAGCGGTCACTGGTCGAATCCGAATGGACCTGCGGCGGGCGCCAAAGGTGTCAATGGGCCAACGACCACGATCCCATTGGGCTCCTTCACTCTGCCGTTGCCGTTACAGGCGCATCCAGACAACGAAAGCGAAGGCATATTCGAGGGCGAGGATGAGGAGGAGTATGACGAGGAGGACGTCTACTTCTCCGAAGACGATCTCGAGCCGACGATTGCACCTCCGAGCAATGGCCCGACAGAAGCTAGTAAGAAGAGCAAGAAGAAGAAAAAGAAGAACAAGTCTGCTCTTCCGTCGCTCGAGCCAATACCTGCCCCGCCGGCTCCCGTGCAGCAGCCCATACCTGCAAGTAGGCGACCGCAACCTCTTGCCGCAAAGTCTGCTGTACCCGTCGTGCCCACTGCGCCTGCTGCGCCAGTCGCGCGCGCGACGGGCAAAGGTAAGGGTACTGGGCTCATCCCGGCACCCACACCACAATCCTTCGAAGCGCCTCGGCAGCCTGTCAAGGCACCAGCGGCAGTCACGAAACAGCCTGCAGCCAATAACACCATGGCTACGAAGCAAAGACTTGCTAACGGCACAGCAACGTCGACTGCAGTCGGCGCGCCAGGAGCCAGTATCGCCGCAGCAACGGGCGGCGAGCGAGAGAAGATACGCGACTTTTGGCTCGGGCTCGGCGAACTCGAGCGCCGATCGCTGGTGAGGGTGGAGAAAGAAGCGGTGCTGCGCAAGATGAAGGAACAACAGCGTCATGGCTGCACTTGCGCAGTCTGCGGTCGTAAGCGGACAGCCATCGAGGAAGAACTCGAAGTTCTCTATGATGCCTACTATGAAGAGCTCGAGCAATATGCACATCATCAAAGACGTTGGGCGTCTTCAGGCGGCACGATAGCACCACCGCCTGGTCCAGGACCCTTTCCAGGCAGTGTTGATTTGGATAGGATCAGGCCGCCGCCAACAGCCGAGCAGCAGCCAAAGGCGGATGCTCTTGCGCTGCGCTCTCGAGGTAGCAAAGGTTATGTGCCGCCTGCGCGAAAGCCGACAGGGAAGACGTCAGATCACGTTCACAGTCCGTCTTGCCCACATCATCATCATCACCATCATCATACTCATGCAGATACGCCCAACACTACAGCCAACCGAGGCAAAGGTACCGCTGCTATTGATCCCTGTGACTACGACGAGGAGGAAGACGAGGAGGATTACGATGATGAGGACGATGAGGAGGACTACGACGACGACGGTGCGTTGGCTTCATGCAGGCTTCAACCGCGTGCTCACTTTGTCTGTAGAGTACGACGATGAGCAGGATCTACCCCTGCCGCCGACTCAGACCGTCGCGCGTACCAACCAGCGTAAATCGGTAGCTCCTCTAACACCACCTCCCAAGAGGTCCGCAAGGACAGCAGGCCAAGATGGAGCACACGGCGATCTTTTCGGCTTCGGCAATAGTCTCACGGTCAAAGAAGGCGGAATACTCAGCGTAGCTGATGATCTCCTCAAGAACGATGGCCAGAAGTTCCTCGAGATGATGGAGTCTCTAGCAGATAAGCGCATTCAGCGCGAGCGCGACGCAGCCGAATCTTTCAGCGCTATGCTCGATGGCGATATGGAAGACGAGTATGACGAAGAAGAGGATGAGGACGAGGAAGACGAGGAGGACTACGACGGTACGTCAGCGGTATTGCTTTAGTATCAAACTGAACCCGATTGTAGACGAGGATGAAGATGATCTCGACGAAGAGGAAGCGACAGACCTCGAAGACGGTGCGATGACTGAGGATCAGCGCATGGAAGAAGGACGTCGGATGTTCCAGATCTTCGCCGCTCGAATGTTCGAGCAACGCGTGCTGCAAGCGTATCGCGAAAAGGTCGCGCAAGAGCGTCAACAACAGCTTCTGCGCGAGCTCGAAGAGGAGGATGCTGCTGCTGCTGAGCGAGAGGCCAAGAAAGCCAAAGATGCTCAGAAGAAGAAGGACAAGAAGAAGTGCGTTGCCTTTCCGATGTAGGCTGCTGTGTCTTACAGTTTCAAACAGGGCGCAGAAGCAGCAGAAAGAAGACGAGAAGCTGCGACGCGATGCGGAGAAGCTGGCAGAAACAGAAGCTGCCAAAGCTGCTGAGCGAAAGCGACAGGAGGATGAGCGCAAACGTGCGGAAGAACAAAGGGCGAAGCGCGAAGCCGAACGCAAGGCAAAAGAGGCAGAAGCCAATCGCAAGGAGGACGAGCGCCGAAAGCGTCTCGAGGAAGAAGCCAAGCGTCGTCGCGAGAAAGAGGACAAAGCCAAAGCCGAGCGTGAAGCAAAGCAGCTCAAAGAAAAGGAGGAGCGCGAAAAGAAGGCTCGAGAGGATGCAGAACGCAAAGCCAAGCTCGAAGCCGAGCGCAAGGAGCGCGAAGAGGTTGCCCGGCTTGCTCAAGAGAAGGAAGAACGCGAGCGGTCTGCACAAAAGGCTGCTGCTGCCGCTGCGGCCGCGGCTGCTGCGGCTACGAAGACTCCTGCTCGGGGGCAGGCTTCGGCGGGTCGCACTTCGTCCAAAGCGACTGCAGCGCAGCCAAAGTCACCTCCCAACACGCGAGCAAACGCGCCCTCCGCTGCCAAGGCAGTGCCTGGCCTTGCCAAGGCGGTTCCGGGACGTGCGCCCAATGCGGCAAAGCCAAGCGGTCAGGCTGCAAACCCAATTGTACCGCCTGCTATTGCCTCTTCATCACCGCCTCGAGCTACGGCGCAGCCTACTGTCCGGACGCCAGGTCCACCCGGCTTTTCAAATAGCGCGATGCGCATGCCGAGTGCTCCTGGACAGCCTCTTAGTAACGATGCGCATTTCGGGCAGAGGGTGCCGGCAGTCTCTGGTCCTCCTGGAGGTTTGTATCAGCCTATCGGCCTGCCACAAGCTGCCCGTACGCCAACCGGACCGCAGACGTCATACATGCTTTCGCCGGGCATACAAGCTGGCAATCCGATCTCGCCGCACACGTCGAGCCGGGCGTTCTCAAGCTCGATGACCAGCATGCCTCCGTCGAGTACGCAAGCAATGAACAGCTTCGGCCTGGCCAGTGGGCCAGCAGGTCCGCCGAGGAATGCGGAGCAAGTGCCGCAACAACCAAGTCAAGCACATCCATACTTTAGCCAGACCACCTCACAGCTCGCCGCGCTAAATCTCGGGTCTCAGCCTGTGAATCGCAAAGTCAGCAATGAGCCAGTCATTGGCGCCATCGGTGGTAGCGAGTCGAAACGAATGCGCAGTGAGAATGGGATCGCTTTCGACCTGCTCGATAGCGAGGCCATTTTGCGGTCAGCCTCACCTCCGCCGATCTTGAATGGAGGCGCCTTGCTAGAAGACCTAGAAGAGCCGCTCGCATCTCCTAGGCGGTCTGGGCCATCTGCCACAAGTGCAGCAGCGCCATTCTACTCCGGCGTCTTTGGCCCTCCGACTTCAACATGGGGCTCGTCTGGCATCAGCGCAAGTCGACCGAATGGTATTGCCCCGGGTCCAAGTGACAGCATCTGGCGAGGTTCAGCACCAACGCCATCTGCGCCAGTGTCCGCGCCTTCGCCGTGGACAGCCCCAGCAGGACCGGTTCAAGCCTCACCGCAGCTCTCTGGTCGCAATGACATTGTCGATCGTGCCCACGCAGCTTACATCCGTCTAGGCGAGATCCTAGGTCAATCAGGTCAATACGTGCTCGCAGGCGACTTGCATCGAGTCTATTCCAACATGTTTGGCGACGTCAGCTCTCTCGACATCCGAGGTTTCGTGGACGCTTGCGTCGCCTCGCGCCATTTTGCATTCCAGCAAGATGGTGTGCGCCTACTGATGGCCTGGAGCTCATAGCATCTTTATTCGACACATTGGACTGCATCTTTGACTCCTGCCAGACGCGCGCGTGTGTGTGTGACGCAAGTTCCGTGGCTGACTTTGCTGTCTGTTCAGGCTAATTGGTAGTCCCAGGCTAATTGGTAGTCCCAGTCGGACGCCGGCTTGCCAGACCGAGGCGTCGGCGGAGGTATCATTCTGCTTCCTCATCCTCGTCATCATCGTCCTCGTCCATGGCAGGCTGTGTCTGCTGGGCCGGAGCGAGCAGACTGGCAGCTTTCTTGCGTTCGTGGCGTCGTTCTGCCTTTAGTCTCTCGTGCGCCGCCTGAGCCGCAGTCTCCTTCGCTCTTTCTGCTGGTCCGCATGCATCCTTCCAGACTGTCAGGACTCTATCGAGTTCTGCGCGCGTTTGCTCCAGTGCTTGACGAAGAGAGGACAGGCCATTGGCTTCTATTGGCGTTGTAATAGAGCTCGCAGCGGTTATATCGGCCGGCAGCGTCACGCCGACTGGCGGGACCAGTTCTAGGGACACCTGGATGGCTGCCACTTTGATGTTCGCGTGCGTGAGCGTTGAAGCTTGTCGGGACAACGCACACCGCTATGATGACACGTCGCAAGCTCGCAGCCAAGTCGGTAAATCACCTGACGGAATCAAGTAATCGACTAGACCAGTCGACGCCCCGCCGCAACGTCAACAGCAAGCGACCAGCAGATCCCATGGCAGACGAGGAGCCAGATCTCTACGGTGATCTATGTACGTCCCTAGCTGGATGTAAGACGTCCTTGTGCTTAAAGATATGTATCAGATGGAGGCGATGATGGATCTGAATTGCCCAACTCGCCAGTCAAGGCGGAACCGACTCCGTCTAGCTCAAAGGCGCCTGCAACCGCTCAGCAAGCCGAAGCGACACCTGTGACATCCACATCATCTGGACACGCGAATGCCTACGGTATCATGCCCAGTTATGCTTCCTTCAATAACATGCCCGCCAAGGTTTCTGCGATCCCTAGTTTCTCATCAGACACGCCTCAAGTTCCTACCTCTGGCCGTGGTGGCTATCAACCCGTCTCAGATGCTCTTCCGCTCTTCCAAGGCTCGAGAAACGACGCGCCCGAGCAAGCTATCCCTGTCCCCGCTTTTCAGGCCTCTAGATCTCAGGACGCTGAGCATACCGATCGTCCGGGGGTTGGAGCGTACGGCTCCGCGCCAATCGTAGGACATACTGATCCACAAGAGTTCGAAGAGGGGTTAGTCGTGCCTTTGCTAGCTTCTGTCTTTCTAGTCTTCCGCGCGTCACCTTAGCTTTCTAGCGACATTGTCGACATTAGCGCAGACTTGCCTTTCCGATAGACTTGCACGATATAGACCACTCGCAGACGATGATCCGCCGGCATGACTAGCTCCACTCGACCCATGACACATCAAAGCTGCATGAAAATAGATGCTAATGCACTTTGCGAAATAGCAAAATGTTTATAGGCGGCTTGAACTGGGAAACTACCGACGGTATGCACATTGCTCGCGAGTATCAGCGTGCATATCTAAGAGACACTGTAGAGGCATTGTGGAGCTACTTTGCGCGGTTCGGCAAGGTTACGCAAAGTCAGATTATGCGCGATCCCAATACTGGCCGGTCAAGAGGCTTTGCCTTCTTATCCTTTGACAACTCCGCTTCCGTGGATGAGGTACTTAGGCAAGACCACTGGCTGGATAACAAGAACGTTCGTCGGGATCTGTAAGATGGAATCGCGCATGGCCTGATCGCTGTTCAGATTGATCCCAAGCGAGCCATTCCGCGACCAGGCGCGCCTCGATCTTCTGCCGGTGTACGTCCGCCGGAGACTCGACCCAACAATCCAGTGCCGAATTCAAATGAAGAGACCAAACTCTTCGTCCGCGGCGTGCCGCAAGGTGCGACGCAACAACACTTTTACGATCACTTTGCAAAGTTCGGACCAATGGAGTCCTGTGTGCTCATGTTCGATCGAACCACTGGTCTCAATCGAGGCTACGGCTTTGTCACGTATGTCGACCCAAGCATCAACGATGACGTTCTACGCGCTGTGCCGCACGAGGTTCTGGGATCTCATGTGCGTTGCATAGTATTCACTCCTCTTGCCGACTGACCAATGGCATGCATAGATCGACGTCAAGCGGTCCATAGCTCGACCACAATCGGGTGCGCAATCCGCCGGTCGCAGCTACAACAATGATCAATTTGGCGGTGGCGGCGGATACAATCAGAGGCCGGGACCACCTGCATCCGGTCCCGCTTACGGCGCAATGCCAGCAATGCCAGTCATGCCGGGAATGCCAGGGATGCTAGGCTCGTCTGGGATGCCCAACCAGTTTGACCCTGTGGCTATGGCGGCCTTCTTTAAGCAAATGGGCTGGGCCAACTTCAATCCGATGATGATGATGGGTGGCATGCCGACTGGTTCAGCGATGCCGAATCAAGGCGGTATGATGCCCGGCATGCCTGGGCAACCTGCCACTGGAGGTCAGTACGGCAATCGCGCGGGCTCAAGCTCGAGCGCAGACAGAGATGTCCGTACTCGCGTCGTCTCCTCTTTGCACATGCGCTGACTGTACCACAGTCGTCGAGTAACGCAGGAGGACCGGAGCGGAGCTCAAGATCTGATCGTAGCTACAAGCCCTATTGATCGTAGCCTTTTGCTCAGAGCCTTCGAGGTGCGAGGTGCAACACGTCATTGAGGACGCGCTCGTCGACGATTTTGAAATTAACGTGTCGACGAATGTGAGCTAAGGTGCGAGAGTGTATGCTCGCCATGCAGCCGGTATCATAGCTGTCTAAGAGGCTGCCTCCAGCTCGCGGTCGTCTGCCGTTGGAATACCACGTTGACAGGTCATCGCAGAGCGCAGAGGTCGGTTTGCAGACAGCGAGCAGTCTTTGAGCTAACGATCGCTCAATTTGGTGCAGGTCCCGGCAATGAGCCCAGCTAGCTAGTCAGAAGCATCTCGAGTGGCCGACACAAGGTCGAAAGTGATCTCATAGCTCGATCGGGGCAGCGCAAAACCGGTTGTCGTCGCTCTGACGCCGGGCAAGATGAATGCTCCTCGAGATGACTTCAGATGCGCATCACAGCCAGACAACGCCAACGAGAGCAGGCCTGACATCTCAGACTTGCCCATGTGTTCGCTCTCTAGTCCGTCGCCTCGTTCACCGGTGAAAAGCCTGCCATCCATCCAATCAGCCCCTTTTGTTGACCCAGTCGTCGGGATTGCCACCGATGCACCCTTTGAGTCGACCATGGACAACACAAGTCAGCCCGGCATTGCCTTAGCACCTTATATGCGCAATCTTCTGAGCGCGGACTTGCTGCCGAGACTCGAGAGGAGCAATTCGACTGCATCGTCGACATCGTCAATCCCGTCAGTCTCACCCGTTCTGCACCCGTCGAGCAACCTGGCGACTTCCTCCGAGTCAACAGATGGACAAACAGCAGCTCATCAAACGGTAATGCCGCATACGCCGCATCGACACGACAGTTCGACCAATCTAACACCTTTGCAAGCCATAGAAGTGCCAATAACGAGATCTGCCCTCGCCCAGCTTGACACGAATGCCAATTCAGCGTTCATGGTTCCTGCTCCGGCGAGTCAAATAGCCCATGCGGCGCTGATACCAACCGACACCCGTGACGCGCTTAGCATTCGAGATCTGCCGGAGCACGATGGTGCTCACGAGGCCGGCACGATCTGGATGGAAGGACTGAGTCCCCTAGAGATCGCGCTTTGCAAGATGGCGAGCCAGCACCAGTGCGTATCTTTGCGGATGCTTATTCGCTCAGCTGATTGTATGCAGTCTGTCTGCATACAATCTCGCAAAACGTCAAGTCGCTCAACGTTCTGTTCAAGCAAGCAATACTACCGTTCAGCATTCCATGAGGAGCTCGCAAATTCAGCAAAGACTACCTGCAGCACCAGCACCAGTCTCTTCTGCTATCAAAATTGAGACTGTACAACGAGAGCTCGCGAGCAGTGCACCTACACCTCCTCCTCTCGACGCTAGTCGAACGCTATACGAAGAGGAGCCCGCAACACAATCGCTCGGCAATCCTTCTCTGCCTGGCAAAGCAGCAGCAAGCATTGCTACGAATATCGTGCCGCCTGTTTCGGTAGCCGCCTGGTCCCTGACTTCGAAGTTATCTGAAGCTGTCACCTCCGTTCTCTGGCCGAGTGTGCAGCCCTCGCGCCCGCATGCGTCCGGCTCAGCGGTGCCGAGCGCATCAAGTCAATCCTCGACCGATGCATACAGCGCCACAATGTCTGCTCGAGACGTGCATCAGCGCGGTAGAAACCAGCCCGTAAAGGCGGTGCATCCGTCTTCCGTCAAGACGAGCCTGACGCATCCTATGAAGTATGTTCTGCAGCGGTTGTTTCCACTGCGCTAATGGCACTTGCGCAGCATTTCGCCTTTGATTCCGCCAGAGACACAAGATTTGCTGTCAAAGCACATCTTTATTTGTCAGGACAGGCCTCTCTCACCACCGGCTTCTCGGCCAACATCGTTCGAAAAGCTAGCTGAGGCGATGCGTACTCAAGCTGGTCGACCCGTCATGCAACCTTACATTGTCGAGACTAGTCTACCGTTGTCCATAGACTTGTGGGACATCACCGGTCCTGAGCCTGCTCTGGCCATCGCGAAGCTCAGATCGGTACCTATGACGCCTTCTCATTCGAATGATCAGATCAGCCGACCGACTTCTGACGTACGAAGCTCGCCTACTGTAGTATCTGACCCGATGAAGATGAAGACGAGCAAGATTGGCAACTTCCTTTTGTCGTCTTGTCCCGGCAAGAAAGTTCGCTTGACGGCGGAGCCAGCAGGCACAAAGCCGAGCGGTCGGTCGGCCATTTGTCGGGATCTTTTTCAGGATCTGCAGCGCGTCAAGCAGGCTGGCGCTCGAGCGCTGATCTGCTGCCTTGACGACGTCGAGCTCGAATTCTTGGGCAATACTTGGCCAGAGTATGCCTCGGCGGCCGGACAGCTGAACCTGGAAGTCATCAGACTACCCATGGCAGAAGGCTTTGCTCCTGCTTCGGTGCAAGAGCTCGATACGAGTCTGGCTTATATCCTGCAAAAGTACTCGCTGCAGGGCTTCAGCGTACTGGCACACTGTCGCGGCGGCGTCGGACGAGCAGGTCTCGTCGCTTGTTGCTGGATGCTAAAGCTCGGCATTGTCAGCACGCAAGGCTTCTTGCCAGGCGAGAGTGAGCAAGACGCAACCATACGCATCCTCTCCAGAGTCATCGATGTCATCCGACGACGTCGCAGGTGAGTCAATTCGCCGATCATGAGCTCAGAAGCTCAGCTTCCTGCGTGTGCACAGTATGAAAGCGATCGAGACGCCTCAGCAAGTCGGCTTTGTGATGGAATACATCAGCTATCTTAGGACAAGCGCCGTACGCAAGACTGCGAACCAGCTCAAGGCAAAATGAAGGCTCCCCATCCGATTGTAGAACCCTCCTCGCAACCCTCGCAAGCTCGCAAAGAATAGTCTGGCAAAGTTTGCAAAGCAACGCAAGACGACTACAACAACATTACGCACTCCCCAAGCCTGTACCACTAACACGCGGTGTCAACTGTCTATCATTGCTCTGCAGAACTCTCGCGCAGCTCTTGCAAGTGCGCTTGAATGGGCCGAGTGGTCCAAAAGTCTTCAGAGCTCCCATTGAGTCGACGAGTGGTCCACCATCTCGCTCGCCTAGCTATCCATTCCTCTTCTCGCTCAGGTTTGGGTAAGCTTTTGACAGACAGACAGAATTTGAAGTTTTCATAGTGCCACGAGCAATCTGGCGTGCCCCCAAGCCGGTAGTAGCCCTTGACTTGTGCTCGTACCGCTGCACGCTGCGTCAGACCTCTGCCAGCGCATGCACCATCGACATACAATGGCAGCTAAACATGCGATCGAAGAGCTTCATACAGCTCGGCATGCCACCTTCCATCGCTACAGATGCCCGCTGCACTTCCATCTCTTCTGCTAGCGCTGCATCAAAGGCACTATCCCGCTGATTCATGGTCAGGAAAGGTGTCCGCAAAGCGAGCCTGCCAGGCAATCTCTAACGAGCCCGATTCGAATCGAGAATCGGACGCGCCGATGTACGAATGGTCCTCAGGCCTGAGTCGCTCAGTCGATACGTCGAAGACGCAGAACTGCAAGGCTCATAGACTCATCAATCATCTCGTGTGCGGCTTGATGTGGCAACAGCTAACTCTGTCTCTTCGCGACAATCTCGTCTTGCATCATCTACCTCGCACGATGCAGCGCAGCTGCAGTCTCAAGAAGCCTCACTCGTGTCCTCGAAGTAGAGCGCATGCCGCTGCCATCACCACATGTCTCGTGTATCGTATTCAGAAACACTGCTGTATCTGATCAGCATGTCAAAAACGAAATCGGTGCCATTCGTCGAGCAAACAGAACGATACAGCAAGAGCAACTGCAAAGCCCCTTCGAGGCAAATCTCATGTCTCCCTCGTTGCACATTGCATGAAGAAGCTGCAATTGCTACAGATCAGAAGATCGATACGATGAGGTCATTCGGAGGCTATCGATCGACGGCTGCCGTCCTCGACGCGTGCAGGTAGAGCCGGGTCGCGAGATAGCAGCTCATCCAATCAGACCCTCTCATCGCATCGCTGCACTCACGCCTCCGCACTCGCAGCAAGAGGGTCTCTCGGTCAGGACGGGTCGCGACAGTCACCGCATCTCTATACGCACGCAATGACTGACCGACGCTCATCTACTGCAACGCCTCCCTCAACCCCGCCCAGGTGTGTGCAGTCCCACGCTTGTTATGTCACTTCCGATTCATGGGTGGCTCATGCAGCTGACAGGACCAGGTTTGGTCATCAGCTGCTCGGCAATGGCTGCGCCTCTGTTGCCGGCGCCCAACAGAGCACTTGCGAGGCGAGTCAAAAGCCCAACCTCTGCCACGAGGTCTATCAGCAGATGGTCGAAAGCAGTGACTATNCGACTTGCCTTGNTCTTTGATACGGCTGCTCAGATCCGCAGTCATGACGAAATCTTCGATCTCTTGAGCTGTCGCATCGGACAGCCAACGGCGAATGATGATTCGGTCCGCTTGCTGAGCCGTGGTTGTGGCGGTGACGAGCGCGGTAGCTGGTAGAGTTGTGACAATCTGCTGGAATGACAACTCTACCAGCTACCGCGCTCGTCACCGCCACAACCACGGCTCAGCAAGCGGACCGAATCATCATTCGCCGTTGGCTGTCCGATGCGACAGCTCAAGAGATCGAAGATTTCGTCATGACTGCGGATCTGAGCAGCCGTATCAAAGAGCAAGGCAAGTCGTATAGTCACTGCTTTCGACCATCTGCTGATAGACCTCGTGGCAGAGGTTGGGCTTTTGACTCGCCTCGCAAGTGCTCTGTTGGGTGCCGGCAACAGAGGCGCAGAGAATCAGGACCGAGCAAACGTCGTTCCTTACGACAGTGCTCTCAGCGCTGTGGCGAGCGCCACATCGTTTACAACGCCGCGCGAGACATCACCTTCGGGTATCAGCTCAACTTCAGTCATGGCAACCGCCGCAGCTCCGGCGCCAATTCCGACTGGGATGTTCTTGCGCGATCGTGCACGCAGACATAGTGCGACCGCACCTGCGCAGGGAGTCAGCCCTCGACTGCCAGTCGAAACGACAATGCCCAGACCTGCCTCGGCTTCGGGTGACATCAGAGTGCGCGCCAATCAACAGCTTACTGGGCTTCTGGACGACATGCGCCGACGATCACAGCCAACGGACACGCTCACGAGACTGGCTGCTCGAGCGATTCCCAGAGACCTCGTTTGTCCCATGGGCTTTGCACAGATTGCTTTACGCGTCCATGAAGCCGGCCGTTTCCCGGGTGTATTCGCCATGCCCCCGTATCTCGAATCGCAAAGGCCGAATGAGCTCATCGTCTGCCTTGAAATCGTCGAGCTCGGGGCGTTGCTGAAGATAGCCATCGGCTTCCAACGTGCACGCCAAAACAACGACAAGGACCATTTCGGTATCTGCTATGTGTCACATCAGAACTATGACCTCAGCCTCGTCGATGGTCTACGAATGATCTTGGAGGCAATCGACAGTACCCGAGAATTTGATCACTGTCAGAAGATCAGCATCTTTGTTCCATCTCGCGCGCTTCTGGCTGTCGTTCGATCAGCCCCTTGGCACCTGCTCCCATCGACGCGCCGCCAGACTGTCATTCTGCTCACTCACACATCGGATGCAGAGCCCAACTCGCTCAAGAAACGCATACGAGTTATGGCGGCGAGCCCTGGCAACGACTCTCGCGAGCTACAGAACATCACGCGCGCCCGAGTTGGAGATCTAATCGAGCAGGCGCATGTCCATTGAGCAATCATGTTGCCGAGTCTGATGGCCGAGGCGAGGCAAGTAGCGAATGAGCAGATCAGCAATGTAGTCGGTAGAGCTGGCCTGCAGACACGAGAGTACTCAGCAGGATGCAAGGCTGTTCGGTGGATGGCAATCCACCCAAATGGCGTGAGATTTGCTCCCGGACTGGTGACGAGAGACTCTCCGTGACCCATCGTGCCATGAGCCGAGCCGTGTCCCGTGTCTGCCTGAGCTTCTAGCGGATCATGCAGCAGAAGGACGTGCTCGATGGCTTCCTTGCAAACGTAGTAGACTGCACTGAAGATGAGGAAGACGCATAAGCACCCTCTGCTGTCATCAATTTCAAGTTAGCTTTCAGATGTCGAGTATCGAGCTCGAGCTGGGCCCAAGCTAAGCTGCAAGCTTTGACGGACTTAGTGACAGGCAGAGGCGACAGTCAATACACGATCGCTATCCTGATCTCTTATTGCAACATGGTCGCATAGAGCTTCAGCAAAGGCAAAATATAAAAAACATAAGTATGCATGTCTGCAAGGCTAGCCCGCCAGCCCTTGGCTACGAGGTCATCGACCGCTAGGCTGGACAGCAGCTCGATCAAAGACTGTAGAGTGCAAGTGAGCAGCAGGACCAAAGTGAGGAAGACGAGTTGGACAAGAGGACGGCGAGCAGTCGAAAGCACGTGCAGGTATCGCGCTGGTCGCCCGAGTTNGACTGTNANATACGNACCATAGCATACGAAAGATGGATGCCCGGAGTACGGGTCCCCCAGCGCGATGAGGCAGAAGCGCAGCCATGCTGGTGCTGAGAGTAGTCGCCAAGCTCGTGGTCGAAGTCGTACGCACCATAGCATACGAAAGATGGATGCCCGGAGTACGGGTCCCCCAGCGCGATGAGGCAGAAGCGCAGCCATGCTGGTGCTGAGAGGTTTGCCAGGTTTGTTGCCAAGTCCTGCGAGAAGTGAAGATTGAGCGCGGCGCCTGGCTTTTATAATGTCACCAGACGCGACGAGTGCAAATCTCCTCGTGATCATAAGCTGCTCCCAATTCTCGAACGAAATGAAGCGTGTTTTTTCTCTGATCAACAAGCCTTCCGAGTGGGCGCGCACGCATATGCATCATGTTTACCAGGCTCATGCATGCGCATGCGAATGTCCATGCGGATGCGATTGCCATGATGGGGCAGCATGCGAATGATCATGAAGTCCACAATGGTCGCGAGCAGTATGGACATGGCTGGCTAGCGAGAGCCGGCTTTGTATGCATGACCTTGACCGTCAATTCGCCTGTCGGACCGCCGATCGACCCGCCACCCGTGCTTCTCGACAGCGCAGGCGAACATTTTTGCCGAGCCATTTGGGTCAGTGCCAGTGTATCCGAATCGCTGGCATCCATTCGCACGTGTATTTCTAGCGTTTTGACAAACCGCGTCATAGCGCCATAGCCCAAGCGACCTGCAGTTGTAGGCTGAGTAGCAAGGCGATGGCAGACTTTGATGCAATCAGCACGCCGTTCTACATCTTCTTCATCTATGTCGAGCCGCTCTTGACGGTCCTCGGCTTGCTCTATGCGGTCGTCCTGCCCGTCCAGTACCACACTGAACTCATTCCGGCACATCTCCTGTCGCTGCTCGAGTCTACCTCAGAGGGCTTGATCGGCAAGATCCAACATGGCACTCGATCGGATGCCGCTGCAATCACGAGTGCGACCTTCATGCTCATCCATCAGCTCGCGAGCTGCTTTGGCATCCTAGCCTGCATGAGCGCTATTTTCCTGCGTATGCTCATCATTTCACTGCGCTCCAAAGCTGCCAACTCTGGCAAAGCCAAGCTTGCGACAGAGCATCTCCTCTTTGACCTGTTGACGCCCTATTTTGCCATCTTAGCAGTCTTTGACTGGGTACACATATTGCTTACGCTTTACGATCTCGGTCCTGCTGCTAGGAGGCCGACGGAATGGAACAGCCTCATTCATGGCAATGTCACACTCGTCATCGGACTGTTTGCCATGAGGACGGCGTGGTATCTCAGTACAAAAGCGAGTCAGGGCAAGAACAAGTTAGCGTAACGCGCACAACAGAATAATCTATGTGATCTCTATCTGCATCATATCACGCTCGAGACAGTCAAGTCGACGGTCGATCGAGTTAAGATACTCTCTGGTCTCCCTGCGCATCGCTTCCAATCTGCGCTTCTCTTCCAGCAAGATGTGCTGTTTGTCGAATTTGACTTGCACGCTGTCACGTTTATCGAGGTGCACGGACGACGGAAAGGTGTCCCCTCTTGGCGACTCCAGCCGGGGAGCGCTAGCCGGTCGTCGCGGCAGGGCTTGATCGAAAGGTCGCAGCCAATCTGCACCGCTGACGGGCGTACGACATTGGCCTGTACTGAGTGATTCGAGGAATTGTGCCAGCACGCTAGTATCTGCTTCCGAACTAGCAGCTGCGGCTGAGGCACTCGTTTTGTCGAGCGACTGTGCCCAAGCAGCATCGAACGAAGTCGAGGGCGTGCCGAAACTGCGACTCGATCCGTTGAAGGGACTGAATAATGTGCTTGCTGGCGTTGCAAGCGAAGCGGTCGTCGGCGTTGAGATGTATGGAATCGCGTCAAATGCGAAAGGATCGCCAGTGCCGCTGAAAGGCGGCGAAATGTCCATGAGCGGTGATGGGCTGTGGGCGCGGTAGCGGGCAGATTGCGAGGCAGTCGTCTGCGAACTCGTCGAACGCTCGCGCTGCGGTCGTACATGCAGCGTGTTGCACTCGGGCGAGAGGGAGCCATCAGGGAACGACCTCGACGACATTGGAAATCCTGAAGCTCTGGATGACTTTGACGACGATGAAGCGCTGGACGGACTTGCGGAAGTGTTGACGGGCCACGAGGCATCTGTTGCCTTGCGCTTTCTCTGCGGCTGGAATGGTTCTTCAGCGAGGGGCTCCTCTTCGCGAACAAAGTCGCTTGCTCGGAACGTATAGAGCTCAGTGGGTGCAGCCGCAGGCGGTCGCTCGTGCTCGTGAATGCCGCTGTGTCGAAATCTGACGATCCAGCCTGACGAATCTGAAATGAGCGTGCTGGAGGCGCTGCATGTAGACTTGCTGAGGCCCCGATCACAGCCTGGACATCGTATGATCTTTGATGGCTTGAGAGAGGTGATACTGCAATCTGGATTCTGGCAGACGATCACGCCTACACGAGGATCAGCGAGTTCGATCGTCGCTTGCACGAGGCCAGCACACCTTGGCACATCCTCCGCATTTGTCTGGCAGTTTCCCGAAAGTTGATTCGTCTGTCGCTTTTTTTGCTCCATGTCCAGCTATCGCGCCAACTGAGCAAAGGTACCGTCAGATCGATGACCGCGTGTCCGTTCGGCCAATACGCTGCACACGATAAGCTCCTACTTGAGCTGCGGGATGGCACAGCCTCACAAGCATCGTCTGCCAAGGTATAGCTGCCGTTCTCGAGACTCGATGTGCGGCTTCGAGGCTCTGTTATGTGTGAGTTGCCTGACGTGAAAGCGGATGTTAGCGCCAGGGAAAGCGAACTAGGGGCCGATAGAGCAGCTTTGGCGCAGGGCGCATATAGGCGCTGTTTCTGCGATGCTTCAAAGGCAGGCATGTCGAAGCTGGCCCTGCTGGGCAACGGCATGTCGAGTGAGCCAGTGCCTGACATCCTGAACGGTCGAGCAGTGTGGTCTTTTTTACGCTACTGTGTCTTGCTGCGCTGGCGAGGAAGCAAACAAGCTCTCGTGGCATTGTGGGCTCTTGGGATCTACAGGATGGCCAGGAAAGGGGATCTGCTTGCGCTGGGTTGCTGCCTTTGATCGACAAAGCGCAGGCACACGCGATCGCAACATCATGACCATCATGATCATGAATGCATGCTGCTCCGTGGCAGCACTTTCCTGATCCGCATAGCCTCCCGAATTGGTAGGATGTCAAACTTAGCGGATGCTGCCCCTCCTCTTGCCAAGCGACCGAAGCTAGATACCCCAGCAGTGCGAGCAAGACCGAGCAATGGTCAGCAGAGCAAACGCAACAAAAAAGCCAACAAGAAGCAGGACAAAGTCAAGCCGGGCGGCTCAGAGGAAGCGACACTGTACCATGTCATCGAATTGCTAGGCGCAGACAAGGTCGTAACGCTCACTACGGCCGGCAAAGACCTGAACGGTTCGCACCGGTTCACGCAATTTCAGGAGATTGAGCTTGACATTATCGAGCTCAGCTCACATGGTTCGCCGCATGCACTCTGGCTATGCTCGTCTCGTCTGATGAGGTGAGGTAGGAGAAGGACTGGGCGTGACTCAGGAGGGCGAGTGGGTCGTCGCTGCGCCCTTTTGCTTGCCAGGAGAGCGCATACGTGCCAAAGTCGTTCGGCATGCTCGCTTGCATTCCTACGCAGATCTCGTCGAGGTCATCACGCCCAACCGCGGCACCAACGGTCGCGACGAGTCTCGCATCAAGTGCAAGTATTTCACACAATGCAACGGCTGTCAGGTTAGTTGGAAGTAGCGGTCGCATCAATAGCAATTGACGCGCTGAAGCAGTATCAAATGATGGACTATACCGCCCAGCTTGACCACAAGCGGCTTGTCGTCGAACGTGCCTTCAGACACTTTTCGAGTAAGACTCTCGTGAAGGGTTTCTGTAATGCGAGTGACCCGAGCAACAGAGCTGTCGAGCGAACTGATACCAACGATACAAGCGACGTTACCCTCACCGGAGCAATACAAGTACCGTACTAAGCTCACGCCGCACTGGGAGGCTTACGCCCCGACGCACAAAGAGAAGCTACCCATCGGTTTCAATACTGCTGGTCGTCGTCGCCTGATCGATATCGAAGAATGTCCGATAGCAACCGATACCATCAACAAGGCATACACAGCAGAGCGAGCGAAAGTCCTAGCGTGAGCTTCAGACCATTTGTGCACCTCTCCTCTGAATGATACTCCAGCAAAGCCACGACATATAAGCGGGGAGCGACGATGCTGTTGCGACATTCGTTACCACCACGTACACGAGCAGCTGGAGCAGCTGGCACAAGCAAGACCGAGGTGGGCGAGATCGAGACGAGTCAAGAAGAGGCAAAAGACGCACCGGTATGCGTGACTGATTCCCATCATCTCGTCCGAGAGCGCATCGCGGGTAAAGATTTTGAATTCAATGCCGGCAAGTCGATCACGCCTGTCAGCCTCGCCATGCGCTGACTGATTGGTCCTCTCATCAGGTAGCTTTTTTCAAAACAATAACGGCATCCTTGACTCCCTGGTCAACTATGTTGGCGAGCAGCTGACAACCCTCACGTCCGGTGAGAGTGGTGTAAAGCTTCGCTATTTGATCGACGCCTATTGCGGCTCCGGCTTATTCGGTCTGGCGTTGGCGCATCACTTTGAAGCCGTAGCAGGCGTCGAGATCTCGTCGGATTCTGTCAAGTATGCTCGTCACAATGCCCAACTTAACGGAATCAGCAATGCGACCTTCTTGGCAGGTAAAGCGGAAGCTATCTTCGAAGGCGATCTGCTCAAATCGTACGCCAAGGACGCCACGACCGTTTTGATCGATCCGCCTCGTGCAGGCTGTGACGACGCCTTCCTCGAGCAATTACTCGCTTTCGACCCTGCAGTGATTGTGTACGTCAGTTGTAACGTGCACACGCAAGCTCGCGATATCGGCTACTTGGTCAATAAGAGCGAGCAGCGATACAGCATCGCAAGCATCCGAGGGGCAGATCTGTTCCCCCAGACGTACCATTGCGAAGGCGTCGCAGTCTTGCGCCGCTCGATAGATGTAGGAGCAAATGCATGATGCGTTGCGAGTACATGTACAACAGACAGGAGACATTGGTCGTACGATGCGGTGCGGCTTTACGAGTTGCGGTCTAGATTGTCTCGGCCCATCCTCTGAGATCGACTTCTGCTGTGCTTGCTTTCACGAGCCAGCGATGTTTCTGCGTCGCCCAATTTGGCAATCTCGCAGAAAAGGACGTTATGGGACTCACAAGAAGTTGCTTGGGAGTCGGACGCTTCTCGACGACTTTCTCGAGACATGCGCCAATGAAGCTCTCGATCTCGCGAGGGAATTTGCCAGCAGGCAGCGTTGGCGCGGGCTCATTGACGACGTGCTGTAGCAACTCGAGGATACTCATGCCGTGACCTCGAGGGCCGGCCATACCGCCAGGACGCTGCGTGCCTGCGTCTGCGGATCTCCTAGGCGGTCTCGACTGCTTGCGTCGTTCGGCTTCTTCTGCGATGAAAGAATCTTTGCCGCTCGGATGGACAGGCGACAGTGTCTGATCGTCGTCGTTTTCGCCGTCAGAGTCGTCTGCATCCGGCGCAAAGGGGAAACGACCCAGTGCGAGCTCGATGAGGGTGATGCCGAGCGACCAAGTGTCACTACGGACAGAGTATGGCGCTCCCTGTATTCTTTCCGGCTGCCTCCACCGTATGCATAAGCGCCTGTACAGGTTCTCAGACATGCAGGACTGACCGACATGTACGTTGAAGTGCCCACAAAAGTGTCGGCAATGGAGTTGATGAGTTCGCCGGAGACGCCAAAATCGCAGATCTTGACTTGGCCAGCCGAATTGACGAGTACGTTGGAAGGTTTGACATCTGTGACGATCGCCGTACCATAAGCAAACAGGTAATCCTTCAAGAGAACGACTGACCTCGGTGAATGATACGGTGCGCATCGTACAGATAGAAGAGGCCGGTAACGACGGCGAACGCGATCTTACCGAGCACATCGGGTGAAATTGGACCGATTTTCTTGTAGATGCTGTCGAGGGATCTGCGCGCTGTATTGATTGAGCACGGGCAAGCATGTGCAACGTCATCCAACTGGCCCTTTGTCCATGAACTCCATGCACAAGCAGATCGTCGGCTCGGCAAGATATGCTCCATAGAAGGACACAATGTAGGGCGAGTTCTGTGCAGCATATGAGCACCGCAGTCACTGATGGCAAGCAGACGCACGCAGTCGTGAAGAATCTGCAATTCGCGAAGGATTTGCTTGCGAACAGATGGCTTGGCATCAATGTGGACGACCTGCACGCCCCCGGCTCATTGCATCAGATGTATGTCTTAGGCAGAGTGCGTTGACGTGCCTTGCGTGCCATCTGGAGGCCAGTTGGCAAGTGACGAGCTTTGCTGACTGTGCCTCCGTTGCCCGCGCCAAGCTCAGAGATGATGACAATATCCTCTGGCTTCATGTCAAGCTTGACTTCGAGTCCAATCTCGAGCGTCGCGAGCTGCTCGCTGAGCTGATCCGTGTAGGTACCTTTGCTCTCATTGCTGCTACTTGAGCCTGGCAGACGCGACAGTGAGGTGGAGGAGGATGCAAAAGAGTCTGCCGCACTCGATCTGCTGGCGAGCGATTGATTGTCTGAGGTCGAGGGACCCGATGAGCGGCAGTCGCAGTCGGAGACGGAAGCGTAGCTACCACTACTCGTAGACGCGCGAGGGCTCCCATTGGCTGCGCTAGAGTCTGCACGTAGTCTGCCTGTGGCGGGTCCGATGATCGTGCCTGGCTTGGCTGCATCTTGGGAGATCTGAAGCCCTTTGATGTTGCGCTACAGGCGGATGAATGACTCGGTCAGCTGTTCGAGAGTGATGTGCTCTCATCGAGCTCACATTCTTGCGCTCCTTCATGCCGAGCATCTCGATTGGGGTTCGTGGATCCGAAGAAGCGGGGACGAGCTCAGCAGAGCTCCACGAGCGCTTCTGACCCGCGCACGTCACGGCTCGCAACGCTCAAAGGTGCCTGGCTGGCTGGAACGCGCCAATGTCAAATCGCGCGACGAGTCGACAATCGAGTTCGCAAGCGGTCCCTACCCCGCAATGTCTCCCTTCTCTGCCTCCCACAGTCTTGCGAAGACTGGCTGTGTTCCCACTCTGCGCTTCTCAGACGTCCTGGCTCATGGTCGCAACCACGCTCGACATCTGACCAAGCACTAGTGGCAATTGATCGCGCACGGTCCTCGACTGTATGCTCGCCGTCGTAGCTTGATAGCTATCGCACACGCAGACATCTCCTCGAGCAGAGGAAAGTATGGTCAATGTGCAGAAGCTCAGTGCAGTTTTGGGCCACTCCCGCGAATCATGGGAACAAGATTTGCCGCATGCCGCGCAGATGCTGCGATCAAAATCCGCTGGCTCGGATCAGACTCACAACCTCATCAAAGTCGATTCGGCTGCATCGTCGCCCTCGTTCCAATCCGCAGTCAGTATCACCAAGGTCTTTGCTAATGGACAACGAATGAAGCATATGAAGCCTGACGTTCATCTCATCGCTTGGGCGAGCTCTGTCGAGAGATTAGATGATACGCCGCCTTCGCTCGGATCTCCCGCCTGTCCCTCTTCGCCTGGCTCGTCCTTCGTCAGCGACGACGACTCTGATACGCCTCGTCCACTGACACCGCACACATGCGAATTCCCGATAGGGCTCGGCATCGAGTTGGAGGCATCTGACGTGCTACAATCAAAATGGTCGAGACCTCATCCACGCGTCATCCCTAATCGCGTAGACTCGCTGCCGAATGGCGACATGCAAACAAGGTCTCCCTTGCCGGACTCAGTGACAGCCTGTCAAAACAGGGAGCACAAGCTCCACAAAATACTGAGCGAGGACACTTTCTGCGAGTTTATCAAAGACGCGGTCGCTCTGCACTCTTTTCGGACGTATCTGCAAGATCAGCACGAGAGCAAGCACGAAAGGGCGCTTGATGCGCTCCATGATTGCCAGCTACTGCATGCCCTGCAACATACTGTGCAACAGAGCGCACGAGCAATCGACGATCTCTACCTCCGCAGCCACGGAGGATCTTGTGACGACATCGGTCTGGGAAGCGATGCTTTCGTCAAGGCACATGATGACCTACGTAGTCTCCTGGTCGCCAGCGATCAACTGCAAGGCCAGCTGACGGACTTGCTTTACAAGCCATTTCAAGCATACGTCAAGCGACAGCTCCTTCGGAAATGCTCAGTAGGACTTGCTCAGCCCTCACTCGATCGGTGTCAGATGTCAGGTCTCGCCACATCTTGGACTTTGGCTACCATGGCGAACGAGCCCAGTATTCTCGCTTGCTCGCGCGAATTCGAAGACCTTTCTTGCTACTCTCTAGAAGGGGTCTTGGGCCGCGACTGTCTTTTCCTTGAGACTCTAGCTACTTCGAATGACGCTATCGAAGGCATCAAGCGTCAATTCGCGAAACAGGAAGCAGCGATCGAGCTGCTCGGCAACTACAGAAAGGACGGACAGGCCTTCATCAACATGCTTATTATCTTGCCTTTGTCATATGTCAGCGGCAAGGTTGATCTGTACCTCGCCGGTCACATCGACGTAACCCAAATATTGCTACAATCTGACGACCTCAAATCGCTTGCTGAAGTGTCGCGGCCGTACGACAGCGTCAGCAGAGCTGCTCTTCACTCGCAAGCCAGTGCGGTCTCGCCCAGTATGCTCAAGCACCTGTCGGGTCAAAAATCGGGAGCTTTCTCGGACGAAGGCATAGATTGCCGAAGCGCTATGTCCTCGCCAGCATTTGCTTATTTTCCTACGACTATACCGACCCGAAGTCGTCACAGATCAGAGCGGAGTGACGTTCCCGAGAGCATCGAGATGGACGAATCGATTACTTTGCGGCCCCGTCGAAAGCCCTCGCAGACGTTCAATACGATCTTTCGGAACTTATGCGAAACGATCCATCTGCCCGGTACACCTGCTAGGAGCAGAGCTTCCTCACTAAAGGCGACGGATCATATGCCATTGTCATGTTATGATAATGTGCGCCCTTCACGGGGCTCCTGCCCGTGTAAAGCTGACTAGACCAACAGCTTATGCTCTTCGATTCGAATCGCAAGATCTGCTACACCTCTGACAGCTTGCTACGTCTACTCGGTAAGCTCTATAGCTATTTCCTTACGATCAGCTCACAACAGGGACAGATATGTCCACGAAGAGCAAGAGTCAGTTGCTTGGCGTCGATCTGCTCAAGCTTCTGCAGAGCGACGCCGATGGGCGACAGCTCGTCCTGACGGGTCTAAGCACCGACAAGGCAAGGGCAGACGAAACCAGCAAGCTGCGCAATCGCATTGAATATGCCATCGCTCACTGCACCACTTTCGCGGTACGTGCCGGCCTACGTTGGTCGCCACTCGCAAGTCTGCGGACGAAACAGCCACTCAAGAGCTGCATGTTGCACGGCACGCCACTCTTCGCGCACAGCAGGGTAGCAACCTACGTCTTGGTTGTCACACGGCTGGACTGAGAACCGGTTAGAATAACTGCTACAATCGTAACGTTACAGACTTCTAGATGCCTTCGTGAGGGAGCCCGGCTTGGTGAGATGACTTTTTGATTATGCCTCGTCGAGACACCGCGAGCTTTGCTGGCTTGGAGAAGCCAGAAGGGAATAATGCAGCGAGGTTGTCACTGGCACATTGGTACAGGGCGCATGCGGGTTTCTTGGGGGAGTTGAGCTTGACTTAGTCCGAGGTGCGAGGGTGACGAAGGCGTGCGAATGCGACAACATGGGAACGGACGAGCTCTCTTGCTTCTCGCAGGGGAGATGGGTATCATAGCACTATGCAACCCCTGCAGCATCCCGCATCTTCGTCGTCAACCTTTTTGCCGCCAGATACCTTCATCTGGCCCATCGACTGCGCACCACCCGCGCCTGGTCTGCCCGCTTGCTGATCCTGCCAGGCATGTCAGTATATTCAGCAAGATTGAGCAAAATTGTACTCGCTTTGTTGTACTTCCTGATCTCCCGTACAAGGTCGCTGAAAGCTTCGTCGACATTTATGCGTTGCTTGGCAGATGTCTCGATGAATCGGCAGCCGAAATGCTTCGACAGGTCCCTGCCCTCTGCAAGAGAGTCGTATCAGTTCCGCATCAGAGACGGACCGAGTCGACTTGCCATGGCCGCCCACTTGTCGCTCGTATTCCAAGTCACATTTGTTGGCGACGACGATGACTGGAAAGGTATCTTTGTCCTTTACACGCAGGATCTGCTGGTGAAACGTGGCACTGCGGTCGGCGCGTTAGTCTGCGCGCAAGACGACGTCAGGTCCACGTACATCTCCTCGAAAGAGTTCCTGCTCGTAATAGAATAGACTAGCAGGAAGCCTTCGCCAGTCCGCATATACTGCTCGCGCATGGCAGAGTATTCCTCTTGCCCTGCCGTATCGAGCACGTCGAGCAACGCGACTTCCTCGTCTATCACGCACTGTTTCCTATAAGAGTCTGTCCGCCCCCAATGACTTCAGGCTCTGTGTGGATTGCGCGCAGAGAAAGCTATGCTGACCTTCTATCGTGGGATCATATTCGTCGACAAAGTGAGACTGTATAAATTGGATTGTCAATGCGCTTTTGCCTACACCTCCTCCGCCGACGACGACGAGTTTGTACTCTCTCAGAAAGGCGGCACCCGACATGCTGTCCCGAGCCTTGTTGTCCGTCCGGCGTTTGGAGCCTTGTCAAGCGTAGATGGGAGTCCAAAGAAATTGGCACGCCAAGATGAACCGACGTGACACTCGTACGTGAGCGTTTGTGAGCGGGCGCAGAGGGGTGATACTAGCTTCACTAGACTCGGACGGTCAGATGACACGTCCCAGGCTGGCTTGAGATTGGGAGGGACGACTGTGCGAAGCGAGACTCGTCTGGGCGTCGTTCGAGTAGGCCCTTTGTTGTTTGATGCAAAAGTGAATCGGCAATAGCGCCTGCGCAGGTGATTGCTCGTCGTCTGAAGCTGGCCGAGCGCTGGAAGTGATACTCGCCCTCGTATGGCTCCCGTATCCGCCTAGACCTCTGCAGCGTTTCGGTAATCGCTCGTGCGTGCCCTAGCCTTGTGAGTGGGGAGAACGCGGTCGCGGCCGAGTGGCGAAGATGCCCTCGTCGCCTTCGACAATCGGCAATCTGCCAACGATAATGGGGTCTTACTCAGGTGATCTCTCCTGCTTCTGCGCTCACGTACTGTCAGCTGATCGAGAGACTAGAGCTATGCCCGCCATATGCGCCCTTTATGGGCTTTGCCGGCGTAGCGAGCTCAGTAAGTGCTCGTGCCTCGATCAGCATTCCTGAGCTCAAAGCAGTCGTGTGCAGATGATCTTTAGCAGTGCGCCCGTCACAAGAGCTCTCTACCTATCATCCCTGACGGTTCCATGCTCGCAGCGGTCGGTGCGGCCTATGGCACCTCAAAAGCAGGCATTGGCATCACGTCTGTCTCTGTATGTTACAACGCAGCGCTGTCCTGACACGCATCCGGGACACAGCGGCTTGGGAACTCAACGGCCAGACCTAGTGATGAAGGTGAATACGCTTTCGCGTCATGTTTGTCTGCGCTGATGAGTGCACAGTCTTTGATTCCTGTCGTGTAAGTAACACGCTCTGTGCTCGATAGCGCGCCTCAGACGGCCGCGCAGCATGGCCGGTATCATCGCCGTGTACGGCCTCGTCGTCTCCGTCCTGATCGTTGGAGGCCGTAAGTGCATGCGCGTCTTCCATCAAGCCGCCCTTGCTCATCCGCGCCACAGTCAATCCTGGCGAGCCGTACTCTCTGTTTGCGTGCGTCCGAGGAGAGGCATCAGATTGGGCAGTGCAAGCTGACGCTAGTGTTCAGCGGCTTCATACATCTTGCCGCCGGCCTGTCTTGCGGTCTAACAGGACTAGCGGCAGGACACGCGATCGGTATCATTGGCGACGCCGTCTGTCTCTTGCTTGTCAAGCGCTAGAATGAGCTGACACTGAAGCAGTGTGCGAGAGCGTATATGTTCCAGCCGAGGATTTTCGTATCGATGGTGCTCATGCTGATCTTTGGAGAAGTCATCGGGCTATACGGGCATGTCGAGGCGATCCTGCGATCGCTCCAAGCTAATGTTTTGTGACAGGCTCATCGTTGCCCTCATCCTCAACACAAGAGCGACATCGACGAATTGCTAGCTTGGTGCCATTGTAACACTGTGTATCAGCATGCAAAATCATTTTCGTTCGCTGCGCTAAGTTTCCAGCCGTCGCGTCGCGCCCGATTGACCACTCCCTGTTGCCCTCACTACCATGCGAGCTCTCTGCAACCTCGCGGCTTTCGCCTTGTTCCTGTCGTGCCGAGCTATTCCGACTGCAACGCCTGCAGAAGCGGCACGGGCTGTTTACTGCCTGTTGCAGATCAACCCGACTCTCAGCTCGGACACCTCTCGCAACCAAGTTATTGCCTTTTCATGGAGCCACTGGACAGAGGCACGATAATCACATCAGCTCATGCTTCGCTAAATATAGCGCAGGAGGCGAACTGGTATACTCAAGCAAGTCTGACAGCTTTTGACTACGAGAATGTCGATGTCCAACATGACATCGCAACCAGGAGCATCTACGGCAAGCCATCTCATGTTCGTCGAGTATCCGCTTGATGTTGGCACACAGCATCGACGCCGAGTGGATCATTGAATCTCAACGTCACGGTGTATCCCCAAAACAATGCGGACATTGCTTTCGAGAGCCTGGCCATCGAAGGTGTCGTCACTTGCGAGTCGACCACGGTCGAGATCGCATCAAACGATATCGAAGCCTAGTATGTGCGCTTGTACAGGCATACACGTACACTGACGATGAAGCAGTGGCGCTGCCTGTCATGCGACCAATGCTTATCAAGCGACGAGCTTTCCCCTCTGTCATCAGGACGCCATCCGATGCTAGCTCGGCCGTCGTACCACAGTAGCAGAGGCAATGCAGCGCATCATACCTTCATCCGTGAAACTCTCACGTGAAGCTGTACTCTGCGAACACTTTTGCCCATTCGCTTTTCGGTATGAGCGAGAGCAGTAGCAAGGCGGCTCATTGCTTCTCACTTCGCGCGTGCAGCTTCACTGCTCGGCCTGGGCGCATGCTACGACAGAACACAGAGCAAGCGTTGTCTGACCATTGCGACATGTCGCAGCGTATTGAGGCTGTGGTCATTTGTTTTCTCCGCTTCACCTGCGTCTCGACACGAACCTGACAAAATGAAGCTCTCTGGGACCTTGATCTCCTTCATTACGCTTGCCGGCTCTTCCGCTGCTCAGGCCCAGGTCGCAGCTAACAATCCCAATGTTGCATGCATTCTCAACATTCAGGGAGCGATCTTTTATTTTGGGATGCTTATGTGGTCCGACGTAAGCTCTGCGTTTTATTCGACCTTGCACTCTGACTTGCGTACAGATGACACATTGGTATACTAAAGGCATTGTCCGCTCGGATGCAGTGCCTGTGGCCACAAGCTACGACGCCAACACGCGCACGATTAGCGGTAATTCAAGCCTTCCTTCAACGTAACGTGTCTGATAGCAAGCAGGGATCTCTGCCGATGGCTCGACTGATTTACGAATCTCAGTCTGGCCTTCTGCAAACGGAGACGGTAGCTTGGCCGCTTTTCTAGTTGATGGAAATCTTCATTACAACGGGGTGACCACTCGCATCGCTACAAACGATTACAATGCGTAGTCAGTCCTACCATGCATGAGGAGCGCTACTGACTGTGCTATCGCCAGTGGTTCAGCTTGTCAATACTACACCGGCGCGGAAGTGATCAATTTCAACCTTTGCCACAAGGGCGCGCCACGATGCTGAAAAGGAGCTTGCGCGCTCCTCGATGCAATCTGCTACACTCCGTGTCACGCTCCTTGGGTCGCTGCGTTGTATCGTTGCATCCCCTCTGCTTCCGTCAAGCGCACCGACTCGCGAATCTCTGCCTCTTCTTCGCTTCCGACGTTTTCATCATGAAGCTGATCGGCGCACTTGCTGGCTTGCTCTCGCTCGGCGCCTTTGCATATGGCCAGCTTTCATACAGTAACGCAAGGGTCAATTGCATTTTGCAGATCAACCCAACCGGCACCCCGGACACCTCGCACAACCAGATCTTCGCTTTTGGCTGGAAGTACTGGGACGAGGCGAGTCTTATCTTCCTCCTTCGTGCACCGAGCTCAGGCTCCGGCAGTCGACGAACGCTTACAGTCTTGGTACATTCTCAACGTTGGCCTACCCCTCTGTGGCAGTTGGATACGATGCCGATCAGCATTCCATTCAAGGTCAGCCCGGGAGTCTTTGCCATCATCGCACTCTGATCGTCAATGTAGCCACGAGCGGAAACCAGATGTCATTGAACATCGTCATGGTTCCGCTTGACGATGGCACGTTCTCCAGCTTCACCGCCAGCGGCTTCGTCACCTACAACAACAAGGTGGTGACCATCAAGCCTACAGACATCGATTATTAGTGAGCCTCGTGCAGTCAGATGTGTCTTATTGCTGACAGACTGGCAGCGGTGCCGCATGTACCATGAAAACCAACGGAGGCTCCTACAACTTCAATCTGTGCCATACGGGCGCGGCACGATGCTAAAGTCAAGATGATCGACAGCGCTGCTTGCAATGCATGCTAATGCATGGCGCGCGCGATGCCGTGAAGGAGCCGTGAAGGAGGTTGCGGTCGCGCGTCGTTTGGGGCAATCTAGTTGCATCCCCGTGTTTCGCTCCTTGTCCGTCGCATCGCCTCGTTGCCGGATCCCTATTCTTCTTCAACTGGGATTCCCATTCATTCGCCTACGCTGCATCAACATGAAGCCAATCAGCCTCGTTGGCTTACTTTGGCTCGGAGCTCTCGCATATGGCCAGGCAGTATTGAGTAGTGCAATAGTCAACTGCATCCTGCAGATCAATCCTACCGGCACCTCACAAACATCGCACAACCAAGTCTTCAGCTTTGGCTGGCAACACTGGCAAGCCGTGAGGCTTGCCTCAATCTGCGTAACATGGACTCACGCTTTGACAGTCGACCAGCTTCTATAGTCTTGCTTTCTTCTCGACTTCGGCCTACTCCCCCGTCGTAGCAGGATACGACGCGACTCGCCGTCTCATTCATGGTGAGCTTTTTCGATTCCAGCGATGACGTCGGCTGAGTATGATGCAGCCACGAGCGGGAACGAGATGTCATTGACCATCGTCGTCGTGCCAGCCAAAGATGGGACATTCTCCAGCTTCACCGCCGGTGGTTTCGTTACCTACAATAACCAGGTCATCTACATCAATCCTACAGATATCAATGCTTAGTAAGCTTCGCCTGCTCAGACATTGTCTTGTTGATGACAATTGGGCAGCGGTGCCTCGTGTACTATTACTGCCGACGGAAGCGCGCGCAACTTCAATCTGTGTCACACGGGTGCACCTCGTTGCTAGTCTCGGATCCTGTCCACAGCGCTGCTTGCAATGCATGCTACAGGACCAGCAGAGCTGCCCCTAATGCGCACAGTATCGCGGTGGCGGGTACTAACAGCGTGGCAGCGCCAGAGCTAGGAGACTGTGTCGGCGTGCTTGTACTGCTGGTCGGCGCGGGGCCAAACGATGCGCTCGAGAACGGGTCGGTTGACGAGTCATTCGAGTTGGCTGAGGGTGCGGTCAGGTATGCTAGGAGATAGGTGGGCACAGTCTGCGCGTTGCCTTGTAGGGTTGCATTTAGAGCTGTGGCGATACTACTCGTCGTACCATTGAGCATCGATGCATTGAAGTAGTAGGCGTCCTCTTGGACGTTTCTGCGCATTCGCATGAGCTCGCGAATCTGATCAAAGCGGCGAACTCACTGAAAGGTCATCTGGAGCGTCTTTGAATTTTGCAGATTCCGTGCTGTGAGGATGGTCAAGGGTGACTGGGTATCTTGTATCGTACATGTGCCATTGAGTGTGCTGTAGAGGATGATAGCTTGGGCGCCAGCTTGATATGCCAGGTCGAAGACTGACGCGTTGGAGGTGACATAGGATATATTACTTTGTGAGAGTGATGCGTTTGCATTGATTTCCGTGAGATTATACGGATCGCATGAGATGAGTGCGATCCATGGCGCAGAGGTCGTGTTCGTGCCCGAGGTGGTGTTAGTCGCGTTGCTCACTGGACTCGGCACGAGATCGCTAAAGTGTGTAAGGACGCCCTGTGAGCGATGACGTGAGCAAAGAGGTCTCTCTACGATCAGGCAGATGACAAACTGCATATTGCAAAGCTAAGCTGCCATTGTTCGCACGCATGCCGTCCGAGCCCACGAGCGTCACGTTGTCTGCCAATGGAACCGAATTCGCGCTTGCTTGTCTGAGCATGGCAACAGATGTCGTCAAGAGGCCATCTTGCCAGTATATCGCTGTGGTCCAGTCCGTGCTCGCATTGAGTGGCAGGCTTGCGTTGCTGGCTGTGGCTGGCACGACTGCCAAGACGGCGCGCAATGACACAGTCGCTATCAATGCTTGCAGCACTGCACGGCTCATCCTACGCTGACTCGCCTGATGACGAGAGCCGACGAGATGGACTTGAAGATGATCCGGAGCCGACTATGTCGTGCAAAGGATCGATGTCGAGTGCGGAGAGATGTCGTCGTCGTGGTTGTCGTGACGCGACGACAGAACCAAGACGAACGAGGCTTGCCGTCTCTGCGTGTGAGGCGATGCATGCCAGTTGACACAGCAAGCCATGGAGGATGATCCAGACTGGTCGGACCATCAGGCAAGAGCGGAACCGCCCGACTTTGGCCCGGCATCACGTCTACGCTCGCCTTATGATACCCTCAACGGCTCAGCGAGTTTGTCTACCGAGACCCTCAACAGCTACAGGAGACCCAACGGCAAGGGTCGCTTGCCGTCTTCTTGCGACTTTGGCGCACGCAAACGAAGCTCGGCTGCCCGCATCTTTACGCCTCAGCAGGACAATCTCGATGCAGATGGAGCCAGACGGTTCGAGGATTTTGCTACTATAGGTTCGTGTCAGGCCCTGTTCAGCAGGCAGCAGTCACGCTCAACCGGGTACATGGCCAGACTGGGTTCAGGATACCCTGTTCGAACGGAACAGACGGATTCGAGAGGCTCAGACGGGCGCGTCTGACGATGTGCGTTCCTGGATCTCAGCCTCACTCGAAGCCGGGCAGTCCTGGTTCGTCATCAGTATCGTCGGCACGTCTGTATCCCACCATGTCCAACAATGCTGATGCGATGTGTCTGATCAGGCGCGCTGATTGGCGTCAATGCGGCATTGATTTCGATCGTCACAGTCTGGCTATCGGACGTGAGGACCGGTCACTGCACTTCAGGCTGGTGGCTCTCGCGAGAATTCTGCTGTTGGGAGATTGACGACGGTGATGGAGACTGTCAAGACTGGATCAGATGGTCTTCCTGGTCGCCGCTACGCTACTTGGCTTATGTCTTCTTCAGCGTCGTCTTTGCTGCTTCTTGCGCGTTCACTGTCAAGTCGTTCGCACCCTATGCCGCTGGGTCAGGCATCAGCGAAATCAAGTGCATCTTAGCAGGCTTCATCATCCGTGGCTTTCTTGGCATGTGGACGCTTGCCATCAAATCAATCACTTTGGTCAGTCGCCATCCTTGTCGAGCGAGCGTCCCTGACTCGCTTCACAGCCATTGGCCATCGCCTCGGGCCTATCTGTCGGCAAGGAAGGGCCTTCCGTGCACATGGCAGCCTGCATTGGTCATGTCGTTGCGCGATGCTTCACCCGCTTCTCGCGGTCGCAAGGTCAGCCCTTTGCATCAACCTAGAGACCGAGCTCACCTCTGTGCAGCCAAAATGCGCGAGATCGTCACGGCTGCGTCAGCAACGGGCGTAGCAGTCGCTTTCGGCTCGCCCATCGGGGGCGTACTCTTTGCACTCGAAGAGATGACAATCAACTTTCCGCTCAAGACGATGGTCCGAACATTCTTCTGCGCGCTCGTCGCTACTGTTACCTTATCCGCTATCAATCCTTTCCGGACGGGAAAGCTCGTACTCTTTCAAGTCAGCTACGACCGCGACTGGCATTTCTTCGAGGTCATCTTCTTTGCCATCATCGGGATCTTTGGCGTGAGTACGCTCGTGATGCCAGGCACGCTTCACTAATACATCGATGCTAAGGGTCTGTACGGCGCATTCGTCATCAAGTACAACCTGCAAGTACAGTCTTTCCGACGGAAGCATCTGGCAAACTATGCGATCACCGAGGTTATCCTCCTGGCTCTGATCACTGCGATGATTGGCTACTTCAACACGTACATGCGCATCGATATGACCGAAAGCCTCGAAGTCCTCTTTAGGGAATGCTCAAACGGTGGCGATTACGATGCGCTGTGCCAGTAAGATCCGTGCCTTTCCCCCAAAACATCCATTGATAGCTTTGCAGAACTTGGGCACAATGGCGCAACGTCAACTCGCTCCTGCTTGCGACAGTACTGCGTACGATACTAGTCATCATCTCATACGGATGCAAAGTACCGGCCGGTATCTTTGTGCCCAGCATGGCCGTCGGCGCCACGTTTGGCAGAATGGTCGGTATACTCGTCAAAGCACTCTACCTCGCCTTTCCACACTCGAGCTTCTTCTCTGCCTGCGAGCCGGAGAAACCTTGCATCACACCTGGCACATACGCTTTGCTTGGCGCGGCAGCTGCGCTGGGAGGCATCATGCGGATCACAGTCACCGTCGTCGTCATCATGTTCGAGCTCACTGGCGCACTCACCTATATCTTGCCGACGATGATCACACTCATGGTTACTAAAGCCGTCGGTGACTGTTTTGGCAAGAATGGTATCGCCGATCAGATGATCACATTCAATGGCTACCCTTTTCTGGATAAGGAGGAGCACACCTTCAACACGTCTGTGTCTCACTTGATGAAGCATGATCTCGTGAGCATCTGCGCAGAAGGCACAAAGCTAGACGAGGTCGAAGCGAGGTTGCGGGCTTCAAGCTTCCAAGGCTTCCCCATTGTCAGATCTCGAACCGATGCGACCCTACTCGGCTACATTGCCAGGATCGATCTGGAGTATGCCGTCAGAGAGGCTCATGCAAGCGCCATACTGTCGCCAGACGCGATATGCGTCTTTGTGAGGGAGACCTACCATTCGCCATCTCAGAGCGAAGATGAAGAAGACTACCTTGATCTACGATCGTGGGTCAACGAGACCCCGCTGTGCGTCAATCCACGACAACCAATGGAGACCGTGATGGATCTTTTCAAGAAGCTCGGGCCAAGGATCATCCTCGTCGAGCAATACGGCAAGCTCGTTGGACTCATCACGATCAAAGATATCCTACGGCATATCCTGGACGAAGACAAGCGCGCGCACAACAGAGAAGATGAGCCGACGTTCGAAGATACCCTCGAGGAAGCCGGAGATTGGCTTCGCAAGCGTCTCTCGCGTCTGCTGCTGCGACTGACAGGCCGGACGCTCATTCCATACCATCGTAACGACTCGCTGCCGGACACATTGTTCGATCGAGGGCAGCGTGAATCGACCGAGTCTGACGGTATACCTCTAGATGAACGAACATGACAAGTGTTGCTTGTATTTGCACAACAGCAGTAATTGACTACAAAGGAAGCATTGATTATTCAAGTCGCATGTGGACGAGCTTATCGCCGGCATTGCCAAGCTTGTTTGACCGCTCTTCATCACGATCGCTGGCAAGCTTTCCGTGTAGCATACTGAGGGCAGATGGGCGTCCGGCTGATGAAGACAAGCTCGAGGCCGTGCCCGGAGAAGTAGCACGGCTGCGCGAGCTTTGCAAAGACTGCAAGTAGCTCGTCGCGTTGCTCGGGCTTACCGGAATCGTGATGGGTAGAGTTGGATTGGCAAGCATGCCAAGGCTCGGCAGGGCAGGCAGAGGTGAGATAGCAGTCGAGTAAGTGAGAACGGGCGACGCTAGCGGTCCTGGACTGATTGAAGTTGTGGGCGAGACAGCACGGCGCTTGAAGGCCATAGTGGAGTACGGCTCAAACCGCTCGCTATCGGTGACCTTCCGCTTGCCTGGTCTGCCCGCGCTAACGGGCGTACTCAGCGCGGATGCCATCTCCTCCGGATCTCGAGAAGTGCTGGTCCGTGATGTCTGATCGCGGAAACCCATCCACTTTGCAGTGGCTCGCCGGGCAGCAGCGGCCGCTTCATCTTCGGCCTTGTAGCGATCCAGGCTGAGATCGAAGGGCGGCACACTTTGTGAGCGTGTGGAAGGTTCGTCAGAGCCCATATCGACCGTACCAGTTTCACTAGCACTGCTGTCCTCGTCATCGTCCCGTTCTGCGTCGTCGTCGGCCGACTCTGGGAACCGGTTGTGCGTGTGAGAGACAGAGGAGCTAGATCTGGGACCACGCATATGGCGAGGCGTCAGATGGGATGCTGCCGACTTTTGCAATCGATGGAGGGCAGCTTCGGACGCAATCTCTTCGTCATCGGGTCGCCCTTGCTCTCCCCGCATCTGCGCCATCACTCTCATGTGTGACTTAGCTTTCGGCTGCCCCTTGATGGTATGAGCTCGTCTTCAATGGGCCGAAGACTTGACTTACGATCAGATTTGAGCGTCTGACGACACGACGTGCGGGAACAGCGTCATCAGGACTGCGGAATCCAGCATCCGCATGATCGGGTGTAGACGGCGGGTTATCGTGCATGAACGCAATAGAAGAGTCTAAGCTCTTGCCGAGCTCAGATTGAGTGTGTATGCTGTTCGATATTTGCCTCGGTTCCGTCGGAGTGACAGGCGGCGCATCTGCGTTGAGACTGTTCATATCGTCCAGAGATTGGCCGTCTAGAGCGAGACGGCCCGGCGGTGGTTGAAGCGCAAATGGCAGCCGTGGAGCGCTCAAGGGCGGCGAGGCTTGCATGCCGCCTCCAGGAGAATCGCTTTCGGCGCGGCTGATGGGTGGAAGCAGAGCGTTTGAAGCTGGCGGCGGATTGAGCGGATTGAACGTACGTTTGTCCTCGGTGCACAGCATGAGAGGTGGTACGGTCGAGCTCGACAATCTCCGCTCCAGTCCGCTGAACAGAATCGGGCCCGTCATCTCTTTGCTCGAGAAGGAGGAGCTCGAGGACGAGGCGGACGAATGACGCAGTCTGTGAGGATGCGACGGTGTCGAGAAAGGTGTTATGCCATTGGCAGGCTGCATGGGACCGAGCAAAACCTCCTTGAGCTCGTCCGAGTCTCCCTGCTCGCGTTCTTCGTCCTCTGAGAGCAGCATATCTGCATCTTCTTCCTCGAGCGGCTGACTCTGTGAAGCAGCCATCGCGCTTGCCGTCACTTCACTGGCCAGCGCGCTGTGCTTCCTCGGTGCGACGGTGTGGAATGACCGCCGACTCGCGATCGGATAGTCACTCCATAGCGACTGATTGGAGCTATCCGCAGAGGACAAGCCACCGAACGGAGCATAGCTGTGTCCCAGTGCGGGCGAAGTCGTAGGGGAGGATGTAGACGAGGCTGTGGTGCTGTTCGCAGATGAGGTAGGTAGCCCAAAGGCGTCCAGGCTTGTCGGAAAGGCGGACGTGCTGGTCGTTTGTATGGCGGCCCTGACCGCTCCGGGCGACTTATCCGCCCCTTCTGCGCTCATAGAAGCCGTCAATGCATGCCGAACCTGCCGTTCATGTGACTTTGATGAGAGGACACGTTGATAGCAAAAATTGGAGTCACTCTCGAAATTGGGCTGTCACCTCTTATCGACATGGCCAGCACCTCAAGCGACCCACATCCCCACACAAAGAGCGGACAGCCTATCTGGCTCCGCGCAGAAGATAAGCCATTCGAAGCGCGAGCTGCCCTCACGCCTACGACTGCCAAACAGCTGCTTGATCAAGGATGGGATGTCACCGTCGAGCGCGACCCTCAGCGCATCTTTGAGGACAAGGAGTACGAAGAGTCAGTGAAGGGCGAGCGTCGGTATTGCACGAGCTGAGTCTGGGAGTCTCTTGACAGTGTCGGCTGTACCATCGTGCCTCATTCGTCCTGGACGACCGCTCCTCATTCGGTACCTATCCTCGGCCTCAAAGAGCTACCCGTCACGACAGATCCCCTGCCGCACACTCACGTTCAGTTCGCTCACTGCTACAAGCAACAAGCAGGCTGGCGCGATGTCCTTGCACGCTTCAGAGCAGGCGGCGGCACTCTGCTTGATCTCGAATTCTTGCAAGACGAAAGGGGTCGACGCGTTGCTGCGTTTGGCTACCATGCCGGCTTCGCTGGAGCTGCCGTAGGATGTCTTGCACTCTTTAGTCAGGTCGTGCAAAACGACAGATTGGGCTCGCTCAAGCCGTATCCGAACGAGCAAGAGCTCATCGATGAAGCGCGTACCAAGATTGCAGAAGTCAAGAAGTCGCTCGGCAGAGGCGTCAGAGCTCTCGTCATCGGCGCTCTCGGCCGCTGCGGCGGTGGCGCAGTCAGCTTCTTGCGCTCTGCAGGTCTCGAAGATGGCGATATCCTCAAATGGGACATGGCGGAAACGGCAAAGGGAGGACCGTTCTCTGAGATCCTCCAGGTCGACATCTTTGTCAACTGCATCTACTTGAGCTCCAAGATTCCCCATTTTGTCACGCAAGAGACGATCAGACAGGCCGGCGAGACGAGGCAAGTCAAGCTGGCCCGACTGATTCGTCAGCCCAATTGACGCGGTTTGACAGGAACCTTTCGGTCATTGTTGACGTCTCTGCGGATACGACCAATCCGAACAACCCTATACCCGTCTACGACATCAGTACGACTTTTGACAAACCTACTGTGGATGTAGCGTAAGCATCTGGCTGCTCTCCAGCGCCTCAGCTGATGCAATGGTCGACCTTTCAGATCATCGGCCGGTCCGGTTCTCACATGCTGCTCAATCGATCATCTGCCCACTTTGCTACCGAGAGAAGCATCAGAAGCCTTTTCGAAGGATCTCATGCCCTCGCTCTTGCAACTGCCGAACCGTCACACGGCGCGCGTGTGGACAGACGCAGAAAAGTTATTCCGCCAGAAGCTAGCAGAAGCAGAAGCTGCAGCGTGATAGCTACCGTGCGAGCATTCCATTGTTTTGCATAGCAATTGCAACAACATAGAGACAAGATCAATCTGATGACAATTCTATGACATGTCCTGCTTTTGCGATTTCCTTGCGAGTACCGCTCGTTTTGCGTGTTCTCGCTTGAGCCAGTGTACTGGCACTGATAGGAGGCTTGGCCGCTGTTTTCGACTGCGGTGCGAACTTGAAGACTGGTAGATCCGGAAGACTTTCGTCAGAGTCGCTTACAACTGCTACTGAGGCAGCTTTGTGCGGTGAAGTCTGTTTACTACTTTTGCGCGGTGACTTTGAAGGTGAGCCGGGCGCCACACGCATGCTATCTAGAGTGAGCGATCTCTGTCGGACTTTGATCGGCGATTTCCGCACAGGCGCACCGATGATTTCGATGTCCGAATCGGTATCTTGTTCGGCTAGTACATTCGATGCGGTAGGCTTTGCACTAGGCCGTACATTCGACGAAGACGACTCTGAGCTCGATGTCCTGTCAAGCTTGGGAGCAAAGATAGAGCCAGGCAGTGTTGTTTGCTTCATAGTCTCTTTCTTCTTTGTCTGTTTGTCCTTCTTGCTCGGTGATCGCTGAGCCTTCGTTGCCTGCGCCTCTTCGTAGGCTTCTACCAAAGCAGGGTAGCCAAGCCTGAGAGCCATTTGAGGGAGCCAGACGAGGCAGATTGCATCCGCATCGAAATCTTCGCCAGTCGCTTTACGTGTCTTGCTGGGTGAAGCTTCTGCGCCTGCCATAGCCTGCTCATAAGCTCTTGCGGCTTCGTTCTTTTCGGCTAGCTTGGCTTTACGCAAGCGATACGCGTCCAAGTTAGGGTCGGGTGTCGTCAAGTTGGCCTTTACTTGCTCCACAAAGTAAGATGGGTCTATTTCGACGCGATACTCCAAGGTGTCGTCTGTCGAGTGATGCTTGCGCGTTCTGACGATTTTGCGACACGTCTTTGAAAGCAGCCAAGAGACGGGCTTTGCTTTCTTCGGCGTGGCCAGCCCGAGCGTGTCGAGTTGTCGGGCCAGCTTGCGGGAAGGCGTCAAAGGCGTTGTGGCACTTGCTGAGGAACAGGCAGCGAGCGTTGGCAGCTCCAGCGCAGATAAGCGTAATTCGTGCATGATCAGGCCAGGGTAGACATTGCCAGAGAGGTACTTGAGGAGTTCGTGATGTGTCCATTCGAAGCCTTGCTGGCTCTCCTTTGCAACGCACAGCCGGACGATAGCTTCAATGTCTGGCGCACGAGTCCATGTAATGTCGCGTCTGAAGCTGGCGAATTCGCTGCATGCCGTCGTTGCTGGTCGAACGTAATGCATCAAGACGTCCATGCGAGGAAACGTTGGCGTGATGCTATCTGCCAGCACTTTGTAGCGTCGTCCCAGCTCACCAGATGCATTTGTTCGTAGCTCCGTTTGCAATCTTTCACGCCAGTGCTTCATACCTTCACTGAGCTCGGCAGTCTTGCTGTCCTTGATGATGCACATGAGTTCTTTTCCGTAACCGCATCGCGTGAGGCCAGCAGCCACGGTGGGACCACATTTCAGCAGGCCTGCCGTGTCATAATCGCCGCCACAGAGCAACGCGATCAGAATCATGTCATCACGATCCAGACCGGCCTTGAGAAGGACACGCTCGGCCGAATAGACTGTCACATGGTGGTCGTCGTTTCTTGTGACTTTTGTAGGTTCGTCGTCCTCAGCGTCTGGGGTGACTGATGAATGATTCGTCCTGATTTGCTTTCCCTTTGCATCCTTGCCAGACAGATTGGTACCCCAATTGCGCCAGATCAGATGAGCACCAAAGACGAATGCATCGACATCATCGGTCATGATGGCGTCGATGGTGCCCGAGCTATTAAGGTATGCGAGCTCCGCTTCTGCTTCGCCGGGCGCGACGATCCATTCGAAACCAAACGCGACGATCATCGCTTGCAAAGCTCGAGCGACGAGAGTGTTTGTTGATTGTGTACCCACTCGTTGACCTCGCTTCCATGTCGGCTTGTGAGGACCATCAAAGACGAACAAGCACTTTGCGCCGGAGCGTAGTAATCTGGCCAGTCGAAAGAAATGCATGCGTAGCTCTGGGTGTGTCCTGCCCTGGCTGAAATTGGCATGGAAGGCCCAGATTGATGCGTCGATGCCGAGCGTGAGAGCTCTGAGGTCAGTACTCTCGAAAGCCTCGAATGTCATGGCCGACCAAGCTTTGACTTGGCCCGCTGGCCGTATGAGATCCCATAGACCGGCGACGCCCTGTAGCCAAGCTTTAGCGTGAGCATAGTAGCGAGCAATGCATAGCGAGAAGTCGCCTACCATTGTGGGCAGCCGCCCGTCGTCGCCCAAGTCAGCAAAGCAAACGCGACGCGCAACGACAAGAAAGACGGCATGTCGAATGACATCATCGATCCCACGGCCTATAAGCATCGCACTTGCATCACACGCACGCACAGACATCGCTATCGTCAGTATCACCCGGCCTTCCCCATGCCCAACTCACTGCGACCGCAGACTATGTCGAGCAAGTTCCTCTACGCGACACGACCCATGCTCCCGTCGTGCTGCTCCTACATGGCTTCCGTAAGCTTCACAATCACGATGGAAGCTCTATTGATACTTTCGCAGCCGATCTGTGGTACGGCTGGCGCTACCAAATCAAGGCCCTTGCGCAACACGGCTGTCGCGTGATCTGTCCCTCCATGATAGGCTATCACGAGACTGTGAGCTGGGCCTTGCTAAGCTCACATCCAGTCTGATATCAGGCGTGTAGAGCAAACCGAACGATGCAAAGTACTATACCTTAAAATCCGCTTGCCTAGATCTGTCAGAGCTGCTCGACGAGCTGGACATCAAGAGTGTCATCTGCATTGGCCACGACTGGGGCGGCGCAACAGCTTGGCGGTTCGGCCAATACTACCCAGAGAGGACGCGTGCAGTCGCATCGTGTGCTTTCCAGGCATTATCGCGAGCAAAAAGCTGACTGCTCGACAGTGTATGTACATCTTATTTTGCACCCCCGCCTGCACGAGCCGACTTCATACCACTCGAGCAACTCACAGATACGCTGCTGCCCAATTTTGGCTACCAGCTCTGGTTTGCAACGGATGAAGCGGCGGAAGTTCTGCAGGAATGCTTGAACGAATTCATCGGCGCCGGCTTCTCGCCTTCCCTCATGCGTACACTCAGGAAAAGTCCACATCGCGGGACTGAGAAGGCAGAGAATTGGACTCGCAAAGGTACAATCAAGCTCGTGTATCACTCCGCCGCTGATTCGAGAGTCAGGCGAGCTGCGGTCGAGCATGCTGCGGCGGCTCGAAGCAAGGCGCGCAGGCAACGGCGTGCAGCTTCCTGCCAACGAGCCTGTGAGTTGCAATCAATCATGAGACGCCGGCAAAGCTGAAGCCGACGTTAGGAGCGTGATTACTATCTGGCCACGTTTGGCAAGAACGGCCTTGCACCTGCTCTGAGCTGGTACAAAACGACTAGGCTCAATTTTGACGACGAGCGAGGCATGCCGCGCAAGTACCCGGTCGGCATCCCTGCTCTTTTCATGCCGGCAGAATACGATGCAGCTCTACCCTTGTGGATGTCGCAGAACATCCAAAACTACTTCGCACCTGGTCAGCTCGAAGTCGATCTGATCCGTGGTGGCGATCACTGGGTCTTGCAAGACGAAGCTGTGCGCGACGCAGTCACTGCGAGGATGATCACATTTGTCGAACGCGTCCTGAGAAAGGAGAACGCCAAATTGTAGTGGCTCAGAACCATATTGAGACCGAGTGCGAGGTAGTCAGACTTCTAAAGGCATGCCACCATCCCGGCGGAAGCAGCAGTACATCGCCAGAATTCAGGATCGCCTCTTGTGAAAGATTGCGAGCTCGGTCGAAGCCGACAGGAAGACTAGTCTCATCGAAGACGTTGACGCGAGACGTGTTAGTCATCAAGGCTGTCTGACCGGCTTCATCGACGTCGACGCTTGAATCGAAGCAATGCATATCTCTGCTGTTGAGCGAGGGAGGGGCAATCCATACCTGCTTCCTACCTGCTACTTGTACTGCTCGCAAGCCAGTCAGTCCATACCTTCGACGGCCTGTCACAGCTTACTATAGCAGTTGAAGTAAGGATCGGTATGAGCGGGCGAGAGCGTCCCGGCGGGCCCAAACCAAGCATTGAGACTGTACTGGAGCTCGTTCATAGGTGGATGGTAGCTTGGCAAGTGATCAGGTGCTTGTGGCGCAGAGAAAACCACATCAGGCACGATGATGTCGTCCCTCAGCTCTGGTATCTGCCGAAACAGGTCATGTTGCGCCAGATATAGCTTGTCTGCTTTGACGTCCTCAGAGGCAATTGCGCAAAGAAAGTCGTCGAATGGCATAATGCGTTGTGTCCAATCGTCCTGCGTGTAGGAGCCGCCTACTTCGACTGGTATAACGCGAGCTGGACCGGCTTTACGAGAAAGGTAGGATAGGTCTGGCCATTGTATACATGCTGGCCAGTCGGAACACCCATTACGGACGACGCGAGGCTGTTTCGGCATGAAGAGCGGCATGCGGTCAAGTAGCTCGATGGGTCGCGTCAAGTCAGGCTGGTCAACCTTTCGTCGCTTCCCTGGGCGTTTTGCAGGAGTGTCGTGTATGTCGTGCACAAGAGACTGCTGGACGAAGCGCATGAGCGCAAAGATGAGTGGCTCGCGATCCTCCGCGCCTGCAACGATGATGGCCATGTCTAGCAACCTGACCGTCTCTGCGTGCCATGATTCATCGCGGTTGGCAGTCTTGCACCTTGCACAAGCGAGCAGCAGTGTTGCATCCGTGTAGAGATATCGCCAACATGCAGGCACTCGATCGTAGTGGTAAATGCGCAGCCGTTGCTGAGCCAGTGTGAGCAAATCTCGTGCTGATGGGATGTCGCTCTTTGACAAAGATTGCTCGAACAGCCAGGCCACGCCAGGTCCGCATTGGGCTAGTCTGACGGCGGTCCCAGTCTTGAGACTCGTCAGCGTCTGCTCGAAGCACGGCGGCTCATCTTGCATGCGGAGAAGACAGAGGAGCTGCGGTGGAGCGCTGGGCTGTCGACTGGCGCGCTTTGAGGGCGAATTGGGTACTAGCTACTCCTCGAATCTGCATCCTTGCGACAATGTCTGACGACGAACGGCCTGCCAAGCGAGCCAGAGAAGCGTCGCAGGAGCAGACTGCCACGGACCGGCCAGCCAGCAAGTGCAGCAACGCTTTACCTCTATATCTGGCTTAATGCGGCAATGCAGATGGCAAAGAGGCAGAACCACGCATCGTAGCTTCAGACGAGGACAGCGATGACGAGGTTGGGCCTATGCCAGCTGCGCTAGAATCTCTCGAGCCCACCAGCAAGCCAAAGAAACGCAAAGGCTCGTTAATTCGTCAATACAGCGTGTGCACAAGCTCAAGCAACTCGTCGAGCAGTGCTCAAGCACGAGAAGCTGTACCTCGATCAGCTACCTACGGCAGATCGCTATCACCGCTCTTTCATGCATCGTGATACAGTTTCCGACGTTCTCGTCACAAAGTCAGTCGCCCTGCTCGGACCGTGATAAAATGCTCAACGAAGCGACTGGTTCCACAGAACCGACTTCATCCTGACTGCGTCCACAGATGGTCATCTCAAGTTCTGGAAGAAACGCGACATAGCCAAAGGCGAGACAGGCATCGAGTTTGTCAAGCACTACCGCGCCCATCTCGCGCCAATTCTTGCAGTCGTCGCAGACCAAGAAGGACTCGTCGCGGCCACGATTGCAGCAGACGGTGGGCCGAACGGTGCGCTGGGTAGCTGCAAGATCCTCGACGTCACCAATTTCGGTCGGCCATCCCGTGCAACAGCATGACCGGCACTTACAGTCCTGCAGATATCATCAATATCATCAATCTCGACTTTGTCCCCAAGACATGCTGCTGGGTGCATCAGAGAGGCAGCGGGCAATCGTTACTTGCAATGTGCGCATATCGCTGTCAGCTGCGAGCCTGCGCTAAGGTAGCAAAGCGCAGATCCGATGCTGACACACCGACGATTCGCATATACGACGGCAGAGGCGACGGCAAGGCCTTAGTGGCGCTCAGCAAAGTTCACAAGGCTGCTGTACATCTAATGACCGTAAGCTCAGTCCTCATCCGGCGTTCGATGGCCCCTGATGTGACTTTCATGTCTTACAGTATAATCCTGTATATGACATCATCGTGTCTGCCGACGAGAGCGGATTCATAGAATATTGGCAGCCAGTACGTCACACCATTGTCAGTCGTTTCTGAGCTCATCCGCCCAAAGCGAGAGGCATTTGAGCCGTCGAAAGACATAGCAGGCCTATGGCAATTCAAAAGTGCGACAGATCTGTACGAATTCAAAAAGGTGCGACAATGACATCGGCGCGAGCTTCACTCATTGCTGCGCAGACCAAGAGTATACCACTGTCGCTGACGATATCACCAACGGGTCAGCATTTTGTGACGACTTCGCTCACGACCGATCGGCAAATCAGGATATTCCACTTTCTGTCCGGCAAGCTGCATCGCAAGTATGACGAGTCTCTGTTGGCGATACAAGAAATGCAACAGGCAGGCACTGCCATCTATACAGTCGAGAATATGGAATTTGGCAGACGCCTTGCGCTCGAAAGAGAGCTAGAGCGTGTCGAGGCTGGCAAGAAGGAGCGAGCGATATTCGACGACAGTGGCAATTTCGTTTGCTATCCTCACCTGCTCGGCATCAAAGGCAGGTCTTTCACGCTTGACATATGTAGCGTACGTACTCACCTGTCTTCGACAGTGGTCAATATAGTTACTAACAAGGTTGCGCGGCTGCTGGGCAAAGATGAGACGATCCGTTTTCTCGACTTGTCTCTGCATCAGGCTTCCAGCCAAAAGAAAGGCATCATCACAGTCGTACGTGCTCCGTGAAAGCACTGAGCGTCAACTTACGCATCCTGTAGGCTATGGCCGCGTCTGAGAACCCATTGTTGGCGACAAAGACCGAACGCGATCCCATCTTGTTTGCGACAGCCTACAAAAGATCACGGTTCTACCTGTTCTCGCGCGACGAGCCCGAAGGCGAAGGCAAGAACGTCGATCGCGATGTTTTCAACGAGAAGCCGACGCGCGAAGAAGCGTCGATAGCGGCAGCACAGCCGACCGCCACTTCGGGCAAGCTTGCTCATAGCGCAGTCATCCACACGACCGAAGGCGACATCCATCTGCGACTCTTCCCGGAGCAAGCGCCGTTGGCCGTGGAAAACTTTGTTGGCCTGTCAAAGTCGGGTTACTATGAGGGCGTCATCTTCCACCGAGTCATCAAAAAATTCGTCCGTTCTCTTGTCTGCGTGCTAGCGCATGCTGACCTTTGCTAAAGATGCTACAAACCGGCGATCCATTGGGGGATGGAACGGGTGGAGAATCGATCTGGGGCAAGCCGTTCGAAGACGAATTCTCACCCGAGCTCAAGCATGATCGACCGTATACGCTGAGCATGGCCAATGCAGGGCCAAAGACCAATGGTGCGTCTAAGGAAACCAGCTGCTGTGCTCGGCTTATGCGAGCAATAGGTTCGCAATTCTTCATTACGGTCACACCGACGCCTTGGCTCGACAACAAGCACACCATCTTTGGCAGAGCTATCGCTGGACTTGACGTCATCCACGCCATCGGTGTGTCATGTGTGCACAACTGACTAAACAGAAGCTGACAAATGCGCCAGAGAACACGCGTGTCAATGCCAAGACGGACATGCCATGGGAGGAGATCAAAATTGTGTCTGTGGACACCGCATAGTGTCGAGATGCCCAAAAATTACAGACTTGCGCATGTCTACTGACTCTGCGCTCGACGGTCGCGGCGGGGCTCCATGAGCTGCTCTTCGAAACCTGATCATAATTGATGAGGCCGATGAGGATGCGACGTTTGACGCCGACGCGTTGCCGCGTTTTGGCATGCGTGCTGCGCACAGACTGTGCATCTCGCAGCATCTCTGTCTCATGACAAGCTCGCAACGCATCATCAGACGAATAGCGTGGACGATCTAGACATATCTGCACCAGAGGAGCGCAGAGGGAAGGGCGCTTGTCGTCATCAAGGCATTTGCGCATCCTCGCCTACTGGTGCACAAAGGAGGAAAGCCAGACTACCAGCTGAAGCATAAGAGGCTTCTGCGAGTCCTGTGAACACGATGGCGACTTGTCCATCGACCAACACTGCGAACACCGAACAAGATGATTTCTGGTCCGGCGGGACGTTCCACTGGGATGCACACCGCATTGGCTGGACTGTGAGCGGCGCTTGTGCAGCCGTGGCGACACTGCTCAGCTTGCTCAATGCTTATCTGCATGCTGCAAACTTCACGTGCAAGGCAGAGCAAAGGCAGATCATCAGAATCGTCATGATGCCGGCGGTGTATGGCATCATTGCCTTCTTCAGCTATCGCTTCTTCCGAGCGTACACGTACTATTCCCTGACAGAGACAGTCTACGAAGCGCTGGCTCTGGGTGCCTTCATGTTGCTCCTGGTCCAGTACATTGGTTCGGATCCGGAGAGGCAGAGAGAAGCGCTTGCGAGCAAGGAGAAGCGAAAGGTGCCATTTCCGCTGTGTTGCTTCCGCATGCGACCCTCGAAGCCCTACTTCATCTATACCGTCGTCTTCATGGTGCTGCAATACTGCTTCGTCAGACCGATACTCACGATCGTCGGCATCATCTGCGAGGCCTACAATATCCTCTGCATTGGCACTTACAGCGTGCATTTTGCCGCGGTCTACATCGACGCAATCGACTTTGTCAGCATCTCGATCGCCCTCGAAGGCGAGTCACCCCACTGTTGCTGCGACGCTCCTGACTAATGTGTCTCTGCGTAGGTTTGATCATATTTTACGCAATCACGAAAGATCAGCTGCAAGGCCGTGGCCCGCTCAGGAAATTCCTCTCGTTGAAGGCAATCGTATTCTTCACCTTTTACCAATCATTCGTGTTCAGCATCCTCAGCGATCACGGTGTTCTCAAGGCAACAGAGTACTACACGACGACCAATATAGCCGATGGCCTCAACGCGCTCGCTACCTCGATCGAGATGGTCGTCTTTGCCCTCTACAACTTCTGGGCGTTCAGACATACCGAGTATGCTCGACTGCGTGGGAAACAAGAGCATCATACCAGTGTCACATCAGCATTCCTCCTGGCATCGAACCCGTCAGACTACTTTGCCTACACCTGGATCTGCCTCAAATTCTTCGGCAATGCCATGGGCGGCCAGTCGAGCAGCCTCTCGAAATCAGGTCTTGATTCGGATCAGCATACTATCGCATCTGCTTTCCAGGTCGAAGGCGCTCAGCCAAGGCGCGCCTATGCATCGTACGGTGAAGAGGTGGAAGAGCTCGATGAGACAAAGTCGCTGCAGTCTATGCAGACCCATCAGACTCAAGCAACTTCAGCATACGATAGACCGTTCAGTGCGACTTCGCATACCCCCTACAAAGTGCCGCAATCGTCATCTGTGCCATTACAGTCTCGCCAATGATTTTCGCAACGACCGTGTTCTGTAGACCAGCCGCATCGCTAGACTTTGTCACCAATATGCAACGCTTGTGCCAGCCGATCCATGCTAACAGCGGAGAGCGCCATGGTGACACAACGGATACGTCTTGAGCTTTGTGCCGCTTTGGCAGGGCGCAAGAGGGGCAAAAAATGGTCACTGGAGCCGACGGCAAGTTCATAAGACGCGTCTCTGCGAGCGAGACATGCCCGAACATGTCCCAGTTTCACCTCAAAAGCTGTACGATCTTCTGCTCTCCTTCCCACCTTCATCGCCACTTTCCTTGGTGCGCAAACATCATGGTCTTCAAGTTGGTAGTGCTCGCTGCACTCATCAGCGCTTCGCTCGTCGCTGCCAACCCTGTGAATACCTTTCCTGATTGTTCGAGCTTTGTTTGTCTGACGAAGCTTTGTGCCAGAGCGGCGGTGATCAAGTCGGCAATGTTCTCGTTGAACGCGCTCCAGCCGGTCACGAAGATCTCTGCGCAAAGAATCCCACGCATCCCACGTGTCGCGTCCCGCACGACGCAGCGGTAGATCAATCGGCATCCGTGCGCGGCGACGCTTGCGTTGTTGTGCCCTTCTTCTGTCATCACAAGATCAGCAAGCGCAGCCTCATTCATGTCTGGTGGTGCCACCACTTCCCTGACGCCTGCGTTCACAAGAGAGCTGCATGGATTGCACAGGAAAAGCTCTGCAGTCGATGCCCTCATTGTGAGGAGTGTAAATCGCCTCCAGAGTCGAAGACTCTGGAAGAAGCACAGCTCGAGCGCGATCTCCACGACTGCATGACCTGGCCGGCTACATGCAACCAGAAACGCTCACCCACCGTGCCTCCTCTCTGCTCCAAGGGCGGAGGCGGCATACACGGTTGCCGCGAGGAGTCGACCGAGGCTCGCGACGTCGAACCGGCCGTGCATGACGATACCTGTCCCATCCTCGGTGGCTGCAAGGGCGAGAAGCACCATGGCAAGCGCGAACCAAACGACGGCTCGTGTGATCCCACACTTCCTCCTAGCAAAGGTGGCTGCTCTCGTCATGTCGATCGCGCTGTCCAGCCAGACGATGAAAGGCCTCCGCACGACGATGTATGCAATCCCAACATTCCTCCCAGCCGAGGCGGTTGCCTTCGTCTTGTTGATCGCAGCGAGAGTCTCTGCGAACCCACTGGAACAGCCTGCACGCTCGACGATCAGCCTGCCTCGGTCATCGGCACACTCGTCGAACCGCATGATGGCATGCAGATCAAGAACTGCAAGTCTGGCGCACTCTCTCTCGATGTCGAACTCGACAATATCCCCGAATTTGCCGATACGATTGCTTTCAACCTTTCCCCCTTCTGGCGTGGCGCTGGCAAGACTCCCATCTACACAGACATTGTAAGTCTTTCGGTCCCTTGACGTGAGGTAGCTCACATGTCGGCAGGAATGGTCAAAGTGGACTCATTTGCCCATCAACACCGCCAAGCGCTCTTTCAAGGGCTCGCTGCCTCTGCCTGCTCTCTACAGTGGCAAGAACAGTGAGTGACAAACACATCGCCTCGTACTGAAGCTAAAGCATTCGTACAGTGTTCTCGTACACGTTGACCTCGTCAGTTGGCAAATTGCTTCCTGGTCCCAAGATCCAGAACCCACCGACGCAGACTGGCGGTGCTCTTACGCTCATCGCTCGAGCATGTTGATCCCTCTAAATGCAAGCCCGTCCAGCCTGCGTTCGAGCACGTGCAGCAGAAGTCGCGTTTTGTAATTTCGACGTGGGCGCGATAGTCGTGTGCCGATCCTGCCTGATCACACATGCATGAGGGAGCGACACAAGAGCTCGGACGGAGCTGTGCATGCGAGCGGCCGATATGAGTTGCTACCGACCGCGGTTGATCCGGCTGAGAGGCCAGCAGAACGCTCAGAAGTCGAGTTGCTCAGCAGGCGACCGTGGCTCAAAACGCTGGCGCTGCTGCTGCTCACAATCTGCGCACTGATCGGTCTACTCGCAACACTAGGCAGAGTGACCCATAGTGGCACGAGCAACGGAGGAGAGAGACTCGAAGTCGTGTCAGCTTTGCCGAACCAGAGTTCTGGGGAACTGCCTGATGGCACGCTGCGAGGCTCTCTCGATGCCGCTCTGCCACTGTGTCAGCGCACGCTACTCTATTCCTTTGCAGGCAGGTTTCGCGGGCGTCGGAAGGTTGAGCTGACACGGATTGACAGGACTGCATGGCTTTGCGAGCGAGTACATGTCATTCCTGCGAGTGGCCGTACTGGCTCAACGCTTCAACTACACCCTCTTGGTCGATGATCATGCGTGGAACTACGGCAAGATGTCAGACTACTTTGATCTGCCTGCTCTCGATTGCAGACTCCCTCGACGGTGGGAAAGCATCAAACGGCCACGGATGAGCTACAACAACGCGACGAACGATCTTACTATGCCCTCTTGGCTTGTGCATAATCATGTAAGATACAAGCGAGATTTTCGCTATCTCGATCAGCTCTTTCTTGCAAATTACGTCGAGCCGGCCGACCTGGCATCGCTGCACGAACGCGATGTGCTCGAATTTCCTAGACCGGCGCCTCTGTCCGCTCAAGCAACGATCGAGCCTGCATTCGTGAACGCGTTGGATGAGCTCGGTCGTGTTGCGCACATCTACTGGCAACCGAACGTTGCTGTCCGAGCGAAGATGGCAGCACTTGAGAGACGAGAGTTTTGGCAGAGCAAGCGCGTGCTGGGCGCGCACATCAGACTAGGCGACAAGTCCAAAGAGTCCGCTGGCATATCGCCGCTTCACCTCTTCTCGAAACACTCAGCATCGTATAAAGCGATAGCACAGCGCATTGCACTACGACCAAAACCAGAAGCAAAGCTAACCGCGCAGGTCGCGGCAATCTACCTTGAAGCGGCTTCAGACATTCTAGATTCCCTTCGTCAGCCTGCTAGGTATCTCAGACGGCTGCAAAGGCGGCAGGAAACGAGCACGACGCTGCTCATCATGAGCGATGCAGCGACGGCTGTCGACGATTTGCGCAGCTTCTCGACCCATCCGGAGCTGAACGTCCAATCCACGCAAGGAAGCCCAGACGAGAGCACACAGCAAGAAAAGCCGCGCAGCTGGATCCGCGTAGCGATCGATCGCCTACTTCGAAGGGCACAAGGCTTTCACGAGAGCGCCTGGAATCGGCTTCCAGAGGACGAGCGGGTTGCGAGAACGAGCGAGATGATCAGCGACATCACGGTCATCACGAGACGATGCAATGGCTTTGTCGCAGCAGGCTCGTCCAATGTCGCCCGACTTATGACCGTGCTCGCGATCGACAAGGCAAAACTTGGTTTAGTGCGCAGTATTGACGTCCGTATTTTCCCTACTGCCATCTATCAATGACAACGAGGTAGGTGTGACATGTTGTACATTGCACTGCAGACACGCATACGATCCTCTTCTCATCATAGCTTTCGTCTATCCGGTATCGGCGATCTCGTGTCTGCTTGTGCCTCTTTCATCTCCGGTGGGCCCGTCAGCTTGCCCTCTAGCTTCTCCGCCTTCCACGTTCCATCGGTGTCGTGCGCATATTGATGTAGTATAGGCTTGTAGACGTAGTACCCCACAGCGACGCCTATATGTCGCTTGTCAGAAAGAGCCGAAAGCAGGCATTTGTCTAGACTCGCCCGTGAAGATCGTCAGGGCTGGTACCACAATCTTGCCGCCTAGCGGTCCAGTCATTGGAGCAGTCTACAAGCTCAACGACACTGTCGGAGATCGAGCGAAGTGCCAACAAAGGAGACAAAGATCTAAAGATCGACGCGCGTCATATGTGTTGCGCGTTCTGATCACGAGCAACTGGCACGGGACAATCACACTCTGGAGGAACAACATATACATTTGAGTGGTCGTGAGCAGTTTACACATTGCTACGATGGGTGTTGCCAATGATAGCCTGACTTCAATATTCTTCATCGCAATCGAAGTCAGAGTCGACAGGCATGCGATGGCTGGGACGTGAGCCGTGATGATGCTCATGACGCCCATGACGCTCGCGAGGAGGCTCGTGATGGTCGCGACGACCTCTGCCGTGGGGCATGCCATGGGGACCATGGCAACCGTGGCGACGGCCAGGGAAATCACCGCGAGGACCGCTATGAGGAGGTCCATGGAAGGGCGAGTGACGAGGTGGGCCATCGAATTCTGGCTCTCCTGGCGGACCGTGGTGAGGCGGTGCGTGATGAGGGCCCCCGAAAGGCGGATGGGGTGCAAAAGGTGGGTGAGGAGGTCCGCCGAACATCTGGACGAGGAACGGTGGCATGCCGAAAGTCGCGGGCGGAGGTACTTGTCCGTGGCGGTGCGGTGGACCAGCACGATGAGGTGGAGGCGGCGGGTGTCCATGACCGAAGTGTGCACGTCCGTGGTGTCTCGGCATGCCAGGGAAAGGTGGTTCTTCGCCAGCACGTGTTTGTCCGAGTGCGCCTTGGATGACCTGCCCGATGCTTTCGATGATATTGCGCGAGAGATCAGACGCATTGCGGGTTGGTTCACCTTCTAGATCACTCTCGCTATCGGAAACAGTAGGAGCGACAGTGTCTGCTGCAAGATCGAGTGCGTCGCTGACGATCGCCTGGACAGCAGTCTGCAGTTCTGGACCTGCCTGATCGACGATGCCTCGGATGGAGTTGATGAAGCTTTCGACAGACGAGCCGAGGTCGCTAGGAGGACCATCACGAGGCCCACGTCGCGAGTGGTCGTGATGACCGTGCCAGGGTCCTCTTCCACGTCCGCCTCTCGGACCGCCACGACCACCACGGCCACTGCGACCATGACCAGGGTGAGGACCAGTAGGCGGCTCGAGGGGCATCTCAGGAGGGTCGTCATTCGAAGGGCCGCCGAGGACTGGCTTGTCGAGCTGAAGGAGTTCGAAACGAATGACAAAGGGCTTGTCTTGCTTTTCAGAGGCGAGGTAGTCGATAAGCGTTTGGTGATCTTTGTCGTCATAGCTTGCGCTATACGAGGTATAGCACTCGCGCAGTTCGGCATCAGTTGATCTGTTCCAGACTTCTTCGTTAGCCAAGCGCATCAACGTACAAACAGATGCGTACACTGCAATCTCGTCGCCATCTTCGTCGGTCCATGTGACGCCGAAGCGACGGGCAGGTTCGGTAGGACAGTAGAGTCGAATAGCGCGAGCAAGCATTGGCCAGGTCGGCTTGTCACTCTCGCTCGCGGCGAACGAGATCTTCCTGGTGATGCGTTCCTGATTGTCGTGTACGTGCGCCGGACCAGAAATCTTGAAAACGACATTCTTGGCGGTGCTGTCCAGCGCAGTCGAAGCCATTGCGTTTGCTATCTCGTCGGCGGGTGAATGGTGCGATCCTGGCGAGCTAAGATCCGAGTCCTCACCGAGTACGAGGATGCTTTCTTCGAGGGCTTCTTGAGCTTGCATGCTCATGACAGGAGGTGGGAGGATTGCTTGGCTTTATATGGGTCGCAATCGAGTCACAGGGTGCTGCGGATTGATCGCGCTCCACGGTGACTGCGGGCGGCGCTCGAGCCTTCTCGACGGTTTGCATCGGTTCACGAGGCGACCGCCGTGACTGCGCTCTGCGGGTGCAGTGACCCGACAGCACTTGCCAAGCGCTCACGAGCGAAGACGGTGTGACGAGCCTGAATGACGCTGTTGAGCGCTTCCTGAGCCAAGCATCGCCACGTGGGCATGAGCGATAGTTTTGACGCGCTTCTTCACATGAAAAGGAAGCACGCTCGCTCGACGACGACGGTCGTAAATTGGACACGGACTGAGCTGCATCCTTCGCAGGGCTATACCCGCACGGCATCAGTTGGATTGACAGGCCGGCGACCAGATAGCGTCGGCTGACGCGACACCACGAAGCCTCGCGCGAAATACTGCTCGAACGGCAGGCATACGCCGCCAAGACTTTCCTCACGTGGGCTGCGAGTGGACATCGAGCGAACGAGAGGCAAGAGCGGCTGTACTTACCTTCCAGCATCGTGGATCATCGTCATAGACCGTCGCCGAAGCGAGCTCCATGCTGGTCGGCTATTCATAAATTTGCGCTGCTAGGCAGCATTGCGTAAACCAGGGCGACAGCGGCATTGGCTTTGCGCTGCTTGCACCATTGAGCATTCGAAAGCCATTGGCTGAACTATCAGAGCCGACATCTGTCAACTCGGGAGCAGGCTCGTCAATGCTGTAGAGCCTAACGCCGTCTCTTCGGTTTTGCACAGTCCTGACATCACAACTACGGCCACTATAGCCGGAGAGCAAGCAGACAACTAGACAGCAGCAGCATGACCGATCGAGGGCCGCCCAGAGCTAGTCCACTGGCCGGCTTAGGCGAATCAGAAGCGGCGGACGAGCTCAGCGGTCGCATATCGCCACCGCGACAGCTTGACGGCGTGCCTTCTATCCGCGTCGAGCCAACGCTCTTTCGCGAAGCAGACATAGCGCTTGAGACACTCAATGCCCCTCAACTCCCAGCTTTGGCTGAGGCCGACGTCAGGCTAGGCAGTGGCGCTGCGTTCGGGCGGAGTAGGTCAATTGCGCGTTTAGATCAACTCGCGCCAGATCACTTGCCTGCGGGAGGCTCGGAGGATCCTCCGGGAGATGACTCCCCGCAGTCTGTAGAAGAAGAAAGCCAGAATCCGCCAGTGCGGATGCCGACCGCGCAAGACTTTGCGACGCGGACTCATCGTTCAAGCTCAGCTAGCGCGATGGGCTCGGCATCTGCGCCCGCAGCCGGACAGCTGCAGCTGCCACAACCGGCGGTCGTTCAAGCCAAGCGACGCGTACAGTGGGTAGGTATTATGGATGGACTAAATCATGACCATCATGAAAGGCGGCCAAACGAACCCTCGGGACACCATCCTCTCAGCAGAGAGAATTCGCTTTCGAGCTCGGCGGGTGCAAAGTCAGATGCCCCAAGCGGGTCCAATAGTGTCGACGGAGGTCATGTGGCGCTGACAATGCCGACTCCGTCTCCGATGGGCGAGCAGCCTAGAGGCGACAAGCCTGGCTTTTTCGATGCGTGGGCGGATCGCACTCACAGTAAGTCGTAGTGACGATTGTGCGACTTTACTGAGGCCGTAAGCAGACGAAAGCTCTGGGTTGAGATCCGGTCAGACGACGCCAGGCACACCGCCGAGTGGGATGACGACACCAGCTACCTCCCGTCCTGGCACGCCAGACTCTGACATTGACATAGTGCGCACGCTTCCTGACCACAGCTGACCGAGGCTTATTGGCACGTAGATTGATGGCGAGCGCGATGGGTTACCAACGAATCAGTCGCAATCTCGGCAGAACAAGATGTTCACTCGTCAGGCTGCTAAGCTAGTGGCTGTACACAAAGCCAAGGGGCGGTTTACAGCGCTCGCAGAACGCGCGCGAGCAAACAATGCCGGCAAGGAGCACAAGGCCAAGACAAAGGAAGAACTTATTCAGGAGTTAGCACCACCAGGTCCCGATTTCGGCATTCTCAGCAACATCTTGAGACGGGCCAAATCCAACGAGTCCGAAGGCGCTGACGCGAGCTCCCCATCGGAACGAGACTCGGAGAAGACAATCACCGAGCCCTTGCCGGCTGTTCCAAGAGCGCCTGCGCCGCAGCCGCCTGCGCAAAGTCACGAAGATCGACGTCGGGAGCAGCGCGAGCAGCGGCAAGCTCGACCGGGAGGCACCGGAGTCCTGTCTTCGCTGCTACGCCTGTACGAGCTGCCTGCATCGGCTGTCTCATCATCAGCTACGCTCGTTGCGGACAACTTTGCCGGCCGACGTGGCCGCGATTCCCGGCGCAATTCAGATGACCCTGCGATCAGTCGGACACATTCAGAAAGTGATGCTACACGACTGGGCGCCGAAGTTGGTCGTGCCTTCAGATCGGTTGCCACAGGCACTCTGCAAGGTCTTGGCAAGGCAACGGCTGGCGGCGTCTCGGGCGTCGAGAAGGCAGCTAATTCGATCGGTATTGAGGGAGAGGCGACGCGACCGGCGGCCGCTCGTTCGGGCGCAGGTGTCTTTGGCGCTTTGCAAGCTTCGGCTTTCAATCTCTCTGGCGTTGCCACACCGACAGGCAGCTCCGTCGCTCCCAATCCCAATAAGAGCGGCTTCAGGATATCTCGCTACCACCGCGATCAGGCGGTCGAGTCCAATGACTCGCCTTTGGCGCATACGCCTGGCAGCACTTCTCCTGTTGAGACGCCTTCGCGCAACCAGTCAGACAGCAACTTGGCGGGTATGCACAAGACTCAGAGAGCCTTTTCACACGCCAGCCGCTCGGCGAGTCACCTCTCCCTCGGCAATCTGGGAGAATTCATGGATCCCAAGAAGTTTCACAACGAAAGCGCAGTTCTCAAGCATCGTCGCACTGCATCTGGTACTGCTTCGCCTGCCGAATACGTAGAGAAAGAGCGAGCAAAGCACGGTTTACCAGCTACCCCGGGCCGTCACAAACGAGACAAGAGACGACAGGAAGAAATCTTCATCACAATGCACGTCGCCGCCATTTTGCAACGACAAGACTTCGTCCTCCGATTGGCGCGCGCGCTCATGATGTTCGGCGGACCGTCACATCGCATCGAATCACAGATCCAAGCGACGGCAAAAGTGCTCGATCTGCAATGTCAAGTCATCTACTTGCTCAACTTCATGATCATCTCCTTCGCAGACGAAGACACGCACACGAACGAAATCAAGTTTATCAAGCAGAATGCAGCACTCGATCTTGGCAAGCTGACCGAGATTGCTACGCTCCATTATGAGGTGATGCACGATCAGATCGGCGTCGAGGAGGCTTCCGCCGAGATGAGCAAGCTGATGAAGATGAAACCGACCTACACGAACTGGCAATTCGTATTGATTGGCGGTTTGTGCTCCCTCTTCATCGGTATCGCCTCTTTCGACGCGAGCGTCGTCGACTTTCTTGCCAGCTTTATCCTCGGCGGTCTCGTCGTCGCCGTTCAGTGCTTCGTTGCCACAAAGTCGGACATCTTGTCGAACATCTTCGAGATTGCTATGGCCGCTCTGTGCGCTTTCATCGCTGCTGCTCTCGCGTCCACAAAGATCTTCTGCTTCTCTGCCATTATCTCGAGCTCGATCGTGCTTATCCTCCCCGGCTGGCTCGTATGCAACGCCGCACTCGAACTACAGGCACGATCCATTGTGTGCGGATCTGTCCGTCTCGTGTTCTCTGTGATCTACGCTCTCTTCTTGGGTATGTCTGACCTTCATTGGGTGGACACGAGCTGACTGGCTTGCAGGATTCGGCATTGGTATTGGAGGTCAGTTCTGGCGGCTCGTATCGGGCGATTCGGTCGTCACGGGACCACAGACCAACTCTTGCTCGATCGCCCACGGCCTGCAAGGCGACGAGACGAGCGTGCCGATCTGGCGTTCTCACATTTCGCTATGGTTCGCCTTCCTTGCGGTGCCCGGCTACGCGTTCTGTCTAGCTCTTAGAAATTCGGCGAGACTTAGAAGCAAGGAATTGCCGGTCATGGTCGTCTTTGCGTCGATTGGGTGGACGACAAATCACTTTGCCAGTATTGGCTTCCCTAATCGATCCGACATTTCCAGCGCGCTCGGTGCACTTGCTGTCGGCTTACTGGGCAATGTCTACGGCAAACTCTTCCAAGGAACCGCCTTTATTGTCACCATCGTGCCAGTTTTATTCCAACTGCCCAGTGGACTCAGTAACGGTGGACTGCTCATCTTCGCTTCCACTACGGATTCGACGACCTCGTTCAGTTCGGGCTTTGCAGTCGGAGAGCAGCTCGTGCAAGTCTCCATCGGCTTGGTACGTCTGGTGGCAAATGTAGCAGATCCACTGCTGACCTTGTGCCGCAGACATTCGGCCTCTTCGTCGCCCTCGTACTGGTCTATCCTTTCGGTAAGCGAAGGGGCGGCCTATTCACTTTCTGAACACATTGCAACGTTAGCATTTCGCATCCTCATTCGCATCTGCATTTAGACTTTGACGACGCATGGACATTCATTAGACCATTTGTACCTGCACAGCCTGCACAAGAACGCATTGCTTTTCATACGGAGATCCGTGTTCACGCTGCGTATTCGATGGAGTGATGTTTCATGCATCCTTGGACATGTTGGGCTAAGCTCTTGTGTGTACTTTGAGAAAGGCGCGAATAGGCTCGACAGCCTCGTCAAGATGCGTCTCGAGAAGGAAGTGACCGCCCTCAATGAACGTGATCTTGGCGTTGGGCAGATCACGCTTAAAAGACTCTGCGCCGGGCGGGATGAAGACAGGATCGTTCTTGCCCCATATAGCCAAGAGAGGAGGCTGATGCTTTCTGAAGTAGGCGTGGAAGTCAGGGTACATCGTGACGTTCATACGATAGTCATAGAAGAGGTCGAGTTGAATATCAGCATTGCCGGGACGATCGAGAAGTGCCTTGTCGAGTGTGTATGTGGCCGGGTCCACAGCTTCGGGATGCGCTTCGCCAGCCTCGTATTGGAAGCGAGTAGTCTCAAAAGTAAGCAGAGCGCGGATTGCCTCGCGTTGCTCAGCTTTGCCGTCCTGCCAGTATGCTCTGAGGCCACTGTCAGCCCAGAATGCGCCGAATCCCTCCTCGTAGGCATTGCCGTTTTGAGAGATGATGCTTGTGATGGCTTCGGGACGGGCCAGTGCTAGTCTGTAGCCAGTAGGAGCGCCATAGTCGAAGACGTAGACAGAGAAGCGCTTGATAGCGAGTGCGTCAACGAAGGCGCCAATGCTCTTTGCGAGGTTGTCAAAGCTGTAGACATATTTGCGCTCATCAGGCACCTTCGTGAACCCGAAGCCTGGCAGATCTGGCGCGATGACTCTGTACTCTGAAGCGAGGGCTGGGATCAAGTTGCGATACTGGAAAGAGCTTGAGGGGAAACCGTGCAAGAGCAGCACGACGGGAGCGCTTTTATCGCCCTGCTCGCGATAGAAGAATTTGATGCCATCGGCTTCGATTTGCTTGACCTCTGCCATCTTGTCCTGGTCTTCAGCTCCATCAGTGCCAGTGCTATATACCTTGTGCTGAATCAGCAAAGGAGGTGAGGAGTTGGAGAATGCTTAGTCAGCCCAATGACGACGGTATCGATCGCGCGACGAACCACGCGACTGCGCGCTAGAGTCTCTCCCGCCCATCCCGAACTTCGATGCCAGGCACTCTCCGCATCAAGTTGCAGACATTGCATCATATGTTCGAGCCAGCTGAGTCAGCGTACACCGTTTTGCTTCTGCTCCAGAAGCGCATAAATCTCGGAAACATTTGCCTGCCTGATCCAGAAGCGCACAAGATGACGGCCTCGCAAGCATTCGAAGAAGCGAACGTTGGCTACGTTGCCCAGTACAATCTCGGTCACCTGCCCATCCAGCCTTCGCGCATGGTGGTCATCGTGACCTGCATGGACGCCAGGTCAGCTTCATTCTGCCAGCCACCAAACCGATGCTCAACCGGCAACTTAGACTTGACCCTGCTCGCATCCTCGGCCTCGCCGAAGGGGATGCAATCGTCATTCGCAATGCAGGCGGTCGTGTCGCCGAGGAAATGCGGTCACTCATCATGACTCAGCAACTTCTTGGTGTTCGAGAGATCGTTGTCATCCATCACACGGACTGCGGTCAGTCGTGTGTGCGCTCGACGACACTCCGGTTCCTTACAATGTTGGACGACAGGTGTCACGAAATTCACAAACGATGTGGTTCACAGTCGGGTCCACGAGGCATTACACCAGGATATAAGTGACATGGATTTTATGACCTTTAGCGATATCGATGCCAGCATCAAAGACGATGTGTCCTTTCTTCGGAAGTCACCTCTTGTCTCTACAGGCACTCTGATCAATGGCTACAACTACAACGTCAGCACCGGCCAGATCTCGCTCGTAGTCAGCATCACCACTTGACTGAATACTTGGTATCATTTCGTCGTGCACTTGCTATCTCAAATGAAACCCCATGTCGCAAGCCGTAAAGCACAGGAAACGTCTGCATGCATGCCGAGGTCGATCTCGTTCTACAGTCCGCTCTGCTGGCTCGCGCTGCATTGGCCTCGCTCACGCGCTCACGTAGCCCCTGCTGCACGCGCCGAGGGCAGTCCGTGCGTCGCGTGCATGATCTCCCCAGACCACGCATGCTCGCACACCCACTGCCTCCGAAACACGGCATGTGCACACATGAATGAGCGCTTCACCTCCACTCGAGTCGAAGGCTTGCAGCACCGTGCGTGAGCTGACTTCACGTACCCGACGATCGCATTTCGCTCGCCAGCTGGTCATCGGCCGTGGGATAACGCAACATGAAAGCACTGATATTGAGCAAACGAGTCGCTGAGCTCGCGCACGAACGACAAGGGATGTCAGGAGGGAGATTGATCATCGTCTGGGGAGGTTTCGATTTCGCTCTGTTGGCTGGTGGCCTGGCCGCTACTTCTGCCGCCGGTGAGCTATATACACTACCAGTAGAGACTCATCGCTGATGTCCACGACGCAGCCTTGGTCAGGTCGAATCTTGCAAAGACAGATGCCCAAAAGACAGAGCAGATACTCGATCGGCTCGCGTTCGATGATAGCATCGCGACGATCGGTGGGTCATGCTGTGATCTGCATAACGCCGAAGCTCACCATCTCGCAGCTGGATTGACTATCGGCATCATGACTCTGATCGGCTTCCTCATCTCGATCTCTGCTCAAGTGGCAGCAGACAATAAGACGAGGATATTGAGGCTCAGGGCTTTTGGCTACTACCTCGTCGCGCTCATCGTATCGACTATCATCGCTGGCGTGATTGTCTGGCTGCAGACACTTCGGCCAGCAGATGAGATAGAGCTGCGATGGCCGGGCCTAAACGCGGCAAGTCAGAAAGAGCTTGAAACTGCCTTCGCCTGCTCGGCGAGTCAGAGCAAGATCCAGAGCTGCCTGGAACCCATCGCAGCAGCAGTCACGACGCGTCTCGGTTTTGCCTTTACAGCATTACACGCATTCTCTGGCGTGCAACTTATGCTCTGGCTCCTTACTGCCGCTCTCATCGTCCAATTGCAAGATCGCGAACGAGCTCGGCGGATAGACGCAAGGCAGGCAGCAGAAGCACAGTACAAACTTTAGGGATCAACAACACTATTGCATTGATGTTCAAATCAGACACAATGCGAACGATGCGCAATGGTGACAACAAGGCGCATGATGACCATTTGTACATTCCTACGAGCGGTCATATCGGCGCTCGGCATCTCGACCTGACGCCGCATAGCCGCGATTGAAGGAGTGATAGTCGTCTTCAGACGGGCGCATGCCGTTGCGATCTTCTCGCCACAATAAAGGCTTGCAATCTTTATCGACGACATCGGTCCCTTGTGGGCTCGCTCGGCGCCCCATGTTGGTAAGTAGCGGCGGCTTTCGCCTCTGTAAACGCCTGAACGAGAGGGACGCTGGTGATTGTCGGCGAGTGACGATGAGCGGCGAGGCGACACAGGGCGATCAGGGGAGCGTAAGCGATCTCGGATGTATCTGTTCCGGTGATCACCACCGAAGCTATTTCGGCGATCATCGTCTCTACAGGAGCCTCGCAGATCTCGCGCCATGTCGTCCGCATAGTCGCCTCTCGGCTCGCGCCTGTAATCGTTTTGCTTAACAAGCGGATTCTTGGGCTTGTGCTTTGACTCGTCACGCGGGTAATGCAAGTAGTGAGACGGCTGAACACCGAGTCGAAGTCTGAGATCGAGTTGTGTGCCTACATAAGGCAAGCCCTGTAGGACGTCCTCTGCTTCAGTGAACGTAACGGTCACTGACGCGCAGAACGCTTGCCTCATGGTATACACGGATCATGTGGCCGTACACGATGTTTCGATTCAGCATCTTTACCGCACGCTTTGCCTGCTCGTGTTCACCGAAGTCGATGAAGCTGGAAATACAAGTGGAATCAGCTCTGGACGTAGGATGGCGTAGCTAGGCAGCTCACCCAATGCCAGTCTTGCGCTCGAAGTCAGCACGCATAGGATGTCCGGCACGACGGCCGAGTCTTTTTAGATCCTGTGATGATACTTCCTCAGCGAGTACACGTATGAGATCGATGCGGCGAACTTCATAGGTGATCGAAGAGGATATGCCAGAGATCTCGACGCGATAGCCTGTACTGCTGCGAGTATACTCGGCGCGAGTGCTGTCGTGCCCGATACTCCATGAGCTTAAGCGTGCCATGGCTATGAGTCATGCTTACCCAAAGTCCTCGTCGACTGCCTCTGGAGCTTCTTTCGCCAAGGTAACGATGAGCCTAAAGAGGTCAGATCGTCGAGTATCAGCCCAATTGAAACGAAACAGCTTCCTCTTCGTCCAAGAGACTCTATCGACAATCGTATTTGACATCAGTGAGCAGCTGTGTCGTTGCTATAGCACGCACACGACTGTTGACCTCTGCGATGGCTGCCTCTGCACTCTGAACATGTATTGTCAGCAGGCGGTCGCATGAGCTGCGGGTGAGAGTCGTGCACCTCTTGCGTGGGCAGTTCGAGAAAAGCAAAGCCCTCTGTGCGAGAGGAGGTTATCTAAAGTGAGAACAATGGCTTGACATTGTGCAAGTCACTCACGCTTCATGCGGATGTTGTCGAGTGGTCCGAACTTGCCGAACAGTTCTTCGAGGTCATCTTGAATCGTCATAGACGATAGATTGCGGATCTGGATGCGCACCATGCTGACGACGTCGCCAGCTGAAGCGCTGAGCGCTGCCCGTATGGGCCAACGACTCAGCGTCGCGACTCGATTTATCGAATGTCAACGCACGCGAATGTCAACTTAATTGTGCTTGGCCAAAGGCCCATGATCATCTTATCTCCTTTGAGTCAGACAGGACCTGAGTGAGACGTGCGAGCGCATCCTGAGCCAGGGCGAGCGTCATATCCTGAAGCCCCGCTTTGACTAGCTTGTCCGTGACCGCGCGTGCTTGCACGAGAAAGCGTCGCTCGAGGGCCTCTTTTGCGGGCGATGAGCGCATGCCGGTCTGTGACAAAGGTCAATATGGCTAGGTTTTAAAACGGTGCCAGACTTGCCTGATTGTCGTGATCTCGAGAGAACAAAAAGTAGAGAAATTGCGCCCTATCGAGAACGAGAGGCACAAGCTCTGCAGCGGTTTGTTCGTCGCTCATCGCAAGCAACTCGTCGCCTAGACTGCATAGAATCGGTGCAAATACCGTCGCAAATGCTGTCGTCAGGAAAAGTGAGGCCTCCGACCGCTGGAAACAGCTATTGAGCAATTCTCGAAACGGCTGAAGCGCGTTGGCTTGAAAGGCGATGGGCGCGTCGTGTTCGAGCAGCTCGACATAGCATTGCATCTGACGATCTTCTCGCTCCTGACAGACTGTATTGATGAGGAAGCCGAGCAAACGGAAGGCAATATTGCGTAGCACGATCTCTTGGCATTGCGCGGCTGCAGCTTGCAGGATCTATACTTTGATCAGCGCAGAGCAAGGAGTGCCTCCAATAGGCGCACCTGAAGCAAGAGCTCAAAATTATTATTTTCTGGGGCGAACACTGAGCCTTTGACCCATCTGACGAGTATAGCAATTGCAGGGTCGAGCTCACTTGCATCACACCCTGATCGGACTATGTTCATCGATAGCTTGATGACAGCGTCTTGTAAACCTGCGCTTGGCGGTTGCTGGTCACATACAGCGGCGACATAGCCAAGTATGCGCGTAATAGCTCTAGGATGCTGCTGATAACAGGTTGCATAGCCTGCTTTGTGTAATTGTGCCATGACGATTTCTATGTCGAAGCCGTCAAGCTTCTCCAAATTGGCAGCGTCAGACAAGGATCTTGACTGATATACATAGACTCACTGGTCCTAGACTGATTCGTCTTGACAGTCCACGTGCTGATGGCGGCTGCAATTCAGGAAATAGCTCCTCATAGGCTGCCTGCGCGAAGCTTGTCGAGGCGAAAGCAGACGGAAGCGAGTTGGATGTGCATACCGCAATGAGATCTTGCGTGTGGAGCTCGACGAGCAAGCGAGCAGACTGACGGGTGTGCAAATCCGCGAGCGCGCAGTCGAGCGATGCTAACATGGCTTTGCGCCATCGGAGCAGGCGATCCTCGGCGTCTGATGAAGCTGTCGGCTTGAGGTTGAGAAACGCAGTCGAGAAACTGTCCAGAGTCGAGCTGAGCAGGGCTGTCCGACGCAGCGTTAGTCGTGCAAAGACTACTTCGAGCAGTCAGATCATGCTGATTTGCAGGGGCGCGACTTGCTCACTGGCAGAGCGTCGAGCCCGAACAACAGTTCAGATACCGGCTGCGCTGCGACCTCCTCGATATTGTCGGCTATCTCGCAGACGGCGGTAGTGAGGGCAAGGAGTAGCGCTTTTGGGTCATCATGACGAATGCAGAGCTCGAGTAGCTCGGCAGATGCCGTTGAGGCTTGACTGCTGCTGGTTCGCGGATCATCGCATGCAGTAGAGAGAAGATGTCGCACGGTGTCTGACGGTACGCTGTCGTCCATCAGAGGCCATGGCCAGCTGTTGACATTCTCACGTGACGCTTAATTTACGCGGCAAGGAAAGCGCGCGTTGTGTTGGCCACCACAAACCGGATCGCTGGCGCAGCTCGCGAGCTTGAGCGTAGCGTGTACTCGCGGAAGTGCACAAAGGTAAGAAGGCTCGATACAAACGACGAGCAGGATTGCTTAGGACGTCCCACTCGACCTCGACTCGCGCCCAAGTTCGCTCTCGCTCGAATCTGTTCAAAAGGTCTAGCAGTGACTCTCTGAGGCGACTCCGACCCGTCTCTGCCGTCTTCACGACTTGCAACGGTCACGAACAGAACAGCTGTAGACCACTGAAGCATTTGGCATCATCGAGCGACTTTACAATCACGGTGGCTTGGGTGCTCGCTGCTCCCTCTACTCGGCTCCGTCAGACGAGCTCTTAAGGCTCTCTGAACAGTCTCAAGAGCGTCGAAAGTCAATCTTGACATAGTCTATGGCTGTAAGTCTCGTTCCTGAGCCAGATCTCCTCCTGCCAGCCCTTGTCTTGCCACGCTCTCTGCGCGTCAGCCAAACTGTCCTCCACCGCCCAAGGAGCGGCCCGACGCGGCTTGTCTTCGATGCGACGTCTTCCTTCCCTTCGAACGCGCCAGTGGGCATCGCGTCACGATCTGCATATAAGTATCGCGAGCTGACGTTTGGTTCTGCTCACTTCTTGCACTCTTGACTTTGCGACGCCGCATTGACGAATCGATCGTACTCAATCGCCATACTACTACGCATCGTGCATCACCATCGTGCAATTACACGCGCATCACTCTCCTCATTGTCGCCCACAAACGAAACGCGCATCCTTACACAATGGTCCATCGCGACATGACTCGTCGTGCTGATCACGCCCAACGCATCGCTACATCTCGACGAGCGTCTCGCTCCGATGTACGCGCTTACATGACACTGCCCTACACCCGTCCTGCCTCGGCTACTCACGTTGCCGACGATGCATACACGCTCGCTCGACAGGGACAGATTGCAACAGCAACGGCACGCTCTCATCCATCGTCCACCCTTGCTCCCTCGGATAACGCTGCTCTCGACAAGCCCATTCACATCCGCGGCAAGACTCGCGCGGCCTCGAAAGTGAGCCCATTTGTATCCTTGCCAAGGTCATACTGATCGAGTCTACAGGGAAACGAGGAACGTCCAGCCCTGTGTGATCTGACAAACACTCGCGCCAGCAAGATTCCCGTGACACGCTCGAGAGCAGCATCTATCGCATCGGCCAAGCCTCTCGGCCCGGACGCCATGGCAATCGACGAGCAAGTCGAAGCAGCCGTCGCTCGTGCACAAGAGCAAGGCAAACCGTCAGCTCTGCCAACGCGCAAGGCAAGCATAAGCTCAACGCGACCGATCCGTGGCCTGCGCACTACAACAGCTTCTAGCGTCAATGCCGGCCTCGCATCTAGACCTCTCAAGGCGCAATCGTCCAATATACCCCGCTTGGCTGCTACCACGCTTCCCGGCAAGGATACAAAGCTCGCGCCCGTCGAGAGCAAGCCGCGTCGCATCAAATCGTCGTCTACCACGCAGTCGGCCGCTACGGCCGCGCCGGCGCCTACAAAGACCAGTCGTTCAACCCTGCAAGTTCACGCGGACCCTGATCCTGGCCAGCCAGCAGCCGTCAAGGCGACTCGCACGCGCAAGACCAACATCCCCGTGGCTACTCAGCCAGAGAGCCGACGCGCCCGCCAGCAAAGTGCTACTGATGATCAGCCTGGACCGAACGCCGATCTAGATGCTGCACGAGTCAAGCGCGTGCGAACAGCTCAGCATGACGCGCCAGAGGCTTCTACATCGGCCGTTGCAGACGAAGAGCCTGTCAAAGCGCGCGAAAGCGTCAAGGGCAAAGAAAAGGCAGGCGAAATCATCGAACAGTGGGATGATCTTGATGCAGGGGACGAGGACGACCAGCTCATGGTCAAAGAATATGTGGTCGAGATCTATGACTACCTTCGCGATCTCGAGCTGACCACGTTGCCCGATCCTTACCTCATGGATCGTCAAGTCGAGCTGGATTGGTCCATGCGCGATCAGCTCGTTGACTGGGTCATCGACGTTCACACGCGCTTTCGTCTACTGCCTGAGACGCTCTTTCTGGCGATCAACATTGTCGATCGATTCCTCTCTATCCGAGAAGTATCGGTGACACGCTTCCAGCTTGTCGGAACTGCAGCGCTCTTCATTGCTTGCAAGTACGAAGAAGTCGTCTCGCCCAGCATCAAGAACTTCTGCTACGTCACCGATGGCGGCTACGAGGAAGAGGAGATACTCAAAGCCGAGCGCTACATCTTGTCTCAGATTCAGTGGAACCTGTCTTATCCTAATCCTGTCAACTTTCTCAGACGGATCTCGAAAGCAGACCACTATGACGTCCAGTCGCGCACAGTAGCGAAATACTTTCTCGAGCTCAGTCTGGTCGATCGTGATCTGATCGGACTCAGGCCGTCGCTCATCGCTGCTAGTTCCATGTGGCTTTCTCGCAAGATTCTCGCCCGTGGGCCTTGGGATTCCAACTTGAGCCATTACTCGGGCTACACGGAAGAAGAACTCGCTCCGGCCGCTCTCATGTTCTTCAAGTATGTCCAGACCAACACGCGTCGCATCAAGCACGAAGGCAAATCGCCTCTGCATACCGCTCTTCACAAGGTGCGGCCTCTGTTGAGTAAAGGGGACCAGGGCTGACTTGCTTACACGATGATGCAGAAATATGCGAGCAAGAAGTTCTCGAAAGCGAGCGAGTATGTCAAGGAATGGGTCGACGCTTGTCCGCTCGGCCTGGGCAGGATCACAATCGACGATCTGACGGGCCTGATTATGCAAGGCTCGCAGTAGACAAAGTCGCAAAGAGCTCGTTGCAGCTACCGATTGTATGTATGACCAAGTCAATCGCGTCTCGCAAAACGTCGCATCGCAAGCGCTCCACTGATCTCGACAATAGAGCTTACGGGCTCTGTATACCCTCGTCGAGTCCCGATGCTAGACAATCCTTTTTGGTGCGGCTCTTACTCTGAATAGGAGACGAATCTACGACTCTTTTGACCTTTCTTGTATTCGAGAAGAATGCATTACAAAGCGTATGCGTTCATGACTTAAGAAAGTTGAGCGTCTTGATGCTCTCTTTGTTCTTCTTCGCGAGAGCTTTCCTGGTGATGTCGTACTCTGCCACACGTCGCGCTCTGTCTTGTGTTCGTTGCTCGACTTCGCTGAGCCGCCGCTCGGGCTTCATTGTCGCCATCTGGTCTCTGTCGAGTTGCGCAGTACTGGCGTCGCTAGGCTTTGTTGACTTGCTGCCGGCATTCAACCGCGGTTTGCTGCCGACCGTCTTTATCGCGCTTCGTGCTGTGCCTGATCTGAGCGCTGTCTTGCCCTTTGCACCGCTCGCGGCAGGAAGATCGTCGGGTACTGAAGACGTTGGCGTGTCGAGGAGATGCCATAGCCAGGCGGGGTAGTCTCCGTCGGGTCGAGCAGGCGGATCGGGTACTCCTTTGAGGTAGGCCAACCCCTTGAGCGGCGTGCCAACTGTCGCTGCCGATCGCGGCGTATCCACTGCATCGATGTCAGCCGGGACGCTCTGTTTTTTACAACAGGATCTGAGCTTACAAGTGGGGTCTTGCGTTGGCTCTGGGGTCGTAGGCGTGGCCGATGAATTGGGCGCTTTTGCCGAGGATGAGCTGGATGCAAAGCGGCTGAAAGGTGATCGCCGGACTAGCAGCTGACTGTCTACGAGCCGTAAGCACACCCGACATCGTCGCAGGCTGGCCATCGTCAGTTCTATGGTTGACCAGGTTTTCGGCAGTTGTGCCAGCAAGCCGACGCGCTTGTCGGGTCATCAACGACGACAGAAGCCCGCCCGCAGACAGCTTCATAGCCGGTCACGCGCAAGCAGAGCAGCTTCGCGGGCGACGCTGTGTCCTGAGGAGCTGTTGACACGCTCCCAGCCGCTCATCGGCTACCGAGCTCACACACCTCACCTTCAAGCGTAATGAGCGATCACGCGGAGGCTGTCCCGTCTGCCCAGGCCATAGGGGCTTTGGCAGAGTCGAGCGCGCTCGCAAGAGACTTGTCTGCCACCTCCAGCACGTCTACTTCATCGTTCAGTGACACAGGACAACAGAACGGATACCCAGCACGGAGGCCTGCTCCAATATCGACGACCACAGAACCTGCTGATTCACCCTCACGCTCACGTATATTTCACATCACACCGTCTAGCATCGGCTCGCCCAGGCTGGCGAAGCGCTTTCTGCCGCCTAGGACGGTGCCTGAAGCCCTCACGTCGCCCGTAGATCCGTTCGCGACAACGCAATATGACGAGACCCTCGTGCGATCTCACTCGAACGAGGGGCTGGCTAGCACGAGTGCAGCATCAGCCACGCGTTCAGGGTCATCCCTCAAGCCCAGGCGGAGCTCGCTTGGGCCTGGCGCTGCTTCCAAGGACGCGTCTTCACAGACAGTCTCAAACGGCTATGCCTCGCATACTCATTACAACGGATACAACGGCTCTGCAGCCCCGCCAGCCTCGCCTTACGCGAGTTCGCCGATGCTTGGCTCAGATGAGAGGCAGTCGCCTTTTGCCCATGCCCAGGCATCGTCACCTTTGGCGCAGTTACAAGCTCTCATCGTCGGCTCACTACCAGAACGCTGGTCACGGTCCCGTCAGGCGGGCAGTTCTAGCTCTGCCGGTGGACGCATGAGCAGGATGCGCAAGACTCGACTTCTCCTCGCACTTGTTGCGCTAGGCTGTCTTGCTTCGTTTTTGTCGAGCCAGCGGGATCGATTGCCTAGTCTCTCCATGCGAAGAAGGCGGAAGCAAGGAAGAGCCCTCAAACGACTCAGATTAGGTACGTCTGTCAAATTTCTGTAGTCCGGCAGGTCGTGACAGCACTTTGCAGACTTTCGGCCCGGCGAGCGCACAGCGAAAGCCGACAGACATCGCTTAGAAGATCTGCTGACGTTACCGTATGGCGTCGATCCGGGGCCGATGGGCTATGCGGCGCTTCTACATATATCAGACGCTGTACAAATAACGTCGCTGCAAGCGATTGTGGCCAACCTACAGAGCCAGATCATGCCACCTGACGAAATCCTGATCGTAGCGACAGAGCAGCTCGAGAATCAGTTGCGCTCCGTGGTCGGCAAGCTACCAGCGCTCTCTGCTGCTGAGAAAGCGATGCTCCAGGTCAGCGTTTATCCTTCCGATGATTACGCCACTTCCGCAGAGGCGATTGTCGAAGCAGCCGTCGATTTGCAGAGTGGCTTCTTATTGCTGCTCGAGCCTCCGCGGCGAACGGGCACGACGCACCTGGGCGCCATGTTCGCTTCGAGTCTCATGCATGTTGCGGCCACGAGCGAGTATAGCAGTGCCGTGCTGGCACACGCAGGCATCAGCTTCGACGATCCGTCGAGTTGCGTCTATGCGGACACAAACGCCAAGGAAGACGCAAAGGGCAATGCGACAGCTTGGACAACGACGCTGAAAGTACCCACCGGCCCAGTGCTCTTCCGCACTTCTTGGGTCGCCTCCGTCGACCCACATGAGCTCCCAACAGAAGGTAGCCTGCCGCCTGGTGCAGCGCTATCGATTGCACTTTCACGAAGATCTGGCATACCCATCAAACTAATTCCGTTCTCGTCAGCACATCTTGCGTCTTCCGAGCATGCGAGAGGCGCCTGGATGATTGCGCCCGATTGGCCACACGAAGCCTGCGCAGCTTTGCAGGATTCGATCGATATCTCCTCGCTCTCGAGCCTGTCGTCGCCTGTCATTGTCGAACGAGTGCAAATGCCCGTGCTAGAAGGCGGTGCCATGGCGCTCTTCGTCAGCGATGAGAAGGATCTGGCCCTGGCGATACCGCTCGCGTGCGGTCTGTCAAGAACACATGCTCTGCAAATATGGGTCGCTCTAGCACCGTTTGGCGGTAAAGAGGCTACCGATAGGTATCAAGCTGTGATCAAGCAGTGCTCGCTAGACGTTCGACCGCTACGTGATCTCTCGCTCGATGGGGATATCTCAGACGAAGCTCTCATCTATCGAGTCCGCGGGGTTATGCAGCGGCACGACTTCGATGTCGTCTTACACGTTACTGGTGGCGTTGTGTCGAGCTCGATCCATCTCGCTCTCACCATCGCTGGCGTCAACTTCGACGCGCACCCTCTCGACAGCGTCGTTGGCATTGAGATACCTCAAAGTGACATTGCTCACGTTGACTGGCTAGCTGCACTGCCGCTCGATGCTATTCGATGTCAGTCTCATGCGTTACAGATGGATATCTGGAGCTAACGCAAGCTATAGCATGGAATGTGCCAAAGATAGATATTTCGGTCATAACTAGAGATCGGCCGGACTCGCTGCTGCGGTTGATGAAGTCTGTCGAAGCTGCACACTTTCTCGGCGATCGAGTCAATATCGGTCTCAACTTGGAACAAAATGCCGACTTTGACACTCACAAGCTCGTCGCACAACTCGAGTGGCCGCACGGCACGCTGAATATCCGTCATCGCGTGGTCGTAGGCGGTCTGATACCTGCCATTGTCGAGTCTTGGTACCCGCGCAACAACGACACATACGGCGTCTTCCTAGAGGACGACGTGGAGGTTTCGCCACAGTTCTACGCTTGGCTCAAGTTTACAATCTTACAATATCGCTATGATGCGTCGACAAAGGTTGAAGCGGCACGTTTGTTTGGCGTCAGTCTGTATCAGCAAAAGAATGTGGAGCTGCGCAATGAAGGCAGGCGCGCTTTCGACGCTCATGCGCTCTTTGCCGATCTCGGTCTGCCAGCTACGCGACCGTATCTATCGCAAGTGCCCTGCTCGTGGGGCGCAGTCTACTTTCCGGAGCAATGGAAAGAATTTCACCACTTTCTGTCGCTCAGATTCAACGAGTCTTCGCTCGACATCACGGATCTCATCGTTCCAGACATCAAGTCGAATCGCTGGGCGAGGTCGTGGAAGAAATACTTTATCGAGCTAGTCTATCTACGAGGTTACACGATGCTCTACCCAAATTATGCCGACTTTGTCTCCTTCTCGACCAATCATCTAGAGGTAGGCGATCACGTCAAAGCCGAAGCAAGCACGGTCGAGACGGAGCAACAAAAGCGACGAAAGATCATGTTCGAGGTGCCGTTGATGCAGATGACCGACTCTCTGCTCGATCTGCCGGACGAGCGCCGCCTGCCAAAGTGGAGTGCCTTGCCAGTCATCGACTTTTGGGGCACTCTGACGACCGAGTCTGACATCGTCGAGCGAGGCGCGACGACGATCCTCGAGCTCGAGGTCTGCCCGCCGCTGAACACGTCTACCGTGCAGTCGTATGACGCCAGAGAATTGCTCTGCCCGACTGAGAATGCGCCGCTACCGCTCGAAGAGGCACGAGAGTTCTTCCCGCACGTTGAGCCATACTTTCGCATGACGCAAGAGAACGGGGCAGAGCCGACAGAGTCGACAGAGAGCCCGCCGACGCCAACACCGCTGCTCGGGGTCAAGAAGTTCGATGCCGAGATCTTGCAAGATCTCACTTTGCTCGCAATTAGTACTGCTGTACCGATGCAGTACTGAAGACTGTATGCATGCTGATCATGATGCGCCTTCAGAGCTTCGCACGAGGCGGTGGCAGGCTGGACGAGCCGTAGACAAAGTCTGACCATTCTACGCCCCATTCTGTTCCGAGATTCTTACGCACAATGCCTACCAGCTGGTTCTTCTGAGCTGGCAACATGTATAGACGGTGCCTTCGCGGATCGTCAACACTAGCGAGCTCTTCGCCTTCGTAGAAAGCATCGCCAGGGTACAGGCAAGCAAACACGTCCTCGCCGCCCTCATCCGAAGGAACGGTAGCAAAACGAGGAGTGAAATTGATGACGAGGCGAGAGCGAGCTCTCGGTACGCGGGCGTATTTGTCATGTAGTAAAGCGCGATAGTCTTTATCTTGGATGAGTTCGGCCAACAGATAGACTTGGGGAGGAGCAAGGATGATCTTGCGTGCATACGCTGCTTCGACGGCTTCACGAGGAGTGTACCAGGCAGCAAGGACGGTCTCCTTGCCATCGCTGACCACCTCTGGCGTCAGAGCGGCATCGTTCTCGACGGGAGGGAGGATAGTCCAATAGAATGTCGTATCCCATCGTGTTGGCATGATGACCGGCGTCGTCCAATTGGCACGAGGAGCGAGCAAGTCGAGCGAAGGCGTCGCGTCGAGCTCTTTCAACAGCTCAGCAAACTGTGAAGCGTCATCGTGCACACGTTCGCGCCAAGCAAGTTTCGAGTCGCCATTCCCGGGCCATTCGATGCGTCTGCCCTGAGCATCTCTGGCGAGTAGGATACCGCATTCCTCAAATGTCTCGCGAATGGCACAGATCCGCAATGTCGCGCTTTCGAGCTCCTGGGGAACGAGTCGAGCAGCCAGAACTTCGTCTGCTGCTCGATCGACGTTTCCGCCAGGAAAGACATAGGCAGAAGAGAAGCTCGTCTTCTTTGTACGCTGCAGTAACAAGATGCGATAGTTGTAGCCGTCGGATGCAGGAGTCTTCAGGGGATAGACGATCATCAGGCTGGCGATCCCTCCGGTAAGCTCGGGTCTACTATGGCAATGACGTAGCGCCCACCTGGCCGACAAGCGAGGCGTGGCTGGATGAGCAGATGTGGCGTCGGCCGATGCTTGCCGCGCTAGGAGCTTCGTGGCCTGGCGCTCGAGCATGGCGTCAGCGAGTGATAGCCGAAAGAGCCGATGATGTCGCGTTCGAGAGAGAGGCCCGAGGAGTCGAATGTGAGCCGATCTCGAAGAAGCTATGAGCATAGACTGAATCCAGGTTCGAAGGCGATGGCTGAAGACAGCAGAGTTTCGTAGCCTGACTTGCTCACAGCAAATCACGCTCTAGCCTTGTTGCATCGACGACGCGTTTCAGCCTTAAGCTTGTTGCACCTAGCCCTGCCCCTCTCATCGTGCCGGCCGGGAAGTCGTGGCATGCAATGCTGGCGATGTCCCGTCCGATTCTCAGCACAGCCTCACCGATCTGCTAGACGACTGCAGTCGACCGTCGCGCGAGGGACCGCCTATGAGGAGCTTTGCCAACGATACCTGAACGAACAATGGGGCATGTCACTCATGCTCGTCGGCGGACGCAATGACAGAGGGGTCGATCTTCGTGGCTACTGGTCTTTGCCCCTGTACGAGCCATCGTCCGATGACACGATGCTCGTCAGCCGTCGAGTACGCATTCTCGGCCAATGTAAAGCAGAGCGCAAGAGGCTCGGTCCACGAGTCATTAGAGAGCTAGAGGGAACACTAGGCTGGGAGCATCTTGCTCTCGGATCGACGGTGCCGACTGCAACGGGTGCAAGTCAGCCGACTGAGGATGAGCAAGATGTCACGCTGCCAACCATCGCCGTCTTGCTCTCGCTCTCCGGCTTCACCCCTGCAACTCTGTCCAGGACAGCTGCAAGCCCGCTGCCGGTGCTCTGCATGCACATCGAGTACGCTCAGTCAGACGAGCCAGCAACACTTCAGGATGAGCAGCAGACTGGCAAAACCGTCGCGCAGTCATCCTGCCGCTCGGCGCTCTGGAACGCGGCCGCCCAACGCGTGCTAGGACCCGCATTTGAGATCAGATGGCACCGAAGCATGCAAAACACCGCTCTGGCAAACACCGAGGAAATGGTCGAGCGGCCTCGTCTGTACTGGAACGGACGAGAATATCCCTCGACGAACACAAGCCAGCAGTGATCGCAGAGTATGCCGGGAAGGACTATTGTTGTGGTGAAGCGCAAATGCAAATGCAATGACGCCCGCTATAGCACATGGCGCACATGCGCCCGACTCTGCTCGCTCGTGAGGCCACAAAAGTCTATGCCGACTTTTTCTTGCTCTTCTTGAGGTCCTTGTCGACGTCTGTCACCTTGAGTGCTGTCAGATGGCCGTCTAGATCAGTATGTGCATACACTGAATGCAAAGCAAAGACTGACTTGGCGGTAGCGATTGACGCAGCTTCTCGGCCTTGTCCGCATCGGCAATGACGAGCGTGTAGAGATAGCGAGAGCATCGGACCTTGAACTTGGTCACAGTCTTTGCGCCTGGCCGTCTCGGTGTCGACTTCTTCACTGCAGCAGCTGCAAGCCGAAACTTGATGATCAGTCCTGCCCTTGACTGATGCACGAGTTCGCCTACACTTGGCATCTTTCCTTCGAGCAATCTCGAGGAACTGCTTGATGTCCTTGACTTCCTTGGGCTGCGAAACACCAAGGTCAGCACGAGCTGTGTGATCTGCGGCAGAGGCAGGGCAGGTGTTGCCGGTGAGAGCCAACAATTCATGTCGACAGCGATTTTCGCTGCAACGTCAAATGTTGGCCGTGAGGGAGCAAAGACGAGGCCCGCGAGCTCGACGGCGTGTTCGGAGCAGCTGCCCAGATTGACGACAGACATGAGACCCACCATATTGAAGTGACGAACAAAGTCGGATACGCTTGAGCCACCGTAGTCTATCTGAAAGGCACGCCTGACTATTTGAAACATTCAGTTTTGAGCGACTTTGACTCTGACGCGAGGTAAATCAAAAGAAATTCGGCAAAGCCACGCCTGGTAGCAAACTCGAACAGCAAGGATGGTGAGTAGCGATGCTTTGAGACTGCTCTGCGGTGCTCGCCAGTCGCACTGCTCATTGTCAGACCAATCTGCACCGGCAGCTGGTCTGCAATGAGGCTTCGACGAGGCATAGGCAGCAGACAGCATCTCAGCAAAAAGTCAAGGGCAGAGCTGACGCAGGGCCTTGCAGGGTATCGATATCGAGCACCATCATGTCAGAAAGGGCAACAGATCTGCGCCCAAGTCGGAGGATCCCTATCTGCTCTTGCTTGTCAAGGTTCGCACAACTTGAGAGTTCGAGCTGTTCCGCCGTTGATGTCGAGTCTCCATGGCACAGCTCTACCGATTCCTCGCCCGACGAACTGACAGCAAGTTCAACAAGGTCATCCTTAAGCGATTGTTTAGCTCGCGCATCAACCGACCGCCCGTCTCGCTCGCCAAGGTCGTCTATGAAGTCAACTCTCGTCATGTCTCAGCCGACAAGTCGACCGTCGTCATCGTAGCCACAGTCACAGACGATCTCCGTCTGCTCGAGCTACCCAAGCTCTCCATTGCCGCACTCAGATTCACCCAGACTGCAAGGGAACGCATCATCGCTGCTGGCGGTGAATGCCTCACGCTTGATCAGCTCGCCGTTCGTGCACCAACCGGATCAAACACCGTCTTGCTCCGTGGTCGCAAGAACGCTCGCGAAGCCTTCAAGCACTTCGGTGCCGGACCTGGCAAGAACGCAAAGCCTTATGTTACCTCAAAGGGCAGGTCCGTTGATCTAAGCTCATCGCCTGTTAGACCAGTCACTGATCCTGCCGCGCTTGCAACAGGAAGTTCGAAAAGGCACGTGGTCGTCGTGCCAGCCGTGGCTTCAAGGCTTGAGCGTTGTATCTCGATGCAATGTATTGCGCAGAAACGGGGGCCTTGCATTTCCGCATGACATCCTCGGCAAGCTTCTAGAGCACTACTCTTCGTCCTCCGTATCCACAACATCTCGGGCGGGTGCAGCCGCGTACCTGACTGATTTGAGATAGTCTAAGATCGACCTGAACGTCAATGATTCCGGGTCTTGGCCGAAATATTTAGGCCTCGTGACCATCTCTGCCTTGACCTTCTTCTTGATCCTGCCGAATCGACGAGCGACCTGCGCGGCTGACCACTGATGCCAGCCAGGATCGAGAAGAAGGCTGTAGTTGATCTCTGCCTGATCCGTAGGTTCGAGGGCTGCAATCCTACAATGCCATCGTAGCCAGTAAGCAGCGATACACGCATGAGCGCCAGATGCCTTACTTGTGAATCAGGATATAGTCGTCTCTTGCAGTCCATCTCAGTCTCTTCTTGACCTGTTCTTTCGGCTTCTTGTCGGCGAAAGAGACATCAGCCCTGCTCGAATGTCAGCACGTAAATGATGACGAAGCGCATGGTGTCTGACCATTTGATACGGCATTGTGCACGAGTGCGAGTATCAGCCATCTGCTTGGCGACGAGGTTCCAGTAGGCGTCATTCTCTCGATTGCCATTGAGAGCTGAATCGGCAGAAGCGACTGCCGAACGAAGCTTGTCGACTTCTTCGTCTGTCCATACTCCGACTTTTCTGATTTCCGAGTTCATGAGATGGTTCCTCCATCTGTCTCTGCAGTCGGCCGGCATTCTTCCCACATTGGCAGATACTTTGTTCCACTCTCCGCCGAACATCAAGTGGGCATCCTTCAAGGCCTTGTCCTGCGATGGCGTCCATGCGCCTTGTCTGCCCTGAGGGTGTTTCAGTCGCTGTAGGTAGTGATAGACCGCGATGACAGGTCGTTCCTTCAGAGTGGCAGTCAGATTGGGCCAGAAGTCCTGATGCTCCGCTCTGGCTTTCTTGCCTTTGGCATAGATCACCCTGAGCATGCCGTCCTCGTCCAGATCGTTGCGCTTTTTGTAGTCTTCAAGGAAGGCTTCAATGGCTGCTTCCTCGTCTGAGTTGAATTTTCCCTTTTTGTAGGTCAACCCGCGAGTTTCGGAGAGTTCCTTGAGCCGGGCAGACGAGAACCAGCGTTTGGTGAGTATCTCTTGATTAGTCAAATCCGCTACGCTTTCTGTCGTACTTGGCTTGGCCGCCTTCTTCGCAGCCTTGGTCTGCGAGTTAGCCGCCTTTCGTGTCTTCTTCGGCTTTGTTGATACTTCGCTTAGCTGTGGACCGAGGTCACCAGCAGGCAAGGCGTCTCCGACATGAGCGTCGGTATAAGTCAGACCGAGACGAGTGTGATCTTGCTGATCTTGGGTAGCCGAAGATCCGAATTCTGCGCCGATCGCTTGCAAGGCGCCTCTGAGAATCTCTTCGTCGCCGTTGTCATAGTGCTGGTAGATCTGGTTGATTCGGTCCTGACGCATGTCGCTCAGCGAAGGGTCGAGCATGCTGGGATCCATTCGGTCGTGGCCGAGGTGCGATGCGGCGGCAGTCGTCGGTGAAGGAGGATGGGGTACGCCTTGTGTGAAGGTCGCAAAGAGCGTAGCAAAGTCCTCTGGATTGGCCAGCATTGGTCCTTGTTCGGAACCGTCGGATGTAGAAGTCGTAGCGGCTGGATGGAGGGTGGCACTGTTGATATCACCCATTGCACCTGACAGGCCGTGATGATGATGGTCATCGTGAGAGCCAGAGGAGGCTTCAGCGACAGGGGCGTAAGCGTGCTTGTTCGACTTGCGCTTCTTCTTCTTGCGCGGCTCGTCGAGCCCCAATGTCGGCTCACCCGTCATCGTCATCGTAGGCTCATGAGTGATCTTGCTCGAGCTCGCTGTCGGACGCTCAGACGAGTCGACGAAGGGCTGGTGGGTCATCAATTCGGGCATCGAAGTCGTCGTCGCTACCGCGTCGCGCTTCTTCTGCAAATACGTAGTCGAGGTCATTCAGAGGATGACGATGATGACGGCTTGCTTGCCTTGTGCTTCTTGGTCTTCTTGTGCTGTGTCTCCTGACCGGCAGAGTCTGTCGGGCCAGGCGATCCATTGTCATCCCTGCGTCTTCGCTTCTCCTTCCGGGGCTTCTCGCCTGGGCGGATGTCCTCAGTGTCAGCATATCAAGACAGTGGACGGATCAGCGACCGACTTGACATTGCTATTCGCGCGTAGAGCCGGCCCTCAAGCAGCGAGAGCGAGCGCTGACAGAATTTTGAACCTCGCGTTCAGACAAGGCGGGGTTCTACGGGGAATTGCCAGTCCGGCCAGCCTGCGTTTGCAATCCGCCGCCGTTCTGTTCAGACGACGGCATCAATGGCAGAGCGCAAGCGGAAATGGGATCAAGAGGGAAGCGCAGAGGCAGCATCGCCGCTAGTGAAGCCAAAGATTGAGGAAGACATCAAGCCAACGCTCTCGCCTGCTGCAGCAGCACCTGTAGACGCAGCAGGTCAGGCATCTCGTGCTCGCTGACTGAAAGAGAGCTGACACGACCCGAGCGAGCAGCCGCCATCGCTGCCAAGCTAGCTGCGCAGTATGACAGAGGTGCAAAGATGGCTGCCGCTGTCAAGGTCGAAGGCAAAGAGATCAACGATCCAGACGTGAGCAACGATGTCCTTCCAACTTCCTATGCACACGCTGACCCTGTGCTGGGACAGTTCGTGAAAGATATCGAAGTGAACGATCTACGAAATCGATACCTGCTCACCCGAGGCTCGACACAGCACGAGATCCAAGATGCAACGGGCGCATCCGTCACGACCAAAGGCCAGTGGTACCCCGACAAGTCGATGGCAACAGACAAGGATCCCCCGCTCTACTTGCATATCACCGCCAACAGCCAAGAGGAATTGGACAAGGCCGTCGCGCGCGTGCAAGAGTTGATCGATCAGGATCTGGGGCCACTCACCGAACGACCCGGCTTCAGAGACAGAGATCGCGAGCGAAGACGGTGGCCAGAGGCGAAGATTGAGATCGGTCTCGAGACCCTTCGCAACTTCAACGTCCGCGCAAAGATTGTCGGCCCAGGCGTATGCGTTTGTCTTCGCGTGCTGCGGTTTAGGCTGACCGAGTCCATCAGGGCTTGTTCGTCAAATTCATCCAGGCAGAGACAAACGCAAAGGTCCAGATCAAAGGTCTCGGATCGGGTTTCGTCGAGCAAGATACGAATGTCGAGTCTCAAGAGCCCATGCATATCGCCATTGCAGGGCCAGACGAGCGTCAAGTTGCTCGCGCCAAAGAGCTTGCAGAAGACCTGCTCACGGTCGTCAAGGAAGAATGGAACAAGAGCAAGGCCGTGCTCGATCAGTACATGCATCAGCAACAAGCGCAATACAACAACCCGGTCTATCAATACCCAGGACAATATGCCGCCTACGCTCAGCAAGGCTACCAGCCTCCGTTGCCAGCTGGAGAAGCACCCGCCCCTCCGTCCGGTGCCGCCCCACCGCCGCCGCCCAGCGATCCTTCCGCTGGGCTCAATGGTCAGCCGGCCCAGCCGGGTGATGCCGCCGGCCAGGCCGAGTACGCTGCATATTGGCAGCAAATCCAGTCGAATCCTCAGTGGGCTGCCTACTATCAGCAGTATGCCATCTCGACTGTCCGCGCGTAGCCTGTGCTGACGGTGACGAGTAGATACTACGCACAAGCGCAGGCGCAAGCTGGCCAACAAGCCACCCCGGGTTACAGCCCCGCCCAACCCCAGCAACAGCCAGCGCCCCCCGCTGCCAATGGCTATCAAAATGCTCCCCCGCCTCCGGGTCTTTGAGGAAACGGAGTCTCATGTACAGTTTGCAATCATCGTGGCAAATGATGTGCATCTATACAAAATAAAAATCTCTGCGTGCTCTCAAGGATGAAGTGTTACATGAAGACCGATGTGAACGGATGAAAAGAAAGGCTGATGCGAATACTTCTTGATGGATGCAGGTCTCTTGCAAGAAGTGACAGCGCGAGGAGTGTGTGCGCGTCGGAAGGGCCGCTCCACAAACGCGATGGAGACTCGAGCTGCTCGGATCAGATCAAGGCGACACATCGACCGGGTCGGAAGCCTGATTCGCGACAGTCGACGAGGCTAGCCATCCGCCGCGTTCCCAGCGGCCCGGCCGATACACGTCCTTCCGGCGGATGTGGCTGTCAGAGAGTCCGAGGAAGAGACTGCGTAATCGAGCGAGGTTTAATGGCTTCAGAATCCAGCCGTCGAAGCCAGTGTCAGCAATCTCCTTGCGATCACGTTCTGGAAGTGAAGCCGAGAAAGCGATGATTGGTATCCGACCGCCATTACCGCTGTGACTGACTCGAGATGATACGAGCTTGAGATCGCCAGACTTTTCTAGGACGCGTATTTGACGGGTAGCCTCCCTGCCATCGATGATAGGCATCCTACATCTCGCAGCGTCAGCTCTGTCGCGTACGGATAAAATTAGTCAGACGCACTGTAAGTCCATGATGATAACATCGAAAGCGTAATCTTCGCGCAGCTTGTCGAGCCCATCTTTGCCGTGAACGGTCAAGACGACTTCATGTCCGTCCTTACCAAGCTGTCTGAACAGTATCATGCGGTTGACCAGATCGTCGTCGACCACGAGAACACGCAACCGCTCGGGCGAAGTGACAGATCCAGTGGAGATCGTAGTCGTGGCACTGTCACGACGGTCGGCGCTGATGATTTGATTACCAGCCATTTGCGCAGAAGAGTCGCGCAAGATGGGACTCGATTGGAATCCTGTTTGACGACCTTTGACATCGACCGAGCTGGAAACTTCATTTTCGTCAACTCGCAAAGCCCTCAAAGGCATCGAAGAGTCTTCGACGCTGACGTGAGCGCCGGGTCCCTCTGCACCCCTATCGATAGGAATCATCGAGGATGGCTGCCGCGGTCGTGTGGCTTGCGCACCAGCATTGAATGACTGAAATATGCCCGTGCCATCAAAACCACGTTGTAGCGACGGGCTCGACGGTGGCTTCTGGTGTGGCGAATCAAGATGAGACGTAGCCATTGCTTCGACAATGGAATCGATCTCAGATGCCCCGCTGGCTTGGCTGCCAGCACTACCAAGTGACTTTTTGCGCGGCGGACCTCTGCTAGAGTTGCTAAGCGCACTTGAGCCTGGCTGAGTAGTGCCACCGATGGCTCTAGTGAATGGCAGGATGATTGTAAATCGAGAGCCTTTTTCGACTTTGGACTCGACTCGCAGCTGTCCGTCCAGCGTGTTGATAATCCTAGCAACAACGGCAAGGCCAAGTCCGACTCCAGCAGGCCGCTTATGGGGCTCCATTCCCTGCTCCTCTGACGGAGTTGGCTCGACGGGGGAGACCTCTTCGAATTCTCGAAAGATTGTTTCGAGCTTGTCTGGCGCAATGCCACAGCCTGTGTCTGTGATCGTTATCGAGATTTTCATCGATCCGGCACTGGCGCTTGAGCCGGCTTCTGGACCGGGCGGGGGCAGTAACATGCCGGCAACCAGACTCGAGCTTGTTTCGCTGTTCTCACCAGCTTCATGACTTTCCGCCTGACTGCTTTTTGAACTTGATCGCATAGATTGTGACTCGCTCTCGCGCTCAAGGACTGACAGCTCTATGGTGACTTCGCCTTCGCTCGTATGTTTGACAGCGTTAGCAGCGACATTGCCGACGATCTGCTTGACGCGAGCGCGATCTCCAAGCACGGTCGAGGGGATGCGAGGACCAATCTCAGCAATCTTGAATTCCAGACCTCTACGCTCTGCTTCCTTTTTATGGACGCCGACAGCATCTTGAATCGTGCTGCGCAAGTCCATGGGCTCTTGTAGGAACAGCGCATTCCCTTGCTCCGTGCGTGTGAGATCCTATGCAGCCGAAACTTTCGTCAGCGTGACACTTGGATGGCAAATTTGCACGTACCAGCAGGTCGTTGATGACATGCACTAGGGTTCGGGAGGCATCGTAGCTCTTCGTAAGATGATCTTTGGTATCGGCCTCTAGGGGCCCATCGAGCGCCATCTCTAGATAATTGAGGATGTGGTTCAATGGCGTCCGAACCTCGTGAGAAGCATTCGATAAGAGCAGATTAGTGAGCTGGCTCGTCTGGACAGCAGCCTGCTTTTCTCGCCAAACGCTGATGAACTTGCCGTAGACAAGGCACAAGACAGATGCCGTCTCGAGTTGTTCATCTGTCCACGCCCGGCATTGCCCCCGAACAGTCTCTGACCACATCTTGAACGATTTGCGGGGCTCGAGATGGGCGTGTGCACCTTCCTGGTTGACCTTTTCGTAGGGGTTCCCAGCCCAATGAACGTGCTTGAGTTGGCCTTGGCGGAAGAATGTGATGAAGTCTTTGCCTCCGCTGGTCAACGGTACGACAAGCATGCCAGAGATGATCTGGAAGCCGGCTGGATAATGTATGTCTGGAAAGTCCGATGTGATGTCTTGTGACACCTGCATCGACAGGAAACATCGTCGCTTCAGATACTCCAGGATCGCCAGGACCTCTTGCGAGTTTGATAGCGGTCCTAGAATCTTCGCTTCGCCACCAATGGACAGCAAACCAAAGTCCGCATCGAACAGACTGAGCAAGTCTTCTGCCTTGGCGACGATGTAGCCGCCAGGATTTGCGGCAGACGGTGCGGTATTGATCAGCTTACGGCTGTGTAAGCGTTGTGCATACGACAGTCGCTCGAGGTTGCGAGAGATGCCGTTGCCCAAGATACGACAAAGCTGTCTAACCGGGAATGAGACTCGCTGACCGTACCGACCGTACGTATGGCAAGCGATCAGGCCCCATAGCGCCCCAAAAGCGATGATGGAAATGGACGTCGAAGCTCGCTGTACAAAGCTGACATCAGTCAGTGCGCACAAACGCAACGCTGGTCACTTACGACGCCCATGTTGGCAAGATATCGCAAGTGAATCGGGCTCATAGCCCGTAAGTGACTGTGCGTCATGTCGAGAGGGAAGTCAAGTTCTGCTTTGGAGCAGCAGACCAGTCGAGCGGTCGGCTGATCGCGGTCATACAGTGATCGAACCTTGTTGATTCTGTACAGCTCTCTCGCTTGCGCTGGTATATCGCTAGCTGGGAAGTGCAAGCCGCGATAGAGATCTCTAGTGCGAGTCCAGTCTACTAGTTCCGCGACGACTTGACCATTCCATTGGTTGTCGAACTGATATATCATCACACGATGAAAACCTGTGATCTCTTTGACGACTCCGATTGCAAGCTTTAGGAAAGTCTCTAGATCATGCGCTTTGTCGAGCTGGTCGTTAATTTGCGTCAAGACCTTGAGTATGTCCACAGAAGCCATCCTGGAAGCCGTCTTGCTCTTCTTGAAGCGCACGAGCGATTTCAGAGGCTTGCAGATGTTGGTCGTTGACTGTATCAGATCTTCTTTTGTGGGCTCGTACGGCTCGCCAGCTAAGCCACCTCGCTCCGCATCGGTAGGCAGCTCATCGAGCTCAGTCATCAAGGGATTGTCGACATCGTTGTCAAGCTCGAGCTCAAGGATGTATAAGTTTGGCCGCGTGTCCGGGCTGGGGATATGCAGCGCAGCCCAGCAGTCCCATTCGAGCTTATTGTCACCGTCATCTGGCCCTGAGCCGATTGCGCCCGAGCCACTCAACTGAAATGTATGCGGCCCTGTGTCGATCAAATCGTCTGTTGTACGGTCCTCGAGCATCTCCATATTCTCGCGTAGTACCTCCTCTTGATCTTCGTCGAGCACTTCAGTGAAGCTCTTGAGATCGAAAAGATGGTGCGCGGGCAAACCAAGCAAATGCCCGACGTTTTCAGACACCTGTTTGACGATCAGATTGCCCTCGCCGTCGTCTTCAAAGGCAATGAGGACTCCATATGACTGGATGGATCCAGGGATGTGAATTGGCTCATCCTCGCAAGTAGCGATCTGGCCTTCCCTGCCGGTGACAACCATATGACCGTCTGCGGTCTCTATGTGCTCGAAGCGAACCGTCATGTACGGCTGAGACGGGCCTGCTTCCGACTCGCCCAGTTCGCGAGAGAGCCTGGCGCGCTGCATGATATCTCCACCGGCAGGCATGTCAGTCCCGGAGACGACGCTACCGCCTTGCAATTGGACGCCTCGCCCTCTGCGCTCGTCAGGATCGCCATGTAGATCATCGTCGTCGTCGTTGCGCGTGTCTGCCATGGATGTGACAGATGACAATGGATCGGCTGCGGACGTGCGCTGCCTGGTTGGCTGGGACGACTCACCGGGAGATTCTAACTACGATAGAGACACATTCAGCGCATTGCTACATGAGATCCAGTGCGCCCCTTACCTCGCGGTTGGACAGGTGTGAGTGGCTGCTGTAGGTCGAGCCGGGTCCGCGTCGGGCGGCGTTTGCAGTCGAATTGCGTTGTCCTTGCACCCAGGCACTCGCATTGGATGCCGATTCGGATCGAGCGCTTTTGAGTGGCTGTCCGCCGAGAACGGGCGATTTGATGGAAGCCGTCTGAATCGGTGGGCTCGACAAGGTGGGATCGTTGATGATGCTTCGTATCGGAAAGATCCGCTCGGACCCTCCGACAGAGTAGTCTAGCGCTTGTCGCGATATGCTCTCATCACTTTGGAGCATGTCGGGGTAAGCCGCGGATGTCGCAGAGCCATCCCCCGTAGCAGAACGAGGAAAGCCCCAGGGGAAGTCGCTTGGTTTCTCAGTGTGCGAGGTTGTGCGACGCGCGGCAGAAGCAGATGACTGTGATCCTGTTGTAGTCTCGAGCGTGCCTGCAGTCTTCGTGGCCCTCAGTACCGGTCGCGTCGCTTTGGAGAGAGGTCTGCCCGTAAGTGAGGATCGGCGAGCTGTTGAACTCGATGAAACGGTAGAATTGCCTTGGCTGCCCATGAGGGGCGTGCCAGACTGTGAGAAGCCTCTGCTGCCAGCCTCTGATGTGTCTGGACTTGCATCGCCAGAGTCGGTGCGCGTCATGGTGCTCATTGGAGATCGACGCGGAGAGGCAGCGCCAGACTTGTAAGCATAATCGGTCGATTCAATCTCACGAGTGCCGCTTGCTTGAGCGGCGGCTTGTGCTCTGTTCAGTGTCGGACTCGAACCAGGTTCGGGTGAGGTCGAGCTCGGCCGGTGTGTTGCCGCCATGTTTTGTACGGGCCGAGCGACCTATATGGATCGCTCGATGCGTGGAAACTTTGCGACGCGCGGTGCCCTAAGGCGTGCTGGCTAGCTAAGCTTGTTTGTAGGCTTTAGATACCGTGAGGCCAGTGTGGAGCTCTATAGCGTCCAACGGGGCTGGCAAGGCGTCATTGACGGTCGATGGCTGCCGATCGCCAGGCGGACTCCAAATACGCGCGCACCTGCCTGCGTAGGCACGAAGTCCTTCCTTATGCCCTCTGAGGAGATCGTATGCGGACACGTTGCAGTGTCGTCGAGGCCTGATGAATACAGCAACACGCAGCGGCCGAGCACTTCGAATGCGCACTATGGTGCCCGTGCCGCGACAATACTCTGGCCAAAACCCAGAAGCGTGCCTCAACTCACGCAGAGACGCCACTCTGCTCGAAATATGCAATTCACGCGAGATATCGCAGCACTCTGCGATCATCCTGATCCCGTTCGAGATACTCACTCTCGATGAGCTTATCGATGGCTTGCTTGATCATCGTCAGCTTTGGCGCGAACCGGCCTGCAAGCTGTCTGATGACTTCGTGCGTCAAATCAGAGTGCGGCAGGCGATTCCTCTGCTTCATCACTCTCACAATTGCAGCCTGCCGTCCTGTTCAGCGCATTGCCTCCGCCAACGCGAATCAGACGGACCTGAACGAGAAATTTGCGCGCCTCCTCTACTTTCGAATCCGTCTCTGAGCGTTCCTCGACGGTCTCGACCTTGTTGGCCACCGTCATGATCTTGATCTTCATCAGATTGCTTGTAAACTCCTCGTTGAACGCAAACCGATCTGTCGCCGGGTTGACGTCTCTGCCTTTTGGCGATTTCTGAAGGATCTTGTACTTTGCACATGCCAGCGACTGTAACGTCCGCTTCAGCTCGTTCTCGGCTATGCCCGTTTGATCCTCCAGATCCTGGCGTTGCATGTCAGCCCGGCTTGCCACAACTGCAAGCGAGCTCACTTTGTATGACAGACTCTCGAGTGACGAGACGGGCTCGAAGCAGGAGAGGACTGCCATAGCTTGAGTGGAAACATTGAGCTCGTGTTTACGTGCTTTGAAGCGTACAGTGACATCGACGGAGCCAGATGTCGTGTGCCAGGTGAGCTTTCTACCTGACGTCTTGGTATGGTAGAACCGCTCGAACGAAAGTTGAGCAGATCTCAGTGAAGCAGGTAGAATGCACTGAGATGACGAGACTTCCATGGGCCATTGACCAGATTGACAAACGGTCACAGCGAGATCGATCGGTAGCGGCTGTGACCACGTCAGCAATATTTCGTACAGATTTCAAGCTGACACACCTCCACGCCTGCTCGGGTGAGATGCTTCCGGAATTGTTTGTTCGTTTCTTCCGAGATCGTCATATCGTTGAGCATGCCCTCTAACTTCCTGACGAACATTGCGCCACTCTCCACTTTGAGCTTGGCGAGCAGACCTCTTTCCGCATCATCCGACACGCTCCGTTGGGCGAGTAGCCGCTTTGCAAAGTGCTGCTGATAGTACCGCTCGAATATGTCGCGATCACTCAAAAAGCGGAAAATGACGACAGCCTTGTCCAGCACGACGTCGACTTCTGCTTCTGATTTCTGTGCGAGCAATGGCATAAGCAGACGATGGGCATACAGGTGTACGAGATCTACCCCTTTGAGACCCTTCTTCAGATTGTCATCGATAAAGAGTGACACGTATTCCGGCGATTGCTTATTTGTCTCTATAAACGTTTTGAAAGCCTATAATGAGCGCAATCGACTTAGCTTCTGTGAGCTCAGCTGATGCATCGACGGTTACCTCGTTTATGGCTGTCTGGAAGCTCTTGTCTTCGGCTAACGCGGATGACCAGATCCTATCCATCTTATCCTTGAGATCCAGTACTTGTTGTACCCATTGAAGCGCCAAGCTGACGCTATGAGCTGCGCCCCCCACTTGTGCCGGCTTGCCTTCTCTTCCCTTGCCTTTGGCTGGATCAGGAGCAGGCTCAGCCATTACCTCCCTGGAATTGTTGATCTCTTTGCCTCTCTTGACGATATACTCTTGCAATTTTGCTCTTAGTCGTGCAGCGCCCTGAGGCACGCGGGAGAACAGCCGAAAGAGACGTTTTATCTCTGACATCCTGTCGCCCTCGACGAGAGAGTCCAGTCCGGTGGTCTCATGGTCGAGTATGGCGGTGAAATGCTGCGTGATGAGGACATCCTCGAGCAAGGTGACCAGGGCAGATTCGGTCTGTTCATGCAGGCAATATCGCACACGTTCGACTTCTTCCGCCAGACGCAGATCCACCCTGATCAGGTACTCAGTTGCTGTAGCTGTCGCCAACAGTGTTGTGGACTCTTCATTGTAGAAAGCACGAGACTGGTTGAGGAAGATGTCTTCGAGAAAGACTTTGTAGGAAGTGGCAAGCCGGCCGTTCTTCGCGTGTGTGTTGAGACCGTTGAGCATCTCCGTGCACGAATGGACTGCCGATCTATTGATGACCTCGCCTTCGCGCTCAAAGTGTATTTGCGCGAGTATGGCGGTGATGAGCGTCTCTGCTATTGGCAATGGTGAATCTATGATATGCGTCTGGAACAATTCGAGACCGAGATCGAAAGTCTTGGCCCGTTGCGGCATCGTGGGTACGTACACCTTGTCCTGTGCGATACTATCAGTAGAGCATTCGATGCGTTGTCTGATAGCAGCTCGCCATGTATTTGAGTATGTCACCGAGACGCTTCATGCAAGTGACGTGGTCATCCCAAACCGCTTTGATGGCTGCAAGGAATCTCTCGCCTCTTTGCAGTTGAGCCAACCGATCCGTACCGGAGGCCCTTTGTGAAATGCCCATGTCAAAGGGTTTGGCATCCAATGGCTCTGCATCTGCGCCATTGGTGGACGTGCTCGCGTTTCCGTGTGGGAAAGCAGGCAGGATCCTCGTCGTTGCTTCTCGATCGAGATGCTCTCCGACGAGACGACTGACGCCTTCGTATAGCTGCTCGCTATGCCTGTCTCTGACCATCCTGTACGCATACCGATAACTTGCAACCGATCAGTTAGCTCTGCTCGCATCAATTGAGATGGGTTCGACTGACGTTTCCTCGAAGCTGAGCTGGGACGCCCGCTTGAGCTGTATCATCTCGATTGCCTTGGAAAGCCTGGTCCATGTCTCTTCCACCGAGACAGTCTGTCAAGGACATTGATCGATCAGCTCCGTCGCTGTCCGATGGATCCCAGCACAAACTTTGGCTTGCGGCGGCTTGATCTTGCCCATGGCTCGACGAGGGCCAGTGTTGAGGTTCCTTGCGAAGCTCATGATGGCAGCAAGGTACACGTAAGGCACTCGCAGCTGGTGTTCTCCTTGTCTCGACGGTGTACCGACGCGTCGCTTGTCGCAGGACGAGTGACGTACGGCGTACCGACGTCTCGCTCGCACATTGGCCGCACCAGGCAGCTCCCAAAGGCTTCCCGTGTGCTCCTCGCGTGAGGGTGAGGCCAGCAAAGATGGCAGCACCTTCGCCCGCTCGACTTTCGAATCTCTCCACGACCACTTTGACCAAAGTCAGTCATCCTCGTCCTGGCCCACCCACACTGACAGTCCTAGCGCTAGATCCTAGAGCTCACTCGAACAAGGCAACTTGGTCTCGAGCCGTCTCCATCGCTCGCAAAGACGATAGCCAAGAACTTGAGCTCGCTACATCATTCCATCGGATTGCTAGAGCGGCAATCCGCTGGCTCTACCGAGCCTGTCCTCGAAGGCCTACAGAAGCAGTATGCTCGTTTGGTCGAGCTTGTGCAAGGTCTGGGCGTCCAGCTCGAGCACGAACCAACAAGCGCGTCGGAGGGACAACTCATATCGACCCAGACAGAGGAGGAGCAAGACCATCTGCCGACACCTCATCTGACCCGAACGCCAGTGTCGCCTAGCTTGCCTCAGCCGGAAGTATTGATGCCGCCTGCGCCGACGGTCAGGGTGGACAAGTATTACGATGATCCGAGCGACGCGCTGGAAATGGATGATGAGGAGATGAGACGAGCGAATCAGGACGTTGCTCAGCTACAGCAGAGGATGATGGCAGGTTCGTCAAGCTGTCATGCTAAGCCGGCTCTCCGACTGACGGGGCATGACCTGATGCACAGATCAGGATGATACGCTTGATAGGCTCTCGCAAGCGATATCACGTCAACGCGACTTGAGTATGACAATCTCAACCGAGCTAGAGTCTCAGGCACTCCTGCTGGAAGACACCGACACTGCACTTGATAGCACATCTGACCACTTGCGGCGAGCGAGAGGAAGGCTGGACCAGGTCGGGCGTAAAGCCAAAGACAATCAGACGCTATGCTTCTTAATCACCGTGATCATACTGCTCCTCATCCTCATTGTCATCCTCAAATTCTAGTGTAGCTCCACATCTGTATGTTGTCAAAAGAGGTCGCATTGGATTCGAGAGCAAAAGCTACAACTTTGGGCATTACTTGCTCATCATCACTGCTCAGACATCAGCACAGCCTTCGAAGAGGGCATCAGACTCACTTTGAACCTGTCAGAAGGTGACAGAGGGTATGATCAGTCATGTGCCTCTGCGACAGTATGAAGCTCACGAATCTGTATGACCCATTAGCAAAAGCAGATCGAGTGAGACAAGAGACCTACTCGGAATAGTTGATCTGACTGTTGACACAGGCGTACTGGTCAGCGATGACTAGCTGACAATGACACATGACAGACCCATCGCCGTCTGCATCTGCTTCCCGAATCATCTCCTCTACCTCGTCTTCGGAGAGCTTCTCGCCTGCAATGTTCGAGCAGGGAATCAGGTCACGAAGCCTGATAACATGCTCTGAGCTTGCCCAGGTTGGTCATGACATGTCGCAATTCAGCCGCAGAGATCTACCGAGGATCCGTAAGCTCAACGACGCGCGTCCAGTCGAGCAGAACGCGTACGAATCCGTTGCCGTCCTTATCAAAGACCTTGAAAGCTTCTCGGATCTCTTCCTCGCTATCTGTGTCCTTCATCTTGCGAGCCATCATGGTCAAAAATTCGGCTGCCAATAAGCGGTCTCAGCATGAAGATCTGCAGAGGAAAAGGAGCGCGACGGACGGAAGTCGATAGTGCCGTTGCCGTCTGCGTCGACTTCGTTGATCATGTCTTGTAGTTCTGCTTCTGTTGGGTTCTGACCAAGCGAACGCATGACCGTTCCGAGCTCTTTGGTGGTGATCGTTCCATCACCGTCTGCGCGTTGTACTAAGCCTCCGTCTCTTCGCCACGGGAGCGAACATACCCTTGTCCTGTACGCATGATGAAAAATAGTGAGCATGGATCAAAACTCGCGCGGAAGCGCAAACGTACGAACAGCGAGAATGCTTCCTTGAACTCTGCAAATAGATCCATTGATGAGCCCGTACGCGCAGTGAAGCGAGCCGAGCGACGACAGACCTGCGATTTGCTCTGCACAGCCAAAGCACTCTCAGCGATGATGGTCTGACGAGATCGCCTGGCCCTACCTTCAGACTATAGTGGGTTTGGGTGTCAACAAGGTCATGGCAAGTCAGTCGCAGATAGGTCGATGATCATTGCGCAGAGGAGACAAGGGCGTCTGTCAGCTCGCGCCTGATGCACTGCAGGCTTGCACGAACAAGTTGATCTGCCATCCTGAGTGTCTGCTGGAATTGACTGAAGCTGTAAGGTCCTTTCGCGCTCGCTGGCTTGCTGCGTCGCGTCGCCTTTGGCTTTGGCTAGAAAACGCCGCACGGCCAAGCGGCGTCACCTCGAAAGCGCTTAGCTTCGATGGATCAGCATGACTTCATCAGTCGAGTTGGATAGTCTGGCTCATCTCTCCGAGGACCTCCATTCCCATCGTCCCGGCCTTCGGCGCACCTTGAGTCCCAGCTCGAGCAGTACAAGCTTGCGCAAGATGTCTGCCAAAGCGAGAGGCAAGCAACGAGATCTAGGCCACTCGCCTTCTTCCAATTCGCTCCTCGGCAATCGATCTACACGAAGACGCTACGGAACCCAGAGCGCCAATGGCTCTGTGAACGGCAGCATGCTCGAACCTGACACGGAATCAGACTGGAGAGCAGAGGAGGAACAGGCCTTGCTTCAATCTGATCAAACTGCCGCTCAGCCCAATGGCTTCGCGTCGGTCTCTTCGCCGCCCAAGCAATCCAAACCAAGGAGGGAATCAGGTCAGGCAAGGACGGTAGCTTTCGGCGCGAGCGATAAAGTCAAAGTGCGATTCCCAGCCAATCTGATCAGGAATCAGAAGTACAACGTCGTCTCGTTCCTGCCCATGATTCTGTACGAACAATTCAAGTTCTTCTTCAATCTCTACTTCCTACTCGTCGCGCTCAGCCAATTCGTGCCTGCCTTGCGAATAGGTCAGTCAAGGCGTCTGCATGTCATGTCTGGAGCTGATGACAAAGTCAGGCTTTCTATCCACGTACATTGTGCCATTGGCGTTTGTGTTGACGATAACGATCAGCAAGGAGGCGTTTGATGACTGGAAACGACATGAAAGAGACCTTATTGCCAACTCTGCACGCTACAATGTTCTCGACTCCTTGGCAGCTTTGCCTTTACATCCTTCAGACGCATTGAAGCACAGCGCCAGTGCACATGCGCCAATGAGAAGCGTACCTTCCTCTCGACTTCGAGTTGGCGATCTTGTCGTCATCGAGAAAGATCAACGCGTGCCTGCAGATTGCGTCTTGCTGCGCACATCAGACGAGTCAGGCAGCTGCTTCGTCAGAACGGATCAGCTTGATGGAGAGACAGACTGGAAGCTGCGCGTGGCCGTTCGAGCTACTCAGGCTCTCACCTCAGACGCCGAATTGCTAAAGCTGGACGGAGAAATCTATGCCGATGCACCTTCGAAAGACATACATAACTTCACCGGCACCTTCACGCTCAATTCGAAGCCATCTTCTGCTCTGACAGAGGATATACCGTCCGATTTAGAGACGTCTTCGTTGCCTCTCAATGCGGAAAACGTGCTCTGGGCAAATACTGTTCTAGCAGCAGGACAAGCGATCGGCTTCATCGTCTATACCGGCCAAGAGACCCGCGCCGTGATGAATACGAGCAATCCGGAGACAAAGACGGGTCTGCTCGATCTAGAGATCAACAAGCTTGCAAAGATTCTGTGCATCGTCACCTTTGCGCTATCGGTATCACTTGTCGCATTGAACAGCTTCAGAGGCCAGTGGTATACCTATGTCTTTCGCTTCGTCATATTGTTCTCCTCGATCATACCCATCTCGCTTCGTGTCAATCTTGACCTTGGCAAGACCGTCTACGCTCGTCAGATTATGAGCGACGCAGAGATACCGGGTACGATCGTCAGGACAAGTACGCTGCCGGAGGAATTAGGCCGAATAGAGTACCTTCTGACGGACAAGACGGGTACGCTGACGCAGAACGAGATGGAGATGAAGAAGTTGCATATGGGTACAATATCTTACACTGTCGACACCATGGACGAAGTCTCCGCACAGCTCGATACTGCCTTTGAAGGCACTGAAGACACTCAACAAAGTCTACTGTCTGGTCCTGGTATGGCGAGCAGAGGGAGACGCGATATGTCATCGCGCTTACGTGACATCGTGCTCGGTTTGGCGCTCTGCCACAATGTGACGCCTGTTATTGAGGAAGACGGATCAGTGACCTACCAGGCTTCTTCGCCAGACGAAGTCGCTATCGTTCGCTGGACAGAGTCTGTCGGTCTCGTGCTTTCGAATCGCACCAGAACATCGATCACGCTCAGGCGACCTGATGGATCTTTGCTCGAATACGACGTACTCGAGCTCTTTCCCTTTACATCAGAATCGAAGCGAATGGCCATCATCATACGAGATCGCAAAACGGAGGAATTGACCTTTTACCAGAAAGGAGCAGATGTGGTCATGTCTCGCATCGTTCAGGCCAACGACTGGCTAGACGAAGAATGTGGCAACATGGCTCGAGAAGGTCTACGAACACTCGTTGTTGCTCGAAAGAGGTTGGGCTCAGATCTTTGGGATCAATTTCAATCACAGCACCATGCTGCCAGCATCAGTACAGACGATCGCGAAGCAGCAATGGCCTCGGTGGTCTCGCGCCTCCTCGAACGGGATATGGAATTGCTTGGTTTGACCGGAGTAGAAGACAAGCTGCAGACTGACGTCAGGATGACACTCGAGCTGCTTCGCAATGCTGGCCTCAAGATCTGGATGCTGACTGGCGACAAGATTGAGACTGCTACCTGCATTGCCATCTCTAGCAAGCTCGTTTCGAGAGGCCAGTATATACACCAAGTCTCGAAGCTTCGCACAAGCAGCGCAGCGCGCGACCAGCTCGATCTCTTGCGGTCGAAGCGCGACTGTTGTCTCGTCATTGATGGCGAATCGCTACAGCTCTGCATGGAGCTGTATCTGGACGAGTTCATCGAGCTGGCTACTTCACTCCCTTGTGTTGTCGCTTGTCGATGCTCTCCCACGCAGAAAGCAGATGTCGCTCGTATCATCCGACAGTACACTCGACGGCGGGTCTGCTGCATTGGCGATGGCGGTAACGACGTCAGCATGATCCAGGCAGCCGACGTAGGCGTCGGCATCGTAGGCAAGGAAGGCAAGCAGGCTTCACTCGCTGCAGACTTTTCGATCACTCAATTCAGCTTCTTGACCAAGCTGCTCGTCTGGCACGGTCGGAATTCCTACAAGCGTTCTGCCAAGCTAGCGCAGTTTGTCATTCACCGAGGCTTGATCGTATCAGTCATCACTGCCGTCTTCTGTAGCGTCTTCTACTTCGCACCAATCGCCATCTTTCAGAATTGGCTCATGGTCGGCTACGCGACAGTATGGACGATGGCGCCCGTCTTCTCACTCGTGCTTGATCGGGACGTCGACGAGGGCCTCGCACTGCTCTATCCGGAGCTATATCAAGAACTTACAAAGGTGAGACGTTGCAGAAAAGAGATGCAAGAGCTGACCGCCATATACAGGGTCGATCGCTGTCTTACAAGACATTCTTCGTCTGGCTCATGATCTCGGTGTATCAAGGTACTTCCCTTGTCATGTATGAGACCTTTGCTGATGGCGAGCAGGCGGCGCCATCATGATCATGAGCTTGATCCTCTTCGAAGACGAGTTCATCAACATTGTCGCCATCTCGTTCACCGCACTGATCCTGAACGAGCTCATTATGGTCGCTCTCGAGGTATCTACGTGGTGAGCGACATCTCGAAGCAAATACAAACGCAGCTGAAAAGGTGAGCAGGCACCTTTACATGTGGCTGTCAGAGATCGTCACGCTAGTTTTATACGTCATCAGCATACTGTTCCTGCCAGAGTATTTCAGTGCGTCTTTTGCCTCGCCCGCAAAGCACAGGCTAAAGTTCGCTCAATGTACAGACATCGCATTCGTGTTCTCGGTGCGATTCGCGATCAAGGTAGCCATGATCACAGCAGTGAGCACGCTCCCACTGTGGCTTATCAAGAGCCTGCAAAATCGGATCTCGCCCGCAAGCTATGCCAAGCTGCGAGGATGACAATGCATTGTCGCTCAGTTGGGGTTCCATTTGAGCGTGCCAGTGAGCCTGGACGCGCAGCTTAGCTTGTGCATTGGTGAGTCAGATAGTCTTACTTGAAAGAAGCATAGGGCACCGATGCAGCAGTGAGTTCTGGCTTGAACGACTGCACATCGGCATAGGTCCTCCATAACCTGCGAGCAACCGCGGGGGTGAGTCAGAGCAATCGACGTGGAGTGAGCTGAGTCTCGCCTCCTCCCTGTGAAGTCTCGCGAGTCAGCGCCCGCGCTTCATAGAGGTCTCAGACGCACAATAGCAATCTGTGCTGGCCGGACTGAGCATCTTGCGCCAGTACGCGAAGCTCTGATTCGCGATTCGTTCGGCATACGCGTCGTTCGCAACGAGACGAGACATGACCGCGGGCAGGTGGTCGAATTTTGGTGCAGGCGTCATAATGATGTTCTGATCGGGCGAGCTTGTGTTGGACTGCACGCCAATATGAGCTCAGGTCTGATCGAGTAGACACTCGCGCTTGCGTTGAAGAGGACGTGGAAATGTCTTGCAAAGCAGGTTAGCATGCAAGAACGCGAGCTCGGGCAAACACTCACTGTATCTGCGACGTGAACATAGCAATCAGCTCAAGAAGCTGACTATAGCGGTCCACTCACATGTTCGAGGTCGTGTATGACAGTCACGCTTCGGCATTGCAGCAGGTATTTGAGTCTTCCGGAGTACGCGATGCCTGCCTCGCGCGTTAACCGGGCATGGAGTCCAGCCAGATACAAGGCAAATTACCTTCTACGTGTAGCAGATATTTGTACTTGCAGTGCTCAGCAGGCGAGAGCACATTGTCGGGATGCTTCCAGTCAATCGCCTGGATCGCTGCCCAGTCGTAATCCGTCATATCGAGGGCCATGTCCTGCGATGGGAATTCAGCAAGTGCGTAGAACAAGAGTACGTTCGCACTGTTCGGAGCTGATTGAGCAATGCGCCGCGCCAGAAAAGCTTGCCAAACTTGTCTTGCCAGGTTTGTCGTGATTCGAATGCCAAAGTCTGGCGATCCGATACAGGTCAGCAACACAGAAGCGTCGAATGGTCAGGACCTGCTTGATCTTGTACGTCGAGGAAGGCGCCAATGGCAGGCTCAGGCCATGCATAAACTGTCATATAGGCAAAGCCTCAGCCGAGGTAGATAGCTAAAGGCAGAAACGGACAGCCATAGTCAGGCATCAACCAGAGATTAGGCTGAGACTTCTTGCGCCCGAGAGCGAGCATGGCACTCTGATCGACCGTGCCCTTGTCGAGAACCATATCTTCTACGGTCAAGATGAATTCAACATCGGGAATTGGCTCGACGGCAGTGACGATGGCGTCGTTGATCGCGGCGAGGGTCGCCCGTGTACGAGAATTAGGACCGATACGGTATGGCTCCTTGAGATACAGCCTATTGCGCTTGATGATGACGTGAACATTGGCTTGTGGCATGCCTTTGTCCAGATCGCGCATATGAATGCCGCCTCGCTCGCGCCAGTAGCTCGCAGCTCGGTCCAGTTCCTCAAAGAGACCGGGGAAGATGGCAGCACATTGCGTATCGGTGAGATGTCGATCGGTCGAGAGATCGTAGAGTATTTCAGATATCTTCTCGTCAGGTAGATCTCGTGAAGCATAAGGATCTTTGAGCGCGACGCGAGCCAGTCTGGACTCATCGAGCGAATCGTTCGCGAGCTGCACGCCCGGTATAGCAGCAAGTGTGCGAGTCTTGTACTGCTTGCCGCGATAGGCGACCTCCCTTTCGGTCAGATCGAGTCCCGAATTGGCGCAAGCTGTCAAGTGGCTGGTGTATTTGGGCAGCGCCCGACATTTGAAGGGATCGATGACGATGTCCTTTGAGTCTTCGTAGGCTTCATCCGGCGTGAAGCGGTAAGGATTGAACATGGCGCTATCGTCTTGGATGAGCAGCCCATCCATCTGGATAGGTACTTCGTGAGCGCCCAGCATGACGCTGGACGAGTCGTTGGACGTCATCAGGAGCGCTCTGAGCCATATGAGTGCAAGTATACTGCCCGATCCGAGCAATGCGACTGCATGGTAGGGTTTTCGGCTGATAATGTCTTGCAAGCGATTCCGTTGCTGCACAGCACCGAGTGGCAACCAATCCTCGAGCAGCTTACTCTGCGGTCCGCTGCTGGGCGAGGGCCCTTCATATTCCTCGTGCAGCGTTGGCAGAGTCATCACGATGATCGCAGGCCGGTCGGGGTCGCAAGACTGGGCGGATAGATGGGACAGGATAGGGATGCTGCTCGTTGCGAGGGGAGCTCTTGACGCGATCGTCGACGCGAGGTCGAAGCGTCGTCCCTGACTCATCCCTGCTCTAGCCTAGTGTACAAACGTGTCATCTTCTCCGCCCGCTCTTGCGTCATCGATAGGGTCACACTATCTGCTGATGCCTCATTCTGCTTGCAATCTCTCAGAAACCTGACCGCAAGCAAACATGTCGCGCAGAGTGCTCTCGCTCTCTGCGCTCGCACTGATCATCGCACAGCATGTATTCGCACTCCCTCGTCCGGCTACAGTCGATCTCGCAGCAGGTGGGTCCCGGCCCCTGACCACGTCAGCTCGACCTCACTCGCCAGATCGCAGACTCGGGCCTTGTTGAGCGTGCAGACGTACTCGACACTCAGCTCGCAGCTTCCCGTCGTCTCGAACAGCGTCAGTCGTGTGGCCTGAGTCGTTCGCCCCTGCTGATGACGGTCCTTTGGCAGGCCGTGCCATCGATGCCCTCAAGGCATGGCAGTCTTACGACCATCCCTTGCCTCACTGCAAGATCGATGGCTCATGCGATGTGCCCGGCACTCGCTCGACAGTCGATGGTGCAATCATCACTCTTGACTGCTTCGTTTCGTACGCTCATCTGAACCTCAGATCTGCACATCGATGCCCGCAAAGACTCTCCCCTGGCTCCTTACGAGGCTGTCGAAGCCAATGCCATCAGTCTGTGGTTGCTCTAACTCATCCTGCGTAGACTGAGGGGAGAGATCCCGGTGCAGAGCGCTCGGAGACCTTGAACGAGCGCGAGCTCGCAAAGGAACAGACAGAGCGCAACCAACGTCGCCTCGTCTACTGCAACACTCCTGCTGCCTGCACTGTCCACGACTCGCACTCGGCCGGTGAAGATGAAAAGGGTCATCAAGTTTTCGCCCGCTCGGGTACGTCGCACGTTTGCACTTGTGTCAGCGCTTTATGATGAAAGGCGACTCAGATCACACTGAACGCGAGACCACTGCCCAGCGCGACGCAGCAACTAGCCCAGCTGCCACAGCATTCGAGCCTGGCACAGAGTCGCTTCGTGGCTTCCCTGGACATGGCTGGCGCGAGACAGACTCACAGAGCGAACGCGTGATTCATGGCATCCCACCGATCGGCTGGCGTAGATCACTTCAGCATGAAGACCACGGAAGGACCCATTCTCCCGCTACCCTCGAATCCGGAGCGGAGTCGCTTCGCGGCTTCCCTGGACACGGCTGGGGCGCGGCCTCGCAGAGCGACCGCACGATCCCAGACAAATGGCCACCTATGGGCTGGCGCAGATCGCTCGAGCGTGATGAAGACTTTGCGAAGCGTCAAGAGGCTAAGCTCGGATCGGCTCGCTCCTCTCTCCCAGTCGCCCCTGATGCGAACTCGCTCCGCGGCTTCCCTGGACACGGCTGGCGCGAGACGGACTCACAGAGCGAACGCGTGATTCACGGTTCTCCACCGATCGGCTGGCGTAGATCACTTCAGCATGATGAAGACTTTGCGAAGCGTCAAGATGATGGAATCGAGTCAACCGACTTTTCTGCTACCTTCGAATTTGGCACAGAGTCACTTCGTGGTTCACCCGGACATGGATGGCGCAAGACAGACTCCCAAAGCGATCGTACTATTCCATCGAAGGGCTGGCGTAGATCGGTCGAGTCGGGTGAAGGCCTTATGAACCGTCAAGTTGGCGGATATGGATGGACACGCCCAGACAAACGCGACAACGCCATTCTCGCTGATCTCAAAGCCCGCAGCCTGGACAATGCTCAGGCTGATACCCTTGCTGCTATGAGCAAGCGTCAGCAGGTCCAGTCTGAACACGCCGCGTCGACCCGTCGCGCAGCATCGAGCACGTCTGCGGCTGGCCTCAAGCGTGACCTTACGGCAATCCATGGCGATCTTTCGGAGGCTTCCCTTGCCGAGCGCATCAGACGTGAGCGCGCGGATATCCAGATGCAGTCCCGCGAACAGACTGCAACGCTCTATCGTCTGCTCAAACGCAACGAAGCCTGGACTGACTCCGCAGAACGCAGCAATGACGCCGTGATCCAGTATCTGATCAAGCGTGAACTGGACAGCAAGACGTTACACGAGCGTTACCTCGCTTTGTCAGACATCCTCGAGCGCGCTCAAGCTTCATCCTTGTCCTCGGAAACGCTTGATCTGCTTAAGCGTGAGGTCGATTTTCAGAAGATGCGCAAACGTAATATCGATTATTCCTCGACCAGTCATCCTGACGAGCGCGACTTTATCGAAGATGAAGAGAGTATGTTTTTCAGTCCATGAAGATCGATAGCTATATTTGACGCCAAAATCGCAGATGACGAGCAATAGGGTACCGCGCTCAAAATGCATGTCTACAATTTACGCGTCGCGTCGATCTTTTTGGCTTTGAAGACGATCGAATCGCTCGACGCGACTGGGCCTTTGTTGCTTTCTGAGAGGCTGATCAGCGACGCACAGCCGAAGATCTTCATTCGTCTAGCTTCAGCGTTGTTCGGAAGTATCGAAAGAGTTCTGCATACAAGCCTGCGCAACGGGGCACCGTCACCTTGACTTGGTAGAAGTCGCTCTGCACAATGGCAGGCTATGGCTACCCTCAATCAGCTCGCTGGCCACAAGACCGCAGAACCGCGAGCCAGACCGGCCTCATTGACGCCCATTCTAGCGAGAAAGAATATATCCCCCAGACGACACGAGGCTTCTATGACCAGCCAGGCCAATACTCGTCGGGCTCCGTGCTTCCACCACGAGGCTCGCCGATGGAGAAGTACGGAGCAGGCTATATGTCACCGCAGAGCTCCTCTGGGGTCACGCGATACGGTCCCGCTCGTCCAGGGACGCGACAGAAGAAGAGAATATGGAGCTCGCCTTGGTGCAAGTTCGGTCTCCCTTTGCTCGTAGTCGCCATCATTGTCGCTGCCGCCCTCGCAGGTTACTTTGCTAGTAGAGCGTCCTCAGACGAGCACAAGAGCAGTACGGTCAAGAATAGTGCGGCAAACGCGCCTACTGCGACGAATAGCAACGGACAGCCGGTCTATCCTTCTTCCACGGCCACGCCCGTTGCGCCATCCTTCTCGTCTGACAGCAGCTTAGCATGTTCTGACGACGACTTTACGCCAACGTCAGGCGGCGCGACATATCAAGTTCGTGAGGCGCAACCGCGTCTCTTCGCGACGACCGGCAAATGGTCGTGCGTACAGAGGCTCAGCGCAACGGATCCATACCTTTCATCGTGGAATCAGACCATCTTTGCAAACGCAACAGCCTTTGCTGCCATGACGCCGACCAATTACTCGATCGACGGTGGTCTGGACGGTTCAGGCGTGCTCGATGTCGCGCGAGAGGTCCAGCTGCGGATGAAGCACTGGGGATATGCATATCGCATGTCAAATGACTCTTCGTGGGCTACTCGTGCTTGGGAAGAAATCCTCGTCGCGTCTGGCAATTCGACGAGCCAGTACTTTGGCATCACAGGCGATAATTGGAACACGCAGCATTTCCTAGACGTTGGCGAATTCACAGCTGCTTTCGCGTACGCCTACGACTGGTTCTACGACGCATGGACGGAAGATCAGCGTACAGCCATCATGTGGTCGATCTTGTCGCTGGGTATCTCCAAGGGTATCACTGCTCACGGGACAAACCCTGCATGGTGGACGACGACGAACGGCAACTGGAATTGTGTCTGCAATGGTGGTCTCATTCTCGGCGCGCTCGCCATCCTCAACGAGGACCCAACCGGCCAAGCGCAACAGCTGCTAGCCGCAGCCATACCCAATGCTCAAGACAACTGTCTCCAGGCGGTTCAAGACGATGGCACGTGGTCTGAGACGTCTGATTATTGGTACTTTGGCACGAACGGCCATGCTCAGATGACTGCCGGTCTCATCTCTGCCACCGGCAGCGATCAAGGCATGCTGTCGATGAATGCCAACTATAACAACACCGGACTGTTCCATATGTATGGCTCCGGCTTTGTGGAGAAATTCAATTACGGCGATTGTGGACCGAACAAATACACTGCTACCGCCAACGGCATGATGCTTTACGGCAATCACTATGACAGTGCGTGCGCACAGTGCTGCTGACACTCGAGCTGACTTGGTCACAGTCCCCACATATGCACTTTACCAACGCGATCGCAGCGATGCAGCAGAGCCGTTAGCTATGTTTTACTACAACGCACAAGCGACCGGCGACTGGTTCTACAACCTTGCTCTCGATCACTATTTCCCAGGCAGCGGACACGCATGGACGTGCGTATGTTCTCGTTCACGGATACTCCTATGCTGATGAGGGACGTACAGATCAATGCGTTCCTCATGGACGGACACGAACGGACTCTATGTTGCCATGAAAGCAGGCAATGCAACCGGTTCGTCGCTGCCGACTCGAGCGCTCAGCCCCCACTGATCTCATCATGACAGGCCATCAAACACATGGCAATCTAGATGCGGGCGACTTTGTCCTCGAGGCCTTAGGTCAAAGATGGTTCGGAGAGGTATGTTTTCGTTACTTGGGCGCGTCGATATGCTGAATGCCTTTGCGCAGCTCTGTCAAGACAATTATCTCGAGCCAGGCAAGTCTCGTGCGTGTCACATTTCGCATTCACTGACGTTGGAGCAGGCTACTTTTCGAGTGAAGCACAGACCTCGCTGCGATGGCTGTACTACCGCTGTCGAACGGAGGGTACGCAGATGACAAGACACCAAAGTGACGATGGCTAACTAGCGAGCAGGTCAAAACACCCTTCTGCTCGGCGGGGAAAATCAGCTAGCTGATGAGGCGCCAGACACCTCGTTTGCGAGCACCGGCGAAGCACAGACTGCGCTCGCATTCACACTGCCCACAACCTCGACTGCCTACTTTGCAGCCGACCTCACTTCGACCTATGGCGGCTCATCCGTCAAGCGAGCCATGCGTCTCATCAATGGTCGCCAGCAAGTCCTCATACAAGACGAGGTGACCACGACTGGCACGGTCCAATGGCGGGCACATACAAACGCGACGATTTCCATCTCGTCAGACGGAAAGACTGCATCGCTCTCACTAGACGGACAGACGCTACAAGCTATAATCCAATCCCCCGATGCAGCTCAGTGGTCAACTGTTCAGCCAGTAAGGTTGGCGTCCGACCCAGCATTACCAGCAGGTGGCGACGATCTGCCAAACCCTGGCGTGACCGTACTTGCTATCAATCTACCAGCAGGCACATATACCATCGAGACTGTATTCAACCCGCAGTGGCCGGGCGTCTCGAGCTATTCGACTCCGCCTTCGGTCGATATTTCACAATGGTCACTCACTTCGCACAACTAGCGCAATTTCGAAAGAGGATAGAAGTCCACTTGTTTCACTGTATCATCTGCATTGCATAGTGTATCATCGCTCGTCTATACTGATCGCCCGCCTATGAGCAATATGATGCGCTCGTATGTCGTAAAGACGATCCCGCCCGACAGCTGTCAGGAGGCACCGCAGATCAGCATGATGCACTAACAAACTGAATGGAGAATGCTGACCACTAGTCGTGCCAAACGAGGTGTGGCACCTTTCCAGAAGCGCAAAACGCCTTCTTCCGTGAATATCCGATACGCACAATGGAACGAATTCTTGTAATTTGCGCGCGCTTCCAATGACTGCATGCGTGTTTTGATAACGCTATGCTGCTATTCAGCTGATGTAGATCATATGAGCGTCCGACATACTCTAGCGGCATGGTCGCGTAGACGGTGACGAGACCTGCCGCAGCGCCGATGCCGAAAGTGACTGTGCCCGGCAGAGACTCGCCCGGTCGACTGTTGCCTTGCACGAAGCTCTACCCCGGCCATGAGCGCCAAAAAGGTGAGCTGCAGAGCTAGCATACCTTGAGTGTACTGTATGTCGAGAAGCGAACCGCTGAGTTGGCGCCTTGCCGCATTGCCTGCACGGGACATCAGGCGAGCGCAGGTATTGATGCAAGCGGCGTACGACCGGGAAGAGCCCCCTGTAGATTCCTCCGATGCCTTCTTCTTTGATGATCATGCCCGTGCCATGCACAAGACCCTTGAATCGCGGGTTTTCGCGCTTTTGGTCATCTATCAGTTTCGTCCTGCACGCCCGTCAGCACAACTATGATCAATGCATACTGTCAAGGCTCACTTGATCGTCTCTGACGGTGTGACTGCAAAGAGCGCTTCCATCATGCCTGCACCCAAGCCTGCTGCCAGACTTCGCGTGCCTGTCAATTTGCCCTGTCATACAGCCTGCATCAGGAGCGTTTGCATCCTCATGGCGGATGAGTGACCTCGTCATTGACAAGCATCGTCTTGAACGAATCGTAGCTGTAGAATCTGACGCCTGCCTTGAGAGCATTGCCTGCTACCAGCGCTCCAACGCCCTGATAGAGGCCAACGAATCCGTGTTTCGCGACTGTGTTCCTCACGATCGCAATAGGTCCAGGTGGCTATCGATCTTCCAGTCTGAGCACACTGCATCGGCAGACATTGCGTGCGGTCCACTGACCTTTATGCCCTTCTTGTCAGAGAATTGGGATTCTGTCTTAACAAACTCGAAGGGATAGGTGATGAAGCCTTCGATGGCACCGGCTGTCGCTCCTGCCACAAGCGATGCCGTCGCCGACTCATTCTGTTCGAGTTTTGAGTTCATTGACCCGACTGACGAGAGTGAAGTACCTTTTTTGCAGGCGCCATTGGGGGCTGCCTGGCCGACGTCAGAGCGAGCGCGCCAAGTCAGTTACGCGTCAATGATTTTGCACTTGACTCGCCTCGAGATTGCCGAGCTGGCGCGCGCCGCTTTTACCGGGGTCGATTTCGCCGACGTTCGAGAGGGCGGAGGTGATTGCCATGGGCAGCATCACAGTCGCATCCTACGTAGCGCCCAATCAGCGCTACACCACCGGATTCTCTGGGCAAGCGCAGGGCAGCAGTAGCCCATCTTCGGCGTCCACGTCCAGTACAACGGCAACATTCGGCGAACCTGTGCCGGGCAATGACGATCACTTGAGCCGTTACAGGGCCAGTCCACATCGCTTTGCTGGCCAGCCGTACAGCGGCACGAATCGTAACGACATGTCGATGAATGGGACGAGTGCCCTGAGCATAGAAGATCTCACAAGCTCGTTTGCCGGCTTCGAGCCTGTCGAGAGTGGTGCAGAGAGGGAACTGAGGCGGGAGCTCAAGTCGACACTCATGATGCCCCCGCCTGCTTTTCCTAGACACAACACGGCAGTAGGCAACCAGACGGGCAGTGTGGCGATGCCTGTCAACGGCAACAAACAAAGCGTGGGCACGATTGCACCACCGTCTAGCTACACTTCGTCGTCTTACTACCAGCCTGGTCAAGCCTCGCTGACTAACGGCCTACCGAGCAGCAACAGTCTAGATCAAGGGGACTACGCATACGCAATGCGACAATCGCATGCGATAGAGGTCCCGCCTAACACGCCGCAAGAGACACCTGCCAGATCACCCGAGCGAGCCGAGCGAGGTCTGGCGGCACACATGCACTACGCGCACCAGGAAGCATCTTCGGGTCGCATGCCGGGGGATCAGTACGATGAGACAGGCTCAAAAGATGAGCACATGTCCTCAGATTGAGCAACAGTGCGCTTGCCATACAGTGTAGCGTATAATCTCTTGTTGTAGCTCATACCACCGCTCGCGCTTGTAACGCCATTCTCAGGCGGGTCTCCCGGCGCATTGTAACGCAATGTATTCCTAGCTTTCAACAGATGAGTTCAATGGACGCTTTCGAAGCGCTGCGTCGCATTCTCAAAGTTGATCACCCGCCAGATGTTCTGTAGATAGTTCGGCTTGCGGTTCTGATGTTGCAGGTAGAAGGCGTGTTCTGTCAGACTCATTGCGGTCAGCGAGTGGATGCGAGATGGGATACGCGGAGGACTGACCCCACATATCGATGCCGAACAGCGGTGTCGCTGCGAGCAGAGGATCCTGGTTGGGCGTGGTGGTGATGACGAGAGACTTTGACGTAGGATCTACACCGAGCCATGCCCAGCCTGATCCTTGAATACCAGCAGCGGCGGCATTCATCTTCTTCTTCAGCTCATCCAGCGAGCCGTACTGTTTCGTCACGGCGTCATAGAGCGAACCTGATGATCAGATTGTCAGCACGAAAGAGCCGGAACAGAGGCAAGTTGGGTCGGTCACCTTCAGTCAGCTTGCCACCGCCAGATTTCTCTGGCTTGAGCGATTCCCACAAGAGCGTATGGTTGACATGACCGCCGCCGTTGAATTTGAGAGCGGCTTGCAGGTTGATCTGCTTGCGTACGTCTTGCTCCTTCAGCGCAGTGGCATAGTTCTCCTCTGCTGCATTCAGTCCGGCTACATACCTGTTGGCTCATAGATGATCAGCAAAGCGACATGATGCTCACACGGGGCGAGAGCTGACGTTGCGTGGTGCTTGGAGTGATGCAGCTCCATGATCTGCCCAGAGATTGCAGGCTCGAGGTCCTGCGTGCGAGCATGAGCCAAGCCGATTGTATCATCCCTGCCGAGCTCGGGACTCACTTTGTACTCGTACGACAGCTGTGGCAGGGTGTGCTTGCTCCTTGCCGTGGCTGTAGCCAGTCCGGACACATGGCGTCGTGCAATGCGAGCTGAGGTGAAGAGCGTCATGATGCCAGTCCAGTCAAGCCTCGGAGCCGTCGCAGCTGCGGTAACGACGACGCGGCGGCCACTCGCTGCTGCTATCGCCAGATTCCAGCAAGCCCGCCAGCCACCTGAACGGCAGACAGGGGAAAACGCACCGCTCAGAGCTCGAGGCTCTATCTCACAGTAGCGCTGGCAAGGTCTTGCGGATCCTCATGCTGTTTGCGGCGAGGCTGAACTCGACCGCTATCAATTTTCTGCGGGCGAGCGTCCGGCCTCTCCGACTGAAGCCGACTGTTTCTGGCTACACCTGCGCAGGTTAGCTTTGCGCCGACGAGTGTCCGAACAGGCGAAGCAAGCATGAGGAAGACCGTGCTCGATCGGTCTGCTGGCCATTCGACTTGGTCGCACCTCCAAGGGTCAGAATCGATGATAGCGGGCGCAGGCGCAGGACTCGTTTCTGCCATCGTCACTTGCCCGCTCGACGTCGTCAAGACGAAGCTGCAGGCTCAGGGCTTCGTCCAAGCAGGCGCGAGAGGCTACCACGGTCTTTTCGGTCAGCTCACCCCTCACAATTTTCGCCTTTGTCACTCCTGCTGATTGGACGTCGGTCAGGCACGCTTTCACGAATATGGCTCGAAGAAGGACCGCGAGGACTCTATCGAGGTCTAGGTCCTACAGTACTCGGCTACCTGCCAACCTGGGCAATCTATTTCACAGTCTACGACAGAGTCAAACTGGCAATGGCTCAGAATACCCAAGCAGGTCAGTGTCAGCTTCAATCTTCCGCGCCAACTTGACCTCCTGATGAATCTCATCGCTTGCACTCCTTCTGAAAACCTAGCCTCTTCGGAGGTCCAAACCTGAAGCCAACTCTACATGATCGATGCGTCTGACCCCTCTCCTATCTCTCTGCAATCTCTCGAGATCTCGCATGCTGACGGAGACGGACCAGACGAGAACGATTGGACGGCGCATATCACTGCCGCTATGGTCGCGGGCGCCACAGGCACAATCTGCACCAACCCGTTATGGGTCATCAAGACTCGCTTCATGGTCCGTCGTGCCACGTCACGCTCGTCAGCGTGTTCTCTGACAGGCCAGTGCAGACACAGAAAGTAGGCGAAGGGGAAGAGCGGTACAAGCACACGCTCGATGCTATACAGCGTATGTACAAGGCAGAAGGCTGGCATGGTTTCTACCGCGGTCTCGTGCCTAGCTTGATTGGCGTCACCCACGTCGCCGTTCAATTCCCACTCTATGAGCACCTCAAGCTCGTCTACAGTCGGTCTCCTCCTTACTGATTGCCCGCATGGACTGGAGATGCGGTGTCTCGTGCAGGACCGGCAGACGGAAGCGAGTCGCCTTCGAGGACGATATTGCTCTGCTCTTCTGCTTCCAAGATGGTCGCTTCCATTGCAACATACCCCCATGAGATCTTGCGGACACGGCTGCAGATACAGAAGGTCGGGCCGAAGATCACTAGAGACGGTTCTGCGTTGGCCGACCATCTCGCCACTCAGCAAGCGAAAGCTTCCAATTCGTACCGCGGGATCGTCAAGACTTTTCAGCTTATCGTAAGGGAGGAAGGCTTCAGAGGCTTCTATCGCGGTCTCGGCGTCAACCTCCTCAGGACAGTCCCGAGCAGTGCGATGACTATCTTGACGTAGGTCTGTTGCGTGCTATCGTTGGCTCTGCTCATCGCAATGGCGCAGATACGAGAAGCTCATGTGGCACTTGAGAGATCTCAGCGGCAGCATGAATCATCATTAGCATATTGTAGACCGTGTAGACCATGTTGTCACATCAGCAGTATCACTAGGACACCGTGACCTCTTCCGCGTAGATACTTGCAGACCTCAAAGTGCAGCACACGTTGGACCTCGGGCGCTCGAGCGGACGCGTGTGCATCGACTTGTCAGCGCAATTGGCCGCAAGACACGAGGTCGTCATGAGCAGTACAGACTCGACTGCAAGGTCGAAAGCCGTCCTCAATGAAGAGCGATGGCGGCAGCAGTGGAAAGAATGGGACACCAATGAGCCTCTATCGAATCTGTTACGGCAGGCAACAGTCTTGGCGCACGACCAAGTCATGCGCCCTCCCGTCGTCAACGACCTCATCACGGGCAGAATCGCTCGCAAGGAGCATGTGCGCTATCTGATGATGCTCTGGCACGTCTACGAGTGAGCCAAGCTGCGCCAACTCGCGCGCATGGGCTGACCCGCGCGACCTCAGTGCACTCGAGACTGCTCTGAGCGATTTGGTGGATGATGAAGTGCTATGTCACATCTACCAGCCTGCCGATCTTGCCAGAGCAGACGGTCTGAGCCAGGACATTGCATATTTCCTCAGTCTAGACGACTCACTGACGACTTGGTGGCCAGATACTTGGCAGTCTCACCCGATCGCGCAAACCCTACTAGACACCACACCGGAACTTGTACACTACATCGCACGCATACACGCACTCGCTGGCACGACTCATTCACTTTCGTCTTCCACTGTATCCCCATTTGTATATCCAGCGCCGAAACCATCGCCGGCCTATCTACTCGGACACGCATATGTCAGGTACATGGGCGATCTCTCTGGCGGTCAGATCATCCGCGCTTCCATAGCTTCCGCGTACAGCTTTCCGGCCGATTCCCGTGAAGGGCTGCAGTTCTACGCATTCACTCGCAATAGCGGTCCACTGGACGAACCGCAACATATCCGTCGGATCAAGCAGCAATTTCGAACAGGTCTCGATAAGGCTGGACATTTACTTTCTGGAGCAGACAAACACGCACTTCTTCAGGAAGCCAATCATGCATTTGAGCTCAATATTCGACTTTTCTCCACGTTCTCGTCCGATCCGTCCTATGTCATGGAACGCGTCGGCGCGCGCGCGGACAAGCATAGCACAGCCTCGGCCTATTTGCCAAAGAGTCGACCTGTTGACTCCAGGCATCCTCGGAGAATCTTGCGCCAGGCAGCGCTACTGGCTGTCGCCATCTTTCTTACAGCGCTGCTGTTCAATGCCCGGACTGCCGTCTCCGCACACTTGGCGCGGTCAGGAACGGCGATGTCCGCCTCCTCCGTCTCAATTTAGGCTCAGCTGTCGACAAACTAAGCCAGCGCCCATCGGCCGCGGGCAGCGCCTCTTCAGCCCGGCTCATCAGCCGTCACTGATAGCTAGGCGCCCACATGAGCGAGCCTTGTCACGATCGAAAGCGAAGCGATTCAATAGAGATGACGCGGGCCCGGCCGCACGATTCCTGGAGATCTTTAGCCTGGCCAGGTCCCCGATTGCCTGGAGAACAGGGTATTTCAATTAAACTTGCGTTTTGAGCTTGCCAATTTTAATGAGATTCCCGAAAGAACAGAGTGCAGATTTGATTTCGCTGAAATGCCGATGTGTACGGGCGCCGCGTGCGATCGTGCACGAGCCATGAGGGCTTTAGGGTTCTCGGAAACAAGTCCAAGTTAACTTTTGCGATCGTCGTCCATAGCCAACCAGACCTGCGTACCTGCCGAGCGCGGTCAACTGGGCGCTAGGCAGCATCGAAGGCCCGGTTGTCAGGACAGACAGCAGCAAGTGCCTAGCAGTGGGCGCAGCTCTCGAGGCGTCTAGCTTGCCGGGCAAGAGCATCCTACCGTCGTCATGCAAGTCCAGCTGTGACGCTACAGAGTCAGTCTCGGCGACAGCTCCGGCTTCCTTCACTACTGATCGTGTGCTCAGACAGGACTCGAGCATCGTTGCCAAGCTTTGGGCTCATCCGTCCGAGGCAGAGGAGCGTGCTTCAATCAGAGCAATCCCGTCACTTGTCTACGATCACCTCGACGACGCTTCCCAAACAGTCTCTGCCGAACAGCCCCTATCAGCGGCATCTTCTGCACTAGCTCCTTCCCGTCCGAGCGCACAAGCAGCAGCCAATCTCTCTGCGACCTCGCTTGCACCCGCGAATCCAGCAGCACACGACGCAAAGACCTCAGCAGCGTGCGCTCAGACTGCGCACCTTTGCGCGACTGCGACAAACGCTCCGCGAAGGGCCGTGCTCCGAGCCTGAGACTTGACGCTCTCGCGACAGGATCTGACTCTCCACCGTCGACTGTCTGTCGCCCGACCTGACCTGTGCGCAGTCAGAGGTATGGGCAGCACCCAATTCGCCAATAGCCAGACAGTCACACGGGCACCGAGCCAGATCGTCTCATTATCCAAGCATCGGCCATCTGCCAACGGCAAAGGTGCATCTCCAGAGAGTATGTCCGTCTCTGCCAATGGTCACGCCAATCATTCGCCAAGTCGCGCGCACAGCAGTGCTGCCACGTCGGCAACAATTGAGGGCCGACCACCTTCGAATCCTCGCTTGCTAGGAGCGCATCGTCATCATCCCATAGAGTCACATACGCCCGCTCCTGGAGCGTCGCATGAGCTTCATCGGCCTCCGTCAAGCGGCCAGCCGTTGCCAAGCTCGACGTCAGGTTTCAATTCTGCGGTAGCTCAGATCCTGCAGCTCGGCGCAGATCGCAATGCAGCTGCCGCGGCATCCCACCAACGTTTCACTGGCCGCTTGGCTCCGATCAACGAGCGCAGACTGTCCGATCGACCGCCTTCGCCGGGCTTGCCGGGCCAGTCACGCCCGAATCCTACTTTGCTTAAGCTTGATCGTGAGACTGAAGCTTGCTGGATGCAAGTCGGTAAGTCGTGCCATCTCTTCCACCCTGCACTTGCTCACTGAGACGAACAGCGCGTCTCTCTGACACGCTTGGCAATTGGCAGCGCGCAATCGCCGGCTTCGAGACTGCGCTACGCCACAATCCATTCAATCGCGAAGCTTTGACTCAGATGGCGAGGATCCTTCGCCAGCAGGAAGAATATGTACAAGCGGCCGAGTTGCTGACACGAGCTCTTCATCTCAATGAGAATGAAGGCGACGATTGGGGCGCTCTCGGTCAGCGTAATCTCTTATGCGGATCAGGCCCGTACTGATATACATCCTGTAGGGCATTGCTATCTCATGATCGACGAGCTGCCGAAAGCGTACACCTGCTACCAGCAAGCGCTGTTGCATTCGCACAGCCCAAAAGTATGTTCGCGCCTGGCGTTGTTGGCTCGCGCTGACCCTGCGCCATAGAGCGAGCCTAAGCTGTGGTACGGCATCGGCATACTGTACGATCGCTATGGCAGTCTCGAACATGCTGAGGAAGCTTTCGCCAGCGTCATCAAGATGGATCCGAGTACGTGTGCTCGTGTCAAGATGCCTGACCAAGCTGATCCGGCCCTTATAGGTTTTGACAAGGCGAATGAGATCTACTTCCGTCTTGGCATCATCTACAAACAACAGCAGAACTCGCACGCAAGCTTGTCATGCTTCAAGTACATCCTCCACAATCCGCCACGGCCGCTCACAGAGATCGATATCTGGTTCCAGATCGGCCATGTTTACGAACAACAGAACGAGTATGAAGCAGCCAAAGACGCCTACGATCGCGTGCTCGGCGCCAATCCGACTCATGCCAAAGTTTTGCAGCAGCTTGGCGGTCTTTATCAGCGGCCGAAAGCAAGTTTCTTCGATCCAGAGCTGTCTGTCGAGATTCTGACCAGAAGTCTCGAACATGGTACGTCGGACTCGCTCAAAGGCGCTCACCATTGACACTACGGGTGCAGATCCTTCTGATCCTTTCAGCTGGTATCTGCTAGGAAGAGCGTTTATGACGACAAGCAATTTCGGTAAAGCCTACGAGGCGTACCAACAGGCAGTCTACAGAGACGGCAAGAACGCAGCCTTCTGGTGCTCTATCGGCGTGCTGTACTACGAGATCAACCAATTCCACGACTCGCTCGACGCCTATTCTCGCGCAATCCGGATAAATCCATACATCTCTGAGGTTTGGTTCAATTTAGGCGCACTCTACGAATCCTGCAACGATCAGATGACGGATGCAATCGACGCGTACGAGCGCACTTTGTCGCTAGACCGAAACAACGAGGTCGTCGCTCAGCGTTTGCAAGACATACGAGCGCATCAGCGCACGGGCGCGCCTTTGCTTCGTCCGCCACAGCCTATCGACATCTCGCCGGCGTCGCAATCGTGGCAAATTGCAGACTCGGCCAACGGCCCGCCTTCGGCACTATCGCAGCTGGACCCTTCGGCGCAAGACCACCGCGTTGCGCAGACCTCAGGATCACGCCGACAGTCTTACTCTCCGGAGCACGTCGAGCTGGCGCCTAGCGCTCCACACGGGCAAGCGCATATGAGACCGAGACCTAGCAGCTCAGATCCATACGATCAGGGCCCGCCGACTGCAATAAGAAGACGGAGCTCTGGCTTCTCTTCAGCTAATGCGCCCACTGCCATGAGATCTCTGCATCAGGCCTCGGCGCCGCCGCACCATCTGCCTCACATCAAGTCTGTATACGATCCGCGCGTTTCGCCTGCACCCTCTGGTGATCCTCGTCGCTCGCCAAACGTCTCACCGCGCCTACGAGGTCGCGAGCAGCATGCAATGCCAATGCAAATGCCACATTCGCAAGCGAGGCCGAATCAAGAGCCGGCACATGCTCAACATCCTGAGAGATATGTATCATCAATTGATGCCACACGAGCAGGGAGATATCCGGCTATTGATCCTCGGGATCCACGCACAGAAGCAGAATGGCATCGAGCTGACAGGGAAGCTCGAGGTGTTCGCCGTGGTCCAGACTCTCGACCGGTTTCGCCTGCATCATCTCGCGAATACTACGAGCAGCATCAAGCTCCAGACGCTTACCGTCGGGGCGGACCTCACTCGCCGACCTATCAGGCGCATATGAACGCTAATCACTACGCTCGTCCCTACGCTGATCATCGCGGTGTATCGCCTTCTGCCCAATACGGTCCAATGCTTGGCTATGCATCGAAGCATCCTCTTGGCGATCGTGAAATGCCGATCGACGGTCGGAGACGATACGATGACCGGGAAGCGCTAGAAGGACGCATGTCACATCGATATCCGGGCGGCATACCTTCTATGTCCGGCATGCCGATGCAGGACAGCGACATGGCAATGCATCCCGGCGGGTACGCTCAGCGTGGCATATCGCCATCTGGTAAGGAGCCAAAGTCGACCGCTCGTGCAAGGATGGGCAAGCCCGCGTCACCAGACGACATAAGTATGACCGATGGACAGGCACCGGCAAAGGCAGCGCCGAAGCCCCGCAAGAAGGCATCTGCTAATCCTGCCGGCGCGGATGGCACTACGGCAGACAGCAAGAAGGAGAAAAAGCCTCGCTCTGCGACTGCAAAGAAGCCTCGCTCTTCTACACCCCTCAAGGGCAATGCAAAGAGTGCACCGACTGGACCTGCGAACAAGTCTGGCCCAGGTCTGCCTCCCGTTGTTCTGAATCGTGAATCAGCGCCAGCGCCCATCGCGCCACCGCCTTCAGCTCAGCCGATCATGTCCACATCATCTGACATGGTCCGCACAGAGTCTCAAGGCACTCGAGAGAGAGCAGACAATGCCGCAGATGCCCTACTCGGCTTGGCAGCTTCGGGCGCAAAACCCAGAGTCTCACCGCCGTCTGCACAACCTTCTAATCCGCTCAAACGGTCTCTTGGCGACAGCACGTCTACTGAAGCCGGCCAAGAAGCAAAGAAGCCTCGTGCCGCCACTTCGAGTCCGCCTCATAATGCCCCAAGCCAGGCTAGCGTACCTACGCCGACACAGACGACCTCAAGCGCGCCACGCTCGTCGCCGACAGATGCAGCTATTCCGTCCGCTGTAGCCGATGCGCCCGCTATCTCTGCGCCTTTGACACTTGTACCGGAAGCTACTGCTGCATGAATTGTATCAATAATAGAAGATTGCAGATTTGCGTGCGGCCTGTCTCCGATAGACATACAGCCGGCTCAGGTTTTGTGACATTGACTGCTTGCCGCACAGTGGTATCGCGCCGCGACGGCAGGTTGCCCAGCGAACCTAGCGCCGGCGCCAACGCCTGCACGGTCAGTGAGGACGGCTGCATCGTAGACTTCTACGAGCTGACAGCCTGGCGTACTGCAGATCCTGATCTGTATCTTTCATCAAAATCAGAAAAACAGAAAAAAACCGGAAAAGCCAAGTGACCCTCGTCACGACCCAAAAGTCAGCGAAGCGAGATCATGTCCACCCTGACAAAGCTGACATGCTTTTCCAAGCGTCAGACTAGTCATCTCACCATCCGTCGATCCGACTGCACCCCTCGGATCAAGTAGCCTCTCAAGAAAAGAAGAAAAGCCTCGCCCAAAAATTTCATAAGCCACTAAACTCAGTTCTTCGGACCGTATCAGAGCCGTCAGAAGTACTGCCAGACATGTCAGCCACTACTGCCCCCACCGAAACGCCGGCGACGAGCGTCAAAGTCGAGGAGAACACGCCTGCGACCACTCAGAGCGAGTCTGTCACGAGCGTGCCCGCCGGCGATGTCAAGCCAACAATCGAAGAAGGAACGAGCGAGAACAAGCCAACGCCTGCTCCTACAGCATCGGCTGCCTCCACGACGAGCACAGCACCTGCTAGCTCGACCGGTCCCTCCCCCTCGACTTCTCTCTATGTCGGCGAGCTTGAGCCAAGCGTGACCGAGGCCATCCTCTTTGAGATCTTCTCGATGATCGGCTCAGTCGCCAGCATTCGTGTCTGTCGTGATGCCGTCACGCGTCGCTCGCTCGGCTACGCCTATGTCAACTTTATGAACGCTGCAGACGGTGCGTTGACTCGCCAGCAGGCTGCCCCTGAGACTGACGTCTCGTATGAGCGTACAGGCGAACGTGCACTCGAGCAGCTCAACTACACACCGATCAAGGGCAAGCCATGCCGCATCATGTGGTCTCAGCGCGACCCCGCATTGCGCAAGACAAGCCTCGGCAATATATTCATCAAGAACCTAGACGAGTCTGTAAGTATGGCCCATCACACATAGACAGCGATTGAATGTCGCGCTTGCAGATTGATAACAAGGCTCTCCATGATACGTTCGCTGCCTTTGGCAATATCCTCTCCTGCAAAGTCGCTCTCGATGAGAATGGCCTCAGCAAGGGCTACGGCTTTGTGCACTACGAAGGTGGTGAAGCCGCCGAAGCCGCCATCCAAGCTGTCAACGGCATGTTGCTCAATGACAAGGTTGTCTATGTCGGTCATCACGTTCCCCGTCGCGAGCGACAAGCCAAGATTGACGAGGTCCGCTCCAACTATACGAATCTCTACGTCAAAGGACTCGCGCCGGAGATCAGCGAAGCCGAGTTCAGTGAACTCTTTGCAAAGTACGGCCAGGTCACCTCAGCGGTCCTCCAGGTCGATCAGGATGGCAAGAGCAAAGGCTTCGGCTTTGTCAACTTTGCCGATCACGAGGCAGCTGCCAAGGCACTGACAGAGTTGCACGACTCCGAGCATAAGGGTCAGACTCTCTATGTCTCGCGCGCTCAGAAGAAAGGCGAGCGCGAAGAAGAGCTCAAGAAGTCGTATGAGCAGCAAAAGTACGATAAGTCGCTCAAGTACCAAGGTGTCAACCTGTATGTCAAGAATCTCGAGGACGATATGGACGAGGAGAAGGTCACTGCCGAGTTCGCTGCCTTTGGCACCATTACTTCGACCAAGATCATGCGCGATGAAAAGGGCGCCAGCAAGGGCTTCGGCTTTGTCTGCTTCTCCTCGCCTGACGAAGCGACAAAGGCTGTTACAGAGCTCAATGGCAAGATGTTCGGTCAGAAGCCGCTCTATGTCTCTCTCGCTCAGCGTAAGGACGTTCGCAAGCAGCAGCTCGAAGCACAACTCGCCCAGCGCAATCAGATTCGCTCGCAGCAGCTCGCAGCGTCTGGCATTCCTCCCAACATGCCGCCTTATGGCATGCCGCCCAATCAGATGTACTATCCCGGACCTGGTGGCTACCCTCAACAGCGTGGCATGATGTACCCTCCCCAGGGCATGCCCGGAATGCCGCCCCGTCCTCGCTACGCTCCTGCAGGTGCTATGCCAGGCATGCCGATGGGCTATCCCCCTCAAGGATACCCCGGACCGTACGGCCCCGGCCGACCGGGACCTCAATCTCGCTATTCCATGCCGCCCAATGGAATGCCAAACGGTATGCCACCTCAGCAGATGGGCATGCGTGGACCTCCTGGACAGATGGGACCGAACGGAGGCATGCCGCCTCGACCTGGTCAGCCTCTTATGCAAGGCCAGCCTCCTCGGGCCGGTCCACCTGCTGCTGCGGGTGCTCGTGCTGGTTTCAAGGCTCAGCCTGCTCAGCGTGGCGCGCCCGAGAACGCAGCTCAGCAGACTGCTGCGGCACTTGCCAACGCTTCGCCTGCAGAACAGAAGCGTAAGTCGGCATCACATGATCGTTTGACATGAGCTCATGGCTGTTCTCGTTGACAGAGATCATCGGCGAGATGCTCTATCCGCTCATTCTCGAGACTCGCCCTGAGCAAGCGGGCAAGATCACGGGCATGCTGCTCGAGATGGACGCCGGCGAACTTCTCATGCTGATCGACAGCCGCGAAGCGCTGGACGTCAAGATCGCCGAAGCACTCGCTGTTCTGGAGCAGTACCAGGCTCAGCAGGAAGGCGGCGAGCAAGGCGCTGCGCCCACGGAGGAGCCTGCAGCCGTCGCTGCATGAGCTCATTGACATTCTACTCTTCGATAGACAACAGCAAGTAAAGTCCATGCGACCTCTTCATTGAGCTTCTCGTTCGACCGTGTCTCTGTTGTCGTCTAGCCATCGTGCACTTGGGCATTGCATATAGGCTCCATCTCGTTCCCATCGAATGACTTGACCATTCCACCAAATTGAGATCTTGAGAGCCGAGCCGAACCGAACGCGCGCGCCAAAGCAGTTGGCTGACAGAGCCCAGGCGGCAAACATTCCAAGTCGGCGAGCTGAGCGACATACAAGCAAGCGTCCGCGGCAAGATTGGCGGTATCATGTCGCACGGACACGCTGCCCGATCAGAGTCCGAGATCTGGCAGGAGCGACGGGAGGTGCAGGAACGGTGGATGGGCCTGTTGCGGTACATTCGCTGGTCGCTGCCCGATCTCCTCGCAGAGGTCTCCCGAGACTTAGCCCAGGTCTCACCGGACAGTGCCGTCGATCTACGGCAGGACTACTCGCTCTGGCTCTCACAGCAGGAGTCATCAGACCAGAGCACAGCACCGAGGCGATACTACCCTTTTGCACGCTATCGCACTCACCGATCCCTCGCTCGACCGGAAGAAGAGGAGAGCTATTCACTCCCACTGTACACATCTGCCATCGACGGTGCTGCGAGAGCCAAAGCCATGAGAACTTCATCGACACTGACGCCAGAGGATTTGGCTGCCCAGTTGGACTCACTCCCTCGCTCGAGATGGTCCGACGGTAGGGTAGACAGATCGACCGGACTGGCACAAAGTAGTCCCTTCACGGATGCCAATCACTATTTGCGACCGACCATAGCGGACAGCACAGCAGATTGGCAAAGGAACACGGAAACAGATCAAGCACTCGCACTACTCTTGCCACTCCTCATCTTGCTCTCCTCGCTCCTCTTCTTGCTGCTTCTCTTCCTCATCTTCTTGATCGTCGCGAGGAGGAGAAGAGGTATCGCTTTGCAAGACGACGATGGCCCGCTCGATGTAGGCCAGGAAGAAGAGCTCTCTGCCGAGGGCGGCTTCACGGGGGTCGAGCAACGCTGGCTCGAGAGCGTGGACGATGGCGTCAAGACCGGATATTTCCGTGCCAAGGGTGAGCTCACGTACCGCCAGGTCTGACCTTTGCTGACTCGTCGCGCTACCAGCCTGGCAAGCGCAATATCCGCCCAACTCCCAGCCGTCAGACATCACGCTTTCCCAGTTCCTGTCGATACAAGAAAAGGGGATCAGTGCATGGTGTTTCGAGCCCGATTACGAAGCAAACTCGCCATGCGTTGTTCATTCGCGTACCGAGATCACTTTTGAGCCAGACGGTCTGGGCATGACCCCAGAGGAAGGCGGAGGTTGCTGCGTACAGTCCAATCTGCCGCTTCCCAAGCTCAATGAAGTCTATTACTGGGAATGCAAGCTGTTCGCAAAGCCGGCAGATACGATCATCGCCGTCGGACTGTCGACGAAGCCTTATCCTTGCTTTAGGCTTCCGGGCTGGAATAAGTACTCGATCGGCTACTTCTCCAATGACGGCTTCAAATGCCACAACCAGCCTTTCTCTTCGCAGTCATACGGCCCGCCGCTGCTCGAAGGCGATGTCATCGGCATTGGCTACAGACCTCGAACGGGCGCAGTCTTCTTTACGCGCAATGGCAAGAAATTAGAAGATGCCTACATCGGTCTCAACAGATACAACTTGTTCCCTACTGTCGGTGCAGACGGGGCAGCTACGATTCATGTGAATCTAGGCCAAGCTGGCTTCGTCTTCATAGAAGCCAATGTGAAGAAGTGGGGTCTGGCGCCTACGATCGGCACACTAGCGCCGCCGCCTGCTTATGGCAGCGAAAGAGGCAGCATACTGCTCGAGGCAGGTCAACACGGTCAAAATGTGACACCCACGCAGCTTGTGCCGCCATCGAGGATATTCAACCCGCAGCAAAGCACTGAGCAGCCTTCGACGAGCAATTCCAGCGTCGCCATTCTTGCGCCCACTTCTCCTGCCAATCCACAGCGTGATCGACGACACCGACAGCGATCTCATCGGAGCCAGGGATCCGAGCCCAATTGGACTGCGCCGGTGCGACCTTCACCACTTCGTACGACACTTCGTCCCCCTTCGGCTTCATCAGGGTCTTCGTCAATCGATATACCGCTCGATCAAGTCTCGCCAACAGGATCAGGACTGAGTGCGAGCGAGCAAGATAGCGAGGAAGATTACCCACAGAACCCGCCGACGCCCAATCGTCTCGATATCTCTCTGCATGCTCTCGGTCCTCTTGGGATGCGCGAAGCGGCGGAAGAGGCGCAGGAGCAAGTACGGGATGGCAGTCGTGATTCCTCAAGGCGGCATCGACGATCAAGGACAACAAGCCAACAGACACGGGAGAGTGACAGGCGAAGCAATTCGCCCAGCCCGCCTTCATATCATCCCATTGACCAGAACGTCAGTGAAGCTGATGTCATTTCGTCGACCTGTGCTGATGGGAACGTGCAGATGTATCCATCTGGCGTAGCCGAAGCAATGCTAGAAGATGCCTTTGGATCGACCGGGGCGCCAGCCTCTCTCTCGGCTTACGAATCCCGCAACACCAGCGCGCAAGCGCCGTCGACGAACTCTGAGGGCCGAGGAATATGGGGCATGTTTAGCAACCGCTTCGCTCGACCCTTGTTGCCCCAGCCTGCGACTGCTTCTCCCAATCAGAACCGGTTGTAGGCCTGACTTGAGTACACTGTTGTTTCGAAGCAAGAGCTCCTTTGTCACGATCTCGCGTGCAGTACGGATTATGAGAAACACATCATTCATTCATTCTGTCTATGAGAGCGAGCGCTCTTGATACATCTCAACTTGGGATCCGGTTGACTTTGAGCTTCCCATCGTCGAGTTCGTGTGTTGACGAAGGTCGGCTTTGAGGAAGGAGTCGGGTTGTGTGATTTGATGGTTGTGAGCTTGCATCGCCTTATGAGGACGTCAATGAAGTCATGATGGTATTTCGTTCGTTTCGAGGTCAGGCCGTATCTTGTGAGCAGTCGAGAAAATTGTAAATGAGAGACTCTGGCGCGTTGCAACCGTATGAGAGCGTCCTGACATACACCGATCCTTAGATCGTCTTATCATGTCTGGTTTTCGACGAGTGGCGCGTCAGCTTCCTACATGATAGTGAATGAAAAGGAGGAAGAGGACTGACTGGGTAGGTACTGCGGGCGCAGAGCTACCGTGCATCTTTGACTTTGTGTCGTGGAACAACGGTCGGAGCGCCTTGTGGTAGATGACCTCGGCACCGCGAGTCTGGGGCAGAATCAAGTAGAGCGTGAACCTGCAGAATGAGGCTAAGGAAGGCAGTCTGAAGCTGTACAGAGGGACATACGCTGTCTTGACGGTGTACCAGTAAGGGAAGTACGAGACGACGGAGATGAGGTTCTCGAACGTCTGGAACAGTCCGAAGACGACCCAGTAGGCTGTCCACATGTCAGCAGATGTCCGGGGCTACTGTGACGCAGTGAGCTCACTGAGCCATTGGGTGTCATCGCCCGACGCAGGTGTCTCGAGCGCCTTGAGGGAATAGTAGGCAGGGATGATCCAGCCGATGAAATTGGTCAGGAAGCCGGCGGCGATGTTGAAGAAGACAAAGAAGCCGAGCAGGCCAATGACACCGATGGCGGCATATGACTTTGGTACTGAAGTTTGCTTTTCAAGGTTTTGCAGTGCAGGGAACTTGGCCAGTTCCTTGTCAATCTGTGCGTGAGTGCTTCAGCATCAATGGTAAGAGAATCGAAGCGGAGCAGACCCACCTGCTGAATGTAGTAGTTGACCTTATCCATTGCGCTCATCTTGGTAGGATTGAAAAAAGTCTTTGCGTTCCTGAGGGACGTATCAAGGTCAGTCAGCTTGCACGACCCGTCTGGGTCCGGGCAAGGATCAGGCGAGGTTATCTGGCTCAATGATTCGCTAAGAGATCCGACAGCGTCGCAGCTCGTCATGCGACCAAAACAGGGCGAGTCGAGCGAGACGGGTGAGCTCATAAGGCCTGCTTCTTCGACAGTGCTGATGGTGAGCTTCGGGGGTGCAGGTCGACGAGCGAAGTCGTGAGACGGCTTGAAGAGGTAGCCCGGTCGCTCGAAGGCAAAGTCGCTCGACATTGACTTTTCTCTGGGTGCTGTGCGGTGCGAGGTCAGACGACAGGGAGCGAGACGGGGCTACCGATCTGAACACAGGGGTGGATGCCCGCATGCGAACTATCGTGCGACCGAACAGAATCGACGGGCTCGCATGATGCCCGCCGGCCCTGGCAAGGCGTACTGCGAGCGCCCAACGGTATGCACGTCATCGCCGCACCTCGCTGCATACGCCTCCCGACAGCGAGGGCGAGCGCAAGAGTGTGAACGATGCGCTTGCTGAGTGCCTGTCCCAGGGATAGGCAGCCAAAGCAAGCCACATGGGAGAAGCGGGTGCGGGATGTAGAAAAAGTGTTGCGTCGGCGTTGGCAGGCACGAGAGAGTCGGTCGTCAGGCGTAAACACTGGCGAGCGTCGAGGAAGCGCCGAGTTGCCAGATGCCCAGACCTTTGCCCTGCCCGGCAGAAGAAGAGAAAGCTTACCTGTGTGCGCAAAGCAAGGGCTGATACGTCGAGATAGGCTGCGACGTCGAGCGTCATGAATCATCTGATAATTCACCTGATGACGTGGACAGTGACGTGCATGAGGTCTATGCCGACGACGATCTGGTGTCAGTGTCCAGCTATGCGGTCCTCGATGGCGCAGCAGCGCAGCGTATCGAGCAGCAGCTGGCAATATGCTTCATCGTCGTCAATGACCCCTGGACTCGTTCACGCGAATCGGCATACACTCCGTCTTTTGCACCGTTCCTTGCGATCTCCAAGCCGGCAACGGACCTTTATGTCAAGTGCGCATCGTTCTGAAGCACACGGAAGCTCATCAGGCCCTCGTCCGTCCAAAGAGGGCTTCACGAGTCAGTTTTGCCTCGACATTCGCTCGTCAAGCTGCTCGCTGATCATGAAGGCTCGCGTTGGCAGCTCGGTTGAGAGAGCGATTGAGACACTCGCCCGTCGTGTGGGGACCTATCCCTATCGGAGTCGGCATTGCGCTGCTCGGCTTCATCACCTTCAACAGACAGCGAAAGCGCACGCAAGCAGAAGAAGCTGATGAGCGCATCAAAGTCAAAGGGCCCTGGTCTGCAAGTCATCTCGCGTACTTGTCCTGGCACCGCTAAGCTTGGGCCTTCAGGTGCAAGTCCTGGGAGCGCTACCCCTCAGGACAATATCGCGCATCTATGGCGCACTCAACTCGTACACCCTGCCTGAATGGTTTCGAGTGCCTGGCTACAAGCTGTATGGCTACATCTTTGGCGTCAATTTTGACGAATGCGAAGTCGACGATCTGAAGCATTACAGGTGAGACTAATGCATCATGAGGCTGTCGTCGCTGACATGGGCTACAGGTCGCTGAGCGAATTTTTCATGCGGAGGCTGAAGCCAGGCGCGCGTGTAGCCGAGGATGGCGTGCTGGTCCGTCGCTCGTCCTCATCCGCTGAAGGTGGACTGAGGATGTATTCGCGGATAGATAAGTCCAGCTGATGGCAAAGTTGTCAATTTTGGCTACATCGAAAACAGACGGGTCGAGCAAGTCAAGGGTGTCACCTACTCGCTCGACGCGCTACTGTCCGGCGTCGGCCCAGAGCAGAAGAAGCAGGGCGTGCTGTCGAAGCCTTCCGTACCTCCCACAGACCAAACCCAGCCACCCACTGGCAAGCATGCCAGCTCGACGGACGAGGAAGAATTTGCAGACATCAATGGCTTGCAATACTCTGTAGACGACCTGATAGGCGACGAAGACGACACGACCTCTTCTCACGATTCACGAGTGGGCTCTCCGCCCGTAGATGCAGACACACGACCCAACAGATCCACACGATATGAAAAGACTACCCCTGTCGACGCTTCTGTTGATGACTCTGAACGATCGGCGAGGGGCGACTCCGATCGCACGCTCGTCACTGACGCACAAGTTGCCCTCTCGCTTGCCAAATCGCCAGACATGCCATGGACGGTCAAAGGTGTGCCCAGGCCGGGTAACAAGATGTTCTTCGCGGTCGTCTACCTCGCGCCGGGGGACTATCATCGCTTCCATTCGCCCACAGCTTGGGTCGTTGAGCGGAGACGTCATTTCGGTGGTGCGTTGCCAGTGCAGTCATCATCCTACTCATGATTCATGTGTGCACACGCGCAGGCGAGCTGTTCTCGGTGTCGCCCTGGATGGCAAAGCGGCTGCAAGATCTGTTCGTACTCAATGAGCGCGTCGCTTTGCTGGGGAGATGGCGATACGGCTTCTTCTCGATGGTCCCCGTCGGTGCGACGAATGTCGGCTCTGTCACACTCAACTTTGACAAGGTGAGCCGAAGCCTGACTTGGTGGTACATTGACTGAGATCCGGCGCGCACAGGAATTGCGGACTAATGCGCCACAACGACCTGCGCGGCCGGGCACATTTGCAGAAGCAACGTACGCAAAAGCATCAGCATTGCTCAACGGTCAGCCTTTGAGAGCGATGGAGGAGATGGGCGGCTTCTGGCTCGGCAGTACGATCGTGCTCGTCTTTGAAGCGCCCGAGGACTTTCAATTCGTCGTCCAGCACGATCAAAAGGTCAAAGTTGGCCAGCTTCTTGGTGACACCAAGGCGCACTTGCAGAAGAAAGGCTTGCACAAGTCGAGCTGACACGACCCTGATCAACGAATGGAATGCACTTTGCTTGTCGCGACGCGCTTGTGCCTGATCTATGAGGCGGTCAACGACACCGATGAGGTAGGCGTGGCTCGTCATGTCGCAGCCAGTCGCAAGCGGTAGCAGGCTGCGACTGCCCGCAGACAGAGCTATAGATACGCTGCAAGCTCAGTCTGCAGAAGCGTGGCAGGCATCACAGGTCTGCGCCAAACTCATCGAATGCATCTCGCATGACGCTGATCCCGCTCGGCCACGACAGCGTCGACTGAGGCACGTAGCGGCAGTACACATTCGCAATCTCGTCTGTCCTGCTGCTGTAGCGACAGCAAAGGCAGCACCGCCGCCCTCCACACGAGCTCAAGGTGACTTGCTCACTCCTCCAAGGCCCCGTTTGGCAGAACGGCAGTACTCTCATGACGATCTCGATATCCCCAGAAGCAGACGGAAGCGGTCTGCCACGCTCAAGTCCCAGCCATCGCCGACGGCTCAGCGTTACACGCCCCAGCGCTCAAAGAGCTACTACTCATCGCTCAATGATCCCTCCTTTGACTTTGAACAGCGCGAGCCGCTAGGCCCGACCAAGCCAGCCCTCACGCGTAGCAAGAGCAGAGGAAGCGTGAGGAGCATAGAGACCTATCACACATCTCTGTCGACTCGCAGTATAGCAGAGGAAGCCGGCCCACTCGAGCTCGTCGTCAAAGAGAGTCCGCCCGACGATGCTGGGCCGTACTCTGCTATCGAAGCAGCGCCAACGAGCTTGAAGAACAGATCACCAAACCGAACGACTCATCAGATGCTTGCGCCCGAGTGGCCTGCCAATAGAGCAGACCTGGACACTTCTGCGTACCTGCAAACGACTATGCCAAGCACGCAACGTAACAGAAGCAATAGCAGAGCGTCCCAAAAGTCTCTTGCCTCTGCAGCGTCATCCGGCATCTCGGGGCCCTCTCCAATACCCCTTGCACTGCATCATCACAGACACACATCGTCGCAAAACCAGAAAGCTCAGCGAGCGCTGCAACGCGCCATTGAAAATCGGCTCGTTGATAGCATGATCATTATTACACCTGTCTCCGAAGCTCACCAAGTGCTATATGCCTCTGATATCCAGTCAGAGTCAATGAATCCTTCATTCGCCATCACGAACGGCGTCAGCGCTCATGCGGGAGCTCGGCAGCAACTCCTGCTTCAGATCTGGGCCAGTAAATCAAAAGCGATGGGCAAGGGCAAGCATAAAGCGACAGAAGAGACTTTGTCGCTTGCTCACGAGCGTCAGATCAATCTTGCCGACCTCAAGCCAATGGGTACAGACGTGCGCCTCTTCTTGCATGTATGCATACATAAGCTCAGTAAGACAGAACAGCTGATGCGCATAGCAAGCATGCTGGAAGACAACAGCATCTTGCTTGAGATCGATGACGAGTATTGGCTCGTGCCGCGCAAACCATCCAGAGCTGTCGATTTTGCCCCCTTGGCAGGCATCGAGTCTGCCACAGATGACAGCGACGATGCAGGCAACACGTCCGATCCCGGTCCCGGGAAGCTCAGGACGCAAGCTCTACGCAAACGAGAGCGATGGCGGGATAGACGCACCTTGCTCGATCGATCTCTCCGCGAGACTCGCATGAAGCCAAGCTACGATCTTGCTCATCTGCAAATGTGCGACGCGCAAGCAGCCTCAGAGACTACTTGCTGATTGTCTTGATGTCGATGGACAGGATAGCGGAAATGCAGCTCAAAATTGGGTCTATGCAAGTCCAGACACAGACATTGCAGAGCAAGTGCGCAGAGTCGCTCCAAGCCGATACGGTCGACCTTTCGGTGAGTCCATCATCTCATCGCATACGGATCCCTAATGATGTGCAGCAGAGTCGAGAAGCATCGCGATTGGCGTTGTGCGTAGAAACCTTGCGCACCCAAGCAGTAGAGATCGAGCAGCATCGCGCCGGCATGAGTGCCAAGCTTGACAACGGACGGGCCGCACTTGCCGCTCGTCGAGAGCGGCTCCGGCGAGCCAACGAGCGCCTCGTTGCTTTGCGTGAAGAGCAAAAGACGACTACTGCCCACACGCAAGACAAGCGGTACGTGTACACTTGTCTGCTTCGGCCATACTGATATCCAGACCAGACAACGATTGGAGATTCTGCAAGCTTCGATCGTCAACGTGCGAGGCTCGCTGGCCAGTCAGCTGTCTTTCCTCTTTCCCCTTGAGCCTGTCGCCCGACCGGTACACGACTTGCAATTTTCTCTGCTCGGCCTGCCGCTTGCCAACTCAGATTTCAGTATGCGTTCGGACGAGGAAGAAGCAGTCTCCTCTGCGCTGGGCTACTGTGCTCTGCTGACTAGCCTACTAGCCAAGTATCTCTCGGTTGCGCTACACTTTCCAATACGGTTCATCGGCTCACAATCGCTCGTGACCGATCCCATTCACGAGATGAAGGGCACACGAGCGTATGTCAAGGCCATGTTTGCTACAGGCAGAGCAGGCTCAAGCGTGATATGCAGGTTCCCGCTCTTCTATCGCTCTGTTGAGAAGCACAGATTCGATTACGCCGTCTTCTTGCTCAATAAAGACATTGAACAATTGTCTCAATCTCAATCGATAGCAGTGCTCGATCTGCGCAATACTCTGCCCAACGTGCATCTCTTGCTGCTCTCACTTGCAAGCGTTACACAAAGCGATGAGAAGCGACAGCAGATCACCAAAGCTGCCATGGAACTGCTCGCAAACGATGCTGACACCCGACCAGATAAGCTGCAAGAGCCTGCAGTCCAGTTTATGGCCAAGGTTCAGGCATCGCCGAAGGGCCGGAGCAGCGCCCAGTCGCTTGCCCAGCCTGTACCACCTTTGGCAATGCATTGACTCCTATGAACATCCTTTGTCGTTACATGATACAGAATTCTCGTCTTCCTTAGCTAGTGCGGATGACCGTCAGGACCGAATGGCCAGTTTGAAAACAGTCCGGCGTCATTCCCGCTTGCCAGGTATTCTTGAGCATCGCCGCATTGCCACACGCCCTCTGAGGGTGGCGTATGATCTCTACTGTGAGGGTAAGGAGAGCGCGGCGGGGGATGACTGGCCATTTGGCTAAGGAACTGCCATTGAGATACTGCAGGTGCCCATTCCTGGGCGAATATGGCAAGGCAATCGAGACTCTGCAGGGAGCCGCAGGGCATAGATCAGTCTGGCTACTTCTGAGTACGTCAGGCAGACCTGCCTCTTGGTAGAGCATCCGATGCTGAGCAGAACCATCGTTAAAGTGGGACGCATGAACAGCGCCCGCACAGAAGGTAGCGTAGGTGACCATGCTCGATTGTATCGTGGCTGAGCTGCGCAACATGTTGCGTACAATGGCACTGATTGCGCACGCTGCATCGTCGCAAATGCGTAGCGGATCGTCGAGTCCAGGGTCCGGTACAGGCACAAACACTGCCGACTTGTCAGCTCAAAGGCGCGCGCAGGTGTGATTGGCCTACTGCGATAGAGCAAGATGCGAGATAGATGGTACCACAAAAAGCAAAGATTGACATGCGGCAAGTGGATCATCGTCTCTCCGTTTGGGCCGACAGCGAGCATATGAGCCGGCAATCCTGTTGCCCATTTCTCAAGAGCATCGTGCAGCGTGGCGATCGAGTCACGTCTGAAAGCAGGCACAAAGAGTCTTGCGCGGGCGGCGGGCGAGTAGATCATGACGAGAATGTCGTCAATGATGCAAAAGAGTCGGATGAGGGCATTGTAGGTGCTTCTGACGTAGAGGCGACGACCGAGCAAGAAGGAGGACGACCAGCCGTACGAGGCATCGACGCGATCCTCCACCTCGTCGACGCAGTCCTCTCGGGGGAGAGCTTGATCGACGTCCGAACGATGCAAGAGCGCGGGACGGCCGAGATAAGCAGCGATGACTTTATCGACCACGAAGATCTGCCTGCGTGGTGCAGCATCACGGTATGAGCAAGGAGCTCATGTAGCGAGCGAGACGGACCAGAAAGTACGACGCTTGACCTCGACGAGAGGATCGCCACGAAGGCTGCAACGCTGATTGAGACCGAGCTCGAGTGCCATTGCCACAGCGGAGGCAATGAGCTGGTAGCCTTGCGAGCTCCTCCCACGGGCAATAGCATGCTGACACATGATAATGGCTGCTTGGAGCTTCGAGAGTGATGCCCCTCCGCCAAAATTCTGCACGTGAGCCAGCGCGACCTCTTCAAAGTGGGACTCGAGCGATGACGAGTCGATTTGGCCGTCGTGTCCGTGCGCAGCGAGGATCTTCTCGATGCTGGCCGAATCGAGCATCACGAGCGTGCGTGCACCGATGGCAGCGAGTACTTCGGGTGTGATGAAGGAGCTGTCTGTCGATGCACGGTCGAAGAAACCACGGTCAAAGATGGGACAGATCTGTCCGCGATCGTGAGCGAATGTCAGTGACGGGACAGAGGATGGACTGACGAGATGGGCAGTCACTGAGAACTTGCTGAGCATGGCACGCCAGAATCCGGGTGGGAGGGGAATCAGGCGGACTGGCGGTGTCGGTCTGAATGCCTCGTTTTGTCGCCACTGGGGTTGCGGGATCATCACTGTCCGCATGGCCAGAGTCAGTATTGTGGCACCGCAACAGGATCAGGGCAGACCAGGTGGACCCGATGCGTCATCGTCGGTGGTGATGCTCTTGCGACGGGGGCCGAGCAGGGTCTCGACGAGCATGGAAGTCGATCCAAAGTAGCTTGCCGTCACCGTGTCGTCAAAGGGAGCACCATCGGGTGAAGCAGAAGCAAGCGCTCCCTCTGACGTATCGTGCATGCCCATACTTGCGTCCATAGCGTGTCTGATGGTGTTGAGCTTGATCCGCCTGGGTGGTCCTCTGTCCTCGGCAGGATGATCAGGGCTAGTCTGTTCGATGAGAAAAAGCGAGCCTGACTTCTTTCGAGGGATGCCGTATGCGCAGGGTTCGCTTCGGAACGAGTTGAGACAGCGCTCGCAGGGTAGCTTGCCATCGCACTGCGCCTCAGGAACCGAGCGTAAGAGTCGACCTCTGACTCTGAGCGCCGTTTTGATGAACTCGCCTTGACTTTGAGACTGGAGCAGGCCATGCAAGCTTGTGCAACACGAGGTTGTCGCTCTGCTTTGCGTGGCCGGACCGGATCCGAGCCAGTCTCTGCTTGGCCTGCGCTGGTGGGACTCGAGGGAGACTCCTGAAGAGAGATCAGCGCGTGACTGGACGATGTCGAGGGTGGCGAGTTGAACTTGAAGGAAGCAAAAGCATCAATCATGTCCGGGTGAACCATGACTGTCAGAGCTGAACGTGAGCAGTAAGAGAGAAACGCGCGAATGACGGGAAATGAGAAAGAGAGANGGGGCCGGTGTGCGGCAAGGCAAGGAGCCGACGCGGTCAAGAGCGTCTGGTGAGGTCATCCGATGCCCTCTCGATGATCACGGCAAAGCGTCTGAAGTGCAATTCTGACAGCACACAGGGTGGGCAAAGACGCCAGCGCGATCGGTACCGGGCAGGCGGTCCTAATCAACGACGACGCTCCAGTCCGAGGGGATCTCGCCCGTCTGTCGTCCTACGACCTCGGTGAGCATCGAGCGTGCGATATCGCCCAACCCGTCTGCACCGACGGGCACATTGATCGATTGTCCGTTGTATCTGCATCTGACGCTATCAGCTAGAGTGCAGGTGACGAGTGAAGGTACGAATGACCCTATGCGCTCGACAGGACTGACGATGGCTGCTGTGCCGGAGCCAAAGATCTCGAGCAGCTTGCCCTCGCTCGCCGCAGACTTGATCTCGGCCATTGTCACTTTGCGCTCGCTGACTTCTAGCTTGTCGGGTAATGAGGAGATCTTGAAGCTCGTCTCGGGATCTGCATGCGCTCGCGCCAGGGCGAGTATCGAATCGCGCGTGACGCCGGGCAGGATGATATCGTCGAGCGGCGGCGTAACGAGCTCGGTGACTGCACATACGTTATGAGCTGCAGGATCAGATGAGCAGCGAGCGATAGACTGACCTCCGTTGCCCTTGTCAAAGGCCATGAAGAGGTTCATCGTGCCTACTTCTGTCACCTGATCGTCATCGCCAAAGAGCCACAGTATTTGCTGGTATCCCAGCGCAGCAGCTTGAGCTTGGGGTACGACGCCGCTCGCATAGTTGCTCCCCAGCTTGTAACCGCCCGTTCCGCCTGGCCAAGCTCGCACATAATTGTTCGTCGCGAGCAGAGAGACGGGTTTGAAGCCGGTCTTGTAGTAAGGTCCCACGGGCGAGCAGATGACGAAGAGCAAGATGTCTGCACATGCTCCTACGCCGAGGGCTGCTTGTGTACCGATCATGGTCGGACGAATGTACAGACTGTGACCTTTCTCTGCGGGAACCCACCGCCTGTCGAGCGAGACGAGCCGCTTGATCAATTCGATCAATGTATCGCCTGTAAAGTTCTACGATCTGTATCAGAGCCGGACCACGGCTGTGTTGGTAATCCAACTGACTGGAAATGCGAGTCTGCTGGCGCTACGATTCATACGTTCCATGTTTTTGTCGGGTCGAAATATCCTCACGCGACCCTGGAGAATCGACTCACGTAAGACGCCCAACACGAGGCTGCTGATCGGCATGTCGACTTGCCTGGCTGTCTTTGTAGGCCTTCATGCCTTCGAAGAGACACGGTCCGTAGTGAAAGACGGTACTGCTGGGATCCAATGACAGATTGCCGTACTGTTTGATGACGGGCGGAGACCAGCCGGATTCGGAGTTCCAGGGTATGACGAGCATGTGGTCTGTGAAGGTGTGTCCGAAGACGAGCGAGCTCGAAGGGGGCAAGTCCTTTGGTGAGTCTGATTCTATGATTTGCAATGCTGATGCCTGTCAGGATGATAAACCTCGTTCAGTCGAGGAGGGCTGGGCATGTTGGCGTGCAGGACGTACGTCAATGTCGTCCATCCCGATCACTTCGCCCGTCATGGGATCCATACGTTGGCCTGACCCCATGGGCGCACTGCTCTGAGCTTGACCAGCAGCGAAAACTTGCTTCGAGTCAACGGGCGGCGTCTTTGTCTTTGCACTCCCCCTGCCGCCGAGCGACGAGGATGTATCCGCAGAGCTTGTGGAGCCGTCCGGCGAGCCTGTCGACTTGTTACGTTGCTGTGATCTTGATGGCGCTGGACGGGCGCAATGACTCGATAGGGGTAACACGTTACTACGGCATGTTGGCGCCCAGCGACGGGTCGCCAAGCGAGGAGCGAGTAGTCTGGGAGCAGGCATACTCGACCGTGCTCTTTGTGCAGCGGGTCGAGCTGTTGTAGCCGCTTGTGGGGACCAAGTCAACGTCGTGGGCAGCTCTGCTCGACTCCGCCAAAAAGGCACGCGATCGACAATCTCTGAGGAGTTTGGTCGAGGACTGCCTACGAAGCGAGATCAGCAGGCCAGCTCGAGCAGAGGCCGTGCATCTCGAGTCAAAGATGGCGATGCCCTTTGGTGGAGAGAACAAGCGCCCGCATCTCTACATCGGCAACATCTCCCCCCGGGTGACCGAGTACATGCTCCAAGAAGTCTTGCAAGTCTGCCGTCAGGGCCTGCCCGGCACGAGCTGACAGTGCATTGCTCAGTGCACTGGCTGGACCTGTTCAGCAGGTCAAGATCATTCCCGACCGTACATTCCAGCATGGCGGTCTCAACTATGGCTTTGTAGAGTTTTATACGATGCAAGGAGCAGAACAGGCGCTGCAGACACTCGCCGGTCGCAAGCTCTTGTACGTCGCAGACCCTGAACGCTCTTCTCTACTCTGGTGACCGAACATGCTTCGAGCGTACAGTGACACAGAGATGAAGGTCAACTGGGCTTACCAGAACCAGACGGCCAAGGAGGACGTGACGAACCACTTCCACGTCTTCTGCGGTGATCTCTCGCCCGAAGTGACAGACGACATCCTCCAAAAGACCTTTTCCGCCTTCGGCTCGCTCAGTGATGCCCGTGTCATGTGGGACATGGCCAGTGGCAAATCGCGTGGATACGGCTTCCTCGCCTTCAGGGACAGAGCAGACGCAGAGGCAGCCATCAACGCCATGAACGGCGAATGGCTCGGCAGCAGGGCAATCAGGGTCAACTGGGCCAACCAGAAGAACCAGGGCATGATGGGCGATGGCGGCATGGGCGAAGGCCCTCCGCCTCCTGCGCGATCAGGCGGTTTCCAGGTCGGCGGATCAGACTACAACATGGTCGTCACCCAGACGCCCGTCTCGAACACGACGGTCTACGTCGGCAATCTGGTACCCTACTGTACCCAAGCAGATCTCATACCGCTCTTCCAGGGGTATGGCTACATTGTCGAGATCCGCATGCAGGCCGACAGGGGTTTCGCTTTCGTCAAGCTCGATACGCACGAGCATGCTGCAATGGCGATCGCCTACTTGACCGGTCAGATGTGCCAGGGCCGCTCGCTCAAGTGCAGTTGGGGTAAGGATAGAGAGGGAGGCGGCGGTATCTCGGGTACGCCGGGCATGTCGATCATTCCAGGCCCGACAGCCTATGCACCTGCTGCGCCACCGCCCGTACCTAGCTTTGCACCCCAACAAGACTTTTCCGCGCAATGGGCGTCTTACTATGCCAGCCAAGGTCAGCCGAATCCCGTCTAGACGACATCCTGCGCGGGGGCGGGCGAGCAAGTATTCTCTGTACAGGTTGCACAAGCTGTTGACACAACATCTCATCTACTCCTGCTGCTGCTGCTCGTGCTGCTTCGTGTGAACTATGGGTCGTCTGGTTTCTCTCGTTCGATGAAGAAATGCTCTATGGCTGCACCGAACAGGCCGAATCCTAACCCGCTCAGAGAGGCTGCTCTCAAGCCGCTCTTGCGAGAGATGATGCTGCCCGTGATGAGCCCCCCGAAGAAAGGGTTCCAAGGATCGTGCTTGGCCCGATACTGGCTCTCTCGTCAGCCTTGATGATCATATTGCGTGAGGAGGCAGGCTTACGCCTTCGACGATGGACTCTGCGCCTGCAAAGAGAAAGCCTATCCTGCCCCATGTCTTGCCTTGTCGGTACATGCCCTTGCCCATGTCGGCAAACATGACGCCCGTCTTCTTCATCGTCGACATGTCTGGCCGTATGTTGGGGTTCGTCCTGAACGGGTCCTCATACGCAAACGAGACCGACACCAACGACAGAAACGCTCCCAACCCACCTCCTGTGACCTTGCAGGTTCAGACTCTGTGTGTGGGTGGGAGGAGCAAGGCTGGACTGACCGACGACGCCGGACATGCCCGCTTTGAAGAGAGCACTTTCGGGCGCCTGGCTGAAGATTCGCTCGATTCGCTTCATCTGCTTGAACTGAGCCACTTCCTCCGGTGTCGGTGTGCCCCATGTCTCCGGGATGATGTAGGGCGGCAGAAGAGGACTCGAGCCCTGCATGCTCGCCCCGGGAATGGCGCCTCACTCGATGACGTTTGCCGTCTCGAGCTCTCAAAGACGCCAACAGACAGATTGTCGCGACTTGGGCGACACGATCAGACAGACAGGCATCCCGTCAAGGCAAGCTATGGCAGCTTCCCTTACAGCTTCTGCGCCCCTCAGATGGACCGCCCTGAGCAGAGCAAGCTTGACATGCAGATCGATCGCGATGACACGCTGCGCTGCCAGCCTGCAGCAGCACCGAAAGCTGGCGATAGCGAGCAGAGATCTCGACATCCCCGTCAAGTTCTATCCTGCTCCCAAAGCGCCCACCAAGTCTATCTTCGATGGCGCAGATCCGAAGAAGCTGCCCTTTGAACAAGACCTTTTCGAGCCCATTGACGATCTGTTCATCAACGCGCTCAGGTCGTCGCCACCTGAAGCAACGCACCTCTCTGTCCTCTGCCAGGAGATGTACGCTCGATCGAACGTCCAGTTGGACGACGAGCTGCCCAATGATTCTGCGCCGGCTGCTAGCAAACGCGTTCGATGCTTCGGCTCCAAAGAACTCCCTTCTTGGTCTCGCGTGGCACTTCACGCGTCTGCTGTCCTGAGCGGCCAGCAAGTCAAAACCCTCGAAACGGAGGATACGGGTGTCGTCATGATTGCCTGGGTCGAACTCCACCCGAAACCTCACGTCATTGTCTGCTCTGGCTTCGTCATCCAAGGCAAAGAACGCAGATATATCGTCACTTGCGCCCACCCACTCCAAGAGACCATCGTCGGCGATGTGGCTCGAAGAGGACCCCGAGCGCATCAGCAAGCTAGCGGACCGGCCGCTGGCTTCGTACTGACTGCTCACGGCGATCTCTTGCCCATCGGCGAAATCACAGGCGCGGTACTCGATGCGGATATCATGCTCATCCGACCCGGCGGATCACAAGCGCTCGCCAGATTGGACAGCCTACCCTCTCTACCCGTTTCGCCTTTCCCGCCTCCTGTACTGGCAGAGCAACGCGCCCATTCACTCGTCACAACGCAGAACCAACCTCACTGGCTAGACTGTCGCGTGACATCGTACCGCAGTCCGGAGAACTTGGAAGTCCAGCCGGGAACATACGACACGCTAGCTACGATGGCCATTGATGCCGTACCTAGCTCGGGCTCATCTGGCGGTCCCCTCGTCGATGTGAGCATGGGTGCAGTAACGGGCGTCATCAGGGGCAACTTCCTCGCCCACAATGAACGCACTCGCCGCGGCTTCTGCGCGCCCATCGAAGCTCTGTGGGAAATATTTGCACTGCCCGGCTTCTTGCCTGCTTCGAGCAAGCGGTCATCATGAGCAGTCTATACTTCGAGAGTCTGGCAAGAAACCTGGCGACGCCCAGAACGGGGCATGCGGAGAAGCCGAAGCCGATCGTGACGACAGCTGCACCGAGCCGGATTGCAAGTCGCTGACAGATAAGATGAACGATATTGTAGGGCGAGCAACGCAGATAGCGTACTCGAGCATCGATGCCGGTCTCATACCGGACTTCATACTTCGGCCGGCAGTGCGCACGCTGTCTCGTCAACGGATCAAAGAAATCGAACGAGGAACGATCCAGGCCAATCATGAGGCCAAGATGGCATTCGTAGAGAGTCTGCGCTCGAGACCGATAGCGATCGAGCAATCGAAAGCCAATGAGCAGCATTACGAGGTGCGTCCGCCTTGCCCACTCCACAAGCAGAGCTCATGGTGCCGAGCAGGTCTCGACGGAATTCATCCGATCTTGTCTGGGTCCCAACATGAAGTACTCTTGCTGCTACTACGAGACGGGCAAAGAAACGTTGGAAGAAGCAGAGGTGGCCATGCTTGAGCAGTACTGCCTCAAAGCCAAGCTTGAGGATGGCATGGATATCCTCGATCTGGGTTGCGGCTGGGGCAGTCTCTGCCTCTATCTCGCCAAGGTGAGCTCGCGAGCGCCCTTACGACCTGATATGTGCTCAGTACGAGAGTGACAGAGATACCCAAATGCACGCGTATCCGCACTCTCAAATTCGTCAACGCAAAAGCTACATATCGATGCCATGGCCAAAGAGCGCGGTCTCACCAATCTCGAGGTTCACACTGGCGACGTCAAGGTGTTTGATTTTGGCGGCATGAAGTCCTTTGACCGTGTGCTGTCGATCGAGATGCTGGAACACATGAGTGAGTCTCAAATTGGTGCTCAGTCAACGCTGCTAAGCTGTGCCGAGGATTTGCAGAGAACTACGAATTCCTGTTCGAAAAGGTCTCTCGCTGGCTCAAGCCAAACGGAGAGGCAAACGGCTCAGACGGCTCACTCTTTTTCGCCCACATCTTTTGCCACAAGAGCCAGCCTTACGATTTCGAAGAGGGCGATGGCTGGATGGCCCAGACATTCTTCTCCGGAGGCACCATGCCCTCGCTCGATCTGTTCGCCTACTTCCAGAAAGACCTGACACTCCAACGATCCTGGTGGATTAACGGCACGCATTATGCAAAGACGCTCGAAGCATGGCTCGTCAAGCAGGACAGCGGACGCGCACGCTGGCTGGGCGGTCAAGGAAGGATGCTCGATGGCAAAGCGAGCGAGAAGCGCGAGAAGGAGGCAGCAGTCACTTTTTACCGATTCAGGCTGTTCTTCCTCGCCTGTGCAGAGTTCTTCGGTCTCAATCAAGGTGAAGAATGGGGCGTAGGACACTATGTCTGGCGCAAGGTCGACAAGTGAAGATGTATTGGGCTTCCAGATAGAGTGTAGTCACAACGACAGGCCAAATGCACACACAACATTCTCCGCATCAAGCCACCGCAACGACTTGGGCATACGAGCGAGCACGTTCTGCAGCTTTGCTCTCCAGCATGTTGGCTTCCACTTGAACCCAGTCACTATCCTCTTCATCGATCTGCTGCTTTCTGCAGGTAGCAAAGATGTCATCGTCGAGAGCAATGACGGTCTTGAGCACCGGCAAGATCTCGAATTCGCCAGAGATATCTGCTCAGCGCGTCAACTCTGGCACGGCGCAGGACAATGTCAGCGCTTACGCTTGGACTTGTAAGCCGTGCTCGTTTGCATGACCGTCTTGAGCTCGCTGAAAGGCACTTCGCGAGCAGTCGCTGGCCTCATGGGCATGGGCAGTTCGCCAACGAGCTTCTTCTGCTCTTGCAATTGACAGATAGACTCTGTCATCACGGTATCCGCCGTCACGTCCACGTCATCCTCGACGAGCTTCGCAGCATGTCGACGGGCGGGCGCCTCTGCTCGCGTTGGGCGCGCGCGCACTTTGACAGCAGCTGCGCCTGCATGCTGTGCAGGATGAGAAGGCCTCTTGGCAAGCGACTTCGCCCGAGCAGCTTCTCGCTGTGTCTTTGCGTCCATGATTTCGAAGAATGGCGATTGAGACCGGGTCGAGTCTGCTTCGCACAGACAGTCAAGTCGTGCTGAAGACAGAAGCAGCCTGAGCCGCCTCGAACCTCAATGTCAACACTGATTAGAGCCCGCTCCGCGCGATGACGCCGGCCGAATAACAAAAACAGTGAACTTCGCGCTCGCGTGATTTCGGGACGGCGTCTTCATCGATTCCTCTCGTGGAATAACCCAACAAATCTGAGAGACCTTTCCGATTTGATTAAAAGCCACGCCGTTGCGCAGCTTCGATGGTGCAGATTCTAGTGCCCTCTTAGCGGCCGTGATGCATGATATCCGGACGGCGAGGTGTTCGACAATGTTCTCCCCAGCCCGAAAGAAGGCGTCTCTGCAGATGTGGAAGATCAATTAGAGGGTTCGCGAATCTCGCAACCAGAGGGGTATTGAATGATTGAATGAGTGCCGCCGCCGCAATCTCTTGCACCTGGCCACACTGGAGGCGGACTTGACCGTATCCAATCTATTGAACTAGGTCATCAAAAAGAGGTCGGACGACTTGGATCTCATTCCGGGAAGCGTGCCGCGAAGGTTTTACAAGTGACGCGCATCGACAGCGCCCATCGCCGTTGCACGACCCACTCGCTCGTGAGACCAGGCAAGGAAGCGGTACTGCGCAATGGGAAAGTAAGCAAGATCGACAAGAGCACAGATCAGAGCAAAGAACAAGTCAGGGAGCCCAGAGTGGGCGATCATAGTCGAGAAAGTCCGGTGGTGTAAGGCGCACTCTCTTCAGAGCGACATCTCCGAGCACAGAACATTCTGGCGGTGTGGCATTAGGGTCACAGACTGTATATCACACTCTTTGACCGGCGACAGCCCCGCCCTATCAAAGGCGAAACCTTTGCTTTGGCGCGCAGTCAGCCAGCCTACGTCAACGACTGGCCTCCACCGAGGACAAGTCAACCTTTCGGAACCAAGTGTCGTGCGCAATCGCTGCCGCTCAGCAGCCGAGATAGCACAGACCGCGTTCTGGACGCTGCCAAGGGATCGTCAAGCTCGTACGCCGCAACGCATCGACCTCGTCTCGACTTCGGCTTTCAGCACACGCTCGATTGAGAGATCACCCCGCGAGAGAGAGAGACAGCTCGATACAGCCAATAGCGTCAGCTAGGACATATGATGTGCGGCAGAGAAGCATAGACGAGCGAGAGGAGACACGTAGCGCGCCTTTGCAACGACGTTGCTGACAGCGACGCGCTGCCGCCTTCCCTGGATGTCGGCATGTCGCTTGTAATGCCGCTCAGCATGACTGCATTACCAAACGCATTACAGCGCTCGTCACCTTCGCCGACTGGCAAGCGAGCTAATCGCGGCGTCGGCCCCAAATCGCCTGTGGCGCTTAACACCGATTCGCAGCCCGGCTCCCACCAGGCTTCGCCATATGAGGACAGTCAGCTGCTGAGCCCGGTCTCGCTAGCACATTCCATCGACTCCGCAGAGTCCGACATGGTCTCAATGTACACTGAGTCGTCTTCGAGCGGCTACGACGCGTCTGGCCTTGATGTCGTGCAGCCTGGTGCTGCCGGTCTCGAGAGACGGAGCTCACGGAAACAACGCCCACGGATGCTCAATCTGCAGAACTCCTCCCGCGAGCGAACGCAGTCGTCTCCCAGTTTGTTGGTAGCCAATCGCTCCCATCTCAGGCCAAGTGATTCGCCCGTGACGCCGCTAGCGTCCACGCAATATGCGCGATCAGGCCACCAGCGACAGAAAAGCTCTGGAGATCACGACGCAACGCCTGTCAGCCTCGCGGGCGGCATGACGCGAAGCTTAGCTTCCGCCTCCTTGGTCGATTTCCTCAACCCTGCAAGCTCGGGCCTTGAGCGGCCACTGTCACCGCAGAGCATGCCAGGAGAACGTCGAAGATCCATTCTCAATGAGACCTTGCCTGCTTCGGGCTCTGCTGCGTCAGTTTCGACCTATCGGGCGAACAAGCCTGAGAATTCTGGCTTCGTCGTCATATCGCGTCCCGTCAAGCCAACACTCGAGACAGCACCTCAACGCTCGCCTCGGCTCAGCCAATCTGGCTTCGCGACGCCTGCCTCACCCAGGGCATTTCCCCAATTCAGTCACTATAGCTATGAAGATGCGATGCCATCGCCTGGCATCGTCTCAGCTAGCGCCAGCGTGTCACGCGAGACTAGCGGCGGATCCGGTCGCTTCAAGCACATCAAAGGCAAGCAGACCGATCGCTCAGACTTTGACAGCCAAGTCGAGCCCGTTACAGAGACCAACAAGGTCAAGTCGGGCAAGGATGCGCTTGGCAGACGCATGGTCAATCAGTGAGTATACTATCAATGAACTCAGCGGTATGCTGAGTTGCGAGCAGATACGTACGATTACACATGATCGGTCGCGGCGTGCACGGCCGCGTCTGGCTTTGCGAGGACACGCTAGGCTTGCCCGACAGTGGCGAGGGGCAAGGAGAGCTCTGCGTAGGTCGACCTTGCTGACCATGCCTTCTGGCTAATATTCGTGTTACAGGCGATCAAATCAGTCTATCGTGAAGACAGACGCAAGCGGTCTCTCAAGCAGGCAAGAATGGCACGCGCCGCAGCTCGCAGCACATCCACTGGTCTTGATGTCAATGCGATCAACGCTGCATTAGAGTCCGGCTCGCGTGCGACAACGTCCGGCAATCGATCTAATCCGGCTATTGCAGAAGACGACACTGTTCGGCAAGAAATTGCGATTATGAAACGGCTGGGCCACAAGCACATCGTCAAGCTAAAAGAGGTCATTGATGATGCAAACAGCAAACAGATCTTCATGGTGCTAGAATTCTGCAGCGGCGGTCAAATCGACTGGCAGGATCCGGTCACAAAGGCGCCAAAGATGACCGTCGACGAGTCGCGTAAAATCTTTCGAGATGTCGTCCTGGGCCTCGAGTATCGTACGTGGACCAAGCATCGCAATTGGTCGAGTTGACGTTGCAGCAGTACATCACAACGGCATCATTCATCGTGACATCAAGCCTGCCAACCTGCTCTGGGCAACTCGCGAGCGCGATTTGGTCAAGATATCAGACTTTGGCGTTTCCCATCTATCAGAAGCACTCACACGCACGCATCGAAGTGGTGAGGGCAATGATGCCGACGAGACTGGCGACGACAAAGCTCTGCGCAAGACGAAAGGCAGTCCTGCCTTTTTTGCGCCCGAATTATGTTTCCCTGTCGAAGTGACGCCCGTTGCTACTCCCTTTGAACGAGGAGAAGGGCAAACTGACTATGACATGCCCGAAACGTCTGATCTGATGCATGATCTTGCTGGCGCGAGAGAGCGGTTGGGACAGATGGGACGGCCAGTCTCGACTCGCACAATCACCCTGGTCTCCCATCCTGTCGCTTCTCAGCCTCACACTGCTCGACAACGACCGCCCATTGGCAAGGGCATCGATGTCTGGGCCCTCGGCGTCACCTTGTACTGTCTCCTGTTCGGTACAACGCCTTTCACCGCCAATACCGAGTACGAGCTTTACAATGCCATTCCTCGCGACAAGGTGCCTATCCCGGCTCACATGGGCTCCGATCGTCGTCTGACAGGCAGCGGTATCGTCGCCGAGTCCCATCTGCCAGCTCACGTACACGACGAGTTGCAGGAGGGGCGTGAGGCTGTAGATCTGCTCAGCCGATTACTCGAGAAGGATCCGACTAAGCGCATCAGTCTAGACGAGGTCAAGACGCACCCTTGGGTGCTTCGCAATCTTCCGGATTCTGGCGAATGGCTTGCAGACACTGACCCTACTCACCAGCAGGCCGTCAAAGTCACAAAGGAGGAAGTCCAGCAAGCGACTGCCGATCGAGCTTTTCACAGTCGAAAGTTCAATCCAACCTCGCTCAACCTCAAGGACTCGCTCAAAAAGGCAATGGATCGACTGCAAGCTGGCTTTGGCCTTTCCAACCGAAATCAGATTCCTACCACGCGTATTAGGACTCAATCACAGAGCAGCGCCAGTGCGATCGATACCTTCTCTGAGCCCTCGCAGAGCCGCGCGCCGTCACGGCAAATTTCCAAAAGTGGACCACATGGGCTACCTGCGCTGTCAAATGACGATCTCGTATCGTTGCCGGACGGCATGAAGAGTCCGGAAAGCGTCGGCAGCTCTCGTCGCTGGTCGATCAAGAACAGGCTGGTCGGACACCGCAATTCGCAAGGCGAGCTCGCGTCCCGTCCAGTCAGCGCACATATGCCGCCCATGGCTCGTACGTATTCCAATAGCTCTGGCGCGGGATCTGCGATCTCGCCCAATGCACGCCGGCCGGTGTCCGTCAGTGGGAGTTCCGCTCCGCAAACGGTCGTGGAGCACGAGTTACTTCACCCTCGACAAGAGCATGCGCGAACTGCTCCCTCTCCCAGCAGGCAACCGTCCTGGCATCCTGATCTGAGCCCTGCGCATCAAGACGTAAGCAACGCGTATATAAGCAGTAGTGTGCTAATTCCGCACGACAGAGCGATGCCGAGTCGTCAAAGCGCGTCAATGGATTTGCCCGTATTCTTGGTAGATTGCGCAGCGGCAGCAAGACACCACAACGAGGTACAAATACGCCGGATCTGCCATTGGGCGCTTCCGCGGCGACTGATGGCGAATCAGATGACGAAGCGATACCCTTGTCTGCTTCGCCCCTTGCCCACCAGCGCGGCTCGATCATCTCAGACGGCTCAAGTGCCAGCAATGATCCTGCTGAGCTCGTACACGGCCGCCAAGGAGTGCGCGCACCGATCACCAATCTTGCAGTCGAGCCTGTACGGGGCGGCTCATCCGAAAGTAGCCTGTCAGATGCTGACGAGTCTGACGGCGATCTCATGAACGATGCCGATATCGGCGATGAAAGTGACGATGATGAAGACGATGAGGCGCTTGCAACGGATATCAAGTCCGGTCCTGTTGCGACGCTCGATGCGCAAAAGACTGAATTCTTGCCAGCATTTGATCGTTTCGATCAGCTCGGTGTGCCCTATGGAAATGACGCTACTCAGACTTGGACAACAGCGGCCCGACCGGACAGTAATACAGTGCTCGCGACGCCGCGCCTTTCCCTGTCCTCGACCGAAGACGAATCCCCTCGCATGTCACCTCGGATGCCTGTAAAGACGGTTGGACCGACGACGGATCATCCCTCAGTTGTACCCAGCCTGTCACCTGTGGACGAACGCAATCAAAGGGAAAGCATACAACATCGGCATAGCGAAGAAGATGAAGAAGGCGACGGAGACCTTGAGATCGAAGTCAAGCCACGTAGACGAAGAGCATTGACAGATCGCTTGCTGTCGCCGCCTGCCTCGGATGCAGACTAGACCCAATACCCACCCTACCTCTGTGCGCTTACCAGTCCCCCATTTGTGTTGTTATTTTTTTGCTCGTTATCAATGAAGCCCATATAAAAGGTTTTTTCTGCGCGCGACACCAGGATTGCAAGGTCCACAACAAGAGCGCAGGAAGCAGATAGCACTAAGTCCTGTAGAGCGATCGCTTGAGCACCTTGACGATCAACTCTGTGTCTGGGAATGCATAGGCTTCTAGATTGGCAGCATACTGCGATAATTTTCGTGATCAGTTATACCCCCGCTTGTAGACAAGCTGTACTGACCGGCGTAGGAATGTCTGCTCCTGTGATGCGTTCGGGTTGAGCATCGAGCGCGAAGAAGGCATCGCTCTCGCACAAGGCAGCGACGACTTCTGAGCCGACACCGAACATAGGGAAGCCTCCTTCGACGACAGCCAGTCTGTTGGTCTTCTTGACGCTCTCGATGACGGTGTCCATGTCGAGCGGTCTGATACTACGCAGGTTGATGACTTCAACATCGACGTTCTCTTCCTTCTTGAGGATCTCCGCTGCTTCGAGCGAGTGTCCTACCATCTTGCTATGCGCAACGACGGTGATGTCTTTGCCTTCGCGTTCGATCTTTGCTTTGCCGATCGGCAAGATAAAGTCGTCCTTTGTTGCTGCCTCTGACACTGGGAAAGATTGACCGTACAGGATCTCATTCTCCAGAAAGCTAGATCGCGAAGGGGTCAGTCTGAGGACAAAAAGCCCAGCGAGAGATCTACGCACACGCAGGGATTAGGGTCACGAATGCAAGCTTTGAGCAATCCCTTGCAGTCCTCTGCGGACCACGGGCTCACGACTTTCAATCCCGGCACTTGGCCGTACCAGGAAGCGTAATCCTGAGAATGTTGGGCGCCTACACCGGCAGCAGCACCGTTGGGTCCTCTGAAAGTGACGGGGCAAGGTGTGGATCCGCCTGACATGTAGTAGGTCTTGCCGCCTGAATTGACGATCTGGTCGATAGCTTGCATGGCGAAGTTCCAGGTCATGAACTCGCAAACCGGTCGGAGACCTGCGAGCGCGGCACCGACTGCCAGGCCTGCAAAGCCGGACTCTGTACATCGTCACGATGAGCTCGATACATTCGGGCGTGGTCAGGAAAGGAGCTTGCCTGTGATGGGAGTATCGATGACGCGCTTCTCGCCAAACTTGTCTAGCAGTCCCTTTGTAATCTGCGTACAGATCGTCTACAGGTTAGCTGGCATGAACCCGACTCTGCAATGGATGCTTGCCTTGTAAGCGCCGTTGTACTGGGCAACCTCCTCTCCCATGATGAAGACACGATCGTCCGCCGTCATCTCTTCCTCCATAGCCTGATTGAGTGCCTCTCTGACCGTCATCTCATGACCTCCCGAGCTGGCCTCGCTGGCATACTGTCGCTTGAGAGCCGCAGCGCCAGGAACGAGGACCGCAGAGCTCGCTGTCGGTCTTGCGAGCAGCTTGGATGGTAGGGAGCGTTGCGAAGAGGAGTGTATACTCGCAGAGTGTTGATGCGTGCTCGTAGAAGCGGACGAGAGGCCAGACAGGCTGGCCAAGTTAGGTTGGGCAGCTATCGCCCGTTGCGGCACCCTGCTGCTCGATCGGGCCAAGGCTGCTAGCCCCGAACGGCTGGCCATCTGCTGTAGTATGCTGGTCAGCGCTGATCCAGCAGCGCAGACCGATACGTGTCTGACCTTGCTCAAAAGACTGGAGGTTGGAGTTGAGGAGCTGCTGCCCACGCGATTCGCCCAACGATGCATCGCCCTATGAAATTGCGACGAGTTGTTTTCGGTGAAAAGATTTACCTCAGCCTCGAGACATCGGCACCGACGAGTCAACTGTCAGCCTTCACTCATCAACATGGTAGGTCTCCTTCAAACATGACCTGGCTGCCGACTGCGCTCTGCACGACCATGCGACCCAACTAGGATTGGCACCCGATCCAGTTCGTCGCCCTTGCGCAGACCCTCGTCGATCTCTTTGCAGGTCGTCGAGCAGAGCCATGGAAAGACTACGAGGCGAGCTCTAGCTCGAGCCGTGTGTTGCAACGAACGAGGAGATGAAGGTCCATAGAGGTTCCTTGACTCTCTGTCGCGAGGCGTGCTGCCCGGACGACGACTCAACAGGGAGAGAGAGATCTCTCTCTTTGCCGGCGAGTCTGAGCATGCACAGCCGGAAGGCAGAGAGTCAGGTTCACTGGGGCGAACGAGACTGCGTGCAATGCCATCTGTGGGAGACGGCAAAGAGCATTTTCCCCTTTCGGCGTACCTCTCGGACGATGGGCGTCGGTTCTTTGCGCAAGCTCAGACGATCCCGCCCCGTCCGAGCAGTGTATCGCTCGTCCGTCGTGCAGTCTTCCTTGAAAGGGACTCACAGATGCTGACTATGCTGCTTTGCTTTTTCTTCTGCCTGCGAATGGCGCACGCTCCGTTTGCTCTCTCAATGACACGATCCGCTGGCCTGGTCTTGCCTGACTCGACTGTAGCCCGCCAAGAAGCAAGGACCCGGTAAGAAGCCCGCTGCCAACCCGGCTGCCGGCAAGCCACAGACCAAGAATGCCCCCAGCGCGACGAACAAGCTCCTCGAAAAGCGCCCTCGCAACTTCGGCATAGGCGAGTTGGAGCCTCTCCAAGCTTCGCCTCGAATGCTGATACGGATGTCGGACTCACAGGCCAGGACATCCAGCCCAAGCGTGATCTGACCCGCTTTGTCAAATGGCCCGAGTATGTCCGTCTCCAACGCCAGCGCGTCATTCTCTCCCAGCGCCTCAAGATCCCACCCGCCATTGCCCAGTTTGAGAACACGCTGGACAAGAACACGGCGACGCAGCTCTTCCGTCTGCTGAACAAGTACCGCCCAGAGACAAAGCAGGAGAAGAAGGCCCGTCTCGGTGCGATTGCTGCCGACGTCGAGTCTGGCAAGAAGAAGGATACCGCCGACGGCAAGAAGCCCATCTTCGTCAAGTCTGGTCTCAACCACACCGTCGCCCTCATCGAAGCCAAGAAGGCTCAGCTCGTCATCATCGCCAACGATGTTGATCCGTAGGCGCCCACCTCTTTTCTCAGCTTGTTTGTAGCTGAACAGGAGCGCCGCGACAGCATCGAGCTCGTCGTCTTCGTGCCTGCGCTATGCCGCAAGATGGGCATCCCGTATGTCATCGTGAAGAACAAGGCGCGCCTGGGACAGGTCGTTCACCGCAAGACCAGCGCCGTCCTCGCCATCTCTGACGTCAAGAGCGAAGATTCCTCCGAGCTCAGCAAGCTCGTCCAGGCTGCAAAGGCCAACTACCTCGACAAGTATGAGGAGACCCGAAAGCACTGGGGCGGCTCGAAGCGTGGCAACAAGTCTATCGCCAAGCTCTCCAAGCGCGCAAAGGCTTCCGGCCAATCTGCCGCGACCGTCTCGCGAACGTTGTAAGGAGCGGTCGTGCGATCATGTACGAAGCTTCGAGAGGTGCCATTGCAAGCTGTTGCGTCGAGCTGTCTATTTGAGCGGCGGGATCGCGCGCTGAGTTGTCCTTTCTCGTGACGCGCCAAGCTTTGCCTCTGAAAGCCCTGCTGGCGGAATGCAAGTCCAGGTGACGTTTGACGACAATTCTTTTGCATTCACCTATTCGGGCAACTGGACTGTGCCAGATACATCAGCACGCGGCTTTCCGTTTGCCAACGAGACCCTCAACGGACTAGCCTTGACCGACTTGATCGATGGCACCTACCATGCCTCTTCCACGCCGGGTGACTATGCCGTCTTCAACTACACAGGGAGCGCGGGCTCGTTGTATACTGTCAGTGGACCGGGTCAGGGCAGCTACAGCCTGACGAGCAGAGGCGACACGACAGACGGCAATGACACGGCTGCTTCTGCCAGCATCGTATCCGCTCCCCTCGGCTCGAGCGAGAGCGTTCAGATCATCACTTCCAGTCAGATCAACAATACAGGCACATCACTCGTCATAGACGGTCTCACTTTCTCCGCCATTGCAGGAGCACAGGGATCGACACTCACCAATACCACAATAGAAGATGATTCTGCCCTGTTGACTTACTCGGGCAGTTGGTCGAGCAATAGCGACACTCGCTTTTCGGGCAATACGTCTACCTTCACTTCTGGCCAAGGTGCAAGCGTGACGGCGCGCTTCAACGGCTCGACGGTCTATGCTTTCGGAGACGTCGTGGACGATCACGGCCTGTATGGCGTCACGCTAGATGGCGGAGATATGGGACAGTATGACGCTTACAATCCCTTTCTGAGGATCAACCGGCTCAAGTTCTTTGCGGCCGGCTTGAACGCTTCGCAACACACGCTCGTGTTCACCAATCTGGGCTCGGGCACATTCTTTGATCTCGACAGGATAGTCTACACCACGCCATCGACTTATTACACTGTCACTCAGAGCCCCACAGTGGGCAATACGACATCATCTGCTGGTGTGCCCGGCAGCACCTCTGGCAGCATGGCGACCTCGAACGCCGTCAAGACCACACGATCTGTCAAAAAAGCAGCAATGCTCACACTTGTATGTACAGTATTGGTCTTGCTGTTGTAGTACATGCAATACAAGATGCGTGCGCCCCGGGTTGCAGTCGATGCTAGGTAGGCACTAGTTTGCAAGCAGTCTAGAATGTCTGAAGGTCTCTCTCTCTAATCCGAGTCTGAATCTGCAGTCGGTCCTCTCTGAGCGTCCTGCGCTCGCTGGATCATCACGATCGTCTTCATCGTCGGTACTGCACCCTTTGCGCGCAAATAGGCAGCAATCTCCCATTTTGACAACTTGGCGGCAATCTCGAGCATTTCCGGGGTCGCCTTGACGCGATCGGGCAAAGGTCTCGGCAGACTCTGATCACCCCTGTCCTCTCCCGTTCTTTCAAAGAGCATCTTGAGCACGCTGAGATCCATCGAGCTCTTGATGCAAAGTGTGATGGCCAGGTTGTCTTTGAGCGAGGGCAAGGCACCGTATCTGAGCAGGAGCCTGATGAGCGGTCTGTGTTCGCTGTGTACAGCCCGGCAGAGCGCATAGCCATCGTTGATGTTGGGATCTGCCGGAAAGATCTTGTTCGAGAGTAGGTACTCGATCAGTGCCAAGTCGGGTTCGTCTAGTGATCTCAGCTTGTGAGCCGCTTTAGAGCGCGTCTTTGATGTTGGCTCGAGCGTGAGATGCCTGAACAAGCGCTTGGGGAGATTGATCTCAATCCTTGGCGGCCGAGGCACGGTTCTGTCACTGTCCCGTCTGGGCTGACCGAAGTCGGCAGACAGCCAGTAACGGTTGAATCTTTCGACGTAATAGACCTCGAAAGCCTTGTAGATGTCTAGCGTACAGATGCCATAACGTAGCACGGCATTGTGCGTGTAGGTATTGGTCATGTTGATGAAAGCGATGGCATCTCTCGCTCGCTGATTTGCCTTGATCGCCTTCGGTTCGGGCGGCGTTGCGCGGTCATACAAGTAGTAGAGGATGTGTCTGTTCGAACTGCGCAGCACTGACGCCAGACGACGGTTCACAAGAGGAAGACATTCTGATAGTGAGAGGAGATGGATGTCGAGCAGCAGCTGCAAGCCAGTCATCGGTCAGTCTCAACTTGAGCTCACAGACCAGAGCGTACCTCGTTGGGCAGATCGAGTAGTCCGACACGCTCGGCCATCTTGATAGACCGACCAAGGCTATGGCAGCCTAGGCGGAGCGTTTGACCGCTCTCAGTGCCCACTTCTTGGCTCGCTGCGGCAACATCCAACAAATTGTTTCGAGTCAGACGACACAAATTGTCGATCTCTCCCCTGATCTTGTGCTCTTGTGCCCCGGTCGACCTGCAACGAGCTCACCCCCAGCAGCCCTAGCCCGAGTCGTACGAGGCGCCTGCAGGAGTGGCATCGTCCCGTCAGACGGCTATGAGCTCAAAGGGCGACTACAGACCCCGGCCACGCTCGCCTGCAGGTTCTTCGCGCCCAAAAGAGGATGAACGCAACAAGCCTGCTTCTGGCCAACCTCACGATGACCGACGTGCTCCCGAACGACCCAAAGCATTCGGCGGAGGACATCCTGCCCGGCGACACCAGTCAGCCACGCCAGAAGCGGGCGAGATCAAGTCGGACGATATGCTGAAAGGCGCACGCCGCAATCAGAGCAGGAGTACCAGTCCTGCTGTCCCGAGGGATGGACCGGGTAGAGACAGCAGAGATCGCACTAGACCTTACGAGTCACGGCCGCGGTACAGGGAGAGGTCCAGAACGCCGCCTGGCTATCGAGGTAGAGCGCGTTCACCACCGCCCGGTCGATATAGACCTCGCTCGAGGTCACCCCCTCACCGAGGCAGATCTAGATCACCAGGCTACAGACCGAGTTCCAGATCTCCGCTGCCCTATCGTGCAAGATCGCCAGGCTATCGCGCCAGATCACCTCCTCATCGTCCCAGATCGCCAACTTATCGCGCTCGGTCGAGGACACCGCCGAGACGCTCGAGAGGTGATCCTCCCCGAGACATCGCACGAAGACCTCGCTCACCCTCGCCTCGCTCTCACCACGCTTCGTCATCGGGACATAGTCCCAGCGTGCAAAGAGCAAAGTCGCCACGCCCGAGCAATCCTCGAGCTGACCTTAGCTTACCATCTCAGCCCGAAGAGCCGAACAAGGCGGCGTACAGTCGCGGCTCGAGACCTGAAGAGCGCAAGGATGCCAAGCCGGATATTCCGCTCGATCCATCGAGGACTTCGAGCCAAGCCGTTCCCGCGCCGGCAAAGCCAGCCACGTTGTCATCAGCCCTCAAGCCTGCTGCTGCCATGTCGTCTGTGCCGACTGCCATGACAAAGACCAACAATGCAGATCGCCCGAGTATACCCTCACGCGCGTCTGACTCGTCCAGCAAGGTGGAGACAAAACCGGACCCTCAGGCTGAGGTCGATTGGAAGACTGTCAGCTTCAAGCCGACAGCACGACAACAGCCGAGCCTGACCGCAGACCTAGATGCAAAGGTGAGCCTGTGACTTCCGTCATGTGCGCATGCTCAATGCTAGCGGAAAAGGTGGATACACTGCGAGCGAAACGCCTGAACGACTACTTTGGTCGTGATCTGAAGGAACAGCTCAAGGCGTTCAAGATCAGAGAATCGCTCGAGCTCTATACGATGGACGCGAACATGGCAAGCGAGCGAGCTCAGCTCATAGCAGCTCAGGGTATCAAGCTTGGCGTGGGTCAGTCGACACTTCCGTAATGCTGCTGTTGTACGCACTGAGCCGAAGTCTCTGGCTAATGTCGAGAAGCGCTCAGCTTCACTATTGCGCAGACGGATCAAGGTCTCTCCCGGATCCAACTATCGCTTCCGATGTCCTTGATTTGGGGATTGCATAGAGATCCGCTCTAGTACAGTCAAACGCTGACCATTGCTATTGTCATGCCAATGCAGTCTGCATGCCAAATTTGTATTCGGACCAGAGGGCGCCTAGGCACAGTACTACCCATGAACTCACCATTCCGGCCTGGGTGGAGCACATGACCTTTCCACCTTGTCGCCGCACAGCTGTAGTCGAAGAAGGCAAACAAGCATGTCTTCCCCAGGGCAGGGTCTACACGAGCGCGGGGGAGTCGGACAGGGACCGAGAGCAGCATGGGTTGTCTCTGCGCTATTGTGTGCGCGCGATAGCATTACAGGATCGTCCTGAACGGGCGCTGGCCGTGCTAGATGTCATAGGTCACACCGAATCACAAGACGTCCCCGCGGCGATTGGCCCGGATTTTCCATCGAGATCTATGAGGCGAACGCTCGAAAACCTAATTCTTAATGAAGCCGAGGGAGGCCGCGAGTCGCAGTAAAGTGAATCGGAAGTCGCTCGATCTCCGTCTCGATTACTGGCGGACATCGCTGATGCGTCCGCGCTGTCGATTGTTTGTTCTCATTCGTGGAGACAGGCCTAGCCAAGAACGCAAGGGTTCTTTTCGTTCTTGTCTCGACAGCTCGCGACTGAACAGCCAGCCCTGACACATGTGACCTACCAGTCAGGCAGTTCAAGTGTCGCTCAATCAGTCAATCAGTCGTTTCTGTTGTCGCTCTGAACTTGTTCGGTTTGAGTATGCGTGCAGTCCCTCGTGTTGAAGTGCAAGGTTTTGGATGTACCTTCGGTGTCTTGCTGCATGGCCTCTGCGAGCCCAGTGATGCTTGAGCGATGGGACTTGCAAACGTTAATCGGTGGCAGTTTAAAACTGCTCTCCCGTGTTCATCGAGAATCTTATGCAATTTGCGATTCCTATCCCGATCGCTGCGATGTACAGCCTTTCGATTCGATGCGCGAGCAGCAACGCCATCTTGTGCTGGGCGCAAGGCTTGTCCGGAGGGACGAGGAGGAATCGCACGAACCAGAGCCTCGCGACGACTTGCGCATCACAGTACCAGCAGGCTGGGATTGACGATATAACGAGCACTCGACGATCATCACCTGCACATCCGGGACTACGCAGGCACAACAAGTAGTTGACGAATCAAAGCGGACATCACAGCAGCGAGCTCAGGCCCAAAAGAACTCCGGAAGCGTGCCTTCGCAACCTACTCACGATCGTAGGAAGCGTCACGAGGACGCAGATAGGCATCGTTTCATCCCAGACAGCGGACTGAAGGGCTTCCCTGCCATCTCTTCCGATTTCGGACGCGTCTTTGAACGAGACCGGCCATCCCTGACATCAGACTGAATTGGTCTGGCCGCGCGTGCCATCTGGCAATACAAGGCATTCCGTCAACCTTGATACTTTTGCGGACGAGAACGCTTCTGCTGGGCGTGCCTGACTGCCTTTCCCGACCGACTCGACAGAGAAGGATGGCATTACTCGCCCTCATGCACCCTACCTAGGCACCTGGCAAGATCAATCGTACGCATCCAGCCAAGCTCCTGCGTCACACCAAGGTTCCGACCCAATTCAACAGAGCTCTATCACGAGCAAGCTCGGCTTCGTCTTTCATTCGTCGACGAGGTTGTGAACTCAAGCCAACCTTTGGCTCCATAAATCTGGTGAAACATCCCCAGCTGGCGACCCGCTCTTGCCTTGTCACACAGCCCAACATCTTATAAGACCGCCCTCGTCCTTCTCGGTCCAACGCAGCTCGACTCGACAGGCTTGCACACTACTACTGCTCGCTAGCTGTCGACCTCGAACATCAACTCCAACAACGCTGCGCTCTACTACTGATCACTAGGTCAGCGCTTGGTGTCTCGAGTCTCCATCGATCAGATCTGACATGTTACCCCCATACAGGCACATTCACGATGACGATCAACACTACCCACCCGTCGCACATTCAGAACCTGATAGGCCACCGTATCGATGACGATCGTCTCGAGTTCGTCTCCGTACTCGGAGTCGGCGCGTACGGCGTCGTCTATCTCGCTCGCGATATCCAAGCCTCCATCTCTGGCGATGGCCCCGTCTTCTACGCTGTCAAGTGCCTCAACAAGCTCGGCCTTGACACTCGCCAGCGCAAGTTTCAGCTCAGAGAGCTCGCTCTCCACAGTCTTGCTGCCGCGCATCCCAATATCGTCAGCCTGCACAAGATCCTTGACACGCCTTCGTGCATCTATGTCATCTTGTCATACTGCCCCGACGGCGATCTCTTTGGCATGATTACTGAAAAATCAAGATATCTCGGCGATGACAAACTCATTCGTCACGTCTTCTTGCAGATCGTCGAAGCTGTCGAATACTGCCACTCTCAGCAAATCTACCATCGCGATCTCAAGCCAGAGAACATTCTCTGCTGCGATGACGGCAAGCAAGTCCTGCTGGCCGACTTTGGCCTAGCGACATCAGAGAAGACTTCTGGTGACTTTGGTTGTGGCTCGACGTTCTACATGTCACCTGGTGAGCATCTTTGCAAGCTGTTCCCGCTCACTGCTCATTTCCCTCTCCGCAGAATGCCAAGGCGGCCTGTACCATCGCCTGAGCTCGTACTCGACCCCAAGCAACGATGTCTGGTCACTAGGTGTCATTCTCGTCAATCTGACTTGCGGCCGCAATCCCTGGAAGCAAGCTTGCCCATCAGACGAGACTTTTCGCGCTTTCACAAAGAACCCAGACTTCCTGCGGTCTATCTTGCCAGTCTCGAAGCCTTGCAATGAGCTCCTCAAGCGCATCTTTGCTCTCGATCCCGAAGAGCGCATTAACATCACCGAACTGCGCGCAGCGGCAATGGCGATACCCCACTGGACCATGACAAGCGAGGAGCTCAAGACTGCTACCAAAGCTACTCGCGAGGCTGCAAAGGCAGTCATCGCCGCGACGGCAGCCAAGGCAGCTGTCGCGCCCATGCCAATCGTCTTCACTGCGCCAGCATGGCAAGGCGTGCCCGCCACGGCTGCCGAGGTCGAGCGCGCGCTACAAAGTTCCGGCGAGCTCTACGTTGACACCACTTCTCCTGAAGCCAGCTCGAGCTCGAGTGACGAGGTCTTCAGCCCGACGAGCACGGCCTCGAGCGCGACTTCCAGCGCATCATCACCTCCCAGATCGCTGCACAAGCGCCTACATCGAGGCTCGATCCCACAAGAGAACCAGCATGTCTCCACACCAAGGAGACCCAGCTATCCTACGCGAATTGAAGACTGCAATCGATCAGTTTCTCCACTGCGGACACCAGAGCTCGTTGCAGACAGTCCTTCCTCTGTCTCCTCTGGGTCCAGCTCACAACCGCCCTCATCACCTCAGACGCCGAGCAAGAGCCGGACACGCTTCGACATCCGCCGGCTGTCTCTGCTGCAGGCGAAGAAGTGGTCATCCAAAGAAAGCGTCGTCTCATGCTCCTCGACATCTTCGTCAGCAACAAGCTGGATGCCAACAACACCAGACGCCGATACTTTCGCCAATCAACAAGTTCAAGTCTTTGATGCTTTCTCTGTTTCAACACAAAGCGGTCGCCGGCGGTCAAGCACATACGAGTACCGTGACGGCAAAGACGATTCTAAATCTGCATATCCTTGGGCGATGCAGCCACCTCTTGCAGAAGACTGCTTCGAAGACACCGAGATGGAAGTCGACTCGCATACGTATAGCTACCCGCAAGAGCTGCTACCGAGTCATCCCAAACAGCTCGCTGACGTATCGCGTTCACGACCCTCCATCAATGCTTTCTGATCAGTTTACTGCACATCGCATCACATCGCATCTCGCAAAACTACACGCTTGTCATTGTGCTATCATAATTATTGTTGTGACGATGCAACATTATTCGACTGCCTCTTGCGCTATGCTATGCCTTCGGTCTCGTGCGGACTCATACTTGAGTGTTCGTAAGTTCGTGTGTATGCGATAATGCTCGTATTAGATGTCAAAGGCGCTGCTGCGCCAGCCGTTACGCCTGAGCTCTTTCTTTTCCGTCGTCTCGACGAGCTGCTTTGCAGTGTCTGCTTCTTCTCGCGCGCTCGCCAGACCGTCTTGCGTTGTTCTCACCCCATCAGAAGCCTCGTTTGCGGTATCGCGTACTTTGCGGCCAGCTTCAGACACTGCCTCGCTGACTTGCTCTTTGATGCGTTGGCCGGATGGTAATGCGCCTTGCTCGCCGTGGACAATCTGCTCGTCAACACCAATTGCGAGAACGGCCTCGCCCTCGTGATCCAGCTTGACAGCTCCCTTCGCAGTCGCTTTCCAGCCGGAATGGTCGTCAGGATCGGGACTCTCGGCCTCTTGCTGAGGCGGTTGCGGTGCCTCGGGATCGGAGCTGGCCAGTGCACTCATGTATGCCCAGAAAACGCCTTCGCCTTGGCCTGTGATCCGCTTGTTGGCTTCTGCTTGCACGCCGGCCAACTCGTGATTGAGTCTCTCAAGTGCGGATTTGATCTGCTCTTGCAGCGCAGAGCCCAGACTGCGCTTGAGATAGAATCGCGCAAATGGTCTGATGAGCCACGCAAGGATGCGGTGACGACTCCGGCGCAGGCGAATATCTGCGCTCGAAAGCTTGACATTGACCTTCTTGACTTCGAACAGAGCATCTGGCTGGCCAAGGTTTGAGACGACCTCTTCAGGCACATCGACCTCAACGTCGAGTCCGATGCCGCGTTTGCCCAAGGTGATCTCGAGCAAACCCTGCTCAGTCTTGAAGAACCAAGCGTTCTTGCGACGAACGAAGAAGGATATATTTCTGGCTGTCAGCTGCACACCGTGAAGGTGCACATGAGTTGCCGTAGAGGCTTGTGTGAGGAACTCCTTCAGTCGAGGCCGGCGATCGATCTGTATGTAAGTCTCGTTGCGGATCCAGAGCGTGTCTGGCAGTAGCGATAGGCCTTCGATGATGAGATCATCGAGCACTAGCTCTACCGATTCGCTCACGTACTCAGTCCTGCTCTCGTTCAGGGGGACAGGGAGCACAAGTGTACAGAGACTGACCTCGGCACGGGTAGCTGAGTCAAGAGCGAAAGAAGGCGGGGCAGGATCAAGTTAAGCACGTCCTTGTAGAGACCCGTCGTCTGACCTCGAAAGGTCTGTAGGCTCAGCTTGCCAGAGTCGGCAACATCTTTGAGGACCGTGCGAGCGGCTCTGAGCATCTGAGCCCGCGTTGGCTCCTCTTTGAGCTCTTTGAACAGCAGCTCAGATTGGTATTGCAGCTCTTGAGCGTGTTCCTTCCAGACAGGATCTTTCTGGAGCGCATCTTGTGCTTGATCGTATAGCATCTCGGTCTTGCGACGAGCTTTGCCGGATGTTGCGAATTCTCGGTCGCTGACGCAAGCGATGAGAAAATCGTTCATATCATCGAGCAATTTCTTGAGAGTATCGTCGTTTCTGATGGAAGTGATGACAGCGTCAAGTGCCTGCTGAGCCTTGTCAAGCGAGAAGTTGCCACCAGCGAGTCCTTCGAGGGCCTCTCGAAGAGCTACCAGGGTCGACTTGATGTGATCATTCTTATCATCCAGTTCCGTGCTCTTTGCAGCCTCTTCTATCCGATCGGGGATTTCGACCGTCTTGTCTGCATACTTTTGAACGATCTTGACAAAAGTCTTGATAGATGATTGGAGAGTGCCGTTGTCGTGAATGCGGTTGACAATGCCTTGGAAGCGCTGAACAGCTAAATCGCGCGCTTCCTCTCGAGCCTCCTCATTAAAGGTCTTCTGGACGCGCGAAGTGACATGCGCGATGTTCTGCTGACCCGTCTCGGTGACCGACTGAGCGTGCTCGATCTCTGCATGTAGCACACCATCTCGTTCCTCTGCCTGGCGCTTCTCGTCGTCTGTTTGCTTGGCAGTGGGTCGAATTTCGTCTTCGACTGCAGCCGCGACTTCCTTGACGCCGCCCACAGCATCCGCCAGCAGATCACGAAGGAGCAAGACAACATCGGCGACGATGTCTGTGCCTTCAGACACGAGCGTAGACCAGAGCAAGTCAAAGACGGCGCGTATTGCTTTGAGGACATCTGTCGAATCATCCACGACTTCTTGTCCGCTCAGCGGTACTTCAGCGCCTGCGGTATTGACTTGAAGCTGTACAGATGTCTTGGGCAGATGGTACAATAGCCTCTGTAGCTGATCCTCGCCGTTGCAAGTCGCTGACCAGTGCTTAACCGCCTCGAGCAGATCGTTGATGTCTTTGAGCGTTGTCCGTCCTTGCTTGCTCAGTGGCGCTTCCTTGGACTGCGTCAGACCTGTCTTGGGCCATTGCGCAAGTATGTCAGATGTTAAAGCGAGATCGATGGCAGCGTTGAGTTGCTGCTGTGAAGGGAGCTTGCCCGCGCGCAGAGCTCCATAGGCCGCTGCCAAGTTGAGTCGAGTCTGTTTGCCGGGCAAGTCGTCCACGGAGCTTGACGGACCGAACACATCGCTCAGCAAGGGTGTGCGCTCAGTAGCGCTCATTTGATCGCACGGACGAAGGGTGGTCGTTGGAGAGGCGATGACGAGCATGGGACACTTCTATGTCGTCACTTGAATTGACTGGGCCGTTACATTCGGACCGCTTCCAAAGCTCGAAAGCTGCTCGATGGTACGTCTTCTACGTTGGAGCGGCATATGTCGCATATTCTGAGAGTCATGCACAGTCCAGGAACGTACTGCTGACGTCTTCCAACTTGCGGCTGGACTCGCGGCGGCCGCTCGAAGTCAGACCGATCACTTGCACGCTTGACGTCCTCAAAGGGCTTGAGATTGATGGCTCGGCTTCAGTAGAGCAGGGACTCACGAGAGTCTCTGTGAGTGTGTGTGGGCCCCGAGAGCCTAGAGCAGCGAGAGGGGCGGGCAATGCACGACAGGACAGGGTCGTCATCAACGTCGAAATCCAGACTGCTACTTTCTCTGGAGTCGACAGACGGAAGCGCGGCAGGAACGACAGGCCAGTCGACAGATGCATATCAGCTTCAAGGGGCTGACTGCGTCGTCGTCTGGCAGACGCACCGTCGAGATGGCCAGCTCCATCAAAAACACTTTCGAGCCCGTCATCATGGGCCAGCTCTACCCTCGTGCGCAAATAGACATCTACGTCATCATCCTGCAGCAAGACGGAGGCACGCTCTCAGCCGCTATCAACGCTACTTCTCTCGCACTGTCACATGCAGGCATCGCGATGATCTCCCCTATTGCGTCCATCTCCGTCGCGTGTTTGCACGATACCCCACTTCTCGACCCTTGCGGCCAGGAGGAGTCCGAGCTACCGTTTCTCACAGTCGCTTGCTTAGCTACACGACCGATAGAGATGCTCGACGGCGAGGCGCGGGACGACGCAATGGAAGGCGACGAGGAGGACAGGCTTGGCAAACTGACACTTGTCACCTTGGAATCTCGCTTGAGTACGGACCGCTTCGAAGGCATGATGCGATTGGGTCAGCAAGCTTGTGTCGTCATTGGTCAAGAGCTGGAACGAGTCACCCGAGCATGGGCAGAACCGCTCAGTGCGAGGATACGCAGTCGCGGACTTGGCGCAGGCTCAAAGCTTGCAGTGCAGAGCGAGGCAATGGAAACCAATGCATAGTGCCTAGCTGATACTAGACTCCGAGAGGCCCCATTGACCTACTCGCTGCATCGCAAGTGGCCCGCCCTGCGCCATGTCTGACTCACTGAGCGCATCACTTACGCATGCCCATGGATCTTTACCGCCGCCGTGCTGCAGGACCGACGCAGCGTATCGTTCTCCATTTTCGCGCGATAGCGCATCGTCCGCAAAGAGCGTCTTCCATACCCGGTCGGCGAGAACAGTGTCAAAGAGATACGAGTAGTATGTCGAGCCGTAGCCGTATAGATGACCAAACTGAGCTTGCCAAGACGTGCGCTCGCTAGAAGGCATGACGCTGTGCGTGTGTTGCACGTCTTGCCAAGCTTGCGACGAATCGAAGGAATGCTCGCCCGGCGCGGCAGAGTGGAAGAGTTGGTCGAGCGCGGCCATGTTGATTTGAGCATTCGTCTCGATGTGTCGAAAGCCTCCCATTGCAGCTTGGAGCTGCCGCAGGATCTCTATTGGTAGAGGCCGATCTGTAGCGTAGTGACGGGCAAACAAGCCGAGCACTTCGCGGGAGGATGCAAAGTGTTCCATGAGGACCGAAGGCAGCTCGACAAAATCTGTCGCGCATCTTGTGCCAGAGACTTGATGAAATTCTGTCCTGCCTATCATTGCTGCAAAATCGTCAGCGATACTTCCTCGTCTTGCGAGTGAGCTCACAGTGTAGCGCGTGACCCATCTCGTGAAACAGTGTCGTCACCTCTGACCAGACTAATAAGCTTGGCGTAGATAACGAAGGCAGGTCGAAGCTGCACGTCAAAGCGATAACAGGCAACTGGTAGCGCTTCCCACGACTGTCTATTTGTAGCGTATCCTCCGGCAGTCCTTCAAATTCGCCTCGGCTGACTTGCATGCCTTCGTACATGATCTCGCTCGATTGTCGCTGGGCCGCGCCAAAGTCGTCTGCTGCATCATCATCATCTACCCGTCTTGAGCATTGGATCGTGTAGTGTGCAGCCCCTTCAGCCTTGCCTTGTCTCTCAAAGAGATCAAAGTAGATCACGCCCACCTGACCGTCCGTGTCGTGAAGCACGCGAGCTTTCCTGACGGCTGGATCCCAGACTTCGCCCTCGTGCGTCTCTTCGAGCTCGAAGCTGAGGCCATAGAGCGAGGAGAACATCCGGCTCAGTCCTTGTATACACGTTCCTGCAGAAAAGTAGGGTGACAGCACGCGCATGGATGTCGGTCTGCCTCGCTCGGCCTGACTGTGATCTTGTTCGACGTAATAGTCACGATCCCAAGGGGCGATCGTTGGCAAAGTGCGAGTGCCTTTTTCCTGCTGCTTGTATCGAGCCAGACGGGCCGTCTCTTGTAGCGCGAGCGGCTTGTTCTGGTCGATGAGTGAGCCTAGGAAGGAGTTGACGCTAGCCGGCGTCTTTGACATCTTATCGACTAGAGCAACATCTGCCCAAGAACCCTTGCCGACGAGATTGGCGAGCTTGAGTCTCGTCTTGAGTAGCTGCTCCAGAGTGTCGACCTGTTCTGGCTCGCTCCGCTGGGTGGCCAGATAGACCGCCTTGCGCGTCTCGGCGTTGGGATGTGTGCGCAAGACAGACTCGGCTTCGTGTGGCTCCAGCAAGACTTTGCTGCCTCTGCGCTGACTGACGCGAGCTAACAGACCGGCAAGACGGCCTGGCTTGGCCTGTGTGTCGAGAAGCTGTGCATCCACTTCTACGCTGGCTTGTTGGGCACTACAGCCTTGCAAGAACTTTCGACCGAGCTGCATGACATCGTCAGAGAGCTTAACGAATGATGTCCTCTGATCGTCGGGCAAGTGTATGCCGGATTTCTCGAAGTCTCGCACGAATTGAAGCGCGACAGTATGTGCAGCGAAGAGGTTGGGAGGCACGGTGGAGCCTTCTTGAAATGGCCGCAGAACTTGGACCATTGCCTGCTCGTCGCGTCAGTCTTGTCATCATAAGCCGCTAAATTCAGCTGACTGCATGAAGGCGCGTATCAATGTTGAGCTCGTTCATGTAAGTACACAGAGCCTCGTAAGTCTCATTCGCAGCTTCGACCCATGCTGGATCAGGATGGACGTGTCTCACCAATTCGGCCAGATCTATCACGCCGCAGAGCAAGTCCGACAAGCGATCGATCTGCTTGACCATCGTCACCAGTCCTCTTTCCGGTGGAAGGTCGGCTGCGGCTTGAGACATGCGCACGATGCGCTGAACGAGCAATTGAGCTCTTCGTACTGTCCTGCCCGCTAAAGGCATAAAATCGCTTGGGACCCGTAAAGATGCATGTCCTACGAGCCCTCTAGGTCGTCCCCGAGCATCTCGCTGGATCACCGGCCGCGCCCGTTGCCAGAGATGGCCATCGTCGAAGCCAGCACGAAGCGTCCTGTCGGCGTCCGCATCTCGTGGTCTGAACCCGCTGACGGCGGCAGTCTTGCGCGCAGACTGATGCATAGATCGTCGCAGAGGGCGCTGGCATGTGCACAATGCATGTTTGACGAGAAGACGGGAAGGTTTCATAGGCACGAAGTCACAGGCCAGATGAAATGTCGCCAATCTTTCAAAATGACATATCCGCGTGCTCAAGCCACGAGCCAGCAGCGAACGGCGGGCGATTCCATCAGCTCATCCAAGATGTCGTCGGAACTGCAATGGCTGCTAGTACGCAAGTGGAACGCCTACGGGCACAAGTCCGTCTCCCAGGGCATCAAGGTACTCTCTAAGGAGCCTGGCAATCTGCGCAACGTCCACACATTCAAGCAAAGCGGCCTCGTTCAGCCAAAGACGATCGGCATTGCTGCTGGACCCAACGGAAAGGGCTTGACCATCACGACCCGCAAGACCAAGAATGTTCATGCGGGTCACGTAAAGAAGTCGATCAGCTCGACTGGCGTCAGGTGAGCAGAAGCCGAGCGTGTCACCCCTCAGGCTGATGTCCTCCATCTCCTCACAGAGGCAACAACAGACGATCGTACGCGACCGTCGTCAACCGTGCTGCTGGCTACAGATCCGAGCTGGTGCGACCTGCCCTGATCCGCGCATCGCGTACACTCGAAGCGCAAGCACCCAAGAAGGCCACGCCTGCGCGCAAGCCTCGCGGTCGCAAGGCGAAGCGAGCGGCAAAGGCAGCAGCGGCCACAGAGGCATGATGCACGTGATTGCATTCCGTTGATGTTGCTACAGCTACGTGCGTGCTCACAGACTGAACAAAAGTGCGGCCAGAGCGACAAGGGGTCGTGCGATGAGGGTCGTGCCTGAGCTTGAAGGTGTACTGCTTGCGCTGGCAGATGCAGAAGCGGAAGAGGCTGCCGAAGATGCTACTGAGCTCGCTTGCGACACAGAAGAGCTTGCAGGCGCTGTCGTGCTCGCTACCGAGCTGGCCCCAGACGATGCCGCGGTAGCGTTGGCTGCAGCTGTGCCTGTGCTGATGGCAGAGAAGGCGCCACTGACAGATGTCGCCGAAGCGACTGCAATGGGGACTACTGTCGCAGGCACCGCGACTGCCGTCGAGTTGGCAGGGTGAACTTCGATTCGATCGGTATAGCCCGCAACGGTCGCATCCGACTGCGAAACGACGGAGATCGAGTAGAGTGGTCCTGTGACCGGCCACGCACTCGGCACAGTGAACGCAAAAGCGCCGCACGCTACGCCGCTGACGGGGACGCCGTAGCCTGAGCCAGCGTTGCAGTCAGAAGTGGTGGCGGGCGTCGAGGCTGCAATGACGAAACTCTGAGTGGTATCGTTCTGGTTGTTGAGGGAGATGACGACATTGCCCGACGGAGGATTGAGCCAATTGACGAGATAGTTGCTGCCTTCGTAATAGGCCACATGACACTCGAAGAAGCCACAAGCTGGCTCGGTGATGCTGCATAGATCGTCAGCTCTTTTTCTGTCGAATGAGCAATCGATACTGACTACAATGGCGTCGAGCCTGGTGTTTCGGAGCTCGTCTGCGCATACACTGAGTGTGCTACTGCGGCCAATGCTACGGCTGCTGCTCGCATACTGTCTCGGTTCGTGTGTCACCAGCCAAATTTCTACCGCAGCACTGGCGCGAGCTATAGGCGTGTCAATTTATATTCCACAGGCCCAGTACAAGAGTAGCGGCGGCTAAAGACGCGAATGACAGGCTCGATCGAACGCTATCGCTCGAAAATGGTGCAAAGGAGGCGACTGTAGCTGTGCTCGTGCTGTCGGTGCCGGCCGATGGGTGCAGACTTGCGCCGTTGGGTCCAATAGGTCGTGTGATGTCGCTGAAAGCGCATACGTCGCCAGTGCACAGACATTCGTTCTTGACGGGATCAAACCACGCTGTCGAGCAGTTCGAAGGCAGCCGGAAGCGAAGCTGGTCGCCATCCGAAGCTGCCACTTGCGCAGGCAGTGGCGTGTCAGGCGTTGGTAGACTAGACGGACAGCCATAGCAAGTCGAGAAATACTGTCACCTCATCAGCTGGCACATGCAATACCTTGCAGAAGATTCACATTGCCCTCGACGACGCAGGTGCTCTGTAATCCGGCTTCATTCGCCGGCATGCCATTGCAGATCTTCTCGCTGACATCTGGCACACTACACCCCAGCTCAGTGACTGCTGCGAGGTTGCTGAGGGTCTGTGGATTCTTCGCATAGGCTAGGAGCTGCTGATTGGTCACGATCCACACGCCAGGCAGATCCTGAGCCCAGCTGAGGAACTCGTTGAGCATATTGATCTGCAGAGCCGGTTTGGGCACGCCAGGATAGTCTGAGGCGAGGTGGATCGGATGCATGTAGAGACCGAACGGCGCTCTGTTGCCATTGTAATGCGTGAGAAAGGTCGACTTGAGCTTGGCAAGAACGTTGTCTGGATTGGCATCGTCCAAGTAGGGATCCATGAGCGAGATGTCAGAAGCAGAGTCGTTACCAAAGGTCGCATACATGGGAATCTCCCACATGCCGGGCAGCTTCGTCTTGCCTTGACATAGCCCGTCGACGCTCAAGCAGTCACTGCGCAAGGTTCAATGTATCATCAGCTTCGCGTCGCGATAGGCTTACTTCGCGAAGCCAGAATCAAGCCTGCACGCCTAGTCAGCTTTGCTTTGCGAGCAGAGTGGCAGGCAATGTACGTATAGGGCCAGTAGCAGTCGGTGTTGACTGCGTCACATGGCGATGCCGCGCTTACCGAAGAATCATACTGCGCTGCGTCAGAGTTGCACCTTGTAAGCTTTCATCGACGTACAGTGAAGCCTGCGGTGTGCAGACGGGTCATCTGTGCGGGTGTGTAATTGAGGAAAGGCGCTCTGAAGCCTTGTATAGCGCTCAGAGGGACACCCGCCAGCGTGTTGAGCGCAATCATATTGCCATTGATTTCCTCTGCCGATGCATCGCCAACGTGAGTCATCCTGCGAACGTCTCAGCTTGTTAGCAGCCGGTAGAGAATCACCGACGTGTGATCTGCTATCTCGTTGCCCGCTACGAGCAAGTCGGTCACGAGAGAATAGTTGGTATACGCGAGCGAGACAAAATAGGTCGATTTGACAGGGCAGCCATTCGGATTTGTGCGGTTCCCGAGGAACTGGCTTACTGCATCAACCGTATACGCTACATAACGTGCTCAGCAGACACGGGATGAGAAGGCCGGAGACCAACTTTGTACGGCGTCGTCATTTGTCCAAGTGATAAACATGGGCGTGTCCTTGGGACTGATCCCGCCCGGTGGTGTGAGACTGGCGCACTGCAGCTGGCAATTAGCTGAACATTCGTGCCACGCAATCGACGAACTTGGCAAGCGGGGAGCTTGCAGACTGATGCGTCGCAAGTATAGCCTGCCGCTCTAGATCTTCTGTCAGGCGTGAATGCTGGTGTGCACGAATGACGTACTCTGGCGAGCTGCTTGGCCCGCTCGTCGGTCCGCCCTCTATATCCCATACCCCTTATTCAGAATCACCCATGTGTGACTTGGGACAAAGGACATACCGCCCGCTGTAGTGCCTGCAGGGATCTGTGCGCGGACGAGGGAGGCAAGGAAGACAAGAGCTGCAATTCGGTAGCAGGTGCGTGACATTGTCATCGTACGACTGTCAGAGTACGAAGAGCGAATGCGATGAGTGCGAGAGGAGTGAGATCAAGCCGAGAGAGCATATGCCGTCGATACCGAAGACGCGTACGTTTCGCGAGATCGACACTGTTCAGGCCTCGGGCAGGACCGTGCGCACAGTCGATGCATGCAAGAGAGACATCAAGCGTTCGTCGAAGTTCGGCTGACGCTAGGGTCGATCTGTCTATTGCCGTCCATAAAGTGCTTGACCACCTCGGGCGTAACCTTGGCCCGTCTCTGTGCGTGCGTTGCACGCAGATTAGCAAGAATAGGAGCATGCTGGCAAAACAGTGCTTGCCTCTTGGAAGCCTTTGACAAACTCTTGCAGCTTGCCAATGCAGATCTTTTTGAGCTCGCCTGACAAAAGGGTACCTTTCCGATATTCCTGCAAAGAGTTTAGCTAGACCGCGTGACAGACGACATGGACCGACTTGTCCTATCCTCGCAAGCTCTTCATCATCGTCAAGGAAGAAGCCGAGATAGCGATACGCAACGTCGACGTCTGGATCGCCGCCCAATCTGCGATGCTCTTCGATGCTAACCTGACCCCCCGAGAATGCATGCTTGTTAATCTTCTGCTGAATCTGCTTGGGCGTGTCGGTCATGAAGATGGAAGACTCTGCATCGCTTGCAGACATCTTGCTCTGAGGGCCTTGCAGCGCGGGGAAGAATTGACTGTGTATCAGAGCAGGCTTTGGATACTTCAGCTTGGCTGCAACGTCACGCGTGAGGCGGAAGTATGGGTCCTGCCGCTGTGTCAGTCGTGCCATGAAGCGAAAGGAAAAAGCTCACCTGATCGATGGCACATGGGATCAAGCAAGGGATGTCAGACTTTGTGCCATATATCTGAGGGAACGAGTTGGAAAAGGAGGGTGCGGCCTGAACGGCGACAAAGTGACTTTTGCCGATATTGTCGGAATCGTTGAAGCCGAAGGCGGCCTTGCTCTGGTTGTACGGTATACATCTAGCAATTCGCACGACATTGGCGTAGAAGGCGCCGCCGACATAGTCAAGATCGTTAAAGATGAACGTCTTGTCGGGCTTGAAGCCACACGCGATGATGTCTTTCGCATTCTCGACGGAGAAGCCTTGCACTTGCTCGATCTTGAGCGCAGGCTTGAACAGGAACTTTTCGTCGTCTGTGAGCTGTACGACCAGCGGACAGTCAAAGACGTCTTGCAGCCAAGCGGTGAAGACAAAGGGTATCATGTGACCGAGGTGCATGCTGCAGCTGCTTGGCCCGCGTCCGGTGTAGAGATAGAAGGGCTTCCCTTGCTCGTAGCGATCCAGTATACGCCCAAGCTCTCTGTGTAGCGAATTAGTCGAATGCAAAGGGCTGGCGGGCTAGCTTACCTGTGAGAGAAGAACGTTCCCCTCCTGAGCAGCAGATGCGGCTTGCGACCTGTCAAGCGCTCCATACGATCCAACAGCTCTTTGTCTATTGGCCTCGTTCCGAACTGATCTATGAGCTTGGTGTAATCTATCGCGACCTGCAGACTCGCGTCACTGATGAGATATCTGTTTGCGCGACGAGACGAACCGCTTTGCCGTCGACGACGGCACCTTCGACATCCCAGGGCGTGACCTTTTGATCTGCTGCTGCTCTTGCTTCGGCAGTGAGAGGGATGGAGCCATTCGTCGCGGTCGCGCCCGAGACGACAGCCTCTGCTGGCAGGGCGCTCGAATCTGATACGGGCAGCTTGCTGGTAGACTGCTCAGGCAAAGCCGCTGTGGGTGCGCTCGGGCTCTCTATGACTGTCGCTAGGGGCATAGAAGCTTGATGGGCCGGAGCGGGCGAGAGGAAATTGCCCGTGGTACCAGCAGTCGTGCGAGCGGTTCCTTCTGCTTTACGACTGTTCTCGCATGCTCAGATCGTGCCACGAGCACCCGTACAAACTCACACTGGCTCAGGTGTCCTTGTGCCGTCCGCTCTGAGGTTGGCACGAGTGACATACTCTGGTTCGCCAAGCTCGAGAGCAGCAATGAGATCTTGTAGCAACTCTCTCGTTCGCTCGCGATCCTGAGCAGCACTGATCTCCTGCACAGCGCTCGGCTCGGCCAAGTCGAGCTTGCTGATCTGATTCTCGAGCTGCTTGACCTTTTCAGACTTTTGTCGCTCCCTTTCCGCTTCAGTGATGGCACTCGGTTCCGGCAGGATCATTTCGGCCAGTATGGCTGCATTGAAGGACGGTGTACGTCTTATGGGGCGATCTTGCTTCGGACCGAGCTGAGTGCCTTCGAGCACTGGCACAGACGGCGCCGTCATCTTGTCAACGGCGGCCACAAGCCTGTGAGCGACTAGGCAACGAGTCAAAAAAGCGCGTCAAGCCCAGCCTGGCCAGGCGTGCGTCAAGCAAGATGTAAGGTGCAACATGCAGACAACAACATATACAGCCGTAAGTGGTACGATCTAGCCATCCGTCTCGACAAGCTGCGGCGCATCCTCGCCCTCTTCGATGTAACCGTCATCATCTGGATCTTGCAAGAGATTGTAGTGTAGTTGCGTCTTGCTAGGCGTCCTGAGACTCGTCGCCGGGATCGGCAGAGGCTTGCTTGATGAACCGAGTTCCCAGCCGAAGCGTTCGTATGTCTGGACTGACAGGCTTTGCCAGCCTGCACAAACGTCTGACCATGCTCCGGTTTCGTTGGTCGGCAGAGCAGGCGCAGACCAGGCTGACTCGAGCGAACGAAGCGTGTCACGAAGACGGACGAGCTCATCGTGTAAGAAAGCATCTAGCCCAGGCAGATCCTCGTCAAAGAATTCTGTCCGAAGTGACGCGAGCTGAGCCGGCAAGACAGTCGACAGGAAGGTCTGGTACATCCTGAGCGCGACATATTTTGGCACGACCGGCCTTTTGTCGAAGTCCTCCCTTGCAGGACCGAGGATCGAGTATGACTGACACAGGAGTGAGACGATGGACTTCCAAGAGTCCAAGGCCGAGAAGTTGTGTACGAGCGTAAAGAGCACAAAGGCTAGCTGCAGTTCGCCGAGGAGCTGGCCAGGGTCGCCGAGCTGAAGGACAGTCCGTACGAGCAGACCAGACTTGTCCCTGCTGTCTTGAGTGAGTTCTGCGCCCACTGCGCCTTGTCGCCAACTGCGCTTGAGATCGAGCTTGACGAATCTCAGGACTGCATCGCTTTGCTCGTCTCTGGCATGCTGTGATACGGCTGTAGGAGCAGCATCTCTCTGCTTGCCCCATGTGGTCCGTCGCTCGGCTGAGGCAAGTGAAGGATGTTGGGCTTCAGATTCGTCTTGACTGCTCGCCATGACGGCGTCCACGAGGGCATCGCCTCTTTCGTCCATGCCTACTATCCTTGCGAGACACCTCTTGTCGATATAGGATGTCATCTTGGTCCAAGCTTCATGCCTCGCCTTGAAGGGGTAGGGCGCCAGGTGCTCATCGACAGAGCGTAGCTGATCTCGAGCGATGATCTCTGTTGGCAGGATCTGCAGCTTCCTCGCCCGCTTCTTCGGTCTGTCTGGCTCGGGCAATTGAGCAGACATCGAGCCAGACAGGGCATCTGAGCTGATGTCGTATGCCCTCGATACTGCTTCGCCAGCCTCAAAGAAGCGCAACAGTCCATGTCTGACTTCTACCCCTCCTCCGGGCAGAGCTCCGGCATCGCTTGGCTGATCTTCATCGTCAGAGTCAGTCTTTGGCTTGAGAAGGGCAGGCGAGGAGGAGAAGATGAAGAGGTGCAGGCCGGCAGGCAGGAACTTGACACCCTCAAATTTGCGGACGGTCCATAACGAGCCGTCGACGCCGAACTCGGACCCTTGCTTCAGGCCAGAGAGCAGGAAGAAGCCGCCCCGGTCAAAGAGCTGCCTCGCCTGGGCAGCATCGATCCCGCTCATCGACTGCCGTCTATCGAATCAGATCTGCGCGATTCAACGTTCAACGATGCCCACGAGAAGAGAAACCATTTTTGCGAGAGAAGGCCAGCTATGGGATGCTCGATAACATCGGGTCGATGCTCTGAACAGCAGGCTTTCCCTGATGCCCGCCGCTCTCCTGGGTTGGCCAGATCAGCGGCCGGGCAAGGAGATGTACCCCTTTCTCATGTTGATGCGCAATAGATTGCGTCCCCGTGCCTGGTCGAGAAGCCAAACATGCTTCTCCGTGGAGACTGGACAAACCCAGCCTTCCGGCCTGCTGAAAAGCCAGTTGTCATCATTTAGAGAGACAGCGATTGCGGCCGAGATTATTACAAGGGATGGCAGATCTGCACAACCCCACCGTCATCATCCTTCTTCCCTTGTCTGGGCTGCAGGCTATCGGCTACGGGTATGTGGGTCTTTTTAGGCTGAGCGCCCCATCAAGTTTTCGTGTTGAAATGGCCAAAAAAGAATGCGGGATGCGCTGCGATCGCGCCTAAGTTTGCTACTGCCCCTCTAAGAATGCGCACGCCACGAGCCGCAAAACGCAAACAGCGGACTGGCCAAGATGCCGGCTCAGCACGAGCTTGGCCCCCCTGACTCCGCGCCCATGCTACGCCCGGCTGCGATAGCGCACCAGGCTGGAGAGAGTATGTCTCGGACGAGAGCCTGCGAATGAGCAGATTGAGATAGACGACGCACGGACTGGTGGGTCCCCGACGGCGCACGGAGCCTCGAGCCAAAGGAAGCACGCCAGGAGCGTTGGCGTTGCGACGGGAGAAGAGCGAGCTCCCATCTTGCTTCCCAACCTCGCTCGTCCTGCTTTCGACGGAGGCGAGACCCTGGCAGCCAGGTAGACCAGACAGGAGCTCCCCCTTGAACTCCTCGAGCTTATCCGACTCCCACCTCGCCGCCACAATATGGACATGACACATCCGCCCCACGAGACCGACTGGACCGCTTCATCGCCTTCCTCGCTCCTCTCGCCCTCGACGAGCTCGCAGAGGCAACCGGCCTGGCGCTCGTTCGATTTTGCTCATACCGCCAGCATGCCTCCGCACGGTGCAGCCTCTCAAGCAGGTAGTCAGGCTGGCCTAGACGACTTTAGATTCTCAGTCACATCCGATACCTCGACCACATGTACCTCGCCCGCATCTATAGAGGAGCAACAGTCGCTCAACGCCAACACAAAGGCGAGATACGCTCGACCGGAGCTGCTCGTCGAGACCAAGCCGAGAGAACTGGATCCTGTCTTGACCCAGGCTCAGACGAACCAGCTTGCCACTTTTGCGAGCGAGATGATCACCTATCTCTGGTTCTCGTCCATCACCCAGCGCAAGACTGCCTTACCCGCAGCCTATGCCGCCACGGAATCAAGACCGCATCCAAGACAATTTAGACCGACTCCTGGCTTCAGTCACTTCATACGAGACGTCCTGCTGACCAGTGAGCCTGTCCATCTGCCGAGCTGCCCTTACTGACATTGCTGGTACAGCCCAAGTGTCGCGCTCAGTCGTCGTCCTCGCTTTGCTTTTCGTCTACAGACTCAAAATCCGCAATGTCATTCATGGTCAGCCAGGCTCAGAGTTCAGGCTCGCCATTGTCGCCTTTATGCTCGCCAACAAAGTCTTGGACGATCACAGTAAGTCTCTGCTGGTTCGTTGACCGGCCTCGCTGACACAGCGCCGCAGCCTACACAGCCAAAACGTGGAGCGAAGTCTCAGGCATCGCTCTCGGTCCGCTGCAGGCAGGCGAGATCGAGTTTCTCAAAGGTCTCGACTTCCGCATGCATGTGACAAGCCAGCACTTCGAGTCCTGGCAACTGTTACTGCTCGGTCTACGGAATGCGAACGAGACAAAGTCGGTGGTCGAACAGCAAGGTCTACGACGAAGTGCTCGCGTCGCCCAGCCTGTTCCACCTTGCCTGCTCGCACCGCGTCATAGCTGGCAAAGTGGTCAATCTGCCTTGCCTCTGCGGCAGGCTCAGCCGATCCAGACGATGCCGAGCATGCAAGCTCATACGCCATGGGCCTACTCGGTCCCCATACCGCAGCCTACGAGGACGGAAGCGGCCAGTCCGCATCACAGACTGGCGCTGCAGCATTCTCATTCTCGACGAACATCAAAACGTCTTGCAGCGCAAGAAGACGCTCAGGACGACATAGAAAGGCCGAGTGCCAAGCGACATGGTCCTGTCGCGCCAAAACGACAGCTTTCGTCTGGTCCGATGATCAGATCGGTGCATCCTTCGCCAGCTGTCAATTTATCACCTGCGATGTCTCTACATCCGGAAGTGGCGCCATTCGATCAGCTTACAGATGCATTCTCGCCCGCTAGAGCGCTAGAGATCCAGCAAGCTCACTACCGCGCTTATGCTGAAGGCCAAGCCCGACTAGAATTCTACCAGCTCGCGGCCGGTCGACGAGCGGGCATCTCAGAGAGATTTGCTCCTGCTCCCGCTCTTGCAAATACAGCTTCGCTACCCCACGCGCAAGTACACCATCGACAACCATTCATGGTGCCGAGCAACTCTGCCGGCCTCCACCCACAGTCTAGAACGACCCTGTCACTGTCCCCCGTCGATCTGACCGGTTCACGGCCCTCTCAGAGAACGCCGAACGTCTGGTCTGCTCCTCACACTAGAATGAATCATCTCATGACGTCTAGACCCTCCATCCTCTCGCCTCAATCGATCTATCCTGTCCAACAGCATCCGCGCCCGCCCGCGCCGGCCACCGGTGAAGCCTTCTCGAGCTTTGCAAATTGCGGGCCGCCTGCAGTGCAATGGCAACAGCCAGGTTGGCAGCTCGATTGGTCGCTACGACCTCTCCCTACGTGTGAGCGTTGCTTCATGATCCGTTCTTGACCACGAGACTGACTGACCATCACTGTCGGGACAGATCCAGGCCTCAGTTGAGCGCCTGCTCGCTCGCTAATGACGTCACGACTGCTCGTACGACTCGAAGCAAGAAGTGTGTATACCCTCGCAACGCATGCAGACCCAAGTCACATCAGTCGCATGTACATCTAGTCACGCCGATAAAATTCATGACGTTTGCTCTCAGCTTGCATTGCGCGGATCGTGGTCGACTCGTTCCTGCTTGCCCATCCGTCTTGCAAACACATGTTGGAGCTTCTGCTCGAGATTGGCTCGTTCACGTTCGAGCAAGACTCGCTCATTTCGCAGTCTGCCATCGTGTGAGCGCGTCCCTTCTTGCCGAGCAACTGAAGACGTACGAAGCAAGAGTGCGCTGAATAGTCCGTCGCTCGTGCGCATGTTCATCGTCCTCTCCTGCAGTATCGATGACTCGTGCGAGCTTCTCTGGCGGTGCCTTCTGCCGTAGCCAGTCACCCGCGTAAAGAGCCGCTGCAACTCAGCTTGTGAGCTGTTGATCTTGTGAGCCTTGCAAAGGGAGCGCACGAGGAACTATGAGGACGATGCCAATAGCCAGCCATGTCTTCTGTCTCGGCGACAGGCTGTTCATGCTCGATTCGTCGCTGGCTTTCGACTCGCTCGCTCGCATTCTCGCGACGATGTCATGCAGACCGATGACGCCGACAAGCTCTTCCAGGCCGACGTAGACGCAGCTAGGTCAGCTTAGCTTCCCAGCTGACCAGTGCGCCAATGCTGAGACGCTGTACAGATTCGAAGCTCGCCAGCAAAAGGCAAAAGCAACTGTCCACCTCGGCGACCCCATCAAGCTTTCTTCAAAGCCGCTCGACTTTGTGCTCCATGGCGATGATGTCTGGTTAGCAGAAAGTGGCTTCACTGCTCGCTGTATCGACCTCAAGGTTCGCTTGCAAGTCACAGCCTACAAAGGAGCCTGATGACAGATGTATGACAGACAGGCAAGACTAAGCACGTGTTCAGGGGAGGACACAGCGGTCCTGTGACGTGCTTGGCGCTATGGCAAACGAAGTCAAGATTGCTGCTGTTTACAGGCTCTTGGGACAAGACCATCGTCCTGTGGGACGTCAAGGCAAGTCGACCCAGGTCGAGACGCGCAGGCCGGCTGATGACTGCTCAGAGCAGACGTATGCCATACTTGCGCGGATCCAGAATGCGCACACAGACTTTGTCAAGTGCTTGCTCATCGTTCCTTCGCTCTCTGTACTCATCTCTGGCGGGTCTGACAAAGATCTTCGCTACTGGGATCTGCGCACGCTCGAGACTGCCGACTGGACGCCTTTGATCGACTACAAATTCGACACCGAGACAGATGAGGGTGACTTGGTCAGACCGACAGGTCTCTTGCCGCCCGTGCGTGCGCCTTTAAGACTCATGGGCAACGACGTCAAGGGCTATCCTGCGCCACTGCACATGCCCCAAGCTGGTTCTCAAGCACACACGCGTCCGATCGAATGCTTGGCCTGTTCTGCAATCAGCAGCAGCTCGAAGGAGTACGCGTTGTGGTCAGCAGACAGCATGGGCAAAGTCTGCTCATGGCGCTTGATGCGAAACGAAGACAGAGTTGTGGCGACCTTTGCTTGGCAAGCGAGATTACACGAAACGGCTATATACGCATTGTCACTTGCTGAAGACGAGCTATGGACTGCATCGGCCGACAAGGATGTGCTCATGTCGAGTGTCACTTTGGATGACCCCAGCAAGCCGCCGATGCCGCGGCTGCGCATCCGACACCCAGATTACGTCAAATCGGTCTTGCCCTTGGCCAATTGCCTACCTGGCGCACATCATGTAGTCACAGGCTCATCAGACGAAGCCATACGCATCTTCGATCTGGCTATGCTCGATAGCTTGACAGAAGCCGAACGATTGACGGGACTGAAAGCAAATGCACCCAAGGGATTGATAAACGAAGTGCAAGCGCACTTTCACGATGTCGTGCATCTCGCAATATGGACAGAAACTACAGCTGCCGGAAAGCGTCACCCGTGGTTGCTGACTGCGAGCTTCGATGCTACTCTGCGCAAGGCGAGCGCTGAGAGAATCAAGCGAGACGCTCTAGCTGAACGGCGCTGCAGTGGCCATGGCCGGACGTGCTCACTTTCGCCCCGGCACCTGCTGAGGCAGCACCAAAGCCGGAAACTGACACACTCACGGCCGAAGAAGAAGCAGAGCTCAACGAGCTGATGTCCTGAAGTCTATTTTGCAGCGTCTGGCTGCGTATCCGCCCAGTCGAGCAGATCCTGCAGCAGCCGGATTGCGCCGGTCTTGTAGCTCGAGCCAAACAAGACATAGTGCTACTCGTTATGCATCAGCATGCGCGCGTGCCGAGAGGCGTTGAGGCCCACATTGATATGATGGTAGACTTCATAGAGCTTCATGCGCTCTTCGTAGTAGGGCTGGCTTTTGGGCAAAATCGAATGATACTTGTCAAAGAACGATTGACCAAATCCGCCAAACATCTTTGCCAATCCGAGATCGCTCTCGCCGTGACCGTAATATGACGATGCATCGTAGATCAGTGGTTCACCATTGTCTGCCCTCGTGGCAATATTGCCACTCCACAGATCACCATGACATATGACGGGCGTGACTTTGATATCGAGCAGCATAGGCACTACTCGCTCGCACACTTGCTCGCCTACTTCTCTGAGCTTCTTGTCCGTGCACTGTGCGAGCAAGAAGCGCAAACGCCTGTCGCGCCAAAATGTCGCCCAATCATCCTCCCACGTATTGTCTTGGGCAGTAGGTCCGCAATGCGTCGTCACATGGAAGCCAGACTTGCCGTTGGGCGAGACAGCGTCCTTGTTTGCAGGATTGTGCAGCTCGCCGGCTATGCGCTCTGCCAATCTCGCAGAAGAGCTCATTCGTCCGAGGTCGAAATAGTCCGAGATCATGACCGCTTTGCCATCGACTTGCTCGCAGAAGTACACATCGGGTGCCAAGCCAGACGCTGCTTTGGCCATCGCCTTGAGCGACTCTGCCTCGCCGACGGTCTGCTCGAGCGATCGATCGCACTTGACGAACAGATTCGTGGAGCCATCTTTCGATCTGAGTCGGTTCGTGGAAGTCTGTACAAACTCGACGTTTGCAAACTTTGAGATTGCAGAGAGTGCACGCTGCACATAGGGATCCATCGCCGGAGTCGTCACAAAGCCGACACCTGGCTCTGGCTGCTATCTTGATTTTTTGATCACGTGAGTGTTTGTCTTGTCGCGACATGCCCGACCTGATTCGACTTGGGATTTCTTGCAGGCCTCTGTTGGCTTTTAGGCGCAGCATGCCGGTACGACAGGGCCCACGAGTAGCCTCTGGCCCTGTGCCTATCACTTCGGCACCGGAGCAGAGGGGCTCACGGTCGTACGACAGGCGACATGTCTCTTTGAGCAATCTGCGCTTTCCTACTTCGCAGCCAATCGAGAGGCAGAGGCACACATCAGAGTCGTACCACAGGACAACCGCACGAGAATCTGACGAGCTGCCAGCATTTGATGTCTCGCCGCTCAAGGCAGCCAGACAAGCAGCCAGGCAGGCACAGCTCGAGCCAACGGCGAGCAAACCGTCAAAGCGAACGCACGAAGAGACCCTTGTTGACCTTGGCGCGCCTGCACTCGATACGATCCCAGAGCACAGACACAAGAGACCGAGGGCTTCGGCGACAGACTTGATCGAGGACATCGGTGTCTTCAAACCGACCGCTGTGCCTGAAGGAGCAGATGCGAGCACGACGAAAGATGCAAGGCGACTGCTTGCCTCGCCCACCAGTCCCGCCAAGCGCGCACTGTCTAGCGCTATATTTGATACAACACTTGCCGGACAATTACCCGCCTGGTCTTATATGGGCCCCACTCATACCGATGCCCTGCCGACAAAATCAGAGCCAGGTTCTCAAGCGAGCGCTGTAGCGGCTCCATCAGCCAGCAAGACCTTCAGTCTAGCGTCGCCATCAAAAGTCCCCAAGGCGACTGTCCGAGCCATGTTCGCGGGCAGCACAAGTACCCCTGTGCATTCCGCATCGTCCAGCTTGCAGGCACTTGTGCATATCACAGAAGCCACGCCAACCCATGTCTCCACAGCAGGGCCACCGACAAGACCGAACTTGGACCCGCGCACCACTGATCCCTTGCCTCTGTTGTCGACATTGGTTCGCCCCGTCATGCCAATGCGGCTGGAATCTGCACCGACGATCTTGTCGCCTGCAGCCGGCAAGCAACGCATGCCCGGTCCAGCAATGCGTCCGCTCAGTCCTCGCAAGCCGACTCTTACGGACGATGTGCAGCTCCAGCAAGAATCTTCGCTCTCGCCTGTCGCCTTTCCCTCTAATTCGAGCGACACCGCGCGCACAAGCGCGAGCCACCTGTCTGCAACAAGCGTCATGAGCAGTGACAGGCCAATCGACGCGCGAATGAGCGTCGAAAGCCGCCAAAGCGCGTCTCCCCCGAAGCCGTCCCTTAGCACGGTAGGCAAGCTCTTGCAATCGCCGAACAGATTCCTCTTTCCATCTTCACCATCAAAGCGCGCGCAATCTCTCAGCTTGCCCGTCAGTCCTTCCAGAAGCAAGCCCATCTTCAGCTTCGCAAGCCCGAGCAAGAGCCCACGAGCGATCTACAAGGATGAGTCGACACCCAAGCGCTCGCCTGACAAGCGCTCTGCTTCGACACCCGGCCGTACTTTCTCACGCACTGCAATGAATGACTCGACGGCTGCGAATCTGAGTCACTTGCAGAAGATGCTCAATCGGCTGCAAGCCCCAAGAGCTCGGTCTGCTTCTGCCGAGCTTGCCACACCGGCTACTGTTGCGGTACCTCTATGTCAGAGCGCGCCGGCTCTGCCCACTGTGTCGTCGTCGACCACTGCCAGTCTCGTAGCAAGCACAGACCGTCGATCCAGGTTGCCACGCTATGTTGACCGCCAGGTACCTACAAAGCCGCCTCATATCGTTGCTCCCAGGCGTACCGAGGACGCTAGCATTGGCCTTGGCCGTCCACCTAGGGCGGGGCCATCGAGCAGCCGGACGAGCTCTGCGGCAATCTTGATACGAGGCACTAGTCATGCGAGCCTCCCCGAGCAGCGAGCCTTGGCATCGACATCGGGCGTTGAACCTCGATCGGTCAGCAGCCCGGGCGCGCTCGAGACGAAACCGGCGAACGCCATGTCGACAGTGCTCGAGGATGTCGTCGCATTTGTGGATGTGAGAACAGCGGAAGGCGATGATGCAAGCCAGCTATTCATCGAGATGCTCAGAGAAATGGGCGCCAAGGTGAGCCCGACTTGCTGAATGATGCGCCTAGCTGAGAACAGAGTCCAGGTGTACTTGCGTCCGTCGAATGCGCCGATTACGCACATTATCTACAAGTCTGGCAGACCGACGACATATCACTTTTACAAGTCTTGCATCGAGCCAAAGCCATTCATCGTCGGCACGAGCTGGATCTTGCAGTGTCATGCCGCTGTCGAGCGAGTCTCAGAAACACCATTTCTACTTGAGCTCGAGCCCGAAGCTGCTCTTCTGCCCAGAGTATGTGACTAGCTTTTGCGGCGGAGTCATTGCTGATCGACGAGTCACAGAGACGCTCGTCTGCGTCTGCACCGCGCGCCAGTCTGAGTCAGTCCGCGCAGCTCGAGCGAGCGAGGGACAAGGTGGCTCATTACGACCCGCCGAAGCGATCGCCACTGGCCAATCGATTGCAATCTGTGCTCGAATCGCCGAATCGAGAGTTGTAGATGTTGTAGCAAATCAGTCGTCGCTCTATCGCTGCCGTGTCAGAAGTAGCTTGAGGCGATCTCGCTCGCAGTATGCGCTGAAGGATGTATCAGATAGAGCCGCGGTAGCAAAGAATGGCGCACCTGAGCGCAAGGCAGGCTGATGCTAGTAGAGCACCAGCTGATGCGGCTACCAGGAAGCCTCGCAGGCCGTAGACATCGACTTTCGCTACCGTGTAACGCGTGAGCGCACCAGATGCTGCAAAAGCGAGGATGACGATAGTCCCAGGTCTCCAGATTTTACTGGCTGTTGTGATTTTGCGCTTTTCGAAATAGCGTTTGATGAACCGAGAGCAAAGCATGATTCGCAAAGCCATATTGACGATGTTGGCATAGATGAGACCTCTCTCTTTCAGGCCCATCGTCTGCACGAATACATAGCATGCGGCAATGTAGATTGCGCTGAAGACGGTCATCAGGCGCGAAACTCGAGCCAGTTGGTCTGGAGACGCGACAGCCTGCATAAAGGCTTCTGTGCTGCCATTGAGACCGAGCGCAGGTATGAAGTAGCAATAGGCCTGCAAAACCACGGGCGCAGAGGTAGCTGACCACCTCGCACCCAGAACGTGATGGAGTAAGGGCGGAACGAGCGGAGGAGCGATCGTGACGAGAAGGAGCGCCAAGTGCAAATGAGCGGTGATGAGCGAACTGAGCACTTGCCATGCACGAGCAGTGTCCGCTTTTGCACTCTTGTCGTCTTGCTCTCGTCCGTTGAGCGCCTGCGAGAAATACAGGCGCGAAGACTCTTCGACGGGCTGGAAGACGATACGCGCGATCAGACTGCCATAATTCAATGCGACTGCGTAGCCGCCCTGGTCTTCAATAGGACTGACGCGGGAAACGATGAGTTTGTCGCCTTCCGTCAGGAATTGTTTGACAAGTGACTGCTTGCTCAATGCCCATGCGAGCATCGTCGTCTTTTCATCACGAGACTTGCTCCTGTCAGCTACTACCTGACTCTGCCATCGATATCCAGCGACCAAGACGGAGGCATAGGCGAGCTGGCCGCATCCGAAGGCGAGCAAGGCAGCTATGTCACCAGCCCACATGAGGACGAGAACCGTGACGATAGCCTTGAAGATTACTGCAGTGCCTTCAATACGAACGCGCACTTGAATGCGAAGATCAGCCTGTGCTTGCTGGTACAGGTATTCGATCGAAAGCTCGAGAATGGATGCGAGACCGTACATGAACACACATTCGGCAAAGTAGCTCTGCCGTCTGACGGTCGCAGAGGACGTGAGATAGTACGTCAAGCACACCAGCGGGCAGAGTACGGCCCCCACTTGCACAGGCAGATTGGCGACATTGAGGACAGCCTGTCGCGAGCGCAGAAGTTGTGTTTGCTCGACGCGTACTTGATCAAGCCTTGTCTGCACAGACTCGTCTCCACCTCGCAGACGAAATTTCAAAGCCGTCTCCTCAGCGTTCAGAGGTGCTAGCGAAGGTGCCGTACGGGCGACTGCACCTCGTATGCCCTCTCGCGAAAGGAACAAGATTGTATTGAGGAGCAATTCGAGTTGGATCGTTGCCGTTCCGAACGCTTCCGGCGTCGTGAGTCTGAGCAAGACCTGGTTGAGAGCAAAAGTGACGACGCGAGTGCCGAGCTGTAGGATGACGAGGTAGATGGCACCGCCGAGTGCGGCCGAGCGCGCTTGATCCGACATCGTCGATGACATGACGCCGCACAGACTTCACGAATCCGCAAGCGAGCTGACGCCCGAGCTTTGGGTAGTCAAGGCGAGTGCCGTACAGCACCTTTGCTGTCCATAGACATAGTCAAGATGCTGCACTACCAGCAGCTCAGCAGTCCTTCGCTGAGTGCGCTGCGTGGCAGCAAGCATGTGGGTCCAGATGATAAAATATCAAATTCGCCATACACCACTGACTCCACGTTTTTCTTGCCGGACACAGATTTGCACGTCTTGCCGGCCTCACATCATGACGGCCATAGGCAGACAAGCGAGCAGTCCACTCGACGCCTACGACGATCTGAACGTGTCTGGCTACGACCCTTTGCTTCAGCCGGCCTTGCTCAAGTCTGAAATCCCACTGTCGGATGCATCCAAAACGACAATTGCGCTCGCTCGTCGGGCGGCCAACGACATCATCGCAGGCGAAGACAACAGGGTCATCGTCATCGTTGGACCTTGCTCCATACACAGTCAGTGGCGAGTCATGTGCCCGGTCAGGAGCTAAGCGACGTGTTGGCGCCAACAGGCCCAGAACAAGCGCTAGAGTATGCACGACTGCTCAGAGCAAAGATCGATAGCTGGCCCAACCTGCTCATCATCATGCGTGCCTACTTCGAAAAGCCGAGGCAGGCATATGGGTGTCATTCAGGAGACGGCGAGCTTACACATTGGATGCACGCAGGACGACAGTCGGCTGGAAGGGCCTCATGTACGTTCACAGCCACTCGAGGCATCTTGCGATATCCTGAATGGTATGGCAATGCACAGAAACGATCCCAATCTTGATGGAAGCTTCATGATCAACAAGGGTCTCCGCGTCGCGCGCCAGCTGCTTTGCGACTTGACAGAGCTCGGTCTGCCTGTCGGCTGCGAATTACTTGACACCATCAGGTCCGCATTCTCACATGAGCCCTGTCTGGAGCTCATCTGAGTCTTCCGACAGCCCACAATTTTTGTCAGACTGCATCTCTTGGGGCGCAATCGGCGCACGCACGACAGAAAGTCAGCTGCATCGAGAGCTAGGTATGCACCCAGGCCCTCCGGTCAAATTCGATGCTCAAACGAGACGTAGCATCGGGCATGTCGTTCCCCATTGGCTTCAAGAATGGCACAGACGGCGGTGTGACGGTAGCGGTAGATGCCATGCGCGCAGCCTCACATCCTCACGCTTTCATGGGTATCACCTCTTCGGGACTAGCATCCATCGTCAAGACACGGGGAAACCCAGCAGTCCACATCATCCTCCGAGGCGGTTCTTCAGGGACGAACTACGCCCCGAGCGATATCGCAAAGACGAAGACAGCGTCTGCGAAAGCGCGACCGACGTTCCATCCTTCCATCATGGTCGATTGTTCCCATGGCAATTCACTCAAGGATCATCGCAATCAGGCCAAAGTCAATGCTGCCATTTGCGAGCAGCTTCGTGCGGGCGAAGATGCCATTACAGGCGTCATGATCGAATCTCACCTGGAAGAAGGCAGACAAGATGTGCCTACCGAAGGCCCGTCCGGCCTCAAGCGCGGCGTCTCTATCACCGACGCATGCGTCAATTTCGTTACCACTGTACAGCTCCTCAGCGATTTGAACGAGGTGCGAACTTTTGAATTGAGCCATGAACTTGCGCTAAAGCGTCGATTGATCGCTCAGGCTGTCGGCGTTCGCAATTCGGCTAGCAAACAAAAGCATGCAAACGGACATGCAAATGGCAACGGAACAGCGCACTAATGGCATGCTACTGCGACGAGATCGACGAGAGCGTCTAAGTCATCGCATGCTTGTACGAATGACATGCAGCTCTGTACAACCTACAATGAGACTTCTATTTCGAAACATGATCTGCAGGCATGGCCGTCGTGTCCAGTAATGCGAGTGGTCGCTCGATGGCACCCATGTGTGACTGTACAGTCGTCGAGGGCGAGATCTCGAACAGAGTGGCGAGATCGCGCAGAGCCAGAGAATGACTCGTCGCAGGCTCGGGCGATAGGCCTCTGACGAGTTCCGCAGCAGTTTTTGGAACTTCGTCCGGCAAGAGTACCGCAGCTTCTTGATGACGACTCGGACGGACGACGTCAAGTGCGCTCGTGAGGAGTGTCCTGATGTGACGCTCGACGGCGAGCAGCATGAGCGAGACTGCCGGCTTGTCCACGCCGGCTGAGAGCCCGCTATCGCATGCAATGAGACTCATTCGGTCGGTCAGGCTCTCATGATCTGGTAAGCGTTTGCTCTCGAGGCACAGCGGCGCTTGTTGCCATCGATTGTAATCTTGAGTAGAGACTGCGCACGAGACTTAGCGAGCAGTATGACCCAGAGCCCAGCGACGCACCTTCAGCATTGGGAAACACAGGCCCCTCTTTGGCCTTGGCACTGCCTGGCTTGACAATCTCAACGCGAGGCTTTGCAAGGAGCGCTTGACCGTCTGCGCCCAGTCGCGTCGGGCTAGTCGGAGAAGCGGCCGGCAAGGTGCCATTGACCTTGGCTTTGGATGCTGCATTGGCGGACTGGGCTAGATCGATCGTATTGAGCTGTTTGAGTCTCGCTCGCTCCCTCTTACCGAGCGACATGACTTGGTTTCTCAGCCTTGCCCTTTGCGAGTCCCGCTCGAGCAAGTCATCGCCTTCTAGCCTTCTACGCTTAGACCAGCCCGAGTGTCTCGACGAAGGCGTGGCGGACGATCTGGATGTGTTGAAGAGGACAGACAGGATGAGTGCCGTGTGGAGCTCAGCTACCATACTTGATCAGCGCGAACAGCAGGCGTCGAGGCACTCTACTAACCTGCTTCTGGCCCACCGCGACGCAGGGCAGACTGTGTTGCCTCCTCGAACTCATCTCGGCTCAGCTTGCCGGTGAGAAAGTCGACGAGACTCGTCCAATAGACAAGTCCCTGGTCGGGCGGCAGTAGACTTGCCAGTCTGTCTTTGATACCCAGCGTGTCTGCCCTCTTCTGATCAACAGACGGAGGGAAGAGGCCCGTCGCCATCTCGGCGCACTTCAGGCCGTGCTCTTTGCCCGCTACGTTGGACGTTCTGACTGTCCAGCCGGGCCGCGATACCAAAATGGCGCGCGACTTTTGGCTTCTCGTGCCTGCCTGGCGCCGACGAGGAGGACCCTGCGCAGCGCAATGAACACACGACCGACTGCGCAGAACAGACGGCAAGTGATCTCGTCAGGCGACGCACTGTAGTCGTCCGCGTCGCGCAGATGCCACAGGGGCGTGACTGGGCGTCCTCGACCGGCTCAGCATTGGAACTGTCTGCAGCTTCACCGACGGGCTTGCCTCAGCACAGGCAGCACTTTGCCAACCTCATCGATCGTTCTCCGTCTCCCAGCGGTCGCAGGAGCTCCCTCTCTGACTTGCCGAGCTCGGACAGCCCGAGCAAACTCACGCCTGTCTCGACTAGTCGCGGCAAGAGCGTGACGGGCGCCTTGCCACAGTGGCGTACGCCCAGTCTCACGTCCAGCAACAGCATCAAGAGCGCAAGACGCAAGTCGGCTCAGCTCTCCACCGTAGCGACAGGATCGATATCGCACAGAAGCAAGCGACGCGCATTGACAGGACTCATCAGCGTCGTACTCTTTCTGATCTTGCTCAACTGGCAGAGCGACGACGGCGCCAAGAGCGTGCTGTCCAGGATGAAAGCACTCGCTCCGGACTCAGCAAGCGTCGGGCGACTCTTGCCAGGCAGGCGCCGACCGCCAACGCCCAATCCGCCCATACCTGCCAGCATGAAATACATCACACTGCCTTACAAGACAGCAGGCAACATGACCATCAGCTTCGACTTGTACATCCCCAAAACTCCGCCACGGTACCATTCAAGGTCCAAGCGACCCGCTCTCGTCTACTTCCACGGCGGCGGCGTCATAGTAGGCACAAAACAATCTTGGCTGCCCTTCTGGCTCATTCACGCCTGTCTCGATCGCGGCTACATCTTCATCTCAGCAGACTATAGACTACTGTACCCCTCGAACGGACACGACGTCTATTCGGACGTTACCGACCTCTTCCGGTTTATCAGGCGAGAACTCAACGGCGTGCTTGCCGACCGCTCAGAAGACATCGGCGTTCTCATCGACAGGGACAGGATAGGCGTTTCTGGCAGCTCCGGTGGAGGCTGGCTCGCCTATCTGGCCGCTGCGCACCACAAGAACAGCGCTGTCAAAGTCCTCATCAACTTTTATGCAATGGGCGGTGACTTCCTCGTGCGTCTCCCTACCGTCATCTCCAACAGAGGCTGACGTTGCATGACAGAGCGAAAGATATGTGGTAAAAGGCGCAAGAAATCGCGACGGACTACCCCCGATTGACGCCAAAAATATCCAATCGCTCATCGAGCCGGGCGTCGTTCTGCGGCCGACTTGCGCAGAGCCAGCAGCAGGCGATCCAGAAACTGGCTTGCCTACCAATCCACGGAGCCAGCTCGTGCACTATCTCATAGAACAGGCTGTCTATCTCGACGTTCTCACGGGCCACAAGGGTGTCACGAAGGATCTAGAGCCACTGGTCAAGAATGAACTTGCGGCCGCCGAGAGGATACCCATCGATTCGAGGGCTCTATTTCCACAACTCTTAGTCTCAGAAAACTGGCCGCCTTCGTACCTCTTGCATGGCAGTCGTGATTCAGCAGTGTTGGTAGGCGAGACGGTACATATAGCAGAGAAGATCAGACGGGCAGGCGTGGAATGCAAAGTCGCCATCATCGATGGGGCGGAGCATTCGTTCGATCTGCACGGTCATGGCCCGGACAAGCTCAGGGATGCCGTCGACTTCCTCCAAAGACACCTAGAATTGTAGCAGACATCACACGTGTAGAACGTCACATCAATGCGCTAAGATGATGTATTGGGTTTACGACAACAGATCAATGTATAGTGCTCGGTAGACATGAACGTGGTATGTGATTATGCGAGCGAGCGATGTTGCGATCGTTTGAATGGTTGCCTGTTGTTGCAACAGACCTGCAGACGAAAGTAAAGCGGTATGCGATGATGTCGTAGGTGTACAGAGTTGCTCGCCTTCGCGCAGCCACCACGGTGTGCCACGCAACAGAGTGAGCGATTCGTCGTCGATATGTGCACGGAGTATCGTGCGTAGATGCTGCTCGACAAGATTCCATAGCCTTGAGGATGGCATTATGTTATTGTTGGCCCAGCCCTTTGCGATGTCGGCGACTCGCTCTGCGTCAGAGAAATGGGAAGCGATCTCCTCGGCAACATTAGCGAGCACGATGCGACGCCAGACTGTGTCCGAGACGCTTGCGCGGCCGTTGCTGCAAGTGCCTTGCACGATACAAGCAAGTCTGTGTCCGAGCTCCGAAGGTAGCGTCTTCTTGCGCTGGCCAAACAGCTGCTTGGCGTAGAGACCAAAGAGATGAAAGACGATGAGCTCCGTGATGCTCTGGTGTACCGATTTGAGTCGATCGAGGTCAAGTCTGAACGTTTCTGGCACCTTGCTATCGCCTTGCGCAGTGCGAGGCTCGAGGACTATATCAACGAGGCCATAGCCAATCGACTTGTCGAGTGAATCAACAGTAGCTTGGTCGATAAGTGCTCGAGTGGTCGACAGATGCGCCTTACATGTGAGCGCATAGCTTGACCGAAACCAGTGAAGCTCGCTCTCTGGCGACGTGATGAGCAGATACGGTCGCAGCTTCTTGAGCTGATAATTGGCAACGTCCTATACATTTCATTAGCTCTGTCGCTACAGCTGCGGAGAGGACTCACAAGTCTCATGAGCTCAACGGTATCAAAGCATGCTTGCAAGCCTGTTGCGATGCTGGCCAGCGTGGGCTCGGACAGCAGATCCATCATCTGCGTGATTCGAGCATCGCGGATGGGTGCTGCATGCATCAGCAAGACCGAACCAACGAAGCGTGCGAATCGAGCGAGATCAAAAGTGCGGTGATCCGCTTGCTGCGTAACCAGGCTGGTATCGAGGCTGTCTCTGATATTCCTCGCAGAGCTCTGATCCTTGCAATCCGGCAGTAGAGCGAGTAGGAGAGATTTCAGTTCTTCGACGAGATGAGGTATGCGGCTCGGCAAGCGGACAGATAGATTGCCAGACGCAAGCATGCCGACGTTTGAGCGACAGAAGCAAGTAAGGACGCTCGAGCTGTCGGCCTCGCAGATGAATGTCGTACAGCGACAGCCGCTTATGATCTCACGCGCGACTGCGAGATTGTACATGGCACAAGCTTCCCTCCGCTTAAAATTCGACGGGCCCTCCGTATTTGGTCGAAAGTGAATGACGGGCGTGTGTGCGAGATCGTGACGCAGCTGTGGGTTGGCAAGCAACGATGCCAGATCGAGCTCTTTGAGAGACTGTTGCGAGATAGGCGGTCTGAGCGCTGGTACACAAAGCGCATCGTGCTCGAGTGCGACCATGCCCTCTTGGGAGGCGTGGCGAGAGAGCGCCAGGCTGGTAGGCTGATGGATCTGATGTAGTACCTTTAGCTGTCTCTCGTTGAGCACAGGCTGAGACGCGAGTGACGTGTGCGACTTTGCCGAGTGGTTCACGGGAAGAGGGGGCACTGGCGGCGGAGCAGTAAAGACAGGCTTTGCAGATGGTGAACGCCGACAGCGTCGTCTCGGGTTTGTCCTGCCGTGAGAGGATCTCCGTCGCTTCTTGGGTGCTGTCGTGCTTGGCTCGTCGGTTGGCAGCGAATCACTCGAGTGAGTCCGTTTGAGACTGCATTGTAGCGTGGGCGTGTCGACCTTTGAGAGAAGCTCGATTGAGCTGACGCTGCTCGACGAACCTGATGCGGATTTGATCCTGAATGTGCGGTACGAGGCAGACATGGGCACTGACTCGGCCTGACCGTCCTTCTGACCTGCCTCTGGCGTCAGAAGCAGCTCGCCTCTTATGGGCGAGGCAAGTCTTGGCGTTGCATGGCAGTGGTCCGGCGGCAGTTGCAGGAGTTCCTGACTCGGCTGTCCCTCGTGCTCGACGATGCGGTGGGCATCGGAGACTGCCGTCTCGTGTGCCGAGTTGAACGTGGGTGAGGGCAAGTCGGACTGCAAATCCGCCCACGAGTCGGCCATCGTGCAAAACGAGCTCTTGGTCGTTCGCTTGTCTTATGTTCGGGAAGTGAGCATCGCACAGGTCCCCAGCGTGCGGTCTCGCTAGCGCAGACTTTTACTGCTTAAGTTAGTCTGTCCGGTCGCACAGACCTCGTTCTTTTCATTGTGGCTTCGTCTTGTCAGCGCGCAAAGGCTAGCCTCGCTCTTCCCTGGCGTGTCTCTCGAGGTCTCTCCGCGCTGTCGCGGCTAAAGTTCGGGACGCGCCCAATTATGCCTTTGCGAGACGGCAGGGGCAGTAGGTTAACGTTGCTTTAGTTACGTTGCATGGATTACAGTGTGTGACCGGTCTTTATATAAAGAGAGGGCCTAACGTATCAGAGTTCATTTTTGACTGCACGAGTGGCTTTGATGCCGGCGCGCGAGGCAGTGTCGGTGGCCTGGCCGTACTTGCCTTTCAGCGTGGCTGAAGCCTGGTCGACGACGTTGCCACCCTGACCGACAGCGCCTTTAAGCAGCTCAAGAGCTTCCTTGACCTTGTCCTCCGCGATCTCGACGCCGCCTTGAATGTATTCCTGTACTGAACCGAGCAGACTCTGTAGCGATCCTTGCGTGCTGACGTAGTTTTCGCGCATCTGTGCGAGCAACCTGGTCGTATGTATTAGCATAGAAAGTCTCTCGATGGGCCGTGTGAGACTCACTCGGCACGAGTCGTCGATTGTTGCACAGGTAGACCGTGCTCGCGAAGCCAGCCTCGGATGCGCGCATCAGACCAGCTCAAGTAGGCGTTCGTCTTTGAGGCTGTTGCTGAGTATTGCTTCTGGAACTCTGCAAAGAGCTCGTCCTTTTTCGCTTGGCTATCGCTTTTGATGAAGCCGTGATCGATGAGCCAGGACTTGATGTCGTTGTCAGAGAAGGAAGACTCGATGGCATCTTTGCTCTTGTAGTATGAAGATTCAAGCGTCTTCTCGAGATCATCCCGTCGAGACTTTTCTGCCGTCGTTGAATCGAGGATTTTGTTCTTGACAAGGTAGGCACGGGCCTCGGCGTCGGTCCACGTGTCCCAAATTTTGTCGCTCGAGGTATAATAGGAATCTTTGGCATACTTGATTAGGTCGTCACGCTTGGCCTGGAAGTCAGACTTGATGACGTTGTGCGAGACGAGCCAGTTGCGAAGATACGAGTCATCCCAAGACGAGTAAGGAGCATCGCGCAGCTTGTAGTAGTGATCCTGTGCGAGCTTCTGAAGCTCATCCTTCTGCTTCTGCGAGCCGGACTTGACCAATCCCTTTGACTCTGCCCAACGCTGCAATGACTTTGTATTCCATGAATTCCAGGTGGTGTCCTTGGCGGAGTAGTAGTTCTTCGAAACGAGATCGACCAATTCGTCGCGCGTCTTTGCCGTCTTTGACTTGACGACACCGTGGTTTATGAGCCAAGTCCGGAGCGTGTTGTCAGACCATGTATCGTAGACATTATCTGCGGCGTCATTGTAGGTGTCTGAGACGAGTGAGACCAGCTCGTCACGCTTCTTGGCCGAATTGCTCTTGATGATGCCCTGATCGACAAGGTATGACTTCAATGTGTTGTCGTCCCAGGTAGAGTAGACGTAGTCCTTGGAGGCTGCCTCTGATGTCAGCAGGCTTTCAATACAAGTCAGATTTGACACACCATCGAGCTTCTGGGCGACAAAGTCATATGCCTGAGCCGGTGCATCCGTAGCAGCGTAGTAGGCTGACGAGAGGGTCGCGCTGGCCTCATCGGCGGCCGAATTGACCGACTTGCTGGCTTGTGCGTAAGCACCAGAGCCCGACTTGCTCGCTTGAGAAGCCGCCGATTGTGCTGACTTGCCACCAGTCTGGTAGGCGCTATTGGCGCTCTTTGAGGCGTCAGAGGCATAGTATCCTGCTGCATCGGTGGCTTGACCATATGCCGAGGCACCCGAGGCAGATGCGTCCGACGCGAGCGAAGCTACATTGGCTTGCTGCTGACGAGCGAGCTTGATGAGCTCATCGCGCGTCGAAGAAGGCGAGATGATGCCTTGCTCGAGCAGATAAGCACGCAGCTCCGACTGTTCCGTCAATGAGCTAAGGGCAATATAGGGACGACGAGACTTACATCAGTCCACGAGTCGACGACAGTGTTACCTGTCTTGCCCGTGAGGACTTGTTGCGCCTGCTTGGCGTATTTCTGGAACTGCTGAGCATACGTTGGCTGCGTCGCGTCGTTCCAGGCAGCCTTGACCGAGTCAAGCAGCTGTTCATGGGTCGCCTTTGACTTTGGAGCCAAGTTGTGATCTTGCAGCCATCCCTCGAGGTCGGAGGAAGACCACGATTCGTAGTCGGGGATGTAGCTGCGGCGGATGGTGTCAACGAGTCTCGGGCGGCTGAACGCACGTGTCAGCCATGGCATCTTCATACGACGGCGTGAGAACGCACGAGCTGACTGCGGGCGTAGGCATGATGTTATGAGCAGAAAGGAAGCCCGTGATGTCCGCATCAGACCTGTGAGATGGTCCTGTCAGCCCCTCGAGCATAGTGACGTGTTACGGGTGGGACTGACCAAGAGTCGTATGCGTGGTCGTAGTTCTTCGCGACCAGTGCTCTCATCCCATCGGCATCGAGATTGGCAGGATTGGGAATTTTGTGGTCTTGCAGCCAGGTCGAGAGCTGATCTTGCCCCCAGTCATTGTCTATAGAGCAAAGGTCACGAAAAGCAGCAAATCACGGGTAATGCGGAGCAAAAACGGTGTAGCATCAGTAAGCGCATGCTCGAGCACATAACACGCGATGTATAACTCACAGGCCGGAGCTGCGAGCGCAAAGCACAAGCCGTCAGCATTTTCATAGACAATTTGTTGCGCCGAGGCAGAGACCAAACGTACTTGAGCTGAACCAGCTGGCTTCGACTGCGCCAGTGAGTGCGAGCACCGTTGCGGCGGCACCGAGTGCGCAATAAGAATATCTCATCGTGACGACGTGTGTATGTGTGAAGGGAGTCTTGAGCGGAAATGCGAGAGAGCGAAGTTCGCGAACTTCGTCATTGCATTGCTATGACGATGTGGAGATCTCCATCGAAGCAGCAGATCCGATCGCTGCCACGCGACTGTGCGGAGAGCGAGTTTCCTGGCAGAGCAACTGCGTTCGGCAACTAGCTGTTCGAGCGTCTTGAGCTCGTTTCTTGGTCTGATAGGCTCGACATCGGCAAGTATGTTCGGACGCTCATCCGACATCGTACTAGAGGTTCGTGCGAGCCGGGTCGCCACGCCGACGGAGCTAAGTGCTTGCGTAGGGCTATCTCGACAAGAAGAAACAGAAGCAATACCAAGGCTTCGCCAAACGCTACTTCTGGCTCGACAACAAGGTCGCTGTCTCGCGCACTTGAAGTCAACGCTGGCTCATCGGCCACTGCAGGGCGTGCTCTCGTATGCGGTCAATCCCAATTCGCGCGTTCGAGCGAGTCTCTTTGTCGGTCTTGCATCTATCGTTCGTTCGTCAAAGAACAAGACTATCACTATCGATTCCGGATCGACCATCTTCCATTGCCGTGCACTGAGCGACCAGGACTTCGAAAAATGGACCAAGGCGCTCAGGAGATTCATTGGCACCGCGGACGACAAGCAAGGCGGCGCGGCAGTCGGTGAGGTTGGCTCAGGCGTCGACTCGTCCAAGGTCGACCTCTCTGCTATTTTCGATACTGTCGCCAAAATGAGCTTGGTATGCCGGTTGGCGCGATGAAGTACGAAGCTGAGCATCGAGTGCAGCCCATCAACGAAGTCGGCGACATTGCTCGGCAGCTTCAGTCGGACGACCTCAAGTCTTCGACGAGTGGGAGCGACACTGCTTCATCCAACAAGATTACGCAAATATTCAAGAAAGGTGCGCCTGCTTCCATACAACTGTCGCACCTCTCATAGTCGATTGCAGGCCACAAGGATCACAAGCAGAACGGAGGCGCGAACACCCACGAGCTTGGCAAGCAATTATCTCAAGCATCCGCAACGCTCAAGAATCAGCATACCACCCTCGTCAATACCATCAATGCTGCAGGTCCGTCGTTCCCCAGCAGCGGAGGCGGCAAGGCAGCCTACGGGTCCCGCACGGCCATCGGATTCGACAAGGTCAAGAGCAACGGCAATGACAGTGATGCAGACTCTGATGCGACATATGGCACTGCTCAAGGCGCCGAATTTGATCTAGACGACATTGACGATGATGGCGCCCAATCAGACTATGAGGCTGCTGCTGATGATGACGACGATTCTGGTTCCGACGCCGAGCACGCCGGAAAAGATGAGGCTGAGCACGGCGACGCGGATGACGGCGTCAAACGGAGGAAGCAGCTACCTGCGCCGGTGTCAGGCGACGAGTTCAGCATGTTCTCTATGCTCAAGAAGAACATGGGCAAGGATCTCTCAAAGATCTCCTTCCCAGTGTCCTTCAACGAACCTCTCAGTGCTGTTCAGCGATTGGCAGAGGAGATGGAGTATACCTCACTCATCAAAAAGGCGATTAGCGCCGATGACTCGATAGAGCGGCTTTGCTATATCACCGCTTTCGCCATTTCGCAGTTTGCTGGTCTGCGCTATCGCTCGTCTCGCAAGCCATTGTCAGCTCGTTCCCACTCGTGCTCGATTGAGCTGATTCGTCTCACAGCAATCCACTCGTTGGAGAGACATACGAGCTCGTCAGAAAAGACAAAGACCTTCGATTCATTGGCGAAAAGGTCTCACATCATCCACGTGTGTACTCATCGATGCCTTTCTGCTTTGCTGAAGAGACCACATATGATAGCTATCATGGCATGCGCCGCAGACGGCGAAAAATGGCATTACTTTGCACACTCGGGCGGTAAACAGAAGTTTTGGGGCCGATCGCTCGAATATATCCCGGAAGGACACACAGAGCTCAAATTCAAGGATTCGGAGGACGTCTTTACGTGGAACAAACCCAGCACATTTGTGAAGAACATCATGTCAGGCGAAAAGTATCTTGAGATATCTGGCGAGATGACCGTCAAGAACGAGCACACGGGTGAAAAGGCTGTAGTACAATTCAAAGAAGGCAGCAGCTGGGGAGGCGCAGACAGTCGCAATAAATTTGATGGAAAGATCCATGACAAGAGTGGCAAGACCATCACTGAAGTGTACGCTGCCCGAAGCCCAAACAGCGTCTGCTGATTACCGCTCACAGGACTGGCAAATGGAGCGAAAATGTGACCCAAAAGACGGGCAAAGATAGCTACAAGGAGCTCTGGAAAGCGGCGGACTGGCCGAAAGATGCGACGAAGTATTACGGCTTTTCCACTGTGCGTCGTCTCTGGCAAGTTTGGAATGCCGCTGATGAGCCAAGCAGTTTGCTGTGCAACTCAATGAGGTCACAGACGACATCAAGAAGTCTCTTGCACCAACAGATTCACGACTGAGACCCGATCAGCGTGCAATGGAGGATGGCGACGTTGACAAGGCAGAGGAGACCAAGAAAACGCTCGAGGACAAGCAACGCGAGAAGCGCAAAGAATGGGAATCGAGCAACAGCGGACCCCAGCCGCCACAGTACTTTGAAGAGAAGGACGGCAAATGGCACGCCAAAGAGGGCGAGAGCAGCTACTGGGAGAAGCGAGAGAATGGCAAGTGGGAGGACCTCAAGATCTTCGAAGCATGAACACTACTCTATGGACTTGACCAGTGTAACAATACAACATGAAGATCTAAGTGTCCAGAATGCTCTAGTGGGGCGACGCTGCCCGCGTCTGTGGCCTCGAGCCCTCGTCTAAGCTCTGCCTGAGTGCTGCAACGTCCACGCTCAGCCTGTTACCCCTGGCTGGACTCGCGCTACGGCTGCCATCGACACTTTGCCTCAAGCGAGCGACATCTCGAGGTATTGGCTGCTTCTCTTGTGACTGAGCTGCGGGCGGTGGCATGGTCAAGTCGAAGCTGCCACTCGGTCTGCCTGCGCGTTCGCCTTTTGTGACGGGAACAGTAATGCCCTCTTGAATTGCCCAGAGCTTTCTCTGCTCCTCGCGGAGATGCAACCGAATGGAGTCCTCGCTGCCCATTGCGATGCAGCAAATCACGGGCTAATCGGCCAACATCAGTCCAGCACTGAGATCGACATTTTGCATGCGCTTACGTTCTGCAGGAGACCGAGTGTGAAGCCAAAGATCAGCTTGATGATGGGTGCCGCCCAGGGATACTGGCGACGCATGTTGATGCCGGTACCGCCGTAGAGAGGCGCAATGATGGCAATCGTGATGGGCCACATGAAGGAAAAGTAGATAGCCGAGAGGACGAGGCCTTTGAAGACGCTCAAGAACAAGCGCTGCAGGGTCTCTTTGGGCGAGACCGAGAGATCGAAGACATCGTTGTAGTCGCTGCCCGAGAAAAAGTGAAGACCTCGACCGAGTCCGTGCCTGTTATGGAGCCAGCGTGCGAATCCACCAGGCTGCATGGTGGGCTTGTCAGGTGCTTCGACTTTGTAAGCTCCGAAATCGGGGCATGGCCACGCAGCTACGAAAGGATCGATTGTTCCTTTGCGTAGGTCGACATGCACCATACCGCTTGAGATCACGAATGACAGAACGGTCTGGATGATGACGGTGACGCCGACATCGCCCGCTACGGTGGAATGGCTAAGGTTCCAGATTGTCACTCTCGAGGTGTTATCGTTCGGATCTTGTGTTCTGTACATGGCACACGCGATCCCGAAATTGACCAAGCCGTCGACGATAGCAGCGAAGAGGCCTTGTGGAATGAGAATGTAGAGCCACTGGCGTGTTGTGATGGGCCGTGGCAGATGGAACGGATTCCAGTGCGGTCTCCGGACAGGCGTCGGCCAAGCTTCTTTTTCCGACGACTTCTCCACTTCGCCCAGGTCTGGGTCCGGAAGGACCAGTTCGGTGGTTTCCGCCTGCCGCGGCATAGTCGGAGGGTTTACCGCACTCGCAGAGTCGGTTTTCGGTCTGTTCGGAATCGGTGCAAGCAGACGAGTCTCTGTCACGTGATATATGCCCCAAGGCCCCAACTCCGCTTTTTCGGAGTGGCATTGCAGAGAGATCTGACATTGGGTCCGAGCTCAGCTCACTCGGCTCCGGAGTTGCCTGAGAAGTCACGACCGAAGGACGCTACAGCATCACGAGCAGTGTCCACGCAACCATAGACCAACATGGCAACCTCTGGCGGACCCCCAAAAGCTGCCAAAGATCTCATCGCAAGCGAGGGCATTGACCTTTTCAGACAGGAAGCACACCCGCTCCTCACTATACCCGGGCCTGTAGAGATCGCAGACAAAGTGCTGTTCGCCAATGCTCATAGCAGCGTCGGTCACACGACTGCCGCCTTTATCAACGTCTTCAGAGAGTGCATCGAGCTCACCCAAGCTCTGCTCGGCGCTCATCGTGCTCAGCCCTTCCTCGTGGCCGGTAGCGGAACGCTCGGCTGGGATATGGTCGCTGCCAATCTGATCGAACAGCAAGATAAAGCACTCGTGCTGTCCACTGGATATTTCTCTGACGCTTTTGCCGATGCACTGCGAGCTTATGGCGCCTCAGTCGATGTGCTCGCTACTCCTCTCGGCCATGCACCTGATCAGAGTCAGGTGCGCAAGGCCCTGCGATCGAATTCATACAAGATTTGTACCATCACCCACGTCGATACGTCTACTGGCGTACTGGCAGACATCAAGCAGCTCGCCAAGATCATCAAGACCATCTCGCCTGGTACCCTCGTCATCGTCGATGCTGTCTGCTCTGTGGCAAGCGAGGATATCCAGTTCGATGCATGGGGTCTGGACGTACTTCTCACTTCGAGTCAGAAAGGACTCGGCGTACCGCCCGGACTGAGCATCACTGTGGCTTCTCAGCAAGCTCTGCGCGCACTCGAGGAGCGAAAGACACCAGTGGCTGCCTACTTTGCCGATTGGCAGCGCTGGCTGCCCATCATGCGCGCTTACGCAGAGGGCCGACCGGCTTACTTTTCCACTCCGCCCACGGTCAGTATTGCAGCACCTTTTGGTTTCGATGCTGATACTGCTTCCCGCGCAGAACCTCATCTTTGCTCTACAAGCTTCCCTCAAGACCATCATGACCGAGACGCCTGATCTGGCGACCCGTCTTCGCCTCCATCGCGAGACGAGCTACTTTCTCAAATCCAGTCTGTCCTCGATTGGTCTGAAGCAGATCCCAGCACACTACAGCTGCTCAGCAAACGGAATGACGACGGTCTATCTGCCTGACAAGATCGCGCCTGCCGCTGTCATGGGCGCAATGGCCAAGCGCGGCATCGTCATCGCTGGCGGGCTGCACAAGGATGTCAAAGATCGTTATATCCGTATCGGCCATATGAATCTGACTGCTATCGATAACGAGCGTCAAGACATCGCCAGAGTCTTCGAAGCGCTCAAGTCGACTTTGGCAGAGCTGGGCTATACGCCTGCAGCCGTTCCAAAGTCCACTCAGACGTCACAATTCTCTCCCTCGCAAGCATCTGTATCCGCAAAATCACGTCTCTGAACGCACGACACCTCGCATTGTACTGCATCATTAGTAGAGCATGTCATGCAACGTCTGTTTCCTACAACATCAATGAAAGTGCAAAGCAGGTCATGAGCAATGTGAGACTTGCTGCGAGGTTCGGAGAGGATGATCGTTTGGCAAGCAAGACGTTGACATCTAACGAGTTGCAGTACACATTGCCGTATCTATCGTCAGCTTGCATGAGAGTCGACCGTGCATCGCCACCGGCTCGTTGAGGAGCGGGCAGAGCTTGCATGGCGCCATAGCTCCCTTCGGCGGTAATGCCGGGTAATGGACATGTCCAACCAAAGAGCGGAAACGGGCAGCTGGCTTGCACTAGCTCACAGACCGACAGACAGGGTAAGACCTCGCCATAAGGAAAAGGCTGAACGAGATCGAATCCTTGCAGCGTATCGTTCGTATCCGTAAGATTGGCCAAAGCTGCTGCAGACAGGAATGGCGTTCTGGAGATCGTCGGGGTAGTCCTGATGATGTAGGGCTGCGCCGTCTCGGGTATTGGCGCATCACTGTATGTCACGCCATCGACATAGCTTGTCTGAAACGTGATCTGACCGATCTGACCCTCGCTCGTATTGCTCACAGCCTGGGGTAAGAGGTCGGCAGGGATATCTGTGCATCGGGGCATCGTCGTACTGCAGAGCCAATTTCGATAGGCGAGCAAGCAATCGTCGCAATTCCGCACGAAAGAGTACATGCCTTGCGAGCTGATGTTGCAAGAGAAGGTGCTCAAGGTCGATTGGAAGCCCGCCAGGGAGGCATTGAGATTGCTCTCGTAGATTGTGAGCAGGTCCGAGGTCGGTAGCGTCGGAGGTGCCGGCACAGCATATGCCACAGCGGGACAGAACGGAGGACTGTCCACCAAGCGACAGTTGTTTCCTGCGCATAGCTCAGCATGAACTGCATCTCGATGAGATGACGATACCTTGCTTGGTCTGGAAATACTGAGTCTGGAACAGTCTGACGCCTGAAGTACCGTTGACAACCTGATCTGTCGATTGCAGTCCGACAATGGTGTAATTGGTTTCCGGCGCAAGGCCAGCAAGATTATACTGCGTCTTTGTGCCGTCCGTCCGAAGATTGAGCCCTTGAGCGCCTTCTCTGGCCGTCATCGTGACCACACCGCGCGTCGTACTCCCCAGAGAGACTTGGATGTCGCTCGCATTATTCACAGAAGCAGCTACAGATCGAAGATAGCATGCCGAATGTGCCAATGCTGGGTTGGGTGCTTGTGTGCTTGGCAAGAGGATAAGCTCATAGCTTGGCGTACCATCTGTCGAGGGGTAATAAGTTGGCGTCGTCATGATTGCACTGACATTGTCTGAGTCGGCATACTGGAAAGCTGCATAGCGATCGAGTAGATGCAAGGGCTCGCTGGTCGATACGCCTAGCTCGAAGCCCCAGCTCGTCGTAGTCGTGTCATTCACATAAGGCGCGTTCACAGTCAGCCACAAGCCAACATTGTTCGTGCCCGGCTGAACCACAGTCATGTTCGCAAAGCCAAGCGGTGCAGCGGAGACGACGCCTCGACCGTCTTCGGCTTGCTGGGCTGCAGCGGTCATTTGCGTTGCAGCAACGAGAACAGATGACGTTGCGAGTATGCCCGTGAGGTTGTATGCAGAGGTCATCACTGCTGCCGGAGCGCGACATATACTCAGCGTCACAAAGTAAGGCAACTTGGCAGAGCTCGTGCTGGGCTGATCGGCCACGGCCGGCACGTAAAAGTAAGCTGCATCGCCCGAGCTGACATTGAATTTTGTGAGCGATGGCAGATCGATTGAAAGCGTGCTGGTTTGCGCATGTGCATGATTAAGGTATGCGACTATCAGTGCAGCGTATATGAGCAATCTCCGTCTCCCTCGCCGGCGCTGCATCGAATCAACGACACGCTGCCAAGCGCTGAGCAGTCGCCTAATCGCGTACCATCTTGATGGTTTCAAATTATTCATCTGACGCTGTTGCTGCGACCCGAGCGAGACGGCCCTCGCAGCTCAGGATCAAGCAAGATGGCATACCCAGGGCAGCAGTATCAGCAGCAGCATCACAACGGTGGCTACCAGCAGCAGCAAGGAGGTTATGGCCAACAGCAAGGCTATGGCAACGGCTTCCCGCAGCCTCAGTACAACGTCGGCTCGGGAGGCTACGCACCACCCCAGCAGAGCTATGGCGGTCCACCGCCTCAGCAATATGGCCAGCAAGGGGGCGGACAGTATCCCACCGCTCCGCCGCAGTATGCACACATGCCAATGCATCAAGCTCCTCAAAATCAACCTGGTCCTCAGCAAGGTCGACCCTACTTTCAGTATTCCAATTGTAGTGGAAAGCGCAAGGGACTGCTCATAGGTCAGCATTGAGCGCAGCGATGTGATGTCAATCAGACAGAGATGCAGGCATCAACTACACTGGCAGTTCCAATGCGCTCAGAGGCTGCCACAACGATGCTCGCGTACGCCAATCTCCTGCTAGCTCTCAGACTGAGCTGAGGCATAGGGTCATAAGAACCTGCATCAGTTCCTCGTGTCCCGCTATAACTTCAATCCGTCGGTCATTCGCGCCTTGTGCTGACGCTAGCTCAGGACGAGATGGTCTGGCAGTGATGACATGGTCCTCATGCTCGACGATCCATCAATGCCCTATCAAGCTCAGCCGACGCGACAAAACATCATCCGCGCTATGCAGTGGCTTGTCAAAGATGCCCAGCCAAACGACTCTGTGCGCCGACCCCAGACTGTTCTGAGGGTCCTCATACTGACGAACGGCGCAGCTATTTTTCCACTACAGCGGGCACGGTGGCCAGACTGAGGATCTCGACGGCGATGAGGACGACGGGCGAGTGTACACCATTGCGTGCATAGGGTGTGCTGAGGTGTTACGCAGCTATGACGAGGTTATCTATCCGGTCGACTTCAAGCAGACTAGCCATATCGTCGACGACGACATGCATATGATAATGGTCCGCCCGCTGCCGCCCGGCTGTCGTCTCACCGCCATCTTCGACTCGTGTCACTCGGCCAGTGCGCTAGATCTGCCCTACATCTACTCTACACAAGGTCCGCATGCGTCGCGATCGCTCGTGGTGCAAGGCTAAACGAAGATCGTTGACGGACAGGCAAGATCAAGGAGCCGAATCTCTTGGCCGACGCCGGGCAAGGCGCAATGGTGAGGCTCGTATACGACTCCGTATTGGCAGAACTGACAGTGTCATAGTCGGCCGTGGGGAGCTACATGCGAGGTGATATGATCGGCGCAGTAACATCCATTGTCGGATTCGGCAAGCGGGCTATGAAGGGCAACTCGGCAGAAGAGCTCACCCGCAAGACCCGCACCGCTCCTTGCGATGCTATTTCCTGGTCGTACGTCCTGCTCTGATACGATCGAGACATGCCTCTCACGTCCGCAATGACAGAGGCTGCAAGGATTCCCAAACAAGCGCAGACGCGTCAGTCGCTGGCAACGCTACAGGAGCTATGAGCTACGCCTTCGTTGCTGCGCTCAGTGCGTCACTGCTACCTTGTCGCGCCTAGAGCTGACACCGCGCGCAGGCAAGTATCCCCAGCAGACCTATCTGCAGCTTCTCAATTCGATTAGAGACGAGCTTCGCGGCAAATGTGAGTCACTGCGCCCTTTTTCGCCCACAGACGAGCTGACATGCGTGCAGACGAACAAAAGTGCGGCACGTCTGGTTGCGTTTGGCTTTACTGACATGCGCTGCAGACCTCAATTGAGCTCTTCGCACGAGATGGACGTCAATCTCATGTTCATCATCTGATCTGTGAGTTGGCACGGCCAATCTCGCTGGTTGCTGGCCTCATCTCTCAGCTCATCACAATGACACAAACAGCCCACCCATCATCTCATATCTCTGCCTAGACATGCTTGTACTCGATCTGACTTTGCCCGCTAGTCGCGCTGGCTTTCGTCGCGTACATTGAATGACTAGCTTGCGCCCGGAGGTCCTTGGTCGTGCGACCTGAGATGTATCTCGTCCCCACCGTCATCGGTTGAACATCAGACATCAGACCGTCGGCGAGAAGCTCGAGCACGCCGGGCACGCTAGCTCAAGATGCCGCCCTCCGACATGCGCGGTCTCACGCAGGTCAGCAAGCTACGAGCAGGCTGCGACTGGGCTCATGACTGCGTTCGACAGTACATTGCCGACTTACGAGCTTGTCGAGTTCGTGAGCTCGAAGAGAAGCGGGTCAACAAGGAGATGGCACACATCCGGCAAAAGTTCAAAGGCGAGCTCGTCATGGGTCGTAGAGCCATACGGTCTCACGCGAGATGCAGAGGGCAATCTGGATGGCTACTCACGCAAGAAGTACCTCAGCAAGCTCATCTTCACGTACATACTCGGCTGGCCCGTCGATATTGGTCACATGGAGGCCATCAACCTCATCTCGTCTGCCAAATACAGCGAGAAACAGATTGTGCGTCCGAACGACACAGCTGATGTGGTTCTGACGAGGCATGTAGGGATACTTGGCGCTCACGCTACTCATGCACGGCGACTCTGATCTGGCTCGGCTGGTCATCAATTCGATACGCAAAGATCTGGATGACAATAATGAGATCTGCAATTGTTTAGCTTTGCAGGCTATAGCCAACGTAGGCGGAAAGGAGATGGCAGAATCCCTCGCAGAAGACGTGCACAGGTTACTGATTAGCCCGTGCGTACTTCATCCGTCCCTTGCCGCGCCATCAGCTGAGCAGGCGCAGAACATCGCAACCATTCGTGAAGAAGAAAGCTGCTCTGACCTTACTGCGACTGTATCGGAAGTATCCAGAAGTCATTCTTGCATCTACTTGGGCATTGCGTATCGTGTCCATCATGGACGACGAGGATCTGGCAAGTCCTCAACCTCATGCGAACATGCAATCCTGAAGGTCGCGCGCAGGGTGTTGCTGTCTCTGCGACAAGCCTGGTCATGACACTCGCACAAGATAATCTCGAAGCTTTCGCAATATGCTACCAAAAGGCAGTGGGCAGGCTACACAAGGCTCGCGATTCACCCCACAGCCCGCGGACGCGCTGACTGTGCTCTGCTTGACAGATCGTCATTCAGAAGGACTACTCTTCCGACTATCTGTATTACAAAGTGCCAATACCCTGGTTACAAGTCAAACTCCTACGTCTGCTGCAATACTACCCACCAACCGGTGCGCTGACATCTCAAATGAGCCGTTCGAGGCTCATCATGCGGGCTGGGGCACAGATGATCCGAATCTGCAGGCTAGCATACAAGCTGTCCTGCAGACTATCATCGATGACTCGCAGGAGACTCCCAAGAATGTGCAGCACAACAATGCTCAGAATGCCGTGCTCTTCGAGGCTATCAACCTGGCCATCCACCTTGATAGCGAGTCAAGCATCGTCAATGATGCTTCAGTCCTGCTTGGCAAATTCATATTAAGCAAGGAGACCAATGTTCGCTACCTTGGTCTCGATACAATGGCGCACCTCGCCGCACGCTCGGAATCACTATCCGCGCTCAAAAAGCACCAAGATACAGTCATACTCAGCTTGCGCGACAAGGACATCAGCGTCCGGCGGAGGGGCCTTGATCTGCTCTATAGTATGTGCGATACAACAAACTCGAAAATCATCGTTGGCGAGCTGCTGCGGTATCTACACGTCGCTGATTATGCCCTTCGCGAAGAATTAGTACTCAAGATCGCTATCCTGACCGAGAAGTTTGCTACCGAATATGTTTGGTACATCGATACGATACTTAGGCTCATGGCGATTGCTGGAGATCATGTCGGCGACGAAGTGTGGTATCGTGTAGTCCAGATCGTCACCAACACAGAAGAACTTCAGCAGTACGCCGCCGGCAGAGTCTTTGAGCATCTTCGAAGTCCGACATGTCACGAGAATCTCGTCAAAGTGGGCGCCTATGTTTTGGGCGAGTATGGACATTTGATAGCAGACGAGGAGGGGCACTCACCCATCGAGCAATTCCAAGTCGTCTATTCAAAGTCAACAGTTTGCTCTTCGCCAACGCGTGCACTGCTCCTTACAACGTACTGCAAATGGCTCAACCTGTTTCCAGAGATCAGAAGCCAGCTCGTCGCCGTACTCGAGAAGTATACGCATGTGCTCGACGCGGAGCTGCAACAACGCGCTTGCGAATACTTAGTCGTCTCGAAGAACGAAGAACTTCTTGCTCTACTCTGCGACGAGATGCCACCTTTCCCAGAGCGAGAGAGTGCCCTCATGAATCGTATCTTAGCAAAGGGAGGTGATGCGAGCGATCGACGGACATGGCATATAGGTAGCAAGGACATCAACCAGACAAAGGATGAAGAGCGATATCAAGGCTTGACGACGAGACGCAAGACCATTGATGGCGCCGCAAGTACTGCCAACGGAGCAACAGCCGCAGTCGCAGCAACGAGCGTTGACGACACGATGGCAGGGTTGGCTGGCCTCGACTTGACTCAGCCTTCTTCGACTACAAACGGCGAGACGCCGAGAGTGGAAGCTGTGCCGCTCGTCACGAAGCACGCCGACATCAATGGCAATGGCGCGTCAAATCCGTCTGCGATTCAGCCGCCAGTAAGGGCAAAGACGATGGCCATCGAAGGCGAGGACAATTATGCGCATGGCAGTGCAAAGGCATTTGAGCGTTTGACATACTCACCAGAGGGCATTCTGTACGATGATGGACAACTACAGGTCGGCATCAAGACCGAATATCATGCCAGTCAAGGCAGGATAGCACTTTACTTTGGCAATCGCATCACGGCTGCCTTTACCTCGTTCACCGTCGCGATTGACAATCAGCAGCCCGAAGCACTCGGGCTGACCATTCCGAAGATGCCGGCCAGCGTGCTTGAGGGCATGACGCAAGTTCAGCATGTGATCCAAATCGAATGCAAAGCCGTCTTCACTAAAGCGCCCCTCCTGCGCATCTCATACCTCGCAGGGTCGCTACAGACACTGACATTGCGCATACCGCTTGTGCTCAGCAAGTTCATTGAACCCGTCGAACTTGCGAGTACGCAGTTCTTTGACCGTTGGCGGCAGATCGGCGCCGCTCCCTTGGAAGCACAGAGAATCTTCAGCTTCAAAACTGATAGCAAAGGCAAGGCGGACGTTGCTAGGAATCGAAAAGTCGTGGGCGGCAACCGCTTCGGCTTGCTCAATGGTATCGATCCGAATCCAAGCAATCTTGTGGGCGCAGGTGTTCTGCATTGTGGGACGGTCGGGAAAGTAGGCTGCTTGCTTCGCCTCGAGCCCAATCAAGAGTCCAAGGTGCGCCTGTGCCGATATTCAGAACTGAAGTGTGAGCTGACCTCAACATCTTGACGCAGCTCTGTCGCATCACTATCCGCACGACCAACGCAGAAGTCTCATCAGAGCTGCTCGAGATCATCTGCACACCGCTTCAAAATCCATCTCCATCGAGGACGTCGACCGCTTGAACAATTGTTCATCTGATGTATTGAAAGTACAAAGACAACATGCACATGAAACTTGCAGCGTCGCGTCTATAGTGATCCTCAAGAAGGTAGCCAGGTGACATTCTTCATCAGGTCGAAGCTTTCGTACGGGACCGAGCCAGACGTCAATTTGGGCACGAATCTCTGGGCCTCTGACCACCGCTGAAAGACTCTCCGCCAATAGCAATCGTTCGCAGCAGGCGAGAGATATCGCCGAAAGACTGCGTGCAGCTTCAGCACCACGTGGGCTTTGAGACGAAGGCGACGCACGTGTGTACGACCGATGAGCGATTTCCTCCGTCGTTCTGTCGTCTGCGATAAGCATCTGCATACGATCCGGTAGCGCGGTCCAGTCGCTGCCTTCGATCTCGATAACGTTTTGCGAAGGAGAGCCAGGCGATGACTGTGCGTTCAGTCAACACATACATAGTCTTGAGCAGCTGCTACGAACATCTAGTAGCGGATGGAAATGCTGTATCTATTGACCTCGGACGCTCAGCACACGTGGCATAGCTGGACTGAGGCAGGCCCACAAAGTCGAGCTTGCGCATGATAGAGACCGATCGACAGAGCAACAAATACCTGTCTAGCATGGTCAGCAGCTCATCTTTCCGCAAGCTCGGTCTTCGCACTTCAGTCTGCCTGAACGTGAGCATACGAGTCTGTGACGAAAGACGAAACTCACCTGCCACTGTACGCCTTCAACCTGCAGACGGAGCTTGTCAGCCAAACAGACAATGCCGGCAATGGACACGCACCCCTCTGTGTGTATTAGATAGCGATGTGCGCAAGTTTGCTTGGGATTGAGGATGCCTTTGGGGCCCTTCAGCCAGTCGACGATAGCGATATCCGCCCAACCATATGGCCGCGAGTTGTTTACCAAGCTCTGCCGATCTCTGAGACCCAGAGAAGCGCCTCGCCAGAAAGCGGTTGGCTTCTTGTGCTTCCATGACGCATGCGTCTCACTTTCGAGCGTCTGGTCGTAGTCGTGAATGTACGAGCCGACGCGTATCGCTTCCGGCCAGCCGTAGAAGCCAAAGTCGGGCATGAGCCACAGTAACTCTTCCGATGGGCGACGCCCAAGTACTAGCATCGGTACGCCTGGCTTGCTGTTGCCAGTGTCATCCAGATGCAGTAAGAGTTCCACATCAGGTATTGGCTCGACTGAACTCAGTATCGCCTCATCTGCAGGATCGGCATGAGGAGACACCAGAGAAGCTATCTGATCTACGCACGAATCAATGCGATCGCAGCTTCGACTCGCGTTGTAGTGACCGGTCTGAAGTGCTTGATATACAGCTGCATACATACATCAGCCTTGTGTTCGCACGTTTGTCGCGCGATGTATACTCTGTTTCGCTTGATGAGGATGCGTGCGTGGGAGGCGACCGTGCCACGATCGATTTGAGAACGATGTATACCGCCCCGGGCGTTCCACCAAGAAGCAGCGCGATCCGCTTCGTGAAACAGGCCCGGGAAGAACTCGTCGCATTGCGCGCTGGTCAAATGCCGATCGAACGCAAAGTCGTAGAAGCGTTCCTCATCGTCTTCGTCGTCGCTGCGTGCTTGTACGATGACTTTTTGTAGATGTGAAGGAGGACTGGCGCTCGCGATCGAATAATCTCGCATGTCCTCATTAGTGAGCCGGCTTGCAAAGACGACGCCGGGATCTCGATCGCTCGTGTACACTATCTCCGCTGGCTGCCAACTGTCCTGCGCAAACTCTGCGCAAGGCCCGGCGCATTGGATGGTCTTGCGGTCCAGGTTGACGGTCTGCAAATTGCAGACTGAAGGAGACTCGAACAGGCCAAAGCTGATATTGCTATGTCGGGCGGCAGGTTGAGCACAGTAGTCTGTCCTGCTGATTCCATCTCTGAGGTGAGGACTGCGTATGCCAGTCGAAGGCAACAGACGCTGGTGTCTCCTGCTGGCTCGCAGCGCACTATGTCGGTAGCGCTTATAGGGTGCCTCGAGTGGAATGGCAACGAGGCCAATAAAGACTAGCACAGCCACTCCTGCAGCGACTCTGTGGGCCGGACTTGACCTGCTTGTCAAGCTGACCATCCTCGAGCGAGCTGCTGGGATACCGAGGACGAGAGCGATAGTGTCGCAGCCAGGAGCATGGCGTTTCGGCTCGGCCTCGACTCGAAAAGTGGTCCGTGCTTTCGCTCTTAATGCATTCTGAGCGAGCCTACAGCTATCTGCTCGTCTTCTCGACGGATAAGCCGGTTCAGCGGTCGCCATGGCTCAGTGCCTGGCACGAAACGGGCTCGGGCAAGTCGAAAGGACCAGTAGCCAAGTCGCTCAAAAAACATCGAGATCGCCATGATGTAGCATGCTCGAAAAGCTTGCCACTTATGCATCTGAATGCCGTAGTCCTGTGCGTCGAACAAACAAGGATGCCGGTCTTGCAGTGTCGCGCGTTCCTCCGTGCTGAGAAAGCTTTGATACCAGTGCGCCTGCTGTCGCCGGAGTGCGCTGACGCACCCCGCCATGAAGCCAGTCGGCTGTGACCTGAAGAGCGATGAGAAGGCTCCAATGTTGTTGCAGTCCCATCGGCGTTCGGCCTGTGACCCCACGAGGACAGCCGCTTCCGCATTCAGTGCGAATAAGATGTCAATGAAAGCCAGTGGCGAATGGCAATTGATTTTCGTCTGGACGACGGCTTGACCGTCTCTCGGAGAAGTGCAAGCATAATTTGGCTTCACATCTGGATCTGCAAGCTGCAGAGCGAGCTCGACAGGCGGTGCAAGATCCAGTCGCTTTACGGACTCAATGATACAGTCCCTTGCCATGAGGTCGAGCGATGTGGCAGACTGCCAGAAGACGTTTGCAGCCTTGCCGCCTTCTTGAGCTCCGGTGATCTGTCGATCGACCGCTTCCGCATGTGGCTCAGGGCGCGGATAGACATAGAGCTTCTTGCTGAAATGCAGTTTTGCAGCTTGCCAGGAGATTCGCGGTGTGGTGAGCAACAGATCGAGCGGTGCGGAGATGATCGCTCGCGAGAGGCTGGAGACGGTGAGCGGCAAGCCTTGACCTTTGAGCGAGGCATACAGCTTCTTCTGTTTGTCTGCGGTGAGCAAGACGAGCCTGATATCGTAATCTGCTTCATCCGGTAGAGCCGTAGCCAGACTGATGCTGTTGCGACATGCAAGCGGATCGCGAACGCTGCAGCGATAGTAGCCCGATCGATCATTGAATGGCGATACAAAGAAGGCACGAGGAAACGTCCACTGATGCTCGTATCTGCCAAGCGCGTCAAATTGATACTCAGACGGCCAAGCTTGACGTACCCTCTGCTTATCTGAACATCCTCTTCGACACCGATCCTGAGCACGTAGAGATGCCGTTCGCCAAAAGTGTTATGTACTTCCAGCACAACAACCGCGAGCTCTTCGGGCTTTGCCGGATCGCAGGAGCGACGATAGCAGTAGTAGGTCGTCAAGGGATTGATATCGTCCAATGCTAAAAAAGAAGGCATTGTGACCATATAGATCACTTCCAATTCGCTCGTCACTACATCGTGCGTAGCTAGTTCGTCCAGCAAGCGCGCTTTGATGCCTTGCTCAGCATCCGCCCTGCTATCCTGCAGCGAGCGCAAGTAGCCAGATGGCTTGAGCTTTGTCAATGCAAAGCCAGTCTTCTCGCCCCATCTGAATAAGCGAGGCTCGAGATCCAATTCGCCCGACTCGAGCGCATCGAGATCGAGGCCAAGATACGTGATCGTGTAAGAGAACTGATGAGTCGATGGCCTGGGAAGGAAGCGCGCGTGTGCCGTCTTGCATTTGAGTACATGCGCCTTTGTTCTCGCTGGCTTATCGTTGCTCGAACGAGTCACGTCGTACAATTTGAGACTGACGAGCAGCAGCAAGGGTGGCAGGAGGATGTCGAGCCAAGTGAAGCTGCTCGCGAGTGGTAAGAGCGGCGCCAAAATTGCGCCGTCTAACGATGCGTTCATCGAGCTTGCTGTGCTGTCATTGCTCTTCTTTGCGACGGTGCCTTGTGCTGACGACGAGTGACAAGTTGCGGGCACGTGACCGATGTCAAAGTGCCGCGTCGCCCTGCGAGCGGTCGCAGCGGCGAGAAGGAGATGCGAGCGCGGGCGCTGCTCGGCGTGCTAATAGTAGCGAGAGTCGTAGCAGAGCATGGTGACACGGTCGCCCATCGACAAAATGTGTCTTCCTTGCCGCGCTTCGACAGAGCGAGATATCAGATCCTTCTGGGCAGCACGGCTGGCCGAGTCAGGGATAACCTTCTATCTGCGCTCGGTATAGCCAATGCAACATCACCAGAGGACCTCAATCTTATTGCAGTGGCTAATGCGAGTGCGTCAGATCGGCGTCAAGCCGCTACTGGCTCTGTCGCGCTGGAAGCAAGCGCGAGCTCAGTGACAGATCTAGGCGATTTGTTACCCACCGAGAGCCTCGATGGACGTGTGGCAGTCAAAGCAGCACACTCGAGCTCACATCAGATAGTTCTCTCGCAGCCCAAGAAGACTGCGAATCCAAGTGCCAGAAAGGCAGATAGAAAAGCGCAGCCCGTCACTGTTACGCGTACCTCCACGAGCACTCTCCATTCGACGAGTACCATCACTATACATGTCACAAGCACAAAGACCAAACATAAGCACAAGCACGCTACCACAGCAACTTCATCGAGCAAGCAGACCCCATCCGCAACGTCGCGTCCTGCTTCTTGCCACAAACTCTTGTCTGCCACTAGTACTGTCTATGGCACGGGTGATCTGCCAAAGCCAACGAGCTTTGTCCAGAAAGAACAAGACTCTAGCCGGCTAACGCTCGACGGCAATACCTACCGTATGATGGGAGCAAGTGCGTGAAAACAGCCGGCACACGCAGTTCAGTGTTGATGTGCTTTGCAGATATATACTGGCTAGGACTCGAAGAGAACGTTCAGCCATCGCCTTCTTATCCTGATCGATCAAGGGTGCTCCAAGCCATGGCCATCATGGTCGCTATGGGCGGCAACACCATTCGCGCAGCGACGTTGGGAATCTCGTCCGGTCACCCGCTGACCGCACAGCCCGAAATGGGCTCATGGAATGAGGACGCCTACGAAGCCATCGACTATGCCATATATGCTGCTGGCCAGTACGGCATCAGACTTGTCATCCCTCTCACGGACAACTACCAATACTATCATGGAGGCAAATATGACTTTATAGATTGGGAGACTGGCAGCACGAGCAATAGCTGGGCTTTTTATACGGATAGCAGCGTCATAGCTGCATATAAAGCCTGGATCAAGGAGCATCTGCACCACGTCAACCGCTACACAGGCGTCGCGCTCAAGGACGATCCGGCAATCCTGGCTTGGGAGACGGGGTACGTCCGGACGCGTACCGCGCAGCATGGGCTGACAGATGCTTGCGATAAACAGGAACGAGCTGGGAGCATATATGAATGCGCAAGGCGCTCCACCGGCAGCATGGACACAAGCGATTGCGCGATATATCAAGAGCATCGATAAGCACCACCTTGTCATCGATGGCAGTGACGGTCTTGTCAATGCAGACGGCAGCAGCATACCAGGTCTAAGTATCTCAGAGATCGACATTGTGTACGTTCGAACCTCAGCGCTTAAACGTGGCTGACGTGTCGCGCAGGTCGGATCATTTGTATCCGCTCAATGTCAATCTGTTTGAAACGGATGTAGCTGCCGCAGTCACAGCGCAGAAAGCGATGCTTTTCGGCGAATACGATTGGACCGGACAACACGGCGGCGATGATCTAGGCAGCTTTATCGACGCAATCGAAGCCAAGAAATACTCGAGCGAGCTCATGTGGAGCATCTTTGGCTTCGACGGTCAATGCTGCAATTACGTTAGGCATGGCGACAATTATTCGCTTTACTAGTGAGCACTGCTCTGTCCGACCTTCGCAAAGCTAACGCGCAGCAAGCCCGAACGGCGGCGACGGTGACATGCAGGCGCGCGCACTTCAGCTTTCTCAGCACTGGTCAAAGCAAGTTCCTTTTGCACATGATCCGTCTCTCTCAAACTAATGTATCTGTTGTCAGGATGACCGGCCGGCCGATCCCAGAAAGTCTTGTCGCAGCCGCCTGCCCTCAGCCAGACTTGCCTGGAACCTAGACATCAGGTTTCTCGTGTTTGTTGTATGTGTGCATTAGGAGTTCATACATCATGTTCTGTCTTCAATGTCCATAGAAAGCTTGTTCAAGCCTCGTATAGTACGGCCGCTTTCAGCTCAGGCGGATCGTCGCCAGTCTCTTCGGCATACCGCTCAGATTCGCGGTTCTTGTGCTGCCAGCCCGCGACGAGGATATTGCTGTTGGGACCGAGCTTTTGTGGCGAAAAGGATTGTGTTGCTCGCACAGCATGAATGGCAAGATCGTAACGACCCACACCGTTGACGCGCAGCATTGAGAATGGACTCGTTGTCGTGCCCTTTTCCATATATCCGAGTACGGTGAAGCGTGAGTGATGGGGTGAAGAGGATCGACCTGAGATGAGTGCTCTGACTGCGTTGGGATAGCCGTGGAATGAAACGATGACAGGCTTGTCTGCTGTGAAGATAGACTCGAATGCGTGCTGATCTAGCGCATGTGGGTGCTCGCCAGGTTCGGCCAGAACGAGCAAGTCGACGACATTGACGACTCGTACACGGATCTCTGGCGCTTCCTTCTTGAGTAGAGTGACAGCGGCGACGACCTCTGTTGTGACCTCGACGCCGATACCACACAAGACAACATCGGGATCCTTGCCGTCGTCTGTGGAGTGCTTGCCCCATACAGAGATACCGGCGACGCAGTGCTTCTCGGTCTCTTCGATCGTCAGGAAGTTATGCCCGGGTGTTTTGGAGCCTACGATCAGATTCACATAGTTCTTCGAGCGAAGGCAGTGATTGATGACAGAGACGGCAGAATTGCCGTCAGGTGGCAGGTAGACCCGGGCGATTGCCTGTGGCAGGTCGAGGAATACATCGATCAAGCCTGGCTGCTGATGCGAGTAGCCGTTGTGCTCCTGACGCCAGAGTGTCGATGTCTCGATGTAATTGAGCGAAGCATTCGGGGAGCGCCAGCCGGATTCTTGAGCGACTTTGATGAACTTGACGTATTGAATGAGCATTGTATCGATGATCATCAAGAATGCCTCATAGGAAGGGAACAAACCAGTTCGGCCTGTGAGAGTGTAGCCTGGGAATGAGACGCAGTCAGCGAGATGCCAAATCAGTAAGCTCACTGCACATACCTTGACAGAAAGCCTGCAGCATGTTCTCGCTGAGCACCTCGATGACGCGACCGCCTCGGTTGGCTGTCTCGGGGTCCCACTGCATGTTCCGATTCGTCTTTTCGAGCACCGAGTTGAGTTTATTGGAAGCCAGCTCATCAGGCGAGAAGATTCGGAAGTCTTTCGGGTTCTTCTCGATAACGACCTCCAAATATTTCGCAATGGCTTTCATTGGGCTGATTTCTTCGCTAAGCTTGTCGCTTGCAAATGCTTTCCAATCAGCTGGCAAATCGAGCGGCCTGTAGTTGTTCCATGCGTCTTTGATGAGGCCCAAGCGACGTCCTTCGTCCTTCGGCACAAGCTCGAGCACCTCGGGCCGGATGATGTTGGATTTTGATTCGTCAAATAAGGATTCGGGGTGATAGCTCGATAGCCATTTCTTCAGCATCTCAAATTGCTAAACCGACGACAGATCAGCACTAGCAAGTCTCAAGCAAGGGAGCTGACCTCGTCATCGCTTGCGCACTTGGGCAGAGGGATCTGGTGTGACCTGAACGAGTTGACCATTGGCATACCATCGACCTTGAGTGGGCCTGTCCAGCCTTTGGGGGAGCGCAAGACGATCATGGGCCATCGCGGCTTTGTCATAGGCTTGCCCGAGCGAGCAGCCGTCTGGATCTTCTTGATCTCGGCGTAACACCATTGCATAGCAGCCCACATGTCGACTTGAATCTTGATATCACTCTGACGGCCGGGATTGGTGACATCTTCGTATTCAACGATAGCACACTGATATCCGTAGCCTGTGAAAAGCGCAAGAACTTCGTTGTCGTCCATCGTGCCAAAGAGCGTGCGCTCAGAGATCTTGAAGCCGTTGACGTGTAGGATCGGGATGACAGCTCCAGACTCGGCGGGATCGATGAATTTGTGGCAATGCCAGCTCGTCGCGGTGGTAGCAGTCTCTGCCTCGCCATCGCCTACAACTACGACGGAAATGAGGTCAGGGTTATCCATGACGGAGCCATATGCGACTCCAAGCGCATAGCCTAGCTCGCCACCTTCGTGAATAGCGCCAGGTGTGTCAGCGTTAACGTGCGAAGGTATGCCACCTGGCCAGCTGAATGCACGAATGAAGGTGTTGAAGCCCGTCTTGTCAAGCGAATATTGCGGATAGAAACGTGTCATGCTGCCTTCGAGGTAAACGCCAGCCAGAATTGCCGGTGCGCCTGATCATGATGAATGAGGTCCGTGACGAGCACACGAAGAAGCGACTGACCATGTCCCGGGCCGGTTATCATGAGGAAGCGCGAATCTTGCTCTTTCTGTATGAGCAGATTGGTGTGCGCCCAGACGAGTGCGAGGCCTGGGCATGTGCCAAAATCTGACTTGTCTGATCAGTACGAGCCAAGCGGTCATGTAAACTCGCGCACGTCCGAGCAAGCGACGCTTGACATCCCTCTTTTCGAGGGTAGACGGATCGACAGCCGAACGATTGAGAAAGATCTGCTCAAGCATTTGAGCTCAACTAAAGATAATCCAGGCTGTATCTTGCCTGCGAGACAGCCATGAAGTTGCATGCCCGCTGAAAGGTCTCTGCAGGCACATATGGTAAGCTCTGCGGGCGTAGCAAGATGGGGGCAGCGTACCGAGGCTCTCGAGCTCTTTCTCAGTGGGTCCAAGCTTCTGCGTGTCGAGCTTGATGCCGAGAATAGACTTGAGATCTGGAAGGGAGGATGACTTTGGCTCTGTTGAGCCTTCTGCGTGGCCCATCTTGATATCTTGCTATCGACTTCGGAGGCCTCGGCGATACAGCTGGAGAGACGCGACCCACAAGTACGTCATGGCCATGACACACACGCGCGCAGTGATGCTGCCTACACACAGTCAAGCCTATATCCCCATCGTGTTTCTCTTTCGCCACAAACCTGATGCTCTTGGCTGACACACCACGCCGAATGCCGCTCAAACAAAGCTTTGCCTGCACCTCGCATTGACTCCTGTTCATTCGTCGTCGTCCAAAGGATGCGCTGTCGTGATCTTGTCCTGCTCGGCCTATGCGGACGTGCAGTAGCACGAGCAGTCGCACATACCGGCAAGAGCTTCCAAGCGCTTAACATTGTCGTGCCCGAAAGGGGAGATTACTATGTGAACCAAGCTTTGCAAGGCAAGCGATAGTCCTCGCCGCAGCCAGCATTGAAAGCTGAAGTGTCGCAGTCACCTTCGAGCTTGATTGCCCGTACCTCGGTCAACTCGATGCAAGCAGCCTGCAAGACTGATCACGCTCAATACTGATTGGGTCAGACAGGTCGGTCGCGGATCATCCAAATACACAGCCACGTTCAACGTCCTTGTCCCTCTCAAAAGACTGCCCAATGGCAACCTGAACCTGACCATCGTACCGATCAATACTGGCTTCAATACGGTCGTGTACAGCACGAGCTGGGCCGATATACTCAAAGTCACGCCTACCACTCTCAAGGTCGCTTTCAATGTCGCTAGCAATTCCTACACGACAAGCAAGGACTATCCTGGCTTTCCGGCCTGTCGAAAAGCCTGCAATGCCATGTGGCGAGGTGTCGCAGAATGGTCAATAAAGTCAAAAGGTAAGCGCAGCTCTTCGCCTCGTTCAGGCAAAGCTGACGCTGTCCATCCAGAATGGCATTACGACGAGGCTCAGAGGACCGGAACGGCGCTCTGTCACGCCAACGGCTGTCCGCAGATCCTTCACTATCGGGAGGATTGCACGGCGTACTAATACCAATGCATCATGCGTTGGCACGGCGACCAATTGGTCTGGATGGCGTCTCGCGAGTGCCTCCTCGTCAACAACCTCCTCTTTTGCGGTCGTCACCTGTGTTCTCTAGCCGCCATGCACCAACAGATGCGCTCCGTACTGGCTCTGTCCGCTTTCGTCGCTGCGATCTATGCGGCTTCGACAGCGCCGGCCAGACTTGTTGAGGTACCCAAAACGAAGCCCATGTGGGAGGGTCCGACAGACTTCTGGTCCAATTCCGCTCTTCAAGGCAAGCCCATCCATCCCCGATGTGCTTCACTGAACGCTTTGCATAGTCACTTTCGCACTGGACTGTCCCTATTTGGATATTGTGGCGGTGGGCGAAGGAGGATTGAGCCACTATACGGCTACCTTTAACACGCTCATACCCAAGAAACCGCTTGCAAATGGCCTTCTCAACTGCACCATCGTCAGCCAAAGACCCTCAGAGCTAACACGCGCTCATCGACCGTGCAGGAGAAAGAGAATTCGGGCTTCGATACGAATACTCCCTCGACCTCGTGGGCAGACGTTACGCATGTGACGCCGAACGCAGTCACCGCCAAATTCAATGTCGCTGCGATCGTGCATGCCGCGAATGATAAGTATCCTGCCTGTACGAAAAAATGCGTAGCGTGGTGGTCCGGCATCGCCACCTTCACCACGCGTTCGGGCGGTGAGTCACTCATCTGGTCGACGACGTCTGCACTGACGCGGTGACAGTCTGGCAATGGGATAGGGATGGAAAGAAGGGACAAGCCACCTGCTGGTCAGCAGACGCATGCCCCCAGATTCTGGGCCACAAGGAGACTTGTACGGCCCATTGACGCGGTTCATGGAGATGCAATACGTTCATACATCCCTGCGTCTCATACGCTTACGGGGTGCCTCCTCTTCTTCTACATGTCGTCTCGGTGAGCGAGATCGAGAGCGCTGAGCAGGCGAACGCGAGCGACGCCGTGAGCGCGTCGACGGGACAGCATCATCTCGTCTTCTCGAACGTCTCTCTTCGGGACTGACGTCTCTGACTCGACGAGAAGACTTTGTACGCTCGCTGAAGGCGAAATCGACGGAAGGTCTTCTGCCCTCTGGCGTGCGCTTGGTGCCTCTGTCCCTGTCGGAGTCGGGCGAGAGACGGTCTGTGTGTGTGGCGGCATCGCTATCATGCGTAAGATCTCGTCGCTTGCGCTCGTTATCGCTGTCTTTGGCTCTGCGCTCTGGCTCTCCACTGCTACGGCGTCGGCGCAAGGGTGGGGCTCTCCGCTTTCGTTCGGGCTCCTCATCGATCGATTGCTCGTCTTCTGCCTTTATCCGTGGACCCCGCGGTGCGTCCGCTGGCGGTTCTGCTCTCCCTGATCAGATCGAACAATCATGTCAATGCACGACTCACGATCACGACTGTCTGTTGAATTCTCGCGAGTCATGGGCCGTACGCCGAGTCGACCGCGCGGCCTAGAGCCGCGAGGTTCTTCTTCGCGATCGCCAAAGGGCGAGTCTTGCTGAGGCGGCATGGGCATGGCAGGCATACTGGGCATACCGGGCATCGCAGGCATACCGGACATCATTGGCATACCGGGTGGCATGGCAGGCATGCCCATTCCCATGCCTGGCATACCGCCAAAGGAGCTCATGATCGTTTGCATCATCATTCCCTTCAACTCGAGCGGCAAGCTAGCCCATGCTTCTTCTACTGGCTGATTTGCGAAAGCCTGTCATTCCACACATTCATGTCAGCGTCAAGAGAAAACTGACAGGGCACGTGCGACTGACAGCAAATGGATTCATTCGCTCTTCGTCGCGCTCTGCCCGTAATTGGAGTTGCTGCTTTGCATAGGCTCGCCAGGTCATCTCATCGAAGCCATAATTGAAGTACTCGCTCAGATCGATGCCCGGTTCGCGCCAGGGCGTCTGCGGAAGCGAGTCGATATTGAGCTCGTAGATATTCTGTGCTGTGTGCAGCATGGCAGGTTTGGTAAGGTCTACCGTAGGACGCATAGAGGGTATCGTGAGCGCTTGGCTCGGGTCGGCTGATGGTATCTGGTTGAGTGTGCCGGGTATGACTTCGGGCGGGTAGAGCTGTCCATGGCCGTTGAGTGTCGCGCTGCCAGACGCGATGGGCGTAGCAGCATTCGAAGTGCCTGTGTTCATGATCAGGTACATCATGATCCACGCAGAAAGAAGCCGACGAACCTGCGGAGAGCAGAGCTTGCTGTTGAGCAGGCGCAGCGAGCGCGGCGGGCTGAACACCAGGTGAAGCGATTGCGACTGGCCTCTGCGGCAGTATAGGCAGTCTGGCGGCATGAGGGTTGAATCCAGGAGGCGCAACAGGATCAGGAGCGTCAAGAATGATGTCAAGGTCCTGTGTCCGTCTGCATGAGACTTTGACCAGAGCTAGGTGAAGCAGCAGGAGCGCTGTGGACGAACAGATTCGCTGGATCCATCTTCTTCAATGTCTTCCTCCCCTCCTTCGTCAATGTCAACGGTCGTAGAGGCAGGCTGTTGAGTCACGCCAGATCCGTTCGTACTGATTGGAACTGCAATGACGGTACAAACACCTCCAGATCAGGTACGGTGGCCTACTGAGCTGAATCTCGCTTTACCATTCTGAGGCTTGCTGGGCTGCGCGTTCGACGGCGGTGGTGCGATCGAAGAGCCGTACAGGAAAGCATCATCATCGTCGTCGTTCATGGTCTGGCTAACGGGGTGAGTGGTCTGCGCAAGGCAGCTGCAACGGCAAAGCCGAAGTTTTCAAGTTGTTGGTGACAAATTGCTGATCGCGGCCGTTGGGCCTTGCGTCGACCTCCTAACGTCTCTGCGCTCAACGTGAGTGAATCTGCCTGCCCGCTGCTGACGCTTGCCGGATGTGCCCATGCCGTAGCATGCATCGACGGCACTGCGGACGAGCGCCAGGCAGCGGGCAGCTCCTCTAGCCACTTTGAGCTTATCGCTGACATCACTCTTTTCCCTTGACAGACACATCCTACACCAGCAAGCGACATGTCTGACAAAGCTCAGGTCGGTATCAACGGCTTCGGTACATCATCCACCGCTTGGTCAGACGTGCGCTGATGCCGTTGGGCCAGGTCGTATCGGACGTATCGTCCTCAGAAACGCTCTCGAGCACGATGCAAGTTGATGACTCGCTCGCTGGCCGTGCGCTGACAAGCGAGCCGCCGAACAGGAAGTCAACGTCGTGGCGGTGAACGACCCCTTCATCGACTTGGAGTACATGGTCTACATGTTCAAGTACGACTCCACCCACGGCAAGTACAAGGGCGAGGTCTCTGCAAAGGACGGCAAGCTCTTCGTCAACGGCAAGACCATCACCGTCTTCTCCGAGAAGGATCCCTCGACGATCGACTGGAAGTCTGCCGGCGCGGAGTACGTGATCGAGTCCACCGGCGTCTTCACCACCAAGGAGAAGGCAGGCGCCCATCTCAAGGGAGGTGCCAAGAAGGTCGTCATCTCTGCTCCTTCGGCAGATGCGCCCATGTACGTCTGCGGTGTCAATCTCGACACCTACAACACCGCCGACACCGTCGTCTCCAACGCCTCTTGCACCACCAACGCCCTTGCCCCGTTGGCAAAGGTCCTGCACGACAACTTTGGCATCGTCGAGGCTCTGATGAGCACGATCCATGCAACCACTGCAACACAGAAGACAGTCGACGGTCCGTCCAGCAAGGACTGGCGAGGTGGCCGTGGCGCTGCTGCCAACGTCATTCCCTCCTCCACGGGTGCAGCAAAGGCGGGTCCACTCGAGTATTCTGCATACTTTATGTGCTGAGCATTGGAATCAATCGCAGGCTGTCGGCAAGGTCATCCCTTCGCTGAACGGCAAGCTGACCGGCATGTCCTTCCGCGTGCCGACCTCTGACGTTTCCGTCGTCGATCTCACTGCCCGCCTCGAAAAGGGCGCTTCTTACGACCAGATCAAGGCGGCCATGAAGAAGGCATCCGAAGGTGAACTCAAGGGCATCCTCGGCTACACTGAAGATGCAGTCGTCTCGACCGACTTTATCGGTGACACCCGCTCCAGCATTTTCGATGCTGCGTACGTGGTTTGCTCAGTCATGACTCGCGCATAGCTCATTTGCCTGCAGTGCTGGTATCTCTCTCAACAACAACTTTGTCAAGGGTACGCTCACTGCGCTCTGTTGCGTTGAGTCTGCTTATCCCGTTTGCGTGCAGTTGTCTCATGGTACGACAACGAGGTAAGCCCATTCGCTGTCGAGACCGGCGCACAGCTGATCACTTGTTTATGACAGTACGGTTACTCTCGCCGATGCGTCGATCTGCTGTCATTCATGTACAAGAAGGACAAGGAAGGCAAGGGTAAGCTTTGAACGTAGTCTGCCACTAGAGAGGCCGTCTTTACACCTTGACCGAAGACCCGCCAAAGAAATAATGCAGAATTGTGCTGCTTTGCTCATTTTATCTTGCCCGTGATCACGCTAAGAATCTTGTCCCGTTATCGCCGATATAAATTCAGATTTGCCTTTCTCCGTCATTATCGCAGCTCGCGGCGGAGAATTCAGAACGGCGACGGCGCCGCAGCGCTGCGGGCCACCATTTGAGCAGATGTTCTGACAAGAGTGGGCGAATTCGGATATTTCCGTCAGATCGATCGAAAGCGCTGTCGTTGCGCAGTTTTGAGTCGCGCAAAGCACGGACCGCTCCGAAGGGGGTGGGCTCGGGCAAAGGCAGGATGCCTGTGCTCGACAGGAGGAATCTTGGCGATACTCCGGAGACAGGAACAGGTTCACCGGGTGCTATAGTGACCTATGTCATCGTCGGCGTAGTCCTCGGTGTCCTCGTCGCAGGTCTGGCAGCAAGGTGAGTTTGTCGAGCCTCCGCATTGTGATGATAAGCAATTTACTCCCTGCTCGCTTGCTCGGAACAGATACTGGCTGCTCAAGCGGAGAGATAACTTGACCTGGCAGAGCTTCTTCATGCCTTGGGGACTCAAGCTAGCATGGCTCGGCATATGGATCGAGCCACAAAAGTCGGATCCCATCGTCAGGCACTCCATTCGTGGCGCCTCGACGACACCTGCCCACATGACGCCCGAGGCAAGAGCGGCAAGGCGAGCAGAGAGGGACGAGAGGAGGAGGACGAGGCATAGTAGGACGACGAGAGGACCTGGTATAGGTTCAGGAGGAAGGAGGCAAGGTGAACGCGACGAGGATGATGGACATGATCCTGCAGACGATCCTGCGGGTCACGAAGAGCTACCTACTTATAGAGGTCTCGATACAGACTTGCCACTGTACAAGCAAAGCCAGAGGCAACATCGATCCTCTGGTAATCTAGGCAGTCTGCCCGTACTCGAGAGCGGAGACGCGCCCGCAGAGGCAGATATCGGTCAAGCAGAGATGTCTGCTGCCGAGTACGAGGCAAGGGTGACACGTCGTGCACCTTCTGTCTCTACACGATCACGACAGACCACAGCCCGACAAGAGCCTGCCGCTGTGGAAAGACATGCACCAAGGACAAGTACAGAAACTGCTCGAGCAGCACGGCGACCCACTGGCATTGCACACACTGGACCTTCTTCAGCCAGCCTCGCATCATCCTCATCCATCTCGAGCTCATCTTTCCAAGACTTCGCGCCTGCCGATATTGACGATGAAGCGCCGATTGAGCTCAATCGATTACCGCCTGCTCTTGGCAATACTGTTGCGACCTGACCCGGCTACGTGCGAGAAAGTGCGTGCCTTTGTGACTCTGTGCATGACTGTATTACTTGTATCGATCACACGAAATGCATCTATTATCACCGGTGCATCACCTGTTATCATCACCGGGCCGGGCTGCCTTTGCCTTTGGCGCGTGACTTGGGAGACGGTGACTTGCTCGCGCCTACGAGATGCTCCGTTGATCAGTCAGTCGGAGGATGAGCTTGATTTTGACCAGCTGAGGTGATTGTGGGGCAGGATGGCAGTAGAAGGCCGGCCTGATGGTCCAGAGCTCGAGCGCACGGACATGAAAGCACTCATCGCAGCAAGGCGAAAAGAGCTTGCCCACCAGTCTGCCTCTCTGGAGGCTGCAGACAGCTTATCCAGCACCGCAGATGCTTCAGGGACGGCTCTGTCTCATCGGACACAGAGCACGGCAGGATCCAACTTGATGCTCGCTGATGCGCCGCCAAACATGCAGCTACCCGAGTCTGAGACAAGTCGACAAGACAGTGACTCGCCGCAGCTTCAGCAGCCCCAAGATGGCTCCGCAGCGCACGGTGTGGACCAGCCAGGCAAGCTCACAGCGGAGGAGCAAGCGCAGAAGCGAGCCGCAGATCGAGACCGTATGAAGGCAATGATCGCATCTCGCCGACAAGCCATGGCAGCTCTCAAGCCAGAGCCAGCCGAACCAGTGACAGATGCGGTTGTAGACCTACACGCTCAGGATGATTCAGATGCACAACCCAACCCTCGCTCAGATGAGACTGTAACAGCGCCAGACGCGCCGAGAGTGGCCACATCCGAGCTACCAGCTGCGGTAGAGGCCACGGCTGAGGCATCAGAGGAGCCACCGTCAGCATCGATACTGCTAGCTGCCTCTGCCGCTGCAGCTTCCCTGTCCGATTCCCAAGCAGCAAGCCTGTCAACATCCAGATCATCAGACGCGCCGCAAGTCGAACATGCCCATGGATCCGAGGATGCCGACAGTCTGTTGACAGAGACTTACGACTTACTCGCTACGCCGGACGAAGAAGACAATATTTCACTCACTCGACAACAGCTACAGACCGATCTCGAGAAGCTCGGCATCAGATTGCCGTCGTACAGACCGCCATCTGCCGCGCAAGCCAATCTGGCTTACCCGGAGGACGAGGATATCCTGCATGCACCTCTACCAGACTGGGTGAGCCCATATCGGCTCATGTGCAATACTCGTGCTGAGTCTGTTGCTCCAGGATTTGAGCAATGCTGCAGCTCAATCCATCGGTCCATTGGGATTACAGCAACGCCGAAGCTCGCAGCCTGATGAAAAGACCGTCCTGTATGCCGTCAAGCACGATGACCCGGAAGAGATTGCTTTCGACATGCGCATCAAAGCGTCTTTGCATTCGCCACAACAGACTGCGAAGTTTCCCTCGCCTCGCAAGATCTCCGGCACGGAAGGAGCTCCTCTGACTCATGTCAGTGTGCTGGAAGGCGTGTACAGGCCTGGCCTGCTCTTCACCGACAGAACTTCGCAACGGGCTACGTCTGCTGCGCGCTCGAGCGATCAAGGCCGACTATCGAGTAGCTCTGGACCGTCTGATCTACGCAAAGCGAGCAGCAACAGTTCGCTCAGCTCTACCTCATCTGCCCCTCGTCACACAGTCTCGAGAACGCCCGCTAGCTCATCTCGACCAGGCAGCTCCACCGCTCGCTATCCTGCCGGACTTGCAAAAGTGCACACTCTGGCACAGACTGCGCCCAGTACGCCAAGGAGAGTCTCACAAGACGCTACTCAAGTGACGCCACTTGCAAGGGCATCTATGCAGCCGCAGAGAAGCGACAGTACGCCCAATCGATTCGGTATCGCTTCGACCCCATCGCGCCGCACGAGCATGCTTGCTTCGTCCACTCATCGCTCTGCTACGCCAGATGCACCCATCGGTCGCTCATGCGAGACGCATAGCGCACCCATCTCTCGCATACCCACGCCTCGACGCTCGATGCTGCCGACGCCGAAGAGGCGCGGATATCAGCCGACTGGCTACGCATGACACTTTCATACTGTGCATGAATGTTGCTATGTACGTGTAAATGTTTAGAACAACGTAAAGTAGACATCTGTTGCTTTTGAGAATTTCGAAAGGTCATCAGAGCGAACGAGCAAGTCGCGCAAGGTGTCAATTGCGACAAGGTTGAGCGCAAGACGGTCGACTTGACAGCGCAAGGCGAGCGCAAGAGGCCAAGGCTCAAGGCCAAGGTTCGGGAAGGCCTTGGTATGGGCCGCTCGAGTAAAAGATCTTGGGTCGGAATGAAACGTGCTCGTCCCTGCCAAGCAAATTAGCTCTATGCAAGCAAGCGCGCGTGTGCGCACATGACGGAGCTGCAGCGAAACTTGTTGATCAGCGCTTCTTTCCTGCAAGCCGAGATGTCAGCGCTCCTCGTTAGATCGCTGATCGACTTACCCTTGAACGTTTGCATACGACATTTGAATCACCTTGTCAGAGTTGCAGCGATTCCAGCGCGTGCCTAGCTTGGTGTTGGCAAAGGTAAGCAAGCTTGTGACCGTGCAGAAGTTGACAAAGGCGTAGCCGGTATTGGCGCCAGACTGAAAATCCACTCGGAGGTACATAAAGTCGAATCTGTAATGCACGGGGCACATGAGCTCGTTGCAGACAAGAACAGACGGCAGAGACGAACGATCTTGGGCTGCTTTCGTTGAGCACATCGAGCAAACCGAGATCAGTAAGCTTGTTAGGGATGTTTCTGTGGGATCGCGTCAGCTCAACGCATTGGCGACGGGTTGAGTACTCGCCGGATCATGACTGTCGTGCGATTGTCGAGACCCATGCGAACGCGTTGGAGATCGAATGCAGTGTTGTCAGGCACACGGTCATCGCGGTAGAGACCCCATTGAGGCGTGATGCCGCGCAGACCGGCCGGCGAGTCTTGCATCTGCGAAGAACGCGACATAGTGGGAGCCGAAAGCTTGCGAATGAAGCTGCCTCGGGTGCGATTGAGACCATGCAGCTCACTTGCATAAGACGGCGACGAGTGAAACTGGTCCACTGAAGGCGAACGCGCGAGATCGAGACTTTGCGTGTGCGTGGGAAGTAAAGAGGAGCAGGAAGTGCGCATGCTGGGAGCGCGCAGAGGAGTGCTCTGAGCAACATGCGAGTACGATACGCCGCTGACGGGCAGAGTTGGCAGCTGCGCTGTAGCAAAGACTTCGTCTTCGTTGCGAGCGCGGATGCTGAAAGCAGTGCCGCGTAGCACGCGGCCATGTAGGGTCTCGATGGCCGAGACAGCATCTCGGTCGTCCCAGTAGTCGCATGAGTAGACGTGCTCAATCCCGGTTTGCTTGAACGACTTGATGTCCCCAAAAGATGTGAAGAGATCCTTCGAGGAGCAATATGAGCAAAAGTCGCAGTCCTCAAGGCGCGGTAGCAAACCTTCATAGATTGAGAATTGATGGGGAGGCAATCTGCTCGGTTGACGCGTACTTCAATCTGACCCTCGTTGGGCGAGAGGACAGGCAGCTCCGAGGCGACTCTGGCAAACTCGTGAGGCTTGATGTAGTGAGGCACGAGCGTTGTACCGAAAGCTGCTTCGTTCGGAAGCTGAGCGTGGGCCGCGATAGCATCGCGAGTGTCATGGAATGCCAGAACAATTGCACTCTGCGTCAAAAGTGAACGGAGGTAAATACCGCGCAAAGTCCCATAGGGCTGCTGAGCTATCAGTGTGATTTTATGGGTAGCAGCAAGAAGCCTACGGCGAATGTTTTGCCTATGGCGGCTTGAGAGGTCTCAGGCGGAACGTTCTCGACGAGCAGGTAGCGCGAGACGGACTGGTATGCGCTAGCTTGGATCTGATCGTAGGATGCTTCCTTGACATGGCTGCTCGGGAGCGCTGCGTGTGAAGAGCCGCGCGACAAGTGGGAGAAATCGATAACTTTGTCGCCGAGGTTGGAAGGACCACAGTCGGGAGCAGAGGCATGAGCGTCATCGATGTTATCCTGAGCTTGGTCGCGCTTGGATGCCTCACGACGACGAACTTGGCTGGGACTTCGGATGGTCGGACTGAAGAGCTCGCCTGCATTGGTGTAGACGCTCGAGCCATTGGATGAATCACTGGTTGCATCGTCAGATCTGACTTGACTGGTGTCGTCGCTAGGCGCTGGTGGATCGACTGTCTTTGGTTCTGGCGATGACAAGAATGGATTGAAGGCTTGTGTGAGTGCTTTGACAGACTCGGGCAATGCTTCAAGCTGCAACTGATCTTCTTGGGACTTGTGATACGCAAGCTGATCCTGGCGTCTCTGAATCGCAGATGCTTTGAGCGGCGGTGTGACGGGTAGAAAAGAGCTCGAGTGAGGAAGACAGTCTGCCAAGCCTTTGAGCATGTCACTCTGGGCGATCGATGACCTGACGGAAGTGTTAGGCGAAGTGAAAGCAGATGAGTCCTGGCTGCCCGAGCGAATGCTTCGAAGACTGGAAAAGCCTGATTCATTGAGGTCATCCGATCCGAGACGAGCATGTCCCTGATCGAGTAGCTTTGACTCGCGCGAAGGAGACCATTGGATGTCCCATGATGCGTCAAAAGGCGGTCTACGTTTGACGAGAGGCGAGGACCAGATGTTGGCACCTGTCTGCTTGTCTTCTTGGCTTATTGAAGCTTCACGCGTGCTATACGTGCTCAACTGTTCCATTGTCAGCAACGCTCGACGTGATAGATTGAGGACGTACAGGTGAGCTTGAGGGAAGCATAGGCAACGACTGACGAGGCGATTCGGTCGAGATGAGCGTGCCGAGATGAAAAGGCGATTCTCTGTCGCTTGCAGAGTCGAAGCGATCAAAGTAGCGATCTCTCGATGTCTGCTTCGGTGGGCCGCTGACGCTCGAGATGGAGGTCGAGATGAGCGAGTCGTGCGAAGCCGGGGAAGCCCATTTGCTTGCAGCGAGCGAGCGTTCGAGATGAGCGGCGGCCTCTCGGGTGCTTGATGCACCACAGTCTGTGACCGTGTCTGATCGGACCAGCGAACGAGCCGGTGTAGATTGGAGCAAGGCATCATGGGTGCCTTCTTGGATCTCGGTCGGCGAAGAGTGCACTTCTTGTGGCGCAGTCGTGGCGACGAGCGAGTCTGACGTCGACGCTTGCATGCCTCTCTCTGTCGATGAGACGGACGGAGATGCGCTTGGAGGGTCCATGGATCAACGACAATGCCGGATGAAGCCGCTGATGAGTCGACGTTGTGCTTGCCGTTGCGTCAAGTCGCTTCTGCTGGTGTGCTGATGCTCGTCGAGCTGGACCGAGTGCTCAAGTCAAGAGTGTTGTAGCAGTTGCCGCGGAGATCAGAGCGTCGAAGGCACGCACAGCAGGGGAAGCGAGGTCAGTCAGCAGCGAGGACGACGTGGACGCGATGGCCGAATTTGGCGGTGGATGGCCTCGATACGTGGCCATGCTCGAGCCTACTTAAGGCCCCTCCTTCCTCTCTGCTTCTCTAGCTCGCTACATCACAGTCACTACTTGCTGCAGCAGACAACACATTCCTTTGCTTTACACGACATCGATTGAAAGCCACCAGCACTACTACCACATACCACCTCGCGTCATCATGAAGCAATCTATGCTCGTCTGGGTCACTGCAGCCATCACTCTCGCCTCTTACTCCCGTCCCGTCAAGGCAGATCAGGATCGCACCACGATCACGTCAGACTACCGTCAGCCTCTTGCCCTTTCCTTGCTTGCACTCCTTTCTTACGCGCGCGCGAGACGAGCAGACAACGGTGCAGGTCATCAGCACAATGGCGGAGGTCCAGAGTCAAGCTATTCCCTCAACGAGAGTGGCCGCGAACATGGCATCATGTACGAGGGTCTGTCGTCGCCATCTAGTCCTGCGCTGGTCTGACGCACGAAACAGATTCGTACGGCGGCACGTCGATCGAGTCTCACGACAAGCGCGCAGTCCTCGGCAAAGGCGCAGGTCTGTCCCGTTGTGCATCTATCAAGCTAGTCGGGCTGAATTGACTCGTCCACAGGACCTCAGCCCAAGACGCTCGACAGCTCAGACGATCATCGCAACTATGGCTCAGAGATCCTCGAGCCTGCTCACGATCGTCAGTCTCGAGTCGATGCCGCTCCTGGAGATACGATCGCGGACCGAGCCGAAGCAGATCGAACGGTCGACTCGAACGGTCACTTTGTCTATCATCAAGACGGTCTCAAAGCGCATTGCGACGACAAGACGCACAAATGCTCGTACACTGTGCACTCGCATGATGCAGATCATCTCAAGCATCATCACGAGAATGGATCTTACTCCAAGCACGCGACTGCTGCCATCGAACAAGATAAGGACAGTTGGACCTACAGAAGCCCGGACTATGCCTCTGAAGCATCATCGCCCGCTTCGGCTCATACCAAACGAGGTCAAAATGGCATGTCACGCCAATACGACGATTCCCGCCCGCAAGGCGAATCCGCCAGACACGCTACCGGCTCGAGTGGTCACGTCCCATACGACCATCGCCTCACAACGAGCAAGATCGACGGGCATAGCAGTCATGGCGGCGATCCTTTCGTGGCATCAGAGTACGATAGTGACTACAGACATGACACTTCTTCCGACACCATAACGCATGACAAGGAGACGCTCTCGTGGCATCACAAGCGTCAAGAGCACTCCGGTCGCCCACGCCACGGCGGCTCCGCCGTCGGTCTCGGTTCTTTTAACTCATATAATCCAAGCACTCCGGAACACGGCTACGAGGACGCACAAGTGCAACAGGATCGATCAGGTCACGATGGCAACGCTCACTTCTCAGTCTCTGGCCACTATACCTCGCATGATCGTCAGGATACGTCGTATACGTTCAAGAATGAGCATGACAAGCGTGCTGTAGAGCATGGTCAGCCCGGTCATGCGTACAGTGGCGCGTCGCTCGACTTCACTGATGGCTACAACTCTCACAAGCCTCAAGATTCGAGCTATGGCTTCACAGGGCATCACGCTCAGCGTCACGGACAATCAGGTCATGCAGAACCTTTCGAATATTCGTTCGAGGGCCACTATGACTCGCGTCATCCCGAAAAGTCGACGTACGAGATCGAGTATGAGACAAAGCACGGCAAGCACGCCCATAAGGAGCATGTCGTTGTCAAGGACGCTCGAGTGTGGCACGGCAAGCGCGCGCTCCAACATGGCCAGCCAGGTCATGCGGAGCCCAGTGACGTGACATTCTCAGACTCGACTTCTTACCACGATGGAACATTCGGCCATGGCGGCAGCTACAGCCACTCGGAAACTTTCAAGGAGCGACCCCATAGCAAGCGTGACGCGCACCACTACGACATCTTCGAAGTCGATGAGCACCACCACCACCATCATCACGATACCCACGAAGATGGCAAATACCGCGAGCATGTCGAGAAGTGCCGCCTTGACGGTGAGAACGATGGCAGACTCTTGTTCGACTGTCAATCATCTTCAAAACACACCATGATCAAGGTCCACAAGAAGCACAACGGCAAGCCTGGCTCGTTATCCCAGGGTCATAGCAGTCAGTTCAGCAGATCCTTTCGCCTTGCTACGCTGATGTCTGAATAGGTCTGGCCGGTGTGCTCGGCGCTATCGCATGAGCGCTGGCCGCTTTCCCTTCGCTCTTCTCCCTCTCCCCCTCTTCGCAATCGTTCGTTGTAAAGCGTATGCATTAGACACTGCTGCGGCTCAAATCCAATGCCGCGAGGGTGATGCTCGTGATGAAGCTAGCTGACACAAAGACTGAACAGGTCAGTGCGAGATTATAATACGTGCAAAAGCCAGCAAAGGCGCCGGGAGTACATGTCTTGCCCGTTGCAAACATGCCAACTAGTAACGCGATCCACACCATGGTGAAGAGCACATCGTTGACCATGGTGCGTTTGATCCGTCTCCGGGCTGCTCTAGCTTTGATGTCGACGTCTATGCGGGGATCGCTGGGGGGCATGGCGTAGGATGATCCGCCGAGATGCGAGTAGTAGGTTGGTGGCCGTGCGTGATGCATCGAGCGACGGTCTGGCTTTGCTCGTTTGCCACAGCAACCGCCGGATTCGCCCTGATCGGATTTGAAGATACTCCTCAAGACGAAATGCCAAACTGTCCAGAGTGCGCACGAGATGGCTAGAAAGTCGAGAGCAATGGTCGTCACTGCTGTTCTGAGTGGACTTGGCGTGGCGGGATGTGTCGCCTGCACTGTTATAAGCAGATGTACAAATTGCACATGGCGTGACGTACGACCGCGCCTGTGATGCTGAAGACTGCAGCGAGAAGAGCAAACACGCCTTGTCCAAAGCGAGCGAGCATCCTCTTGCGCTTTCTTGCGTGCTTGTTCCAGTCATGCTCAGGTAAGGTCCTGCTGAGCTCGGCTGGTCTGCCATACTCTGTGGGATTACTCAATGCGGAGTAGCGTCCCTCTTGAGACCGCGGTCGACGAAGAAGCTCGTCGAACGTGAAAGGACTAGGAGGAGGGAGGCCGTATGCTGTGGGCTGCGGTCGCTCAGGCAACGAGGATGCGGCGAGCTGCTCGTCTAATTTTGCAAGGAAATCGGGATAGCGAGTCTGTTTGTCGTCCGCATAGAGCGATTCGAGCTCGCTCTTGTCTGTCATTGGATGGTCTTGCATTTCCGGATAGGAAGCGAGAGGCTAATTTGCTCGAAGAGGATGGACATCTGAGATCTGAAGAGGGCCAAAGCGCCAAAGCGTTGACTCGCGTTTCAAGCAGTGTGCCACTCAGAGAGCGGCCATGTCGAGCGCCTTCCTGGGCTTGCCGATACGAGTGTCGCTCTTGGATGGCACGGTCGTACATGGCACAGTCAGCGACATCGATGCCAGGCTAGGCAACCTCAAGCTGGTCGCTCCCGTACGACTGGAGCAAGTTGGTAAACCCATCCGCTCTTTGCCCGACTATGTCGTTCAGCGAGCGTTTGTGAAGGAGCTGCAGCTCGTCAATGTGGCTCCTGAGCCCTCTGCTCTCCCCGCTGCTGCACACCATGCACCGGCAACCTCTGCGGCGGCTGCAAGGCCATCCTCATCCACACCGCTAGCCGGCGAGCGCTCTCATGAGACCGTCAAGCCGAGCAACGGCAAGTCCCAGAATAAGAAGAAGAAAAAGAAGGCCAAAGTACCCGTCGTGGACATGGGCAGCACGACAGAGCAGACAGTCGACGATGAGTTTGACTTTCAAGGCTCCCTGAAACGGTTCGACAAGGCATCCGTGTGGGCCGAACTCGCTAGCGGAGATCAGTCTGATCCCAGCCTACGACTCGTTGCCCACAATCGTAACAGGGACATAGCTCGCTACACGACCAAGCTTGCGCATACCGAGAATGTCTTAGATCCAAGCGAAGTGCACGACATTGTAGCCACGGAGAATGATGAGACGACAGATTACGACTCTGCCGCTGCACTGCCGACGCCGAAACTCACCATGACTCGCTCAAGTCTGGCTGCAGCTGATCATACCTCTTCTAGCGAAGAGGAAGAGACCGAGCTTGATTTACCCGAAGCGAAAGTGCCATCGCGTCGACCCAACACATCACGCGCCGCGTCCATGTCCAAGCAGGGCCAAGCTGCTCTGGCAGTCCCACGTCCAACCTCGAAAGCTCGCAAATCTGCTACAAAGCGGAAAGGCTCTTCTACGCGGCAGCCAATTTTGGCGCTCACTCACAAAGAATGGTCGGAAGTGCAGCAGATCGCTAGCATAGAGACTGGCCCGAATCTGGCGCAACGGTGTGAGAATGCAGGAAGAGGTTTGGCGGAGACGATCGCCTCGCTTGCGCCTGTCGACGTAGCCCTCGAGCGACTCGAAGTCGTCTTGATCTGCGGCTTCACAAGCAAAGCGACTTATGCGCTAAGAGCGGGCGCGCATCTAGCCAATCGCTCGAGTCCCGTCGTTGCCTTTGTCCCGCCAGATGATCCGCCACAATCCTTGAGCTTCTATTTACGGCTCTTTACGTCTGCGGGCGGCATTGTCGTGCGCTCGCTCGCGGGTGAGTCTGCTCATCGTGAAGTTGAGCCGCACTGAATTGACATGCAGAGCTGCCGAGTCAACCCGACTTTATTGTCGAAGCTATAGCCGACAATGTCCCCGAACCACGCAAGAAGTCAGGCAGAGCTCGACAGGATCAAGAGCTTGCGAATTGGATCGATAAGCAAAAGGGCGGTCATGTCATTTCGATCGACCTTCCGAGTGACGTCGATCCGGACTCGGGCGTCTCTGCTGTTGAAGATCGATGGGCTGTTCGAGCCGATACGACCGTCGCTCTTGGCTGCCAAAAGGCAGGCACCGTCTCGCTCTTCCGTGCTGGCTCCATCGTAGTCGTCGATATTGGCTTGCCCGCGCAAGCCTTCACTCGCAGTGGTCTCGAAGATTGGACTTCGCCATTCACAGGACCAGGGCTAGTCTGGAAAACGACAGTGCGATGACAAAGAGGTTGCATATGGGTCAACAAGCATCGTACATGATCAACATCATTGGCGAACGGCCGGACGGCCTCGAGGTTCTTCATGAATTACGCCTTCGCTGTGTCGCACGCTTGACCGCGTCCGCGACATCGATGTCGAAAGCGATCGGCCTCTTTCGCTCGGTGCGACAGAGGCCTCGCGGATCGTAGCCGTTGCGGCGTAGCTGGGCGGTCTGTCACCACCCTCGGACTCCTCTCCGGCGATAAGACGCTCGAAGCGCTGCTGATTGTCAAGAGCTGCATTGCCAGAGACTGACGCACGTCTGCCTGTGCGCGTAGCTTCTTGCGCACAGGCGCAGTCTGGCGACGTATCTCGCTGGCTAGCGCTAGCTGTTGTATACGTCGGCAATCTATTCGATCGGCATCGACACGACAAGATCGTGATGGGCGCATCGATGATGATATCCCATTTCTTCTTCTTGCCTTTCGAGTCGAGCTGCTCCTCATTCCCGCGCTGCATTCGCAAAGCGAGCTTGATCGTATGAGATACCGCTATTGTCGATTGAGGATGCTCGACTGAGAAGCGAATATTGCTTGAGCAGTCTGGCAGCCGAATATCGGATTCGAGATTCCATGGTCCTATAGGATCTAGACATTGCGGCGTAGAATCTAAGCGTTATGTTAGCTTGCATCAGGCACGTATCGACATGGCGAACCTTCGCTCGAGGTAGCGTTGACAAAGAAACGATTGAGGGGTGAAGTCGAGATTGCATCGGGTGAGTCGTCCATGACGGGCAATAAGGGTACTTCTGAATCTGACTGCTCTAGTTTGAGTAAGACGTATTTCTTTACACCTTCGTGTCTCGTGATCTTGCGGTTATGTGCATAGTATACTACTCTTTCTTCGAGTGTGACTGTGAGTTTGAACAGCTTGACTTTGTTCATAGGGTTCAGGCGCAGTGAAACAGGTATATTGCCACCAATGGCAAATTTGCGGCCCGAGAATGCGACGAGATAGCGGAGCTCGGTTTCCCAAAAGCGCTCGACGACAATACTATCGGTCTCTTCGAGATCCTCTTCGCCAGGACAAACGACGAGTTGGACATCTGTTTCTGTCGTGAGGTTGGTGGTCAGTGCGCCAGCGCGTTGGATGACCGCTTTCAGGGTATAGGTAACGTGACCAAAGTCGCAGTGCATCGTCGGGGGCAGGCTCTGCGGGACCGACATGGATATTGGGTAATTGTAGACGCCCGCTTTGAACTCCTTCCAGCCTTGTGAGCGGGTGTTGACATCGTCTTCATCATCGCTAAGATCGCGCTGATTTGGTTCGTTTGCAGTGAGGGCTTCTCGCAAGGCTTTGAGTGCTTTGTTGCGCCCTCTGCTCTGATCTCTGCCATTGATGCGGGTAATGCTCTGATCTCGACGGTCTACGCTGCCATTGCGAATGCTGTCAGGACTCGTATCTCGTCTCTGCTGGCTCTTTCCGCGTAAAGAGATACCCAAAGATTGCAAGCCGAAGCGTGGCTTGCTGGGCGTTCTCGAAGCGCTCCGAACAGAAGGGGACCGTCCATTCGTACGCACGCTGGGCGGCCGCTCAGGTGAGATGACGGAAGCGTCATCGTCATCTTCTTCTGGTACGGTCTCAGACAGCCTACTGCTTATCGATGATCGTCGAGGACCTTCAGAGGCGGCATAGGAAGGTGGCGAGTCAAGAGGCGCCCCATTGACGGGTATGCCATTGGTTTGAACAGCAGGCAAATCGGACATGCGATGCGCGGGCGAGCTAGGAGCGGAGCTCGTCGGACTGATAGTAGCAGGCATACTGCTCAAACGGGTGGTAGTATGACGGTTAGGCGGTGCAGGCGACATGGACGCCATTCTATCTACAGCAGATAGATTGGAGTGTCGATCTACGCTTCCCATGCGCAGGGCTGCCTCCTGCCTGATGACACGCATGGGATTCCTGCCGCGAGAGTGATCTAGTGAATCGTGCTCGTCCGCGTAATGTGATCGGGTACCGGGACCGACCGAGAAAGCCCGTCGCTCTGTCGACTGTCCGCTCGCTGCAAAGAAGATTTGCTTCTCGTCTAGCAGGACACTCTCGTCTGCTGTTTCTAGCCTTCTGGGGCCGATACCTGCAGGCATGCTTGCGAATCAGAGCGATCATCTTGCGCGGGTGTTGTTTCGCACCTTCTGGCCATTCTGTTCGTGTTGTGCCTATGAGACGCACGCTGATCTTGCGTATACGAGTCGGTTTCGCGAGATTGATGGTCAATATCCCACGCAAGACGGAGGGCGGCAGAACAACGTCGACCTGCTCACGAGCCTCTTCAATAGCACGCTGCGTCGTAGGTGTGGCTGCACCGCTGACGAGACCAGAGGTATGACCCAGGTTGGAGCTATCGGTGCTGGCGTGAGCTTGAGCTTCCCGACCAGTGCGCTCTGGACTGGTCTGTGCAGACCGGAAAGGCGTGCTGGAAGCTGATGCCTGCCGTGAGTGACCAGGCGTAGGTACTCGCGAGGATGGCTGGGACAATCGTGCGACAGCTGACGAGCTCGGATACGCTTGATGATTCGGTCTGTGCGAGCCCGGCAAGCTCGTCGTCGCACCTGAATCATCCAAGACTCGTCCACTATGCGCCGATAGGGGATCTAGCGGTTGCCGCGTTCCTGCAGGTTGTGCCTGATGAACAGGCAGACCAGGCGCTGCAGAGGTATTGCTCGTGATGTAAGCCGACATGGGCGAGTTCTGCAGGCCTCCTCTGCCCGGAGACCTCGCTCTCTCGGGCGAGCGAGTCCTGCTGGGCGATCTCGTACGGGAGGCATTGCGTGAGCCGGTCTGACGAGCTTGGCGGGCTTGCTGTCGCTGTCGTCGGCGCTCCGCTGCCCCTTCTGCAGCGCGAATGAAGACGACGGGCTCGGTCAGTCGTATGCTGCAGTGTGACGAGGGAGCCATGCTATCATGGAGCTGCTGGCTACCTCGAAGGGACGACTTATCGCTATCAAAACTCGTTCGGCGCAACGCAACGCAATTTGTTTGGCAACGCGCCGACGCTGCTGCCGCCTGTTTGACACAACTGGACAACTCGCCAAGGCCTCGATGGGCGACATGGCCTACCCTGGAGCAGGCGATACGAGCAGCATGACCTCCTTCGACGCAGATGAAGCGATCGAATGGCTCAAAAAGTGTAAACATCTGCCAGAATCGAGCATACGTCAGCTGTGCGAACTCGTCAAGGATCGCTTGCTGGAAGAGTCCAATGTCCAGCCTGTCAGCTCACCTGTCACTGTGTGCGGCGACATCCATGGCCAGCTATGGGATTTCTTGGAACTCCTCAAAGTCGGCGGTCAATGCCCTTCGACATCTTACATTTTCATGGTCAGCCTGGAGGTGTCCACGAGATCACGGTCTCATTCTTTGGCAGGGCGACTTTGTCGACCGGGGACACTACAGCCTGGAGACATTCAGCCTGCTCATGACACTCAAAGTCAGGTGAGCCCAGTGTTGCTGCCTGCTAATTGGCGACATGCTAACCTGGACGCGACCAAGGTGGCCAGACCGTGTCACTCTTCTGCGAGGCAACCACGAGTCTCGACAGATCACGCAGGTCTATGGCTTCTATGGCATGTCTCTCATGCAGTGTGCCAGTTATCGCTCATAACGGCTTGGCACAGACGAATGTCAGAAAAAGTATGGCTCAGCGACAGTCTGGAAAGCCTGTTGTTCCGTCTTTGACTTTCTCAATCTTGCAGCGGCATGTCGCTCAAAACTTCCCAGAACGCCAGTGCTGATCGCTCCGAGAACGACTGCAGATTATAGATGGCACCATTCTTTGCGTTCATGGCGGGCTCTCGCCAGAAGTGAGGACGCTCGACCAAATTAGAACGATAGCCCGGGCGCAAGAGATCCCACACGAGGGAGCCTTCTGTGGCGAGTTGGCCGGCTGGTCACCTTTCTATGGGGCTGACAAGCCGGAGCGCACTGCAGACCTGATGTGGTCGGATCCAGATGACATCGACGGATGGTCCGTCAGCCCGCGTGGCGCAGGATGGCTATTTGGCGGCAAGATAGCGCAGGAGGTTGGTCTGTTGATCCGGATGAGGTCAGTATTGACAGAGTGACAGTTCAATCACATCAACTCGCTCAGCCTCATCGCGCGGGCGCATCAACTTGTCCAGGAAGGCTTCAAGTATATGTTCCCAGAAAACAATCTGGTCACCGTCTGGTCTGCACCGAATTACTGCTACCGTTGCGGCAATGTCGCATCCGTCATGGAAGTCAGAGAAGGCAGCATTGTCGACGCAGACAGCTTCAAGATATTCGATGCCGTCTCTGATCAGATGGAGCGGGAAAGCAAGGTCGGAACATCGGCAAGTGCTCAGGACTCGTCAAATCACAAACGAGCTTATCATCCAAAGCATCTGCAGGCCTACTTCCTGTGATCATCAATTTGAGCTCGGACCGCATCACTCGGGGGCTCCTCGCTTTCGGCAAAGCACTATCTTGTCCCTTGAACTGGCTTGCAACTCGAGTGATCGTACTCATGACCGATCTTGTGTATCTACCTCCAGGTGATACGCAGCAGAACACGGATAACGCCACGCAGCAGAACGCGGACAGCGACATGTTCAGCTCAAGTGCCGTTCATGTCAATCATATCGTCCTGCTCGCCGTTGCAGGAGTGTATGCCTTTCGTGTAAACGCCCCAGATAAGCACTGATCCACATGCGGATGACACAGGTTCTTCTCGATCTTTGCGATCAGCTTGCTGTCGCCTTGTATCGCACGTGCTATGGGCCGACGTCGCGCCTCACAGCAGCAGGACGACTTTATCGCGATGCCATATAGCGCACAACGATCGCTCGAGAGCCAAATGCCCAACCCATGGCATTGCGCCCAGCCTTTGCCGGTTCGCACAACATTGCGCTCGCAGAGCTTCTTGCCGGTCACAAGAGCATCACCCATGGCTCAACCGGCTTATCTCCCGCCCTACGAGAAAGCGCCTGCATATCATGCTGCACCCATAGAGCGGCCTGCATCCATCAGAAGCTCAAGCTCTTTTCTCACAGCACAATCTGGCGCATGCACAGTCGCAGAAGGCGGCAACAGGATTCAGCGCAAGCGCGTGCCTTCCGTCTAAACTGTAGAGCTTATGCTTATTGCAACTTATTGTCATGCTTGCCATCTCGTGCGTAATGCATTCATCATGCTACCGCTGTGCAGCTTCAGGCCGCGAAGAGTTTGCCATTGGCTCTCGCGACGTTCTCCGCTGTACAGCTGACCGCATCAGCGCGGCCATCGCCTTGTCGCTTTCTTCTCGCCGCCTGACGACCCGTATACCGCCGAACAGTAACGTATCATTGTCGACTTCAGGGTGAATGGCGCCCAAGGTCGTGTTGCGCGATGAAGACGATCGGGGTGCTGGTGGCTGCGCAGCTCGAGCGGCAGCGGCAGCCGATTTCGCCGCTTCCGCTGCGAGTTCGTGATCGCGCATCTCGAACAAACCCAGCCCAGCAGCAGCTGCTGGCGTGGGCGAATGTAAAGGCGAATGAAAGTTTCCAAACTTGATTGTTGGATGAGGTTGGCTGTTGCTCTGCATAGATGACTGCGCACTCAAGCCTGCATCGAGCACGGGAACATCGCCATCTGAGCTCGAATAAACAGCAGATTGTAATGGCGACGACTGTGTATGCCCGTTGACTGCAAGGCTGCGAAAGTTGTAGGACATCTCTGACATTGCCGGACTGACAGGGGCCGTCATGGTTGCTGTACCTTCCTGATCAGGAACAACCTGAAAGAACCTATCGAAATCATTGGTGACAGTGGACTCTTGCACGCCGTCCCAAGACATGCGTCGTCCTCTTTGCGATCCTGCGAAACTGGTACCATTCGACTGGTGCGAGTTTGGGGACTGCGATTTCTGACTGTGTGGCTGCCTTGGCCGCCTATAGCCATTGATTGGCGCTAGCGTATGACTGTACTGCATTGCGTGCCGATAACGTGAAGGCACGTATTCCTGCCGCCCGGACGAGTAGTCCTGTCGTGGCGTAGAGTCTTGTACTTGCGGTGCAAGCGCATTGTTTGGGCTCGTCTCGATCGCCTCTTCAAGATGGCCACCAAGCTGCTGAGGCCGTCCTGTGTACATTGGACCCGCTGTTTGGGCCATACCAGCAGACGTCGCCAGCCATGTGCGAAAGTCAGCTGCACTTTGCTGTGGATAGACTGTTGGTCCTAACCGCGGGGAGGGGGCTGATCGACGCCGACTACCTGCACCCGGTGGTGCAGCGATGAGCTGATCTGATCGCTCTTCGGTCAACTCTGCAATAATGCTGGAGATCTTTGCTGTTCGTTGCGTCACTATCCGTACAGCTCGCATCATCTCGCCCCGGATCTGTTTTAAATCAGCATTGTGATCTAGCTGTGTTGCTAGAACGTACAGTGAAGATGCCGTCTTTTGTGACTGTACGGGCCACATTGTAGTCTGTCTGAAAAGGGTCCTGCGTGTCGTGCTGATGCGTCAGCGTGGCCATGCAGGTGCTGCAGCTGCGAACCTCGATACATAGCTTGTTGAGCTCGCGCGGCCCGCCCATCAAGCTATCCTCAGGATGCAGCTGTGAACAAATGTGAGCACGCAGTCTGATGCTTAATGGTTCGCTTACGTCGGCTTGCCAGCCTTTCGATTCCTTAGTAAGGATGCCGCCTTCCGTGCGCGGAGAAATGACGTCCCACGCATAGCGAAACTCTTGCGAGTAATATCGAAAGAAAGCGACGAGGAGCTCGCCCACACTCTCTTTGCTCGTGCCTGACCACACTGCGTCGAGGCTGTCCAGATCATCGTAAAAGTATATGTCATGCCTGGCAGACTATGTGAGAAGCGCTATAAGTATAGATGGTCAGGCTCACCCGTCGATCTCGAGCTCTTCAACTGGTATCGCTCTCGGCGGCGGCAGACGCTGCAGGTTCCTGCGCGAAATAACCAATGAGCTGCGCCATTTGCTGATTATTGTGATGCTTACGGTAACACGGCTGGCTTGCGGACATTGGTAAGGAAGTGGATTACGAGCAGTACGTAGCCGTAGGAACTGAGCGTGCCGGTGTAGGGACTGTTGATCTTACGCGCTTTCGTCCATACTTTGACTGCGGCTCGCGGACAGGTCAGCATAAAGTATGCTGGCATATCATTACCACCGACGAAAGAGTACGATGGTCCTTAAGCGAGGATCGACACGAGCATAAGTCAGTAGGAGTCGCGTGTTCTCCATTGCCAATCGATTATCAAAGCCGATATCGCACTGGAGACCGAAAGGCACGCCCGGAGACGGTGGCTTGCTGAGCTTGATGATAGGTATCCTCGCTCGCGGCAACATCTTTACTTCGAAATCGGTTTCTGTAGTCATTGTGTCAGCACGCATGCAGTGGCGACTAAGGGCGAACACTTGCCTTGCTCAATGATACGTCCGAGTATCTCGACGAGCTCGGAGGAAGACCGTTGCGGTCGTTCTGTCTCTGACCTGAAGCAACACAGATCCATGTCTGCTAATTGATGAGCTGGCTATCCACGCACTGCGAGCGCGATGAGTCTTACCTGAATTGCGAAGAGCGAAGCCGTTTGCCATTGACCTGACAACACATGCATGGATTGAGCGTGCCGAGAGCAAGGCCAGAGAGTGGACTCACCCAAACGGTAGCAACTTTGCGCCTGGCGAGACTCGGTTGGCCAACGTCTGCAAGTATATCCTCGTTTGCTCCTTCATCTGCGCAGTCCAGGATTGAATTGAGCCTGCGTATGCTCAGATCATGCTGGTCTTGCCTGGTATTCATCCGCCGTTGGCAGCACAGAGGGCAGAAAGCTCGATTGCAGGTAAGCCGACAATTCTGCAGTGATATTGGCATGAGAGGGCGAGCTGGTGGGCTGGATGATCCTTCTGTTCGTGCCATGATAGCGGTGATTGGGGCCCGAGTCGATGTGTTGCATGCTCGACGAGCTGGCTACGCTCGCTGCGCCATTGAAAGACGAATTCATGCTCGCTGCTCCTGGTGACCTTGGCCGTGCTGCGGTGCTCGCGTGCTCCATGCTGGGCCGTCTCTGCACGTGTAGAGCTCCCTCGTGCACTCTCGGTGAGCGCACGCAGACTCCGGTGACTATAGCGACGAGCTGCCACAAGCCCAGGAACGCTCGTCGGTCGTCTTCGACACGACACGTCCACCGCGAACGCGCGAATTTGAGACTCATCGCACAGACGTCGATCGGTTCACCCGCAAAGTATGCATCATCGTGCCAAGTCTCTAAACGCAGCGTTGACGGCTTGCTTGAGCTGCCCATCACTTCAGTGCGGCCTCGCGTTCTCTGTATGCGAGTACTTACGTCTCGATAACTGACGATGAGACAGCTCTGTCCGTCGCGCGAGACGAGCGTCATCTTCTCGTCCACGCCCGCATCGAGTTTGTTGAGGCAGGTCAGGACATGTGAGAGATCGACGACAGGATGACCGTGTTCTTCGACTTGATGAAAGACATAATCACGGAAGAGCTTGATGAGGTACCGATCGCCGGTCTCTGACCATCGTGGGTCATGATCGAATCTGACCGTAACGTCAGCTTGGCTGAGACTGTAGCGTGAAGCCATACTCTGGTCTTTCGTTGATGAAGCCAAATTTGCACAGCAGCCGAACCAGTCGCGCGTTTTCGAGCTCGCGCATGAGCTCCGTCTCAAGTAAGTCGTTTTCGCTGCGTAACTGTAAGCACAGTATGCTGTAAGCTTGTCGAGGCACTCGCCTTTGAGATGCATTCAGATCGTCCAGTAGACGTGGCCCGATCATCGCTAGTACTTCATCGATGTTCTTGCGCGGTTCTGGTTTCCCAAACAGAAACAAAACCAGGTTCTTGATGTCGTTCGAGTATTGCCTGCTGAGATGATCTAGCGAGCGCGGTAGATTGTGTACGGCCGAGAGGGAAGTGCATCCGAGCGTGACGATAAGTTTCCCAAGATCAAACAAGTCCTCCTGTTGCTGCATCTCGAGAGAGGCGTCATTCTCGAATCTGAGAACGTCAAACATCGAGCAGCAATTGACCCTTAGCCTATTCTTGCCCGTGAGTAATATCTTCGAGATCTCGACTGTCCGCAAGGCAAGTCCCGCTGTATGCGCTGCTCGTATCGCACTAGATATCTGGATGATGTATGACCACAAGACACGCTCGGGAATCTGCGTCGATGCCGGGCCCAAACGACCGTTTGGTCGCATTACCGGCGGTTTGGGCAAAAGATGATGATCGTGCAGCGTACTCGCCAGCGGGTGAAAGTCATACACAAAGATCAAGGCTGTATCGACGTGTCAGCTCCGTTTGATGATGCACTGCTCGGACTGACAGGAGTCGCCAAAGCCATGAGTCGTGTATGCTTCTCGTATTCCCACGATATTAGGGTGCGCTATCCTTCTCCACTTTTCTACGACGGTCAGAGCTGCTTCGTGTGGTAATCGAAAGTCTGTCCGATGACGCTGTCAGCCGGAAGCACCTCTCACGTGCGTTGGGCTTACTTTCGACCCGTCGTAAAGCGTAGTATCGGCCATCAGCCTCATGGCCTGCTTTGTATACCCATGTCTTGTGTCCAAAGAAGCCTTTGGGCGATTGTCCCTCTCTCGGAGTCTGTCTACCAAAGTTCGTATCGAGGGGAATAAAGCCCCAATACCTGCACGCTACTGGCTTGGTATTGCTTCTTGCATATTGCAAAGCGACTCACCCGCCGATCTCGGTGCCTTCACCCGGGCTGATGCCTTGAGCTATCGCGTCAGATTTCAGGTGTAGGTCTTCTCGTAGTGTAGGCGACATGAAGAATCCGCATACTGCCTGTTGCTGTGGCGTGAGATTGGCGACATGGGGTAGCGCCGGCGCGTAGAGATGATAATTCAGCTGTCCTGTGCCTATCAGCTACGTATACCGGTAGAGCAAGGCAACGACCGACAGGCTGTCGTGTGAACCTTGTCTGCGCAGCGTTGGCCGACAGTGCACCGAGACCGTTGCCATAATAGTCCAGTCCTGCGTCTGTTGCGTCCAGGTAGTGCGCGTCATAGTCTTGCGCGTGCGACGTTGCCTCTGTCTGTCCCTGTCTTGGCTGTTGAGAAGCTGAGTGGGCTCTACTGAACGAAAGCGCTGACTGTACTGTCCTCCGTCTGACTTGCTGCTGAACGTGGCACAAATTCTGCGGTTGGATTGAACGCCAAAGAGGATGAGCCGACTTTGCGTTCGCTCGCGGGTACGAATGCGGGCGCGGCGGCTGAAGACTTTGGCACGAAGACAGGCGCATTGACTAGATCCGTGGGCAATCTTGCCTGCGCTGGCTTTGGGCTGGGTGCTGCGCTGCCTGAAGGCACAAAGACGGGCGCATGGACATGTTGGCTTGAGAGTGCCGACGTCATGCCCCTTGCTTGGCTCTGTTCGCGGAGCGCCACTGTCAGGGACAGCGTTCTGATGCGGCTCAAGGTTTGACAAACGCTCGCAGTCGGCGGATGCTCGTAGAGGCAGCTGGTCAGTGCGCAATGTCCATCGACTTGCACGTTTCGACAAAGTTGACCTGTTGGATCACATCATCCCTATAGCTGCGCTGATTGTCTCAACGAGCTGACCTCTGCGCTTGTCTGCCGTCGTGGCCTGTGATCAGTGTGACGAGCTGGCAAGGGCGTCAGCGTCTTGACGACCTGCGCGTTCTTGCCGCTTGCGTCCAGCTCGACAGCGCCAGGATGCCCATCAACAACAAGTACGCGCTCCAGGGCAGCATAGGATCCGGTCAAGGCTTGAGAGGAGGACGAGCTGCAGACCGGCAGGCGCCCAAACCTCGTCAGGACACTCGCCCCGTCGCAGGCCAGGACAAAGCAAAATGTCAAAGATGCGAGCAGATTGGTCACTTCAGTCAGTCCATTGGTCCATGTTTGGTGGCTCTAACGCCTGCTAATAGCCTATCAATGTACTGAGAAGACACAGCAAGTCGACGCTCCGCCATCGCGGAATACAAGCTGATTGATTTGCAGGCCTTACAAACCTCGGCCATCTCGTACCCAGCTCCTGTTGAACCCCAAGCTGAGGGCGAAGGAGACGCCGACTGCTACTCTGCCGCCCGTCATGAGCTCTGATCAGCCCATCAAAGGTACAGCAGATCGCATCATCGCCGAAAACGAGAAACAGCGCGCCGTCAAAAGAGGACGGTATGTCACCCTCGATGCGCTTCTACCGTGCTCATCCATGGCCCAGATCATCATCGAGATCGTCTTCGGCCAGCTCGTCGAGCTCTCGTTCATCTCGATCTGGCAGCTTTTCCGGCTCGGGCTCATCTCGTTCGCGCTCTCATTCACTCTCGATGTCTCGTTCCCCGTCGCATTCGAGCTCACGCAGTCGCTCACCAGAACGCAAGCGAGGTCGTTCCAGAACATACTCACGCTCGCCAAGTCCTGTACGACGTAGATCGCCTGTCAGAAGACGCTCAGCTTCGCGAGATCCGTCTCGGCGACGCGACTCTCTCGGCCCGGTCTATCGACGTCGCTCCCGCAGCCCAGCCTTTCGTCGTCGCTCCCCGAGCCCCGTGCATAGCTCGAGGTCAGCATCACCGCGGCCCCGTCACGCAGATTTAGGAGAGCGAGCGAGGTCGCCGCGGTCGCTCTCGATCAGAGGGCGAGCGAGTAGGCAGTAGACTGCAAGGCCATGCAGAGGTTGTAAGCTGCAAGCGTCTATCTGCGTGTTTCAGTACATGATGATGATGACGAAAGAGTATTGGTGTACCTGTACCTTGTGACCCAATTATCCATGCTCGTCTAGCAGTTAGGATTTCTGCTTCCCATGCATCAGGCCAGCAGGAGACACGAGTGCAAATCTCGTGCATGGAAAACCCTTTTGCGTCGTCTCGCAGCGCCGAGTGACACGAGTCGAGCTCATGAATCTGCAAGCGGCGGCATTTCGCGATATATCGCTAATTAACTAGTCGGTTGTGCCGCGTGTCAGCACAACAGCAACACCGTTTTGTGCAGCAGCGAGCATGACATCCGCTCACCTCAAGTCGCACTAACCTTGCTCGTCCGGCTCCTTACCTTTTGCGGCATTCGACAGATCCACTTTCATATCACGCTCGGGCAAATACAAACACGACAACTACAAGCGATCCGGCAGCACATTGCAGCACTATGAGTTGGCATAAGACTGCCTCGATCCTGTCGGGCTTCTGCGTCTATCCATTCAGACCTCATTCAGCTGCAGATGGCGTATCAGTCGACGTTGCGAGCCAGCAGGTCGGTCAGATCTAGTCAAGCTGGTGCACGAGCTCATGTGCTCGCAGGTCTCTATGGAAGTCGGCGATGAGGTCTATGTGCGCCATAGACATCTCGACACTGCGCGAGCTGATTTAATGCGAGCAGGCCTTCGAGGAATACAGCACGGGTCTGCCGTCGCACAGCCTGAGCAGCTCCGTGACATGGTATAGGTAAGTCGTGCTATGGCTCAGCTAGGCAAGCTCATACAGAGACCAGAGGCTATGTCGTGTGTGCGACGAAGAGCTTCTCGGCCGCAGCGGCGGCAGCTAGCTCAGGAACAGACGCCTCTGGTCAGGAGGAGCCAGAAGTGTTTGTTGGCATCTTCCCAGCCTCGCACTGCCAGATCAGAGAGCATTCCGATGTACAGGAGGAACCTTTAGGAGAGCTACCCGCGGATATGCCTGTCAGTACTGGCTTCAAGCGGCCAATGTCCGTTTTGGCCGAGGTCGACGAAGAGGATCTGCCAAATTCGGCTCTCTTGGACCACGAAATGGCAGTCGGATTTGCGAAGCAGCAGTTGATGGCGAGCGCCTTTGCTATCGGGCAAGATCCAAACAGACGTAGTATCAGTCTGTCCAACGGCGACGCGCCTCGGTCGGCAGGCTTAGATGGTTCAGAGCGCCCGCAGCCTCCACTGCCATCGCTCAGATGCGGCGACGAAACAGTAGGCGGACTCGAAGACCCTTTGATCGACGAGCTCGCTGTGGCTATTCGCGAGTGGAGCTCGCTCCTCAACACCTACCTTTACCGCGGTGATTATGAGCTGTTCGACTCGGTCAAAGCTGCAATTGAAGCGCTCCACATCGGTCGCAAACAACTCCTATCGAACATACTCGGCACGGAAGAGCGCGTACATCTGCGGCAATCACTGATCGCCCAGCTCGCTGCCGGTAATGCTGCGCAGGAGCTCGATCTTATCGTGCGACACCCGATGACCGGTTGTCTGGCAGATGTTGACCACGACGATCACATCGACGACAATGCCTGGATGAGCGTGATCGAGATGTACAAGCAGCAGATCAAGATGGCCAGCGATGAGCCCACAGCGTCAGACGTAAAGTCGGACTTCCATTGCTTGCTCTTACAATTCAAAGCCCTCGCGAATGCGACCTGTGCACCCGGGGAAGAGCTTCAACTCGAGATGTCACTTTATGACAAGCGCGAGCTGACCTTTTTGACGGAAGAGTTTGTGGTTAAGCTTGGACCAGACGGACCCTCACCTGCGGTCAACTTGCGAACGCTGTTTGAGGAACTCGGGCGGAACGACATCGGCGATGACGTCTATCTTGTGTGTAAGCTGACTCGCCGAGAAGCCCTCTCGCCCGTCCATCCGGCCTCGCCGAATCCTAATGAGGGCTCGCCGGCGCCAACCAAGGCACCCGTCGACAACAAGCCTACCAAAACGATCACCGTTCGCAGAGCAGTTGGTTGCGGCGTAGTCTGTCTAAGCGCAGTCACACGAGACACGATCGCAACAGACGTCCATATACCCCTCTTTGCTCCAGAAGATGAAGTCTACTTTCCTTCAGTCCACGAGAGCATCATTGCCAGTAGAACGACCGAGTTCCGCCGCCTTGCCCGCATCGAGGAACTTGTACTCGCCCTCACTATGCTGTCCGGTACGTCTGACCAGATTTCAGGCGCAACAAGCGGTCATGACTCGGCGCCAATCATTATTACCAAGCGTCTAGGCTTCTCGGACGTCGTGCTCCCCGAAGACATCCGTAATGATGTCTACGTGAAGCTGTGGTCGGCCGATTTTGGTAATTTTGCTCGGCAAAAGGGCAAAGGCGTCAAAGTTCCATTGGCAACGGCAACGCAGGCGATCAGTCTGGAAGCGACCCTTGAGATAAGGCGCGACAGTGGCCTAACCGTCACGGATGCCATTTCATCCGGCTGCGGTGGAAGCGTGAGCCGTCCGCAACATACCTCGGTAGTCTATAGGAACCAGTATGCCCCGACTTGGGGAGAGCTCGTCAAGCTCTCCCTGCCCGAGACGCAGACAAAAGCGTTGCCGCACCTCTTTTTCACCTTTCGTAATAAGGCGGCTCGGTCGGGCGCCGATGCTGAACGCCCTTTTGCATTTGCTTACTTGCCCTTGCTGTCCACGACAGGCGGTTCATTTCCTAGCGATGGAGATCACGATCTCATCGTCTACCCATACGACAGCGAAAGCTCACGCCCCTCGGCTTATTTCCAGCATTCGCACGAGGCGAATCAGGAAGCTCCACGCGCAGCGAACGCTCTGCCCGATCGTTTCACCATCAAAACTTCGCTTTTTTCCACTTTGCTGACACAGAATGCTACATTGCTCAAGCTGATGCAGTGGGAGTCGCATCTTGGGACAGACCCGACAGAGGCCTCCCGCGTCTTAGCCAGCCTGAAGTTCGTTAGCGAGGTTGAGGTGTGCAAATTTTTGCGACCCGTCTTTGACAGCCTCTTTGGGCTGCTTGGTTCAAGGCTCAATCAAGGTGGCCAGCTCGATAACGACATCTTCTCAGCACTGGTCACGATATTGGGAATCACGTCAGATCGACGGTTCCACAAGTTCAAGCCTGCCGTAGGCATCTATCTAGCAGATCACTTTGCAAGCACGTCAGCCTGGGTCACACTTCTCAAATGCGCGCGAAAGCTGTTGCACCCAGAGCAAGAAGCTGGGATGGCCCTAAGAGCGGCACTGAAAGTCTGGGGAGACCTCTTTCGCTTCATTGCGCGATCTCGCGAATTGCAGCGACCGCGCGACATCGAATTGGGCTCAATGGCAGAACATGTCGAGAACCAATTTGTTCGAGAGATACTGCAGACGCTGCATGACATGACAGTCTTAATGCAGCGCAACAAGCCTGCTTCGATCATAGGCACACAAACGCTGGCAGTGCAGCACTTTGCAGATGCCATCCCGTGCCTTGCTTCGACTGTGCCGATACCAGATCTTATCGACACCATTGAGGCCTTCTGTAGCTCCACGTCTGATGTCAAGGGCAAGCTGGCGAATTGGCGGTTGGTCATGCTGGGAAATTTAGCGGCTACATCTCTCTTGGGTACTGTCGCTGGCAGAGCTAGGCTAATACCTGTGTTGATCTCAGCGTTGCGCGCACATCTCGGCCGGCGCGAAAGCTTCTTCATCGGCGATCGCGAAGAGACCGAGCAGACTCGGGATGCTTCTCGTGTGCAATGGCTTGAGGGCCTTCGTCTTGCGACTGGAGCTCTCGGTACTCTACTAGACCAGCTTCATCGAGCTTTGCTTAACCCCCTCGGCATGTCCGGAGAGGACGACATACGTGCTGACGAAGACAATACCGAGCTCGTTTTAACGCTTTTGCCCAAGCTTCTGGACTCGTATGCTGAATTCGAAAGCTCATACAACCTGCAAGCTGTAAATCGCTCCGCGATCGCTCAGCCATCCCTTTTCTCGCATGAGCTGATTCCTCTGCCGACAAGCTACCCAATTGCACTAATGGCGCCTTCACGCAAGACATCGAGCAACGAAGCCAGTAGAGAGGCTGATCTCCAACCCGGGCTATGTGATCTCGCTGCAGTTCTTGCCGGCATTGTGCTCCTCGTACCAGACAGCATGCTGCTCGCTTGGATGGATGGATATGTGGCCGTCGAAGGTCTCGACAATTGCGCCAAGATGCTAGGTAATCTTTTCAGGATCACGACTTCTGTGCTCGATAACGTCGCGTTCCCATCCAATTGGCTCAATCTCAACACTCTCTTTCACCGCATTACACTCAAGATCATTAGCAATGCCGATGTCGTGCTCGAGAGACATTTCATTCCACCCCAGCGACTAAGCTACACTTTCAATACTTCCCTCTGGCGTGATTATTTTGCTATGCTCTTCCGACTGCTATCAAGCGAGCAGCTCGTGATCGAAGAGTTCCCACCTCAGAAGCGCCGGGCAATCTGGCGCCTAGCGGGTGACGTTCGGGGCGTCGGGGCTCGCGTGCTGCTCAAGACCTGGCAAGCATTGGGCTGGCAAGAGAAAAGTGACTTCAACTCTGCACTTGACCGGAGTGGCGGCTATCAGATCCAATTCGTCCCTGCGCTCATCGAAAATGTTCTGGAGCTGTGCCTGTCGCATCACGATGAGCTTCGGGGCGTTGCCGTCTTGGTACTGGCGACTATGGTCGTGGTGCGTGGTCAAAGCCTGCGACGGATATGCGCTGATATGTATGCAGGGTGAATACCGACTCAACTCGCAATTCGAGAACATCGAAGTAGAAGTACTTGATCGACTCGATGTCCTTTTCGCTGCCAAGAAAGGCGACGACCTTCTGCGTGGCTTCTTTACCGCACAACTCCAGGGCCTCTTCACCGACGCAGATGTGGATGGAGAGCTGCGAAGACAGGTTGATGTCTGGCTGGCTTCGCTTGCTCGCTTTCTCGACTTGCTGATGGGCGTGCGAAATCTGCCGGAAGGTGACGAATATCTCGATGACAAGGTCATCGGTACTCTCAAGCTCATGTCTGTACGTCAGAGCTGCTAGAAGCGGGTGTTACGCTGACTTTGATGGCAGTTTATCAAAAGCATCAATTCTGGGCCCGTCTTCATCCGATATGTTCATCGTCTTGTCGATTTCCACACCAGTGCTGCTCATTACGTCGAAGCTGCTCTGGCCCTCAAGGTAATCTTTGAAATCGCTTATACCCCCTAAGCTTATGCGTACGCAGCTCCATGCCGATTTGTATGCTTGGGATCGCAAAAGCGTGCTCCCTGCAGTCCAAGAGCTTGCGCTGCCCAGCCAGTCCAAATTCGCCCGCAAAGAAGCCTTGACTGTCAAAATACTCGAGTTACTTAGCAAAGGCCAGGCATACGAGATTGCGCTGCAGCTTTGTAAAGATCTACAAGTGCAGTATGAAGGCGAGGTGCAAGACTCAGCGACTTGCCGACGCTTGTCCGAGCTCATGACCCATCAGGCCATTCTCTACAACGATATGGCCACCGACAAGCGTGAGCTCCCGACCTTTTTCAAAGTCGCGTTCGTTGGCAGAGGCTATCCGATACCTGTCCAGAACCGGCAATACATCTATCGAGGCAACATTGGCGAGACGCAGAGCGCTTTCTGCGAATGGCTTGCACAGAAGCATCCTAATGCGACCCTGCTCAAGACACATGCAACGCCAGAAGTACAGATCGCACAGTCAGATGGGCAGTACCTGCAAGTCATGACAGTCACGCCTCGAAGCAGTATAGCGAGTACGAGAGCGTCCATGCAGCCCATCGAGCCCGACTTGCCGTATCGCGACATACAAAGCTTTGCTTACATAAGACCATTCGTGAAGGGAGACGCACCAATCGTTGCGGGAGTGCCAAGCACAGCCCATTTGTGGCAAGAGCGTACGATCTTCACCTGCGCAGAGTCATTCCCGACAGTGCTGCGGCGCTCCGAGATCACCAGTGTGGAGTTCGTCGAAGTTTCGCCAATTCAAAATGCTTTACACGAGGTCGAAGAGCGAACGAAAGAGCTTGCAATTGCAGAAGCCAAGTACAGTATGCTCGACAAAGCGCAAAGCGACCTCGCTCCGCTCTCGATGCTTCTCAACGCGGCAGTGGATCCTGCCGCCAACACGGGCGTCTCCTTCTATCGCAAGAGTAAGCTTGCACGGGTGTTGGCAATGGAAACTGCTAACGCATCCATTTCAGCTTTCTATACTTCGGCATATGCCCAGGCGCATCCAGCAGAAACCGGCCTCGTGGATCGACTGCATCAAGCCGTAGAGTCTCAGGTGCGTTGGTTTCGTTGCAGATGTGCAAGTCGCTCAGAACTACTCAGGTGGCCGAGCTGAGCAAGTGCATGGCACTTCATGAGCGATTGTGCTCGAGCGATATGCTGTCTTTCCACGCGACCTTGCAAAAGCGTAAGTCCTCCGTTATATGTTTGCGGTCACGATTGATCATCTACTTCCGCGCAGTATTCGAGAAAAATTTCGCGCAAGAGATCAGCAATGTGGCATCTGCAATTTCGGTCGGTGGTAACGTCGACTCAGCATCACCATCAGCCCTGCCTCGGTTTCCACGAGCGCCGACCATCGAAGGCAGGCGACCGTCAGCAAGTACCAATTTCGGCGAAGCTTCCCTCTTCAGCAGCCCGGCAACTAAGTTGAGCACACCTATCAAGCGTAACACGCCCACATCTTCACCGATGCTCCCTTCCATGCCGACGGCGAGCCTGCAGCACTCGCCATCCACACCGTCGCGCAGGGGCACTGTCTCGAGCCCAGACAGCTCACACGCGATCGGCGGACAGCCCAGATATGCCTCACGAGATTCATCAGTGCGGGCGGTCGAGCGATCTGGCACGGTGCGGAGCACTCGGACGAACAGTGACCGCCGCAGCCTGTTAGGCGCTTTCATTCGTCGACGCAAAGATGACGAGCAAGACTAGGCTGATGTGTCGGGAGATGCACTTACAGATGGATATCTATGTCTTGTCTATGAATTGGTCCAGGCCGCCTTCCGCTTCTCTGCAAAGGCTGACATGCCTTCCTTTTGGTCGTTTGTAGAGAAGAGGCCATGGAAAAGACGCCGCTCGAATGTCAGGCCTGAGGAAAGGCTGAGCTCGTAAGCTTGGTTGACGGCCTCTTTGCCGGCTTGTACGGCCAGCGAACCCTTTGAGGCAATCTTTTCTGCTACCTTGATCGCTTCTTGAAGTACCTCGCCTTCCCCTTCGCCTACGACACGACTGATGAGGCCCCAATCTGCAGCTTCTTGTGCTGAGAAGTTCTTGCCCGTGAGGACGATCTCCATTGCTTTGGATTTGCCGATGGCGTGTGTCAGTCGCTGTGTGCCTCCCCCGCCGGGAATCACGCCAAGCTGTCCAGCGAAGAATACGCGGTGTCAGATCGGCATCAAGCTCGCAAAAAAGGACAAACGTTGATCTCTGGCTGACCGAAAACGGCTGTCGGTGAGGCGAGGACGATGTCACACCTGTGAAGATCGTAGGGAATAAGTGAACTATCCGCAGAATCGAACGCGCGAGACTTACATCATCGCCAGCTCGCAACCTCCGCCGAGCTGTCGGATCACATGAGTACAGGGCACAGCGAAGGGCGGAAGAACAGCTGACTGCATATCCGCTCACCGCACCGACGATGGGCTTCTGCACGGTCGTCAAGCGCGTCCAATGCGACAGGAAGCTCTTTCCGTATGCCTGCGCGAATGTCTTGTCCTGTGCGCTTGTCGATGAGCCTGACGGAAGCTCTGGCCTCACATGAAGCGTGCCTTCATCTCTTTGATGTCTGCGCCCGCCGCAAAAGCCTTGTCGGAGCCAGTGAGAACGATTGCGCCGATAGTATCATCGTGATCGGCCTCTTCCATGGCTGCATTGACTTCGTGAAACAGCTCGGAATTGAGCGCATTCAAAGCTTTGGGTCGGTTGAGGGTCACTAGGGTAACATTGCGCTTGGCGCCTTCCCTTGTGACGATGATGTTGTTGTACGCCGTGCTTGATTCGGTTGCGCTGCCACTGGCAACAGGAGCCGACTGGCTGAACTGCGCTGAGCTCGCTGACACGGCTGGCAGTGCACTCATCCTCCAGTGCGCTCGCAATGCTCTTCCACTGGCCCAGACCAAGCTCATCTCCACAAAACGCTGTGGGATGCTAGGCCTCTGCTGCGTCGGCCCAAGTCGGCAATTCGACGAGGACGGACGCGCTAGCTAGCTTGTGTGCCAGGGCGCGAACATTCGCGCGGACTTGCTCAGCCTCAATCCTAGTCTCTCATTGCTTGCATCGATCTAGCCATGTCATCCATGTCAAGCCTCGCCATAGCTCTGTCTTCGACCCTTCTGTCATACCCCAAGAGTTCTGTCGCGTGCATTCAGTCACGCTCGATCCGCTGCGCAACGTCGGCAAGACGGCTCAAGGTGACGTGCGCTACATGGTCTCGTTCAGCGGAGGAAGTCTATCAGGCCCTCGTATACAGTGCGTAAGCTGCTTTGCGCCTTCCCTGTCGAGCTCACGCATGGTACAGAGGACGACTTCTGCCAGGCGGCGCAAACTGGCTCACTTCGTCTAATGATCTGGCAGTTGGCACGCGCACTTTCCTGCTTGACACACGAGACGTTATAGAGACCGACGACGGTGCCATCATCTGCCAACAGATAAACGGCGTACGGATCGGACAGAGCGATGTGCTCGATTTGCTATCAACAGATGCTAGCATACCCGCGTCAGTCACCTCAATGCGGTTGTCTCGAAGAGCAGAAAACAGAGCACAGTGCAAGCATGCTTGGCTCAACAGCGCCGTCTTGATTGCTACTGCTGGTCGTACTATCTCGCCGTCAGGCCAGGACGTGGTGATATACGACGCCAATCTCGTTACATGAATGCAAATAGACGCCCCAGAGAAGATCGTCTACGCTCAGCGAACGCTTGTGGGAGTCATGGGATAGCTTGTAATGGCACGACAACACAGTCTAAACGATTGAGGTTCTGTTGAAGCCTTCGCGATACTTCAGACCTCCATGCACGCGGAAGCGGTACAGGCAGCCATTCTCTGCGCCATGGGTAGACGTGATCTTGAGTAAGATCATCTCGTAGGCGAGGTTGAG